CATTTAAAACGCTGATGTAGTTTGATTGTTGTAGCTGAGAGTCAGAATGTCAAGTTGAAGAAAGCTTATTAATAATTAACATTAGTATAAAATATATAATTACCAATAGGATATAGCTTATCTCTTTAGACTTAACAGAAATTGGGGTAATAACACCGACTTTTTGTTCTAATTCGTCCAGAGATTTATTTGGTAGTTGCATAGCATACTCATTTATTTTTAACCGTATTTCTTGCCTTAGTTTTAAAATTTTGCAGTTTTTCCTCTGCTTCTGCATTTCAGTAATATTTACAGCTTCTTGAAACAAATTGTTTGGATCCACATTGAGAATTGACGTCAATGAATATAAACTTGATGCAATTTCTGTTATGTTACCTTCTTCAAATTTTTCCTTAAACTTGAATATATTGAAAAATTCGAAAGCCATGTTCATCAATTGTTCTTCTGGCTTCGGTGGTGGTTTAACTTTAACATCTAAGATAAATTCATATATATCACCAACAGAATCTCTTATGTGAATTATTGTTTCAGTTAAGAGATTAACAGAATCGCCAACTGGTAGCATTAGTTTGTTACCATCTTGCTTATAGGAAAAATGAAGGAGAAAGCTTATTCGGCTCCCCTTTATCCTAGCTCGATATTCATATTTCAATCCCGGAGCATTTTTTGGTTTCTCAAATTCTTTCCAATTCATACAACTAATTTCAAACTTGGTTATAGAAGCGAATCCTTGTCTTGGAAGACAATTACAGCTTCCTCCAAATGGAGGTTTGTTTATTAGGAATGTTGCATTTGTTAAACCAGGAAAACCTACAGCTTTCAAGACTCCTGTTATGATTAGCATGTATCTAAAGCCTCCCGCAAGTTCCCCAGCTGCAAATTCAATTTTATCCTTAAAGTTTTCATCTACAATTGCATGCGATCGATTCTCTTTCCAAATACCATTTCTTTGAATTAATAATGTCCACTCGTAACTGATGTTCCAATAGAGACCTGAGCATCCACCATGGCAAATTACCGCATTCAAAGAAGGCTTATTCAGCGCTCTTTTCTCTGCGCAGTTGCTTAAACATCTGAAATGAATAGTTTTATTATAGAAAATATATTTTGTAGTCTTGAAGTTTCCTTTAAAAAATCTTACATGATTTCTAGATTTGGTGGACTGGGCGAAAGTATTTTTAGTCTAGTTACGAAAGTTTCTTTTCGGTTTGCATAAATGGAAAACATCTCGACTTCAAGAATGTATGTTCTATTTGGAAACATATAAAATGTACTAAAATTCCAATGACCGTCCTGATTAATTGATGTTAATCCTGGTCCATTGCCAAAACAACCTCCTTGTTTTAAATATTCATCCATGGTTGGAATTATTTTGAAATTTACACCTTTGAGTTCTTTTGATATTGGAAGTTTTTCTTGTTCTTGTCGACAGAAGAATTTAAAGGTTACACCTTTGAATTTTTCATTTGGATCATTGTCAGGATCGTAACTTAAAGATTCCGCATTTATTGACATATTGTAATCATATGGAGCTGACAAGCTATTTCCGCCAACAATATCAAGATGTAGAGGAGTTGGAATAATTTCGAAATAGGCAGTATAGCTATTGTTAAATTCCTTGTAATACATCATATATATTAGATATTCAACTCTATATTTTCCATAATGAAGAGTCCTCGGAGGAAGAATAAACTTTGTAGTCGTCAACGTGTGAACCAAATTGTTTGATTGTATATCAAAAATTTTCCATTCATGCATGGCTTTGAATGACATTGTACAATTTGTGTCGTACACGGAAGGTATCGTAAATGATTTACGCTTGAAACTTTTAATTATTGACGTTTTATTAGTATATTCCTTTGATAATGAGGCATTTGGAGGATTACAATAAAATGGAGAAACCTCTGTGATAAACCACATGTGCTGTTCATCTATATGATTAAATGCCTTTACTGTAACGTTAAATGACGCAATTTTTTCATAAGTATGATTGAAGATTATAGTTGTTGTATCAAAATCAATAATTTGAAAGGGTATGGATCTCTTCTTGGCTACATCTTTACAATATTTATTAACGCCAAACGCCCTCTTTGTTCCTTTTTCATCACCCAAATTGTATATTAAGCATCCGTTGGTACCCATCCGCTTTAGATTTGTAATGATAAACGTTTCATTTGTAATTACAATTGTTCCATTATCTCTGATAGAATCAACTACGACTGCATCAAGAATGATTTCAGTTGTTGCAAAAACAGTCGTAGATGACGCTAAGTTTTCACATACAATTGTTGAATTGATAATTCCAACGGCTGATCTTGGAAATTTTTCAATGAAATGATATGATACTGAAGCTTTCCACTCTGGAATATACTCATATTTAGTCATTCCATTACTGAAGTTAAACTTGCAATGAATATGCGATAAATCTTTCTGATCTAATTGAGAAATCAACTTGAAATGAACAACCCCAGGTGGCCATAATACAGATGTGTTTGTTAAAGAATTAAATGGTAATATTTTGTTTTGAACTGGTATTTGATCAATGATAAATTCACTGCCTATATGATTCTTTGCCGCCGCATTGATTGTATAATTTCCAATAGAAGTAAACGTGTATTTAAAGGATATCGATTGGTTACTTGCAAACAAATCGGGATGTTTCTTACTCGCAACATGCATTCCTTTATCTATATCTATATTAAATGTCACAGATGAACCTGAATTAACATCTAAACTTATCAAAAACTCTTGTAAAGGGATAGCGCCTCTTTTAATTTGTGATAAAGTCAACCCTGTAATTGGCTCGTAAACACTAATTAATAAGCTTGCGGAAGCAGCACTGACGAGATTTTTGCAGGTTATGTTTGTAATAAATGAAATACCAGTATCAGATCTTTTGAATGAAAATTCTTGAGAAATAGACCGAAGATTTGTCAATTGTGGTTGATAAGTATAATTGGTAGCTTCTGTACTTTTAGGCGTTTTAACGGAACAGAAGACATCTGTTGCTCCTGGAATGTTTTTATTAGCTTCCAAGTAAAATATAGCTGGCTGTTTGCTTAGATCTACCACTTCTGGGCCTTTAACAGTTAGATTTTTAATGGAGATTTGTACAATTATTGGTTGTTCAAGAGATCTTATAAGTTGATTGACAGAATTGTTTATTATTAACTGGGGTGTATAATTTCCAACTTGTGTGTATATGTGACTATAAAAGAGGTCACTAGTGGAATTTGCTATCCATTCTGTAGTGTTTGAATTATCACCAAAATCTAAGATGAAATTCATATCCTCACCAGTTTCGATCACTATATGAAACTGTAATTTGGTGTTTAATTCAACAGCAAAAGCTGTCGTAGAAATATTAACGCCAGAAATCTCTTCTACAAAACTAATCGGTTGATTGATAACTACACTTGAAATTTGATTGAAGCAGCCAATCGTTAAGTTTAAATTTTTATGCTTTCTTTGGTTGTACATTGGAGGAAATGTGTAAATTTCGTAAATTCCTTCAACAAGGTTTACAGAAGGTTTTGTGAAGAACGTTAGGTTTTTCATTTTCATGCTGCATGTTACATTTGTTGGAATTATCGAAATATCTTCCTGTATAATTGATACATGTAAAGTTCTTGGCTCAATATAATAGAACTCGAAGAGCCCATTTTCAACAGAATGTTGGATAGTAACAGATATAGACGCTGACGTACTAAAGTGTTTATTTCTCGCGGTAACATAGGTCGTAAAAGTTCCGTTATTTTCAAAACGATGATCGATAAAAAATGGTTTAGTATTGGCAAACAAATCTGGATTTTTGAACACTTCTCTTTGTCCATCTCCAAAAGATACATTATATTCCACATCAGATCCATTGACTAAGGTTAACATCAAACTGAGATTGAAAAATGATCGTTGAAAAGGGTCACCATAGCTCAAGCTAAGTTTGGTTACGTTTTGTTGAAGAAACAATGGAAATTTACGAGACATGTTTGAGATAGTGTTACTACAATTGATCATGGCTTCGGCATAGTCGACATCTTGGGTGAAAATATAGTTAAGAAAGAGTTCTGTATTTAGAGATGATACATTTAGGGATTTATGTTGATATACTTGTCCCTCAAGATCACAGACACAAGTCATATTAATGTCCTGGGATACATTATGGAGTAGGGAGATTGAAAAAGAAACTGGTAGAGGTGGTTCATTTGGAATATACGATATCCCTAAAGCAATGTACTTGTTTAACGGCGGTTCCACTCTCTTCAAGATACTACATGCTTGTTTTCCAAGATTATTAACAGCAACTAAAGTAACATTGTACATTCCGAATATGTTGTAGACGTGTTCAACATGTATGAAATACTTTAAATAAGAATTTTGTGAACTATTCAACCAGGTCCAGGAATTATAAGTACCATCTCCAAACGAAATGGTAAAATTAACATCTGTACCCTTACTCCAAGATATTTTAAATAGGGTTGTTTCATTTTCAAAATAACTTTCCGATTCTATGTTTATCGTTAAATTTTTTATTTCTAAACCAATACAATTTTTGAATTTAGTTAAATTTAAACAAGAAATATGCAATTTGCCTGGATAAAGTGAATAAACCCTATTAATAGATGGCACCGTCTCCGCACATAAATATTTATATTTTAAACAATCTTTTCTTGGTAGAATTAATGAATCATTGATAAAAATAGTAATATTTTGCGATGGGTTCAATGTTCGTACCTTAGATATTTCATTCAAAATTAGATAAGATCCATTTTCCTGTGATAAATTTTTTTCAGAAATCAGTATGTTTATCATAAAAGTATTTGCCGTATGTTTAATAGATAGTGTATCATTCAAGTTTGTAACTATTAGTTTTGCTAAGAATTGATCAGAGTATCCCCTTATAAATATCAGATCTGGAAGCTCCAATGATACTTGTATCTGTATTTCTATTTTAAGAACTATTTATGTAGAAATTGATATTTTTGAGAGTGAACAAGGCTTACCTGGAGAACATGTTTTAAATGGTTTCAAATCGAAGCAGACATACCTATTATCTTCATAAAACTTTACGAAACTTGAATTTTCATTTGTTGATATATAAAGACAGAGAAAGACTTTAGCCATGCACTCTGAAAATGTAAAATTTGTCTCAATAGAGCCTGTAATATTTATTTCTTTATTCTGTTGAATTTCCTGTTGATATTCTTCTATTGCAGCTTCAAGTGGTCTATGCTTTAAAGGGCTTGCAGCTGCATAATTTAGAATTACGAAAGTATAAAGTATTTCAAAATTTTTGTCATCTCCAGTAACTGGAGCAACGTCATATTTTGGAAAACCCAGGTTGCGAATAACTAAACTGGCTGTACAATTCTGAGCTAAATCTCTATAGAAGGGCTCCACATATGATAGTTCTATTTTTAAATCTATTGCTGATGAGAGTATTAAAGAAATAATGTTAATCTTGAAATCACTTATTAATTCTTTATTACCTGGTTGGCACGTGAAGAACTGTTGTGCACTTACGCAGTATTTGTTGTCTATCATGTTAGATTCTTTGTACGTGTGAAAATTTGATTCAGTTAGAATAGCGCATATACTTCCTATATTTCGACAAACTCTAGCGTCTACTTCAAATGCAACATCAACTGTTAATTGAACAGGTATTGCAAGGATTTTATCAAAATTTGGTACTAGTTTTGAGTTGAACCCAGAATAATTATATTGAATAGGGTACAATTTCAACGTTTCTTCAGATGAATTTATCGAATTCGATGCATAAATTGTCAAATTATAGTTTGTTACAGGTAAAACTGTTGGCAAAATTGGTAATCCACTATTACCTTTTATCAGTATCGACAGAGTAATTGGTGTTTTATCGCTTCTAATTATATAATCGGAAGGTTCTACTTTTCCCAGAGAAGATAGGTACAAGTCAGCTTCTGTGTAAGTAAACGATTAATTAATATTTATAGAATTATACTTTTTCTTTTCTTACCGGGTATGCAATCACTTCCATATCTAATTGTTGAAGCTCTACATTGGCAGGTATAGGTTGTGGGTGTAAAATCCATAGGTTCAGATGTTGGTAGACAAATTGTATAAACCTCTATACAATTTATATCAGTATCGCAAAAATCTCCATATTTTGCGTCAGAACCATAATAATTATCAGAATAAACTTCAACTTCACATAATGACAATCTAAGGGACTCTCCTATCATCCATATTCCAAGATAGGAACCAATCGTAACATCTCTATTACACTCTAATAATTTAGCCTCTCCTGGTAATAAGGTTTCGTTATTGTTTGCACAAATACTAAAGTCTGAATAGTTAAATTTCTCTGTAGAGAAGTTTTTAGCAACGCCAACTGTAAAATTATTCAGTTCTTTATCTATAAAAGGATATAATTCTAGTTAAATATTAATGTTTTCAAGTTAATAATTATTCACATACAACAACAGTCTCTTCGATTCCATATTTGAATAACTTTTACTCGAGTCTCTCTGACTAAATCGACAACCCACCATGGATTATCGGTTTTTGCTCCAATAACGCAAGATCCTACATCAACCAGACCATCTACGGCCAAACTAGGTTCGTTACTTTCATTTGTTGTTTTTTGATAAGCATTCTTGAATAAAGCAATATTATCTGAAAATAAATTGTTTAATACGCCTTTCAGTCGTGATATTAATTAGCATACAATGCGTTTTAGGCTTTGCTCTCCATATAAATGATTTAACTGTCGGAGTTAATATTTTAAAAGTGTTGGATGTTTTAGTGTACCAAGGAAGATTTTGTGCTACTAATGAATAATTAGTACAAGAGTTTGATGGGAACCACCACCCACTTCCTATTGTATTTGCACATAATACGTCATTATCTTTATCAAATGTATGGAAATGAAATTCATTTTCAAAATACTGATTAAAAACACTACCACTGGAGAAATTACTGATATGAATTCTAAATTGATTTTCTTCAGTGTCTAATTTAAAATAATCGTGCTCAGAATGAAAGTGAACACCACTAGTTGACCAAAGATCAATTCGTATTATATATTGATTAGTATTTGTCAACATAGATATGAAGTCATTACCAGTCCAAATTTCTGTATCTGTACGAAATCCATCCTTAAATTCCGTCCACGATCTATTCCAATGGCTATCTGAAGATAATTTAGCTCCAATTAATGTCCAATCATTCCAACATGTCACTTTAAACTTTTTATCTGATGTTAATGAACTCATAGTAGAAGTAGGCAATGACAAACAGTCTTTTGTTAATTTTATACATCCATATAATTCCATTTGCAATTCTGGATTCTCTTGAAAATTATCTATTTTAATTTTTATACTCTTGGCTATTAAAGGAGGCTTGAAAAGATAAACTTTGCCATCAAGAGTATTCTCTAAACCTTCAAATAGAGAAGTGTTGCTGTTTTGAACTTCATTATTGGTATCATTAGACAGAGATGACAGAAATCTAAAGCGTCTTATGTAACCATTTTCACCACCTCTAATTTCCAATCTTGTAAATAGTACCAAATTTCCGAAGTGAAGAGATATCCATGGATTAACACGTGCAAATCCTCTCCAATATCTTCCATTAGACACAGCATTAAAAGCAAGTTCAGAGCCATTAAAATCTGACGAATATGGTTTTGAGGTTGACAAACTCAAACTAAAAGACTTGGTAGCTAATATTCCCTTGTTACAGCTGCCTGTAACAGTGTGGAACAATTAAATTTAACTTGCTCAATATTTAGTAATACCTAGTACCTGTTTGATAAAGTTCAAAATGTTTAGTATCATAATCACTTTTAACAAGATTCACTCCCGTAAAATATTTGTTTGCTTCATGCAGTGTACAGGTTTTAGGCAATGGATTGTAAGAAACAGATTGGCAAAAGAACTCATCTTCTTCTAAACATGCTATAATACACTGTTCGGATGCAAAATTTTGAATGGTGTAATTACTTTGTGAATGTTTAGAATTTAGAATATAATGTTTATCAACACTCCATTGATATCCGCTATTGTTTTCATTGAAAGCTGTAAAATGGTTTTTTAATGAGTTTGAAATAAAGATAATCATAATATAAATTTTCACATATTGGTTCTGTTTCACAAATATATCCATAATCATCTTGACAGTCTAGAGTAGTCCAAAACCCTTTGAAACTCAGTCCAGCGCAAGAGAGGCTATCGTTGACTTGGCTGCCCACTCTCCAAGCTTTTAGAATGTCTCCATCAGACCAAATCCAATCTGATATTTTACTTAAACCAATGAAGACAGTTGAATTGGAACTGATTAAAATTTGTATAAATTAATTATTAAATTACAAAAATAACATATTTTGAAATACTAACAAAGACAATAATTCTTGTAGAAAGATACTAAACATTTCATCATATTTAGGTAAAACTAAATGTCCTTTTTTCCATTTTGTAGACTGACAAATAGATGTAGAGTAGTTTCTAGTACTTTGCGATTGATATGATATACTGATACATCTCTTCCCATAGAGAAAGTAGTTAGGTGGACAACCTATTTAAAAGTTATAAATACTGTTATTAACACCTTAAACATAAAAGAAACTAATAAAGACTCTTTGTATATTTTTCTCCATTTACTGTTAAACTTATACACATTATTCGTTCATTCTTTATAGATAGAGATAAATATTTTGCCAGGATAGGAATCGAAAAGAGAAAATCGTGTATCTTGTCACTTTGAATATGATTTATTCCATTATTTAGATAAAATAAGCTATGAGCTTCAACTCCGTATCCTACGCTTAAATTCAAATTTTCAGATAAATTTGTAAGGATCCTCAATCCAGTTATATAATAAATTGCCGAATAATTTATTATTAATGTATATTCTTTGAGTAAATGAGCACATGTCAAATTTGAATATTCAGTCAATGGTTCAAAAGAGTATAGGCTATTCATAGTACTAGGAAAAACATTGAAATGATTGGGTACTTTTTCAATGAATCCTTTTTCTATTGTTCGTATAATTAAAATTAATAAATGATTAAAAACAGTTCATTTTTACAATACGAACGTTTTGAGCATCCAAGAATTTCGCATCTGAATCCGTTATGAACACCTCCAAGCGTTGATATTAATTTAATAAATCTTGCTTCAACACTATCATTAAGATGAAAGATAAAGTTGAAGCTATGTTCAATTGGTGGAGTATTCCCTAATTTAAATTTCTAAAAATTGTTACATAATTGTCAATTGACATGAAATAATTATGACTATAGATTATGAGTAACAAACCCTAATTTGATTATTTTCCTTGTAATAATGCCAATATTTTAAACGGTTTAAAGAATATTTCATTGTAGCCTCAAAAGCATAATTGGTAATATTGTGGCTATTACATGGTTGCAACAAAATTCCAGTAACTTTATATTCATAACCTAAATCTATTTGAATGTATTTGTCCGGATCGGAAGATAAAGGAAACCAGCAATAACTTCCATAAGCACGAACTCTGCTAGGATATCCTTTAACGTTTGAATGTGACCCATAACTTGAACTAGTTATTTGAGAATCAGTTATAACAAAGGGGTTAGAAACACCCAGTGGATAGCTGCAAATTTTCAATTTTTTATCATCCTTTGATAATTGGTTTCCATAAAGTTGGAGGCTAAGAGTAGCCCTGCCCTGAAACGAGACAGGATAAAATCTTAAAGTAATACATTCTATATTAGGAATAATTTCTGAATGATATTGATAATTTGCTTCCCAAGACAGACGATACACCTGAAAGATAGAAGAGCTCTATGAATATTAATAAATAAGGAAAATAATATTATCCTAACCTGTATGTGTCCACCTTCATCCGAATGAAACTGCCAATAGCCATCTTGATCTTTTTGATATGCAATATTGGCTGATATTAAATAATATTTTTTCTCCGATATCCCAATAACAGAAAAAGTTTCAATATGTGTTACAGATCCAAAGTCTATTTGGATATAGCACGTTGACAAGGCAGTCTTAGTAAGAAAGCAATAAGCTCCATCATAGTCACTGTCTTGAAGACTTGATAAGCTGTATCGTTTACTTGAACTGCCAACTACCGTAGATGTGATATTATAGATAGTTTCATTTTCAAACTCTTTGGGTAATAAATTGTTAGATTTCTTATCCAGACATAAATATTCGAAATAATAAAAGTCATTATCACTGACAAATTTATCATTATTCTTTAAGTAGCGCATATTTATGTTATATATTTTGCAAGCGTTACTTTGATCATCCCTGAATCGAGGACAAACAATTATCATTTTACTATTTAAATAAAATGTTTAATTTAATACTTTATTTGCCATTCAAAAGATTTACACTTAATTCTGTTGTTGAGGCAATAATCCATACATTGCTCTAGATTAACGAAATTAAGGGCTATGGTATATAGATCATCTAGCCTATAATGTGGAATAGCAGTCCATAATGGAGAGCAGTCATCATCTTCTCGTTCGTCGATGTTGTCCGCAACTAAAAAAAAAAGGAGCATCAGTGTATTACTTTCAAGGATAGAACTTTCAAAACCATTTGCTTCAGTTTCACATATAGAGTAGGCCTCTATATTAAATTTTTCTTTTACTTGATCATCATCCATAATGATAGTATTACTGTTATCTTCATGGCGAATTGTGAAAAGAGAGTGTGGTATGGTTCCATCGTCCCATACGTAATTATTATTCGAGCTTTCATTCAGTCCGATATGTACTTTTCCAAATTTGATTCTATTAAAATAACAGAATGCAATGTGTTATTAAATAGGACTGATAGCTTATACCTAATTAGTAGTTTTCTCAAGAAATCCATTTCTTGGGCAGATTTTGTCATTATAAGATATCCCTGACTTTTCCAGCTGAATGACAATTGACAAAAAGTTTTTGCTTCAGCCCTCAAGCTGAGCTTATTAACTACTGAATAGCATTTATCTAAATTTCTTGCTGAACCTGGTGGACATTTTGAAGCTTGTTGTCCAAAAAATTCGAATCTCATACAACTTTGAAATGAACTATGAAGATTCAATCTAACATATCTGAATCTTAAAGCAGGTGTAGAATATATTGTTAAAGAATCATTGTTCTCCATACAGAATATTTCCTTATAAAAAGAAAATCTCAAACTGTAGCATTAACTCATAATATGAAATAACATACTTACATCTTTAACTTTAATCATATCATATAAATCATATTGAGATTTATAAATATTTAAACCTCCACAGTAGCTCTTTTGCGTGTTATTTGAGCTTTTACTATAAATAATAACTCTCTCTATTAAATAAATTAGTCCAAAATCACTAAACCACCAAGGATTTTCATCACTATCTAATTTACACCAGAAAGTTTGAGGAAGATTAGTCAATGCCATTGAAGCTAAGGAATTACTATCTTTTTCCGATGATGAATTTATAAACTTTGGGAAATATTTCATTTTTTTCAACTTGGGCAACTCGCCTGTAGTACCAATTAATTCCATAGAAATGATAGGTTCAACTGAAAAATCATGAATATTCTGTAACTGCAAGTGTCTTGCTGTAATTGGTACAGACAGAATAGTACTATCTAAATGAGGATATCTCAGAATTCGATATTTTTTATTGAAAACATGAAGATTCCATCTGCTCAAATCATCAGTATACTGTATGTGGAAACTGTTTATACGTTTCGTCAAATCTTGACAGTGACCATATGTTATAATTTTTGAGATTTTGTATCGTATTCCTAAGTCAAATTGCCAGAAATTAGCAATAGAAAGATGAGTTTGTAGCAAAAATCCACAATTCTGAGGAAGTGGAGAAGCGTAAAAGGGTCGAATTCCATTTATATCATTTCCATTTTCAGAATAAGCATTAGATAATTGGGAATTAAGAATGTAAAAATTCCATAAGCCTAAAGCTTTTTCTGAATGATATTGAGTTTCATTTCTATTACACCCGTAAACCTCCAATCTTAAAGCTGGAGAATTTTCATAATCATCAGTAAGAAATTTCAATTTCCTCGCAAATAATTCTGGTTCAAGGATATTAAAAACTGGGAAATTCTGATTTGCATTGCCAAAAAAATTCTAAAAAGATTAAAGATATTAACAAATATATATATTTTATATGTTTGTATATTTTATACTATGTGTACTCCTTTATTTTCAACAGAATCCCAAATATGAGTGTGATTTGAGATTTGTAATTGAAAACTTTTAACATAGTGTTTATGATATCCTCCGGCTCCTTCAATAGCTATTCTGGTCATGCGTACTAGTCTTCCAAAATCAATCTGAAAGAAGGAAATGAAGTCTTATTGCTTGTCTGGAAAGAGGGATAGTTTCACCAGTTTTACAATAATCAACTTACTATAATGTACATGAATCGAACAGTTCCTTGAAAAAATCCATAATTTTCTGGATTTTCCATACTATTAAATTGTCTATTATTCATTATTAGGCGACTTAAACTGGCCTGTGGATATGACGGTTCGTCATTAGCAGTTATCTCTCCATGTTCATATTCCTTTAATGTAAATAATAAAGGTTCTTCGCAATTTTCAACAGCAGAGTATTTGACCCATGTATCCCATGACCAATCTTTGTATGAGTCATAAGGAAATTTTATTCCATTTTCTTGAGTAGTTCTAACATATATATTACAAAACCCATGTTCTTCTTGTCTTTTAAAAGCGAATCCTTGGCAATCGAATGCATCCATAGTTTCACAGAAATATGAACAAGCATCAGGTTGACTTATATCCAATTGAAGAATCAAATTTTTGTTACTTGGTAGAGTATTCATATAATAAAACCATTTAATACTAGCTGAATCATTGACTTTTACTGTTTCGATAAATAATGATAATATTACAATGACATAGAATTTATTAATTCAAACAACCATTTGCCTCTATTTCACATGCGTAGACAGCAGGTACATCGCACAAAATGCTTACCCACACATACTGAGTGACAAGGTCGTGAAAAGTGCATAATTCAGTGGTATGACTTTCTGGTTCTCCGCCTCCATTATATCTGTTCCAATTTGTATATGTATTGTTCTCCTTACTAACCCACTCCCAAACTTGAGACGGATGGAATTTTAACGATTCTGAAGTGACTGGAAGAGATTCGTTTACAACATATCCAATATAATACGGTTTATTAAATCTATATAACAATTTATGAATATCAAACTTAAGCCATGAGAGGCGAAATAATTTAGTTTTCTTTTTTAATACCTGTAAGCGATATTTGATAGAATTGCATTCTCTTCATACGATGATAAACTTATCATGTAAGCTTTCTCTCCCCAAACAATACTGTCGCAAATATGATACATTGTCTCATAACCTTTGGTAAATCCTGGCACAAAAAAATAGCATTTCTTATCGTAGTGCATGGTATTTGGTGGGCAACGTTTAGCTTCACACGCTTCTATTGACAGGTGTAGGAAAGATAAATCAACAACACTATTATTAAAATAGGTTAGCTTCAGTTTAGTAGCTAAATGTTGATTTATAAGTGTAATATTAATGGTTGTATTGTCAAATTGCTTTATTGAATATATATCAAGAGGCCTCCATATGTTGTCATTTCTTGAAAACTCCAATTTCTGATAAGATATTTTAGAGTTGTACCATTTAACTTGGAGTGTTGTTAGATGATAGAGTAAATCTAAGTCAATTAAAATCTCATTCGAATGACTTATTAACGATATCTTAGCATGTTGCTCAAGATCTAGCTTTTCACAGATTGCTAAGACGTTCAAAATAAAAAATTTATGAAGTTACTACAAAATGATATTAAAATAATAAGATAGTGATTCACTATACCGTCTTGTTCTCCATAAAATTCAAATCTACTACCTCCTTCCCAATCCCAACTTTCGGCAAATATTCTCACATATGTTGATTTTACAGGTTTAGGAAGAGTATTTAAGATGGGTTTCTCCGAAACAGAGTCAAACGACCCAGTAAATACGATAACATTATTATTGATATCTGTTAGCAGAGTCTTTAAATTCTCTTTATTCAGTGTTGCAGACATAAAAAATTTTTTTAAAAATCCTTTGCATTCAGAGTGGGAAACAACGGCTACACCAGTTAGCTGAACAGGTAGCAAAAAAATTACTTGAAACCATGACATATGGTATTGAATGGTCCAGCAAGGTTTTTGTAAGGGAAACTCATTAGAGCGTCCTCTTATCCTTGCTAAGAAGGGAGGAAAAGTTTCAGAAGTACTGGTTTTTAAAAAATTTGTACTAATTTGAGTATCCTCTATATGTCCAGATCCCATTCCTAATGGATATTTCGTTGGATCTAATATAATAGTTAAGAAACTTTAACATTTCAAAAGAGATTCAATTTTATCATTTACCATAGATGTTAGAAGTATTTGATACTTCACAGCCTCTAAATGATATTCGCATATCTGGTGAACCTGTCCAAGTAATTGGATTAATTTTGACACATTTAGCAATAAAAGGTCTCCGAAGTAAAATAATTCTTGCACTGGACCAAAATGAATTACCGTACATGACCTAAACAAAAGTAAAAAAGGTATTATCTTTATCTGATAACTAGTATCATTTTTTATATGAAATTAGTTTACAATTGGTTTTCCGGTTACAGAATTACTATACCACTGATACGTATAACAATCCAGACTATATAGTACGTAATGATTTATCATCTGATGTTTTTCCACTCTATTTCCTCCAAGGAGATGGTAACCAGTTACGTTCACTAGAGTATTAAATTGGATATTTAGCCATTGTCTTTCATCTTCTGTGTCTGGCCTAAAGGCTCCGTAATTGTTACTTTCGTAGTAATTATTAAACTTAGCCATTACTGGTTTAACAGTAACTCCAGATATTTCTGCTATTGAAGAAGCTTGAAAATCGGTATCTTGAAGATGACTAATGTCGTATTCATTCGAACAAGCTGCTGCTCCACTTATTCCATCGCATTCGTATTGAAAATGGACATACTTGACATCCTTGATATGGTCTTCCATATCATCAGCATACATTTTTTCAGGATAAAAGTAGCATGTTTTTGAATTTTCATCCCATGTTACAGCTTTGCATTCACCGTATTTACCTCTAAAGCAATCTTGTAAACACTCAACTACTACTCCTCCTATAATAGTTTTCAAACTGGTTCTGTTATCACGCCAACCATCCAGCATATGCCAATTCGGACGACAACCAGTACTGTCATCTTTAAAAGAAATGTAAGATGATATGTGAAAAAACGACTCACAATGACCAACAAACCTAACATCATTTCGCAGATTGATCCTACATTATTATATTCATAAATATCATTCCACTGACCATTTGATGATAATATAACAGGATATAGCGCTATAAGACCTGCACCATTCAAAAAATTATGAAATTTTAAGGCAGAATTGTCAAACCATTTAAAATTTTGTTTAACAGAAGGGGTAATGACGGATCTGATCAGGCCAATATGATATGAATCACCAGCTTGAAAACGAGTAAACAACTCGGCAAACGATTGCTTTCTAGTTGTGTTAATTTTAATTGCAGTTGCATTATACAAAGTACACATATCGACAGTATGAGTAAAGTCGAAAGCTTTAAAGCAATAGTTTAAATTTCTCATCCAACCATCAGGGCAAAAGTCCATTCCATATAATATAGCGAAAGTTATAAGAATTAGTGAAAGCCTAAAAATCATCATATTTCTAGCTTTTACTGTTGATGCGCTAATGTTTAGAATCCAATTGAATATATTCAAAAATAGTTTGTAAGTTATGCTTGACATTTAATGAATACTTTAAAATCTATATAGCAATAATTATTTTATTGTAAACATGACAAACAATATTTGCTTTTATCAATACATCATTAAATATAATATAAAATTTAACTGGTACAAAACATAGATCAAAAATGTTTTAAAAGATAAAGCCAATCGATAAAAATTAAAAAAGTTGTGTACCAAATTAATTAAAAAGAGACGAGACAAAAAATCTTAGTCTTTTTCATTTTCTGTTATTTTCTCTTTCAAATTTTCTAATATATTCATCAATTCGCTTTCTATTTCTTCACTATTTACTTCTTTTTGGTTTGTGATAACTGATTTACTTAAATTTGGTTTCGAATTGAATAAATCCAATATTATTCCAATTATTTCAACATCAATACAAGAGTCCCATGAAAAGACGATCTTTTCCAAGGATTCTATTCTGTTATATAATGCTATAAAATGAAATTAAGATAAATTAGCAAATATTTGATTATCATATTGAAAAACACGAACCTTTGTATTTCGCTTCATTATATTCTTTATTAGAATTCTCATTAGTCTCACTGTCTTTAGATAACATCTTCTGTATAGTTTTAGTAATATGTCGGAATACTTTATGATCTTCGGGTAACACAGTGGGATCGGTCTTTACTGCAGACAAGAATTCATTTAGAGTTGTAATAAAGATGTTTAGTATTAGATATAGCATTATAGATCCATAAGATGTGATATAAATTTTTCCCATTAGACCTGCAGTCTCAGATAATTCTTCAAAATCTAAATGCCCAAAAACTGTAACAAGTAGTGCAAAGCACGTATATTTAAAACTTTTATATTTATCTGTAGATGTTCCAAGAATAATGTAACCCCAGCAAGCATAAGCAATAAAAATAATACAACAGCAAATTCCTATTGCTACTAGTTCTGATCTTGATTTTTTTAGCGTACTTACAAGAACTGATATTGTTCTTGATATTTTCAGCATAGTTAATATATGCAGTTGGCCAAAGAATCCGCAAAAAGCAATAAATATCATAAAATATTCATGAGCATTAAAGAATAATGATAAATCTACGTATTCATTTCTTGAATTCATAACATTCTCGACAGCTTTTACTCCAATAACTGTCCTCCAGATGTATAGTCCAATAGCGCAAATGAAACATGTTAATGAAAAGAGCAATAGAATTCCAGGAATTTCTGAATATCTGATAAAACGATAAAGGCATCGAATAACTAAGACTAACCAAATTATAATTGACACAATTTCAAAAATAAGTGAAACTAGACCGCCAGCTCCTGTGTATCTATACAATTTTAAGGAATCACTTCGAACTTTAATAATTATACCTCCAACAGGTTTAAATTCAAAATTCCAAGATGCCTGAGAAACTGTTTCATGATTTATTATTGTTACATCCAATTTGACATGACGGGTCTGACGGTCTAACCAACCAAACTTTTTTAATTTGAGTACTATTTGCGAAGCTTTATCCGCATTCTGACCTAAAGAAATTGAATAGCCTTTCTCTTTCTTTGAATACATAAAACCACTATACGTTGTATTCACATTAAAATCATCCCAAAAAGAAGAAAAACTCTCTTCACTCCTATCAAAGCTTGAATAAAACCCAGAGCATGTTCGATTACGCAACAGTGTTTTCAAGTAATCTATAGTTTTACAATTGCTTTTTTTAACTCTTAACTGAAATAATCGAACAGATGAAAATCTCATGTGATTCAATTCACTTGTATGTTTTAAGTCATACGTAGATAGATTTCTACTATTATAATAAGTTTTTGGATAAAGTTCTGGTATTGCATAAGTTTCCATCCACTGCCAGAATTTTTCATAATTGCTCACCGTATGAACTTTAGATATAGTATTATAGATTGATCTGTTCTGATAGTAAGTCATAGAATTCTGGTTGCTATAGCAAATAAAGAGAACAAAAATTATATAAATTGCATGAAGAACAATATTTTTTATCATGTTTTGCATTTTGTCCTCTAATTGGGTCTCCTTTCTTGATATGTAAACTTCATCTGCTGCTTTCTTTAATCTTTCATGAATATTCAATTCTATTATATAAATAAGAAAAGACTAGTTAGTTTTCTATATTGTAAGAACTTTTTTATTCTTTTACCTGCTGGAATGTGAGATAAGTTCTCCTCTTCTAACTTTTTCATATCACCTATGTTATCTTCGTATTCAGTTAGATCAGTATCCTTTTTAAACAAGAACGTTAACAAGAATACAACGACTATTACTTTGATTGGTTGAACCAAAATGATACTTTGTATAAATGAGAGAAAGAATGACATTAACCATTGTAATGATTTTTCTTTTCCCCATTGAATCGAGTACAGAACTGTGAAGAATGCCGCTGTAAATGCTGCTAGAAAAGCAAAAATCCATCCCAAAGGAACAGTGTATTTCCGCCATTTTTTCGAATTGAATAATAATGTAATCAGAACCAATCCAGGAAATACAACAACGCTACTTGCCAATCCAACATATAATTCGTAGACTGTGAAAGTCACTGGACCAAATGTTAATCCAGACTGAGCTTTAGATTCTCCAGAACCTCTGTAAAACATGCAGCTGGCAATCATTGACAAGAACAGAGCAACGAAGCAAACTGTTAATCTTTGGAGTCTTGTAAATTGAGATTTGGTTCTTCTTGCCCCTACAGATACCCACAAATGATCATCAGTAAATCGTCGTCTGATATTCTTTTTTAATAATCCATCCATCTTTGTTTTAGTCTCTGTTCTCGTTGCAATGAGTACTCTCTCTATTTCACAATCACCATGACTAGGAGACAACCACTGCTCGCAATCGAAATTATACCAAACATTTTGAACTTTATCAATGATTACTATTCTTGATAAAAACCAAGGTTCAGGACAGTTTGGGTCAAGAGACACCTTGACGCAGATAATTGATCCCATACCACAAGTTGTTTTCATAATAAATGATCTGGTACTCCCTTCATTAAAGGAACTCGCTCCCTGTGCAGATAATGTCCGACGCCCTGAATTATATTCACTTCCATAGCATGTTAAGTAAACCTTAGATTTAGTCCCAGCTTCTTTCTTATTTCCAGTATAGACATGTACTTCGAATTCATAATTGTCATCTTTGTAATTGTCCAATAGTGGCAAAGGAATCCAGAGTAATCTATCTCTCTTATCCATTCTTCTTACCAATAAAGCCAAGGGAATGAAAAGAGCTAACAATGCGCATATTGTTCCAAATACAGCTGCATTATCAGCTAATTTGCTCGCAAAGTCGTCAAACACTGTATCAAAGTCTATAAGATTTGGGGCCATATCTAATCCAGCTCCCAAACTCCCAAATAGATTACTCGTAAATCTTGTTTTTGATACTGTTGTCTCTTGATCAATTTTACAAGAATCTCTCTCTTGCCATCTGCCATCTGTCCACATTTTGCATAATGGATATGTTATTTGAATACTATAGTTGAGAAGTTGACTTGAACAGTTTGAACACGAAACAACAACCATCACTGTTGCATTTTCTTTTGGTCTAAGCATAATGGTCCTTCTCAATTCGTCACAGTCTTCACTATCCAGGTTGGATGAGCATGTTTTGTTTACATTTGGTAAGATGAACGATGCATTCTTCCTATCATTACTAGGTCTGAAATTGTAACCAATAAGGACTGACATGGTATCTTCACTTCTCAAATGGAAGGTCAATAGGAGGATATTCCTCGTTGCATTGAGAATATGCAGAGCTGTGTTCTTTGTAGTGTTTATATATTGAATACCGTTGTTTGTATTCTTCATATTCAGACTAAGTGAGAAGTTAGTTTGAGTATCTTGTTGTATACTTCTCTTCTTTCTAGTTGGTTGTTTTGATATTGAATCGCAAGGTCGAATTTCAAACTCAGTTACTGTTGATGTAACATTCGACGCGGAGTTATCCCACATATAGGGATTAACGCTAGACATCATTAATCTTCTTGTTACACACGAATCATTATCATTTTGAAAGGCATTAATTTTTACTGATCCGAAATTTGATGTATAGTTACTATTTTTAACTCTGTTCGTAGATGCTTTTTCAATATTAATACTCATTTGTTCGAAATTAACTTTTAAAGGTGGTTCATCTATTTTCTGCCTTATTAACAACTCATCAGTGACATTGTGAATAACTTTAAGGACATTCGTCATGACATCTTTCAGTTTGTCATTTATAGTATTTACAGTATTGTTTGTTGTGTTTACTGTCGCTGTTGTATTTTCTAATGAGGTAACATCACAGAAAAATGTTGTTGAATTGCTTGTTTTATTCATATTATCGAATGCTTTTTTTTCTTCAGTGTCTTGCTTATAACTATCAGCTGCCGAAGTTGTTAGAACTGACGTCTCCAACAAGCCTATTTTTCATGGGAAAAATACTCGATTAAATAGTTAAATGTGGCTTTTATATGTTTAATTGTTTTCATACTTATTGATATATCCTCTTTAGCTGTTGGTGATAAATTTTCTTTATTTAACACGTTATTTAAATTTCCTATTTGGGTAGCCACATTCATCTAAAAAATGGAGAAATACAAGCTAATTTTCTAAGGATATAGTTCATCCAAAAAGAATACCTGTGAAGTGATGTCTATTTCTTTTGGTTTATATACTAGAGTACTAACAAGCCCATTATTTTGTTGAAGTTCGTCCACTGACTTGTATGGTATCTTCATAGCAAAGTCAATCATTTGTTTTCGCACCTTTTTAAGAATTAATTAAATTGAGCATTACTTTCATTTTAATAATTTGACAATTACCTTTATTCTCTTTCTCCTCTTTTCGCATGCATCTCTGGCTTGTTCAATCTCAGTAAAATTATTTGTTTCTTCAAATGATTTATTAAGATTTGCATTTAAAATTGATGTTACTGAATAAATTCTGGAGGAAACTTGACTGAAGTTGCCTATGTTTAGTTGCTCTGCCATATTTCCACTTGATACAAGATCTAAAGTTAAATCTAATACTTTATTTTCAGATGTGGGAGGTGGTTTAACGTGCACGTCAAAGATAAATTCATATCCATCACCAATGGAATCAATAATATTAATTACCGTTTCAGTTATTTGTTTTCTTGGATCTCCAACTGGCAACATCAAAAAGACAGCCTCTTGGTTATATGAAAAATATAGTAGGAAACTTTGCCTTTGTCCTTGAGGTCTTGCTCTATATTCATATTTTAAACCTGCCTGATTTGGATCAGTTTTAAATTCTTTCCAACCTAAACAACTTATTTCGAAATTGGTTATTGATGCGAAGCCAGACCTAGGCTTACAATTACAACTACCACCAGAAGGTGGTTTGTTCACGAGAAATGTCTCATTTACATATCCAGTTTCACCAATTTCTCCCATTGTTCCTTCAGCGATAATATTATGATAGGTTCCTGGAAGAAGTCCTCTCTCCTTTATCTCAATCTCACTTAATGATGAATTTCCAGTAACCCTATTATGTAAGTCATTGACAATAGACCATGTTTGATTGGCATTTACAATTAGTTTCCAAGAGTAACTAATTTGCCAGTACAAACTTGTACACTTTGACAAACAAACAACTTCGTAAATCATAGAGGAAGAAAGTGCTTTCCTTTCGAGACAATTCTTCTTACACCTAGTTTGTAATTATATAAATAATTATATACTAAAATTTATGAAAACAGGTATAAATTTAACCTCAGTTTGAGCGTTGGTTTTGAAAAGTGTTTCAAATAAAACAATTGCTCAGAAGTTGCCTCTCTGTTCTCTATATTTGATAGAATTTTAACAGCTACAACGTATGTTTCATTTGGTTTCATATAATAAGTATTTATGGTTAATTTTCCGTTTGAATCATTGTCAATATATCCAGGACCATTTCCAAAGCATCCTCCATTTTCATTAAATTGAGCTAGTGTAGGCATATTCTGTAAATTTGGTCCTGTATGTTTGCTAAAAGATGATAAAGGAAATTTCTCATTCCTTCTCCAACAATACCACTTAAAACTTATACCCTTTAATTTTTCATTAGGGTTGTTATCCGGATCATAGCTTAATATTTCGGCATTAAATGTTTTATTGAAATCATATTCAGCAGTAGTCCAATTTCCATTTTGAATCTCTGCATGCAAAGGACTTGGTACTATTTCAAGGAAATATATATATGTATTGTTCGAGTCTAAATTGTTAAGCATATACAAGAAATATTCAATCCTATAAATTCCATATTCTAATTGCCTCTCAGCTATCTTTAAAGTTTTATTAGTTGATTCAAATTTTAAAGAATTAGTATTCTTTTTGAATATTTTCCATTTGTATACTATTTTATTAGTTTTCATACAATCCCAACTAACGTTTACTGGTATTTCAAAGGCAACACTTTTCATTTGCTTAAATGGTTTATTTGGGAAAGTATATTCAACTGGTACTGAGGCATTTGGACTATAACAGTACCAATCTGCAACTCGTGTTGTAAATATTTTCTCATCTTCTGTTATATGATTAAATCCCTTGACTTTAACTTTATAATATGCTACCTCATCATAAACATGATTAATTATAATCTGTTTTTGTTCATAGAGAATTTTTTTAAAGGTTATTGACCTATCAAAGGCATAATCCTTGCAAAAATTGTTGACGCCAAACGCCAACTTTGTGGCATGTTTGTCACCAAGATCAAAGATAAAACATGAATTGGTACCCATTCTCTTGATTTCAGTTATAATAGTTGTTTCATTCGTTAATAAAACGGTTCCATTATCTCCTATTTGTTCTATTATTACTGCATCCAATATGATTTCTGTCAAAGTCTCAAACTTTTTAAGGGAAACTAAATTACTGCAAACCAGATTCGTTGTCAGATTGCCAACTGCACTTCTTGGAAAATAAAAATTGTACGTAAAAGAAGTAGACGGTGGCCAGGATGTTATAAATTCTTTTACAGAAATTCCATTGCTAAAATCAAATAAACAGAAGATGTCTGTAAGCACTTCTTGTGAAGATTCTGAGTAGAGATCAAAGGAAATTATACCAGGTGTCCATAGGATTGATTTATTTGCCTTCAGGCCAATATCTTTAATTTTATTCTGCACCACTACTTTAACTGTCTGCTCTTCTTTGCTCACATCATTTCCCCCAACTACTTTTACTGTATAATTTCCAATATTCGAGAATTGTATATTACTAATTAATGATTGCTCACTGGCAAATATTTTAGGATGTTTTTCTTGTTTAACCGACGAGAGGTAATTTATACTATAGACAACTGATGAACCAGCCTCCACTTTTATCTCGATAGGTATATTTTCAAGATTTTCGTAACCTGGTTTTTCAGTTTTTACGGACAGTTTCTTAATTCTCTCAAATATGGATAAGTTAAAGGCTTTTTCAAATTTGCTAACTAAATTTTTGCAAGATATGGTAACTGAGATATTTTTACCAACATCATCTCTTACATATTTATAACTTAGGATATGTGATTTTATAGTTGACAATTTAGGTTGATATTGGTATATTGAACTTTTATTGTTAGTACTGGACTGTAAAACACAGAAAACATCTGTAGGAGGTGAGCTATGCTTGTTAACTTGCATAGAGAAGTTTAATGGCTGTTGATCTAAGGTGCCAATGTACGGTCCTTCAACTGCAAAATCAATAATAGGTATTTGAACTATTATCTTTGAAGGTAAATTAAAAAATAATTGATTGACTGAGTTTTTTACTACAACATTTACGGAGTAATTTCCTGCTTTATTATAATCATATGTCAAGTTCTTTCTCTCATAAATTGTTTTTATCCATTTACTAATTAAATTTCCATCTCCGTAATCTATCTCCAGTGTAATATTGTCGCCAGTTGCGGTAAAAATTGTAAAATTTACTGTATCATTAACTTTTATAACATTAGTATCAACTTCAAAGGTTAATCCGCTAATTTCCTCTCTAAAGGTAACATTTCTAGAGAATTCAACATTGGAAACTAAATTATGACATCTTTCTGTAACATTTATATTTTTAAAATCTCTTTTGTTATATATCTCATCCAGAGTGTAAACTACTGAACTTCCAGTCAATAAATCTTGATATAAGAGAAGTCGGCTGTTCTCATTACTAATTCCAATGGAGCAAGTAACATTTGTAGGTAATATTAGTGGACTATATTGCCTGACAGATAACAGTAAAGTCCTTGGCTCCTCATATATTAAGGAGAATGTTGCATTGATAATCTTGTTTTGAACAATTAATTGATGTTGACTTGTAAAAGTATTAACAGAGTTATATATTTTTGTAGTTAGCTGAAATAATCCGGGATTTTTATATCTGTAATTTAAGAAATATACCACTCCTGAGCCACTAAGCAACATATCACTTGATTTTCCATCTCCAAAATCAATGGTCAAATTCATATTTGTACCAGTAAGAGTTGATATATTCATTTTTAAATCGTCTAAAGTTGGTAGGATGTTTTTATTGATTGAAACATTTAGATTTGAAATCTCTTCCTCAAGGATTAATCTCTCCGTGAATGTACTATTTGAAACCTTATTAAAACAGAAAGCCACTACAGACAGATTTCTGAATTCTCTCTTATTAAAAATTCTAGGATAAGAATATGCAATCATTAAACCGGAGAGTAAATTAATATGATGGAAAAAGTTAACACTATTAACATCAAATATATAAGATGATGACCAATCCTCTGATATGGAAATATTCTCAAATTCTACAATACAAGAAGCATTCGTTGGTAATGAATGTGGTTGATATTGCTTTATCAATAAGGAGACATTTCTAGGAGGCTTATACTCTAAAGCATATGATGTATTTTCTATCTTGTTTTGTACAATCATTTCCTTTGTTATGCTCACAGAGTTGACAGTATTACTTATAGTTGTAGTTAAGCGATAACATCCAGGCTCCTTATATGAATATACTAAATAATGATCTAAACTTGGTCCGTTATGTTGGAAGAATGAACTTTTTCCATCTCCAAAATCAATAGTCATATTCATATTTGTACCAGTAAGAGTTGATATATTCATTATTAAATCATCGAAAGTTGGTAGAAGGTTTTTATTGATTAAAACATTCAAGCCTAAGATTTCTTCCTCAAGTGAGATGTTTTGTGAAAAAGATGCATTGGAAACTCCATTAAAACAGAGAACTGTAACAGTAAGATTTCTAAGTTCTCTTTTATTAAAGATCCTACGATAGTGATAATTAATAGTTATTCCAGCTAATAAATTAACATTGGAGAGCATGTTGTCATGTTGAAGATTATATAATTTGTCAGCAGACCAGTCTAATAAATTAGTTACATTTTCAAATTCTGTAATACAAGAAGCATTACTTGGTTTTAAGAGTGGCAAATACTGTCTGATATAGATTGAAATGTTTCTAGGAGAAACATATTTTAAGGCAAACGATGCGTTTTCTATTCTATTTTGAACAGCAATCCTTCTAGGATAATAATAAGTTTCCTTATTAACAATATTCTCAGCAGTTATCTGCACTTTATATAATCCCTCATCTTTGAATGTATGGTTTTTTGTATAAATTAGACCTGGGCCTTGACTTTGGAAATTTATAACTTCATTGTCCCCTAAATTAATTGTGATGTTCATATTAGTGCCACTATCTATTGTAAAAGTTAGAAGAAACCATTCAAAACTGATGAGATAATTCCTTGTTGAAACTATCGAGATATTCTTTACTTCTTCTTGTAAGGATAGAAGTTTTGTAGAATTCTGTTTCGAAACCTGATTAAAGCAGACAGCTATTATTGTTAAATTTCTTTTCTCCTTTTCATTAAATTCTCTATCATATTCATAAATTAGAGAAAAACCATTTATTAAATTAATAGCATGAAATAATCGTTCATTTCCATCTCCAGGTTTAAATGAACACGAGACATTCGTTGGGACGAGTGTGTTTTCAATCTCAAAAATTGTTAAATTAATTTTTCTAGGTTCTTCATACGACATTAATAAATCAATGTTCTTTATTTCGTGTTGAATTATAACACTTTCAGCTGTTTCACCGGAATCATTAAAAAAAAAATTTCTTGCTATAGCTGATGCCTTAAAAACACCTATGATTTCATAGGAATGATATGCTAAGAATGGATTTTTGTTTGCAAATAACTCGGAATTCTTTATAATTTTCTTTATACCGTCGCCATATGAAATTTCATATTCAACGTCACTTCCATTTCTTAAGGTTAATTCCAAGCTTATATTTTTAAAAGAAGGCCAATAGACATTTTCGAACTTCATATTTAAATCAGTGACATTTTGTTGAAGTTTAAATATATTAGTTTCTGTTATACTTGATATTGTGTTGTTACAAGTAATTATTGCTTTAGCTTGAATCTCATCATTTAAATATATATAATCGATAATTAATGAAGCGGAAAAACTAAGAACACCAGTCTTTACTACAGTTGAATTTTGGCCAGTTTCAATATTGCATGTCATTAAAATATCCTTTGTTTTATCATTTGTACTATATTGATAGTTTATGTCAAAAAAAACTTGTACAGGAGGCTCATTTGGAGTATAGTCACTATTTATACGAATATGGTTCTTTAATATTGGTTCTACAGTCTTTAATAACCAACGAGTTTCAATTCCAGCTTCATTCCAAACTCTTAGACTAACATTATAAACATCATAGCTTGTATAAATATAATCTAAGGTATGTTTGCTAATTGGTCCAAAGGATTGTGTATGACCCGAATCAAACCAATTCCATGATATTGAATCTGTATTGGTAAAATTTATGCTATAATTTATGTCTGTTCCTTCAGTCCATAGAAGTGAGAATTGACTTTCATTGCCTTCCATTAAATTGTCGTTGGTGAGCTCAAAACTAAGTCCTTTTACCATTACACCTATACAGTTTATAATATTCTTCATATCCCAACAAGAAATACTATTTTTATTATCAAAAAGGCTATACGATGATCCTTCTCCCGGCATTACTTTAAAACAGAGATATTTGTATTTCGAGCAATGAGTTCTAGAAATGTTTACAGTACTCATAAACTCCCATGAAAGATAGTTATTTATTGATAAATTGGATTGAATGTTTGATGAGTTTACTACGCTATACAAACTTAATGCCAAATCGTCAATTTCCAAGTTAATATCCGTGAAAAATATAGTTACATTAAAATTGTATCTGCTTGGTGGAACAATATCAATACCAAATCTTTTATCAATATTAGTCCATTGAAGATACGTTTGTATGTATTGTGTATAACCTCTTATAACGATTTGCTGAGGTATAGTCAGATTCGCCTTAACTTCAACAGCTGTAATTATAGATAAACATCAAGAAACAGTTAATAGAAAACAGTAATATTTAGATAAACACCTGGTGTACAATTCTTATACGGCGTTAGATCGAAGCATGAAATATCATCACTTCTGTTACTCTCATTATACGACGAAGTATTTGATACGATAATTCGAAAACAAGCGAATAAATCATCTTCGCATTCAGATCTTGAGAAATATGTTGAAACTTTTGTTGTCAAATCTAAAGTATTTCCAATCTTAACCCCTTTCTGCCTTTGATTTAGGTCTAATGATGTTTTCTTCCAATTTGGATGTACACTATTGATATCTACAGGTGTGTTGGAGTGAAGTACTTCAATATCATAATTAAAATAGTCATCGAACAATTGAATAACATCATGAGTATTCGAATTTTTATTTAATATAGTAATAACAAAGGTATGATTTTGGGGAACACTTCTATAGACATTTTCTGTAGAAATGAGAGCTATTTTTGATATCGATAGATCTATTTCTGGTTGGCAGTTTATAAAGGAAGATAACAGAAAGCATATTTGATTATTTGTGTTATCCCATTCTATAAATTCACTAATAGAATGTTCCATTACATTGCCACAGGCGTAGGTCTTGTTAAAGCATTGTAACATTGGAAATTTAAAAGAAACTGATAAGGATATAGATATTTCACCCCTATTTGATGAATTGGTAGCATCTCTGCTAGGTAAGGCTTTGTTAAGACCAGATTTTGAAATTAATTTAAAATTTTTCCTCCATAAAGCAGTAAGATTATTATCTGAATCCGAAGCAACTAGGTTAAAGTCGAAATTGATCTTTGGCAAAGTTACTTCGGCAATTGGCCAACCAGCATTATTAGATAATAAGATTGTAGATGATACAATAGTTTCCTCTTCTCGTATAAACTTATCTCCAAATTCAATATTTTTTAAAAGAACATCAGTAGCTATTTTTAAAAATGAAATGTTAAAAGCTAGGAAACAACTTATTCATCTTATTGCTTACCTGGAGAGCATTTATTATCTCTTCGAATACTATAGGATCTACATTGACATGTGTAGGATATAGTATCAAGATTCTGTGGTTCTTTTTGTGGAAGACAAAAAGTATATTGTTCAATACAATTGGAATCCGATTCACAATAATCTCCAAACTTCTTGTCTGACTCTGATAAACATGGATTTAAATAAAAAATTGACAGATATTCAACACTACTAATTAGATATTTATACCGTATTTTAGTTTTGGATATATTTCAACCTCACACAAGCTTAATCTACGATTTGAACCTTCCATCCAAATACCTAAATAAGAGCCTCCGGTAGCTCCACCTTCGCATTCGATTTCTTGTTTTACACCAGCTCCTACAGTTCCAGTGTAATGTTTACATAATTTAAATAACAAAGAATCGAAATTGTTGTTCAAAAAAGTATCTGATAAGCCTATTTTGAAGTTAGATAATTCCGAAGCTATTTACAAAGGGAAAACATTTTTTAGATAATATAATAAAGGTCTTCATTATTGTCAAGAAATTATACTTACAACAGCAGTCTTTCCTATTAACGACTGCTATTCTTGTGACATTAAAAGGTTTAAGTAAGCTAACAACCCAATAGGGATCAGTTGTAAGTTCTCCAATTGCGCAGTAGCCAAGCATAGCATCGCTTAAAGGTATACCATCGATTGCTAAATCAGCTTTATTATCACCATTGGTTACTTTTTGAAAAGCAATCTTTCCAATAGCAATATTATCTATTAAATTAAAGCAAAGATAAATCCTATTCTTAATGATAAACAGTATAAAAGAAAAGTATACTAACAGGCGGTCTCTGATTTAATTTTAAAGATAAACTTTTCAACTTCAAACTTATACTCATTGTTTAAATCAGTCATATCAACAGACCATAGAGAATTGACGCCAATTAGATTTGAGGAAGAGCAAGAATTCTGAGAATACCACCATCCAGCTTTTGAATTTTGTGCGCAAGATATTTCATTATCACTATCAATTGCATAAAAGTTTGACATTGTTAAAAAATCCTTTGATAGTGCACTACCACTTAAAAATTCAGAAATGTTCTTTGCGTAAGATTTGCTTTCTGTTTCAATATGGATTCCTTTGAATTCATTATGCAAATGGCGTCCATCTTTAGACCACATATCTATTCGACCATTATACTCTCTAAAACTAGTTAAATAGGTTGCCAACTGATTACCGCCCCAAAATTCTTTATCAGTTTCAAATCCATTTTTATAATCAGACCAGGTTTTTGACCAAGAATCATCCGTGGATAACTTTTGACCAAGAATAGTCCAATCTTCAAAACATTTTAATTTTACAGTTTTATCGGCTCCCTTCACTTCAAAATCTGATGATGGTAAAGAAAAACAATCTGGAATAAATTCCGCACATCCATATAATTCAATTTGCATAGCAAAATAAGATTCTTTATCGATTAAGTTAAATTTAAGATATTGAATCCTTAAGGAATTTTCAAATATATATGATCTTGCATAAACGTTATCAAATAATCCTTCAAAATCATAAGTTTTACTATAATCCCAGTTAACATTCATCCAAATAACATTATCTAAAGATGATTGTATTCTGAATTTTGTGACATATCCGTTGTCACTCAATTTACCCGTTCCTTGTAATACAAAATAAGAGATACTTAAAGATTGTTCAAATGAGAAGAGAATCCATGGATTTGTATCAGCATCACTAGATCTCCAATAGCCTTTCGAACCTGTTCGTACGTGTAATGGTAATTTAAATTTATCTCTTGACGAATCATATTCTGAAGAAACGTCCCATTTTATTCCTAAAACTTCTCCTTCAATAAGCCTGAGTGAGCATTTACCTAAGGATAGAACAAACAATGTTTTAGATTAGAATCTAAGTTTTCTCGTAAGAAACATAATCAACCAGGATTAATAGCTTCAAAATATAATTTGTCTGCCTCATCTGTATCCCTCTTAAGGTAGCTATTTTTAGAATAAGTATTTGATGAGTAAAGAATGCAATCTTTTGTATCGGTATCAAAAGCAAAGGAAACACATGTGAATCTTGTTTCTTCGTTACACGCCATTAGACAATCAAATCTTGTATTATAATCATTCTTGTAAACCAAACTACTGCTTGTTGTGTTTAATGAGGCGGAAGTGATTACTGTCCACAATTTACCAGTCTTTTGACTAGGCAGCACTATTTTGTATTAAAAGATTTTATACAGCAATTAGTGTTATCTAAATAAAAGGAGAAAAAATTACATGATGCCTCTTTTTCACATGCAATGAAAAGTTTGGTTGTACACGATACTTTTCTCCAGAATCCTCTAAGCTTTTGGAATCCTCCGCAAGAACCAGCGCCAATTGACGAGTCCCATCTTATAACCTCATCCGTAGGTAATGTACTTCCATCTGACCATTCGAATTTAGTATTGTATTTCAAACCCATACGAGTAGTTTCTGAATTTCTATTTAAAGACAGATTACCAACATAAAAGCTACAATATAAATCGCCTACTTTGAGAAAAAGCCTTGAAGAAATACATTTAGCACTTCATCATATTTTGGTGTAATTAAGTGGCCTTCACCACGCCATGGTATTCCTTTGCATTGTTCAACAGCATCGTCATGATTATAGGGTGTCGAATAAGGATAGGAAATACATTTTATACCGAAAAGAAAATATCCAGGAGGACATTCTAAAAGAAAATTTCAATGAAATTAAGTGGTTTTCATCAAGTATAAACTGTTATATCTATACCTAAATACTTTCCCCCATTAACAGATATCTTCCAACATATAAAGGTATCACTATAAATAGAGAGTGATACGTATATAGCCATTATTGGAATTGATAGCAAAATTTCGTGTGTCGACTAGTGAGAGTGAACATGAATATATATAAATATTTAAATATAATTGATAAGAGAATATTACTTATAAGATGATACTTACGTTTGATCTTATATAATCAAAACCGTCGGTATATTTATTCCAGTTTACTGAATCTGCTGAATATTCTATTGTACTATTCAACTGTCCAGTTGTGTTGGACATAATTACAAATCCAGTGATAATGTAAACTCTTTTAAAGTTTATAATTATTTTACTTGATTGGGAAAATTGTTTAGGACATGCTAAATTAGCACTTTTATCTATTGACCCCCAGGAAAGCGAACTTCCTGAGGCATCTTCGTCAACGCTAATTCTCTCTAGGTCATTTTCTGGATTTGTTATTGCATCTTGCTCTATGGAAAATCATAAAATAAAAAATTACAAACAAAGCTAATAAGGCACGATTGTAGCTTATATAAGTGATACGTTACGTTTAATGCATCCAACAACTTCCAAACGAAGAGCTCTCTTTTTATTCCAGCTTTTTGCTGCAAATCTGATAAATCTTAATTCTAGAGTTTCGTTAAAAAGCAATAAGTATTTCATATTTCTTGTTAACTTGGGATCGGACCGTAGATACATTGTCTAATAGTAAATTATAATGGTTACTTATATCATTCTTTATATGCTAATACTATTGTTGAATTCTTACTTTATAATCTGATGGTTCTTCGTATGACTTCCATCCGTGTATTCTATATAATGAATATTTGACATCAAATTCATAAATAAACTCGTCATAATCTCTGCAAGATTGAGAAACAAAACCTGTAACGTAATAGATATGACCCAAATCTATTTGTATATAATCGTTGGGTGCTGCTGAATTAGTTACCCAACAGTTTTGACTGTCTAATCTAACATTGTAAACATAATCAGAACTTGAATAGGATGGAGCGCTTATGTGAGAACCATGTATTTTATTTAAATGTGCAAGTCCTAATGGATGATTACATTTTGGAGTATAAAGATGAATTTTATCCTCTAAGTATCTTCCATACAATTGAATAATTAGACTTGAATATGTTCTTTTACTTGTTGGATTGAATCGAAAACCCCTACAAATAACAAACGAGGGAAGTTCTATATGATTGTAAAAGCGTTCACTCTCTTGTATAAAATAATTCTGTAGTGTAAATTGAACTAAATTACAATATAAGTAATATATAATTTTATCCTACTATGATATCTCCATCCTTATCTCGTACAGCTAGCCACTGGTCATACCAAGATCTTTTATAAAATAGTTGTGCCGTTCTTGTGAACTGTACATATTTATATCTACTAGATGTAGTAAAGGCAGTCAACTTGACCAATTTCTCAAAATTAACTTCTAAATAGCATTCAAAAATATGCGAATTAGAGCAGAGAGCAGCATAATAGAATGGAGCATTAAACCCAAGACGGTAATCGTTATATGCAGCTCCAAGACTTTGATAAATATTAACTGTTACATTAAATTCTTCGACTGTTTCATGATTCCCTTCTGGTAATAGTTTGTAACTCTTTCTATCAAAGCAAAACTGTTCGAAAAAGTAATATAAATTTGTCTCTTCAACAAATTCACTCTGGTCGTATTTTAGCATGGAACTTGTTACATTATACAATTGACATATGTCTCGGGTATTTAATCTGTAAATATTTCATTTCATATATAGATATACTATATATATATATAGACAAGCATCTTCAATTTTAAAAATTATAATGAAACATACACGTATTTCCAAGCAACTGATTTACACCACTTCTGAGATAAACAATAGCCCAAACAATTTCTCAGATCCGTATGATATATTTGTGCTACAGGCTGACGCACAAGTCTATAATTATCTCTCACAGTATAGAGAGGCTGACATTCTTCCTCCTCATTATAATCTTTTTCATCATCGGGAACTATTGAACGAAGAAATTGTTAATTTATAAGAATTTTCCTATATTAAATATATTAACGATTCGGCTTTGTCTCACACATTGCAAAAGCGGGTTCTGTGCAAGCACTACTATCAAAAAAATCCCTTCTAATTACACAAGGCAGATGTATATAAGGAACAAAACCATAGGATCGTCGTAAGTGGTTTGTTACAGGTGTTCCATCCAGCCAAACAAACTTATTTAGTTCAACTTGCTTGACGCCTATATAGACGCCATAGGATGGATGCCTAATGATAATCATTGGAATTTTAATTAATAACAATGATATTGTTTATAAGAACTTTGTTTTTGAATATTTACTTTAACTTATAATGCTTTTTAACAAAATCCGTTTCAAAAGTATTTTTTGGCATTATCAGATAACCTGGACCTTTCCAACTAAATCCTGACTCACAAAATTTACGGCCATCTTCAAATGTTCCAGGTACCTCGGAAGTTGTATAGCACTTATCTAAATGTCTTACTGAACCTGGAGGGCATATTGGTGCTTTTTCGCCATATAATTCAAATCTGATACACTCTTTCGGCCCGTTGTTAAAATTTAGGCGGATATACCTAAATCGCAAAGCGGGTGAGGAAAACAGAATTGTTCTATTCACTTCCGATTCACATATTATTTCCTATTTTGAATAATTAAGTTATATTCTAATTAAAGTTTTAAACACTACCGTCTCACCTCATCCATTTTATTCATATTCGTTTTGTTATACTGAGCGCCATACACTAAAATATTATTGCAATTGTCTCTTAAAAAATTCTCCACATAGTATATAAATATCCTTTCTATGTAATATATAACGCCTAAATCAGCTGACCACCAACCGTCCAAATCGCTCTCCTCCTTACACCAGAAAGTATGTACAAGGTTTAGTGCCATTTTAGGGGAATTGGTCATACTTTTCTCAGATGACGCAGAAACAGTTTTAGGAAATTTATCAGTTATATTCAATTGGGGATGTTTTGCTGGATATCCGTACAATTCCATTTTAATAGCAGGAGAAGAGTGATATTCTCCAGTGTTTGTAAACTGTATGTAACGAGCAACGATTTCTGGATCAAATTGTACTTCAGCAAGTTCAGATGAATGATGAACGGCAAATTTTTTAATATCTCCTTTTTCTGTTGTTACATAAGACCATTGCGTAGGATCATCGGTATACATTACTTCAAAACTTTTCACATATCCAACATTCGGACTTGATATAGTTTTAAATATATGATATCTGATTCCAAGGTCAAATCCCCATTTCCCCACCACGTAAAAATATCCATAAGTTTGAAAAACAGGTGGGACATCTAAGCGGATTTCATGAATTCCGTGATTTATATTAACAATCTTTTCAGATAACATTTGAGAATGCAGTATATATAGGCTTGTCAAACCAAGAGGTTTAATAAACTTATTAATAGCCCCAGTATGATTACAACCGTACATTTCAATCCTTACAGCGAATCCAGAAGTAAATGATTCTGGTAAAAATTTAACATATTGAGCAATCAAACGTGGATCAAAAGAATTTTGAGTGGATACAGCACGATCAAAATTTCCAACAAATTTCTAAAGTTATAGAAAAGAATCATTGTAATAATCTCAATTTTTAATAATTTTAATAAAATATTACTCGACGAGTCCCATGCGATGATCTTACACTAGTTAATATATCCGTCCTATTGCCGATATCTAAATAGAAATGTTTAATCCATGCGCCATAGTCACTACCTCCTCCCTCTATTTTTATTCGTGACACTTGAACTATCCTTCCGAAATTAAACTTGCAACAGAGAAATTCATATTGTTAGTATTTATATATTGTTTGTTTTGTATACGAACTTTTAGATAAGAATTTAAACCTGCTCCTTTAAAACAACCACCATGTACTGGATTCCTTGAACCGTAAAATTGACGAAAGACCATTCGTAATTCAGATATTCCATATTTGGTGCTGTCTGGTACTGAATCAGCTTCTATATTGGAATCTGGAATTCCGTTTGGACCGTCAATTAAAGGGTTTTCACAACCTTCCACTGTTGTATACTTTTCCCATACATCCCAATAGTGAATATTATATTCAGGTATCGAATTAGTATTAGAGTTTGTAGTGCCATTATATAAATAACACCTTTTATCATTACCTAAATGCCTATAACTAAACCCTTTACATTCAAACATTGTTTCGTGTTGACAAATATAGGAACAAGTTTCTGGATGGGCAATGTCGTAAGTTTTTACCAAATGTGCTTCATTTAATTTAGTGTTATGAAAATAAAACCATTTAGTTTCTTCCCTTTGTCTCTGGGTTAGTCTCCTCGCTAAAATTAAAAAATGATAATTATTAGAATTCAAATTCTCTATTACACAAACTGTTTGATTTCATTTCACATATATAATATCCTGGTGCGTTACAGTCCAAATTGTGCCAACCAGTTCTAAATCCTACAACACATTGTTCAGTGAGATATTCAGGCTGTCCAGTATCGTAATTACGATCAAATTTAGTAAAATTATGTTGTGCATTATTGGACCATCGCCAATTTAGATTGGGATTAAGCATTTTCATATTAGGTGTTTGAGCAACAGAATTATCTACTGTCAATCCAATGAATGTGTGATGTAGAGCTCTGTGAATATTATATTTGCTAAACAATAAAGAAGCTAGTTTATAAACATTAAACAAACCTCATCGATATATGGAAATTAATGGCATCTTCTTCTGTGGAAGAAATTTCAGTGGCATACGCTTTATCAGTCCAAACATAATTATCACAAATATGGTTTATATTACTAGTACCCCCAGACACAAAACTAGTGAAATGTTGGTAGCAAGAATTGCCGTATTCTATTGTGTTGGGTGGGCATATTTTAGCTTCACACGCATCAATAAAATATTCAATACATGGAAAAACAAAATCAACGTTTAAACTCCAAAAAAATAAACGTAATTTTGTAGCTGAATGTAGGTTTAACAAAGTTATATTAACGGTTTTATCATCCGGTTTCTCTGTTTTATATTTGTCTAATGATCTCCAAATATTGTTATCTCTTGACCATTCTATCTTCATCTCTGGAAGGGGTGTACTGGCAAATTGAATTTGAAATGAGACTAAGTGATATAAAAGATTCAATTCAATGAGGACAATTGATTCTGCTCTTGGATACGTCACATTCGCTGTTTCATTGTAAAGCATAACAGTCTGCTTTGTCATTGGACAAGTTGCTGTTGTTGTTGCATTGTTCTCAAGATCAAGTTTGGGGCATACAGCTAATAGAATGATTTTATTTATTACAGTGAAAGAACTCTTAATAAAAAATGTTACCATCAAGTTTTCCATAAAATTCAAATACTGTACACCCAACACCATCCCATGAATCAGGATAAATTCGAACATGTCTAGCTTTTATTGGTTCATCCAATGTTACACGAATTGGAGTAAATGTAGGCCGTTCAACTGATGCAGTAAATAGTATGACATCACCATTACTATTCTTTAGTTTTTCCGATATTTCATCAAAATAATCAGCTACTGCCATGCTAAATGACTTGAGATACCCGGAGGAAAGCGGTTGAGGAGCTAGAGATAACCCATAAAATTGAATTGGCAATTGCCACGTTACATGAAACCAATTCTCCTTCCCTGTTACACGAAAACAGGGAACTTGAAAAGGAAAGTCTCTAAAACGCCCTCTTAATCGTGCTAGGAAAGGAGGATTACTATTTGAACCAGAAGTATATATATCTTTTGCAGTTATTTGAAAATCTTCTATTAGACCTGTTTCCATTCCTAATGCTACCCCCTCAAGATCTGGAACATAGTAAAAGAGTTATAAATAATTTCTGTTTTAGCATTGAATAACTAGTCTTTATAAAACATCAATATTTTAACATTACCTATAACAGAAATTTGTTTTTCTAACTGAGAACCACGAATTGACAAACGCATATCTGGTGACCAATGCCAAGATAGAGGATTTATACGTATACATCGAGCAATAAAGGGATGTTTGAATAGAATTACTTGAACCATAGACCACATTTTATCACCTAACATTTTCTTTTAAAGATGCTAAAGATTATATGAGGATTATTCAGATATTTATGAAAAACCTTACAATAATTTCTTCAGTTTCCTTTCTGCGGTACCAAGAAAAGTCCGAACACTTTAAACTATGTAAAAAGTAATGGTCCATTAGAGTGCGTTTCTGCTTTCTCTCACCTCCCAAAATATGATAACCAGTTATATTATACAAGTTTATAAGATCCACTTGAAGCCACTGATATTGATCGGAATGCTCAGTTCTGAAAGTTCCAAGATGGTTTTCTCTTTCATAATTTTCGAACTTGACTTGTTGAGGTTGAGAGTTGTCAGAAATGCGAACGGAGGAGGCTGTGAAACTAGAATCAGGTAGGTTATCTATGACAGTATTCTCCCTCATATTGGACGGTACAGCATCACCTTCACATTCCCATTGATAAAACTTATAGAGTGCATGAAATTGTAAGTTGACAAAATCTTCTGCATATACTTTTGTCGAATGTAGGAAACATTTTCCTGTAAGGCTATGCCACGAAACACTGTGGCATACTCCATATGTACCAGAAAAACATTCCTAATGAGAAAGAGGTATAGAATAGATGTTATTATTTCAAAACTGGAATCGAAAATAATAATATGAATTAAAATTAAGAGTACCTGAAGGCAAATATGCTTTGGAGTATTTACTTCAACATAACTTCTTGTATCTCTATAGTTATCTAGAACGTGCCAGTATGGTCTGCAACCGCTAGTATCAACTTATTTTGAAATAAAAATATATATATAAAATTTCTATATGAAATTTAAAAGAAAAAATTGAATAGCAAACTTTTTGGCATTTCGCAAATATATCCAGGACTACCATAAGTCTCTGAAACATCTCTCCATACGCCACGAGTCGATTCCATAATTATATACATTTCGATACCAGGGTTATTTTCATTCTTATCGAAATTATGATAGCTCATCACAGTGCCATCACGCCAGATAAAATCAGTAGAATATTTTTTCTGCGTATCCCTTCTACTTAGTCCAATATAATATTCGCTTTTAGCAGAATTTTCAAGATATAAATGTACAAATGAAAGTTTTCTTGCAGAATCAATTTTAATGACAGTTGCATTCAAGTTACTGCATAAAGCATCTATATGCAGAGGCGAATTTGAATTGTCATGAAGTTTAATTATACAGCTATCAAGATATCTTATCCAGCCAGAGGGACAATCGTCTCCTTAAATTTTTATTAATATAGAAAGGTTTACGCTATTTTATTTACAAAAAATACCTTTTACGTTTATTAGACTAAAAATTGTTGAGATAGTTGATATTAAAAGTATTTTTGAAATTGGCTGCATATTCCAGTTCACCATTTGTCAAAGTGTTGTAGAAATTATATTATAAGTCCTTTAAGCTATTTTTGCTTTTTTATGACCACTTAATATTTCATAAAGTCATGAATGTAATGGGGACAAAAGCTTGTTATTTTCCGATCCGAATGAAATATTATAATGAATTCTTAAAGAGTTGATTATCAATAAATAACTAAAATTTATTGAACATTATGTGTTTCTTCCTGATTCCGTTAAAAAGACATATTGATTTGATAAATTAAAAAATAGTCAACTTTCAAAAATTGTTTATTTGATTATAATAATCTATTTTATTTTCATGCTATATGATTAATGAACACAAAAAAACAATAATTTAAATAAAATAACCTAAAATTTCTTTAGGATTTTATGTCACATTTGCAGTATCTTTTTCAATTTTTACATCTTTTAAGTTTTATAGACAAATGGAATGAAATTGATGCTATCACCTAGATTTGGAATTTTTTCTGTTCTTGCTTGAACACATACGGGGAGATATGGAATGTAACTTTTGGAAGACCTCCTGAAATTTATGATGGGGGAACAGTGTAACGAGAGCAGCTTCTAAGCTAACGTAAAATAGTCTTTTGTTGAGGGTTTGATGCTGGAACATACTGAAAACCAGATTAACTCCATGATGAATGGCCTCAGTGCCAATCAAATGTCGTAATTCCTCTGCATAAATGGGAAAAAATCATTAGAACTTTTAACCTTTAATTGATGGAATTAAATTGGCACTAAATATTTTTTTTATTCACCTGAAACTATTGCTAGCATTTTAGCTCTACAAACAACCTTTGTTCTTTCTTTTGTCTGTTTATCTCTCGGCAAGCGATTTTCGGCCAAATATCCATTTGGCCATTTTGCGTCTCTCATAGCCTTAATATATTCGGCAACTTGCTCCGACGACGTATAAAATTCAACATGATCAATAATCTTTCTATTAATTGAATCTCCCATCATAGTTTGAATAATTTGCCGTAGAATGGCGTCAATTCTCCTCCTAAGCCAAACATTTTTATTCTTCAAATCAAACACTTCGTCGAGTAATAATAGCAGGATTCTCAAAGGTATATTATCCTGTTCGTCCTATATAATATCAACAATAACTTAATTAATTAAAAACTCTCTCAGTCCATAAGTTAATTATTTTTCTTAAGTACATATATGTATTAGATATCAAACCTCTAAATGCAATAGGCTTGCTCCTACTTTACCCTTGTCCTTTTCCATTTTCGGACTAGTTGAATGCTGATATTGAAGATATTAATTAATAATTCTTTTCAAGAGATTATAAAAGTAAAAATAAGAAAATCAAGTAAAATTCCTTAATATTTTCAAATTGATTTAAGTGTGAAAAAAGAGGATGAGCAAAGAAATCCCTTCTTCTCTAGGTTAAAAATAAAAACTAATGAAGAATATATCAAAGAATAGCTGAAAAAGATCAAAAAGAATAGCAAAAAGATAAGAACTTTTATATACTGTATTACAGCATCGAATATTATTAGTATTTAAATATACTGTATATACTGTATAAAAGAATTATTATTCATTATAACAAATAGTAGTGAAAGTATTAATAAGATAAAAGAAGGTAATTCAAAGCTTAGGTGATTATGAATAATAAATAGAAACTGGCCTCTTCCTTTTTTTTTAAAGAAACAAACAGAATTGAAAAAGAATATCGAAAATGCACTGTGTTGCTCTTTTTCCTACTGCAATGAAAATTACGTAATAATAGTAAAAAAAAAGTAGGAATAAAAGAAAAATTTTTCTTCTTTCAGAGTGGAAATGAAACAACATATTGCATTTTTTATCTTATTCTTTTCGTCTTTAAATGAATATTCAATGTTTTTCATTTATCAAAAGCGCAGACACTGCATTTATTGAACTTATCAAAGGTATAAATAATTAAACATAAAAAACTCTTATTTTTTATTGTATATCATAACAATATACTGCAAAATACAGTGTTCGCATATTGATATTATGTATTTCTCTTTGTAAATTATTCGTCTAATACATTGAATCAAACATCTCCGAAATTCTACCTGAATCATGTCGTAATAAGCATCTAACTCTATTCGTTGATTTGGCTAATAATTCATAAATTAAAAGGTTAGCTTCATTGTTATATATTTTCACACTTTTTTTAGTTAATTAGTCATACAGTTAGTTAGAATTCACAAACAGAAACGAAAATCATAAGCTAAAAAGCGACATCTAGCGTTTGTTAATTCATTACAATTATAATAATTCCTCTTTTAATAAAGTAAAGAAAGAAAACCTTACCGGCTTTACATTGATCATTTTCCCGACACCATCAATCATAGTATTTGGTATATTTCGTATTCCACCCGAAACCTTTTTAATAATAAATCATACTTCAAATTTATCATCTAAGCAATAAGTAAGGTAAATAGGTTGAAGCCGTTTACTTTTAATACTCCATCCACAACATTATCCGGAACAGATCTTACTAAAGCGCCAACACTCTTCAAGGGATTTACAAAATTTTCAATCTATGTCAAAGATATAAGAATGAACAAAATTTTTAACTTTGAGAGCCAGTTCTTATCAAAAAACTTACACTGCGAGGCGTTTCCTTTCTGTTCTGCTCAAGAACTAGATCTCTTAGAAATTCGTCGAGTAGTTCGATTATCCCTTTGTGAGCATTAATTACGGCTGGGCGGAGAAGAGTCTAAAATCGATGTGGTAAAAAATAAAAGACCAATAAGCTGATATATAAGATTAACAAATGAGGCTGAAATACCTGTAAATAGGCGTTTAATCCCAGCTTCCGTTTTTCTATGAATTCTTTGCTTGTATTATTTGTTAACGACTTTTTAGGTAAAGCTAAACCCTTCAAGGAGTTGTACTAGATGTAAAGAAAAAAGAAGACACAAATACGTGTGTATTGAGAAAAAGTAGGTTGATAAACAGTAGGCATTTAGAGTAAATTTACTTAATGTACACTTTCTTAAACCAACTTACCTTTACGGTAATTGTAGAATGAAGACGATCAAAATCACTATATCTTCTATAAACGTCTCTCGTCTCCAAAACGGTCCCATCGATATCAGTTTTAGTAACATTTATCATATAAACTGTATAAACTTTTCCATGATCCCGACAAACACCAGTACTAGTAATTTCGGCATAAAGACAATAATTTGAATTTTTCTTCCCATTAACTTCGTCCGTAGATTTGTTATCGTTAACTGATTTCTATATATTTAAATAAAAAAAGAAAAAGAAGGGAAATAAGGAGAAAAATAATGCACGCGAACTAAATTTTTAATAAGACGAACTGTAATTAATTGGGGTGAACTCGAGCAATCATTCGTGGTATCACTTTCAGTTTGATCCTCCATCTTATTTTCAGTCAGCAAATTTAATTCTCGAAGCAGTTTAAAATACATTTGAGACTTTCTAAAAGTCGGAAAATATTTCTCTTCCTGGAAAGAAAACAAATTATATCTATAAATAGATATGTGTCTGATGAATCTAAATACTTTATATAGATATAGATAGATAGATATAGATACATATTGTAATATTAAAAGATGATAATATACAATGTAAATATGAAATGTTACATAATTAAGCTAATCTATAAAAATAAATTAAAGAAATAATAGAATGAAATAATTTTTATACTAATATAATCAAGGAAGCCTTTGTTTAAGATCCTGGTATCGATTTTAAACAAGCCAATTAATGAGTTTGAAAAAAACTTACTTGTAAAATATTCCACACTCTGCATTGTACTTCATCGAATACGTGTTCTGATGGTTCTTCGTATTGAATACGACTAAACACTTGCTTTATCAAGTGATCGTCGAGTATTAAACGCTTAGCAGACTTTAAAGAGAATAAGAAATAAGGTAAAGTTTAATTTAAACTTTATATTTATAGATATACTGTATATACTATATATATAAAAAAGGGAAGATCTCTCTCCCTCTCTCTATCTTTCTTTAACTATTTAACATACAAAAATAGTACCTTATCGGAGAGATATTGTGAAAAAATATTTGAAGCAGCCTCTCTGACCATATCCAAATCTGGTTTTTCTTCACAATTATCAGCCAATAAAGCAGCCGATATTTGTTGTTCAGCAGATATTTTATAACACTACAGTATTTTTAATAAAAAGAAAGCGTAAAGTAAAAGAACTATAATGTAAATATATAAGGAAAAAACCTCAATTGTATGGTAGAAATTAAGGTAGTTCTCGGCAGAATGGCTTGCAAGAAACTCTACAAACACGGTTATCTGTTAATTGCTTTGGTTGAAATGTAATAAAAATCCCAATTCCCATTTCCTTTTTCTCCTCCCCCCTCCCCTCCTTCTCATTCCTTTTTTTTTCATTTATTTTTAGATTTATTTACCTCTGAAATATTGTAGAGCTGTATTATTATTGAGCACAGTTTCAAAATCAAGCTTATAGATTCTTTGACCAGCAAATTTTTTCATATCAAATACCTTGAAAATAAAGTTGAATATTAATAATTGCATGTTAAATAGTAGAAAGAGGACAATAGAACGAACATTAGTTGAGTTGGGACTATCGATTCCAGCTTGCAACTTGGCGATCTTTTGCTCACAAATCGTTTTAACGAATAATAAGGAGGAAAGCTTTTGTTTTATTACTGTATCTATTTAAAAAGGGTAAGATAAGCGTTTAGTAGCAAACCATTTAAAAATGAGGGGATCTATCAGTTAGTTTAAAAGAGAAAATATAAATAGAACTTTACCATCTTCTCCTCCAGTATCTTTAGATCTTTGTCTTGCAATATCAACGTCAACCATCTCTTTACAAGCTTGTACTTCATCGATTGAATCAGTTTGTCTTAAACTCGTTAAAAATACCTCACTTGACATTGGTGTATCTTTACACAACCAAACAATCATTTGATTAACGTAGTCTGGGTCTGTCACTAAATTGATCATAGGTAACAATATCCCTTCAACCATTATTTCCTAGAAAGAGAAAATGAAAAGAGTTTTTAGCCTATACGTTTTTAGAATTCTATTAATTGTACAAACTCTTGACATGAAGCGAAATGGTTTATTGTTAAAGTCCTCAGCAGGTAATAAAATATATAATAAAAGTTCTGATAATTCTGTTAAATATTCTGTTGTTTGTCAAAGGTTGTAGGTGTGGAAAGGATAACAGAGCAAATATTGTAGAGAAGAAAGAAAAATTAGTTAGTATCTCATGTTATTTTTAGTAAACTAGGCTTATTTACGTCTTTCATCAGCCTCATTCAAACAGACAAGATCACGGCACATTTTCACCTCCATCTCTAATTCAAGATCAAAAAAGATACTTTCCAAATCCGCAGGTGGTTTCGTATCTGAAAGTGCATTAACGATCGCTTTACGATTATGACTAAATAAATTTGCAATTCGACTGATCTGCATACGTAATTAATCTAAGAAATAAAAAGTATTAACCATCTCTCTTATGTTCGTTGACTTTGTCTATCGATCGCCTATACAGTCGTATATGAGAGGCGAAATCATCCACAAGAGTCGTCGTAATAAATGGAACAAGGTCAACATCCTTCACCCTATTGTTTTTAAAGAATAAAATTTCCTTTTAAATATCCTACTCTTTCTCTTAGCTATTGCCCTTCTCGGTTATTAATTTATATATTACTGTATAATTGTTACCTTCCAGCAAATCTTATAATAACTTGTTGTAAAGTAGCTCTTATCGTTTGACTAAATTGTTTGTCGTCCGTAATTTTCCTATACCAAGTTTTAATATAATCTCTAACCGTATAATCTAAAACCTGTTAGGATGGAAAAGCAAATATAATAAAAAGGATCAATATTTAGTTTAAGGTTTCATAAAAGAGACTCCCATAAGGCATTAAAAAAATGTCAAAGCTATCTAAATTTTATTACGTATAGAATAAATGTTGAAAAAAAAATTACATTAAGTAATATTATTTAAAGTCTTAGTGCAATCGTTATACTATCATTAAATAAGGTAAAATACTAATAAAATAGTATATACTGTATAATATATATTGCACTTGTACAGAAAGATTAACAAACAGGCAACTAAAATTATTTTATCGAAAGAAAACGGATTTCTCTAATTTCTTCTTTGTTAAAATGAAAGAACCATTCTATTAATTCTTAATGGGCTAATATACGGTTTTTTTTTTTGAAAGTATTTAACAAAGGACAAATAGTCAATAAAGTAACTCGAAATAGGGTTTGATTACCTCTCGGAGAGCCTCATCAATCGTTGTGGAACCGGTCATCCGATGATCATTTGTTAGACAATCATTCACGAATTTCTATTCAAAGAAATGGAGAAAAAAATTAAAAAAGTTTTAGCTCTTTATACAAGAAATCTTAATTAATCAACTTACTGTAGAATTTTTATAAGCTAAACCGGATTCATGGCTTTCTTCCGACCAAAAGCAATCAACTTGAAAATTTCTCAATCGTATACCACCGAAATAAAATAGCAATCCAATGAATCTAAAATATAAATTGATTTAAAGTATTGATTTTTTTCTTCAAAGTACGTAACAATTTACCCTCCTATGTTGGCGAAAATGCATGCTAATAGTCCTAATGTTTGCGATGCTCCAAACGTATGTGAAAATAGAATGGCAAATAGAGCCAACCAAAATATTGTACCGTAATTCATACGGGGATTTCACTCTGTTTTGAAACAATTTCCTATTAATTATATCGTCTATTAAATTGATATAAATTCTATATTTGATTATTTCGCAAGTGGGCGTCACTATATTTTTACGACGAATATAGGAACCGTGCGAATTAGGCAATTTGGTAAACTTACACTGATCGAACGACAATAACAAATCTTGATACATTACTCAGTCACCTCTATTAAATGATATGTCGATAAAACTGTCGAAATGATGTTCAATAAATGGACGACAATTCTGAATTTAGTAAATATATCCTTATATCAGACATCAAGTGTACTAAGTTTCAAGGCCAACCAATCATCGACGAGCTTCCATTGAGTTATGAATGTAAATATTGAAGAGCGCTTGTTTCTCATTGGATAGTCAAGTGGAAAAGGAAGAAAAGCCAAGTTTGTCACTTCGCCAAGCGCGGCGCTTCAGCAAATTCGCGCGCTCACGTTTTTCGTGACTACTGTATAGTATAAGCTTCCTTTTCCGACGGTCTTATACTTTCAATGGAAACTGGCTGAAGATTAACGGATAAACAGCTAACCATATAGAGCTTTAGAAAAAGAGACTGTAAACAAACTTCCGGTACGTCCACATCGCTCATGCGGCGTTTTTTAATCTTCCTACTCGACAGATGAGAATATCGATTAGAGAAAAACGCTCGTTGTCATTTTCACATCACAGCTACGTGTCTACCGCATAGTATCTTTTTTTTTCGAAATTTTACCTTTTATTTAAACTTACGTGTTAGCTATCTAATTAATATACTATCAATTTGTGAAAAACTAGAAACGTTGCTGATGAGCGGTTTTTTTTTCAGGCGTTTCGTTAGACGCACTGTGATTAGGTGCATTAGTTGCGATTTTTTTTCTTTTTGTTCGACTTTTTTTTAATAAAAAAAGAACAGAATAAGAGAAATAGAGAAGACGACTACATAATAATAAGAATATATACAAAGCTATATACTTTTTTCAATTTCAGATAATCGACCAGAAAAGTGGCTGGGCGATCACAAGACTCGAATTCGGACATGGTGTCCGCCTGGATTCGCAGCATTGATAAAAGGTCGATCATTATTTCTTTATAATCATTTCCTTTACCTAAGATGACATCTGTTATTTGTGTATGCCTTTTTTTCTAAAGGGATTTTATGTTAGAAAACAATAACACCCGCGGTTAATTTGTATATTTGTATGTGTAATATTCATTCTCATATTTCCTGCTAACGTTTACCTAAAAATACGCAAAGTGTACATTTTTTAAGCCTATACAGTTCATATATAGTTACATGCAGGTCTATATATATATATATATATATATATATTTATCAAGGATGTTTACAATGTGACCATGCAGTAACGCTTACATTTACTTATGTAGGCGTATGCAATCATTTAAATACTATAGTTTTCCATTTTTAACGCCTATCGCGACATTTCCGGCAGCGTTATACAATTACGTCAACTCTACGGGGCTTTTTTTCTCAACCGGCCTATATATAGAAGTATTTAAAATTTTTATTGCTCTGGGCGATGGACCCATATATACATTTTATATACATATATTAAAACTATATATAGACAACTATTAAAATACATTGCATTTATCTATACGAAAACAGTGTACAAATTATATTTGTATACGAAAACTATGTATGGTATTTATATATTACTTGTAATTTAACAATGTTACTATTAGTTTATTTTTTTTTTTTATATTGTAACCACTGTGGAAATAGCTGTCGCATCGTTTGTATAAATAAGTAATTTCATGAAATATACAATCATATAATGATTCTTTGCCTCTTGTTGATGGTAAAGTTAACGTTCTATTTTGTATCCGTTTCTCTTCGTATAAAGATTATGTAAATTGTAAATATATAAGTGCGAATATATTAAATATGTAACTGAAATTATTATTCATATAGACCAGCGGATAGATCGGGCAAGGATATCGACATTATATATTCCAGATTGCGTAAAAATACTGCATTTTCTCATTTTCCTTCGAAACTTCTACATCAAATAAGCTCTTACGGTTATTTTGAAGAATTGGAAGAAAATATTATATTGTTTCGTCAAGGTGATATAGGGACAAACTGGTATGCTATTCTATCTGGGACAGTAGTTGTAAAAGAAAACCAGGACAATGGTAATAAGAGCCCAGTAAGTATTGAAAACAAGTTGATAACCATTCATCATTGTTATCCATTTATAAATGTAAATGAAAAAAAATATCAGGAAGGCGTCACGATCGGTAGTCTTGGCAGCGGTACCTCATTTGGCGATAGTATACTCGAAGATTCACCTCGTAATGCTACTGTGTTAACTGCAGAGAAATGTCAACTTCTTCGAATAGAGCAAAAAGATTTTCAGGTTTTATGGCAAAACTGTAAGCATATGATGCAGGAAACCCTTCTTACACCGAATATTGCCAAACAAAAAGTCGATAATAGATTAATTAAATCACATAGTAAGGACATTGAAGAAACGGAAACTAATCCAGCTTTACCTATATGTGCTGTTAGTAATAAATTATTTTCTTTATTTTTAAAAAGAAATCGTTAATAAGTTTTCTTTTTCTCTTTCATCTTCAAATTATTGCCAAACTCAGCAACCGTCAGAAAAAGTGTCTAGAATAGCTGAAGTGATAAGAACCTTCTTGCTTAGTCGGGCTCCACATATGATCAGAGATAGAAAAGTCTACTTAAGAACGTACAGGAAATGTATGGTTGGATCCGAATTGGTTAATTGGTTAATGACTTTTTCGTCCTATGTGCATAATAGAGTTCAAGCTGTAGGAATGATGCAATCTTTATTGGAAGAGGGTGCTCTTGTTCATGTTTGTCAGGAATATTGTTTTAAAGATGCTGAATTGTTTTATCGTTTTACACAAGATCAAGAAGGAACTGGAACCATTCCGTCCAATCAGGAGAGGCGTATCGCGGAGGAATCTCTGCAGGAAACTCTCGCTATGTTAGTTCAAATGGGCCCAGACGCTTACTTGAGAATGGTATTAAGAAAACCTCCTAGTGACAGGAGCGCAGACGATTTAGAGTTAATCTACGAGGAATTAATGCATATAAAAGCTTTGTCTCATTTATCAACAATGGTCAAGAAGGAATTGGCGTCGGTTCTCATGTTCGAAGCTCATTTTCACGCACAGACGACACTATTTAATCAGGGAGACGAAGGCAAATCGTGGTACATTATTTTAAAGGGCAAGGTAAATGTAAAAATATATGGCAAAGGGATCGTATCGACCCTGGGAGAAGGAGATGATTTTGGCAAGCTAGCACTAGTTAATGATGCTCCACGTGCTGCAACAATCGTTCTCGATCAAGATAATTGTCATTTCCTTCGCGTTGACAAACACAATTTTAATAGAATACTCAGGGACGTTGAAGCAAATACTGTTCGTTTAAAAGAACACGGAAGCGATGTTCTAATACTAGAAAAGATACCATCGAACATAAAATCGAAAGATGGTAGCTTATCCTCTCATTACAAGTATTCGGTGATGGCAGGAACACCTAGCAAAATCCTTGAATTTCTCCTCGACACTCAATTTTCTCAGGGAGCAGACGACAGGATATTCATCGAAGATTTCCTTCTCACGCACATCATTTTCATGCCCAGTAATCAACTTTGCCCTTCTTTAATGGTGCATTATCACGCTTCTCACACACCTGATCATCTCGATTCCAAAATGGCTTTAAGTAGTAAAAAAAGAGTTTTAGCTTTTGTCCGATTTTGGTCTGATATGGTTGGGCGAGCATTTTATCAGAGTAGAACAGTAATTGGATTTTTAAGAGTAAGCTTTAATAAATAACAAAGAGATAATATAATCATTATTTGTTTAATGATAAGGAATTAAGGGAAACGGTTAAGAAAGATTTACGACCTTTTAAGGAATTACAAGAGGACTTGGTAATCTTGGAGAAAATAATAGGCCTAGCTGATAAAAAGCAGTAAGTATAACTGGATAATTGAGACCACCAAGCATATAGTCTTTATTATAAGACTATTGACGGTTTATTTAATCTTAGTAGGCCTTTTATTCTGTTGCCTAGCAACGAAAGGAAAATTTGTGTGGCAACAATGTAGTACATCCGCAAATATCACCTTCGATTCTGTTTTCATTTAGCTTGCTTCTTTCCTATAAAGGGATTTGAAGAACAGAGGGACAAAGAAGATAAGCGATGCTGAGACACATATCTCGCTAAAATCTTTGGGCCGCAATGAAGAAGAGGAAGTAATGAGAGAACCCATAGACGGTCAAGACGAAAAATTATTCAAAGTTTATTGCGCTGACCATACATATACAACTCTAAAACTACCTTTGATAGCTCCAGTATCAAAAATCTTAAAAATAGCTACTCAAAAATTGAGTTTAGGAACTGACTTGGTTCTATGCGAGGTCAAATCATCGGGAGGTTTGTTTTACTTAATTTCTTTCATTCGTGTTTCTTGTGTTCATGACAAAGAAAAAGGGAACAAGTAAATCCCCTAGAGACTTGCTTCGCTTAACATGTAAAGTCTATGCACATCCAAACAGAACGCGTGGTATTTCATGATAACGATGTTGGCGTGTTAACGTCATTAAGCATCAATGGAAGGTTATTTGTCGCCCCAAAAGAGCACATCGACGCCCTGGTAAAGATTAAAAACTAATTACCTCTAACAACATCTCATTATTAGTTTAACCGTAAAAAATTCTAATTATAGACACCACTACCGGAACAAGAGGGACCAACTGTAAGCACAAGTAGCCTATTTGAGCAAAGTGGTTCTCGGGAAGTGGCTTTCTGGTTAACTAAACACGACTGGCAATTATTTACATGCATACATGAGGTAAATAATTATATATACAGAAAAATAACAGTCAATAAATCAGAGATGAAAAATAATATAACGATATAGACGCTTTTTTCTTATTGATTTCTTTTTCAGTACGAACTAATCTATAAAGTATTCGGGCGAGAAAACTTTGGAAAGATCACGTCAAATTTAGATGTATTCCTAAGGCGTTTCAATGAAGTGCAACATTGGGTCGTCACTGAGATGTGCTTAACACCCACAGTTAGCAAGAGGGTACAATTACTTAGAAAATTTATAAAGATAGCTAATGTGTACGTACAAAATATGATTAAATTAATGCATTTTCTATATTTACAATTACTCTTCGCATCCTTATAGATGCAAAGAATATCAAAACATGAACAGCTTTTTTGCCATCATTATGGGATTAAGCAACTTTGCTGTATCGAGACTTTCACAAACCTGGGAGGTAAGTTGTAGGTTATCTTATTCATTTCTATTCTTCATTCACATTTTCTTCTTTAGAAACTCGGAAGTAAAGCAAAGAAGACTTTCAGTGAAATGGAAACAGTTATGGAACCATCAAGAAATCATCGTGCATATAGATTAGCCGTTTCGAAAATGAAAGCACCTATCATACCATTTATGCCTTTGCTAATGAAAGATATGACATTTGTTCATGAAGGCAATAAAACTAATTATGAAGGTTTAATAAATTTTGATAAAATGGTTTGTACTAATAGCTTATTTAATCTCGTAATTGTTAATTAATGTCTCAATTGAATTCCTTTCTCTTTAGCATATGCTTGCTCAAACTCTACGTACTGTACGAAATTGTCGAAGTTCTCCATTGAATATAGAGCCACCATCTCCTGTAAAGCACTCAGCTGATATCCGCCAATATGTTGCCAATCTTCGCGTAATAGACAATCCAAGAATCCTAACTCAATTATCTCATAAATTGGAATCAAGACGCTAGCTTTTCAAACTCTACCATTAGAGAAAACACCAAAAAAAGAAAAAAAAAAGCATATATAGAGTAAATGTAAATTATATACTTTATATATGAAGAATGTATTTAAAAAAAATTTGTAATATTGCTCCTCTTTCAAAATGTTACTTGATTTATGATATTAGAGATGCCGTGACTGGAATATGATTCTTTTTATACAGATAAATGATATAAAAAATTAAAATTGTATTTCTTTAATGGAAAAAAAACATTTTCAAACTAAATATACAAAACACTCTTCCTCTGTTTTGTAAGACCTTTATCACAGCAAATAGAGAAAAAAAACAAATGGACGGATTATTTAGAAATTTTTTTTTATAAAAAAAAAAATACACGATACAGTATAATTTCTATTTATACTGAATGAATAAAATCAAAATTAGAACATATTTGTATAGACCTATATTTATGTTTAACAATGAAATATCCCGTCAAAAGAGGGCCAAACAACCAAATCCGACATCATCCGGATCGTATTCATAGCAAACTCCGCAGCCAGACAATGATAAAATACCATTATGAATTCTAGTTAATGTTATAAAAATATTAGGGAATTAATAGCCCTGGTTATATAGTATATGGTTCATATCATGATTTCTTACCGAAATTCTAGATCATTTTCACCCTTTGTAGTCATATCAAGGGCCCAGAGACCTCTTGCTTTTCTCTCAGCTTTTAACCTCCGTCTTTCACTCTTTTTTCTTTCTTTTCTTGCTAATCGTCTTCTATTTTGATCCTTTTAAAAAAATTTAATGTCAACATATAGAATATATAAATTAGTTTCCTCTGCTATTTAAAGATAAATATAAGCTCACTTGGAAGGTTGGGCGTAAATTAATTGGAAGAGGTTGTTCCGATTTTCTCCTATCGGATATATTTACTAAGCTACCATTCCAACTCTTAGATGGTGGCTTCTGTTTAATAGACAGATAAACTTAATTACAATCAAATAGTAAACGGATCCAAATAGCAAACTTTTTCACTTTGTCTTCTACTCATTCTTGCAGGTTCCTTTTCATCATTTATTTCGCATCCTTCATTAGTCCAGCCTCCTTGAGTAAATGACCCACGACGCTCCTTCTAAGTATTTTTATTTTATGTAATTATTACATCAATTAAAAATGATAAAAAGAGAAATTTAGAGATAATTAATGCAAGACAAGCGAAAGAAATTAGGCAAATTTATAGCAGTGAAGAGGAAGAGAATTGAACGTATTTCTCTTCCCTCATTTTGTTCAATTTACCGTCTTATTTGAAGTTTGTTTGGCAGAAAACATGTCAACATTTGCATTTTTCCTTTGTCTTTCTTCGGCTGTCCAACCATTTGATGTGACAGAGTGACGTTGTGTGCGAGTTTGCGAATCATTTCGACTCTAAGTATGCAAATGAAATTGTGCAACAACAAGGAGAAAAAAGCTTATACACTCCACAAAAGAATCTAATAATATATAACATAATACCAATAATAGCAATAATAATAATGATAATAATGATAATAATGTTAATAACAATAATAATAATATTAATAATAATAATGTTAATAATAGCGATAATAATAAGAGTAATGGAAGGGGATAGAATAAAATATTATATAGAAAAAAATTGATACAGTTTAAAGACTATAAAAAACAAAGACAAACGGAAGTGAAAATAGAAGAAAAGTAACGAAATTGAATCACACAAACAGCAACTTATTTTTGCACTTCCCCTTCCTAAGGCCAATTGGAATTACCTGCACGCTTCGGCGAGATGATGACCTAGAAGGAGGACGACTATAGTCCTCCGAGTCGCTATCATCGTCGTCATCGCTATCTCCAATTTCGTCTATGACGTCAACAGATTTACTTAAAGATTGCTTTCTTTGAGCCATCTGTGGAGAATTACTTACTTTTAATAAGTTTACAGAATATTGCACTTTTATTTATAAATATACGAAATTATTCAACTAGCGAACGTAATATTTTCGTTGACATAAGGAATAATCCCCTTCTCACCCCCCCCCCCCCTCTCCCCTCTCTCTCCTCTTTTCCGTGTTTTTTTCCTTCTCCTCACAAAAGACTTTGATAACTATGGTAAAATAAGAATACAACTCGCATCTGATGTTCTCTCAGGCATGGATCACCCACGTTTAGATAAAAAAAAACGTTGCATCTTAATGAAAATTAACCCTAACCAATGCTTCTAGACTATTTCCGGAAGAGTATAATTGTATGCAGCATACTCTATTATTTAAGTTTCTTAATATTTTCTCGTATTTTGTGTATATTATTATTTCTAATTATAAATTGCAGAATACATATAGAAATAAGAATAAAGAAAGAAAGGGAATTAAATTACCCTTTGCTGCTGTTCCATACTATATTGAACGTCGTGATAGGAATAATCTTTGTGATTCCATGTCTCCCTATTCCTGGCAACAACCCTTACCGCCGAACATTTAAAATGATCAATGAAAGGTAACGTTAACTATATTAATAAAAAAAATTAATATAAGAATAAATTGATATCATGTAAATTAAATTAAATAGCAATCGTACAGCGTTCTTTTCACTACCATGCCTCTTTAAATATCTTACAAATTCCCTTCTATCCGTACCCTTTACTACTATTAAATCCATTATTCCATCTCCTAAATGGCCGAACTGATTAATTCCGTATGGTGCTAATCTACTCATAGCTCTGGAAAATTAATTATTTCTCGTCTTAATTTATATAATATTATCATATACTATGAATATCCTCACGGTATACTGAGTAATGTTATGTTTAGGAAGGAACCTTTTAAATGCTTCCATTTGTCATCTGCATTTTCCGTAAGATCTAAGGGAAATAAAAGACCATTCATTAGATATAAATCTGTAGAGATAGGAATGATGATGGCTATGGAAATAAGACATAAGAGAGAAAATCGAAAATAGAAATTGAGTACATACTCATAAACATAGCGCTTGTATTTGACGAATCAAATGGATCTTGACAAGCGGAATTAGCTAAAGAGAACAAAATAATTAACAGCACAACGATATTAGAGCAAGTTAGCAATAAGAAAAAGGATAGAGTATAAACGGATTATAGATTAATCATTGATAGAAGAGAAAAATAAAGAGAAAGATAGATAAATACATAGATAAATAGATAGATTGTACCAAAAAAAACGCAAATTGGATGATAAAATACAGAATTTTATTCAATGTTTACCTATTGTACTACTATTTCCGCTTTGGTTTAATGGGTCTAATTCCTCAATAGCGTCACTATATCTAGAAGTTCTTGGAGTTGTCGGTGACGCTCCAATACATTGAGTACAACTAGATTATTTTCAAGGGAAAGTAACCAGTTTCGTTTTAATTAAAAAATAAATTCTTTTATAATGAGACTATTACCCCTGCCGGCAGTATTCATTTCTGTGACCTTGAAGGCGATCTGGTTCAACCGGTAAATATTCTATTTCGCATTCGTATTCTCTAAATAGTATTTGATATTCGGCTTAAAAGTCATTCCGTTCAAAACAAAATATTCAACATACTTGAATTTCTTTTGTGATAATGCTTTACCAACAGATAGTTCAATCTTTTTATCTCCAAGAACGCTAAATCTCGCGAAATATTTACAAACCATTCCGAAAAATCCGTAGTGAGCTGTAAAAGCGCACTGGAGAAACCTGTCATCTTTCCACACTGACATAACGTCAACGAGTCTTTTATAACCCAAAACAAATTGTATTGTACTTGATATGACGTCATCAATTCCTATCACAGAGTTAGCCACCTGATTAGTGGTTCCTAAAAAAAGATGAAAGACAAAAGAGAACAAATAAATGTACAAGTTATTATTAACAATAAATCAATATATCTACTCAATCAAGTAAAATATCACTAAAAAATTTAACATTTTTCCTATGCTAATCAATAACTTTTACATATAAAGGAAGTTAAGATGGCAATAACTGGAATAGATAACAGAAAAGATCGTAAAAATAACGATTGAATATAAGATTTATATACTAATATATATATACTAATATATAAAAGCATATAGGCAGAAAAGATAAATTTAATGTTTAAGGTCATTAACACTCTTTCTAAGCGAGATAATGTATAAAATAATATTTACCTATAGGTATAACACCCAAAGGTATTTCGCATCTAATCGGATTCCTATCAATCCTCATTTCTTTACCGCATTCTATTTGTGTCTTTGAAATTAATTCAGTTACCACCTGATTAACTGTACCATCACCTCCAATAACCAACATACTGCAATAGTTTTTTTGTTTATTATTTTATAAAACAAAATGATTCTTTTTCTTATATTGATCTTAAAATAGATATCAACTTTATAAGCCTATTTGGAATAGACATTTATAATTTACCTGTCGTATTCTGAAAGGTTTAAGTGTTTGAAATATCGGCTGATATCTCCGTCGTTTAGAATTTCTGGAAGAAAAATCAAATCTACATAACAAATAGGAATAAAGTAACCTAATTATTAGTAATTATTGATATGTTATATATTTCATAATATGAAATATGCATATGACAAATGAGGCTTATATTATATATTAATATATATATATATATAGAGAGAGAGAGAGAGAGAGACAGAGAAGGAAAGAGAAAGAGTCCTTTTTTCATTAATTTCTCTCACTATATAAATTTTTTAAATAAATAAAGATAAATAAAATCTTTATAGAATAGAGCTAAGGACATAATCCCAATTACTCATATTTAATTCATACCAGTCAATTCTGACTTATTTCCAGAGGCATCGAGTATTGGCCTAATTTTCTCTTTGAATATAGTTCTACCATTCTTCTTACCAGAAAAATGTTGCAAGAATATTCTTGTCTTCTTTGGCCTTTCGGTTTTGCCTGGTAAAAAAATATATATATATAAGTATATATATATATATATATTAGCATATGAATATATATGCAATATATAGACAGTATATATAGTTTTAAATCAAAAAATATGAAAAATCAGCAGTTTTTCATTACTATCATACACTTTTCAATGAACAATTAGTAGTTATCTTTGAATATGCACTTTAAACTAAATATATTACAATCAATATTTATATATGTATAAATATATATATATAATATATATATAAGTATAACGCTTTATACGTCTAATATATTGATATTAGTATAAAAGGTAAGTAGAAATAGTCCTAATATTAGGCTTAAGGTTTAATAATCGATTATGTGAAAAAAAAATCCCATAGTCATCTACGGGTGAATCACCTTGAATCACACTCTGGATTTTAGTTACGAATTTTGAACACATCTCTTCACTTGGATGGTTTAGATAAACAATTCTTTCTCGCCACTTATTTTGTCCTCTATACTCGAATAAATATAAAGCTATCCCCTGTAGATATAATATATTTATTACAACATACGTTGCTATCTGTTATTTATTAAATAATTGCGATACGCTTATTAGAAAAGATATTAATAATTATTTGAAATACCTGACAAACACCCTGACCTTCTGGCTGACCCGCTCGTCTAATTCGATGAATAGCTGCACCCAAAATTTCATCTAGGTTGATACAATCTGTAGGCTCCCTTCTATAGTCATCTTTATGTCGAGCAGCATTTACTAACTTCTTAAAAAACGATTGTTTTTTCTTTAATTTTGGTACTTTATCCGACCCAGCAACATTAGACCATGTTATTGAAGTATCCGTTAGCACCACGTCGTAGGTTTGACCCTCAATTTCGAAAATAGCAGACAAATCATTATTTTCGAAATCGTAAGATCCTCGTAAACCATTTTTTTGATGTTTATCCCTTCGTCTACTTCTAGCTGATTTATTTACTCTGTACTCATCGGCTGGATATTGGTGACTAGAATCCATTGCTTTCTCCTCTATTAAGAGGTCGACGATTCGGGTAGCTTACTCATTCTGACAGTTAGCTACATGCACAAATCGATCACTGGCCGACGATCAACCAATCAATTTCCAAATAAAAAAAAGCTCTATTATACACTCTTGCTTATTGATTCTTTGTTGTTTTTAAACAGAAAATGTTGTTCTTAAATTGTCGTAAAAGTGTTTGTTGGCTCTTTACATTGTCTGCTTTAGGATTTAAATTAATAATTCTTTGAAAAATTCATTAAAAAACGTTCTTGTTTATTATAATTATTACGTATTTTTTTTTATTGAGGCCCTTTTCACCCCCTGCACAAGCTTTGCAAATAAAGCTCATCTTTGTTTATAAATGGCGGCTTAGCAACGATAGTATTGAAGGGATTAGAAAAAAGGCGGGAAATCTTTAGTGGTTGAAAAGAAAAGCAGGTTGAAAATTGTTTGAGTAGTACTCAATCAAAATTTAATATCATCAAATTTAGATTTACATTCATCTAAACGATGTTGATGGATGATCAAATCAATTTCCAGGTAGTCGTTGACACTTGTCCACGATGCCAAGTCCTGACGAAAATTCCTTCAAATTGGGCAGTTTGTGACGGAAAGCTCCATGAATGTAGAAACTGTGGGCAAGTGCGAAGACGAGATTGTTCTAAATCAGATAAGTTGGAGATGAATCTAATTTTAGAACCCTGTAGGAATTGCGGAACGACTTCAAAAGACGATCTGCTAGCCGAAAATAACAATTTGATCTGCAAAGTTTGTAAAAAGAGAAGAGAGAGTGTAAGAGGTTTTATAAATGATTATTCACCAAGTCTCAGATGTTCAAATGACGTTTGTCAAGGTTCTAAGAGAAATACTTGCACAATCTCTTTTGAGGATGGAATGGCCAGCGGAATTAAATGCTCATGTGGCAGAGGGGCCTCTCTGCCAAATCAGCTTCCTAACGATTTAGAACCAACGTGTGGCGGATGTGGAAGACCATCTAAATATAACGTGATTTTGACATTAAATCAAAACGATGCTACTATCGAGAGGATTAATTGCATTTTTTGCAAAGTCGTTCAACCTCTCTCCGATCATGAACTTTTCTTGCCTAAAGCAAATTTTTCTCTAAAGAGAATCTCAAAATTATCAACAGTGAAAATTGGAGATTTGATATGTTTTTATAAGGGGAAAGGTTATTTAAGATACGCAGTCGTTACCGCAACTAATGACAAAACCTTAAGAGTAGTCGAAAATAGGCCGAAAGATGGCGTTGTTAAGCACGATGTTCGCATCGACCTGAAGCGACATCTTTTGTTCAAAGAAATTGATTGTATTGTAAGGAATGTAGTTGAAAAAGCTGAAAAACGTGTCGGACAACCGCATAATGAATTATTTTACAATGCCCTAGATTTTATAGATGGCCTAATCTCATCTACGAAAGAAAAAAACAGAAATAAAAATGATGACCTAAGTGATTTTTTACGTGAAAAATTGAAAAGAATTCAAATGTACGTAAATGACAATAATGAAAAAGTCCAATCTCTTCCGATCATGGAAGAAAAGAAGGAAACCTTATTAGCGGCCAATCTTCTTTTAGAAGGGGGAAGCTGTTTTTGGAAGATAATCAATGCCAAAGAGAACAATGACAGACGATGGATGCAAGAGGTAATCGTACAGGCAGCTGAACAAGGTATTTCAATAATAGGTAAAGCTATATTCGGAGTAACGGGAAGTAACGTTGGCTATTGTATTGGAAAACTAATTGGCCCCTTAATAGCATCGGCCATAATTAGGGATGAACAACCAATTTTACAAAGAAGAAAATCGACCCCCGTTTAAGGAAAGAATGAAACTTTTATAGTCTATTTTCTTTTTATTATTCTTTCATTCTTTCTATCTTTGATTTTATCGTCAAGATCTTTCTTCTTTCTATTATCAAAATGCTAAAGAGATACGAAATAAAGAGTTTTCTTAGACCGTTTTCAATACAACTTCGGTTTTGACTTAAAATATTACGTAATAGAACGCCACACCGGCGCCGGCACGTCAGAAGGGAAGACGTCAAAGTGTGACGTTAATGACTCAGTAAGCTTCTTAGTTCAGACGCCCGCCGAGCGTCAAATAACGCCCTATCAACCGTCACCTCTACGTTTCTTTATCGAGCATCTTAAGTTCTCTCCATTTAAAGTAATAGAAAACTGTAGAACGCCAACAGATGCGACTGTTACGAGAATTTCACTACCTACTCTCTAATTGTCTTGTCAATGTAGACCTATAATGCTGATTATTGTTTTTAACTTTTAAAAGGGATTGAAACGTCAAAGGGTTTAAATATGAGCAGATTTAAAGAAAAGAGGTTAGAAAGGGAACAAAAGAAAAACAAGCTAAGAAGCTTTAAGTGGCGAGTTTAATGCACCATTCACTGTCATTACTGTCAGACAAATGTCAAGCAGCGGCGCTATAACTGCGGAGAATCTCCGCCACGCGCCCTAAGCAAACTATTATCGGAAAATAGTTGGACCATAACCGTGCCAGACCATCCAGATTGCATGGTGTGCACTGAACCGTTGATGGATAGATAGGATAATATCGTTGGATACGGGTTACCAGCGCCATCTAACCAGCAATATTCACTGATAAATTAATAGCCTTGGGCCAATCGTTCATTGCTTATCTCCTTCGCCGTTCCAAAAAATATAGGTCGACGCCACCTGTCTGCGTTATTACAATACTAATAGCTATTAAATCGAAAAATAAAATGGACTCTTAGTCTAGGTCTCATTAATAATATAATTAATGCGTAATTTGATTCATCTGTCCAACTTAGCAATGTACGTTTTGGTACTTAACTAGTACAATTTATTTAATCCGAGTAGTTGATATATAGCCCTTATAAACTGAGGCCTTTTTTTTTCCTCATATATATCCTCTTCCTACCTTCTATCCCGCCTTTTACGTTCTTACCGTTCATATATTATCTAAATTATCAGTGAAGCCTTAGAATTCGAGCAAACGACGGTGCTGTCACATCCTATAAGCATTCCATTTGTTACTCCGGTAGAATTTTTGCAGCTTTTGCGGTTCACGCCGAGTGCACTGCATTCGCCATTACTTAATAGTTATGGGTGATTGCGTAATAGATGCGATCATTATTCATTCATAATGTACCATATGGGCTAAAAATAATCAGATTTTGATAGAATAAACAATAAAAAATGAGTAAAAGTTAAGGAATAAAAGGTTAAATACATCTTAAATAATTTTTTCTTACATTTATTATATCAAATCTATAAAATAAGCGAAATGTTTACAAAATTATACTTGATTAATAATAGAGGAGGGATGTTTTCGTGTTTAGGCCTATGTAAAATAAAAATTACAACACGCTATGTGTGTACAGGCCGTAGCACGTGTTTTACATAAAGAAAAAACCAGCTGTTTTTAGAATGACAGACATTGTAAAGGCGGCCCTCGTTTAATTCTTTTGAAGTCTCCTAATTACTGCAAATATACACAAACTGAAAAACTCGCTCCGACACTGCTCATTTCACACGCCGTTGAACGCTACAACTCATTTCAGGCGTCGCTGAATGTCTTATTATCTTTTGAACGACTAAAGGGGCGGACAAGCTCTTGTCCATCAGTCGCTGCTACTTTTCATCTCTAAAATATTTGAATGATGACATAGAAGCAGGTTGAACTATTTTACCGTCTGCTAAATGGTACTAATGGTGTGTTGCAATAATGGAGCATTTTGTTCAGACGCTCCACCTCGAGAGGGTCGAAGACGGACGACGTGACAAAATTACACGACACGCCAATTTATCTTCCGTATGCAAGTTATTGTCAAAGAGAAGCAAATGGTTTCATTTTACCTATGTATGATAGGATGACGTAATGATAGATGCTCTTTTTGAGCGAATTTATGAAATCCTAGATGAATTTTACAAAATCTTTATCAGGCTGCTTTGCTGATAACAAGCTGGCTGCCAAATAGAAAACAGACCGACTATAGCATCGAATGACAATTAGGCTTAAGGTCATTTTCTATTATAAACATTGCCATCTTATGCCTAGGGACCGTCGAAAAATACATCATTAATAACTTCCAACTCTTCTTCTTCTTTTTCTCCTCTCTCTCTCTCTCTTTGTAAATACAATTATATATATATATCTACACACATCTCTCTTTAAACTCTACATTATATAGCCATCAGCCATTACCAGCTCGATATAATCTAACCTTATCATTTAATATGAATACATTAAAGCTATAGCTATTTAAAGGGATGAGAATACACTCATTCGAAGAAAACTTATCCCAATAATTCTGTTTTTATTAAGCAGTCGGTTGTCGGTACGCTCTGTGATCTTAGTCGCACCATTAGTGTTAATTGCTCGGCGTCGAGCGCAGTCTCTCATTATAAGTATTAAGTATCTATCTTTCTAATCGATGATGTTTTTTTCACTCCTTTTCCAATTCCACGGTCTTTTATTCTTCCTTATTATTATTCATTATTCAAGATATTGACCGCTCTCCTAACTGTTGAGCACACATAGGGGGTATGATATCTAGATAAATAAACAAATATATATATAACCTATATTGAAGCAGTAAATGCTGTTTGAAAATGCATAGAATTCAGTAAATTACCACTGATCACGCTACTAGTGGTCAGCTACAGGGAGTCATTTCTTCCTTGATGGCTCTTTAACACGCGAACCTGCTTTACCTTTTGTTTGAGAGAGGGAAAAGGGGTGGAAAGAGTAAGAGAAGCTAAGGACAGCGGGGGTACATGTTCATTCTAAGCCCTTTTTTTTGGCTAGATAAGGCTTACAATGACTGCTTATCAAAATACAAGATCAAATTGAAATGTTACTAATATCTATTGAACGGCTATTCTGTTCGATAATTGAAAAAGCCGGTGAGTACTTTTGTAAGAAAAGGCTCTGTAGGTAAGGAAGGAGCTACCGTTGAAAAAGGCGGAGCTAGGGGCGGGGCGCCGTCCGTCAATCAAACTCTCATGGCTGGTGCAGATCTGCTTGGTAAGGCGCCATGTTACCACACTGTACCGAGTCTATTCAGAATTCGAACATGCCAATAATGTTGAATAGCGATGACGTAAGCGATGGACGCTTAGCGTCACAATCTCGCCTATTACTACAACTCAACAAGTTCTACAACGAAAAGGTCATATCCAGGCAAGCGTCTACAGCCAAAACTATTCGAGATGTATGCAAAGTTGTGGTGGACGTTCTCAAAGAAGTAGAAGTTCAAGAACCCCGTTTTATAACAACTCTCTCTGAAAATGGAGGTCGCTTTGAAGGTCTAGAAGTAAAATCTGCGACTGAATTCGAAGTCGTCTTATTTCTCAATCAAATGGGAGTGTTCAATTTCGTAGACGATGGTACTATTCCAGGCTGTTCTGTGCTAAAGTTAAGTGACGGTCGGAAGCGTTCAATGTCTTTATGGGTTGAATTTATTACAGCCTCCGGTTATTTGTCGGCGCGTAAAATCCGCTCCAGATTCCAGACTTTAGTTGCCCAAGCCGTCGATAAATGCTCTTTCAGGGATACAGTAAAGTTAGTAGCCGAAACTAGCGAAGTCAAGTTAAAGATTAAAGATCGTTTCGTAGTCCAAATTACACCAGCTTTCAGATGCGGCGGAATATGGCCCAGATCTGCGTCTCATTGGCCAGCAACGTCTCCATGGCCTAGTCCTAACCTAGTCGCTGAAGTTAAAACGGAAGGATTTAATTTATTAAGTAAAGATTGCGTCTATATGAAAGATAAACAATCGTCGGCGTCGGCCGCCGAGGGAGACGCCTGGATATTATCCTTTACAGAAGCCGAATTAATTCTATTAAGTGGCGGCTGTAGGCGACGAGTATTATCTATATTAAAAACCCTAAAGGAAAGACATTTACAAATTCCAGGCGAACCACTAACAAACTATCATATGAAGACGTTAGTTTTGTACGAGTGTGAAAAACATCCTAGAGAATCCGACTGGGATGAATCTTGTATTGGAGACCGGCTCAACGGTGTTCTTCTCCAACTGATTTCCTGTCTACAAAACCGCAGGTGCCCCCATTACTTCCTACCTAATTTAGATTTATTCAGAGGAAAATCACCCGCTTCTTTGGATTCAGCGGCAAAATGTGCTTGGAGAATCCTACGCGACTTGGTAACAAACAGCCGAAATTTGGAAAATTTATAAGAAAGTAATAAAAAATATGGCAAAAAGAGGACGATATCAAATTGCCTCTTGATGACCTTTTAGTCTTGACAGACGCACAGCACGTATGTATATGAAGTTGATTTATATTACAAGCCTTCAGTATTATATATACACTTTATACAAGATATATATATATATATGTATTATAAAGCGTTCTTTATATTCCTTTTGTATGTCCATGTATATATATATATATAAATATATACATTGCCTTGTATATCGACGAGTCTGTTTAATAACTGGGTAAACTTTATCGTAATCGTTTTGGACAGATCAATTACTTTTTTTAAGAACTGCCGACCCCCTTTAACAAAATCGCCTTTATTTTCATATCAGAATGGAAAATATGTTGTGTATATATTTAAATAAATGTAAAACTCCATAAACTCTATACATATATATATATATATAAATTATATATTATATATGTATAAATGTATAAATTCTGTATATTTTCATATATAATTCATATATAAGCGCAGAGAAAAGAACATAATAAATAGTCATAATAAAACTTAAAAAGAACAATACAAGATAAAGAGATAGAGAGAGTTAGACAATTTATACAAGTTGCGTTTATTGCCGCAGCTGTTGGAATGGTAACAATCTGTTCTTTTCTAAAAGTCGAAAGCTTTAAACATTCCGTCAGCACCGCAACTTGCCAGACGTTAAAACGCTCAGAAGCACCTTGATGAGGCGGTTCGTGTAAACAATTGGCACGCTTAACACGCGTCTTATTTTTTCTTGTTGTAAATAAATAAATAAGTGATAATCATAGCTATTATAATTGTGTTTAGAAAGAAGATATTAGTAATGATATTGCACGGATTTATTTCCGCGGATTGTATATAAGAAAGGAAAGATAGATAATGAGACGTTGGTAGGATCAAACACTAATAGCTTGAATGCGACCGGCCATAACTCAATTCGGTAATCGTTTTTCTTCGAGAAAATTCAATTTTCTCCCATTTTTTTCTTTTACCCCCATCAATTCTTAAACAAAGGATGACGCTGTTAAGCTGAAGGTGTATAGACGACGGGCCGTCGTTCAGCACTCGAACACAACTGCATTTGCAGCCATTGCAGCGTGCTCGACACAAGGGAGACAGTGATTCGATTTGTAACGCTACAATGCTTGATGGAGTCTCTCGCGTCGATTTTTTGCAGCATTTCTACTCCGCCGCCCCTAACAATCAATCTAAACACTTTTCGTAGACGATGACTGCTCGACCGGGTAGAATTCTTCAATCATAGTCAGACTTACAGCACGCAAACTCCTCGTGTATCTCTCAGTAAGGTGCCGATATCCTTGCTCGCTATAAAATCATGAATCTCTACAAAATTCCAACTGTAATATCTTTGCGTGCTACCCCCTCCCTTTCCACCTCTCTCTCTCTCTCTCTCTCTCTCTCTCTCTCTCTCTCTCTTCCGTCTTATTAAGAACTCTAGTCTGTTTGCTATTAGAAAGCATGCGCCCTTAACACCTTTATCACTCTGCAGACTTTGTTTAGACACATAGGGAAGCGTTTACCCAGAGGTCGCCGAATAGTCCTATGTAATTGTCCACGCAAACATCTTTGTTGAAGGTTGAAGAGGTAGACGCAAAGAGGATACAAGAGGGTATGTATCGTGTGAATAAATCGGGTACATAAGGCGAACTATAAAAAAAATCGATAATCTCTTGCGCATTATCAATTATTTATACCATTTCGCTTCCTTATCTAATTATACAAATGACTCTTACTCTTTCAATATTATACAGGATTAAGTGTGATTATTTTCCTACCCAATATTTACATTTTAAAAGGTAAAACAAATAAAACTACAAGAAAAAGAACTAAATCGAAATAGATTAAACATTTTCTTTTAAATTAGAATGAAAATCGGTTTCAAACGATTGAATCTAAAAAGAATTGTTGACATGAACACAATGCAAATTCCGGAATATTTACCCGTTTCGTTTCCCATTCATTCAATATAGTCATTTTACTTGGTAAATGATAATTAAATTTTGACTTCTTAACCGTAAAATGATAAGAGCTCTTTTATATGTTTTAATAAGTTAGGAAAGAAGGATAGGATACGAAGAAAGAAACGTTATCCTTTAACCATTCACTAATAACAGAATACAATCTATTTATCCTTTGAAAAAGAATAACAAACTCTCAAATTTCATTTCCTTTTTATTACATAGTTTATTATATTTATTATAAAGTTTATTATATAAATATACGGAAAAATATGTCATTCTTTCCAGACATTCCTATCCTTTCTTATCTTATTATTTTTTCTCTAAATAGAGAAAGGCAAACAGAGAAAAGAAACTATTTAAATTTTGCATGTAAAGATTTTTTAAAAGGTCAGTAATTACGACTTAATGCAACGTTAATAGCGTGAGAAAAGCAAAAGAAAAGGGAGAGACCGAGGAGAGCTTGTCACAGGACGTATATGGTTTCATGTCAAATGTTCAGTGAATCGTAATAGGTGGCGCCAAGTCTTGGCCTAATGAAAGTCAAAGATGATGATATCAAAACAAAAAATTCTATTTTTAGTATATTTCCCTTCCCCTCCCTTATTTTTCTTCCTTTCTTCCATTTTTTTAAGAAGTAAAAGTAATAATAGACTGTATATAGATGTTTATATATATAAGAACTCGCACGCGTATTTATAGAGGGATGGAAGAACTTTGATGTAGCGCTTAATGGTAATCAAACTGTCGCGCTGACAAAGGCCAGACTCGAAGCCAGGATGAAGGGAAGAGGCTAGAAACGCCTGAGGAAAAGGATAAAGATGCGGCATGCCCAGCGATGACAGAGCGTCGATACATACTTTAGATCTTATCTTCCCTTTCAGAGCCCCGATCCACTAGCTTTTTCAATAGAGTCTTGGCATAAGTACTACACGGGTTTTCGCCTAATAAAGCGAACTGTATATATGCAAATAATTTCGTCTTTCAACCGACCCGTGACGTCGTAGCGACGTCGTAGTCACGCTTCCTTTCCTGTTTGGGGATTCGTTTTGACAAACTGCCGCTTCTGTATTGCATTATACGAGAATATATCGACCGCTCTACACATTCCCCTGTTTTATATTTTCTTATTGTGTCTTAGCGATTGTTTAAGTTAAAATCATAAAACAATGAAAAGTGCTAAAAGCCAGTTACCTTCCTGCCCTCATCAAGGTTATAGGTCAGATACATTGTGTTGGAAAAGTTCATTTCGCATTATAATAAATAGGCCTACCCTACAAAAAAACCCCATTCTAACCCTTACACCCTCTTCCACGGTTTTTTTTCTCTCTCTCCTCCCCTTCCTTTTATACCTTTAGCAAAAGGTAGTTCGATTAGAATCGTAACATGAAAAGAAATGAATAAAACCTTGACGTTACGGTCATTTGCCGTTTGATATATACAGCGTATGTTATATATCTTTATAACAACATATATTTTCTACACTCCAATATTAAACTTTAAAAAAAAAAGGAAAGAATTTCGCCCGGAGGCTGTGCCAAAGTTCTGCATCCAATTTCGCGATTTCGATAGCGTTAATGGAACGTTTGAGTGACGTTTTAAACATACCTTTTGTAAAAAAGAAGACTTTGGATAAGGAATAATTCGATTGGATTTCACTTTTTCTTTTATTATAAGCATTTATAAAGAAATTGATATAATACAGACACTTTTTTTTCCTCCACCCATTTTTTATTACCCTCCAACTTGCTTATTCGCTTCTCTTATTATATTTCTTTATTTAAATGGATATAGTCTCTTTCTTTATACTTTATTGTTTCATTTTCTTCGCTTTAATTCGTAATACTGACCCTTCTTCAAACAAAACTAAAGAGACGTTATATTTCATATAGATATACATATTTATTTATTTATATAGGTTATACGTTCAGCGCACACAATTTGGTAGATATCGCCATCTATTGTCAGTTAGGGAAAAGTTTTTTAAATATAGATGGCAGTACATACCTACTTTCAAAAAAGTCTGGTATCGAGGCCGCCTCTGTAGGATATTGTTATCGCCCTGGTTACTTTATAAACAACCGGTTTAAATATGAGCCATTTTTGGTGGATATCTAATAATTACTGAGAAAATTTATACCATAATAAACAATCGAGACATTATTATTCACATAAAATGGCAAGAAGTTGGCGAAGAACGATTAGTGATGCCGCAAATTGGCATCAAGATCAAGCACTAAATGCAACAATATATATACTCAGACAAACTGGCCCAACAGGTTTTCTCTTAAAGGAGGATGGGGAGGAAAAAAAGGTTAAGGTATATTTAGGAGATCCTCATTCATGTAGCTGTTCAGTATTTCGTAAAGAGAAGGATGTTTGTAAACATATAAGTTGGATTCTTTTAAAGAAGTTTCGCATTCATCGAACAAATCCTCGTACGTTAAGGTTCAAATTCGCATAAACAATATGTACAAAACATACGTTAAAATTACAGTAACATGGCAATTAGGTCTAGTAGAACGTGAACTAAATGAAATTGTAAATGGAGATGCACACGTACGTCAACAACGAATAACAGCTGCAGCAAGGCGAATTGCGAAGTCCGCTTCAAAGAGGAATGATAATGAAGAGGAGGAAAGTAAAAAGGACGATAGTGGGGTTGAACAAAAAGAAATATCTGATGATGATGTTTGTCCAATATGTCAAGAAAACCTACTTGATAAAAGATTACCAGTAACGTATTGTAGGAATGGTTGTGGAAACAATGTTCATATAAAATGTATGAAAGTCTGGGCTGATCATCAAAGATCAACTGGACAAACCGATATTACTTGTCCATTTTGTAGAGAAAATTTTGGTTCTTTTCACGAATTAGCAACTCAAATGTATAATTCAAGAAGCGAACGACCCTCAACGGATGTTAATGGTTTACCCCAACATCGGGGTATTTCGTGTAATTCTTGCCATTTAGTACCAATAACGGGTAAATGCTATAGGTGTGGTTCCTGTGCTGATTATCATCTGTGTCAAATTTGCTTTAATTCTGAGGCTCATCGTCATCACTCTTTTTTATATAGACAAGTATAAAATAAATTTTCAATACTTATTTGAAAACTTTCTAACATCTGTCCCTATTTATTGTTTACAGAGGCCAAATCAAAGATGGAAACCGGCTCACCGAGAAGCCGTATCAACTTTACCACAAGCTATTATCGAAGATATTGGCCGACGAGAATTAGTTGATGAAGATTACGAGCTACTGCTACAACTTGATAGTGATCAACCTACAGGATCGGACCTGGATGAATCGGTTATTCAAAGTTTAAGTCAGCAACGCCTAGGTAGTCACAGCACCCTTCTCCAACCAGGCAGACAATGTCGGGCCTGCCTTAAACCTTACAATGCGGGAGATTTTGTCAGACGCTTACCCTGTTCCCATTTATTTCACCGTAGTTGTATTGACAGTTGGCTATTGCATAGGAGGGCCTGCTGTCCTCAATGTGGAGCAACCTTTACAAATCAAGGTCTAAGACAATACTTGACCGAAAAACGTCGTTCAAATTCGATAGAAGTCGCCAGCAGCCCAAAGACTGGAGAAAAATTTCAACTATGCGTTCCCTCTGTCGGCTTACAACGCAACAAAAGCGCCGACAACAGGGTGTCGAGACCAGTTCATCCGAAACGACCTCACCGCCTCCCACCATTCGTCCCGCCTACTTTTCCTCAAGGGAGCACCCTGGATTCACCGTTGGAGGTGAATGGCCAAAGACAAGCGCCGTCTAGCGCCATACTTTTAGCCAACAGTCTATTGAAGAATACTCGAAAAATGATTAATACTGGGCTTAAATCTAGGCAAAGAGAGTCTGATACATATTGGGGAGCCGTTAGAGAAATAAATGGGGACGAAATGTTTCTATCCGGTAATGCAATTTAACCCAAAAACAGCCAATTGTTACAAACTGTAAGGCAAAACTAGTTTTATAACTATGGGAATGTTAATGAACGAAAAATGTGGATCTTGAACTATGGACCATATCGTATAAGAAACAACAGGTTTAAAGTACGAAGCTAGAGTTACATCATTAAATTGACAAATTCATTTATTCCTTTTTAAGGAGTCCTTGTCCTTGACACCACCTGCGTCGGTAAAAAAATTTATTTAGACTTAACATAAAACCACGGGACCCACTAATAATTTCTTATTGACAAAGGACCAAATTTTCGCTTGAACAAGATTATATCAGAGGATTCACATTTATTTTTGCTTTTTAAATATTTTCTTAGATAAAAATAACTATACAGGCCTATCAGGCATAGTTACAACATAAGTTCCGTTTGTCGAACTAGTAATCTCTTTTTCATCTCTTTCTAGACCTCCAAATAAAACTAGTTCACAATGAGCAAGAGCTGCATTGAAGAAGGCCAGATCAGGTATAGACAGTTCAAGGTTGACTTCAACGCGTTGTAGTTTGTTTTCTTCTTTTAAGATGTTGGCATCGAACGTACAAATAAGAGCTGGCTTATAGTGTTTGGCACCGGTTAAAGTTTTCTTGTTTTGCCAAGTTGGTTCGCTAGTTTTTGATGGCACAGCTTTCTTTTGTAACTCTCTTAAACGTTGTTCATGCATTCGTAAAATATACAACTGCTTTTCCCTCTTCGTCATTGCTCGATCTGGTGGAACGAAAACCCTTGTTGACTGTTGAGTGGCATCATTAATTGGCTCGGAAATGTTTTCACTTGGAACTTGATTTTCTTCTATGTCAGAATATTTTTGAATTTGAATTTTTCTGCTACTCTCTTCGAATCTAACATATCCATCTCCAATTCTTTTCTTAGCGAAAGCCACAATACAATCGCCGACCTGCAAAATAAGATTAATGTAGTTGTACGAATTTTAGCTTAAAGAGATTACTAAACCCATTAAAACAAACCTGAATAAGAGGAGCATTCCACTTAATGCATATATCACTTGGATTGACAGATATGGTAATTTTAGTCCATTCTGAGGTATCCAAACAAAGAAAATACGCATCCGGGACGGGCTGAAACCGGTTTAACAATTTGTAGGATAATTTATAAAAATCAGGCGATAGTCGTGAAAGTATTGAAAACAATTAGAATGTACGGACATTGACCCGGCGACTGTTGTATTTAACATACAGCACACTGTTCATTTGATGATTAACTATAAAAAAAACACCGACACGACCATCAATTTTAGGTACACACCCTAATATTTCCGTATTCTTGCCATAAACCGCCGAAGATTAACACACGATTACTTAAGGCTAGCTGCGAATGGTGGCTTCTCTTAGCCGGTTGAGCACCAAATGTACGAATAGTTTTCCATTCTAGAGTATCTAAATTTAAAGACTTAACAACGAATCTCCAAACAGAATTCTCGTATGAATTACAAGTCACATATAACTGATTCCCTATGCAACATGCTCCGTGACCTAAAGTTAACACCTCATTGGCGACATTCTCAGGCTTTATCCAGGTTGAGGTGTTGAGATCGTAAAAATGTATATCACTTTCACATTTCATTTCCTAAAGAATAGATCAAAAGAGAATATATTATACAATTTCAAAAATAAGGAATGTCGCTTTTTTAGGTGGCGAATATAAAAAAAAAATGGAATTACATACCGATTTTGTAGTTTCATTTGATAGTACTTTGTAACCTCCGCATAGGATAAGATTTTTACTGTAAAAAGTCAATGTAGGACCAGCTTTTGGTAAGGGACACTGACCTATAAAGAACAGTTTCCGGAAGATATTTAAAAGAATCATATATATGTCTATTTAATACTTTTACCGGTTTGTGACAGCCTAGACCACTTTGCATTACTGAGATCCAACCTGTAAAATTTAAATAGTATGTTTTTATTCTTTAACTTTACTAAGAATGAGAATGTGACTAAAAACCTCCATAAATCATTAAATGCCGTCGAGTGTGTTGTACAGCCACCAAAGACATAAATAAAACCCTGGGCATAAGCCATACAAGATGAGTGCCTGGCCGGAGGATATCGGAAAGCTTCTGAATTTACATTATTATCATTCAATTCGTACACTGTCAGATTATTCGTTTTGAGGCAATTCCTGAATTTTCTTTGATATCGATTAATAGAATCTAAAGTTTAATAGAACATTGTGTGTTAGATTATTAATGCTAGTGAATGGGGGAAAGAGTCGTTTGCTTACTTTCAACTATACTCTTCCAGTATTTGCAAACCAACATGCAATTTTTCAAGTCAGTGTAGAGGGATAAATAAGAGAAGATGTGTTCTATGATCTCCTCCGGTAATTTGCGACCGTTCGTACAATCGTCACTATTATTCATTCTCTACTGTTTTTCAATTAATTCACGTCTTTATTTAGAATCCTTCTACATTTTTTTATGTTTCTTTCTCGAGAGGTTATTGATCGTCTGCTAATAAGTCTGGTTTGTTCTCCGCGCACTTCCGTTTTAGGGTGTTGAGTTCCTCTGCCTAGTTTTGAACAGTATTCAGATACAAAGAAGGTATAACACAAAGGACTCGGGTTATAAACAGTTAAGGACGGTATAGAATTGCCTATTAAGCAGAACTTTTCATTGAAATCACTTGAATTTACAACTGTTCCAAATAGTTATTTACCACTCGCACAGAGCAAAATAAGCAAGTTTTAAATATTATTATAAATTATCTGAATGCAACATGAGCTATAATAATAAAAATAATGATCCCTTGTGCTGTATTTCTCATTGTGACAATATAAATTAATTTATCAATACCAGTCAATATACAGAACGTATATATATACACTTCTTGTCATACTCATTAATTAAGACTTATGAACTTATTTTATAAATACATATAAATATATATTTATACGAATATAGATTTATATATATAGACAGACAGACAGATAGATAGATAGATAGAGAGAGAGAGTGAAATAGATTTAAAAAATGCTATATGTACTATACAAATGACTTGATATTTACTTGATATATGTTTAAATCACATATTTATTTATGTCAAAAATTCAATTGTATTAGATATAAAGGCAATTTTTTTCATGATACTTTGAAAAAAGGAATAAACGAATGAAAAGTCATGCTATAAATATACTAATATTTCTTAAAAAATGCCATATATATATATATATATACTGTATAATTACATATTTATATATATAATTATATATATAAATTCACATATTTGTATATAATATATATATTTGTATATAATTATATATATATATATATTATTTAATATTTTAAAGCATATATGTTATATATATAGTTATATATATATATATATATATATATATATAACTATATATATATCTTTATATACCGCTGGAGGCCGCTGCACAAGAGCAAGAAAACGGGCATAAACAGCTGATCGCTCGTTGAAGACAAAGCGGCGTGAATCGGAAAAGAAATAAAATCAAAGAAACAGCATGCCGATTACGTTCGTTGGTCTATTCACTATTTTATTGGGTTTACAAACCCTTCACTGCCTGCCAACCAATAGAGGGAAAAGCGACGGCGATTCAAATGATATTGATGATAAAACGATAGCAACGGTCAAATTGATGAAGAATATTTTACAAAGTTTAAATATGAAGGCCGCTCCCGAATTATCCAAAGAACAAAAACAGGTTACTGAGAGAACAAGAGAGGAGCTTAAAAAAAGACTGGGAGTGGACGATGCAGAATTGGACAGGCGGTATGAGACCGGCAATATTTTAGGAAAGTCACCAAAGCCAGTATCGGCTCGGTCACTAATCACATCTGCAAGAGACGAGTTTCAGATGAACGAGGTCTATTACTTACATCCTGAACCAAGTAAGTATTTCAGAATGTAGGCTTTTGTACTTTTTCTTGTATAGAATAGAATATAGGCTATATAGCCCTAGACATCTTAACATTCGTATTGTAAAAGGTTGCCCGATCGCCCTATCTATGGCGGTCACAGCATATGTTAGCTGTAAACAAGTTTTAACGAATAAACAATTACATAACAGTGTCCGAAAAAGTTCAATGGCACGCGACCAAGAGAGTGATGAAAAACGCAATTAACATTCAAGTGTCATTAAGGGATCTACTGAATGAGAATAACTTGGTGCACCGTTTGACCAAAGTTAAATTTGAACTTCCCATCCGTAAGGTGAAGGCGCCACATATCCTTCAAAATGGTGCTTGTGTCTTAGCATTCAGAATCGATGAGAATAATCGGGTCAATATTAAAAATAATCTATTTGCCTCTGGAAGATATAGTCATAATAAAAAGCGAGTAGCATTTGAAGGAGTTACCAGTTTAATGGAGATGCTTATTTCTGATTTATGGAAGGAAAATGTAGAAAATTTGAGATTATCTATTATAGTGAGCGCAAAGAAGGCACATTGCCACGATCGCCGACATCTAAAACCGTACCACTTTACGATTCCATCCTTAAGACTCGTTAGTATAAATATTTCTTACATTTATTTTTAATTGTGTTTTTTTTACACATCTTTTTAATTTATATCTTATTCTATTTCTGTGCCTAAAATACTGTTTGTCTGTCTGTAGAATACAGCGCTTAGAGTGTCCTTAAAACCTGAGACAGAAGAAGATAGAACGCATAGGCAAGTAAATATCACCATTCCCGAACAAGGGAGACTAAGAGTAAGAAGAGAAACTGAAGGTGGATGTGATCCTTATCGGCATTGCTGCGTTTCAAGATTCGTATTGAACTTTACTGAAATTGGCTGGGATTATATTGTCGCACCTCGCCGAATTCATGCCGATACCTGTCAGGGAGAGTGCACAGTTGAAAATGTTGCTATTAAACGACCAAGTGAAGTTAAGATGCTAAGGACGGTAAACATGTGCTGCGTTCCAACTCGTATGGAACCTATGACTATTCTGTATATGACAACTAGCGAAAATTTAGCGATAAAGCATGTAGCCGACGTTAAAACGTCTAGATGTGGTTGTCGTTAGACAAAAACAGACAAAAAATTACTACAAAAATTCTTCCACCACTATTTCTCCTTTATCTCTTTCTATCCTCTCTCTTTTTCTATTTCCTTCCTTCTATTTCTCTCTCTTTTTTTCTCTGTTTCTCTCTCTTGCTATCTCATTACCTTAAACCTCATTTTACTTTATTTAAGGAAGAATTGTAAAAACAACGATCAATATGCATTTAGGACAAATAACTAGCAATTATTCTATAAACAATTTTTTCATCTATTTTAAGCATTTAATGCGCATGCTTCTTTTTTCTCTCTCTCTCCCTCTCTCTCTCTAAAGTATTCTTTCTTAGTACTATTTTTTTTTATATTTTATCTCTCAGCCGACAGAAAATATTCACTTATATAATAATTAACTAATTAAGTTTAACAAATTAAACTAAAACTAGTTTTAAAAATAATAACCATAAAAAAAAGTAAAAAAAAAAACAGTAAAAAACAATAAATTAAAAAAAAAAATTAGATAAAATCTTTAAAAAACTTAAAAGCTTTAATTAAAAATAATTCTATTTTTCTTTTAATTAGTTATTTATACTTTTATTTATTTATTTATTTCATTGATAATCTCTCTCTCTTTTTTTTTTCTCTCATTTATTTTCTTTTCTCTCTCACTCTCCGTCACATACACATACATACATACATACATACACACTTTTCTATATTCTTCATCTTTTTTCAATAATCAAAAAACAAAAAGAGAAAAAAGAATAACTGAGAAAGAAAACTTTTTACTTTTCTTTTCTACTTCATTTTTCAATATTCTGGCAAAAAAGAAAAAAAAATGAATTAAAAAAAACAAAACAAAACAAAACAAGCAAAAGAAAAAAAATAAAATGAAAAAAGTTACTAAAAATGATAAAAAAAAATAGATCATTAATAAAAAATATTATAATAAAATATTTTTTTAATAGAAAAGTTGTTTTTTTAAAAAAAAATAATGTTTTGGTTTTGTTTTTCTTTTTTTTCTATCTTTCTTGCTTTTTTCCATTTAATAATTTCTTATTTTGACTAGAAAAAAAATATGTTCTTTTGAAAAAAGGAGAAAAAAGTTTTTAGACAAAAAGTTATATATTTTGAATCAAAAAAAAAAATAAGAAGATCTTATTTGTTTTTGCAAACATAGTATAAAGGACACGAAAAAAAACAAAAAGTAAGAAAATAATCTTTAATTGTAAAAGAATAAGATATATATGTGTGTGTAACGCGCTCACCCGGTGATCGAATTAGTTAAAGATAACAAGTCCGCTAAAAGCATGCTCGAAGAGTGTCTAATTCAGTTAAAATGAAAATTTTAACAAAGCGATATCTTTAAATGGGACATAGATAAAATATTTAAGAGGTTATTATATGCAGTATTTGAAACTGTACATATATATATGTATATATATATACTAATATATACATATATATATATATATATATGTATATATTTTTCGAACTTTGTGCTTTCTTTACATAATAATTTACCGGCTCTTTCAGCGGTAATAATTTAAATAATTCGGCTAAAGGAGCACGGCGGACGAAATTTGTCTGTTTTACAAACTTTTGCAAATATAGCAGAGTGTATACGTGAGAAAAAAAAAAACAACAAATGGAACTATGTAACAAAAAATATTTCATACTCTTTGGTGTTCTATGCGTTGTAGTTTTAAAAAAGATAATAAAAACGTATGTAATACTGTAATACCGATCTCATTTGACAACAAAAAACATATTTCTTTAAAAATTTTTGTGCTTTTTTGTTCAAGTAAAATTCATATATACAGTGTTGCATATATGTGAATGTTAATGTGTATGTCTATGTCTATAATATTTAAATATGTGTATGTAAAATAAAAATATCAAATTGTAAATAATGTGTCAGGTTTTTTTTTGTAAAAGAAATATGCCCTCAGTGACGTTGTTTAATTTATTTGTTATACTATTTGCCTATCTATATACATAAATCTATCTAGTATATATATATATATATACAGTATATATGTATATGTATATACATACTTTTAATATGTATACAGCGCTTTTAGCAATTAACTTATTTTGGTTTTTAATAAAGTTTAAGCAATTTCTTACATATGGTCTACATTTTACAAAAGACTCCTGCGCACTTAGCATGCACGCTTTTAATTCGTGCTACCTAGTTTCGAAGGTCAACGCCTGACCTAAAAATACTAATCAGGGACTAATAAATCGCTTGTGTGAATGAACTTGGAGTAATACGAGTTGACATAGCTGATATCACACCTTCTCCCAAGGAGGTCTTAAACTATTTAACCAAAGCTCTCTTCATCAATATTATCACCCGCTACGCTTTTGTTGAACCTTGTAATTATGATATTGGGTCAAGGTCAACTGTCTGACTCATTTAATCGAATATTGTGCTCGTATGTAGTTAGACAATAACTTATTATGTAATAATACTGTAACATATCCGTTTCAAAATTCTATTTGTTGCACTAAATAAATATCTATCGACCTTTTTCATACTGATATAATGTTACTCAACTAATTTTTCATATATTCAATCCAATGATCCAACGAAGAGTTCATTTTCATAGAAAAAAGAAAAAAATCAGCAAAAATTCTAACCAATATATGAAAGATATCGTTACTTCATTATCATAGACAAGCAATACCATCTGATATATTTGGCCTAGAATGCGTGGGATAAAACTTTGAAATATCTTCCACCCAACCTCGAAATTCCCGACATAAATTTTTCAACATAAACCAAATTTAGAGCACAAATAGATTGTTTACGATGTTTACATTTCAATTTATACATAAAGTCAACCTAATTTTTACTGAAGCTTTCTAGGAAAATGTTTTGTCTCAATGTAAACATACTAAGACCTGTGCACTCTAGCTATAGAAAGTCTTACTTGCGATATATGTCGTACAAATGTTAAACGAGTAACCTGTTTAAAGAGAAAAAATTGTTTTGAAAGCAAAATTGTTTCACAATTTGAAAGGAAAAATGTCTCTAAATGGCTCACAAACAAATGTATCCTTTAACTTTAATGCACTCGATTAAAAACATCTATAAATAAATATACAAAATTCATGTTGACGATGCCACAGTTCAGGGAGATTTATTCTATTTTCATTCACATTTAATCAATTATAATGAGAAAAACAATATACACCGTCTTCTGTCAGTTCATGGTATGTACACAAAAACAAATTTCCTTTCTTTAGAACAACCTCCAAGTTGGTTTATAGCCTAGCGTTTGAGACCACCCAGGCTTGTCGTTTAATATAGGATGCTAAAAATAGAAATAAGATTAATGATAAAATTTTGTTTGTTAGATATCCTATTTAATTCGGGTGAATTCTATTTTAAAAGTGACCTACCTCGTTTATTTCCTGTATTAATTCCACTTCTTCATCAGTTGGTACAAGCTCTGGGCAATCAAGATCCGGAGAATGAGAAACTAGCACTCGATCTATTTGATCTTTCGATCCATAGCTAAAAATAAAGAAAACAATTTTTAGTAAATACGATCAATAAGAGAAATTAAATAAACTCTTTAAAAGCTTATCAACCTTTTGCGAAGGGAACTCCAATCGTCTTCATCATTACGGAACCATTCTAAAAACTTTTGTTCGTCCAAACTATCGCTAGCCAAGTTGATGGTCTTTACTTCTTGCACAATCTAGAATGGGATAATTAAAAAGAAACACCAAATCATAAAGTTTCCATTAAAAAATGTTTAAATTCCTATAGAATAAAACTAACAGTATCCATTTCCAAATCGTCGGCTTCCTCGGACCAATCAATTTGTAAAACCTCGCCATGTTTTCTTAATAATGAAAAAAGTATTTTTATGCTCAACTAAAATGTTCCAAGTGTTAACTTACTTCATTTCCGGTAAAAATTTCGTCTTAAATATTGAATCTAATTTAGAAAGATAGGTGTCGTTGAATGCAGGGCTATTCTTTTCTCCGTACTATTGGATAAAAGATTAGAATATCAATGAATAATTCAATACATTAAATAGAAATGTAAATAAATAAACTAGATCAAAAAAAAAGGAGGAACATTTTCATATCTGAAACTCACTCTAGATTTTTTAAAACTTCTATCCTTCCATGTTTGAATAGGAGTATCCAAATATATAGTCAAGTGGGGCTTGATCAATTCGCAAATGGAATTCAATCGCACTTCATTGTAATATTTCATTGCTGAAATTACAGAAGAATTTGAAATTTGGATAGCTTTAATGAAAGTAAAATCTTTTTACCCCCTTCAGACATAAAACCACTGGCTTTCATAGCTTCAGCATATACAATGTCACTCCAAACCGATCTAACTATGACAACTCCTTGTCCAGTATTAAGTAAGTGTTGAAGAGCAGCGCAATACTGACGAAATTTTTCCTCATACATTTGAAATTGTAGTTTACAGCCTAATTGATCTTTCGGATGGGGATTCTCATAAAACATTTTTGTGGTATAGAAAGCTAGCTTTGGTGGCAGGAATTCATTGAGAATTCTCAAGTCATATCTGTAGTAAGATATTTAAACGTATACATTTTGAATTTTTTCAGACTAGTAAAAAAATACCCAGATTGACGATCAATCCACAACGAATCATCATGTACACTATCAAACACTTTTAAATCAAATTGTTTAGCAAATTTGTGTGCAAAGTCGGTTTTTCCTACACCTGGTCCACCTTCGACCAATATTGCTTTTGTATTCTCATTAAATCTATGGATTGTTTTGTCAAAAATTTCAGACATCATAGTGAACTTCTTCTTCTCATAAGGAAAGGGTTTTTGGTACCCAAACGGCTCGCCTATCAATAAAAAATAAATGTTTCAATAATTTGTATTTTAAATTTAATGTTCTAACCGTATGTTGCTCTCATATAAGAGGCCGATGCCGATGGAACAAACACAAGACTAAGGTTTGAGTTAACTCCCAAGTTAGTGCATAAGAATTGACCAGTTTTTCGTAAAGCACACTTAGCAATTATTGTCATCTTGAATTATTGAGAGTGCCTAGACGCTATCGTTTACAAATATCAAGAAAAATTAACTTTATTAGAAAATAAAGATGACCTTGTCACTTTGACCGGAAGCGGAAAAAGCAGGCAAATTTTACAAAAAATGTTGATAGAGGGCACTGCCATCGACTTATTCAAAAAAAAAATTATTGTATTTCGTATCAAATGTATTAACAGGTGAAGTAGTCCTTAATTAATCTTCGTTCATAATTTTACCGTCAATAGACAAAGATACAAAGGCTTTAAAGACGCTAAAAAATACACTCCAGTAAATTCTTTAAACAGAACTTAAAAAGACAAAAAGTAATTTTCTAGACCATAAATTATTATGTAAAAAATTATGAACCAAAACTAACGCCATATTTCATTTTTATAAAAAAAACTGATTTTATCAATATTAGACTGGATTTAATACTTGTCGTTTTCTAGAATCAATATCCTTTTATTCAATCTTTTATCACTTAATATGAAAGTAAACTATTTCATTAGTTAAAAAAACATGATGTGAATTACCTTATTCAAGATTGATTGACGTAAAGCGCGTAAAATAGGATTAATTTTGGGCAAGCAGTAAAGTGACTTATTTAAAATAAATGTTTGAACTTTACACAACTGTATAATATTACGCTTAAATTACGATTAAGTGTTTTTACGTGCCAGCTCACTTGTATAAATAAGTAAAGGATTCTTTTTAGTTTATATATATATATATACTATAATAATGTTAATATTGGGTAAATATAACATTTAGTTCGCTAAATAGCTTCGAACTTATCTATTTAACTGCAAATATATTAAGCTTAATTAGGTTAATTATATTGTAGGGTTTGCTATGATAATTACTTAGTTGTTTGGGGAAAAAACAGTTTGAAAATTTGAAAAACATGCTCTGTTCCAAGCGCCCTCTTTTTACAGAAATGTAACCGGAACCCGTCTAAAATTTCCAAAAAAACATTTTATGATAGTTTCGTACAATTAATAGGCAAGCGTTGATAAACAGAGGTGTTATATACTATGTGGAATTCTTATATTGTGACTGTACTGGATATCTAATCAGATATTATTTGTGTTTAAGTGATTTTAGAAGGTTATTGAACACAAAATTACGTTCAGGTAATTTTGTATCTCGTAAGGATCGCTAGAAAATTAACGTTATCACACCTGGACAACTTTCTTTTGACGGATTCTATCAGAGATCATTGATTTTTTTAAATTTAACCTCAGGAAAACATATTAAACCTTCGTGAAGATAATGAAAGTTACAGTTTGTTTCGGTTCTACCAAGGTAGTAGTACCTTGTGGTGATGGAGCATTAACAGTTGGCAATCTCATCGACAAAGCAGTTGTTCGGTACAAAAAGGCAATAAATAAAGTAAGTGTTGCTACCAATGTCTTATCTAAATTGTTATCAGTATATCATAATGCATTGGTAAATATGTTGAGCAATTTTTTCAAAACTTTCACTTTGAACGGTCCTGGCATTCCAACCGTCAAAAGCACCTGCCGAGCGCTACCGCTACACCTGCTTGGTGTATATGACGCGTGCTGAATTTGATGAATCCCATGTGCTCGTCCTGTTTATTTATGTTTTATTAGCAAGTAATTTCTAAACTAACTTCCCTCTAAACACTGAATTAGTCTTTTACTAATTCCATAATAAAAAAAGAAAGAATTTCCCTTCCATTACATACAATCAAAGTATTTATTTATGCAGCTAAACGAAAAGAGTTTCGATACGGATATCTAATTTACAATATCCAAGTTATCACTCTAAAAGATTACAAACCTAAAACATGCGTCTGCAAACTAATTCTCCCTTCACCATCCCCCTTAATTTATTTGGATAAACTTCTAACCCGTTTCACCTAAGGGAAATTTATTCTATCTGTACTTTACATATAATTTAACATTTTAAACTATAAATATAAACGTACTCTCATCATCGTATTCATACCCGCTGCCCCACCCCCGCTATCTTTCTTCTCCATTTAGTTTCCAATAAAAGCTTTATAGGCTTACATAGTTTTTTATCATTATTATTCAAAACGTGTTCCGGTCCAGAACAAAATTCACTATTTACTTGCCAAAAGCGATATAAAGCTATTTCCCGTCTACCTAGTAGAATAACGGACATGCGTTTGTGTATGATAGGCTTACTTTTTAACCTTTTTTTTTATTATTCCTAAAAAGGTATACGATACGTCATGTATGCTTCTATTTTTTAGTAATTCAAAATTTCAATATTAGTTGTATTGTTGATGTTTTTTATCTCCTTTTTTTGGGTGGGATGAAATAACTTTTTTCGTTTACTAAGAAAAGTTCGGAGTTATTATAAAATTTTTAATTGTAAAAAGAAAAGTTAATGTAGAAAGTCAATAAAAAAAATTTACGAATCGGTGAAATGAAAAAGGAAAAGAAAAAAGATAAAAGAAAAACTAAGAGAAATATTAATAAAACTTGTGGAGCGGTCGAAGAAGAATATATCACGGGTGATGAACTGGCTCCGCCAGTACCCTTACCCCCTCCAGCGCCGCCCCCATCCAAGTTGTCGCCAAGTTTGCAATCAGTTATACCATTCATGAAACAAAGAGTGAATCAAGTTGAATCGAAAGCGAAAAAAAAGAAGAAAAAGTGTGAAAAGAGCATGAAATTGATAACAAGAGAATTAATTGACGATATTTCTAAACTAGGCTTCAGTTACGAGCCGAGCAGTGATAGTGACGATAACTGCACTACAAGGAATGAAAACTTTCAACGTGTTTCTAGTAAAGAGAAGATAAAGGAGATGCAGAAAAATACTGCTGAAGATCTGGACTTATTCTCAATCAACGAAGACGATGATTGTGAAGATACGGTGTCTAAATCGACCGTTTTATCAGCAAAATCTGTGCAGGCGATAGTAACTAAACAAGCAGCTCCTCTCTCATCTGTCATTATTCCACCTAATAGGCTTGTTCCTTTACCCGCCTTTACTTTAGCCAAACAAACGACGGACATTCGAGCAAGATTTCCTACTCCGTTTGCAGTTGTCGCCCATAATCCTCATCCTCTATTCGTAGCTACCTCCACTACGCGGAGAACTACAACGGGACCAACAGTCCATGTTCCTCTTCTCTACTCCCATTCGCCAATAGTTTTTAGACAGCAGCCGTCAACTTCGATTATGCAAAGTGTCTCACCTAGAACTCTGCCCTCCGCTCACCTTACTCCGTCCAGACCTCAGACTTACACGCGAGTACTAACGCATATAGCTGGAACGACTGGACCCTCTCCGTACATTTGTGCTTATACACCTCCAATCACGTCAAATTCATATCATATTAGTTATGATAGAAAAAACGACTCGAAGGTTTTTTGGAAAAAAAAACCTCTGTCGGTAACATTACCACCAAATAAGCCAAACACAATAAAAAAAACTAATTCTTCAACTGATGAAGATAAGAGCGAACTAACTCTGATTGATGTTGAGTATTTGCTAAAATTTTGCAAAGATATAATAGACGATAGCGAAAAAGTCAAAACAGTGGAATGTACATCGGAAGAGAATATTTTTGAAATGAATACTAAACCAAGAAATGTTACTACGTTAGCAAAAAATACTGATGTCAAATGGAATAAGAGTGACTCGACTCGAAATTCTTAATAAAATGTTTTAACGCATTCTCTCACTATCTTTTCGCTCTCTCTCTCTCTCTCTCTCTGTTTCTTTTTTTTGTGCCATATTTTAAAAGTTTTATTATACTCTGTCTTCCTCCGATCAACTTGTTTTTACGGGGAAAAGAGGAGCTTACTTTTCCCAATTTTTGCTTATAATTTGTAAGATAATTGTTCATTATCTTAGAAATGTAACTATATGTTTCAAATAGTTTCTCTGTATAAGAAAATAACAATACCGCTAGTAAAAACTGAGTAGACTCTTAATTGACTGACCATTTCACCTTTTCAACAGAATACAGATTTTTGGCTTAGAGTTCACACGTTAAAAAGTCAAAGAGACGGAGGTATTTTAGATCATGATGATAAATTACACGACGTTGTGGATGACAGAGAACAGGTAAGCTTCACTTAATTTTCATTGAAGCGGTTTCTTTGTATTTCATTTACGTTACATAACGCTTGTTTGCTTTGTCTTGTAGATACAGTGGTTTTTACCTTTATCTAATGACTACCTTTTTTTACTTTCAGTTAATCGCATTGTATGAAGAAGCAAACACTTCAGTTCACCATGTGGGAGACGGGCGAAGTTCAGCGGGTACCACGAGTCCAGAAATGATTCATGTATGTTGACCTTAGTTTGCCCCCTACCCTTTTTTCACACAGAGATAAAGCCCCTATTCGTTTACTGCAGGTATCTGCAAGCGCTGTTTCGTACGAAAGACACGATAAGTGGTTACCTAATCAGAATGATATCGTTGTCACGACTAAAGATATAAATGCTTCATGTGAGAAAAAATTAATTGTTTTGCTGCAAATTGCAAGTTAATCAAAATCAAATTTTCCCCAACAGCTGTTAAGTTGAGAGTTCGACGAGGAAGCGAGCCAGCATTAAATAAAGTTGGCCTTCCACCCCCTTATCCAATAGATAAACAATTCAGCACCCAAGCTAACGATTATCCTTCAAAAGCTAATGACTTTCCCATAAAGGTAAATTTTTCCATACCTAAACTTTACAGTTATCTTTTAAGGAATGCAGTCACTTAATAGTAGGCTAATGTTGAAATGCTTGTTTTATCAGCATGAGCGATCTGGTTCGGACGATTGTAGTGCCTTTTCAAGATTTCAAAGGAGGTCTCTGCACAGTAATAATGTAAACATGTGGAAGTGGTTTGAGGCTCAAGAAAAGATCGAGGAGAGATCAATGGAAGGGTCAGCTTATCTTAGCTCATCAGCTCTACGTGTACCCTCGGATCATGAGGTAAGTTGTTTGCTCATGTTAAGCTGGTATAGAACAATCTGCTAATGTTTATTAATTCGGGAGATAAAGCCTAGTCCTGTTTAGCGTACATGTTTTTCGTGTTGGATTTCATCACGGTTTTTTTTTTTAGGAAACACATAACGATCGACACGAACCACTTGGAGAATCATCCAGTTCAAATTCCGAGGAGAAAGCTGCAGACACTTTATCAATGTCACCTCCACTTCCACAAAGTGAACCTCCTTCTAGAAAAAGGACACTTACACTCATGGCCGATGGCGGACTATTAGGAATACACGTTGTACCTAATTTCGACAATAATAAAAAGTAAACGATTTTTTATTCTTCATTCTTTGACCTGAACAATCTAATATCTGTCTTTTCAGGGAAAACGGCCTTGTAATTCACAGTATAGAACCGAATAAAGCTGTTGCAAAGGACGGTAGGCTAAAAGAGAAGGATTGTATTCTAGAAATAAATGGAATTAACCTTTACGGCCTCCCATTTAATAGGTTTTATCATTTAATTTTAGCAAAACAGTTGATTTATTATTAAAATAACATCATTAGGGCCAAAGATATCTTCAAAGATGCCTTACGAAAAAATTCAGTTGATTTGTTGGTAGAATCACCCTGTCTCTCAGAAGAAATCGTTTCCCAAGAAACTAAGCCTGTATCTCCTAAAAAAACAACCCCCGAAGTGCCTCCAAGAAACCCAAACACTGTCCTAACGCCCCAAAAACACTCTCTGTCCAATACAAGAAAAATTGGCACTGAAATAACCATTCAATTAATTAAGGGAAAGGATGGTTTAGGGTTCAGCGTAACAACTCGAGATAATCCAGGAGGGGGTCGTTCCCCTATCTATGTTAAAAATATATTACCGAGAGGGGCAGCTATAACAGATGGAAAGCTTCAAAAGGGTGATAGAATACTTAAAGTTAATGGAATTGATATGACAGAAAAGACACAAGAAGAAGCCGTCAATCTTCTAAAACAAGTTAGACAAGGCTCTTCGGTTGATTTAGTCGTCTCTCGTCAAGTTCCCTTATCGTCTACGTCTTCAGATAATCAACAATTTTCTCTTCCCCGTCAAATGGTATGATTAAGATAGATAGCTGTACATTTTTAATATTTTTAATGTTGTCCAATATTTATAGACTAGTTTACTTTACATATATTAGAATATATATATATTAGTATAAGTATATATATATATATATATATATATATCTAATAGTTACTACTTTAGACAGTTTTATCCCCCTCCCTTAAATGGAATTAATTCCTTTTTCATGCATGTTGTGTGTGGCTTTAACATTATTAAAATAAAAACAGAATTCATGTGCCTCACCTGACACTGAACAGTCGCCTGAAGATCATCAGACGCCTCCAGACGAAGAAGTAGGCAAGGAAGAGATTTTAGAATTTGAAGTTGCTAGTAACGATACTAATTCCGCCGGTTTGGGTGTGGCAGTTAAGGTAATTTCATTAATATTTCTTAATATTAATATTTATTACAAATTAATTTTTAAAATTTTTATCATAATTTTTTATTTACTAGGGAAAGATCGATGATAATGGACATGTAGGTCTTTTCATCAAAAGTATTATACCTGGAGGAGCGGCATTTAAAGATAGCAGATTGAAAATAAATGATCAGATTTTAGAAGTAAACGGGCATGGTCTTAAAGGTCAAACGAATAGTGAGGCAATGGACGAACTAAAAAATGCAGTAAAAATAGGTGGAAGGCATAGTATTCGAGTTAAAGTTCGCCGCATATCGAATAGCGATGTTTCTGAAGATAAAAATAATAATTTCGCCAAGGATGACAACAATGGATTGAGAAACGAATCGTATTATAGAGCTAATTATGATTCTCTGGCCATGGATAGCTTTTTGAGCCAAGAAAAGTCGAATAAAGCACACAAAGAGGCCTTGATTGAAGAAAGGAATAATGTAAACAATCCTGTCAAACCACTTAGCGACAAAAATAACAAGGTGACAAGATAACAAAGCAAATTTAATACAATATTTAAAATACGTTCTATTCTTAATATAATGTGTTCATCTTTATGTTCTCCAGATTGTTAGCGATGATGGAGTCTTTAAAAAACCGAAACCGAGCGTTCTACCATCGTTTGCCGATGCCACTGACGCTAAGATTAAATCACCAGAGGAAAATAAACAAGATTTCATTCCAGAGTAGGTGTTTCCGTAAACCGTTCGATAGAATCGATTAAATAGACGCGCTTTTGTTATTTTTATAGAACGCCGACAAAAATCGACGATCTAAAACCGTTTGATAGAGACGCCCCGGGACGTCGTAGTATATCTGAAAAGAGGAAAGGTCATGGTGACCCGAATTCTATTGAATTTTATCAGAAATTAAAGCATTCAAAAAAAGACAGTGATCCCCTAGCAGGTATATATTTCAATAAGACAATGTATAAACTTTCGGTTAAAGATATCTTTTGTGTCTATCGTCACGTGAAATCGGAAGGATTTAAATGTATTTTTGTTATCTGTTGTAAACGATTATGTAACTTTCAGCATCCTGGTGTGAGCATACTCGCTCAAAGTCGTTTAATGGCGAAGGTATATTCACGCTTTCCAGCTGCTTTCATTATTTATTCTTGCTATTTGCCTTACTAGAAAAGATTTTGATTATCACTCCTATTAAAAGCCAATTCTATCTATTAAATTGATTTAGTCTTAATTATAATTTTCAGCAAGCGCTCCAACTAATTTGAAAAGAGTCATTTCTGCTGAATGTCTTAGCAGCACTAACACTGAACAATTGTGCGAATGTATGTATTTTCTCTATACTTTACCGTTTCTTTGGTTTGATTACATTTTTTATTTATCAAAAGAAAACAAACCCAACTAGTTTTTCTACTAATATTTTCAAAATATTTTCATTTAACTTATAAAACAAACCCTTGTTACAAAAATTACATATATATGTATATATATATATATATGTTCTTGTTAAAAGTTATATCCAATCCTCACACAGGTATCGAATGCCGTGATTGGTTATCGTAATTAAAAATAAACACAAAGTTTAACATTCTTACGATATAAGAATGTTTTGTGTAACTAGTTTAGAGGTAGAGAATTTAGACTAAGCCTTGCTTTTTGCTTATTATTTTTTTCTTGAATTTAATCATCTTATTAACATTGACCTTTTCTTTTTTCATGTTTACCTTATTTTTGTTAAGAGAATTCTTATCTCTACTTTGCAGGCAAGCTCAAAGCTCAACAAGTCGGGCCTACTTTGGGATTAAAAAAGTCTAGTTCATTGGAATCACTTCAGGCTGCAGTACACGTAAGTGGATTCAAATATTTTATTATTTTTCACTTCCTACAAAGAAGCTTAATAAATATTTAGGACGCTACCCTCCGTGATCCTGAACAAGATAAAAAGACGTTCAAACAACCAAAGCCAGTCTCCAGAGGTAGAGGATGCAATGAAAGTTTTCGAGCTGCCGTTGATAGGTCTTATGAACCTGATGACCTTCCTCAACTCGATTCTTTGGATGAAGAAACTGATGGAGGTTTATCATCAGCTAGTTCCCAAAAACCAATTAATCGAAAGAGATCAAAAGAAAGATTAGGTTTGTTAAAAGTGTTCAAATTTGGAAAGAGTAAGAAGAATGATGGTGAAAGTACAAAGCAACAAAAGAAGAAATTACAGGAATCTCAGCAATCACGGCAGAGAAGAGGAATCACTGTCGATAAAATGGTTGCAATGAAACAAAAATATATGGATGAGCATCAGTCTAGGGGAGGTAAATATCCGAATGAGGAAGTTGAACCAACGTACTTGGCACAATCTTATCCTGCTCGGCGGCCTGCAGAGAGGGTTGAAAGACCTAATCTTAGACAACCTCAACAACCAATTGACTTTGTTAGAGCAAATATGAACACGAATGAAAGGATGGAAGAAGAAGCAATGAAGTTTAGGCAGAAACTTCCCTCTTCGAAATCCGCTCAAAATTTACAACATCAGATAAATCAACAAAGAGTTTATGACCGACTGGCTCAATCGCAACATGTTCCAAATGCGTCAGATCGACGAAGTCGGCACCATCAAGCCTATTCTACAAGTTCTCAGCCAGATAAAGCTATGGATTTAAACGATTTAGCTATGCCTTCAAATATTCATGTATTCGATCCTCTTACTCGATCGCAGTTCGATCCTAGAACGTCTCGATTCGCTCCGCCCAATCCTTACATTAATCGTCAACAACGGTCAGATTATGGACCACTTGAACCCCGGGTCTTTGATCCTCGTTTTCCTTCTCGTCCCTCATCTACTATTCCTAGTAGAAGCTCTTCTCCCCCAAGAATAAATGGCTATCGTTCAAATACACCTACCAACTCTTTAGGTTATCTTTCTCATCACCATCGGAAACCTCCACTCCCACCCTCTTCGAATATTCATGAACTTGATGATCCACGATCTGTGTACAGACCATCAGAGACAATACACTACGGCTCTCTTGGTCGCCGACCAACACCTAGAATATCTAATTCAGCTCAGGTCTAATCAGATTGACAAGTGCTTTTTTTGCAACTGCAAGTGTCTTTCAAAATCAGTTATAAATTTTAGTGCAATTATTATTTTTTATATCATTGATGTATCGATTGTATATTTCTGACAGTACGTAAATAAATGTTAATTATATCAGTCGTTAGATTTTGTATTTTAAGAAAAAAATAAATTTTGAATATTTCATGTGCTTTGAGCGATAATGAAGTTTCAAAAGTTTTATTAGAATATATACTGGTTCGTAGAATAATCAATTTATAAAAAAATTATAAATAAAGGTTTTTAAAAAATTTCTATTTCAAAAGTAATTTTTTTTAATAAAATATTCTGAGCATATGAGCGGTTACGAAGGCATTTCGTAATGTTACAACCATGTTTTGTTTCGAATGTTCTACTGTTAAAATTATGATATTTTGGTTAGATTATATACTTTAAAGTATTATGTTTAAGGAAATTCAAGATCAATATGAAGCTTCTAGTAGGTCAGTAGTAACTAAGTCTTCGGAGGTTATGTTGAATAAACGTAAATCATCTTATTGTTACCATCTAAAAACTATCGTAAAGTACACGTTCGGACCTTTATTAGCAGGTTTGTTCTTACTTCCTTGAAAATAGTTAGAAACAAGTTATAGTCTTTTATATAAGTATATATATTTTAGCACTATTCTTTTGGGACAAAATTAACTTAAAGGGCTCTGGCAATACAGTGAATAAAACATGCCTTATTCCTCATGAAAATCAAAATGGTTATTACAGGGTATACTCTCAGCAAATTTTCATATTCCTTTTCGTTTTTCGTAAGTGCCTCGTTTCTATTCTCGAAGTGAATAAGAAAAATAATTTTCATCAATCTATAGTATTTATCGTCCTCGTGAAGATCATACACAAGAGAAAGTTTTTCAGACGCTATGAAAATACGGAATTAAAGCTTAAATTGTTGCGCTACTTTAAAGTTAGATTTTGTAATATTATTAGCATTTTGTCTTGAATATCCTCTTTCCGCCTTTTTCAGACTACGTCATCTTGTAATATAAAGGATTTAGATGATACATTGACAAAAGAAAATATAGACCTAAATGAGGGATTTGAGAATGAAGATAATCTTACTCTTTTTCTGGCTGCATGTATTGGGGGCAATCATCAATTAATAAAGTATACCTTGTCTAAAGGTTAAAAATTGACAATTTCATTAGATATTTATTTTTGGAGCATATATTTTTTCAACAGGAGCAGATATATGGTCAATGACTTCTTTCGGAGATAATGCGTTATATTTGCTTGTTCATTCGTTGTGTGAAAAAGAATACGATACGAGGCACATTGCAATACTAGAAGATCTAAAGCAAGCTGGTTGTCTTATCGATAGCCCGAATTGTGAAGGTTATACGCCCCTGCATAGGGCAGCTGCTGGAGGGTATATGTATATCGTGGACTGGTTACTAGAAAATGGAGCAGATCCTTCAATATTGAACGTGCATGGACTACAACCCCATGAAGTTGCCTACCTACATGGTCATTTTCAAGTATCAGGGAAATTAAAAGCTTATACTTTTATACGTAAACTACAGTTGTCGTTAAGTAGGAGAAATAGATTGGAGAGTTGTGAAAGTAATTTTAATTACAGCAATACCAGTTTTAGAATAAGTGAATGGCTAGATGATGTTAACCAATGGAATACAAAATAACAATTATTGTGTATTTGAAGAAAATATATCAAGCTAGCAATTTTGCATAGCAATATGTATGATTCTAGAATAAAAAATCAAGAACGACACTGATCGTTTAACAATTTGTATTAATGGTTTGAAATCAAGTTGTTACGCAATACTAGAACCAGATTCATTAAGTTGGAAACTTAGAACGTTCGATGTACGTCTTGAAGATGATCTGGGATTGAGATTGTCATCGTCAGTGATCCAAGAGTCATCTAGGAAATACTGACTCAACTTGGCAGCCATTTCTTTGTGACCTAGAACTAATTGTTCTTGGCGAAGATGATTTTCAGAGTCAATTAATCGCTTATTTGTCTCCAAAGCTTTTCCACAAACCTTATAGAATTTAATAAACAATTCGCGGAGCCGATCTAACTTTGATGGTGACAGTGTTATTTCTTTCTCATGTGTTCCAAAAAACGCTTCAGCATATGCCAATGGTCCGGCATTAACTGTTGTTTGGAGTGCTCCAGAAAGAGCCAAGTCAAGTAGTTTTAGGTTAACAGGAGTTCCTTCTATTTGTTGCTCAAGCTGTCTAACTTTACCCTCAATTTCATCAATGGCTATATCTATTGGACCAAACTCATCAGCTTGGGTTCGAATAATATCGATTCTTTTTCTAACAAATGGAAAATGGTGAGAGGTAGTAACTATAGTTCGCCTTTTGTACTGATATCTTATACCGGTTGAACCATCGCTGGACCTTGTAAACGGTGTCTCATACATAAACTTGTTTATATTATTGTTTTTCTGAAACTCTGTTCTTTCTTCCGAATCATCAAAGTAGGGTAAAACACTTGTGACTTGAACATAGGACTTATTCTTGTCCAATTTCGACTCATCTATTTTTCCACCTTCTGACAAGATAACAAAATCATCTTTCGCATTATCACCATACAATTCCTTTAGCCTATCGATAAAAGCCGGTAGACGAGTGCCCCCATTTTCTTTGTAAACAAAACTACTCCTCTCTGGGGTACTTCCAGAAATTTTACCGTAGAAAGAAACCTTAAAGTAGCTGGCTATTAATGGCCGAATCTTAATTTTTTCACCGTACTCGATTATGCTTTGGCAAACATTTGCTAAACGTGTATGTGCCGCCATTAAACTTCTATAATCCAACCTCTCGTGATAAATGGGCAGGATAAGCTTATAGATATCAATAACAGACTCGTATAAACCAGCTCTCTCATACTCATTGGCAGCTTCTTCTAATAATTGAGTTAGATTCTGTTCTGAATATGGAATTTCTTCGTTTGATCCGCAGTCGTCTGTCGCCTTGAGGGCCTCCATACGAACATTTTTCGAAAGAAATTCAAAATCAATAACCGTTTTTGGATATCCTCCTAAAAAGAGAATAGTTATAATTAGTTAATCTCATATAATCATGAAATTGTATAGAAAATATCAAGACAAAAATAGGACAGAATTAAAATAATACAATGATTAACAAAAGCAGATGTCTGCTGGGGAACTCTTTTCAATAGAATTTTTTTCCTTCCCGCTTTATCTTATACGATAATCTCATCTGTCACTTAACATATTCCTGCGATAGTGCACAAGCGTTTAATTAATTAATTTAAAACAATTACAAACTGTAAAGCTCAAAAGTTCGCTTTACAGTTTGTTTCCATTGTTTAGACTTGTTGTCTTTAAACTCCACTATTAATAAAAGAAAGAATAAAAAGAATAACTGAAAATATTATAAATCAAAAGTAAATAATAATAATAATAATAGTAATAATAATAAAAACGTATTGAATGAAATCTGTTAAGGATACACAATAAATCATGCACAAAACTTTCAAACTTACGCTTATTTAATCCTGTTAATACCGTGAAAAAGGAGGGAAAGTCAGAAAAAGAGGTAATAAACATTTTCTACCTTACTTTATTTATACATATTTTTAATTATTTAATTAACAATAAAATGCCTTAAATATGTAAAATATACAATATTCTTTTTAGGTTTCTTACCACGTCGATTTAAGAATTCGGCAACTAAAGCGGCATTATGTAAATGGCATTGAGCAGCCTCGGAATGATTCAAAACCTTCGCATGAAACTTGGCCATATTTTCAATCCATGTATAACGTAATTCTGGTGTAGATTCATAATGCATCGCAATTTCATACTGAAATGAAAAAGTTGAATATTTAACTTCTAAATGAATAAATTATATAAATTACCATTAAATCAGCGTATTTTTCAGGGTCTTTTTTATGTTCCTTTAAGCACGTTGTATTTTCGAGTACAGTTGCCAAAGTAGTCGTTAACTTTTTTACCTCACTGGGAAAGGATGAATTCTTAACGGCTGAATCCGATTTAGCGTAACTGTCTATAATTTGTAGGCATTTCTTAAATCCTGTATCTAACATTTCGTTAGGCATTTGAGATATTAGACTAGCTTCGGCTGTGATGGTTTTTAAAAAAACCCTTTTCATGTTGCCACGATTCGTTGAATAGAAGTTATTTCTCATTAATAAGTACATTAAAGCTGAAGCCTCCTTTCTTGTCGATTCTAAAGGACTTGTACAACATCTGAGTACCTCATAGCAGAGTTTACCGCACAAATTAGCATCTCCCAAATAGAGGAATGATGAAAATTTACTGGTAAAACTTCTTAATGAAGCGAAAACATGTTTCCGTAATCTTTCTGACCCGTAACGAAGGAGATAAACTTTTAATCCTATGGCTGCATTAATCAAGTTCAAGGTATTTATATCATTCGCCGCCTTGGATAATATTAGACAAACAACATCCAAGACAATGCTACAAACTTCTGTGAACAAACTAGCATCTCGTTGAGCTTGAGAAATAGCCTGATATACTGAGGAAGAACTATCGGTACTATTGTATTTCGAGTTAAAGACAGAGGAGGAATCCGATATTTGGTAAAGTGAATTAAAACGTTGTTGACCTTTATAACGGAAATGGCACAAACATAGCTCCAGAATATATAGAAACTCCAATCTATCTCTTTCGGACGATGCGCGAATCCATCCAAGTAGGACTTGCTGTTCAGCGTATCGTACAACAAATAGAAAAGATAATAATAAGTCCTTAGTTTCCATAGACTCAAATTTTGCTCCGCTAGAGACAGAAACAATAGTATTTGAATCACTTCCGCACACTGTATCATTATCATTACTTGTTAAGCTTGTTTGGGATCCATTGAGCTGAGAGGAAGGGGTTTGAACTTTGGATATGATTGATAAAACTCCCTGATCTAGTTTAGGATTGGGCGATTTGGAGATATAAGTGGAACTGGTATCCAAACTAGCCCTGGAGGAATGTTTCATTAATTTGCCAACATTCTGAACAGAAAGCGGACCAATTTCATCTGGAAAGGTAGATGCAGCTAAGCGATTCCTACATTCCAATATCATTGAAATAAGGGGTAAATATAAAGAAGTAATACGCTCCTTTCGACCAATTTTTAAATATCGATCATCAAATTCGTGTTTAGCAACAAGATTTCTTAAAATTCTTATTGCTTTCTGACGTATTTCCCTAGGAGCATTAAAGGAAGATCTGACTTCTTGCAGTAAAAGACCGACTAGAAAATGATTTTTGCAGAACGACTCGGATAAAGAGTAATCATTATGTAAATCTGAATAATTATGGGGAAAAAAAAAACCAATTATTATAATGGCTCTTCTCACCTGATATTTTCGAATTCGAGTCGAATACATACCCTCTGCCGTAACATCTGTAAAAAGTAATAAAACTTCCATTATTCATTATATAAAGCTAAGTTATATATATTTTTATATGGTAACTAAAACTCTTATTAGATGAAGCGCTTTAACCAAAAAACAAAATAAACAGAATAAAAAAAAGGTTACTATTATTACTTGAAGACTTGTCATTCTTTTTTCAATTTAATACAAGAGATTATTATTTTACATTTATAGAGATAGAGAGAGTGAGAGATAGAAGGAAAGAGGAGGAAGAGAAAGAGAGAGACAGAGAGAGAGAGAGAGAGAGAGAGAGATAAAGTAAAAATAAATAAATAAATAATGTATAAGCTTTTAGCGAGTGGTTATTAATATTTCAAATTCTTTATGTTCTCTTTAGGATTACGAATAATTTTAATAAAATTGGTTAAAATAGTTCAGCTCTTGCATGCATAGTAAGAAAACCTTCGTGCAAAATTTAAGCCTACATTGAACATTATCCAATGTGTAATGATCATATGATGTTCTCCTGATGCCTAGAAAAAAGCGAATGAAAAGAAAAAAAAAACAAACAAAACAAAACAAATAAACAAACAAATTATTATTTTAATTAAAACGATTTTTAGTACTTTTAAAGAATTAAAAAAAAAGAGTCGGAATGTTCCTTTCTTCTTTTTTTTGCTACCAGTTTTCTTTTTTTAAAAAAAAAAATACTACTATTATTTTTTAATTATTTTCTTATTATGTTAATAAAAAATTGGTAGACTTTTATTTTTTTATTGAAGAGAAAGAGTAAGTAAACAAAGATGGCGTTTGTGTTGGTGAAATAGGAAGAAAAAAAACGTGGAAGATAGAAAGAAATTATAAAATAAACTTTACCAAAAGTCACCATATCTTTGCCTAATTTAGGACAAAGACAAAAATAAAATATAAAAATATAAAATAATTTAAAGAGAAAATAAAAGGAAACTAAAATAATAATAATAAAAAAAACAAGATTATATATTAAAATAGAAGAATTATTACTTACCAGCGTGATCTCTAACAAATCTCTGCATCATGGGTAAATTCAATGCAACAAAGTGCTCGTGAGAGCATATTATTTCCAAAAAATTTAGTTTAAACTCATTAATTATTTTAGCTTCGTGAGCACTTAGACTTTTGCTATGTAATCTATAGTTTAAAAAAAAAAGAAGGTTAGCAATAAATAGTATCATCATTATTATTACTATTACTATTATAACACTTACGTATCGATATATCTTTTAACCAATTGAAAAACGAGTCCTCTATCGATTAGAGAGAAGCATCTTTTTACGAAATGTGCCATGTGAGAGTTTGCTGAAAAAGCTGAATTTCTCTTGATCGGGTCGTTCCTTTGTACACATTTAATTATGTGTTCCGTTAAGTGTAGTAAAAGATTTTGAATACATTCGTCAAAATTATAAGGACCCTTTAATTGAAATCTTTCAGTTCGAGACATCTATGTAAGGATGATTGAATAAGGAGTTTATACGGCATATCAATAAAAACAGTGAAAATAATTTACTTTGATTCTATTAGAATATATAAGGAAGTGAGCCATACTCTTAATAAGAATATCAAAGAAGAAATTGCAATGCGACATGAATGCATCCAAATGGAAGCTAAGAGCAACATCCTCATTTTCTAAAAGTTCACTCAAAAATTTTGCCAATGGTTCATGAATCGTATTTTGCTTATTTTCCGCTTGAACTTGAAAATCGTACTGTTTTTAATAATAAAACGAAATATTTAATATATAACATTTAACGTTAACGATTATTTAAAACAATTCCATTCAACAATATTCTAATACTAGTATCTTATCTTTATTCTTTGGAGAATTATTTAAGAAAAAAACACAAATATAATAATAATGATGATAAATAAACAAATATATATATATATATATATATATATATATATAGATATTTATTTATAACAAATAGTTGAATAAAATCCGTTTACTCATGCAAATTCTACCGATAAACTGGAAAAAAGACTTCTTAACAGTTTTTCATTTAGCATTATTTTGAATGAAAAAGAAATGATAAAAAAAATAAAAGGTACATGCTATGAGAGTACCTAAACGACTTCCGATGTAACTTTCTTACCTGATATTCCACTTTAAATGGATACTACAAGTTACATTTTATAGGGTTATATTAGTGCTCTTAATGTATTGCATTTATGAAATTAAAACTAGATGCTAAAAGCTGGCAAAATATAATTTTGTTTATTGTACAAACCTGAACGTATGAATGGAGAATATTTGATTTTTCATCTTTATGAAATCTCACAACGATCAAGGTCAAGGTCCTTGTTTTTTTTTAAAAAGAGAAAAAGCAAAACGAAAAACCAATTAGTAAAGCATTGATTTATATTAAAATGATTATATTTCAAATGATAATTCGATTAAAATCCATCTTACTTGACAATATTACTGGCTATACTTTGCGAAGGATTCGATCGCAATAAAGAGAAGAGTTGATTACAAATAATTGTAAAGAAATTAATGATATCAGGATATTTGGCGCCTGGTAAAGCCTGTAAAATAATAAACAACAATAAATATCCAAATATAACATAATTAAATCGAGAGAGAAAAAAGAAAAACTAAAATAAAGGAAGATAGAAGATGAATCATGTAAATAAATGATTATAAATACTATTTTAAGCAAAAATGAATGATTAGAAAAAACATGAAGTTAGTTTAATATGCTTCTATTATTGGTTAAGCTTCTCCTAATGCTATGGAAACTGTGTTGAAAAGTTATTTCTATTGAGTTTGTAAACCTTAATGGAGTCTACAACTATTCTATCATCGCATTTCGGTGCAACTTGTTTTGGCCGATGTAATTTATGAGCAGATGGAATTAGACGTGAACCTCTAGTAGGAATATTATGCTTTTCTTCCTCTACCTAAATGTATATTAGGCGACTATAAAATTTGCAGACAAAGCAATAAAATAATATAATTAAATGGAACAATAATAGACTTAAAAAAAATTTAAAATCAAATCGATGCAAATGATTAGCTAAGAAAGATTAGTACAAACTTTTATTTTGTTGATAATATCTTTCTCATCTTGACTGGTATTCTTATATTTTTCGCAACTTTCAAAGAATTTCGTAATATGATCGCAATCGGCATAAACCGTACTTGCTAATACGACTTTCACTTTAAATAACTCTTTGCCTTGATTGTCAACGTAGCGAATATCGTTTGAACTCTTGTGAAGACTACTTGGACTTAGCTGGGGATTCCAATTTGCCATAACGGGCAATCGTATATCACCTGTGGCTACTTTACCATCTGTAAATAGAGGTAAGAGCGCGTATCCTACGTTGTTTTCAATATCCTGCTTGTCTTTCTTGGTTTTTGATGGTGGTGGAGGTTTGCAATTAACATGCTTAAAAGCAAACAGAATATAGTGATCCTGTTTTAATTGGGTTGGTAGTTCAATCTTAAATTCGTCATACCACTCGGGATTTGCATTGTGGTGTATAACGGAAGTTCTAGCTGTTGTTGATAGTATCTCCTTTTCATAAGGTTTTGCGTAAATGGCTCTCAAAGTTTTCCAACGTTTTTCTTTGGGCTGATACTCAATTAGCTCCATTGTGCACAGGATGTTCCTAGCCCTACTGTACATCTTTTGAGATTCGTACTTGAGGGCTTTAGGATAGACAAACAATTGATTTACGTAGACAGTAAAGGGTGAAGTATGGACGCTTTCATTTGGTATAAATTCGTGAATTTCCAAAGAAGATTCGCTATTAGGGGACTGTTCCGCCGAGTAATTATCTCTAATTGGAAGAAGGGATCTTGTTAGAGTGTTCGGTGGCATCCTTTCAAATTCTTCAACGGTCACCGTAAAATCGCAAAGGAATGGAGATACTGGCCTAAATTAAGTGGGAAATAAAAGCAATTAGAGAAAAAAGTAACAGGAATTAATTATGTGTTCTTCTGTTTAAATACTAACGGTTGCTTGGTTTCATTTAATAGGTCTAGCAGATCTTCATCCGATATCTTGGTTTCACTTTTGTAAACGTAAGAATAGAAGAAGGCATTAGGGTCTAATTTTGTGGTACCCGGCATAAAAAGTGAACGAAAGGTGAATGCTAAAGGCTGTCTGTATTTAGACAGTCTGGCCGCGGATTGTTTTACGATTTCATATCTCTTATTTCCTTCCTTTTCCGAAGGAGTAATGATGTAAGGTGCCCATCCACCCGAAACCCCCTCTGAAGTGAGAATCTTATCAATACGGCCAATTAGAACTATGTTTGGGCGAGGTTCCGAAAGGCTAAATATTGCAGTTTTCCCCTTTTTAAAGGCTTTAACGTTCACTCGATCATGTCTAACAATGGGTGGTTCATTTGACAAGTCTTCAATTTCGATTAATTTAGATTGATTCTCGTCATTTAATTCCACGTGAAAGTCTTCAGAAATTTTCATTTTCTTATTAACATCGTACAAAGCAAATGAGAGAAAATAAGGTTCTGGATTAATTTTCTGGTTATCCACCAAAGTTGCCTGCAGTCTTATTTTTACATCGTGAAATTTAACGACAAATCGCTTGCCAAATTGTTCATTAAACATAACCCCTTCGGGAATTTTGGTTGCCTCTTTATCTGCCATATCTACTAATGAAAACAGAGCACGTCTATTTTCCTTACGCTTTATGGCCAAAGAAGTATCAGTCTCTTTAATATAGTTTTGTAGCTCTGGCGAATAATTACTATCAACGCTATCAAAGTTACTACTGAAGGAGGAAGACGAAGAAGAACTTTTACAACTCATCGTAGGACTACGATTGCGCTTATCTCTAATTCTTTCCAATTGGCTTAGCCAATCGCTAGTTTCTAAATCGTTGTCTGCACTGAGTAGGTGAGACTTATCCTTCTCAGATTTGATACAAAATGTCCTTTTATCATTATAATTAACAGTGAACGAACTATCAAGATTAATTTGTAGCTTTTGACTTTCAATGCATTTAGGATCCTTGTGGAAGAGTAGAACATGACTACCGTCAGCATACCGTTTCAGAATAACGTATCGACGTTTACCAGGTTTCGTAAAAATGCCCGTCTCTTCCCTAACAAACAACCATCCCCTTTTTAATTCGGCTATTGATTCTGTGTCGCCATTAACGTGTATTCTACGTTTCTCTTCAATATCGCATTCAAACACTTCTTTAGAGATTTCTCCATCGTTAGTACCCCTTCTCGGAAGTTTTAAATAAGAATCCCCGTATGAAGAGTATTTAAAGTGAACGACTCGATGAGCCTCCCTATAATTCTTTATCGATTCTCTAACTATAAGGGAGGAGGCATCTAAGCTATCAGTATAGGAATGTTTAATCGTTCTAATTCGGCGTTCGACGTCAGAGTTGCATATGTCGTCAGAGGGAAATTGAAGCATATCTCGACTCCCATCGCATTGAATGCTTTGTTTATTTTTACTGACCAATTGTTCATAGTTTACGGGAGAAGGACATTGTCTTCCGGTTGGCTGTGAAGAGATAAAAGTGTAAAAAAAACTCCTTCTTAAAAAATAGATCATAAAAAAAGTTCCATTAATTAAAATTAGTTACGCAACACAATATTAAATTACGTACAATCGAAGAAAATGGAGAAAAAACAATTTTAAAAGAATTTGATATCAAATTATCAAACACACCCTTCTCTATCGACTGCATCCTAGAATCAAATACGAAGTAAACCAATGGAAGTATTTTCACCGAAAATTGCTACAATTATTTGGCATTAGTATAAGGCAATTGGTTAGCCTTTATCTATTAAAATGTTTACAAGTGATGTCACCTAAACCAGGATAAAAATACTATTCATCAATTTATTGGAGAGAAGCATTCTAGGTATATTAAAACACACAAAACTTTGCCTAAATAATATCATCAACGGTTTGTAACCTATTTTGTTTTTATTGACAAAATGAAAAACGATCTTTCTTTTTTATTATTACTTAAAATGTTACCTTTAGGCTAAAAATATACGTTCAGGAAACAATGACTTGTAGCGATAAGGAAAATGTTATATAGCTTAAATTAAAAGGTCGAAAATTGCATTGTATGTAAATAGGATGCAAAGCCAAAAATGAATGACAACTTACAAATTCGTAATATTCTAAATTAATATCCTCAATCGATTCCTTTCTTTCCTCTACTCTTTTCTCTTTCTTATCCTTTGTCATTGTTTTTCAGTAGTTTTTTCTTATTTAAGAATACATAAAATATATTTATATATATATATATATACTGTATATGTAGGCATATAAAAGTATGTATCTACTTTCATAAATATACACATATATAAATATATATATATACAGTATATATACGTATTCTTTTTAAATCTTTAGTACCAGTTTAGCTTATAACACGCGTAAACTTTTAGAACGTACGGCTCCGCAACTCAGAACAATCTGAACCATATCAGATAGACTTGTATAAATACTATTTATAATTTTTTTTATGTATATAGTATATTTAGAAAAACAGATAAAAAAAAAGAAACATTTTAATAGATCTTTCTATTTTCTTTGTTATAAATAAACTCACGATTTCCGGAAAGTTGGTAAAATAAAGACAATGGATAGAGATGATTGAGAAACTATAGTAAAAACTATATAATTCTCTTTTTTATTAATAATCTTAGCTACTCTTTTCCAAGGAGTTTGTATAGTTTATATTATGCAATTGGGAATAAAAATGGAGGAGAGATAATGAAGAATCATAAGAGACGGGAAAGAGAAATGAAGAAAAATACGAGAAGAAGAACGGTTAAGGAATAATCTCCATGCCCTTAACACCTGCTTAGCTAATTGAAAACAGACAAAATATACACACAACCATAGCCGTTACGGTTTATTTAGTCAGTCTGTTAAAAAACTGACAGAAGGTAGAAATTACCATCATAAAACAAAAAGATATTATCAGAATTCAAATCATATAAATAATAATAAGACAAGGAGAAAAGGGAGATTCTATATGTGTGTTGTTTTTTTTTGTACTCTATTTTCGCTGATTCTTTAGAATAGCGTAGAAATATATGTGAATCAATGATTTGCTACGGTGTATGGATCTACTAAACGATACACGAGTACAAAAATTATGTTATCTTATCACTTTATTAAGCTATAAAAATTCCTAAAGTTTAATGGATTTTTGTTTTATTTTATTAATGAGATATATATTTTATAAGGATCCCCGTCTATATCATTTCGATGTTAGATTAATTTGATATTTTTATAAGCATTATACATATTTATTGTGAAGTCAAGTCTCCCGTGCGTTTTCATATTTTGCAAATGTCATGGTGCAGATGTGAATAACATAAGATTAATGAAATTTAATCAGTTTAACCTACACTTAAACATTAACTGAAGTCCGAAAAAAAAGAACTACACGAACCTGTCCCATAGATTCACGAACCGCAACAGATACGCATTCTCTAACTTTGGCGGCCGATCTAGAGGCAAGATGATTTGCAAAGGATCGTTTTGGTATTCCATTTTCGTTCATATTACAAGAATAATCCTGAAAATAATCACTACGTCTCAACCAGTATCACATTCATACATATGCAAAATAGTCTGGTCCCCGCGCTCCCCCTATAGGCCTATATTCATAGCAAAAGAAAGAAGTTTACTTACTTAAATACTGTAGACAGATGTTTAGCAAGAAAAGGTTATATAACTGACCTTTGTTTGAAAAAAACGTATGGAAAAGTGACTTGAAAAAACACCTTTCGAATCTGGTATTTTCACTACTGAAGAAATACTCTAAAAAAAATAGAATAATACTTAGAAACAGTGTGAAAGTATCGTAGGCTGTTATTTATAATATATATCAAATAGATACTATATATATAAGGGAAATATTTGATAAAAGAGAATCATGTAACAGCATATAGATATGCATATATATTATAATACTAATCAATAATAAGGTACAAATACTTCTATTGTTTCCTTTAGCTATACACTGTATAAAAACCAAGAAAAAAGACTGTTGTTTGTCATCTTTATATGGTAGAAAAAGGCAAATTCCTCCCAAGTGACAAACGAAGCAAAAATTTATTTAAATTCGTATTAAATGCTGTAGAAAATAAAGACAATGGAAATTAAAAAAAACAATATTTATTAGTGGAATATCATATATATATGACAGATGTAACCTAATGAAGTTTCGATGGATGAACTGATAGACATGTGGTGCAAATACGTTATCGAGCTTAGTTCTTCATTTAGTCATCAATTTCTGACTAACAATGATTTGGACTGTTTTGTATTGGTTCGGTATTTCGCTAACTTTTCTCATTATTGCAAAAACAATTGAAAGATGCATAAGGTCAGTCTATATAACAGATTTATACAAACGATACGTTCTAATAACAGGATGCGATTCGGGTAAATATCATTTATTAACAATACTTACAGCTTAAGCATTAGCTTTTTTTTGGATATTTCTAATAGGTTTTGGAAAGAGTCTTGCTGTTCATTTAGATTCTAAAGGAATTCCAGTAATAGCCACTTGTTTAACTGAAGAAGGGGAAAAAGATTTAAAACATGAGTGTTCAAGTCGAATACAAACATTTATTCTTGACGTAACAAATGACGAACAGGTTTTAGAACTTCGAAATAAATTGGAAACTAAATTAAAAAATGGACTTCACGCTCTAGTTAACAATGCTGGAATAAGGGGTCCAAGTGTTTCTGGTGATTTAGAATGCTATGAATCCAAGGACTTTCTGGAAGTTTTACACGTTAATACAGTAGCTATGGCAAATTTATCTATACGATTCTTACCATTATTGGAAAAGGCAAAAGGAAGAATAATAAATATGGGATCGGCAATTGGAAGGATGGCTTCACCTAACTTATTGCCATACTGTATGAGCAAACATGCAACAGAAGGATTGACTGACTCCCTAAGGTTTACAAAAGCTGACTTATCTTCTCTAAGAAGATTTAATTTGTTAATTTTTCTTTTAATAGAACTACACTTCAACATCGCAAAAGTAGTGTGAGCGTTCATTTAATGGAGCCAGGACTATATGTAACGAATCTACTATGCCCAAAACTGTTAACAAAGAAGTTGATAGCAGGTTTCGATCGTCTTCCAGAAGAATCTAAAGAGAAATATAGAGTAAAAACGTATTATACAGACAAATGTACGCCAAATTAGAACAACACGATTACAAATAATTCTTACAGTTCTTTATCTTTTTATTTCAGATTTGAAAATTAATGATTATTATACGTTAAATGCATCGAAAGATCTACAAGAGGTTACTGATGCGTATGAGAACGCTATTTTGTCCAAACTTCCGAGAAAACGTTACTCCATTGGCAAAGATATGTACTTTATATTCATTCCAATATTTTATCTTCCATCTTTTATATCTGATTATCTTATTGTTAAAAGTACACCGTAAAAAAACCCTTCTATTTTGCCCTGTAATTGTCCTCATTTAGACATATGTAAAGTTTTCCGGATAAATGTTGAAAATAAACAGATGTTTGGCATGAAGAGTTAAGCATTGAAAGATAGGTATATATCTCTATATATTTATCATCTTGCACATACATACACACTCATACACGTATGCAAATACACACGCCTATATACAGACGCATACGCAGACTTATACACTTGAATATAAAAAATGTTAAAAAAAAAAATCCAGCATCTCTTGGGGTCATGCCGACCCAACGTAACAGATCCAGCCATTTGAATAGAAATACATGAATGTACACATATGTATTCTAATTATCTTAATAGTTATGTAGATGTTCAAGATATGTTTCTATGTGCAGATGGGATAATAAAATTAGGTTGAATCAAAATGAATAGAAATTTAGAGATAAAATTGATCATATCTCGTAATAACATTCCTAGATATTTGGTTAAGGCTTACTATATAATGCCTATTTATATATAAATAAAGAATATACGTCTTTAAATATTTAAATGGATAAATGTAAACAAAAAACAATGGCGCCAACAAAAGATACTAATAACTTTAAGATGCTAATCTTACACGTTTAAAGAGTATGAACTGTAAAACATCGGGACCCGATTTAAAAACTTTCCTTTCTCAAAGTTCCGATTCTAAAGAAGATTGTAATCGTAGTATTTTTTCGGGAAAAGTTCCACTATTAAATTCAACATCTGGAAAAGTTTATTCATTCCCCTCGGGCCATTCAGTTTACGAAAGTGAACGTTATACACAGGCTATTTCAGCTCAAAACCAAATTGATTCCAGCACGATGAAAAGTTATCCAATAAACAAAGGAGAAAAGTCTAATTTTGATTCCCTTAGTCAAGTCTCCTCTTTAGTTAAACTATATGAAAGTAAAGCAAAACAAGTTGATGAGAAAATGAACATATTTAAATTTGTACCAAAGTGCATTCATTTTAAGGATTCTCTTAAAAGACCTGAATCTATATTAACAAAAGAAGTATACCTTTTTATCTCTTATAGTTTAAGGCAAATAGGTTAAAAGTAATAAAGAATAACCTCAAAACAAAACAACAGATTTTTTTCTTTTTCTCTTGTTTATCATTAATTTCAATGTTACTTTTAAACAGAGTTTAGTTAATAATTCAACTATAAACAAGAAACATTTTACTGATTCTGATAGCTTAGATCAGAACAATAATAACCTGGTAAATCAACTCTATATTTTGCCAACAGTCGAACAAATCCATCCAAGCTCTCTTAATTACCGAGTATCGTCCACACCTGAGAAAGTAAGTTCTCTATCTCTTTCATATATTATATTTTGAAAATTTTAACTCTTTTTATCTTTCAATAATAATGAAAAAGATGAAAGATAATAAACAAAGATTAACAGATAAATCTATTCAATGTTGTTTAACAAAAACTAATGACTTAATTAAAAAAATTAATGAAATACATAGAAAAAGAATTTTTTATAATGTTAATGAATGGAAACGGGTAAAAAATTTAGAATATGTTAGTTATTTTACATAAAACATAAAGAAATTATATAAAAAACAAAGCTATTTCTTTACAGTTTGCCGAAAATATAGGTAACACGGTTACAGATTCTTTCAATTCTAAAGAAACGAGGGTTTGTTCTATTAAAAAAAAAAAAAGAACATTTTTTCTATAATAATAAAAATTGTATAGATTTCAACTGAACGATTAGGCTTAACTAGTAAATACTTTGTTAAACCAGACGTTAACAAATTGAAAGGTTATCTTGAAACTAACATCAAACACTTGTCTAAGGTAGGATAAGATTTGATCTATTATTATTCTTATTATCTTTTTCGCTGATTTATGAAATATTTTATTCCTTGTTGGTTATTTATCTCAAGTTTTAGTTGGAATGTTCTTGCTTTTTCTTTTTTTTTAGAAAAACAGCTTTAATTGCAGCAGTAATGGGACGACTCATAAAAAAGTAATCAAATTACAATCAGATTTGGCAAATCAAATAAATGACAAAGTACGTATTACGCAATAAATAAGCTTGCCTCGAATTTTAATTATCACTTAAATAGCTAGCGGCTGCTATAAAACAGAGAAATTATCCTCTAGAATCTGTAGGCCTACCCAAAGGAGATAATGACCAGAATTTTTACGAAAGACTAAAATCAAATTCTTTAGTGAATGACGAAACGATTAATCACAATGTTGATATTATCAAACTAAAAGAGGTGATAGAATGTGGAAGGAGTATTATTAGGCAAGAAAAGGTGGAGACCTATAATTCGTCTGTGGGTGGAAATCTGAATAATAATAATTGCAATTCAAGCTTGATATTGAATTCCACTTCTCAATCATTTCATACAATCAGTATAGATTCCAACAGTGAAAAAGAATCTGACGATGAACTTGATAAACGTCAAAAATCATCAATGACTCAGTCAAGAAAGAAATGTCAAAAATGTTATGACCTTCTCTCATCAGATTTCACTGAGGCAAATAGAATTGAAACAAGCGAAATGCAAAATTCCATAACAATAAATCAACAAAATTCATTTAACTTTGAAAGTGATAATGGGAATATTACGTAATTCATATTATCTTCTTCCTTTTAACTTTTTCTCTCTCTCTCTCTCTCTTACACTTACTCTACCTATTTTTAGACTTGTAAATAGAACAATAAATATTTTTTACTTTTCTATCTAGGTCTACAACTACAGGAGTAAAAAAATTTAATCAGCTAACAGAAACTACAAATGCAATGGTGAAAACTATAGCTATACAAACTTTATTGACCTTGGAAAATAGCGTTAGTTTTCTTGAACCAGCCTTTTTTATTTTTACATAGGGAAATGTCATGTAATACTATGTTAATATTTTTCTTCTACCTCAAATAGATTATTAATTATTCATTAAATTATGAAAAATACGATAAATGTATTCAAACTGAAATTATAGAAAAAAAGTAATTACAAATTATTTAAACGATTACAAATTGTTCATCTATTCATCTCTCATTTAGGAGTTTGGTAAACGGTAATTTTGGAATAATTGGAAAAGAATTGAATAAAAGAATTTGTATTAAAAAACTTAATAACTTTGAAAAATTACGATTTGGTATGGCCCAAAGACAAAATAAAACAACTCTTTGCCCTTGTAAATACCGTGCTAATCAAGAATCTTCTCTCAGAATTGTAAAGCCATCTAAACGTTGTCTGTTAGAACTTTTACCTACAAATACAAATCAGATGGAATATGAAATTGGTAGCGCAACGTCGGACGCTGAATCAGTTAATTGCAATTTGGATTTACGGTTAGACAAAGGGAAAATAAACTGCCAGGATAACTTTAAAAAGTCAAATCATTTTAAATCATGTTACGTAACTCTTAATCCATTGAATACCAATGAATTTGATTATGAAACAAGAAGTTTAAGCTCATCAGCATCGGACATGGATGAAAATTTAATGATTTCTTGTAAAAATAATACAAACAAGAAGGGAATATTTCCTTCAAAAGATGAAGTTATAATGAGACAAAATTCTCTTTTAACTGGGCGACATTATATTCCATTCGATGACAAAAGGCGATTATGTATAAGAAATGATTGCCAAGGTTTTCGACTTGAAACTTGGCCGAAAATTTAGTAAGAAAGTAGTTTTTTGGAGTTTGTTTACTCTTCCAGATATTTATAAATGAATTTGCAGTTAGCCCACCAAGTATGAGATAATATCATAGTCCTTCAACATCAATTTGGAAGCTTGATTCGATCACAATTTTAAAGATTTTAGATATTATATAAAAAGTTAAATATATATATATAATGTACATAATAAAAGATATATATTTATATAAGAACTGTTATGATTACTTAATTGATAATTATACGTAATAATATAATTATTTATATAAATTATTTAATTATCTTTACTTACGAAATTATCTGGTAGATGGCGGTAAACTTTGAAAAACAAAAAGCTCTAAGAATGCTACACGAAATATTCTAAACTATTTGGTATTATCGATCAGTCATATTTGTAAACAGACAATAAAAGAAAACTATTAGCTTTAGATAAAACAATGCTAGATATATTGAAAAGCATCACAGTTGTAGCATTATTTGTTCTCTTATTAATATTATTAACTAGAATTATTGAAAATTATCTTAGATCCTTTTACATAGCAGAAATAAGAAAGAAACATGTATTAATAACCGGTTGTGATAGTGGTGAGTTATATAAATATTATATATAGAAATTAATCCATTAATATTACTTAGTGAATAAGAAAAATAAGTTTTTGTATATAATTTTCAATTATTTGTCCATTTAAGTGACTTTATTTTTATTATTTCTATTTTTGTATCTAATTTAAAGCTGTTTTCATTAAAGGTTTCGGCCATAAATTAGCTCAACAACTTGATGGCAAAGGCGTATTTGTCATAGCTACTTGCTTAACTATAGAGGGAAGAGAAAGTTTAGAGAAAGAATGCTCATCACGTCTCCGTACTGTATTACTAGATGTAACCGCAACTGATCAGGTTGATAAATTGAAAGATGAATTAGAAAAAGACCTATCCAATTGTGGGCTACATGCTCTTGTTAATAATGCCGGTATTCCTGCTCAATCAGTTATTGGGGACATTGATATATATCGATGGGAAGATTTTAGTAAAGTGTTAGATGTCAACACAATAGCCATTATCAATTTGTCAATTAAATTACTTCCTCTGTTGTGTAAAGCTAATGGTAGGATTGTTAATATGACTTCGGCAGCGGGCAGAACCTACGCACCTCATAATATTCCATACATCATTAGTAAACACGCTACAGAGAGTTTCTCAGACTGCCTAAGGTATTTTAATCTTCGTGTTGAAAAAAAAATCTAATCAATTTTAACGTTTTGACAAACAAAGGGTCACTTTGAAGATGAACAGAAGGAATGTAAGTGTTCATATGATTGAGCCTGGATTTTACAATACAAGCATACTATGCGAAAAGAGGATGAAAAATTTCGCTTTAGGAGCACTTGAAAGGTATTCAGAGGAGAAACGTAACAAAATTAAAGAAAAGTTTTTGGAACATAGTAAGTTCAATTTTACCTTTTTATAAAAGAAAAATATTCTATACTAAAAAGAGAAACCAATAAAGATATGAAAGGAGTCAAGTTCCTCCAGAAGAACGCTTCAACTAAATTGGAAGATGTAACGAACGCTTACGAGAATGCAATCTTTTCGAAATGGCCTAGAAAGCGTTATGCTGTTGGAAGGGACTGTCGTTATTTTTTCATACCTCTATCATATTTTCCCACTTGTATACAAGACAGGATAATTACTTACCTAAATAGTAGTTTTGCTTTCGATTGCAACGCACAGTGACAAATACAAACACAATGATTTTTATAATGCTTTAATGAAATTTACTAGTTAATAATAGTAAATAAATATATATATATAGTATATATGTACATGTATAATTAATTATTTTAATTAATTCATTCATTAGTCAGTCAATCAATTCATTAGTTTTGCAATAAAATGAATACATTGTTAATCTTCATTTGGAAAATCGCAATCGAACTCCTCATCCCAAGAATCATATACGTCTTCGATATCTTCATCTTCCTTTCTAAACTCTTGAAAGTTTGACGTATCAGTGAGATTTTTTGGTGGCGTTCGAAATACTTTAGGTATTCTAAGTTGTCTTAAACGTAAACTCCAAAAGTCAAAACCAGAAAACCACTTGTGTCTTCTTATATCTTTTACACCGTTGGCTTGGCAACCTAACCTTTCGGTCGGTTCGTCGCAGCACAATTTAAAGATTAAATCTCTGGTGTGCTTACTTAATGTCTTTGGCATTGGTCTGGAGTTAATACCTTCAATAATAATTTTATACGTATCCAAGGGATCATTGCCTTGGAAAGGTGGTTCTCCAGTTGAAAGTTCATAAATAAGGATTCCTAATGCCCAATAATCTGTTGAACAATCGTGACCTTTACTAAGGATTACTTCGGGACTGACATATTCAGGTGTTCCACAGAATGTATAGGTTTTCTGACCCTTGTTTAGTTTCTTTGCAAATCCGAAATCGGTCAATTTGACATAACCCTGATTGTCTAGTACTAAATTCTCAGGTTTTAGATCTCTATAAACAATGTTCCTACGATGTAGAAATTCGAATGCCTCTACAACGCATGCTGTTGTAAATTTAACGGCTTTGTCACCTAAGCCATCCTTATTCTTGGAAAGATAAGTCCATACTTCACCTCCGAGACAGGCTTGCATTAATAAGTATAGAAATTTTGCGTCTTTAAAGGTTTTATAAACTGGTACAATAAAATCGCAACTTTTACTTGTCATCATTATTTTTCTTTCGGACATAACTTCTTTCTTTTGCTTCCTTTCGATAATATCTTGTTTTTTTAAGCATTTTAGAGCGAAAGATTCATTTGGACATGATGCATGAGTAGCAAGTTCTACAGTTCCAAAAGCTCCTGTTCCAAGGATTACTCCTCTCCGAAGGGTTTGAAGAGTAATATTTCGATATTTCTTATCAATGTCAATTTTCTCCTTCTTCTTGATCTCTGTCAGATTCACTTTTGGTTTGGAGTCTAGATAATCTTTATGATGAATGCTTTTCCTTAAACTTGGAATATCACCCATTAATCTAATAAAGTTTATTCTGGTGATAGTTAAGCAAGATGTTCCTTCTTTATCCGCAATGACATTTGCAGTTGTCGTGTCAGTTTTCGTTAAACTCTTTTCCCCAAAATAATTTCCCTCCTTTAAGTTATTGATTTCGATCCGAGATCCATCATCACTATTCTGCGAAACTTTGACCTTTCCCTTATAAATAATATAGAAAGCTGTTCCTTTTTCTCCTTGCCTAATAATTTCGGTTCCTTCTTGGAAGAATCGTAATTCAGCAACGTCCGCAATTTTTTCAAAATGATCCTCACTCTCAAAGTCGAATGTTTTTTTAATGAGAGAAACAAACTTTTCTCTTCTATAAATAGTATTTCTAACTAGAATTGCTTTAAAAGAGCTTCTATCTATTCCGAAAACGGTACATTGCGTCTCGGCACGTATTGTGGCTGTTCTCTTACAATTATATAAAATAGCCAACTCGCCAAATATTTCTGGACCATCCTCAATGTTGTTTATTATAATTTCACTTTCTCCCTTTTCCTGTTGTACTGATAATTTTCCTTTCACTAATACGTATACACTATCGCCTCGTTGGCCTTGTTTACAAATTAACTTCCCCTCTGATATTTCTTGTTTGTACATGCAATTGACGATTTCCACTAATTGTTCATCTATTATATCTTCTAAAAGGAAATTCTTTTTAAACGCTTCCTCAATCAATTTTCTTTCTCTATATAGATAATATATAATATTAATTTCTCTTTTATCAACACATTGATAATACTAAATGTCTTACGTATCAGTCTTAGGGTGGCTTGTTAGTTTTGTATCAAAATTTTCTGCCCAAGAATAATCAATTACAGCCTCTCTTCCTTCTTTCGATCTTGAATCTTTTTTATTTGGTTTTTCTCCTTTAAGAAGGCTGTTTTCATGTTGTAATGATTTAACTACATCTTCTAGTTGTTTGCATCTTGCAGTAAGCTTTTGATTTTTCTCCTTATAATAGTCTACCTGATCCTGGAGGCTGTTTTCTCTGCTCCGTGACATTCTCTTCAGTCGAATGCTGTGAGTAAAAACTAAGTCAGGTAAATTATCTCGACCAGTAAATTTCTTTTTCTTATCTTCTCATAGATAAAAAACAACTAGTTTAATTATAGAACCATGATTTCTTATTAATGATTTTATACCTATCTACGTAAATAAATTACAGATATATATATATATATATATATATATGTTAAACCTGACAAACTACTCAATCTTTAATCATAAGAAAAGATATATTATTCGTCATCCTATTGCAGCAAACATTTAATTTTATTTATGAATTCTCATGCAATTAATTTAACAACACAACTATTCTTATCAAAGAAGATAACAATATTCTTATTTAAAATACTAGCTTTATGAGTTTTTCTTTTTAAAAAAAATCACATCTTACACAAAAAACCATTAAAGAAGAAAGAGAAATGAAAAGTGGGCTTAACTTTAACATTTGAAAGAAAAGAAGAAATATTAAAATTTCCATAACTTTTACAAAACGTACTTTAGTAATTTGTTATTCTTTTATGATTTTACCTGCAACTGTCCTCGTTTGACTATTGAAGCTGAATGACGCACGGCCCAGTCGGTACTTGGAGAGGAGACCGCTTGGGAATATAGAGGTGGTGCTGTATTCATTTCGCTCAATTGCGTAATAGATATGAGGTTATTATACACACAATATAACTTGTCTATCCTAATAAAAATCTTGAATTATCACCCATTTATTAAACAATAAATAATAAAAGAACTAAGAAAATCATATTTAATAGTAATGTTATCAGTTTTTATAAATATATATATACATATATATATATATGTATATACAGTAGATACTGTATATATATTGTATTATCCATAAAGTACCACTTTTTTATTCTAATGAAAATAAATACCTGAAATAATACTCTAAGACTTTTTAATTAATTCCTTTTTCTTTTAGAGCTTCATAGTTTCTTATTCTGACAAACCATTGATTAAAATTTTTAGGTTTTAGGATTTCTTTTTCTATTTAAATTCTGAAGAATTTCTTTTCTCTGTGTGTATGTGTGTGTGTGTATTTTATTTATTTATTTATTTATTTACCTTCTATGTGTCTTTTTCTTCTAGTTTTCCTTCTTCTTCTTCTTCTTTCTCCTCTTCTTTCTCTTCTATTCAGTATACTCTATTTGAATTTAATATCAAATACAAGTTAACTATTCATGTTTGTTGTTTATAATCCAAACTTTAAATGAAAACTTTTCTCCTGGTTCCTTTTAATAAAGCTATCTCAAATAATGATACCAATGATATATCTCCTTCAAAGTATGATGAAAAAGTGAGAAGAGAAGATTAAAAAGGTGATATCTATTTAGTTAGTTAATATCTTTATCTAATTTATCACAATTATACTGATAGCAATGTGACAAACCTGTTTATATTTACCAACCATATCCGATAAAAATAATTATTTAGTTTGTCTAACAGAAGATATTTTGCGGTTTTTGCAGTTCTTTTAATTAATAAAATAATTTTCTTTGCATCGGAATTTTTGCTTTAAAGCTGATCCCTTAAATGGACAGTACAGTATTTACTAATGGATATATTAATTTACATAACTCTTTAGAGTAATAATTAGTAAGTCGTATCAATCGCAGGAGGTTTAGTATATATATATATATACTGTATATATAATGAGAGAGAGAGAGTGAGAGAGACAGAGAGAGATGGAGTTTGAAGGAGTAAATTAACTATTGAAGTAGTCGCTATAGGAAATTTTCAACCTTTTGCTCCCTCTGTCGGTTATTATTATTATTCCGTTTGAAAAAATTCAATCTACCTACTTTTAAGTGAATAATCAATAAATGACTATATAAGGATAACTACTACCCGTTAGATAGAGATAATAGATTCATTCATAAACCTTTCAATTGTTTCCCAATGATCTCCTAACAACAACAAAAAACGGAAAAAGAGAAAGAAAAGGATTAAAGAATTATCTGAAGTAGACTGGAAAATAAAGATAACTAGCTGTCCAATTAAGGCATCAGCGATGGTCAATAGGTGTATAAATTAATAATCCAAAATTGTAAATAGTTTGTATCATTTTGGTCCAATCTCTTTAATTTGGCAGTTTTACTTGCAGTATATGTACGGTTTTCATATCATTGTTTACAAATAAATATAGTATGTAGTTTGAAAGTAAAAAAAATAGGCCTATGATTCCAGAATAATTATGTTTCTGTATTATTAGAATACGACTGGAGGATATAAAAGATATTTATATTCATATCGATGATATAAAAAATCTCTATACTGAGTCCTTTAACAGAAACACGAAGTATCAAAATGTATCCTTATATATCCAGCACGTAGAAAGGACACACCTTTTCAAAGAAGACGCTATTATTAGAACTTTATAGGTTTCCAATACTATAGAAAGATAAATATGGTAGATACCATCTCTATCAATCATGATAAACGCCAAAGCACCATCGTTAACCAGTAAGCTTAATTGGACATTTCTCTTAGTGAATCATTGAGTAACAAAAGAGAGAGTGTAGTTCATTTATTGAGGAATCGAACTATTTACCCTGAACAGAACAATCGAACAGGATATATACAGTATATAAAAATAATTCTTTTCTCTCTGCTTCTCAACCTATCTCATTCTTCCTTCAATTTAGTTCTTCTGCTACATTTATAAGAGTAGATAATATCCTTAATAATATTTTATAATACGCTTATAACTCTCAATGACATTTTCATTTAAATATACCAAAGTTTACTATCTTCATTATCTAATTTTTTCCTCTACTTCTTACTTAAATTGATATTTTTCACATCATTTTTCTATATTATCAAAAAATCAAATAATTAATAGTAATTAGTATACTTTTCCCCTTTTATCTTCTTCTAGGAATTCTTTCTCTCGTTCGTTCCTTTTTTATTGAGTAACAATGAAATTTCTTCCCTTAGATTATTGACATAAACATTTATTGTACGAAACAATAGAGATAAAAATAATAAAGTGTTCAAGAATGTAAAATCTATTCCCTATTGATCATTATATGGTGGGAAGTGCTCTTAATGATTACATTGAAATGTAATCTTTCTCTGTTTGTTAATCGTAAAGATTTCGTGAAGAAACATTCATTTAGATCTTTTAACATTCTACATAAATAAATAACAACAATCAATCAGAAAGACTTTGAAGAATGTTATCATATAATTCATGACTCATATAAGGACTGTATTAAACAATGATAATATATTTCACGGTAATTATAACAGTTATATATCATCAATTCATTCATAAATTATCTTCTCATCTCACCCCCTCCCCCACCCCTTCCTACTAATTATTCTTGATCTTCTTCTAGTTTGTCATTCAATTTATACCAGTTTTTAGTTATTAAAATTCGATAAAATCTAATCAACAACTACTATTCTTTTCTAAAAAAAAAGTTTAAAAACTGTTCATAAACTTGGATTTTTTATTTTAAAAAATGATCATAAACTCTCTGTATGGAAAATATTTTTCATTTTTGTCTATATCAGCAATATTAACGATATTATGTAAATACCTGAACACACCTATAAACACTTAAAGTTAGCCTACTTTGTCTTAACAATTCAATTCTTTTATAAGGAATAAATATTCTATTTATTTATATATACTGTACAGTATATAGCCTAATATATGTTTATATGATAATCATAATAATAGGCCTTATTCAAGAGATATAAGAAAAGAAGATTAAGGAATCAAAAATCTCCTCTTTCAGCTAAATTAAAAATAGAATTAAGAAGAAAATAATATCTAGTTCATTCTTAACATAAAATATTAAACGATTATTTAAGAATCAGTTACAAAATATCGTTTATATTGCCCTATTTAAATTTCAATATTAATAACGCTATGAATTATGTAAACAAAGAGCTATTTAGTCATTTGGATTAGTGAAAAACGTTTAAAACAATGTCTTGTAATTATAATGAATTCAATTCTACTTTTCCATCTTCTTTTTATGGTCATAGGAGAAGAATTTCATTTAGGAGATTTCTAGGAAAACCAGATAGAGGAGCTATTACGGGTCTGCTAAAAAAAAACTTTTTCTTATTTTCTCTGTTTGCCCAAACAAACAAACAAACAAAAATGTAAACACTATAAACTTATCTATACCTTCCGTGCATACTAACTAAATAAAGTATAAAACTAGGAGGCGTCACCATATTTCAAAATAAAGTATACGAACTGGTGACCACGTTACTATACAAAGCGTCACCTATGGAAAACAATACTTTTTAAGTACAAGGTAAAAGCGCTACCTAGCCGTTTCTTTATTTATATTTTCTATAGTAGTTTTCCATTCAGAAAACACAAATGCAAAATATTAATTAGAATTATGTTGATGATTATTAAAACTTGAAAACAAACATGCCTAAATAAGTCATAAAATATAGACAGTTATCTAAGGTAATTGCCAATAAGAGAGATAGAGAGAGAGAGAGAGAGATAGAGGTTGAGAACGGTGAGGAAAGTGAGGGGGTAAGGAAGAAAAAGTAAGGGAAAAATACAAGAGGGAGAGAGTAAAAGCGCAAGGCAAAAAGAGTGGGAAAATATGAAAAAATAGAGAGAGAGAGAGAGAGAGAGAATAGAACAGTAGATTAAAAATATTAATGGAGACAAAATTAACAGAGATATAAAATTTTGAAAGAATAGATTATAAAGAGCTAAGGAAATTTACGTTACGAAAGTTAATATTTTATAACGTTATTTGTATTGCATTGATAAGTTATTGATTGAAGATTACGACTAGGTCATTGTATAGGCAGAAAACGATATGTTATACGGCAGATTCGCGTCGTAATGGGATTGTGTCACTGTTCTTGCGTTTCAAAACATAATGGTTTAACAGCATTACAAGGACCCGAAGTATTCCGTAGCAGCATTAAAGATAAGAGTGCTGATTGGAAATCGTACGAATATCCATTCGAAAATCTCGTCTTCTCCGGGGGCGGTATTAAAGGCTATGCCTATATTGGAGCATTATACGTAAGTAATTTTTTTTAAAGAGTAATTAACATTGAAAAAATTTCAACTGCTGACACTGGAAAATGTTATTAATTTAATTGTATTTGATCTTCCATTTCAACAAGGTAAAAAAGAGGTGTTAATCCTATTTCGTTTTGTTAACATTCTACAATAGGCTATGAAATATTTGAAAAATCTTGTAGATTATATTAAAATATCCGTGTTTATCTCTCTACTTGCTTTAAAACATTAGTTATAAAATGTATATCCTTAATCTATGTCATCTTTCTTTCATTCATTTAATGTTCAAGATTCGTTAATTCTTTGAATCAGGAAAAAAATTTGATTATTCATCAAAAAAAAAAAAAGGTTAACAGACGATAAGAAAATAACCTGTATTGTAGGCTTAAAATCAGAATGTTAAGATCGATTTATATAGCACAGTCTGGGGGTTGAACTACAACAATTGTATAATATTGAACAATATAAAGAAGTTCCAATAATCAATTCATTTTAATTAGATGTACTTGAACTTGAATTATATGACTTATTTTCTATATATCTATATCTATATACAGTATATGCTATAGACACGCTTGATTGACGACTGATAAAACTAGTACTGATAGTTTCTTATCTAATTTATTATAATTAAATATTTCTTCAATCAATTGATAATCTAATAAAATCGATATCCCTATCGTCCAAGTATTTCTTTTATTTCCCCTTTAACCAATTCCACAAATACTTCTTTTATAGGCTTTCGAAGAAACAGGAATTTTGAGTAATATCAAGGGAGTTTGCGGTACAAGCGTTGGAGCTATTTGTGCAGCATTAATATCTATTGATACTCCTGCAAAAGAAATTGAAAGGTTGTTCCTATGCAGTCCGAGATATCTTTTTCAAGGTATAAATCGATATTATTAATGAATATTGAATCTGTAAAAACCTCTCCTTTTCTCCAAATTTATGAATGATTTATGCAGATCAATCATGTGTTTTTTGTTTATGGCCGTGGACGCTATGGAGTAGATTCGGAGTGCATCCAGTAAAAAGATTCTATCGTATCTTTGGTGAGCATATTGCTAGATTCGCCGGAGATGCTGATATTACATTTGCGCAAGTTAAAGCTAAATTTGGAAAGGCATTAGTTATTCCCGTTACAAATGTTAGTAAAATGAAAGTAGAATATTGTAGCCCTCAAACTACACCTGATTTACCGATACGTAAAGCTGTGAGAATATCGTTGTCATTTCCAAGTAAGTCGATAGATGGCGTTACCTACTAGTTGTAAATAAAAAAAGTTTTTTATATTTCTTCTTTCCTTCCCCGTCCGTTTTAGTTTTGTATGCCCCCATTCAAATTGATTTAGGAATTGGGAGTGGACTCTGTAGTTATTCGGACGGGGGTTTAATGGCTCAATACCCCATCCATATTTTTGACGAAGAGCACGACTTTACAAAATCAATGAGAGATTTAGTAAAACTGAGAAGTGGAAGAAAGTATACTTTAGAAAGTCAGAATCATACACCAAATCCATCTAGGCACAGAATGTCTAGTAAAGAAGATGGAGGAGATGTTGAAAGGAAGCAATCGATTACAGATAACACAACCAGATTAACGCCTGAAGCTTCGCTCAATACAAAAAGTTTAGGCCTTTATGTTGTATGTAATAAAATACCCGTTTTTTTTATAATTTCCAATAACAATATTAACAAAGTTAATTAATAATTAAAAATTTACAACTCAGGTTTGTGAAACGGCTATTGAATATCAATTATGGAAGAAGATGTTCAGCTGCAATGTTCCTAGAGCACCGAAAGCTGTTCCTAGAACTAAATTATCAAAAGCGAGGGTAAAGTTTACAAAAGTCAGTTCAAAGAGATTCCAGAAATTTCGTAAGAGACGGGAGTTGAATAAAGATGGAGAAGTTGAAGCGGAAGAGGATAAGCTAAAGTTGTTCGATTTTAAGGCAAAGAAAACAGGAGCTCATGGAGATCCGGTAACCTCTTTTCCAACATTTGTTATGGCGACACTGGAAACTATGCTTGTCAGTCAAAGGAGTTGTCATATGCAACCATTTGATCATCATAGGACAATTCCAATCAACACTGGATATATTTGGACAAATGACTACGACTTTGAACCGGAAGATAGAGTATTTTTACTCCAAGAAGGATACGATAGTACTGTAAAATACCTAGAAAATTATATGAAACGTCAAAGCTCTTCCAAAGAGAACATTGACGAACTAGCAGACGAAGAGGACGACAAAACTTCTTCGTGTTCGGATGACGCCAGTGACAAAATCTTTAAAGACGACGAAGTTGAAGATGAAATATTTAATCCAGTTACCGCACAGTATGAGCATTTCGAAGCCTCAGGAACTTTATCACACGCTCTTGCCTCTGTAGGAATAAGGAGAAGACTTTCGCACGACAGTTCGCATTCAAAATAGAATTTTTTTTCAATGAAAATTTTGACAAATAAAAACAAAACAAAATGAAAATAAAAGATAATTTGACCTTTTCCAATTAAAATATTAAAGTCAAATAAATCAGATGTAACTCTTTTATATGATACAGCTAATAGCAATAACGAACAATTTATAGAACTTAATCAAAATTACCTCTAATACTATAATTTACTAAAAGATCTACTATAATTAATAATCCTATCAGAATATGAACATTTATATTAATATATATTGTATATATACAGTCTATACAGTATATATACTGTATCATAATACTATATACTCTATAATGTATACTGTATGCGAAACACCGCTCTCTCCATCTCTTTTTCAATTCCTCTTGAATGAATAGAACTCTTTGGTTATTGTCGATTTTTTGTTCAATAATTCATACTTGATACAATCAATTAATAATAATAAGCTATTCCTACCGATTTTTTTAAATCTCTACTGAGGTTTCCTTTTGAAATTTTAACAAAATTTAACAGATTAATCGATAATCTAAAGTATTTTATACTTCATAAACAATGAAAATAACTCAAGTATTTTTGAATATATAAGAGAAATTTTTTATTGATGGATTAGTATTAATCGGTGGCAAAAACCCCTCTACTTAATCCGCCCGTTTTTCTTTTTTTTTTTAAGTCGTTGCTATCCAAGTCATTGAACGTTCAAACAATTCATTGAGCGAACTTTTTTTTTACAAGTGCTTCGTTAAGAAGAATGAAAAAGTCATATTCTAAAAGTCAATTGAGTGAAACGTTTGTATTTAATAGATAGAGTGGATGAATTGTTTATCTATTATTTAATTGTAGATCTACAAATTCAACTAATTCTCCTCCATCTGAACGCATTATACATTTATCGAGACCTCGTAAGAGACAACCAAATAAAACTGAGCATAGGTAAGCCGATATCCTTATAAGAATGAACCGATTGAATGACTTAATCCATCATTGTTCAAGTCAAAAGATCCAATGGGGTAACCAGGAAACCTTATGGCCAATTTCGGATGCGGCGAGAAAGGCGACAGCGTCGCCAAGGATACTCGATTTATCGAGATCTCTCTCAAGACAAAATGATGGAATGTAAATGAATAAATCTTTGATATTCGCCTATCTTTTAAAATAATAATGATATTTTCATTTAAAAATAGGCCACAATACTATTATAGCTGCGGGAGAAACTCGACAATATGGCCAATATCTCCAGCAGCACAGAAATATAATCCCACGGAGAGAGTTCGGCGATTAGCTACCCCTAAAAATGACAGAGATGACTATATTCGTCAGCATGTGTAAATATAATCATCTTTTATTATATAACCTATAAACAATCTATTATTGCAAAAATTGTATCATTCATCTATTAAGCCCTTTATACTTTTATGGATGCGGAAGAAACAGTTCCATTGGGAATACAGTCAAACCTTCCTCAATACCACAAGCTACGGATAGAGTATCAGCTTTGGCAAGACACAAAGATCCGGAAAAAGATTATCATTACAAGTAATTGAATAGTTTATTAAAGTCAAATTCATTCTTCAAATTCATATGTGAGCGTTTGTTTTCATTTGTGTTAGACGGGAAAGAGAAGTACAAACCGTGGTAAAAGACGCTACACTACGAGCTATACCATCACCAAGAATAGACGATTTATCGAGACCTAAACCAAGAGATGGCTACGAATGTTATAGAGACCCTCACTGGAAGGTAACTGATGGAGCTAGAAGTGCTACTCCATCCGAAAGAATACAGTACCTATGTAAACCAAAGACAAAAATCGAAGGTTTCCACTTTGATAAAAGCGTTGAAACTGTTGTATCTAAAGGAGCACTTCGAGCTATTCCTTCTACGAGAATTGTAGAGTTAGCAACTCCTAAAAAGATTATTGGAGCCTAAAAAAAAGAGAGAGAGAGAGAGAGAGAGAGGGAATATTTTCTAAAGAAAAACGACTTCAAACTTTGTGTCAAACATTCTTAAACGATTCCTTGAAGATTAATAAAGATAATATAAGAGATTGTCTACAAGATGACTTTTTAATTGATCTCATGGTTTTTTCTTCATTCTGTTGAATTTCTTTTAATAGAGCCATTTTTCCCTTCCAAAGAATCGTCTTATTCGATTACAGATGATCTTTTTGATAACTCTCCATTTTTCCATATCGAATTTCCCACTTAACTCTGTTGTTATTAAAACTTTGTCAATACTCTTAATAAGATACTATAGAGGAAACCACAGTACTTTTTTTACTTAGATTAAGTAAGTTTCAAGTTAAGAAAACGAGAAGGAGGAAGTACAGGGAAGGGGGAGAAAAAATAGGAAGAAAGAATGAAATAAATAATGAATTTCTACAACGCCATCTGTGGCTGTATGAGAGAAATTCTACTCAACTGTCCTTGAACGAAGGTCGTATTTAATTAAAGAATCTCTTTGACAAGTAAAAAAAAAAAAGGGAGAGAAGAAAAGAATATCTGCTAAGAGTAGCAACGTGGGAAAAGGAGCAGTACGTTCAATGTTTAAAATAGATTTAAATAGACTGTTTTTTCCATTTATCCACTTAGAGATAAAGATAAGACTAAGTAATTAATTGATTTTTTTATTATTTATTAGATTGAAGACATGGTAAAAATTGCCTAAAGACATATTTAAATAAATGAATATATGTATATATTATACATATATACACATATATGATTTTCTTTTTTACAGCTGACAGTACGTAAAAGATAAATAAGAAGAATGATAAGATGAGCACTTTCATGATTATAAGAAGCTATAAACGCTACGCCCACGCTATATTACGAAATTAATTTACAATGACCATAATAACTTTGAACTACTTTTTTACTGTTGATGAAAAGGAATGGTAAGATACTTTCGATGATCAACAAACTACTTGGCTAACAATCTCTAAGAATTTCACTACGGGGATGGCGGTTCTTAACACTGGCTAAAAAAAGTACCATAATGTTAGAGAATGAGGAGAGGGGCTGGAGAGAATTGGGTGGAGAAGGCAAGGGGGTGGGGTAAAGGAAAGACGGAAACGGAATACAAATAGACGCCAAAAATTGTTCCCGTATAGACGAGGGAGAAAGATTGTTGCTGAAACTGTTGCAAAAAGAGACGCGACACTATGTGGTTATCCTCTCCTATTCTCTTCCCAGGAGTACGTTAGATGTCTATCGCTTTACCGCCCACTTAACCGACTTCTATTCCGCTTCTTGTCGGAAATTTACCGATTCCCTTTCTATTCTTCAATTGAAAAAAATCCATAGTAAAACTCTTTCAGTCTTACATTCTCTCTTGACTTTTCAATTTCATCTAGAGTACTACTTTGGAGATAATACGCAAGAAGAATTATAAAAGAGATGGGTAGGAGGATGAAGGAGAAGTGTAATTCTCCTTATGGAACTTTAATAATTGTTATAATTTAATCGAAATATAATATTTACGTTTTTGTCAATAGAAAGTACGTTTAGTAGAAATCGATGTTTATAGATTAGGCCGCTTTTCTAAACCAGCGCCAATATACGTGCATAGCATTCAGTTTGTACGCCGTCGTCGAATGCAGCGCTTACAAAAGTAACGTCAAGTGAGTAAAAAAAATATCATTGACAAATTCTTACAAAAGAAAATTAACTCATTTAGTGAACTAATAAAATATAAATATTAATAAAGGAAAGGGAGAGAGAGACAGAGAGAGACAGAGAGAGAGAGAGATAGATAGAGCGAGAGAGAGAAAGAGAGAGAGAGGGAGAGAGAGAGAGGGAGAGAGAAAAAAAAAGATATGATATTCAGGAGGCGGCGTCGATTTGGGAGATCTTTTTTATCAAAATTTCTTTGCCTAATCATCTTTATAGTAGTGACAATAGCGAAGAAAAAACTATTTAGCGTTGACGAAGAACAAACCGAAGACCTAGCAATTCATCATCCAGGTATATCGTATGTTTACTTTATTTTTCTTCTAACATGTTTAGCTAGTCGGTCAAACATTTATAAATAGGTTTACCGAGTATATTTGTGTATTTACAATTACCTAATCATAATAGACAGCCGTTTCTTGATGTATTTATAAAATTTTCTCCGTTAAAATGACAAAATTCGATACGGTAAGAGAATGAAGTGCACAATGAGGATGGAGAAGAAAAGTAGTAGTAATAAAAGTAGTAGTGGTAGTATTTATGGTGTAAAGAAGATGAAGATAATAATAAATTATGGTTTAGAGGAAGGTAGGAAACTGTGGGTGGGAGAGAAAATGATGAGGAGGGGCAGGAGGAGGAAAAGGGATGAATATTGTAAAATTTTCTTTTTTAATAAAAAGAAGAGGAAAATTATCACGAAATCTGCAATCAGTGTAATTTGAGAATTCAAAAAGTCGTGCTATAAGACTTTTATTAATATAAATAAAACTTTAACACTTGGAGTTTAGTTAAAGACAAACTAAGGTAAACTATTTATATACAAGTGAAATGCACCATATAAATGAAGAGGATGAATTGTACTTAAACCTATATAGAAACTTATATATAGATTCTAAATACATATATATGACGTTAAGGAAAATGTGTGTCAATGTCTCTGACGGCATCAAACGATAGTATACGGTAACAATCATCCTTTTTTTCTTCTTTTTTTTTCATATAGGCGGACGGCATTTGCTGCAAACAACGTTGAAAGATAATAATATATCTACCAATCAGCCAAACTGTACCATACCCGGTTAGTCAGGTGATTATAGTGTAACGTTAGTAGAAAGAGTCAATTTTTATTTCTTTTCTAGCCTACCACGAATTTCCTACCGACCTCTTCTCAAATGAACAAAGGTCGAATGGGGCAGTTATCATTCACGTTTTCGTCGTTGTCTATATATTCATAGCTTTAGCTATTATATGCGACGAGTACTTTGTTGCCTCTTTGGAAAAGATATGTGAAAAATTGAAACTAAGTGAGGACGTGGCTGGAGCAACTTTCATGGCTGCCGGAAGTTCTGCTCCGGAATTGTTTACCTCCGTAATTGGAGTTTTTATTGCGCACGGAGACGTTGGGATTGGTACTATTGTCGGATCTGCTGTTTTTAACATATTATTTATTATAGGTTTATGTGGTATACTCGTTAAAGAGGTAAGAGGGTGCAGTTCGTACCCAATGTCATATTTCACCTTTCTTTGTTTTATCTATTTCATATATTGGTACTATAGCCTCATACTAAATATCTCTTTTTAATTATATGCCAAACGAATGGGGAGGGGAGGGGGATAGAGAAAGAAACGGAAAGAGAAATTACAAAGAAATCTACCTAATCTTTCTTTTTCCAACTGAATAGACAAGATTAAGAAAAAGCAAAAACAAACGTTTCGCCTATAAATATACCTTGTCTATTTTATTGTCCGCTAATTTGGAAGTCTGAATAATATCATTAAATTATCAATTCCCATAAGACTGTAGTACCGGATTTCTAACAAATACAATGGAATAAAAAACAACTTGCAAACACAGGTGGTTATCCTGGCTTGGTATCCGCTCATTAGAGACACGGCGTTTTACCTAATTTCCGTTATAGCTTTAATACTCGTAAGTATTACTTTCTCTTACTTGATATTTCATATTATCCTTATCTTAATCTATTTTCATAGACTATACTAGACTCGACAGTAAAATGGTATGAATCGTTTATAATGTTGACTTTGTATGCCGCCTACATATTTGTAATGAAGTAAGTTTGGCAATTGAGAATTGGTGGCTTAGTTTTCAATAGTTCTCTTTTTTGTTCCTTTCTATTTTCTCTCTTCCTATAAAAAACGTTTAGGGAGAATAGGAAAATTCAAGAATTCGCCCATAAACATATTAAAATCTTCGATGAAGCTGTTAAACCAGTCCAAGCTGGTTTATTACCCCCATCGGCACCAAGGAAATTTTATGGCGACCCCAATGCTTACGGTTAGCACTTTATTTCTCAATTTATATATTTTATATACAGTATATACTAATATCTATATATATAATCTATAATTATTCCTCTATCTATATCCTTCTCTCTCGCCGCTCTCTATTTAGCTATCTCTCTCTCTCTCTCTCTCTCTCTCTTACTTTCCTCTTCTTCTCTTTCTCTCTATCCCTCAAATTTTTTTTTTTTTGGAACGTAGCTGTTTTATATCATAAAAATTCATAGATTCTTTTTAATTCATAAAGGCCTATATACTCCCCATAAGCTTTTAGCATCTAGTTACAGTCTTTTATTTTACTACGTGACGTTTATTTTGAGTACATTATCCTTAATTCTTTTATTAAGGAAAGCAAGAATGTATATATATATATATACTGTATAAGTTACTTTAAATAGAAAACTTCATCTATACTGTATATATACATACATAAATATAAATATATAGTATATACTGTATATAGATAGCTATTATGTTCGTTTATACTTTATCATAAAATCAACTTCTATCTATAATAAATTAGAAATGTACGAGAATTCTAAAACGAATAAATCGCAAGATATTAAGGTTTTGGCAGTTGATAAATTTGCAATGAAACCAGGAAGGTTTGTTATGAGTTAATTGAGATATTAAATTATATTTTTTTGACCATCTCTTCTTGAATTTAGGATGAGCTTTGCAGATATTTGCTTAAGAGTAATGAAAGGAAAGGAGTTTAAACCTAAAACTAGGTTTAAATTTATTACTTTTATACTTATTGCTGAGGTTTGTGTAAATAATTTTTATATTTTATCGGGTAAATTGCCCATTTCCTAAGGTTTTTCTGTACTATACTCTTATGAATATTTATAGAGAAAGAAACTCTTACAAGATCCTGGCTTCAAGAGACGTCAAAAACAAATGAAAACCTTAAGCTTTGACGCAAGTACAGATTCTTATACAAAAGCTGTTCGAACAAACTCTGATAAACCCGAGACTGAGAAGGAGAGGCCACTGTTTCGACCCCCAAAAATAGAGGAAGGATTGTTAAAGATTGCCGGTTGGCTAGCTCTTCTACCAGCTAGTATTGTGTTCTTCTTTACCGTACCTGACTGCAAAAGGAAGAGATTCGAAGGGTGGTATGCAGCAACTTTTATGCTATCGATAGCATGGATAGCTATTCTATCCTACATAATGGTTTGGATGGTGACATTAATCGGTTATACGATGGGTATACCTGATAGCATAATGGGGATAACGTTCCTAGCAGCTGGAACGTCTGTTCCTGATGCAATGTCGAGTGTTATGGTAGCCAGACAGGGTATGGGAGATATGGCGATATCAAATACTATAGGAAGCAACGTTTTCGATATACTAATAGGGTTAGCACTTCCATGGTTTATACACACTGTTTTACTTCCATCAAGACAAGACGTAAGTAAATCTTACCTACTGAAATTTTCAAATATAATCATTACCGTCTCTATCAGGTTCATATAAATAGTAACGGCATGGTATTTAGTGTCATTCTTCTCTTCGCAACAGTAGTTATTACAGTAAGTAAAGGTAGATCATATATATTCTCAATATCTCTATAAATTGAAGATATAAGATATTTTTTCTTAATTATCTTTTCTATCTTCTTTTTTTTCTCTCTTTTTTTTCTTTCTTTTTATTCCCCTTTAGTTAATGGCCGTACACTGTGGTGGTTGGAGATTAGATAGAAAACTTGGTATTATCTGCATATCTAGCTACACAATATTTCTTTCCATCTCTACTCTTATTGAATTTAACATTTTTGGATTTGTAAATCTTCCAATGTGTACTGAATATTAATTATGTAAAAAGACAAAAAAAAACATACCAAAACAAGCTTTTCAGTTTGTTTTTCGATTGGAAGAGAATTTTGGTCTTTTTTCTAAGTCATCTTCTTCTTATTATTATTATTCTTCTTCTTCTTTTTCTTTTTTAATCTTATCTTCAAAGTCAATCTTCTTCATATGTATAAACTCTGCAAAGAAAAAAAAATTACCTGCTTCTTTGTGTCTTGAGAAGGAGTTTATAAAATATATATGTAAAAAGTACCTGTATCAAGTTGTTAATTAGAGCAATTATGTGTTTAAATTGGATATTTATGCTGATGTTTATTATCACTTTTTTTTCAACCGCTCCTCTTTACAACATTTGCTTCTTTATCCCTTTCCTTTAAACCTTATTTTTCTCCTTTTCTCTCTCTCTCTCTCTCTCTCTCTCTCGCTCTTTCTTTCTTTCTTTCTTTCTCTCTGCCCTCCCCTTTCTCTTCTTTTCTTTTTCTTATCTTTTTTTCTTCGTTCCGTCTGTGAATTTACAGTTATGATAAGTACTGATAGTATATATCCTTATTATACTGAATATAATAAACTAGCCCAACTTAGTGTACCTAAACGCTTATAGTAACTTTTACAGTTTTACAGTTTTCCAGTTGATTATAAGTGCTTTGTACATAAAGTTATCACTAAATTATTAGTTGAATGATAATCATTAATTTGCTTTTACTATTTGAACAAAGTCAGATAAGAGTATATAATTATAAAGTTTCTAAGGCATCGTATCCTAGAGGGAGTCTGCTCCTAATTGCACATCGATCTACAATTCGAAACCAACCTCTTTCTAGTTTCGGAATAATCGAAAAATCCACTTTGCATGGAGAAGAGAATATGAAAGTGAAGAAGAGGATAATATCGAATTTCTCTCTAAACATATATAATTATTGTGCCATTTGGGCCTAGGTCCATTCGATCTATATTTTATCTTTGCTTGGTTCCTTAGCTCCTACTTTGGTTCCCCTGGTCAAATTTTAATTTTATGTACCAGCTGTTTCTAAACAATCTAATATCAAAACTAATAAATTTCCAAGTAGCGCCATCTACCAAATAATTATTTAATAACAAAAAAGAAAAGATATTATTTACCGAATGGAAAATCTTAAAAAGAAAACTTTTAAGTAGAAGAGGAAAGAGAAAGAAATTGAGAGAGCGAAAGAGAGAGAGAGAGAGAGAGAGAGAGAAAATGAGATAGGAGATATGAGAAAGAAGAAAGGAAAAGAAAATTGATGAAAAGAAGATTAGCAGATTTTAGCTTTTATCAGTAAAATCTAGCTCTTGTATATACAGTATAAGTAAAATACAAATACTATTAATTTTTAAGTGCAAATATTGAAGTATATATGAGAAGATTGATAAGGGTAGAGCTAATTACAGCTCTTTAATTAGAAATTTCTAGATAGTTGTCTATAATAATAATTTAAATAATAAAAAAGTTAATTTATTATATAACTACAGTATATACAGTATATATATATATATACGTATATAAACAGTATATATTGTTTTCTAATAATATATTATACTTTCTCAATTCTCTTTTGATATATATTATATAATTCATTAAATGTGCACAGATGTTTTGAGTCAAAGCAATCGTTGAATAATTAACAAGTCACGACCAGACCACGTTTCAGCTTTGATTATACTATTGCGCAAACTAATAGTACAAGCAATAAATCGATTCTATTCTCTATTGTATTCATTATTTTATATTGAAATTAGTTTTGGTCACACTGAATATTCATTTAGTTTTCTATTAGCGTAGGCCATTGGATATAAAAGACCAATCAGAATTGTGTATACATTTGAGGTTGTAGCCTTGACACTCAAACATCCGATAAACTTTTCGCTACACCGCCGGCAACAGATATAAATCCTGAATAATGGAACGAAACGGTAATTACATCATAATTTAACAAAAGTGAGTTGTTCTCTAGTATACCCCCCTCTATAGATAGCGAATTAAAACCAACGATCTCAGAATTCTACGCTGATAAGAACATTTTTATAACAGGTGGAACTGGATTTATTGGAAAAGTACGTTGACATAACTTTGAACTTCATGCATGACTGATTCATATCTAATATTTTCAATATCAGGTTGTGATTGAAAAACTGTTAAGATCATGTTCAAACATCAAAGGTATCTATTGCCTAGTCAGACCAAAGAGAGGAAAAACAATAGAAGAGAGATTAAACATACTTTTACAAGATAAAGTGAATTGCAATCATATTTCTATTTCTCATTTAACGTACAACTATTAAACAATTAACAGGTTTACGACAGAATTAGAAAAATAGATGCAGATTTTGCTAGTAAAATACATATAATTAAAGGAGATGTCTTAGAAAAGAATCTAGGAATATCTGAGGAAGATACAGAATTTTTAAAGGATAATATAAATATTGTTTTCCATTCGGCTGCAACAATACGTTTTGATGAACCTTTAAGAACAGCTGTTAAAATGAATGTTATAGCAACGAAAGAAATAGTTCTTCTATGTAAAAAAATCAAATTTTTAAAGGTAAAAAAACAAAAACAAAAGACACGACGAGTGAAAATGAACTCGAATTATTTTTATTGATTTCTCTTTTTTTTCAATATTTAGTCTTTCGTCCACGTTTCAACAGCCTATACAAACTGTGATAAGAAAGATATTATTGAGGAACACATTTATCCCGCTGTTCATGACCCGAATGATATTATTGATATGATTGAGTAAGTTAATTTTGTTATTTAAGTATGATATTTTGCTAATTTTCAATTTTTTTTATATATATTTAATAGTCCTATTATGATTATACGTTTTATTTTTCCAGATGGATGGATGATGATACTCTAAATATGATTATGCCTAAATTGATTGGAACTAAGCCTAATACTTACACTTATACTAAACAACTTGCTGAATATATGCTAATGAAGGAAGCCTCTGATTTACCTTTGGCTATTTTGAGACCATCTATTGTGACTGCATCGTGGAAAGAACCATTTCCTGTAAGTGCTATACCAATTATTTAATTAATTAAAAGATTAATTGATTGTGATTACTTTTAATTTTTAGGGATGGATAGATAATTTGAATGGTCCTTCTGGATTGTATATTGCCTATGGAAAAGGCCTAGTCAGAACAATGATAATGGAAACTGATCTTGTTGCTGATATGATTCCCGTTGACATTTCTGTTAATATGCTCCTAGCAGTTGGCTGGTATACGGGAGTCTTTAAACCGGAAAAGGTTCTTTTATATCACTGCACATCAGGTACTTTAAATCCAGTTACATGGGGAGCTAATTGCGGAATAGTGAAAGAAGTTTTTAAAAGAGTAAATATTATTTCAAAGCGTAAAAAAAAGACTACCTGACAAAGCGTTATTGTTCTCCAACATAGATTCCATTAGAAGGAGGATTTAGAAGACCAAGGTGCTATATAACCAACAAACCAACCCTTCACGATACTTGGATATTTTTAAGCCATTACATACCAGCATATTTGGTCGACTGTGCATTCAGATTAGTTGGAAAGAAAGCTAGGTGAGAACTTAACGATTTGAGTCTTTTCTGATAATATAGCCTCAGGCACAAAATGAAACAAATTAATTGCTAAAAACAGAATGGTTTCGGTTTACTCTCGTCTACATAAAGCAATGGGAACCCTGACGTACTTTACGACAAGATCTTGGCAATGGACTCACACTGGTCTTGACTTACTTAAAGCCGTAATGAGTCCGGAAGATTCACAGGTAACTGATAAATTGCAAATATTAAATATCTTCTTATATAAAAGACAATCTTAATAACAGACTTTCTATCTTGATCCTCGAGCTATTCATTGGCCATCTTATATAGAAGATTTTGTCATGGGAACAAAAAAATTTATACTAAAAGAAGAGATATCTAATGTAGAAAGCGCTCGCGCTCATATTAGAAAGTAAGGCAAACCATATTTATTTTCTTTCACCTCAACTTAATAATTTGTTTTCGCAGGTTAAGAAATTTTCGCTATTGTTTTAATATGTTTGCTCTGGTAATTCTATGGCGTTTATTGATCGCCAAATCAAATCTTGCTAGAAGTTCTTGGTATTTTGTCTTGAATCTAGTTCAGAAATTCTTAAGATTCTTTCGACTTTCAAGTACGATTGTCTAATTAAAAAATATTGTTAGAATATCTTTATAAAAAACTCTTTGTATTATACCAATCATTAATAATATACTTTCTACAGTATTGCTGTATTCTGTATATTATTAACTATTTTAGAAGTTTAAAGGTTCAATCGGCTATTAAAGAATTTCCGTTTGTTTCTTATTTATTTCCAATGCAGCTTTTAATGTTTATTCAGATTATTTTTTAGTTCTTTGAATCTATACATTTTTTAATCTTGCGAGATCTGCAAAAGAGAGTTATTTTTATAAAGCTACTGCAAAAAAAAACAACGATTTTTTTGTCAAATTCTGAATAAAAAAAATGAATGGGTTATGTTGAGATTTTATTTTGTTTTTCTGAAACATTTGTATATAATTCGACAAAGTACAAAGGTGCAAATACTAAATACTTTCAACAATGGATCAACTAAAAATTGTATGTTTGGAAATGTTCAAATATTTTCGGAAATGTGAAATCCGGTGCTGCCATCTTTAGATGCTTGACAAATTGATGGTTTCCTATCTGGATTTAACAAAGCTAGTCGTTTATTATTTATGCAAGATAATTCCTTTGCGGAACACGATGGAAAATGTTCAATAGCAGTTGTTAAATCGAGCATAGAATAGTCAACCTCGTATATTGCTACATTACTCTCCATTAAAAGTGGTAAAAAGCGATGACCCCAAAGAATTTCACTAGCCAGATATGAGGTTCGAAGTTGCGTTAGCATACCAGTAGATGGAACAGTTCCCTCTAGCACAACAATAATTTCTAGATCAGCGCCGAGAATACTCTCCTCCGACAGATCGTATAGGGGAGAATTTTCATTAATGGTATGCGCTACATACATAGGCCATGCCATGAAAACTTTCCCATCACATCCAGCTGATGTGACAACATTCAATGGTTCCTGATATAATTGTTGTTTGGAACTGTTTTTATAAGCTTTATGAGATACCAATGTCACTTTTATATTAGCGTCAATGAGATGTGATTTCCTCATATCAGCTACTCTAAACACTAGTTTCAATGGATCAGTCGGATCATCGTTTCGTGTTATTAACGCATTCTTGGAGAACAGTACAGTTCTTTTTCTACTTTTAGGCCGTGAAAGTTTAGCAATAATAACACCCGCCAAAAGAGCTTGAATAATAACTCCAATCATTGTCTGGGCCATAAGTAAGACAACTGTAATAGGGTAAAAAAAAAAGAAACGTAATAAAAAAAACAAAATATCGAATAACGCAAGCTAAAACCAAAAAGAGGAACAGTATCAAAACAAAAAAAAACCGATAACATGGAAAATAAGTGATTTCCACAAGGAAAGGCGGGAAAATATGGGATACATTTAGAACAACTGTCTTACCAATTTACGTAGTCAACGGTCTAAGCTGCTCCTATTATTATCAGCATAGATATTTTTTATATATAAAAGTAATTTTAATATTGCTTATTACCTGCTGAGTAACATTTATCTGTTAATGCCCTTCCTCCATAGCCAATTGTTTGTTGAGTTTCTAGGCTATACAACTAAAAAAGAGTGGAAAAAAAAACATAGGAAAAGATAAGATATTAGTAAAACAAACGTAAGAAAATAATAGAGAACTAGGATTTTGTTCTCATTAATTATAGATTAACATTCTTTTCTAATTTTTTTTGTTTATTTTTAATATAAATAAGAAACGCCTACCAAAGCCGTTGTGAAGCTGTCGACATTATCAATGCATACATCCTCCTTTAGTGTAGTATTATCTCCTCTTTGAAAATTGAGGTCACCGTTGCTGAAAGCGATCAAGTACCAAATCACGGCAAAGATAAGCCAAGATAGTAGAAAAGCAAGAATGAAAAAAGTCCATATGTAACGCCATTTCATGTCAAGGACAGATGAATAAAAATCGAAAATAAACGCTTTTTTTTTAAAGTTTGCACTTCTAATATTACATGTTCCGTCCTGATTAACCAAACGAGCTTTTTTCCTCTCTGAATATTGTAGTCCTCTCTTTCTCAACTTCCTTACTAACGTCCCTCTTTTGTGAGGTGTTATAGTCTGATTTGACGAAATGAACGCCATGGAAGGCTCTGATTCAGTTGAAGAGGATCTCCTTTGAGTCGAGTAATTGCCAAACGATACATTGTTATTATTGGCTAATGCGTCCGTGCAATCCTGATCATTGGAAGGGAATTGTCTAAATTTTGATGTAACCAATTTCGATGGAGGAATTGTCTTATGATTTTGTGATCTATTGGCTATTGGATCATAAAAATATCCGGAAGAGTCTAACGATCCTCTTTCGGCTCTTAACGGAGAATTAAAAAACTGTTTAAAAACTGGATCTGATTGAGGTGACGATGGGGTCAGTAATTGTCGAGATCCACCGTCCCCATCTTTGTCATTTTCTGTACATGAACTAACAGTAAATCTGCTGACTTTCCTCTCAACAACTGGTTTTTTCTTCCTGGTAATCCCTTTATTTTCATTTATTGTCACAACAGTGTCTTTCTCTCTAATTATATTTGTTTCTTCTTCGTCGATACAATCGGTGTTACACCGAATGTATTCGGCAGAGTTTTTAATCATAACCTCCTTTGAATTTTATGATTTATGTTATTCTTAATTCCTTGGCTATTTTTCGGATTTCCTATAAATTTTTTATACGGATAATTTAACATCATTAGTACAATTTATAACGATAATAACATTGAGTTAACTATGACATATATTCGTTTAAAAAAGAGCGGTTTTTTCAAGCACTACAAGAAAACTACCTGTAATAATAGTAAAAACGTTCATACGTATAGAGAAAAGCAATTGTAAACACTACTACGAGCAACTTTAACGGCTTTACAGCTTGTAATATGAGTAGGTCAGATATATAAAAACGAGTAGGATAACACTACTCACCGCTTGTCAGATAGTTTGTGTCCTGTTTGGAATATTTCGTTTTTCGATAAGTTTTTTTTTCTTACCTAATCGCTATGTTTTCAGACATGAAGATATTAATATAAATATTTTATTAAAAGTTTCTTTTAAAAGACAATATCAGTGAAGATATTGTCAATTTTCTTTAAACACGTTTACTCTGTAACCTATTTTCGGGATAATTACTGTTTTTCGCTCACCTTTTTTTTATTCGTTCGCTACTTTTCTCTCTCTATCCTCTTCTTATTATGAGACATTCACTGATTTGGACCAGTTTAACAATTCATTATTAAACGGAATTTCTAAAGTATTTTCATTAACTCATTTTTACTTACATATTTTAGAATATATATAAAAATTTGTCTTTAATCAGTTATAACTTAGAGAAAACTATTAAATTACATAAGGTTAGATTAGTAGTCGTCTCTAGACAAATGTTTATAGAGTGACAGCCTCTTTTTCAAGTCCATTGTTATCGTATTATACAATCCGTATTGTTGACTGTTTTGTAATCCTAAGTGTTATCAGCTAGGGTTCTTTTATATATACATACACTCGCCTATAAATTAGTAAAAAAAAAACGAGTTCAATCTTGATTATTGTCATTCGTAATTTTTTCCGCAAGTTGACTCCTGAATAATTTGATTTCAGGGTCATAGGCCTAAAAATTTATCGATCTGATGCATGATTTAATAATTGATGTTAAGCAAGACGCTACTTATAGATAACATACTAAAGAAAACAATAAAAGATGAAACGAGATTTCGTTACATTGAATTGGGCCTATAGCCCATTTTTTATTTGATAACCATTAACACACGCCTACTCTAGAACGAACAATTTACTTGGCGGTCATTTAATGGCATAACCGGCCTATAATTGTTACCCATGCAGCCGCCATCTAAGGAAGACAGTGATCGGAATTCGTTGAGTTGAGCCTCAGAAATTTCGATAGGTTCTTTAAACAGGACCCATTTAACCGATTCAAAGCAAGGGGGAGTTGTTAGCGAACCGTCATAAGTCCAATAACGTTCCGTATCCGGCAGAAGAGATGCAGGATCAAAGCCTCCAACCAAATCAATACTTGCGTTTGGCTCTTTTATGTTATTAAATTGATCAGTCAATTTCTTCAAAGCTTCATTTTCTTGTCCAATCTATTGTTTATATTGATTTTTTATTGTTATTTTTACATTTAACATTATTAAAACGGGATACAGCATATAGAATTTGTTTACTTTCTCTCTTATTAGGTATATTCAGTGCAACATATACACAATAGAATGATAAAAATAAATATATACTAACCTTTAAGAAAATGCCGAGGACACATAAGCCACTCGGTTTGTCTACAGCCTCAGCAAAACTGCCAAATCTTGAACTATCCCAGTGTACGAGGTGAAGCTAACAAAAAAATAATAACAAAATGAGTCTGACGGTATTTCTATGCCTGTTATTTATTTTTTTTCAAAGAGAAAAATAAGATCATATAGGCTTACCTCACCAGCAAACATTTCTCCATCGATTGTATGCTCAGAACCAACGTCATTACTTTTACCCCAATGAAAATGGAATTGCTCTATTTTGTAATCGCTCTCTAAAGGTCCTCCTTTTAGGCCTGTTTATTTTTTGAAAACGTAGATAACAAGCATGTATAATAAGTGCATTTAAAAATACAGAAAAGGTTTTCTTATCAAAGAATCACTAACTAGAGCCTTCTCCGTCAATAACAACTTGACAAGAATGACCAGTGTTCTTCAATTTTCTAGAATTTTCGGGCTTGTAGGAGACGCTAATCGGTTTAGACTTCAAATTGGATTCCAATTTCGTGTCTCCTGTAACAATATTGATCGGCGTTTGTTTGTCTCCTTTAGCAGCAGGAAAGTCAGCAGACCAAGTATCTGGTCCATTTGTGTTCAAATAACCCCAGCTAGCAGCCATTATTATTCCTTTACGTTTGAAAAGTTGAATGAGCGTTTTTAGACTTAGACCTTTTCAGTTTAATTCAAATTAACGCCACCTATAATTATCAAGACATCTTTAACTATTTTATAATAGTATCAAATATACTTTTCCTATTTGATAAACTATTGTCAAAATATAACAATTTTATCTACTATCATTGTTCTGTCAGTTCTTGACCTCTATTTAGGTCAATTTAGTTCATATCTATGCAAAATTACTTGAGAGGGGGAGGTGTTTCCCAATTTATTTCCATTCATTATCATTGCATTTTGAAGAGGACGATATAGACAGTTAGAGCGATAAGTTACGTAATTTAATACATAACCATACATTTATCTTAATTAGTTTAAATAATTATCCTGATTTTATACCTTCAATTATGTAGAATTCCTGAAATTTTGAGCTAGTTCGGGCAGAAGAGTCATTCTAGAACGCAGAGTACGAATATAATACGCCTAGCTGGTCGATACTAGCGGCACGATTGGAAAATCTGGGCGTTAAACCTATCGATTCGATGAAAACAATAGATATAGCCCATTTGATAATAAACAATATGTTTCAAATTGAATTTCCCTTACGCCATATTGAAATTGTTATAAAAATTAATGAAATATTCGTCATATTGATCAATTATGGAAAGTTATTCCCACTGTGCCATCTGGTGTATATACAATGTGAGAACTAATAATTGGCATTTTATAAAGTGATCTTATGAATATTTAATAGATGTAATCAGTAGAATATAAATACATTTTAAACTGAATAGGTTTATTTCACAATTATTGATTTTTAGACGTTGTATATCGCGTATGGAGTCACTGATGGTGGATAATTTAACTACCAATGGAATTCTTCAGCTTATATTCTTCGAAACCCCTCTTTAATTCAGCTATTGATATTCCTTTCTTCACATACACACAAGTAACACCTAAAAAATATAATGCATTGAATTTTCATGTGAATAATTAATTCTATTATTAAATGACAGAATACCAAGCTCTGATACACTTCTAATATTTCTCCATTCGTCATCGAAAAATATCATTCTGTTGTATGGCACTTTAGTAGCTCTTTGTATGCTATGTAATTTAAATTAGTACTCTTTGTAGGTTTTAGGCTTTAGTTAAGGTATTCTTACTTGTCGAAATGCCTCTTCTTATCTCCTGGATATATTTGAATATTCTGTTCTTTGAAATAAGGCATCCAACCAAATAAATTCATAAGTGATTTCGCTCCTGCTACTTCACCGGTTCTAGAGGCTATTGCTAATTCGTAACCTTCATTTCCTAATTTTTCTAACACTGGAAGTACTTCATAATAGTGCTTCACTTCGTGCTTGTTTCTATCTAGTACTACGTCCTTTACACTGTAAATTAAATATCACCTAACACTAAAATAGATTTTGATGTAACAAAACTTTACACTTGAAATGGAGGTGTAACTTCACAGTCCACATAGAATGGCCATAAGGTGTAATCTGTAATTATTTATTCCGTTTTGTTACTTTTTACTTTTTCCACAATCACGTTACAATATGACTAGTAAATGTTGTTTTATTCGTTACCTAGATCGAAAACTATAACCTGGGGCTTTTCATCCAATTCTTCCAAATTCCATAATTCCTTGAATGAAGACATCTTAAATTGCTAGAAAATGTTCTATTTCACAATACTGTTTATAAATTATAACATATCCGGGGCTTAGTTAGCACAAGATTTTTAGGTAAACACTAAGGACTATTGCTTAAATTATCAACAATTCCCTTTTATATCTTACAAAAAAATATCAAACAAATTTTTAGGTTCAGTTAGCAATATTCGTTGGATAACTTCTGCTCCAATTCTCCTCGTAATGAATGTTTTGCCTACGAATATAACACACGTGATTTTAAATCCTATTATCGCTACCCCTCTATGAAATCGTAATGAATTTGTCGGATATTGGCATTTTAGTTGAACGAAAGTTCAGGGATTCAAAGAAAAAAAGTAATAAAAGAAAAGCTGCTTCCGAACCTCAAAATGAAGAAGCTACTGCAAAGAAAATTAAGATGCCTGACTTAAAAACTACTATCACCATTGAAGATGCCACGGTAATTCGACTTTCGATTACTTCCCTATTTAAAATGTCACTCTAAGTTGAATAAGACGCTTAAAGTAATTAAGCAAATAGTTTTTCTAAATTCATGTTAAAAATATAGGAAGAAGAAAGAAACAACTTTGAAGACCATAAAAAATCGCTACCAATTTTCGCTGTAAAACAGAAACTTATAAAAAGGATGAAAGAGGAAAATAGACTAGTTGTAATCGGTGAAACGGGTAGTGGTAAAACAACCCAAATTCCTCAATACATATACAATGATATCCTTAATGGCAAAGGAAAGATCGCAATAACTCAACCGAGAAGAGTTGCTGCAATTAGCGTAGCCGAAAGAGTTGCTTTGGAAATGAATACCCCGATTGGAAATGAAGTACAAAATTTAGAGTTTATAATTTAGGGAACAAAATCTATTGATATCTTTTTCTTCCATCAGGTTGGGTATTGTGTCAGATTTGAAGAAAGTTTCTCTCCAGCAACCAAAATTCTATATATGACTGATGGTATGCTAATGAGACATGCCACACTCAATCGTTTGTTAACCCAGTTCGTTAAATATATAAATTTCCAATCATAGAATCCAGTGAGACCTAAATTATTTTTATATAGGTATTCTTATATAATAATCGATGAGGCCCATGAAAGGACTGTCCATACAGACGTTTTACTTTCTATCATAAAAAAGGCACAAAAGGAGCGCCAAAAGCGCCACATCGAAGACTTAAAGATTATAATAATGTCAGCTACAATGGATGTTGGAAAACTATCTGAATACTTTGATAAATGTCCTATATTATACATAGAAGGTCGTCTACATCCCATTTCAATTAAATTTACAGAAGATAAAATTGATGATTATTTATTTGCTTGCCTAACAACTGTTATGCAAATTCATTCCAAGGCTCCCCCACAACATGACGTCTTAGTCTTCTTAACAGGTCAAGATGAAATAGAGAATTTTGTACGATCTCTAAGACAAATGGGTAAAAATTGTAAGACTGGTAAGCCTATTACGAAGAAAATTAATACCTGTCGTTAAAAAATTAACTGTATGGTTTTACAGATATTGACCTAACAGTGTTGCCTATGTACGCTGCGCTTCCTTTTGCCCTGCAGAAAAGAGTTTTTGAGGATACTCCAAAGGTAATTGACAGTAACTTGATCATTTCTGACAATAATCAGTTTTCTGTTAATAGAATACCAGAAAAGTTATCGTAGCAACAAATATTGCTGAAACATCAATTACTATAAGCGGTATAAAGTACGTTGTAGACAGTGGAATGGTTAAGGCAAAATTACATAAGCCATCTAGTGGTTTGGACATTCTGACAGTCGTTCGTATTTCACAATCTCAAGCTTGGCAGCGTTCTGGAAGGGCTGGCCGTCAATCTGCTGGAACATGTTATAGAGTCTATGATAAAAATACTTTCGATTTAATGCCAGCAAATTCCATACCCGAAATTCTTAGATGCAATATTGCGAGTGTAACTCTGCAATTGTTATCATTAGGCATAAAAAATACTCTGACTTTCGATTTTGTTGATAAGCCATCAGAAGAAAGTCTAAATTCGGCAGTTGATCAATTATCATGGCTCCAAGCTATTGAAAAGGACAAGGGGAATGAATTACATCTAACAGAGATAGGCAAAAGAATGGCTGCTTTTCCTTTAGATCCAAGGTTTATATTATTGCTTTCTAATTAGATCAAATGAGAGCTTATAAGCTTTAAAAAACTTATAAAACAGACTCGGGCGAGTGTTGTTGGCCGCAGAAAAAAATGGTTGTCTAGAGGAGATACTGACTGTTGTGTCGATGTTAAGTGCTGATTCTGTCATGCTGATTAGTGCTGACCAGGTTAGTCGCTCTCGTTTTCTCAATTAATTTTCTCAAGTCAACATTTCTTGGTTTGCTTTCATTAAAAGAGAGAAAAAGCCGAAGCTGTCAGAAGAAAATTCCAGTCCGTTGAAGGAGATCATATAACATTATTAAACGTTTATAAGAGTTACAAGGGTTCGAAAAAAAATAAAGTATTTAGAATGATTATAAAAACAATTAATTCTATTTCTACGCTTTACTGATTCGACTTTTTCATATCTGCTTTTAGGTTTGGTGCAAAGAAAACTTTATCAATCATCGTAATATGAAGATAGTTATTCAAATACGCAAGCAGCTGCGAAAGATTTGCATTGATCAAAATATGACAATTAAATCTTGCGGTGAAGATCGAAGTTTAGTACGAAAGAGTCTAGTACATGGGCTTTTCATGAATGCTGCTCAACTTCATTCGGATGGTCTTTACTCAACAGTCAGTTTTTATTATTCATTTTTTTATTAACAATTTTTAAGAAAATAATCTTTTTAAAATATATTCCAACTACTTCTTTATTTATAGATTATGGACCGTAAAATGGTAAATATTCATCCATCGTCTGTTCTCTTTCGATCAAAACCCGGTTACGTAATTTATAGTGAACTGGTGCAGACTAATAAATGCTATATCAGGTTTGCAATATTTATAGGCTACGAATACGGAAAAGCTTTAATTATTTATCCTTCTTTCTAGAGATCTTTCTCTTATTGATCCTCAGTGGTTATTCGAAATATCTCCGGAATTCGTGAGCAAACGATTAATTCGCCAGTAGAGAATAATTACTTTCAGATAGAAACAGTTTTGTTATTTTTCGTTACCAACTGTTAATCTACTTTTCATGTTTTATTATAAAACGTTGAATTCAAGTATTTGACATTTTTAATGCTAAGTGGGACATTCAAACCGGAAAAATCAATACAATGAGCCCACGTGATTGTTGAATGAATGTTCAAGAGATCGGGATTCTACCTGATAAAACATAATTAACGATTTAATAAACAGCTGAATATGCACAAATTATATTAAATTGTGAATAAATATATGAATAATAAAACTTATTAACTGAAAAAAGACTAGGAAGATAATTTATCGACGTCCAATAATTACTCCAAATGGAAACGCCCTTCAGGCTGCGACTGATGTTATAAAATCAGCCACCAGAGGACGCTTTAAAACTGATATTCGTACGTGGAATTGGTACATGACGATGTTTTAACGCTGTTTCCTAAAGTGAAATTTATTTTAATAATATTAACAAGTTTTAAGGTAACTTAATTTATCACATTAGCGTATAAAACACAATTAACTATTGTTATTCTTATAGATACTTTTGTAAAAGTAATTTTATTCATATTGCGTAGGGTCAATAGTATAGAAAATGCAATAGCAACTAGTTTTTTTTGAAAAGAAAAGCTCCATACGAAAAACTTGACTATTGTATATTGCTTGTGACGTACTTTGTAACATTTGCTAAAATCAATTTTATATGCCTAATGGTTAGTTATTAAACTGAAGATATTACAAAAAAAGAGGTAGATGAATATGTATATTATGCGCAATATATATATATATATATATAAATGTATACATTGGCTGTTCTTTTACAAAATAGTATACCTATAATATATATGCGCTGTAAATATATTATACGTTATTCATTAAAGGATCTTAGTCATTTTTTGGGAATTAAATGCAGTGCAACATATGTTGTGAAACGTGGGTGAGAGTGTTTATAAATATTCTCTGTTCTATTTAATTTATACTGCACAAACTAAAGAAAATTAGGCAAAGATTATTTTTAGAATTACTTGTAAACCTTTCTCTTATTAACTGCCATGATCTGAATTTATTAACAGGAATAATCCTCTTTGATCAAAAAGAATGGCAACAGCGGCTTTTTCCGGCAAAGATCATTTATTGGACAATTTAAGGTTTCGCGTAAAAGATCTATATATTGAAGAAGGTGTGGAAAATGGCCACAATTTTTTGACCGACATAACGTATGTTTATATTATTTTATCGTTTTATGAAAATGTCGAATCAATTTTTTCATATCCGGTCTCTGATAAGAGATCTAAATTGGATGGCAGGGGCAATTGATTAATAATCGTTTTGCAGACTAATGAGATACTTGAAGGCTAGAGACTGGAATCTAGACTTGGCTGAAAAATTGCTGAGAGGTACTGTTGAATGGAGAAAGACGTATAAACCCAGTTTAATTGATTGTAGGTGGTGTCATGAAAAACCTGGTTTTCACTCTCTAAGACAAATAGGCTTCGATGAATTAGGGAGGCCTGTACTATATTGCTGCTTTGCACAGGCCACTGTTCATAAATATAGTATAGAAGATGCAGTAGCTCATTGCGCCTATACCTTTGAATCGGCAATAGGTAGTATGGCACCAAATGTTCACTCTTGGGTCCTTGTTTTGGACTGTTCTGGTATGACGCTCCCAGCTTGTTCACCAAAATTGGGATATGGGGTTACACAAATTCTTGCGAATCACTATCCAGAACAATTAGGCCAAGTACTATGCGTCAACCACAACGCCTTGTTTGAAGGTGTATGGAAAGCTATTAAAGCCTTCCTACACCCAAATACTGCCAGTAAAATGCGTCTTGTAAGAGGTAAAAGGAAAGTTAAGGATGCTTTTGAGAAGTTCTTCCCACCTGAACTCTCTGAATGGCTAAATGAAGAGGTTCTACTGAATAGAAAAAAACCTCTCATTCCATCACAGCAATTTTTCTGGAGAAAGCCAGAAGTTCATCCTCATGATCCAAGAGGTTGTCCCTCCTACGTAGCCGAATATCTCGACTGCAGAAAAGAAAATCATCGTATCCATCCCAACATTGTTGACGAGTTGAAAGGGAGAATTTGTCAAGCAATAACAATAGAAAGGGAAGAAGCTCCTTACGATGCCGATTCAAGCGATGACGGAGAAAGCGAGATAGTGGGAAAGATTCCTATAAAAGATGAATTTCAAATACCTTCAGGTGCTAGCCAAATAACAATGTGATTTTAAGCGGTACGGTGCAGATTCTAATATTACATCTAGAGAAAAAGAGATGCTTTAACTCTATTTAAAATAACAATAATCTGATATGAAAACATGAAAAAATAACGTATTTATTTTCTTTTCAATTGTACGCCATTAATTTTGAACTACGTAGAAAATAGTCCCAGTTTTCGTTTTATTTGCATAGTCTAACTGTAATAATCTTAGCACACTCGGGACAAGATGTTGGAAAGCCTAATGTCTTTTTCATGCGACAGCATGTAGTTTCAATTCTCACTCGTTTTCTCCTATAACCTCTCCCGCAGCACAAAACTTTACAATGTTTGTCGTTTTGACAACGCCGTCTTTTAGTTCCATTACTATACTTACTATCACTGCAAAAGTCGGGAGATTTTGTGGTTCTGACAAGCGATAATTTAGAAGCAATAATCGATAAGCCTTTATTTCTTTTTGGTCCTTTCCTCTCTAAAGTTGACCTATCAACATTTACGCTCCTTATCATTCTCTTATGTAAAAGGGAGCCTATTTTACCCATAGATGGAGTAGATCTCCAGCAAATTTTTTTCTCACAGCTTCCAGAAAATCCGTAACATTTACATTTTCTCCTTGTTCTCTTCCGTACCCAATGTAGACCTACCCTAGCATTGTGCTCATTAACCATTTGCAATTTAGACTTCTTCTTTCTCGAATAGTTGATCAATTGCTGCAAAACTGATTTTCCGAAACGGATATTATCGTTGCATTCACCTCTCTCCAACGATTCATTAGATGTTCCGGCAGCACAACCACACAAAGCAACACCGCCGCTGGAACAAGCCTTTGCGAATTCTATAACTATTGCCGAAGCTTGTAAAGCATGCAGGAAAGCCGTTTCTTTAAAACCTTTTCTCAATATCGATTCCCTAAAATGCTCTTTAATCGGGCAATTCCATCTGTAATTGTCATTGACCAATTTGCAAGTTGCTATAGCCGATTTAATAGAAGTCTTTAATGTTTCGGCAAATCCAGGATCGTTGAGAAAGAATCCGCGAATACTCCTTGGTAAATTAGCCGATTTAATAAAATCTAACGAAGAATTTTGCTTTCGTAGGTAATTTAATGGACGATGTGACGAAAGGCTATAATAAATCAAGATAGAATCTAATAAGCGTATTAAAACATCATTTAAAAAGTATTAGGAGTAAAGAAAAAACACATAGGAAACTAACCCGAATAGACCGTAAGAAGATTGAAATGTTACGCTTACAGTGAAAAGAACTATGTTAAAGATGTTCATAATAAGTTAGACTCGTTCCTTTCAATACCATTATCGGTTTGAAAGTCGACTCCACAGGTTTACAACAGATCATAAATTAGTCAGAGACTTTTGTCTCGTTTATCTAGTGAGAGGGCTATAAATTTAAACAAACAAACCTTTAAAAGTCTTTTATCATTGTGAATAATTCTCTTTCTTTCTTTGTTTCTTTTCGATATTTTTTTTGCCACCATGGTCATTTCCGGTAAAAGTATTTTATGATTCTTTCAGATAATTAGTAATAAATCTATCATTCATTTTAGAATTATGAAGGAGAAAGGAAAAAATACCATTGGAAATAGAATAGAACACAGTGAGTGGTTCACTTGTTAACTTTCGTCCTTAGGGTGTTAAAAAGGTCGATATCTGGTAGTTGGGATGAAATGTTCGCATAAATTAGACTTTTGATTAGATGAATTTCTAAATTATTTAATGAAATTTTTGCAATTTTCCTCTTAAACAGAAATAATAAATTTGTCTTTTAACTATTAAAATATTATTTTGATATTCTCTAATAGATTTTAAGCATAGCTGAGCAATTACTATATCTAGCTATGAATCAATCTAAGAGACGCTTTATAGCGTCAAGCTTTAATAATTCGCTTCACTTCCGATGGGCTTTCACTTTCCTTAATGCTGTTCTTTTTTTCCCGACATTTAATTTGATTTCACTTTATCAGGTCTTGTTTTATCCGAAAAGATGCTCTTTAAAAGTTACTCCTCTATATTAATGAGAATGGTTAATTCATACAATTCTATTATTACACATTTGTAACAGTAATTGTTCAATTACTTTAGTGGAAATGAACTCAATAAGCAATTTTTGCATCTAAATTTCTGTTTGAGTTGACATGAATAAACTTAAAGACTAGTATACCCCCAAAAGAGTTCCATTCTATCAAAGGATATTTGAAAATTTAATAAAAGACGCTTTCGAAAAACGGTTAGCCGTCTCCTATGATTCTGAGCGATGATTCGTGAACTAAAGCTCAACTACGATTTATTATGACAATCAAGACCTTCAATCATAACTTGTATATTTATATCTTTATATATAAATAGTTGATAGATATATCCAGTGTATAGATTATAAATGCAGATAACATATTTTGATAGATCCTACTTATAAAAAAACGCTCAAAATGAATGCGTTTATAAAAGAACTATTATCAATACCAAAGCATGTTCCATGTAAAAGACTATTCACATAAAAAATGTTCCACGTAAAAAAAAGAACATTTGTACAAAAAAAAAGACTAAACCACAATTCTGAGTAGAGTTTTATTAATACTTTTATTGATTATGTACATTTTCTAGTTTCCGCAAAAGGAAAATACGCTGCTACGAGATAAGCTGTATCTCTCTGGCCTCAGCCAGCCTATATATTGCAATATATGTTATATTACTCAACTAAGGTATGATAACGGCTCAAACGAGTTTGATAGAAGTGCAACGTCTGTAGATATTTTTGTTGAATCACTTTCATTTGAAATGCTTCGAAATAGATTATTGGTTAGTGAAGATGTTTATACCTGTAAATTGTGTACCTTCTCTTGGGTCAATAGGGATCCCAGAATTTTACCTTGTCTTCACACCTTTTGTAAAAGGTGTATAGAGATATATTCTACAAGAAACGTGACCTCATCGAAAGTAGAATGTCCAACGTGTTCGAAAAAATTTAAGTGGAATAAACAAGGTGCTGCCAACTTGCCAAAAAATATATTCTTTAATGATGCCTCATTTGAACAATTTCAATCAAGTACATCTACTTGTGCTGACCACAATATTGATATATCGCTGGTTTGCTACTCTGATTCTTGCAATTATCAAAAGCTATGTTTAAAATGTATTTATAAACATCAAGGGCATACTATTAAACCTTTCGAAGATCATTGCCAAATTATTGAAGCTCTGAAAAATGACGTCAAAAAATTGATATCTACAGCTAAAGATAAGATTAAGAACTCCCTTCAAACAGTAAATAAGAATATAACTGTGGAAGCTAAGAAAGCTCTACAACTAGTTGACGAACACTCATTAAAATTACGTAAAGAAAATGCTGGGTTCTACAATAATAAGATACAGTTATTGGACGAACTTACAAGAAACATAAATAAGACTGATTCTCCAAAAGATATCGAGCAGTATAACAGTCTTCTTAATGAGATACACTGCAGACAGCAACAATATGACTGGAAACCTGTACAATTTATATACCAAGACAGCTTTACTGGAATCTTTGGGTGTTTAGAAAATTCAGAAATCTATGACGACAACAATTCAGGCTCTGATATATCGGATAGTTATATTCAACAAGTTTATGGAGCTCTTTGGGAGTCTAAACCTCCTCAAGAGGAAGTCCGTGATAAAAAACAAGCTTGTAACAACATTTCAAGTTCTGTTGGCATAATAGAAAACGTTCCATTGAAGCTGACTAGACAGGATGAAGATGATATTCCACCACCTTTACCTGCTAGACCTAAGTCTAAGATTCCATCATCTATACCAAATTTAAATGAAAATGTTAAATCTTCTTCATTATTTAAAAAGTTAAAAGGAAATTTTCTATCTAAAACAGCTTCTTCTCGCGGAAAAACTTCAGAAAATATATCACCCGTATTACCAAATCCTCCTAAAACGGAACCCGAACCCCTTCCAACGTATAATGATGAATGCATTTATGACAGCGATGGAGAGTATTGGAGTGATGATACAGAATATCAAAGCAATAGCGCAATTCAGAAAAGGCCATTACCTCCACCCCCTCTTCCTAGAAGACCTGACGAAGATGTCAATAGAGAAGAAAATGAATACTATGATCTTTCGCTTGCGGCGAATGACAAAAAAGAGACCAATTTCTCACCTACTCCAGGAACTCGACCTCCTGTACCTATGAGAAGAAAATTACCTCCTTCACCACTACAGCCAACAGCTCCAGAGGAGACTGACGAACAAACAAGCGTAAATTTAAATTTTTCCCTTGCCAATGCTATTAGTGAAGCCGTAAAAAATTTACAAATGGATAAAGAAAAAAAAGCGCGAGCAGCCGGCCAATTAGAGCAGACTATGCCAAATTCAACAGTGGCAAATAATTCACAAAATACCAAACAAGAAATCGAAACCAGTCAACCTGAAACGGAATCACGTTCGTCCACAATGCCAGTTTACATTAATCAAAAATTAAATAATCACCTCAGAATAAACAATCCTTCTTATAACGATTAATGACTATAAACCTATAAAAGGCTAATTTAAGGTGAAAGGGGAAGATGAAAAAAAATGTTACACAACTAATTCAGCTCAGATTTTAAGCACTTTGAGTCCTCTTTTTATATAATTTATCACAGAAACTCAGAATTTGGAGATAATTCATTGGGAAGACAATGAATATATCTCTAGCTGATAATTTTGAAATGTAATCAACACATTTGACTTTTGTTCATTCGCATGATTTAAATATTCTAATGTCGACGCATTGTATTTGTGTAAAAGTAACTGAAATAAACTATATTATGGCGGTAGTTTTAATGGAAATATAACTTATTCTTATAACGTTAAAGGTTAGAAAGTTAATTGCATTTTTTTTATCATAATCAGTTTATCTACGCTAGGATTAATTGGCTTTAAGAAAAGACATTTCGGGAAATGATAGTCTTAAAGTTGATGGTAAGTGACTTTTATAAAATCAGCTTTATCCCGAAAGTAGTGACACCTGTAATTTACTTACCAGTTTTCAATTTAAGCCGGTGTGTTCAAGGTTTTCGGTATCCTTCTCGGTTTGTCGCTCTTTCAAAACACGTCCAAGACGATGAAATTTCCTAAATATATTGTACCCCTGAGTGTCATAGGGACAGCGGCGGGAGTAATTGTCCTAATCAAGTTAATTATGCTTTCAGATAGAAAAAATACGTGCTAAGATAGAATTTTATCGCTTGTAGGGATTCATTATCAACAAAGACTTATAAATCAGATGTGCGCTTTGCCGGTAGAACAGTAATTATCACTGGTGCTAACAGTGGTATTGGTAAGGCAACTGCTATGGAATTAGCTAAACGAGGTTCGTTTGTTACAAATCTATGACCAAATTAAGTGTAAAAAGAACAAAGAGTCAATGTTGCCTTTCCAGGTGGTCGCGTAATTCTAGCCGTTAGAGATTTAAAAGAAGGAGAAACCGCTCTGAAAGAGATTCGTGAGAGTTCCTTCAATAAAAATATTACAGTAGAAAAGCTGGATTTAGCGGATTTGTCCTCAGTAAGAGAATTTGCCGAAAATATCTTACAAAGTATTTAAATTTTTACTAAAGATTCGATATTCTTTTCTCAAAATGCTATTATGTAAATCACAGGAGAAAAAAGGTTGGATGTTCTAGTGAATAACGCGGCTGTAATGATGTGCCCTAAAAAATTGACTAAGGACGGATTCGAAGAGCAATTGGGAGTAAATCATTTAGGACATTTCTTACTTACTAAACTTTTACTGCCAAAGCTTCAAAGTCACTCGGGTCGAATAGTAAACGTTACATGCTCGGCTTTTAAGCAAGCATCTATAAATTTTGACGATCTAAACTCTTCTAAATTATACGATAAATATTCTGCCTATTCACAGAGTAAGCTGGCAAATATATATTTTACAGATCAATTGGTCAAAAGAGAAAGCTCTGTCAAATCTATGGCCGCAAACCCTGGGGTTGCTAAGACAAAAATTGGACGTCACATAAGTGTGTGGCTAAGTCCAGTCTCGTCTGTATTTATGCAGACTGCTCATGCCGCTGCCCAAACTGTAATTTACTGCTGTGTTGATCCAGAAGTTATTGATCATTCTACATTTTACTATGAAAAGCTAAAACCTGCTGATGTAGAAGTGGACGATCAAAATTCTAAAAGACTTTGGGCAATAAGTGATCGTTGGACAAGTTAGATAAAGAAGTACACAACAGTGAATTAAGAATAGTATACGATAATCGAATTCCTTGGCTTTTTTCTAACTCAAATTAAATAATGTAATGCTTTACAGTAAGAGCGTACCCGAACAAATTTGTAAATGTACCCTCTTAGAACGATTTATTAACGAAAACACTTAAAGAAATTTTCTTCCTAGACTCTGGAAATTCGTTTTATTGTTTTCTTTTTATTTAAATCTATTTTCGTTAAAAATAAAATGAAAATTTCATTCATAAAAAGCAGTTTTTTTTGTTTTGTTCGCAATAGACTTTAGGCCTAGTGAATTGAATTTTATCGTTTTTAAATTGAATACTGTCACAAGGGAAAAAAAAGTAAAACAAAACAAAATATTGAATATTTTTCAGGAAGATTCAACCCTAATAAATATGAACACGGTAAATTTTTCAGTATTTTTGCCATGCAAGTATTCGCTATTAAATTTCTGCAAATCCTCGAATGGGACAACATCTTCAAAGTGATAAATACAATCTTTTTCTAATACTATTCTTCTTTCCATGATAAATTTAATATACTCAACTTGATCTTGACATGACTTAATTAGAACTGTAATTACCCCTCTATTCGTTTTCTTCAAAAGTGTTTCAAAATTAGTCTTCAAAGTCAAAGTCATACGTACAGTATCATATGTAGCACCGTTTACTTCCATATTCCGCCAAAACCCAATTAGTACGCACTTTTTATATTGAACCCCTTTGGGGAAAAGTTCAACTACCCATTCATACATGTTCGTTTCATCAGCTTCAGAATTCGATAACGGTGTTGAAAAAACCATAGCCTTAGAAGTGTAACTGGGCATTGAAGCAAAATTATCAACTGTCAAAGAGGTTATCCACTTTTCATTCATATAATAACGCGGTGTCAACATTGATTCTGTCAGTGTACAATCTGAGGTTGAGCGACGATGATCATTTTCGGTAAATAAATGATAGTTTTTACACGCGCCAATGATAGTGGACAGCTCCTCGTACCATGGCATGTTAGTTGACATTAAAGAATCCCGAGCCAATTCCGATAATTGAACGGAGGATAACATTGGGAATCGAATACTTTTCATCAGTATATGAGCTGTCTCCCATGAACACGAGTCTTGGAGAATTAACCATTTCACTATAGCTCTTATAATAAATGTTTCGTCTTGCACAACCAATTGTGAAGATGATAGTAAATCAAGTAGTAAATTAATATCTAATAAGGGGAAATCTTGTGTAAAAACTACTTTGGAAAAATTGGACTTAATAAATTCCAAAAATGTTGTTGCAATATATGTATGAGGCGATCTGTACGTATACATTAACCAAGAAATTGCTCTGTTTTTTTCGACTATAACAACCAAGTGATCCGTCATAAATTTGAGGCACAACTCGGCAAGATCAGTTACGCAATATTTATCTGCCAGCATTAATATATACAATACATTATCGTGATTAAGAACAATCTGCCCTGTATATAAATATTTTAGAAAGTCTTCAAAAACAACCGCGCATTCTTCGCATTCAAACAGTTTTAAATTCGACGATTGTTTATCGTCCCAGCGGGTCAACATGATTTTAAAAACTTCAGAAGCAATACATAAAACTAGCTTATGAGCAAAGTATAAGGATTCATTAACGGAAAGAATAATGTCTGATAGTTCCTCATTTCCATATAAATTGGATAATCGGTGTATAATTTGGGTGGAATTTTCAATGGTCTGACCGCAAGATATGCTGAACGACGATAGGGTAGCATTAGGCAATTTATTTGGGTCGTCAGCTGCTAAAAGCAATTCGAATACAGAATAATTAATCTTTGTGTTGTTAATGTTTACCGTTATTGTCCAAATTCGAAACTTTTTGTTTATTACAGTGTCCGGGAGGATAAGAGTACTCATCTTTGTACTCTTCACATACTACGAACATAGATTTTAGTAAAATTTCTTTCAATTCCATCGAATACAATATCGGAAGCGGAAAAATGGATATTTAAATAATCTTTCTTCATCTAGCCAATGAACAAGGAGCTTAGATATTAACAGCGCGAAAATTTGTCCAATGAAAATTCTTCATTTATCGAAATTAATGTGGTTACTAATTACACGTTCTAAACATCGTATATTTTATTGAATTCTACCAGGTACCCTTGATTAAAGAGGGGTCGTTGTCGTTTCTTTACTAGTCGTTTCAAGATGGCGCTTTTCGATAGTTCACCATCTACACGGCATGAGAAAAGCTTGGGTTTATTGACTGTAAAGTTTGTTCGTTTGCTCCAAAGCTCCGCGAATGGCCACTTAGACTTGAAACGCGTAAGTTTATTAGTGAAAAGCTATTCCAGCCTTTCTTAGTTGCCCGTAAAACGCCCCTTTGAATAAAATGGGCCGCGATGATGGCGCCATTAGTCCCTTTCCCGCCATTATGCTGTTGCATCTCGAAATTAACGAAAAATTACTATAAACATTGAATACAGGCCGCAGAGTTACTGGAAGTTCGTCAAAAGAGAAGAATATACGACATAACAAACGTTTTGGAGGGAATTGGCTTAATTGAGAAAAAGTCAAAGAATGCAATTCAATGGAAGTATGTTTTATGATTGCATACAATCTCAGCGTATATTGTTTTTTATTTTTTTTTGCAGAGGGGCAACGGGCAGTTCTGCAGAACTCACGTCGGAAATATCAGTGCTTCGTTCCGAATTGGAGGATCTAGAACGACAAGAGCGCATGCTTCAGGGTTTCATTCATTCAGCAACCGTTAGCATTCAAAACATGACAGATGACGAAACGAACAAAACATTTGCCTACGCTACACATAATGATATTTGTCGTAGTTTTGAAGAGAAAACAATTTTTGCTGTACAGGCACCAACAGGAACAGAATTACAGGTCCCGCCGCCGATGTGCCCAATAAAAGTAATTAAATTACACTTTCCAAATGACTTTAACAATTTCTGTTGAATTTACAGTATGGTGAAAAATATTCGTTTAAAATGCATCTCAAGTCACGAAAAGGGCCAATATACACATTTCTCTTAAATAATCAAGTGGATACGGAAATGAATCCACCGCCTGCTAAAATGGCCAAAGTAAGGAGAGCGTTCCATAAAAAGACTTACACAAACTTTTTACATATATATATACTTATAAATATGTAATTTTTGCCTCTAATAGAAGTCAACTCAAACAAGTGAGGATGTGGAAGCAGAAGAGAATAAACAGGTGGTGGATAGCGAAGTCGCTGACTTATTGAAAAAAAATGGTGTGTATCATATTTTCCAGACCAATTAATTTACACCTGTCGGCATTTTTTATTATAGATCTTTTATATCTGACCTCGCCAATGGAACGATTGAGTCCTCCTGCATCTGACAGAGAGTATCAGAGATCTTTAGATAATAACGAAGGAGTTGGGAATTTGTTTGATTTTTGAATTTTTTCAATTTTCAATTTTTACAAGTGCATGTGAAGTTAGTCTTGTAAATAATTTATTAATATGCATTAGCCAAGAATTATAATTTATTAGTTCATAAGAAATCGTTTTGTGCTTATTAATTTACACAAAGCATCTCAAAAAATGTGACATGTTTGTTAGAAAAACTTTGGATCGTTCGATTATGCAGTCTTTCATTTTTCGTTACACGCAGAATCACAGCTTGAAAGTGTTCGAAATTAAAAAAAGATTATTTAAATTTTATTTACTACTAGTTTATTCACTATTTCAGTCATGTTCTGCAGCTCTTTTACAAATATGAGCACTTGCTAGGAAAACAAACTTCCAAATACAGAGTGGGAAAATGACAGATTACTGTCAAAAGATAAAAAATATTAAACTAGAGTAAACTAGCACATCACAAAACCATTAAACGTATAATATACGTTAATGTGGTGGCCACAAATGAGAAATAAATTTAAAAACAAACAGAAGCTTGACAAATCGATAGATGGAGATTGTGACAAGAAAAAAAAGATACTAAGCAGAATTATATTCATCATGAATATACAATTACTATTTTAAAATATTTTGTTTCCTCTTCTAAGAATATATCGTAATGACTTCTCTGCCACCACCCCTAACAAGTAAAACTCGATTCAAGCCTTCGGTTAAAACTTCTAAAAACTCCATGTCTTTAGGGAAAAAAAAGAAAAAAAATGACCATAAATTATCATCTGTCCGTATAAAAACGTCGAATAGTTTTACTAAAACAAAAACTTACAACTCTCCTCTCCTCGAGCGTGTTTAGGTAACCCTGGTAAGTTCATAATAACTAATTGGGAATCGTGCGATTTATTGACGATAGTCTCATTCAGCTTCACAGCCGTATGCATTCTCCGAACATTCCTCTGGTCCCTATAAAGCAAATAAGAGCTTAAAAACAGCATATTTGAATAAGGGTTAGAAAGTTTTCTATGGGTTATTTTTTATCATATGGGAAACGGGTAATAAGGTAAAGAATCACGCAGGTGTAAAATCAACTATGACTATGATTAACAATATCTCAAAAGGAAAATAATTAAACGTTCATCTAATATTCATTTCCACAAACTTACAATTTCCCCTTGTATTCAGCCATCGGAACGCTTAGAGTCGGAGGGGAAAGTTCATTTTTACTTGTGCTAGATATTTTGAATAAGGAAAAGTTACAGAGACGACAAAGTTATACAATAATACATTTTAAATAGCAGGAAAAAAATTAAGTTAATATACATTTATATATGCAAACATTTGGTTCTTTAATTTAAAGGTTACTCTTTCCGGGGTAAGACAAATATATTACGCACATTTTCACGTTTAAACAAAAAGAAATGAAATAAAAATACACTTACGGTTTAATACTCATCAAGTTACTTGAGTTGGAAGTCTTCGAAGATTTATCTCTTGGAGGACTGTATGTGAATTGATTTAAGTCTGATACGTTTAGCTCTTCCTCTTTATCTTGCGAAGGTTCAATAGATATTTTTGATTCTACTACGGAACTCTTTCTTGATCTATATCAAGAGGAAAAGGAAATTTATACATTTATACTAATAAGATACTATATATACATGTTTATATATTAATTAAAAGAAAAAAATTCTTACTTGTCTCTTATTATCTCTGGTTGCAAATTCAACTTTCCTTTATTCAATCTCATTTGTCTCAACATTTCATTTCTTTGTTCCATCATTAGTGTTCTTTCGTAAGTATAGGCTGATATATCATTGGTCGCCATCTCAACTACTTCAACATCAGCTTGCAAACGTAGATGATACAGAAGTTTCTTTATATCTTTTTGCATCTGAAGGGAGTTGTCTTCAAGTTGAGCAACGGTAAAAACTCTCATTTTACATTTTGACCATATTCTATGCTGAGTTAAAAGGAATGGTAAAAGCATGAGTAGACCACCGTCGTGTACGATCCACCAAATGTCGATATTTCCCTGAAGTCTATCTGTGCTCTCTGGAAACATGTCAATACCTTTTGGAATAAGAATAGCATGATGGCAAGCTGAAACGTTTCGGACAGTTTCAATGAAAACTCTGTAAGCCTTCTCATCCGGATTGTGCCTCCAACCATAAGGCCAATTAAGCATGATTGTATTGTGACGAAGACCACCAATACCGGATGCTTGAATCCTATATGAGGTCAAATTGATATATATATATAAAGTTATGCAAATTACATTACTTATACTAACGCATGACACAATCCGTCGACTACGTCTCTTGCAACGATAACATCTACGAATCCCTTTATCTTTTCAGTTTGCAAAGCTGACATTATTTCCTGCTTTGCCGCTTGGGCATCGGCGAATCTTTCATCCAATTTGCCTTCGAGAACAGTAGAAATAAGGGATAACCCTTTACCAGCTTTCAATTGGCTTGCAAACGTCAGCATTCGTTTATGACAAGGCTTTAAATTTTCATCGACCGGGACTAGAAGTAATAATTGCGGTCGCCAATTCTTCACATGAGGTGGTCCTTCTTCAAGTCTATGTAAAGCGTACCGAGCAGCCGACATCGCAAGACCTCGAATTCCGTCTCCCCATTCCTTCTCAGCTCCCTTAAATTCGATATACTTGTAAACTCCTGCAGCTAAAGCAATGGCGCCAATAGCAAAATACCATGAAGATATAAACATTAGAGCAATACAAAGAGCCAGACCCAATAGCGATAACGACCTAGAATGAGAAAAAAGGAAACAATTTAAACTGATGAAAGGCGAAAAGAAAAATCTATTTACCAGTGATAATATCTAAAACGTGGCCTCCAAGAAGGCGTCTTTAGAATTGTTTGTAAAGCGCAAGCCAAATTTACGAACCCGTAACACATAAGGAAGAACCTAACATAAATAAATAAACAATAAAATGACAAAAGCGTATAATTAAATAACCAATAGAGATAAATCGTTCTCTTTCATGATATTTCTACGTACATAGTGATAATTGGAGCAATGTAATCGAGATTTGCCACGACGATACCAATTTCTGAAATGAAAGCCGTCATCAATAAGGCTAACAGAGGTTCCCCCCGCTTGGTCGTCTTAGCAAATTTCCCCAAGAAAGGAATAACGCCGTCGGCAGCAATCGCTTGCAATAAACGTGGAGCACCAGTCAACGATTGCAACGCTGCACCAACAGTAGACAAAAAAGACCCAACTAATATAACCCATGGATTTGGCCAGGCTAATTCCGCCACAACCAACCGACCACCGATACTCTCTCCAAATCTGTGTTAATTAAAAGGTTTCTTAATTTTTTAATTGTCATTTCTATAAATAGACCAACTTGTCCCGGAGTAATTGTCCTTCAATGGTACTTCCAAAGAAAATGACAGACGACAAATCTGAATTAATAAGCTAAGGAAAATTTCATCTTGGCAAAGAAGTTTGCACAAAGGCTTTGAGTATAGTTATGGACAAAACCCTCTTTGTTAATTATAAAAAAAGTTGGCGGTGGTGTTGTAAAAAAAAAAATAATAATAATAAATCGTAATAATAATGGTAATAGTAAAAAAAATTTCCTTTGAATTTTATAATATTTTTAAAAAGGATACAGACAAAAGAAGTCGTTAGAATTGCCATAATAGTTCCAACTGGAATAGACTTTGAAGCGTCAGCTAGATCACCTGATCTATTTGATCCCGCCATTATTCCTGTACAGGATGGAAAGAAGATTGCCAAAAGTATCGTGAATGATGTAGCAATATCTGCTACAATTTCGCCCCTGCTCCGATTTCCAGGTTCGTTTTCACCAATTCTAGAGCCTTCTTTGCTGTATCTATTAATAGGCGATAGAAAAAGATAAAATTATTTATATGTAACAATTAAAATTTGATACAAATAAATACAAACCTGTTCTTTAGATTATCTTTTATAACTCCTGAGGGTAGACCGGGTATTCCCCAAATTTCATTTACTTCATTTTCACAAAAAAATTTACATTCTGGTTGAAGTTGTCCCTTAATTTCTTGTGGGATCATCGAACAGTTCTCGTAATTGAGTTCGGGTATATTATATTTTGTATTATTTATGAAAACTTCAGATTTGCCGCAAAAATTTAAGTATATGCTGTTATTGCCAAATCCGTGTTGGCAATTACCATCTACTAAATCGGAAGTTAACAATCGCTCTCCCAGCTTGCAAATTTTAGGTCCCCGACCACTTTTAGCGGCAAAGATTCCAATATAAATAGATAATATACTGAATATTACACAAGCCAAAGCTACAGTTGCAAACTTTGAGACGAATTTTACACCGAGGAAAACCCAAACGAACAAAATCAGCAGTAAAATCGTTCCGTAAACACGGTAATTATTAGATGCATTGACTGGATTTGTTACATCGCCGAATATTGACATAGCTGGCGCCATATATTGCTGTACAAAAGAAAAATAGTTTCCCTTACAATCGCTGTTAACTTCTTTTTCCTACGACAGATACAAATAAAACAGGAAAGGAGAATAAAAAAACAAGAAAATTCACTTTAAAAAAATCCTCTGCCTTCACTGTATATGACATTGATGAGACGGTAAATAAATAAAAATACACAAATTTCACTGCTGGAGAAATGAACTATTAATCTATCATAATAAGACATTTATTCTTCTGAGTAAAAATTATCTCTATATATTTTCTAGTAAAGCTTCCGTACGGGATAAGGTTGTCATAAGGGAAATATTCCCGCGAGCATTAATTAGCTCAGTTTATCAAATTGTAACGGAGAAGTAGACGGGCTCTTTTTTCATACATCAAATCGAATAATACGTGACCGTCAGTTTACTCTATGTAATCCTAGTAAGAGGAATAAATACGACCACGCCTAATAAGTAGAGTACAAAATTTCGAATTAGATAAGAATTAAGCACAGATTTGTACTTTTTTCTCTCTCCAAAAAAAAAGCGTTATAAAATCTTTTCGTCTAGGGAATTTGGTCCTACGTAATTTTTTTTAGCAAATGCACGCTCCTCCAATACCAATCGATATTTGACTTACCAGTAATATTTCTACAGCACCAACAATGTACATGCTTGATGCAACGCTCGTTCCAAGATAAAACAAAATACCGACAGCTCCACCGAACTCCGGACCCAGGGACCGTGATATCATAAAATAGGAACCACCTGCAGGTACGACCCCGTTCGTCGCAATGGCAGACATAGAAATTGCGGTAAGCAAGGTTGTACAGCAACAGATGAATACAATAAAAAAACCTATTCCGAGAAAAGCAAACATTTTATAAAACATAAACAAAAAAATTTAATAGGGATAAACATTAAAAATAGAGGGATAAATATCATACCTTCCAACCATCCAGCCGTTCCAACAACCCATACTAAACGTATAAAGAGAATGACACCGAAAATGTTTTGAATGCATGGAAAATATACACCTAGTAACGTTCCAAGTTTATTGCGCTGTTAAGTAAAGTAAAACGGATTAAACGAAGTAAATTTAATTGAGCAGGCCTACAGAACTACACCGCGTGCCTCGGGTTTGTCGCGTAAAAAAACTGACAAATTGCACGCAAATTAAGCACTACCTATCCAATTACCAATATGAAGATATTCAATAAAAAAAAGAAAAAAAGTTTGCCTACTTTAGGTTTTTTCTCCTGATTATCCAATGTTCCAACGTTTGGCTCAACCCCGCCTTCGTAGTTTGCTAAATTGCTGATAATTTGAGAAATTTTCGGTCTCCGGTGGAACTCTTCCTATTAGCAAAGTATTTAAGATAAGAGTGAAGTTTTCTTTGCGCTTTGAAAATCCGCTTTAAATAATCGACATCCCGCTAATGTGAAATATTTTTTTAGCACTGAAACCTCTAAAACTCTAAAGAATTAGGTGATTTAGCGCAACAGGAAAACTACGTAAAAAACGTCGACTGATTACACTCTTTGCCTACCCTACTGGGGAATTTTTGTTCCTTTTATAAAGTATTACCATCTATACTATAAGAATATATCGACATCCCTAGATAAATCAATACGGTCCGAGACTGTATAGATGATGAATTTGCTAGCAATTACAGGAGGTTATTAGCACGCTATATTTCTTCCAAAGGCCTATAGTACTAGAAAGGAACTTCTAAGGAACATTTGAAAAGCGGATATTAACGGCTGCGGAAATATCTAATTAACGAACCTCGTAGAGTGCCATATCCTTGTCTTCCTCCACAACGTTATACATTTCGTTGTCGGTGAGGCCATCCGTTTCCTTATTCGTTCGTGCATCTCCACCTAAGTGGGGAAAAACTTTTGTAAAAGAGAATTACTTCTGTGAAAACAATAAACATTTATAACGTAACAATAGAGGCTTATAGTTTTTCCATTCGTAGTTGTGCGTAACCTTTTAGATGACGCTCGCAGCTAAAAAACAGTACAAATGACGTCATTCCTAACACAATCCGAATAAAATTTCGTCAGGTTCACTAAGCTCCCAAATTGCTATTGATTGTCCTTATTTCGGCCACAAAGAAAACTTTTATAGAAATTTTTGAACCTTCGCTAGAACTCCGTCTCCGGGCAATTTTATTAAACAACTTCGAAACAATACTATCTTCGCTTTTGCAGCTATCAGATCTAGTATTACTCCTTCTGTTGCAAGCTTGATCTTCGCTTTCTTCATTTTTTTCCTCGCTCTCTTCATCTTCTTTTTCTTTGGCGTCAACGCTTGTTACAACGAACGTCACTGATCGAGAGCCGGCCATAGCCTCAACTGAGCGCTAGTGACGGCGCTGACGTCAGAATTAGCTTTTACTCGTCATTCGCTGCCAACATAACCTTATACCATTTTGCCTAAACGGTCTAAGACGGATAAAGTTTTTATGGATTTTATGATTGTATATTTCTCTTAACCAGGCCTACAATATTTCAACCAAAGTATCCACTCATCTTTAATTACAGAAGGTCTGTTTATAAGTCATATCTTCCTGGGATTATTGCCTTAGCCAACAATACCACAAATTTTTATTACCAAACGCGCGAGCAGAAGAATTTGTGAGCAAAGAATAGATAGCTATTCATCTAACAATATAGCATATTTCCGTCATTGGTTGAAATCAAAGGCTCACAATGTGGTACACATTGATAAAAAATCGATGACGCTCTCATCACGGAATTGATAAGATCGTGCTAGAGAAAGTCGGATCAATAACATAAATTTCACCAGCTCAGCAATCATTCCAAGCGTATTCTCAATATGAAATCGAATACATTGATTTTTCCCGATTTCTCACTTCAATTAACGTGCAAGTTATACTACTTAGTCAGTATTTGGTTTATACAACAGACCCCTTTTTTAGTATGAAATTAAGCGCAAACAGCTAATGTTATTGTTTGTTTTAAAAGATGTAAAAGAGTAAAAGGTTGTTAAAGCAGAAAAATAGAAAGGAAAAACCCCTGGAGGTAGTTTTTTACCTATTACAACATAACCTTTTCTCTCTAAATGGAAAAAAAGATGTAGATTTCTTATTATTCATTTAATTTAGAGAAAAATATATTAAGAATAATTACTCCAGCTAGAACTATGGCTGTATGTAGATGATCAAACGAACCGAAATGCAATTAGTTGGCTCAATCCAAAGGCTCATGTATATTGCTTTTTTTTAGTAATAACAGAAAATAGGAACAACAGCAAATAATGGGAACACTGCAGGTACGCAAAGGTAACTTACCGTATTCCCGTTGTCTTAGTATCCCTCTGACTGTGGCTATATATCAACATGTTTTTATATACTGTATATATGTAGATATACTGTATATATACTGTGTATACATATATATAGGTGTAATGTACTAACATACATGTACATACCTATATATATATAGAATTTAGAATATATTTATAGACTTATTTATGTATTGTTGATGACAACTGGTATGATTTCAAATCCTTCAGATATAAAATTGTTTAAACAAGAATATTTGTGAAATCGACCTAAAAAAAATCTAACGAAAATCAACTTATCGCTTTGGTGTAAAATGCGTTGAATTTTATCTGTGATAAATGCCTTAAAAAGTTTCTAATTTTGACCGAGAAGATGTCTTATCGTAATTTCGTCAATAAGTGATAAGATTACTAGGTCTTTGTAACCGTAATTGATATTCTACTTGTATAAAGTTCTTTGTTTCACAAATGAAACAAACTAATTGCAGTACTTCTAGATCATTTCTAGTTAATGATGATACTAATTGATTTATAATGAGCTTAACATTTAGGACATTTCGAATCGGAAATACGTAGGGAATAGCCGTTTAAGCCAGTATTTATTGGTCTTGACTCACCTCCTGAATCGCCAACTTTATTGGGAGAGCCTTGGTTCACTGTAGAGCCGTAAGTAGGATCTCCATTTCCTTTTTCAACCGGATCTTCTTCAGCTTTCGTTACGGTGAAACGAACAGAGGACATTGCTTAAAACACCGCCACTATTAACTTAATTTAAGACAGGCTCCTTCAGATAAATTCAAGCTAAAACTACCAGGTTTTGCCGAATTTTATAAATCCTATCTATCCTATAGGCTAATATGTCATGGTCGCAAATTTATTTTCGTATCTTTTTCAGACTTTCGTGAACCTCTTATCAAATTATGAGATAATTGAATTTTAACAACACATAGTATAATAAATACGTTTTCAACTGTATATATCGTTAATCCTATTAATATTTTTCATTTCAGTTTTCAGATTCATTATACGAAAATAAAAGCGAAATTTCCCGCTTTCTGTCTGAATGAAAGGCTGCACTCGACTAAATGAAAAAATATACTTGATAAATGTTATTTACATATTTGCTAGAATTTATTAAGTTAAAAAAATAAGAAAAGGACATTCAATAAGCGCCAACGTCAACCTGAGTTGGGGGTTTCTTCGAGCATTCTTCCAATAGGCGTAGTCTTAAATTGCGTACTTGAGTCATCATTTCTCGTTCATTCTCTTCTAATTGTTCACGCCCTTCTCGAGATGAACTAACGGAAACTGTAAAGCAAAATAAATAGTAATTAATGTTCCAAAAAAAAAAGAATCAAAATTAGTCATTATTTTGACATTAATGATTCTAAAACCAACATTGGACGGAATTATTTTCACAGTCTGAATCATTCAAATATTTCCTATGAGCCGGAAGTTTCGTGACATGACCGACTAAAGGTTTATCTGACTCGGCATTCAGGGGTTCTTGACGGATGCCAATTGACTGAGAATATTGCGTGCCCCACTTGCTAGTTTCATCCTCGTCTGCTGTATCATCTAAGGAAAATAAATATCTAATGTGCATAAGATTTTTTCACAACCTAATGTAATTTCAAACCCTGGGGATTTTCGTCTACTACTCTCTCTCTAATAGCTCTTTCTAGTGCGTAATTTGTCCTCTGAAGAAAAATATGTGGATTGTATTATGACTTAACCAAGAGCAAACATATCTTACATTTTGCATTTGAAGTTTTTTACTTAGTTCAGTCACCTGTTTTTCCAGTCTTTCATTGGTTTCTTTGAGCTTAGCAACCTGATTAATGTAAAAATTTCGTTAGCAATTACAACTCTTATTCATCCTTAAGATTCTCTGAAATTTGTACTAGAGGTATTATTAAGAAAATAACCCTTAAGGATGACTATCATGGTCAATTACGGACAAAGAGATTAATAGGTCAAAATCCACAAATGGTGTTTGTAAAATTGACTTTAAAAGGTTTTTAAATGTCTTTTTTTATGTTTTGAAACAAAACAGAGGTACGTACTTTGGTCGCTTGTGTTATTTCGTGATCGTTAAAAGCATTCATTACGTTATTGATTTTATTTCTACGATCTTCATTCCCTTTCTTCAATTGAGCGTTCGCCAAATCTCTTTGTTGCTCCTTGAGTAAATATGAGATTTAATGGATTGCTTAGATATATAAAAGAATTACTTTGCTTACTTGTTTGTCGATAGTTAGATATTCGAAACCATCGGCTAAGGCTTCAGATCGTACGTCGCCTAATCGCTTCGCGGCTTCTTCGGCTTCGCGAAAATCTTGATCGAACCGGGATGATTGTCTGTACAAATCCTGGGAAAGAGATTGAAAAGGTCGAAAGGTTATCTCTGTATTGAGAGAAAGAAATGTTTTAAGAGGGAAAACGTTACATGCTCCAGAGTTGCTCTTTGTAACTCTAGCTCTAGGCGTTTAATTTCGGCTTCGTCACATGCTGCAACAGTTTCTGTTTCTCGTCGTAAAGCGGTCCTTCTGAGTTCATCATCCAGTCTGGCTATTTGAGCTTCTTTTTCTTGTTGTTGTAAGGCGAGAGCCTTTCGTCTTGTAGCATCCAAAGCCGCCATCTGGTTTAATTTTTAATTGTTTGTTGCAGACTAAGTGCTTGTTAAAGTGTGACAAAATACCTCGGACATCTTAATTTCTCTTTGTAAAGCAGCCAAGCGTGTTCTCTGCTCCGCTAGCTTCTTTTCTTCCGTGTTAAGTAATGATCGCCTCTTTTCTTCTGCTTCGAACAAATGTTGTTGCTGCCTTAGCCATGACTCGTGCTCTACCCTTTGCTTCTCTACTTGATTGCGTAGAGAAAATGCAGCTTTTCGTTGGCGAGCGATTTCTTTCTCCTCACTTTATCAAATAAGATTATATAAATGTACGTGATTAACATTAAAAGTGCACTTTTTTCGCCCAACCTTAAAATCCTTTCTCTTTCTTTCGCTTGGTAATCAACAATGAACTTAGGATACTTATTAAACACCGGATACTGTATCTGAAGTAGAGGCTCGAATTCTTCAACAAAAGCCTTTGGATGTACATCGTCCGGTGTAATGTCCATTAATCGATATACTTCCTTAATAAGGGAAGATATTGATATGGCATTTCGATTGTGGAAGAAGAACTGATGTGAATAAATGATATATTTTTAATGAGGGTGATGTTGATGGATTACTTTAACATTTCACAGACAATTACCTCGAAATCCTCAAATTCTGTTATTTTGAGGAGGGCAGAACGAGATATCGTGCAGTAAGCGGGTACTGTCATGAGCAAGAAATTCGGATTGTTGCTAAATACATGATCAAAAAGTCTGAGCCATTCCTCCCGAGTTAATACTTCCGAGAACAGTGTCTGCAATACAGGCCAGGCGTAAACCTGTAATTAACGCTATGTTAGTCATTTAAATTGGGAAATTTAGTGATTGAGGTAAACCTGAGTAGTTATTCCATGTTTTATAAGATGGCTTAAAAGACCTTTGTCATGATAAGCCAGTATATTCTCAATAGTCCCCAGTATATTGATGGGAGGGTTTGGAAAATACTCAAACCAATGCTGACACCACGAAGCTTCAATCAAAGACAAGTGTTTTCGAATGTTATTCCATGTACTTTAAGGATTTAAGTGATGACTTACTTAAAACCGTTGCTACTATTTCAAAGAGAAACAGTTGATTATTTTGGAAAAGTTTCACGAATGGGAAAACCAATGTTGGAAGATAGTCAGTTTCCCCAAAGATTGGTGACCAGTTAGCAAGTGCACACAATAATCTATAAGAAAAAAAGTTAATTTTGTAAAAATTTTATCATCTATATTAATGCATTCCCTAAAAGCCTAAATAATCCCTTAATAAGATTAGAATTAAATCACGTATTGTATAACAAATGACAAACTTTTGCAAAATTCTTAATAACTTTCTACTTTTTAGTGGTATTTTTTCATGTAAATTATTATAGGATGGGTGAATGCCCTTTGTAATTAAGCTAGAGTAAGCTTCATGATTCTCAGGTAACTTCAAAAGCTGCCGCCAAATGAAAACCCTGCAAAAAAAAAAAATTTTCTATGTATATTTTTTTTTCTATTTAAAGCTTCTTTTTGTTTTTTTTTCTATAATTCGACATTTAGCACCTGTATTTTGCCGGATATTCACCGTAGTGTTGTAAAATTCGCTTTAATCTAAGAATACTTAACCCATCGCTTTTATCGCCCTGTTTAAAATGTATGAAATATAATAATCGATAAAAATCTCATAGAGGAAACAAGTATACCTCCAACTCTTCTTTATTTACTTTTGATGCATTCGAATTTCTATTTTTATCCTTATCTAATATTTTAACAACAGGTGGTGGCGCCTGACAATGAAATAACATCTTAAACATACTTAAAAACATTAAATAAAACAGAAAGACAATATACTCTGTGTAAATTGCGCGCAGCAGCCTTCAAATCAAAGATATACAAGTGGCCAGATTCTCCGATTGCACATGCAAAATGACCCGACCGGCTTACTTCAACCTTTTCCAATTTTCTCTCGGGAGTACCAATATCGAAAAGATGCTTACAGCTTGACAAGTTGACAAAACGCATTATTCCATCGGAAGATAATATTCCTACTATCTGTAGGGATTCCATTGTTTAATAATAGTATTAGCAAAGTAAATTAAATTTTAATACATTATCAACGTCAAATTCAAAGTTATTCGGTAAATATTGCAAGCGTTTAACTGACGTAATTTTTTTCGGTAACTCAATTAAAGGCATCAGATTCTGAGACTCTAGATTCCACAAATATAAATATTTTGATCTACCTCCTGCGGTTAAATATCGACCATCTCTGTTAAAAAAATCAAATCACGTGAGAAAGTCAGCTCTTTAGCATTTATAGGGTCGGTACCTTGACACAGCAAACGTTTTAAAAATGGGAGATTTTACATTGTCAGGCTTGTGTAAATGATATTTACAAATCAGAGTTGATGTTTCCCAGGCGAATATTGAATCGTCTTTAAAGCAAGTTATAATTAGATTACTTGTTGGTATGAAAAAAGCCTGAAGGGAAATAAGTTTCTTTCAAATAAGAAGAGAAAATATAACAATGATAATTATTATACTTGTGATAATCCTATATCTTCTTTTATATTAAGCTTTTTTACTCTCTCGAAGGTATTAAGATCCCATAGATGTGCTGTATCTGAAGCTGACGTAATAGCATAACGACCAGATGAATGAACAGATATAGATGTTACAGGAGATTCGTGGGCTTTCATTACAGCAATTAATTCGGAAGTCCCTAAGGGTAAAAGTGACCTTCTCATTAAATAAATATAAAATTTTTTGACCATTAGCTAGATTTTACCGGCGTCAAAACAGTTTAGAGAAGAATCTGATAAAGCTACTAAATATTCACTCTTTCGATGTAAGCAATATGCTATAGCTGTACAAGGTTTGCCACATTTTTTTAACAGCTTATACCTATTCCTGTAAATATCAAAATGATAAATGTTGCCTTGGTGATCAGACGCCAGAAATTCATCAACAATTGCATGAAAGGCGATACATTGCAAACGAATAGGCCTTTTACTCTCTTCTTTCGATGCTTCTTGATATGATGTGACGGTAAGAACCAATCTATTACAAAGGAAAAGATTATTAAGGCTTTTATAACTAGTCTAAACTTGTAGTCGACGGTAGTTGTATTATCGCTCGATAACGCTTACCCTTCATCTTTAGTTGGAATTGCCTTCCGATGCCACATTACCCCATTATTTTTACGATTTAATTCTAAAATTTCCATCTTTCTTAATCTTATCAAAGTGTTTTAGATTGTTTTTACTATTTATCTAAAAACAATAAACTGAAATATTTTGTGTTTTGGCCGCTTAAACGAAAATGCGTTCTGCTCATTCTTTAAAACACGATATCCATAATTAGCGGAATTTTCGATAAAATACACGTTCTAGAACATTTCGATTCTTCAAGTAAATAATTTAAATAATACTGCAATAGTAGACAAAAATATGGATAATACTCTGAAACAAAGTATCGTTGAGCTACAAGAAGCTTTTGCGATGGCTAATAGAGAAAATAGAAGAATTAAGGATATGAATGAAAATCTAATATCAAATCTATCGTCCAATTTATCAAAAACAGATCTCTTAAAGGCTGAATTGGAGTCTACTAAAAAGCTCAATGAGGGATTAAAAAGTGAAGTAGAAAATATAGATCATCTTATAAAAGAAAAGCAAAAGACCAACAACGAATTAATTCACGAAATGAAAAATATGGCGTATTCTCATAAAGTTCTGGATGATATGAAAGAAGTTGCAACAGAATTAGACAACTATACTAGAGGTGAATTATCATACGTCAATTGTTTACTTGGAACTATGGAAAAATATCAAGAAGATCTAAAAAATGATAATGATGATGCGGCCGTCAACCTCTTTTCTATATTTAGTAAGGAAATCGATTTGGATGTACGTATGTACAAATTACTGAACGAAACTTCTCAAAGTGAGATAAATGAATCTCGATAACAATTTTCTTTAGTTTCCTTTTAGTTTTTTATTTAACAACGATTACATTTGGAAAATTTATGCTAATTTTGTCTTAACAATAATTACAATTTAGGATCACTTATTGCTTGAGATGGGTCACAAGTGAATGAAACTGTCACAGCATATCGGGTTCCCTCCGTTACTTTTTCCACAAAATGTACGTTCTCTGCACCAGATGTAAAGAAAGAAAGTCTTCCTGTTTATAGGGTAAATTTAGCTATTATTGTTGTAAGGATATAGGTTTTATAAATTCACTTACCCATCAAGGGTTCTACAGTTCTATTAACTTGTTTGTCGATAAAAACGAAACGACCACCTTTAAAATTTTTCTCATAGGTTGATAAATATAAAAGAGACGTATAATGGAAGCTTCCATAAGTCTTCTTATCAACGTGAGGATGCCAATACTCGTCATGAATAGTTTTAGCAGGCCGATCAATCATTCTCGAGAAAAAAGTAGGTTTTGTTAGATAAAGAGACGAAACTGGAATTTCAAAATGCTGAGCTATAGCATTTCTAATCTTGTTCTTCACATTGGTATAGATTTTAAAGTCGTCTTCCGTCAGAATTTTTTCACGTTCCATTAACCTTTTGAAATATTATCTTAATATTCATCCCAAAATTAGATCAACTAACTTGTATATGTTTACAAATTGTTCTCCTTGAGACAAGGCTCCGGAATGCAAATCTAAAATTGAGGCCTGGAAAAAATTTTAAATATATCATTACTTATAAATTGTTATTACTGTAAACATACTCCTCCGGATGATCCTCCTCGAAGTAAACCTCTCTGTGCAATTCTGAAAATAACTTTTTGTCAACATAGTATTTGATAAGAAATTCTATATATACATACTTTAGCATATTTTTAGCTTCCTCTTCAGAGACAACATTATCCATGACAATCCTACCACACTTTTTGGGTGCACACTCTGTATCATTTTAGTTTCATCAGTAAAGACAAATCTAATAAGCTAAATTTTATTATAATTCTATACTACCTGTAAATACTTTTCTATCATCATCATAATCTTTCGAACAAGGAATATCAGCTACTAGTTTTCGTGACTGACGCGTGTTTGGAGCAAAGGATTCGAATCCATCTTTTTCTGTATAATATCTGATTAATATCAGGGAACCAACGATAAGAACAGTTCTTATTATTATTCTTCTGTACGAAATAACAGGGGGTGCGGGTTTCACTCTTTCTTTGCTGTTATAATATATTTAAATGTAACTTTAATACGAGCCACCTAAGTAAATGTTGTATTAGTCCTATTATTTGTTCAGTAGATGCTTTATGCGTCAACGGCTGTGTGCTTTAAAAGATATAATGCGGAGAATTTGTATACCTCTGCGGATTAGACTCTTGGGAGCTTTCACCGCTATTAATTTTAGAAACCGGCTTCCTTTTTTTTGTCGACATAACACAAACTTAATACACGTCACTTAGGAATGCTAACTCATAAACGAGCATTTTGATGAAGTTCTCGTGCTAGAGCCATCTAGTGTTTGAAAAAGAAATTTAAATGGCAGACTACATCTAAACTCATAACCTTAACATCCCGCCATCTATCGCATTATTAAACAAGAAAGGAACACGTGCGTGATCGGTCAGTAGTTGTTGAATTGTGCTATCTGTCATATCGTGCTGGGTTATAGCGTTAAAAAAGTATTGTGAAAAGGCTGCTGCCGGTGTCCTTCTAAATTAGGCCTTTGATTCGAAGCACATTCGCATCACTTCACTTTCCCACAGTTTCGCTTTTTCCCTTTGCTTTTTATTCTTATTTCCTTGAAAGCTATATACACTCGAAACTGTTAATTAGCTATTCCTTTTAGCACAAAATAAACTATTGGAATTTTGGAATGCTTATCCTACTCGTGAAAGTTGTTTCGAAAACATTTTAAGGAATGAACCAACAATGGTCAGTAAACAGTAGCGATCCGTTTCGGCGATCCTCCGGGAGCGGCTGCGCTTCCTGTCTTCACTATAAAAATGCCGACCTGTTCTCACGCGACTTATCACCTCTCTTACAAATTTGATTTTCAGCTTGTGATCGCAAGGTATTTTCGCTGTAATAGGGAGGAGTCCAAATTTTGATAGAAGACAGCGACAACGGTTTCGATGACGTCTAAGCAGGATGATGCTAACTTTGATCTCTTTACCTACTTACCGGTACCCTTTGACCCTTGCTTTACCACCCAAGGATCAACACTAGTTATTCATCCCTATTCTTGTCTTTTAGTTTTTATTTTTATCCCCCACACAAGTAAAATAAACGACGAAAATTGACATTAGTTCTATAAATATCACTCGACTGTTGTTTTTTTCTTTATTTCCAACACCGAGATTTATGATGATGCTGAAGAGGATCTCTTGTGGAGTGAAGAAGAGTCCATAAATATATAAATAGACCTCTCATCTAAAGGAGGGTGCGCTATAGTAGAAAGAAAAAAAAATAAATCCCGTGTTAATTAACAAGTGAAAGTGCACGAGCGCTGATTGGCTTCATCTAGTGGCTTTTGTCGGGAGTCAATAGGCCTAAACAGCCGGAGGCGGTAGCAGGGTCTCTGCTTTGATCTTGGACCGAACTTGGCCCGTTGTATAGCGCATATTTTTAACGGGCCAACCTCAATATGTAATTTGTTCGGGAAAATATGCCCTCTTTGCCCAACCCTACACGAGTACCGGATTGAATGTTAGTAAGCTTATACTAACTGAATTTTACGAATCGATTCAAAAATTTCTTTTCATACCGCATTCTTCCGACTTTGTATTACTTTCTCACGCAAAAATCAAGTTAAGCATGAATTTTCGAAGATTCGATTGGCCCGCATGTTCCGTCCCAGTCTCTTCTTTATCTGTCAGCAACTCATCAACGCTTAGAGCCACACACATACCGCGATTTCCGCCTGTAATTTGCATACGTAATCCACTGAACCATCCTCATTTTGCAAGTTGCGCAATCGATTGTTTACAAACCTGGACGCGTCAACTTTCACACGAGCTTGGAATGCGCCGCCCTAATCGAATAGGATCTCATATGTTTCGGTATGCAATTTCAATGAAACTCTAGTACACTTGACGAGGAAAAAAAGCGCAGTATATACGTGAATGTTTGCACTGACCTCGGAGGTATTCTTGACGACTTCTTCACGTCTTAATAACAGACATAGTTTCTATAAATCCCCATATATACAATTCATATCAATATAAATATACACATATGCCTTGAGCTATTCGGACCGCCTTGTAAGAAGCAATAGCCGGCGGTAATTAGCCAATAACAATAATTCGTAGCATACGTAAAACATACGCTTAGGCGAATTCCTGTAGACGCTAGTTTAGCAATTAAAAACTCCGTCTTTTGATGAAGGCGAACGAAGCGTCTAACGACATTCTAATACAATCGAACTGTTGCTCGGTAACGCTCTATAAATTATGAAAGAAACATTTTAATTACATACTTTCTTTTCCATTTAATCGCTTAATTACATTCCATTGTAAAGGAAGAATATCACAACCTTCTAATTTCTCTTTTTGTAGATATGAAACAAACCGTAAGTGCAAGTGCGATAAGCTTTTATTTCTATGTATTTTTTCTCATCCTTTGAATCCTATTCATGTTCATTTTTACAGTCTTTCTATTTCCTTTTATTTTATTTCCTACTATATTCATTCAATTCAATTCAATAAAAAGGGAAAAAAACGGACAAAAATTAGGCCTAAAATAACGGTTGTGTCGTGCGAGCGACGCGCTTCGACCTTGCGCCAAAATTTAGGCCCGTAGCCAATATACGTATAATAGAAACTTCCTGTCTTCACAATAGCCTGCCAGTTTATTCAAAAAGAAGTAGAAATTTGAATGCGGAAAGATGCACGCGTTTGGAATATTTTTCACCATTGACCACACACGAGTCTATTTTCATGATTTGCGCCTCATTTCCATAAAGAACAAAAGTCATTCTTTTTACAGAAGACGGAAGACTATTTTGCCAAAAAAGAACATTTTTTTTATTGAGTACTTTTATTATTTTTCTCCAAAGTTATCAGCTGACATCATATAGAAAAAAAAACATTTATCTGCAGTCTATACGGAAGATATTTTCGAGGGATTCTTAGAAGAGATATGCACATGTGGATAATATGAGTTTGTACAGAAAAAGATACAAGATAAATCAGTCATATATAGAAGCAGCGAAAGTAAGATATTCGACTACCAGGGTCGCCACATTTCTTCAGGTCTTTCAATTTCATTAACTATTTTATTGTTGTTCTCGTCAACAATTGGCATATTCTCTTTCTCGCTGTCATCGCTGTCTTCACATTCGCAGTCGGATGAGGAAGCGGAAGACGGCGGTGTACAGTTTACGCTTCGGTTTTCATGACTTTCTGAGACCGCCTTAGAGGATCCGACCGGAAGTAAAAAAGTTGTAATTTGTCCGGATGGAAGCATACCCGACACGACGTTATACATGTTGGATGTAGGTTGATTGACGAACGCCGGATGCATATCATTACGCTGAACTTGAACGACCTTCGTCTGAACTGGCGGTGGGGAAGAAACCTCCGTCATATTATTAGCGGCGTTGAAAAGGTGATTAAGTAATTTCGTTCTTGTATCAATGTCAACATTTTCAACTCCGGCCAGAAACTTTTGCACTTCACTTGCACACTCATTATAGCCGGCAATATATTTACTAAGTACAGTTGGATTGGAGGAGGCGGAGGCTGTAGGGCAAAAATAGCATTTAGAATAGCACGACAAGATGGTGCACTGATTCGAAGCAATGCGATGCAATAAACATTCTTATTCAAAATAGATTTATAACTCCGGACTAATGACGTCGCGCATTTTTCTTGACGCCTACTCTCGTAGCCCGGGACAGCTCGGGGCAATGATGAGCTATTAGTGCCGTTTCCATTTTGAACGTGGGAATATTTTACTTTAAATTAAAAGAAAGAAGAGAAGGAAAACAAAATGAGATTTAAAGAGAGTCTCACCAAATATTTGTTGACGTCGTTGTTGGCGAAGGTATTTAACGGTCAATTCGAGGATGTCGGCTTTTTCGAGTTTCGAGTAGAGTCCGTTACCCTGTGTTTGTATATGCCGCAATATAATTTATGTAAACAAAGTAAGAGTTCTTTTATCTTTTAACATTGTCTGCCTTTTATTTTAATCTATCTCTTTCTAATGAAATGAAAGAGAAAGTGCAAACTAGAATGATGAAAGGGCAAAAATCCGCTGGTCGTCCACTCGTACAGCCCAAATCACGCACACGAGTAGCACTAATTAGAGGCGTCAAACGACGGCTTATAGTCTGATCAAACGCCTTTTAATCCGCTTGATCAAGACACACTTGAGACAAAGTACTTCTTAAAGACTATTTTTATTGATATAAACAATTAACGTTACCTCTTTTTTCATAGCATGCAGAACTAGCAATTTTAATTGCGATAAGCATTCGTTGATACGAGCTCTTCTCTTTTTCTCCATAAGAGGCTTGTTGCTCTTCTTTGAGACGGAGCATTCCTTCTTAGTCTTGAACATGTTGCTTGCGCGAGTCACGCGAATCGAGTGCGTTGGACGTGGGACGGAGCGTGGAGCTATTAGCCAATCACGAACGAGCTAGAGGGGAGGGGACCAACTGACGGGGGTTAAAAAGGTAGAGAGTGATAGAGAGAGAAATAGAAATAGAACGAGTAAGGAAATACATTTCACCAGACGCCTTTAAACTTACCGCTTTCATCTTTGTTCTTGAGCATCACCCCCTCCATTTCTCGTCACCCACCCTCTGTGTTTCTATTAGACGTGATGTCTCCCATAGTTAACATACTCATACGTGTGCGTTTGTTTATATAATTCGTAGTGGTATGACATACGACAGTCAGCTGTACGTCCCCTCTGGCAAAGTCTTGTCATTTTGTAGGGAATTATCTCAGTGGTATATGCTCCTTGTCACGTGACCTTTCCTTATATCCACATATTTTACTGGTTTTTGAACTGACCGCCGTCAACGTCTATCTAAACACGAATCTCATACCTCTACAGATCTTTATTCCTTCTCGCCGATCTTATCTTACGTTCTCCTTGTTTAGCTAAAACCTTACAGCAGATAAGAAGTCAAAAAATTTTCAGACGCCTACGGGGCCGCACTTTTCTAGAAGTCGGAAAATTAAAGGACAGAGTATTAACTTCAGTTAGGCGGAGATCACAAGAGTCGACCCGTTAATTAACTTCGATTTTTTTCCTTCGATAAAAGTCGTGAAAAACTGCCGAATATGCCCCCTAGGAGACTAAACGATGGGTCCGTCCGGTCTACAATTAGACAGTGGTGCTATTTTATTTAATTGGTTAACATATTAGCTTTGTATAAGCTATTATTGGTGGCCTATTTTTCTCTTTTTTCTTCTTTTTTGTAATTCGGAATCCGAAAATAACTAAATACTTTGTCCTTTCTTAACCTGAGATCACATTCGTATAGAATTAAAAGAATTTTTAGACGTCGGAAAAGAAACTGAGCCTCAAGCTAGAAAATTGTATAGTGTTACACATTTATTGAAGTTTTTCGACTTTCTAACTTATACGAAAACGATGGATAAACACGGAAGTAAATGGGCCTATATAATTGTTTGTAGCTGTGTAATCTCCTATACGCCTGAGGGAAGACCGAAGTATGTCAGCTAAAACGTTTGAAAGTAAATTTCGTAATGTCGATGTTGACGAATATGACGAAGATAGGTATGAAGAAGATGAAAATGCTGAAGCGCCTATTGAAAAAAGTCCCGACAAAGCGGAAGTTCATAACCTTTTGCAATCGTAGGTTTTAATTATGAAGGGGTATTGTATAACATTTATTAACAACTAGCTTCAAAATGCAGTACCAAGAATGCCGAAGCTCTAGCTTACGTGCTAGACAATGCACCCATTGGATCGAAAAATCAGTCACTGCTAGACGCCTGCACGCAGTTGATAGTAGAGGTCATGATGTCATTCAAGACAAGCGCAGTTGAACAGGCGTTAAAATCGTTGAACCAGGGTCAACTGGATTTGCTATTAAAATATGTATACAAGGGGTTTGAATCTCCTGTGGAAAACAGTAGCTATCATTTGTTAATTTGGCATGACAAAATATACAGTATTGGTGGATGCGGGTCCATTTTAAGAGTGTTAACCGAACGAAAAAGGTTGTGACTCTTTGATGCATAATCTATTGCAAAACGCTTCTTCGATTAATATGAATGATAAGTTCCATATTCTTTAACAGAATCTCCAATACACGCCTTTCAAATCATTTCCGCGTTAATTCAAAATGTCATCTGAAATTGTCATTTTACAGCAGAAAGGCCCCCATTGTTCAAACTCAAGTGTCATCATAACGAAACGAAATACTGTTGCGCCATCTATCTGATATTTTGTTCACCGCAAAACTAGCTTAAAGCGATGCAAGAAACTTTGCATGTGTTGATTCCTTAAAATATTGTTTAATTCATGGTTTTATTTTAAATAACCAAAAGTGACAATATTAACGAAAAAGGTACTTTATTTGTATGTCGCTCATAGTCCTATTTTATATGCATTTCCTTGGGGGTTGTGAATTCCAAGGTTGACTGGCTCTGTTAAACACCATTCATACCAGACATCTCTTGGAGATTGACAACGCCAAAAAGTAACAGATATTGTACCATTCTCTTCAACGACTACTGGTTGACGAATTGGTAAAAACATGGGGAACCAGGAAAACATTCCTTCTGAATGTGATTCTGGCACAGTTGACAAATAAATATCTTTATACAATGTACTGAAGAAATAGCCCGCAAATCCATGGATTGTAGATTTCTTTGGACTGCGAAAGCTAACAGATTTATAGCGTGTGTTATCGATCGGTTTCTGGTGGTTTGGATGGTGAAAAGTGAATAACGGTTTAGGCTTGTCTAATAAGTTCACATTTAACAACCGGACAACGTATGGGGTCTCTAAACCTATAGAATTGACTTTTTAATTATAAAATTGAATTTTAATTGAATCTTACCAGATTGAGGATGTTTGAAAGGTAGAGACGCTGAACTTGATGCAGCAAATAATTTTGGTGAGGATAAAGGACATAGATAGGAGGTGTACGATTCTGAATTAATTGTGTTAGGTTTAGAACAATAAATTTTGGCACGAAACATTTTACAACTTACCAGGAATTGAAATTCCATCATTCTTCAGAAACCTCTGAGCTCCATCAAGACACTCAGGAGAGAGTTCGTTGTCGCCAAAAGACCCCAAAAGTTCACTTACCAAAATGTCTGCCTTCTCAGTTGCTTCCCATGTTCTCATATCACTTGATATTACAGTTACACGTCCTCGCCACATTTCATCATCAGCAGCGAGATTCCTCAAAGTTACTAGAGCATTTTTATTTTTCTCAATGGCATAAACTTTTATTATACGTCGTGCACGTTTAGCGGCTATTAAAGAGGCGGTAACTAAAGGACCTCTGCCTGCTCCTACCACCATAACCACTGTTTCTCTTGTGTCAGCTTCATCTGCAGTTACTCTGTCACTAATTGCGTGATAAATTGCTTCTTGATATAGTTTGTACTTTATTGGATCTTTTTCAAAAACTTCGTAAGTTCCTGATTCAAGGTTATCCATTAGAGGCTGTAAAGGGTCTTGTAGATAATCTTCGAAGCCTTTTGAATGCTCTTCAATAGGTGTAGGCGCCGGCATTTTCGATTTTAAATGCTGAATATATTGCAAATACGTGTTGAAAGACACAACAGAGTGTCTATGGTACCCTGTTATAATTATCTGAACGTTCAAGGCCATAAATTTTTGAACGACTTTTTGGTGCACGCTACTCAAAACTGGATAGTTGGCTTTATTTAAAATGAAAACAGAAGTTGGAATAATTAGAGCATTTACGGGTTCTCCAGTCCATCTTAAAATTCCTTCAGTATCAGGTAGGTCTGCTGTAAGCTCCAAAGCCAATCTGATTCTTTTACTCGTGCTGCAAGTTAAATGTAAAGTGTTCCATCTATCCCAGGGATCTTCAGTTTCTTCTGTTAAATCTTCATCTCCAAATAAATTCATGTTCCTCGAACGACTTACCAATGGCACTCTTATCCATATCTACAACACTAAAGCTGTATGATTTAAAATATAAATATTAAGATTTATACCGTAGGAGTTAGCTTGTTGCTAATGTGTTGCAACACATTTTTGGCTAAATTTAGGCAATTTCTCTTTTTTAAGTCTATCATTATGCAGCTTAAAGCCAAATGCTGAGCGTAATTAACTTCTTCATGAAAAGCTTTTTCTGAGTTTAATCGGACATGTTCAATTTTTGAATCCAAATCAATCCATGGTGAAATTTTGCCTACGACATTACTATTCCATTCTAAAGAAAATATATTTGAAAAAGCTTAAAGCAAAAATGTATTATGTCATTGTTTTACCTTGAGAAATGAGAGTCAGATCTGATCTTGTTAACGGTAAAAAACGCTCTTTAAGAGCTGTTTCAGAGTTGAAAAATTCACGCTTAAATCTTGGATGAACCAAAGGAACGCAGACAAACTCGAAACTAAATATGTACAGTTTAGAATATACGTACTATTATATAACTTATGGAATACCCCTTTCCAATGGCATCAGATAATGTTTTGCTAATATCGCTAGAATTGCAGAGGTCACGACCAATTATCACTCTTTCACTCATTTTCGGCATGGACATAAAACCGGCGAATTCTGAAAATTAACTTTAGTTGTTCCTTTTCCGGAATAATTAATAGGTTTAGAGTTCCTACCCTAAATATGTCAATATCATATTGATCCGAACAATATTCCTGTCTACACTAAGGAATGTTTTGCAAAGAACTAAACTGGTTAAGAAGCGCGTTGTCATTACTGCTAGAAGGAAATGGCACCATCTACCACTAATAAATCTGCCGAAACAACGGATAAAAACAAAAAAGAAGATGCTAAGGACAAGGAAGTTGAAAATAAAGAGGTAGAGCTATCAGAAGAGGACAAGTTACTCAAAGAAGAGCTTGAACTTTTGGTTGAAACGCTTAAGGTAAATTGTAATAATATCTCTTTTATACATTTATACGTTAGATCATTTTAATTTAGGAGAATGATAAAGATAAATATGAACCCGTATTAACCAAACTAACGGATCATATAAGATCTTCAACAACATCAATGACTTCTGTTCCTAAGCCGTTAAAATTTCTTCAAGAACATTACGATACTTTAAAAGAAATCTTTACCAAATGGTCAGATTCAAAAATGAAGAAAGCTTTGTCAGATATTTTGTCCGTAATTGGTATGACTGTGGATGATGGTCTCGACTGTCTGAATTTTAAATTGACAGGTAATACTAATGAGATAGGCACATGGGGACACGAATATGTTCGTCACCTAACTCGAAATATAACACAACAACTACAAAAGAGTGATGAGAATGAACGCTATAGCCCAGAAACTTTAATGAAAATGGTAGAGAATATCGTTCCATATTTAATGAGCCACAATGCTGAGGCTGAAGCCTGCGACTGTTTGATGGATATCAGTCATTTGGAATTAATAGAAAAATATGTTAATGACGGATCTTATTCAAGAGTTTGTCTCTATCTTACAAGATGTTATGACTTCGTCCCTGAACCGGAAGACAGAACAATAATGACCTGTGCTTTGAATATTTACAAGAGGTACGACCAATATGTTGATGCTATGATGTGCGCACTTAGAATGAATGAAAGAGCTCTTATTGAAGAAGTTTTTAATAACTGCTTAGATCCTCTTGTTAAGAAGCAACTAGCATATCTCTTAGGAAGACAGCATATAATGCTTGAATTGTCTGATGAGACTGCGGATAGTGATGAGCTGATGGAAATAATGTCGAACTCTCAACAAAACACTCACTTCTTGGCACTTGCTAGAGAATTGGATATTATGGAGGCAAAAATACCAGAAGATGTATATAAATCACATTTAGAGCCAAACAGACCTAGTATGAATGCAAATGTTGATTCAGCCAGGGTAAATCTTGCAGCATCCTTTGTTAATGGGCTCTTGAACGCTGGGTTCGGCCAAGACAAACTATTGCTGGTGGAAGACGGAAGTAAGTGGATGTACAAACACAAAGATCAAGGCATGATGTCCTCGGCTGCTACACTTGGTTTACTTCTTTTATGGGATGTTGATAGTGGATTAACTCAAATTGATAAGTATTTATATTCAGCTGATGATAATATCAAAGCAGGTGCGCTTATGGCATGTGGAATAGTAAATTGTGGTGTTCGAAATGAATGCGATCCAGCGTTTGCCTTACTTTCCGACTACGTCCTTCATAATAGTAATGTAATGAGAATTGGGTCGATTGTTGGTTTAGGATTGGCGTATGCTGGTTCTAATAATAAAGACGTCATAGATTTAATTCTTCCAGTTTTAGAGGATAGCAAGTCTAGTATGGAAGTTTTAGGTTTAACAGCTTTATCGTGTGGTTTAGTAGCTGTTGGAACAGCAAATCCTAAAGTTACTGAAGCAATTTTAGAAATTTTACTTGCAAAGAATGATAAACCAGAAATGAAAGAGCCAATGGCTAAAATGCTCGCACTAGGTTTAGGTTTGACTTATTTGGGTCGTCAGGAAGAGGTAGAGACTTCTCTGGCTGCTCTGGATGTCCTAAGTGATCCTTTTAAATCTACAGCTAAGACTATTTTGGAAATGTGTGGATACGCTGGAACTGGAAATGTTTTAAAAGTTCAAAACTTTTTACATATTTGCTCTGAGCATTACGAACCTCAAAAAGACGAAGATAATAATGATAAAAAAGATTCAAAAAAAAAGGACGCTGACAAAGATAAAAAGGACGAAGACAGAAAAAGTTCAAATCTTTCAGTACAGCAATCAATAGCCGTTCTTGGAATTGCACTTATATCAATGGGTGAAGATATAGGGGGAGAAATGAGTCTGAGAACTTTTGGACACCTTCTTCGTTATGGGGAAGCGCAGATTAGGAGAGCAGTTCCTCTGGCGTTTGCATTACTAGCACCATCCAACCCAAAATTGCAAATTATTGACACCCTAAGTAAATTTTCTCACGACTCTGATGCTGAGGTTGCTCACAACGCTATTTTGGCCATGGGTGTTGTTGGAGCTGGTACAAATAATGCAAGACTTGCAGCTATGCTTCGACAATTGGCTATCTATCACTCCAAAGATGCTCAGAATTTATTCTGCGTTAGAATAGCGCAAGGATTGGTTCATATGGGTAAAGGAACTATGACGATTAATCCGTTTCATACAGACAGACAATTAATGTCACCGGTAGCTGTTGCCGGATTATTAACTTTTCTAGTATCCTGCTTAGATGTGAAGCAGACAATTTTGGGAAAATGTCATTATGTTTTATTTTATTTGGTCACTGCTATTCATCCACGCATGCTTGTGACATTTGACGAGAATCTTCAACCAATATCTGTCAGCGTTAGAGTAGGACAGGCCGTCGACGTTGTCGGACAAGCTGGAAAGCCCAAAACAATAACAGGTTTCCAAACACACACGACACCAGTCTTGTTAGCCTTTGGTGAAAGAGCTGAATTAGCAACCGACGAATACCTGGCCACTTCTCCGATTCTTGAGGGTTTCGTCATACTTAAAAAGAACCCAGATTCGGAGATGGCTCAGGAGAAGTAAACTATTTTCGTTAATTTGTTTTTTTTTTGTATAATTATGGAACAACAAGATTTTCTCTAATTAAAAAAATTTCTAAATCAACACAATGTCAATTATTTCGGGGTTGATTGTAAGGGGGGCTTCGTTTTAATTAAAGGAGGTGGACCAGCGTCACACTTCGCCGCCATATCTTCATCGTGCTTTTTTAGAACGTCTTCCAAATTATATTTTGACTTGTACTGAACGATAAAGTTTTTCACATGAGCTTCCGTTTTCGTTCCTATAACATCTGCGATGGCGGTATAATTCCGGCCGTACTCTTTTATGCATTGAATAGCGATAAGCGTCTCCTCGTTCGTCCATCTATTCGAGATTTTGTTGGTTCCATTGTCTTGTGGAGCGACTTTGAAGCGATCAATTGATGTCGGTAGGTCGAATTTGCTAAGCGCTTGCTTGTGAGTCTGAACTTGTTGCTTTAGAGCAATCAGATCTGCATTAGCTCTTTGTAAGATAGCGTCCCCTTGACCGGATGGACCTGAAGCAAGTAAAACAAGATCTTCCTGGGATAAATGCATTCCTTTAGGAGGTTTTCTTCGACCTTTTACACCACTTTTGGGTTGCTGACTAGGAAAGCCATCATTTTTCTTTCCATCCGTCTTACCTGATTGTTTATTTGACTTAGTTTCCTCATCCGAACTGTTTGAAGACTCGCGGTCATTTCTTCGATGATTGGCTTTCTCGTCGATGACACTTGTTTTGTGCTGGGACTTCTTCCACTTGTAGTAATGCTCCACTAAACTTTTATTTGATTTATCTGGCAACATTTGGCGAATTCGGGCAAAACTTTTACCATGAAAACTAAAGGCCTGCTCGAAGATTACTTTATCTTCCGTTGAAAATTCTTCAGGTATAGGCGTAAAATTGGGAAGGTCAGCCAAGGCCGTTTTCATGTTGTGTTTATGCCAGAAAAGCATGCCGAAAGCTTGCTCGAAATTGTAGTTGTAGCGTTGTCTTGCCAAGTTAATGAATTTATCAACTAAAAATCATAATAAATATGTAAATTAGATTGATTAGTTAATTAGTTTTAATTGTTACCCACTTTCTTCGTCAGCCATTGGTCCTGGTTGCCAAACCAGGAGACCTTCTCGATCATCTTTATCCCATTGATATTTGTAATCTAATACATGAGAAAAAGAGAAAGAAATTTAGTTATAGCCGGACCTAGTGATGGGGGGCTAACCTTTATCATAAAAGGGTACTCGAGCTTGGTAATCTTCACCAACTCTCATTCCATGATCTGACCAAAATAGGTAAATTACCGAACTTTTAGCAAAATTTAAAAACTCACCGCTCTCAGATTCTTCGCTAGAATCTGAACTGGACCCCGCTGCAGATCTTGTTCTCGTCATTGTTGGACCGTCAAATAGTCGATGTGCATTTCGTGCTAAGTACAAAATTCAAAGCCTTGAAAAGCTTGAATATAGTTTATCAAATTCTTTATATATACATACACATAATTTCAAACAACTTAGATGACGAAATTACAGGTGAATTTCGCTAAAACTGATACACACTACAATCACTGCAACACTCTCACACTACCTGGAACTACTTTGTATCGTTCATACGCGTCCTCTAAGACCACATCGCTCTCTTTCAATTAGTGCAATCAATCTAAACGCATATGCAAGTTAAATCTGAATAACTTAAATTACTTTTGATATAATCTTTTCAGGCGAAACAAAGACGCTTTCTCTGTCAAGTGTATGAAAACACTCCGAGCGGACTACTTTTCGAAAATTCAAAGTGACCAGGCGAATAACAATTTAGTACATGCTATTTTCCCTGATATTTAAGCTTTTAACCCTAAAAGTTTATTTTTAAAAACTTGAAAATTTAAAAATCATCAAATAAATTTTTTAATTTTACAATATTTTTATAATAGCGTTAAATTTAATCAACGCAGTTATAGTTTAAGGTATAGTTCCTTCATATAAATCGTTTATTCTCACTAAAAAGTTCGTAATTTCCAAACCTTAGAATAAAATTTATCTATATTTCTTATGTAGAGAGAGTTAAAAAAAATTTTTTTTGATATTTATAAAGAAAACATGCAAAAGTTTTTCATCGCAATTATGAATAAGTTTTCGTACCTTTTAAATAAAAAATTACTTTTACATTTTTTAAATTAAATTTTATTAATAAAATAAATTTAAAAGAGTTAAATTTAAAGAAATAAGAAAATTATGGGCGCCTTCTTGTGGTCGTTTTTGTTGTCTCTTTATGTATATTTATATATCTGGAAATTTTTTTGCAACAAAACGCCATTTTAAAAATCACGTAAGATTATGGGGAGGAAGCATAAAAAACATCATAGATCAGATCCAGAATCTGGAGAAGGTAGGCCGATTGATATAAAATTTCGACATTTTGATTTAATCTATTCTATTATCGCTCTTCAGAACCAGAAGAAGCCAAATCTACTTCGGGTATTAAAATTGTTCTTAAGCTAGGAGCTACAACACCTACTAGTAGTGAAGGTGCAGAATCTCCTGAGCGGAAACATAAACATAAAAAAGAAAAAAAGAAAAAAAAACATAAGCATTCAGATTATGAGCGGGAAGTCTTCCCATCATCTAATAAAATACTACTTAAAAAATCTGACTTTCCAAAAGTACCTGTAGAAAAAACCCCACCGCCACCTCTACCGCCTCCACCTCCTCCGATTGCTACTCCTCATATCCCTGAACCTCCTCTCAAAAAGGCAAAAGCGAATCGTCTTGATCAGAATCAAATTTTAAATACCAACACTGGTCGACCCCAAAGAGAACGAAAAGATGCTAGAGTTGCTAATCTCAGAACAGCTTTGGACTATATCCATAGACAATTGTCAAACAAAGATGTAAAGAATTATTTTGCTATGCCCGTTACCGATGCTATAGCTCCTGGATACTCTGCTATAATCCAAAACCCTATGGACTTATCTACAATGTTAGAGAAAATAGCAGCTGATCAGTACAAAGATTTCAGTGAATACAAAAGTGATTTCAAGCTAATGTGCGATAACGCTATGGTTTACAATAGACCAGAAACTGTCTACTATAAGGAGGCAAAGAAACTTTTAGTCGCTGCAGAAAAGTTGTTATCTCAAGAAAAATTATTTAATATGAGGCGACAGCTCCCTTGTATGATGGCCCTATCACTAACTGGTAAGTACTTTGAAATATTTAAAAAGATATAAAAACAAAAATTAAATCGATAAAACCTATCCTAGAACTGGGTCTACCATCAGACCTTGAAAGAATATCAACACCATCTCCTCCTCCCTCACTTAATAATTCAACATTTGATATGTCTCATAATAATCTGAGCTATTTAGCTGAACAAAAAGAGGAACTTCAAATTGATTATAAACCTGATATTGTTTGCGACAATATCTCGCCGGAGGATCTTGAGGCGCAAGTTGTAGAGGCAGCTACACAAGCTGGTAAAAAGCTTCAAGAAGAACAAAAGAACTCCAAAATTGGTTTTCTTAGAAGGAAAGATGATGGCTCGACCAGCTTTTGCTTCCTAAATCCAGATATGAATGGATATGGTTAGTATAGTTATATTTTTCATTTCTAAATATGTATGTTTTTTATCAAATTATCTATACCAGTAAGCGAAAATGAAAGAATCGTAACGCTTGGTCAATTAGCCGGGAAAATAAGGGATGGTAGTGGTCACATAATATCCCCTCAGGACGATCAGAGAGATGCAGCAAAGCCTGGTAAGTTATTTCAAACGATGTTAAAAAGTACCCAAGCAAAAGAAGCTGTTATTTTCATTAATTTAGTTTATTCTGTAAAAAAAATAAGTAATAAAAAAAGAGCTAATTAATTGTTATTAAAATAAAAATATATCAGTTCTATGGAAATCCGTTATTGGTAAACAAGCACCAGGTAAAAAGACCTAATTTCTATTCATGGTTATCAGAATGCATCATACATAGATTCTGTTGTTTTCTTTAAGATTTCCCCCTCTATTTATTATTTCTTTTTTTAGATAATATTTCTTTATGTCTGTATACTGTATACGTTTACCATTTTCAGAATAATTTTATATTATTCAATATTTTGTAAGCAAAAAACCAGAGCAGAATATGTATCACTTGCATCATGAGCTATGTTGTTTATTGTATTGGATAGCATGTTTTCCCATATAGATGATAACAGGGGTTTTAATAAGAATGACAAATAATAATAATATAGTCATTATTATTATTGTTAATGTATATTTTCGACTTTAATCAATATTAATTGAATTATATGCTTTTTTTCCCTTCCTGTAGTAAAATTTCTCAATTATGGTCCATTCGGAAGTTATGGACCAACTTACGATTCTACATTTGCGACCTTAGATTTGGAAGATTCGAAAATGCTGCTAAATGTTTACGGTGATGAAAATAGTGCAGCGTATGCCAACAGGTATAGAGAAAGTGCTTTTATATGTTTTTTAAAATTATCTAAATAACCTCCTACTGTTCTAGTTTGAGATCGTATGTTGATGATTGTGGAGATATAGCTATTCAGATGGTTGACTCAATGCTGGACTATATTACTGGTAATAAGCACTCAGCACTGTGGAAAAAGGCGGAAGAGTTGAAGAAGGAAGCTGAAGAGTTGAAAGCTGAATTGGCAAAGAAAAAGAAAGAGACTGAAGAATTATATAAATTAGCAGAAGAGTCCAGCAAACAGACGGAAGATATTGATTTTAATGCTCTGAGAAACTTATCCGAAGAACTTAATATGGACATGAACTTTTTGGAAGCATTTGGTCAGTAATTTTATCCCTCTTTGTTAATTATTTATTGATGGATTTCTTTTACTTAAATAATCTTAGAAAGTGAAACAAAAGTGCAAAATAAATTGGACGAAACTAATAAACTGATAGAGGAGCTTGAAACTCAGCAACTCGAACGTCTAAGCAGAAAACCCCCACCGCATTTAAAAGATCTGCCATCCTCGAGTGAAGAAGAAAAGCAATTAGGTAATACTGATTTAACAAACGAAAAACATTAATTATCGTAAATGGCTATATTCTTTACTATCTTTTTTTTGCCTTTAGCTAAGAATGTCATGTCCAATCTAACGGACCTTTGTCGGGCACTTCAACCAGGCCAAGTCGTCAATTCTCAAGCAATTCGACAAGCTATGGGAATAGGACATGCCAACTCATCTCAAACCCAAAGCGAAGCGTTCAAGCCCATCAAAAGCGAAGATATTACTATAATCGATGGGGGAGTAATCGAATAGTATTTGTATAGAAAAGAATTTATTAATTCCATATTTCTTTGTAAATAATGTATTCCAAAAAGTGTGTTGTTTCTTTTCACGTTTTTTTTTTTCATTTATATTTTTTATTATTTTTTCTCTTTTTTTTTGCAAACGCATTTCAAAAAATTTACAATAATTGTCCACCAACCAAGTAGTCTTTTAATAATTGTGGAATGGGTAGTACCCGTGTATAAGCCATTAAGTTCTTACCGATTACCCTTCTTATAACCAACTTGCAGGATTTCTGTAGATTATTCGGCTCTTTGGCCATATTTTGTATAGATTGCGGCAGTTTTTTCTGAAATTCAGAATTTGGTCGATAACCCACTGAATAGAGTAGAATCGTCATATCAAAATTAGATGAAAAGATATATGAAAAATAGTTGAATGCTGGTTCAAATTTCTTTTCATATATTGTTAAATTCAGTAGCAATCGTATTACATTGAAATTATCTTTAATCAATGTTAGTTCACTTAGACTATCCTCCGTAACAGGACAACCTAGTGATAAAAGAATTCGAATACACTGAAGTAATTCATCATTGTACTTGTCAGTTTCTTGATTTCGCAGTAATAAATAGATAAGATCCAGTTCGACAATATTGTTGGCTGCATTCGGCGTAGTTAAAGCTTTAACGAGCCTTTTCGGATCGCAGTAGCGGATGGCATTGAGTAGTTGCTCCTCGAAATCCAAATCCATTTTTGAAGTTATAAAAAATAGCAATATAACGGTTGGAGGGGTCTCAGGGCTATTGCGAGCTAAGTATAATGTTCTTAAGGCTTCTCTGCCTCGTAATTTCTCCTCCTCCTCATCCGCCTCCACCTCCTACGTTATATAGATTAGCTAAACAAAGGGGAATTTTACAGCAGAATTCTTCAATTTTTTTACACTATTACTATATAAGGCCATTTCTAACTGTAAATTGTCATCTGAGCATCTAAGTAGAGACATCTTCAGTTTCTGTCTCTTCAAGAGTTTAAATTACCTTTGTTTGACATCATAAATCAATATGGAAAAGGAAGATTTATAAATATTTAAGCAATTACTATGGAAAATTTCTTTGGCAACAGATAAAAATGATTTCCCCTTACTCATTAAAGATGATAGGTTTCAAGTAACAAAGCAAATTTCATGAGTTCTGTTTGCAAACTTGAAAACTATCTGCTGAACATAGGCGATTTTTTTGCTTACATATAAAAAGAGAATCATAAGACTTTCTAAAGGTATTCAACAAGGGATTTATTTTCTAATAACTGTAACAATTCTAAAGAGAGTAAATAGGAAAGTAATTGAAAACTTTGCATGCTGTTGCTCCATCCGCAAATGACTAACATCTGTTAGGATGTAGAGCACGGTACCTCTTTTGCTTTGTTGTAAACTGGTGTGCTCATAACGGCATCTATTGGATTCATAGAAAGTTCGCCCCCTTGGAATGAAAATTCGACGGAATTCTAGGATTCTTTTAATTTTAATCTGTTTGTGGGCCATTGGAGTTTTATATTATTTCTTCTCAGGCCCTTCTGAGGTTAGTTCCTTATATTCTTATAGCTTAATTATCGCCTTAGGCCTAAGAAGCGGTTAATATAGGATAAGATTCCTATTGTATAAAATAATTTGTTGACTATTTTATTATATAAACTGAATATTTACAAGCAAATACACACTTCAATTTACCAGTATGAATATTAAACTATATGTATTAAGTATCTACAAAAAAAAACCCACTATGATTATTACTTGTGGTAAATGAATGCAGTTTCTCGTGAAATATGAAAATTAGTAAATTTCGGTATTGTCTATAAAAATAAAGGTTTTATGTTGCAAATATTAGATGTTTTATTCGCGAGTAAGAAAAAACCGATAGTTTTCTTTAAATGATTGTTTCTGCAATATTTCATTAAATAGTATTAAACGAAATGAAATATCATTATTTGCCTTAATTTTTATTGCTCGTAAAAACTTTTTTTTATGTACTATATTGAAAAAAATTAATGTTCTTTTTATCCATTTATAGCCTTTATCTAATAAAGCACTTTTATTGAAAGAAGGTGAATATGACGATTCACTTAATGATGGTCTAACCAACAAGTATCAATTTACTGCAACCAACGTATACTTCAACGAAAAAGCCTATATAGATAAAAAACGGTTAAAACCTGGTCAAGATTCGTATAGCAGACACAAGTTTAATCAAGCTGTTAGTGATAGTATTCCAAGTAATAGAGATATACCCGATGTAAGGAATTATAGGTAAGTCATTTTTACTTACAATGTATTACTTTTTATCTAATTTGGCTTACTCCCTCTAGTTTATAAAAAATAGTTAAATTTACCTCTACATATAGATAATAATTTAGTATTGATATATTTTAATAGCTTAGTACACCCAGATACCTTATCTATTAAACTGATGTAAATATATTGTCTGATAAAACATACTTGTAAAATATTTATAGAAACAACTTTCATACCAGGCATAGGTCATAATCAATATTGATATGTAACAGTTTTGATTGCTCCGTATCGACTTTTAGATCTTTATGAATTATTCATTATATGGTAAATAGACGTGTAATTAATTTTAATAACTCTATTTTATTTTTCAGATGCCAGCATGTTCAATATTCAAAAAATCTGCCCAAAACTTCTATCATTATAACTTTCTTTAATGAAGCACGGTCAACTTTACTTAGGACAATTGTTAGTGTCATTAATAGAAGCCCGGAGGAGCTTTTGGAAGAAATTATCTTAGTTGATGATCATAGTGATGATCCAACTGATGGATCAGAATTAGCTAAAATTCATAAAGTACGTGTTCTTCGAAATGAAAAGAGACAGGGATTAATCCGCTCAAGAGTTAGAGGCGCTAATGCTGCAAAAGCACCTGTTCTCACTTTTTTAGACAGTCATTGTGAATGCGGAAATCAGTGGTTGGAAGCTCTTTTATCAAGGATTCATGAGAATCGGAAGGCAGTTGTGTCTCCTATAATTGACGTGTTGAATATGGATAATTTTCATTACTCCGCTGCATCAGACCTATTAAAAGGAGGCTTTGATTGGAATTTAGTCTTTAAATGGATTTATATGACAGACGCTGAGCGAGCGGAACACGCCAAGCAGCCTATTGCTCCAATAAAAACTCCAATGATAGCTGGAGGACTTTTTGCCATTAGCAAAGATTTCTTTAACGAACTAGGGAAATATGACACAAAAATGGATGTCTGGGGGGGAGAGAATTTGGGTAATCTATTAAATTAATTTTTTAACAAATATTACAAAATATATTTTGTATATTTTATGTTTTGAAACAGAAATATCATTTAGAGTTTGGCAGTGCCATGGTTCTTTAGAAATTATTCCTTGCAGTCGAGTAGGTCATGTGTTTAGAAAGCAGCATCCTTATTCATTTCCTGGTGGCAGTGGAAATGTGTTTGCTAGAAATACAAGAAGAGCGGCCGAAGCATGGATGGATGAATACAAACAGTTTTACTTTGCCTCCGTACCTTCAGCCAAATATGTCAATTATGGTGATATTAGCGAGAGAGTATCCCTTAGGAAGAAATTACAATGCAAACCTTTCAAATGGTATTTGGAAAATATTTATCCGGAATTAGAGTATGCATTTTCTGCTGTTTTCGAATAAGATAAATTGCCTAATTATTTAGTACAAAAGATAAAGTGGCTGTTGTTAGAAAGATATTGCCTTAGGAAGGCTTAACTCTTAACTTAATTAGGCTAGAAATAACTCTTAATTCAATGCACTGTCAACAAGCCTTTCGAGATCGTTTTTCAGTATCCTCTTTGTTAAAATATCTTTTTTTCAAATAGCATACCAAATAAGCAAGATGTAAACTTTGGGGCTCTAATTCAAGGCTCTAGCTGCTTAGATACGCTTTCCCATCAACAAGGTGAAACTGTTAGTCTATATACTTGCCATATGTCTGGTGGAAATCAGGAATGGGTATTATCAAAGGAAAATCAAGTGAAACATCACAGATTTTGCTTGACGATGGAAAAACAAGCTGAAGGTTCTCTGCTGCGATTGAGAGATTGTAAATCAAAAGATTTAATGCAGGTAGTTAGAAGATTTAATCTATAAAACTATGCAGATCGAAGGCCTGCGATCAGTTTATCAAAATAATATAATTATACACAAAGAAAAACCAACTAAAATTAATACAAATTTGCATATTTACAGAAATTCGTGCCGTTTAACGACAAAAAAATGCTGAAGCATATAGATTCAGATTTATGCATCGATTCGGAGTATATAAGATCTTTGGATGGGGTAGGAGTCGGACCGTGCGATGCAGAAAAAGCTTCACAACGGTGGAAATTCCAATTACTCAACGAAAATCATCGATAATAGGAATTAGCTAGTCACAATTGCAAGAAAATCAGGTGCTATTTCTTCAGAATTTTAAAAATGAAGCAGATCAAATGAAAATTTGGATTTTTTATGTTTACAAATCGTTAATAATAAACAGAATTTTTGTCGTTTTCTAATCAATCGAACATGCTGAAGATTCTATTTGTCGATTCTATTTAGGTATTACTTTTCGTATACAGAGGGAATAAAAACAAACAATCGATTCGGTAATTGGTAAATATTAAAATTTTACATTATCAATAATGAAAGAAAGATAACATGTTAAATTTTAAAGATTCCTAATTTAAAGACTTAAAATAGAGTACTTAATTACGAAGATAAAATTATTCCCGTTAAAGACCAACTTTATTGAATTATTTAAAATCAAATTATTTGTCGAATAGTGTATTTTTTATTATAATAAAAAATTCTCTTTTATAAAACAGTACTACTGTAAATAGATTTAGATTATTTCATTTTAGTAGGTGGTACAGACTTATTTCACAGATTAAAGCTGTTATTATTTTAATCAGTTTTCAAATATGATTCCTAGCCTTTGACCTTTATATTTGATATCTTTCATTTAATTGTATTCATTAATATTAGAAAATTATGAAAATGACAGCAAAATCTTTAAGATGGCGCCATATGTACTATAAGATATAGGACTCTTCCTTCTTTCTTGCGGAGTAATAACGGATGTTTAATTATTTAAAAAACATGCATAATCTCGAGGAAGCAATATTATTTCTATTTCCTCTTAAAATCTAACATTTATCGTGACGAATACAATTAATATCAACGATCCGTGTAAGCGATCCGCAAGGCACCGCTTTATCCTTGTTTTTGATAAGCCTATTTCTTAATATAGGTCTTCATAAAAACTTGATAATTATGTAAAAATTAAAAATAGGTATGACCTATATATTTCTAATGTAAAAACCTATTAATTCGTAATTTAAAATCAGGAAAAAGTTATGATTATAAGATAAAACTTGATTTTCGTTTTTATAGAATATATATATAAAAAGACAAAGACAGAGAGAGAGAGAGAGACGACTATACTTTCCAAAAAGCTTTTATAAATATTAATAATTTTTTTGTTTTACTGTTTCTGGTAAGAGGTTTCTTTTGGTATTTTTAATTTATAAGCCTACATATATCATCCATATTTGCTAAGAATAAAAACGTTCTAAAAGGGAGATTTTTCTCTGATAAGAGAAAGTTGAGAAATGTCAAATAAATACAGTTTCAAATACTTTTAAATACATATAAAAAGGCTATTATCATCTTTTAAGCCTAAGAAACTATTTCCGGCCGAATTAAATAGTTAATTTCTTTATATAAAAGATATCCATGTATATACATATATACACTTAAGTCCTTAGCAATGAAAAAAAAAGGGTAAAGAGAAATTAACAATGATTTATCGAAAGACTTGTTTAAGTTTGTGGGTGTGTTGAAGGAGGATAAGGGAAAGATAGGCTGTTTAACAAAGTTAGGGAAGCAGAGGAGATAAAGAAAAGAAGATGGTAAAGAAACAACAAAACAGAAAAAGATGCTTTGATAAAAAATATCAAGCTAATAATAATTAAAAACGAAAAAATACTGAAATCGAATCATTGAGCAAAAAAAATCAAAGGCCTTTCGATTCTTGGCCTATCTTTATTTTTAAGTAGGCGGCAGTATACTAGGAAGTGAGTGTTCGAATAGTCGATATCTCGTCGTTTCCCGCTCTCCACTTAAAAATAGAATTTCAATCTAGTAAAAATTATTAGGAATGGATCGCCAAGCAATCATAGAAGCATATGAAGATGTTAGAAGTGATCAGACGCCTACATCATGGTGAGTACAATTCAAAATGAAAAGATTCGTTTCCTTAAAAAGTATAATAAGAACGTGCACAACCAACAACAAATTTAAAAGCTTATCGAATTGACATAACGCTGTTAGCAAACAAACTATTTAATGATAAGTTGATATAGAAAATAAGGGAAAAAAAAAAATAAAATCCTATCCTTTTCGTTTTTACTTTATTTCTTTCCTTTGAAAAAAGTAATAAATTATAATATTTCTATTTTTTATTGAAATTTTATAGGGCATTGTTCGGTTTTGACGATTCGGATAAAATCGTACTTATATGCTCCGGAAATGATAATTCAGAGTTTTTGGAGAAGATTGCCGATGATCAGCGTCAATTTGTCTTCGTTAGAGTGACCACTGGAGATGAATTATCCAAAAGAGCTAAATTTGCTTTTATATCTTGGATAGGAGAAAATGTTGCTGCTTTAAAAAGAGCAAAGATGACTCAGGCAAGATCTCTTATAAAGGAAGTGGTCAAGGTAAATAAATTTAAAAAAAAGCTATTATTAATAAACACATGACCAGATACTCGTTAATAATAAGTTTTGTTTATCTTAAATAGTCTTTCTCCGCTGAAATCTCTCCATCTGATAAAGATGAGATAACCGAAGAAAAAATACTACAAGAAGTTAAAAGAGCTGGTGGTGCTAACTATGGTACTGGAATGTGAATTTAGCGTCATGATTTTCCTCTGTTTTTTTGACAATTAGAATTGTAGTAATACACATTTGGCCGTAAAATCGATGTTAGAACTCGATACTCTTGAGTTATTTTGTAATAGTGATAAGGATTTATAATCCTATACTAGTTATATATATATACATTTATATAAAAGTAGTATATAGATTTTGGAAAGTTTAGTCTTTCTTAGGTTTTTCAAACTGACCAACATATTCTCTGATCTTGTCGTATAGCGCTTTCGGATCGTCGACTTTTGGTACCTTCAGAATCATAAAACTAACATTACAATTGTTTAGGTAAATATATAGGATAAACCTGGTAATGCTGATCAATGTATATTCCAGCATAGACACCAACGGCGAACCATAGCTGATAACAAAGGGAATTACAACTATTAATATTTACCAACTCAATATTCATTATGTTTATTAAGTCGTTATTTAATATGATGGGAATACTTACAGCACGAAATAAGGCCATTTGCGAACTAATTCTGTTTCTGTACTAGCTATAATTTACCAAAGTCAAACATATTATCTAGACTTATTCCGGACACTGCAAATTTTTTGTTGTGAACAGTTTTTAACGCTATGTACATTCGTCTGCTTTTTATCTAAGATTATTTTATATAGACTTTTAATATATACTCTAAAGCTAGAGATAATAATTCAAAAGCGACATCTGAATTATGAATTTTAACAATTTCCGGAAAACTTGAAATATTTAAAAACTGGTATAAAATAATATTTTACTTTTGTGCATTCTCCGATATTCTTGTAAATATAACAAAGTTCCTTATTGAAGAAAAGCTTTATAACGGATAAGATGGGTTTGCTCACATCGGGTAGTAGGCAAACGGAAATATTAGGTCTTTTCTTGGATAAATATCATATTCCATTATCAGTTTTATGTTACGTTGGCGGCTTAGTTTGGTTCTGTCTCCTCTCCGATCCAAGATTTAATGCCGGTACCTACTTTTCAGAAAATGCTCTCCTAACCGGTATTGTAGACAATGAATTTAGCTCATTTTACAATCCATCTCAGTTAAAGGCTGAGCTAAAAGCCGAAATGCGGAAAGATGAAGAAAGAAAAATTCCAGCCGATTGGTTATATAATAAAATGTTCGAATTAGGTTTAGATGTGTCCATTCAAAATTTCTCCTTCTCCTATCCGCTCGAACCTGAGAATGAAATGCACCAAAGAAATGAGTGGAAAGGAAGAAATGTATATGGAATATTAAGGGCTCCAAAATCAGCTAGCTTCGAAGCATTTGTTTTATTAGTACCTTGGAGAGGGGAAGAAGAATCAACAGTTACATCTATATCCCTTCTTATTAAAATGGCTGATATGATGAGACACAAAAGTTATTGGGCCAAAGATATAATTTTCCTTTTTACCGAATATGATAGTGTTGGAGTTCAAGCGTGGCTGGACGCCTATCATGATATCCGAACATCTGAATTTATAAGTGTAACTATTGGAATTATATCATATTATTTTGTTGTTTATTAATCTTAATGTTTTTACTGTTTAATTCATATTATCAGCCATCTCATCTCGCTACCCGTAGTGGAAGTATTCAAGCTGCTTTAAACGTTGAAATTCTTGCTGATAGATTTTCAACCATTAATTTTATTTTGGAAGGAATTAATGGTCAAATGCCCAATTTGGATCTACTTAATTCGTTGGCTTTGTTGTGTAAACAAAGGGGAGTTCGTATTGCTCTTCAAGGACGACGAGACAAGAAAATCTCTCCCAATAGTTGGAAGTATACCTTAGGCACCCTTGTGAGGGCTGTTTGGGCTCAGGCATCTGGTGTAGCTACAGCTGCACATGCCCCATTTTTAAAATTTGGAATTCCATCTTTGACAATGAGATCACAGGGCTCTAGTAAATCCTCATCTTCTGATATTATGGATATTGGGTTTGTTCTAGAGGGTATTTGCCGGAGTTTAAATAATTTATTAGAAAGATTTCATCAGTCGTTTTTCTTTTACATCCTACCACATACTGACAGGTAATTGATAAATATTTCCTTATCTAGAATTCATTAAATGGCATTTTTTATCAAAGGTACATAAGTATTGGACTTTACATGCCTCCTCTTGGTGTAATGTCTCTTCCACTCTTGATGAGGGCTTTAGTTTTGTGGACAAGGGCGAAAAATGCTACATTTTCCCCTATAGTGCCTCCGATTGTTTTATCCATCATTATGGGATTGCTAAGTCTCTTTGCACCAGATCATCTTGTTCGAGTAGCTAGAGCGATTCGATTACCCGCACCTGAGGCTTTAGGCTGGGGAACGTTTTCACTCCACATGGCAGCGATCCTTTTACCATACATGCTAACGAGAAAAGCTAAAAATGGTAAAGGTGATTTTTGGGATGCGAACCTGTTGCACAGTGTTGCTTTGATTATCTTTGCTGTATCTACTAGTGCTGTTTGTGTTCTCAATGCTTCATTAGGGGCAATCATTCTTGTTTTCTCCGTACCGAGTGCTTTATTAGCTTCACCTTCTAAAAGTTGGATATTCTATATATTGAAAATGATTTTACTTATTTCAACTTGTCCATTCTTCATTCTAATATGGAATATCTCAATAAGAGGCTTTTTAATGGGTCAAGAACTATCATTAGAGAAGATATGGCTGCAATCCCAAAATATCTTAACAATGGGAGTGGTAGCCTCAGAGTGGTTTGGAAGTTGGGGATGGAAAGTAGTCGCTGGTTTATTCTTTCCATTATGGATTCTATTTTGGTCGTGTCTAAATAGTCCTATTAGGTAATTATTATTCTTTTTTTTATATTTTTTCAGTAATTATATGTATTTGATAAATAATTTAGAAATGAAAAAGTCGAAATTGAAGCTACAAAGCCCGAAGAAAAGAAAATCAATTAGAAGAAGAAAGAATAATATAATTTGTTAAATTTAATTTTCCTTCATTTCACTGTTTTTTGTACTTTTAAACATGTTGGTTTTTTTTTTAATTTAATACGAAAATACATCCGATATGTGTATTTTTATATTAAATTCTTTTCTAAAGCAAAGAAAGTATCACAAGCAATTTGTTATATAGTGCAATTTTTTCTCTATATATACAATACATATTTATTTATATATAATATAAAGATTGAACAACTGTTATTAATCGTTATAAGACTCTCTTTTTCATAATTTTTCCTCTTGAAAATTCATTCGATTAGTTCAAGTAGTTTGTATTCAAAGCGTATACTCATATAGAGATAGTAAACGCTTATAATAGTAAGATTTCTTTTATTTATTGAAGGATCCTTTGCTAAAATAGCACGTGTTATCGCTCAATTATTAATAATAATTATGTATATATAACTGTGAATATTTGTATAAAGATTAATTGAAATCAGTTTTAATTAACGTTAAATAAAAATTCGAATTTTTTAATAAAGGAGCGTTGAGAGGGAAAATTTTTTACCAGTTTTCTACAGCAAAAGATCTCTTCTTGTTGTCATGGTACTTATTTCCCGCGATACAACATGGCTGATAAACAACTTAAATAGATTAGTTACTTTAATTAAAAAATGCCGATAGAAACGCATAAAGACGTTTCGGGAGTAAGAGTTATTCCGCCAGTATTACAATTTAAGGAATCAGTAATTGGAACAGTTCATCAACTATCAATTTCTGTGCTTAATATAAGTAAAGTTAGCCGATCTATCAGATATTATGGGCCAAATCAAAAGGTAAACGAAATGATATAAATACAAAACAAACTTAAAATTTTTTCATTTGATCTCATAGATATTTGAAATGGAGGCTGAAAGTCCCCAAAAGCCTGTTGCCCCTGGGTTAGATGTTAAAGCTACAGTAATATATTGTCCTACAGCCGAAAAGGTAGACTCTGATAGGTTGGTAATAACTGTTGATGGAGATGTTATCGAGGTCCCAATATTTGGTTATCCATCACTTCCCGCTCTAAGTGCAGAGAATCTTGTAGATTTTGGCAATGTTGTTAACAACGGTAAAATAGTTGTACAACACATTTACATACGAAACGAAGGAACGAAAGCTGGAGAATTTTTCATTGAATACAATGGAGATAAGCCTATTACATTTGTGCCAAATCGTGGGAAAGTAGCAGAACGAACGGAATTGCCAGTAAGGGTTGAATATGTTGCTAAACATGCTGCTAAAATCGATGAAGTTGCGAGGTAAATATCTTTTAAAATAAGCGTATAGATGATTTATAAATGAATCTCATTATAGCGTCTTTCTTGAATTACAAGAGCCTTTCGATTTAAATGTTAAAGGCGAAGTTGTTGAAGGAAGAGTTGAACTATTAGATTACAGTACGCAATCTTCAATTGACTGCGTTCGCTTCGGCTATGCATACTATGGAACAGATTGTACCCAACCGACTGTCCTTTTTAATAATTCTCCCGAACCAATAGCTTTTGTTGTTGTACTAGATGAAGATAGCGTTGGTCAAGAGAGTGGGAAAGACCTAGTCGCTAATGCCGGTAATACGAGATTAAAAGCAGAATTAGGAGGGGAGATGAATGACCTTACATCTCTAGTTACGACATTTCCTAATTGGGGAACCTTACAACCTTACGAACGTCTGCCAATGTTCTTTCGTTTCTCTCCTCGATGGAATTTAGCAAAACAAGGCTTTATCACTACGAAAAAGTCACCGCCAAAGCAAGATTTTTCATTATTTATGAAGATTCAAGTAATTGGAGCGAGCGGTGGCTTTGACGAAATGAGTATTCGTAATAAAGCGGCTCTGGGGGGCAAACAAAGTAAGGAAGTAGCAATTACTGGTTCAGCTCTACCAGTTCAAATTAACGTCTCTCCAAAGAATGAATTCGATTTTGGTAAAGTATCAAACGGTCAAATGAGAGAAATAGCAGCTAAAGTTACAAACAAAAGTCCAACTTTACCAGTAAATTTTCAATTTAGAAGAGTGGCCCATTTTGTCGTCGATCCAAATAATGCAACAATTAAACCAGGTGAAACAATGGATACCATATATAAATTTGAACCAAAACAAATTGGTTCGTTTGAGGTTATTCAATACGTTGACGTTTTGGGAATGGTCTCGGATAATAGGAACGCTTTTAAAATGTTACAGAAAGTTATTGAAAGCGTGCCCATCTACTTTAGGGGTATTTGTGAATCAACAACAAACAAAATTCAGCCTAAGTATAATCCCGGTATTACCCCTAAATTAACCCACGAAGTAGGATTGAACTCGGAAACAGCTTTAAACGAAATTAGAACGGGACCAAGAGCTGCTGTGTTAAAATCTGCTCCGCCAGGTCCAACAAGCGAAAAAGCATTAGTAGCATTCCCTAATGACAGAGCGGCTAGCTTAAGACCAACTGAGAGAAAAGCCACATATCATACAGTATTTAAAGGAAGGGAAAGGTATAATTACGTGGATCCGGACTATACTTTTACGGATAATGAAGCTGAAGCTATTAAACAGCATAAGCAACATTATAAAAATCTAATAGACGAGCATAGAAGGCATAGATTTAACAAGATAATGACAAAGTGAGCATACTTTTTTCTTTAAAAAAATTAATCTAATTTTATATCTATTAATCAGGGATTACCTCAAATATAATAATCCTATTGACAATCATTTGGAGCCTGCTATAGGCCTTAAACCGAAAAAACTAAAGATAACTGATGTAAAGCCAGACCCTAGACGTAAGTAAAGCCTGTAGCTAAGTCTTATAAGAGTAAATAAGATAATTATATTGATTCTCTTTCTAATCAGCACCAACACCCCCCAATACACACTGGAAATTACTGTCAAGTAAAGATTTAGCCAAATTGCAACAAAAATCTAGCAAGAATGTTGTCGATGGCTTAAATGCTATCCCTACAACTGCGAAGGAAAAGTTGGAATGCTCTCAGATACTTTCGCCGGCAGAACTTCATCAGGTTATCATTGGACCACCAGAAGTTAACTTTGGCGATGTCTGTATGAAATCACAAAGTCAGATGGAAGTTAATATCATCAATAATTTGGAACAATTCGTTCATATATCGTTCAATCTTGATTGCCAAGAATTGCAACAATCGAGCCCTCTTTCTCAGGTTATACCGGCTAGAAGTAAGGCTATTCTTCCTCTTATCCTGGAATGTCAGCATGACGGAAAATTTCAAAGATCTATCGAATATACAGTTAACAGATGCTATAAATCCCATATTACAGTATTTGCTAATGTAGTACCTGTTGCATTGGAACTATCTACGGATCATCTTATAGTTAATCCAACCCCTGGATTACCTCCTGATGCCGGCTTCAGGGAAGTTATAACTTTAATAAATCGCTTGAACCAAACGGCCGAGTTTACTTGGAATCCTGTATTAAAGGGAAAAGGAACTGCTTTCTCAATTCGTCCTGCAATTGGCACAGTCCCTCCAAAGTCTAATTTAGATTGCGAAGTTGTTTTTCACCCTTCTTATCTAGCACCACTTGACGCTGAATTTTCCTTAACGGTGCACGGAGGCGTTTCTTCTACCTTTACTTGCCAAGCAAAATTAGGTCAAGCTCATGTTCAATTTGTGGATCGAAGATTACAATTCGGTGCTTTACCGATTAATTTGAGTACAACAAAGACTGCATTACTGCAGAATTTGGGGCAATATCACGCCTTTTTTGAAGTTTTAAAGCCAAATCCTTTACCAGGTATAACTGTTTCTCCTCAGATAGGCGTTGTTCCAGTTGGTGGTTATGCAGAATTGGATATTAACGTTTGTTCAGCAGTAGCAATGAAATTTGATGACAAAGTTGACGTAGCCATTCGTGGAGTTAAACCTACTGATGTTCGCATAGGAGGTTATATAGAATCTCCCCAGATCAGCGTAAACTTAAGCCGTTTTCAATTTGGAGGAGTCTACTGTGGATCGAAATATGCCAGAGAATTTTTAATTACCAACAAGGGAAAGTCAAGAGCTCAGCTACAATTTGACTTAGTTCGGTACAAGGACTTTTCACTTGTGTTCCCCGATCATACTTCACCCGAGGATGTAACATTCGCACTAAATGAACCGGGAAAGTTCTCACTTACTCTGGAAATGGGTGAAGAAGCTACTGGCCAATTAATTTTCCAACCGACGGAAGTAGCTTCCTACGACTTTTTATTAAAAGTTTATGCAAACGATTGCGAAATGATGCCTCCTTTACCTACTCCCCTGCCGGAACCTCTTGACGAAAAGATGTCGAGTTCATCTATGCAACGTTATAGAAGAAACCACGCCGAAATTGTTATAACCCCTTCAAGAAAGGTTACTGCTACAGCCCTAAGGCAACCACTCCTTCTATCGACCAACATTGTTGAATTTACAGTAACACCAACATATCACGAAATGTCTCAAAGTACTGGAATATGTAAGAATTCCGTAAGTATTTCATTATTTTCAATATTATTCCAGTTTTTCTTCGTTTTTTTTTATTTAAAACCACAAATGATTATCCTGCAATCTTTTCTTCTCATTTTCTTCCCTAATTCGAAACTTTTTCTCGGGCATTTTTTCCCTCTTGAACAATAAAAAAAATAGAACTTATGAGCACATACATTGTCTTTTTTCTCTTTTCCATTTTTTACACACCCTCCCTCAGTTGGATAAGGGCACTTTAAAGAAGGTAACGAGTACTATGTATAGCTTATACTGCATGTTTTTTTTTTTTGCAGTATATTCTATATGTATGTTTATCGTTTTAAATGTTGTATCATTTATTATTGTATAATTTAATTGTTTTTGTATCTGTTTCTCTTTATTTCTCCCAAATCCGTTTCTTTCCTCTGTCTCTGTCTTTCTCTCTCTCTCTCTCTCTCTCTCTCTCTTGTTTTTTTTCTTTTGCATCATGATTGCCATCTTCTTTATAAGTATGATTTTAATAGATTTATTTTTCCCATATCTCTTAGGGTACAATGTTTAAGAATGAGACGGATAAAAAGCTAAAATGGTGTGTTGATACATCAAAGGGTAATAAGACTTTGGAAAGAGGGATTTTCAAATTTATTCACGAATCAGGCATGCCTTACATGAGTCAAACTGGAGAAGGAGGTGTTGAAGGTTATCTTAATCCGGGCGAAAGTCATGCATTGGGTGTCGTTTTTTGTCCGGATAAGCCTGGGCACTTTGAAGTGATGGTGCCTCTATTATTGAACGATGATCATGAGAAACCTTATCAATGGATTCAATTAGTTGGAGAGTTAAAAGCTCCCAGGATGTGGTTTGACCCTCCTTCTATTGTTCTAACCCCTTTACCTTTGGACATGAGTGTTACCTCTGAATTTACGGTAATCGCCGCCCACTATAAAGTTGCCAACGATGCTCGGGTTCAATTACCCATCGTTTATTGTGATGACGGCTCAGAAGCGAAGCCTCTTAAGATTGAAATATTAGAAGGAAATAGAATTGAAGCCTGCAGTGGGGAAGATGGTCAGCCCGACAGCGTCTCCTTGCCGTGTAAATTAACGTTTCAATGTTCGAAGCCAGTTTCATTTTGTTCTCCTATTATCTTTATTGATGGTCATGGCAACAAATTTGAATTACCTGTCACTGCTACAGCTGATAACTGTCTATTGAGTAACTATCCTTATCTAGCTCAACATAGACTCGACCATCAAATTGTTTGCATGAAAGGCCACCGTCTTAGGGGTCAACAAACTATAGTGTCCTCGGCCACTTCCTCAAGCCTTGGTGAGGCTGTATTAGTAGCTGTTGGAGAGGAAGGAAGAAGTGGTTCAAGGCCTAGTACAACTGCGACGTCTAATTCAAATTTTGAAGTTAGCAATAGTTCCTACGAGGACAGCGAAACAAATAGTTCTCCAACAGAATCATCAATTTCCTCTGTACGAGAGGGAGCCTTGAACAAAGCGGCATCAAGGCCTCCAGCCGACGTTAGCTGCGTAAGCGAGGCAGAAAAGAGAGCGGCTCAACAATCTCGTTCTTTGGGTTCGGCAGTTTTTCCAGATGAAAATACAGAGGAGGGTTACTTTCATATTGAAGTATTAACAGCAGTTCAGCGTTGGTTCTCTACACAAGGCTGGCCTAATGGACCTTATCCTATAAGTGTACCATACACTTTGAGAGATTCCCTGTCTAGACGCCCAAGAGATCCATTACCCATGCACATGGCTGGAAAAGTTGAAACGTGCGGAAAGAACGCCGCAAAACAGCATGGATCTACTAATAAAAAGGAAATGGCAACAATCTACGATATGATTTCTTACCTTGCTGGTAGGCAACTGCCTGGAATAGCAACTAATAGTTCACTTCCTGAGGATCCGGTAGAAAGAGCTAAGCAAGTCCATTGGCAACATTCCAGCTTACTCACTTTTGCGAAGGAACAAGGTGCCAAAGTAGCCGCTATCAAACCAGAGTATTTAATGTCACCAAGAGACTATCGAGTTTGGGAAGCTTTACAGCAAAGGGTTGAGGCAATTGTTCGCAAATCGGAGGGAGAGTGGCCACTTAAACCTCCCGGTAAAAATTCGCGTACTCTTGAAGAAGACGCTATGGAAGAACAAATATTTGAAGCAGTCAGTAAAAGGGCGTGGGTAGACCTTTTATTACAGTTATTAAAGTGTCTTGTTCTGGCAAAAGTAACGCCTAAAAGCCTGAAAAAGCAAGTCCAACACTCAAATATTGATCAATTACCTAATTTAGATGCCAATCCCAATTGTTCAAATATATATAATCTTTCTGAAAGGACTCTATTGCTTTGGCTAAATCATCATTATGAACAGCAAAGGGAGAGGATATGGTCGAATGCACCTAAAGGAGGAGTCCCACCGGCTCGTTGGATTGTAAATTTTGATCTTGATCTATTAGATGGCCTTGTTTTAGGAGCTGTTATTGCTACTTATGCACCATGGACTATAGATCTATACATGAAGGAAATGTATACCAGACCCGGAACAGCAGAACAATGCTTGCACAATGCCTTAAGATTAGTCCACGCAATCCGTTCCATAGGAATAGATTATGATATTCACGCTATTGACATAACAGATCCAAATCCCGTAATGATGCTTTTACTTGTCATTCAGCTTTATACAACACTACCAACATATATGGCAAGAAGTACCATAACCCTATCCGCCACCCTTGGTAAGCCTATACTAAAACAAATCAAAATATCGAATCCATCCAACAAACAATTAGTCTATAATGCTATTCTTGCTGGTTCGAACGCTAGAGATTTCTCTTTAGTGAAAGGTCACCATATATCGGTTTCTTCGAAATCTAGTACAGGCATAAATATACAACTGACAGCAAGCCACATACGATCTGGTTCAGCTGTTCTCATTCTTGCCCCAAAGCGAGCAGCACCTTTATTTGGCTCAACGCTTGTTTTCGAACTAAAATCCGATATAGAATGTGCACCTCCGTTGAATGTCATCAAGGCGACTACGCCTTGTTATGTTATGGCAAGGATTCCTGTTGTCGTTAAGAATATATTCGATAGAAAGGGAACATTTAACGTTGTTCTCGTTCAAAATTGCTACTTATCGGGAAACAAGGAAGAGGTTGCTGGTCGAAAAGTAAAGGAGATGATAGATGCACTACTAGATGATGGAATATCGCCTAAAACAATGAGTGCACCATTTGTCGAGGGAGTTAGAATGATAGATAAGAAAGCATTCCATTGCGACATAACGACAGTTGAATTAGATCCAATGTCAGAAGAGAGTATTATAGTTAAGTTCCTACCTATACAACCTGGTAAATATTGCTGTTCGCTTGTTATATCTGATAAGCAAGTAGGTGACGCCGTATTTGAAGTTTCTGCAATTGCCGACTACCCAAAGCCATCAGAGATTATATCGGATGATTCAGAAAAAGATAGAGCATCTATTGAATTAAGAAATAATGAAAATTCTGTAACTTGGGAAGGGAATAAAGACTTAGAGAATACTGTTTTTTGGCAATGCGTCGTTGGTAATCAACTTAAACAGAAGGTCTTGTTATCCTTATCCAATTCTGCAAGAGAAAGAGCCCTTCAGATCCGTAAGCAGCAAAACATGAGTGATAAAGAATTGATAAGGAGAAGAGCAGCTGGAACATTAACAAGCTCTGCTATTGATGGAGATTTAAAGAAAGGAGACGCTGCTGAACATTCAACGAAACGCGAAAAAATAATATTTAAATGCGAATGCGAATCTTCCGAATTTACTGTTCCTTCTAAGGTAATTGTATTACAAGGGGATCAACATATGCCAGCTCGAAAAGATAAAGAAGCAGCGTACGTAAATTTAAACGCCCATGGACAGTTTTCTGTTCCAGTAAAGTTCTTTACTGAAGAGGCCGGTCATTATTCAGCGAATATTAAGTTAAGGAGAGGCGAAGATGATATAAGGGTAGTCAAAGTTGAGTGCACAGCAGTAGTTAGTGACTCGGAGACTTCAATTGAATTTGACGGCCCAGTAAATGAGGCTATTATTCAGAAAATACCCGTCTCCAATATGACCTCATCAGATTGGCGAATGAACGCAACCATAGAAGGTGATGGCTGGTCTGGTCCTCCTCAACTCTTAGTTCCCGTTGGATCGACTGTAAATTACCCATTAACCTTCCGTCCTCAATTTGAAGGCCAGGTTGAAGGCCGTTTGATATTAGAAACTGAACATGTCGAACAAAAGTTCTCGTTAATTGGGAAGGGCCAGAAATCTTTACCTCTGGACGTGATCAAATTAACAGCTGAAGCAAAGCAACGTCTTACTTACTATGTGGACGTGCCCAATAAGACCAAAAGAAAGCTAGACTTTTCGGTACAATGTGATGTAGAAGGCGTTAGCGGTTCGTCCTGTTTGGTCGTTCTTCCTGGACAAACTGAAAGATACGAGATGAATGCGATGCCTTTAAAGAGAGGCAATTACAAAGGTGTACTATCCTTCATTGCCACATCAAGTCCTATTAAGGACGTCGATAGTGACGATGAAGAGGAAAAAGAAATTAAAGCGGCAGATCAAAAGTGCTACAGAGTGTGGTTTGTACTGCAATTGGACGTTTTACCTCCTCCATTCGAGGACAAATTGTCGATAAAATGTGTTTGCCAAAAGAAAGCCGTTGTTGAGGTGCTTGTAACTAATCCACTAGAAATCCCAATCAAACTCGAAGCCACAGTCCAAGGATCGGGCCTTTCTGGACCTAAATATATTCTATTACCACCAGCCTCTAAAGCTACTTACGAACTCCTTTACTTTCCCGCGAGTGTCGGGAAATTTGAAGGTGAATTAGTTTTCTATCATCAGAGCGTTGGGGAATTCTGGTATTGTCTAGAATTAGAATCGGAGCCATTAGAACCACAACAATTGGACATCTTAGAATGCGAATTAGGAGCGTGGACCAAAACGTCAATAACGTTAGACAATCCTACTTCTGAAACTCTTGTATTGGAACCACACATTTCCAATCCAAACAATTATGTATTAGATATATCTAAAGTTCCACTAATCATTGGGCCTAGAAGCAATACGGAAATACCCGTTATATTTATGCCATCATCCCTTGGATCAGAGCAGCATTGTTGTAAAATATCATTTAGATGTCCCCAGGTTAGTAAATATATTTTTTTTCGTTCTACCATTTTACTTCCGGTCTGGCGTCTTTAAAAAAATCTTATTATTCCCTAATTCTTTTCTTTCACTCTTTTTCTCTCTTCTAAGACTGTATACCGTATATCTTCTTTTCTTTCTTTGCTATTACTTAGACCGACAATAGCAGAATGATAAAGAGCGAAAACGTAAGTAAAAAATCTATATAGTCGTCTTTTATGATCAATCAGTTTTCTTTTTCTTTTCCAACCTCCACTGTACCACCTTTCAATTCCCTTTTTTTATTATTAAAAAGAACCCGTATTTTATTTGTAAATACATCTAAAAATACATAAATAGAAACGTTTGTATTGATATATTAGTATATATATATATATATATATATAGAGTATATACAGTATATTGATAGATTGCATGAGGCAGATATCCAAGCACTAAAACTTGTTCTTAAATATTACAATCGAGCTTTTCAGCTTTGATGATGAATAGGCTTAATATTTTATTTTTCTCTTTTTTCCTAACAGTTGGGGGAATGGGTTTTCCTAGTTTCTGGAATAGGCCTTCTACCTAAGCCAAAAGATCCAATTTGTGTTACATCCCAACTAGGTCATAATCAGAGTGTTATTATACCGTTCCGTAATTCTTTAGATGTTGCCGTGATTATCGACGTAATCATTCGAGGTAAGCAGAATCTTCTTTTTTTCTTTTTGTTCTTTTTTATCATTGTATGTTTATTTAATATATAAATATATAAATATTTATATACATGCATTTGCATATTTCTTTTCCAGATAAGGATGAAGCATCAGTACAAGGAGTGCAAGATGATGAAGGCCTAGCACCTGGCCCACCTTCTCCGTTTACAGTATTATTAAAGGAAAATTCCGGAATTCGCCTAGCACCCAGGGCAACCCTGGATATTCCAGTTATTTACACACCAGACATTATGATTTCTAGCCAGGCTATGGTTACTATCAGTGTAAGAAAGGAAAGTGGAGAATCATGGAAATTTAAACCTATGGAAGTAACAGACAAAAATGCAGGTTATGCTGCTCATTTAAAGAGATCAGAAAGCGGAAGCTTAAGAGAATTACAATGGACATATCCGGTCCACGGTTTCCCGGAGGCCAGATCACAACCAAATGCCCCTCCGGCATTGATCCAATGTCAGTCTCGATGTGCTTGCGAAGAGCGCTTAGAATTAAAATTAGCCGGAGTAGTTCCGGGAGCCGAAGGTCCAATTGCACAAGTTAGATCAATAACTCCCATTAAATCAGCTTCCGCCTCTTCGTCTTCCTTAACCGGAGTTGTTTTAACAAAATCTCTTGCTGTTGCCGAGGAGTTTGACCACACACTAGACTATCCAAACGCGGATGCTAAACAGGATTGTGAACAATCAGTTCGTTTAAGATTAGTGAGGAAAGAGAGAGACCAGTCGACTGGTTTGGTTGTACTTTGTTTTAACGTGTTATTTTCCCCAAATAAGCCTATGAACCACGAAATAACTTTGATTATACAAGCGGCAACTGGAGGTATATGGAAGTTTGCTCTAAAGATTTTGGCCTCTGAGCCGGAACCAGACGACATTATCGAGATGGAAACGGCCGGTTTGGGAACAAAATCGGGCGTTATTATTAAATTGACTAGCCAAGAGGTTCAATCAGCTGCTTTTCATGCGTTTTTTACAGAGGATAGTGATCCGGCTTTTTCGGTTTATCCAACTTCCGGGGAATTACCACCCAGCGATTCTGACGGTTTACCATTACACATCTGCTTTCAACCAACAATCTACGGAAAAAATTATGGTGGTAAATTAATCGTACAAACGTCTAAAATTCAATGGTCCTACTATGTAGTTGGTAAATTACCATCTTATGAACCACCAACTGGACAAGCTACAAGGCCAATTGCAGGACCTCATTTAGACCCAAGAAAAAGAAGCTATCCTGTAAATTTAGTAAGGAGAAATATGAAATTAACGACAACTGCCCCTTCATCACCAGTAAAGGGAGCCAAATTGGTTCCGAGACTAGGCGCCAACTGACACTAACTAATACATTTCTATTTGTGTAACTTATACAAACTATACATTTAATATATAAAGGTATATATATATATCTATATATACTAATGTTATCCGTCCATAATTACAGATAGGCCTATTAATTTTTTTTTTAAGCAACCCTTTCTATGTGCACAGGGAAAACGAAGGGATGTAATTTCGTATTGATGGAAAATTGCTCGACGAATAAAAAAATATAATATAATAATCAATTATTTATAAACAATCTTAATACTTAAACGATTTTTATTGTGCTACCGTTTAAGCGTTAAGATGGAAGGAAAATAGGCGTCATTTGTCCTTCTAGACGCTTTAATAAAAAACATACAGAACGATTTAAGCGTACGGTATTTAAACGGTGTAGTTGATAGGTGGTGGGTGGAGTATAAGTGTTTGTCTTTGATCAATTTATCGGTAATATTTCTAAAGCAGACACCGTCTAATTTGACCATACGTCACAATAGACGCTTGGCAAACTTCTTTTTCTTTTAATTCTGTATTATTTCCTCTCGTTATCCTTTTTTCCTTTTCCTCTAATTCATAGTCAACGCCCTGCAGCTTATACCGTTTAACCTACATCCAAATGATTGTTTATTTATTCCGTTTCAGTTTTTAAATTTTAGACGCTCTTTAAACGTTTAATGATCCATAAAAATATTCTCTCCGACACGAAACAAGCCCAGAGGGAATTGATTAAGCGTATATCGTTCAGATACAACATACACTGTACTATATTTTATTGGTGTTTCTAAACAAATTTTTCACGCTCTTCTCTCTCTCTCTCTCTCTCTCTTTCCGCTCATCTCCTCCCATTCCAGACCAGAAGGTTTATTTTGATAAAAACGAAAAATTTTTGGTTTAACCAAGACCAAAAAACCGACATAAATAATAGTCTATGCACTTAAAAAAAACATAAAAAATGTGGAATATAGGCTTAAATTATGGACCGTGAATAATTAATGATAACAATAACAATAACAATAATGATAATAAAGATATTGTAAAGAATTTTATAAGCACATCCATTTAGCCATTGGTGCTAGATCACCCAGCGGTCGGGGATAAGGGGTAAAAGGCTCTTTAATGGCTCCCAGGCCGTCGAACAATCAAGGTTGGTTGTCGGATTGGCTTCCGCTGTTCAGAGATGGGAGAGGAAACGCTTATTTGATGGGAGTTTAGAGGAGTGAAATAAGTAGAAATAGTTTGTAATATAAGATGATGAGTTTGTCAATGAGGGTATAGGGAAAAAACTCCTTGGAGAAGTATCGTAAGGAGTTCGTCAGCTAATTTTTCGGTCCAGCTGAGCAGTTGTAGGTTTCGGCGGGGGGCGGTTAAAGGGAAAGATTTTACGGCTGAGAAAGAAAAGTTTTCGTAAGAGGCGGCAAGTGTTTAGAAAGGGGGGAAGGTGTACCGTTTCTATAGCAACTGTAGTTGTATGGACAAAGGCCCGAAGCAATTATCGTCTGCTTCCTCACCTAGTCTCTGTTCCTGCTATCGATTAACGTTTTATTCGATATTTTTAACATTGAATTATATCGCTTGTAAGAGAACGTTGTGTCGTCTAATAACTTCCATATTATGCTTAATATGATGCAGAAAGCTGCGAGTCATCTACAATTTACAGATGTTGCGCTTAAGAATTAATTTACAAAATGGCTTCTTTATTTGTATTTAAGCGTTAGTACATTTTATGTGTACTGATATCTCACAGATGTACACTACACATAGGCTGCTGTGAGCGTAGACAGGTGTACGTATCTGTATATCCATATAAATAATCATATATATCAATATATACTATATTGTACATAGTATTATCTATCTCTCTCTCCATCCGTCCATCCATCTCTTCTCAGCCCCCCTCTCTGTCTCTTCCTCTCAGTCTTTATATATATTTAACTATAGCTACATTAGAATGTATAGATGAATAAATTCAATATATTAACGCAGCCATAAATAACTTTACATAATAAAAGAAACTACGTATGCTTACATTAGTACATCAGTATGTAATGTTCGTTAAAGTAATTATCCGCATATGATTTATTATAATTTGAATATTTACATGAATATGCATATTCGCTGGGCCAGAGGCAATTAGAATGCATATTGACGTACAAACATATCACTGCCGCTTTTAGGGCGGTGAAACCTTGTTAATTGGTTTCCTTCATTTCCTATAAAACTAAGATGAAAGGCAGGAATAGTATTAAATCGGAGAATCTTATTACGTAATCGACCATCTAATCCACACTGTTCGAAAGTTGTCGATGGTTTTGTATTGACTGGTTGTTCGATTTTCATTCGACACGATTCGAAATGTATATACTTTTATTTGACTATTAGAAGCGTTTTACCATTAAATGTCACGTACATTAAAAACGACACGAGCCAGACTTTTAAAAAGCCATTCACAGCCTTTTCCATATGAAGGTAGTTTGTCTGGCGTTTCCCTTATTATCCTGTCACTTGTATAAACCTCAGTGGGCTGTACATTACGTATCTAGGTCTATATTCTTAAAAGAAGAGGAAGAGGAAGAGGAACAAAACAAAAAGAACTGTATGAAAATATAAATAACTGTTGACTTTTAAATAAAAGTTTAACGGAGTTGTTAAAGTTTTTTTTAAAAGGTAATTAACTAATCTTTTCTATAGTTTGAAGTGTTTTTTTTCTTCGTAGTTTGGTTCGTAAATAACTTTTACTGTAATAATAGATATTTATTCCTTTTCTGTGGAGGGGAGAGGGAGGATATTAAGAATATATATAAATATATCTACTGAATACTAATATGTGAGCTTCTTCTTTCCTATTTATGTATTATTATATGTTTATATATAAATTGTATTATTTATCTAAAAATAGGTCTTTTTTTAATATTAGATACTTATACTTAAATATATATATATATATATATGTATATAATGTATATGTATAGCTCTTAGTTATACGATAATAGTCCTATGAATTCTATGGGTCAGGAAAAAAATCAGACCTTATATCCTGTTCTCTGTAATACCTTAATACCTTCGACGCCCTTTTATTTTAATTCGGCCTATAGACGCTCGTTTCAGCTCTCTACGTGTTTAATTTGTGTTTTTTTGGACTTGTATAGGATGTAGATTATTCTACAGCGTAGAAAAAAAATCGTATACCGTTGCAGTTCGGCCGTTCGCGATGTGCCGCTATATGGCCACGTGATTAATTTTCAGCCAATCGGCTGTTCGGATAATGTTTACAGACGTACTGCAACTGCACGCATGTACACTGCTGACTGGAAAGTGTTGCATGATTCACGCGCTGATTTTCGCTTTATAAATCGACCGGCTTGTGTAGTAGTTCAACGAGAATAAGAAAGGTTAGAGTGGTTTCCCTACGAAGTAGTCAGTCGCAGAACGAGAAGCAGAAAGGTGAAGATTGGCAGCAAGAGAGAAATAAAAGAAACGACTAAGTGAGTAAAGAAAGAAAGAGAGAGAGAGAGCGAGAGAGAGAGAGCGAACGAACGAAACAAGCGAGCGGGAGAGTAAAAAGATAACAATCCACAATTTTGCTGCGTAAGAATCGCATTGCAGTCTCGGACGATAAGTCTTGCGGAGAGTAAGTTTTCTTTTCTTTTTACTTGTTTATCTTTAATTTTCCACAAAACCACCGGCACGAATAATTTATATTGACAAAACGTGAAAAACTCGCCAAAAATCAATACAGCCTAAACATACCCCTACCGTTTTTCTCGTTTTTTTTCCATTTTTCCAAAGCTTATACTTGTACATAATGAATCGATTGAGTCATTAAATTTTCATTTGAGACTTTCCTTTTATTTACTTCTTTTAAAAAAATTTACAAATTACTCTTAATCCATAATATAATTAACCCTCTGGTTTATAGGCTGCCAACACTCAATTATATATATAAACTTTCGTATTTATAACATCCATCATTCCGCAATGGGCGTCGAGTTTGCAACAAAGTCGATTATTCATTTAAAAAAAAAATTTTTTTTTTGCCACCAAACTTATTGACTTTATCAAGTTGGCCAGTAAAACGTCTTCCTATTTTTTAGGCCTATTTTAAATCGCTTGCTAACAGCAACAGCTGTTTTCATAAAATTGAATTATTTTGCAGACACATCCTATACGTACAAGCGCTCATTCGGCGTTGGCAGTATGCAAAAAGAGAAATGGTGGACGAATTCGACGCTTATTTTACTCGAGCTCAATTAGAGGGCGAACAATTGGAGAAATTACAGAATAGGCGATGTTCCCTTCCGGCGGCATCACCTACACCAGAATCAAAATCGTCATTGAATAGACGAGTAGGTAGCTGTAAATATCCTAGAAGGCGAGGCTCAAATTCTCCTAGGGATCATAGTACTTCGCCCAGGCGTAGTATCACTGATGGATGTCCGGACGGTGTTAGTCCAGCCTACATAAATGAGCCGACACTTCGTGCTCCATCTCCACGTTTGGGTACAAAGTGCCATTCGGCCCCCCATTCGCGATCGTCTTCCTGGAAGAAAATGCGTCGGCCTAGATCTTCGAGAGATATTACTGACGATCTTGATTACTTTAACGGCAGGGATCGCTCTGGATCAACGCCAAATGATGACGATACGGTAATGGCCACGTTAGAAAAGTTAAGGATTGCCCAACAAGAGGATTTATGCGTCGTTAGGACGTTCGAAATCTCTTCTAAAGGATTAGTGAACCGTGGCGATAGTTTTAAACGACGCAGTGACGCTAGTATAGCTAGCAGCTGCAACAGCAGCGGGGCTGCGCCTAGCTGTGCCGACGAAACACCTTTGCTCAATAAACCTGCCAACTCGACGAATTCTAGTGACAGCAAAAATACGGCAGCAATCTTTAAAGTTGCCGTTATAGGAGCGTCAGGCGTTGGTAAAACGTCACTTTTACAACAATTTATGACTAGTGAATATATGGGAGGAGTCGAGATTAGTTTTGGTGAGTAGATATTTAAATGATTTTCTTTTCCTTCTTTTTCTTAAAATTAGCCGCCTACCCATTAGTGACTTTGTAGCTTTAATCATGTACCGAGCTATTGTGTCGTATTTCATGGGAGGTTAATTAACTTCTCGGCCTACAAATGCAGACGATGAGAGCGAAAGAACAGTTTCCGTGCTATTAGACGGCGAAGATACAACCATGACGTTTAATGAAATCGAACCTCAAGCTGCGAGCGTGCAAGTACGTATAGACTATTTCTTGTTCTTGTAATTTTTTAGACAAGACAAAAAAAAATCCTTTCTACTTTACACTTGAAACTTTGTACAAAGTATAGTAAGAGTAAAAAATGCTCGACAGAATTATAAAACGACAGATATAGACGCATTTATCTTCATCTACTCAATTACCGATAAGAAGACTATCGAATTCGTCGAGGAAAGGCTACACGACGTTCAACGCTACGTCAGCAAACCTCACGCCGCTATCGTCGTTGGCAATAAAAGTGATTTAGTGCGAAAGCGACAGGTTAAGGAAGATGGTTAGTTTTTTGTTCTTTACAATCAAAAAGTAATGATACTAAAAAAGATCTGACGTCACCCACACATAAAAACAGCAAACCGATTGAACCGATTATACTAGAATATAATTATGTTCTCGTCGACAGATGCTCGTCAGCTGTGCTCCGAATTGCACGCCAAGTACATTGAAGTGTCTGCTGCCCTGAACCATAGGGTAGATGAGCTATTAGTTGGAATAGCACGACAAATAAGATTTAATCCACAACGAGCACCCCGGAAAATAACCGATAAATCCAGTACGAAAGCTTTTCTCAAGAAAATCCTCGGAAGAACACATTGTGTCAGCCGAACTTGCGATGATTTAATGGTTCTTTAAAAATTTTTTTTGTGTCTACTTCACCTTTAAATACAACTATTCATGTTATTCTGTATATATTCGCATAATTTGCTTATATTTTAAAGAAATAACAAAATATCCTTGGCTAATGTTATTTATTCTTTTACATCTGACGTTGAAATTTTACTTTTCCATCGCCACCAACAAACTCTCATTCTATCCCATACGGCATCTAATGAATCCAAAGCAGGTCTGACGTCGAGTATAGTAAACGTATAATCCTCACTAACCTAACATAGATAAATGCCAAATAGGTTACAATAATAAAAAGAAAAACTAAAACAACCTTGCCGCCATCATAATAGTCTATAACATATCTTACGTCTCTTCCATTACGATCTATTATCCAGTCATGTCTATCGAAAGGTAATTCATAACCTAACCATGAGCGAATTCTGGCTCTGGGCGAAAAATCTTTCGCTTTACCCCCGAAAGATTTTAATTTAGGTTTCTTGCACTCGTGAGCATGAAGAGCCTCCCACTTAAGGACTTCCATCCAAGCCTGCTCATTATTAACGTTATGTATCTTTATGATATCATCCATATCCTTTGCCTTAAGATCTTCGTCTTTCCAAGTCCATCCTGAAATTTTAAAAATAATATTCTTTCCCTCTCGGTGAATGTAGGCAATTTTTAAGAATGGGCCTAACCTTTGCGTAGCATCGCATTCCAAAACATTTGTTGCGACGGATAAACCCAGTTTTCGCCTTCCTTGTCGGCCCTTGGTATTCCTGATACTTGACGATCCGTTGGTAGTGGGAACGGTTGACCAGGAGACGGTTGTTGATTAGGAGGAGGCATCTATAGCACAGAAAATCAATTGAAGTCTATGAAGATAATTACGATTTCCGAATAAATATTTGTTCTTGTTTATTGCTCTGTACAAAATAATAATACCATGTTTTTTGGATCTATATCATTGTTGTTGCTGCTATTTCTTGCTTCAGCCTGTCTCATTGGACATTCACTCATGTATTGCGTCGATTCTTGACTATTGTTCTGTTGGTTATGCATGGGACATTCTGAGGGATATATTTTCTGGGTAGGCGGGGAGGGACTAGCTGATTTATCAGTTGAGGCGGAGGATCCCATCGTGAAACGACCTTATATTGTACTCAGATAGAGAAATCCTGAATAAAAATGAAATAAACTTAACCAATTTAACATAAAAAATACTACTGAAAAGCATTTATTTCTAGTAAATGATATTATACAATGGCATAGGATTTAAACTTGTGCTAATACCTAATGATTTGTACTCCAAACTCTATTATCGCTCCACGCGTATTTTAAAAAGATATATCAAGAGCACTCTGTGACCTTGACCGAAAAGAGGCTTTGATAGAAAATGGCAGCTGACAAAATAACAAAATTATTCTACTTGAGGGCGGGAAGAGTTTTCGAATACGAATCAGTTTAAAAATTATGAACGGTGTCCATTGAATAGTCATAGCAACAATGATACTGCAACCTAAACATGTTAATACACACCAATTCTATCCTGATATTCAACAAAAACGACCACCAGAAAAGAAGAAACCAATATTTCAAACTGCAGTCGACGAGAGTGTAATTAAAAAAGCTAAAGAAAAACAACCTAATATATTTGCTCCAGAACAATGGGAAGAAGAAAAAAATGTTGGTTTAACATCACTTTCAACTGTGTTAAAAGAAAAATTACAAGCAGTTTGGAAAAAAGCTTTAGAATATGAAGAAGAAGGGAAATATGATGATGCTATTTTGTTTTATAATAAGGTCGGATTTCTTAAACTTTAAGTCTGACAGTATAGAATTACTAGTTTTTTTGTAATCCTTTTGTATATCCGAATGATGAAAAATGTAGGCCTGTTAGTAAATGGTTATTATTAATGGCAATTTTTTCTAATTGAAAAAAAAAACCAATATAAAATGATTATTTTGATTTGAAATATTCTATTTCAGTGTTTAGCTGTTGAGCCTAATTTCGAAGAAGCTTATAGTAGAAGATCAGAATGTTATTTCCAGTTGTGCGACTTCCAATCGGCATTGTTAAACTTGAAAAAGTGTTATCTTTTAAATCGAGAACAAAAAAATTATTCGGATCGTCTTGCCTTCATATATTATTTCTATGGACAATGTTTATTCGATCAGAGAATGTTCGTCGAAGCTCTAGATTGCTTCTCAAGGGCGGCGGAAATCAAGCCAAATGTTCAGGTCTATCACATGAGGACTATAGCTTGTTTGTCAGCCTTAGGAAGACATGGCGAGTGTTTAGCCTTATTAAATAAGCATTTAGAACAAGATAGAGAAAATCCGGATTTGTTCGTTATGAGAGCAAGGTTTGATCCCCCATTTACTTATTAATATATATCATTGTCAGATTTGCTAATTAATCATTCTTAAATAATGCTTACTTCATTATGAAATTATACTATCAATCATAATCAACACAGTATATATCTTATGCCTTTATAGGTTGCATAACCGTTTCCGGAACGTTACATTAGCTTATTACGACCTCAAAGATGCTTTATCTTTAAATGAGAATCACGGTGAAGCACAAAAAATGATGGATGATATGAATAAAAAATCAGAGCAGTTACACATGGAAGCCATTCATTTGAATATCAGAAACAGATTAAGAGATGCTCTTCAAAAAATTTCCCTAGCAATAGAAACAAATCCAAGCCGGAGTGAATATCATCTATTAAGGGGAACTTTACATAGAAGACTAGGTGATTTTAATGCAGCAATTGATGATTTTCTCTTGGCTCTGGACAAGAGTGGACATAATGAACAGTCAGCAGTTTACAAAAAAGCTCAAAGGCAGCTACTACTAACTTATAATGACTTTGCCGTTGAGTGCCTTACAAAAAAATTCTATGAGGAAGCCATCATACTATTGAATAAAGCCATTAAGGGTGAAAAGACTGAAAAATCTCTATATATTAATAGGGGAGATTGCTTTTTCAAGCAATCTGAATTTACCTTCGCCCTCCAGGATTATCACCAAGCCTTAGAATTAGATTCGAATAATGAAGAAACTCGGAAGCGTATAGGCCAAGTTGAAAAAGAATTTGGACTGATTGAATTCGAAGAAAAAAATTATAGTCAAGCCGAAATAAGGTTCAGTACAGCGATAAAATATTATCCAAAAGAAGGACAGTTTTATATTTGTCGAGCGAGATGTAGGAATTTACTAGAAAAGAAGGACGAGGCTAAATTGGATTTAACTATGGCACTTCATTTGGATCCTGAGAATGAAGAGATATTAGGTTTAATGCCAAGGCTCTTTCCAGGTATGGATTATAGAATTAATTTGAGGTCCGTCCATTGTAATTTTTTTTTACTTAATTATATCAGGAAAAAGTATTAGAGATGTCTATGATAGTAGGCTGGGAGATGAAGCCCGCAGAATTCTCACTGGGGGAGTTAAACCGGTAAAGAGGGATGAACAAAGTCGTAAAAAGACAGTTTTCCCTGACTTTATTGAGAGGAAGAGGCTAAACGATGAAGTTACGAAAATGCTTAAAGAACGACAAGACTTGACTGCTAAAGTTAAATTAGGAGCGAAAACTTTTAAGTCATTTCAAAATAATGATAAAAAGTAACAGCTCATTTAATTGCATTTCTTTTTGCATAAGAAAATATGAAGAAATAAATATAAAGTGGCTGAACGGTATAGTCAATTTTTCTTGCCCTTTATAGCTTACAACCTTTTACGTTAAAATATAAATTATTAACTTCCACTGGGTTTTAAATATTTTATACTTTACAGCGTATTTTTATAAATAAATAATAAGAAAGTGAGTAATTTGCATCAATTTATCAACTTACGTAATTCAATTCTATGAAACTTCAAAAAAATTTGATACTTTAGAGGTTATCACTAGGTTTGTTACTTTTCTTTTTTGTTACATCTTGAAAACTATTATATATCTATTTAACGTTTAGCTTTTACGATTATATACCTTTTCTATTGCTTTAGAATGAGGGTATTGGATATAACATTTCAATTTAGCATCTTTTTTAGCTATGTATTGCTAAAAAATAGGTTTGACAGGTAAAAAAAATAACCTTTTCAAGAGGAAATGGCTTCGTCAAATTCATCATTTTCAATCATTTCCTTAATAATATCTAGACCCCCAACTAATTCTCCATTGGCGTATAATTGTGGATATGTTGGCCAATTGGAAAATTCTTTCAAGCCTGTAGCAGAAAAAGTATCATAATTCGATGAACTCTCATGATTTTTTCCTTTTAATTTACCTTGTCTAACATCTTCATCAGTCAGTATATCGAAATGATCAAAAGTAACATTTCTATCTTTTAAAATGGAACATATTGTACGACTAAATCCTGCGGATAATGAATAATTATAGACGAAATCACAAATTTTATTGTTATGTACCGCATCTAGGCTGATCCGGAGAACCTTTCATGAATAGCATAACCTTAGAGCGATTTATCAATGCTTTTAATCTTTCTGTCAAGTTATCTTTTTCAATAGGAAGGTTATCCAACAGCTCACCGCTTTCAACCATTTCCTTAACAATGTCCAGGCCACCTGTATGGAAAAAGAAAGACTCTTAGCCAACCAATTAGATGAGGAAAAATAGAGGATAACAAACCCAAAAGCTCTCCAGAAGCGTATAGTTGAGGATAAGTTGGCCAATTCGAGAATTCCTTCAATTCTGTAAAGTATACTGTAGATATCAGAAGGGGAAAAGATGTTTTATACTTTGACTATTTACTTTGTCTAACTTCATCGTCCTGGAGAATGTCAAAATGACCAAATTTAACTTTATAACTTTTTAATATATCAACAATAGTTCTTGAAAAACCACATCTGCAATTAATTGGATACCAGTATTTAAATAGTCTCATGAGCATCTATTGTAAGTCTACCTCGGTTGATTCGGTGAACCTTTCATAAAGAGCATAACAGGTTCTTTATTAATTAATTGTTTCAATTTCTCCTCAATTGGAAGTTGTTGAGTTGCCTTAATTGGTAAGAAATGATTTTTTTGTTTAAATTTCTCTTAAGAATTCAGATGCTCGGTGACTTACAGCAACATTGGTATCGACATGAGCTCGAAGCTTCTTTGTCAACTCCGGTACATTTGCGCCTTCTATTCTATCCACAATAGTTCCTTTCTGCGAGATTTATAATTTAGAACATGAATAGAAGTATAAATATAGACTGTTATATGGTATATACATATACACGTATGTATATAATTATATATATATATTACTTTGTAAATGACTATTGTTGGCACCGATGTTACTTTTGCTCTCAAAGCTGCATCTGGCAGTGATTCTGCTTCTACCTATTAATAATATTCTTGTTTATTATATAGCCGGTAATATTTCAATAGTCACCGTCGCGAAGGTTACAGCTGAGTCAACTACAGAATCCTTACGCAATTCGGCTATAGCACCATTCATTTGCTCACATTGAGCATCAGCCCATTTTGCCCAAAAGCTAACTAGTACGATTTTACTGTAAAGGATCAAATGGGAATATTAAGTCTCATGCTTTGGTAAAACACTCTTTACAAGTATATTGAACTAACTCTGTAGACTCTATCAATTGCGTAAAGTCAGAGAGCGTTAATACAGCTTTCGGAGTTGTCGGCATGGTCGAATAGGTTTTAAATAAAGTAACCAATAGAAATTCTTTGATAGAGGAGAAAAATCAGATGTATGGATCCAATTATAAGGTAACTGAAATAATCAGATAGCCAATAACCAAAATGCTCAGAAGAATCACGTGCACGTTGTTACCTTCTTTACAATTGGCTTAGTGAACCGGAAGTAGTACAAAACACGAAAGAGAAAATAACTGGCGGTTATTCCGAAAGTAGAATTGTTAGTGAATTGATGAAGTTTTTTTTTTTTGGTCACCTACATTACAGATTAAAGAATATATTATGAGGCATTCATCATTCCTCGAGGGCAAACCCTTTTTTTATACTAATTAAATCAATTATTAAGTATTATTCCCCAATGACGATGTCCCTTTTCAAATGAAATATCGGTTTCTTATAAATAGAAAAACTCATTAAATATGTAATTACAATTTTACATCGATTGATGAGGTTGTTGATTTAAAACTACACTAAGAATACTCATTTCTTCAATGAGGACTTTTTTTGTTTATTGGTATCAATCTAAAGAACATCTATGGAATAGAATAATTCTTTTTTTCTTTTTTTTTAAAAAACAAAAATAACAAATTTTAGTCAAGCAAAAGGCGTGTCTAAATAATTAGATATTGAAAGATAGACAATATTAGTGAAAAACATATCCAATTATTCATCAATTTTTATATTTTCGAAAGGGCATGTTTGGAGAATAAGACACTACTTAATATAGATATTCTATATGATTGGTTCCATTATGGAATTAGAATATAATTAGTTACTAATTATCTTTCTTTAGTGCTTTTTTTTGTATTTAGAGACCAAAGAAACCAAAGAAGCGAAAACAAAAAAAAACGGAGATAAAGAGAAAGAAGGGACAGTAAGAGGGGGAAAGGGAGCGAGAGCGAAATAGTGAGGTTTATATGTTTATGTTTATTAATGCCAGACTTCCCTAGAATCTAATAGATTTATCCCTTGAGCTAAAATCCCTTTTAATGAACAGAGATATTAGATATCATACGCTTTCCTCTTCCTCTTAAATTAAAATATCCTTTATTATAGAATTTATCAAAAAAGAATTGCTTGTCAAAAAGCCCTCTAGTCATATATTGTAGATGATTCATTATTAGATGCTCTTAATGTCGATGCAGATTCGGAATAAGATTCTACCGATTCTAGCTCTAAACCGTTTTTATCAAATTTAACTTGAACCTTTTTGCATTTACCCTCGGGTGGAACTTGTGAAGAAACATTAGCCGACAAAGTTAAATGTCGAATAGCATGAAGACGTTTTTTTTCTCTATGTCGCCAATTCTCTATTTCAAATAGAGATGCATCTTCATCTAGAGGCGACGGTGGTATTAAATAAGTTTGTCTTCGTTTTGTTCTCGTTCTATCAATTTTTCTAAGGTTTTTTCTATGCACCCGTCGGCAAATTAATAAATATATTAAAATCCCTGTTGTCAAAGCGTGAAAAACCGTTACAATGAAGGTTAGAGGCGATAATTCTAACATGCACTTTCATGGAAAATTAATTCATTGTTTATTAATTTTTAGTCATATTTTTAAATTATTTATTAGTACTTTTAAAAATTACACTAATTCTCTTAATAACAAATTTTATTCAATCTTCTTCATAATACAGGTTTCTATATATTTATCTTTTTTTGAACTCTAAGGTTCTAAGTATTGTTTGTTTGCTATTAAAGTAACAAACACCTTGAGGCAGTCTTTTTTTTTTCCCTTTGACAAATACTTATAATATTAACAAAAATAAACCAACTAATTAGTAAAGTTTTCTTTTCATTCCATAAAAACTAATTGATCTTCCTGTGATTCCTGTGTTTTTTCTTCATTCATTTTAGATATAAATTGCGTTCCGTGCTCATCGACACGAACGTGATAAGAACTCGCTGCTTGTTGGACAACATACTCTTGATTAGGTTCAGCGCTTTGTATATAAATTTGTTTAGCTTCTTCAAAATCTTCAATTTCTGCACCATTTGTTTCATCGACAACGAATTCAAAGCCTATTCCACCTGTGGGAGGAGGGGTAGAGGGAGGTGTCAAAATCTCGTTCTTATCATGTTGGACATTCATGTGGCACTTGAAATAGTGACTTGTTGGTAATTCTGTTGAGCATTCTTCGCATTGAAGTTTAATTTGATGTTTGGTCATATAATGCTGAGCGATTACTAGGGCACTTGTACTCTTTAAATCACATTTGCAGCAACTGTGCTCGATATTATGACGCAAAGTCTCATGAGAAATTAGAGCACCTAAAGTCTGACAAGTTTTGCTGCAAATGCTGCAGACGTAATTGCCTATGTCATGCTTCCAAATATGCTTCTTCATGGCCATCAAGCTTATCGATTTATAATTGCATTCTTTACATTCATGTAGTGTTTGGTTGTTAGGATTTAGCGCGTGTTGGTTAAACATATGCAACTCAAGTTGCTTCTTTGAATAATAACTTTTATCACAGACTTCACATTTATGTTTTAACGATGAATTGCCATGCCTCCTCCTCCAGTGCATACTAAGCGCTTCTTGCGAATTAAATTTTGATTTACACTGTGAACAAGTCTCCTCTGTTAAAACCAGACTTTTCTTTTTCATCTTCCGTTCGCAATGGCAACGATGAAGCACTATAGAACTCTTTTTAACTAGAGAATTGCAAAATTCGCATACAACTTGTACTTTACTTAGTGAATGACTATATTCATGGTGTCTGACAACTTCAGGTGAGACACTATAATAATCGCATTGATTACACTGAAAGAATTTTACATATTCTGGAACTCCTGATGAATGGGAAAATATCATATGATGAAGTAATTGTAGACTTATTACTTGAACACCTCGGGTAGATTGCATATTCTTGTCAAAAGTTACAAATTTCTTACAAAATAGGCACTGAAAGTAAAATACGCTCATATATATAGTATATATATAGACAAATATACCATTGACTTATGAATAGAAAAAATGTATGTATTACTTTTAATCCAATATCTGATCCTTTTGATCTGCTAGGTCCTTCGGTAACATGTTTCTGTTTCAAGTGCGATATGAGAGATTGTAAGCAATCTAGTTCATTTTCACACAGAAAGCATTTGTATAGTTCAATTGATAGGAAAAGCTCCTTGATCGATCGGAGGGGCCTGTATTTTTCGCAGATTCTTTCCTCTTCACCTACTTTAATCTGTGTAAATGTAAATGTATGTTCCCAAATTTTTTAATGCATTTGTTTTTACAAATTACCTCAAACTGATCAAAGGTTAATGGACGAGAATTCTTCGCTCCAACGCTGGATGAGTCAGCAACGTATAAAGTAATAATATCCTATTTGGAAAGCATTAAAACGTAAATTAACGTAATGATAACTATCCTAATTACCTGTCCAGTTACAGGATCAGACTTTAAAATGAGATCGTCTGGTATTTTACTATGTTTATTTCGATAATGATCGTAAAAAGATGTTCGTAAAATGTGATCTTCTTCGCATATTTCACAACGATAAATTGTTAGATATTTGGGTGGATTAGTTTTATGCTCTCTAACCTGTAGATATTTTTTGTTTGCACTTTACAATTCATGTGTGACACCTTACTTACATAATGCTGAATTAGTTTCAATCCCACGGTTTTAGCTTTTGCCGTTGGCGATTTCTGGAGATAAAGCGAATTAAAGAAAATAGAAAGTAACAACCAAATCTTACTCACGTAACAAGCTTTGGCACTGAATTCTTTATCACATCTACAACAATTCATTACAACATTTTCTTTCCTTTTTGTACAATGATTGTTCCACCAGTGTTGTAAAAGTGAATTAGAAGTATCAGCAACGTGGACAGATGAATTTGATTGGGATTTGTTTGCCGCAATATACATTTCACATATATAGCATTCGTACTTATTCCGAACTTGAAATGTTTGAATTTTTGATGAATTCGTATTCATAACTTTTCTACTCTTTCTTGTACTATTTTTCCTCGGTTGATTATAATCATCTGACATATCATGAACCTTCATATCTTTATCATCATCATCAGACACCAAATTGTGTTGATCTTTTAGGTGCATGTATAGAAATTTTTCATAAATTGTCTTGAAATCGCACTCCTCGCATCCAAATAATTTAACATAACAAGGAGCCTCAAAGTTTGTATGTTCTCTTAGACAGTGTTCTATAACGTTCTCCAACATTTCACTACTATTCGTGGTGGCGTTTCCAACGCACATACACTGTGAATCACAGGGACATTGCACTTGGAAATTTTCAAGAATATGAAATTGATTAAAATGATCAAACAAATCATCTAACGATGCGCAATTAGTAGTACAGAATATACATTGATATATATCTAGGTTGTTAATAAAAGATTCCACAAGAATAACATCCGCTTTAAAGTCCTCCTTATACAAGTCCTCGTACTCTATTTGAACTTGATTCTTCTGGGGTTGTTCTATTGCAACATTATGTTGAAATTTAGGTAAATCAGCATCAACAATAAGTAAATATACTATGTAGATATCAGTTGGACAAACATGAATCGTTGCTTTATTATTCTTTCCTTCGTGCGATGAGTCAAAGTGTTCTATAAATTTGGTGATGAATAATGTAAAAAAACTACAATCCAAACAAAAAAATACATTGAAACAAGCTGGTACATTTTGTCCATGATTTGTTACTGTATGTTCTATAAGATATCGCCATACTTCGTTAGTGTTGGATTCACTTAACAAAAAGGAAGTATCGCAGCACGGACAACTTAAAATTGTCTGTTCTTCTTCGCAATTATTTAATCGAATTTTCATCGAATGTTCTTTTAGAACATGGCTTAGTAAATGTTCTGGATAGTTTTCTTCACTATCCTTCCAATTTGACCTACATAGTGTGCATATTGACATAACGTTCCTTAGTTCATTTTTTTCATCACTTACTCGTAGAAAGTCTTCCCATGAACAGTCGCTTATTTTTACTGGCTCGAGCAGAATCTGCTGTAAATGATGCAAGAGAATTATAGTTCTCTCTGAACACCTTCTTATATTAATGATTTTCGGCTTTATGGAGTGTTTAGTTCTGAGATGATCGTACCACATATCTCTTATCAGTGTTCGGTAAGAACAGAGACCGCAAGTAAGTACACTAACAGAATTAGGAACTTGAGAAAGGTGAACAGTAGCAAAATGCATATACACCTTTGATAGAAAACATTCCAATGCAAAAGTCCTAGAAAGGTTTGAGTCTTTTTTTGAACACTTTAATTTTGCACTGCATTGATTACATTCAACTAATTGCAGCTTTTTATCATAGTGATTTTTTATTGTATGTTCAAAGAGATCTGTCTTTCCGCTTAAAACTTCGTTGCAAATCATACACGGAAAATGACCAAACTCGTGAAATACTTCTAAAGATTTGTTGTACATTAACAGACTCTCGACTATTTCTTCTTCATAATTATAATGCTTTTTCCAAAATGTTCCAACGTCCAATTCTTTATACATACTTGGTCTACCAACTGTACATTTTCGCTCTTTTCCTTCAATAACTTTATTTGCATATTTCGGTTCTTTTGATATTTTTCTCGATTTCTTATCAACTAATACTATAGTTATTTCTTTTTTTAGTTTTTTTGTTGAGTCAGGTTTTTCTATAGCATTCTCTAAAGTTTTCCTCTTACCACTCTCGTCGTAGCTATTAACAATGTTGGAAATTTAATAGATGATATTTTTAAAAAAATATACAAAATAATCATAAAGGAACAACTAAAGTAAATTATGAATACTTTATCAGAGAGGCATAATTATCAAACTAACAACATGTGAGTAACTTTATAAGTTAAAATTCTATTATTTTAAAATGTTATATATAAATAGAAATAGAATCAGTTTGGTTTTATAATTTTATCGAATATTCTATTTTCTTTTTGAAAGTATTTTTTTAAATTTTCTATGAATTATTAATTAATCAAGAGATGATCTATTTCAATATTTACCCTTTGTCCATACACGGTGATCGTAATACAGCACTCTTTAAACAATTGAAACGTTTTGCTTCTGACATGGGTAGGTCGTTTATTAGTTCGAGCAGTTCCTGACTCTAAATTTAAAGATATAATTTCGAATTATGATATTGAATGTTAAGCGATTTTTACCTTTTGACCAATAGCATCCATATCCCTTCCGACAAAAAAATTAAGTTTTCGAATAAGCGGCAAATGCTTTATTTAACGGAAAAACCGAATTGGCAACCGAATATACCCATAAATCTGCACATGCGCAGTTTCAAATACGCGGGACTTTGTACTTTTTACTCGGAATGATTTTCCTCTTTCGTTTAAAATAAAACTTGCATTATCGATCAAATAATAATGTATAAATATCAATTGTAGTAGTTTCTCTTTAGTCCATTCAACTCAATAAAAAATATTCTTGATTATTTTTAGTTTCATATAAAATTTTCATTTATTATTTTATTTCTTTATAAATTTGATCGAATTAAAGTAAAAAAAAAAAAAAAATAAAAAACAAAAGTATTCTAGAATACAAATATAATATATTTATAAAAAGACTTGGTTGTTTTAAGTTTGATATTTTTTCCCAACAAAAAACCCGTAAACAGAACTAATAGCTAAGTTAGGTTTGAAGTGCCGGTTTGAGAGAGGCTCATAAATATTCAGGCTCTTGACTATTGGTGAGCGCTAGGCCTTGACATTGCTTTTTCGCGCGTTTTTAGCGTTGGCCACGAATATGTCTGTAAGTGAATTTTTAGCGTTATAAAATTGATTTATTGAATTATTATTTCACATTAAAGTTGACTTAAATATGTAAACATAGTTTATTCACTTTTAGCGATTTAAAAATATCTTATTTTCATATAAACATAAAATTTCCCCATTTTCGTTTAGGATCATAATCCCGTTAGCCCAACATCGGAAATTGTTACTGATGATGAGGAAGTGAATTCTCCTCATATTGATCCTGTTTCATCCCCTGCAAGTCATGCTCCATTTGAAGATGAAAATGAAATTCTTGGAGATGAAAATCTGGAAGAAGAAGAAGATGGAGAAGAGTTGTTCAATGATAATTTAGAAAGGTGGTAGAAACTTAAAAAACTACACAAACTATAACTCTTATAATATTTATCAACAGAGATTATCGAGCAATTCCAGAGCTAGATAAATATGATGACGAAGTTCTTGATGACTCTGAGTTTTCACAGCTTGATCCAAGTGATCGACTGGCGGCAGAAAGAGAAATGCGAAAGAGAGATCGAGATGAAGGTAGAGGACGACTTCGTCATGATATACTATATGATGATGAAGACGAAGACGATGACAGGTAGCTAAAATGCGTCCGACACTGAAATGTTAAGAAAGCAATTATGTCGTTTTAGGCCATCCAGGAGAAGGCGAATTGCAGAGAGGGCAGCTGATCAAGACGAAGATGAAGAAATGGTTAGTCACTAATATTAATAATTTATTAAAAACTAATTATATTGAAATCTTTAGTATGAGAGTATTGACCATCTGGAAGATACTCGAGGTCATCCAGTTCGCATTTGGGTAACGATGGAAGCAACAAAACAGGAAATAATGAATCGGTATATTATTAAGTTAAGCTTTTATCGTTTACTCATAGAATGATCAATTTATTAGATTCAAAAATATACTAAGAACTTACTTAAATCAACAAGGGAAAAATTATTTTAAGGAGAAGATTAAGGCTATGGTTGAAGGTAACAGGACTAAGTCAAATATTCAGCTTAAGAATATTCAAAGATTATCTTAAAAACAGCTAACAAGAAAAGTTTGCAAGTCGATTATAATATTATTGCAAATGAAGAACAAGCTATTGCATACTTCCTTCCTGAAGCTCCTGCTGAAATGTTAACAATTTTCGATCAAGCCGCCTCCGACATTGTATTCTCTAATGCCATGTATCCAAATTATAAGAAAATCCACAATGAAATACATGTGAGAATATCTAATTTACCATTGGTAGAAGAATTGAGAACTTTAAGGTAAGGCCTATGGAGACATTGAAGATTTTTAATTAAAAATATTTAATTGTCTTTTTTTAGGCAAGTTCATTTGAATCAATTAATCAGAACAACTGGTGTAGTAACATCATGTACCGGAGTTTTACCACAACTTTCCGTTATCAAATACGATTGCGTTAAATGCAACTATGTTATTGGTCCTTTCTATCAAAAGCAAGAACAAGAAGTAAAGCCAGGAGTGTGTCCTGAATGTCAGAGTAGCGGCCCTTTTGAAATTAATATGGAAGAAACGCTGTATAAAAACTATCAGAAAATTACAGTACAAGAAAGCCCTGGAAAAGTTCCTGCAGGTCGTTTGCCTCGATCAAAGGATGCTGTGTTATTGGATGATTTAGTTGATACTTGCAAGCCCGGAGACGAAATTGTAAGCTTTAAAGCGAAGATGATAATTTATCCATTTATATAAAGACTTTTCATTTCAGGAATTAACTGGAATTTACTGCAATAACTATAGTGGCTCGTTGAACACTTCTAATGGTTTTCCTATCTTTGCAACCGTTCTACAAGCCAATAATATTGTAAAGAACGACGACAAAATGGCAATTGGAGCACTGACAGAAGAGGATGTCAGAATGATAATTAAACTTTCAAAAGATGAGAGAATATCGGAAAGAGTAAGTCTGATACAGTTATATCTTTTTATCTGTAATTGGTATACAACGTAATTTTCAGATATTCTCGAGTATTGCTCCTTCAATCTATGGTCATGAAGATATAAAGCGAGCGTTGGCCTTGGCCATGTTTGGTGGTGAGCCCAAGAATCCAGGTGGAAAGCATAAGGTGCGTGGAGATATTAACATTCTTTTGTGTGGGGACCCGGGTACTGCCAAGTCTCAGTTTTTGAAATATGTGGAAAAGACTGCTCCAAGAGTAGTATTTACTACCGGTCAGGGAGCTTCGGCTGTAGGTTTGACAGCGTACGTTCAACGAAATCCTGTTTCAAAAGAGTGGACTCTGGAAGCTGGTGCTTTGGTATTAGCAGATAAAGGAATATGTCTAATTGACGAGTTTGATAAAATGAATGACGCTGATAGGACATCTATACATGAAGCTATGGAACAGCAAAGTATTTCAGTTTCAAAAGCGGGTATTGTTACATCACTCCAAGCTCGTTGCTGCGTTATATCAGCTGCCAATCCGATTGGAGGTCGATACGATCCTTCATTAACTTTTGCTGAAAACGTTGACTTGACCGAACCTATTCTTTCGCGTTTTGACGTTCTTTGTGTCGTAAGGGATACTGTTGATGCAATTCAAGATGAAAGACTTGCTCAATTTGTTATAACGAGCCATGTACGTCATCATCCAAATACTGAAATAAATGAAGAAACCGTCGAGCTACCAACAAACTCAGATGTGGAAAAGATACCTCAGGAAGTTCTTAAAAAGTATCTGATATATGCAAGAGAAAAGATTCATCCTAAACTCAATCAAATGGATAAAGATAAAGTAGCTAAAATGTACTCAGACTTAAGACGAGAATCTATGGCTACTGGTAGTATACCTATAACCGTAAGGCACATTGAGTCTGTTATTAGGTTAGCCGAAGCTAATGCCAGAATGCATTTACGTGAATATGTTAACGAAGATGATGTTAACATGGCTATTCGTATTATGCTTGAAAGTTTTATATCTACTCAAAAGTTCAGCATAATGAAAGGCATGAGAAAGACATTCTCAAGATACTTGTCATTCAAACGTGACAATAACGAGCTTCTCCTGTTCATACTCAAACAATTGGCTCAAGATCAATTGGTATTTCAAAGAAATCGTTATGGAGAAGGCAATCAAGATGTTATAGAAGTCTCCGAAAAGGATTTTGCTGACAAAGTAAGAATTATTATCATCAGTGAAAATTCTAATCTATATTTAAAAAATTTCAGTCCAAGCAAATCAACATTCACAGCTTGTCCAATTTCTACAACAGTGATCTTTTCCATGAACACCGTTTCAGATACGATGCAAAGAAGAAGATGATTATACAAACACTTTAGTTTTAACTTAAAATCCTTTATTTTCTCATAGTTTGTCTTTTTTTAAAACTTTTTAGTATTGATCAATAAATATACAGTATATACAGTATTTACAATGAGAAAGCTAGCATCACTTAAAGGACACTACCAGATATTACTTTGCGATTAAATTACCATAACGATATTGATGAAATTTTTCTCTGAAAATTAAATTTTATTGTACAAAGTTGACTTCTAAAAAAGTTCTACAAAAGTATAAAATTTTTATGGGCTTGGTTTATGGTAAAGAACTAGGGGTTGTCACCACAATCAGCTTTTGCATATTTGGATTTGGTCCTCTGACATTTGGAGTCGTCGGGGTGGACGGTGTACTTGAACCTGAACCGCCTACAATGTAGAGTTTCTGATTTGGTCTGGTTTGCGACACTGTTTGAATTTGGAATGGAACTTGATTTTTCTGAAAATTTTATTAATGTTAGCACATTTTAGCAGTTAACACATTTATTCGATAGTTAACTTACACAGTTGGAAACTGATGAGGTCGTAGTTTTTATTATGCCAATAGAACTAGATGCTGTTGTTACTGGTGTTTCGCGTAGTTTGGTGACAGCATTGAATAAAATTGAGCCATAGTATCCATATTCATTTACGTAGTCCTCCTGTTTGTCAGTCTCTGGTCTAATATTCTTTAGAATAGGAGGAATAATTTTCTGAAGAAATTTTAAAATTTAGATAGTTAATAAAAAATAGGTTATTTCCTATACATACTAAAATAGCAGTTTTGACCCTATCAGCTGAATTTTTCTCGGTAGTATTAAATGCATTTGCCATTGTAACTGAATTGTCGAGAACAGATTTAACTCTTTGTCCTTCATCGTGAACCAAGGGTATTACAAAGGTCTCCACTACTTCTGGTCCAAGCTCCCCAAGAGCTGTAAGAGCTCCATAATGAGACGCAAGCGGTGTGGTTTTATCTAATAGAGCGGATGTAAGCAAACGGGTGACGCGAGTTTGAATTCCGTTTGTATTAGTACTAAATTGTCTGAAAAAATTCAACATGTTACATTGTCCATAACCTACAAATGAAATATCACTTACTTGCATAATGTGCCCATAAGCCTTGATGCAAAATCTCTCAAGGCCCAATGATTATCAACATCAGGCCGCAAACATAATTGTTTACTGACTATGCAAGTAGCAACCGCAGGAACAATTTGATGAAGCTTAAAGTAATCATCTATGTAGAGAAGAGTGAAACTTCAAGTTAATAATGTACTTACATAGTTTTGCAAATATAAAGTTGGATTTTCTAACAAAGATTTGACCATTCGCATAAGGTAAATTAACAAGGCTAAATTTTTTTGACATACGTTTACTTTGACCTGAAATAATTATTTAAAATAATACACATTTATAGCTTTCTAAATTTATTAGCAAACTTACACCCTCGGAAATGAAATTACAGAATCTTGGCAACATTTGATGTAAACCAGTGTCAACAGATAAACTATTTAGAGCCTCTGTTCTTCGATTTTCGTCGGATCCTACACAAGCTTCTGTAATTTCCTTATAATAAAGTTGTTGTTCCTGTAAAAAAAATATGTCCAGTTAATCGTTGATAGCAATAAATATTTGAGTATACGTACAACAGATAGTTCGTGTTGTACACATTCTTTCATGTGAACGGTTTCTGTTACTCTCAAGGCACGTCTTCTCATTTTAGTTACATCTGCTGGTGGTTTATCCACCATGGTTTGTTTATTGTTTGTTGATGGGTCAACGCTTTCCTGCTTTTGAGTTTCTTTATCCACAGGTGGAGGATTCTCTGGAATCGACGGCTGAACACCTTCTATGGCCAACCAGTGAGCTAAATATAAAAACAAAAATAGTTGAGTATTTGTCCCTTCTTGAATTAGAAGATTAATACCTTTCACACAAACATCTAGAGGTGTTTTTCCTGAGATATTTTGCGAGGTAATTTCGGATAACTCAACCTCTTTTTCTTCAACGAAGTGTAATTCACGTCCTCCTCCAGAAGCAAAACGAAATGGGATAAAATCTTGACTATGGAAGCCATATAAGGGCTGAAAAATCAAAAGATAGTATTCTGGGATCCTGGGATTTCAAATGAAACACACCTCAACGTTAAAATTGATGAGAGCTTCGGTGAAATCAGAAGTATCAATCTTTTGTCGTTTGCTGTGTCTGGCAAATTTCTCTGCTTCCTGAATTAGTTGTTTCAACCTAAATGTGACGTCTTCAGCGAGAACATTAGCGGCGTCGTCGGTGATCGCGGTTATACCATTGGATTCGCCTGTTACTCTTACGCATTCCGCCGAAACGTTGGGAGTAATTTTTCCTTCTTTTTTTTCTTTCAAATGTCGTTGTATTTTATCCATTATTCGCTATACTAATGTTAAAAAGAACGACAGTTCTTTTCTTGTAAATGAATCTACAGTACACCACTACTATGTAGAATCACACACAATTCTTGTGTTGAATATCAAAATGGCCGCTAACTGTAAACGATTAGGAAATTGCTTAATTTCTAATTTACTGAAACCATTTTCAATAGTTTTCATCATCGATACTAAATTTCAATATAGCTTAGAACAGAAATACCCAAATTTGACTCTTTATTATTCAGTATAAGGCACAAAATATGTAAAGAAAGATAATCACAGATAAATGAGAGGTCTCCAATTTTAGTATTATTTCGTAAAATTTTACTAACTTACGCCTTCATAATTTTTTAATACAAATTATCTATAATATTAAAAACAAGATATTTAAAATTTTACTAAAATAACTTAATAATTTTTCTTTTGCCGGATTTCGCGAAACGTCAAAATGGCGCCCGTGTGAGCGACGCTTAAGAGAAGCCAGAGCTATTTCGAACATATCTCTAGACATAGTAAGAGCTTGTTTTAAAATACATTTATAAGTAATGAACCATATCGTCATATACATAAAAAAATATTAATTACCGCAATATTCGAAGTAAGATGCATTTTATCACCCAGATAAAACCATGTGAAGTAAATATCGTTGTCAAACTATAGATCATCCGGGTATTTATGTCTTGCGAAATCATTCTAAAATAGTTTATAATCTTGAGCCAACATCGTAATAGCCAATTGGTTGTGGCGCACCGTACTGAACGCATCAAATTTATCGTGATAAAATATAATAATAAAGTACTGAAATAAACTTCAAAAGTTTCCTCATTTTTCGCTCACTTACCATTTGAAATCAAGAAGGTCTCATTTATTTTTTTCTTTTTCAGAAAGAAAGTTTGGATAGGAAATAAAGATGTTGCTAACTTCAGACTCACGGGCGCCTCTGAAAGAGGTTGGCCGCGTGCAATTCGGTATTTTAAGTCCAGATGAAATAGTACGTATACAAAACGCAACTCTTAGGTTTTACTCATTATTTTTGTTTTAGCGCCGAATGTCAGTAACTGAAGGGGGTATAAAGTATCCAGAAACGCAAGAGGGTGGAAAACCGAAATTGGGCGGATTAATGGACCCAAGACAAGGGGTTATTGACCGCAGTTCTAGGTGTCAAACATGTGCCGGCAACATGACAGAATGCCCTGGACATTTTGGTCATATTAACTTGGCTAAGCCCGTATTTCATGTTGGGTTTTTAGCGAAAACTAAAAAGATTCTTAGCTGCGTTTGCTACTACTGTTCTCGCCTACTTATAGATCCAGAACACGTGAAGATTAAAGATGCCATCTCAAAGACAAGAGGGAATCCAAGAAGAAGATTGGGATATGTTTATGATCTTTGCAAAGGAAAGCATGTATGTGAAGAAAGTGATACAACAGATAATAAAGAGGAAGATGATATGAATTTGGATAAGCCTGTGCATAAAGGCTGTGGCCGAAATCAGCCTACAATAAGACGACAGGGCTTGGAGTTAACGGCCGAATGGAAGCATCCTAGCGAAGAGAATCAAGAACGCAAAATACAACTCACACCTGAAAGAGTGTACGAAATATTCAAACGTATTTCTGATGAAGCCATAATCGCTATTGGAATGGATCCAGTATATGCAAGGCCCGATTGGATGATTGTAACTGTTCTTCCAGTTCCACCACTAGCTGTAAGACCTGCCGTTGTGATGTATGGCTCCGCAAGAAATCAAGACGATTTAACTCACAAATTAGCTGATATTATTAAATCAAATAATCAACTTGATAGAAATGAAAAAAATGGAGCAGCACCTCATATTCTAGCCGAGGATGTGAAAATGTTACAGTTTCATGTTGCCACAATGGTTGATAACGAAATGCCTGGTTTGCCTAGAGCTATTCAGAAGTCAGGTAGACCTTTAAAATCTGTAAAGCAGAGACTAAAAGGAAAAGAAGGAAGAATTCGAGGAAACTTGATGGGAAAAAGGTGTGATTTTTCTGCCAGAACAGTTATCACACCAGATCCCAATCTTCGCATCGATCAGGTTGGAGTTCCTCGGTCGATTGCCCAAAATTTAACTTATCCTGAAATTGTTACTCCCTTCAATATGAATCGATTGACAGAGTTGGTCAGAAGAGGGGCTAATCAATATCCAGGAGCCAAGTATATCATTAGAGATAATGGTGAAAGAATTGATTTACGGTATCATCCGAAAGCTAGTGATTTACATTTGCAGGTTGGGTATAAGGTTGAAAGACATATGCAAGATAATGATCTCATCATTTTCAATCGACAACCGACCTTGCATAAAATGTCTATGATGTGTCATAAAGCTAAAATTCTGCCTTGGTCAACGTTTAGATTAAACTTGAGTGTAACAACGCCTTATAACGCTGATTTTGATGGTGATGAAATGAACTTACATCTTGCTCAAAGTCTTGAAACACGAGCTGAAATTGAAACGCTAGCTTCAGTTCCAAGAATGATTGTAACTCCACAAGCTAACAGACCAGTCATGGGTATTGTACAGGACACTTTAACTGCTGTTCGAAAAATGACAAAACGCGATGTTTTTTTGGATAGGGCTGAAATGATGAATTTGCTTATGTTTTTACCCATTTGGGACGGAAAAATGCCTCAACCAACCATTTTGAAACCTAAGCCTTTGTGGACGGGAAAGCAACTTTTTTCACTTATTATACCCGGTCGGGTCAACTGTATTAGAACTCATTCAGCACATCCGGATGAAGAAGATTCGGGGCCCTACAAGTGGATATCACCTGGAGATACAAAGGTTTTGGTGTTGGATGGTCAACTAATTTCTGGTATTTTATGCAAACGTTCTTTGGGTACTTCTTCTGGATCAATTATGCACGTTGTGTTCGTTGAACAAGGTTTTGAACAGGCCGGTCTTTTCTACGGACATATTCAAACAGTTGTCAATAATTGGCTGCTTATAGAAGGACATAGTATTGGTATAGGTGATACCATTGCCGATCCTCAAACATATGCTGATATACAAAATACGATTAAAAAGGCTAAGCTTGACGTCATTGAAGTCATAGAAAAAGCTCACAACGATGATTTGATACCAACTCCAGGAAATACACTCAGACAAACATTTGAAAATCAAGTAAACTCAATTCTAAACGATGCTCGAGATAAAACCGGTTCCAGTGCCCAAAAATCCCTATCCGAGTTTAATAATTTCAAATCTATGGTAGTAGCTGGATCAAAAGGTTCCAAAATTAATATCTCTCAGGTCATTGCTTGTGTGGGACAACAAAACGTTGAGGGAAAGCGTATTCCATTCGGATTTCGGCATAGAACTTTACCACATTTTGTAAAAGATGATTATGGTTCAGAATCTCGTGGTTTCGTGGAAAACTCTTACCTGGCCGGATTAACGCCATCTGAATTTTACTTTCACGCTATGGGTGGTCGAGAAGGTCTGATCGATACTGCAGTCAAAACAGCAGAGACAGGCTATATTCAGAGAAGGCTCATAAAGAGTATGGAGAGTGTAATGATCAAATATGATAGTACAGTAAGAAATCAAATGGAGCAGGTTATTCAGTTGAGGTATGGTGAAGATGGTTTAGCGGGAGAATTGGTTGAATTTCAAACTCTTCCAACCATCAAACCTTCTGACCTGACTTTTGAAAAACGCTTCAAGCTTGACCCAACGAACGAGAGAGCCTTAAGAAAATGGCTTCACGAAGATGTTATTAAAGATCTTTTGAGCGATGCTCATGCCTTATCAGAATTGGAAAATGAATGGAGACAACTATGCGAAGATCGAGAACTTATTCGCAGTACTATTTTCCCAAATGGAGAATCAAAAGTGGTCTTACCTTGTAATTTAGAAAGAATGATTAGCAATGCGCAAAAAATCTTTCGTGTAAATTTACGAAAGCCGTCAAGCTTACACCCTCTTCGAATTATTGAACAAGTTAAGAGTTTGAGTTCAAAATTTACCATCGTTAAAGGAGAAGATCGAATTTCCAAACAAGCTAATGAAAATGCCACGATTTTAATGAATGTTCTTGTTAGATCGACACTTTGCTCTCGGAAAGTTATTGAAGAGTATAGATTGAATGATGACGCATTTGATTGGCTAATAGGAGAAATCGAAGCTAGATTTCAGCAAGCTCAAGTTCAACCTGGAGAAATGGTTGGGGCTCTTGCTGCGCAATCTTTAGGAGAACCCGCCACTCAAATGACACTCAATACTTTCCATTATGCTGGTGTATCTGCCAAAAACGTAACGCTTGGTGTTCCACGTTTGAAAGAAATAATAAACATTTCTAAAAAGCCTAAGACGCCATCGTTAACTGTGTACCTCTTGGGCAAAGCAACACACGATTGTGAAAAAGCAAAAGATATTCTCTGCAGACTGGAACATTGTACTCTGAGAAAGGTGACTGCTAATACAGCTATCTACTACGATCCTAGGCCTCAGCATAACACAGTAATTCCTGAAGATCAGGATTGGGTTAACATTTACTATGAAATGCCTGATTTTGATCCTAACCGTATTTCGCCATGGCTCCTTAGGATCGAGCTTGATTTGAAGCGTATGACAGATAAAAAGCTAACTATGGAGCAGATTAGTGAAAAAATTACTGCCGGCTTTGGAGACGATTTAAACTGCATCTTTAATGATGATAATAGTGAAAAGCTAGTTTTAAGAATTCGAATTATGAATTCCGATGCTGGAAAGCAAGAAGACGAGCAAATCGATAAGATGACTGATGATATGTTTTTGAGGTGTATAGAAGCCAATATGTTGACGGATATGACACTGCAAGGCATAGAGCAAATTAGTAAAGTTTATATGCATCAGCCCTCAACTGATGATAAAAAGAAAATCATTATCACACCTGAAGGTGAATTTAAGGCTATTGCTGAATGGATTTTAGAAACAGATGGAACAGCACTTATGAAAGTTCTAAGTGAGAAAGATGTTGATCCAAGAAAAACAACTTCTAACGATATCGTGGAAATATTTTCTGCTCTTGGAATCGAGGCTGTGAGGAAAGCTATCGAAAAAGAATTGCACGATGTTATTTCGTTTGACGGTTCTTATGTAAATTATAGACACTTGTCCCTACTTTGTGATATTATGACTGCCAAGGGACATTTAATGGCCATTACAAGACATGGAATCAATAGACAAGAGACTGGAGCTTTAGCTCGTTGCTCCTTTGAAGAAACCGTAAGCACTTTATTTTCAAAATTTTCAAATTAATAATTTTAATTTATGTTAACCCTTAAAGGTTGATATCTTGATGGAAGCTGCAGCTCATGCCGAAGTTGACCCGATGAAGGGTGTGTCAGAGAACATTATGTTAGGTCAGTTAGGAAAACTTGGAACAGGTGCTTTCGACTTGCTTCTGGATCCTGAAAAGTGTAAACATGGTATGGAAATTCCAATGGCAGGTGGTATGATGGGACCTGCTGGAGGGTTATTTTTCGATTCCGCTGCAAGCCCAACAAATATTGGAACACCAGCAGCTAGATGGAGTATGGAAACTTCACCAGCCTATAATGCTGTTTGGTCTCCATCTGGAACTGGCATGACTCCAGGAGCTGCCGCTTTCTCTCCTTCTGATAGTGGTTTTTCACCCGGTTTCTCACCAGCTTGGTCACCAAATCCTGGATCGCCACATTCGCCAGCAAGCCCATTGTATGTACCCGATCAGAGTCCAAGCTACAGCCCAGCAAGTCCAGCTTATATGCCATCTTCTCCAAGAACACCTCAAAGTCCTGGGTATAGTCCAACGTCGCCTAGCTATAGCCCAACATCTCCCAGCTATAGTCCAACATCTCCAAGCTATAGCCCTTCATCACCAAGCTATAGCCCAACCTCACCAAGCTATAGTCCAACTTCACCAAGCTATAGCCCAACGTCTCCAAGCTATAGCCCTACATCTCCGAGCTATAGCCCAACGTCACCAAGTTATAGTCCAACTTCTCCGAGCTACAGTCCAACATCTCCAAGCTATAGCCCGACATCTCCAAGCTATAGCCCTACTTCACCAAGCTATAGCCCAACGTCGCCAAGTTACAGTCCAACTTCTCCGAGCTATAGTCCAACGTCTCCGAGCTATAGCCCAACATCGCCAAGTTATAGTCCAACATCGCCAAGTTATAGCCCAACGTCACCGAGCTATAGTCCGACGTCTCCCAGCTATAGCCCAACATCGCCAAGTTATAGCCCAACGTCGCCAAGTTATAGCCCAAGTTCACCAAACTATAGCCCAACATCTCCAAGCTACAGTCCGACTTCGCCAAGTTATAGTCCGACTTCTCCCAGCTATAGTCCAACGTCACCAAGCTATAGCCCCACGTCCCCAAGTTATAGTCCAACATCTCCCAGTTACAGTCCGAGCTCTCCTAACTACAGCCCAACTTCTCCAAGTTATTCACCATCTTCACCCAGCTATAGTCCTTCTCATAAGGACTAAACATTCAATTTATGGACAGGAATTCCGGAATTAAATGTACCATTTGAACGTTTATTCAGACATATGCATATATATATATATATATATATATATATATATATATGTATATGTATATGTATATCTATATATATATATATATATATACATTTATATATACTAAACAGAGTTGACTACATCTCTTTTATTTTAGCTTTTTGATTATTAAGTTTAAATTAATAATTAGTGTTGTAAGACATTTATATGTTAGTTTCATTGGATAATATACTGAATCCAATTTGAGGATTTGCCGTGAATTTCTTATTTTATCATAATCGTTACTAAAAAAGTTTGGTCGTATAATTTTGCTTTAGCACTTTCGACATATAGATGGCGCTGCCAGAAAAAAAAATTAAAATCGCTACAAAATAAAATAGTTCCTGATAAAACGCGACTGGTGATGAAGGATAAAAGAGAAATTTTATTAAATTCAGGGATAATTGGAATAAAATTTGAAATATTATTTTATAGTTTAATAAGAGAAGAAAATAAAGTTATGTCTGGCGTAGTAATACTTGATAATTGATCATCACTGCTGGAAGGTGAGACGATTTTACGTGTTTAAAAAATCGATCCGATCTCCGATACATTAATATCTATTGCCGAAAATCGTATCGATAATTTCTTAGTTGTATACTATACATTAAACTTTTTTGCGATTAACCGTTTAAAAAAAGCCCTAAGCTGCCATTACCAACGGTTATCGTAAAGCCTTATTTCATCGGCCATATTGACATCGATTGTTGTCGATATTCGATAAAGGCGGCAATATTAATCCTATGGATTTTAAATTCGACTTAATATATTTTTCACAGGGAAGATGCTGCAGATAGGCGTTAGTCAGACTAAGAAAAAGAGAAGGAAGAGCGCTGTATGGCATTATTTCTCGGCAGACCCTGGGCAGAAGGCTGCTGTCTGCACTATTTGTAACGAAATAGTGCGAACGTCGGGAAATACCACAAACTTATTCAATCATTTAAAAAAGGCACACAAAGCGAGTTATGATGAAGTTGAAATGATGCAGGCAACAGAACAAATTGGATCACCCAAAATTCGAAAAACATCGAAAGCTATCATAAAAGCAGAAATAAAAGCGCCAGAAATAGAAACTCCCAAGATTAAAAACGCAAAAAGGAATCAGAAATTGACAAACTCCCTTGTAAATATGATTGCAATAGACATGGCACCATCTTCTATGGTTGACGATATTGGTTTTAAGAATTTTGTAAAAGTTTTAGATAGTTCGTACGAAATGCCAAATTCATATCATCTTATTGATGATTTGTTACCTACCAAATACGAAGCAGTTAAAAATAAACTACAATCGTCTCTATCTAAAGCTAGCTTTGTTGCTTTATCAACAGATGTTTGGACCTGCGGAAAACCTGAAACATTTCTTACAATATATTGTCATTTTATTGATAGCGATTGGAGGATGAAGTCTTACGTATTGGAGACTAGAAAAAGCGAGCAGGCTTGTAGAGCCGATGATTTAGCGGTATGTTTGAAAGAAGTTGCCCAAAGTTGGAAATTGTCAAATAAAATTAGTTGTATGGTTAGCCGTAGTGCTCAGGATGTTAAAGAGGCCGCCGAAATTGCAACGTGGACTCATTTCTCTTGTTTCTCTCAAGTACTTGATACAGCATTAGATGAAACTCTACTAGCAGATGAAGAAGTCGGATCAATACGCCATCTTCTAATAAAATGTAAAGATGTAGCTGCTATTTTCGAGACCAACTCTAAGGCTGAAAGTATTCTTACTCAACAGCAACGAGCCTTTCAATTACCCGAGACAAAAATAACGTTTGGCTACGATAAATGGGATTCGATTTACCACATGTTCGAACGAATAGTTGAACATCAATTGGCCATTAACGGTACAGTAGATCATTTCGATCAAGCTTCAAAGATTATGGCTGAGGAACTAGAAGTAATGGCTGATATCGTTTCTGTCCTAAAGCCTTTCGATGTAGCAGTAAGGGAATTATTAAAGGAGAAATTCACAGGCGTCTCAAAAGTCCTCCCTTTGGCAAGAAGTCTCTTAAAGAAAGTCTCAGGTTCTTCATCATATTACGCGAGAAGGTTACAGCACAACTTATTAAAGCGGCTCAAAAACTTTTACGGCCAAGTTGAAACAAATACTATCCTTTCAAGTTCATCTATACTTGATCCGAGATTTAAACAATTACCATTTAGTGAAAAGAAATTCTCGGACGAGACAATATCAAAACTTCAACAGGAAATCAGCGCTATCGAATCTCCTTCGGTCCGTGTGGAAATTATTGAACAATCGATGGAAGAAGATTGCGACGCACTTTGGGATTTTTTCGACCAAAGCCGAACTCAAGCCGAAAACGCCAAATCATCGAACGAATACGAAATTCGACAGTACTTTCAAGATAAATTGATTAATCGTATGGAAAATCCACTAGAATGGTGGAAGAGTAACGAGAAACGCTTCGAGAAGTTAAGTTGGTTGGCGAAGAAGTATTTATCTATTCCAGCAAGTGCTATACCGCCGAGTCGCATTTATACAGAAGCTGGAAAAACCGTTACATCGAAGAGGAGCATCATCCCAACAGACCGTGTCAATATGCGAGTTTTTTTATACGAGAATTCCGATTTATTGTAGGCAACTGACTGTCGTGTAATTAGAATGTAAATAGGCGTGTGAATGGATTAGGACAATATATATAGACTTCTATTGGAAATAAAGTGTGTTATTCGACGATGCGGAACGCGTAACCACTCTAGAATTATTTTTTGCGCCGGCGAATCACTTCATTCCAATATGATGAACGAGAGGGAACGGTCTATCGACGAGTTTGAGGAATTTCGACAAAGAGCCTGTTCCGGAGGTTCTTTATATAGTTCTCAAGAACTTTCTAGGCGGAGAAGTACTTTAAACACCGATTGCGAATGTTCCGATTGGATTTGTCGACATAAATCCGTTTCGCTAAAAGCTTCGAATTCTTTACGCGTAACTGCAAGTGATGAAGATGACCTGAGGAGGTCAAGATCTCTTCGAACTTCAACTCGGCCTTATCTCAAAAAGGAAGAAACTCCAAGATCGCGTTCAGTTTCTAATAGAAGATCGCGTCGTCGCCTAAAGGAAAAAGTATCCCAAGTGCAAAATCAATCCCCGTCACCTCCCCGACGAAAATCTCGTTTGAAAGGGAATAGCGGAAAGTCACCAGCTAAGAGGCCTAAGTCGCTGAAGATGGGTACAATTGCTCAGCTCATTCAAAGTGTCCATGAGCGAGGACGCCGCTTCTCAGCAGCAAGCACAGACGGTCGGGATATTTTACTAATGCAGGATAAAAACTCGTATCAAATACCAGAATTACAATTCACCCAAGTTCTTTCATTAGATAAAGAGGAAAGGTCTCCTTCTCCTCGTACTTCAACTATAGGGCGAGAGCGCTACGGTAGTGCCCCCGACAATGATATGTCAGGAAGCACAAATACACTTAGGTTGCCTCCCCAATCGCCTACTGTTCAATCTCCTTGTGAAGATCAAATTCGAGTGGCGACTATTCGCCGTAGATCTTTTTCTGTTTCACGGAAAGGGGTTGTTAATCACGAAGGAGATACGGTCGTGTCCAGAGTATTTGGATCATCTAGTTCAATTGGTAGTGATATTTCCGGGGATGTAATTTGTCGTTCACGAGCATCCAGCTTTAATTCTCAAAGTTCTATTGGTAGTCCTGAAATTTCAACAGCTTCATATAAAGTTCTCATGATTGGCGCCCCTGGAGTTGGTAGAACATCGCTGACTAGGCAATTTTTAACAAGCGAATATATTGGAGCGGAAACGAGCTTCGGTAAATATATAAATTCAGATAATTATTTGATACCGTACTAGATTGAGAAGGAGGCAGAGCATTGGAGAGAGAAAGTGAAGGGGGGGGGAAGGTTGCAAATTGAGGACACGCCTAGGTATACGGTTCATTTAGTGCTGCGTCGACATACTAACTATGATGTTAATTAGGAATCGTTTTAATTGTATTTAATAGAAAAAAAAGAATTACTATAATTACAATAAGCAACAGTCTGTTGCTGTTTTATCTGAACGTCGTCGTTCCCATAGAAACACCTTTAATATACTATAAGATTGAAGAGTTAATGCCCTATGTATACAAACGCTGGTGTATCATACCGAGTGTTGTACGTGACGTTTTAAGCGACGCTTGGTGCATAAGCGCGTAAACAAGCGTCCTTTTACTTACGCCTAGTACCCAAACTTGCAAAGAAACCCTTGAATATGAGAGCGAATGAAATGAGTGAAAAAGAAAAGTGGGGTGAGAGGGCGGAGGGTAAGAGAAATTGGAGCAAATTGTGTCGCTAGACGAGCGAGGGCCTATGCGAATCGAATTTATGAATCCTGTTATAAATAGGCCTACGTGATCAGCAAATTGAAGGAAAAAAGTGGTTATTCTTTCCAATATATCTAGGACGCAACCGCGTCGAAATGGCTGGCATGTAAGTAAAGTACTTAGCGTACTTAGCACTCGACTGCGTAGAAAAAAGGTATTTAAGTAGGGAGAAAATGGGAAACGTCAAACAGAATGATGAAAGAAGAATGGAAATATTATGGTGTAAGATATAACAAGTTGTCCAGGACTCGCAACAATTTATATACTGTAAGAGTTAATGAGGGTAGTTTATAAGGAAGATATACAGCAAATATACTTGTACTTTGCATTATGAGGAAACATTAATGTTCTATTATTGTGTTACGTGTTACGGCTATATTAGTGCTTAATGAATATAATACTTGGTACAGATGAGGAGAACGAATGTATAGTTTCTGTAATTTTGGACGGCGAAGAATCGGCTATGGAATTTGTAGACTTGAAATCTTGCGAGGAGGAGGATGCCATCAGGGGAGGACGATCCGCTGATATATACGTTGTCGTCTATTCCTTAATGGATCGAAAGAGCTTCGAAAAGGCTATTGATAGGCTATATGTTCTGAGGAAAGTAATGAAAAACGACAGGAGTATAATTCTAGTTGGGAATAAGAGTGATTTAGTTCGTGTTAGGATCGTCGCCGAAGATGGTGAGTACTAAACTAATATTTTTTGCAAAGGTCGGCCATCAATCTTTTAGAGACGCACCTTTTTCAAACTATATATATAAATGCTGTAGAAAGTGCTATATCAGTATATATATAGTATATATAAGAGTCTCGCAGGCAGAAGCCATATCACCTCTATTATAAAGCCGTCTACTTCACGATTATACTATACGGAAGCAGATTGCATTGGCACTTGTAGTGTATTTATCATTCACTCATCTTTTTTCTATTATTCAGAAGGTCGATCGGCGAGCAAGATGTACGGCTGCAAATATATTGAAGTTTCCGCCCTACTATCACACAAAGTAGACGATCTTCTTGTCGGTATTCTCCGTCAAATTAGATTAAGTGAAAAGAAACAATTGGAAGAAGAGACAAAACACCGAAAGTCGAGCGGAATTACAGAATGTATGGACGACTCTATGGGTTGTTTGGTAAGCAAGTCTCGGCATAAAGTTCTCTCTAGACTCCGTTCGAAACCGTCGAGGTCTTGTGAGAATTTATTTAGCGTATAAGTTATATCGATCGTTTTTTTTTGTGTTGTATATAATATTTATATTCTTTACATAAACAAAAATTAAAGAGATATTTCAAGAAAATTTATACTGAAAGAGGTAACTAATAGTATTATATACGTGTATACGACGGGGGTGTAATAAAGATTATATACAGTATACATATACTGCATAAACTCCTTTTACTCTAATAGTACATAGTCTTTCTTGCTTTCCTTTTTTTTCTTTTCAACTGTAACTTTTTAGTGATGCAATGGTAAAACTATTTTTCATCGATTCGAACACATTATTTGAAATATATAACAAGAGTAAAGGCATCTAATTGGAACCCGTAGGCGCTATGTTCTGCAAATTGCTTCACTTTAACAAAATCCAGCTTCTGTGTGGAAAATTTTTGAGGATAATCTTCTCCTTCTCCTTCCATTAACAGAAACATTAAATAGTTCTTTAGTTACCTGGATAAGTTTTTTTTCTCATTCTCTCTCTCTCTCTCTCTCTCACTCTTTCTCTTGCTATCTTTAACCTTCTAAGCGCCATCTGTGAACGTCTGATCGTCAATTAATTAATAATAATATATGTTTGTATATTATGTTACAAATAGTTTATACATTATAAATAACATTTAAAAATATATGACAAACTGAAGGTAAGACAAATTTGATATTCAATAGTGCATTATAAAATTATTAAAGAAATATTTCAATAGATCATGCTAATGAGTGACATTAGTATTGAAGGAAAAAATTTCCCAAGAAACGGTAATTAATTGTAAAAGTGACAAACTAGTGAAACTTATACATGAGAAAGATTTTAATAAGGCTTTGCACATGTTTTTACCAAATTATGAAGTGATAATTAATGTATCAGTTAATCTAATTACTTAACCAATTACTACATTGGCAAGCCTTGATAGTTTTAAGCAGTAGTTATACACGAAGAAAGCAGGTATAATGAAAAACTATATACCAACGCCCAGTTATATTCTATATGTATATTTCTCATAAACAGAGCATTATATTTGCCTATTTTCCCTTTGTATTTACTAAAGAAAAGAAAATTAAATTGAATCTTTAAAATGTTAGAAAACCGTGCAAACTATGGAATATATTACATAAAAAATACAGGATTAATCTTGTCAATTATATCATTAACAAGGAAAAAAGGCAAACAAACGACTTCTTCCAATTAAAAAGTTTTATAATAGTATTGAAAACTTAATTCATTATTTATCTGAATTCTCTTGATAATTCTGAGTAGTATCCCAGTCATTTTAGATAAGATTAATAGTTTCCTTTGTTTAATTGTTTGCAATTGTAAACATTTTTTTTTTTTTACGTTTCATTTCATCATTTCTTATTCAAAAGGAAAAAAAGACTCTTTAATCTATATAAATAAACATTAGTTATTTATGATTACCTGTTTCTTTCATTCATATGACAAACAAGATTAAGTATTTACTTACCTAAGCTTGTAGAAATCATCCAAGTTATTAATCTCAATCACAGTTCTGTATCATCTGAAGATACAAACAGTTTAAATATTCTTTATACAGTATATATATATATATATATACATATACTGTATATATAAGAAAATGAAATATTCTTCTTCGTCTTCAATAGAAAAGCGGCATCACGTGATTAGTTTGTAAATCTTTTTATTTTTACTATGATATTTCTAATAAAAAGAAAATATATGATTAATTTGGCAATAAAGCAAACTTAATAATTTTTTTGTCCTAAAATTAAGTACATAACGGTTTGGCGAGGTAGAGGATAAAGGAGCTAAGAGCAACATTGAATTGATTTAATATAGTTGTTTACTACTTGATTGTCCCCGAAAAAGCTTATCGATATTATAAACAGCAAACTAATACGAATATTGATTGAGTTATTGTCATCAACTTTTTCAAAGACAACACCGTAAAAATGCTACAGGAAGAAGGAGCTTAAAAAGTTGCAACTAAGTAGATGTTGTGGAAGAGAAGAATGATGGTCGGGAGAAGGAAGAGAGAAATTCGCTCGCATTGTAACGGTCAAAGGGAAAAAGCTGTAAAAATATATTCTATGAGGGAGAGAGTCAGTGAGTAGTAAATGAGATTTTACACTTTTATTAAAGGCGTTAGAAATTAATAAATAAGGAAAATGGAAATGATTTTTTTAAGATCCAAATTATCTTCTTCTTCTTTTTCTTTTTTCCTTTCTCTCTTTTTCATTATTATTACCATAAATCTCATTGCATAATGCTACTATTTTATATACATCTCAACACCCTTTCTAATAGAATATTTCATAATAAAGATTAAGAAGTAGACTGTTTATCATTGTCATTTAATCCATTGCTGAGAGAATGACGATTTATTGTCGCAAGCTTATTTCTAGACTGCAATGTAAACAGTATTACATAAAAATTCCACTTTCGTATTCTTGTGGCTGAGTATTAATTAATAAGAAAAGAAAAGTTAGTAGGGGGTAGTGTTTTATGCTATAAGAAAAGAGGAGGTGGAAGGGGAGATGAGAGAGGGTGCAACATGTGGAGAAGAAGGCTATAGAGGGAAGGCAGGTGAGCTTAAGAAAGAAAGAAAGAAACAGAGAGAGAGAGAACCCGAATGAAGAAAAAGAAAATAAAGGAATACACAACGATTATGTTTTCGTCCAGGACCTCAATACTCCCTTTAGATTATTTACAGTATATTTTGAAAGTTAACGCAAGTATGCGTGTCATCAAAAAGAAACACGAACGGTAGTCCTTTTTCAAAGAGAGCCTCGAGAAAAAAAACTCCTGAAATAACAATAGTAGAAGAGGTTTCTTGATAAAACAGAAATTAACTAAATACATCCTTTTCCAACGTCAATAATGACTATCTTATTTACAAAAATCATCAGATTTTCTTTCTCGTAACCTTTTCATTTGTTTTTATTTTTCTAGTATTTTGTTTATTTATTAATTTCTTATTTATAGACTATATATATATATAAAGAGAGAGGGAGAGAGAGAGAGAGAGAGAGAGAATATAAAGAATTCAATACATTCAAAATGGAATAATTCTCATGAGGGATATTTTTTAACAAGAACCTGATAAATACTACTTTTACGGTGAATTAAGTATCTTAAATACTTTAAAAAAATACACACCTGTACAAATTAGTGAGATTTGCACTGTGTAAGTTTTTTTTCATAGAATAAATTTTCAAAGGATCGAGGTTATTCACCCAACTATACTGTATAACGTTTATAAAATCGACATATATATATACAGTACGTTCTTTACGGTTAATACTAATCTCCCTTTTCCTTGTTTTCTCTCTCTCTTTCTCACTCACACACACTCACACACACACACACACAAATACATTTATACTCCTTTTCAGTCTCTTCATAGACATATTCTCAAACTTTCTTTCGTTCTCTTTTTCTTTCTTCCCTCTATTCATTCAAGATATTTATTATTTGACTTTGGTACGCCTATAATATGCCCTTGAGATATTATATATTAGTCACATACACTTGTTGAAAATTTACAGTTGTACTGAAGCAACGACAGATAGAAAAAAGGTGACCAAGGATAGCTATCGATGTGTTTTCGCTTTGTAAATCGTATTAACCGACTAGAGTGCAGCACCACTGCATCAAAAAAACAAATCGGAAAGAGTTCTTACCCAAGTGAATAACAACTGAAACAAAGTAAGTGTTGCGTTGAAAATTTATACCCTATATAGAGTTTAAAAATTACAAATAAAGAAATGAGATATGAGAGAGATACATCGATTATTGAAATCATTCTCTCCATTCTCTTCTCCGTTTTCTTTCTCTCCTCTTAACTTCCCTTGATGTATATAAAGAAAGATGTAATTATGTAAGAAGCTATTAAGGTTTCCTACGCTTGATTTAGATTTATTCTTTTGGCAGATTTTACCAAGTTCTTTATTGATTGTTATCAAATGAGAAATGGAGACTTTGGGTATTCTTTCATTAATAACTATATTAATAGCACCTTATGAACAGTGTAAAATAGACGTTATAGTTTCAAATACAACTGAATCGAATGTAATCTACCTTACAGCGGGAGATAACGCTATTCAAAAGCAAATTATATTAAATGTAACCAACCTTCCTCATGCTAATCAAGTATCGTTCAAGTCGGATGACTATAATGTTGCATCCTTCGATAATAGACAAAATAATTTTATCCTAATAGAAAATGGATTCCAAAGGATAAATATTAAGATAAATGCAGAAAGACTTGGAATAACTAAAATTAGATTATTGCCATCTGGTGAGAATTCAAATTGTGAAGTTGGTCCACCAATAAAAGTTAAGGTTAAACGACCAAATGCAAAAAAATTAGAGTTGGCTTTTCAGATAACCTTGGGAATTTTAATAGTTTTTAATAATATTGGCTTTGGTTGTAAACTTAAATGGAAAGAAATCAAAGAAATTTTAAAGAAACCAGTTGCGCCAATAATTGGATTTTTATGTCAATTTTTAATAATGGCACCAGTTTCTCTTCTCTTGACCAGAATGTTAAAAATGTCCTCTTATCCATCAATTGGTTTAGTTAGTATTGGCTGTTCGCCCGGTGGAGCAGGAAGTAATGTGTTTGCGGTTTTACTGGATGCAAGCCTAGAATTAAGTATTATTATGACAACCATATCGACTTTTACCGCTCTCGGAACAACTCCATTTTGGTTGTGGGCACTTAGTAGATTTATTATAGACGATGGAGCTAAAATTGAGATTCCAGTTGTTAATGTCTTTACTTCTTTAGCAGCTGTAATTGTTCCAGTTTTAATAGGAGTTGTTCTGACAAATTTTGCAGTCAAGATTTCCAATGTCATCGAAAAATATTTGAAGCCGTTCATTGTTATTATTGGCTTAGTATTTTTATCATTTGGCATCTATGTATACTACTACGCTCTCCAAGTTGCCACTTGGAGAGAATACTTAGGAGTTATATTGCTCTCAAGTATCGGTTATATATTGGGAACTTCGGCTGGGTTTATATTCAGACAAGGTAGAGATAAAGCAATCACTATTGGTCTAGAAACTGGTTTTCAAAATATGGCACTATCTCTTCTAATGATTCAGCTGACATACGATTCGCCAGAGTCTGACCTTGCCGGAGTTGCTCCTGTCATATACATGTTTGCCGGTGCCCTAATACCAGCAGCAGCCGTCATTACACGCCTTTTAGTTAAAATCTATAAAGAAAAAAAATGGCCTTGGATAAAGAAAGTTGACGAAACAACAGATATTTAATAGCATCATAGCGTTCCAATGAAATTTCAATTTTTTGCATGCAGCCGTAACAGTATTGATTAAGCTTAGAGAAGGAATAGTCTTGTTTTCTATTCTCTTTTTCTGCCTATATAGACTTGGGCGTATGAACGTCTAAAAACTTTTTTTAATTCGTCTATTTTAAAGGGGATGAGACACAGAAAAAAAAACTCTGTTGAAAGCAGAGAGAGAGAGAGAGAGAGAGAGAGAGAGAGTAAAGAGAGAATTGATTGCACTTTTAATCTGGAAAATAAAGAGAAAAAAATAGATAAAATAATATGTACTGGTTACAAAAAAGGACTTTGTAATTAATTAATATAATTATGCAAATATACTGCAAAAAAAAAGAAGAGAAATAATGAGTCATTATGCAAAAGAGAAAACATTTTTTTTTTCAGCAACCTCTGCCTATTTCATTATTAGTCATAGTTCTATTTTTGTTTCTTAATACCTCTTTCTCTCTTTTCTTTGTGTCTCTTTTGAAAACTTCTCACCCTATGCATTTTCTTGCTTGAATAAACATCGAACTAAAAAACCTACATAAAATTCTTACTTAATTATTTTATCTTCCTCAAAAAGCACGAAAGAATAATAATCCATTTTCAATTTATCTATGTACAGTAAGCAGTATTCTAGTTTAATCCATTCAATATAATATATATTTATGGCCAAATAAAAGTAGATAAAATACACATACACGTATACTATAATATAAATAAATGAATAAATTCGAGATAAAAATATATATAAATTTATGTGTAAATACAAATAAAAAAAAGTCACATTTGTTTTTTTAAAAAAAAAAATACACTCACTCACACACACATATGCTTTCGCTTTTAAATCTTAATAATTTTCTATCATTCTTTTTGTCTATTCCTCCTTTCGTTTCTCTTATTAATTTTAGTTGAATGGGAAAATAAATAAAATATCATTTTCTATTGAAAATGATTCATTTTTTTTTGATAATGTATTTCTTTTCTTATGGGTTAATTTCGTTAACTACCGATTCATATATCTCCTCCAGAGATTTTTGTCTACAGTGATCTGGAACTCTTTTTGACAAATCGATTGTATGTAAGCCAACTGTTAGTCTTGCTAACCATCCGCCAATTTTCAATCTTCTACCCTTGACGGGTAATATTTTTTTTCTCCATGCAGCGGCTAGTTGGGCTTCGGTTCTTGAATGGGAACTTTGAATGTAATGCCTTGACATGATAACAATAATTACTGGAACAGATTTAACAATTCTTGACAATGTTGAATAAGGATTTACTGCACTCTGAAGTATTTCGCGAGTGGTAACGACGTCAACATTTCTTCCGCGTAGGTAATAGCTGACGCATTGGGCAACCGAAATATCTCTATTATCAAAGGAGATATATGTTTTTGGCGTGGAATAACTATCTTTCATTGATAATTGTCTATTTAAAACAGGTAATGACCTTGAGCCTGTAATATCAACTTCAAAAAGGACGCCTTGGGCAATTTGTCTGATATTTATATCAGCATATTCTTGCTTAGCCAATTCCTCGAGTTGAGCAATAAGCATTGTATCATCTCTTACAGCTTTCTTATTATCGTCAATAAACAGCAGAGTCCACAGCAAGTAAAGAGAATGTTCAAGACTCTCCGTTTGATTTAGCGATTTTGTTGAAAAATGTTCAATAAGAGTTGCCAATAAAGGAAGTGTGTCTTCATAAACTAATGCAGCTGCATTTGTCTCATTCAACGCCAATCGTCTCAAGCCACATAGCAATTCAGAAGGTTTATAACCATTCGATACATCATTTAGGGCGCATTGCTCCAGTTGTTCCAACATATAGCGTAAAAGTCGGTCACGCGAAGTTGTTCTTAAAACATGTGCATTATCCTCATTTACTAGAAAGGAAATTGTCATCATAGCCGGAACCCTGAGAGTATCAAGATGCCCATCCAATTGTACGTAAAGTAATAAATCATCTATCATGCGCATTCCTACCAAAGCATTACGGTTTGACTGATATTGAGCGCAATTGGCTAATATACTTAGTCCCGTTCCAACTATGGCTGTATATTTACCGTCTGTTGTTGATTGTTGTCGAACTCTTGGATCTCTGACAATTTCTTGAACAGCTAAAAGAGCATCATTATCTCTTAATTCATTAGAGAATCTTTCGTCGGAATCTGTCATATTTAGCATATTTGTCAATAGTAAGTCGGTCAGGGCGAACTCTTCTACAAGAGTGTCATTAGTGTGCATTTGTTGCAGTTGTTCTGCCATAGCCTTCGCTAAACCACAGTCATTTAAATATTTCATAAGCATTTTCCTTTGATCTTTTTGAGCTACCTTGGTGGACGCGTACATATTTTTTAAGTATTGAAGTTGGTCAAAAGATGATTTCCTAATTCGAATATTCTCTAAAAACGGTTGTACTTGAATGGGGTCATAGTAGTTTATTAAAAGGGCAGCAGTCCCCGCCCGCCTCTTAAGATCATCGGCAAGATCTTTGATATTTAAAGCTTCAGGAACTACGTAGGGCAGCAAAGCTTCCATTACTTTAGATTTAGCGTAAAATGGCATACTTTTTTCGTATAACGCGCATCCGTGTAAAATACAAACTGATGGTTCGAGAAGGGAATTTGCTAATCCTTTTATAGATTGCGGAGCTTGTAGTATGGAGCAAAGGCAATCTAGAAGACCTCCCTGGCATAGCTGAACTGCAAAAATCTCTGATTCCAGAACAATATTATTAATAATTGCTAACATTTGACGTGTTTCAACAACACTATCATTATCATTCAATATTTCAGATATTGATTTTGTAGTAGGAACTAGTTCGATACATTTTTTTGCATAAATTGTACCCAAATTTAAAAAGGCTAAATAATCACCCAACATTTTTTCTTCGTCGTCATTTGTACAATTCCACAATCTTAAAAGCAAAGCCATATCGTTTGATGAAGCAGTTAGCGATGGGAATTCAGGCTTACCAAAAGGTTGTATTATACTGTCCGATTGACGTATTACATTGTACACTTGTACAAAACCTAGCATAGAAGTTGCTCTAAGAACGTGATCCTTACCCAAAGATTCATTGTTTGCTATATCAAAGAGACTTTTCCATAAAATCGGTCTATCAAAGCTTTTCCATGATTTGCGACTACGAAGGCAATAGGCGACTAAATTTGTGCAGACGTTAAGTACATCACCGTACCTATCCTCCTTTATATTTATTTTATAATTTCTACTACTAAGAAGCTTTTCCACTGCAGCAGAAATTCCATGCTCTACTACGGATTCAGAAAATTGCAGACTTTTGTCAGAGAATAATGAAATAGAAGCAATTACTGGTCTTATTCTCAATTTAAAATCGGACTCGTCTAGAGGTTCTTCGCTTTTTACCGACAATTCAAGCATCGCTTTCGTAAATATTTTTGGTAAATCAGTATATTTCGCTAGAAAGTCGCCAAGGACACCTCCTAACTGTTTATATGCTGCGTAAGTTGCTAACAACATCTCGCAATCACTTAATGTTGGATTCGGACCTAGTTCAGCTTTCGATTTATATGGACATAAAGCCGCTAAACGACTTAAAGCCAAATAGGATAAACCAGTAACGTTTACACTCTTCGACGTTGTTGCATAATAAACCAATACCTTTGAAACTTGCGAATTGTCTAAGAGCCTTCTTGCCATTCGCTGACCACCAATTGAATTTAATGTCGATATGGAGAATGCAACGATTGCCTGCGTTTTATCATTCCTTTCGAAAGCGTCTTGTACTTGATCATTATTTAAGAAATCGATGAGAGGTGTATGTATACCTGCTCTCGTGATAGCTGTACAAAACAATTTCGATACTTTACACATAGCAGCAACTTGGGAAAACCATTCGTTTACATCCGATGACATTTTACCACTTTGATTAAAAGCAGCCCATTTATGTGGACTTAACAGCCAACGTTTTATGTTCTCTACCAAAACACGATGCATTCCAACTTCAACTAACTTCACAGCTTCAATTTGCTTTTGACGATCAGAAATTTGAGTTTGATTATTTCTACGATCAAGAAGTTGACCGAATTGTTGAATTTGCTGTAAAAGTTCAGCTTCAACTCGTGGTTCTCTATTACGAGCAGTCTCCTTTAATTGTATAAGTAATAAAGCATTCGATGCGGCATTTTTCACATCTGAATGATTTAATTCGTTTAATTTTTCTAAATGATTTTTAACAACTTCTTTCATTTCTGTATCCGTAAGTGGATCGATATAAATAACAGATAAAAAATTGCAGATTGAGCATATCAATGACGCATGCAGCTATTTTCAATGAAGAAAAAGAAAAAAGAAGAGAAAACTTATTATTAACAATGAAAAAAAAGAAGTATTATATGAATTTCTAGTTCAACTTACGTCTAGGGAAGGAACTCTATCTGTTCCGTGCCAACTGTAAAATTAATAGAGATATATTTATTTACGAATGTAACTTTCGTTTTAAAAAATAAACAATGCTTACTTTAATATATTTATTAAAACTGTAGCCACTTTTTTTCCACTATCGTCGTCCATATGTTTAACCCATTCGGATTTTCCGTAGGATGATAATAAACGAAACATTTCTACTAATATTCCAACTGTTTTAAATAGACTAACGGAAGTTTCAGTAATTGATCTTTCAGTTAGGAAAGCAGCAGCTTTCTTAAATTCAACCATGAATATTTTAGGTAAACCAACAGCTACGAACACTTTTATAAACTTCGCAGTATTTTCTTTTGTTTCTTGTTCAGAAGAACTACTCTGTGTGATTTCTTCTATATTTGATAAAATTGCTATTGCTGCGTGTTCAACCTGATTTTCTTGTCTGCTTGATAGCATAGCTTCCTTGATCGCTAATAGTAGAGCTTGATGTGGACTTTCTTCGACATCTACTGTTTCCGTAGATTCCGGTCGTTCGATATTCTCGGCTTGAACTATTTGAGTAGTTTCGACTGGCTCAACAGACTCCTGTGACATAGGTGATTCGACCGAAGTGGATCTTGACGAGTGTCGATCATTCTTGAGAGAACGAGGTGGTCTATTACGACTATCTTTAGAGTGTGAGCTGTTCTCGTTTCCCATCTCATAGGTGAATTAGATCTTAAATCAAGAGATTTCCCAGTATTTCGTAGTTTCGTAGTGTAATTAATTGTTCTTTGATATGGTTCCGAGGTGTGATTCAAATAATATGCAGTACGAAGAGTCCAAAATACGAAACCCACATTATCCAAGGTCAATGTCGAAAGAGGCATTTCCGTCCGCGGTCCGGGCATTCGATTTCAAAATTCAATTAAGGCCCATATTGTAATATTTCTTATATATAATCGCAATAGAAAATCTAGGCTTTTATTATGTTCAGGGCAAAGTCCTTTTCCAGAGTTAGAATATTAAAAGAACCAAAAGCAAGTAAACATGAAATCAGAACAGTTTCCTAGGTGGCACTGCTATACGATACTTAGCATTATACAGATGCAGACGATCGCGTGAATCATACGAGCAGTGTCGAACTGCGGGGATTTTTTGCAGTATCGACAGTTAATAGTTGTCGCTGTTTGAGTGGACGAGTGTGATTTTTACTGTATAGGTAAGTACCGCATGTTCCAATATGGTCATTTGAATATTTCAGATTTTTAATTATGCCTATGTGAGGGTCTCGAACTCTTGGCGATATTAGTCTGTTGAAATATTCATAATCTTTAAATAACAGCGATCTGTTTTAAATATACAGATATAAAATATATTTCTATATATAAATAAATCATACACATGCAAATTTATATTTAGTAAAGCTGCGTATGCGCGCAAGTAAGTATAAACACGCGCACGTCTTCCTATTACTACTCTATAGGCTTGCATTGTTGGCGTGCAGCGTCGACCAATCGCTTATCAAAGGTCGTTAGGTGTCAAGAGTGCAAACTGCTAATTAATCTACAAAAAAAAACACTTCTTATCACCTGCATTTCCACCGGAAAGTAAGATAAAAGCCTCGTTTCCGTGAGAAAAATATAGGTCTAGAACAAATAATTGTATAGAGCCATTGTAAACGGAGGACAATCGTTTTCCTCTTCGTATAGGCCCGTAAAGGGATTTAATAAGAGCTGGAAAAAAGGAGCGGTTGACATTAAAAACGAAACGAAGCAAGATAATGCCTGGAATGAATAATGAACGACTATAATAAGAAATTTTTCTTCTTTTGTTCCTTCAGGGCAGGACCATGCGATGACTGTCAATGTTAGTTCAGACGTCTGAAGTAGAAACTAAAACAACAACGCCAATCTCGAACATCACCGTGTCCGGTTTCGCACCGATTAGATGCGTTAAAAAAGACGAGAATGGCGATTATCCTTCAGATTATGCCTTTGTAGTAGAAGTAAAGTGGATGGATGGGAGAGCAAATGTCGTAAAGAGGACTTATCAAGATTTCCATGCTATGCACTACGCCCTCATTGCCGAATTTGCTGAAACGGCCGCTGCTAACGAAAATCCCCGAAAGATTACGAGTTGTTTGCCAGTTCACAAGCCCAGAGAAGCGAATACGATTCAGTTAGCTGAGAAGAGAGAATTGCAATTGAATAAATACTGCAAAGAACTAATTAAATTACCGCCAAAGGTAAGCATGAGAAAAAAAAAAGTAGAACGCATATTGCGTTGGTTATTTTTGTATTTTTCTAGTTTTTTTTTTGTTCTTTTACATAATTAACGTATTATTTACCCGCATTAGTACAATCATTCCAGACTGACCGACGACATCGTCTGTCGCTCATTTATTGATTACTGGAGACGGCGACAGTCTCCTATTTATAAGCGCAACCCCGAATAACCCCTATCTCAATTACAGATTTCCGAATGCGCTACCGTTCTAACTTTCTTTGAAACGAGAAAAGATGACCCTACGCCCTACAAAGACGAAAATGTCACCGAACCAAGAAATTTTATTAAGGACTACGTAATTTGCTATTTGGGAGATAGTGACGCCGATAGTAGGGACTCCTCCTCTTCTTCTTCCTCTTCCGACGACATTGCCTGAATTTAGTATTGTATGCGAAGACTGGTGCTGCCACTGCTGCTGAACGAATTGTAAGGAAGCGGTTTGTCCTACTGCCAATTATACATACGCACCCCCCGCAATTATTATGTACATTGTATTATCGCAAACTTTCACTAGATGGTGCTGCAGTGACGATTTTGTTCAAACGTGCGTGTCACTTTTATAAATCTTATCATGCGTCTATTTATATATACAATATATTTTGTATAATGCATACATAACGAAATGTATACAAATTGATTTATATGTATATATATATATATCAAATGTAACCGTATGCAGGTACCTTGAATATATCGTGTATGTATAGACGTATATATATATATATATATATATATTTATAAAAGGGTCGACCTGATAATTATGCATGCGTTTATGCTAATTGTTGTGCAACGAAAAATAATACATTTGGTTGACGTCAAAGACTTTAAAGCTAGCAATTTCCCTTACTTAAGCTGCCGTCGTCAGATCCTAAGAGAGGAAAAGAAAACAGTATAGTTTTCCTTCAGACGTAAAAAAAAGACATACTACTTTTTTGTACATAGACTGAAGTCTATCTCACGAGACATGTCCTATTGACGCGATAATCAACTAAGGTCATACGAGAATTTAAAATTAGTCTTCATTTAGTTCATGGCGTGTGACATGCTCTACGATTCTGCTAAGGCTGTTATAGACGGTCATTTACAATCATTAGCATTGTTTTTCTTCCAAACTTGTTACGCCTTCTTTTCACCGAAATAGCTATCAAGTGTTGCCATCTACCGCCACAGACTAGTCTATCGCACTTGGTCATGTTTTTGTAATTAGCAATTTTGTGAATTCTTTGATTAAGTGAGTTGGCATTGATAAATGTTTACGATTGTAAAAATGTGTGTTTTTCACTACCCTACGTTTCATTCTAATATCCTCTTTATACTACCTACTTTAGCACGTTATGAATAAAAGAACTACAGGTTACAACAAAGTTCAGCAATATAAAACTCATTTTATTAGTCTTTAACGCCGCCTACCTAAAGGCGTCGATTCAGGATCGTGAGCACTAGCGCCATCGGAAACTCCTGGTATGTAAGTGTCCTGTATAGAATCTTCTCCCAAATTCGAATCCGCAGATTCTTGAATGTACCTTTCATAGTCGCGTTCAGCCATTCGCTTCATCTTATCCAACATAATATTTATGACTTTATAAGCAGTTCGGCGGGTCGTTGATTTTAACATATATGGTGTAGACACAATAGAAGTTACTTCGATTTTGCTTCTTTCGTCGCCCTTGCTTTTTACAGACCAAATATCCTCGACGTGCATAACCGCTAAGATAGATAGATAGATAGAAGGAAAGAAAAAAAGAAAGAAAAAGAAACATCAAGTATCTACAAGCTTTTCAAGAATAATAATAAAAAAAACAAATCATTTTCTATAAAAATAGACATTCTTCTCAATTTCTTTACTTACATTGTAAAAGTCCTTGTGGCTGGAAAGTCAGTGTAACACGATCAAAACGATAATCAATTAGAGCGCCGGTATCGAAGGGCAATGGGGGTAGGATGGGTACGCTATCAAACTTTAAAACGGACGTCAATTTGTTCTTAATGTTTCCGTTTTTCTTTTTAACTGGATAGCCTGGATTCACTTTCATTTCTAATCTAAAAATTCCCAAAAACTTCTCTAAAAGAAGGTATTTCATTTTGAAATATTATAACCTTACATTATCGGATCGATTTCTTCCATGTTCTCCACCATGGAAAGGATGTTAAAAACAAATCGCTTTGGAGCATTTACCTCTCTATTCAAGTTAATTATGGTTGTACTAGATTGTAAGTTCTGGTACACCACAAATGCAAATAAAATTCCGATCAGGAAAAAATTGCTGCTTGCCATGCTTTCTTCCCTTTTTCCTTTTTCTGTAGGATACTTTTGTTGTTTAAATTTTTGCGACTGAAAACGGATACTTTGGACAGTTGATATGTTACGTTCGCCAGTCTTAGACTGATTACTATCTAACTGATAAACTTCGATTAATACCCTTATCTCAGACCGATGGCAAATAATCAAAGTTTTATACATTTGTATAGGCCTATAATTAGTTTTAATGAAAAAAGAAAAATATTTCCTTAATCTTATGTGAGATGAAGCATATGGTGCCTTTATATATTCAAATACGGAATGTATTTTATCATTAGATTCTAAAATGTTCCGTCGAGAGCAACTTCATACCTGTCTAATTCTAACCGTTTGTTTAGCCTTAGGGTCCAGCCTTGCCGGGGATGATGATGATGAGATAGACTCAAATTATTTTCGAGATGGAGATATTACGGAAGATTTTAAGTTAGTATAATTACACGTAATCGCTATTTAAGTATATGTTTCCATTAACTAAAACTAAATTAGGCATATTCGAAAACACCTGGAAGGAATCATCGACGTGAATAAGCACGATATCGAAAAAATGTCGGTACCCCAAGTGCTCTTTCATTACTTCAAGTACGGCACGTTTTTTGTTTTGTTGTTTCCTCTTACCCTTCCAATTTTCGTACCGATTATTTATCTATTTTCTCTTCATTGTCTTCTTTTAATGTACGCTTTCTTTTGTTCTTCCTTCATATACTCTTTCTTCCTTTTCTGTCCACTTGTATCCCGTTACGCTTAAAAGGTCCCACGATTTCGACGATAATAATAGACTAGACGGCTTAGAATTGATGGAAGCGATGAGTCATTCTATAGAATCTACTATGAAGTTACGCTTGGGAGATGATTTTGAAAATGTCAAGGACATGCAAATCAGAAGAAGAGCTATTCGTGAGTTTATTACATAACCCTTGTAGAAAATTACAAGACGCCTTTATAATACATCACACATCATCAACAGGTTTGGTTGACCGAATACTACGCGACGACGACATCAATGGAGACGGTTACATAGGATATAGGGAATTCGCAAAGTCGACAAGACTTAATAAAGTTCTTAAGCGTTTGTAAACTTTCAAATACAAAACAATCTTCCTTAATTGGCTTTTACCGCCTTTCATTCGCTATGGAGCATGCACCTCGTTGTTAAGTCTGCTTTTATTCTACTGGGTTCATTTAATGGTTGCTATAAAAAAACCCCGGCAGCTATTAATTGTGTGTATACACATATATTTTGTATGGGGGCCTAGATGACAAGAGGCCTATAAATAGAAAGAAAATATACTATAGAATCACGTCAGCGGCTAACTTTCGCTTTAGATAAACAAGCCAGTTAAATCGTAACAACAACCCCAGTGTCTTTCATTAAAGAGACGGATAAATCGACCGGAATCAAACTGCTAAATCCGACACCAACAGTTTTTTTTCTCCTAAGAGGTCACGTGACGTATCATCTGCGACCGATAGGTATTGCCCAAGAGATTAGCGCGAAACCGATAGATATAACATATATATTACACCTATAGTCTATAATGAAAGTTTACACTATAGTATGAATATAGATAAGGTTCAGTAGATTTTTTACAGCTCACGTATATCAAATAAATAAACAGGTTAAAATATAAAAACAATATTTAGCCAGGGGTAGGCACTGGCTGATGGTCTGGGGCATAGAGTGTTATTCCTTGCATAGTTGGAGTTCAAGGTAACCTTAGAAGTGCGGGAGGTCCAAATGTTCGATTCTTGGTTATATTCCATACATTACCATTAATGAAATTGTTCTATACGCCTATAAAATAAGCTTAGTTAATTAAAATTATAAAAAAATAGGGCAAAAAATATTCTTGATTGTTGTCTGTCATTAATTAGGGCCGACGTAATTAGATTTGTTTTTATCTTTCGTTCTCCGTATCTAGTTATATATATATATATATACTGTATATGTATATATGTACTTTCCGGTTTGTGTGATGGTCTTTTATTTCTTATCACTTGTCTTTCGCGAATTTACGTAATCCGTCTTTTTAATGACGAGCGACAACCGAGAAGGAAGCGAGAAGAAAAGGCGAAAGGAGATAACGTATTGAAGCGAGCCGTGTCAGGTTGTAGTGACAGCAATGATTCAACTAAGCTGCGTGCAACTCAGTCGGTCGGCTGTGCTCGACGCAAACGCACTCACTCTCGCTCTTCTCCCCTCCCCCCAAGCTCCTTTTATATTCATTTATACATTCTACGCCGAGACGCCGTCATGTGCGAATGTTTCACGACTCAACGTTTACCCTGCTATTGGCAAAGCAACGCTTCGCAAACTCCATATGATCAAAAGTTATCCATTGATACAAATATTGCTTACCGCTTGGATGCTACTAAATTCCCTGATTTGGAAAAGTACAAGAACGAACGAGTTTTGATGATTGATGAAAGTCAATTAAGAGGTAAGAGATTTTTCTCTTTTACGTCAATAGTCTCAACTATTCTTTATACAAATGATGGATAATGCAATGTCTTTGTTATATTGTGTATATATACAAGTTTTAATATAACTTATACAATATAAACAAGAATATAAAGTCATATGCATAGTGTACACTTTTCTAATGGGTATTAATAGGCTGATATGACGTAATTGGAACCGAAAGTTGTTCAGCACCTGGGCGGTGACACAATTGCCGCTTAATGAGTAGGCTCTGAACAAGTTGAACAATTGTATTTGACGGAGATTTAAATGCTAAAAACTTTCACCGTTTGTTTACAGATGTAACCGGCCATGCAAGCGGCTATACAACCGCGACCCTCAACTACTCGACGATGACGTGCGCACAAAGGAGAAGGTTGACTGCTAAACGCCGCTTGACGCCTCAAAGGAATCATTACGCGTTTCCGCCGCCTGGTATACGGTCCATCGCCGCTCACGTTCCACCCATAGCTAATCCTTTGTCGTCTACCACAACGCCTTCAAGTTGGAGTAATATCAACAATAGAACAAGTAGCAACAATAATACAAAAACTAATCGATTAACAAGACGATGTTCCTGCAATTCACCATACTGCGTACCTTTTCGACACACATCAATGTTCAATGAAGTGCCGACAATGTCTTTCCTCATTAGAGAGCAACAATTTACAGATGGCGTTGGTGGCAATTGCCAATGCGGAGCTTGCCAGTTGGCTTCGAGGAGAACTTCTCACGTCTTCTCAAACGCCGTCATTTGTAACTGATTGCACCTGCCAGAGGCGTCGTCTAACGCTCAATTATCAGCTGACACGTTGACGCGTTTGGTTAAGGAAAAAAATTGAGGTTGAGAGTGAGGAATATTAACCTGTACATGTACATAAACAATTTTCGACATTTTTTCCAACTGATTTAAGCTTGAAAGAACTATCCAGCTATTTATTTCTTTCTTTTCTATACCCATCTTTTCTTTTTACTCTTATAAATTTTATACTTCTATTGGAAATGACAAGAAATATGAATAGAGGAAGGGAGTATGATACAAAGAAGAAAAGAATCTCGTTTTTTTAATCTGTTATACTATTTTTTTTATATACAAAAGGAATAAAGAGAATAAACTAGCAAAAAGCATTAATAAATAAATGAATGATAGTTGGGTATGTCTTATCTGCTCAATGAGATTCGGTCATGGGCATCTGTTTTTAGCCAGAAGGGAGAATCGGACGTAAATGGAAATGGAGTGTTTCAAAGACCACTCGCCAGCATGTTTTCTTCCCATTAGCCTGCTGACGACAGTCTAAGATTATACATGAAATATTTTTAAGAACGTGTATGATCAAATTTAAGTTCAGTTATCATTCTCTCCCTCCATACTCTCTTATCTCATTTTCTTTTTTTTTAATTTTCTCCCCCCAAGCTATTTCAATTTCTTCCGGATTAGATCTAATTAACAGTTCTCTTCAGTGATTCATTTCACTTGTTTGCAGACGTTTGCATGCTTTATCCAATGATAGATGCATTTAAAAGCTACGTTTAGAAAGAGCTACTAGTTAATTCATGACAACTGCCGACCGAGCCGGAGGCAAGGAGTTCCGTGTTGACGCAAGGCATAGTCGATAGGTCACGTGACCCGCCTGCTGTTCTTGCAAATAAGTCGCCATTCCGCCGCTAATTCTTTCCAAACAATTCTTCAATACTCGACACCTGATTTTGTAATTTCGAACGTGACTTTTAATAAATTCTTGCCAAAACAGATGGCGCCTACGGCGCTAATTTTCGATTATCGAATGAGGCTTAACGGAGAAAGAAAAGGCGAGAAAAGGTGGGTAAAAGTGGCAAAATAAGGCCTATTACGGAAGCACGCTTCACCAATTTGAACTCATTGAACACTTTTTATGCCTAATTACTTTGGAAAGTCATTGCGAGTGTATTGGAATTATAATGATGATAAAAACGATATTGAACTATCCTATTTTTTATTCTATTGTCGATATATTATATTATAAAAGGAAAAGAATTCTCGTTATTTTCAAACAAAGTTCTTGTATATACACTCACTACAAACATAAAACTACGTTCGACCCATGTACGATTATATGAACGGTATATAAATATATACATATGAATACATACAAATTATACGTAGAAGGGAAATATATTTGTATATATAGGAGAAAAATACAAAGAAGAAGAAGAAGAAGAAAAAGGGCGGAGGAGAAGGCAGATATAGAGAAGTTGTTGAAAAGAAAAAAATAGATGTATCTAGTAAATGAAACAATTGCATAATTTACGTATAATTTTAATGTATATATATACTGTATATACTGTATATGTGTATACAATATGTATATATACATGTATATGTACTGTAATTCTGTAAAAACAAGATCAAACGTACATTTTCCTAGACAAAAAAGGCAAAAAGTTGGTGTACTCTTATTTTGTTACTTAATTAAGATGATCTACATATACTTGTACGTAAATATACGTACTATGCATATACAATATATATTTATACATTTACACTGCACATTTTATAGACATACCTTGAAAAACAGACAATTTTTTTATAGTATACTGTATGTTTATATACGTATATAAATTATATATTTTCGGAACGGAAACAGAACCTATAAGCGCCGTTAGACTCTTTATTGAGTCATTCTTCTGTACAGCATGTGCAGGATTTGTCGTTTCTTTTTTTATAAATTATTTTAGGCACCATATAGAGAAACAAAACAGTCGCGTCAAAAAGAACAATTAGAGTTGGATTATTTTGATATTAAGCAATAAGTGGGGAACAATCCAACTTCTTTTATTTTGTTATTAATTTTTATTTGTGTTGTTGTGAAATGTTATTTTTTTTCTCAGGTTAGATGCATTATATAGGATAAACTATATATATATATACCGTATATGCGTATATATAGGTTTAATTATCACAGTCACTCAATGCGTGCATTTACGTACATTTAGTCAAAGACTGACATCTTTGAATTCTTCAGCCGAAGAAAGACGTCAAAAGCCGAAGTAGAATAAAAAGACTGGCATAAAATTGAGTTCTACACGCGCAGCATGGATTACCACGAAAACCAAACAATTCTAGTTTGTAATTTAACCATAATCCCTTATTCAAATGGCAATTGCTAACAGCCATACGCCAAGATTCAGGCCTTTCGAATGCCCTCTCCTTTTCACAAACGACCAATGATCCCTGAGGAGAATCAACAGTGTTGCAGCCATTATAATCGGCGTCCGACCGTAAATCTATCTGACGTTGTCCGTCTCTGCCAGGGGGAAGAACGTAAGTCTTTTCGTGGCACTGCATCTCCGATTTTAATTTGCGAGCTTCTGCATCCGTATAGAGAAGGATCTTTTCAGTTTGCATATCATACGGATATGAAAAGGAAAAACGAAATCCTCCGTTTCTGTCCACCGTGAAATTCGCTAACCATCCATACCAACTGGCCGTCGTATTAAGAACGCCTTTAATTACGCAAATGTTTTTCTCATCCTTTTGACCGCCTTTGACCGAATGTAGTCTGTCAACGCTGGATGGGTGTCTTAAAGGAGGATTTAAAGTAGTTGGATGATGGCCATTTCTGCATTTTGCTACATGACCCTCAACATTAAGTTCGTAACGCAAGTTGAGACCGGATTTATCATCGGCACAATGCGATACGGCAATATAATACCTAGTTTCCATTGACTCTACAGGAGGGTTGGGGTCTAATGATATACCACCTTTACAAACGTACATATCAACACTACCAAATTTTTTCTCTTTGAAACATCCCGAGTAAACAAAGCGAGGAGAAAGATGAAGTGGATGATCCTTGAGAGCTCCGGCCTTTTTTTTCTTTGAATAACAGGTCATATCCTTAGCCAATCCATGGACTTGATCGTCAGTATAAAATAACACTGTTGGACAGCAATGATTTGCCGGGAAACGAAAATCGAACAAAACTCTTCCACTACGTCCGATGGTAATATTTGCTAAAAATCCGTACCAATCGCCTCGGGTCGTTACATGACCCTGAAAGATGCAAGGTTTTGGATGGTAAGAGCTGACACCCCAAGATCGCGAAGCTGTGGTGGTGGCGGCGAGTAATGAGAAAAGAGTGTAGACGAAGACATCGCCAGCCATCGGGCATTACGCCGAGTCGATCTGCAGTACTGACTGCAGTGGCTTATGACGCTAGACGGCGTTGTAATCGACCAAAGGCACCTGGCTAGCGTCACTGCAATAATATAAAACGATCGACAAATCCTTGCCGGCCTTCCCCCTTTCTTTCATTTCTTTATATTTAAGAATAATCGTAATATGGATGCGCAGTCGAGACCGCTTATATCGGGAATATCGATTCCTTCCTTCTTTTTTACTTTCTCATAACTTTGTACTCATAAACACCATCTCTAATGGGCGAATTAGCAGGGCGGAGCGCGCAAAATATATAATATAAATCTATATAGATATATTGATTCTTCGAGACGGTCAAATTCCATTTTATACGGTCGTGCAGATAAAAGAAACATTCTACACCAATACTTAATTGCATCGGCTGCATCAAAAGGCCTCGTACGATATATATATATATATATGTTTATATCTATACATGTATTCTTTTTATCAACAGTGATATGCTGTATATAGTTCATATATAAATATGATGTCTAGATAAACTAAACATATGATATATATATATATATATATATATCACATATAAATCATATATATACAATACATATATACTAATATATATATACTATATTTAATGGGTATGTATACACAGAGAACGTTATATTTACTATATAAAATAGTGTATGATCTCTAGCTTTCTCCCTCCCTCCCTCTCTCTCTCTCCTCTACAAGATGAATACATCTCTGTGTTTCTTTCTATATACATAGGCACATATAAATGTAAATAAACATAGTATATATATATATTTATAAGTAAGGTTCTACTAAATATCACCTGACCAAGCAAACAATCAAGAAGCTATGATAATATTTAACAGTGCAGTTGTCATAACTTATCTGACATATGATATCACTTGCTATATCAAAAGGGTGAGATGAAGACTCTATATTTATAAAATTCCCTCAGCGACGCCGCCTTTCGCCTCCCATACATAATTTACAGGGCGTTTTTTCGTATACATAATTAGAAAATTTTTTCACGGTAAAAAAAACGCACTTCGGTAGTCCTAATCGATCAAAGAACGAGCTAAATCAATCAGCGAATTGCTAAATGTAAAACGGCGTTTAAACAACGCTCATAAAGAAATATTTCTTTTTACTCTTATCATTTTCCCTCTTTGTACCAATGTCTCGCTTCATACTGCTATACAAAGCTTTATTAGCGGATCGTTGCGGTCGAGCCGAAGGTTACGCCGTCAGACATCGTTAGCGAAAAGCGGCCAAGGTATAGGAGCTCTCCTAGGAATAAACGCTTGTCACGACAATTTCCTTTCCGACTTGAAACGGTGCCGCTCGAGAGTTCTAAAGGCGCTAAACTCTATCGACTTGACCATTCGTCTCTTTCGAAATATAAAAACCTATAGACTGATTCGAAAACAACCATTTAGACACGCCTATAAGATTTTTTTGCTAGTATGATATGCGTAATCAGCAAACTGCATTGTGTCACGCAAATATTTTGCTTAATTACGAGGGCGTTAAGTGTGACGTTTTGTGTTTGCGTAGTCATCATCATATAAAAGTTTTCTTTGAAATATTAATCTTTATTCCGTATATCTTTAGTTTTTATAGCAATTGAAGTTGTTTTACTTTGACACTTCGTGAATTGCCTTGGCAACATATTCAACATTTTTTGTAGTAACTCCCGCCATCGAAATGCGACCGTCTTTCGTCATATAAACGTGGAATTCTTTGGTTAATCGTTCCACCTGAAAAGCGATTGCGTAGGATATTGGACACTTATTAAAACTTAGCACACTTTGTTACTAACCTGTGATGTATTTAGACCAGTGAAGCAAAACATTCCAATTTGATCAGTGATGTGAGACCAGTTGTGAGAAGAACCCAATTTAGCCAAGTTGTCGACGAGCAGTTGTCTCATGGAAATGATGCGATCGGCCATAGTCACTACATCAGACATCCACTTTTGTTTTAACTCTTTGGAAGAGAGAATTTGCGTGACTATTCGCATTCCGTTAATCGGCGGATTACTATACAACGGTCTAATAAGTATTTTCAGTTGACTTGTAACTCTTGCTTGCTCTTCGGCTGTTTGCGACACAACTGTAAATGTACCTGCTCTTTCGCCGTACAGACCAAAATTTTTGCTGAAAGATTGAGCAACGACAATAGGTATGCGTTCGGATGCAAAGTGACGAATAGCAAAAGCGTCTCTGTCTGTATCACCGCTGGCAAATCCTTGATAAGCCATATCGAAATAAGCTAAAAACTGCTTTTTTTTAAACAGCTGGCTCATTTCGCGCCAATTTTCAGGTTTTGGATCTATACCAGTAGGATTATGAGCACAAGCATGAAGTAGTACAATAGAATTGTCCGGTATGCGTGACAAGTCCTCCATACAACCTTCAAAGTCGAAACCAACTGTTTTCGGATTATAATAGCGATACTCTTTCAATTCTAGGCCAGCGTCCCTAAAAATCGGCTTATGGTTTCCCCAAGTTGGCGTTGGCAAATAAATACATTTTGATGGTTTGTACCAGCGGGAGATAAACTCTGCACCAATTCGAAGAGCTCCAGTTCCAGCAACAGCTGCTGTTGTAGAGTTTAATCCTTCTTTGACAACCTCTGAATCTTCACCAAATGTTAATTGGGCACAATATTTAGTGTATTCGGGAAATCCTGCAATTCCAGCATATTCTTTTTCCAGTTTATTATCGGTCATAATCCTTTCAGCTTCTCTTACACTTGGTAAAACCCACGGTTTTCCATCGTCATCTCTATACGCTCCAACACCCAAATTGACTTTGTTTGCACTCGTATCGCTCTTGAAAGCCTCTGTAAGACCAAGAATAGCATCTGGTGGGCCCATCTCTACGTTTTCCCATGTTGATTTTGGGCATCTGAACCAGAAATAAGACAAATTCGTAAAATTTTTGTGTAACTTATCATTGTTACACTTGGACAGCTTAATATAGATTTGGAGATTCGCTAATCTGACTTACCCGATAATTCTCGAACTGTAAACGCTGGCAAGTTTCGCGTTCGAAAACAGGTATTTGGAAATATTTGTAGATTTTCTGAGGAATACCGCCATGTCGTAGAGTGTCAAGGACCTTCGGAGGGTAAAAGTTTTAAACCAATCGTCTGATTGCTTACAAACCTTTCAACACCAGTTTGTTGAATTTGCTTAAATCATAAATGTAAAAAGCAATTAAATTTCAAAATTCGAAAGAATTTTTATTCACAAACAACCTTTTCCCGAAAAATGACAAGAAAACTGTCCAGTAAATTAAATTCTGACGTTAGTGGCTAGAGATTTATAATCACGTGACCTAAATTCTGACCAATCGTACGACTTTTTACAAATTTAGAAGGCGTTTCCGTTTCCGTTCAGAATTGCTTTTTTTTTTTTTAAAGGAAAAAATTTGTTAATTATTCTGTAAGTTTTATTACAATATAGTCATCTAACGCTCACATCGACCTTCAAATAGATATATATCATTGAGACATGTCGAGGAAGCTAGTGACCGAAGTCGATTTGGAATGTACCCAGCTTACAGAAAAGACACCGGATGCATTGAAGAGAGATGTCAATGAAATAATTACCCAAGAAGATTATATTGATGCAGGTAGTTGTTGTAAAGTAAAGGTCCAAGTTCAAGGAGATGTCTCGAGCAAAAAGCCAGCAATTTTTACTTTTCATGACATCGGATTAAATGGTATCTTGAAGAGCACATGTTTCTTATCTAGATTATACGCATTTATCCTTTTTATGTCCATCACAGCCATGAGCACTTTTGGAGGATATTTCAACTACCCAGATATGATTCCAATCTTAAAGAGCTTTACCATTTATCATATTAATGCACCAGGCCAGGAAGATGGTGCACCGTTGTTCAGTTCAAAGTAAGCCCATATTTATTATTTATTTTACAATCTACTAGGATAATCAATTTTATCCAATTTCGATGAGACTACGTAAACATTCACCGTTGTTACCATGATATCATTGACCTTGACGTTGTATGATATACAGTGGCTATGCGAATTGTAAGTTTCCCTTTGTAAACTCAGTCAAGTATAATTATAGATCCTACGCTCGTCGATATCGTATCGAAGAAGGTTACTTTAATCTTTGTCTTCAAAAATTTTGGTTATTCATATATTCTTGATGAATAATTTATAAGGGGGAAGTCCGTATATGACAGAATCTTAAGTGTTAATAGGGTCGCAAAAATCGATTTAAAGTTGATTAAAGTGAAGTTATAGCCGCCGGCTCGGGCGTTCAATAGTATTTAGCTAATGCGACCCAAATTTAGATTGATTCGATAATAGCATGTTGCGGGTTATCTGGTACAGTTAATACTTGATGTGTATTGAACTGCACTCGACGGTTAATTTCATCTACTTTAGAAGCTTAGAACGGTCTTTGTTAAAGTTCAGTTTGTATTTTTTTCTTTTGAAAAGTTAAAGCAGACGGTTGATTTATTTAAAAGTACAGTTTTTTATTTTTGTTTGATAGAGTGAAAAAAAATAGCACTTAATGCAAAGCCATTAATTTTTTTTCAAAGTTTTATTTTCTACAGAAGCCTAATTCTAAAATCCATAAGCTAGAGTTAACAACAAGGGACGTTAAATGGAGATAAATTTGTCTTTTGTTCTAAATTAATTAATATTTGAAAGTATTCATCTATTTTTTTTTTTCAAGGTAATTTATTGTACAAAATATCTTAATATATAAAATTCAAGAGCTAACACATAGCCATAAAATCTACTGAATAAAAGATACACTTTAGTCAAACATCTTAAAATGTTACGTGATCTGAAATCGGTAGACGTTTTTAAAGTGTAAGAAAATTTTATAAAGATATTGAATAAACTAGCAATAGAAATTGTTAAGAATTGCTTTACCCTTAATAGCTAGATACTTTTAAAGGATTTCCTTTGATTTTCTTTATGTACACAAGTCACGAACTATGTACACCTTATTCTATATCTAAATTAAGCAACTATTGATATTCTCTACGATTTATCATACTTTATTTATAAATTAAGAGAATAAACGTTATAACAATGTATATGTCATATCTGCAAGGGTTTGTTCAATTTTATTCCACTTAATTCATCTCTACGTTTTGTTTTCTAACTATACATCGCTCTTTTGACGTGAATGTTTACGAAAAGAGTACACGTTCGTGAGTCTGTATAGCTTTTGTTTGATTATCTACTTGTTAGTTCATAATTTTTTCTCGACATTGACCGAATGACCCTTTTCACATGATTAAAAGGTGTATCATCTCTAATGGAAAACCTTTTGAAAAGAAAAGATTCTTTGTCAGATTTTCATCTCGTGTGTAATTAAAATGAATAAATGCATAATACTAATACTATTCTAATGCTATAAATGTATTATAAATACTATTCCTTTTTTACCACAATTGTTCTTATTATATTTACTGTACTTATATTATTAAAATCATCCTTTATCTTCAGATTTATATATAGTTTATAGAGTATATCTTTATATATATACAGAATAAGCGTGTGTGTGTGTGTGTGTGCGTTTATTTATATCTGTATAATGCTATTTTTTATAAGAGATTATTAAAAATTAAAAATAGCCAACCACGTGAAGTCATTGTTTCCGTCGATGCACAAAACATCTATAGACGCAGGTTTTTTACGTGTTAGGCGAAACTTATTTACTTTGCACGTCAAGTTTATTTCGTATCCCGTAGGCATTGCGTGCTTGTAGTTTAGATGGCATATGCTGCTGTCTTTATATCATAACTCTTATCTCCTCTTTGTTTTTATTCCATTTTCGTTTTTATTTGAGCCTGTCGACTAGGTTTCTATCCTCTTTGATATTCTGTATATTTATTTTGTAAGCGTTTTATCTTGTTATCGCGAATAACTGTTTTTGTTGATTTCATCAGTGTAGGATTGACGGAAAACAATTCGAACCTCGAAGGAAGGTTTGTGTGAATGTTTTCACTTGCATGTTGATTGGGTTTTATTTCATTTACATTTTTATTTACTTATATATTTTAGTTGTTGCTGTTATTATTATATTCATTTATTCAGTAAATAAAAACAAATATAGAATATATTGTATATTGTACATTATATCCACGATATATTTACTTCTTTTATGCTTTTATGGTCAGTTTTTGTTGTATTCTTATTTATATTCTTCGGTTTAGTTTTGAGAATATATAAATTTATATATATATATATATATATCAAGAAAATTTGGATAAAACTTGACAGTGATTGATTTTTCTTTAAAGCGATACCTATCCTTCCATGGATAAACTGGCTGAAATGATTTGGTTCATCATGGAGCATTACAAGTACGACTTCGATATACTTTATACTAAATTGAATAACGTGCTAGTAAAGTAAATAATTGTGAACTTGTTAACAGCATCGACCGGTTTATTGGATTCGGTTCTGGAGCGGGAGGGAATATTTTATGCAGATTTGCGGTAAGAAACACCAGAATCTTTTCCGAATTGCCAGCAAAATATTTTGATAGAGTAATTTATTTGCAAGGAAACATTTATCTAGATAAGTCTATATCCTACTTATTTAAGCTTATATAGAGGATGACTCAAATAATAAGGAGATTTGAAACTTTAGTAACGCCCTCTGACAAACCATTTGATGTCACTTAATGTCAATACCATTTGCGGCTTAAAGTTGTATTGCACTTGTAAACATTAGGTAGAGATGGATCGTTTTTATTTATATTAGTTCTTCAGTTTTTCATAAACAATAAATGCTACTGGGAAAGTTTATCTTTATTAATTCAATAAGATACCATAATCCTTTGGCTTAACAGACTTTAGCTTCCTTCTTTGACGCAAAATAATAATACCGACTAAGAGATGTTTAATTTAATTACTGCCTCTTAGTCTTTGTTTTGCTGGCAAAAAGTGGAAGAGGGAATTTCTGAACTTTGTCTCTGTTCTATTACGAAAGCTTATTTCTAACAGCTATCTCATCCCGATAAAGTGGAAGGTCTGATTTTGATCAACTGTACAGCATCTAAAGCCGGTTGGACTGAGTGGGCGTATCAAAAGGTAATTTTACTAAGAGTAGAAATATACAGTACAAGTATATAATGTTGATACATTAACGCATGGCTTAGTTAATAGGTGTTGAAATATTTTAGATGAATATTTACCACTTGTGTCGAGGCCGATTGACAGATGGAGTAGAGGAATACCTTCTGTGGCACTGGTTTGGAACTAAGACGGTAGACACGAATTACGATTTGGTTAACGCTTATTCTACATATATTAAACACATCAATCCGTATAATTTGGGACATCTTATTGATTCATATGTGAAACGCACTGATTTGGACATCGTCAGAGAGGTTTGTAAACTTTATTTCATTACAGTTGTACGAAAGGCGCAAAGTGACGTCCGCAAGCCGTTTTGAGCTGATTGCATTAGAATGTTTGTACTAGAATTTAACGAATGCCAGTGTGTCTGAAAACCGCTCTGCTATTCGTCAATTGTATCGGTCTATTATCGCTTATCGTCTTCCTTCCAAGTAGATTTACTGTAGCTCGTTAATTTTTTTTCTCTTGTCAAGGTTTTACCATCAAAGAAAAAAGCAGCTAGGATGATACGATGCCCTGTTATGCTAGTCACGAGCGATCATTCGCCCCACCTAAATGACACTGTGGCTATGAACGCACGTTTAGATCCAACAAATTCCACTTGGATAAAGTACGATTGCGGTGGTCTTGTCTTAGAGGAGCAGCCCGGAAAATTGACTGAGTCGCTACGTCTATTTCTTCAAGGAATGGGATACGGTAAGTAAAATTATCAAGTTAATCTAATTACACAATCTCGTGCTGTTTCTGTGATTGCGTTGTCATCTCTCGTATATAATTGCGTTTCAAAGGTTGATTTTCGGAAAGTTGATGGTAGCTATTTTTTTCTTTTATTTTTTCAGTCATATCACTAAATTCAACGCGTATTGCTGAGGAGAAGAGTTCCATTGTGAGTGTCTATTATGATGTTTTATTTTCCATTAAACAATTCTTTTGGTCAATTTCAAAATGCGTCAGCGTTTGTGATTTACATTTTCGTAAAAGACTGAAAAAAAAAATATTCCCTTTGCTAACTTTTTTTTACTAATCATTAGCTTTTGATCGTTTTATTATATACTGTACTAGAAGAATATTCCTTTTTTTATTTTACTTTATTACTCTCTTAGTAAGAGAGAAGTGTGATCTTGATAAAGATAGTGCTTTCTTTAAGCATGCATGACAACTGATGCTTGTAGCTCAGTAATAATTTTAGTTTAACATGTTAAAGAAATCATGTACTTGAAATTGTTCTCTTATTTCAAATAATTTGTTTTATCTTTTACAACAGTGCCGTCTCTCCGCAAAACTCAATTAGCTCCACGAAACTTTGAATTTCATTACCTGCCAAGAGGAGCAGCCTCATCGTCTAGTTCCAGTAAAAAGGTGGATTCAAACCCCGCTTCAGTCTATGTAATTGGCAATGCAACCAGGGTGTGATCGTCTTTTTTATTTGCATACAGTGCGATTGTTTATAATGAATAGAATTGATTACATGTTATTTGTTGGAACGTGAATTGTTTATTGTCCATAATTGTACATGAGCGCTCGAAAGTGTTCCATAAAACGTTCAATGAATGTTTGTTTGCTACATGAAACGAGCGTAAATTACAAATATAACGTAGTTACATAATATCAATTGTTTATTCAATATTGACCCTATTCAAGTAATTATATTGATAATAATTATCCTTATTTTCGTTTAAATCTGCCTTTCTGCAATCACGAATTCCGTTTTCCTTAGTAAAAAAATAAAACAGATTTAATCTATAAACTGTTTAAAAAAACTAAATGAAAAAAATCGAATATCTATACTAACAACAACTTGAAAAGGGGTTGTTTTTAACGGCAAATATGGATGCTTTTTTAACGTTGCTAGACGGCAAGTTCCATTCCAAGATAGTTGAAGCCTTGAATTGCATAAGTGATTCCATTGTTCGCCCAATGCTGCGTTATGTTCCACAGTAACGTGATTTGTTACTACTATCTGTTCTTTTCAATATGAGACTGGCATTTTGTATTAGATAAACTTATAAACTTACAGCTACGGAATACTTTTGGGCAACGTTAAATAGTTTTTGCGTGATATCAACCAATTCTGTTGTAGATCTTCTTTGCTCTATTTTCTCGCAACGAATTGGAAACGCTATGCTGTCGATGACGATTAATCGAATCTACGAAATCGTAAAGTCTACTCAATCATATATAAAACTTAGCTGTCAGCTTACTTAAACAAATATAATTTTCTATAATTTACATAATTATTACTTCAATAATACACTTGCGCCATCTATTATTAGGAAGGGAGAATGTTTGTGATTTTTTACAAACCTTTTTATTTGATTCTATATATGATGCTAAGCAGTTAACGATTGCTTTTAATTCCAAGTACCCTAGAACCCTTTGATAATGAGTGCTGAATAGTAAGTTTTCCGTCTCCAAAGAATCTAATTTCGTCCTGTTTTCTATCATGAATAAAAAGGAATTGGATTTGTTTAAGTCATAACAATGACGTGCATTTGCTTCTATATAACTATAGAACACAAGATTCCCTCTACCTTGAGGCATTGGAGCGTGTATATTCTTACACTGTCGTACCGTTGCAGCAGCAATCTGATTCATCCTTGATGCTGTAAAACTACCTTCGGTATCAATAAACATGCTTTCGCTTTCTAAACCCCTGACGAAATTCGGTAACTGAACATTAACGCAAATCTGCATACTGTTGTGAAAAAGTAAAAGTGAGAAGTTATAAATAAACCCATATTTCCTGTAATTATTCTGTATAAAAATAGTTCAAGCCATTCTATATTTAACTATACAAAGACACGTCGAGAGAATAACGTAGATTTTTTTCCTTTATAGTTCTATGAAAAATTCGGAATATTAATTTAATTAAGTCTGTATCTTTTGGGGAAAATTTGACATTCGCTAAGAGAATAGTTATGAAATCCAATTAGTAAAGATTGAGAAGATAAATACAAAAAGAAAATTTGTACTTGGAAGAATAAGATATAATTAGTACATGCATCTTCAGTAAATAGGCAGAGAAAAAGCAATTAGTCTAATTATTTATCATATTGAGCATATTATTAAGCGATAGACTCAGTAGCGTTCAGACTCAAGGTGGTGATAATAGGATTTTTTGTATAAGAGTTTTCTTAATAAACTAATGTAGTTATAGGATAAGCTGTTTAGAGATATTGTACAAACCACAGTTGAGTTTTTCCAATACCAGGCGGCCCAACAATTTCCGTTAAGTGACCGACAAGGAATCCGTTACCCAATAAGGCATCTAGGTGATAGGAAAAAGTCATGATTGAAGGACATTCGCTTTGACGGGGTGGACAACTAATTTTAGGCTGTTGTCTTTTTCTAATTATATCTAATATTCTCTTCGCATCTTCCTCGTCTATTTCTAATTCTGTTTTTTTAAAACATTTTATAACGCTTTATATATTAATAAGACTAAAACTAACCCGTTGATAACTGCTTTGGGCTATAATCAAAAATATTTCCAACAGTTTGAAAACCACCTTGTAATAGCTTTTTTATGTCACTTGGTGATAAAGGAAAAGAAATAAGAGGGCGGAAATTGCAAGGTTCTAAGTTTCGATCATAATAGCTCATTATAAAGTTTAAATTATACTATTATTGCTATTACACTTGATAGCCCAATTTTTTAAAATATAGTATGGAAAAACACACATGAATACCGGTTTATTTTCAGTTTATTTTTCTTTTTTTCGAATAAAAATTATTTGGCGGGAATGACTTATTTTATAATTAAAAGCATTTTCGGTGAACAATTTCGGGACCGAATTCATCGTATTCTCCTTTGGATATCCACATTTCTTCAAATGTTGATAAGCTGGCCAGTATCGAACCTCCGATCCAAACTGAATACTTCCTCTCTGGAGGGGCTATCACTCTTAATTTAACATTACTTGGTGTCATGCTCATCAATTCCCTCTGAACCCTATCAGCCATTCCTGGATACATAGTAGATCCACCTGAAAGTACGACATTAGAAAAAAGTTCTCTTCGTATATCGACGTCACATCTAAATATAGAATCATAAATCATCTCTTGAACTCCTTTTATCTCTAAACCGGCAAGGGCTGGACGAAATAACAGTTCAGGGGCTCTAAACCTCTCATCTGCTATAGTTATAATTTGTCCGTCGGGTAATTCATACGACTTTTCTAAGCTTGAAGACGAGTTGGCTATTCGAAGTTCTTCATCGAAATTCGATGCCACGTAGCACAATTTCTCTTTTATATCTCGAACTATTTCCATTTCACTGCTCGTTTTAAGTGAGTATCCCCTTTCACTAAGAATCCTACTTAAATATTGGCTAATATCCCTGCCAGCTAAATCAAGACGATCTATTGCATGTGGCAGGGAATAACCATCATAAACTGGAACCGTATGACTAACGCCATCCCCAGAATCAAATACTATTCCTGTCGTTCTCCCTGCCGAATATAGGGACAAAACTGCTTGTATTTGAACATGCATTCCGGTAACCCGGAACTTTTCAAACATTATCTACGAATTAGCAAAAAAAATCGATAAGAGGAAACACCTACAAAGAAAATTAGGCCTATTCTCACTTCTGTCATCTTTTCCCTATTTGCCTTAGGATTTAGGGGGGCTTCAGTAAGAAGTACAGGGTGCTCTTCAGGGGCTACTCTGAGCTCATTATAGAAAGTATGATGCCAAATTTTTTCCATATCTTCCCAATTGGTTACAATACTATGCTCTATTGGATACTGGATGCTAAGAATACCGCGTTTTGCCTGAGCTTCGTCTCCGACATAAGCGTCTTTATTACCCATACCGACAATAATGCTCTATAAATTTGTTTTTGTATTGTTTTGTAATACATTTTAATGTATAAAAATTATTAAATTGTTTATTTTTTTTACCACATATCGCGGTCTTGCTACTATTGCTGGAAAGACGGATCTAGGGGCGTCGTCTCCAGCAAATCCGGCCTTAACCATTCCCGAACCATTGTCTATTACAATTCCAATTTCGTTTTGCATTTCGGTCGCAACGGTCTTAGAACTAATGTAATCTAATGATGAAAAGATCACCGCCTACAAATGACCAAAAAGGACTGAAGGTGGCAGCACTATGTACTTTCGCATTAAGTAATAAACGCTTGGAATCTGGAGGAAGTTAATAAAAAATAATTCATAGTAATAAATTTTTTTATGACAATTGATAAGCAATCGAAAGATAGATTTTGAACTCGAAAAAGGAAATAATAAGGGGAAAAAACTTAGTAACAAGTAGCCAAAAGTGTATAGGCTGAAGTGGAAATATGTCAAGTGTTGCTGTCATGACAGCCTTCGAAAACATACAAAATGGCGGCCGCCATAATGTGTTAAAGCGCTAATTATTATCGCGCTAAATAATTTGTCGTCAATAAATACGCGATTTGCAGATTTCATTTGAAAAACTTTAAGAAGCGTTCATTCCTCGATCATGTCGGAGAAGGTGCAAACACGGCAAAAGAGCGCCGAAGCGAAAAAGTCTACTAGACTAGCTCCTCTGGCACCGGGAGAGAATATAAAAGAGAAACAGGTTGGTGACGAACTTTTATACGCTTTTTTTTTAATTACTTGCCTTATCTGCCTGTTATCTATCGATAGCTGAACGATTCATTGTCAGTGTCTTCTACTGTTTTATCTCTAAAGAGATAATTCAAAATATTGCTAAGACCATAGACATTTCTATTTTGCTGAATAAAATATGTAGGAAGGGGGAAGGGGAGTTTAAAAATAATTACTTTAAGCTGAAAGAACTTGTAATTACATTAATATCCAAAAAACAAGGAATAGCACAAGAATGTATTAGAATATTCTTAAGAGGTTATTTTTTATGATTTTGCAAACAATGACCATAACGGCTTGAATAAACAAACAGGAACGATTGTTTGCGTTAGAACAAAAGATTGTGTCAACTTGTCAAAGATGTTGCTTGATAATTCGAGCCACACCTTGTCAATTGTTCAATAGTAATCGACGCGCTGAAGCGTTCAAGCGTCACTATTTACGCTATGCTCGACGAATCCGATCATCCTGTTCAGTCTTTGAATATCACCAAAGAAAAGGTAATAAAAGTAAATATTCTTGATTGAATGGCCAGCGCTCGACTGAACGTTTGCCTTTATTTATATATATGTTATGGAGGGGATTGTTTGAATGATTATAAGAGGAATTTATAGATTTTATTTCTCGTAATATTTATTTATAAAATTTTTCTTTTAAAATGTAAACTGTCGATTAAATTAACAATTTGTTTACCGTGCCTAAGCGCACTATAACGAGCTTTTATTTTCTCTATATGTACATTTTTACTAGCTGCCTTAACGACAACGTTATATTTGCAGTTGCTATTCAGAAATATTCTCTCCTTCAATTTTTTTTTACTTTCACAAGCTATTCGATTTCATTTGGTTGTTTTCTTTGGCTTGTTGAACTCTCCAATGTCGATATTGATGTAAGAAAAAAAATATAGAGAATAAAGAATAAAGAAAGATAGAGAATAAGGATTAGTCTTATTTTTGTTTTGTTCAAGTAATACATTTAAAATAAAAAGAACATAATGGATAGGATTGCCTATAAACAGGTTAAAGATATAAAAGAAAGACAAAGAGACAGATGAATCTTTTTTCTTTCTTGCTATCTCTATAATCTTTTTTCTATTATAATTAAATCGTTATTTTTTTTACCTTGAAAGGCTTTTGTTCATGTTGTTAGAGGAGGGTTTGAATAGTTTTTAAGCGCACAATTTTACGGTTGAAATCTAATAATTGATACAATGCGATTATGAGGAAAAAGGAAAAAAAGGTGTTCAACAAAAATATTCTATTCTATATTCGAACGTTCTATTTCTCTATTATAATTATTATTTATACAATTATTATTTATTAGTTTAGAATAATCGTTGTTTTTTATCATCCTATTATGGAATTTACTATATATATAGCGTTGCTCTATTGTTTCTGCTTTGAGATGATTCAAATAATAGTAATAATAGGTAAATCGATTGTCGATAGTTAATTTTACCGAGCAATCTCTTTCATTTGTTTGCCAATTACACACTAGGTGGCATCTCATTAAATTTTCTTTAATTATAGTAATTAAGGGATACTACATGGGTACAATTTAAATAATTTAAAGATAACTAATGAAAAGACTGGTTGCTTTAGATGTGACTTTATCAAGCTGGTTTCTTAAATACGAGATGATAGAGTAGGGATTTGAGGAGAAAGGGGGAGCAGATGCATATATAAATTTATACTGTATAGCGAATTATTTCAACTTTTTCCTCTTTTTTAATTCAAAGAGAAAAAGTCTCTTTATATTCAATGCAAAACATGTTTGGAGCAAGCTGAAACAAAATACGAGTTAATTATACAGACACAGTTAAAAAGTCGGTGCCAATTGACACATAAAACAAAGGTATAAAATAGTTTGACTGTGCACCATAGTAAGGTTTACACCTTGTTTTTCACCTTTTATTAATTAAAAAAAAAAGAGTAAAAGTGGTTAGAATACAACTTTTAAATCGAGAATGTACTCAAGAAGATCTATTAGGAGAGACTCATGGAATGAAATGCTTCTGTTTTCTAGGAGTTTTGGTCATTGGAGGTTATTAGCCAGGAGGGGACGTTTTAAAATAACGTCCAAAGTGAGTTGTATTCAATGCCTATAATAACGCCCCCAATAATTAGCTAACATGAATAAAGCATAGTAAATCGTAGTTCAGTAATTCACTTCGATTAGTTCAGTCTCCGGTCTCTTTTGTATTGTTATATACAATATTTAACTTTTCCATTACATCGACTTTAGCCCTTAATTGCTAAGCAACCAACTATTAAGTCCCCCTTCTCTATTTCTTTTTATTTATATAGGTATGTTTTCTATTTAATTTAAAGTCTACAACTTTATATTTGTTAGCTTGTTTTCAAGTTGATAGAACTCCTATAATATTGATTTTTTTCTTTCTATCTAATAGTTACTATCCTACTTAAACAACAATCTCTTTATTTTCTTTATTATAGTTGATACATCTTTCATAATTTTGTCCCCTTTAGCCGTCAATCTGTTGGATTTTTTATTGTTATAGTCACTTGCTTCAATCTATCAGATATATGTAAATATATAAAATATCTTTTATTTCTAGTGATATTCAAAACTGAAAAAGTTTTTAAGAGATAAGAGATAGTAGTCATTAGATACAATGTTGTCAATCTAGTCAGCAATGTCTGAGAAATGGTCGAAAATGCTAAAAAGAAGAAATACGTTAGCTGAACTTGCTATTCAAGCAAATATAAATCAGAAAAAAGTATGTATGAGTGAAAGAAAATTGATAAATCAACGATTACTGTTGATTTTTTTTAATTAGTTTTATCTTAAGACAAATTAATAGTAAATGACAGAGCTCTTGGGGAAATGTCTTACTTTCGAGAGGTTTATTATCATTCATATATATATATATATATATATGTATACAGTATATATATATATGATGCAGTGTATAAATACAAGTAAAGCTAATATGATGATTTATTAGACGACATCAACGCAGTATGAAGTATACACGCCGGTAAACTCTTAAATATAAAAACAGAATTTAATGGAGAGTTTATTAGCGTCTAGGAAACAAGGCTACGCTGAAAAGGTAATTAGAATAAGAAAAAAGCTATTCTAATACATTAAGAAGGTTGAAAATAAAGGGAGCGTTCATTTTTACTTGACTGCCGCTAGAAACGAGCTTGAACGTGATACAGTCAATAGTCGATATACTGAAAAATTACGATTTTTTTTACTGTTTGAACCTGGCGCACCTTTTTTTTCTTTTCATTTTCTTTCTGTGAAGTCAACCGACAGTTTCGAAATAAAAAGCAGTAAACAGATTTTAAAGAAAAAAAGTGAAAAAGACTGTATGAGAGGATAAAAAATTTAGCTTACATGTAAAATACGCCAAAAAACTCCAGGATATGACAAAGTTTAGGGATAAGGACAAAGATTCCAGTCTGGTACTAAATCTCTTAGAAGTTCAGGTATATGTACTGTTTACGAAATATTGCTATAGTAACATTATGTTGATAGTGGGATTTTATCAATTATGTACTCTAAATGTGTACATTGGTGATAACTGGATTATCCATGCAAGACGTTGTTTTTAGGCACATTACTTATTCAAGTTTCATCGTGATAAAAACGTTATGTCTCGCTGGAAAATAATTTCTAGGAAGGAAATAAACGAAAAAATATTGTTACAGGTCTTTTTTTAGATATTATCTTCTTTGTTTACTATCCAATGGATTATTGATAGAAAAAATATTCGGTAGACGGTAGGAGAAAGGAAAAAATCCTGGAATAAACATAAATTCTATTTACCTATGTTTGTCCTGGTATAGATTGATGATGTCAGCTTATCAATAAAATGTAATGATTGTGCGTGAAAATTGGAATGAAAGAAAGAGTTCGGTGAACGCTTTTAGACGGGCTCTTGTCAAGGAATCAATGGACATTTAGATTTATGACCGCCTTTGTTGAAACTCTTCACTTTAGAGCTTATTCCACTTTAATGCGCCTCTTAGTTACATTATTATAATGTTGAATTTAAACAGTTTTGTAAGATAGTAAGCGAAAAATTAGTTTATATAGGCATAAACTATAAATATATATATATATATATATATGTGTTGAATATATCTATTTATAGATTTAGGGAAGATTACTTATAAGTATCTATGCGTGCAGGTTCGGGCTTAATAGTACATCCGACCTTTTGTAAGCCTCTTATCAGTTCAACTTGAGTTGATTGTAAATAAAATAATTAAACACTTAACAACATTAGAGCATGGAAAGTTCGCATTTAAATAATTTTTCTGTATTAAATCGTTTTATAGTTATCGAAAAGCTTTGAAAAACCTTTCCTATATTGTTTAGTTTCGAAGTAATCGATTGATTTATTCTTGTTCAGAATAGAAGGTTATTATAAACAATTTTATTATAGTTTTTTTTTTAGTTTTGAAAAGAAAATGAGAATACAGTCTTTTATATTCAGCCTATTTTCATTTTAAAATTTTCTTATTGTTTCTACTGATCAATATTCTCAAATTTACATAGTATCATATTTTTATTCATTTAGCAAAAGCTCAAAGAGGAAAAAGAAGCAAGACGAGCACATCTTGACGAACGACATGAATATTTATTATCAACTATAGCTGATTGTCTTGGATTAGAAAAATCCGAAGTTGAAGATGGCATTCTGGAAGATTGTCAAATTAAGGCAATGGATGATTTTTTCAAGGCCGACGGGTCAAAGCAGATTATGTTCTTTTATCAAGAACCGGAAGTTATTGAAAGAGAAGGAGTAGAACACGTCCGACTTGGAGCCAGTGGAAATAAACCTATAAAATCCAATAAGCCCAGAGTTTTTGTAACGAATGGATACGAAGTCGCCTTACATGGTCAGTGTCTGATGTTTTATAGAGCCAATCCTTCCCAAGCAATTACTGCTACAAATCTTACGCAAGAAATAAGCTTTACTTTAATGGATTCAAATGCAGCCACAAATGGAAATGGTTTATTAAGTGCGATACAATCACTTCTCACTTCTGTTTATATACCTTCGTTAAGGAAAATGAATAAAGGTTGGGGGCATCTGGATACTCAATTTCAAAAGAGAAATGATTTTTTAAATACATTGGATGGTTTTGTGTCCGTACTGGATGGCGCTCAAGATACACTTGAAGATAAAGTGCAATTAAAAGAGTGCGGAAGAGAAGACTTACTGAAGAATATTAGAGGTCCATCCGATTATAACAACGCTGCAAACAACACTGAAACTTTAAAGGCTGTTGAAGAATGTATGGCAGTCTGGATGAAGCAGATAGAACAAGTCCTAGCTGAAAGTGAACAAATGAGAAGGGAAGCGGATAATATAGGACCAAGAGCAGAGTTAGATTATTGGAAGAAAAGAATGTCCAAATTTAACTTTATACTAGATCAATTGAAGGGTAATGAAGTGAAGAAAATTCTTGGCATACTAGCGGCCGCTAAAAGCAAAACTATTAGACAATGGCAAGATTTAGATAGAAGAATTACTGACTATGCAAATGAGGCAAAGGATAATGTTAAATATTTATATACTCTCGAAAAATTTTGCGATCCACTATACAACAGTGATCCAGTCGGAATGTTAGATGCAATACCGGGTCTTATTAATGCGATTCGAATGATACATAGCATTTCCAGATTTTATAATACCTCTAAACATATGACTTCACTATTTGTTAAGATAACTAATCAAATGATTACTGCTTGTAAAGCTTATATAACAGACGGTGGAATCGAAACAATATGGACACAGGAAACAGACTCAGTTTTAAAGAAATTGAAAGATTGTATTAAATTGTATGATAGCTATCAAAATCATTTCCACAAGACTAAGGAAAAGTTAGAGGAAGTACCAGAGGAAAGACAATTTGATTTTTCTGGTGTCTATATTTTTGGTAAAATGGATACATTTACCAAAAGGTTAAAGATGATAATTGAAATGTTTGAAACAATGGGACTATATTCGCATCTAGCCGATTCGAAAATCGAAGGGATGGAACTAATGAGCAATAAATTTCAAGTGATCGTTATAAGTATGAAAAAGAAATCGTACGATTTCTTAGATCATAGGCGTCAAGAGTTTTATAATGATTTCGAAGATTTTAAAAGACAGATTAGCGATTTACACTCGGCTATTGTAAATTTTATGGATCAAAGATTCGAAAGAATTCATAATACTCAATTTGCATTAAGTCTATTGAAAAAATTCGAATGTTTAGGTCTACCGAATTTAGGGATTGAAGATAAATATCAAAGAATATTATCTCACTACGCAAGAGATGTTGATATTATAACCAGAATCTACGGCAAAAATAAAACTGAGCCGCCCATTCCGAGAGATCTACCTCCAATTGCCGGAAAAATAACATGGGCTAGACAATTATATAGACGTATCCAAGAGCCAATGGACGCCTTTCAACGTCATCCATCTATTCTTCAAACTTCAGAAGCCAAAAAGATAATCAGAAACTACAATAAATTAGCTAAAGTCTTGTTAGAATTCGAAATGATGTTTCATAGATTATGGATTCGTCAAGTTGAGGCTGCAAAATCCGGTTTACAAGCATCGCTTTTAGTAAGGCACCCAGAAAATCCAGATGATCTCTTTGTTAACTTTGATCCACAAATTCTCACTCTAATAAGAGAAACCGAGAGTATGATAAGACTACAATTGGAAATACCGCAAGCGGCTCAAGCCCTAAGAGCTAAACATGATTATTTCAAGAAAACCTATAATGAATTAACAGTAATATAATTTTAGACTGAATATTAACATTTATCTAATTGATTTCCTCTTTTTATTCTTAAATTAGCTAATGATCGGTGAAATTAGAAGAGTAAAATCTAAAATACCAGAAGCTTTTAAAGAATTGATGCAACCTCACATTCAAAAGGTAAACGATGCTATTGAACCAGCAATAATTGAATATACCTGGACAACAACCAAAGTTGACGATTATATCCGGGTAAATATTAGTTTATATTTATTTCAATATAAAACGAGACTAACTCATTTGTTTTTTAATGTAATTGTTTTTTATTGAATAGCTTGTTTACGAAAGGCTTGCTGATTTGGAATTGATGATGAACAGAGCAAACGACATTGTTGAATTTAGAATAGAAGCCGTTCTCGCAGAAATGTCTACTATCTCACTTTGCGAATTACCCGAAGACGAGGCTTGGAAGGTTGATGAATTCGTTGAGAGAACTTCTCAATTATGTTGTAAAGGAGCTTTACAATTGCAATCTAAGAGCGTTAACGTAGAGGATGCTGTAAATGAATTAATAGCCATGTTGTGGCAATCAGCAGCAGAGGAGGAAAATGACTTAGAGGGTGAAGAGGATGAGAATGAGGAGAATAGTGAAGATGGTCGAGCTTCTGCTTCACCTTCAAGAAGAACAGCTGCTTCCAAAATGTCCAGACCTCAAAGTACAAAGAGTAATAGAGCTGAACAAGTAGCCAGAAGGAAAGCTGCTCAACAAGAAAATCTGAAGGAAAAAGCTCAAGAACTTTTAAATCATTTTAATACGAAAAATCTTCAAGCTATACTCAAAGTTACACGAAATACTTTAGAATCAATTAGGAAACGAATTTCTTCTGGCGGAATAATGATGTATTCTTCCCTATCATCTAAAGATGACCGAAAAGACCATCAACCATTCTTTAGAACTGATGCTTGTCTTGAAATACCAAATGTCGTCATGCGCCCATCCTTAGAGGATGTTCAACACGCTGTTACCAATTCTGCCCACGTCATTGTTAGCGTCTCAAAAGGCGTATCTCAATGGAATAAAAAACTTCAGAAAAAACCTATTTGTGATAGATCGTCATCGTCTATGGCTGATCAACCTTCGTTAGAAAGAAGACCTAGTGCTACCAGTATGGCTCCGTCGGAGGTTTCGAGATCTGATCTTGGAACAAGAGTGGGTGGACGAAAAGACCAACAATCTTCGAATCCCAATCAAATTCAAGAAATGCCAAATAATTACTTCTTGAGTGTGTCCACAAACAAGGACATCTCTAAGCTTATATCGATTTTATCAACATCGATAAATGCAACAAAGAAAGATGTTCAAACAGCTCTACAACAATTTCACAAGTTTAGCGATGTATGGGAGGTCGATAGGGAAGAAGACTTACAACTCTTCCTTAAAGATGCACCTAATCTTAATGAATTTGAGCAGAAGATTTTCAAATATGAAGAATTAGAAAGAGAAATTTTATCTATGCAAGAAAGTGTTAGAATAGGCCCAATAGCTATATTTACCCAGGTCCTTAAAGATGGTCTAGTAGCTGAGACTCGTCAATGGTGCCTTCATTACGGAAAGCATTGTAATAATAAATATAGAACAAAAATGAATGAGATTCTTGAATTTATTGAAGATGTTGTGAAACGTTTATCAAGACCAATCAAAGACTTGGATGACATTCGTTTCGCCATGGCAGCCCTGAAGGAAATACGAGAAAATGAAATTAGAATCGACATGGATATCAGTCCAATCGAAGAATCGTATGCTATGCTTAATAAACACGAGCTACCAGTTGTTAAAGAAGAAGCAGAAAAGTGTGATACTCTACGATACTCGTGGCAAAAATTACAAAGTCAAACAGTCGAAGTTGCCTCAACCTTGCTAGAAATCCAACCTAACTTTAGAACAGAACTTATCGATAATGTTAAAATATTCATTAAGGATTGTGATGAATTCTATTATAATTATGACGAGAGAGGTCCGATGGTTGCCGGCATTGAACCCAGAGAAGCTTCGGATCGCCTAGTAATCTTTCAAAATACATTTGACACACTATACAGGAAATTTATTACATACACTGGAGGAGAGGAATTGTTTGGTTTACCCGTAACTGAATATCCTCAATTGCTAAAGATTAAAAAGGAATTAAATCTGTTACAGAAACTTTACGGTCTATTTAACGACGTTATTGATACAGTTCGAGGCTATTATGATATTTTATGGACGGATATTAACATTGAGAAAATTAACGTAGAACTTCAAGAATTCCAAAACAGATGTCGTAAGCTACCGAAGGCTTTAAAGGAGTGGCCAGCTTTCGAAGTTTTACGAAAGACTATTGACGATTTTAACGAAATGGTTCCTCTACTTGAATTAATGTCTAATAAAGCGATGAAAGCAAGGCATTGGCAGAGAATAGCAGATTTAACTGGCCATACATTCGATGTTGAAAGAGATGATTTTGTATTAAAGAACGTTTTGGAAGCTCCACTTGTTAAGTACAAAGAAGATATTGAGGACATTTGCATAGCGGCTGTCAAAGAAAAGGATATTGAAGCTAAGCTGAAACAAGTTATAAACGAATGGAATGGCGTCGACTTTACTTTTGGATCATTTAAGAGCAGAGGTGAATTATTACTTCGAGGAGATTCTACTTCGGAAATTGTATCGACAATGGAAGATTCTCTTATGGTCTTATCCTCTCTGCTATCTAATAGATATAATGCCCCTTTCAAAAAGAATATTCAAACATGGGTACAGAAACTATCAAATTCTTCGGAAATTATTGAAAATTGGATGACTGTACAAAATCTTTGGGTATATTTAGAAGCAGTCTTCGTTGGAGGAGATATTGCAAAACAATTGCCCAAAGAAGCTAAGAGATTTTCAAATATTGACAAATCGTGGATAAAAATAATGACGAGAGCTCACGAAACGCCCAATGTGGTACAATGCTGCGTGGGAGATGAAACACTTAGTCAATTACTACCTCACTTATTAGAACAATTAGAATTGTGTCAGAAATCTTTGACAGGTTATTTGGAAAAGAAACGTTTATTATTTCCGCGTTTCTTCTTTGTTAGTGACCCTGCTTTATTGGAAATTTTGGGTCAAGCAAGCGATCCTCATACTATCCAGGCTCACTTACTTAGCGTGTTTGATAATATAAAATCAGTGAAATTCCATGAAAAACAATACGAAAGTATTTTGTCAATTCATTCTTCAGAAGGTGAAACAATTGATCTCATCAAACCTGTTAAAGCTGAAGGTAACGTGGAAATTTGGCTAATGTCTCTAATGCAAATGGCACACAAATCTATGCACAACGTTATTAGAGTTGCTGCAGTGACAATTTCAGACTCGGGTTTTCAATTATTGGAATTTTTAGAATCTTACCCTGCCCAAGTAGGTCTTCTTGGCATTCAGTTGATTTGGACTAGAGACTCAACAAATGCTTTAATGAATGCAAGATCTGATAAAAAGATTATGAATCAGACCAATCAAAATTTCTTAAGCTTATTGAATACGTTAATCGATCAAACAACAAGAGATTTAACAAAAGTAGAAAGAACCAAATTTGAAACTTTAATCACTATTCATGTTCATCAAAGGGATATCTTTAATGATCTAGTATCAAAAAATATAAAGAATCCATTGGATTTTGAATGGCAGAAACAAACAAGATTCTATTTCCATGAAGATACAGATCGCTGCTGTATCAATATTACGGATGTCGAGTTTGAATATCAAAATGAGTTTTTAGGGTGCACCGAGCGTCTTGTAATTACCCCTTTAACCGATCGATGTTACATCACCCTCTCTCAGGCTTTGGGAATGTCAATGGGAGGTGCCCCTGCAGGTCCAGCTGGTACGGGAAAAACCGAGACAACAAAGGATATGGGAAGATGTTTGGGAAAATATGTCGTCGTTTTCAATTGTTCGGATCAGATGGACTTCCGAGGATTGGGAAGAATCTATAAGGGTCTTGCTCAATCTGGATCTTGGGGATGTTTCGATGAGTTTAACCGTATCGATTTACCCGTATTATCTGTAGCTGCCCAGCAAATTGCTATCGTACTGACATGCAAAAAAGAAAGGAAGAAGCAGTTCATATTTACCGACGGTGATAATGTAGCAATGAATCCTGAATTTGGCATCTTCTTAACAATGAATCCAGGCTACGCTGGACGTCAGGAGTTGCCTGAAAATTTAAAGATCAATTTTAGGACAGTAGCTATGATGGTTCCTGATAGACAGATTATTATAAGAGTTAAACTAGCCTCTGTTGGTTTTATCGATAACGTTGTGTTAGCTCGAAAATTCTTTGTTCTTTATAAATTGTGCGAAGAACAACTCACAAAACAGGTCCATTACGATTTTGGTTTGAGAAACATCTTATCTGTTTTGAGAACATTGGGAGCCGTCAAACGTTCAAGTCCAAATGATACTGAGCAAACAATTGTCATGAGAGTTCTTCGAGACATGAACTTGTCAAAACTAGTTGATCAGGATGAACCTCTATTCTTATCACTAATTAACGATCTCTTCCCTGGTATTACTCTAGATAAAGCTGGTTATCCTGAATTAGAGTCAGCAATCAGGATGCAAGTAGAAAATGCTAAATTAGTTAATCATCCTGCTTGGGTATTGAAACTGATTCAACTTTTCGAAACTCAACGTGTTAGACATGGTATGATGACTCTAGGTCCATCCGGTGCTGGCAAAACTTCTTGCATTCATATCTTAATGAAAGCTATGTCTGATTGTGGAGAACCTCATAGAGAAATGAGAATGAATCCAAAAGCTATTACAGCTCCCCAAATGTTTGGCAGATTGGACGTTGCTACAAACGATTGGACAGATGGTATTTTCTCTACACTTTGGCGTCGAACACTTAGAGCTAAGAAGGGTGAGCATGTATGGTTGGTTCTTGATGGTCCCGTAGATGCAATTTGGATCGAAAATTTGAATTCCGTATTGGACGACAACAAGACATTGACTTTGGCAAACGGAGATCGTATTCCAATGGCTGCTAATTGTAAAATCATTTTTGAACCTCATAATATCGACAACGCTTCTCCAGCTACTGTTTCTAGAAACGGTATGGTTTACATGTCAAGTTCAGGTCTTAATTGGAGACCAATTTTAGAAGGATGGCTTAATAGTAGATCAGTTCAAGAACAAGCCATCATAATGGGGCTATTTGACGACTCTTTCAGTCAAATTTATAGATATGCCATTCAAAATTTTGTTTTCAAGATGGATGTCCTTGAAGCATTTGTTATCAGACAGTGTTGTGATCTCTTACAAGGATTAATTCCTCCAACCAGTCATGGTGAAAGTCCGTCAAAAGCTTTTTATGAAAAGTTGTATGTATTCATAATCATGTGGTCAATTGGTGCCTTCCTTGAGTTAGATGATAGAGCGAAATTCGAAGAAATGCTTCGAAAGACAGAGGAGTTCAAATTAAATTTGCCAGATTTGGGTGAAGGTGAAGGTAACGAGGGATCCATATTTGATTATTTGGTGGCACAAGATGGCAGTTGGGTTCATTGGAATTCTAGAGTTCAAGAATATATCTATCCAAAAGATTCAACTCCTGAATACGGCTCCATTTTAGTACCAAATGTCGATAATGTCCGAACAGATTTTCTCATTGAAACAATAGCCAAACAAGAAAAAGCAATTCTTCTCATTGGTGAACAGGGAACAGCTAAAACAGTCATGATAAACGGTTACATGGCAAGATATAATCCTGAAAATCATTTAGGAAAGTCATTCAACTTTTCATCAGCCACAACACCATTAATGTTCCAGAGGACTATTGAAAGCTATGTCGACAAACGAATGGGTTCAACTTATGGACCCCCAGCAGGAAAGAAGATGACAGTTTTCGTTGATGATATTAATATGCCAGTAATCAACGAATGGGGAGATCAAATTGCAAACGAAATTGTACGTCAACTGATGGAAATGAGAGGATTTTACAATCTGGAGAAGCCTGGTGATTTTACAAATATTGTAGATATTCAATTTATGGCTGCTATGATCCAACCTGGGGGAGGTCGAAATGATATACCCCAGCGTCTTAAGAGACAATTCAATATCTTCAATTGTACACTACCATCAAATACATCAATCGATAAAATATTTAGTATTATTGGCTGTGGTCATTATTGTGCAGAAAGAGGATTTAGTGAGGAAGTCAGAGATATGGTTGCTAAATTAGTTCCAGTCACAAGGAGATTGTGGCAGCTAACAAAAATTAAAATGTTGCCAACACCAGCTAAATTTCACTATATTTTCAATCTTAGAGACTTATCTAGAATATGGCAGGGCATGATTAATACACTTTCGGATGTTATTAAGGACGTTCCTACCCTCTTGGCTTTATGGAAACACGAGAGCTGTCGAGTCATAGCTGACAGGTTAGTCTGGTTTATTGTTTTCTATTTAGATCAGATATTTTTTATTTACAGCTATAGTTTTAGACAATATATAAGATATTTAAAACAAAATTTTCTTTTATCACTTATGCATGTATTTAAATATTTCGCGCAAAATACAAAGGTTCACTATTTTGGATGATTATCATTGGTTTACGAAAACTGCGACTAGAGTCGCAACAGAAGATTTAAGCGAAAGTATTGGTCAAATTGTTGACCAATCTAAATCACTTTGGGTTGACTTCAATAGGTGACCGAATGCATGCTAATAGCAAATATGTACCAAAACTTATTTGCACCAGTTTACTGTTCCTGTACGCTTCACCTAATAGATTTTACAATTGATATTTACCTATAGAACGTCACTAATTGTCTATTTTATTATAATTTCTTAAATGACAACTTAGAGGCGTTCTTATATTAAATAATAATAATAATATTAGCACTCAATTAACTGCCTTTGTTCATTAACCATGCACTTGCCACCCCATAATCCTATAGATGCGTTGAAGTGTCGGACGTTCAGTGGTTCGAAAAGACTATTCAGCGGGTTGTTGTTGAAGATATTGGAGAAGATTTTGGTCAATACACTGAAAATTCGAGATATTTCATGGATTTTATGAGGTGAAAATATCAAAAAAAAAGGATCTTAGACAAAAATTATAGCTTTCTACATCTTCAATTTCTTTTGATTTTTAAATACTCGATTTTTCATCATTTTTTTTAGTTGTTTGTTATCTCTATTTTACATCTGATGTTCATTTTTGGAGACATTTTTCATTCAATTTGATATATTTTCTACTTTAGAATCGGTTTATGTTTTCATTATACGTTTTCCATGATCGCTTATTGGATAAAATGGAAGTGAAAAGTAGCCAAAAATAAAAAGATATCTTCTTTTAGTTTAAGTCTAAATTTTTTAGAATTTCTGAAAAGATATCAACACGGACCACCGATTTTCATAATATTTCATCCTGCATAAAATTCCCCTTCCCTATTTCTTTCTGGAAAATATCTAGGTATTATTTAGATTAATTGTTATATCTTGGCATTTTGGGCATGCCAGAGAGGCACTTTATAATAGCAATGTTCAAGTTCAATCAAGATGGATACTTTTACTCAACTACACTCGTTAAAAACTCAAGCATATTAGTAGTTTTGCTATTCCTTATCACTGTTATTAGTTATTGTTGTTATCGTTGTTATGTATGTAATCTTCTTGCTTTTTTCATTAACCTTTAAATATCCTAATTACACTATTGGCACTTTAATATAATGAAATGTTATAGAATTTATATTTATTTAGGTTTTTTTTACTAAAATAGAGATGCCCCAGAAGCAACTGGAGAAGAACCGGAAGATGCTGATTTCGATATGCCGAAAGTGTATGAACCTGTGAGATTGAAATAACGATATTTTGAATAGAGTTATTGTTTATCTTATTTTTTGCAGGTCGAAAATTTTGATCAACTGAAAGATCGTTTACAGATGTTCCTTCAACAATATAATGAATCTATTAGAGGATCCGGCATGGATTTGGTGTTTTTCACTGATGCAATGATTCATTTAGTAAAGATTTCAAGAATTATCAGAACTCCAAGAGGCAACGCTCTTCTAGTAGGTGTTGGTGGCTCTGGAAAACAGTCTTTAACAAGATTGGCATCGTTTATCGCTGGTTATAAAACCTTCCAAATAACTCTGACACGTTCATATAATGTTTCCAATTTGCTGGAAGATTTGAAATACTTATACAGAGTAGCTGGACATCAAGGTCAGGGTATTACCTTTATCTTTACTGATCAAGAAATAAAGGACGAAGGCTTCCTTGAGTACCTTAATAACGTTCTCAGCTCTGGTGTAGTATCTAACTTATTCGCCAGAGATGAGTTAGATGAAATTACGCAAGAACTTATATCTGTTATGAAGAAAGAATATCCTAGAAGACCACCTACAAATGAAAATCTTTACGATTACTTTTTAAGTAGAACAAGACAGAATTTGCATGTAGTACTTTGCTTCTCACCAGTTGGAGAGAAATTTAGATCGAGAGCCTTGAAATTTCCAGGACTAATTTCAGGATGTACAATGGATTGGTTCCAACGTTGGCCAAAGGAAGCTCTTATTGCTGTAGCTGATCACTTCCTTCATGTCTTCCCGATGGAATGTTCACCTGAAATAAAGAAACAGGTTATACACAGTATGGGTACTGTTCATGACGGAGTCGCCCAAAGTTGCTTAGACTATTTTCAAAGATATCGACGAACTGCTCATGTAACTCCTAAGTCATATCTATCCTTTATAGCAGGATATAAGAAAGTTTATGCGACTAAAAAGAAAGAAATAGGTGATATGGCTGACCGTATGGATACAGGTTTGGCTAAATTAGTTGAGGCTGCCCAATCAGTGGCCGAGTTAGCTAAGGAGTTAGTCGAAAAGGAAAAGGAATTGGCTGTTGCTTCAGAGAAAGCAAGCGAAGTTCTGAAAGAAGTTACAGTCAAGGCTGAAGCAGCTCAAAAAATTAAAAATCAGGTGCAAAAAGTTAAGGATAAAGCTCAAGCTATTGTAGATTCTATTGAAGCCGATAAAGTTATCGCTGAGGGAAAGTTGGAAGCAGCTAGACCTGCCCTTGAAGAAGCTGAGGCAGCTCTAAACACTATTAAACCAGCCGATATTGCAACTGTCAGAAAACTTGGACGTCCTCCATATTTAATTACGAAAATTATGGATTGTGTACTCATTCTCTTCCAGAGAAGAGTTGAACCAACAGCTATTGATGAAGAAAAAGGAGGAATTAAGACTAGTTGGTCAGAAAGTTTAAAAATGATGTCAGGAGGAAATTTCTTACAAGCTTTACTTTCCTTCCCTAAGGATACTATAAATGATGAAACTGTTGAGCTGTTGCAACCTTATTTCGCTGGGGAAGATTACAACATGGAACAAGCAAAGAGAGTTTGTGGTAACGTTGCTGGACTTTTGTCTTGGACTACAGCTATGGCTAAATTCTTTTACATCAACAAAGAAGTATTACCTCTTAAGGCTAATCTTGCTGTTCAAGAGGCCAGATTACAAGCTGCAATGGGAGATTTGAACAAAGCTCAGGCTCAATTAGACGACAAGCAGAAGGAGTTAGATAAAGTTCAAGCAGTTTACGATAAAGCTATGAAAGACAAGCAAGATCTACTTGACGACGCTGATCGCTGTAAGAGGAAAATGAACGCAGCTTCGGAATTAATCAATGGATTGGCTGGAGAAAGAGAGAGATGGACAGAACAGAGTAAAGAATTTAAAGCTCAAATTGGCCGATTAGTAGGTGACATTTTAATGTGCACCGCCTTCCTTTCCTACTCAGGACCATTTAATCAAGACTTTAGATCTTTATTAAACAAACATTGGACAAAAGAATTAAAGACTAGAAAAATACCTTATACTGCAAATCTTAATGTTCTTGGTATGTTAACCGACCCTACAACAGTAGCCGAATGGAACTTAGAAGGCTTACCTAATGATGAACTTTCTATTCAGAATGGTATAATTGTTACAAAAGCAGCAAGATTTCCTTTACTCATTGATCCTCAGACACAAGGTATTACTTGGATTAAGAACAAAGAATCAAAGAATGAGCTACAAATTACAAGTTTAAATCATAAGTACTTTAGACAACATTTAGAAGACGCATTAAGTTTAGGAAGACCATTGCTTATTGAAGATGTGGGCGAGGAATTGGATCCGGCTTTGGACAACGTTTTGGAAAAGAACTACATAAAATCAGGGTCGACTTTCAAAGTAAAAGTTGGTGACAAAGAGGTTGATGTTATGGACGGATTTAGATTATATATAACAACAAAACTACCCAACCCCATCTATACTCCAGAGATATCGGCCAGAACTGCTATTATTGATTTCACCGTTACAATAAAGGGTCTTGAAGATCAGTTGCTTGGTCGGGTAATTCTAACTGAAAAAGCGGAATTAGAATCCGAAAGAGTAAAACTAATGGAAGATGTAACAGCCAATAAACGGAAAATGAAGGAATTGGAAGATAATTTATTGTTCAGATTAACATCAACTGAGGGTTCATTAGTTGACGATGAAAATTTGATAGATGTATTAAAAACCACAAAGGTTACATCGGTAGATGTCAACCAAAAATTACAAATTGCTGCCGATACAGAAATAAAGATAAATGCTGCAAGAGAAGAGTTTAGACCAGTAGCTACAAGAGGCTCAATTCTCTATTTCATTATCGTTGAAATGTCAACTGTAAATGTAATGTATCAGACATCGTTGAAACAATTCTTAGGTCTTTTCGATCAATCTATGGCTAAATCTCAAAAATCACCTATCACTCAAAAGAGAATGCAAAATATAATTGAATATATGACTTTTGAAGTATTCAAGTATACAGTAAGAGGACTTTACGAATGCGATAAGATGATGTTTACTCTCTTATTAGCCATGAAAATCGATATACAGAGCGGCAAGATTAAAAGAGAAGAATTCCTTACGTTCATCAAGGGTGGAGCATCTCTAGATTTAAAGGTCGTACAGCCGATACCTGCTAAGTGGATTACTGATACAACATGGTTGAATTTGGTTGAATTATCTAATTTACATCAGTTCTCGGGTATTTTAGAACAAGTTGCTCGTAATGAAAAACAGTGGAAGTCTTGGTTCGACAAAGAGGCCCCTGAAGAAGAAACTATACCAGATGGCTACAATAACACACTAGATGTATTTAGAAGATTATTACTAGTCCGATGTTGGTGTCCGGACAGAACTCTGTCTCAGGCCAGAAAGTACGTCGCTGATTCTCTTGGCGAAAAGTATGCTGAAGGGATAATATTGGATGTTGAGAAAGTTTGGGAAGAGAGTGTCAGCAGAACCCCACTTGTTGGTCTTCTATCTATGGGTTCGGATCCAACAAGCAGCATAGAGGCTTTGGCTAAAAAGCACAAAGTTGAATGTCGAGCTATTTCTATGGGTCAAGGTCAAGAAATTCACGCTCGTAGATTAATGAGCAATTGTATGACAAACGGTGGTTGGGTACTATTACAAAATTGCCATTTGAGTTTGGCATACGTTATTGAGGTTATGGATCAAGTATTAGAAACTGAACAAATTCATGATGAATTCAGAGTATGGGTAACGACCGAAATTCATCCAAAATTCCCTATAACATTTTTACAAATGTCTATAAAATTCACAAACGAACCACCTCAAGGTGTAAAAGCTGGTTTAAAGAGAACATATGCAGGTGTTACGCAAGATTTCTTAGATATATCTAATATGCCACAATGGAGGCCTATGCTTTTTGGTGTGGCGTTTTTGCACTCTGTCGTTCAGGAACGAAGAAAATTCGGTCCATTAGGCTGGAATATACCTTATGAGTTTAATACAGCCGATTTTAACGCATCAGTTCAATTTGTTCAAAATCATTTAGACGATACCGACTTGAAGAGAGGTGTGAATTGGACGTGCGTTCGCTATATGTTTGGGGAAATTCAATACGGTGGTAGAGTTACAGATGACTTCGATAAACGTCTACTAAATACTTTCTGTAAAACATGGTTTAAAGATGAGATGTTTGCCAGTAGCTTCAGTTTCCATAATGAATACGTTATACCGAGTGGCAAAAAGATTAACGATATCAATGACTATATAAATGATTTACCAAATACCGATAGTCCCGAGGTATTTGGTCTTCACTCAAATGCCGATATTACCTATCAAACAAAAACGGTTAAGTCTATTCTGGACACAACTTTAAGTATACAACCCAAAGATTCGTCTGGTGGTGGAGGAGAGACCAGAGAAAGTTATGTTTACAGATTAGCTGATGACATGCTTGATAAACTACCGAACGATTACATACCATTTGAAGTACAAGAGAGGTTGCAAAAGATGGGTAGCTTACAACCAATGAACATCTTTTTAAGGCAAGAAGTTGACAGAATGCAAAAGGTTATCTCATGCGTTCGTTCGACACTAAATGACCTGAAATTAGCTATCGATGGTACAATCATTATGTCTGACTCTTTGAGAGATGCCCTCGACTGTATGTTTGATGCTCGTATTCCAAATGCCTGGAGGAAAATTTCTTGGGAATCATCTTCTCTCGGCTTTTGGTTTACTGAATTAATTGATAGAAATAATCAATTTCATTCTTGGGTATTCGAGGGTCGACCTACTTGCTTCTGGATGACAGGATTCTTTAATCCTCAAGGATTTATAACTGCCATGAGACAGGAAGTTACCCGCGCCCACAAAGGCTGGGCTCTCGATACCGTAGTTCTAACTAATGATGTAAGTATTGATTACTTTATCAAGAAAAAATTACAAAAAATACCAATTAACTTCTAATAGGTGATGAAAATGATGAAAGACGATGTCAAAGTTGGACCGGATGAAGGAGTATACGTCTACGGCCTCTTCTTAGAGGGTGCAGCATGGGACAAGAGAAATCATAGATTAATAGAAGCGAAAGCCAAAGTACTTTTTGAACAAATGCCAATTATACATATCTACGCTATCAATTCGCTAACAACAAGCGAAACTAAGAATACTCCTCTATACATATGTCCGATATATAAAAAGCCGAGAAGAACAGATTTAACCTATATTGCGGTTGTACAACTAAAATGTTCCAAAACTCCAGATCACTGGATCCTAAGAGGAGTGGCTTTACTTTGTGATACAAAATAGAAAGACTATGCAAAAAGCAAAACAAAACAAACCAACAAATAAGAGCACAGAAGAAAGAAATAATCTATTTTATCAGTTTCTATTCCGTTTTTTGATATCATTTTTTTCCTATTATAAACTCTTTATTTACAATTATTAATATATATATATAAATTTTCTTTGAGGGAAGCTTACGTCTATTGTTTGTCATTTTTGCTGAGAAAAAAGAAACAAGCGTAAAGCTTTTCATTCTCTCTCTGTCCAGGTGATAATTCTACGTCTGTGATAAGTATGTACAGAAAAATAAGTAAATAAACCATTAGTATTATTAATTAATAGTTTAAAAATTGTTGACAAACATCAATATTCATTCATCTATCGTTCGCATGCAAAAAAAAAAAAGAAAAACTAGCTGTCTGCTAAATATTTTCTATTTATATTATTCCTAAGGCCACAGAGGAACACTTACTCAATGCAGGCATAATAGTAGAGGCCTCATGGACTCAATAGGTGTATATATCAAGCTAGTAAACCTGTAACCTATCTTTAATATCGGTTCAAAGTGAATGGAGTGAAAATATTAAATATTAATATAAAATAATATATATTTGTATATATAGAAATACAATACAAAGCATTATCAGAATATATTTTATGCTTCTATTCCTGTTACTATTTATATTTCGTCTTGACGAAAGAAAATATTGATTATATGGCTGAGGTTCGTTATTCAATGTTAAGAGATTACGCGAGAGAGGACGATGGAAAAGACTCTCACATTGTAAAGGCAAACAATAACAGTGATACAAATAATATGTCTTCTACAATGAATTATGAGAGAACACTGTCGGTAGAAAATAATGAAAAAAGACAAAACTGGTATCAAACTGATCAATGTAAATTTACCAGCACTAGTATTTTAATTGTTTTATTAATATTGCTTCTCTTTTTTACAATGTTCTATTTTAATCCTCAAATGTGATAAAACACATATTTATTATTGTTTAGCCGCTCTTACTGTTTTGTTTATTTATTTGTTTGTTTATTTTTTATCTAGCTATATCTATAATTATTACAATTTGCATAAAACTTCACTAATTAAATATTCGGTGCAGAAATAGTAAACAATCTGCTATTCTATAATGGAACGTTTTTTTTTAAATACGTGTTCGTGTATTCTTTCCATGGAATTTTTGGATTATACGGGTGGTACTATTGGAGAAACAGCTGAATTTTGATGACCGTACTCCTTGATATGTTTTTCCGGATATGATATACTCTGAAGTGGTATTTTCTTAAAGTAAACATCGTCGGCGGATTTATAAAGAATTACTGCTGTTAGAACAAACGGGAATGCCAAAACTGGTAAAGGTTTTAACGATTCTCTTAACGCTCCAAATGCTATCGTCGACAAACAAGCCCCAGTTATTGCCAATATATGAGTTCTTATATTAAGAACAATAAAGAAACCTCCCAAACTGGCACAAGTCAGTAATGCACAGTAAGACCATGATCCGTTATAAATCTCTTCAGGAGGAGCGTCAATAGCAACGGCTTTATAACGAAAATTAATCATTTTATATCATTTAATGAGGAAGAAAATTTAAAAGTAACGACTCACCAACTAAAGAACTATAAATAACTCCCAACACAGCATGTAAGCAAATGATTGGAGAACTAACGAAGAGACCCATCAGAACCAAAACGCCGCAAACTACTTTGTCTGAACCGTAAATTTGTGCAGCACTTGTGACAATTGATTTAAAAACTTTTCCCCATTCCAAATCATCCGTATAATTGTATCCTACTGATGTTTTAATCGGAAAATAATTGTTATCAGTATTTGATAAGCACGATCCAATGAAGATAAATGATAATACACAAAAGGGTAAGTTCAATGCTGGGGCTTCAATTGCCGAGAAAATATTATTTAGTCCATAACTGATGAAAACACTGTAATATTTTGATATTTTATAGAAAATTGTCTTTATAAAGTTTTTGTCGTTTTATTAAATTTAATAGTTATTTCTCTATATTCTGTAAAATAATAATTAATTAACTTACCATGAAAAACTTAAGAATACGATGGGAAATATTGTCCATGGGTACCAATCATCCTTGTCAATCATACTAGAAACGATAATTCCAGTCAACATACTATTGAACGTTATGCCACCGCTGGATATTTCAGATTGATCACGATTTAAGAGTAAGGCTGTCGAGATAGCCACAACAAGACTCATCAGAGCGCATACGGAAACCCATGAATTCGAGTAAAAAAGAGCTGCAAGAATAAACACCCCACTTAACGGATTGTTCACGAATATAGGGGCACCAGTTGCTCTTAACATCCAAATTGGAAATTGTAAGAGCACCGGCTTATCTTCCAGAAATTGATCCAAAACTTCCATATTACCCATTAAATATTTTTGAAGATTTTCAAACCAATTAATAGGTGGATTAGTGTGTTGAACGGAATTATTGCGGGTTTTATCCTCCTCTGCCATCGTTGATTTTAGTAAGACTTACTTTTCTGCCCAGAAGAGTCATTGTAGCGCCACCTCTAAATTATATATTCCTCTTATGCTCTTTCAACGAAAACAGAGCCATAAGGCTAATAAGCATTTTGAAAAAACGCCGAGCGCAAGAAGGCAATTTTAAAGTTATTTATTAAGATAAATTTCCCTTTTAACCTTTATAAATACTCCATTTTTTTCCTTAAGCAGGGTAAATCAATCCTTATTTTCAGTCTTTGACAAAATTGTTTATTGTTAGGAATATGAGAGTACATAGTCGCAATGTTTTTAGATCTCCACCTCCCTCTTCTGAGTCAGTCTGTTATCTTCCCCCGCCAAAAGCCTAAATTCTCTTTGAAACGCCTTTTCTCAAAAAAAATTCCTCTTTTAAAAGAAGTGTCCTAATATTTTATTGTTACAAAAATTACCGACAAATGATCAAAGGATTAAAGAGGATTAAATCGTTAAGGTCAAGGTACACCTTCAAAGATTAAAAGAGCAACGATGTCTTACATTGTGTAAGACTCTGACTTAAGTCATACTAATGAAGGTTACAAGACAGTTGCCTTTTAATCGTCTCAAAGGGACAGATTTGATAAGATAATATTAATCAATTTAAGAATCATTTCGTTTGTTTGTTTGTGTTTTTAATCTTGTAAAAATCAATTATATTTGCAAAACAAATTTTGCAACTATCATTAATATTAAAAACAATATTTCACAATTTAAATAGAATAAAAGAGAAGGAGAGATAAAGAGAAAAAAAGAAGAGAATTCACTGACAAAAAAAGCACCATTTAAAACGCTGCTCTAATGTTTCTACAAATAAAAAACTTAACACAACTCACGTAACAAAGACAAATGCAGGAAAAAGACGATTAGTTTTTTAGAACACTCCTTGTTTTTCTTTATTGTATCACGATGCTAAAGTCAAGTATCCAATTGTTTCATTTGATTTGTTTGTTTGTTTAATTTTTAGTTAATATTAGGAAAAAATCTAATTTCTCTTTGGATTATTGTCTTTTTTTGGTTTTTTTTTCAATCATTACATAATCATTTATTTTCCGTCGGTCACTTCAATCTTGTTATTATTCCTAGATAGTTTAATATATCCTGACATCATTTCAGGATCGTTCGTTTTGAAAGACAAATCAACGCATGCTCCGCAAAAGTCCGCCTGCAATCTGTTGAAGGAAGGGAGAATAAACTGATTTTTGTTTTTTCTATAAAGAAAACGGATAAGAATTAAATCGACTTACTGGTTACTAATGATAACCTCCGGCTTCCTTCCCGTCGTATCCTGAACGAGAAGACATATTTTTGCAACGATTTCAATCACGTGATCCGAAACTAGCATTATATCACCTTTCTTATGCTTAGAATCGCCATTTTCTTGAGACTGAAAAGATTTAATAATTAAAAAAATCAAACTGCATTATAAGAAAAAGCGTCTAATTCGCTGTTATAGCAAATGATTAGAGTCCTTTAAAGAGGTTCGTTAGAGGCAGAGCAATCTACTTATTATATATATTTAAATTTTTAATAATATAAAAAGACTAATATATAATTATAGAACAATTGATTGGAAAATAGACCATAATTGTACTATGACGTTCTTTTTTTTAAATTCTTATCTAAGATTTTTAAATGCATTTGTAAACGTTGAGAAAATATAATTTCCAACTTTGTATAAGTATTACCTTCATCACATGCAGAATCATAATTCGGTCCGCAAAGGGCGATAAGGAAATCGAATGAATGCTCTTAAGAGGTAAACGAAACTTTACAACCAGAGTTCTTTGGTCCAATATGACGACTGCACTTGTTGATATCACAAGTAATTGAAACACCGTCTAAATGAGTGATACAATTGATATTAATATTTTCTCTTATCTTTAAATAAATAATATTTATTTACCTTGCAATTCTTCCTATTCACTTTAGAAACTATATCAGCAAACACTAGGTGTAAATCGTCATTTCTCGTAGCCATTTTTTTCCATTTGTGATTTTGCTTTAATCGAACGTAATCTCCCTTAAAAGGATGTGGCACACTATTAGGATATGAAATCTTTCGATCTTTAAAAGTTTCAGATGCCATAACTTTCTCCCTCATCCGGCTCCGCGACTTTTGATCACACATTCCTCTATACTTTAAACACTAAAGTGAAAAGAGAATTGCTTGTAAATAACAATCTTAAATTAAACATTCTCTCAACTAACCCTCCATTTGTGATGTAATAAACGCAGCTGTTCTGAAGTTTTAGTAAATAATTTTGGAGAGGTTGGCCATCTATGATCCGCAGGCGAACTTGTTGGTAAATTTTGTATGACGTGCGTTAAAAACCTATATCGCTATTTTGTTGTATGCAAAGATAATAATTAATAAATATTTAAAAGTTTAATAATAAATAATCTGTACCAAAGTAGCTTTAATAAACTTGGCAATTTTTGGTCCAGCTATTCTCCTAAATTTTCTACCATATTGCTTCCTAACTTGCCAGCCCAAAAAGTATTTATGAATTATTTCAGCTGCCCATTTACATCTTTGTTCGTATTTATATTGTTTCAAAAGCATACGAGCCTATTTCGAATTGTATTTTTTTTTTGTTCGGAAACAAAAGAGAAATATAAATTAATGTAGTCTATTATAAATGCTAAGAAAGTATATTAATTAATATTATTAGGTAAAAAGCATTAATAAACAATAAGGTGTACTAATCGGATTAATTTTAAACAAGTGATTCCTCACCTTCCATCCTCTATAATAAGAGCACAATACCAAGGTAGCCTGTTTCACTTTTTGATACCGTTTCCAAGCCTAAACATAACATGCAGGAATAAAGGGGCATGCACATAAAGGTTTAACCTAACTATTATATCTAAAATATTTCCTATTGTGATCCAAAACTACTAACACCATATTAAACTATTATATACTAAGTATAAAAAATAATAAAAAAACTAGGTAGAGGGCATATTTCTCTATCTAAGCTAATAACTTACAAAGAAGCATTTCCATCTGCTGGCTATTAGAATTTGTGATTGTTTCTTCTTCAAAAATAATTTTCTTAAACTCCATCCCTTATAGACCTTCTGAACTAGAGTGGCCAGATCGTGTAATTTTTTCGCTCGTAAGTCTTCCAACGAAAACAACTGTATAAAGTGTAAAAATGTATAAAAATATCAATATAGATCTCACAAAAAAAAGAGACAAAAAGAGAAATATAGTCAACCGAATATAACCTACCGTAGACGGATTTCTAATAAATACTTTAGTTTTGCCATAGGCAACTTCTTCTTCCGGAAACTAGAAAAAAAAACAAAGAACAAAAATTATTAACGTACTTCACATATATACAGTATATAAAATATATATTGAGTTTTTAATATGTATAAATATATTAATATAGATATACTAATACAGATATATTAATACATATTGTATATATATATAACGTATGAACTAATATATACTTTCTAATATTTACATATTGAAGGAAGTTAAGAATTAGTATAATATAAAATCATGAATAATTCATATAAATTAAACTTACTTGCAAATAGCTGAACAGCTTTCGTACTCCAATTTCCATTTTGCCGTTGTAAGTTGGCCAAAGTTCAGGGCAAAGCATTTTGAAACGTAATAGGAACTGAGTGTAAGACTGTCGAAAGGCATAACCAGCTCGTTTAACTTGTACATTTTCCAGTAGTCTATAATAAAGAAATCAGAAAATAAATGGTTAAGAAAACGAAACGGAAGCGGTTGAAATACCCTAAATAATTCACTTGATGTCTAACGAGAGACTCGTCGAAAACGTCGCTTTTTTTTTCGTCGTTAGGCTTAATGCATCTGATATAATTCGGCACCTTTGTTTGTAGATCCTTAACTAAGGCATTAATAGAGGCTTTGAATTGTGAACTTGTCGTCGGTGGTCTTCGCATTGATGTCTTGTACGGATCACCTTAAGGTAAAAAAGGAGCGTAAAATTTATCTTTTACTTTTAATAGGGCTGATAATATTCACCTTCAGGGAATAATATAGGCGTAAGAGGATGTTTACAAAGCCACATCGTTTTTGATAAGTCTCTAAATAGAAGGTCGTTATTCTTTTCTAAAAATCCGTCAACATAGTAAGTGACATTGCCCGCATAATGTCTAAGCCGGAAAGCATCAAAAGGTAGACTCCTATTAGGAAAGTAATTATATAAAATACCTCACAATTAAATAATATTATGCAAATATAAATTATTTAAAACCGACCTATCGTTTTGATTCTTTTTACAATTTCTTGCCTCGTAATGATCATGATTGGCAAAATTTGTATTTAGCTTTGCCAAGAAAGTCGAATCACTCACTGTCCCTGGCCTTAGGCACTCTTCATCCAATAAAGATAGAATTCCTTGAGAATGCTGTATACAATAATATTTTTTGTTGAATAAAAGAGATAATATAGTAAGAATAGCTTATACAAAAGAATAAGACTTAGTTAGTTGGGCAAAAAAACGAAAAGATTTCATGTTTTTGTTTTTCTTTCATTATTTTTTTTAAACGATATTTCAAGGAGAGATAAAAGCAAACAACATCATTATATCGAAAATCTTCAATGAAAAATAAAACCAAACTAAAACAACTCACTAACATGCAAAGTAATAGATATTAAAATTTCAAATGCTAATTTTCATGCTTTTTTTCCTCTTCTATTCACGATCAAGTAGTTAATTATTATCTAATTCAGTTTTATGTGCATATAAGAAATACTGATATATAAATATATATACATATATATATATTGTATATATTGCTCAAATATATCTATACATATATAGATATATAGTTATATACAATATGTATTGTGTCCATTAATTGTTTATACTCCTAAGCTAACAAACTATTGCGTAACTTACACAATCATATCTGAAATATACTCAAAAACGTATCTGAAAGAAAAGAAGTACAACATAGAAAATAAAAAAAAATACAAAAATTATGATATCATGCATTAAAAAAAATAAAAGAAAATTTCTTACTAATTAATAAATAAGTTAACTAATTAATGAATTAATTTAAATAAAGTAAATATATCAAAAAAATATGGAAGGATACAATAAAATTAAAGGGTAAAAAAAAAAAAGAAAAAGTAACCCTTTAAAAATTTAACTTACTTCACTTTGCTGCTTGTAATTGCAATAACAACAATGGTAATTACTTAAGATTGTTCATATTTTATAATTTTCTATTATTATATACATACAGTATATGTAAGTTTATATATATAGAAAGTCTTAATAAATAAGTAGATACATATGTACAGCGTATATCCTCAATAAAGAAATCAATAGAATATAGAATCTAATTAATATTATGAACTTACATTTTCAATTAAAGAACAAATAACTGCATTATTGAAATATTGCACTTGAATCCATTCGATACCCTAAGTAACAATAAAAAACTTGATTTAGATATGAAAAGGATAATCAAACACAAAAAACTAGTAAAGTCAATAAAAAAATAATAATTGTACCTCTTTAATATATTCTTCCTGTTCCTCTTTTAAAGTTAATTCAATAAATAGCTGTTGTAGCTTTTCATTACAGTAGTTGATAATAAATTGCTCGAAACCATTATTCTATCAAAATTTATTAATATCATTATTATTGGATGTCGTAAATTTTATAACGCTTAGAAAAAAAAAGTAGAACAATGGCGTACATTAAATACTTCAAATCCATAAATATCTAAAACTCCCATCGATTTCTTTTTTCCCCTTCGTTTAGTCTACAAATTATTTCTTTTATCAATTTTTCTAATTTATCAATGTTAAAGATAAAACAAACTCGAATGCCATCGTTAATTTTCTCAACAATCCATGTAAACAAACGAGAATAGATTGCTTTGCATAGAGCGTCTCTTGCATAAATTGCCTAAAAGGGAAGAAGGTGCTTATTTTTTAAATAGAAACAAGTTACTTTTAAAATTCCTATCTTACTTCGGTACAGGATAAATCAGTTCGAATTTTTTCGCTACTTGTTTCAACCGTTCTTTGAGTTAATGCAGCTTTTAATCTATCACACGAACATTTGAGCAACTCAGCGCATTCTTGCAGTTCTAAAATTAGTATATAACTAATTAGAATTTGAGGTTAAGCAGAATATAAATTGAAAAATTTGATATCTAACCCTCTTCTTTTTGTATAATACATCCTTCATTGCCGTCTATTTTTGTGTGGTGCTGCAGTTTCAAATTACCTAATTTCAGGACGACAGCTACTAGCTGTTGGAAATGTATTTGAATCAAATAGTCAGCAAAATATGTATTCAACCTACCTGAAAGACGGACATAATATCATTAACATTAAACCCGACTGTAGTCATGGCCTTTCTTGTAATCTCAAAATTCTCCTTGTCAGTTAACAAACATTCGGTCATTGAATTGGAACTAAGATAATGATAATGTGCAGGATTTCTTTGCAATTTTAAAGATTCTATATTTATATAACAAAATAAAACATTTGGTTAACGAGAAAAGCCCTCTTGTCTTTGTAAAATAATAATGTTTACTTAAGAACGACGTTCCAGCACCGCTAAGTATTTGGTAAAAAATGTGAAAATTGCGCTCTCCGTCAGATTGTCTGGCAACCCTTGACTTCTCCAACAAATCTGATGAATGTTAAGGTAACAGATTTTGAATAATCAATTTAGAAATACGAACAATTTGTAATAACTCCACCAACTGGATCTCCTTTAAAATCGAATTCTATATCCATATATTTCCCAAATCTTGAACTATTGTCGTTTCGGTGAGTCTTAGCATTGCCAAAAGCTTTAGAAAGAGTCGAATGAAAATCAATAGAAAAAGAAAGTCGGTAACGAAATTTACCTTCCAAAACTGGATTGGACTGCAATAACTGCTCCTTGACTTCATCCACTTCCCGTCCCTTTCCCGAAACAGCGGCGATATACTGCATTATTAACTTACTCGCTTCTGCAACAGAGGTGTCGACGTATCAATGATAGTCGGTAATTAAAGCGTGGAAAATTCGATAAGTCCAAAAGCAAATTCAATTACCCGTCTTTCCAGCTCCCGATTCCCCGGATATGATAACGCACTGATCCAGGTTTCTATCTCTCATCGAACGATACGCTTCATCTGATATAGCGTAGCTGAAATTTAGCATAAGTATCCTGTCAACTCCCTTCAAGATAAAGCTTTCCAAATGTATTTTTCTACTTACATATGAGGTGGTATTTCGTAAATATTCCTACTTCGATATTGAAAAATGACATCTCTAGTATAAATGGGTAAAAATTTGTACGGATTGATAGATATAACTACATTTCCAATATAAGTCTGTGACAGAATAAATAGTTGTCTTTAAAAAAATCTATATTTGCTTTAAAACGGATAGCTTACATATATAAGATCCTTGCCAAAACGAACTCGAATATTCTTTATAATAGAATCAACCGAAACCGGTTCCAATAGGCACATATCCGATACACCGTCATCCATAGTTTTGTAGTTTTACGGTCCGGCGCCGCTAGCCGACTGTGATAAGCTTCGACGCGGATTTGTCACTGTAAAATACACGAGGCGATACAATTACGAATTTTACGAAAACAACGCCATTACAATTCATAAAGCTGATAAAGGCTAAAAAGCCAAGGACACTCTCTATTCTATTAATATTATTATACAACTTCAATAGTCCGACAAAGCAGCGCCACTTTATGGCCTCCTTCCCTTAATACATCAATGAAATGGGCGTTTACCTAGTACGTTGCACAATGTTCCTGGTTATAAAAATATGAACAGACAATAATGCGACATTCGATATAATGCGATATGATCGTCACGTTTTCACATATAATAAATTCTATCTAATTTTTAGATATTGCTAATGGGACCTAGTGTAACTTATTAATCAAAGTCTACTAAATTTTACAGACTCCGCCATTGGGGCTGTCACTCGTCGGATTTTGGAAAGTTAAGTCAATAAAAGAAAAAGCAGAAGTAATACGAATACATGCATTCAAATGAATAAAATTGAGCTTATGCAGGTTGTACTTACCAGATACAAATGTTGAAAATTGCAGAGAAATTCAAAGCGTGTTCAAAGCAATTATGATTCGATTGAAACATAAAAAGGTGGCTTAATTCCATGAAAATCTCTTCTATAATAAAGACAAACACGGACTACAGCCCGCACGCCAATAGTTGTACGCATGCGCCGACTGCAAAATAACCTACAGATGTCGCCAATTAAATGATCCAGGCTCCTATTGATTTTTTCAACAATAATACTTAGTTGAGGAACTAGTACCCAACAATAGTCCCATAAGGTCAAAAACTATTTTCATATAAAAACAAAGGCCGGTTTGACTTATGTAAAAACTTTCTGTCGTTTTTTTCAACGATAATTCACTTATGGAAAAAAACTTAAAATCCAACCCTCTCCAATTGGAAGAAATTGACACTGATTTATATAGGCAAGCTTTTTTCTCCCCAATTTCAACAGATACTTTTCTTTCGTTTCCAAAATAGTGTTTACATTTCTCAATTCTGAGAATATAGAATTTTGTCATTCATCTTCGAACATTTGTTCTTCATTAACAGAAGTGCAGATAATTTATGGAGGCCTGTGGCAGCCAGAGCGGTATATGGTGGTCAAGTTGTTGGTCAAGCCCTCGTGGCAGCAGGAAACACGAAAAGGCAAAATTTTCATGTACATAGCGTTCATTGTTACTTTGTATCTCCCGGAAATCCTAATATACCGATTATTTATCATGTTGAAAGAGTTAGAGATGGTAAAAGTTTTTGTACAAGGTCAGTAAGAGCAATGCAAAAGGGAAATGCTATTCTAACGATGATGGTTTCTTATCAAAAAACTGAGTATATGCCCATTGAGAATCAGTTTATTATGCCAGAAGCTCCCCCTCCAGAGAGTCTTATGAATATTGAACATTTACTGCGTACACTTCTGAGGTTTGCGATAATTTTTTTGCTCTATTTATTTTAACTTCAGTTGGTCTAATCTCTGTTAAAAAACAGTCGATCCGATTTATCAGACAGTAGAAGAGACTACGTAACCAAAGTATTAGCTCAAGAAATGCCAATTGAAATAAAGCCTGTAGATCCATTCATATACTATAAAATGGTTCCAGGTACTGCACCCCGAGCTCTTCTTTGGATGAGAGTTAGGGGAAATATAGGTATAAGAGAGTAAATAAAGTCCGTATCGCTATTTGCTATCTTTTTTTTTTCCTTATAAACTAAACAGATGAAAATGATAGGAACTTACATAGGTGTGCTTGTGCATATATATCGGATATTGCATTGCTGAGGACAGCTTTAGTGCCATACCCAAATTTTAAAATGACATTCGCTGCATCTTTAGACCACTCAATGTGGTTTCATTCTCCATTTAGAGCAGACGAATGGATGCTCTACGAATGTGAGAGTCCTCGATTAGGTAGCTATTAAGTTTCAATAAAATTAAATACTAATTTTTTCACTATTTAGTCGCAAATAGAGGTTTAATACACGGAAGAGTTTGGAAAAGAGACGGTACTCTAGCCGTCTCCGTTGCTCAAGAAGCCCTTATCAGAGGACAGATTGATAATAAGACAAGTAAATTATAATGATATAATAATTATCAATCGATTTTACATTCTGAACAAAAAGAACACAAAAAAATAAAGATGTTTATACTTTTATTGTCTTTATTAAATAGTAAAGAATAAAAGTTGGTTAGCTAAGAAACGGTTCTGTCATTTAGATTCATCAATTGATTTCCCTTACTGTCAAATGGAAATCTTAAGGGAACAATATATAGACTATACTTTCTTCAAATTGATTCGTATGCTACTCGGCTTCCCTACTAAATAACCTAACAGAATTTATGCTGAATATCAAATAAGCTGTAATAGAAAAATATTTTTTTACAAATTTAGGCCTAAATAAAAATTAAATTTGAAATATCTCACTCAACTAGTCGTATAAAGCATAAACATATATATATATATACAGTATATATGATCATGTAGTTTTATATAAAAACATCTATATTAAGAGCTTTTAAATGAGAATAATGTTTAACTTATTAATGCTGGCTAATGCTATTAATTTAATACTGAGTGATTCTGATCACGAAAGTTGTAATTTGGATGAAGATGTTCAAAGGAGATATATAGAAATTGATGATGTTCAACGTCAAGATTTAAAAAGACCGCAATCATGGGGGTATTGTAATGAAGAAAATATGTATATTTGTTCTGACGGTAAAAAGATTGACTGTAATTTACGTTGTGATGGTAAAAATGATTGTGGGCAATTTAGCGACGAAGGGATATTTGCTGATTGCTGGTTTGGAGAGATACTAAAATGTTTCGAATGCGAAATCATTGGTGAAACAACAAAGGACGTTAACAATTGCAGAAAACCTAAATCCAGCGGCTTAACTCGAGTTGATTATAAATGTAGGGGCTATTGCGCCAAAAGAATTATTAAAGTAACATATAGTTTTTGTTCCTCTTCAATAATAATTATAGCTTTGTTTTGCGTATCAATTTTAGGAGGCATACAATTCAGGAGTAACTTACACTTGGATGAAAAGATGGTGTGAATCCTCGCCAAGGCCAAATTCACTTGGATGTCATAGTTTTACAAAGAGAACTACGCGTAAAGAAAGTAATATAACTACTTGTTTATGTAATGGTAATTTGTGTAATACATCATCTGTACTTTATTTATTTAATAGGTTTTTCTATATTTTATATATAGCTTATTATATTTAAAACTAACTTAACTAAGATAATAAATATATTAAATCAATAGAGGGATATTTTAACATATCAAAGAACAATCTCAAAGAATAATTTGATACTGTTTCTCTTCTTGTCAACTATTCCCTTTTTTAATCTATATTCTATCAGGGCAATGTCCTCTATGAGATTGTATATAATTTTAATTAAAGTAATAAATCAGGTTCACAACTTGTTCTAACAGCACCATATGTATCGTCCATATATTTTAACCTTTTGCACTGGTTATCTTACTATTATTAGACCATACTAAATAGAGTAAAAGTGACACAATTCTTTCGATATTACACTTAATCGGCAAGCTTTTTATCGGCGTAGTTTATGCAGAAATTATTTAAATTTAGATTAAAGACTACTTCGCTAAATTAGATAAGTCAAGCTTTTCTGCTCATCACTAAAACGGTTGTAAAAATGTTGTAGGAATCATACATGAAGTATATATAGATACAGTATATATATATAATAATATGTATTAGTATAATAGTAGGTCGATATTAATGAGTACTCGATTGAATGACTATTTTCGCCACAGTTTCATAGAAGGTTCGGTGAGTATCAACTAGTACAGTTTTATCTCTCAATAGGTGGCGACAACGATTGAGTATAAATAAATAAGTTTAAAGTTCAAAAGCAGATTGTCTAATACAACTGAAAAACTACTATTCAGTTTAAAGCAATCCTCGAGAAGTTAAAGCTATGGGTTTTGTGAAGCCAGTTTTGCTTGCAATAATTGCGATAGGCGTTTATAACTACTATACGAAAGAAAAACCAGCGCCAGTAACAAGCGTTAAGATGAGAATTGAAAAAGGTTGGGAACAAGTTGGGGAAAAATTTAAGGAGTTAGTTTTAGCAGGTGAAATTAAGGGTTCGTCTTTCTCTGTTCGCCATAAAGGAAAAGAAGTGGTTAATATTGTTGGGGGTTATGCTGATAAGGATTCTTTGCTTGAATGGGACTTTGACACTTTATCTCTTTTGTTCTCTAGTACCAAGATGTATGGTGCTACAATTATTTTGCATATGGTCGAGAGAAAACAATTGTCTTTAGATGATACAGTATCAAAGTATTGGCCGGAATTTGCCAAGAATGGCAAAAAGGATATCACAATTGGTGATATTTTGACTCATAGGTCCTGTCTATTTTTAGTAGACCAGAATTACGATCCTGAAGATCTCATTGTTAATCCTAAAGCTGTTGAAAAAATCTTTGAGGATCAAGAACCATCTTGTAGAATTGGTAAAGATCATGCCTACCATGCTTTCACTTATGGGGCACTCTTGCATTTGATTGTTAGGAGAGTTGATAACAAGGGACGAGGCTTATCACAATATTTTAGAGAAGAGATAGGAATACCACACAACCTGGACACTTTTATTGGACTACCATATGAAGAAAATTACAGGACCACGAGAATGGAGCGCATACCAATTTTATCATCAGAACTTTTAAGGAGCGATGCACACGTGTATCGAGAACTTTCTTTTGGCCTCCTTCTTAATCCCAATAGCCCATTAGCAAAATCAGTTAAATATCCTTCAATGTATTTAGAAGATTATTCAGTAAATAATCCAAATAAAAGAAGAGCTCCAGATGCCTGTTGCTTAGGTTTTTCTACAACCAGTAGTATGACTAAATTCTTTTCTCTATTAGAAGCAGGAAAGATTCTTAAAAACGAAACATTAGATCTAATAACAACCCCTGTTTCTGACGGTGAAAATATACTTGTTAAGGTGAAAATCTTCTTTTCCCATGGATTTTTCATAACCAATTTAAGCGGAAAAAAAGTCTATGGACATTCGGGAGCTGGTGGTCAATCTTTATTCTCTGATAAAGAAAATGAATTAGTCTTTGCTTATTTAACAAACTACGCAACAATATACTCGAGAGGAGATGACCCTAGATTTATACAATTGTTTAACGCTGCTTACGAATGCCTTAAGAATGTTACTAAATGATTGTTTTGTTAAATAATAGAGAATAAATGTATTTATTTCGAAATCTAAACTCTCAAACGCAAGTTTATTGAATATACGATGGTGGAATTCTAGGTAGCACCACCTGTCAAAGCCTTCTTTAACATGGTTGATGAAATAGGCCAATTTTCTGGCTTGTAATCCAAAGATTTTATCTATAGAACAAATATTGTATTAGTAATCAGTAACAGTCAGTATTTTAAGGAATTGATCAATTTTTATCTCACCTCATCGGCGGATGGTGTTTTCGGTTTATAAATAGGCATTTTTGAGCCAACAACTTGTAGCATTTTCAATTCGACTGGGCCGAGTTGAAGATAATCCTATAGTCGTGAATACGAGATGATTGTAATCTAAAAGTTAATTTTATTATATAGCTTACATCAAAATCTTCGTCATCAAATTGAAAATAATTGCCAAAAGGATCTTCATCGTCGCTCTCCTCTCCATCTTTATTATCTCCATCATCTTTAATATGATTTATATTGTATTAACAACTTTTGAAATAATCACAAAAAGAACTTACAATCGCTTTCTCTATCATCTTCCACAGGTGTGAACAGTCTTTTAAGCTTTTGGGTAATATTTTTTTGAGTTAAATTCTCTTCCGTCCCTGCAATATTTAAATCTTTATTATGGCATTAGTTCTTTGAATAGTTAATATTAATTACATGGTTTAATTTCATGCTGACTACCGCGTTTAGCGTCATGGATCGATAAATCTTGTAAATCGATTTCTAAAAGACTTCGTTCATCAAGATTTTCACCATCTTCAAATTGAGTAAGATAAAACCTCCTATTTAAATAAGAATAATAATTAACAAAGCTATATAGAATACGATTATTTCCTTTTTTTTGTGTTTTAGACATACTGAGATATTTTTAAATCATCTCTGTGGCATTGGAAGAGTTCTTCCATTATTCTTATATTATCCTTTTCTAATTCTTCAACTTCTACGGCTGCATTGTCAGCATCGTGTTTATGTATATCAACTTCCTTTCTCAGCCAATCATTATCAATTACTTCTAGACGGCTGTCCTTGTCTAATTTAGCCATTGCTTTCTAAAATCGAATAAAAGATTAAGAGTACTCTAAGCATTAAATAGAGTTTAACCTCTGTAGCAACTTCTTTCTGCTTTTCTATCTCTGATCGAACAGTTAGCTGTAAATCTCTCGTTGCCCTCTCGTGACTGACGTGCAGGTAACGCTCCATTTCATCAAACGATTCTTCCATATCTTTAATCTCTTGTTCTAATAGCATTATTTGTTTACTATGATCCGACTGACCTTTATTCTTATACTCAGTCCAGTAGTCAACCTAATAAATAAGTTTTTAGAATAGAAAACGAATCGAACTAGATTCCTACTTACATCTTTTTGAACTTTAATTATTTCGGTTTCAATACGAGCATACGCACTCTTAAGATCTGTAATTTAGAAGACAGAGAAAGAGAAAAAGAGAGGGGAACAATGAAAAAAATGGGTAAGATTATTAGATTTTCCGATTGAAAAATGTCCTTACTCTTTATATCTGCTTTCTCCTTTTCTTCACTTTTATATTTATCCTTCATAACTGCAATGACTTGTTCTTCTGTAACAATTTCCTGTTCTGAAAGCTCTCTTTCATAAACTTTCGCTTCAGCAAGTAAATTCCTAGAGTGTTCATCTCTTTCTTCAGTCAAACGTTCAATCTATTAAAGAAGAACTTATGTGAACATGTGATATGAGTGATAATTAAAAAATTTATCAAATATCTTTACCTTCTGTTTGTTCCTATCATTCTTTTCTTCGAGTCCTCGAAGTTCGTATCTAGTGTCATCAATTCGTTTTTCTATCAAACTAATACTGTGGAAAGAGAACACAAAGGAAACACAAAATTGTATATATGATCTTTAATAATTGAAATTTAAGTAAAACAAACTGATATTCCAAAAGTGCCTCTTCCCAAGTCTTTTGAGGTGCTTTTTCCTTCTTCTTCTTACCCTTTTTTCCCTTTTTCTTCTTTGGGGGCATTCTATACGAATAAATCAACGACAATAATAAGGAATTGATAAAGCTTTTTAGGCGCTTGGAAACAGATGTAAACAAAACTATCGTTGACTGCCATCTTGCGAACTATCCGTAAATTATAAAAGAGACAACAAACTCTAAATTGTCAATAACTCATTTATAGCCTATAAAAGTACGTTATATTCTCACAGACTCCAATAACTTACTACTTTAAATGTTTAATCTTTATGAAAAGTATGACAAAATTAACTTATTCTCTTTTCTGAGTCGGCCAAATGATTGTACCAGTTTTTTTTAAAAGAGTATTTTACTTTCCTTTACCTTTGTCCGAGGGCCTCCCGTTTTTTTCGACATAAGTTGAAATCGTAATTTGTTCTTATTGAAATGTCGAATGCATTCCATTACACAGAGAAATTAATTTGCATATTTAATGCTAAAATTTATAATTCGGACTCCGAAACTGATTTTGAATGGATGCTATTTGATGAAATTTCTGGTTATATTAAGAGAATTGGAGTGGGTAAACCTGATTTATCCGGTTTAACAATTTCAAATAGTATAGATATTGGTGGACAAAGAATTTTACCCGGATTGCATGATTCGCATATACACGTTTCGAATATAGGTCGAGAGATATGGAGTTGCGAATTGAATAACTGCTCCTCCATTAAGGAAATGCAGGAGAGAATTGCAAATTATTGTAAAAAAAATCCTAATGCCGAATGGATTTTTTGCGCTGGGTGGGAGCAGGAAAAACTTGGACGACTGCCAAATTCGCAAGATTTAGATGTGATATCAGATAAACCTATTTTTGCCTATCGAATATGTCATCATATTGCAGTTGTTAATAAAACAGCTTTAAAATTGGCAGGTTCCCATCAATATTGATAATAGAGTGTAGTTATTAAAATTATCTTAACAATTTTGATAGGCTATAATCGGGATATAAAAGATCCTGAAGGTGGAACATTGGATAGAGATTCGAATGGAGAACTTACAGGTATTCTCCGAGAGAACGCAATCAACCCTGTTATGGCAATTGTTCTGAAATCAATTTCGAAACCGGAATCATTAATAAAATTCCTTAAAGTACGTTCCATGTAATACGACTCTAATCGCATCATCCTAATAATTATAATCATGTAGATTGGATTGAAAAATTGTTTAGAATCCGGTTTAACTTCTGTACACTCTAATGAGGCCGCCTCTTGGAATGAATTATGCACAATAGAAAGGAATAAGGAATTATCTATAAGAGTTTTTATGGCTTCATATTATTCAAGCTTATCAAAAAATCTTCCTAAATACCCTGGAGAACAATACGGTAAGAGGGAAACACTTAGAGTAGAACTTTATTGAAAATGTGCCTTGATATTTTAAATTTTTCTAGGGAATTTACTAAGTTGCGATAGGATAAAAATTTTTTGTGACGGTTCTCTTGGTGGATCTTCGGCAGCAATGAGTATGCATTATATAAATGATGAGAAAAACAAAGGATTACTATTAATGTCACAGGTTTTTATTTTAATAATTATTGATCAGTTGAAGAATTAGGAAATAGATACACGAAAATAAATTTACTATAGGATGAGTTGAATACTGCGGTTCGTGAAGTGACAGCTGCTGGATATCGTTTAGAAATACATGTTATAGGGGATGCAGCTGCAGATGCAGCATTAACTGCTTTGGAAACTGTTGGAGTTGATCCCAACAAACGTCCTATCCTCACTCATTGTCAGGTAAAGACTATTTTAATTGCTATTTCTTTTACATTACTCGAATTTATATGGAATATCAGATTTTAAGAAAAGACTTATTACCTCGAATGCGTAAACAAGGAGTTATTGCTAATATTCAACCGCCATTTTTACCCACCGATACTGCCTGGTTACATCTTCGTTTACCTAAACCTCTCTTAGAATACGCCTATGTATGGAAAACTTTGATGAAAGAGGGAATCGTTTGCGCTGGAGGTTCCGATAGTCCGGTCGAACATTGGAACCCTTTTTGGGGCATGTATGATGCAATTTTTAGACCTCTCGGTAGTAGGACTAGCACAGAAGTTCATAAGTAAGTGTTATATGAATTTCTTAGAAATTTATTATTTTGAACTTTTTTAAAGGCCAGAAGAATGTTTGACTATTAGGGAGGCTGTTGATTTATACACAAAAAGTTAGTGCCAATATTTATTAGTATGTTCATTTTTCAATAAATTGACAAAAACTGATATTTAACAGACGGAGCATATACAACGAGAAGAGAGCACGATTTAGGTCAATTAAAAGTTGGATATTTAGCCGACTTCGTCGTTGTAGATAAAGATATCATAACAGAGCCAAAGTCATTACTTGACGTTAAAGTGAATCAATGTTGGATTTCAGGGATTTGTAAATATAAGCGACTGTAATTCAGCTGCAGAAGGCTTTGCAATTCTCTCTTCTTCTTTGATCATTTTCTAAGTGACTTATATTAGACTAAGTGACTAATATAAATCATTTTAATTGTTTGTCAAATTAACAAATTAAATAATTATTTTTGTGTTTAATTAATCTACTTTTCATATGGATTGATTTTTTAATATTTCGCCTTTTACTATAATAAGAAAAAGTATCTTTACTATAACAGTTCTACAATATGAAGTGAATATATAGTAGTTTTTAAAATATATTATATACAGTATATCTACTGGAATATACTGCATAAATATCTTTATATTGCTGCAGTGTGCCGAAAAATAGTATAATTTTATATGTATGTGATTCTATTGAAGATAAGATGAATCATTCTTATATTCTTGAAGTAATTTTTCATAATTTTCTTCACACATTTTAATATTATTAATAAAATAATTTCGATCTGATATGGCACTTAGTAAATCAGCTTGAACTATCACAGAATTATGTAATTTGTTCAAAGACTCTCTATTGAGACTCTTTGACTGTGAACCTATAAGTTGTCGAGCGTCTACAACGCTATGACTATCTCCATATCTAGCGTTGTCATCAAAAAATATATGATGTATAGTTGGATCATTGAAATCAAGATATAGAGGTTTGCCAGATCGAAAATGATAATCGGATTCCTGCCAAAAATGAAAATCGTCCACATAAGCGCAAATACCATTCCATTCTGTCCAAAAGTTATAAATTTCCCTGCAGTTTATCATTGTTCTATTACCATACTCAACGAAAATATCATCACCTTCCCTCCTTATAGAACCTGGTTCCAGTGCTACCGACAAGTTTAGTTCGTCTCAAGGTAGATAATGGAATTATTTTTGATCAAGACTTTCAAAAATTATGCTTAAGTTTAGCTTTTAAATGATTTCAATGTTATTGATCTTTGCTTAACTAGAATAGATATTGTTAACGCTTCAATTATCGATTCATATAAAGTGTTAGTTCATTCTATTAATAGACTTTGAATATTACTATAACCGAAAGGAAAGAAAGCAGATAAATTATTTAGAATAATTCCATTATATACACACTTTTAAAGCTCGGATGGTTACCTTTGGTAGTCGAATGTAATGCTTTGAGCATGTTCCTAGCATCCAATCCATACGTTCGAATTATCACAGAGTAGTCTCGTTTGTCTTCCTGCAGCTTATACAAGCACTCCAGAAATGATGGTAAGGCGTAGTGATATGAGTTAGCCAAAGTTAAATACTGTACGTTATTATGTTTCCATTCTAAGATTTTTCTATGTTTTTCAAATATATCATAAAATTGAGATCCAATTGGTGTTTGTGTAAAATCTCCTGTAGCTTTTCGTAAGGCAGCTCTATTCCTTGCATTTCGTACTAATTTACTTTCGAGATAAGAATAATAGCTTATTGCATTTGAATCTGGAGGTTCGACACTGAGTTTATCATTAATCCATCTCCATTCGGAATTCTCGTTCACTTTACCCCAGGCAACACATGTCATATAAGAGTTGAGGCCCTGCTCAACCGTCGTTGAGGTTACACTGTCGGCTACTAATATAGTATTTCTCAAATCTACGTGTAAAATTAACTTTGACTTTTTTTTATTTAATCCATTATAAGTTGAAAAATCCTCTTTATCAATTTCCATAACTAAAAGGATTTATGAAATAATTCAAAGCAATTGCACATTATGGATGTTGTTCTAGAGGAAAAGCTATTCAGGAAAAATTCGATATTGTTTTCTAGTATCCTTGGATACGTCAAACTGCAGAGCAACTCTTGATAAACTAGAGAAATTGATTAATTGAATGTATTTACCTATAATTTAACATAAGGAAACTCATTCAGCTAAATGTTCAATTTGTAATACTACTAAAGTTTTACTTAGGACTTAAAATTTACCTTATTTCCTTTTTATAGTTGTGCTAATTTAATAACAGAATCGACTGGATATAAACTTTTAATATTCTGAGAACAAAGTGAATTTTCTTATATGTCAGCTAAATTTCTTGTTATTCAAACACACATTGGGCAATGCAGCGAGCCCTTAAGAATGGCTATTTGCGAATTTCTCAACACTATTGATTAGATTTTTACCGTAACCAAAACAAAATTGGTAAAAATTTAAAAACCTTCATCCAGAATTGAATACAAAAGCTTTAGCTTTTTCTATAAAACAATGATAAAGACATTTTGAGTTTCATTTTCTAATTTAATTGAATAAAATATATCTTATTGGATTCTACTTTCTTAGTCTAGCTATATTATCTATATACAGTATATAGATTATCAATGTTTCTATAATGTTTAAAATATTTAGAAAGTGTTGAGTAGTCTATTTCAACTTTTCCGAATTAGACTGGTTTTCACCCTTTCACTTTTATATAAAATATAAAACATTCTCATTTGTAACATAATCTTTATTTTTTTGACATTCTTTTTAGTTGATTAAATTCAAAAATGAGAGCAATATGAACACGATTATTAATAGCCAAATATTTGCCCCCATTTCAAGATATTATATTGAGAATATTACTCAAGAACACTGTGTACAGTGGAAGAAAAATAGAAATGAATCGAGGGGAAAATATCATAAACATTTTCATTGATACTTATAAATCAATTATTAAACAATTGATTACTAAAATAGAAGAATAGACAATTTGTAAAAAATATCTATATTATTCAATAATATTTTATAACACAAATTAAAGTATATCAGTAAATTTACATTGTTTAACAAAGAATGTTTTATTTGAATTTTATTACTGATATCCGGCATTTAAATTCAAGAATTAATGTATTTAGAAGAACTTTATATATTAATATTGGCATTTCTCTTTAAATTGATTTTTTTACCAGTTTTTTCTATTATTAAAATATTCATATTTTCTATTATTATTTGTACTCAACAAACGATAAACAACAATAATTTATTAAGTATTGTAACTTTGACTACTAAAAAGTAGGTGAAAAAAATGATAAATTTTGAAAAATGTCTTCAATTTTTTTGTTACAAAGTTTAAAGATTTTGAAAATATGTAATTATATTGATTTTCATTGTTCAAGTTCCGTGTTGTTGAAGGGAAGGGTTTAATGTCATAAACAAATTGAAAAATTTACTTTCATATTACATATCGGATAATATCGAGTGAGCTTTATGATCGAATTTCTTCGATATGTTGGAATCGATGTCAGCCTTTTAAAACCGGAAACGGAAGTTTGACACTGCGATAAACAAAACACGAAAATTGAGTCCAGTAATGAAAATTTGTTGAAAAAAATTATAAAGGGAATTGACACTCCAATTAACGTAGCGGTATGAATGCTGATGTTGAATTCCATATAAGACAAAATGATCCATGGAATAAATTACCTGCGAGTGTGAGACAAGTGGGTGTCATAAGCGGAGTGCAACGACTCGATTAATTTCTGATGATTTTTTTCTCACAGATACTTGGAAACACCCAAAAGGAATATGATAAAGCTGTATTTAGTTTTAGCATTAAAAATCAATTGCGATACAAGACAAACTTGATTCGTTATGTCAGAAAAGAAGAAAAAAGATACTATGAACACTTGATCAACTATAGTAGAGAACATTTAATGCTTTTTCCTTATCATCTATCAGATGTAATTGTCAAAGGACTTCGACTTACTCCTTTTGCCTATTATATAAATATGATGGTTGATATAATGAATGCAGAGAAAAGTTATGATTGCCTGCCAAACTTTACTGCAGCTGACTGTAAGTTTGAAAGCTAGCAAACTAAAATTACGTTTTAAAAAACTTTTTCTAAAATACGTAGTGTTTTTTTTTATATTATTTATATATAACAATACTACTCTCATCGTTATTTTTACAGGTTTAAGACTTTTGGGAATTGGAAGAAATCAATATATAGATCTTATGAATCAATGTAGATCTTCAAGGGTAATTATTATACTTTTTCCCTTTATATATTTAATTATTTAAATATTTATAACGTGGAAAAATAAAAATAAAAGAATATTAATTAATTTAATTATTCGTTTCTTTTTTTAAAATGTAGTTTGCTGCAAGCAGTAAGGTAAAAAAAAAACATTCTTATGTATATATACATATTTATATACTACATACGTGCAAAAGTATAGTGTTATTGTTAAATAAACTATGGGTAATGGTAAATTTTGATTTTTTTTAACGATTTTGTCTATGGATAGTTCAAAAGGGATAAAAAAAACCATATATATATACAGATTTTATTCATAGTTTCATTAATGATTTAATATTATATTTTCTTCGTTTTTTATTTGTTCTCCTTTAGAAATTTTTTAGGAAAAAACCAGTTAGGGAGCTTCTTCCGACACAGCCTGTACAATCCGTTGCTATAGCCGCTTGGAGCGAAGTTTTTGCCGGATATATTACTGACGATGACGTCAAGGTTGGACTTTTTTTTTATATCATATATATTTTTCAATTGGTAAATTTTGTTTTCAGATTTGCATGTCAACTGAAAAAGATACTATTGATAAAATTATTGATGATGGAAGAGTTATAGCGGGAGACTTGGACTATCAAATTTTACAAAGTATTCATTAATACAGTTTAGGATGCTCTAACTATACAGTTTTATTTATATTTTACTATAGGTCTCTACAGGAAAGGTTTGGTCTATGTTCAAGTACCAATTTCTGATAATGACTGCATAGTTGGTCAGTAGAAATATTCTATTATTCTATTGTTTTTATAATAAATTATACATGGTTTTAGTTCCTCCATTGGAAGGATTTGTTATGAATCGAGTTCTTGGTGACTACTTTGAAACATTGTTGTATAAGATATTCGTTTCAATTGATGAACATACAACTGTTGCCGAACTTGCAAGTGTATTAGAAATTAATTTAGATTTGGTGAAAAATGCAGTGTCCGTTTACTGTCGGTTGGGTTTTGCTAAGAAAAAAGGCTTGGAAGTCAATTTCGACGATGTTCATCCGTCATGGAGAAAACAGTCTATGAAATTAGATGCAAAGTTAGCTTTTTGTTCATTAAATATAGCGTTTAAACTGTATTAATAATATTTTTTTTATCTTTTCAGCCAGAGAAAAGAAGAAAAATCTCTTCTCGATTTAGACTGGGGAGAATGTGTATCAACTCCAACTGAATCAATAAAAATGACGCCTAGCCAAAGTACTGATAGTTTATCCTCGCCCGAAAATAACGGTTGGTAATTTTATTTCTGTCTTCTTTCCAATAAATTATTGAATGAATATTTTGTTTCTATTTTAGAAATGGGATCAAGCGGCAATTCTAAAAGAATTGCTTTTCTTTTCGATTCTACTTTAACAGCATTCCTTATGATGGGGAATTTATCCCCAGGCTTAAAAAGTCATGCTGTAACAATGTTCGAGGTTGGTAAACTGAGCGAAGAGAGTCTCGATAGTTTTTTATCTGAACTGGAAAAAGTTCAAAGCGTCGCCGAAGGAGAGGCCCAGAGATATTTCGATCATGCAGTTACATTACGAGATATTATTAAATTTCTCAGACATAATAAAGAATTAAGATTAAGCGATGATGGACAGAGCTACGGTCTTGATTTATTAAGATGCGAAAGTCTATTGGGTTTGGATACCGCAACTTGTTCAAGAGTTTTAAAGAAAAATTACGAGTAAATAGCATTTTTCTTAAAATATACAAATTTATTTTCATTTACATTCCTCACAGATTACTTATATCTATGGCCCCTTTGAGTAACGAAGTAAGGCCCATAACTAGTTGTCTCCCATTCCATATTGGACCAGCCATTCCAGAGGTAATTAAACTAAGAAAGATATATTTAAATATTTACTTAATTAATCCAATTAGATCGCTTCCGTTTGGTTTAAATTATATATTTATGCCAAAACCAATTGTGGACCAGCTACACTTTTGTTAGTTAAGGGATCGAAATTAAAGAGACTACCCTGTATTTTTAAGGTTTCTTTACAGTCTTTAATTCTTTTCAATTAATCTTATCCATAACTTAAAATATAATTTCCCAGAATTACGATCGACTTTTAGTAACAACTTGGGGTCATGATCCCGGCATAGTCTCAACATCTAATGCTCTACTCACAGTGAATGAAGCTCTTATACATTCTTCAGTTTTGGTTCAGGGTCACGACTATCATCGATCTCAGGGAAAAATGCGTCACATTGCTTTTCCTTTCGAAAAAGATGAACTTAAACATCAGATTATTGGAACTCTTAACAATAAGATGGAGTTATCACACAGTTGTGGTTATATAACTTTATTACGCACTGGATTTTTAAACAACAAAATTGCTAATAAGAGGAGAATTCAAAAGGAGTATACCGCCTCAGAATGCACTAGTCCTAAAAATGGTATGTCCCATGATTTCTCTCAAAGTGTACTTCAAGACGAATTAGATAAATTGGATTCCGCCGATGGTCATGGAGATAGAACTAAATTAGCACTAAATCTAGAAAATTCACCAGACAATCGTGTCGAAGATCTTGAGAGTAGGGAATGGGTTCTTATGGATTGCGTTTTCGGGCTTCCACTCTTTGAAGGGTCAATTTGTCAGAGTGTTTGTAATAAAATTTTAAATAATAAACTGTGTTCAGACGAAAGGTAAAATATTCCTCTATTAATTTATTCATATATTACAAAAAATTTAATTGTTTCTCCATTTTTTTTTAACAGCCTACAGAAATTGTTGGATTCTAGTCGAACACTGTCTATGGACGTTCTTGATTTTATTTCAAATCATCAGGTAAACAAACTGAATTAAAGTATAGCTAAATTTCATTTATTCTTTTTTAACATAGGATAATTCATTTCAAGAAATATTTAATGATGGTGAAAAAGCAAAATTTGAAGGGAAAATTGTTCCATTTCCTACAAAAAATCTTCAATTCGATGGTTCAAATTTAAGCGTTTGGAATGGTCGATGAAAAATATAATTACAAAGCATACTTTATATATAAGAAATTATGTTTATATTTTATGTCTAATTGATAATTGTACATGATCAGTTTCTCTATTCAAAGTAGCTAAAAAAAAATAATAGTTAAATTCAGTTTTTTCTCCATTTCTGTTGTTGATTATTTGGATTCCGAGGAAATTATTTATTATTCTTTTTTTTCGTCCCTTTTTTCTTTAAACATTAAGAACAAAAGACAATAAGGTACGAAAACTTAATACCCAAATATAAAAATTATTCTTACGTTCTTACACAGAAATATAATACAGGTATTATACGCCATCTATTGAGTATAGTAAAAATTAAATGTTTTATATAGTATATTTCAATTTTAGTTTTAAGTACACTATTGAGAAACCAAAATATTACCACTTTTGTTGTTTTTTCCTTTTTTTTCATAGATATTTTCAGACTACATTAACGAGTTTTAGGAATAACAAGACTATAGTAAAATTTATGGAATTTAGAACAGTTTACTAAACTTCTTATTTATTCTTCAAAGTAAATTAGGTACACACTGTAAAATAGTTATTTTATTTCACAAATCGTGAATTTATACATGATTTATATTCAATTATATAAGAATAAGTTTATATCTATTTCTTCAATTCTTTTCAAGGTCACCAAATTATGCCAAATTCCTGAAAATGAGGAATAGTGAACCAGACTTTTCTATAAAGGTCAAAAAAATTGGCTTATAAATAGCGGTACCTCTTTCTTAAGAGACAGATTTTGCGGAGATATGAACACAATAAATTTAAGTCCTACAACAACGATTTTAGTTGGAGCAAGCGCTGCCGTTGCAATCGTTGTTACGTATGTCTCTGTTGAAATTATTTCGTTGTACAACTCTGGTTCCAAGAAACGGTCCATTATGAAACATATTCCGGACAACAAACAGGGAATTTTTGGTGAAGTTTTCAAATTTCCAGGTCTTAACGAAGCTGGTTTGTTATATATAATGGAAAAAGTATGATCGTTTCGAAAAGTTTACTCTATTTTATTAATGAATTTTCTGAAACAGATGAAAATCTTTCCATTTTGGAGATCAGTCTGGATGACAAAATTTTTTCCAATCATAGCTGTGTATCATCCCGAAACTGCAAAGATTATTCTGAAAACGAGTCATCCTAAACCTCTTAAGCCTGGTACACCTTATTACTTTGGAATAAAATGGTTGGGTCTTGGCCTTTTATTTGCTGATGGAAAAAGATGGATTAGATCGAGAAGACTTTTAACCCCAGCATTTCATTTTGAAATATTAAAACCTTACATGAAAGTTAATAATCAGGCGACTGATTTATTATTGGTAAGCCAATATTAATAACTTAAAGACATTATTTTAAATATAACTAAAAATTTTAGGAGAAAATGGAGAACTGTTCCAATTCTGGTGAAAGTTTCGAATTTACATCCAATATTAGTCAATGTACCCTAGACATTATGCTTCGTTGCGCTATGTCTTATGAAAATACCATACAAAAGGAAGGGTATGTAAACAACGATCACTTTATTAAGACTATGTTTAATATTACTGTAAACCATAATAGGAAAACAAATCCTTACGTTATGGCTGTCAACGAATTATGCCAAATATGGACTGATAGATCCATGAGTCCGTGGTTTTTTCCTGATAGTATTTTCTATTGGACTTCGGCTGGTAGGAAATTTAATAAACTTTGCGACTACGTTCACGGCATTACTGATGGAATAATACAAAAACGGAAGAAAGTCTTGGAGACTGAAGGAGAAAAAGCTCTGAAAGGTAGAGGAAGATATCAAGACTTTTTAGATATCCTTCTCATGGCACGTGATGAACAAGGAAAAGGAATGACTGATTATGATATTCGATGTGAAGTTGACACGTTCCTATTCGAAGGACACGATACTACTTCAAGTGCTCTAACATGGATTATATATTCATTAGCTGTGCATAAAAAATTTCAAGAACGTTGCAGAATGGAGGTTGACGAATTACTTGAAGATAGAGATAGTGATGAAATATTATGGGAAGATATGGATAAACTTGAATATACAACTAGATGTATAAAAGAAGCTCTTCGACTTCACTCCCCGGTACCGTCTATTCTTCGAGAGTTAAACTCACCTTTAACAATCAAAGGAGTTACTCTGCCGAAAAGTTGTGTCATAGAAATAGCACTTTGGAGTTTACATAACAATCCTCACGTTTGGGAAACACCAGAAATTTACGATCCAGAAAGGTTTTTACCTGAGAATAACAAACATCGAGATCCTTACGCATTTTGCCCATTTTCGGCTGGACCAAGAAATTGTATTGGTCAGAACTTCGCTATGGACGAATTGAGAGTAATTACTGCTCGTATCTTAAGAAGATTTGAATTCACATTGGACGAGACTGTTCCAGTAAAAAGGAAAATGAGTGTTGTTATGAGAACAGAGAATGGAATGTACTTACACTTACAAAAGCGAAACATTTAAATCTTTCGCCCGATTTATCAATTTTTAAACAAACAACCAAACAACAAATATGACTCAAACTTTGAAAAAAGGGAGAATCAAGATTTTAACACTGATAATTTTTTAATTGTTTTATATATATATATATACAGTATAAATATAAAATTTTTACAGGTCGATTATGTTTTTGACGACACAACTCTTAATTTGTAAGGTCCAGTCGACGGTGTTACAATTACTTAATAGCTGATGAAGTTTACAGTATTGTGGAAAAGAGTGAAATATTTCGCAAATTATTTATCCTACAGAAGAAAATATTCAAGACCTTAAAGTTAATTTGTAAATTAAGAAAATTAGATTTTGAGAAATTTTTACAGTTGTAACAATTACTTAACATCACGATTGTATATCATTTATCTTTCAATGACATTGTGATTTTATGTAGAATATGAGAAGTGAAATATTAAATATCTGCCTTTTATTTACACGCATCATTTAAAATTTTGTAATGCAACCTATATTCCTTAATTTGCTTAGATATTTGTTTTTTTTTTTAGAATATATTTTCCTATGTTCTTTATCAAAATGGCGGTGATAAAATGCGATAAATATGTTAAATCAAAAAAATAAAAGTGTCCTTCCCTATAAATAATACACATACCCATTTATATATTGTTGCAGAATTTCTCTGATTTTGAAGCATATGATATAAATAGAGATATATAGGAAAAAAGTTAATCTATTTGTAAATTACGTAAGTGTGATATTTCTTTTTATATACTATTGAACGCTTTTTCTTTTTCACTTTTTTCAGAGAAGTTTACTTTCGAGATGGAACTTTGGTTAAAGAAGTAGAACTTCCCACCATCATAAGTGAGCTTCCCATACCGCCTGTTGGTCCTCCAACGTAGGCTGGATACCAAAATGATGCACCAGTGCTGAAATAGTCTGTTGTTGAATTTGTGCTTGTGGTTGATCTTGGTGTTAGGTAATTAACTGGAGCTAGTGGTTCGCCCGAGTGCATTTTTACAGATGAACCTATTGTTGAATTCTGATCAGCTAGAACACGTTTAGCCGGTACTGGTCTTTCACGGCGAATAATATCCGATTGATCATGTACAGAATTTTGTGGTTTTCTTAAAGGTATTTCAGCTGTTGTTCTATTTGTCTCTAACTTAGGAGGCGTAACTACTGAATTTGAATGCTCTGGTTTGGCTAAAATTGAGGATTTTGGCTGTTGAGAGTTTCTTGAGTATGGTTCATCTTGGCTTAAACTTGTCAAAACTGGCCTAGAGGCTCCTGGTTCAGAGATTGTACTTACGGGTACTTGCTGGTTTTTAGAGTGCTTTCTCAAATTCTCTTGAATATCCGCTTCAGCTATGTTAATCCTGGGCTCTTCTTCGTCATTGTAGTTGGATCTTCTTGATTCCTTGTCAATCAGAGGAACTTGTTGTCTCCCCTTTCGTCGTTTTATTATACACACCGTTATTAGCACAGCAAGCAAAAGAAAAATACAAATAAGAATAATAGCAATCAGAGCAACAGTAGTCAATTTCTTCTTAGAGCAGGTAGTTCCTTCGTAATCATTATTACACAAGCAAGTATTCTGCGAACAAACACCTCCGTTTTCGCACACTTTGTCACCACATACTGAATCTATATATGTAAAAGGAATTTTTAAATTGAAATCTTATATTGGAAAGGCCAGACTCTTGAGAGAAGTAACTTTTCATTCATTACCTGATTCTACAAAGCCAAGAAGACCAGCAACAATGAGTAGAGTAAGTAACTTTAGCATCGCGGCTCTAAGCACGGGAGCTACAACTACTTTTGTAACTTGTTCGCCCCACCCTTGTTAGGTACAATTGTAAAAGAGTGAAGAACAGGCCTAACCTCATACGTTCAATATACCTCTATTGAATAACGAATCCGTTCTACCAGATATGTGTATTTTTGAATAAATCGGACAATTAATGTAAGAAAATAAAAATTCATTGTATTTTGTATTAGGTCTAAGTTTCTTTCTTTTCAGGATTTTCACAATAAACAGCAGACGATAATTCATGTTTTTTGTCATCATAATTAGACCCAAATAATTTGCATTTAATAAAATAAACAAACTTAGCAGTCATTTGTATCCACCACCGAATATTAAGCAGATCCAAAGCAAGGCTGGATAATAGGACAAGAATCCAAGTTTTACTAATAGACCAACCCTCATCCCAGTAGACGTATGCATAAAACCAAAAAAATGGAATAACTAGTATTCTACACAATGTGAAAACCACATATGTCAAGAGCTTGGATAAAACGCTACTTTCTGATACACCAGTAACCTTCAAGAACCAATTCGCATGAACAAAAGGCGTCGATGCTTCACTTAATGACTTTAGAGAAGAGAACCATGGGCAGAATCTTCCTTCAATTAGGCAAAATATACAGGCAAAAGCGACAGATAAATGATGAAAGTAAAAGAAGACAGAGCGGTCACCAACCGACAGCATAATACCAATATCAACTATCATGAATGCAGCTGCTATTGCGGCCAGATGGACAACAGCCCAGCCGGCTCCGAGAACGGGTTGTTCAAGGGTCACCTTGTCGAATAGCAGATTCCAAACAGACAGTAAAAACACAACGACAGCGTGTATTGTTGATACAGCATTTTCGCTCCATATTCTCTTTTGATGTTTGTCTAAATTCCTGAAAGAGTTACTTATAGCTGCCGACAATTTTGGTATAACTGGCTTGTAAAGTAACCAAAACAAACTAGTATAACAGGCTACAAAAATATATCCGATCATGATCTGCTCTAAAATATTATATTCCAATATTAACGTTTCTATGACTAAAGATGTTTGAAAATATTTATCATGACCTATCTAACGACACGGATCTCGTACGGTGAACCACCACGTGATTATTACGTGTATTATATCGAACGCAGAAAGACATTGAGGGGGCGGATTCACATTTTTTTATATGGGGAAATGGCGGCTCGGAAATGAGGGCAGGAGGCGTATCGACTAACGGGGGGATCAGCACACTATTATTATTTATAGTTTAACTATAATTTCTATTTTTTTTCACATATTCCCCTATGTTATCTTTAATAAATGGCGGCACAAATACAATATAGTATTACTAATTCCGTATTGACTCAGAATATAGGCCAAATTTAAATGATGAGCTGATCGCTTAAAATGAACAGTTGTTACACTTTTCAGCACTTCTCATTAATAATTTAAAAAAATATATATAATGATCATTCAATTTTTTCAATTAATTTATCAATTAATTAATAAATTTAAATATTTAAAAATCTACATATTTAATTTTTTTTTCGCTGTTGTTCTTTTGGAAAATGTTCTATTATTCTTCTTTTATATAGGTATATAACCGGAAATGAATAAAAACCTATTATGAGAAAGAGTCACTCAACTTCTAGTATTAATTATAGAAATTTTATTGAAGACAATGCTTACTTTAGAAGAAAGAAACTGAAGTTTTCTTTGACAAAACCTCAAAAATGGCTACCTATTAAATATAGGTCAGATTTATCTGACAATATAACTTCCTTATTAGACAATAATTATAACGTTACAAATTTTATAAAGCATCATTTTTCATTTGATGATAAAGAAAATGCAATCAATTCCAGTTTAATTGTAAATGATAAGAATATCTTTGATAGGGAAATATCAAAGGGTTTTGATTTTGAAGATTGCGTTAGTGAGTTGAACGTCTCCCGCCAAAATACAAAGATTTCCGAAAAGGAAGAAGATAAAACTGAATATTACGAAACGGTTAATTATTCATTCAATGTTTCAAATCCAATAAAGGAAATAGATGAGGATAATAATATCCAGCATAGGAAGAAAGAGAAAAGGACGAAAGGGAAGGAAATAAATCATTCTTTTGAAAGAGGAGAAAGGCATAATTATAACTATAGAAATACTTCAAATCCCTCTCGAACTTCAAGTATTTCTTCTAAGAAACACTTTGCATGTCAAATTTCGAATGAGGAACTTTTAGATGAAGTTAAGAAACGTTTGGCAAAGAAAGATAAATTGATCAAAAGACTTCGAAAGAAGGTTGATATTTTTAAATCTCGTAATATTTTTACGAGATCAGCGTTTGATGCTCTAAAAGAACATTCACAAAACATAGAACGTTTAACTATTAATATTAGTGATGAAAAAGACATTGATGAGGTGATTTTATATCAACCTCGACTTGAAGAAGAGTTACTTAAAAATGACAGTTTGAAGGAAGAACTCAAAAACTTGAAAAGAATTATAATGACGTCACTCAACACTAGCGATGTAAGTTATATATTGAAATATATAAATTTATACCTTTATATAGTAAAAAACTGTTCAAAATAGAAAAATAAACTGCTGTTTTTAAAAGAGAAGGAATCGGATAGAATCAGATTATCAAACTGTTGGAATGATCTAAAATGCATAATTCAACGAATATATATCACATACGAATTATTAGCTACCAGTCTAAAGGGAAAGCAATGTTTGACCCATTTACGAATATTATTCAACTATTGGAAAGAATACGAGAATAAGATCAATTTGGAAATGGATGTTTTAAACATGGAAATGGAATTTTGTAAAGCTTCTATAAAAGAGAAACGTTTAAAGGAGAAGTATATATTCCAAAATTTCAGCCAAACATATTAATAGTCTCATGGCCAATAAATTCGAATTCGATCAATATGTAGTTCAAGACCTACTGTACCACTCACCCCTTATTGCTCATAGGCGATTGCTAAATTATTTATTTAAAGAACTTTTTTTTTGATAACGCGATAACAATAACATAAACAATTGAAGAGTATCTATCTTTAAACTGTTACTTTGTTTTTTATTAGATGATTGTCTGCACAAAAAAAATATGTAGAATGTTTAAAAAAAAAACAGGCTAAAATGTTCTCTGTTCTCTTCTCTTGTCAATTTTTGAATATCTTAGTTATATACTCGGTGTTAATACAATAGAATAATGACAATATATTTATGTATTTTCATGCAATACTATGTTTAATATAATAGATATCACATTTTACTATTTTGTTGTCTTTTAGCTAGTTTATTTTTAACAGACTCGTATTCTGACGGATCATCTTTTGCATTCTCAAGTATTGTTAGCTTATGAGAGTTACCAATTAGATGAGATTCAAAATTTTTAATTCTAACATCTCGTACAATTTTCTCGTAGTATGCAATCTCGTCCTCTCGAACTTTTGCCGCAACTTTTAACATGCAAAGCTTCAATTATATTAAGCGATTAGCTACGCCATCTATATTTTTTAAAATTTGTATTTTACTTGCAAAGCTAGATCTGTTAGTTCCCAATTCATTGCATCAATTTTCTTTGTGGCCGTACGATAACGCATTAACATCTGCCTAATTTGACGTCTCATTCTTGATGTTTTTTGCAAGTGATCAATTTGTAACTTATATTGTATTTCAGCCAAATTGTTTACCCTTATTTCCGATACTCCCCTTAAAATTCTTGTTCTATTCTCATCAGTATTTGTATCACGCCTAAACGAATTGATGGTTGACATTTTTTTCCTTTTCTTTTTCGGTACTTTCCTTTACTTTTTGAAATTTTTAAATGATGTTCTTTAATTTATCATTAAATATTAAAAGTTGAATATTTTTTTTTGTAATCTATTTCTATGAAAAAGAATAACAATAAAAATGAATAAAAAAAAGACACTTTTGAATATAAAAGCTTCCAAATTACTCATTTATTAGATTTTCAATGTTAACTTTGTTTAGAATCAATAAAATCGAGCATCTGGTAATAAAAAAAAGCTATGTTTTATAAAATTTGATAAATGCAAAATCTAATAAATATACATAAACTTCTTTATTTTCCATGATGACGACACCGTCCATTCAATAGGAAATACAGGTACACTACAAAATAATTATTGTTCCTCTTATAAAATAAAAAAAAAACAATAACACTTTATCCTATATAAAAATAGAATCTTGTTCAACAGTGACAAATTTTCAGGGTTGTTGAGCGTTGTTCTCTGTAGAATTTTCAACGCTTTCACTTTCATCCATCTTTTCTTCCTCCTTTTTTGGAAGTTCTTGCTCATTAGTTTCAATTTGCTCTTTTTTTTCGCTATTTTCAATGTGTGCCTTTTCGTCATTCTCAATTTGTTCCTTGTCATCCTTTTCATCGTGCTTAATTCCGTTTACTTGAGGACTCTCAGTTGCCGTTGTTTCTGTTGTTTCAATCTCTTTTTCCATTTCATCTTTTTTTGCTTCTGGTTCTTCCTGTACTTTCTCTAAAGCCTCCCCCCCGTTATTTTGAGGATGCTCAATTCCATTTACTTTTGGTGCTTCGTCAATTCCGTTATTTTTTGAGTGATCTACACCGTTCTTCAAAGAAATTTCTTCCTGGCCAATACTCTCTGTGTAATCATTTCCGTTCACCTGTGCCATTTTCTCTTTTCTTAATTCTTCCATATAATTTTCAACTCTATCCTCAAAGACGTCTTCGTCCATTGCTGGAACATTATCGCATAATTTTTTCCATTTCCTGCCAAAGTTTTCGGATGCTTCAACTATAAGTCTTTTTCGGCCATTGTGTTGTTTTGTAAGATTCTCCAGCTCCATTTCTAGTTTCTTTTGATGGGTTATCAAGGATAGAACTTGGCGCTTCAATACTGCTAACCTGCTCGTTGTAACAACTGTTCTCATATCAGGAACAACAGTTTCTCCTAAAATTTCATTAATAAGTCTGTGATTTCTTTGATAGCGAGCAGACGAAAGATGTTTTTCCCACAGGCCGTCATCAAGGGGCTCATCTTCGTCTTCGGCAGACTGAATGCAAATTCTTGTATCAGTTATCTTTTTGCCTCGCCTTGCCGCTGCTTCCTCTTCCTCTGCAAGAGCCTGAGCAGCAGCTTGAGCTTCCTGAGCTTTGGATTTAGCAGAAACATACGATTGATACATCGGAGAATTGTGATAGTGCTTCATCGCTTCATTGTATTGAATCTTCTCTGCCTCGTATTCTTCTGTGTATTCTTGTTTTTCTGTTTCAGGCAGTTCCCTCCACATACTCCCGATAATTTTGCCAATTTCCCACAACTTAAGGTCACTATTCGCGGCTTTAACTTGATCCCAGACTTTTCGAGAGTATCTCATGTATGGCATTAATGGCTTATCTGGAGGTTTCGGCGGTTTAGGCATTCTTAACTAAAATTAAATCAACTTGTTGGATGAATATTTATTTAAATTTTAAAATACTAACGTCAGCTCCCTTAGTTCCTAGCTTAACTGGGGCAAACGACGAAGGACCCAGACTCTTATCAGAAAAAGGAGAACCCATATGAGGAGTAGAGTTGACTGCAGCTGAAACTTGCCCGGATTGATTGAAGTAAGCCTAAATTTTATAAGCAAACATGAAATAAGTATTTTAGAAAAAGTACCTAAACAAAAAAATTGAAGGACAAAGGTGGATAATTAATTTCTTACCATGGATGGATTTTGTCCCATAGGCATTGGATATGGATGGGGGCTCTGATGCATAAAGGGACTTCGCAGACGCTCTAAAATACGCATAAAAATCAGGGTAAGATACATAAATTATAGGCGATTTTAACTCTTTTAGACTACGATTATCGCTACAAAAGCGTTTGCCAGACTAGGTAAATATGGAATGGAACCATAATTGTAATTTTTAGACTACAACCTATCAAATATGATTACTTACGCCCCAACGGTGTATTCGGTCCACTCTTAAGAGCCGAAGTCATCACTTCAAGTGTGAATCAGACACTTCCAGTAGATTATATTAAATACAAAGCATCCACAGCAAATCTACCGGGCACCGTGTACGCATGCGCGGTAATTCGGACACTGCATGATTAGGAACTATTTTTTCTAAATAAAAACTTTTCAAATTTCCATGTGTTATCCTCTTAAATTTATAAACCTACTCTCAGCTACGTAATCTTAAAATTTTACATAACGTTTTTGTCTTGTTTCACGAAAAATAGCATTTATATCTCGGTTAATTAAACACTTATTCTATTCCATAGAAATTAAATAAAATTGGACATTTAATGAGTTTAAATTAATATAAAAATAAGACATATTTTCTACGTTAGGAAATTATATTGTTTTGGAAAAAACTTTAATATTTTTATGCTTTTGTTCGAATGAGACGCAATGCCATCTGTTGTCGTAAAGCTGTGTAAAATATTACGCCAGAGCGGAAGCGGAAAAATTGCTAAATTTTTTCTGCTTTTGAAGAAATTCTTTTAAAAAATTCACCGTGACTTTTTTATGTAGTGTTTTTAGTTGAAATCCATAAAAAATGAACAACAGAACAGTAGTTCAATATCATTCATCACACGCAGATTATAGTTGTGGTTATTGTAAAGGAGCTTCTAATAGTTCCTATGGTAAGAATATTAGCTGTTTACTTCAAAGTAAAACATATTAATTGTAAAAAAAAAAATTTATAGGCATGTCTGCTTATGATATGTCTGTTCAGGATTATCAGGATCTGATTGATAGAGGATGGAGAAGGTTTGATTATATTATTTTTCTTACAAAAGTCAAGGATTTTATGTTTCTTTCATCTTTCAGAAGTGGAACTTATTGTTACAAACCAATTCTTGACAAGCAATGCTGTCCAAGCTATACTATAAAACAACAGTCTTTGGATTTTTCAATTAGCAAAGGCCAACGAAAAACGATCAAATCATTCAATAAATTTCTGAATACTGGAGAAATTGGAAAATCATTCGAAGAAAATTCAGGTGTAAAAGCATCGAATGGCCAGAAGCAGGATGAAGCAAAGCGCTTCAAATCTACCCCTAAACCAGGTGCGGGACCTGATCCATCGAAACCCCCTTGTAGGAAAGCAAAAGAAAGAAGAAAAGAAGAGAAATTAGCTAAGAAAGCTGTTAATATTTCATATTTTTTGGACTTAAGGATATAACTAATGTAATTATTTTCTATATCAGTCTGCAGCAAGCACTAAATTCGAAAAAGCAAAAAAGAATCAAGCCAAAAGTTTAGAAGAGTTGTTAAATGATATCTCACCAAATCCAAAGCATAATCTTAAAGTAAGATTTTTAATATATATCGCTTTCTATATGAGCTGTTGGGCTGATCTGATAAATCTAGATTGTTCTTGTTCAATCGAACATGGGAAGTGAAGAATTTAAGCGAACATTTGAAAAAAGCTATGAAATTTATTTTAAATATCAAACCACGATACACAATGATCCGCCTAGCAAGCCTTCTAGAAGTCAATTCACAAGATTTCTAATAAATTCTCCGCTGAAGGTCAGTAATCTTTGTCTTATTTATTCAGATTAAGTTGATAAGTTGCCCTGATCTCTCTGAAAACGATTTGGAATTAAGTCATTCTCTCTTTGAAAAATATCAAATGACAATTCACAAAGATACTCCTAGTGAATGTGACAGAGACGCATTTGAAGGTTTTTTGGTGGAGAGTCCTTTACTAGTAAGATATTAAACTGACGGATTAGGCCCAAAATAATGCATTATATATGTATATAATGTCTAAATAATGAAAATAATCACTTTTCTAGAACAACTTATAAAAGAAATTTTATTGACGCTCTCCTTCAAACAGCCAGAAGTAAGCGGAGAAGTAACTTATGGTTCTTTCCATCAACAATATTGGCTAGATGATAGATTAATTGCAGTTGGCGTAATTGATATTTTACCTAAATGCGTTTCATCTGTGTACTTATTTTATGATCCAGAGTTTAACTTTTTAACGCTTGGTACTTATTCAGCGTTAAGGTGATTACTAACTAACTCCATTAAAGTCTCACACATTCGTAATTATGTCGTTATTTTAGAGAAATATCATTCGTCAGAGAACTACATGCGAAAGCTAGCAACATTGAATTCTATTATATGGGATTCTATATTCACTCCTGTCCAAAAATGAGATACAAAGGCCAATACCATCCATCATACTTACTCTGTCCAGAATCTTATAGCTGGCATCCAATTGAAGAATGCAAACGTAAACTAGATCAGTCAAAGTATAGCAGATTCTCAAATAAAGAAGGTATGTTCATATATTTAATCTATTAATTTATCTTAAGCTTAATGAACAAACAAGTAAAAAATTTTTTTTACAGATCGAGATGAAGATGCTACAACCGATTTCAGCGAAATATTAATATATCGATCGAAAAGACTTATCGCATTCGAAACCTATAGACAAAGCAATAATACAGATGATATAAAGGAATACGCCCGTCACGTTGGAAAGAAATGTGCCAAGAGAATGATTCTTTTCAAATAACCTTTCAGTATATTGTCAATTATATATATAAAATACGCTAAAAATTTGAACATATAAGTCAAATAGACTGGTAATATTCAAACACATACACACACACAGACAAAACATAATCTACAACAATTGCTAGTTCAATAAACTCTCTGTTTTCTCTTTTCTAACTGTTTCGTTATTGTTTTTATTCGATTAGTAGATATCAATTAAAAAACTATTCTAAAAGTATAAAGTAGAATAGAATAAAACTTCAATAAAAATAGTCTATCAAAAGAGTGAAATGACACATCACTTTTAAGTAAAACTATTAAGTGACTGTTTAATTTTGTTGATTGAAAGTAATACTACCTTTAGTTTTACAAGTATTTGTAGTAAATGAAAAATAGGAGAAGGGCATTATCCAACAATTAGATAATCAAACCGAAGGGATATATAGATAAAGGATCATTTCTCATTAAATCGTTATAATTACTATGGAAGTGGAACAGTTTTCACCAATAAAATTATCCATTGTTTTATCTCAACAATGCTAATTGATTTTGAAATAAAGTACCCAGTTCTACCCGCATTAGTTATATTCTTTATTTCTTTATATTAAGCTGTTGGAAATGAGTATTAAGTGTAACAGAATGTTGTTTGTTTCGTTTCTGCCACTCAGGCTCAGACTAGTAGAAGATTTTCGGCATGGAAATTGAAAGCCAAATAATTGAGGAATTTCGTAAGGTTTTGCAAGCATCAGCTGTTGATGACCGACAATTCACGGATAGGGAATTAGAGAAATTCATCATAGCGAGAAATTCTGATCTGGAAAAAGCTAAAGATCAAATTTTGGGTTATTTCGCTTTTCAGGAAACATGGAATACTCGTGACATTCTTCAATGGGATGTACCACCAGTTTTAAGAAAATTTTGTCCGGGTGGATATAGCGGATGGTAATTATATTATTCTCTAAATGAAAGCCAATTTTCTAAGTAATAAATTGTTTTCAGGGCAAGAAGTGGTCATCCAGTGTGGATTGATATCCCAGGAAAAATCGATATTAAGGGACTAACTATGAGCGCTAAAAAATCAGATTTTGTAAGGTACCAGATTTATAAAGTAGAAGAACTTTTGGCAGATATGAGAAGTCGAAATTCTCCTGATCAAGTTATAATGATACATGATTTATCTGGTTATTCTCTAAAATTGCTGTTTACTCCTGGAATGGATATTCTAATAAAAGTCTTAGTACTGTTGGAAGATAACTATCCTGAAACTTTGTTTAAGTGTTATGTGGTAAATGCACCAAGGATCTTTCCAATAATCTACGAAATAGTTAAACCTTTCCTATCTAAACGAACATCAGGAAAAGTCAAAATATTGGGGAATAATTATAAAGAGGAACTAGTAGCGGAACTAGGACCAGATTGCCTTCCTGAAAGTTATGGCGGAAATCTATCAGGACCAGATGGTGATCCTGAGTATAGTTTAAAAGTTTGTCAAGGGGGAACTGTACCTCCTGAATTCTTCGCAGATGATCTGGTTTTTAGTCTTTTCTCTCTTATTAATATATTTTATTAATGTTCCTAATAAACAACAGGGCTACGACCTATCAGAGTTCACTGAAGCTAAGATTTCGCCTGGTAAAAGCGTAGACGAAACGATCAAGGTTGAAAAACCCTTTTCCATTTTAAGGTAAACGAAAGTGTACATTCACAAATTATAATATTTATAATCTTATCATCATTTAATTATCAGCTGGGCATTTCAAACGAAGAGCAAAGATATCCAGTACGGACTCTTCTTTAGACCTCTAGAAGAGGCAAATAGTCAAGAACAAACGATAATTCCCCTAATGAGAGTCAATTCACATTTGGTACCAGAAGACGGCATTCATACCTGTAAAGCAGCTGGATATTGTAAATATAAATCATATAGTTCTAGCTTTATAGTTTATTATATTCGTATTCTTTCAGATTCACTACGTTTCGATAATTCATATAGTTGGTTTAATAGTAAGAAAATTCACTACAGCTTCAAATTATCCGAGTCATCAGACGACGTTGATTATAATGAAGCTCAAGAAATAACTGAGAATACCGACCTGTAAAAAAACAAACACCAACTTAATTATTTCTTTTATTAATAATTCTAATATACATATTTTCTATTTGAATATATATTCAACAATTATTATAGCTCTATTAAAATATAAAGTTATTATCCAATCAAGAGTCTTTTCGTATTTAAATTTGAATTAAAAAATTAATTCATTTTTCAATTCAATTTTATCTTTTCAAATTTTTCCATTGATAAAAAAAACTATACAAAAAATAATAATTAACATGAGAAGATCAATTATTGATTCCAACACAAATGACCAAATTGCTATTAAAGGCTTTATTTCCGCTGAAGTAGGGGCACTTAGAAAAGAAATAGCGAATTTAACGGGACGTTTCCTATCCCTGGAATCTATTTATCGGGCTACAACAGAAGAATTATATTCAGTAGGTGTTTCAAGATCTTTGTTTTAAATAGATTAGTAAAGTGGTGATGTTAATTAATTAAATAAATTTAAATATTAAGCGCCGAACTGAATTTTTAAATTCAGAATTAACAATTAAAATGTATAAACAAGAAATGGAGTTTCTTGAGCTTGAGGAAGAAAATATTTTATCACATAAAGAAAATCTCATTGCTGAGAATCATGGATTACTAGCTCTGTTGAAAATATGTAACGAAGATCTTTCTGATAGGGAAGAGAAAAAACAGCAAAAAACATCGACAACATTTTCTACGGCGATAGCCAACGAAATTGATAAAAGAATTGCTCAACATCTCCCTGAGGATACTACTATTTTCTCTAATATTACGGGCCAAATACTAAAAAAGGATCAATTTAGGAAAAGAAATATAAAAAGTAAAACTTCTGAACGAGGGTCTAAAATTTTATCTCCAATGGCATCGTCAGCTAACAGTTACCGTCGTAAAGCTTATCAAGACATATATTTATTCTAACCAAAAAATGTTACTCTGTTTCATCGTATTTAACCTTTTTGCAAATAATTAATAAATAAACAAAACTAAGGTAACTTTAAATTAATCTTACAGAATAGGAATCACTAAAATTTATCAAATTTCTTTAATAAGTTAGAAGTTTTTTATGTTGTTATTATTATAGAAAAAAAGAAAAGAACATTTTCTAAAATTTCAATAATTTTTCAAAATAATATTAATATTTTTTTTAAAAGTTGTCTTTTTGAACATATTTAAAAAAAAAATACATACATTGTACTAATTGTATTAAGACTTTATGCGCTAGTCTTTATCATCTGCCACTGGTTCAGATCCTTCGGGATGAGCCTAACACAATAGTGAAGATTTCATTGGTATCTTATGAAATTATTTACTGGATACAGCTAAATAGTAATTAAATTTCAGTTTAAGAACTTTGAATTAATTTCTCCCCTGTTTACATATGGAACACAATTATTTCGAAGGAGAGTAGGAGTTTATTGAGTAAAATATTCTAATATCGCTCAGAGATATGGGTAATGAACACAGTGCTTCGTCTGATATTAGATCACAGAGAGATGATGAATACAAGCATTCATCATTATCACTTCAGAGACCGATTGGAGCAGGTGATTTAACTAATTTTACAAAAATCGTTCAGAGCTCTAAACACTATTTCTCCATCAGATAGCACAAAACCACCATCGAAGCTTTCATCTAGAAGCAAGAGTGTTCCTGCCCCCTCAGGGTCAATAGTCGTTGTAGCTGATGGTCTGAGAAGATCAGAAACTGATGCAGAATTAAAAATGTTAAATCAAACTCCAGTGTTTGTTCCTCTCATAGAATCAGCATCCTTGCCAAGGATCGATAAATCGTCTCTCCTAAAAATGGCCGCAAGATACGAGGAACATTTAAAAACTTGCTCGGAAGCTATTGTTTTCGACCAAAATGTTTTATATACACGAATAAGAGATATCGATTCACTAGCTCAAAATGTCTATATGTCAATGACGGAAAGACAGAGAAAGTATGCTAAATACGCAGAGCAATTGCAAAGAATAAGTGACACACGGTAAGCTTCATATAACTGTTTTGTCTCATTCTCTATTTTACATTAATTCAAAAGGTCGACACTTACAAAGATAAGGATGAACATGACAAAAACTGTACATTTGATGAAGGAATTGAATGATAGATTACCAGATGATGAAAAATTAGAGGAATTTCATGTGAACATAATAGACGAGTCTAGCACCCCAGCTGAATAATACTCTTAAAGCTATATAAAATCTTTCTCTTTGTTATACCCTTCAAGAGCCATTTGAAGCTATTGTAGCTTTATTTATTAGTTACATCTTTTTCTTATGTAGCTTATTTTAAAATATAAATATTATATAGGTTAAAAATAATGATAATGAGTCTTCAAGATCTATTTACGAACAATATATCGTCTTATCTATACATTTACAGCTTGAATATGAACTATTCAATTTTGCAGAGAAATCTTTTCTTAGTTCACCATATGCTACTTCAGAACGTAAAGAAGATTTATCTAGTTTCTTACTTTCGACCACATAGTATTCATAGTTGAAATTGTTACAAAGGCCAATTGATTGATTGTAATCGTAAGGGGATGAAACAATCTCAACAGTAAAATAGGACGAATTATCTAATCCATATATATTACCAAAAACAAGTAAACCAGAGCGAAATTTTGCCTTAGTTAAAGTGATATTCTTCAATTAATACTCTTATATTTTTAAACTTTCAGGTTATTTTACATACTTGAAAATACGATACCGAATGTTTAAAGATTATCTCACTAGAATTATATTTGAATCTGTTTACTTTTAAGCTTCTACCTGATACGCTGAGCACAATGACACTGTCTCGATAGTGTACCTCTGCTGATGTTAAACAAACAGTTTTTCCGCATTTCACAAAGTTTACAGTTACCTATAAAGTAAATTAATAGTTTAAAGAGATAACAGATATTTTAAAATTTTACCAGAGTGTGTAAAAGGTGGTTAGCGTAGAGGTAATATTTTCCTTCCATCTTTAAGTCATATTTCATTCTTTGTTATCAAAATACAATGATTACTGCTTTTATTTCGGGATATAAAAAAATCGTCTAACCCGTTGAACGTTTGTAATTTCGTTATAGAACTTGTAATAAGAGTTTGACAATGATTCATATGAACTAATTTCCTTACTCTTTTCCCTACGATAAATATCTGTTACATAAATATAGAGGCTAAATGAGTAAATCAAATTATTATATCTATATTAATTTTTAAAAGGACTGACTTGTATTGAATCAAGATGATAATTTTCATAGATTGAATCACACGTATAAGGTGAGATAATCAAAGATAAAGTTACTAGCCTGACATTTTCCCCTTTATTTTCACCTATTCTTATAGGGATATCTCTTAATTTAGTAGTTTTTGTAGAAGAAATTTGAAACATGCACTGAGACGCCATAGAATCATCTTTAAGTTGAAAAAATAAGTTGGTGTTTTCTTTACAAAAAATTGGAAGGTGAGAATGAATTTTTAAATCAAATTCAGCTTCTTCATTGACGACTATCGTCGATGGTAGAATAAAATCAGTACTTATTGAATTAATGCTCTCTTTTCTTGGGGTTGCCGTAAAAGGTAAATTAGGATATCGTGAAAGCGACAATGAACATGATATCTAAAACTAAGCATTAAATTTCTGTAATAATCTCACAAAATTAACATACAAATCCTCCTAGCTTCCTTATTCTAGCTTTGAATTCACGCCTATTTAACTTAACTGGAAATTCATCTATTCGAACAGGTTTTGAGGCAAATCTATACAATGTAACGTCTTTTTTTAGACTTTTATATTACAAATCTATATTGATCACACTTATTGTTATCGATAATCCATTCTACTCGCCCGTAGAATCTGAGGAATTGAGAGGGTACTTTTTCCAAGAAGTAGCACTCAAAAAGAGATTCACCATCCTTACTACTGTTAGCTCTAATACTTAAATGCACTGGAAGATCAAAACAATAGATTGCTGCAAAAAATTGTCCTTTAAAGACATTTTTCTCTCTAAAAAAAAGGAGTACTCACATTTACATGGACTATCTTTGCTAAATATGGTTTGACATTCATTAGGTTTGCACTTGACACTGTCACCTATCAAAGGAAACCTTAAAAATGAACTGTAATATCAAAAACAGAACCTAAACATATTCCAGCTTTAATAGGGATTTCTGTCATTAATTTCCATATGACAAATGATTCACAATTATATACTTGTATGCCTATAAGCGTAGCGCACGGATTTATATGGTTTGATATACAAGCTTGTAGTATTTCTGAACTAAATTGCTCAGCTGGATCATCTTTTATCCAGATTTGTCGAATGGTTCCACATTTGTTTTTCCCAGGAAAGAATCCTATTTATTTCGGTTATTTAGTTTTTACGATACATATCGATGAAGTACTGAAAACTAACCAGCAATATATGGACCAACTGTACTATTAAATCTTATCCATTTGAACGAATATTGTCTATCATCAATAGCTGTTGCAGAATCATCTAATGAATATTCAGTCCAACGTTTACCTAGTGGATCATTTATGATTATAGCCTCATCACAGATATTTTCTCCCTAGATTACTATGAAATATTTATGATTTAGGTATATTTTAAATTTAACGAATTACAGATATAAACTCTTGAAAAGTCAAAACGATGAATATAACTAAAAGACTTGGTTTCAAATTCATCTTCACTGTTTTAAATAGTAAACTACTTATTATTTGGAAAGTTTACTTTAGTTTTTACTTTTACAAACGAACTCAAAATATGAAACATTCGATTGTAAAACTACAAATTCTAAAGTTTTGAAGTTCGAATTGTAAAGTAGTTCTTTCTACAGATAACAACGTAAAACCGGGTAGGAAACCGATGCCAGTTTAATGATATAACCGGGTGTCCTGTTTTACACTCAAATTCACCATCTGTATTTTTCATGTGACCACTGAACACGTGTTCTTCTGCAAGGATCACACTAGAAACTCTGAACAAGTTTTATAAAGCCTATTTGTCTTATATTATCGCCCAGTTTCATGTGCTCCTAAACATGGCAAAAGCTTCTCTTAATTATCGGACGTTGAAACTTTCACAAATCTTCATATCTCAGAGAAGTAATTATTGGCTATTTTAGCAAGTTAATTTTTGGTTATTAGCATTCGACGTTTACAAACTTTTTCTTTCAAGGTTATAGTCAAAGCCAGTTAACAAACGCCGAAGTTCGGAAGAAGCGCAATGACATATTTGAAAAAGAACTTCAGCGACAGTTGTCAGTAATCCCGGCAATTCAAAAAATCAATGTAGAATATAAAGGAGAATCTGAAAATATTTCTCTGTTGATGAATAAGAATTTATCAACCCCGTTTAATTGTGCTATGCGTAAGATTATCTATTCAGAATCTATAACATTTTGAAATAGGGCTGTCATACAGATATTTCGGAGCTTATTCGCGATAGATCAGTCATAGCCTTAGTCAACGGAAGGCCTTGGGATATGCACAGACCTCTAGAAGAGGATTGTGAATTAAAGTTTATGCATTTTAAAGATAGAAAGCCAGAATTAGTAAATAAGGTTGTATTCTTTTCATTTAGCATCTTCTCTATTATAATCTAAAGCTGAATTTAGGCTTTTTGGCGATCCTGCTCTTTTATTCTAGGTCATATTTTGGAGACTGTATTTAAAGAGAAATATTATGTTGAGTTGCACAGCTTTCCTAAACCCAATCGTAAGTACACAATATTAACATTCTCTAAAAGCTAAAACTGTGTAATGTTCTTAAATAGTTCAAAGTGGTAGTTTTGTTTATGATGCTGACTTGAAAATAGATGGATGGAAACCATCTTCGGTGAGTTCTTCTAAAGTGTTTGCACTCAATCAATCATTTGTATTGTACACAGGTAGAGCTTGTAAACACAAGTAGAGCAGTCTCTAAACTATATTCAGAAAAAATCAAATTCCAAAGATTGGAAGTTGATGCAAGTATTGCTTCGAGAATGTTTGAAGATAATCGGTATATTTTAATAGTTTATTATGCTAAAATATATACTATATCTATAATTTCAGCTTTAAATCAGTACAAGTTGACCAAATAGCAGCTCAATCGACTTCTGGAAATACTGTTACAGTATATAGAATGAAAGATCATGTAGATATGAGCAGAGGACCTTTGATCTCCACAACAGATCAAATATTTAGATTTAATATAACAGCCGTTAGTATAATTAGATGGATCTATACTTTTTACTAGAACCTAAATTCATACCCAGGTGCACGAAATTAATTCCGATTACGGGAAACTGAACAGAGTTCAAGGAATGGCTATACCAAAGCAGCTTCCTGTAAGTTTAAAAATAGCATAAAAGAGTAGTATTAAACTCATTTCATCTTATCAAATTAGATTCATTATTGGGCGTATGATCTTCTATGTGAGAGGGCTGCAAAATTGGTTTGTTAAATTTAATAGATCTAATTTAACTTTATAATTATGTCAAATCTGTTTGCAGAATACCAACGATCTACCTTCATTCAATAACAATAGTAATAGGAGCGCCAAAGCTTACAGTTCTTAAAAGTTTGAATTTCATTGTAAGCTAATTATTGACAATTTTATTACTGAGCTTTAAAAGTGTTTAAAAAATAAATAACTTCGTTATGTTATTATATTTAATAGAATAGCTAGAAATTTTTATATATGTACAAGGTAAAAGATAATTTACATAAATTTGAAAACTAATTTACATTAACAAACACAAAAACTCTTAGAATGTAACTTTGCAATGAACTTTCTTAAACGCTCTTGAAATACGCCACGCGTTAGGTTCTTCATATTTATTATGCAATGGTTCAATCTTCTGATTTTTCTTGGTTTTCGATAACTTGGTCGGATCTCCAAATTTAAAGAAATTTGGTGCAAACTCAACTAGCCACTTAGGATCTATTGCCATAACTTCTCTCATATACTCTTTAGTAGTTAACACCAATTCATGATATAGAACCCAGTCGGGCTGCCTGTGAAAGAGACTTGAAGCCGGATGAACATAAACGATTTGCTGGTCGACAACCGTCCGATAACCATCTTGCGGATCTTTCTTAGCAGCATTGCGGAAAAATCCAGATAAAATTGCTTTTTGTACTTTAGCCGTTGCTCTTCCACATGATACTACATCTAATTTATGCCTATCCATAATCCCCAACATTTGTTTTCTTACATCTTGAGCTCTTTTCAATGTTCTCTGCTGAACGAAATTTTCATAACACCAAGGTGCAGAGAATTTGTTGTTCTTCCACGCATTGTAAACAGCCAGTAAGGTCAAATGATCTCCTTCAGCTTGGTGAAATTTAGCTTTCTTTTGATCAGCAACTGCCTGTTTATCTTTTGGTCTGTAGAATATGTTTTGAACAGAAAGCATAGAAACAACGGTTAATACTTCGTCCGAACAATGCAGCTGAACAGACATAATCAGTACTTTAGCAAGCATAGGTTCCAAAGGAAATTCAGCCATTCTTCTTCCTAATCTGGTAAGGAGCCCTTCATCATCTAAAGCTGACAGAGCATGTAGTTGTTCCAGAGCAGAGACTAGGGTTTGCAAAGGAGGCGCATCCATGAAATCAAAGTTTAATAAATCATTTATGCCCATAGCTTTTAAAGACAAAACGGTTGATGCTAGATTAGTTCTTTGTAATTCTGGAACTGGTGTTGGCAACATTTCATCTCTGTATGCTCTTTCAGTGTACAGTCTGTATGTTTTGCCAGGACCAGTTCTTCCAGCTCTTCCAGCTCTCTGTTTTGCTTGGGCCTGAGATATCGGAGTCACTATAAGTTGATCCATTCCACTTTTCGAATTATAAACTTTTTGTTTAACAAATCCTGGATCAACAACATAAAAAATACCATCAATTGTCAGAGATGTCTCGGCAATATTTGTTGCAATAACAACTTTTCTTGATCCAGGTGGTGCAGGTTCAAAAATTCGAGTTTGCATTTCTGAAGGTAAAGCGGAATAAACGGGCAAAATAATAAGATCGGGAACTTCGGGACCGAGACTCTTCATTCTTTCATAAAGAACTTCGCAAGCAGTATCGATTTCTTCTTGACCAGTAAGGAAGAGTAGGATATCTCCAGGAGGTTCGGTCAAATGTATTTGCATTACTGTGATCATTGAAGCATCAAGGTAATCCGTTTCAGCTTCCCGAGTATATAAGATGTCCACGGGAAATGTCCTTCCAGGAATTGTGAAAATTGGTGATTGGAAAAAATATTGTGAAAATTTGACAGCATCAAGTGTAGCCGATGTTACTATTAATTTAAGAGAGGGTCTTTTCTGTACCGCAGTTTTCAGCAAACCGAACAACACATCAGTGTGTATAGTTCTTTCGTGAGCTTCATCAAGCATTATAACAGAATAATTTTGGAGATCTGAGTCAATTAAACATTCACGCAACAGCATACCATCCGTCATGTACTTAATAACTGTTTCCTGAGAGGTACAATCCTCAAATCTGATAGTATAGCCAACTTCTTGACCTAATCTACATCCATATTCTTCAGAGACTCTTTTGGCAACGGACATCGCAGCTACTCTCCTAGGTTGTGTACACCCAATTTTCCCCGTGGTTATATATCCAGCTTCTGCAAGATATTGAGTAATTTGAGTTGTTTTCCCACTTCCTGTTTCTCCAATAACAATTAAAATTTGATTATCATTAACCGCTTTTATCAATTCGTCTTTTAATTTGAAGATTGGTAGAGATTGTCGCTGTTCAAGAAGAGATTTATTTTCTTTCTTACCATAGGAGGCTTTTGTACCACCCGTAATATGTTTTTTCCATTCGGGCATGTCTGCCAATTGACTTTTAGACGTAGATGACATGTTGGTATTATTGGAATCCGGAAGTGGATCAACCCAGTTCTTGTCAAAACCCGATGCCTGCGATACTGATTCGGATTCTCTCTGTTGTTGTTTCAATTCTCGTCTTTCTTTTTGCAAAGCACTCTGCATCATGGCAGCTTGGGAGAGGGATCCATCAGGATTTTTGACTATTTTTACTGGACTGAAGTCAGCACTCTGTCTCCCTACACCCCTTAAAAATGCCCTCTCTTCTTGAACAAGTTCTACCTCGATATCTTGATCGTCGTTGTCGTCGTCTCTGGGTAGAATTCCGGTCTCTTCATCAAAGTCTGGCAGCTCAGACTTGTCAACAACACCTGCTGACATCATTTGTCTCAATTCCCACATTTCAGGACTAGGTATGTTTCTTCGGCGTCGCGCCGCGCCAGGTTCACTGTCGTTAATTTCAGGAATAAGAGGAGCCGTTATTGGTCTATCTGGATTCCTATGGCTAACTTCAGCAGTTTTGGGATTTAGATCCTCGCCCGTTTCTTGATCAACATCTTTCATCGAAAGACTGAGTTTTGTACCTATTTTGTTTAAGAGTTTCACTTTGACTCTTGATCCCCTTTGAACAACCTCGGTTACATCATTAACTCTTCCTCCTGCTCTTAGCTGAGAGATATGTACGAGACCTTCGAACTTTCTGCCCCTGGCTAATCCCTCTAGCTGAACAAAGCAGCCGAACTTGGTCGTTCCTGTGACTCTTCCATCATAGACCAAGCCAACTTCTGGATTTTCGGGCAGATCTGCTCGAGATCGTTTACGCCTTTCCCTATCTCTTGATCTACTTCTTCTTCTCGAACCTCGATCTCTAGATCGCGATCTCTTTCGTTCGTGCCGTCTGCTATTAGAAACTAATTCTTCAAGTTCAGCCATCATCGTATCGGCAATATTTGAGTCCTCTTTATTTTTTCTCTCCTCTTCTTTTTTTATCTTTTCTTCTTCTTCTTTTTTCTTTATTTCCTCATCGAGCATGGTTCGAACAGATGGATCATTTGGCATGCATAGACCCGGGAAAAGCTGAGCTTTAATTGCTAAATCGGACTTTTTTTCTTCTTCTTTGGAGGAGCCTTTCTTTGAACTTTTCTTTTCCTTTTTCTTTTTCTTCTCTTTTGGAGGTCTCATTTTTTGAATTAATCTTAAAATGTTGGCTATAAATGAATCTGTCAAATCTGGTTGGCATTTTTGAATAGCTTTTTTGAAGGAATCGTAAGTTTGATGTTTATCAGCGAGATGTATGATGTATTCTGCGGCATCTTTGTCATTGAGTCCCAAATGGTTATCCAACTCTGTACAAACTTTGGATACCAAGGAGAGATATTCTAATTTTTCAATGTCTGACATCTTAACTGCGATTTAAGTACAATACTTCGCCGTATCGCTCAGAGACGTTTCCGAATATTACGAAATTCTAAACCGTTCAATGTTTCGGAAAATTTTAAAACCGGTTCTAAGAAACCGGTTCCGAGATCGCGCGTCAAGCCCTTGCATTACGAATTTATTGTCCAACCAACAAAAAATACCTAGAGGATTTATGGAACAAATGAATGAATACAGAAGTTTTATGACTTATATTTCATGATATATCGAACATATTGATTTTAATAATCCAAAAAAAAAATTATTTCTTTTTCCATCAATTTATGATAGTATCAAAAAGAAAATAGCAGTTTACAATATATTAATTAAGCCAAAGACTTTAAAAGAGAAAAAATATAGATATCTATACTTTAAAAAGGTTTATTATTAAATAAAATATTTACAAATTCTCATGTAAATCATTGTCAAATAAAGAAATATTGACTTTTTTGCAATAGAAGCAATATAGAATGTATTAAGCAAAAGAATGGTATACAATTCCAAACCCTTTTGCTTCAAGCGGGAGAAGATTATTTACCTGATAGTTACACCCAGATTAAAGAAGGAGAACCTGGATGTCTATTGGTGGATACGCAAAAGAAGAAATAGTAAATTACACTCATAAACGTAATAGCGAGATTTTAATGTAGTTGTGGAGAACGTTGAAAAGCAATCGATTTCGCATTCGATAGAGTAAGATAAATTGACGATAGAGATTGAGGCAGTAATGCTCGTGAGATAATGAATAGAAAGCCTTAGTGGAAAAGAGGTAAAAATTAGTCATTTTATTCATCTAGTAAATTTTTTTATTACTCTTCCGCCTTCTCTCTAACATTTTACCTTACCGTTTTATCTCAAGGACATTCTAGAATGTTCGAGACAAAAATTTATCTTTAACTTTTTACTGTATCTAGAGAATTTTAAGAGCAATTGAATATAGGTTAGGATAAATTTTAGATGTGACATTTAATTGCACTATTCTCTCATACAGATAAGACAGAAATTGAAAGAAACAATTAAGAGAAGATTTTACTAGGAGACAAATTGAAAAAGTGCTGTGACTAAGGGAGGATTTATTATTACTACTAATTACTCTTCCCCACATCCCACATTAATTTTGTAACCTTCATTTTCTCTCTTCATCTACATAAGCTCACGCTGAGCAACTAAGGAATATTTTGCATAAATGTAAGTTTATGTTTATATTCTACAATAAAACAATTGGATCGCTGAACGTCGGCCTGATATAAAAATAATATATGTAAAAAGCTTTGAAATTATACTCAGCTTCACCTATTTGTTCCAATTAAAGCGTTCAAGCGACAATAACCAGACCATACCAACAGAAAAATTATTTTCGTAAAAGTAAGAAGGCTGTCATTTCAGAGTTTCACCAACGAAATAAAAGAGCCAAAAACCTAAATTTACGTAAAGGCTTCAGTAAATTGAAAGGTAAAAGTTAATTAATCATATAAAAATGCTTTGTTTAGTTATAGTATCTAGGAAATTAATTGATTACTCAATTAATAATGCCTAAATCTTGCGCACAGAACAGTTTCATACTACTCGCCAACGTAAAGATATAATGTTAATAAAGCAGAATTCTTGTTCTGAAGAAACCTATCAAGAAGACCAAGAGGATGAGACGTCTACTACTTGTTGCTTCCGACCATCCTATCTTTTTTATGCTTCATCTTTCTTTGGTCTTATAACATTAGTTGTATTTATAGTATCGAATTTTACATCTGCAGTGAGATGTCATGGGGTTTGTCTACCGCTTTTAATTTTGTTTTTTCTTATATCTGTGGCCAGTTGTGTTGTGTGCTACTCCGTCGAATGGAAAAAACAAAAATTACATTATATAAAAAGTTTTCATTCATAACCTTCGTTCCAATAATCAATCATTCGGAAACCTAAAATTTCTTTGTTTTAAAATATAAAGTCACATTCAAAAGATAAAAGTCTAAATATTGAATGAATCTTTTTTTATTTTATCTTTATTTGATCACATGAAGAATAAAAAGAAAATTTTCCTCAAGATCAAGATAACTCTACATTCTTACTTTATTCAAATTTTTTTTGTAGAATATTCCTTACGCAAAACTTTTAATTATTGTACAAATATTACTAGAAGTACAATTACAAGTTTTTATGTCTAAGCATTAGGAATAATTCCAGCTTCCTTTGCCAAATCGTTCATTTCAATTGCACTCTTCTTCTCTTCTTCAGCCTTCTTTTTTGCGGCATATTCCTGTCTAATTTTGTTCTCTCGTTCTTGAATACTAACTTCTTTTCTTGAAAGGTATGCTTTTGGAAGAAATCGAATTGACTTTATCATACTTCATAACCTATATGATGTACTTACAATATCTATAACTTCCGTAAGCTATCCCTGCCAACAAGGCACCCCATCGGCAAGCCTAAATGATAAAATTGTCGTTAATATCTAGTGACCTTTGAGAAAAAATTGACATTGGCGAAACAATGCAACGTTTCAGAGAGACAATGTTTATAATTATTCACGATAAGATTCAGTTTTATTTCTTTGTTACCCTCGTGAATTGATAATGGATGAGCTATTTTACTTACCCTAATAACGGGGGAAACTTGTCTCGGCTGTGGTAAATTCACCATTTTGTAAGTTGATGCTGCAGCAAGACCAGGTATTACTTAAAATCAGAAAATTATCTCCATAATTTAGTCATACCACACTTTGCATGACCGGTTAATTACCAACCGGTAATTGAGAAGATATTCAGCAAAGCTATTTAACAATCTAAATTGGGCAAAATTGATCAAGCTTTTGTAAAAATATAATTTGAGTTATTTTTAGACTTTAGTAACGTCACTGTGAATTTATTTAGTTTTAGAAACTATATTAATTTATATTCAGATCTTTTAAAGGAGCAATGAACCAAAAAAAGAATTTTCAAACTATCACTAAGTTTTCGTGCAACTAAAAAATTCTATTTAAATATTAAAGTATAATAAAGAAATAGTCGATATAGACCAAAATAAGAGGGAAAAAGACATGTCATTTCTTATATTATGTAATAAAATGAAATTTCAAATTTAAATAAAGGTCATTCATTTTTCATCCAAACATCTATCAAAACAAGTTATCATCACTGATTATAATTTAATCATTTATCCAGCAAATCAATCATTATTACATCAATAATATCATGAATAACGTTGAGAAGGTAAAAATTCTTCGGTATTCATTAAAAAGGAAAACAACTAATAGTTAAACACTTAACCCTTTTAGCAATTAAAAATAATAATAGATTTATCTCTTATCCAATTGTTTTTTAGAGTCAGAATAACAACGCATTCACAAGATTTGGAGGAGAAAGTCTCGATATTTTGTTAAAAGATGATATTACAAGAAAACAACTTTTACAAGAATCGACATTCCATGAATATCTAACAGAAAATCATAAGATTTTAGCTGAACTTTTACTTAGCGATGATGGTTATGAAAAACTACACAAAATAGAAATAATTCGACAAACTATGGAAAAGAAACAATTTCAAGATGCGTACGAAGCGGCTAGAGTAAAGAAGTTTATTCCAAGTTATGATCTTTTAGTATATGCTCTTTTAAATGAGAAATTGATTGAAGTCATCGAGAGTGACAACGAACTAAATCAAATTTGTTTGAAGGATGCTTCGATGCAATGCCTATTATCTTCGGATGTTGACTTAAAACAGAGAATATTAAGTAGGGAAATCGATGCTGTATATGTTCTGAGAAACGAGAATTTGAAAGATGTTTTATTAAATATGAACGAAACGAAATGTAGATTGGAGAGGGTAAAGAGAAACGAGGGAAACCAACCGGCTATATTACCTGCCCTAAATTACAATCAAACTGAACTAAAAATATTTGAAAATGACATGAAAAGGGCCATGTACGCTTTGGATAGAAATATGTATAGTTTTAAAGAAAGGGTTAATAACGTTACAAGAAAATTAGGAAAAGGAGAAAAGTTAGATCTTGATAGTGAAATTCTTGCTGATTTAAAAGATGAAGATTTATTTAGCATCTCTCAGAAATTTCAACGAGGTTTAAACGTTAATCATTCGGAAGAATCGTCGTTGAATAAGAGTAATAACAATGTTGAAAACTCATTTGACGACCCAGTAGGTATTTGTAGAATATTTACTGGTCCAAATATGAAGGGTATTAAGGGTGGAGATATTTCTGAATCGAGTTTAACCGATAAGGAAAACGTTATTACTAAAGACGAGTTGGTCGCCTTGCAAACGAGAGTTCAGGCAGCTGAAAGAGAGACTGATGAATTAATTACAAAGAATCGCGTTCTTCAAATTGATTACGAGAAGGAAAAGTCGAAAACGAGAAAATTAGAAAGTATACTTTATGAGAAAAACAAAGAATTAGAGGAAGGCTTAGTAACTTTAGTAGAAGATGGCAAACTACAACTGACAAACTCAATTGTAGAGTCAGAAATAAAATTCAGATCGTTAGAAGTTGAAAATGACGCCCTTCGGCATGATTATTCGGCAACGAAAAGCGAATTGGATAAGATCTGTCAAGAAAATACAGAAATGTTTAGAAGAGTAAAACAGTTTGCCAGAGAATTAATGATTGAAAAGAGTATTGTTTCTCAATTGACGGCGTCCAGAGCTGATTTAGAATCTAGTATGAATAAATTAGCAGTCGAGAGGGATAATTTCAAAAATGAACTCATTAATCAAGATGAAAAGATTGGACAAATTGAGCTGACCGCTAGAGAGCAGATAACTAATATTGAATTAGAAATGAGAAAACAATTAAGAGACTACGAAGAAGCGGTTAACATCCTTAAAGGAGACAATCGCCAACTTATGGCTGAAATTGCCTGTACGAAATCAGAATCCGAAGCCAGATCTTCCGAAATGAGCCACACCAGAAATCTTCTTCGAGCTTCTCGTATGGAAATTGAAGATTTGAACAGAAAACTGGAAGTTGTTACGGAAGAGAATATTGCTAGTAGAAACGAGATTGAACATATTATGACGGAGTTTAATACAAAATGTAAACAGAATTGTAATTTAGAAGAAGCCATTGAAAAGACGAAAGAAGAGAAAGAAAAATTGCTATCAAATAGATACGCTCTTGAAAGAGACGTTGAGAGATTAGGCGAAGAGTTAAAGAGGACAAAAGATGATATTGTTGAAAGTGCTAGAAGGCTTGGAGACGCAAGAAATAGTTCTCTAGAATCTGAGAAAATGTATCAAAATTCTCAAAACATGATAATATCTCTGCAGACAAATCTACGTGCGGCCGAAGGTCAATTGTCAGCTGTTGAAGATGAAAAGAAATGCCTTCACCAACGTGTAAATAAATTAAATGAACAAAATAAGTTCCTACAAAAGGAAATTAACCATATTAAACAATTGTTGGCCGCCGAAGAGGCTAATCTGAAAGATGAGAAAAAAAAATCATCCGACATGAAGCATGAACTAGTCTTCTTGAACGATACTCAGGAAAAGATGAGAAACGAATTAGAGATATTGCAAGCAGCATTAGATAAAGAACAGAACTTACATATGTCCCTGAGGGAACAATATTTACTTGAAGAGAAGCAAATGTCTCAACTGCAAGACAAGATAAGACAATACGAAGTTCAAGTTATTTCGTTGGAGAAGAGATTACAAGAGGAAACGATACAAATGCAACAATGTAGAGCTGAAAAAGAGCGCTTAGTCGAAGATACCAGAAGTTTGTACAGAAAATTAGAGGACTATGAAGAACTCTTATCTAAGGAGCAGATTAAGTATAAACAAACTTTGGACAAGATAAGACAAGATTTTATGAATGACATCGATTACATAAAAAGAGAGAAAGGTATATCAGATGATACACTCGGCAGTTTAAGGGACGAAATAGTTGATCTTAAGGAGCAAATTAGAGCTAAAGACTTGCAAATTAGAGGCTGTTATCAATCCATTGGACAATTAGATTCCGAAGCTAAAGGACGCAAAGAATTGGAATGTCAGTTAATGCAATCGGAGGCTGACTTAAGAGATATGGAAATGATTACAAAACAATATAAAGAAGAAGCTCAAACAGAAAGAGAGAAGCAGACGCAATTAATTCAACAAAATGATAAGTTGAGAATGAATATTGTTCAATTAAAAGAAGGATTGAAAATTGTTAAAGAAGAGTATACTAAAGAAGTGTTTGGTCTTAACGCAGACCTTCAGCAACTATCATCCAATTCTGATGAGGAAATCACTCAACTAAGGAATAGCTTAAATAAGACAGCTACGGATTTGAAAGCAACCGAAGCATCCTTAGTCGCTCTCAACGATGTTGGAGATTCTTTACGTTCAACGAATATAAACTATGAAAAAACTGTCGATGCGTTAAAGAGACGGTTACACCAAGAAATAAATAATAGACGATTAGCCGAACAGCATTTGGAAGCTCTTAGACTTAATCAGGGATCAAGACACTCAATTCATAAGTCGATGACGGAAGACACTATTAGATCTGCGGGAATCAGTAGCGCTAAACTTGAACAAGAACTTTTACACGAGAAAGATCAGGCAGCAATTCTGAAAAAACAACTACAATCTGTTCAAACAAGCTTCTATACTCAAGAAGCTCATATTCAAACTTTGGAACTACAATTAGCTGAGAGTCAAGGTCAAATTGCGACGTTAAAAAGAAAAACCGAAACACTACACGGCAAATCGTCAGAAGAACCTAACGATTTAAAACAGTTAGATGATTTAAAGAAACACTTAACTTTATACGAAAAAGAAAGAGCCATATTTTTTCAATCAGCTCAAAAACTAGCTGCTGATTTGGAGGATGCCAGATCACAGTTAATATCAAAAACAAAGGAATCTGTCCAATTATCAGAGCAATGCAAAAGTTTAAGAGAGAAATTAACAGAGGTAGAGAAAAATAATAGAGCATTTGATGAATCTATTAGAATGGAGGCTGAAAAACGGGAGATTCTAGAACATAGAAATCATCATTTAGAAATACAAAATGCCAGAATGAGAGCTATAACTGGTCGTCAAGAAACGTAAGATTCGGAGGAAAAAAACCTTAATCCTCTCTTAATTTAAGCCCTTAGAATAAACAGGTTTTTTTTGTATTGTCCGTATAAAAGTTTGTCTTCCTTTTAGAGTAAAATTGAAGAAATCGTTAATCTCTATACAGTAGTTTTATATTCGTTATTTAATCTATTTTGCTTCCAAACATTAAAAGTCTGCGTTAAGTGACACCAATGGGCTAATGGGTTACAGACTGTAGCCTTAATTATTAAACTACTATTAACCTATAGACCTAATAATAACTTTTTGTACTGACAACTTAGCTGTTTAGCTAATTGGTAAAGAGTAAGTGAGTTCTATCGTTTCTTGCTTCATTCTATAGCAGTTTGGCGTCTTGTTCACAACTTGTAGCTGATTGGTTAACTACATTCAAATTCTTATCAAAACTTTCAAGTATTAGTGAAAAGTGTAGTTTAAAATACTTAATGAGACGTCAGAAAATTGTTTAAATGGATATGAAAGCGTCTAGAATAAAGTCTTTGTCGGATAGTTCAACGGATAACAAAGATTTTAGGGAAATTCGTATGGATGATAATCAATCTACACTAGAATATGAAATGAAAAAATTTTCGGATAATGTTAAATCAAAGATGATCGATCAGGAAAAACAATTTATTGATCAACAAAAACGATTCGATTATCAGCAAGCTCGCTTTATCCATCAGGAAAGATTAATTTCTAATCAAGTTAAGCAACTAGCCAATCAGAATTTACTAAATTTTCTACAAAACGACGTATTAGACGATCAGAGAAAAAGATTTGCTGCTCAGCAAAAGCAATTCGTTGAGGATCAGAAACAATTTGAAGAGGGAATAAATCACAGTAAGGAACTGATTAAACGTTTAGATGCTAAGTTATCACACAAAATCGGAATAAACACTCCAAAGATAGTTAGTAACACAGAAAAAAAAGCCTATATTAAAAATTAAGTTATTGTCCTTAGCAATTTTTTTTCTATAGTTTTGCTGTGTTTCCTGTTGAGTACTTACAAATATTCAAAATAGTACAATATTAATGCCATAAAATCTCCCCTCTCAATCATAAAGACAAAGAATGCTATTGGCAATATAATTAAAACTAATGAAAGAGTTTATCAGATAGATTTATGTTTAATTATTTAACAAAAGAAAAAATGCAACTAAAGTTATCAACAATTGAAACTTTTTTGTTATTTAACTTTTTCAATTAATTATATTTCTCTTCATATAATGATTTTCATTGTTTGCTTTTCTTACAAAACCAAGAATAAACTGTTTGAGAAATATAAATAAACATTTTTTTAGATTGTTACTATTACAAGTACTATTTCTCGAGTTCACAAACAGGATGCTGTTTACTACACCACTTAGAAACCAAAATTTAAAAACAAATCAAAAAATAAAAAAAGAAATCCACGGTTTATGTTCGAAATTCAGATTATAACTAATCAAGTTTAGTTAACTTCTATACCCATGTACTTTGCGGCGGATACTTGAGCTTTTGCTGCAGCTACCATCGAATATATATGTGCCATCTCCTCTTCGGTTCTTGATAAATTCAGAGCTTTTGTGTAAGCGTCTATTGCTGGTTGAAATTTACCTCTTTGAACCTAACAAAAAATTATTTTATTATTTATAATACAGTCATTAATTTTATTTCTTTTGTATTACCTCTATACTGCCCAGAGACTCATATGCAAATCCACAAGATGGGTCAGTTTCAACAGCTTTTTGTAACATTTCAACAGCTGCATTTATGTCATTCCTCCATTGTACATAAAGTAAACCTTTATGAACGTACAACATGCCAGAATCCGTTTGCTTTTCTAAAGCTTTATCATAGAATTTCTCAGCTTTTTCGAAATCTTTCGCATCAGTGAGTGCTTGGCCATAGAGAGCAGATACCTCAGCACTATCCGGGAATCTCTTACTGATATTTTCAAAGTTGTTCAATGCTTCCTGCTTTTTTGCGGGATTGATTTCACTCATTTTACGAAATTCTAATATGAAAGAGTTTTACTATTACTGCTTTATATAAATACAATTGCGCCTAGCCTACCTGCATAGCATTTTTGAGCATGTGCAACATCACATTCTGGCGCAAATGATATAGCCTTTTCAAATTCACGTAATGCATCTTCCATTCGCTCTGACAATAGATATATTTGACCTCTGTGATGATAAATATCAGCATTATCTGAATACAACTGTTCGGCTTCATCGAAATCTTTCATGGCTCCATCTCTGTTAGCCGACTATTTAAGCGAAATTAATAAAACATTAAATGACAGATGAATTTTTATGTATATTCGATATTTCAGACACTTTACCTGCATCTTTAGGAGAGCACGTTTGATTAAGGCGTTAGATTTTATTTCTCTTGCTGATTCCTTTTCGCGAAGCAACATCTCCAAGTCAGATAGCGCATTTTCTGAACTCATGGACAGCATGTGGAATGTTGCTCTTAACAATAGAGCTAAATGATGATATTTGGAATCATTATTTGATAGTTCAGCTGTGGACAGTGTTTCGATATTATCTAATTCACCATCCTTTATTAATTCCAGAGCTTGGCGCAAAGGAGTATCTTCTTCAACGATCGTTCTTATTAAAGGATCATTTACAAACGCTGTGAAATAATTTTTCACAAACGCCTTCGAAGGTAGAAGCGGTTTTCTGCTGGCATATAAGTCTCTAGCCTTTGTCTTTCCTAATTTTTTCAAAACAGTATCAGCAAAAGCAATGGATGATTGATTACCAAACTGTTCTAACATACAAAGAGCGGTTGCATCATTTAGGGCTTCTTCCAATTTTTCAACAGCTTCGAATGCTTTGGCTCTCCTTGAAAGGGCCTTTACATAAAATTTATTGTATTCCAGAGCGGAAGTACAATCTTCCAGAACATTCTGCTGTTTACCTAATTGACTATAAGCTGCGGCTCTATTTTGATAATAAGTTGACAATTGTTGCTGGCTTTCTTTTGGACATGCTTCAATAGCTCTAGTATACTTTTCAATTGCCGAATCGTATTGTCCTTTTTTGAAAAATATATTGCCCTCTGTTTTCAGACTTTCGGCTATTTCATTGGGAGTTGAAGGTTTCTTTACAGTGGGAAGAAATAAATTAAAATTATTTAAATATGATTTAAATAACATTTAACACTAACCTTTTCCACGTGCTCATCGGATCTTTGATCCGGCTTGCTGCCTTTACTAGATTCCCCGCGGTTATTAGCATTCTTCTTGCTCTTATTTTTTTTGTAGTAGTAGTAAAGTCCGGCTGCACCAATTGTCACTGGGACACCAAGCAGAAGCGCAAGCTGCCATTTAGGAATATCACTAGAAACTTTGCCCTGCACTGGCACCATTTTATAACTGTCTTACCGGTAATTTGGTGAATCGGTATTCTATTCACCGGTTGTGTGTGATGTTCGCCATCTGTCGTTGAGTAAGATAACAATAAAACATGTGACGAAATTTGAAATTTCCGACGCATAGATCACGAAATGTAAGATTAGGAAGCTTATCTTTATTTAATTTAAAGTCGTTTTTAAAAGCCCTTTATAAGCTGATTTGATAAAAATCAATATATAAACCTTTCTATTGGAGATAAAAAATATATATAGAAAGTATAAAAATTCCACTAGATAGATAGGAAGAGAGAGAAATTTAAACGCTAATGACGTAAACTAAGGACTTTGACCGAACTAAACTGGTGCAAATGTACATTTATATCCAATATATATGTAAATTAATAAATTTCCATTTCGTACTTTAAATATGATAATTTAATATTAATAACGTTAGGTAAGATAAACAAATATATTTAGTATGAATGTATATTTATTCAATACTTATTCAAACTTTAGATAATAAAAAAAAGGAATTTTTAACTTTGTCATCTATTGTAATCCTTTTTTAACTAAATCAAAAGTAGCATTAAAAGATATTTTTTATAAAAAAAAAAGATCTCTAAACTCACTTGTTTTATTGGCAAAATGTAAGAATTTGTACACAAAAGAGGACATGACAGATCAGGTAATATATGGCATAAGAAAAAAATAGGAAAATATCTCTCTATTTCAGTCAATATATTAATGACCATCGTTTTTTTTTAAAGGCTCAGAGATTTTTTTCTTAAACGTATCCATCGTTTTTTAATATACAAATCATCCTCTTATTTTATATGTTCATTGTAAAAAAAGGATGCAGTAATTGTCAGGATTTAATAGGAGGACTGTATTCAAAACATTTACTCCTCTTGGCGGGTTCATCATCAACTGATATTGCTAGGCATCTTCTACAGCCTAAGGGAGATTGACGGGTCGGTGTTTTGGCTTCAATAACAAGTTTCTTAGAGCATGACATTTCCTCTGAACCAGGGGAGTTTATTTGATTTGACAGAATCGTTTTATTCTTTTCGTTTTCAGTAGGTGATTGAATTCTATCTTTAACCTCGTTTAAAATTTCAGTTATTTTCTCACCAATATCAACCTTATCCTCCTTTTTTACGTCTATTTTAATATTAGTGTTTTGTGTACTTCGACGATTTTCAACTTTTCCCTGCTTATTCTCTTTATTGTCATTTGCCTCAAACCACACGTCCTTTAGGCACTCTTTGGCAGTTGGGCGGTCTCTGTAAATAGAGTTTTTACGATCTCGTAAAACTTTGTGTTTTTTTTGGTTTCAGGGAAAATACCAACCTATGTAATAATACCAGAACGCTTTTAATAAATTCTATAGCAGCCTCGGGTATATTATCGAAATAATCGTTGAAATCATAATTGCATTTTGTTATATTTAATCGTACGTTTTGATCATCACCATTTTCGAAATTGAATGGTGACATTCCAGATAATAGGACGTATGTTAAAACCCCAACGCTCCATATATCGCTTTTTGTTGTTAAAGACTCAAAGTTTATAACTTCGGGAGCTATTTTATAAAATATTACAGGAATGTGGTTTAGTCGATAAATGAGGTAAACCTACCCATATAATCTGTTGTTCCTGCTAACTGATATTGTTCAATGTTTTCTTCCAGTAATTGAGCTAGGCCGAAATCACATAATCGAATATCATGGCTCGGAGGCGGTCCCATTAAGAGAATGTTGGCAGGCTGTTGGATTAATAGGCCTAGATTAGGACTAGAATGTGGATAGATAGAGTGGGGGAGTAAAAGAGAAATAAACTGATAGAGATAGACAGACAGACAGAGGGAGAGAGAGAGAGAAAGTAAGAGATCGAGAGTACGAGAGAAAAGTTCATTCCAAAAATGCATGACCTGCTATTCACCCAGACATATAGTATAGGATCTTTACCGATTATTTCAGCGAACTTATCTTTTTATAGAACTGGACTAACAAGAAGCATTCGGCGTATCGCGAATGTCTGGAATGCATCGGTGTTAATTACTTGCAGTTTTGATTAATTGTTTTGCAAACAGTCCAATTGTTTGCCCGGCTGTTGGAAAAGAATAGCAGAGCAGATACGTCAAGACGCTTCTGTTTATTCAAGTTCGTTCAACAAGTGACATGGGAAAGATTGAAAAATAAATTCGCTTTACACGCAGCAAATACCAATATCTATATACATAGATATATATATATATATGTATATATAATATGTGTTTTTAATTTGCACCATACATATAGTGTATATTTATATAGATGCTATCATAAATATACACAAATATTAAAACTTTCGAAACGTTGTATACTATTCTTTATTTTGATAAGTACGATACATATAGTATATATATTGTATACTGGACAAATTCTCTGTAGTAGGTAATATTTTATTCAAAATAGAATTGAACGTGGGGAACTAACACGTTTTTCTCTATTTTTATGACCGTTAACAACAAGAGATTGCTTTGATTTGCTTATATAAAGCTGTACTGAACCAACCATAAAAGATTGTTATATCAAACGTGGAGCGGGATATGGCTACAACTTAATATAAATTGAGATTGGTGCGTCAATCAAAATACGTTTATTTTTCATTTTTTGAGAGTTTACGGCCTAGTGGAAAAGTAAATAAATAAATCGAGCGATTTACTTCTTTCTTTATTCACTCATTCATTCATTCATTCAATCACTCAAAAATTTCTCGCTTTTTTTTAATAAACGTGGAGAAAGCGCGTGAAGATTTGTTAGTAAAAATGTTAACCTTTAGGAGAATAAGGAGACTCACCTTTATGTCGAGGTGGGCGATCCTTTTAGAATGAAGGAATTCCAAACAGAGGAGTAGCTGCCGAATTATATGCTTGGCCTCTTCCACTTCACAATTAATATTCAACGATAAATGATCTTGAACAGTTTTTCCAGGAGCGCTTAAAAACAAAGAAAACAATAACAATTTATATAAAGCAAGATACTATGAAGAGTTTGTAACTTTATTACAAGAAGTTTCCCCGATTAGCTAAACTACCAGCTAAAATGCCAATGTATTTGTACAAGTGTATAACATATTATAGTTTTGACAGAACGTATTGCACAAGATATTAGGCAATATTATATTCGACTTTAGAATTATGCTTAAATATGCCAATATAAAAAGGTATGTTGACTATCGAAATATTTGCGCCGTGATTAGATATACTATTATTCAATTTGTTTATGACCAATAAGTTTTTCCCTCTTATAATGATTCACTTCCCTTTTCTAGTTATTGCCGCAACCTAACAAAAAATGTATAAATATAGTTTTGACATTCCCATTAAATATACCAGTTCCGTGACTCATTTGTTAAATATGCCGAAAAGCCAACGTAATAACATTTAAGAGTCAATTAGTTAATAAGTTTTGGCTTCCTGTCTTATTGTATACTTACTATTCAGTTAAAATAGTCACAACACTTGGCGTTTCGAACACTTCATGAATTTGAACAATTAGTCGGCATTCTTTACTTAGTTGTAGTAACTTAATCTCTCTTTCTATATTCTCTCTGTTATCCTTTCCCATTTTGTTCTTATTTAAAATTTTAGCCGCGAATAACTTCTTTGTTTCTTTGCAGATGCATTGTTTAACAGTTGCGAATTTTCCTCTATAAAAAAGAAAACGTAAGTAGAGATGCGAAAAAATTTCGACGGTTATTTAACGTTGTTCTAATTACCTGCCAGCTATCCCAACATCTGTATAGCGTTCGATGTGTCTACCACTTCGTTTAAGAATTTGTGACTCCTTATCCGAAGGCATATTTATTCATAATATATTGAAAAAAATTCAAACATTGAATGATGACAGATGTTCTAATGAGATAATCGGACTCGTTATCGCCCAGTAATTGATACAAATTTAGTTCAATAGTATAAATTAAATGAGATCGTCGCTAGATCGTCCTCCACTTGGTATAGCAGTTAAAGGATCATACGGCTGCAAAAGTCGACTTTCCGCTGCTAAAATTTCAAGTATGCAGACAGTTTTTTTATCGCTATAACAAATATGTTGACAGCCAATAGCATTTCGCGTTAAGTTAACCAATAGCCGACAGCTCGAGAAAATTTTCACAACCTTTACGTATCTATATAAATTTCCGGTAAGCGGCGACATCTAACAGCTAAAAAGTTGTCAGTGATGAAAATTTTTTATTCTTTTTTTTAAATGAAGTTGTAGAATGGAGGATTCATATTTTATAAACCTCCGTTACTACTAAACACGATTAATGTCCAAGAGAAGTTAATTAAATCTAGCTCGGTCGTTCGACCTACTCAGAGCTTACAGTAGAAAGATATTGCAATGGCAGCAAGAGACCGAAAGACTTCACCATCTCCGACAACTCTTAGTCTCACTGATTCTATGAGCGAAAACGAGGATTGGGACGTATCGGAATGGAGAAAAAAATTTTACGAATTTCGAGACAGTATGCAATGTAGATTGCAATATATTAGAGGAAATATTCGATCACAAATGGAGCAGTTGGCAAAAGAGAAGGAAGAAGCTGAGGAGAATTGTCGGAGATACAAAGGACAAGTTGAGAGACTGCAAGAACAAATGGAACAATTGCCTTTAGCGGATAATAGACAAATAGCAAATGGTGGTAACAGATATGATATGATAGAAGAACTCCAGTTAGAAGTAAGACAGCAGGTATGAATATTTGTATTTCTTTCTCTATTTTCTTTCTATGTTGTTTTACGTTAATTTCCGATATTATATAACTCAAATTACAGAGAGAAGAAGTCGCAAAGTTCAAAAGAAACACCAATATGACTATTGTTGAACAACAACATTTAATTGAACAATTACGAAGGGAAAATGAAGTATTACAGCAATTTAAAAGTACAACAGCTCTACTAGAAGAAAAGGTTCGAGAATTAGAGGCTGAAAACGAACGTCAGAAAAATGATTTAGACGAACAACGTTTTGCAATGCAACAAATGCCTGATCTTTTGTCAAGACGTATTGAAGAGGCACGTAGAAGTTTAACGGTTCGTTAAGCTTCTCTCTTCCTATGTTTATTTTTTAATTTTGATGAATTTTTTATCACTTGGCAGAATTCGTTGGTATCGAGGGAATTTTCTCCACCGCCTATTCCACCTCATTCTTCATTATCCGGTTCTCAAGTCGATAACGAAATAACAACAACACCTGACTGTTTGGACGAGGAAGATCCCGATTATCAAGAAATCGAACGAGACCATCAGGCAATCTACGCCCCTAGACAAGTACCACCTGCTGTTGAAATGAAACGTAAGAAGTTCCATGCTTCTCATGGTCTTAGTAGTGAAACTTCTATGGCATCGAGAAGTTCCGAATTGCTAGTCACGGCAGCTGCAACATCAGTTAGAAACAGTCACAGGCGTTCTAGATCACCAGCAATTACGGGATCAAGTCGAGAAAAATCTAAATCCCCAGCGCCATCAGTAGAAAATGAACCAGATTATGCTCATGCTGCCTTTATAAGAGATGCTTGCGCGACTCTCCCCCGTCAGAAGCGTCAATCAAGACCGTCACAACTTGATATTGCCTTTAAAGGAACGCGTGAATGGCGAGGAACAAGCGCCAATAGAAGACTCTCCAAACCCCCCACACCACCTCTTAGGAAAGTTGCTTCCTGGGAAGAAGCTTTGTATTCGCTAGCCGAATGCAATGGATTAAAATGTGAAACATCATCTGATAGAGCATCAAATTTAAATCTAATACGTAAGTTTTAGTTTGTCTGTGTGTTTCTGAAAATAGAAGGAGTTATTTTGTTCTGCAGAACCTGCACAAACTGTTGTCGAAGACGAAAGCTTACATTCTGCTATATCCGGCGTTGACCGACGGACTACAGTACCGGTTTTTTCTGTTCTAAAGGGGGTAAATTCTTATTAGCTTTAAATTCATAACGAATTAAAATGCTTCCATTGTTATACAGAGAGCTACTAGAATTCACAATATCTCTGTACCTCATCCTAATTGTGATTCCTCTGATGAGGAGGATAGTAATCCATTAACACTACAAACAGTTGCATCTCCAGCTGCACAAAAGTCAACATCGTTCGTTTATCGGGCTGATCGAACGAGTAGTACGTCTTTATCAAAGAAAAGAGTGGTATCTAGCAATCCTTCTTCTGGTGGTGCATCAGACGTTGATTATGCTCAAGTAGCTGTGGAAGTGAGTAGTTGCAGTGATAGTGAGGAGCCCGATGAGAAAGTTCAAAGATGCGAATCTCCAACGTTTGACACCAGGTCCCTTCAACGTTCTGCATGTTTATTGAAACTAGGATCAAAGTTAAAGTGGAAAAAGGTATATTGCTGCGTTAAATGCTTCGTCCTAATTTGCTGCAAAAATGAGGTAAGAGTTTAGATTGCATAGTATTGTTAAGTTAATATATAAAATCATTCAGGCCGACATAGTCCGTCCGAAAAATAAAGATTGCCTTACACTGGATGCTAATACTCGAGTTCGTTGGGTCACTGGAGCAAGTACTTTTCATGTTTCAAATGCAAAATGTGCTTGGACCCTTGCATGTGATTCAAATAAAGATTGTAGACGATGGGTGAAAGGTAAAACTAAATCAGAATTTTACATTAATCCAAAATATATTTATTTCAAATATAGTTATACAAAATATTGTACGGAAAAAAACATCCGATAATGTCCTGCAACATAATCATAGAAGTTGCCAAGGTCGTTTGATTCGAGCTGCCAGGGGACGTCGAAGAACCGTTTGGGCCTTACTTGCCGGACATTATTTATTATTTTATCGTGATAGCACTGACAAATTACCCCTCAAGACAATAAATGTAGATCAAGCTAGAATTGAAGATGTAGACGAAAGCATCGAATCGGACTGCGGAGCAACTACAGATTCTAGTGGTTCAGGGGATGGTTATAAATCTCTTAGCGTTTGGCCGGCTGGATCCCGTGTGCCTACCTATTTGCTATTTGTTTCTGAAGTTGAGAAGGATGCTTGGAGGTCAGCTTTAAGTGTGGCCGCTGGCGGAGGGGAAGGAACAGAATTTGAGAAACTAATAAACGATTTGCAAGCTGCTCAATGGGCTAGCGACTGTTCGGCTTGGAAAAGATGTATACTAGTCCGATCAGATGTAAGCCTAAGTGAACCTCTAACATCGATTCCTGATCAAGTCACAAGAAATATGGCTATTGAAATGTATAAGTATTTAATACATTTTATTCACAAGCCCTTTGGTGCTGATCAAAACTTGGACTTCCACGTTGAAAAAATACAAACTATTATTCAAATGTGTCTGGATGTACCTCAACTGCAAGACGAACTTTTTTGTCAATTAATTAAGTTAACAACTCATGAAAATCGATTGGAAAAAGCAACTGGAGTTCCAAATTTGTTTTGTTGTGGATCCTCTCGAAGTGTACTCAAACAAACAAATTCTATTTTAGATCTGGCGTCACCTCAAACGCCACCGGATACTCTCGAAAGAAGCTGGCAATTACTTGCCTTTACTCTATCATTTTTCTTGCCCCGAAGGCATATACTCATGCAATACCTCAAAGTTCACTTACAAAAGCACTGTCGTCCTCCCTCACACGTCTTACTCTCAACACACAAGTTTTCCGCATTCAGTCTTTCTGCTTTAAGTAGAGCCCAGGAGAAAGGTGGGCGACTTTGCCGACCCTCTTACGTGGAAGTGATGTCATTCTCTCGTCACAAACCTTTTGAACATTCAATGCCTCATAGTATTGCCGTGAGCATTATGGACGGTCAGCATAAAGTTGTCAGTTTCGATGGTTCTACCACTGTCGCTGAATTTTCTGCGTCATTAAATGTTGCTTTGAAATTACCGCCTTCCGAGCAAACTGGTTTTGCATTATTCGCAGATTTTAGTGTCAATGATGTTGAGTACTGTCCTAGCTTACAATCAAAGCTTTGCGATGTTCTTTCACAGTGGGAACAAGCGTATGGAGCTAGGGCAGGTATGAAATTCATAAGAGGGCAAACGGCTAGATTAGTTTTCAAGAACAGATTGTATTGGTCGAAACGAGACAAATTTCAAACAGAACAAGAACGCTACTTGTTAGCCTACCAGGCTAATGATGATGTAAGGAATGGAAGATTTCCGATAAGTCGTGAAATGGCCTTATCATTAGCTGCCCTAATGGCCCAGATAACACTGGGGCCCTATTCAAATGAATCTACCGAGTCCATTCCCGACGTTATGAAGAAATTCTTTCCTAGCAAATACAGAAAAGTACCAGAAGAAGAACTTCGCCGATTAGAACAAGCTGTTGTTTGGAAATGGATGAAACAGGGAAAGCAAAGTCAATCAGAATATGTAACAGCTTATTTGAATGTTTTAAGACGTTGGAAGTATTTCGGAGCTAAACTATTTCCCGCAGTGGTACATTATATAACTTTCTTGATTATTTATTGCTACAGAGATAAATTTGTTTATATACATTTCAGAGAAAAGACGTGGTAAGTCCTTCTCCTGTTCCAGTTTGTTTAGCAGTATTTGATAGAGGAATTGCCTTACTTCATCCCGAGACACTTGTTTGTTGCAATTTTTTATATATTTCACCAGTTACTCATAAAATTTATGCTTTTTGTAGGATGAAGTAGACAGTTTTGAATATCAGCAAATCGTAACTTTCGGAGGGTGTGATGATGATTGCCTATTAATTGTTCTGAATGCTGCTAATGTTTCCCAGATATTAGTACTCATGGATAAAGTTAAAGTAAGCACGTGAATTCTTCTCGATAATGTAAACTATTTTTAATACGCACAGATGTTCGAAGCCGTAAAGCTAATGGCAAGCTATATAAATGCTGCAGAGGAGTCTGGTGACTAGTTATCTGAGGCGTAACTACGAATACAGTATTGAGTCTTCGATATGTAAATGCCTTTGTTCATTAGATTGTGTTGAAGCGTTATCATTTAATTTGTGTTCATTCTGCAGTTGCGTTTTATTTAAGTTGTCCAAAGAATATCGTTAAATCATGCAGATATTGAGAATTTTAAATCATATCTTAATGTCACTATTTTAATACTTCAGTTTTTATGCAGTGCAAAACTGCTCACTCAATAATGTGAGATCTTTCCTACAGTAAGCTAATCAGGTTTTGTTAATGTTAAGGATATCTGCTCAGAATGAACATATTTAACTTTTCATTGGTGCATATATATGCAGTTTATATGTACAAATATGTATGCTGTATATGTATATGTATAACCTATCGTTAAGTTGCCCGTTTATCTTAAATAAATTATGAATATTGCACTTAATAAAAAAATAAGTAAAATCACGCATTTTCGTTATCATTAAGTCAAGCAAAAGAGCAAAACTGTATTGGAAACTTCAACATACTTAGAAACGCAGTTTTTGGAAAAACCACTTGTTCTTACCAGACTTATACCTGTTAGTTAAAAAATCATAGTGAATATTAAGGTAACCATGCTGGTTTTTAGTCAACTTACCGATCTTCAAATTTAGCCTTGATGTCTCGTCTGGCCTTTCTGCGTTTGCCGGGATCAGTAACGGCATCTTTATTAACGAAGTTTTTGTTGAATACAAGGTCGACAGAGTAGCGAGTCGGCATCATATGATTGTAGTTGACAACTTTCAAAAACGGCTTAATTTTTGAGCGCATTTTCTGCTTCTTTTTGCCCATTTTTCTCGTAACTCTTCTTGGGTATCTATCGATTCCAGCAACGAGAGCATGTCCATAGCCCTTTTCGTTAGTGCCGTCATCGTAGTTCTATGAAAATTGTCTTTATATTCTAACACGCGTTGGCTCATATAATAAAAATATTACCTTGATGATTACGGCTTTTCTGCCAGCATATCGGCCGCTAAGGACCAATACTACCTTACCGCTTTTCATAAATTTCCCCATCCTAACTGCTCGTGGGTTAAAAATATAAGAATAAATAGATATTTTCTGATTTTAAGTAGAGAAGACACTCACCCAAACAAAATCCCACCGGAAAAGGAAACAGCTTACCGAAACGAGGTAAAAGAACAAACACTTCCGGTAGCATTCTCCAATCAGCTGCAAGCTTGTATGTATCACCGCCAAAATCAGCGCCCGGAAAGTTGGCGCTAACTGAGTGAAAAGCGCTTAAAAATTATCCTTTGTTGCATCAGAGGACGATTCGATTAGCAAAAAATACTCTTAAAGAAGTATTGCTCAAATATAGAGAAGAAAATTAGATCGTAAGACAAATTTAGCGTGTTTGATTGCCTCGGTTGAGAGCCGCCATTTTGAAGTGTGCACTCCTGCGTTCCTCGAAAATTCATAACAATCGGATAGAGAGGACAATTAAAATCCTTTTTAAGTATGGCTACATCGCAAACTGGTGACAATGCTGCTCTACAAACCCTATGGGATGATAATTGTAAGTACTTTTACTACTGATCAGTCATGATTTAACTGCTACGGCATAATATCAATTTGTATTTTATGTAGCGACAGAAATAAAGACGATGCACACAGGAAAATCACCCATAACAGTAATACAAATGAAACCTGTACAAAATATGCAGACGGTAAAATCGCAGGATTTCTTTTCTGACTCCAATACTAATAATAGCGTGAGTATAATATGAACTGAATGAATAGACACAAGCTAAACAGACTCTTATTTCAGACACGAGTTTTACCTGAAACTGGCTTTTCGAAAGGTACTTAATTCAAAATTATTTTTTACACATTTAAAAATAAAAATATTGCAAGCTAATTTTTTTTTACATCAATTATAAACTTTTATGATTTCTCTTTTAATTGTTTACACTCTAATCAAACGTTGTACGTGCTTCAGTTCAAATTGTCTCGACTCGTACATCGGCTTCTAACGTTCGATCAGTTCCAATTCGCACTATTCCAGCGAATGTGACGAAGGTTAGCGATAATACATTCGACGCAGTTAATCAACAAAAAAAAGAGCACTTTTGGAATAATTTCAATATTTATTTTTAACAGAAAGTAATAACAACCGTTCCCTCCGGTTCAAATACTTCAGCTTCATCTGGAATTCAGATACAGCACAAACTTTTGACTGCAGTAACCGGCCTTCCTAATACATCAGGAGCTAGCCCTATTACGGTGAAATCAACAAAAATTACTCAACCTCATGAACCTACTCTAGGGTCATGGGGTCCAAGAGTTCGTAAGAGAAGCATTGATACCCCTGCCGTTCCAATTATGGAAGAGACTGAGCAGTATGTCTATTGTCAATAAAAATTGTTAGAAATTGTTGAGTATAATCTTTTTCAGTGTAAAGCGATCAAGGCGTTCGGAAAAGGGTAATAAGGGTTTACGGCACTTTTCAATGAAAGTTTGTGAAAAGGTAGAACAGAAGGGGACAACATCCTACAACGAGGTTGCAGATGAATTGGTGGCTGAATTTGCTCCAGCCAATACATTAACCAATACGGATCAGGTATGTAATGCATATCTATGTTATCGTCCTTTATTAAATAGCTATCATTCTTTTAGAAAAATATTCGTCGTAGAGTATACGACGCTTTAAACGTGTTGATGGCTATGAATATAATTGAAAAGCAAAAAAAGGAGATAAAGTGGCGTGGCTTACCGACCTCTTCAGCTCAAGAATGTCAAAACTTGCAAATGGAGAAATTAAAGCGACAAGATAGAATAAGACATCGTCTGGTTGAGTTCCGTGAATTATTGCTGCAGCAAATTGCATTCAAAAATTTGGTTGAAAGAAATAAAAAATTCAAGGAGCAACACAGGAATTTGCCCAAGAATTCGGTTATTCAATTGCCGTTTATTATTGTTTCCACTGGCAAAAAAACTTTAATTGACTGTAATATATCAACCGATAAGTAAGCTTTTAGTCTACTATGGCTTTCATTATTAATATTATATTAACAATTTCTTGTTAATCCCTTATGAACAGACAAGAATATCTTTTTTCGTTTGATCAATCCTTCCAAATTCACGACGACATCGAAGTATTGAAACGAATGAGTTTAGCCTTTGGCCTAGAAAATGGCCAATGCTCTGCAGCCGATCTTCAGAAAGCCGTCAGTCTTGTGTCATCGAACTTAGAACCTTACGTTCGAGGTTGTCTACAATAAATATTATGCTAAAACTCAATGAAATATAATTTTATTTGACAGCATTAACGAGACCAAATGGTTTGGAAGAGACACTAGTTAATCAGAGCCGTCAGGGAGCCAGTAACCCGTCAATTCAAACATTATCGCAACTTCACTTTACGCCAGTTGATAGCCCAGATGGTCTTAGCGACGATGAAGAGGAGGAAGATGATGACGACAGCTCAAGGTCGAGTCCTATAGATGTATAAATAAGGGATTCTCTTTTGTTTCCTGTTTTAATTCACTTTTTTTTATTTGGATGCTCTATTTTTTTGTAGCTGACACTATTAGCAAATTAACCAGTTAATGGAAAGTTTTCAAATTTATAGCTACTGTAGTAGTGAGGATGAGTTTTAGAACATAGAAAGTTGTTAAATTTCTTCGTGTTTCTACGATTTCTGTTAGTTACCCGGGAGGGTGATGTTTAAATTACATGTAAAAAGTGCTTTTCATATTAACATTTGTACCAGACGATTGAACTGCCTGCCATGTGTTTGTTAAAAATAAATGCAGCGGCGCAATATTTACCATCAAATGCTGTAACGATATTCGCGCCAAAATAGCTATTTTTTGTTTAAAAATAAACTGGTGGTATTTGTTGGGCGATAATACAGAATTACGTTGTTTACGATGCGAAATGTGTAGTTCGAATGAGTTCCAATTAGGAAAATTCTGTGTGTATGACCAAATAAGTGCCAAAAACTTAACGGCTGGATTTTTTTGCGAAGAGATTTGGGAAATAGAAAATCTTATATCACTAAGGGATGAATTAAACATAGTTAAATCTTCTTTAAGCGATTACGACATTCAAGACTGGCACCAACACACAAACTTGACAAATCCTGCTGGCGGTGTTGTGAAATTTGTAAAAGATTCCTTCGGACCAGAATTATGCACTCAGGCCTGGTGTAAATTTTACGAAATTCTTAGTTCAAATGAAGAGTTGACACATGAAAAAACACGCCTTAGATCAGTGCATATATGTGAAGCACCAGGAGCGTTTCTAGCATCATTAAACCATAAACTGCGACTTGAGAATAATAGAACAATAGATTGGCAATGGGTTGCTACAAGCTTAAATCCATATTACGAAGGGAATGACTTAAAAAGAATGATAGATGACGACAGATTTATTGTCAAAACCCTGGATCATTGGTATTTTGGAATGGATAATACAGGAGATATTTCTGAAATACAAAATTTAGCTGGACTCATACAAGAGGCTGAAAGTAAACTACGTCATGTTAATTTTGTACGTAATTGTTAGCATTGTTATTAAAAAAAATAAGATCAGTAAATTCTTATTTCCATAAGTAGATTACTGCAGATGGAAGTATGGATTGCGCCGACGCTCCAGATCGACAGGAACTTCTTGTTGCGCATTTAATACAAGCCGAAGCTATTGCTATTCTAACAATTCTTAATAAAGGAGGATCTGCTGTATTAAAGGCATTCACACTTTTCGAAGCACAATCGATATCTCTAATATATTTACTAGTCTGTTGTTTTGAAAAGGTAAAACTTTCATAATAATAGAGGAAACTCTATTCTAATCAAATATTTTTAGGTTAAGCTATTTAAACCTTTCACAAGCAAACCAGGTAATTCCGAACGTTATGTGATTTGTAGTAATTTCCAAGGTATTGATGGTGACCTACTTAAATACCTAATGAAGAAAATGGGTAATGAACTTTTATTTAATTTCTATTATAACTACGTTGTTTAGCATTACGATCTGTTTACAGCTGAAAAGAAGACCTTTATTATTCAGAGGGAACGAATTGATAAAAACTTTTTGGATCAACACTTTGAACACTGTAAATTTTTTACGAACAGTCAAATTGAAACCATTGTAGCTAATAAAGCTAAATATAAAAATAGAAGCGATTGCTTAAAATATAATTTGATACAAGATCAAAAGTTTTATGCCAATTTATGGATCAATAGATTTCAATTAGGCAGAATACCTTTTCATGATCATTTGGGACATAGATCGAAGTTCACTTATGTTTGTAGAGTACGTAACTAATTAATTTATATAATAATTTTAGTTTCCTACAGTTGGTTCAAGTTAGACAAGAACTTTGCGGAAAAAGAAAATTAATAGGTTCATTTAATCAGCGCGTTTTGTCGAATGATATCCCATTAAGAGAGCCGTCAAAAATGTATACAATTGATAAAGAAGAATTTCATCTGATTAGCACTTCTAAATTGCCATTAGTATTGAAATTAGAATATGGAAAATTGCCGTCAAGTTTATTATGTTCAAAATTTTGCACTCAATCCTTGTTAGAAGAGTTTAACTCAATATTCAATTTAAAACTAGTAAAAAAGTCCCAAGTTCGAGTATATGGTATAGAGGAAATTTTGAGATATTTATATAATCAATCGATCGCTAGAAACTGGGATCCGAAAATTGTTTGCTTGCAAGACGATAAGTCTCCTTTTGTTGAAGAATCAAAAAGTATTTTTGAAAAACTGTTACAGTCCAATCTCGAAAGAAATGGGATTATTCCTAATCGCATATACATACTTGATTTATGTCTAAAAGATGATTTTTGCTTGCTCAGTTTTGATATTCAAATATGGATTGAAATTATTAGAAATGTTCTAAATGTTTTACACTCAATAAGACCGGGAGATTCTATTATTGTAAATTCAAAGAGTTTACTTAATCGCTTTAATGTTGGAGTTGTTTGCCTATTGACAACATATTTTGAAAAGTGGGCTATAATAAGTCCTGATATGGTTTTGGTATATTCGAATTTAATCAAGCAACCTACAGAAGCAAGAAAGATATTACATGCTGTCCAAGAAGAATTAGTACATAATAAATGCGTACTTTCATTTTTACCCTTAAAATGTCTATATGGTAAGTAAATGTTTAATATTTTCTTTTCACTCATTAATATTCATGAGTTGTAAAGATTCTTTATTTTTTTCACAACAGAAAGGCATTTTTATTCACATCTTGTAAAACAGAATAATATCTTTCTCAAGTATGTGATAAACAATATTTCAACTTCAAATAATTTTACAACCACCAAGAACTCGTAAATTAGATTCAACTATTGGCATTATAAAGTTATAAAGTTATTTTCTGGCATTGTTATTATTTTCAAGCCTAATAGTTTCTTTGAATTTTATAAATTGTTAATAATTGAGTACTGTCTATGTATTTTAATAGTGTCAACTATTTTCTTTATTTTTATTTTAAGTTTTATTATTGTACATGCAAAAAAATATTTCCTCTCCTTGACTCATTTCAATGTGACTTGCTATAAATATTACAATGAATTATATTACAGTGAAACTAAACTTTCTGCTTAGTGCCGTTGCCAAAGCAAATAGCTAAACAAAAAGGCGCCATTGTAGATTAGAATAGAATATTTCGATAACCCAAACACTCTTATAAACTGGTTTCCTGTCAAAGTTTTGACGTAAGATTAGAATATTAAATATTTTGTTAAGTAATAAAGATGGATAATTGCACACCTAATCCACCATCTTATGAGGAGATTTTCGGTGTAGCTCCAGATGTTCCCTGCCTCCCTGTTTACCCTTTGGAAGCGCCTCCCCCCTATACACAACCAGTACTAGAGGTATGCAATCTGACTCATTAAAGTCAAAGTTTTTTAGCTGATTATTTTATTATTCCTTGTTAGGGATGTACTGCCAATTCTTCTCCTCCATTAGCCTACGCTGATTTCCTCCCAAAATTACTAGCACCGGGTGGTCAAACGGATCTGCCAGAATTTGAGCCTTTCCCAACGATTTTGGAAGTCGTTAACGATTGGTTAAGATCAAATCAAAATTTTAGAGTTTTGCATAGCGAATGTTTAGATCGCAAAATCAGCAGAGAAGGAATACTCGAGACTGAAAGTACTGTTCATCATGAATCTGCCAATGGAGCATCTGTATTTGTGAGGGGCCTACGCCTCTGGTTGAGACCTGCAACTGAAGGCGAACCACCCCATCAATTAGGCTATGTAAATCTTTTCCCAGAGAGAAAACATGGTATATTTCTACAACCTGAGAGAGTATTTATTGGCGCGGGTGCCAGCATTGGGTTTAGCTTTGGTAGAATGAGAGGCATAGAAATCCCTGTTCATGAAACAATCGATGAGATGGTCTGTAAGTTTAATCAAGGAGTCGGAATGAATCCTTTACCGGGTAAAATCTTAAATGTAGATACAGTAGAAATGAGGCACACTGGTAGTGGAACGAGAGTGCTCTTTCCAGAAATTCGTCATCCAGATAAAACCTGCTGGAGTGAATCTGGAAATTCTATCCGATTTGTTATTCATTGCTTAAAAGTATTTTTTATTGTTGGGCCTCCATTACAAGAGGAGATAGGTAAAAAAAATAGACAATATCTTACTAGACTAGTTTTATCTTATCTAAAGTAATATCAATTTACTTCCTCGTCCAGCTATTACCGATTTTACACCAAAAATGATCAGATGTGTCGGATTAACAAATCCTACATTTGAAAAATATCCAGAAAACTTGAAAAAAGCATCAAAATTCATACATGACAATCAGGTAAGAACGATTTCAGCATAAATATCATATACCCTGAATATAAACACCTTATATTCATAACATTTATCTTTATCTCTTAGATGGCAGTCACAAACATTCAAACAATTCAATCAAAAGTAGATATCAATTTTGGAGAATGTTCGATTGATTCGAAGAAAACTGATTATTATCACAACCTTATAGATACAATATTTGCAAAAGTAATAAGAGTGATCAGTATTACAAATCAAAGTTCTCAAAAAATTAATCATTTATCGACGAAGTGTTTTGTTCCTCAAAGAAATGGTAAAGAAGCTCAACCAATGGGTCAATGTATAGAGAATGTGAACAAATGGCTACAAACTCAAAATGTTTCTGTTATTGGGATTGATACGTTATCAACAGAATTAATTCCGGAAGCCAAAGTTGTTAATACAGACAAATCTAGCGTCAGGTGGATTCCTGGAAGAGGCCACTATAAAATATCTTTATTTAGATTATACTTAAATGGTTTTGTCTACGATCCTGTGGAGGAAGTTAATAAACAGGAATCTCAATGCTGCTCAGTAGCTTAAACAAATAAAGTTCCTTTCCCCGTGAATTTGATAATTTTTACATTGTTTATTATAACAGTAACAATATCTTTTTTAATATAAAAACAGCTAAGGAAAAGAAATTCTTTAGTCTATTGATTCGCCATATGCTCCTGTTGTATATGTCTTTGAATCTACATAGTCGTCTGTTGGTATTGAAGCATCCGTAATTTTATCAACGGAAGCTAAGACTTCAGAAATAAGCTTTATTTGATCTACACCGCCCATTAATTGCCTGTAGAATAAACTTGAATAGTAAATTGTAACTATTGAATTAAATTCTTACTGTAAAGTAGCCTTAGCAGTTATAGCGGCTGAGTTCAATTGTTCAGAAGCATTTCGAACTTTTTCCTTAATCGCTTCGTTACTTTGTACAGATTTACCGGCTCGTAAAGTTCTATTTTCAATTTGTAACTCACTTAATCTATTCTATAAATAAATAAAGAAAAGAAATTAGTAACATTTCTGCAAAGATTCAACTTATTTAATTTTACATTTAATTGTTTAATAAGTTGCTTAGACTGAGTTAATTCGGTTTCAGCCTTCTGGGCTCGTTTCTACAAAAAGACAAACATACCAATAATAAATACAAAATTCATATTTTGTTTTGTTTTTAGATCTTACTGTTGCAGTATCTAAATTATTTTCGACTGATTGAACTACTGATTCTATTGCAGCAGTTTCTTCTCTTTCTCTCTGTTGAATTATTTCCATTTCTTTTAGAACTTCTGAAACTTGCTTTGATTGGGTTTGAGCACAATGTCGCGCTTCCTCCAGTTGCCTTCGCAACTCGTCGTTCTCTTCTCTCAGCTGAGTGATATTTATTAATGTAAAATTTTCGTTGAATATTAGAAAAAAAACCAAACTCACCCGTCGAATTTCATAATCTCTCAGATTTTCGTTCGCTAATGAACCATTAATTGAGCTATCTTTGTTTCTTTGGACTTGAGAATCAGAGAGAATTTCAGGCAGTTCGCCTGTGCGGTGAGGTTCAATAGTTGCTGCAGGATTTGACATTGGAGGCTCGTGATTTGGACTAGGATTGCTATCTAGCGCAAAATCCGGCAGGGATACGTTAGATGGGCCTGGTTGCACCTGTCGTGATAAATTTGGAGAGGGAGGAATGTGATCCTGAACAAAATCGGGCAAATCGTTGGCCAAGTCTAATTTGGATAGGTGACCATTACTAGACTTTGAACTGGTTTTTAAGAACTTTCTTAATGAAAACGAATTATCGCCTTGTCGATTTCGACGTGTTGAAGGATTATCCTCTGAATAATGTGCATAAAATTTTCGGTAAATATGTTATTGACAGAATTAGCGCGCAATTTACCACGGTTAATTGAACTCTTTTCATCGTCAACGAGATCTAGACGCATTACAGGAGCATTTCGATCGCTTTCGTCATTTTCTGTACTATCATTGTTTGAAAAACGTTTGTGTTTAACAAAGTTTCTGTACGAAAAAGGATTAGAATTTTCATCTCCGCCTCCAGTCGCCATCTTTGTTTTTACTCTAAATCTCGGAGCATTTATTATTTTGTATTATTATTATTATTATGAATTTCAGCTCATTTTAAAACCGAATAGTCACTGGGCCTTGGAAATAAATCAGCGATATATTAACTAGTGTTAAAGAAAAATATATTAATTTTTTTTTCTTGATAAACTCTAGAAAAAGTAGCTAAATATAATCAACTTCCGGATTGGCGCCTTATCTAAAATATTTGTAAAAGATGTTTACAAAATTGACCGCTACAACATGTTATTTATTTAATATTGAAATTACACATAGAACAAAAATAACTAAGAGATTATATTTTTAAACAGGTAATAAAAAATATAAAAGTAAACAAAAGACCACTTTTCTGTCATCGGAGCTGAATTACATAAATCAGAGTTGCAATAGCATTTTGTATATGAACCTCCCCCGCTAATATAAATTTGGCATTCGTTCCCAAAATAACTTTGCTCACTTTGAATACATGCTTTACTGACAATTCTCGAAACTCTAGGAATATTTTTATAATAGTTTACCCTAGCTTCCGTAATTAACGATAAACAAGATACGCAATCTTTTCTAATCATTTTCTTACGAATAGTCGTAGAATTGGCAGGTTGACAAGATTGTCCATAGCCAGCTTTCCATACGTTGCATTCGTAACATTTTATTCGTTTTGGATTGCGATTAGAGTCTAAAAAACAAAAGAGATTTATAAACAAAAGATAGGAAAAAATAATAATATTTACAGCTTATTGAGAAGATGCCGTCTACTTTAAAAATTAGAATAAGAAAGTAAACGTTAAAGAGTACTGAATATTTCATCTGTCGCTACTTTTTACCATTAATTACTTAATATCAAAAGGAAAATATTCTTTTGCAGGTGAAAACTGCAATACGCAAATGTCGATATCTATATAAGATGTATATATTGTGTTGCAGTCTTGTAGATAAGGAATATGAATATGATAATTAGTATAGTAAAGATGTAAAAGCCAATAATATTTAAGAATTAGTTAATTTATTCAAAAAATAATTGATAAAATTGTCCCAAAAAAAGGAAAACAAAATGTTTATATGTAAAGGAAAGGATAAATAGTTTAAGGTGTAATTCCCTTTAAGTAATACAGCCACTGAGCGTTTGTGGAACCACCGGCCGATTTTGCGCAAGAGATTACTAATTTTGCCATGACGACGTTCTTGCTTCCAGACTCGTTTCCGTCGAAACCAACTACGACTCTGTGATCCTTATGGGCTCGAATAGTTTCGGATGTCTTTGAGACGTGGAATCTCGGATGATCTACTTGGAACATGAATGCTGTAGGAGAATTGAAAACGTTGCGGAAGTTGATTGATGTTGTTGATCCGGCTTTCACTGTAAAAGGACCTTGGGGTTTCGATTGTACGCATGTTCCAAAGAGGGGGAAAGAATATTCTCCACCAACCGAATTAGAGACGTTCAAAACGGCTCTAACATCTCCTATTCTAGATGGTTCATAGATTACATCAGTGCTAACCTCAGTGCCGGAAATAGATCCTGGTGCTGCCGACACAACTTTGTCGACATGGAAATCGGGATGGTCAACTTTACATTGATAATCTGCCTTGACTTTGGCATAATGAAGAAATTTTACTGTTTGGGAGTGATTTGTTCCTAATGCCGCTCTAAAATAGACAGCAGGCTGAGGACCTGCAGCGGTTGCCTTTAATATAAGATCGTAGGCATAGAGACCTAGCTCGTTGCTGGTAAACTCGAGACGACCCTTATGCTCACCAACGACGAAAGGCCGATACTCAATTGTAAAGTCCATATCACTCTTATGACCAACAGCTTGTTGATTAGGCATATGAAGTAAGTCAGATGGTACTCCAATAAGATTTACAGAAAATACGACTGTATGATCCAGCGGATTTGTCAACTTGATGGATTGTTCTACAAGTTCCCTTACTGGAGTTGTTAACTCTATAGTTCCAATAACATCGGGTTTCAGAGCTCGGAAGGTGACTTCCATATACTGATACTCTCCAGATTGTTCGTTTATGAATGTTACTTTAATTGTTGTTACTCCTTCTTTATGTGTATGGAATTTCAGTAGATATTCACCAGTAGAGTCTGCTGGGACATCTATGTATTCTAGACCTTCTATGTTTGTACCTGGATCAGGTCTTTCTGGTTTAATATAATCTATTTTTTTCTTGAATCTTTGAGGTCTCTTTAACCAATTTTTGACATTTAATTTGATTGTGTGCGAAGTTTTACAAGGGATTTCTTGTTGAATGCGTTCGCTGATTTTTGGAGCTTCAGATGAACCTTGTAGATTGTATAATAAACCTGAACCATCTGGAATAGGGAAGAAAACAGATCCGGAATGTTTCTTTCCCTCACCAGTCATTAGAAGAGGAGCGTATCGGAGTTCGTACTGTCTAGAGCTTTGAGGATCAACATCAAGTGTTTCCGGTCCTGAAAAGTATTCTCCGTCCACGATTGGTCTTAGGTGCCAATGCATATTTGAGTTGTTTCTAATTGAGATGTTCTTTGTTTCTACCCGTCTAACATTTGTTGATAAAGTAATAACCTCTCTTGCAGGCATTACAGCAACGCAAGTTCCGGTTAAAGTTAACATTAGTGGCGAAGCTCCTTCAATGGAACATTTGAGCTTGTCATACCTTAGATCCGAGCTAACTTTTGTAGGATGAAAACGAACATCAAATGGTACTTTCATTCCAGGGAAGATATCGCCTTTAACTGGCGTAATAGAAAAGTCGGGACCAAACTTTTTAATATCCCATTCGAATTTAGTTCCAATATCACCGTCGTTTATCAATAGTAATTTACGTGATGACCAACTATCCTTTGTCACGGCACCGAATGGTATTGAATCATTATCAAGAGCTATCTCTATTCCATGACAAACGCCTGATATAGCAAAGAGCGGCTGCTGTATCTTTTCAAATTCAATTAGAATTTCCTCCGTGAAATTAGGGATTCTACACCTCGGATTAAAGACTAGATGGACTTTAGCCGTGCCACCATTCTTAGCCATTCTGAATTTTTCTTTTGGATGCATTGAAATAGCTCCGGTACTCTGTAATATCTTAGACGATGGATTAAAGACGAGTTGTACATCCACGTCGATCTGCGTTCTATTAACGATTGGTATGATTTTTGACACTTGACCACCTACTCTTAGACTCTTCGAACCCAATCTAATCCTACGATCATTAGGATTCGCCACTTCTACCTTTAAGTTACAACCAATTCCAATTAATTGAACAGTACTTTCGCAAAGTCCATTAACACGGAAGACAACATTTTCCGTGTACTTGATAGCCTCCAGAGGAGAGAATTCAAAAGTCACGTGAGTCTTCGATTGTTTTTGCAGGACTATTGAAGATTTAAAATTGTGCTCCAAGTATGAGTTAGATTCGTATAGGCACTCGACACTCATTTCCTTGTTATCTGTATTACGTAATTCCAATTGGACTATAGCTGGTGGGAATCCTGCTCTCTGGGTTGGAACATGACCAAAATTATAATGAGTAAAAGAAAACTGTAAACCGGGGAGTCTTGCATTGCCCATAACTGAAATTTTAAAAGATGGTCCATGTTGGATATTTAGTGTTAAATCAGATCTTATTTCACCCGGTTTGTTAGGCTGGACGGTTAATCTACACAATTGTCTATCTCCACAGTTGATTCCACCCTTTTGTGGACTAATTGAAAGGAGGTTCTTAGCACCTTTCTGCTCCCAATCAAAGTCGGTATTGAATTTTGCGGCATTAACAATATAAACGTTACGATTCGCCTTCTCTTTCACTTCAACATCTCCAAAATCGACAATGTTCTTTCCTCCTACTTTAAATTCTATCTTATTACCGACTGAATCCTCACAGAAGACTAGAGCGTTCATTGCATAACCTTCGGCTTTCACATTCAAGTGCAAAGGTAATTTCATTCCAACAACTTTACATCTACAGTTAAAATTCACTTCTTTTTCGTTGCTAACAACTAATTTTAAGGTTATCTCTCGTCTTCCTCTTCCCTCTATCCTACCAAACTGAGGATGTACCTCAAGAACATTCTTAAAACCAGGAGCTCTAAGTGATGATTCTTCAAAGATGAAGTCAAAAGCTTCCTCCTCACCATTTATTAAATATATTGTTTCAGTGGCTTCGTGTCCGATTAATAAACTCTTGAAATTTACATGCGATTTATTAAATGTAACATTCGGTTCTCTTACGTTTGCAACTAGAAGGAAAGGTACCGATACTTCTACAGGTGTATCCTTTGTATTACCGGTCGGGTATTCTGTAACGTTTATCTTCCAGAAGCTTTCAATTAAACCTAAATCTGTGGATTTAAATTGGAATGCACACTCTCCCTTCTTTCCACTATTTAATCTTCCATAAGGAGTTAGGCACGAAAAGTTTGGTTCAATTTTGGTATCTTGAATATCTTCATTAGTCCAATCAAATGTGAAATTTTTGCTGGTTGGGTTGACAAAGGTGAACTTTCTAACTTCAGTAACTCCCAAACCAATAACATTGTACTCAATAACTCGAGTGTTAGGATCCAAAGTAGTTCCGGCAGGAGCGTCATTTGGTCCACGCAATTTTGGATCTCGGCGAGCAGCTTTGATATAATCGCTGTCCTCAAGTTCGAAGTGAATATATGGCATAAGGCTACGGGCGCGAAGTCCGACAACTGGTCCAAATTTTCCTACTTCCAAATTTGGAATCGAACCAATCAGTCTTGCTTCATAGTCGTTAACGTCCAGAGGAGCAAACTTGATAGTAAAAGACGCTTTCTTTCCAGGACCAATTACAGTATGTTCAGGATTTACTGTGAAGGGAGAGTATGCGATATCGCTCAAAATTGAGGATCTTGGAGAATCTTCGCAATTCTCCCTGAGCTTTGCCGTTGGTGTAACTCCTCTTGATGCTTCCTCCATTAAAATTTGCCAAGATATATCCATGTTAATAACACCTTTGTTGCTAAGAACCAGTTCAAATACCCGAGTTTGGAACATTAGGGTCTCCCGGAAGTGTATTGATTCGGTCTTACATTTAAATTTGTTGTAGTCGCATATAGCTGAAATAGTTAGATCAACAGTAGATGAACTTTCGGCAACTTCCGTAAAAGTAGGTTCAGGCTCTGATTCTATAATTTTCTTCTTCGCTGGTCGAGGTGCCGTTTGTGGGGGAGCTGGTGTAGTTGGTTTAGAACTTGTGGATGTTGGCGGAGCTGATCCTGCATCAACCCACTTAACACTTCTAGTCCTATCGTCCCAATCTTGTACTTCGTTGACTGGTTTGTCAAAAGTAATCTTTGTCATCTTGCAAGATATGTTTGTTTGTTCTACTGTTACTGGTTCATTAGATTTGAAAGTAACAGTAACATCCTTCTGACATCCACTATGTAAATGACCAATTGCAGGAACGAAAGTAAGGTGATTTTCTCCAGTTGGCCAAACGAAGCGGAAGCAGGCTTCTTCGTGATTCGTCATTGTAAATCTCATTGTTCTGGATTCTTCTACGTTCAAATGTCCGAAATACATATGTGTATCATTAGCTGCGGCGACGTCATCGTCGGCCATTGAACCTTCCTGCAATTCTGGTTCAGTTGGAGCAAAACTGTCGGATATATTATCCAGAGTTACGGGAGCTACAAATCCCTCTCCGACAAGCTGGATGATGGAGTCTTCGTATTGATTGTTAACAACTGAAATTTTTAGGTGTGCTTGCGATCTGATTGCTTTTTTCGGCGTGTAAAAGACGCTGAAGGAACTCTCCTCTGATTGGTTAATTACCAAGGATGCTGTATGCGGTCGACGTTGTCTCTCTCCATCAGAGTCAACTAAATATTCTAATAGTGCATTAGAGTCAGGTCCTGATTTCATTGTGAATACATCGTCAGGATCAATAAGATCTATATGTACTTTTGCTGGTAAACTTCCATCGTTCGATATGACAAGGGGCAGACGTTGAGAACGTGATATAAGAATTCTCTGGAATAGAAGAAGCGGTTGTCCCTTCTTATTGCGAACACTTGGTTTGAGAACTGTGATTCTTGGTAGATTGCCTTCGCCAGAAACTTCGAAAGATAGACTTTTGGCTTTCATCTGCTGGCCGCTGGTTACTGCATTCTCTAAAACAGCTTCAAAAGTAGCGTTAAAGTGTTGCATAGATGGAGGACAGAAAGTAACTGTTGCATATTGAAATCCGTGTACGGGAATCTGAGCTCTAGTTGGTTCAATTTCAAAGACGTCGGAATACTTCGAAGTTGCCTTGGTGATAGCTTGCTTTACGGAGAAGGAAACATCGCAAGGAACTTTAGAGAGATTTATAAACTTAAAGCGAGCTGAGCAGCGATTTCCAACTAAAACGTTAAGGAACAAGAATTTCTTTTCATCTTCTCCATATATTCCATTAACGTCCAAATTACTATTTATATGAGACCAATGAGACAAATTCTTGCAAATGAGATGCTCTTCAAAAATGGTCGAAGAATGAAATGATACTCCTTTCAGCAAACCTGATATATCTGGTACGCATGCCTCGGAAATTAAAGTATACGAGACACCATCTGGATGGTGCTTAGGGTTTCTTCCAGAAATATCAATTGCCAGTTCCTCTTCCCATTTTCCTTCTTGATCCGGCTGACATTCAACTGTGATGGAAGCTTGACCACCGGGTAAAACTGTCATGCTAGCCGGTAAAACAACAAAAGGTCCAACTTGTAATCTTGAAGATCCCGCAGCCATGGTTGCAGCGTTTGTTGTATCTCTGTTCAAAATGGAATAAATAGATTCTTATCTATATCATATCAACATTAAACACAACTGTAAACTGGTTAACCTACAAGGCAAACTATTTAAATACACACAAAGGATAAAATACTGTATAATAATAGAAGAATTAACAAAACAAAGCAAAAACAAAAGCATGTTAAGCTTATAAAGCTGCATTACCTAACAGAATCGGCACGTTTGCTAGCCCTAACGGCTGATTTTCCAGAGCCAGAACCTTCTCTCGATTTTTCCTTTCTGCTTACTCTGATCATTTATGCGATAATGAAAAAGCAATCGAAGGAAACAAAAAAAAAAGAAAAAATCTCGAATTTAAACTTACTTTTTAGTATCAGGTTTTGGACCAACTGAGTTGGATGGAGCTTGCGAATCAATCTTTGACATTCTCATTATTTGGAATTTAAATTCGAACTTATCACCATCATTCTTTATCGTAAACGTTCTTGTCTTCTTTGAATTAATATTCATAGATCCAAAATTGATATCGCCCGTTGGAGAGATTGTATATTTAGAATAAACGCTCTTTGCAGATATTCTTATCGGTATGTGAGCTATTGGTTCACCTCCTTTTACGACGTTTGGTTCAATAATTTTACATAAAAGGATACTTTCTTCTTGAATTATAATTTCTTTTGGTGGCTTGAAAGTTACTTGAACTTGGGCAGGTCTATCAGACGAAGTGAGTCGACCCTTTGGCGGTTGAATATTGAAATAATTGCATACTTCCGGTGGACATTTCGGTGTTTTTTGAAGTATAAATTCGTATTCAATATCGTATTTTCCTTTATTCTTTAGTGTGCAAGTTTGTTTCATTTCGTCGTTAACTCTTATTGTTTCAAAGTCAAGTCCACCTTCTGTTCCTTTGGGAAAACTTACATCCAAAGCAACATCATAAGCTTCGGCATGTACTTGAATATTCTCTGTTTGTACTAGACCAATAATATTATCAACATCCATTACCTCTAATCTAATTGACTTTTTTGTTGTGACGACCGCTTTCAATGCTCTAAAGTATGCAACCAGAGTGAAATTTCCTCTTGGTTCAATAATACCCTCTGCCTGGGATACGGAGAAATCATCTCCAAGGGTTTCTAGACCGCTTAAACGCCATTTAACTGGTAGTCTTGTCATATTTCTCAAGAATATTGTCTTGTCATCTCTTCTGTGCAAGAGAACTCTTTCGAACTGTATTGATTTTTTCTCAATCTCCAACTCTGGCCTTTCTCCGTAGCAGAGCAACTTGAATCTAACTGGTTCAGGATTATCGCGTATACAGCAAACCAGTTCATCGCGGAATTCTCCTTTCTCTTTAGGATAGGCCCAAATACAGAGAGTTTGACTAGCTCCAGGTTTTAATTCCATAGTTGGAGGATCCAATAAATAGGTATCAGCTTTTGAGTCATACCTAAAACAGAAAGAAACTTGGGCAAACATTGGGGAAGTATTAGAAATTGTCAATATCTCCATATTCTCTGGATAACGTCCTTCTTTGTATCGTTCTCTAGATTTTCCGGCCAAAAGAGGACCAAATTCAAAGGTTTCTGCCGATAATATGTACTTTTTAGTGACAACTTCATCAGGTTTTTTGCTCTTTAATCGAGAAGGAAAAACAACACGTGGCTCTCTACAGATTGTTGGATAATCCGTTACACCTCTGCAATATAGAGAGTACTTTCGTCTGGTTCCAACAATTTCAAAATTCAATGTTTGATCGAACTGACCACGTTCTTCAGTTCTGAAGCGAATTCTCAAATTCACCTTTCCTTTTGGAGGTATTATCCAACGGAAGTTATTCAACTTGGGCGTTCTGGATTCAGCAGTGTTGGGATTTTCAATTTGACTATCTGCCTCCGACATTGTAGGAGTAGCAGACGGAGATACACTTAATCCTTGAGTGGATGGTCTTCTGTTCTTTTTTGCACTAGTATTTCTCTTTTTGCCTTTCTTCGGTTCGTCTGTGTCTAAAGTATCTTTATCCTTTCTGGATTTTCTTGATTTTGTTCCAGTCTCACGATCCGTCTTAATCGGTTCAGGAGTCATTGGTTTATCAGTATCCTCAGTGGTTTCTTCTTGAGATCTTTCGGTAATGACGTTCCTATATTTTTTAATGAAAAGTTCATTTATCATAGTTATTTGTCAACAAAAGCACAATAATAAAACTTACGGATCATCAGAAGAAGATGCGACAAATATGTAATTTCCTTGATCCGCTCCTGGTGGAGCAGTTCTCTTAACTGGATATGGTACAACAGAAAATAGAGTGGCCGGTGGAATAGCTGGTCCATTAGGACCCAAACCAAGTCCGTCCAAAATCTCATTCTTGCTTGGCCACTTTTCCCATTCAAGAACTCTATCGGCAATGCACTTCCCGTTTTCGAGGAATTCCATCTGGCAAGAGGGCATACCAATACCTTCTTCTAGTTTCTTTTCTTTCTTTTCTTCCTCAGTCATATCTGCATGAGAATCAGTTCCATCGTGAGACTGATGATCCTGACCCTCCTTTATTTCAGTGTCCTTGGGAGGAACCTTTTCGGCAACTGTTCTTGAACGATCTTTCTTCTTTCCTTTCTTACCCGATGGCGGATGAGCTATTGACTCGTCCTGTGTCATATGTGGATCAGGTGTTGGAGGTCGAATAACACCCTTTGTTCGATCCCAACAGTCAACCTTTTCTGTTATATCCTTAAAGCAAACTTCAAAGGTTCTGAATCGTTGTTGTAAAAGTAGGTCGGCTTCTCTTTCTTTTATTTCTTTGGGTGAAAGCTCTTGTTCAACAGGCTGGAGAGGTGATTCTCTTCCTTCATTGGTACCGGGTCGTTTATCTGGGGCTTGATTAGTAGAAGTCTTAGATTTCTTCTTTTTAACATCAGCATCGCCAGAATCCATTCTTTCAGTTTGTTGTGAAGTTGGCCTTTCTGCTTTTTCATCATGAGCTTTGGATCCGGCTTGAGATTTCAGATCCTTTATTCGCTCTTGAGACTTGGATGATTCGACTTTTCCCTTTCGAGCATCTTTATCGTCCTTAGCATCTTTACCACCCTTTTTCTTTTTCTTTTTATTTTCCTCCTCTATTCTTCTTAATTCTGCTTCTCTTTCCTCTCTTTCCCTCTTCTCCTTCTCTAGACGTTCTCTCTCCCTAAATTTCACATTATTATTAATAATTAATTAAGTAAAACAAAAGTAGACTCACTTTCTTAAACGTTCTTTCTTTATTACAAGTCTTTTTTGATCAATTGCAGCTTTCTCTTCTTCATTTAGAGCGTCATATTCATCTTCCGACATTTCTTCAAGTCTTCTTTGCTCCTCATCTTCCTTTTCCTTAGCTCTCTTTGCCCTCTCCTCCTCGCATTTCTTCTTTGTCTCCTTAAGCATTTGATAGGTATGCTTAAGAGTAACGAAATATAGATATTTGCGATTATTAATTGCTTTCAAAACATTCAAGCAAGCCGACACCATATTTTGGCAGAAGAGTGTTTCCAGTCCGTCAAATACAATTCCCTTCTGACAATCAGTGAGCATAAGTCGATCTGATAATATATTAACAACGACATCATCTGGTAGGACGGTACTTAGTACGCCCTCATCTCCAACAACACTTGCACTAATGCTTAACTTTCTGGCAATTGGTCCAGGTAAAGGTTGAGGAGAAGAAGGAACTTGACTACTGCTTTCAGCGCCTTGTTGTTGCTGGCCAGTTCCGGCTCCCTTAGAATTAACTGTACCCCTTTTACCCTTTTCGGTTAAAATCGTACTCTTCTGTCCGGAGACGATACTTTGAGCAGCAACATGAGCCATCGCAACTTGACCTATGGATACTGGCGTTAGCCAAAGAAGAGAGAGAAAAAAAAACAAAGAGGAAATAAATTATTCGCTTTGATGAAGAATTATGAAGTCGAAAACTTCAAATCCATAAAGGTTAAATAAGAGCAAACTTTCAAAAGTATCTCCGATCTTTGGACAAAAATAATCAATTAACAGGTTAATTAGTAATTAATACTATTTTTAGTATCACACCAAAGCGAATAAAAGTACATATAGCTAACTCTTAAGAAAAAAAACATTAGATCTTAAGCAAAATTCTTTTGCGTAAAGCAGATCTCTGTAAGCAAACCTTGTTGAACTGTGTGAGCAGCAACAGCCTCCATTGATAATCCAGCGCCGGCTGTTGTTTTATCAGCGTTAGCTTCGGCCTCTAGTCTTAGAGCTTCAGCTTGAGCCGCTTGTTGGCAAAGTTCTCTGGCTTTCAAGGCATGGGGACTGTTTCCTTGAGCAATAGCTTCCATGATAACTTGATCAATACTTATTAATGCTGCCTCGTACTTTCTAGCAAGGCATGTTGCGGTTGATGATTTTCCTGTTATTGAAAATTGGACGTTAAAAGGTAATTAATTATCTTACTTCTTCATCTACCTGAAAGTGGAGCTCCATGGACTATAATGGCAATTCCTCTCCTATTTCTATTAGCTCTACCTTCTTTGGAAAGATCAATGCCAAGGTGACGGCTTAGAGCTTTAGTTACTGCTGTTTCTTCGAATTCATCACTTTTTCCGTGAGTCAGACTTTCAACTGCCGTCACTGATGTCATTGGTCTGGATGGTAGACCTTCTTTATCATCGGCAGTTTTCTTCGTTTCTTCAACACTATCTTTCTTCTCCTCTTCAGAACTCCTAATACTCTTAATGTCACTGACACTCTTTAATTTTTTCTTTCCTTTCTTATCCTTATCATCTTTAGGTTTTTGATCGGCTTGCTTTTCTCCGCCAGCCTCAGGGGAAGCTTCTTCTTTATCCTCTTCAGCCATTGCAGCTCTTTCCTGAGCGTCCTTTCTAGCTTTATCAGCTTCTTCCAATTTTTTCATTTGGTTATCATAATACTCTGTCAATTCTAAGGGCAATTTTTCGCCATGTTCTCTTGGTGGCAAAAGGATAGTTTCGTATTCATCATAGCCTTGTTGTAAACGAAGTATTTTCTCGTCTTGTAGATAAATTTTATCATATTCCAAATTATAAATTTCAATAGGGAAATCGCAAGGATTTTTAACCTCGACATCTTGTTCATCCCCACTAGAATGGGGTAAAATAGGACCAAAGTGTATCAAGGCTTTAGAGAATTCTATTTTAGGTTCCAATCCTCTACCCTTAGCTAAAAGCATGGCTTTTTTGGAACTTTGTTCTAATTTGAATACAATTCTCTGTTCATAATCTTTTTCGTCACACGGCATAAATTTTAGTTGGGCATTATATCTTTGACCTGGTTCAATTGTTCCGAAAGGAGGAATCATTTCAAAAGTAGGAGGTTTTTTCGGTTCATTTCGAATTTTTCTTCTCAAATGCATGGGAACATGCCTATGTGATTTTCTTTCATCTTTCTTTTCTGCTGGATATGCACTCCATTCACAAGCAACGTGTTCGGCATTGTGCAATTGTACTGTAATGACTTTACATTGACCGCAAAGGACATTTTCAAAGTCAAGAACATCTGCAGATAATTTTAAATCGGGCATTGTTACGCTGGCCTTGGCAACAATAAGGACGTTTGGACCATGAGCAATATTTAGTAAGATCTGGCCTTCTACTAGTCCCAAGTCTAAATTTGCAGCTCTGGGATCAAACGTCACTTGTATATCTATCCATTCGTGATCAGGGGCTCCTGGAATATTTCTTACTATTCTATTATCTACCTTAAATCCTTTCGGACTTAGATTTGATTCATCTATTTTGAATGAAACCGGAAAGTAACCGCTATTTGTAACTCTTACAACTCTTTGCTCTATTCTTCCCAAAATAACGTAGCCAAAATCAAGTAAATATTCGGGTAAAAGCGGCTTTTCCAATTTGGGTTTTCGACTCCGACTACTACGAGAACTCTCCTGAGACTGAGCCGGTGGAGTTGGATCGAGAGTTAAAACGTTTGTTGTAGAACGAGATAGTTTCTTATATTGATCTGTGGCAAAATCTTCAACAACTAGACGTTCTATTTCCATTTGAATGTCAAGATCGGTTAGATTCGATTCTTGCAAGTGAATAAGAGAAGCACTGTCATCTTCCTTCTGAATCATTTGAAATTCGAAAGTCTGCGCTTCCAAATTGGAGCTTGCTAGCTTATAGTAATCATCATATTTCTCCTTATCATTTATTTGCTTGGGTAAGTCGACGGATACTCTTGGAAAGACACCTTCTGCATAGATATTTACAGTTTCCGGTTCAAGATGGGCAATTTGTATTTGGAATGTTTGCTGGAATTTCGATGGAATACCAGGTAAGAAAAGAACAGATAAAGTTTTCGAGGAGCAGGGTTCTATATAGCCACTAGGCGGAGAAAGGACTGGCGTGGATGGTGGTGGTCTTTTTACCATTGATTCGTCTACGCCTATTGTTTGATATTCAAATCCGACTCTTCCAGTGTTTTGTAAAATAATTTCAGTCCTTGCTACTTCGTTATACATCTGTTTCCCGAAATCGATATCAAGGCAATCGAAGGAATAAGATATAAGTGAAGCTTCTCCATTCAATTGAAGCTCATAAGTTGGTCCTCCTTCAACGATACATAATGCTTTTGCTCTGCAGCTTATATCTCCATGCCCGAAAAAGGTTAGGGTTACTTGTTCAGTATCTCCTGGCTTTATTGAACCGTAAAGTGGAAGAATGTCAAAGATTTCCTCCAAGCCAAGATCTTTTTTAAACTCATCATTTGTATTCAGTATAGAATCCAGGACGGGGTTAACTTCGGGAGTAGGTGTTCTAGGAACGGGAGTAGGAGCTCTTTCATCAATATCGTGAATATCTGGAGCATCTTTGATGGAAACTGCGGCAGATGATGACCGCTCAGCAACAGATCTTTTCATACTTGATGAAGATTTAGAACGTGGAGTTGGTACCAATATTGCTTCTCCTTCAAGTTCCAATTGTGGTACTTCTTGATTTGATTGAGGGCGATAATCGTTATCAAAAACAGGCTCTTCTTCTGGCATTATCTTATCGTCTTCGCAATCATCGATTGGAGCTTGCTCCTGGGCATCTTCTAAAGCCTCTATGGGTGAAGGAGTAAGTCGACGAGGTGGTTCAATATATCCAATAGATGTATCATCATCAAATAAAAACACCCACTTATAATTTACGATCATAGGAGATACGTTTGTCATATTTACATATCTAGTTACTTCCGTATCATTAAGGATACATCCAAAATCGATTACTTGTCTTTCAAAAGCCAAATTTGCAAAGTTAACTTCGCCCTTCAATTCTACTTTGTCAATATGAGGATGTTCATCATATGTAATTATCATTTCTTCAGCCACACTTCTAATATGAAGATCCTCTTCAAAGCAAGGATCAAAGTTTACTGTTAAACATTTTGATTCTCCTAGACCCAAATTGATTTTTCTTTCGGAATAAAGAAGTTCATCTTCTCCAACCAACTGGAAAGGATAAGCTATTTTCACACTGATATTCAAAGGTAAACTTGAAGTATTTTCCATAATCAACGTTTTCCTCTCAGAGGCAAGTTCATCATCGGTAGATTTATCTATTCTGAATTCAATTCTATCCGTTGAAAATTTAACGAGAGGAGCAATAAATTCGCAAATAATATTTGATTTCAGAATTAGTTCCTTTCCGCCTCTTTTCCCGATGATTGCATGACAAAGCAACTTCTCCTTGATTGTCTTTGGTCTGTTTTAAGGTTTTTTTTTAATAGAATTAGACAAATCTTTTCCTTAAAAGGTAAAATACAGCTTACTCTGAAATTGTTCCCTCCATGAACATATCTATACTTTCACCTGGTTCTAGGTCCATTCTATGGGGAGAAAATTTAAAAACGGGTTGTGGTGGTGGCGGAGGTGGTGGTTTATTCTGTTCATTTAAAAGAGACGCTCATTGTTAATTTGTTCAGAAACAACAATTATAATATATTGTCTATTACTTTAAATTTAACGTCTTTATCCAAATATTCTGGAGGTCTGTAGGCCTTACTGACGGGTTTGATATAATTAAAACCATCAGTACTCCATATTAGAGTTTGATGCCTTCTTCCAGCATTAGTTAATCTGAAGGTTCTCTGTACAGGTTTTCCAGTAGCCAAGGATATATCCGACTGTAATTATTTATGTATTTTCTTCACATAAAAACTGCAATAAAATAATATATAGAAGTATACATACACAAAAGTTTGGACCCAAGTTTAAACTGGGACAAATTGGAGGATCAACAACTATTGTTGTTCCAAAGCCTGTAGCTTGAACTGGTATTTTTGGGCTTGGTCCATCTTCTATGCATAGATGAAGACTATCGTTGAATCTATAAGAGTTGGTATTCGTATGAAATACTCATTCAATGAATAGATAAAAAAAAAAGCTAAAGAAAACTTACGGTACACAATCATTCAAGCAGGCTGTTAAGGTTAATTCGATTGTTGATTGAGGAGGAACCTCTCCCTTTTCAGGAGAAACTTCCCAAGCGCTAAACTGCTTTGGACTCATTCTCATTACCATCTGGCCATAAAATTTTGCAGTAATTAAACTTTCATTAGATAGTGTAATCGTTTTTTCAATTTTTTTCAGAACAGGTATCGTTCCCCAATCCAAACTTAGAGGAGAAATATGTACAACTGGTCCCTCTCCTATACAATCAATTTGTACATTCTGTAAAAAGGATACAAATTACGCTTAATGACGGAAATCCTTTTCTTTTTTTATTTTTTTTGATAATCAACTCACCAGAAGATTGTCAGGGTCTCCAAAAATCATAAAATTAGAGATGACGCATATCTCTTCCAATTCCTGAGGAGTGACGATTAATGGTATTTCAACAGTGGTATGAGGTTCAATAACAGCTTTTGGATTGGGACTTGTATAAGTCAAGGGAAAATATTCTTCATCATCATCTTGATTTCCAATTGACATTTTCTTTTGCGGTAATAAGTCATAAACAGCTGGAAGATCACTGTCATTTTTCAATATAACGTGATGCTCATAAGGATGACGTAGAAAGCATCTTCCGTATTCCAGAATTGGCGTTAGTAGCATAACATTCGGTACTAAGCATCTGGATGATGGACATAAATGGAAAATTTGAAAAGTGTTAGGAATAATATGATAGGGATATTTACTCGGCAGTAATTGGTATATGGAGTATATCTTCTCCTACTCTCTCAACATCAACGATTAGGTGATACTCGTATGGTTTAACTGTATTTGAGCACATTGTAACAGTTATTTCCTGACGGCCCAAAGCTCTTATCGTCCCTTTGGCCGGAGTTATCCAAAACTCTCTTAAAGGTTCATTCGACTTGGTATCGAAAGTTAAAATTGCATATTTATTTGTGGCTTCAACAGCGTCACTTGTACCATCTTCGGCAATTCTCAATTTATAAGTCATGGGAACCAATGATGTATTATCCAACACAACTTTTTGCGAATATTTGAACCCTAGTTAAGTAAAATGAAGAAAATTTGATAACATAGGTTTAAAGATAAAATATAAATTTACCAAATGAAACTAGGCCAAAGTCCAAACTTGGTTTGTCAAAATTAAACGTTTGTCCAATAACAGAACCCCTATAATAAGTAATATATATTGTATAAGAACGATAGCAAAAACGCCAAGTACTATCGAAAAAACAAAGGATAGGACTTACTCAACAACTAATTGTAAAGGATCGTTCGAACCATCAATTTGAAAGGTGAAAATTTCTCTAAAATCGCCCAGATTCATTGATGAAAAACTGATAACAATAGCTTGATGACCATTTGGCATAACGATGCCCTCCATTGGATTAAAGCTAAATAATCTGAAAGATTGTATGCATGTTTACAGGGTACTTTACTCCAAAGGTTAAAGAATATATACCTTCCGAATTTGCTCTTAGATTCCTCAATAGTATAAATAGCATCAATATCTCCTTTATTCGCCAAAATGACTTCATAGGAATGGCTGGATCCAATAAATATATTACCAACATCCAATTTCTCGAAAGACAATTCAACGTTAGGACCTACTCCTTCTCCAATAACTTTCAGACCCAATCGTTGTTCCCTACCAGTTACATCGCAGAAAAGGGGTCTTGAATAAATCTCAGCCCTTTCCGGTTTGAAAGTAATTGTTATTTCGGCACTCGAGTTTGGCCATATTTCACCTTTAACGGGTTCAACTTTAAGTACGTCGTCGACATAAAGCATTTCGTCGTTCTCGATTATCTGTTCATAGATACGAATTATGACTTTTTACTATACTAGAAGAAATAATCTTACTCTTTTCCTATTAAGGATACTGCGAGAGAGGCACGCTAGCTTGTCCTTTAGTGAGGGATCCGTATCAATTTCCTCATGCCATCTTTCTCTCTCCTTACTCTCTTCCGATTGCAGTAACATCGCCCATTTCTCCTTCTCCGATCTTTCCTCATCCTCACTAAAGTAGGCAGTCCACCGGAAATTCGCAATAACATTCGATCTATTAGAAATTGTGATAGTCCTTTGATTGGCCATGGTTATAAACGTTTTTTCGATTCGAATTAAATTCTTATCCAATCGAACCATGGATGCCTCCGACTGAGCTTTAAGACATATATACAATTCCTCTCCTAAACAGTAAAAATAATGACAATTAGCATCATAAATTCGCATCTCCTCCCCATATTCTAAATAACCTGTATCATAGGAAAGTATCAATTCTCCTTCACTATCTCCAATTGAATTTGATTTGTGATAAATTTCTATCTGCATACTTTCATTAACATCTAACGAACTGTAGGTTGGTGATACGGAAAAAGGCCTAAAAATCATTGCATATTTATAGGTTATTCAATTACGATCAAATTGAAAGATGAAAAAACTCACGCCTCAGTTGTTAGGGAGAAATTAGCTGATTTCTTTCCAGTATTTCTTACAAGTATAGTTTGAGTAGATGAATATTTAACAGGAGCTTTCGGGAATATAATTTCATCGGGGAAATCAAGCATAGCTCTCGCTCCAATTGCTCTTATCGGAACTTTAAACTTTTCTCTTTCAGTAACGCATATTAATTCGTGTCGGTAGTCTACATTTTGTTCTGGAAAAAATTGTATCTGAAAGGTTGTTGGTAAACCAGCGCCCACTTTATCTCCGACGTTGTTTGGACTAATTATTTTGAAATATGGAGAGTCGACGCAAGTAACCTTAACAAGCCTTGGAACCTGAAAAAAATTAATATTAAACTCATATAAAGCAAATGACAAACACTGATAAAACCTTATCATTATTTCGTAAAATAAGTGGAATTTCATATGAATCTCCTGGTGTGAAATTTTGAAATATAACCTCCGAAGGAAAAGGTTGAAAGATAGGTTCATCAATATTAACCGTTGAAACCTAAAAAAAGTAATAATTAATTAATAAACAGCAATTTTAATTAATACGTGAAAATAATGAAACATGCAAAAACAAGTCATTTTTTTTTAATCATTACAAACATGCAAACAAAAACAAAGAAGAATAAAATGATAAGAGTCTCTTTTTTTCGTTTTTTTGTTCACAGATAATAGAATAATAATTCATTCGTTTACATCAAGATGCAGACAAGTACCAATTTTTCATTATCGTCATGCAGATTTTATTCTACATTTATATAAATATATCTTTAATAAATATATAGTATGTTTTATAAGAAACATTGTGCAGATATTAATATATCCATATATGTTTACCGGTTTTTGTACAACTCTACTTTTTTTTGATTCCTTTTATAATAAATTTCATATAAGAAAAAACGTATTAATTCAGACTTTTTTTGTAGATGTTTGTTTGTTTTGTTTTTAAACATAAGCATTTGTAAACAATACCTTTTGATGAGTTGTTTCAGACATATCTAATAATTCAATCTTTGGAGGAACTTTCATCGTATGCATATTTTGTAATCTTTCCTTTGTATCCATTGCCATTGTGAACATGAATTGTGATGGTTTCATCTATATATTTTACAAAAATATTCGATTTAGAGTCTATAATATTAACAAAAAGAACATTTAAATACTTTAAATTCATCCTCTCCTTCTCTAACAAGTTTAGGATTTCTGGGAGCGATAACTTTACTTTTATAGTTTTTCGCTTTTTCACTGAGTGTATCCAGAGTACCTGTGGTACCTAAAATTTCTCCGAGAGGTCCGATTGGCATTTTGGTTTGTGTCTTTCCTTGTTAATATACAAAAAATTCACAAGAAGTAAACTTAATCAGCAACCCGGGAAAGATAACACTTTTTTTATATAAAAAAGACTGCGTTTGCTTATGTTCTTTCAAACGAACTCAGAGCAAGAAATCTTTTGTCGTTTTTCTTGCATAAATCAACCAAATTTAATCAACCAAATATTACAACTTAATACTTTCACGGTAAAATATTGTTTATAAGAAAACATAAGCGTTCCGTATCCATGGTATTAGTGTAACTCCGCACCTACATTTTCATCTCGCATAATTTTATTTTATTAAATAAAAATTAATCGTTGATCAGTGTATTTCATTTATTCCATTAATAGAAATCTGATAAAAGACAAAAAATCATTCTTGATCACAATGCCATACCTTTATACGAAAACAAGCATTTATTATCGTTATTATAGCGCTTTTAGACGCCGCTCGTGATAAAATCCTCCAAAAATGTCTGGTGTAAGTACTTCATCTAATTTCTAATTTGAAAACGTAACGTAATTGGCATATTGATCACCCGGTCTTATCATATACACTAGATAGTACAATTGCCAAGAGAAAATGAAATATTTTAACCGATTTTCAACTGATTTTTTATTTCGTAAAACAGGTTATGCCAGTTAACCCTAAACCCTTTTTAAACAACTTGACTGGGAAGCCCGTTATTGTAAAATTAAAATGGGGTATGGAATATAAAGGCTTTCTGGTTGCCGTTGACGGCTATATGAACCTTCAGGTACGCGATTATAACGAAATTTGTTTACGTTGATTACGTGTTTTTCATTTAGCTCGACAATACCGAGGAATATATTGATGGAGCACTTTCAGGAAATCTAGGAGAGGTTCTCATTAGATGCAATAATGTTTTACACATTCGTGGTGCTGATGACGAGCACGAAGAAGGAGAAATGAAGGATTAACTTTGTTATATAAACTTAACATATAAATTTAAAAAGTTGTTTATACTGAAGATGTAAATATAACGATGTTAACTAAGGATTTAAATTAAAAAAAAAAAAGAAACAATTATGACAACTCCACCCGACACATAAATTTCACAGTTTATTTGGTTCAAGGGCACTCTTATTCCAGGTAACTTGAATCTCAACGATAGGATTGCAAACTCAACAACCGAATAGGCAACATTTCCTCTTTATTTAATGAAAGACAACAAGTAGAAAAAAAACAGTAAGGAAGAAACTGTTATAATCCAAAAACAGGAATTTGCTACTCGTAAATTCAGTTATGCAAAAAGATAATAGCGTTAATTGAATATTTTATAATAGGCTATAGATCATTCTCCTGACCTACATCTTTTAGCAGTTGGTAATACATTTTTTCCAAAAAAGAGAATGTAAACTTATGTATGTTGACATTATTCTACCATATTTTTATAAGTCGAACAAAAGTTTATCTTTTGCTTGATTCTACTCAACGCAACTTCATCTTTTTAGTTAAATATAATTTAAATATCTTTCAGCAAGTTAATCTTTGATTAAAACTAATAAGCTCTGTTAGACTAAAAAGGAATTATTGTCAGAAATTCAATGAATAAGAATTGAGAATCACCAACTGCGTATTTCTTATTGTATAACAGTTCAATGAAATGAATCATTCGTAGGCCAAATGAAGTATGAAATGATAAGTATTTACGGATTGAGTGGGATCTAAATCGGGAAGTATGACGTCGATTCAGATTTCGTATCAGACTAAAAGCATTTTTTTTATATCTATAAATGGTCGATCAAACAAAAACTTTGAAAGTAACACATTTTTTTATTATCGAAATTCTGTTTATAATTATTTGTAATTATTTTTGATTCAAACAGGAACGGCTGTGTTAGATTTCGCATAAGGCGCATGCGTCCTTAATACGAGCCTGATCTAACGCAATAGCAACTACATCTGTATAGTTAGAATATACGTATATGAGATTTTTTTTTAAAAGATAACAATGAAAAGTGTTAGATAGTGGCGTTCGTGGTGGGTGGACTGCTAATTTTCATTTATTGACCTCCCATCCGTCAGGTGGCGATAGTATATTCCAATAACTTCCTGTTTAAACTCTTCGTCAAGTTTCACTATCTGCAAGGTCAAGTTCCGGGACGACAGGTCGTTCATACACTACCCAACCAGGAGTAAAACATCAAAGACAATGAAGATTTATAAATCAGAGCACGTTTTTGAGTGAGTAAAATTTTTTGATATTTACTGAAAATTTAAAACCGATTATATTTGACAAAATATATTAGCCACGTGTTTGAAATTCCAGACATCCATGGGAAACTGTAGTTCAAGCCGCTTGGAGAAAATACCCAAATCCTATGAATCCTAATGTAGTAGGAGTGGACGTTGTGGATAGGCAAGTTACAACAGACGGAGTTCTTAGAAGTCATCGATTGATGTCAACTTTTTGGGGAGTTCCTGATTTTGTTACAAGACTCATTGGCTTGAATAGAACTGCTTATGTTAGTGAAGTATCAGAAGTAAATCATAGTAATAAAACAATGCAGTTATTTTCAAGAAATTTAACTCTTTCCAATTTGGTGACTATTGATGAGAAACTAGAGTATAAACCTCATCCAACAAGACCATCATGTACTTTACTTGAACAAGAAGCCGTTATAAAGATTGAAGGAGTACCTCTAACAACTTATTTGGAAGATTTGATGTTAAAAACATGTTCCTCTAATGCTGCAAAGGGAAGACAAGCAATGGAGATAGTAATTCATAAGATAAAATCTGAAGCAGGTGAATTAACAAGAGCTGCACAAGAAAGTGTTGATAATATTATTAACAAAGCTAGTTTATGATGAATACTATATTTAGGCTATTTTTTCATTTTTCTGTGATATAACAATTATGAAATATTTATGATAAATAAATAAATCAAATCAAATTTTCCCGCTAGAAAAAACTGGTGTGTTATTTTAGAATATTTTGCTAACAGAAACCAGTTACTGGTTCCGGTTTCATAAAAAAGTTGCCCCAAAAATGAAGATATTTACGGGCCATTTGGTCTGTGTTGTTTAGTCTTTTCGGACCCGCTATTGTTGTAAGTTATCTATCAACCATATTATGTAATGAGCTATTGAGTTAAAAATTGGAACACGTCAGACGAGAAGTTGGCCTATCCCAGCTTGGTTTTACCAGGGTCAACAAACTCTCGTAGCCTAATTCGAGATAAGCGTTGCGCAAAATTACCGACCGCGCTAGAATTTCGTAATCGGACACTCTACATAGTTCCAACATTTGCTCTACTTTGTTTTTAATTTTCATTTTAGGAAATTTTACGTCTTTATTGAAGACAACCTTTATATAATAAATCTGAGTGATTTGGCCTGTTCTATGCAGCACTTCAAAATGGCTGTCTAAAATTCGGATGGGTTCAATGAGCTTAGATAGCTTGAAACAGCAGTTCGTTACGTTGGTGAATGATGCCTCTAATTTAGATGGTTTGAGAGACTTTATGCTATGGGTAGACGTCAAAGTCGCAGAATATAAGACGTCTGGGAAAGTGACAAACGACTGCAACGAAAACGAAGAGCGATGGATGAAACGCTCCACTCAAAATACTGTGAAGGAGGAGAGTGATGATGAATGTATTGACGAGGCAAACCCTTTTAGCGGGGAATCGAAAAATTCGGATGATCAAAGTGACGATATGGCAAATAGGCAACAATCTAGGAGTAGAAGAAAGACGTCTGTACCACAAAGAACGCAATTGCCTACTAGTGGCTGTTCTGATGAAGGAACAGTTAAAAATGAAATGAAAGATTCTAGGCACTCTTCCGAGTACAGATCTGTTCAGCCCATTGGAATAGATCCAGGGTCTGACACACTTAGAAAATCCGAAATGGATACAGCTCTTTCACTAGCTGCATTGAGCGCTCAAGATCCGGATGAACCGATTGACATGAGCGTTCCCAGAAATAAAACCTCGTCCAATATGAAACCAGCATCTGAAAGTCATAGCAGTAGTACTTTCGTTTTAGATACTGGCAGGTACGAAATTGTACCGACAGAAAGCGAGAACGGTACTGCAGCTAACTCTGGTTCGGGCGCAACGTCTTTCATTAAAGTCGTTAAACAAAGCAAATATTTAAATTTACGTAAAGAATCACGAATTATCAATGGTGAGGTCTGCTTTGTTTGCCCACACTGCAGGTAAGTCTTTAATTATTCATACACATATCAACATAAGTTATAATTATATATTACTTACCTTTTACAGCAAATTATTCGCCAGAAGTAGCAACTTTTCTAGGCATATGCGCATCCATAGAGGTGTCTACAGCTACATCTGTTCAAATTGTTCTCGCGGCTTTTTTCGCAAGGAACATTTCGAAAAGCATAAATGTTATCGGCGCCCTATGGGCCATACTTGGGATAGAACTACCAAAGCCGAGAGCAACCTTATGCAAAAAGTAGCGACGAAGTCGCCAACGGACGGCGATGCTAATAATAATTGATATTTTTAGTAGTCAAACTGCTCTTTTCTATCCCTAATGCCTTGTTTCTATTAACATTTTCTTTTTTTTTGTATTATCCCCGGTGTTAAACACTGAACGCGGAAGTTTTTTTTTGTTTTGTTTATGTCACTGCAGTTGTCCCTGTATCTCTTGATTACTAAACTTATATGCACTATTTACGCGTAAACAACCTGCATTGTGTAGATTTTGAATAGTTTTTTTTTGCCTTAAATTGGCCAAATGCATTCTGTATCTGTCGCGCAGTGAGATAGGTTTGCGTTGTTGTTCGAGTGCCATAATCGAATGTATATGTACTGATTTTTTTTCTTCTGAAACTTAGGCACCTGCAAGTGTTGCCGTGCTTCTACACTCGTCCTCATGCAGACTTTTCATACGTTGAGAATTAAGGTGTCATGCTTTTTTGCAGCTTCATTTTTTCAAAATAAAACTACTGTTTATGTACACAACCGATAAACTGAATTTGTCAATAGGTGCCTGTATTTATTTTTAAAACTACACGCACATACATAAACAATCGTTCATTTAGATTTCTTTCTTGGCGATTCTCTTGTCTCTCTCTTCTGCAACCGACAATTTGATACCTTTGCCTTTAGGTAGAGAAATCCAGGGGTTGCTGCCCTTACCGATGATGAAGGTGTTGTTTAATCTTCAATTTAGAAAAATGTTAGAAAAAACATTCGCATATTTTTGTTGATGAAACTCACCGAGTAGCGAAAATATGTCCTTCCTTATCTTTTACGTGTACGATGTCGAAAGAGCCGGGATGTTTTTCACGGTGTGTGATGGTTCCAACTCTTCCCAAGTTCCTACCTCCGGTGATCATAACAATCATACCGGAATCGAACTTTAGATAATCCTTGATCTTTCCGGTTGCAATATCGACACGTACGGTATCGTTTAGTTTAATAAGGGGATCCGGGTAACGGATGGTACGAGCATCGTGTGTAACGATGAAAGGTACACCTTTAGGGCCAACCTGTATTCTTTTTACTTTGCACAATTTATACTTGGCCTCTTCAGGGGTAATACGGTGAACAATGAATCGGCCTTTAACATCATACACTAGACGAAAGTGCTCATTAGTTCTTTGGATGGTGATGACATCCATGAAACCGCAAGGGAAGGTCTTATCAGTTCGCACTTTACCGTCTACTCTAATCAAGCGCTGGTTGACAATTTTCTTGCATTCATCGTAGGTCAAAGCATACTTTAGACGATTACGCAAGAATATCATCAATGGGAGACATTCCCTAGTTTTGTGTGGTCCAGCACTAGGTTTCGGCGCCTGTATTGGAAAATTTTATGTTACTATCAGTTGGTAATGCACGAATAGGACAGGAGCTCTAAACGGGCGACCGTCAGAAATTATTAATCTAGCCGTAACATGACCCAAATACAGTTTATCCATATTAGAGCTTCGATAACGGCATAGAAGTAATATTGTAAAATACTCACGAATACACCGCCGACTTTGTCGAGCATCCAGTGTTTTGGCGCATTCAAACGCTTCAGATGTTTCTTCGGTCCTCGCCCCTAAAACAGAAAATTCATTATGTACCAATGCTCTTGAACCAATGAATACGTTGTCTATCACTCATTAGCTTGATTTACATGCTTATTTTAGGCCGTGCTTGATCGTTTGACTCCGATTCAAGGAAATCAAATGTAGTGCCAGCAGCGGCCAAGAAAAAAGCGACAAATATTTTCAAATAAAGCCGTAAGTATCACAAATCGAATATATCATGTTAATGAGAGAATATTCGACGAATTCAACAATAAAATTTTCGTGTTAAACGACTTTAAAGAAAGATTTTTCCGGATTTTTGAGAGAATAAACCTACCATGTCTGAAAACTTAGCGGAAAAGGAAATATCCGTCTGCAATTTTCGAGTCGGTACAGCTAAATCAAGTATGCGGAAGTGACGTTAAAGCTCCCGCCTTTTTTTAATTTTTACTCATAATTAAAATAGTTTAAGTTCAACAATATCTTTATGTCACAATAGAATTATATGTTGTTTTTAAATATAATAGGGCCTGTGTTTGAATTTATTAAAGAGCTTTTTTCGTTACTGAGTCTATTCTTTAAAAATAATCAATTTTTCTGTAGTATGAATTATTCAAAAAGTAATATCTTTGCGTGTTCCATTTTCCCACGAATGACATGTGAAATGAAAAAATATTTATCTATTATATACGCTCCAAGGTCGATCATAGGAAAACAGCCAGTGTATACAAAATATTATAAATTTAATAATCTAGCACTGAATAAATAAATCTAAATTACAAAAAAGACATCTTGAATAGGGAGCATTAAAGTCTTTATTCACATTTATTGATTAATCTGTTAAAGAGCTATAAAAAGAAGAATCTTCTAAATGGTTGTAATGGATTTAAATAACATCGATAACCTCCATCTTTAACTACGTTTACTTAGTATTTAATAACTTTATAAAAAAATTATTTAGAGCCCTGCAATGGACAGATATTTTCTACAACGCAGAACGAATAAATTCTTTCTCGAATTTACTCAATAGTATCTGTATACACTGCTTAACGAGGACAACGCGACTCTGAAAAAATCTCTGTTATCAAACGGAAATGAAAAAAATGGTAATTTATAATTGAACAGATTTTGGGGTTTTATTCTCATGAAAATTTTGTCATGGATTTAGCATAAGAGATAGTCCAGAATGAGGCTATTCAAATATAAATCTATTTTTGGAAATATACTTTATAAATATGTGGATGTTTTATGATATTTGAATACGTATATGTGCAAACAACAAGTAGTTCCATAAACAAATACGTGAGAAAATGGAAATAGCTGCAAAGAGTTATTCAGTGCGGTAAACGAGCTTTTAACGCACTCATCAAAGAGGAATGAAGAAATCTCTTTAAATAGAAGAAAATTACATGTACCTGTTACCTTTTTTTCTATAGACTTTGATATGTGTAATCAAGGAACAACTTTTTCCCCTTAAATTTAAGCAAATATTAAATAAAAGATTTATCTGCTTCACACGGTAAGACCTCTTAAATTATAAATTATTATAGCTTTTCAGAATCTTTTTAATGTTAATGTTCTTTTTTTAAAGAAAAGAGTCTCCATTAAAAAAGTTGTGTTATATTTTAATTAGTATTTAAAAATATCTCACACAACGTTGTTTTCGTATTTTGTGAAATTTACTGAAATCGATATTGTAGATCATTTTTATATTCAGTATTTTTCAACTGATTGATTTATTTCTATTGACTTCATATTTAGATACTTAATATTTAACAATTTACGAAACTCTTTAGGCAAATTCCGGGGATTCCACACCTGAAACGAGACTATCAATAGCGTCATCGGTTGTTGATTTTATTTAGGTGTTTTGCCGATTTTCGCTGCTTTCCACTATATTTAAAGCTATCGTCTAACATTTCTTGCTATGGGTTTGCCTGAATATAGGATTTAACAAATTATGTCACATAATCAAAAGACTTTTCCAAGATTTGATCCTCGAATTGTCGAGATTAAAAGTAAAGTAAGTTCAATAATACGGGTGTTGTATTGCACCTATTCATCATGTGTTACTATTGTGCAGTTTGTATCCGAATTCCGGCGATTTAGCGTGGATAAAACAACACAAACGAGCTTTGAAGAATTTCGAAAATTAGTAGAAAGAATTCATGGATTGAAAGATTGGCCATTTCTAATTTGTTACACGGATTACCATGGAGATTTGTTACCAATTAACAATGATGATAACTATAGGAAAGCTTTGGATGTTTCTAAACCATTACTTAAGCTACTAGTGGAAAAGAAAGGTATAATCAATTTTAATTTGTGTATTAAAGAATGGCTTTATCACTAAGTTTAATTTTACCAGGCAGCGTACTGGAGTTGCAGGGATTTGGGTCGCAATTAAGGGCTAAACGAGGTGTACTTAGCAAATTAATGGGTAGTTCTCAGCCCCAAGAACCACCACGAGTACGACAGGGTCCTATCATATCTTTACCAGAAGACTTTCGAAAAGTGTCTGCAATTATAGATGTGGATATGATACCTGAAAGCCAAAGGAGAGTAAAGCTCATGAAAAACGGCCAAGAAAAACCTTTAGGTTTTTACATTAGAGACGGAACAAGTGTAAGAATAACACCTGCTGGTCTTGAAAAAGTTTGTGTTTGATATATCTCAAGAATAGATAAAAATAGACTAAGTCTATTCTCTGTTATCTTCAGGTTCAAAGCATTTTTATTTCTCGGCTCGTACCTGGGGGATTAGCAGAATCTACTGGTTTATTGGCAGTAAATGACGAAGTACTTGAAGTCAATGGAATATCAGTGCAAGGAAAATTACTTGATCAAGTTACGGATATGATGGTAGCCAATTCCTCAAATTTAATACTTACCGTTAAACCGGCAAATCAGAGGAATAACGTTTCTCCAAAGAAAGCTTTGAAATTGAAAAGTAATTTATCGACAACCACTGCTTCAGACACCTCATCGCATTCTTACAATCCTTCTATTGATTCTTCCGAAGCGATTGACGAGGAAGATGAAGTTCGCCTTTACTTGCCCCAGCCTCTAAAGAACGAATTTCGATCCAGCGGCAAAGAAAATAATATCAGATCGTCCAGTTCGTAAGAACTTACGAAAGGAAATAGTAATTTTATATTATAAATTATTCGATTTGTAGGTTTAACTTTTTTTTTTATAAACATATAAAGCCTTTTTTTTCTCTTTGATTACTAAAAAAACTGTAGTGAAACTTTCAATTTGTTTTAACCTAGATTATCTGTTCATATTCAAGTTGATCAAATGTGATACCCGATACATATCGCACTCTGCAGTTTGTTTTTTGAGATTTCCGTTCTTTTTTTCAAAAACGAATATATTTCAACAGCCGATTCCGATTATTATAACTATTATAATGTTTAGATTGTTATTACTCAAATGTACATTATATAAGAATATGTCATCAGACAATCAAAATACATTAACTTTAATGAAAAAGTAGATAGATGTAATAAAAACAAAAAGTTTATAAACAAATTTCAGGTATAAGGACGTTAATTTTATGCATCATTCATACTATGACCTCATTCGATTATATATCAGCTAAATATTCATATTCTTTTTTTATTCTCAATTGTTATGACATTTTATCTGAGTGCACTGTGAACCTACTTAATTTTATAAAAACTTTTATAATATCTATATATAAATATATGTTTGTATATACTATATATATAAATATAAATATTGTGTATGAATTATCAATCATTTTTTATTTTGCTTAAGTGCTGTGTTTGCAAATTCACTTTAAAAAAAAAAGAATTTAATTACTTGAAGCAATCTAATATCGTTTCGGTTAATTCTAAAAGTTCATTTATTTTTATGAAAGTTTAATTTTCTGATAAAAATTCAAAGTTCTTTCAATGAGCAGTTTAATCTTTTTAGAATTTATTTTGTCGTGGATTGTAGGCAAACTTTTAATATGGTCAGTAGTTTTTCCTACCAAGTTTAATCGTTATGTTTTTTATCTCCTTAATGGAACTGGATACCCAGCTACCGGCCTATAGAGTATCAGAAAATGGCGGCGTTACAATTTATTTCTAGAATTTCTACTAATTTTTTATCAAGGTCCGTTATTACGTTATATAATGTTTTTCGATAGTCATGAAAAATAACCATTCATCAATTGTTCAAATTATCCCTATTTTAGACCATTTAATGAAGTATACAAAGTTTGTGCCTTATCTCAGCACTTAAAAGTAGCCCCGAAAAGGCCTCCAAACGCTTACGCTATATTTTTCCATGAAGTTCGTCCAGAAATACCAACTCGTAATGTGCCTGAAATGGGTCGTATAGTTGGCGAGAAATGGAGAGCTCTAGTTGATGAAAAGAAGGATGAGTACCGTATGAAGAGTGAAGAACTAAGAAATACATATGTCAAAGATAAGGCTGCTTTTTTGCTGTCATTGTCACCGTCTGCGAAAAGGGAGATGGCCGAAGAAATTAGACAAAAAAAATTATCTAGGCAGAAGAGAAAAAAACAGGCCGAAAACCGTAAATTAAACAAACCAAAAGCAGGTCCCACTTCCTCGTTTGCTTGCTTTCTCAAAGAAAAGGAGCACTTAAGACTTGATCGACCAATTACAGAATTTGTAAAACACCTAGCTGAGGAATGGAAGAATTTAAGTGAAGAAGATAAATTGCCTTATCAGAACAAAGCAGCATACAATCGTGAAGTCTATCAAGAAAAGCTAGAAAACTGGGAAAAACAAATGATTGATATGGGTAGAGAAGATTTAGTTCGCAAATCGAAAATTGGTAAAAGCTAAGGCTTTTATCCAGTTTGAGATATTATATAACGGTATATTTGCTTAAAAAGATAAATTGACCCCGTTTTCAATTAAAAAAAAACCCATAAATTGCTTTTTACGTTTTTAGCTCTGTTTGTACATTTTCTGAGAGACCAAAAGAGGTTTTTTTATATATATAAGTGAAAACATTTTTTAAAAAAGAGTCACAGCTGTGAATATTATGAATGCATTGAATTTTTTAGATTGATTAATCATAAGCCACAAAACGGAAGGTTGTAATATAGTTAAATATTATTCATACTACTTATTGATATTTTAAATATTATTATTCAGAGTTTATACTTTACAAGCTTAAATCTTCGCATAAATTAAAGATATTTCGCAACAAAAACCTGAATAAATAAAACCAAAGTCCTTTCATAAAATTTTTAATGGCTCCGAGGGAAAAGAATTAGGGGACAATTTTCAATTACACGATAGTCGTTCTGCTTGAAAGATATCAAAGCAACAAAATAAAATAAACATTTTTGGAAAAACATGCTATACACATAAATGAGACGGAATATTTACTGATATAAAAAGTAACAATCAATTATAAAAACTATGAATTAAGCAAAATCACGTTTGAAATCACAGGTAAAAAGTTTACATTTTAGTCTTTTTGCAAAATAAAATTACATCTTTTTAGTTGTTATATCGAAAATTGGCGCCAATCGCTAGAAGAACACGAGATCACGAAAGCAGACGATAGAGATTTCCTTTTCCTGTTTATCCGTACGCCATTATGGGTATGTTGTCACATGTTTGCGAAGTTCTCTAGCTAAATCATATTTAATTAAATAAATTTTTATACTACGTTGTTAAGTGAAAGAAGGATAGAAGATGCAATCGAGTTTTTATAAAATATTAAAAGTAAATTCGAAATTTTTACAGGCAAGCCTCGGGGTTTAAGAACCGCACGAAAACTTCGCAGTCACCGTCGTGAACAACGCTGGCATGATAAGGATTACAAAAAATCCCATTTAGGAACTCGTTGGAAGGCCAATCCTTTCGGAGGTGCCTCTCATGCCAAGGGAATAGTCCTCGAAAAAGTTGGTGTCGAAGCTAAACAACCTAATTCAGCTATCAGAAAATGTGTTAGAGTTCAATTGATTAAGAATGGAAAAAAAATCACTGCTTTCGTCCCCAACGATGGTTGCTTGAACTACATTGAAGAAAACGATGAAGTTTTGGTTGCCGGATTTGGTAGACGAGGTCACGCTGTTGGTGATATTCCTGGTGTACGATTCAAGGTGGTGAAAGTGGCGAACGTCTCTCTATGGGCTCTTTATAAAGAGAAGAAGGAAAGACCAAGATCTTAAATCTTTGATGTTTACGAATGTTTACATGTAAACTCCAAACCATCAATAAATTTTGAATTCGTTAAAGATAAAAAAAAACATTTGTTTTGTTTATTAATGTATTTATTTACATATTGTAACAAAGTTGTTGCTCATTTTATATGTTTTTGACAACACTTTACGTAAGAAATAGAATCCGATAAAAGGAAGTAATAATTATGAAATGACAAGTAATTGGTATTTAAATATAATTCAAATCCCGCGCCAGTTTTAAAAAAATTACTGCGGCACTAATATTTACTGGTAAAATGGCCGCGCTTTTCTAAGGACGCTGTTAACCTCATCACGTTTTTGAACATTGTTCACAATTTTTATTTTATACTCATCTAAGGGTGATGATTAACTTTTCATATCATGCTGGATCTAGATGATGAAGTATGTTATCAGTTAAAATTGTTAAACGATGAATGTCAGTAACGCTTCTTTCAGCCTCAAATAATTCAAGCCGTCTTCCAAGGAGACGCCGATCTTATTCGATCGCTTTTGTACAAGAAAGAGGATGTAAATTATTATGATACGGCAAAACGGACAGCTCTTCACGCGGCAGCTTTTTGTAACGAGCCAGAAATTGGGGAATTGCTCTTATTGAGCGGTGCGCGAGTGAACGCTAAAGATAGTCATTGGTTAACACCTCTACATCGTGCCTGCTGTTCTAAGAGTGAACAATGTGTTAGAATATTCTTCGAACACGTACGACTAACAATCAATATTTTACTTTCTCCTTTAACATGGTTTTCTTAATCGACAGGGTGCCGATGTTAACGCTAGAGATAAATGTTGGCAAACACCATTGCACATAGCTTCTGCTAATAATGCAGTTAAATGTGCTGAATTGTTGATGAACCATTTGACAAACGTTAATGTCTCGGACAGAGCTGGTCGGACTAGCTTACATCATGCTTGCCTTAATGGCCATACTCAAATGGCCGAATTCCTTTTAGATCATAGTGCTGCGGTTAATGCATTCGATAAAAAAGATAGGAGACCCTTACATTATGCTTGCTATATGGGCCACGTTGCCGTTGTTCAAATCCTATTACAACACGGTGCCGAAGCGTCATGTAGAGATTATCAACAAAATACTCCAATTCACGCAGCCTCAAGTTCTGGTCAAACATCCGTTGTTAGGTTACTTTTGGATTTAGGAGTTGGCGTTGATACCGTAAATGGCCAAGGTAATACTCCCCTACATATTGCCTGTTTAAATGGGCAGGATGTTGTCGCTCGCTTGCTCATTACTCGAGGTGCGAATATCAACGCCACGAATAATGACGGTGAAACGCCTTTGCACTTTGCTGCTGCATCAACGCACGGAGCTATGTGCTTAGAAATTTTATTAGGTCAACGTGCTGATCCTAATTATGTTGATAATCAGGGTCGATCTCCGTTAATTATGGCAGCTCTGCACGATAGGTGTATGAGAGCGAAGATGCTTATCGAAATGAACGCTGATGTGGAACACGCCGATAACAACGGTAACTCAGCTCTTCATATAGCATCAAAATATGGCCATCACCTTCTCGTGAAAACACTTTTGGAGCATAATGCAGATAAGCTAAGAAAGGACAATGACGGAATGACACCAATGCATCTAGCCGCTTTATTTGCTCACGAAGAGTCAAGTTGCCTGTTGATTTGTGATGAAGTTTTGAAAATAGTTGATTTAGAAGATAGAACCTGTCTACATGCGGCAGCTTGTGGTGGAAATGTGGAGATATTACGGATGATATTAAAATCTAATTGCCCAATAGACGTAAACATTTGTGATACTAGTAATCGAACACCATTACACTATAGTTGTTTGCATTCTCATTATGAATTTACGAGAGTTTTATTAGAGCAGGTAAGAAACAATAAAGATTTTTCACGTAATTCATTTCCAAGCTTATGTGTCCTATTCTTCATTCTTAATAGGGAGCCGACTACGATTTTCCCGATGAAAATGGATGCTCACCTTTGCATTATGCATCTGCTTACGATTCTGACGGGCGCATTGTTGATATTTTATTATCAGAGGAGGCAAATTTAACGGCAACAGATAGATTGGGTTTTAACGCTTTACACTATGCCTCTGTTAAGGGAAATATCAACGTTTTTTCTGTTTTATTAACTACGACGGACCTCATACAACCACCTATTTATCCAATACATTTAGCAGCCTACTTTGGTCATTCCGATGCTATTCATTTATTAGGTTTCTAGTTACTTTTGATTTAGAAGTGTACGAATGATATTAATATTGTTAAATCCATGTTCAAACAGCCGAGGTTACTCAGCAATTAGACGTTGGAGATCAAAGCGGAAGAACACCACTACATTTGTCGGCGGCTCAAGGACATGCTCATGTTTCTCAACTTTTACTTTCACTGGGAGCTTCCATGTATGTACAGGAAGGAATTACGAAATCGACACCGCTGCATTTCGCAACCGCTGCTGGACATTTAAGCGTAATTAAAGTCTTATTAGAACATTGCGAGGAAGAGGAAGCAGTAAATTGGCTTAATGGAGAAGGAAGAAGTCCTTTAATGTTAGCATGTATAATGGGACATACTGAGTGTGTACAGCATCTTTTATCCTATAATGCCCGAGTCGATAGTCCAGATGTTCAAGGACACGGGCCATTACACGCCGCTGCAGGTAACGGATTCGAGGAAATAGTGGAGGCTCTTTTGCAGTGTGGAGCAAATATTATTGCAAAAGACAAAAGCGGAAAAACCGCATTACAGTATGCAGCAATGGCCGGACACGTACCGGTTTTATCCACTCTACTTCGCTATATGGATGATATTGACGTAGTAGACAGGTTTGATATTTACGGTTGATATTTATTTTCCCTTTATAGCTGAATAAACTCAACAGGTACGGTTACACTCCGCTCCATTGGGCTTGTTATAGCGGCAACGAAATATGTGTTGAAAGTTTATTACAAAAGAAAGCATCAATAGAAGGTTTGAAAAATAAACTTTATTATCAAATTAATATTTTTATTATTCATAATTTCGACCTTTTCTATAGAATCGAGTAGCGAAACAAGCCGTTCCAGTATTCGTTTTGGAGCAAATTTTCCAGGAAATACTTTTAGTCCTTTGCATTGCGCAAGGTATTATATCAAATATCTATATATATATATGTATTGTATATATTATATATAGATGATTAATTATACATATGTTTATCATTTTTTTAATAGCCTTAACGGTCATGATGGTTGCTGCGATGTACTATTTGAATTCTATCATCAAACAATTGTTGATTTAGAGGATGCCAAAGGAAGGTAACAAACAATAAAAAAATATATTTTCTATTGTTTTATTTGTTTTTTAATAATGTCATATTGTCTATTTTTAGAACAAGTATACAAGCAGCAGCTTACGGAAATAACGTTGAAACTTTACAAATTTTAACTAAACATGGTGGTGATGTAAATCACCAGGATATGCAAGGCAAAACTGCGTTACTATATAGTGCAATGTCCGGTTCAAAAGATGCTTTTGGTACATAAATAATGATATTGATCGATAAAATATCTAATTAAATAACTGTTTGTTTATTTCTTTGTGATTCTAGAATTCTTATTGGCAAATAACGCAAAGATTACTGTCTGTGATAAAGAATCCAACTCTGTTCTTCATTACGCTTGCCTAAATGTAAGATATTCTTTTTTTTTATATAAAATATGAATATATACTCTTCACTTAAATATAGGCTAATATTTATCTTTTATTAAAAATGGTCCCCTTATCCTCGCCATCACTTTAACCGCCCTTCTTTTAATTGTACTATAATACTTTTCTTACTAATTAGTATCATTGATTTGTTATTCAAATGCGAACGTTATTAATTATTTCTTTTTTTTATTTTTGTTGTATATTTACAGAAACACTCCGATATTGCTTTGCTCATTCTGAACAATAACGGAGCGTTGTCTCTTATCAACCAAGTGAACGCTGACGGTGTTAGCGCTCTACATTTGGCTGCCAAAAATGGTCTTGTTAAAGTTGTCAAATTATTAATTCTACGTAAAGCCAACGTATTAGCCGTTGATAAACACGGTAAATAAAACAACTATTTAAGATTGTTGATAAACTGCATACCTTTTATGATTATTACCTTCTCTTATTTATAGGACATACTCCAGCTTTAGCATGCGCTCCGGATTACGCCGTTGCAGAATGCTTAAGCCTAATACTTCAAGAAATTTTACCGAAGATAAAAAATAATAATTGTTTAATTAAATCCGCCGCCCCTTCGGAAGAAGACCGAACGCCTTCGCTCAGCTCAGATTCAGAGTATTTTTAAAACAAAGAGAAACAAACGAAAGAAGCTAATTATTATTAATAATACTAAAAAAAAACAAACAAACAAACAAGATTTAAAAAAAAAACTTTGGCAAACTTTGTTTTTTTTTCTTTTTGGTTTTTTTTGTCATGTTTTTTTTTTTGTTTTAATTTTTTTATACACTTCTATCTCTCTCTCTCTCTCTCTCTCTCTCTATTTCAACCAAAAAAACGTCTCTTATCTCTTATAAACTTTATTGACGATTTAAAATATCGTTTTTAATCGAGTTTTTTTTTCATGTTTGTCCAAAAAATTGTAGTGACTGTGATATTCTTTCCTCTTATTGCGTATATTTAACAATATATATCTATATATAAAGATATATATAGTTATATATATACTTTCGTATTTGCACTGAAAAAAAAACGAATCTTGAAGAAAACGAACGATTTATTTATATTGATATAAAGAAAAATTGGTCCTTCTTTATTTATTTGAATACTTTTAAATACGTATACACAAAAAAAAATAGTAATAGTATTGTTAAAAATCATACAGAAAGGAGAGAAAAAGGCCGAAAAATTGTTTAAAAAATCACAAGTAAAAAGAGAAAAATCGTTGATAACAATAATAATAATAAAGAAAAAAAGAGAAAAATAGTATTGAAAGCTATAAGCGGTACCAAAAGCACTCTAATTAATATAGCTAACGATTAAACGATTATTTTGGAATGGAAAAATAAAGTTTTTTTTTCTAATATTCGATTTGTGTAGCGGTTTGTCTGCTCGCCTTTGCCGTAACTGTTCCGTTTTGTTCACACTTCAGATAAACGTTTTCCGGCGTTCTTATAACGAATTTACTTTGTGACGAGTGTTCCAAATAGAATGGATAAGGTTCGCTGGAATCGGCGTTTAGGCTGTTGTCAGTTGCAACTGCCCAATAATGATATTCACCGTTCGTCATTGCTGTCAATGAATATACAATGTTAATAAAATATTGGTATAGCTTTTACAAGCGAAAATATGCGTTACCTTTGATAAAGTATTGCCCATTTACGGTCTCCAGATAAAGAGTATCGTAAGAAGTCTTATTACATTCAATTTTTGGATTATTCACCGTTTTACACCCCATGAATCCGTATTCAGTACGTAGCACAATTATAGGTCGGTTAATCATAGTGAATAAAAACCTTTCAGTATCTCCGTCCTTGTAGGAACTAGAGGCAGATAAACTTCCTGTTCCCCTGGCAGTGAGGTACTTATCGTTAGCCCTTGCTTTAACAGCCATCCATCCATCGGAGAAGTATTCTAGGTCGAATAGGGTCTCAATACTTTTTTTACTAGCTGTGGCCTCAATACCAGCCGAGACAACCGTCCACAATTTTCCGTTTCCAGCTCTAAACAACCATCCACCAGTTCCCTTATCAAATTCAATTTGATGTGTCTCCTCATCTTCCGTTCGTTCTTGATTAGCCGATAAGGATACACCTATAAATAACCAACAACAAAAAAAAATTAACAAATTCCTCCTATTCACACAATTAAATGTCAAAAACTTTTTATTCTGTTTAACATTAAACCCACATTGTTCGTGTTATCTTAATTGGTATTGTTTCCGTAACAAAGTAACTTTTACCATACAATGATTAAGTATAATAGGTTTCCACTTACTAAATATACATTATGTAGAAAATATGTAATTCTATGTTTATAAATAAATGTATAATAAAACAGCTTAATAAGATACTGCAAATTGCCACACCCTAACTTATATTATTGATCGAATAGACAACTGCAAATGACTTGGCCGTCCATCCAGGTAAATTCATATATTTATACATTTTGTATTTTTTTTATCTACGTCTAATCTTTTTTCCCCTAGATTACGTGACTAATCATTTACCTTGCCTAATTGACACATTCTTGCCATTATGCGCGGTCACTACTCCTTGAGGATGACTATCTTGGAGTACGAACAATTCGTCACGGCTTATGGTCTTATTTTTGGCTTGTATTTTTCCTTTGCCAACTGCTGTAAGATATTTTCCGTCCTTGTCTTTAAAAGCCAGACCTCCATTTTGCCCAGATCTTAACTCTATTCGATAGAGAGTTGCCGAAGATGAATTCTGTGAAAGTTCTCCGTTGTTTTGCAAATACCGGTTATCAGCTGATTTAACAGCGTATTTTGCTTCTTTTTCGTTACCTTTCCATTCAATAGTGATTAAACTGTCACAACCCCAAGGGATGGTCTCACTGCAGACAAGACTATCGTGTTCTAGTCTAGCGAATGTCTTTCTATTGACGTTTCGTAAATTAATTTGTGGATGAACGGCTAGATGAGCACTCCACCATTCGGCGGAAGTTGGTTCTTTCTCATAGCACTGCAAAAAGTCTTCGTTGCCTCCAAAGTAATAGGATGTATACCGGTTTCGAATTGCCCATCTTCCGGAGTTCTTAGGGCAATATTCAATAACGAATTGTTCTTGCTGTCCCTTCGTCTCCGAACAACAAGTGACATTGCCTTTTTTGTCGCCGCTTAAGTAACGACCCAAGTGAGACCTAATATAGACAACATCTTCTTCACCGTGTTCAATAACCCAGCGTTGTTTCTTTCTTAAAGATGTCGCCGAGGCATTTATCTTGAATCCGAATTGTTCTGCCGTAAGATACCTACCGGCTAAATTCACTAGTCCCACCTCCCATTGTAATTCTTCGATTACCGCCGAATTTCCGTTCGAGTTACCGTTCATGACTCGTCGAAATCACTAATAAAAAGATTGTTGTGGCGTTTGTTCAGACTGATTGCGCGCCCTCTAGCGACTGAAAATTTCGTGCGAAAAGGGTAGTTTTCTTTGTGCCACTAACGATGAGTCATTTTCGTCTGCTGAATCAATACGTTTTGGCCTATAAGGACGTTCATCGCTCATTTAATGAGTTATTTGCTATTTTATTATATAATACAAATAGTCTGAGATGATAGAAGAATTAAACTGAGAACGACAGCATAATGAAGGAAAATCTTTCACAAAATCGGTGGGTATATGCAGATCATAACTTTGATACATAGGTATTATTAACATATAATATAAGTATATATATATATATGTAAACACACTAAATAACCGATTCTTGTTCAAACGAAAAGTTAGGAAAGAAAAATAAAGGGATCCAGCTTTTTTAATCGTCTAATTCCAGATTCATATCATCGTCGTCATCGTAATTACGAGTGTTCGTAATACTGTAACAAAAAAAAGAAACAAAAACCGGAAATAAAAGAAGTGCTTTAAAAGTAATAAATAAAAAAGTTTAAATAAAAGAGAGAATACTTTTTTTAACTTACCTTTGAGCTTTACAAGTAAAAAAAACAATCCTTTTCAACTTTTTGTTGTAAAAGAAATAGTTAAATGACCAGACGCAACCCTCTTCTCCGTATGGATCGGAAGACAAATCGGGATTATAGCTGTAAATATCGCAATCGTTCAATTGTATCTCTTCATCGAGAGTTCCCCATAATCGATCTTTAATAAGAGCAGCATTACGTGGACCTGCGGCTGCAGGAAGCTGATTGTCGACTGCATCGACAACCCATTGAACACTAGGTTCGCGAGAGAATTCGTGGCTTTTAGCCTGAGAAAAATCATAATCGGGATGGAAAGATTCATTTAAAGTTGAAATCAAGTAGAATAGAGTTTTAGTTGAAACAGTATCGCAAAGTACGCCATTATCACTGCTAATACTTCTGCTACACTGTCCAGGGCTATGATGAGGTCCATGCACTTGTGCTGATTCAGGCGGAGACAGAGCTTGCAAGGTGGACGGTTTTTGATCGCTACTAACGACTCTGAATAATCTTTTATCTTGTCCAGTCATCTTACAACTATAGCTTTCGATTCTTCCTTCAACTATATATTCACCAGTTTCAAAACACAGCAAGTTGTTTACAGCCTCGAATTTTGCATTTTCAAGGAATTTCATGATTTTCTTCAGATTTTTCCTTAAATACTCTTAAAAACACTATTAGGATGACTTATTGACTTTAATTTTTGTGTAGTTTTTAGAATATTCTTCACTATTCGTTCTGAATTAATGATGGGGCGGATATCCATTACTTTACGTGAACAAAAATAATCAGTTTTGTCCTTTTATCGCTTCCAATCCTGGTTCTGGAAACCTTGATTTTGACGAAAGGTGCTAGTAACAAATTAGGGCCAGTAAAATTTGCAGGAAAATGCAAATTATGAGTAATAATGGGTAGAAAAACAGACCCGAGTACGTCAAACAACCTTCAAAATAGATTAGTCTAAATGCAATTTATTACCAGGTGTTACAGAGATATTTGTATCCTAAATTTAACAAAGTTTATCCCATATTTTGTTATATAATCCTTAAAAAAATAGTAGATTATGACAAATTGATATTTTATTGTCTAATAATTTTGTCCGTTTATAGATATAATTATTTATTGAACTTTATTGGATAAATGACATCGCTGTAATATTTACAAGATAAACTCGCCCATTGCAGCCGGGCATTTCCGTATAGCGCCAAATGCAAAAGTCTTTTGAAAATGTCTTTTCAAAAATTCATCTTGATATTCTCTTGCGAAAATTTCGACTAACAGTTTGTTGATTTGTTTTAGATACACTGAATATTGATATAAAAAAGTAGTCTAATAAAAAAAAATGTTTTTCTTTACTCCACTATTTTCTTCTTCTGCGCATGCGTCAAGACTGTTATAAATGGAGCAGCAGATAAACTTAGTTCAGGAAGATTTGCTTCTTAACTATGAACATTATACCTCAAATTGTCAGGATATACTTGAAAGACTAAGAGACGCGATCTCTAACTCAAGATTAGAAGATGCGGCTCAATACGCGGTTTATTTAGCTAAGAGAGGATTAAATATTTTGATGACCATAGAACCGAAACCGAAAGAAGACGACTTAAACGATGTTGAAACATTATTTCCGTTAGTTATTAATAAATGATCAACTAATCAAATCATTTAGAATTTATTCACAATAAATCCACAGACTGGACATAGTCATTGAGAGTATAAATGCAGATGGCGTGAAAATCCAAAAGAATGTTAGACCTTCCATGACATTCGAAGATTTGAAGTATATGGTCTGTATAAAATTCTCAACATAATTATTAAAAAAATATCTAGCATTAATAATTTGATTTCTGATGTATTAAAGATGCTATGTGAATATGGTATTTTCCCTGAGCTACAAAGGTGGATATTTGAGACAGAACTACCTGCTGATAGCGATACACTAAGCAAATACAACCTGAATAAATCATCAGTTATTTATCTTTATTTGATTAATAGATCAAATTTGAGTGACACTGAGAACTTGAGAGAAAAATACAAAAAGTATTTACCACACGAAATAGTAATTGCTTTTTCTTTTTGTTTGTTTGTGTGAATTGTTCATTTTATTTAATTTCTTTCAAGGAAGAAAATTCAGCACAAGCTGCTGCTGACATTGATAATTCAATAAGCGAAAATACGGAAGACACTATAGAAAGCTGTGTAGAGTCAGAATCAAGTGAAAGAATTGGAAATGCTAAAGAAAAGAAACAGGGATGGGAATGTGAGAGATGTACATTTAATAACTTTCCATCGAGACCAGGTTGCCAGATGTGTACTAGTTCACGACCGGAGTCATACAAAATTCCTGATGATTACATAATGAGTAAGGAAGAGGAAGAATGGCTAAATGAACAACGTATTGCAGATGTAGTAGAGAGTGAACTTCAAGCCACTTGTTCGGCTATTAGTGACGTTGTTAGATATGAGACATTTAAAACTTATCAAACAGCATATGATTCTCCTCTTGTTTATTCGAATTGTGAATTTCAGTGCCCTGTGTGCTTCGATACTATTCCTGCCAATGAAGGTGTCTGTTTGAGAGAATGTTTGCATGAATTGTGTAAAGAATGTTTAAAGCAGGTAATCCAAAATACATTGTCTCCGGAAGTAAAATGCCCTTTTCGAGACTCTGAAGTTATTTGCAATGCTGATATCCTTCATTCTGAAATTAGGGGATTACTTACCGAAGAGGAATATAATAAATTTAATGAAAGAAGTTTGCAAGTGGCCGAGGCTAGAGCCGGCGATCAGGCATTCCATTGTAAAACAGTAGACTGTCCCGGGTGGTGCGAATACGATGATAATGTGAATTTTTATTTTTGTGAAAATTGTGGCCACAACAACTGTCTCACTTGTAAGGCAATTCATGAAGATCAAGATTGCAAAACATATCAGGAAGATTTAAGTATAAAGGCTAAGAATGATAAAGACGCATTCGAAACACATCAACAGCTGATGAACTTGATCAAAACTGGCGATGCAATGAAGTGTCCGAATTGTTCTATAGTTTTATCCAAAAAAGCTGGTTGCGATTGGATAAAGTGTTCTATGTGTCAAACCGAAATTTGCTGGGCAACTAAAGGACGCAGATGGGGACCAGGGGTAAGACTTAATCCTAACATTTTTGAAATCAAATATAACTTTTCCTTTTCTGTCAGGGTACTGGAGATACAACTGGCGGATGTAAATGTGGAAAAAATGGTGAACGGTGCCATCCAAATTGTAGAAACTGTCATTAAATCAGCGAATACCTTCAGAAATGATTCTGCTTTTATTCTTTAATCTTTCTCTTTAACAAATGCAGGAGCAATAGACAAAGATTAATTGCATAATTTTAAGAACCGTTTGTGGCAATAAGATGGGTAACAATTCGGAAACAGCGTATTATATATGTAAGAGCATACGCTGTAGACTTAATTTTTTACAATTAAAATAGAATTTAATAAAATCAGTAAGTAGCCAAATATCACAAAGGCTGTAAGCCACCTCTATGGCAAAACAGTGCAATTTAATTTCGAGTAGCAAACTCCATTAATATTTCTCTCGCTAAATTTATCTCATTTTTAGCAACTGATAGAGCTCTCTGAGCATCTTTTTTGTCGAAGCCTTCTTTGACTAACTTATTTAATAAGTTATCATCGTCATCTTGTTCGTTTGTCGAACTTGCGGTGCTTCCTCCTGATGCTGAAACACGCGGCGATGCTGACGTGTTAGGAAGAAAGTCGTATTCACTCGGCACTTTATGTTTGCAGGAGAGATTGCTTGAAGCACCCGCTTCTAAAACCATTTAAAAGTGTTAATTGAAATTTATTTCTATAATAATCCAAATTACCTCTTGGAATTAGACCATTATCATTATGATTTACGGGCACACAGCGAGCAGTAGACGGAACATCGTAAGTTGTTCCAATATCGTGAGCATCAAGAGATTTACTGCTTTCTATAACTCCGCGAGGTTGAGGTAATGGCTTTTTTGTAGTTACGGGGCATGCGGTAGCGCCTTCTGCTGTTTTTCCTCTTGACTCTTGCTCATTTTGATCCTGCGATGGTCGATCGTTTCTTAGCGGTAAGGGCGGTGGAATAGAAGATTCATCTGAAGCTTCATCTGAATCACTGCTTGGTGTAGGTGGAAGACGACGTCTTGGAGCTTTGGGAGAGACTCGTGGCGAAGCTCTAGGCGGGACTGGAGGTGCCCGTCTGTTCGAGGCAGGAGACATATTATGAGGAGAACCATTCAAAATTTGAGGGGCTTGTTCCATTCGAGGAGACGCACGCCACTGTGACAAATCTTCAAAATTATCTGCTTCCTCCTCATCGTCTTGATCTCTTGGAGGCGTTTGTCTACAATCTTTGTCATTTTTCTCTTTTTTTCTCATCTGCAAATCATTAATTAATTATAACAAAGTATTGACTTTCGAAACGAACCTTAGATGGATCGAAAGGATCTAGAGTAACGGATTCTGTTCCTTTTATCTCTGCTCTACAAAAGGGACAGCTATTTCCATGTTCCGTTTCCTGCCAGTTTCCTAGACAAGGAGTGCACATAAGATGACCGCAAGGTTCAATTTTTACATCCTTATCATTTTCGGTGCAAATCTTGCATAACTGTAAAGTCAACATTTTTGATAAGTTTACCTTCTCAATTATCATTTAAAACTTATCATTTAAACTTTACCTGGAAAGTCGATCCCATTTCACAATATAGCTCATATTGCTCTTGTGTCACTTTTATTCGTTCTTCGCTTAAATCATCAACAAGATGACTCAAGTCAGGATTTACTTGTCTGCCATCCGGATACAAGTAGCTTTAAAAACGAGGACGAAGCCTTGAGCATTTTTCAATTATCTAAAATTTAATTTTATACACTTACAATCCTTCTCTTTGGCCGTCTAGTAAAGCTTGGCAAAGCGATTTATTTTGAGGAATCGTTTGTAAAATTTGACCTTCTGGTGTAACATACCCTATAGCCCATTGTCCCAATCTGGTACAACTTAATCGGAACACATAACTGTAAAAAGGACAAAAATATTAAAAATATGACTGATAGATTTAAAGACTTCTGCGATAAAAAATATTACTTTGTGCCTAAATATAACTATAGATTTACACAAGATAGTAAAGATATTTTATGTATTTATCACGACTTTCGAATTAGTGAGCTAGTTAAGCATACTGAATTACTTAAATAAATAACATTCATCCTCATTTACTACGGGAAGTAAAGAGGCAGTTACACTAATTTAGAATCGATTAGAATAGGCGTAACAATAAACTGGAAGTAATTTAAAATGTAGAGAAAGAGGCTGTTTACCTTCCAGGTTTATTATTATATTTCTGTAAACGGGCCTTAACTTCGTCGTATGTTAAGAAAGCCACGTAGCCGGGATGAGTTACAGCTAAAGCATTCCAATTACGTAGTAGTTTGTGCCAGGGCTGAAAAAGTCTGAAAGGAAATGTTTTTCGATTATCAAAAATGAGCCTAATTTTTTAGAAATAAACCTTGTGAAGACATCAAATTCAAATATAGATATGTAGTCATTACACGTCAAATCAATTGTTGTTTTCAGGGCCATAGCTTCAAGAGTTGATCCAGTGGGGTGATCCTCATTTAACATATCTTTAAAAGTTTTCCAACTAACAACAGTTTTACTGTTGAACGTTTTCTTCCACCAGTCTGCCGCATCACTTTTCGTTATTCGAAAGCTATCCCCGATAAAATCTCCATTGGGGAAAATAGCTTTCAATTCCGCCAGCATATGAGAAAATATTAAGCTGAGTTTGGTTAAATGTCTTCTATGATTTGACGATTCGTCAAATAATCTCTCCCGTCCTTCCTTGAACACTTTAATAGCTTTCTTACATTTAGCTTGCAACGTGTCGATAAAAACACGGAAATATTCGCATTCGTTAAGAATTTGTAGACTATTTTCGTATTTAGTATTAATTAGACGTAGATGATGATAAGTATCGGGAAGTATATCGAGGATAAACGGCGGTGAATTCTTCAAGTTCATTCTAGGCTGTTGGCACAGTTTTACCACTTTGTCCATCAATTTCCATGTTCGCTCAATTGTCTTTTTATCAATAACTAATTTGGGAGCAGCATTTCCTTCACTAAATGCGCCCCGGAGTTGGCTAATAAAATTCTTCGTTGGTCCTGCCATAACTAGAAAAAAGAAAAAACTTCCATCAAAACATTTCTCTTCTTCCTCCTTTGACTATCCCGACATGCATTTTCAATTTCAACCAATCACCAACGCGCATTTATTCTTGGTGGTGCTATTTTCTGTGACTAGAGTTAATATCACTGATGTAATATCTTCAATTTTCAACTTTTAATAAAACTTTACTAATTGATAAAAACCCAATGAAACTCTTTTGAAACGATATAAGAAATCATTATTTAAATGTCTGAGTTTAAAAATTTACTACTAAGTTGTTTGCTGTTTAGAAACAAATCTTACATCTTGCGCGCTATATTTAACGAAACACTCTTATTTTTGCTAACTCGTTCTCATTTTCAGACAAACTTTTCCAATTACAATTCAAGTAAAAAAGGCTGAAACTCTCGACAAAATGAGGCATAAAAATTCAAAATCCAATGGAATTATTGAAAAAGTTGAAGTTCTAAGTAACAAGCGGCAAAGAACTTTAAATCGGACTGATACTGTTGCTACCACTTGGTAATTTGTTTAAAGATAAGTTCAATTTTTTTATTTTATTGCTAACTTTTTAAAGGATTCTTGAACATCTTGAGGAGTGCGAACAACCTAATTTTTCAGTTTGTGACGCTTATGAAAACTACTTGAATTGGTGCAGAGAAAGTAACAGACCCGTGCTTTTGAAGACAGATTTTGCTAAAGTATGAAAAAATAATAAATTGACATATGTTTAAATAATATATCTATAATTTATCTATAATTCAGGTGATTAAAAAGCTTTTCCAGAAAGGATTTAGTCTTAAAACGTCTTCTCCACTTTATGCCCTAGTTAATATTCGAGTAAATAGTCGAAAACCATTGCGTCAATCTGATTCGACTTTAAGGCTTGAAAAAGCTATTTTGGGGATTTTAAAACAAGAGGAAAATCCAAGCAAAGGAATGCGTATTTCAAGCATAAAAAATCATTTGACTACAAAATTTCCTATGGAGAGTTTCGACGCAGAAGCTTTGAAAAAATTTTTAGAGGCGAGAGTTGATAGTGGCGTGATTCAACAAGTAAAGAGTACGGGAAAAGTTGGATTGTATAGATTAAATACTGCCGATTCTGACAATGAATCTAATGTAATGGAAAATATCGAAGACTACGAAAGGAATCAAGCTTCCGATTTGAATAATTCATATAACAGTGAAAATAATATCGAAGCAGATGAAGAGAAAACTAGTGGAAGTAATTTTAAAGAAACAAAACAAAAAATTACTCAGTTAACCAGAAGACTAAATTTGAAGAAGAAAGGAGCAATCATTAAAAAAGAACCTAAAAAAACTGCATCAAAGAAAGCGTCAGGTAGATTATTCATATAAATACTAATGAATCTATCATATAGTAGCAACCATTTCCATCTAGCTTACAAGCTTATTCATAGTAAGCCAACTCGAGCTGAGGATACTTTTCCTATGGCTATGTGCTTCTGTTGCGAGCCTAAGCTGACAAGCATATCCAAAATATGCAATTACCTTGAGAGATTCTATAATATTAGCCTGACCAAGAATAAGTTCGTATTTAAAATATAATCTATATATTATATAATATACAATGTTTCTATGTAGGTTAATGAATGTATTGAATCGTGGTGTTGGTCAGGGATATTGGTCAAAAGCAACTTCAAAGTCCACAATTCTCGATAAAATACAATTGGAAATATCATCGTTTAATCCATCAAATGGTTGTGTAATATTATAAGTTTTTTTCTTTCAAAGTTCATTTTTTACCATTAAAAAACTTTCGAAATCATTGATTTATCTTTTTCGTAATAGATAATGATCTCATGGGAAAGATAATTAATGCAATTCTCGCCTGCAATGAACCAAAAGAGTGCTCTGTTCGTTGCCTCAAGCAATATGTAGATGAGTTTCATCCCAATTTCAACATAACGAAGAATTCGCTAATTCTAAAGCGAGCACTTAAAAATGCTGAAGAGAAGGGACTTATAAAGTATTACATTGATTAATAAGTAATGATATTTAAAAGTGTTTTTAATTCAATAGAAGAATGAGTGGAACAGGAGCTACGGGGACTTTCCGCTTAAAAAATTCTTTTACTCCATCTCCCGTCCAGTTGGCCGGAAATGATATGGAAAGTGATTACAACGATGACACGAACGGATCCAACTCAATCGGCCAGACAGTTTATTGTGATGTTAGAAAACCAAGGAAGCCTATCTCAAGAACTTCGTCGAATGAACAATCCAAACTACGTGCTGAGAGGAAAATGAATAGTTCAAAGGAGCTATTGAGAAATGTGCGCTCAAGTAAAAAAATAAAGGAAATGGAAAACTACACCGGCGGAACACTAAAATCAAAATCTGACATAAAAAAGGAGCTTGCTAAAGTACATAACGTATCTATAAAAACTCCTAAAAGGATTCTACGAGTCAGACCAACTCCAGTTAACAGAAACAAGAGCGAAGCATTAAATTCTGAGGCGTTAAATAGACGCAGGGGAAGAAGCGCTGCTCGTAAACAAAATTTGTAAACTAAGGAGATTGAGATTGAGAAAATAGCTTTAGAACTTTTCATAGCAAATGCAATCAGAAAAGTGACGCGCTGTCTTAAATCTAATCGTTATTTATTGCTGATATATGTTTTCTTTTCGTTTATAAATTGATAAAATTCAGTATTGAAATAGTAGTAAACATCTAATGCGCACGTGCGTTCAAATTGCACATACTACCAGTTTCTTGACATGCTGTATGAGGATTTTTTGCTTTTATCAAACTAACCGCGCTTCGCTCCCTGCCGATAATTATTCTGCACTAAATTCGAATTAAGTACACTTTTCCGGTTAAAAAATCCCTTGAGAACGATTTATACAGTTTTTTCATAATTAAATTTCAAAACCGTTATTTGTCCATATGATTTATTTGAGTTAAGAGCGATAATCCGTAAAGCAATTGGCCTAAGTTCGCTCATTGATCTAAGTTCGGGTCACATAATGGAAAAACATGCAAAATCTAACGAAACAGATAATAAAACAGAAGAAAGCTGTTATTTGCGCTTGGAAGAGTGTGAATAATAATGACGCTGTTAGGTACCACACAGAAGAAAATGCGAACATTAAAGCGCAGAATCCCTCGGCCAAATCCAGCATCCTTAACGAAGCTGATTACTCTAAGAAAGTCGGGCTATTGACGATCAAAAAATTTTTGGGAGAAAAAAAGATGGTATACGACATTGGGCATACTTGTGTCATAACAACTTGCCCGAAGCACTCTTTAAGGAAATTGCATTTGAAACAAATAGAAAAGTTATTCATCAATTCCACAACCGGTAAATAGAACATTGTATACTAAAGTTTACTATTGTAATATGTATAGACATTTACATATCTAATTATAAACTCTATTTAGGTATTTATTATTTATATACGTCAAGTATTAATCGTTTGCAAATTTTTAATAGGTCATTTTGTTTGTCAATCGTGCGGTAAAAATGGTTCTTTTGAATCTCTATGCGAAAATATCAATACCATATATGATATTTACCTGGATAAGACAAAGTAAATGATTGCTTTTAATGTTAATTATTAATTGAAAAACTTTAATATAATTAAATAATTACAAACAGAAAATCTCCGGCTCATAAATGCTTTCAAAATATTAATGTTAATCAATTTGATGACGCAATTGTGAAATCTACTGAATTCTGGTCTACACAGGAGAGAGTAGCTAATGCTGCGTTTGCCACCAATAATTTAATGGTTATAACTCTAAAATCACATTTCTTTAGTACGATGTCGTTTTTTTTTCTTTCCAAAGATCAAAGCAGAAATCCTTGAAAAGTATAAAGTTCGAATATTAAAAGAACAGACCGGTTTTATTTTTCCTCTTATTGCCGCTGATGGAAGAATACGATGTTGCAAAATATTTTACTTTAATCAACCTGTTGGTAAACAGCAGAGATATGATTATGTACCAGCTCTTTCATACTTGTAATTATTATTTCTACTTAACATATGAAACGAAAATATTAACTTATAAAAGATGTTTGTACTACTTCTATCTCTATCAAACAGAAATGGAGCATCGGCATTGTTTGGCTGGAATACAATTCGGTCTAATAATAATGAAATTGTTATTACAGCTGATGAGTTTGATGCAATGTCAGTTCATCAAGCAACAAATTTACCTTGCGTTGCTCTTCCAACAGGAGCTACGCTACCACAACAAGTAATGCTTCATATTAAATGATTACACTCTATTTATCTATTAATGTAATTATGGTCATTAAGGTTCTTCCATTATTTGAACAATTTCAAAAAATTATCCTTTGGTTAGGAGGTGATCAAAATACATGGGGAACAGCGAGACAATTAGCAAAAAAATTGGGGGAGTCCAGATGTCGTTTGATAAGGTCTAAATTTCCTTACTTAAACATGCACTCTGCGTTACAAAGAGTCCTTTTTTTTTTTGCAGGCCTTCTAACGACTGCCCATCGGCTCATAAAGCCCTTAAAAAAGGTTTAGATTTAGTAAAAATAATTGACAGCGCCAAACCAATTCGGCATGAATCCATAACATCTTTCTTTCAACTGAGGCAGGAGGTTTTTACAGAACTAAGCGAAGTTGAGCTAGTTGCCGGTGTCAAAGTATATAATTTAAACGAATAGCTCTTTTTCGTTAATTTTTATCCTGAACACATTTTCTTTATATTTTCTAGTGGAAAAGATATCCACAATTAGTAAAGCTTTTAAAGGGTCATCGACGCGGTGAATTAACAGTCTTTACTGGACCTACTGGTTCGGGAAAAACAACATTTATCAGCGAATATTCATTAGATCTCTGTACTCAAGGTGTCAACACCCTCTGGGGTAGTTTTGAAATATCTAATGTAAGGCTATTAAAAACAATGTTGACTCAATTTGCTAGGTAGGATAATTTTAAAGTTACTTTAAAAACTGAATTTTTAAGGACTGTATTTAAAGGCAAAAGCTCACTCAATGTTCGAAAAAGGATTATGATAAATGGGCAGATCTATTTGAAAAGTTACCTATGTACTTTATGACTTTCCATGGCCAGCAGCAAGTAAACAGAGTAATAGAGGTGGGGATCCTATTTCTAACTTTCATTCATCATCTTTTGATCAATGTAACGTGCTTTCCTATTTCTTTCCTTATACAGACAATGTCTCATGCAGTTTATATACATGATATAGCTCATATCGTTGTTGACAATTTACAATTTATGATGGGTCTTGACAACGCGGGAATGGCGTCAGATCGCTTTTTGAAGCAAGATCAAATTATAGCAGCTTTCAGGAAATTTGCTACTCATATGAACTGTCATGTTACCCTTGTTATTCATCCTCGTAAGGAAAATGAAACTGATAATTTAACGGTATCCTCTATCTTTGGGAGTGCCAAGGCTAGTCAGGAAGCTGACAATATTTTAATTTTGCAAGATAAAAGATTTTCTATGGTGCGTGGAAAGAAGTATATCCAAGTTGCAAAGAACAGATTTGATGGTGATTTAGGCATTGTTCTTTTGAATTTTGATAAGGATTCTCTTAGCTTTACAGCGAAAAAAAAGTTAGCACCCGGCTTAACGCTTATACCTGTCAACGACAATGAGGCAACTTAATCCATCTTTACGAATTATGTGTTCTTAAATGTTATTACTGTTATATATGTACAAACCGCTTCAATACAACAAACTATACACTTATGAACCACTTGAGTACTAGTTTTCGTAGTTTAGTTAATTACCTAGGCTGTTACAGACATTGTTAACTTCATTGTGCAGAGTTGTTTAGCATAAAAGTTTATATAACTATTGTTTATCTCTTTCCTTTACCAAATATGAATAATTGTGTTTACCAGCACTTCAATATTGACAATATTAGTTTTTACAAATGTCTTGCTAGTTAGATTTATTAGTGTTTACTCTATTCATACTTTGGAGGTGACCTTATAGTTTGTACGTTTAAAAACTTAACACTTTATTTCACATGAAGAATAACATATGCGAGTTTTGTAACAACAGGAAATCAGCAAAACGTAGCATGAGCATTCCTAGCTTTGATTTTGCAGGTGATAAAACTAGTTTTACTGTAAATGTTATAAACAATTTTCTTGGATTGCTCAAATTGTATTGATTATACTTTATAAACTGTACTGTATCTCTTTGCCAAATTTTATATGAACTAGTGCCATTCTTATAATTTCAAGTGCACAAAATTTGAGAAAAGTACAAAAATATTAGAAAAAAACTGAAAATTTATTGTTTATAGAGGGTATAAATATATATTGAATTATTACAATTAAAGTATGAATTTTATATTTTTTAGTCAAATCACAGCCTTTTTGATAAGATCGGGGAAGTTCAAGTAAACATAGACCTAACATCGACATCTGCATCATTTCTTAACTGCTCAATTGTTTCTAGTAAATCAGATGCTTGTGCATTTTCTGTACTTATCAGATAGGTATCACTGCAAACACAACGATCCATACAACGAGCAACTGCAATTCGAACATTCACTGTCTTATCAGTAGCCAAGGCAACTAACGACGGTAGCATAAGATATGCGAATGTCCAACTAGAAACACTATTGTGTTCAAGAAGCCTTTGACAAAGTGTAGCATAGGACTGTCGTAAGTGCCAGCTACTAGACAGCGCCAAACAATTCAGTAATGAATTAGTTAAATCAGCAACGAGCCTGTCGTCACTAGAAAGACGCTTTAAAACAAGTGCTAGCAGCAAAAGTGCAGTTTGCCGAACAGCACAAACCTTGTCCACAACTAACGTTAAAGCGATTGGTACAATGTGTTTATCAACTTGAACGGCAGAAAACAAGGGAATGATTTGTATAAGACGTTCAGCCAACTGCTCCCTGAAGCGCCAATTCTTACTGTCCATAGCACCGTTATTGCTTTTCAGAAATTCACCTAGACGAGGCAAGTATTTAGCGCGTTCGTTGGGCGGTAGTTGAGTAAGGAAGACTGATAAGTTCTTCAAAACTCCTACTCTTATCTCGTCCATTTCGTTGTACAAATTATTAAACACAGGCAATATGTCTGTTATAGTTATTTCCGTTCCAACAATTTGAGCCAATTCATGAATCGAACAAGCCAGCGTTCGTTTAACTTTCCACTGAAGAGAAATCGATTAAGATCAATAATTAAAAGAACTTAACAATAAATCTTACTTGTTGCAATTGATCCTCGCCTAATTTTTTGTATAATTCTCGTAAACAGTTCCAATTTTTTCGACCCAAAGTCAATGCGACAGCCGGAAATGAGTAGGCACAATGCCTAGCAATATCTAGATCAACAGTTTGAGCAGCAGATTGTTCACCCATTCTTAAAAAATGTTCTAATAGTTCGTGTGGAATCACATCTTGTTGTATTGCCAATTCAGAGATTGGGGTTGTTTCTACTAATTCTTCACTGTCCTTGTGATATGACAGCAAATCATCCTTGATTATTGGTGCAAACCTACTAGCGTTTGACTCGTTATCATCAAATACGCTTAGCCTCTCTTCTAAGGCAGAACTCAACTTGGCATCATCAATTTCCCTAACGGCTTTTTGCTCTTTTCGCTGAGCATTACTGTTGTTTCCGTCCGATAAGATGGCGTTGTCGTCCTCGAGCAACAATAAATCGATTTCTGGCAGTGGTGTTCTCCAAAACTCGAAGGAATTGTATTTTATTGCATCTTCGTCGCAAAGCGAGCTGTAGTGGTAAAATAGAACTACCTTTAACTCCGGAATTACAATTAACGAATGTACTCGAATTATTCAAGAGGTTATATAGATATTCAGAAAACTAATTAATCTTGTGCCGCTGACCAACAATAGCAGAAACTTGTTTAACAAGCAGGCGACTGATGAGAAAACCTCATACTATCGACTGACCCATTTCAACAAGCCTCAGAGTGGCAGCTACTGACGGTAAGCAAGCTTCAGAGAATGGATTATGTTTCATCATAGTGGTACACTAATCCTTAATCATAGCATTACAAAAAACGTACTTTGTGTCATCACCCAATTCACCATCCGCATTTACTCGTACGAGACTTCCGTCTCGTACTTCGAAACCGGATTCGGAGGAGGGACGGGCAAATGTTGATATAAAAGCTCCTAAACTTTCATATGCAGCTAATCGAACCCATCTTGAACTATCCAATAACAACTCCAAATATGTTTTTGTCAACGTACTTCTTCTCAGCTCCCTTGAGCATATTTTAGCAACATGGACAAAACTTTCTATGCAACATTTTCTGACGCCCCAAACGTCATCTTTACAAAGCTTTATAAAACGGGATAATAATATTTCCTCTGTATCTTTTTCCCCCATAAACTTGCACCAACTTCCCATAATAGACGCACATAACTTTCTTACATGAAAAATCACATCCTCACACATTTCACAAAATTTATCTAATAGTATCTTTTTAGCGATTTCATAGCCAAACAACGGTGCCATCTTAACCATTAACTGTAAGAATATGGGGCATAAGATAAGTGAATGTTACGATAAACTGTTCCAACTACTGCAGTCAGTACTTATTATTAATAGCATGAAAGAATTATCGAAATAATAGATCGAAATTCGACAGTGATCAAAGAGCAAAGCTAAGCTCATCAAAGCAAGCTGTGATATGAACCGAAAGACAGCACACCACAACTACTTTGATTCGCCCTACTTGCAAAGAATAAGGTAGCTGTTAAAATAATAAAAAGTTAGCATTAGCGAGGATTGAAAAGCGCGCATAGCTCATCAAAGCTGGCTGTGATATGATCATGAAATCGACACATCACTGCCACTCGACAAGCCACGAACTACTTGTGCAAAAGACGTAAGGTGTGCACCTACTGACGAAGAATTGTACCGTCACATTGAATAGCTCATCAAAGCTGGCTGTGATATGTGCAATTAAGCAGCCATTTCTCAGTCACTTTGATGCGTCACTCAACGCGTTAGAGGCAACGAGCTGTTGACAATTGTTTCCTAAATAAAGCAACAGTGCAGAGAACTACCAACGTATGATCCAAGCAGGCTGTGATATGATCTCAATTACAGACCACAGGTACTTGAACCGTGCGTTGGAGAACATTTAGCACTTTTGGTTCTTGGGATGCAATTGTGTACTCGGGGCTCATCAAAGCTGGCTGTGATAGAAAACGTCGACTACAACAGTCCAGCATTGACACGGCCCGCCTTCACAGTTTTGATTTCCGTTCTTACTCATGTCCAGTAAATCGAAAACAGTCCGTTGCCTCCGCCATGCATTAATAATGATTGCGATCACTCACCGGAATTAATCATACTTCTTCTATAAATAAAGCACCATGTATTTGCAGCTCGCATTCATCCAGTGAAAGTGTTCCAGCCGACGTCCGTGACGAAAGACAGAGTAGAGAGGTGTCGAATGTTCACATCTCACTACCCATGTCTTTCACAGGGCCGACGGCAATTGCTACTTTGATGAAAGAATAACGTAAGGAACTACCCCGAAATAATCGTACCGACTGCGGTTAGTATCACTCCCTTAGTCGTAATAAGAGCTAGTACTCACAGTCACAGCTTCCGTTCGATAGTCTTCGTGACCATGGTCTGCCAGCTTTAATATAGTAGGGCAAATTTCGTTTTCAATCTCATTAGGTGGAATCAGCCCCTGGTCTGTGATTACAATAAGAGCAGCCTGAACTGTTTTCCTCACATGGTGATTTGTATCAGTTAGACATCGTTTAACGATTGGTAATATACGAAGACTTAGGTAAGATTGAAAATTTAGATTTTCGTGGCAGAATATTGCGAGGTGAGGAATTTGTTCGACCAGGTCTGATCGAACAGTATAATCAACATCGTTCGAAAGTGTTTCGACGGCCTCCATAACTTCCCTTATTTGGCTCTCGTCAGAGTCAACTGCCTCTCGTAGAGTTTCCATTATATTTCTAGCAACCATTTGCCTGAATTAATATAAAATTGTAATTAGATTTATTTTTATGAGTTGCGTAATAAAAGAATTCACCTATCAAACGCATTTTCACCGTCAAGATGTTTGCGTAATCGTTGCATACGGGTTAATTGCTCTTCGTCGAACGCTTCCGAATCGAAGTCCTCTTCCATGCCGCTTATTTCGCTTCCTGGTAATAATCCCCCTGTTTAGAAAGCGCTGTAAATTGCAGGATAGAAAACAAACAAATGAAATGTAAACCTTATTGGTCATATTTGGTTATGATTATTCATCGCGAAAGACCACAGATGCTACGCAGTAAAGTAATTTGATTACTTTACACTTCTGTCGCATATTTGCAACATAAAGTATGCTATATACAAGAACTTGGCAATTTACAGGTAAGGATTTAATGAAGCTTTCTCTTACAAACAGCGTATAACATCAGCGAAAGATAATCTCGCCAACGTTTTGGCAGTAGTCCAATTTGCAACAAACCGCCCCTCTGCGAGACGTAAGTTTGCAAAGTCTCGTAACCTTCGTTCCCTCCATCAATTTATTGATTCTTATCATCGTTAAAATGGTGGTACTTTCCGAGCGCCAACACTCAATATGTCTTTAAAATAAATTATAAATTAAATTTCTAGTATTAGAATACCAGAAATTTCGTGACCTATTTTCGGAGTAGCACGTGAAGTACTGTCGGTGCTGTCAGGAATATCGCACCAATTTAAAATTTCTGTAAGCTTGCAACAGAGTCTCATTTGCGGTATAGGAGTTACATAATACTTATACATCATAAAACAAGCCTTCATTTTTGCGGATACACGTTGTAAAAAGCCAAATTCTCTCATTTAACAATGACATAGCTAGTACTAATGATTCTACAAGAGCGACAACCCGAAATGGCAAGACTTACCGTCATACTGCTCTTGTTCTTCGTATGGTTGAAAAGGATCGTAATCTGTAGTTGAGTTAATCGATGATTAAATGTTGAGAATATAATCAGACATATGAAATTTAAAAAAAAAAGCTTATAATGATATACCCGCCATTTTGGATTCACCATTACAGTGTTCTCGCTTCTGATTGGTTAAATGTAAATAAGCGATTTGTAACAGGAGTGCTCATTCGTTACCGAAAATTACCGATTTTCGCCGAACATAAACATTTCTGGGTCACTGATGACGTCAATAGAAATGGCGCGTGATACGAATTAAGAATGATGAAGTGGAGTTAAAGATATGCTCTTAATAAGCAGAAAAATTAAAATTCAAGAACTAGAACACAATGCAACATCAGTTTTGATCAATAACCCATTGAGTTTTGCTGAACGAAAAGCCTTTACTCGAAAGAGTTTTTTTTATTCGCATTTTTCAATTAACCGTAGTTAATATCTATGGCAACAACGCATATGCCCGAGCGCTATCTTCAATCGATGTGTAATGACGTCACCGCGTTTGTTGCTCGACATTCATTCTCTCGAAGAGGAACGGAAAAGAAGAAGATGGGGGCGGGATGTTCCAACGGCGTACCGCCTCAAACTCATAACAACAGTTCAACCAGAAACGAGATGTAAGTTAATTTCATTTTGCACAACAAATTTTAAACGCTTCTAGGCCTGACAATAATTTAAGTATCTTTCAACGCGTTAACCTGCGTTCATCATTATAGTTTGTTGCTATGGGGAAAAACATATAACGACTCTATGTTACCTTTATAAGGATCTTTTGCATTCATACGAATAATTTTGAATATTTGTTCTTAATTAGCTTTTTTCTAACTTAAAGGTCTATTCACTCTACGAAAACTGGAAAAAGAACCAGTATATCGGGTGATAGTAGCTCTAATGACGATTCTTTAGACGAAGAACCATCCGAACCACTTGACAGCGAATCTCCTCTTCATCAAAGTTCTCACGGACCGCCGTCACCTTCTCTACCAAAGCCTGAAGATCCAAAAGTTGCGTCCATTTCGACTTTGCAAAATCGAATACAAAAGTTATTGTATGGGCGTATGGATAATACAATATGTGACGACGAGAATATAATTCGTTTACACTTGATTATGAATGGAATTGAATGGGAAGTTGAAAAGAAAGTTTTCGATTCCAATATCTTCCCAGAAATACGTGATAGCTTGAGAGAAAGGGGATACGACTTCGAAGTAATGTATTCCGGATATGGCAATCACGCTGACCGCACTTTATCTAAGTATTTTTTACGAAAATATAAACATGATTTGGCTATAGTTTGCATAGGCAATAAAATAGGACCTCTTTCCCTTCCAACTGAAATCGATATTGAAGATTATAATACAATAATGCAAAATGTTTGTCACGATGCCGCTGCACAGACGCTCTTGTCGACTGCCTATACAGTTATACCACCAAAGGCGAAGCTTTGTTCCCCTCCACCAGGTGGTTTGATTGAATGGGAGAAGGAGGCAGTTCTAAATGGATTGATGAATTCTTATTTGCGTTCTAGTGAGTACCGTGCGTGACGAATTGTTAAGAAATAACAAATAATGTCCATTCTTTAAAGGTTTAGAGGAGGAATTAGATGAAACGATTCTAAAGGAAACTGCACTTGACGGCTCTTTCGTTTTTGTACAACGCACATTCAATGGTCATCAAAATAATAATTCGCTACCGCAAAATTATTTCGATCTTGATGTAAACGGCGGTATTGACGAGCAACTATTGACTCATTTGTCAAAAATCATTGAAGCCACTACAGAAAAAGTAGACGCTAGCAAGCATCTTACTTACACCTTGCCTTGGCTAGGCGACGGTATTAACAAAGAACACATTGCTCATGCAAAATATCTAGATAGCCTTAAGGTAGATGTGACTAAACTTGTAAAAGAGTTGATCGACAGGAAATTAGACACTGTAACGGAAGCGAGAAAACGAACTTATACAAGGAGTATGTAGAAATATATAAAAAGAGAAATGTCATTACTTTTAACGTCTTTTATATATTTACCTTATATAGAAATTTCTCGAATGCTCGAAGAAGAGATCGAGGCGCAAGCCCGGCAGAGTTTGAGAATTATAAGTAAATTTAACGGTAGGGCCGACGTCATATCTAAGCTACAGAATTATTTAATAACACGTCACCCCAATTCCCTATCCGATGTCTCTCATCCTGTTGTACTTCACGGAGCCAGAGGTTGTGGTAAGAGTTCAATAGCCTCGTGGTTGGCTCATCATTATTGCTATCAAAGTAATTGGACGGGGGGTATTTGTATTCTACGACATGTAGCCTCTACAAGCTTTTCAAATACTTTGGCGCAGCTTTTGAGAACCTTATCTGAGCAGCTTTGCATGCTGACTGACGCTCCCTTATCATTTGCCTACAGAACCACTCAACAATACGTTGCCGTCTTTGGAGAACTAATTAAGAAGACGGCTAAGGGCGTTCCCCTATTAATTATTTTAGATGGAGCTAACGCCCTAGCAGAAGGAGGAGGAGGTGGTTGGGGTTGGATTCCTAAGGATTTACCCGCTCACGTTAGACTGATAATTACAACACAAACCGATTCTGCATCTCATATGGCAATAAGGTCTGTTCTTGAGAGGCTAGATTATGAAATCGAAATTCCGCCTTTAACAGCGACCGATTCCCTTACCCAATTTCAATTTAGTCTCAGTGAACAAGGCAGTATAGGAATCGCTAATAGGTATCAGCATATTTTACAACGACACCTTGAGGATTTGAGAAATCCCATGTATGCAAAATTATTAGTCGTTCACTCGCAATTTTGGAAAGAGACGCCTCAGTTATTTTCAACATATGAAGAGCAATTTGATGCACTATGTGATACTTTGGAATTGAATTTTGGTAAATCATTTCGTTACATTCCGTTATTTCTGGCCTGTTCCAGATTCGGTCTAAATCAGACAGAAATGCTTCATCTACTTTCCAGCAACGATCGATTTATGGAAGACGATTCAAATAAATGGAAATACACGGCAGATTATGCTTTTCTTTTTTTTAAACGCCATCTACAACCTTTCTTAACTGAATTTAGCATGTCTGGGTACGTTTTAACGCGAATAAAACATTCGAATTTTAGCAATTCCCTATTTTTAAAATATGAAAAAGATATTAAACCGATAAGACAGTCCCTCCTCGACTATTTTCGAAGTCAATCGGAAACTATAGGAAATGAGTATAATCGGCGAAAATTTGATGAAATGTCCTGGCAAATGTTTAAATTACAAGATGAAAGTTTTGTTGATAATTATGTCCTGAATAAGGATTGGTTAAGGAAGAGAATATGCTCTTCTTCAGTTTCTAGCGCTATGCACGACGTATCTCTTGCTTTGTTACTGCAGCCCAAGAATTCATCCTTATCATTTCTACTTGAATTCTTGCAAAAGTGCTCTAGACCTTTATCACATGATGGTTCTCAATTGGATTCCCAATTATATTTAAGATTACCAAGTGATAATGATCAAATATTAAATGACGCTCCCGCAGTAAGAAAAATGCGAGATGAATGCATCAAATCACCTTGTACACCTTTGCTCACACCAAAACCGCCTTGTTTACCGTATTACAGTAATGTAGAGGATGAAAAAAGATGCTCCATTATGGCAATCTTTCGCGTAAAAAATAGTCGGCGACACATTGTCGTTTTGGAGAAGGAAGGAAGACTCAGAGTTATTAATACGTCATCTGGCCAAACTGTTCGAACGCTCTCTGGCTTGAATGAGCCAAAAAATGTTAAAATGTCCTCCACAACAAAAGCTGTAGTACTATGCGACCGAGAATTAATGGTATATGATTTAAATAATGGAGAATTATTAACAAAGCTTAAAGGTGTTTTGAATCTCTTCATGCCGTTTTTCGGTATACATAACGAGGAACACGTTATTGCTTTGTCTCGTAATAGAATGTATATAAATGTTATAAATGCCTCTTCTGGCGATGTGATAGCAACCTTTAAGGCGGGAGAGGATCGTTTTCTGGACAGCCTACTTGTCTCTGACAATGGCCAGAAGTGTGTATGCGGTGATGAAGTTCAAAAGCCTTTTCCCCTTCTTGTCTGGGATTTAGTCAACAGGAGACTAATTCACGACTTGAGGATACCCGGAAACGATTTTATAACAAAAATTTCAGCCATTGATGCCGAAGGAAGATTTATTGTTTGCGCTTGTAAGGAAATAGATGATCCTACTCCATATTTTCTCATAGTCTATGATCTTCATAGCGGCGTTTTATTTAAAAAGTGGAAACCAAACCATAGCCCAACTTGTGTGGCAATAACGCCGGAAACTGTTATTTCCGGTCAGGAAGACGGCCTAGTACTTGTTTGGGATTTAATTAGTGGAATTTTGAAATATGAATTGAGAGGTCACTGCGACGGACCAACTCATATTTCACTTAATTCTGATAATACGAAATGTGTGACATTTAATACATCTGGTAGAGATAACAGTATTCGGTTGTGGGATGTAAAACATGGAGAATTGTTAGCCTCCTTCTGTCCTGATAAGCATGTCACTTGTTGCGAAATATCAGCGGATGGTAATCAAATATTTATCGGTTTGACTGGATATGACGATATTATCACCTTGAGCGTTGCCAACGCTACTATTCAGGACGATAATGAAACTTTTGGTGATCAACATTTGAGTGGTAAAGTGTTTGATCTTTCCAACGAGAAAAAAAAGTAATAAAATGTGAAAAAAATAATAAATTGTGAATTAAGTAATAAAAAACAATGTATATATATATAAATATATATATACTATATATATATAAAGAGAGTTAGAACGATAACGTATTTTATTCAATTGAATGATTACGATTTTGAATCATATGATTTGCTACTCATTTTAATAACTCATTTGAAATCTTTGGCTGTGAAGTTTGAACCCTTTCATGTATTAATTATGGCAATCCTGTTTACCATATCCTCCTCCACCAGGGGTTAGTAATCTAAAGAGATCCTGTAAAGAATCGTTTACACTTATTTATATGGTTAATTAACATTAAAAGAGTAAACTTACGCCTGGTTTCATTTCTGCAGAAACCATTCCAGGATATTCTCGAGTGTCGCCGTTAGCTTTTACTATAACATTTCTTCCTTTAACGCCATCACCCCCTCCGTTCAAACCGTAAGGGGCATAAGTCCTTCTTTCAGAAAGTACGGAAAGTATCAAGTCTTTCCTGAACAGCAACTCTCTAACTACCCCATCTCCACCTCTGTATTTGCCAATACCACCGCTATCTTTTCTGAGATCAAATCTTTTAACTATAACTGGGTAACGCTTTTCGACTATTTCGGGATCAGTTATTCTTGTATTTGTCATATGGGTATGAACACCACTTCTTCCATGCCATCCGGGTCCTGCCCCAGCGCCCCCCGCGACCGTTTCATAATAGCCGACTGTCTCGTCTCCAAACGTGACGTTGTTCATGCAGCCTTGAGAAGCACTGCAATATCTGAAGGCTTTTAGAATAACGTCGACTATCCTCTGAGAGGTGAGTACGTTACCACCCACCACAGCAGCATGTTCGTTAGGATCTAAAAGACTATTGACAGGTATTATTGGCTTTATAGGAATAAGACATCCCTGATTCAAAGGTACATCGTATCCTACCATGCACCTCAAACAATAGATAAGTGCCGAAAGAGTTACAGCTCTTGGAGCATTTAAGTTATTTTCTAACTGCGGGGAAGTCCCTGTAAAGTCTGCAATTGTCGACCCTGTATGTCTATCAATTTCAACGCGTAATTTGATTGTAGCACCGCAATCCATTGCATCTTCAGCCTCCAAGGTACAAATATCCGAAGAGCCGGCATATCTTTCAGCGATATCCTTCAACATATTTCTAACTGCAATTTCAGCATTATTTTGTATATGTTGCATGTAAGCTTCAACCGTTTCTAAAGAATATTCGTCTATTAATTCGCAAACGAGCTTAATTCCTTTGTGGTTTGCGGCGACTTGTGCTCTTAGGTCACTAAGATTGTCGTGTAAATTTCGTGTTCCTGAACATTTTTCGTACTTAGAAGGTTCGTTAAATGCTTCGGTAACCTCTTCTTCTCTAAATTTTCCATCTCTTACCAAAAAGAAAGATTTAAAAACTGCACCCTCTTCAAAAATACTTTTGCTGTTAGGTGGCATGGAACCAGGGGTTGAACCGCCTATATCTGCGTGATGACCCCTTGATGCAACGAAGAATACCGGTTTTTTGGAATTTTTATAAAACACAGGAGTAATTACAGTCAAATCCGGTAGATGAGATCCGCCTGCCGAAGGATGATTACTTAATATTACATCTCCATCTTTTAATTGAGAACCAACATTCTTCATTTGAAATTGTACGGTTTCTTGCATTGCACCAAGATGAACAGGTATGTGTGGTGCATTCGCAACTAATCCTCCATTTATTCCGAAAAGAGCGCACGAAAAATCTAATCTTTCTTTAATATTAGTTGAAATAGAAGTTCTTTGAAGGACCCTGCCCATTTGTTCAGCAATGCTCATAAACCTATGGCTGAATATTGATAATTGAATAGGGTCTAACTCAGTGCTGACGATCGCTGGCAGCTTTTCAGGTTCAATATCTATTCTTACGTCACCAGTAGTTGTAATTTGTACAATGCAATCGGGTTCCACAATGATTGTACTAGTCTGGTCAATTAGAATAGCTGGACCAAAAAGCTTTTGTCCAGCGAATAGTGTTTGTAAAGTATATACATTTGTTTTCCTCCATCCGTTAAAGTAACAAAGGCATTCATCAATGGGAACAGCTTCTTCATCTTTTAAATCAAGTTGAGTTTCATCTAGTACATCCGATTTTCCTACTCCTCTTACTCTAACATCATCTATACAAATCTTTCTACCAGCCACAGTAAAACCGAACTCTTGTTTGTATCTGTGAAATACATAAGTAAAAATATAGCATTAATTCGATCTAACGTAGTTTTTATAATACTTCTCAGTAAATTTCTCTTCATAATGGCTGGCAGTGCCTTTCGTGTTCTTTCCACAAGATATCATTAACGAACAATCGGTTCTATCGTATCTAAGGTTAAGGAACACCTCAAGCTCGATATCTTCCGGTTTAAATTTCTGTTCTTTTAATTTAGCAATGCACTGCTGTTGTAAGGCGTCTATTCGGTTATTGACTTGGTCGAAAACATCTTTTATGGGAACAAGTTAAGAAAAATAATATAACACTATGTTAAATAAGGAAGGTTTCATAATTTCTAGTTTTAGTAATTATTTACCGCTACTTAAATGAAGAGCGCAAGGTTCTTGTATCTCTTCAACAACATCTGCTAAGGCTAGACCGAAAGCCGATAGAATTCCAGCGTATTTATGAATGTAAACTGTTTTAATGCCTAAGGACCTAGCGATAGAACATGCATGTTGACCACCAGCTCCTCCAAAGCACGCTAGAATGTGGCGGGCTGTGTCGTGACCTTTAGCCTGTGTAATGGCTCTTATTGGTCTGCACATACTTTCGTTAGCTACTCTCAGAAAACCCATAGCGACTTCCTCTATAGTCAAATGAGATCCAGTTTCATTATTAATCTGTTCCTTAAGCGATTCGAATGCCCTTACGGTAGATTCTTTGTCTAGACTTTCATTTTCATTGGGTCCAAATATCTTTGGAAAGTATTGAGGTAAAAGGCGGCCTAGAACGAGATTGGCGTCTGTTATAGTTAAGTATCCTCCCTTTTTATAACAAACGGGTCCAGGGTGAGCTCCGGCACTTTCAGGACCGACCACATACATTTCCGAACGAAAAAATAGTCTAGATCCTCCACCAGCAGCTACGGTATTAATATCCAATTGTGGGGCTTGTATTGTAACACCTGCCGTTGTCGACTCCCAAACATGTTCGAAAGAACCGGAGTAGCGACTAACGTCAGTAGAAGTTCCCCCCATATCAAAACCTATTACTGGCTGACGAGTTTCTTCATTATAAGTTGTCATTGCATATCCTACAACCCCTCCAGCAGGACCAGATAAAATGGCTCTTGAGCCAGTAAATTTGTGCGTGGGCGTTAATCCACCGTCAGATTGCATAAAAAGAACTTTAGTTTGGTCTTCCATATTGAAAAATCCATTAGAGAAGTTTTCAATATAAGTTTTTATATGTGGAGTTAAATAGGCGTCAGCGCTGGCTGTATAACCCCTTGGAACAGCTCTGATCATTGGCATTACATGACTCGATAGAGAAACCTGCTCGAAGCCAATATCTTTAGCAATTTTTCCAACTTGCTCTTCATGATTGGGAAACCTGTATTGCAGTAATAATTTAAATTTTATAAATGAGGTTTTAATCTCTTACAAATATAAATAATGTTATTAGATAAAGATAATAGATATTTACATGTATGAGTGCAGAAACAGAATAGCTAAGCTCTTAATTCCCTTTTCTTTTACTTTAATTAATTGTTTTCGAACGGTATCCTCATCGATTTTCTTCCATATTTCAATTTTTTCTCCCGTTTTACTTTCTAATACTTCAATTTTATGTTCGTACGACAACGAGGAGTTGTCCTGGTGCAGAACAACTCGTTCATCAATTTCGATGATTTCTTCATACAAAACATCCGGACATTTTACTTGCTTTACAAATAGAATTAGCGGAAAATTAGTTTATTATACTTGAAAAAGGAAAAGAGTTAATTAATTAAATGTATCTTCCAAATGTAGAAATGTACTAACTAAATCGAAAATCGAAGGTCTTGATTGATTACCAATATGTAATAGATCTTTAAAGTTTTTCGTAATAACAAGTGCTGTTTTTTCACCTTTTCTTTCGAGAAGGGCATTGGTTGCTACTGTTGTTCCCATTCGGATCCATTCAATGTTTGCTGCGTCCAACTTTTCATTTTGAGCGATTGGTTTATTATTATACTAATAATAGATAGATAAATGAGAATATTTTTGTCTGTGTATGTATAAATTAATAACTACATCTTGCATAATTCGCCTTATCGCTTCTCTTGGAGCATCTGCATAGTTTTCGGGATCCTCTGAGAGCAGCTTTAAAACTCTAGTTTTTCCATTAGGTAGTTGAGACCAAACATCTGTGAATGTTCCACCCCTATCTATAGAAAATTTAAATTTATGTCCCATTTTCTATATGACGTGTCAGCGGCAAATCCCTTCTTTATCGGCTGTTCAATTGTAACAGTGATATCTAATGAACTATGACCAGAAGCTAAAAAATAGTTCCAACTGCGGAAGAATACGCTATCCATTTCAATATGGCGCAATCCTCAGAATTGTGTTCAGTTCTTTTAAAAGATAACTGTTCGTTCAAAGACGATTGACAGTTATAATGTTAATCATAAATCGCATTATAAATACCTGAAAAGGTTGATTAGTTTATTTTAATCGTGTAACGTATGTTTCTTTGGACAGTTTAGTGGATTTCATTAAAAGATGGGAGGAGCTGTACCGTCTTGTTTGAAAAATCGTGAGTATAAAATCTTTTTAAGGCATAAGGAAATAAAGAGAATATTAATAAATTATATATTTTCAGCTTCCAAGCATACTCTTCCCTATTCACATATAAGTAAGCAAAAATTCATATTTCAATCACTGCTAATCGTTATTAATAAAAAGAATCACAAGCTTTCATAATATGTATATAAGAAATTATTATTTTTAATTATGTCATATGTACATATATATATATACAGTATATACATATAAACAATATATATACTAATACATTAATACTCTTATTTTTTCCTTCGGAATAGACCACGAAGTTTCTCCCCAAGGATCATTCCAAACTGTTCCTAACACATTTGAATTAATTTCCCTTCCGTCCATTCGACCTATGTATTAGTTTGATTATTATTACTGAAATATCAATTAGGACTAATAGATTATTCCTGACAGATTTTTTTGTGTTGAAGATAGTAAAGAAGTTACAGCTCTTATTTCATCTACAACCGCAGTTATTAACGAAAATGATATTATAATAGATAAATTTGATAAATACGTGGAGATTCACGTCATTATTAGGGATTCGGAAGATACTGTAGAAAAGCCCTACAGCGTAACTATACGTTAGTATAAACAAAAGCTTTTTAAGAAACCTTGTAAAAGTTTTACCTTCTTTTTCTGTATTTTTTTATTCTATTTCTATCTTCCAGATCGAGATTTCTACGATAATTTTACAATACAAACAGTAAAGCAGCATATATTCGTTAAGGAAAATCATACAAGTCTAGAAGTAAGTTTTTATGTCATTATATATAAAAGAGAGTGATAAAGGAAGAGATTTAGAAAGGAGAGATGTAATATTATATTTAATATACGAAGAAAACCATTTTCTATATATATGGTATATTATATAATGTGTATATTTGTGTAGTTCATATATAACTTATACTGTCTGTATAAACCCTTGTTTATATCGAAATATGCTGTAGTAAGAAAATACGTAAGAGGTTTTTTAATATAAACTGTAAAAAACGTACCTGTTCGTGTCATATTCGATGACGCTAAGAAGAAAAGCAGCTCTGACTAAAATAAGGTTTTTAGACATTTTACTATTCTAATCTAATTATTTAATTAAGAAATTAAAAGAATATACAGTATATATATATATATATATATATATATATAGGAATCAATTACTACAATCTTTTATCATTCTACATATCTACCTATCTATCCCCTCTATCCCCTGTGTATCTATATATTATTATCTATATTATATGTTTTTATATTTCTTTTTCTCTCAGCAATCTACGCTCTTTGTTTGTCGTATTTTTCTGTATTCGTATAAAATATTAATAATATCTCTACATATTCCTTTGATTATATCTGCTTTCTAACTCGTAAGACTTATAGCACGAGAGAGCAGCTTCACTCGCTAAATTAAATTTCTTTCTATTTTTTGCTAAAGGTGTATATTTGTTAAGGGCTGACCGAGAAACAGGACATGGGAGGAACCTTTAATTTACCCTATCGATATACATTGTTTACAAAGTATTGCTACATTTTAAACTACAACTTCTCCTATTTCGTTTGTTACCCCGGAGATATACGTTCTTTTACTTTGATCAAAAACTCAGGTGCTGTTGGTAACAAATTCTATCACCTGAAACGTCTCTAATTAATTTGGAAAATACTTGAAGATATGGGTTACTCTTATGTAACATACTAATAGAAAAACGGCTAATTTACTGACAGATAGTATACCGTAAAGCACTAACATTTTTTTTTGTTTGTCACAACTTACGCCTTCTATTGATTATAAATGGCTTTCACCCTATATCGTATCGTTAAAGAAGCATAGGCAATAGCTAGAGTGCAACTGTTGAGTAAATCGCTGCGCTTGGTAGTTCGATAGGCAGATAATAATGATGATCCAGATATAGGATAAAAATACGGTATATTATAGGAAATGTACATTTTAGGAGTATCATATTAAAAATAAGTTTATATTTTGTAACGTTGTTTAAAGAAGTATATATCCATAATAATTATACAAAATGCGAGCTAAATGGTTATATTTCATTATATTTTTGCAGTTGGATGTAATTGATATACGATTTAAGAAGAAAGAGACAACTACAAAGAAAAGAAAAACAGAGCCACCTCTTCCCTTATGCATGAGCTTAGACGACAGTGATGAGTGGAGTAAGTGAATAATTTAGCCTTATTTAAGTTATTTTAATCTATATTTTACAATCCAATGCTAGATTCAATATGTAAATTGTCTGTAAATTTCATCAACCTAGCATTTTTTCCTTATTCTTTTTCTTTCTCTAATAGGCTTATCCTTTCTCTTTATCTCTTCTTTTCTTTCCTTTTTCGTTCTGTTTTCTCCGTAATCTTTTTCTATCTATCTTGCTTTATCTTCTTTTCTTCTTTCTTACAACATTAAAAGAATATCGAAAACGAAAATGTAAAATCATCAACGTCGACGAAGTTGCGCACAACACGAAGCTATTCACGCTAGCCCTAAGAAACGGATCGAAGTTTTGCATTCCTCCCTCGAGACATTTATATATTTATGGGATGGATGGAGATGGTATAGTTTCTCTTTAATTCTATCCTACTTAAGTATTTTATACCCTATTTTTTTCTTCTAATAAACAGATTTCAGTGATTTAGATTTTAAAGCCTATACACCTGTGCCTTATTCTCTTAGACACAACGATGATAGAGTGAAAAATGGACAAGTTTTTAACGTAATCATTAAAATGTATCCGGACTTCGATAGGAGCTTTACAAACAACTTTCTAAATGCCGATATTGGTAATTAGTTGCGTATTCTTTTTGGATAGATCCTACAACAGCCTCTTTTTCTTTATAGGTGAAAGGTTAAAAGTGAGTAATTTCTCAGGAACATTTGATATTAGAGTCATAAAAAATGCAGAGAAGATTTATATGTTGGCCGGTGGCACTGGATTTACTCCGCTAGCTTCAATAATACATTATTGTTTTAATTTTCAACAACAAACGTTTGTAATTTTAGTTTTTAACTTTAATAGCTAAATTATTGAGCTTTAAATATCTTCAGGATTATGAATCTAATGTACTTTAATAAGAGAGAACGGGATATAATATGGAAATATCAATTAGATCAAATGAATCATGAGGTTGAAAAGTAAGGTTCTTTTTCTTATTTTATAATTAAATATCATCAAAATACCGTATTATTGTTGTTAATTTTTTATTAAATTTACTTTAAGCTTTAACGTTGTTTACGTCTTAACTGAGGAAGAAAATTGGACAGGTAAAAATGGTACTGTTGTAAACGAAGCTAGAGGTTGGTTACCCCACGACCAAAAAGGTGTATTCATTATGGCTTGTGGTCCCGATTCGTTCAATCGAGAAATAAAATGGTCTGGTTAATTTATATATATATATTTCATGCTGAAAAATGACTCTTACTTCTTTATTCATAGTTATCTTGATAAAAAATACGCGTCTCCTAAATGGCACGTTTTCGAAAGACCTTTGGATTGGTGATGATGGTATAATGACGTTATTCATACGATAAAGAAAGAAATGAATAAGAAAAAAGAGGGAGAAAGACGATATATTCAAAGCAATAAAAAATATAAAGAAGTCAGTAATCAAAAGTAATATATTGTTATATCTTTTATAATAACATTTTATTGTAAAACGTCGGCACTTTTCCCTTCTCCCTCCTTCCCAATAAAAACGATTATAGTTTATATTATTACCTTAATACTCAATTTATTAACATTGTATGTCATCTTTATCAACTGTTCCATTGAATGCTGTAAAAAAAATGTTTTATCTTCTGGCTGGATAAATTTTTCCAAAGGAGAAAAGGGAACATCTTATCCTTCTTCTTCTTTATAAAATTATTAGCAGTTTCGAAAGACTCCTTGTCATAATCAATTACAAGATATAATAGAACCTTTCGAAGGTCATCAAGATATAGTATACTGCATCTTTCTTTTATTTTAAGGATGATAAAAAATCATTTATTAAATGTATTAATTGTTGAAACTAAGACTCTAGCTAAGGATAGATGAAGAGAGGTCCATGAACTATCGATGTTTCCCTCACGACAATTCCTTTTGTGTATTTATAAATATACAATATAAGCTCTTTACTTGGTTACTGATAATAATTCTATAGTTTCCATCTATTTCTTTCTCGTCTTCTCTTTTCTATTTTATCTATCTCTCAATTGCAGTATACATACATATATATGCTGCTTATGCTTATGTATTATTAAGTACTTAATACATATCAGTCATTGATGGTGATTAGATTTTAGGTTATCATTGAAGAAAAGATTCTTCAAGGAAAAATTACTTAATAATTAATTATCGTTATCATATAATTGAATAAGATCTCTAATATCTGTAAGAATACACTGTATATACAGTATATATATATTCGAATACATCATAACCCTTTATCGAATGATATATTTACTCTCCATCCTATCTTTTTTTCATTCATACTCCTTTTAATCACTCTGGCTTCATTTTATCTTTGTTATAAGTGATTACGATTCGATTTAAACTATTCCCGACCCTAGAAAAATACATGATATTCATAAATAGTAATACTCTTATCTATACCTTCTTAGCTAAACAGGGAAAATGAATGAGAAAAAGCAGAAAATAAATTCACTATTAGCAGCCGTACTTAATTAGCATTTACTCAAGACGATTTGATTAGCTGTAGTACGTTTCTGACAAAAAAAATGTATAAACTGTACTTAAGGGAATGCCAACTAATTAAGGCACGTCCCGTTAGTATTTTAACAATTTGTTCGAGCGTCTATAAGGCTTGTTCTTCCAGAAGAGAAACTCTTACATTTTCTGTCACAGAGAGTGTAATTTTTTGTGTAATTTAGGCGATATATAACATTTTTCCCTAATGAATGTTGGGAGATTTTTATTTGCTACAATTAGCTAGGATTTCCAAGTGTATAGATGACAAATAACCCCATATAATTTACCATAATGATTATCATCAATAAAGGAAAAAAATGATAGTTTGGTATTTTTTTTAAATTTGGATCTTTAATAAGTATAGTCGGGTAAATATACAGCATATACCGTATATATTGTATAGTATATACACTCTTTTTAGTATAAATTATGTAAATTAGTTGTTAAAATGTCATTTTGTTTCCATGCTCTTTCTCATTTGCCTCTTTCATATTAATAAAAGTGTCAAGAATACCAGAAATTATAAAATTCTGAATAATAGGCAATTCTTTCATTAAGTTACAAATTTGTAAAATTAATCTTTATAATGATTCGGTATTACTAACATAAATACAGATTAAGAAGTAAGCGACATAATGAAAAGTTACATTATATTTTGTGAGATTTATTATGTGTGACATTTATAAAAAAAAAAGAGAATCTGTTTTTGCAGGTGCGATGACGTTATTTTGCAGTAAGGGAAGCAAAACAAATTGATAATAAGAGAAATAAGATATTCTAACTTTATTAGGAATGGGGCTCTGGCTTCGGCATGGCAAGTTTTAATTATAATACGAATAATAATTTTAGATAAAAAAAAAGGAATATAAAAGTAGAGAATTCATCTTAATTTAAGCTAACATTTTTTGACATTTTATCCTTTCCCTAGAAAACCAATACGTTACTCATTAAACACGTTCGGCTATGAATTAAGATTGGAGCGTTTTTATCCTAAAATTTTGACAATATTTCATATATGTATATATTATTATGTGCTATAAATATATTGTTTATATACGTATACACTATAGTTTTTATACTTTAATTATTGATCTAGTTTTAACTCTTACATAAATAATTGAATACGCTATTTATAAAATAGAAGAAGAAGGGATCCAGTAAAAATTCTTCTAACCTTAATGAAAGACAATCGTATATTTCTCTATTAAAATTAGCTGAAAATAAATAAAAATTTGATGCTCAAAAGCTGGATGGTGCGTGTTGAAAAGGAGCTTATGAAGTATAAAATACTTTAAACGATTGTTTAATGTTGGAACAAAGCCGATAAAGGTCGGAGAAAAATTATTCCATTAGCTACACAGTTTATCTATTTCTTTCGCTCAAAAAAGCAAATACATTTAAATTAAATGATTGTTAAACATTAAATATATTAAGAAGTAATATTGTATAATTATATATTTATATAAAAATCTCTTATAGACCTATAAAATATTGGTTCAAGCATAAAAAATTAGAATAAAGTGTACTAATTGCGCTCTTATTTGTAAAATAATACGATAGCTTGATGTTAAGTTCTATCGTTTTTCGCAGTCTTACCTAGCTTACTTTTTTTATTGTTGCCAGTCGAATCTAGTACAGTATATTACTTTATTGATAGCTAATACATTATCATTATATACAAAAATACATTCCAATAATATAATTACACTTAGATCAATGTTGAAGGCTGATATGTAATCTTTTACTTTTATTTCCTCATTTTTTTGAATTCCAACTCCTTCATCTCGCTTTCTCTTTAAAAGATGTTGGCTTTTGAAAGGATAAAATAACGAGAAGGCTCTAGCTGACGGTGAAGAATTCTTTCAATACTCAAGGTGGATTGATAGCAATATAAAATTTAACGTATACAGTAAAATTGATTGAGATAAAACGATGCTATTGATTAATTAATGTTTTTCACATTAAGAAAGAACCAGAAAGTATCTCATTTAATTTATAGAGGTAATTTGATATTTCATACATAGTAAGTTGTACAAAAAGCCAATATTATAATAAACAGTACAAACAATAATATGCATAGTATAAGTTAAGTTATACGATATCTTTTTAAACATTTTAATAAGTTTTTAAGAATATATATAACATTCTCAATCGATATATTACTAATATATAAAATTAGAAATTTATATATTCTTCTTCATCTCTAATCTATCATTGAAGCATCTTTTATTAATATACCATACAACATTACCAGTAATATATATATATATATATACAAACAACGTTTAGAAAGCAAAAACAAAAAAAAACAATAAACCAAGCGATTACATAGATTTCCTCTTTTTCAGCCTATTATATTAGAGGTTATACAAAACAAAGAGCGATATAAGTTTATTGTCACATGATTATGAATAATCACGGCAAAAAATATAATCAAGAATGACAGTTTTCTAAATTGAGTAGAAAAGAGCGAAACTATAAGATTTTAATTAATTTCCATAATATTGTCTTACTAGGGAACTGATTACTTCTATAATTAGCCGTTTGTAGATTGTTTATACTTCGTTCTATCGTAACATATAGCATATATTATATGAGGCATATTTTTTAAATATATTTATTTTCAATTTTTATCGAACACATTTACCCGCCTTCGGATATTAGACATAGAATAGTCAGCTATTCCGTAGTGTAGGAATAGGGCGCCATCTGACGCCTGTTTATATGTGTTTTCCTGATAAAGATTAAAATGTTTAATTGGTTTTTTTGATTGGCCTATGCTTGAACTCAGTAACGCCCATTTGACAGACGACAATTCTATGATGGATGAAGGAGAAGAACCACTTTTGCAGTCCGAAAGTGGCATAAAATATAGGGCCAACAATTCTAGATTTGTTTACGTATTGGCTTTTTTCTCTACTATCGGAGGCTTCCTCTTTGGCTATGATACTGGTGTTGTATCAGGAGCAATGATTTTACTTGCAGATGTATTTAAATTACATCACGTTTGGCAAGAATTAATTATATCAGTCACGGTGGGTGCAGCAGCAATTTTTGCAATGATTGGAGGGGTAATTAATGAAAAATTTGGGCGAAAACGTACCATTTTAGTTGCTAGTTTCGTTTTTACGCTTGGTTCTCTTTTACTTGGCGTATCTTTTAATAAAGAAATGCTGCTCATTGGTCGAATTATTGTTGGCATTGGTATAGGTCTTGCATCAATGACAGTACCAATGTATATTGCCGAATGTTCACCTTCTAATCTTCGAGGTTATCTCGTAACACTGAATAACGGCGCTATAACTTTTGGACAGTTAGCTGCTAGCATAATAGACGGCCTATTCAGTAGTGTTAAACCTAATGGGTGGAGATATATGCTTGGATTGGCAGCCATTCCAGCAATCATTCAATTTATTGGATTTTTCTTTCTACCTGAATCTCCCAGGTGGCTATTTGCAAGAAATCGAGATGACGAAGCAATAGCTGTTCTACGCCAAATTCGGAACGCGAATGTAGATGATGAGATACACGAAATAAAAACAAATATTGAAGAAGATAAAAATGTCAGAACTAGCCGACGATTTCTACTAATTCAAATGCTAATGGATTCCACTGTGAGAAAGGCTCTTATTGTTGGCTGTGGTTTGCAATTATTCCAACAATTATCTGGTATCAATACAGTCATGTATTATAGTGCAACCATTATAAAAATGTCAGGTGTTGAAGACGAAAAAAAGGCAATATGGTTGGCTGCTGTTACTGCGGCAGTCAACTTCCTTTTTACTTTGGTTGGTATTTACCTTGTGGAAAAAATAGGAAGAAGATTATTAACTATTAGCAGTCTTGTAGGAGTAACTTTCAGTCTGGCTTTCCTAGGAATTGGGTTTCAATTATCTTCTATTCATTCCGCAACAGTTAACAATCCTATTCCAGATACTCATTGCTCTATGTATACAAGCTGTACCAAATGTATCAGCGCAGAAAACTGTGGATACTGCTACAATTCCACATTTTCCACTTGTCTACCTTATATTAAAAATTCTACGAGCAATCTTTGCCAATCCAAAATTGGGGATACTTTCAAATTTAATGAAGACTTTTGTCCTACTAAATATTCTTGGATTGCTTTAGTAGGAATGATAGTATATTTAATTTTTTTTGCCCCGGGTATGGGTCCTATGCCTTGGACGATTAACGCCGAAATATATCCCCTTTGGGCACGTAGCACAGGGAACGCCGTCGCCACATCTGTTAATTGGATATCAAATTTGATAATATCTATGACATTCCTAAGTTTAACCGATGCAATAACCAAATACGGAGCTTTCTATTTGTATACATCGTTCGCTTTGATAGCCATTATCTTCGTCTCTCTCTTTGTTCCCGAGACGAAGGGTAAATCCTTAGAAGAGATTCAGAATGTTTTTAAAAAATCATGGACACCATGTGGATCAAGAAGAGTTAATGAATAAAGTGTTTTCGTTTATCTTTATACGTATATTATTCATTAACGGGATTAATCGTTAACTTCTTCTAAATAACATTCATTATTTAAGGAAGAGTGCCTCTCATTTGAAAAGAAAAGAAAAAAATAAGCTGAAAATTATATATACTGCAGAAACGAATAATTGAGTATGATTTGTATTTCTTTTCAGTTTACGTTGATATTTGAAGGACGGAATTTTCGCAATAAAGAACAAATACATTTTGAAAATAAATAAATATCTATATCTTGTGCAATTTTCTCATTTAAGTAATGCTAAACTGGTAGAAGATCATCACCGAGTTCCTCGTCCTCGAATTCATTCTCGTCAGCTTTTCGTCTAGTCGCAGCTGTTTTAGGCCTTTCAACAGCTGGTCCAAGAGGATCCGCGTAATTTGTATCTGTAATAAAATCAAAAGGGAAAGATTAAAGAGCGAAAAAAAAGATCTTATAAAAAAATATCGACGACCGTTACGTACCAATTGCTTTTTTATCGCCGTTGGCAAATAAATCAGAATCAGGCTCTGTAATAGGAGCCCTCTCATGACCCGCACGACCAGTTGCATTTCTCTCTATTATAAAAGAAGATGAGTTATCATTGAAAATGGACAGTATTTATAAATATAGATTAAAGATTAATTGTGCTTCTTGTACCTGTTGAGCTTCCAAGTCGACTACCGACTAGCATGCATTAAAAGAATATTTAAACAGATGTTAACAAATATTATTAATCGAGTAATAAATACGTTTATGGTTACTTTCTTAATGTACAAGAATATATTTCATATATATACAGTATATATATATTGATAGTATTTACCACTTCCAGCACTATCCTGTCTATCGTTATACTGTCGACTTCTTCCACTACCCTTTCTTCTCCCGGAATTGATACGGTCCTCTCTCAGTTTTGCATTTTTCTCCGCCTTTTTCAATTTTGTTGCATAGTCTGCACTCTCCTTCAAGCCCATATCAGAACTAATTCGAATAAGAAATTTCAAGCCTTTCGAGAAAGAAGAGAAAGCAAGTTATTTCATTTTTGCTATTTGCCAATCGCGTTATACAAACATTCAATATTATCTGGGAATCTTTTGTGAATCAGTTTATAGGTATCCAATGCTTGTTGGTAGTTTCCACTTCGACGATGACACGAAGCAACCATGAGCTGCCATTTTACTTGGTTAGGTCTATTAGTGTGAAGAAGGAAATATATGACCATTATAAGAATTCCTTAGAGGACACTTTATTCAATAAAACCTACTGGATAATTGCCCCACGTTCAAAATATTGAATTGCTTTCTCACAGAACTGGCTCTCAATGTAGTACGCTCCAAGCCATTCAATTATTTTTATATTCGAGGGATTATAACGGTAGGACTGCAAATGTTTTTAGGAAAACCACATGTATTGAATGTATTTTAATGAAAGTGAAATAGTTTAATAAATTTCTTACGTCATAGTTATATTGAAAGGCTTGGGCTTTGTCATTTTCCGCATCAAACATTTGACCCAATCTGGCTAAAATTGCGGCATCAGTTGGAACGACTCCCAAAAGTTGCATAAACATCTCTTGTGCTTGGGCGTTTTCACCCATTAAATCGAGCCTTATAAAGTTAATAGAAAGAAACGAATAAAATGTTTTAATACCACAACTAAAATGTCTATTTATTCAACTTACAAATCCGCAATTTGAAATAGAACTTGTCCGTTATTCCTTAAAATACTGTGTAACTTGTAAAATGAATCTAAGGCATCTCTGTAGCGTTTTAATTTCTTGTTACATAGGCCTAAGTGGGACGAATAAGTCGCATAATTTGTCAACAAAAAAAATAAAATGCTAAATCCTCGTACCAGCATTATAAAGGGCTTCAACACATGAAGAATCATTCTGTAAAGCCTCTTTATAAAATTCACGGGCTTTTTCGTAGTCTCTCCTTTTAAAATAAATATTTCCCTTGTTTACCAAAGCTGGAGGATTGTATTTATCGGCCGTCAGAGCCAAATCGGCATATTTGTCAGCCTGATTTAAATCTGATTCCTAAACGAAAAGAAATGATGAGAATAAGAGTCAGGATTACAATTACTTCAAAAGATTATCTCTAAAAACGAAAATAAAACACTTTTTTCTACATATAGTAACATATAATGTATATGTATGTATACATGTTTACAAACATATATATTATATTTCAATGGAATTTTTTTAAAACCTTACATGTTTGTCATTGCCCCATTAAAAGAGAGGGAAAATACAAAATAAAAGGCATTGAAAATAAGGAAGTTTTGTTTGGTTTTTTTTCGTTGAAAAGGTTGCAAACAAACAAGGAAAACTGTGTGTTTCACAACACAATATAGACAAAAAAAAGAGAATCTGTTTTTATGTGCGCAAGTTGTTTGCAAAGTCTGTTTGAGTTAGAGGGGTGTTTTTGTCTTTCTTTTTTGAAATTTTACATAAAACAGATTCACTTTGTTAATAGAAGTTTGGGAATAAGAAGCGAAGATCATATGATTAGTAATTTAAGGGTTTATACCTCTCCGCTCTGTAAAATTTTAGTAAAAATAGTTTCCTTATTAAACAAATTTCTTTACGATTAAGGTAAATACGAAACTTTTAAATATTATATTTGTGAATATGTCACTTACCACATAATAAAGGAAACTTAAATTCGTAGCTGCTGTGCAAGCAACCTTTGTGTCCTTCTTTTCAAATGATTTCAGAGCATCGACAGCCTTTATTTATTGAAAAAATTATTAATTAGTCCCTTTTCAAATATTTCTTAAAGGAAATACTTGCCTGTGCAAAGTCTTTCTTCTTTAGATAGCCAATAGCCTTATCGATTTCCAAGTCGTGAGCAAGCTCCATGAAATTCGACGTTTTAACTTGATCCATACACCAATCGTAGCCAGCTGTAAAAGAATGTTCAATTGCTGGGCTAATTAGTTTGGCGGCAGTTTTAATACAGCGTTCAGCTGTATTGCGGCGTTCTCTCTCAATTTGTCGAAGACTATCATTCTTGATCACTTCTAATATAAGAGTATGTTGAGCATCATCTGGGTGAGGTGCATACTTTTCATCGTCGTCGATTTTTAAATCGACGGTAAGCATCCTTTGAAAAGTTTTTTTCATCTTTTCCTTATCTCCTAGAGCAAAATAGCAAAGGACTAAATTTAGCCCAGTCCTCATGTCTGGCTCCTCCTGCATAATTACTTCTAGAGAAGTCACGGCATCATTATACTGGCCCAACTTGACAAAAGAGACACTGATGTTATGCATCACTTTGATCCTGTAAGCATATTAATTCTTTTTTTTACATCAGTGATAAAAAAACAAACAAAAGTTAATTTATTATTTTGATGCATTGAGGCGAATATTCAAAGGAATTTAATACCTCATTCCCCTGTGGGTATTGGGAATCTGATCAAGTGCCATTCGGTAAAATTTGATCGCTTTGCTATATTGCCTTTGTTTGAAATAAATATTGCCCATATTAACCTTTAAACGACCTGTGAAATAATTTAGGTGATCCTTACTATTAATCTTTATGTAAGTTTAATCTTTTTACCTGCCATGCTGAACATTTTATTCTTTACTATGATTTGATAAGTATTTAGGGCTTCGTTGTACATTTCATTCAGTGTATACTGATTGGCTAAGTTGAAAAGGGCGCTATATGTTAAATCAAGATTTATCTGATCGGCGCTTGACAGCTTTTCCCTTTCCCGTACGAGTAATCTTTCTTTACGACCAGCTTCTTTTGCCTTTTCTAAGGATGTTTGATAATCCCCGCTGGCCGAAGCAATGCAGCTTTCCTCTATCAATTCGTTTACTTTTTTTTCTAATTGTCTAATTCTTTCTTCGGGAGTATCATCACCCTTTCCTTCAAGTGCTGGAGCAGCAGACTTCCCACTATCATACCCAACTCCCCGCGCTTGAGATGAATAACCAGCTCCACGAACTGCTGTCATAGGTCTGTTAGCTCCATCGACGGAACCTGTCATTGGCCTTCCAAGGGATGACGGTCCTGGTCTTCCCATTGAAGATGGAGGAATAATATTACCCCTAACACCCGTCTTCAAACGAGCGGCTGTCGGAGGTGGTCGTCTACCGTGACTAGTCCTAACCGCTTGTTGAAAGGCTGGGTCATTTGTAAGAGTCTATGGAAATAAAAAGTGAAAGAAACAATCATACAAGTAATTTCTTAAGTTACTTCAGTCTCGTCAACTTGATTTCCGAATCCTCCATACATATCATCTTCTTCAGCTGCAACTTGAAACTGATCCATCATGTTCATACGATTCATAACCTATATAAAAGTAATCTTTATTCGTAATTATGTAAACATCGAAAAAAAATGTTAACTAAACTAACTGTGACAATTTAGTTTTAAATTAACATTTAATTCAAGACTTTTTTACCTTCAAACTTTTTAGTTTTTAGAATCGCGCTCAGGAATTTCTTATCCCAGAAGCCCTGGAAACCAGTTTATTTTCGTATTTACAAAAATATTTATAATTCAATTTAAAAAAAATCTTATTAAATATAATTTACGAAAATGAAATAAAACATTTTTTTGTTACCTGTGACCTCTGACCCCGTGTACGTAAAAGCGCCTACGCGCATGCGCCCCAGGTAGTGTTTTTGCTTCTTGACACAGTTTGCTTCTCGTAAAATTACTCATACTCTGACAGTTTCCTTATTGTCGCACATCTGCGATATTTTTATGGCGGATACTTGAGAATCTGATCTCTACGCAGATGGCTCTTAAAGACAAAAAAGAAGATCGAAGACAACTAATAGAACAAATTGAAGAATGGAACGCGAACCGTTTGGATCTATTCGAATTGTCTCTACCGGACGAGGTAAATGTTTAACACCTGAATCATTCTTTAAACACCTATAAGCCCCATATAAGGCTGTCGTTTTTCTCTGGATTAGCTTACTTAATTCAAATTGCGTTTATGTTTTAAATGTTTAGCGGGTATTTTCAAAATGGCGGCTTCTATAAAGTTTTTACACCTTGCATATAAGAAAGAGTTGAATTAGTCAGCTCAGAAAATAAAATTCCCCATAACTATGCAATTTTCTCTAAAACATTAAAAGCAAGTAAATTTGCGGTTTTCCAAACATAAGATTGAGTACATTGTTTACATACCAAACTATAGGCCTGCAATTTTAACAGGATTTGGAATTTCACGGTGTTATGAGATTCTATTACCAAGATGCTGGTCAGAGGGTATCTACGAAATGTGTTCGAGTATCGAGTACCGCAACAACGAAGGACATACTCGATATACTCATAGACAAATTTAGACCAGACATGAGAATGTTGTCTCGACCCTCCTATGCCGTGTATGAAGTCCACGTTAATGGAGGTATGATATTGCTTAATTATACAACTCTCTGTTTAACTAATATATTTTCTATAGCTTATTACATAAAGATTTTAAATCTGTGAGAAAGTATATAAGATCGTTTAAAAATGCCATGGTAAACTTACAGTTAATTATGTTGTTTGACTTGCAGATGAGCGGCGACTAAGAGACAATGAATATCCACTAATTATTCAAATGAATTGGGGTAAAGATGACAGAGAAGGACGTTTTCTGCTCAAGTCAGAAAACCAAATAACTGTTCCAATTCATGCCCAGAATGCTGCAAATGAAAATGTACCGTCCGAATCCGGTTTTAAACGCAAATTATCAAAGAGAGAGAAAAAGGAAAAGAAGAAAAGAGAAAAAGAGGCTAAATTAAGAGGAAAAGAAAATGAAACTCCAGTTGATACAAGCATTTCAAAACAATTGTATAAGGAATTACCAGAAACTTCCTTCACAAGAAGTATCTCAAATCCCGAAGCAGTTATGAAAAAAAGAAGGGAGTTAAAATTACAAAGAAAGCTGGAAGAGATTCAAGCACAAGATGATAGTGGTTTGTTGAATTTTTTTCGGCTAAAAATTCTGTAACACGTTTAAAAAGCTAAATACTATAAGTAGATTATACTTAGTGGCAAAAAATAATACTGTTTCTTATGTTGTAATTTTGTTACAGGCGGAACTTTAAAAATTTATGGCAGAACGCTAAACAGAGATGTTCCGTACAAAACTCTTTTATTATCAACTGCAGACGATGTGGCTTATGTGATAAGAGAGACATTGAATAAATATGGTCTTGAGAAAGAAGATCCTGACAATTTCGTGCTTATTCAAGAGCTTTATGACCATAGCACTCAGCGCAGATATAATCATATTATGGGTGACACGGAAATCCCGCTCTTGATAATCAGTCAATATCCCCCTGAAAGTATATTTTTTGAGATTCGCAGGCGCACTCCAGACATGCCTCCAAAAAGCGTCCGAAGAGCTGTACAGCAGCAGCAACAACAACAGCAGCAACAGCAACAACCTTTGCTACCATTTTTACGAGAAGTCGAAAGTGATGGCAGAGAATTGAAGAAAGGCCGCGATTTCTTGGTGAAAGAAGGCATGACTGAAATGGGATCGTCAAAACCTCAGCAACCGGTTGAAAATTATATACGTTTATATGGTGCTGACGTACTACCAATTCATTGTGTTATTATGTACTCAGAACAAGTTGCTAGTGTTACTCCTCAACTGTCAAATGCTGATGTTTGCATTGATAATGTTCGAATTGGAAAAACAGAAATGCTTAGACATAACGCAATTTTAAGAGTTGGCAAGCACAACTTCTTCAGATTTATAAACCCCTTGGAAATAGAAGAAATTGCTAACCAGCAGATGAAAGAACCTCAAGTATCAATGAATGAGAGCCAAAGTCATATCAGTCAAAAGCCATTATCACCAGAGAGTCACCTATCTCCAATGTTTGCTAAACAATATCCGGCAGACAACGGACCGCCCCCAACATATCACCAACTTTCTCCGGATGCTCAGCCTCCTCCCATGTTCCAAAGGTTGTCACCGGAAAATCAAACTAATCAGTCGTACTCTAAACAATTGACACCAGATGGCTCCAATAACAAGTAAGAGGTAATTGTTTTTTTTAAATACCGTGCTAATATTATTTTTAATTATTAGGAGACTAAATGTCGAAAGTACCAACAGTCCAGTTCCATACGCTTCTCTAAACCAAACTAACCTACCTGCTACCATATCTTATTTAGAACAGTATGAAGATGAACTTTTGAGATTAGTGATTAATAGTGTTCAACCTAATGAAGTAAATTTTAAATTAGCTCCAACATACACTTTATATATGGCTGCCAGATACCGACTGTCATCTGAATTCAGACCTGAATTGGATCACAATGAGAAAACTAACCAATTGTCGCATTTCTTACTTAAAGTAGCAGGACTCTTGCATAGAGCAGTATTGACAAACGTAAATAATACACCAGCGTTAGCATTTTGGATGGCAAATTCTTCGGAATTGTTACATTTCGTAAAGCACGATCGAGACATAGCTAATTGTGCAACGAGAGCTCAAGGAAGTATAGAAGATGCGGTTCAATTAGCATTTCGTCAACTAGTAGAATGTATCGAATCGGAATTAGATGGACCTTTGATTTCTTTCTTCGATTCGTCAGATGATATTCAAAATATGGATAATGATAAGCCGCAGGTTTCCCATGTTCTTCAATTGTTAACATCCACTATGTCCCTACTACGAAGGTGTAGAGTCAATGCTGCACTAACGATTCAGTTGTTCTCACAATTATTTCATTTCATTAACCATTCTCTGTTCAATAAATTGGTTAGTATACCTAAATTTTGCGCTAGAGAATGGGGAGAAAGATTACGTCATCGTTTGGCTTTGGTAGAAAAGTGGGCTGAGAAACAAGGCTTGGAATTAGCCGCCGAATGCCATCTTGCACGTATAACCCAAGGTGCGTATTTACTATCTGCACCGAAATATGGACCTCAAGATACTGCTGCGATAAGTTCTGCCTGCTTTAAGCTGAATTCCTTACAAATCCAAACTCTCCTCACTCAATATGCTTGCGCTCAAGGAGAGCCACCCGTCTCCCAACAATTTATAACAAATGTTGTTAGAATAGCTCAAAGTACAGCCGATGTCCATATAAGGGAGGAAGGCCGAAAATTGCAAATTAACGAAGAAACCGAACTGCACCTTCCCTTTCTATTGCCTGACGATGGTTACACTTGCCAATTACTCAGAGGTGTACCAAACGGTTTAGGAGATTTGATAATGCCGTTGCTCAACGAAGGTATTGCAAAAATTACTGTTCACGCACCTAATCCAGATTTATGGACGTTAAATTTGATATCCGATTCTTCGCCTGTAACACCACAGGTAGTGTTTACTAACTTTTAATATAATAAAACTTATTTTATTACCATTAGCAACAGGTGATACAGCACTCACCTCAAGAACAGCATATGTCCTTGCCAACAGACAATGACCAAAAAGTTTCTCAATATCAGAGCTATGATGATGGTCCGGAAATAGAAATAATGCTGATTAATAAAATCAACAACAGCCTCGGATTAAGCATTGTCGCAGCACAGGTGAATAGCTTTTTTAGTTTATTTTGAAGTTTATTGCATTAAAGTCATTGATGATTAATCTCGTAAAAATCTCGTAAAACTATAAAAGTCAGAAATGTTTAACACTTTGCTCTGTTAAACTACATTCTAAACGCTGATAATTTTTCTCTGACATTTTGGTTCAAAACAGGCTTCATATAATTTTTAATAAAAGTCTAATACCTAGAATAACAAACACGTAGCACGCACATCCGAAAGTAGCAATCGATCCGAAAGTCGATACGGCACATACAACCGGTTGTTTAACATTTTTATTCTCTTGTGCGACATTGCACGAAAATCTGTCTGAGATTATACGACTGACTTTTATTTTATTTAAGGGTGAGAACCAACCAACAAGAGGAATCTACATAAAATCAGTTGTTGACAATGGAGCTGCTTTCAGAGATGGTCGTTTGAGAGCCGGTGATCAACTACTCGAAGTTGATGGACAAAGTTTAGTAGGATTGATGCAGGAGAAGGCTGCTCAATTAATGACTAAGACTGGAGCAACAGTTCAATTAAAAGTTGCTAAACAGGCTGCAGCTTATCACGGCCTCGCAACTTTATTAAGTCAGCCGTCTCCCATTATGCAGAGACCGGCACCTCCAAAGCAATCACATTCTGACTATGTAATCCACCAACGGATTCAAGATCAACACCAAGCTCATAGTGTATCAACATTGCCGCAAACATCGATACATCCAGCCGCTTCTCCAGATCGTTTTTCAAGGGCGGCAACGAGATCTAAATCAACTTCTCAACTCGATCAATCTGAACCGGCTCAGTTGCGGTTTGACACGCCAACTAATATGCGCAACCAAATACACAAGAGTAACGAAGCAGAAATCCCAATTCGGCATGTCCCTTCACCCGACACGAGAGTTGCTGAATGGCAGAAGAGAAACGAGCAGTATGAAAGACAACAATATCCAGACGACGTCCCAATTGAATATAAGAGAACCCAGCAGCCTCATTTTTATGACCACGGCGCACAGCAAAAACAACCACAATCTGTTCCAAGATCTCAACAAGCTTTACCGCCGAGGTCAATAGATATTTCAGCTAATGCCCCATCTCGCCTCAATCAATTAAGTGACATGAAATCACCGTCGGAAACGAGACATCCGCAAGATACAACTTTATCTCCCACTGCTAAACAATACGGGGATTTTAGACAAAATGAGCCAAATCGAACCTCTTACCCGTATGAAGTAGATAATCAGCAACAGCAACGGATCACGTACGAACCTGCTCCAGCCGATGTATCACCACAACAAAAATCTCATGAACGTCAATTGCATTTAGAAGGTGCAATGATGTATAAGATGCCGGCAACAAGGAGTTTAAATAATCTAGCTCATACGCCACAATCTCGTGAGCAAGATATACCAAAGGTTCAGAATGATCCTAGAAAGCAACAACCTCATTTTTATAAGCAATACGATCCCCAAAATGAACCGCTTTACAAACAAGTACCTCCATACGAACAAAGAGAACAGAAAGACAGAACTAAGCCAACTGTAAATCAAGCTGATTTGCATACAAGAGATATTTATAAGCCTCACAATGAAGACTCTCAACAGCCTTTGTATTCAACAGTGAATAAAGTGAGAAACAATCAACCAAATAATGCGTATAATCGATGGTCACCCGAAAATTTTCCTCCTCCACCGAATGAAGTCAGACCTCCGTCACCTGATGAAGAGCTTCCACCCCCGCCACCACCCCCACAAGAATTTGAACATTTGATGATTCATGAGCGGCAAAGGAACGATATACCTAAGAAAGTGGAGGAAAATTATCAAAATATTCCGGTTAGTCGATACTCACAACCAGGTCCACCGCAGACGAAACCTCGTCCGCCACCAACGGCCTCCAAACCTAAAATACCCGATAATGAAAAGCAGCGAATTTTGAAAGAATTCGACAGAAGGGTTTCCGACGAAAAATTTAATCGATCGGAACCCGATAGCGATATTGACATGAGGGAAACTGCCGCTGGTCGAGCTGCAATTGTTCGCATGCTGAACGAACAGGTTGAAGGAAAAACTGCTCGTTTCTCTAGGGACCGACAACAAGATGAATTAGAAAGGGCAAGGCTTGAAGAAGAAAGTTATGAAAGATCAAGGCGCAGGTTAGAATCATTTGAAGAAGATTTAGAGAGAAAAAGACAGCAAGAGCAGATGCGTTTTGAAAAAAGAGACAGAGAGAGGGCCGATTACTATCAAAAACAGCAAAACCTAGCATCTGAAGGTGCTCACTACGATTATAGATCGCGTCAGCCCATGGAACATGAAAGACCACCGGAACGTCCAAGCTCAACCTATAGTAATTTACCAATGCCACCACAAAGACATAGTTCTTACGAAATCTCTAACCAGAGAATACCTAGTTCATCATCAATGGGCCATGTTGCACCATATGAACCTCCGCTATCAAACCGTTCGTCTAGTGTATCTACTTTGCGCCAACTTCCGGAATCGGGGGGCAAAAAGAGCGTGTCGTTCAATTCTAATTTGACAACGGAAATTGCGGAATCATCTAAACGATTTGCCAGCACATCCACTGAAGGTGATACGAAAGCACCATTTTCTTCAGCCGTCGATGGGATATTTGCTGCTTCGATGGGTGGTAACAATGCCTATCCTGGAAATTTATCTCCGAAACGACCCGAGGAGAGTCGGGAAAAGAATTTCGTAGTGTCCCCATCAACTCCAGGCGTTGTCGGAACTCAAGAAATTTATCGAGATCCTCGGGATAGATTAATGGCAAACAAACCTCGTAGAGTAACACCGGGGACAGGGGGTCCTGAACGCTTATCATTTAGAGATAAAATGAAAATGTTTGCCTCCGAAATTGGAGAAAATACACCGCCAGAAAGAGTTAAAACATCACGAATGCAATATCAGCTTGAACGTAACGGCTTAAATTATTAGTAATAACAATTAATAATAATAATTTCTTTTTTCAACATTTTTTTTGCACTTTTTCTCAACATATCTTTTTGTATATTGTCAATTTAAAACAACAAAGATTTTTTTTTCATTTGATTTTTGTCGACCAACCCGCGGGTGATATTATGCTAAAAAGAAACATATCATATTTTAAAATATCTTTGAAGAGTCTTTTTTTGTTACTCGCGTAATGTATATTGTAAACTAATTTAGTTAAAGAGAAATGGTTCTAATTATAATTAACACATTTTATTGTTATACTATGCAGATGTATTCAGAATCATTTTAGTCGGTAGATGTTTGTTTTTCTATGTATATAGAAATAAAAGAATGTTAAAACCGAGAAAAAGTTTCTTCAACGTCTATTTCCAAGCTTGTCCTTTTGGAATTTAACCATGTACACTGCATAGATAATTGCACTTATGGAAACGGCACCGCCCAAAGAACCAAAGACAGCTGGATAAAAGAAAAATTACAAACAATTACATTATACTCGCTTTTCTGTGGAAATAAACTATAAATAATTAATAATACCTGTAAGAGCAACGCTTTCGTTAATAAAGTTAGCTTGGCACGGTTTAACAAAATAAATTAGGAGAAAAGCAAAAAGGAGATGAAAGAAACTTTGTTGTACCATCATTTCGAAGCGTATGGTTGACCGATCGGATGACAATGCCAAATTAAAATCGTAAATAACAATTTGACCTCTTTTTTTTATCTATATATCTATGCTTTTTTATGATTTTATTAGGCGAAATAATGATCTGAATTTAATATAGGGCAACCAGTAAATTCTACAACATAGTCATAATATAGAAGAACATCCTGAGGTTTATCGTAACTACCTCCTGAAATTCCGCATTCTTCCAATGTACTTGCTGGAGGAAGTTGAGCTTCGATCGTTAGGGAGTCGTCCGTAAATAGGGCTAATCTATTGCTCTCCAAAGCAATTCTTTCTTTAACTAGTTGAAGCAGGTAGGAAACAGTTGCGTGACTATGTACCAACTGAATAAAATGAGTATGATGATCTCGTTTTTCTGAGAATGTAGCATGCTTAAAATGAACCCTGGCGTATCGAACATAGTCTCTTTTAAGCCAGTCACCGTCCCACCTAGTCGATTTCTTTTTAGATAGAACTAAACTAGGCCTAACAACATCCTCGGGAAAAAACTCTTCCAAATTTCTACAAAAACTCAAACCGTTCTCCAATTGATTATATTTTAAATTACCCGAGCAATCTTCGTCTAATAACATAGCGAAAAGATGAGTTTCCACCTTATTCGCTGGGCAATTTAAATCAAACATTGCTGATTTAAATTCCTGACTGGAAACCATTCCACATTCTTCAGTATCAATATTTCTTAGACATTGGAAGATGCTCTCCTTCTCCTTCTCAATCCATTTTTCTAACCTACTCAACAAGTTACGATATTCTTCGCCAGATCTACGTAGTTTGTCAGCTTCCGAACGTAATTTGATCTGTTAACAGATAAAAACGAAAAGCGCTTAATTAATGATTTATTAATTGTAAAAAAGAAAAGAAGAAAAGCAACAAGTATAATGCGCTATGTGTACACTAGAATCAAAATTTGTATAGTTTCGTTTGTTTTGCATGTTTACTTGTTTGTTTTCCTTTATTTCCCTTCTATAAGTAATGAATACTTGTAATAAAACATGTTTAGTTACACATATGTAAAAATAATACGAGAGAGGGGGATGGAAGGGAAGAGAGGATAGAATGACAGGCGGAAGGATTAAAATTATATCAAAATATTTTTACGTATAACTTTTACGAAAAGGGAATTTCCATATTTCATTTATTAAGTAAATATTTAAAAGGCCTACCTCTTCTTTTTCGGCTTTTGTTAGTTTCTTTATCTTTTCACCATCGGGGCCGATTTTCGTTGACGATTTTCTATTCGATTAATATTTAAACAAGTTTAGAATAACGTATTATCGTCGCTTCTTAATATTATGTTTTAAGGTGAAACAAACGGAATGGGTCATTGGTTATTTTTAGTAAATATCTTACTTTTTTTTCTTCTTTGTTAAAGGCATCCTCGAGAGGATTGAAGCGCGTATACTGCACAAACGTCAATAGCAGACGGTATAGCTCTGGCGTCGTTCGTAGCAACAATCGACTGCATAAATAAGCCTATTACAAGTACAATATTGAGAGTCCAGTGTATGTCTAAAATGTTTCGTTAATAGAACTGATGAAATAAGAGAAGGGAAAGGAAAGAGAAGGTTATTCTGACGGAAAGAGTTTGAAGAGAAGGTGTAAAGAAAAGACGATCTCACTATTATTTACTGACAGCAGCTGTCCGATTCGATGCCTTAATACAGGGAGAAAAAAAAACTAGTCTCTTGAAATTATATGCAAATGGTACTTTATTGAACGTTAATTTTAAAAAGAGCAGATTAAAAAGAAAGGGAAAACACCGGGAAGCCATCTACATTCCATCTAACTCCTTAGCCAACTTAGAAAAATTACCCTTCTTTAGGCACGTAACGAGCTTGTCCTTTGTCGCTTTCTCACCGTTTTCTAGACGCCAATCAGTTAACATTTGAAACGCTTTTTGATGTGGTTCGGGTTGAGACGAAGACGTAATCGATAAGTCGTCTAATAATTCATTATCTAAACCGAGGCATTCACCCACCTTCCTCCAATCAGCTGCGATTAATTTCGATAATTTCAAAACTATTCGATTATCGATCTGATTCGTCAATTGTTTCGAAGGCTCTCGGCGTCCTTCCATTGTTTTCTTTTTCGATATCGAGCGGGTAAGTTTAAACAAATCCTCATTATCGTCTGTTTGGAATTAGTTATATTTGTATGAGACAGGAAAGAAGAATAGAAAAGACAGTAACAAACCGCAATTTAGAATGTTATCTACCAGAACGGCCAATTCCGGTCGGCAGGATTTTAAGGCGTTCGATAAGTTAACGATATGGAAATGATCCTTTCCGGCCGCTTCTTTCCATTCGATCAGCGCTTTATACGGTCTAGTCACCTCCGATGTTCTCCTTAATCTGAAGACAGCCTCATCGTACACCTTTTGTCCGAATGGTTGCATCAAATATTCAAACACTTTTTCCCAATCGGAATCGAGCTCTTGACCGACTTCTCGAAAGATTTTATTTACTTTTAAGACTGTCGTCTGTCTCACACCCATATCTCCTTGAGAACGCTCAGCCAATTTTGACTGAAGATTGTCCAGTTGAGACTCGAAAGACTGTCGTAAATTACCGGCAATATCCTCCATTCTAGATGACATTTCCTGATTGAACTTGTCCATAAAATCATCATCATTCGAATTTTTCCCTTCCGTCCTATGGCTACTCGTTTTCTGCTCCCCATCAGCCTTATTAATAACCCCTTCATTCGACATGTTTAGTTCGATGAAATCGATTCAATTATTAGTACTATTAATATCTTTTATTCTTTATTTTATTATTCAATATAGAGTAACTTGTTTACTTTACCGCCTCAGTCTTTGTCTCCTCTCCTCTCTTTTGCTTAAATTTCGAATATATGTTCGAATATTTATATTTAGTATTTAGTCACGTGATTATACAAAAAATTCAATATGCTTAGTCCATTATAGCAGGCCACAGCTTGAATAATTTTTATTATACCCGTTCTAATGCCTCAACGGCCTCTTTCTTTTTGTTTCTCCCCCCCTCCTCTCTCTCTCTCTCTCTCTCTCTCTCTCTCTCTCTCTCTCTCTCTCTATCTATATCTATTGCTTCACTTTGTCGTTTGCTCTCTTTTCCTCGTTCTCGATTACCTTTCTTTTTCAACCCTTCACGTGAATATACAGTATGTTTGCATTACTTTTCATGTTACTACATATATCTGTTTATTTCTTCTTTTGTATTTTCCATGTACTTATGTTACTTTCCTCTGTTTCTTTACTTCTTCCATACGGTAGGCGTATTTAACAGAGAATCGTGCAGTACAACAGTGAATCGTTAGTAGAACAAAAGAGGGAAAGTTGACGCTTTATGTTCACCTTTCAATAATGTTTCTTTCACCGGAAAGAGGACGTTTTTTGACATAAAAAATGAGTTTTAAATGCCGAAGTATTATTACTAAAAAAACTCGATATTAAGGAACGTTTTTTTTCTGTATTTATTTATCTTTTTTTTTTTCTCGAACTATCTCACTCTCCCCCTCGCCCCCTCTCTCACTCTCTTTCTCTCTCTGTCCTAAAAAGAGGGACTATCACTCAAGAAAGGCATACTAAATGCTGTATATTTCAAATAGGAAAAAAAAAACAACAAAGCTACGTCTACAAGTTCGGCGGTCACGTAGTTGTCGTAGCCGGCTTTTTCGCCCGTAATTAACGAGCGTTTATTACAATGTCTACCGTAAAAAAAAGCGGCAAACAAGTCTTTTTTTTCAGTACAATGGGGAATGACTAAAGAAAGGAAAGAAAAGCAGATGAGAAAGAGAAACTATTATAAAACAAATTGGTAATTAATCGGGGAATAAATTCTTCAAGTAGTCTAACCCAATAGAGCAAAGAGAAGAAGGAAAAGGTTGAGGGAAGAATTGAGGAAGTGAGTATGGGGAAGAAGAGAGACTTCTAATTGCGATGGTTTGAAACGCCCAATTAAGGAGTGCTAAGTGGGTCAATTGTATAACGTAATCAAAGCGAGGCTGAGGCCATCCTACCGCATTATCAAAGTGTCAAGAACAAAATGAGGAAGCAGACGAATAATGCCCCATAGACGCCGCTGCGGCGCGCTCTTCGCTCTTCTTTTATATCTTTCATTTGCTGTGCAGAATGCGGTCGACGACTATTTATTCGACGTTCTATTTCATATATTCTTCAATTATTTCAGGTACGTTTGAAAAGAATATAATGTCTGTTTTTCTTTGAACGGCAGCAAACTTTGTGTGTAATAATCACGTTTGCGTGTCGTTCTTTTCGACGTTGATGTATGAGGTGGAAGAGAGGCGGAAAGATAATAGCGTTTTACTGGCGGAGACATCATTCGAATAGTCTGTCATGGTAAAGGTTAAGATTATGTAACGTTAAATAGACGCTTTACAATATTATTTGTGTACCAATTGAAGAACGTTTATTGACGACACTATGAATATTTAAATACGTCATCGTGAAAAAAAAGAAACGCTATATTCGATCTAATTCGTCAATTTTCTACTGTAAACAAAGCGAACGACGGAATTTGGCCGACAGGCAAATTGCAGTTTTCGTTGCAGAAATATACTTACAGCACTTAGCAGAGAACGTCTATTCGACAACATTTAGATATTTAGGCATTAATTGCATTTCGTCGTGACGTTTCAATCAGACGTCGTCGTACATATTATACATTGTTTGGCAAACAATTTGCTTAGAGTAAGAAACAAACAACTGGGAAGGAACAAGAATCGATTAAAATAATATAATTTTCCCTTATGACTTTAATGCACCTTCTGTCTACTATACAGTATATATATATATATATATATATATGTTAGTAATATATCCTTGACTGTCCTAAACCATATATTGTATATATATATATATAATTTGATATCTTTATTTATATATTTAACTCAACGAAGCATTTGCATTTTTTTTCTCCTTTTTTCTATAGCCGACTTGAAAACTGAGACCGTGTGCCAAGTGAACGAATTTAAAGCTGATTGCCTAGAAGATGAAACTATAATAATAAAGAAAGCTCTATGGGGGAGAATGAAAAAAGGACATTGCATTGAACGTACTCTTGGGTAATAATAAAGTTTACTTACTAAGCTTATGAATCTTATTAGAGCTTTATTTTAGATGGGTAAATTGCTCCAGTAATATAATTGACTATTTAGATAAGAAATGCTCAGGAAAGAAGAGGTGTTCCTTTCTTGTTCCAAATGAAGACTTGGATAACATAGATCCCTGCAATTCGATAGACTTAAAAAATTATCTAGAAGTGGAATATGTCTGCATTAAAGGTGAATTGATCGATCGGTTTTTGCATTATATGAAACTTTATACGAAATCGATTATGTAAAAAGAACGCGCAGCGTTGAAAGCCGTCGGAAAAATTCGCAATGACCAGCCTACGCGATGCGTGAAACAAAACATCAAACATTTCCGTATAGTCATTTCGCGTCGAATTACAGTCAGACGGTCGATTCGACGCCTTGTCAAACTCGATCGACTGAGTTTATTCGAAAAGGTTTCGAGAAGTCCGACAGATGCGTGTTTAGAAAGACGTGCATGCGTCTAAAACGAACGTTAACGGCTTCATCAAAAGGCTATGTAATGATGAATGAAAAAGTTTGTTAAAAAGGTTATTTGTATGCGGTTAAATCGTTTATTAGGCCTGTTCTATCGTCACACTAGCAACAAACGGGGATCAGTTCTAAACTTACACTCTTATTTGCAGAACGTAAATTACCCTGTAGAATCAGTCGGAGACTCTCCTCTTCTGCGCCATCTGCCGTCCTTTTTCCAAATACATCATGCTCTAGTCAAATTCAAGCGAAAGAAGGTCAGCGAATTAGGGTCAAAATCTATGGCATTTCAGTACCTTACGATGTATCATTGGATATTTGGGAAGCGGGACGCTCTGTTAAGAAATTCGAATTTCGGAATAATAAAGTTACAAGATATTCTTACGAATCGGAAAGTAGCCGTTTGAATATCTCGTTGACAAACTTTCATACTCACCGATTTGACGAGGAGAGGATATTCGTTACCTATGATTATATCGGATGTCCGCACTTATACTTTGCCGAAAAGAATATCCAAGTGAAAATATTACACGACTCAGTAACCGCCGAAATAACTTGCCGCGCAGATGGCCATATTTATAAGCATACTTGCGTCGGACATAAATGGATAGGACCAACAGTCAACTGCAATCCAACATCTCCCAAAAATAATGCAGATGGCGCTAGTCAGTTATCAATGCCTCACGGTAAGCATCTCCTCTTTTATCGGATATCTTGTTTTATAGAATAAAATGCGTGACTTAAAATTTTTCAATTAGGAATATCGATGGCCTTGACCGTAATAATAGCATTAGCAATTGCCTTTCTTCTGCCCGCTTTAGTTCTGCTCCTTTTACGGAGGTGAGTAAAGTATAATGTAATAAACTGGATTTTTATTGATTCCCAAAGTACGACTTTTTTCTTTTGAAAACATTATCAGAAGATTGGCAAAAAAGAAGAAAAAGAGTAGAAGGATACCAACTGAAGATATTTATGATAAATATAATAACGTGGCTGTTTTGGGAACAAGAAAATGCTGCAAATTTGAAAATGAAAATGAAGATATACCACCAGATATTTTGGGAGATGGACAAACTAACTTATCCCTTATAAAACCTTATAGGAACGCCAGTGCTGTTTATTATTCCCAAGTGCCTAATTACGACAGGTCACTATATTTTACCAATCATAATTAAAGCAGGTATATTTTTTACAAAGAAGAGAAGATGAAAATTACAAGATCAAAAGTATTTAAGCGTTTAGAAGGCTGCTAAAAGATGGAGAGAGAGAGAGAGAGAGAGAGAGATACTGTATATGTGTACATTATATGTATAAAGTATATAAGTACATATGTATATACTATATATTTCCATGTAGATGTAAATATAATATACGTCATATGTATGTTTTTAACATCATCTATAAATATATCTTACGTATTGTGTGCATCAGATATGTGCACCTCCAACTAGATTTTCTTCTTATTGAAACATATTATATACGTTGTATATTCGAGTGTTTCCTTTTCTTCTTCCCTTTTTTCTACAAATATAAATCAAAAGTCTGATCTACCTAAGTTTTTTTTTTTATTATATTTAATAATCGATTTATCTTCTTTTCTTTTTCTTTTTCTTCGTCTTCTTCTCTTTTATATCCTTCTCTTTCTTTCTATTCATTCATTTTCCCTTTATCTTTTTAAATTTTAAGAAAAGCTATTTTTTTCACTTGTTATTAAAGTATTCTCTTTTAATTTAAAAAATTATTCTCCTTCCCTTCTCTAACGCTAGAGGTCTTCAATCTAATTTCAACAATATATCTCTATAAGAGTGATGATTTGTTATTTACAGCTACCCTATGATTGTCTTGTTCTATCTTGCACAGATTCATCCTTAAACTGTTACAAATATTTCTTTTTTTCTTATTTATGTCTAGTTATTTTCCTTCCTCCCCGTAAAATTTCAATGTAGAAAGGAATTTAGAAGCATTCCTTCGTTTCCATGGAAATGTTCTTTTCAATGCTAAATAGCAACGTGCGGCGTACTATTCGATACCCCTAATTATTCCCCTTGTCTACATGTAACAGATACTACGATTATATGAAACAATTACAAACATCATATTTTTTATATTTTGCTTTTTATAGAAATCAATAGAAAAGAGTACTTATGATCAATATTTAGACATGGAATTATTTGGCGTTGGAGAATGATTCCGACAGTCCAGACCGTCGGGGCAATCCTTCTCCTTTTTCGTTCTTCTCGTATAATGCCACAGCAAGAAGAGTTGAGGTTTTTTAGATGCAGATTCAGTTTCTGTTCTATCTGGATAAAGTCGACGTCGTCTACGGGGTCGAATTTTACAGAAATAAATATACAGGTAGATCACAGAAAGAATAGAAACGACTGCGGAAAGAACGCCGAGGCTAAGAAACCAACTTTCCTTGGGCGACAATATCATCACTCTTACACTATTCAGTAATTACTTACAATAATACAGAGAGGTGGCGTTCTAAGCATTTTTCTTTGTTCTCTTTAATATTAGCATTGGGAGAGAGAGAGGAAAGGCAGAGAAGGGGGGAGAGTATGAAATCAATTAAGAAATAAAAGCATTTTTTTAATGCACTAAACATGCAAGGTGTGTGTACAGCAATTGAAGTAATTAAATTAAGAAGTGACCTTCAACTCTCCCTTCTTCTTGCATACATAAGGGACTTCTTCATAGCAGCTGGAATCTTGCCATTTGTGTTCTTTTATACCTCTTTGAATGTGGACACAATTGGCAGGTGCCGGTACATTATTGGGCTCTCCATGTTCCCAATTATAGTAAGTAACCTTAGATCCATCCGTCCATAAAAAGTTTTGAACAGCTGATACTCCCGATTCCTTGAGGAGTCCTGTATAGATTTTTGGTCCAGCAGTTCTGTATGAATCATTCATTAGTGTCAAATGAAGCGAATCAAAAAAAGAGGGACAGAGAGAGAATGAGGAACATGGAAAATAATGAGTACATATTCTTTTATGTTATATTTCAGTTGTATAAATAGCTTTGTTAAGTCTTACATTAAATTTACAACGAATTCGTTCTCCTTCCTTGAGTGTATGCTGACTAAATCGCCTCCGAAATGTTGGCATTTGAAGTCAGCGACAGTGAATATTGCGGGTTGTCTTACGTATTGATAACAATACGATCCGAATTGTTTCCAGCCGCTTCTGCATGTATAATTTCCATCAATAGACGAATTTGCCAAGTTGGGCTTTTCAGATGGTAAAAAAAGGGAAAGAGTTTAGGAATGAATAAGATAACTGTTACTTTTTATACTTTGACTCCATCCGGCTCTAAGGCTCCTTTTCCCACAACTAAATACTCCGTTCCAATTTCAACGACTAAATCCTTTTCCACTTTAGCATACGTAAACATTTTACACGTACTTGTCTCGGCCGTATAACTACTAGCTCGACAGTCTGGATATACATTCAAACAAAAAGAAGCGCACGATGAAGCGTTAACAGCTCTCTTCTCAGAGTTTGCCATAGCGATATCAGTTCTATTTGAAATTATTGTGTCTCGCTTCCAATAAAGACATTTCTCTGGATCGTCCGGTATACGAGAACTAGACGATACGTAGACCACTACACCCAAAAGAATGATATCTAACCACATTCCGAATTAAAATGACGAAGAAAACTATCATTCAATAGTCTTTTTATATATTTAATGTTCAATAGATTTTCATTTATACTGTTCGATTATATATGACAAACTAATCGACAATGTACATAAAAGTCGCTTACGGTTTTTTAAGAATACGTTCCATCCAATTTCCGGCTCTTGGTGAGAATTTTAAAAGTTCAGTATTAATTTTTAATTTATCTCTCTTTATATTTCTTTTTATTCTACAACAACAAACTCCGCAATTTTCCAGTAATAAAAGCAAGCTCGAGAGCACTAAGCCCGAACCAAGCAGTAAGAAAGCTCCCATTAGCTCTTTCAGTGTAATCTATTTTGGTATAGAATTATTGTTCTTTTATTGTCATTTAAGATATATTGTTTAAGTTTAAATAGATATATACATTTCTTTATGTTACTCGTAAGTTTGTAAATGTTTGCCTAATTGAAATACAAAGTATGTTTACTATTTTTTACGTACTGTTTTAGCGGTGGCAACGGATGGTAAGTTGCATATTCTAGACTGTTGATGATTAATCATCCATTGTTGGATTAAACCAGCTTCAAAGAGAGAGTTTATACTGTTTAAAATTAAGAATATAAATAATATTATATCTTTAGGGTGGATTATACATTTTAAAGATATTTCCTGAGATATAGAAAGATCGTAATAGGTTTTTAATTATATATAATCATCATTTTCTTAAAACCTTTTTAAAAGAACAGTAAAAATACATATTGATAATATAATTACTTACTGATGCGAAAAGATTGGTACATATAACGACTTTTTTGGAAATGCGAAACTGAATCGACTTTCAAAAAATATCTCTTTCATTGCTGACAAATTACAAACTCCTTTGTCAAAAGTATTCTTTGTGTCTTGCAGGAAAACGGTGTCGTAGAGAAAAACGGCTCTTTTATTCAAAATTAAATTCATTGTATCATTTATGTTAAATGATACAAGTCCGTTAAAATCTATCAGTTTTTCGTTCAATCTTTTATAGATACCAATTTTAGTCTCGGCAAGATAATTTGATAAAGCTGTATTCTTTTCTGAAAGTGGGAAATATACTCCTGAATCAACCAGGTCTCTAAGTGATTGTATTGGTAATTTTGAAGATGCTACTGTCAACGATGATACAAGAAAACCTGTATATAAACTGACAAACGTTATCAAAAATATCCACCAGAATCCTAACAGTATCCGACATTTGATAAATTTTGAACAATGAATATTTCCGCTCTGATTAAATAATGTTCCAAAGATGAACCAAACTATTTGGCCATAGTTCTTACTGTGGGACCACAAGAGTAGTGTAAGCGCCAAAATGGCGATTGACAGTAGGAGCCAGACAAGCCAATTGAAAGAGTAAACGTAGAAAAAGAGCTTCAAAGACGAATCGGGTAATTTGTACAACCCAGTAATATAATCTGTGAAAATAGGCTCTGAGAAATCAACCACATTCCTACGAGAAGTAGTAATAGTTAATAGAGATCCTAAGTCAACTTCCTTTCTTTGTATCTGCCCCATCATACCATTCCAGCTACCATTTGGTAACTTTGAACCATAGTATCCGTCAGGTGGTTCAATTAAAGAGTAGTTAAAATGATAAATCTTTGTCATTGTATCCAAAACTTCAATGATGACTCCACGTGGTTTGCTGTGACTTTTTAGGCTATAGCAAAATGGACGATACTGTAAGGTGTTAGTACATAAATAATAATAATTACCATCTTTTTTGACTATGCATTTATTTACTTACATTGCATCTCGCCGCTACAATTAAATGCTTTCCTTTGAGCTCCATTAGTCGGTAATGTTCAGTTAGTGACAATAAACTATTAAACCTCCTCAACGAGAACATATAGTCTAATGAAGCTCTCTTGAGTTCGTCTCTTTTACATTAGTAGATCCCATTCATTAGGGAAAGAGACTTTTTACATAGTGACTATAAATATATATACACTGTATATGCTCATATATAAACGTAATGTGTTTCTTATGAATCGATGTAACATTAGTTCTAATCAGTTAATGTAATGTGTAGGCACGAATCTATCTGCTTTTCATTAGCTTACGCTAATAATAGGTTTGCTATTTCAGAGACCTATTGAACCACAACAAATATTATGTATATTGGTATTTTAGAAGTAAAAGGATACTTTACCTTATAAATCCTTGCGTTTATTTGACTGTAAACAATCCTTACTATGAGGAACATGGTATGAAAATCAAAAGTATAAAGTTTTTATAGGCAAACATTTTTATATAAATTTTACGTTTATTCGATCGAACAAGACATGAATAATTACAAGGTCGATAAAAGAAACATCAATTTTGCAAAACTAATCGCTGTAATCTTCAGATTCAGAATCACTTCTAGAATCTTCACTGTCATCTTCAGATGATGATTCAGGCTGAAATGATATGAATAGAATTAATCAAACAGTTGATTCGATGAAATATCAAAGTTAATAACTTTACCTCTTCCTTTCTTGCTTTCTTTGGCGGACTCTCTTCTTCCGAACTAGATGATGATTCTTCAATAAATTCTTTACTCTTGTATCCTGAACCTGTACCCCCTCCCGATGCTTTAGATGGAGAAACCACTTTTTTAGCTCTACTCTTCTTCGGACTGCCTTTCACAGGTCTAGATAAAAAAAAATGCCTGATATTTGTTGCTCATCATTTAAAAAATAGGGAAAATTTTATTACTCTGACGATTGGATTTCCCCTGTTTTCAATTTTCGTTTATACTCTTCCATTTCTTCTGCATACTTAGCTTTCGCTTTCTCAGCAGCCTTATTCCATTTCTACAGAAAAAAATTAATCACACCAGTGCTTATTTATATGGGTTTATCAATTATATATATACTGTTTTATCGCTCAAGCTATTCCACATTTCCGAACCCTTCTTAGTAACTTCAGTAAAAGCAATTCCTGGATTTTCCCGTTTAATTTTTTCTCTATTCTCACCCAACCAAATGAAATAAGCGGATAGAGGCCTCTTTGGCGCATTTTTATCTTTTTTCTTTCCCTTTCCTTTTTCTTTTTTCGACTGCTTTTCTTTCTAAAGAACATAAACATGTTTTTTAATGATAAATTAATTGTATATATGTATCTTTATATTGTACCACTGGTTTTGGCTTTTTTTCTTTTTTTTGTGGTTTTACTTCTGGTTTTTTCTCTACAACGGGCTTTTCTTTCTTACTTGGGGAGTCATCTCCACTTTCAGCATCACTCTCAGATGTCTCATGATCAGAATCAAATCTGAATAATAAAAAAGTAGTTCTCTTAAACTAAAAATTAAATGATAGTAAATTTTACTCTTCAGCAACGTCGCTTCCGCTACCCTCAGCAACGAAATCTTCGTCACTTTCTTCGTTGGATTCGTCATCGTCATCATCTTTTGCCAATCCTTCTTTTTTCATCATTTCCAAGTAGGCATCGTGCTTACGTGCCTCTGTACTTTTCACGTCCTATTTAAAACAGTCAATAAATATTATAAAATAACATGGCAATTTGTGATAATTTAATTGATAAAATTTTGAAAAGCGAAAGAAAAAGTTATTAACCGCTTGGCCTGTACTCTTTAATTTAATATTCTTCTTTTTCAAGAACTCTTGCATTTTTCCGTATTCGTCTCTATAAACAATCAACATTAGGGAACAACTTCGAGTTTATCATTAATGAACCTACTTTTCAATGCTGCTAAATGTAAAAGTCTGATTTTGTCTTGTTTCAACTTCTAAATCAAAGCTTCTTGTACTGGTCATTGACCTACTAAAATTGACATGCGACAATTCATCGAACCGTATATAAACAGGTGGTTTGTGAACGAATATGAAACCCTTTTCCAAAGGATATAGAAATCCAGTTGACGCTTTATGCGAGCAGCTAACACATTTAGCTTTACTGAAAGCAGTGAAAGAGCCAGGAACTGAAATTTTTTTCCTTGTTAAAGCTGTCATAACACTACTAATCAAATCAATCGGTTGACCCGTCATTTTTTTCTCCAATTTTCCTTCGTATCTTTTTAAGTCTTTCCTATGATAAAGGAAAAAGATATTCAACATCACAATCACAATGTGTTTACATCACAATCTTAATTTGAAACAATAGCTTACTCTGATAAATCAATTTCAATCTCACTATCATCTTCGTAACGGTCAAATGTACAAATAAGAAAATGGTATCGCGTTTGGCCTTGTTTTATTGGCGGATCTACATGAAGGACAAAGTATTCAGATTTCCTATCTTTGTGTGGTAGTGAAAAAAGTCGCAGGATGTCATTGTATGGAATTTTATAATCGAAAGTTTTTCCGTGCAGTTGTAAAAATGATGCATACATTTTAATATCATAACGACCTCTGGAATATATGGAAATTAAGTTAATTAAACCCTTTACAAAAAGATTATCCTTAATAATGTTTTACCTGGGGGTTAAACATGATACTTCGTCAAATCTTGCTATAGCATCACCAGTAGCTTGAATTGTGTCAGCTTTATTCATTACTTTGTCATAGAAATTCTTTAATAAAAAGCAAATTAGAGACTAAAACATTAAGAATTTAATATTAGTGTTTACCTCAACAGGATCTCCTTCATCGACCTTTTGTTCAGTCGGTATATGAAATCTCATTTCTGTTAAAGTTATTGGTGCTTCTTCATGTTGATGAAAACTTAGAGTAACTTCATTTTTACTAGTTGTACACCGGGACACTTCATTCAATGGTATTTCGAAAGCTAATTTACTTTCGACGTTAAATTCCATTGTATTCCCTAAAATAAAATAATATTAATATCCTTAAGTAGTTTATGATTGAATTGATATTATTATTAACCTCGGAAGTTTGTGCTTCCCCAGTTCCATCCTTTGAATGATCTAAACTGTTTTTGTAACTCTATTCCATGATGTTTGTCGAGAAAGGCGGATAATTTATCATGATCCTGTGATATACTACTAAATTATAATCAGTTACAAAATTATCTCGAGTTCCTTACGGATGAATGAAATCCGTCAAGCAAAATACACCGTTCATCAATTAATCTAATCCTCAAGCAATGACCACGGCTTCTGCTGAACCAGAACATGCCATCTATATCCTCGTACTTTACAGAGTTTGTTTCAGATTCATCTTTTTCTTTTATGGTTATATCTTCCAAAGTGAATTTAATTCTTCCTTCCGTCTGTTGAAAATTTATACTTAAAAAATATTCGCTGATACCTATTATCAGTACTTACAAAACAACCTCCTTTAAACAGTAGGACTGAGAAATCAAGACTTTCTTTAACAGGCATTCCGTTAAAAAAAGTTTATATCCAAAAATCTACTTAAAATCTCTATTTTGATAGTATATATCACGGAATTGGAAAGAAAAATTTCTACCGCGTTTTATCGCCTTTGCGTTGTAACGGCCATTGGAACGGTGTTCGTAAACCGGTTCGATCAACCGGTGAATACTTTCCCGCGTCTAACTCCAAACATGGTTGGTCTATTGGGTTTCCAATATCAGAAAGGTTTTAGAAAGCAGAGGAGAGTAAATTCGTAAAAAATCAATTGAATTCTCATATAAGCCATTTGATATGGTAAAAAAACTTTAATCTGTAAGCCAATATGAGTAAATAGTTGATTAAATGACTAACATCGGTGTAAAAACATATTATCATTCCGCTAACCAGTCAAAATTTCCAAAGCACTAACTTATTACTACTGCTAAATCACTTTTAAGGACAATAATAGATCAGATCATTAGTAAATGATACACCTTCAAATATACACACATTAAAAATGATTCGTATATTGTATGTACAAGAATAGATCACATTAGACAAATCTTCCTTTTATCAATCATATCAATTTTACACTATCAGTGTCATGATGGACCGGATCAGCGTGACATAACGCACTCAAAAAAGTAGTTGTTTTTCCAATAACCTTACCTGCAAATGAGAAATCATTTTCCAGAGAATGAGGCAATAATCTATGAAATAATAGATAGAAAAAGTACTGAAATAAGTATAAAACTCTTTAAGCTGTAAATAAAGTAGACTAGTTATATTAAAATACTTCTAATGCTGTAAGCCTTGTAATTAAGATCTAAAGAGAATATGAAACCAGACTAGAGGAAATATTAATTTTTTTCCCTCCAATAAACTGGATATAGTTCGCTGAACCTTATGATAGACATTCGAATTTTTTTATTATGGAGAATTAATCGTATATTAAATCGTTATTTATTAGAGACTGTACAGATACAGATATTAGAAAAAACTGTCAACACTCGTCGCGTAAAAAGGCTTTCATAGGCAGAGGAAGTGGTAAGAATTCAACATTTTTCTTTATAGTATGGCGAAGAATTGTATCTTTACACAAATCTTGTAAATTAGCAACTGTAATGATTGAAATAAATGGTTTATACTCATTAGTAATCAATAGACATTGTAATTTTCGTTTTTCGATCTATGTATGTTATTTGATGGTTACCTATATTCAATTGAACTATTCTGACTTGCTTTGTTGTTCCATATACGTCTACAACGGCGTAAATTGGGGCATTCTTATAGGGAATATTTCGAGCATAACATCCACCATCTTCACCATTTATTATGAAATGCATGTCGGCTCTGTTATTGCCGTTCTCTGAGAAGAGAACGCCTATCCTACTACCAACGTCTGTAGGTAGTAACTCATCTTGCTTTCCTTTTCGGGTTGACTGAAGAACATTCTTTCTCAATCGACCTTGGCTAGTTGTAATATATTCTCCATCGGGCGATAGCAACCGAGCTGGAGGGGGGAGATCAATGTCTACTGCTATTGTGTCATCATCTTCGGGGACTGCAATGCCTGTTTTAGTTTTAGTGACTGCCATGGTCCACGTTCGACCCATATTGGCTAAATCAGGTAGAGCATACTGAGGTAGAGTGAATTTTGAAGACGGATCTAATTGTGTAAGCCCTATTCGGAGATGACCACTCCAACCCCTTTCATTTTCTTCAATTTCTAATAAGAATATCTCCCGATTCCTTAATGGTTGGCTGCTAAACGTTAAAGCGTGTGCAAAACTCTGCGATCTCCTAGCCACCATCCCTTCTTCTTTTAGCCAGATGTTTTTCCCGTGATATTCGTGGAATTTTGTCAGCGGCATTAGACTAGTTTCGTTCGAGACGAAGGGCTAATGCCTTTATATAATGTAATCGTAATAATTACCTGCTATTCAGTTTCTGTCGACATAAAATATCATAAACAATTCATCCTTTGGTGCTTGTAGGCCTAACAGCGAATTTAAGGAAACGTTTAGAGTAGAGATGATATTTGGACTGTATTACCTAATAGATGGCGCTTCGAATCTAAGTGCAATAAAGTCCTACTAATTTAGTCGATAAATTCAAACTAAATCATGTATACGGACAAAGTTATTGAAGCTGAGCACTTGGATCTTATCCATGATGTAGCCTATGATTTTCATGGACGTAGAATGGCAACTTGTTCTAGTGATCAAACAGTAAAGGTAGCTATGAGCGCCAGATATATATTATCGCTCAGCACGAGTATGTTTTTTGTAGATATGGGACTTAGAAGATGGAGAATGGAAGTGTACCGCAAGTTGGAAAACACATAATGGTTCAGTTTGGAGGGTGGCCTGGGCTCATCCAGAATTTGGGCAACTAATCGCTACTTGCTCTTTTGACCGTACCGCTGCAGTATGGGAGGAAATGCGTACGTATTCTCCACTTATCATTTTTCAAGTATCATATATTGACATTTTCAGCCGGTGAATCAAAAGATGGAAAGAAGAGTCATTGGATTAAACGCTGCAGCTTAGTCGACAGTAGAACTTCAGTTACTGATGTAAAATTTGCCCCGAGGCATCTAGGTCTACAGTTAGCTACCTGTTCTCAAGATGGTTATATTAGAATCTATGAGGCTCAGGACATAATGAGTTTAGGAAGTTGGACTAAACATGATGACGTTGCTCCTTCAGCTAATCTAAGCTGTAGCTGTCTGTCTTGGAGTTCGTCTCGTGTTCATCCACCTATGATTGCTGTTGGCTGTTATGATTCTAATCTTCCAAATCAACCGGCGAGCAAGGAAGCTCATGTTATACTGTATGAATATGGCCAGGGAAGTAGGAAATGGATGAAAGTTGAAGCTTTCTCTACGATAACGGAAACTGTTCGAGATGTATCTTTTGCTCCTAATTTAGGCAGAAATTACCATACTTTAGCAGTCGCTTCCAAGCATTTATACATCTTCTCCATTAAGCCAATAAAGTATGAAGCTTTCAAATGTTTATATCAATATTCCATCTATTTTATTTTGCAGGAAAGACTCAGTTGCTAAAGCTTCTTTAGAAGTTAAACAACTTGTTTGTTTTGAGGAATATACTTCAAAAGTTTGGAGAGTATGTTGGAATGTTACCGGTACGATATTAGCTAGTTCAGGAGAAGATGGCTGTGTTAAGCTATGGAAGGGTATTTTTTATTTGAAATAGCACTGTTCGTTTTATTTCATATTTATTATGAAAATTACAGCCAACTACTTGTCACCTTGGAAGTGTATTGCAACCTTGAAAGGAGATGGTATGAGACTTAGTTCTGTTGACTACATGAATGACCATGGCGACAAAAGATCGAAATCCCTCTACCCTCCCTTATCAAAGAACCAAGTGCCTTGGCATTAACAGTAGATAAAAACTGGTAGCCTAAGTCATAGAATGTTTTACATTTTTTTATTACACGTTTCGAAAATAATAACATTATAACGCTTTTATAACCTTTGAGAATGAATGCGAGGGAAATTTCAGATGTGGAGAGTGTAGCTAAGCTGAAAGATCGCCTGCAGAAGGATATTTATGCGTGCGATCTACGTTTGAGTATCTTTTTTGCGGCCTTAACTAGTTATAAACGGTCGTCAGTCTGCAGACCTGTACCAGCGAAGTTTGTTAAAGAGGAGGTCGATTACGACTCTATGCTGAAGTTTTTCAAAAATATACCACCTTTAACTGAAGTATTAGAAAATATTGACACCATCACAAGCGATCAGAGAGAGCTGTTAAATTGGGCAGTAGATGAAAGACAGTACTCTTTGCAATCTCGACCATCCTCATTTTTCCCTACTGTTTCTATGCTTTGCGGCCAGATTCAATCAACCATTAAACCCGATTTTATCTTTGAAGTTACTTATTCTCCAATAGTACAACAAAAGTTTAATAACTTAGCTCGGGATCACCCAACTGTATTTGCTTATCATGGTAGCAGTTTAGAAAATTTTCACTCGATTACGCATTATGGATTACAAAATCATTTGAATAAGACCTCTCTTTTTGGAGAAGGTACCTATTTATCAACTGAACTACACGTCTGCTTGAACTTTTCTTCTGTCTTTCATATTCTGCGCGAGAATCTAATCGGAAAACGATTACGATGTATTGCCGTATGCGAAGCAGTCGACAATCATGCGTGGGTTAAACGAGGCGAAACTAATAAAACGAAGGTTCCGGAAAAGTACCTGGTGGCAACCAACAACGAAGCGGTAATAATTCGCTATTTACTTATCTACAAATACGATAAAGGAAAGAAATGGGGATCGTTTTGGTTAATAATTTTTGGATATTGCTTAATACTTTTAGCAATTGCTTTGTACAATTCGTCTATTTTCAAGCGTAACTTCTAAAATAAAATTTAAAAAAAAGTAATTCACACACATATATCGTTCATAGAAGACCCATCTGCTTCAGGTACATTCTTTGAATTATTATCTGACAGTCATTGAAGACTCGTCGGATATTCTGCGTGTCGACGGCACATGTAAAGTGTGGGTAACAGCGTTTCTCTTCCTCGTTGGCCGATGTGCTGATTTTCTGCGAAATAAACGCAACATATATACGTACTAATCTATATGAAGTGGAATTTTAACAGCATCCGATAAAAATCAAAAAAAAAATACTAAATTGAACGATTTCGACAACACATTCGTACGAATACTGTATTTGTTACTTAACCTTTGCTTTTTTTTTGTGCGTTCGCGGGGGGGGCACCTGGAAAGTGACGTCTTATAAAGAAACTTGTCAGTGTATTGCACGCGCACCTGCAGTCCTACAGATGCCATATAGAATTATTATATAATCCATTTATACATAGAAACCACAATAACTGGTCGTCAAATTAACTATAATCAAGATATATCACACTTATACAAAGCGTTACATCAATGAGCATATACACAAACTGTTTGTTAGAAACACTTAAATGTAGAAGACGGCGGACGGTGCCGACTCGATCGTCAAGGCGGAAACAGAGCGGGTTTCAACAATTCGTCAAAATTTTTATTTCAGACAATTTTTCCATAAAAACTACTCTGAATTCTTACTCTTATATTATTGTTGATTATTATCATTATTATTAGTAGTAGTATTCGCGTACATCACTTTATAATCATCACTTTCGAAACGACAGCCCCCAAGTTCGATCGTCACTAGACACTGGCAACGCTCGAAACCCAACCTGAAGCCGCCGTTTGCAAAAAAATTGTCTATTTACACAAACAGTTACAGCAGTTCGTACTGCCGCAGGTGCATTCTTTGAATGATGTCTCGACAGTCATTAAACACGCGCCGAATATTTTCAGTGTCAACTGCACACGTGAAATGCGGATAACAGAAATGTCGGCCATCGTTCGTCGCCGTGCTGATTCTCTGTTGGAAGAAACAAATACGAATTTATTAGTTAGGAGTTATTGGCTGATAGGGAAAATGTTAGAGGAGAAATTTAAGAGAGCGTCGTTATTTAATGAACTGCATTTAAATTTATTATAAGAAGTGGTTAAACAAATGTAAACGCCATATTTTTTCGTTATTCCACATCTCCGTCAAGCTACTTACATTTTATAGATCTACTTCCAAATATGTTCGTGAAACGGGGTAAAAAAAACTAGCAAAATGTATCTCTAACGATATGCGCGAACCTAACTTTTCTCGAAATGAGCCTATTCGTAACTGGATACTCACTAAGAATTCATCCCTAATAAAAAACTTGGCACGGACGACTTCCGGGTCTTCGCTGTTATCGCCAGACATGGCATCCGCCGGTGTGGTGTAACGAGCAAAATCTGGAAAATAATCTTCAATCTTCGATTTTCCCGCTTTAACTTTCTCAGCAAGCAGGTCTTGTTTGTTCAAGAACAGGATTACCGATATCGTTCTCAGCCACCTATGGATAAAGTCAAAAATAGACGTATTTTTACCAGTTTATCTCTAATTTTTACCCTACCGGTTATTCCAAATGCTTTTAAATAATTCTAACGATTCTTTGAGCCGATTTTGACTGGAATCTTCTCGTAACACAAGATTATAACTACTGCACGCCGTTACGAATATGATAGCTGTCACATCGTTAAAGCATTGAATCCATTTCCGTCTTTCGTCCCTTTGACCACCGACGTCGAACATACTGAAAGTAGATGGCGTTAACTTATCGAAATCAATTTGTCCGTTGCTAAGGGAATTTCTTACACTTACTGAAAATTTACTTTATCCACTGTGAATTTAGTTTCGAAGATACCGGACGTCAGTACACGACACCTCAAAATGTCCTGAAATGGCAAAGGTGTTAACAAACGCAGCTAATTTTTTAAAGAATTAATTCTTTAAATAGGTAACCTGTTCGGATGGCACATAATCACTTTGCTTCACCTGCGAGACGCGATCGAGGAAACTGTTGAAAATATAAATCACCCGTAAAAAGATACGCTTTTGTAATTATATGAACATTTTTTGGGCGCCTAAAATATAAATCGACCAGCGAAAGTATCGATTACGACCAAAAGCAGGGTCAAGGATGATGCATTGTATAAATTGTTGGCCGTCGACCTCATTTTCCAAAAATACACAAACGGTCTACAATGATGGCGCCCGCAATTGACGCTGATCAATGATACCACTAGACGGCGTTCATCGTACCAGACGCTTCATTCTATTTCTGCCTAGCAAATTCCTCTTCGCATAATAATCCAACGCGCGGTTTAACAAAATTAATTAATCGCATCACTTACTATTTCGCGCAATCAATCAATTGATATTCATTCGCTCTTTCGAAACATGCTTGTACTCCTGAATCCTTCCACAATACTTCCGTGTGCTCGTAAAATTCCTGAAAATAAAGGCACGGTTATACATAAAAGAAGTAATATCCACAGTACGTAATAAGCTTTACTTCTCCAACAGCTACTTACTGGAGGATAATCGAAATCTGCTTTACTAGCCTCGTCTTGTATATAGTCGACTCTGTATTGGTTTTCTGGATGTTCCAAAGCTATGGGCGGGTTCAATGTGTTCATAGCACCCGTTATTGTCTGTCAAAATATATTAAATAATTAAGTAAATGAATAAACAAATGCTAATTAAACACGTTATAAACTAATTCAAACTTTCGTACAAGAAGCCATATATATATCTATAAAGCGGGTCGAGTCCGTTAATAGTTTATTGATTATCGAACGACGGCTCTTATAATCTAGGTTCCACCACTCATTCAACGCCCATAGCAAACAAAACTTCACTACTGACTTGGAAATACAATGAAATATGAGAGAAAAGAGAAGAGGAAAGAAAGATTTGTGCAACTGTTATCATTAATCAGCCTACTTCCCTTGAAAGAGAGCCAGCAGTAAATATTCCAGAATTTGTACTCGAATTAAAAGGACAGATAGGTTAAATTGATAATAACAGAAGCATCGATATTAATCACCTGGCGACATGGTATTGCAATTATTGCTCCTAAAAATAGTTGCACTCATCAAGAATAGGATTGAGTAATCGACGATTATATATTATCCCAGTCAACAAAACAGCCTTCAGCAAATATTCAACAGATTACAAATCGAAAGCAAAACAATAAAACTGATCTAACTGCACAGAATGATCACAGTAGATTCCATTTTAGGATTTATATCTATAAATATATATATATATATATATATATATATATTTATATACCTATCTATATATATATATATATATATATATATATATATATATATATATATATATATATATATATATATATATATAAATATATATAAGATAGCTTCTATATATGGAAAAGCTCGCACAGGCGAATTTCGTTATAATCATAATAATAGAGATTTCAATAAACGAGATTAGGCGCACCTGAATTAATGACCTACAAAGGCTTAGATTACACAGGTGTCAATATGACTCACCAAAATGGCGTCTCGGACATTTTTCTTTATATCGTCGACCTTCCGCTTCTTTTCTCTGCAGAAGAAGAAAGAGTATGCAATGGTTGATGAGCGATAATAGGGTTATCTAGTAATGTTGGAACAGTAACTAAGAACACTTACTGAGCGTCAAATCCATCGACATGTAAAATTTTCATTTGTTTTACAATTGTAGATTTTCCAGATTCTCCAGCGCCTACCGAAACAATGAATATAAAAATATGAAATACTAGTTGATTATCATAAGACATGCATAACACACGCGTACAGCACGAAAATCAGCTAACTAACCGAGTAATAATAATCTGTGCGTAGCGCGATACAATTGTTTGTCCTTCTGCAATTGTTTTTCGATTTTTTTATTAGCTTCCTTTCGATTTTTCTCGTCCTCGTCCTCCTTATTTTTCGCAAAGCAACCCATCATTGACCTTAAAGGCAGGCTGGCACGACGGCCTCCACCGCTTTCGGCCCTTTCTACGCGCGCCACTTCAGTATCTTTTGAGTTGTGCAATTATCCGAGGGATTCAACAATCCATAAAGTTTAGTTTCCACTTGAATAAATTCTGTTATCGTGCATTCAATCACTGATTTTCGCAAAAATTTCTAAGGCTCAGGGTGCGGTTAAGTGCATTCTGGGAATGCTAGCCATAATGAGTCACGTGATAAGAAGATTCGCTGCATTTTCATTTACGTATTATCCGCACACTTTTGACCGATAAATATCTTATTTATTTTTCTCACATCTTCATTAATTATCCAATTGGATTTTAATCACTTGCGATAACATATATTTTACTTCCGTCACCATCGCCATCTGACGGCCGTTCGAAAAATTTTTAGGGAAGCGACGACAAAAAATTCGAAAAACAAGTTGAGAGGAAAATTTGGCCGAATAGCGGTTAAAAATAAGCACAGAGGCCTCGAAATAATCCGCCTCATTCAATAATAATTTCATTGCTGTTTATACTTAAAAAGCATACAGCAGCTAAGCCATGATCAATCTTCCTTACAATACGAATGCTTTCAAGTCAGAGATTTATACATAATACATGCATACGCAGTATACGATACGACTTTTACAAGGTAAAACATTAAGAAGTAGATAAAAAACAGTTCGTACCTAATAAAAGCAGCCGATGAGTCGCCTTGTACCTATTGGAAAGGGAAAAAAATCATTAACTGGCTTTAAAACAAAGTCTATCGATTCAGCCAAGATATTCAAATTTACTTTTGTTTATCCTTTTCTAATTGCTTTTCAATCAACTTGCTCTTATTCTCTTGCTCTTTGCTCTCATCATCTTTTCCACTTCCCAAGCAGCCCATGCTGCCGTTCGAACGCCTTTCTTAATGCAACATGACTCAATAAACCGCCGCCGCCGCCGCGACCACTTAGCAACGTTCTAACACGCCATCTAGGAAATTTTTCCAACAAACTATATAAGTTACCATGAGAACCGTTCATAGGTTTGTATGTATTGTGTAAACAAATAATAATAACACAAACAGCGACCAAATCAATGTAGGACATAATATGCAACACTTTTTTTACAGAATGCATTTTCCTCAAAGTTCAAAAGCTTCTTTCTTAGTCGTTTTCAAGGGTGTGTCGCGTGTACTTGTCCATCTCGCCTTACATCTTTTATTCCATTCTTTTGACAATCTTCCAACAAAACAAGCACATAATACCTAAATGTGCCTAAGGTTCTTCGAAAGTGATGGACGAGAGATGGCGATAGCAGTAGATGGTCGGCGCTTCAACTTTTTTTTTTTGAAGGAAATGATATTATTTACCTTTTGTAGAAAAATATTTATTTATTATTATTTTCCTAACCAGGAGCCAAGTTACGATCTATATATATATTTGTTTTGATTAAAAACGAGTAATATTTAACAGTTCATTACCATTTCCATATGTTTATAGTATATAACCTACAAATTTTTCGGTGCGTAAAAAATAACATCCTCTTTCGAATAGAACGCCACCTGCACCAATCGCCCGAGTTTCAAGCTGAGTCGAACACAGAAATAAACCAAATCTTTCGAATAGAAGTGTGCGAGATAAATTGAAGTCAACGCCTACAAACATGGTACGTATTAGCAATTCGTAAACTTTTTTACTTATTAACTAATACACTGGTTAACGATTTGTTTCAAGATTATTATGTACTTTATATAGCTGCCATTATTAATTATGATTAAGACAACAGATTGTGATCTAATGCATTTTCTAACATATTAGCTGGAATTAGTAGATCGATTTGTAGAACCTAGAAAGCCTCTTTCCCAACTTCTTTGATTTTCTTTACATGGATAAGAGTTTTAAGATATGTAAATGTAAATTTTTATTCCTATTATTAAGAGCTTCCAGACGTTCAAGTGCACAGCATTCTCAGTCAGTCTATACGTGGGCGTGTGTTCGTTATTACGTTCCGTAATCTTATTATCCCGCTCTAACCGGAACTAGACCACACTTATACTTTCAGATAGCGCCATCTAATGCATTTTCTTATCTTGATATACTAGTTTTTTTTGCCTTCTATACATTTTCTTTCTTTAACAGCTATACTATTACATAAAGAAAAAACACTACCTTAGCCTTATATCAATAAATCGTACATATATAATGTTTATTTGTCGATTTCAAAGATTAGATCAGACGAGAATTGGGCATAAAAACTTTCTAGCACATGTTCAACATGCAAAACCAACTTCTTTTTGCCCATTTATTTGATTTGTTCATAAAAAATTTCCTTCTTTCCCTCTCTCCCCACTCCCCCTACCTTTATTTTCTTCTTTACTCTTACTACATACTCGATAGGCCTAAGAATAGATAATTTTACACGGCAAATAATGGGAATAATCGTCGTCTTTTTGCGCAATTTTTCTACAATAACCGTTGAATAAGCAAGTCTTTTAAGTGAGAATATGAATAGAATGTCAACTGACTAATATATATTTATAGAGGGACGTATAAAAAAATTTCCTTATATAAATATCGATATAGAAATTTGTACATATAGTAAAATGCGAAAAAGTCTTAGTAAAACGATATGAACAGGAAGTGATAGAGAGTAGACATAGAAAGAGGAAGAGAGAGAGAGAGAGAGAGAGAGAGAGAGAGAGAGAGAGAGAGAGAGAGAGAGAGAGAGAGGGGGAGTATATGCTATGTACACTTGTACACTCTCTGTACTGGTTGAGACTGAAAAACAAGTAGAAGTACTTTAGAAACTAGTTTATGGAAAAAACGCGAGTGCCTGAATTAGCTCAATAGAAAGGGAAAAGCCAAAGAATAGGAGAGAAGAGCGTTGAAGATTGATAGAGAGATAGATAGACCTATAGAAATAAAGGTAAAAGAGCGAGGCAGGTGCTGGGAAGGAAGATCGGTTGAAAGGTCGCGAAGATTAGCGGACAGGTATGGATAATTGATAGATTTATAAGCTCCGCCTACGCTATGTAAAAACATTCAACAAGCGCATCGATCAAGCGAATAATTAAGACGCTTAAGTAAATCTAATTAAAAAGCAGTAAAGGAAGACGATAGTGGGGGAGTAGAAGAGAATTGTACAATTTTCTCGCTAAATAAACAAGTTCCAACTGGCAACAAAGGCCTGAAGTAATAAAAAAAAGTATTTAACTTATTCAATACCTAATTATTAAGGGTGCACGTGCAGAAACACGCTCAAACAGATGGTCCATAAATATTCATTAGATAAAGTTGTCCGTTGTGTGTATTTCCTATAAAATTTTCACGGAAACCCAGCTTTTAGGGTGCGGGAAGAGAACCAGGCTACATATTGATTCGGCTCGGCAGCTAGAGAGAAAAAAGAACAAGCGGTAGACTCAACGTTGCGGTTGTAGTTTTCGAATGATTCACTGCAAAATCTTTTTAATCGGATGCGTTCTGCAGAGAACTTAGCTATACCTTTCGATGGCTAGGTTATTTAATCATAACTTGGATTTGAGGTAGGATCTTTAGATATATAGCAGTCTCTTTTTTCTATCTCTCTACTCTCTATCATTAAAGCCCTTTTTACCCTTTCTACCTTTTCATATCGACTCATTGCATCAAGCTATATTTATATATAAATGTTCTACATAGTACATGCGGTACATATTATAATAATTACGTATAATAGGCCTGAAATAGCTTTCGATAAAATAACATGGTACAGACGCGTTTTTTTTTGTATCGATTTTCGACCCCAGACATACAAACGAGGTATTTGTAGACTTCGGATTTCGAGAGTAATTTAATCGAATTCGGCGCAAAGCAGATGCGGGAGAGCTCAATTTGTAGAATTCAGTTAGCTTTGGGCGCACTTTTTTCTCCCCCCTAAAACTCCCCCATTATTTTTGGTTGTGTGCGCCCCCCTTACTATTCCACTCCCCCTCCCCATTCTTTTTCTCTCTCACCTCTCTTTTTTATTCACTTCCAATACAATGTTTTTGTAAAACGTCCTCGTCGTAGCATTCTTGACGTGTTTAACATTCTATTCGTATTTTATTAATACAGGAGCAACAAATCGAACGACGACTCACTACAGATTTAGCTACCGAAAGATTAAGGGCTTCTTTCATCTATACAAACGGTAACGACGAGGAAAACTGTAGAGCAGAGGCTGAATTGGACGCTGTCTTAGATTTACTAAATTCCCTAGGTAAAGATATAGATAGAGAGTGTGAAAAGTCAGCGATGATTCGTAAATTTTCCGTGCCTCCTGAGTCATCGATGAAAAAAAATTCCTCTGATAACTCATTAAATAAACATAGACGGGGTTCCCTTCCGAAAGTTCCGCAGCCTCCTCTACCTCCGGATAATTTTGTTGCTCCACATTGTGAAGCCGATATGGACTCCGCCTATTCCGAAACTATGTCTCTTCAAAGTATGCCTAATTCCGACAGTCGTTTATCTGTTACGACTGCAATCAGCCGACACAGTAGCTCGTCTTCGAGCAGTGGCGGTTCTCGCGGGGTTCCAAATCAGCACTTAAATCAAATTCAGGCCGAAGAGGCCGCAAGGGTAAAAGCTGACAAGCTTCGCATGGCTATACAAAAGATAAAAGATGCTAATATTCGTAAATTATTCCTTCGCATATTCACTGCTGATGGTTGCTCCAAGAGTCTCTTTCTAGATGAAAGCATGACCGTTCGGGACGTGGTTGATGTATTAGTTACTAAAAACCATTGTAGACCTACCCCTAGCTGGGCTCTCGTCGAACAAATACCCGAATTACACATGGAGCGTTTATTAGAGGATCATGAGAGACTGGTAAGCGTCTGTCTCGATTGGCCAAATGATAAGGATAACAGTAACAGAATTTTATTTGTAAGAAGACCTGATAAGTACGATTTATTCGCTAATCCTCACGATTATCTTATGACGAACGACGTCTGCTCTGTCCGACAATTGGAGGCAGCTGATAGAGAATTACTAGTTACAGAATGTTTTGCTGATAATGTTATACGGGTACCGCAGCTAGAACATTGTTTATGGTTGAAGATTGAAGGAAAGAAAAGTTGGAAGAAGCACGTATGTTTGCTAAGGCCAGATGGGATTTATCTTGTAAAAGGAAGGTGTAAAAGTGGACATATCGAGCTAATGCCGTATGCATCTTTGGCAAATGTTGAAGTATACACGGCAATTGATTGGAAAAAACGTTTAAAGTCGCCGACCGAGTTCGGGTTTGCCTTAAAGCCAAGTCATGTTCATTCAAAAAATTTGTCAAAGTATGTTAGATATTTATGCGCAGAATCTAAAAAGGTTGCTATGCATTGGTTAATGGCAATTAGATTGGCAAAAGTCGGCCATCAACTGCATGAAAATTTTGAGTCGGCTAAAGCTAGCGTTGCGGCCTGCAGTAGAACTAACTCTTTCTGCAACGGTTGTCTATCACCGCAGAGTGGCTTGGCGCCACCTGTAGGCCATCGTCGAGTTCCCAGTGGTGATTCTGGAATATGCGAGGAAAGAAAGCTAAGGAGAGAGGAATACTTTCCGGAAATTCCGTCGGCAGAATCACTGGAAGCTTTAAACCAAATCTGCAGAACAACAAGTTCTCTTTCAATATCGTCCGATGTAACCCTGCCACCACCTCCCAAGAGTAACCCATCGTCACCTGTCGTTAGTAGACCTACTCACAGACGTAACGCAAGTGCTGGAGAAATATTGGATACGATCGATCTTCCCCCACCCCCTACAGAACTTCTAATGAATGAACCGGAAATCGAAAATCCTTATGCCTCTCCCAAACGTTCCTGCCAACATCCGCCAGTTGTTCCAATCCGTAATCGTTCAACTCAACTGAGCTTCCGACACAAGATGGAGACAAATTTTTAAGAAAACACTTAAAACAAAACAAAACAAAACAACCAAAAACATTTTCATTACCCGAAACAAAAACTTAAGAAAGAAAGCATAACCCTCTTATACTTCTTTTTCCAGTATTGATCGTAGTGGACATTTCTCCGTAGAAGAAATTTAGCTTAAAAAACACTATTAAAGCATAAAAAAAATAGTAAAAAGCGTAAAACAAACAAAACAAACTATCCAAAAATAACAAACAAATAAGAGAGAAAGCAATCTTTTTGGATGCAGCTAGGAGAAAGAATAGGGAACATTTTCTTCCCTTTTTTTTACTAAACACTTAAACTATCACCTTCTCTCCCTTCTTCTCCTTCTCCTCCCAACAAAAAAAAAAGTTTTTTCTTTTGCAGTGCCATATTTTATCAGAAAAAAATGAGAAGATTCTCTTTTTATTATTCATTAATAAGGAAAGATGAAGAAATCACATGTGCAGTCTTTTAAAAAAAAAGCTCTTGTTCGTAGTGAAAAATTTTACATTTCTTTCTTTTTCTTTTTTTTTTTAGAGAAAAAAGTAAAAGAAGTATTTCTACTCTTTATAAGTTTATTCATCTCATCTTTATCAGACTATACGTGTATACAAATATCGATCAGAATATAAACAACCACAGTAATACTATCAGTATATTATAACTTTATCTGTAATTGATTATTCCTTCCTCTTAAAGATTATAGTCTCGTCAATAATATTTCATAATAAAATATATGAATGAACAGTTGTATTTTGATATTTTAATTGTAGGTTAGAATAAATTATAGTTATCTTAATCGGAATATAATTAATGGAGCATATAGATAGATTATCTGATTAGGATCGATAATATAGATAATTTATCTATAGATTGCTTTTTTATGCCATTGCAAAAACAAGAAATAATCTAATATAAAACAAGTTCGATCGATTGTATTTATTAGTTAAATTACAAGTTATTTAACAGGCTCATAATACCTTTGGTAGTACTATGCAATGCTAGGTTTAGTTTCAAATAAACAGTCATTATAGGCGATGAAAGATAGATGGAAATCCTATATTCTTCAGACCAAGTAAAGGTTATTGAGAGTAATTAAAAACGGATTTTTTCCTCTCTGTTTTAGAGTTAGATTAAAAGAGAAAATGAGCTGTGCAGCATGCGAAAAAAGGATTGAAAAAATGAACAAAAGATAAATACGTCTAATAGATTATTGATTATCTCTATCTAATTTTTTTTATGCCGTGATGAATAATAAGTCCATTTTATAATGTGCAGGATTAAGTAAAATGGTTCCAAAAGCCTTTTTTCTACGGAAAAGAGGTTTATTACTCGATTGGCTATTTCGTTAAGATAATTTAAAAATGGGGTGTCAAATCAGAAGAGAAAATCAGAGGAAGGAAGCTATATAGAGCCACGTCGTAAACTAATTAGATACAATATGTAAAAGTTTCTTGTTTGAAGGCTGTTTTCATATATCTAAGGTTTCTTTCAAGGGTCAAAACACAGATTGAAAACAAAAATAAAATTCCCTCTAGTACGAATAATTTGCATATTTCCGATTAAGAAGACTAAAATCAAGTTAATAATTAGTATAAAGTCTTCATTCAATCCAAGTCGGGGTTGGACAAGGAAATGAAAAAAAGGGAAAATCGGGCTTTTCCTTTTTTCTTTTACCTTTTCATTACCAGGATAATTAAGATTAATGTTATTCTATAGAGGAATAAAAACGTTCGAGTTATTCCTAGAAGAATTAAACAAAAACATATAAACTATTTATATATTCAATCTGATTATTAAAAGAAAATATTAAAATTCTAAATTAGCCTATTAATTAATGAATTAAATAATAATAATTATGGATATAAATTGTAAGTTTCTTTAACAATATCTGTTTATTAATCTTGGTTGAAACACTAAAAATAAAGGAGGACACAACAAAATGGCAACTTTTTTCAATATTTATCAAAACTTGGGAAAAATGGAGAAAAAGAACTTTTTTTGAACAATCTGAGCATACATTATTACAGTTTTTTGTTTGTATTGTTACAAGTATCATTAATCTATGCATTATACATATCATTGTCATTATATACTTGTGTTTGTTTGTTTGTAACTCAATAAATTTAGAGCTTTATTGAGGAACTAGGATCGTTTCGACGAATAGACCTGGTTTCTGTCATTGCGACGCTACAATATGTTGGATTCAATTGCGAATCGCTTGTTTGTCTTTTTATATGTCTATTTAGTTTATTCGAACGGCAAGTGAGTTTGTAATATAATCTAGAGTAGCCAAGTCTTACTTCCGGTGTTCTGATGGCGTAAATCAACGGGTCTGCGATAGTGTTCATGAGAAGCAGATCATACAGTAACTCATTGGCGTACGTTAATCGTTGCAATAATTCTGGATGAGTGGGCAAATAATCTGGATCGATGCTGACGTAAATGATAAGTACCACTTCGAATAAACAAAGAGGTAGCCAAGTTATAATGAACGTCCCCAAAATTAAGAGTGTTGTAATTAAGGCTCGCTGATGACTGGCTCTGATTGCCTCGCCTGTGTCCTGAAACAACGGCATTCTGTGGCGCTGTCGAACTTTAAGATATATCCGAACATAGACGAATGCCATTAAGCCCAGTGCTCCAAAGGCAATGGTAAATACTAAGTACTCTTCGTTATACTTATTAAACATGACCCTCTTGCAATAATTCAGCTCACCGCTGTAGTGGGGATTAATAAGGAAAGGTGTAAAGAAATCGCTAAAGCCAGCAATGAAGGAGAAAATCCACAGCATAGATATTATAATGGCCGTCCTACGTGTTGTCAATAAAGAAGGATGATGTAATGGTCTTAGTATAGCTAAGTAATGGTCAATTGCCATTGCAACAAGATTTAAAAGACTTATTACAAAAGATGTGCTATTCAACGCTTTTATCGAAATATAAGAGCACTCCGATACCAGTAAAAGGAAGGGAGCATCTTTAGTAGAACTTGGTTTTAAAACTTTGTTTATCATATGTAGAGCGACGCTAAAGCCGATCAATGCATCAGACAGGGTGAGGCTGCAGATGAGCATGAAGTGTGCTTTCGAGCCTATTCTCGAAGGCGTCTGTCTGATAGCAGCGGCTGATAAGAGATTGGATAGTATGCAAATAAGGCTTAACGTTAGTGCGGTCATTTTTATCGGAGAATGTAGCAATTCATTCAAACGCATTTCCAAATCATACTTGTATGGTTCTATCTCCTCCATAGAGCTATAGTTTGTCATCTTTTTTTTTAGTGTTGACACACTTTTCTCAATTAATTCCACCCCCGGTTGTTCCAGCGGACAAGTGCTGATTAATTGACCGAAGGCAAAAATCCAACTGAAAAAGAAAACATGTAGACTTGTATATCATTGCTAACTATCGAAGATGCTTTTGTAAGTGATATCAACAACACTAAGATATCATTACGTGATTGCATTTACCGACCAAGTCGGCTGCTGGAACCAAATCATTTTTCAGAATTTCCTTAAATTCAACCTTTCAACACTACGTAGATTAATAACAGCGGATTGCAAAAGAAGGTAGAATATGTTCAAAGTGGATACTAGTTATAATACATATACGCCATTATTCATTTCAAAGCCCGTGTATTGTTAACACAAAATCTATTCTCAGCTACGGTCCAACGATTATTCCATTTTTTTTTAAAAGAATCTTATTCTAGTGATCCTCTCTTCCCTACTCCTTGTCAAATTGGAAAGATACCATACAGGAAAGTCAAGTTAGTATAAAGTATAAAAGATTGAAATCAAATTCGATACTGTTATTAGTAATTTCATGACACTTTGGATGCAAGCGTTTATTAAAGGGGACAATCTATTTTGTCTGCGCTCACCGGGTTGTCCCCGGTGACACGCACCTTGTCACCATAAGAAGATTGTGCTTTTATTCAACACCATTATGTTATTGCGATAAAACGTCTGTCCGTCAATTTATTCTAGGATTATTTTCTCGCTGACCAAAATGTCGAATTAGGCTGGCGGTGACTTTGTTACTGACATTTACCGACAACATCATATCTAAGCGGTCGGAAAATAGAAGGAATAATTTAGCCATCAAGCGTCGCTTTACAACTTTTTCTGGTTTTATACCAAAGATAGATTTTATATATTAAAAGAGCTTTGTCTTTCCAAATCTAAATAGTTTACGTCAACATTAATTATGAATAAAATACGTCATTTAGTAACTTATTGTATATCACTCTTTTCAGCTTTTATGTAAGGAGGAGAGCAAGATGATAAATCAAAAACCTGTTGAATTCATTTTATGTCGATATCAGAAAATTGGTTGAAACATGTGCTACTTTTTGATCAATAATATGATTTCACATTTGAATTTCTCTGCCTGTTTTTTTCAGGTTTATCTCTTAGTGTTTAATATATACAAAACTTCCACTTAATTAAAATACGAAATACTAACTATTAGAAGAAATATTCAATGATTTCCATGTAATTACTTAATAAATAATGCACAAGACTATAAAAGCAGAACTTATCATGTTAAAAAAGATAGTATCTTATTAAAGAGAACCAAATCTTGTTCACATAGATAAAACAACGAAGTATATTAAATCAAAAGAGCGAACTGTCAGCAGGGGAAAAATGGACGGTCCCTAAATTAGTTATAAGTTTCACCAAGTTCGGTTTATAGCAACGACAAAGGGAAAAACAGAATAGGATAAAAGGATAATAAAAACAAAATATTTATGAGTCCGACTTGTCCAATTAAGAAGAAAAAAAGGGTAATGAGTAAACTAAAGGGGGAAAGGGAAAGAAAACAACGTACCTGCTATACCGCAAACGACCACCAAGGAACGTATATCCGTTCGAGCTTTGCAGTAGCGCGCCTTATCGACGCGTTTAACCAATCAGGTATTTGCATTGATTCTCTAAGTATATGTCAACGTTTTTTTCATATAGTTAATTTCTAAAGACACTATTGCGTGTTTAAATAGATTCAAAAAAGAAGATTTCAATAAACACTTATGACACAAATTAAGTGTCTAATATTTAAAAATACGGTATATATATCCCATATAATATCAAATATATTTGGTATTCAGTATATAGGAATACAATATATAAAAAAAAAACACTGTAATATGTCTTCCCTACTATTACAAGTGTTATTTGTTTATATTATGGCCGAATTGCTGTTGGCTATTAATAGCACCATAGGTAATATTAGCAAATATTTCAAGAAGTATACTAATTAACGAAGAAGAGTCAGTGCAGCGTTAATTGACTCTTTCTGATTCACATTTCAGACAGTGTCATTAATAATGGCACGTACAGGCGAGAATTAGCCTTGATGGTTGAAAAGGAAGCAGAGATGCAACAAATCTCTAATAATGTTCCTACATTATCCACATTCGGCTTATGTCTGATATTATTTGCTGTGACAATCGCAAGTGAGTTCTCCCTTTCAATTTTTTTCCCATGTATCTCTAGAATTAAGATACTATAGAAAAGATGTATAAAATATCTTGAGCGCGAAATTAATATTAAATAGGTACTCTTTCCGTTCTCTTGTGTTGGTGTGTTATAAGGCGTATAGATTTAGCAAAGCAGAGGAGAAATTACAAAGAATTCAATCAAGTAAGCTAAATTACAATTTACTATAGTCCACTTTAAAATATCCTCTAATCCAAAGAAATAAAACTAATTATAGAACCTATATAAGATCGACTTGATTGACGAGAAGGGAAACTTCTTACTACTGAATACGAATAACAAAGCAGGCGTGCTTTCTAAGTTTGTCGATCGTTTTAGGATAAAGTCGAATAAATATAAGCCTGTGGAAAAAGATGTTTCTATTGTTCAATCTCTTACAACATTTCAAGATCAGTCATTTATGAAAGATGATGTTTGGTTAATTTTAGATTCATCTACAGCATCTACTTTAGATGTCAATGAACTCGAATAGAGAAACACTTAAGTGGTAATTATTGAGTGAACTATTACCAAGATTATAAAAAATAATTTAAAAGATTGAAATTTCTTCGAAAACCCTGAGTTTCTGCTTTGGATTAGTGGCTAATTCAATAAAATCCGTTTTCCATTAGTTTGACCATTGACCTCCGGTGACATGGGCCGTTTGTTATTATCGTTTACATTCTTTCTGGGTGATTCATATATATTAAGGTTATAGCAAGTGCGGCAAACTGCCAAGTATTTTTCCATTCCGCCTATTTTTCGAAGTGTTAATTGTTAATGATGTATCATAAAGAAGTGTAAAAATTGTATAGAAAACATACCTATAACTTCTATTTCTTTTTCACCGCCCTTCCTTTTAGTAAATGATGCATCACCGTAGCATGTCATACAAACTGCTGTCAATTTTGTTACATTCTCTGCTAAAGGTACCAGCTCTAATATTTCTCCAAACGGTTTCCTCTGGAAAGTTCCATCCAGGGCTGATATAATAATAATTTTACCTCTATTAGCCATATCTTCGCAAAATTCAACAATATCGGGAAAAAATTGACCCTCGTCGACTCCAATTACATCACAATTTTCGGCTAATTGTCTAATTTTCTCTAATTTTGATGTTGATACAGCCGATAAGACTTGCTTGTCGTGAGTTGCCAAGCATTGTTGGTCATACCTTGTATCGTTTTCGTATTTAACAACGAGACAATGATAATTTGCAACCTGAAATCGTTTCATTCTTCTTATCAATTCACTGCTGTTAAAAGAGGGAGAAGTGGAAAGTAAGGTTTTCTTTCAATAAAAAGTGTTTTATATTTACGTTTTGCCAGAAAACATTGGCCCAAAAATAATCTGAATTCTTCCTCCTCCGCGATGCATTTGATGAAAATTATTAGACATGATGAATATAAATAATGTTAAAAAATTAAAAAAGTAACTAAAACGGACGATAAAATGCAGTACACGCTAGTTTTTAAAATTTCCCACTCAAATGAGTGGCTCACGTACAGTCCACTTAAAATTGATAAGAAGTTTTAATGGGGAGCACTGATCCAGGTTTGATAGTTTTTTACAAACGGAAATTGTGAACCGGATGTACACATGTAGGCAAAAGAAATGTCGTTAGAAGATCGGCTTAATAAAATTTTAGAACAAAAGAACAAAAGTTCGAAGGATAGTACTGAAGACCAGTCTGTATCAATCTATACGAGTCGAAAAGCTTTACGAAACTCTAAAGATGAAATTATTCAAGAATATGAGCAGGTATTGTTATATAATCTATCAATGCACTAAAATATCTCAGCCTTTACGTTTCTTTTTACCACAGATGGCTCAAAAGAAAGCTTCGAAAGAAATCCAATCTCTGCAATCCTCGGGAGCTTTACCTGAAAATCTCAGTAAAAGGCAAGAAAAGAAAACACGTAGAGAAGAACGGAGTAAGACCAAAGGTCTTAATTGGTTCGATATGAAGGCTCCGGAGATGACCGAAGAACTAAAGAATAATTTAACAATCTTACAATATCGACGTGCTCTAGATCCTAAAAGATTTTATAAGGCTCCTGATTTAAAAACATTGCCAAAATTCTTTCAAACGGGAAAAGTTATAGAAAGCCCCGCAGAATTCTACTCCAGTAGAGTGCCTATAAAACAACGTAAAGCAACACTAGTAGACGAATTACTGGCTGATGCAGAATTCAGAAAGTTTGTATTTCCGTAAACAAGTTTTCTCTGAGGATTTCGAATATAACAATATCTTTATTTGTCCCATATAGATATAACAAAAAGAAGTACGAGGAGATACAAAAAGTCAATATGAAAAAGAGGAGATCAGCAACAAAACGCTCAAAGCATTTGAAGAAAAAGAAAAGATAATTCCCTTATTTTTCTGTTTTCTATGTGAAGTGGACTAATATTATTTCAACACTGGGAAATTTTATAAATAGTGTATACTAAAGCTAATTGAAAGACTTCTACTCAAAATAAAAGGGTTATCCTTGTGAATAAAACACAAATAAACATAAAGAACCGAAACCTCTATTATCTTTAATTGTCTTTGGTATTCCGTATAAGAGCAACAACTTTTTAGCATTTCGAAAACTGCAAACAAGGATATGGTAATAGACATAAAAGACAAAGGAAACAATACAGCAAGAAGCACGTTAATTTATTCACCATTTTTTTCCATTATTATTCAGCATTAACTGCTACTGGCTATGGACAATTCCAAGGTTTATAGGTGTTTAATTATAGTCTAATTAATATTTAGCCATGTAATTCTTCTTTATGAGGACATTACGTTACGAGTTTGTTAAATATTATTGTTGTTTTCTATCAGTTTTACCCTCCCGTAATCTTCAATGGTAAATAGTATGTAGCAAAAAAAAGGCAGTTTTCCAATACTGTCATTCATAGAATACTAAGAGCTTTATGAAGTTTGGCAATTGAACCAATTTTTGGACTTTATGTGACGTAAATATAATATTTTATCGTGTCCATATTAATCAATATATTGGACAATAAAAACAGTTGAAGCAAAATTGTGACTTATCGAGTAATATTTTGAATTTTCAATAATTTTCGCGCGGTCTACAACTTCCGGAATATGGCTACCCAATATAACATTAAAATTTGAGACGCCACCTGCAATACTCCTGATTGTATTTCTTTTTTTTTTTGTTTTGTAATATGAACTATTGTATACAGTGAAAAAGGGAAGAGTATGATTGGAACGAGTCTAGCTATAAGTGCCGGAATTTGGGCAGCATTAGCCTCCATGTTTGGAAAGATTGCTGCTGATTCCTTCGCTTCTGAACTATCATGCAATTCCACTCGAAAGCACTTGGTTGACTTTTTGCAAGAACATTCAGTCAGGTTATCGATTCCGCAATGTTCGAATGTAAGTCTCATTGACGTTTTTCCTTCTTTAAGGATTTACACGCACTAAATAATCGTCTTTTATCTACAATTTTCAGTTACTGCTCTATTATCGAATGATCTCTTTTCTACTAGTTCTTCTATGCAATGCTATAATGTGGACTATGTTTGTTAAATCTCTACAAAAGTGTAGGAGTAGCCTACAGGCTACAGTAATAAATACATCATCAAACTTTCTTGTAACGGTAAAAAAATTACATAAAGAGTATGTTATCAGTCATTGTAATGCTTAATTTCACTCCATTAAGGCTTTAATTGGGCGATTCCTCTTCCAAGAAACGCTCTCTCTGCTATGGTGGACTGGAGCTTCACTTATATTGATTGGACTGTTGATGATACAAAGAGATAATCCATCTACCCTGGAAACATCTTTAAATTCAAGGGAAAAATCCGACTAGACTGATTTTTATAGTGCTCTCAAAGTGAAATGTATTAAAATTAAAAAGACAGAATATGTTTTAACCTACATAAAATATTCACCAAAATCTTATAATTTTCTTTCTTAACTCTTTTTACAACATTGACTTTAGACTCAGGAAATAATACTCTTGTCACTCTAGAATTCTTTTGTTACTTAACTTGCAATAATTATTTAGAAATCAATTATTTTTAGAGGAAACTTGTAGAAAAACTAATCAATTAATCTGAATTGTTAATATACTGTATATGTATAAAGTATGTTTAGGATACATACAAAATCCACTACCTTTTCAAAATGGAGACTTCGCAAATTCATTTTAGGCAACTAATTCTTTATGACATTTTGGACAAGCAATATTTCTACGATTGCAAGAATATATTATTCAAGGTACAATGCATTTGTTAACGCGTAATGAAAGTACACTTATCTTTAATATTCTTCGTTAAATAGCGAGAGAAAATGTACGGTTTTTACGAAGAAAAGCGGCTTTTTTATTCTTTTACCGTGATAAAAGGTTATATTAATAAAAATTTCTTTAAATAATGATTATTTTGTCTACAGTTTAATTACTGCCTATTTAATTATTTAATGCATAATAAAATTAATTTAAAATAAGAAGTTTGCTTTAAGGATATTTCTCGCGAATATATTCTCAATAGAATACTTTTCAGAGTCCAAGTTTCATGGCATTGCGCATGCGCAATGTTGTTTTGTTGATTTGATAACCGAATATACTCATATAGATAACAAAATATGATGCTTATATGACACCTAATAATTGCAGCTTCTCGCCATAACATCAACAGATCATGATGGGTAAGAACACACCGTTATTCCGTCTGTATGCGTTTAAGTCGCCACAACAATAATTTTTACCGGTGTTCAATCGTATGCGCTAAAATTCTATTCAAATCCTTTCCTACGTTTAATAAAAGAAATTGATAGAGCAATCTATATTTCTTTATCATTTTAGTATATATTTGTATATTTATAAATTGTTCTGCTTTACTTATGAAAACCGAATGTTACTTCTTTTTATCATATTTCTAATTACTGCAACTTGTTACAGAGGCAATATGGAACTTACAGTTCGATGGAATGACGCTTGTCTTCTATTTCATTGTTACTATTTTAAGCTTGACTTTCTTATGGTACTTTGTTATTTTGCCGCCCAGAATAAGAAAGCATCTTGATAAATTGCCAGGGCCGATTAGCGTCCCTTTTCTGGGCTGTACCTGGGACTTTAAGTGGGAGCATTCAGCTTTCTATAAGCAAATAAAGGAGAAAGCCGAAAATTTTCGTGATTCTGGCATAATAAGACTCTGGATAGGTCATGTGCCCTATGTGATAATTTTCCAGGCAGATTACGTTGAAAAGTTATTATCCAGCTCGAGATTAATTACAAAATCGGATGATTACAGCTATCTGTTACCATGGCTAGGTACAGGATTATTAACATCCACTGGTAGGAAATGGCACGAACGTAGGAAATTACTGACACCAACCTTTCATTTCCGAATACTCCAAGATTTTGTAGAAGTTTTTAATGAGCAAGCTGAAATAATAATAGAAAAGTTGAAGAGCAGTGCAGATACAGGAAAATCTGTGGATATTTTCAAGCAAATGGGTTTATGCGCTCTGGATATCATTTGTGAAACTGCCATGGGGAAAAATGTTAATGCCCAGCATCACGAGAATTCTGATTATGTAAAAGCCGTGTCAGATACTTGTAAAATTGTTCATAGGCGTCAAAAGTTTCCATTTTTATGGCCTGATGCTATTTTCAATGCATTATCTTACGGTAAAATATTCAGAAAAAGTGTAAAAATCCTTCATGATTTCACTACAAATGTAATTAAAGAACGAAAGAAAGATCTCATAGATCGCTTTGGCCCAAATCTAAAAGAGCTTGATTATGAGCAGATATCAAGCAACGGAAAGAAAAGGTTGGCTTTCCTCGACCTTCTTTTGTGCTCTGAGGGCTTGCAAGAGGAAGATATTAGAGAGGAAGTTGATACTTTTATGTTTGAGGGGCATGACACAACCGCCGCAGCCATGACTTGGGTTTGTTATCTTTTGTGTAAGCATCCCGAGATTCAGGAGAAAGTTCACGAGGAACTTGATGCTATATTTGGCCAAAGTCCCAGGTCTGCTACGTCAGACGATATAAGAGAGATGAAATACTTGGAGTGTGTCATCAAGGAGTCATTAAGATTGTTTCCTTCTGTACCGATTTTTGGACGAATACTAACTGATAATTGTCAATTTGGGGATTATCTTGTACCTAAAGGAACAACAGCTTTGGTCGTTGTCCCTATTTTGCATACTAATGAACATCAATTCCCTGATCCGAAAACGTTTAATCCAAGTCGATTCTTGTCGGAAAGTGCGACCTCAAGGCACCCGTACGCTTATGTTCCATTTTCGGCTGGTCCGAGAAATTGCATTGGGCAGAAGTTTGCCATGATGGAAGAAAAGGTTGTTCTTAGTTCAATTTTAAGAAGATTTAAACTAGAACTGGCTAGAGATGACGTTGAACCGAGCGCCGAACTCATCTTAAGACCAGCTGATGGAGTTCACATAAAACTAAACTATAGAAATTAGAGACAGTTTTAAATTAAGACTGAGTTTGTCACATGATAATTTTTTGGCAAGATATAATCTCTATGTCCTATTTTAAGGCACTATTTTAATGTTTTAAAGTAGAATAATTTCTTTAATTAAAAATACTAAAATTTTATTCAGTTTACTTAGATTTCCTCATAAAATCACTAAGGGGAAAAGCTTTTAATAAATATTGATAGATTTCCTATTTAAATCCTATAGCTCAATGTCTGTTATAGATTCTTACACTGAATTTTTGTTGACATTATTAGGAAAAAGCAATAAGAAGTAATAATAATAAATCACGTAAAGGAAGGTCTCAGTTTTCTGTTTTGTTCTAGAAAGAAAAATAAGACTTTTTCTATTTAGGTTTTTGCTTCTCTTTTATATCTCAATTAGTTTAGAAAGTATTATTTACACTCATTCATTTCCAGGTAATAAGAAGTAATGTTATTGATAAGCATTTTCTATATTTTCTATCTATTCTATATAGATTGTAAGAGTGTTTTAGAGATATGGTATCTTCTTCTTCTTTATCAATTTTGTATATATAAACTGTAATGATATTTACTTTATCTTATCATACTATCAGTATTATTTCACGTATTTTGTATGTGAGACGCTTTTCTTCAAGGTCAGCTTACCAATATTAAATACTATTCCATTTATTCTTAAAGTTAATAACCTCTTTGTTATTCTTTATAATAGAGATAAGTAAGAATTAGATCAAAGTAATAGCTTTTTTTCTACTTATATACATCACATTTACTTTAAGTAATTTTCTTTTGACAAACAACACTGGTCTATCTTAAGTATAATATCAATAAAGATACATTTTACTTTCTTATATCTATTTACTGATGCTTTTTAAGTATTAGAATGTAAGAATATTTCATTATCTATTCTGGTGAAATGTTATTCTTTTTATATCTAATGTAACCTCTCTATACTGTAACCTATAGACAACAATAAATCATATTTTTCATGATTTATCGACAATTCTGTGAAATATTTATACTGATTTGATCATTTATTAATCTTCCGATAGTCGGAAAACTTAATATTTACAGTTGAAGACATCTAATCGGGGACGAAATCAGTTTTTTGAATAAAAGATTCCAATTCCAAATTAGATTTAAATGATTAGACTTTATAATTTCTTGATATGTGTCTTACTACAAAAAAGCGGTAAGAGGTTCAATTTTGTCTAAATGTAATGCAAACTAGTTAAATACTTTTAATAGGTTTAGGTTTCGAAAATTGCTCTATGGATGACCAAGTAATAGGGCCATCAAAACTTTTATATTCTGGTACAATACAAAATGGTGGATTGTTTATTTTAAGGAATTATAGCATGCCTTGTAGTGGATATATAACATCTTTCACTTTTAGAAGAAATGGGAATAACTATCGCCAAATGCTGGGAATTTGGAGAGAGTATCAGGAAACTAGTACAATCTATAGGTTCAGAAGGATCCACAAGGTCACAATACCACAATCAACGGAAAATGGAACAGTTACTCTACTGCCAGATTTTCCTCTTCCAGTAGAAAAAGGTGATGTCATAGGCTTTGACTATGCAGCTGCGTCGGACAAAAACACTATTGCTGCACAGCTATATGACAGTGGATTACCTGAGATTTATGAGGTTTAGATTTCAGAGTAAAAGTATTATTATATTTATTATAAAGCATCCTTTGGAATAGGCTTTTAAATGGAACAACGTTTTCACAAAGTCGTTAAGGGTATCAAATAAAAGAGATGCTGTAAAAACTGGCGCGTATCTCCGATATTTTGCTATTCAAACCAATTTTACATCAAAAGGATTAGCAAGTAATAATATTCTATTTTTTTGGTCTTTTTTTACTAATTTTACTTATCTTCACTTTCCCCATTTCTTTATTTCAGAGAAAAGCCCTATCTGTTTCAATAAGGATATCTATACTGTGGGTAGGGCTTTAAATTTAGGAGGATCAGGAGGTGAACTGTTAAATATGCTCGTTGATTTCTATTTTCCTTGCGATGGACATATCCTATCTTTAAAGTATTATAGAGTAATTTCAACCTCTTATTCATTTGTTGGAATATGGGAACCGATAGATGGAATTTCAAAGTATAAACTTATTTATAAAATTAAGTTACCTGTAGCTAATAAAGGGTTCCAAACAATTACTTTGAATAAACCGTTGCCTATTAAAGCGAATTATATTATTGCTTTTCAACATTTAAAGAATGGACCACACGTAGTATCTAATAAAGCACATTGTTCTTCATGTCATACAGTAAGTAGATTGCCGTATAAGAATTTTAAAAGTTGCTTATTTAACGATTTTAATATACTGTTGAAATTTTAGTCGAGAAGATGTGTTCTGCCTAGTCAGTCTATTACTGTTGGGATGATATTAGATATGGAAAAGTGTAAAAATCATGATAGCCTATTAAGAAACTACTCAATGAGCTTTGAAGTATCGCCTGGTAAGATTGAAATTATCTCTTATTTCATATGAATATGCTAAACTATTCGTATATTTCACATTGATAATTCAATTCATAAAATAAATACATAGTTTTCATATATTAGAACAAAAAAACATAAATAATAGCAACAATAGCTGAGAAGTTCAAGTAAAACAAAGAAAATATTAATATTTAAACATTTTGTATGTAATCGATAAATTAATATTTTAATGCATTTTATATGTATTTAGATTATATTGTTGAAATATTAATACTAATAATATGAATTAACTATATAGTAATATTCTAGTATAAGCCTACTATTCTTACACATACTAATTCAGCCGAGAAATATGTCGGTGGTTTATGTTTCATACTTTTATTGTTACGTATAGATGAACTAATTTACGATCAGCTTCAAAGTTCAAGAGGAAAAAAGACCAGGGGGCGCTTACACAGATTTATTTTTGTTATTTCAGCCTTGATTGAAGTATACAATGGAGCGTGACGATTCTCAATGTTTTACTATTTTGATCAATTATAAATTGGTATAAATGAATTTAGAAGAAGACATTCCATTTCTAGGAATGTGTTCTCGTTAAAAAATAAAAGATATATAACGAAACTATACCTTTAATTTTTGAATTTTGTTCTTTAAGATAACTGATTCTACTATTGATCCGGGGCAAACTGTTTTATCATATCTAAGGGATAATTGTAAGTTTTAAATTTCAAGAAATTCATTATCAATTAATGGTAAATTCATTATTATTGCTTTTATAAAAGATAATTTATTGTTTTCTATGTACAAGTATTGTAAACTGTAAAATAACTTGAAACTCTCTGTGACATTGACCTTCTGTTTGTTAAAAACAGAAAACAGATCTATTATTTGTCAGCTTCTATTACGTATATTAAAAAAATACTCTCTCTCTCTCTTCTTCTTCTTCTTTTTCTTTACCTATATGCTTTTTACTAAACCACGTAATAACTTCCTTCGTTTAATACTGCAAATTAAATAGTACATTTGACCGGAAGTAAATCAGCTTGTGGTGAAGGAGGATGTGGTGCTTGTACTGTTATGGTATCAGCTATAGACGAAGAAAAAAATGAGATTAAGTATAAAATATTTAATAATCATTGCAACAGTAAATATTTAACTAGCAAAATCAACATTTTAGCCACTATTCAATAAATGCTTGCATCTCTCCTATCCTCTCTTTTGATGGATTGGCTATAACAACAGTTGAGGGTATAGGGAATGTTAAAACTGGAGTTCACCCCATTCAAGAGAGAATTGCTAAGGCTCACGGAATACAATGTGGATTTTGCACTCCTGGATTTGTAATGAGCATGTACGCTCTTTTAAAGAATAATCAAAAGCCGCTAAGGAAAGATATAGAGAATAATTTCCATGGCAACTTATGTAGATGTACTGGGTACAGGTCAATCATAAATGGCTTCTCTTCATTTTGTGATCAATCTCAGGTGACAGAAAAAACACTATCTTATAATTCGCGCTTAGCTTATAGTGGCGACATCTATCGGAAATAAAAGAATTTTATTTCCATTTCAAATTTTTAATAAATTATATTCCATAGCTTTTTGAAAATTTACACTTTTTAGAATGAAGATATTGAAGATTTGTATAAAAGCGATAAATCTAAATTTTCCTGTAAGAAATTATATGATTCTAATGAATGGAAAGCGTATAATCCGGATGATGATGAAACTATCCCTAAGAATTTACTGGTAGTTAACTAAGTCTATTAAATTTCGATAAAAGAACTAATCATGTTATTCAATACGATATTATAGTTGCGGAAGAATAGGAAAGAACTTAATTATACGATGAATGGACGAATTTGGATTAAAGCTCAATCCATGAACCATCTTGCGACCTTGAAAAAGAAAATGCCTCACGCCTCTATTATTGCCGGCAGTACTGAAATTTCTATTGATAGATTACTAAATAAAGGAAAAATAGGCGATACTTTCATTCACGCACCTCATTATTTGAATAAGGATATACAGGACAATGGAGAGTTTCTCAAAATTGGTTCAACAGCAACTTTAAGCGACTTGGAAAAGTTTATTATGGAAAAAATTAAGCCATTCAGTATTTTTGAAGCTTTAGAAGAGTCGATTAAACATTTTGGTAGTCGACAAATAAGGAATGTTGCCACTATAAGTGGTAATGTTTATACATCTAGCCCAATTTCTGATATTATGCCAATACTCATGGCTAGTAGATCCTCAATTTCTCTTCTATCAACTAAAAAGGAACGCAACATTTTACTTGACGATAATTTCATTGTTGGATATAGGAAAAACGTTATAAAACCCTATGAAGTTATTAATTACTTCAAAATCCCAATCAACAAGGAAACACAGTTTATAAGATTCTTTAAACAAGCTAAAAGAAAACACGATGATATAACAACTGTATGCGCTTGTTATTTTCTTGAATTAACTGCAGATAATAGGATTAAAACAATTCGTATGGTTTATGGAGGTATTGCTCCTAAAACTACGGAGGTGACTGAAACTACTAATGATTTAATTGGTATGAAATGGGACCGAATTATGCTCGAACAAGCGTCTATTAAATTAATGAAAGAGTTATATATTAGCAAAGGGAGTCCAGGCGGTGGAGAAACTTATAGAAATAATCTAATACTTAGTTTATTTTTCAAGTTTTATTTGGACGTTTGCCAAATGCTTAATAAAGAAAATATTGAAAAAATTTATGAACCAATTACAGGAGCTTCCCTATACGATACAATACCTGAAAAATTAGCTGTTGGAAAACCTCTACCAATACCCTCTGCTTTAAAGCATGCAACTGGTCAATCAGAATTTATAGCTGATATGCCTAAATTTAAAAACGAAGTTATTGTATATCCGATATTAGCAACAATTTCTCCTGCAAAATTCCAGATAGAAAATATACAGGAGGCTTTAAAACTTCCAGGAGTAGTAGATATTATTAGCTATGATAATTGGGATTATGTAGACTCCTCATTTCAACAATGGAGTGTAGGACTTGAATCAAAAGAATGTCTAATTGCTAATGAAGAAACTCTATACAGCGGTCAACCAATTCTATACATTGTAGCCGAAAACATGGGACAAGCTCTTGAGGCAGCCAGAACCGTAAAGATTGACTATCAATTATCAACTGACCCTATAGTAACAATAGATGATGCTATCAGAAAAAATTCTTTCCACAAAGTAAGCTTCGATCCAGAAGTCAACTTTGGCGACGTTGAAGCAGCTTTTGCGGTTAGATTCTATTTTTATTTTACTTTAATTCTATATTATAAGTTTCCCTTTTTTTTAATTAAGACCTCTAGCTTAATAGGGGAGGGCGAAATCAATACTGGTAAGCAGGAGCATTTTTATATGGAAACCCAATCAGCTTTAGCCGTACCAAAAGATGGAGATGCTCTGGACGTTTACTCAAGTACCCAATCAATTGGCCTTGATCATTTTTTAATATCGTCTATTTTAAAGAAACCTCAACATTTAATTAATGTTATTTGTGCTAGATGTGGAGGTGGTTTTGGTGGAAAAGATTTTCAATCTCCTCTAACATCCGTTCCTGCTAGCCTGATTGCTGATAAACTAAAAAGACCTACTCGATATGTTATGGATAGAATGACTGATATGAAAGTAACAGGGGGCAGAAATCCTGTTAAAGCCAAGTATAAAATAGCATACAACGATAGTGGAAGAATTAAAGCGTTAAAGGTTGAGGCTTACTTTAATGCTGGATACTCTATGGACTGCAGTTTTGGCGTAGCAAGAAAGTTTCTCAAGGCCGTGGGTGGTGGTTATAATATTCCTAATATGTATGTGAGCTGCAAGTTTTGTAAAACAAATATCGGAAGTGCAACCGCGTTTAGAGGCTTTGGTACTCCGCAAGCTGGTATTGTAACTGAAACCGCAATAGACAGTGTTGCAGATGTTCTGAATATACCATCAGAGAGCATAAGAGAAATAAATATGCTTAAAGACGGCGAAAGAACAAAGCTTGTTGGCTATGAAAGTTTGACTACTATGAGACACGATTCGCTTCGAAAATGCTGGCTAGAAATGATGCAATCCTATGGAATAGAAGATAGAAGAGAGGCAATTGAAAAGTTTAACAAGGAAAACAGATGGAAAAAAAAGGGAATTTGTTCAACCCTAGTAGAACATTACGTAGGATTTAACAAAGCTACTATGAACCAGGGAAACGCTTTAATAAATATCTATTTAGATGGATCTGTTTATTTATCGTTTAGTGGAGTTGAAATGGGACAAGGCCTAAATGCAAAGATGCAACAAGTTACTTCAACTGCTCTGGGTGTTGATTACGATAGAATTTACATCCCAGATGCATCATCGTACACTATTCCCAATATAACTACTACAGCAGCAAGTTGTGGAACTGATGTTAATGGTTTTGCAGTATTAGACGCTTGCCGTCAAATAAACTCGAGATTAAGTGAAATTAAAAAAAATAATCCAAATATTTCCTGGGATGACATGGTAAGAGCTATATTTACAAGAGTTTATTCCATATTTATCATTATCGAATCAATATTTTCAGATTAAAGAAGCATATAATCAGCAAATCAATTTATCAGCCAGTGGGCATCACAAATTGTAAGTGATAAGCTAACAAAGGAAGAGAGCGCATAATTTAATTTTCTGTTTATTTCTCTGTAGTGATAACTTCCAAGATTTGAATTTGAAGGACAATACCGGGTGTGATGGCCTTTACGTCGTTTGGGGAACAGCATGCTCAGAGGTAGAAATAGATTGCCTTACTGGGGATTTAATAGTTAAGCAAGCGGATATAGTGATAGATGTTGGTAAATCTATCAATCCAGGCATAGATATTGGTCAGATAGAAGGCGCTTTTATTCAAGGTAAAATTGATGACTAGAAAGCAAATACTGTTAATGATAAGATTATCTATCTAGGGCTTGGAATGATGTTGCTAGAGGAACAGTTATATGATCCATCTACTAGTAAATTAATATCGGTTGGACCAGGGAAATATAAACTACCATCCATTGGCAACATACCCCGAACATTTAACGTAACACTTTTAAGAGATGGTGATGATAGTGAGCCAAGAGCTATTCACTCCTCTAAGGTGAACCTAATTGCTTATTCATTATTTCGAATATACTTAAAAATCCCAATTTACAGGGCGTGGGGGAGCCGTCACTAACCCTGGCTGTTAGTGCCCTGTTAGCCGTTAAGAAAGCTATTAAATCGGCGCGCCAAGACGCCGGATTTAACGAAAGTTTCACTATTAACACACCAGCTACGCCATCTATTATACGTAATTTATGTCGCGATGAGTTCACTGAAAGAGTAAAAAAAGAGATCGAAACCAGAAATGAAAAACTGAAAAAAGAATGGTGTGTTCGAGTTTAAAGTTAACATAATTATGCTCAATAGTATTTTACTAGTTTTGTGCCATCCTCGACTGTAGAAGAGTCGAATACAGCTTGAAAACATTTTATTGTTAAAGTGTTGAGGAGAGAGTTATTATCGAATCGGTAATGTTTGAGCATTATTAATGTCAGTTTGATCATCTTCCAATGAAATTTGGAGCCTATTGTTGACGATTTTAGATAGACAATGATCGCAAGGACAGAATGTCTTTTTATAATCTTTATGTTTTTTGGCATTTGCTTCATCTTCGCTTTCTTCCTCTACTTCGTTAAGTTGAGAATTTATGTTTGAATCAGTGATCCAATGGGCGTCTTTCTCATTCTCCAAGCATTTTGGGCAAGCACATTTTATTCTAGAAAGGCTGCTTATAGACTCATATTCAACTTTTTCGTCGGTGATAAATCCACAATTAACATAGCCGTTAGTTTTGTTTGTATTGACTTCGCTTTCCTCTTTTTTCTCTTCTATATCATTTTCTATTTCCTCTTCCCTTTCATTTTCATTTCCGCTACTAACTTTCTCTTCTCCTCCGTTGAAAACCTCTTCTTCCGAGGAGCTTGACGTTAAGGGCTCTTTAATGGCAGTCCACTCCTCGGGAGGCAAATCAGGATTATCAACAGAATGAATTAGCACCTTAAAGAAATTTTAAAGATATATTCAATAGATTGATTATATAATCAATTACCTTACCTTAGTCACAAAATCATTATCATTTCCCACAATTCCGTTTTCCTAAAAAATTTTAAAATAAATGATTACTTTTTTTTAAAAAAAACAAAGTATTTACCTCTTCAGGCGTTTTGGGAAGAGGTTCTGTTTTAAAATAGGACTCAATACCCGCTTGCTCAAGGGGAACTTTTTCGGTTATTAGAGAATCTCTCATTTGTAAAGTTGGATGGTAAATGTAAACGTCAGTATGAGGTAATTCTTCATATTCCTTTTTAGTTTCTACGACATAAGGATCATCAGAACTCTCGTATTGCTTAACAGCCTCATCTGGATTTGCTTTTTCTCTGACTATGCTGCAAAAGATGCTTATATAAGGAATTTTATGAAAAAGTAATTCGTAATTTAGCCTACTTAAGTATTCTAGGTGGTTCAGTACAATTCCATCCATTTTTCATGCCACATAAAGTGGGAACCATTTGCTGTAGGACAGAAATATAACCAATTAGGCCTTCGAGGGAAACTTCTTCGCTTATGTTTATTCTAAGAAGTGCCTTCGTTTTCCATGGAGGTATTTCAGCTCCAATTAATAGTACTTTATCATTATATTGTACGGTTAGACAGCCATTTAGATTCTTTGTCCACTTTTCTTGAAAAGATTTGGCCTTAAAGTCACAATTTTAAGTAAGCAACATTACAATAGAAATTTTAACATACTAACACCGAAAAATTCACCAAAACATGAAAATAGACCACCGTATTTGGGCTTTAAACCTTGAACATCTACTTCCGCTTTTCCACCTGCTCTTGATTGTAATTCGATACTTTTCATACATGATAATGGAAGATATTGATAATGATGCTCCTCATTACAGAAGGAAGCAACTTCATAAAAAGACTTCCTCTTTCCGTTTGATATCAAATTAAGAGTTGTCGCTAAAGTTTATAATAATTTAGAATGTACAAATTATGGCGAACATGCACATTATAAACTGTAAACTACAATATATAAAAGTACCTTTAATGGGTTCAGCACTGAGAAATAATAGTCTCGCATTTGTTAAGAACATCCGCCCCTTTACAAGATTAGGTCTAATGAACGCTTTTTTACCATCGCATCTACCTTCAGTTTCGACTTTATTAAATTCTATCCCTTGCTCTTGCATTAGTATCTCTCCATCAACTATTAATTCTACGAATAAGGAATAATTACGGTTAGAGGTTATAAAGTATTTAATACACTTTATTTAAATACACTTTAATTATTGCTTAATTAATATTACCTTGCAACATTTGATCGTATGTTAAAGTATCAGGACTGGGTCTAACGTTATCCTTCGTTAACTTTTTTAGCTTTTCACCTTCTTTAAATATTAACATTTTTCCATTTTTAGGATTCTTATGACTCCTTGATATATGATCCATAATTTCTCTAGATTGTTTATCAATAAATAGGCCAGAGTTTGCAAAATCATTAGGATTAACTGATTTCGATTTGCTTCTTGATCTCGAACTGGTTGTTTTGACTGATTTTGCAGATTTTCTACTTTTACTTCGACTCCTGCGTTCATCTGTTTAGCATTGTTTAGAATTTTAATAGTAAGTATAACTAATTATTGAAAGGCTCTTACGTATAACACTAGATATCCCTTTCGTCCTTGTCAAAGGATCAAAAGCAGTCAGACCGGCATTAAATTGACGAACATTATAAGTAGGAGCAAACTGTGCCAATCCCTCTTTAGTTTCTTTATTTTTCCTGAATCTTCCCATTCTTAAGTATAAGAAATAATAACAGAATATTAAAAATCAAAGATTGTAGACTAAGAATACTCTGTATGTTAATATTAGCAAGGCGTAGCCGGTCTAGTTCAATAAGGGATTTCAATACTAAGTTACCCCCGTTTTCTCTAGCATAATTCAAACCTCAAGCCAACCTATTTAACCATTTAGATATCTTTTAGATCGTTTTTTTTTACACTATTTAATCCAAATGTATTATATAGAGTATGTATTGTTTAAAGTTACACTTTTTTCCGTTTAAAAGAATGTTCTAATAGAATAAAGTAATAGAATATTCGAAAAAATGTTATTTTTAATATTTTCTTTTTTGAGAAAACCTTTTATTCAGTTAACATTTTAATTTATTAATAATAAGCTTAGAGTTTATATATATATATATATATATATATATATATATATATATATATATTTACTATATATTAGTAATATACATTAATTAATAATTAAATTTTTGTTGCTATTGAGTAAATTGAGAATGTTCTTTTTTTTTCCATATTACTTTATGTGTAATTAGATTAAAATATCAATATTATGAAAACTTGTTACTTTTATCATACATTTATAAAATTATATTTGTATATTTTTTATTTGTCTCGTCATTATTCCATTAGAAATGTTGACAATTTGCAAGTAAGACAATTGTAGGACTAGTTCACAACTTGGAAAAAAAACAAAATATAATCTTTACCAGTTTATATTTTAGAAAGTAGAAGGTCATTTGAATCGTTTGAATATGATGCTGCCAATCAGAAATATTGTAAAGAGTTTGTCAAACGTTAGAATTTCCGTGTTCAGACGTTGTCAATCAACAATTGAAGGCACGCAGTACAATTTATAGAAACTCTATATTATATTAATGTCAACTCTTTTATTGATTACAAACATTTTAACAGCTGACCAGTTTCAACCTCTCAGTGGTGTTAAAATCCTTGACTTGTCACGGTTTGATGCTTAGTTATAAACACACCAATCAATAATTAAGAAAGTTTTCATAGATAAATGTTTATTGTAGAGTTGTAGCAGGACCATTTTGCTCAATGGTCCTTGCCGATTTGGGAGCTGATGTAATTAAAGTGGAGAGGACAGGTATTAAATAAGTAAAAGACTACTGTAAGCATTTAGAGTAAGAAAGTTTCTTCTTGAAAAGGAGCTGGTGATGACAGTAGAACATGGATTCCACCTACAGCAGGGTCTGAAAGTCTATATTTCTTGGCCGTTAATCGTAACAAAAAGGTTTGTCTTTGCTTGCCTTTGAAAGTCGCATGAAAAATGTAAGAAATGATCAACAGATGTCCAATAATGTTTTAAATTAGAAGAAAGAATTTTATGCATTAAGAATTTAAATACTGTGTCCAAGTGCAATTATTTGTTAACAATTGCAAAAAAAATAGGCCATCATTATCTATCAATCTATCTATCTCTCTCTTTTTTTTAATGAATATTCATGAATATTTAACTTGAACTTATAAAATTGAAGAATTAATTGGAGTTTTACTAATTTCTCTCTCTCTTTTTTTTTTTGAAGAGTATTGCAGTAGATTTTAGTAAGAAAGAAGGAGCCGAATTAGTTCGTCAAGTTAGTTATAGTATAATTTGTAGTTTTTAAAAATCATTTGTTATATTAAAAGTTTCATGAAATTAATCACAGCTTGCCAAACAAAGCGACGTACTAATAGAAAACTTCCTGCCAGGCAAACTACGTAAATTTAACCTCGACTACGAATCATTAAAGGCAATTAATAATGAACTTATCTATTGTTCAATTACTGGTATATTTTTAAAAGGAAATTTAATTATAGAATTTCTTGTTTTAACATATTTACTTGAAAGGTTACGGTCAGACTGGACCATACAAGGATCGTGGTGGATATGACGTAATTGCTGCAGCTGTTGGTGGACTCTTAAGTATTACGGGACAACCGGTTATTAGATTCTTTATTAGCCATAATTGTACTATCACTCACCAGTATTACTATTAATTAAACAATAAATCTACATTCACATAGATTTTCCTTCGCTAATAGAAATGTTACAAGGGTTGAATGTTCGGTCATCGACCTATAAACAATTCTACATCCTTTTTTATGGTTTAAATTCTACTTTTCAGGAAGGCGAACCATGCAAAGTTGGCGTGCCTTTAACAGACATTGCAACAGGCTTATTTGCTCACGGAGCTATAATTTCAGCTCTTTTGGAAAGAAAAGAATCTGGTAGGGGGCGTCAAATTGATTGTAGCTTGTTGTCTGTTCAGGTTGTTTTTTAATTTTTTAATAAAGTTGATTGGTTTTTTTTTTTTTTAAAAAAATTAGCATTTTCCAAAATTTGATGATTGAATTTCTTTTTATGACTAAAATAGGTTGCCTGCCTTATTCACATAGCAGCCAATTATTTAAACAACTCTCTTATGGGGAAAAGATACGGAACAGCTCATCCTAGTATAGTACCTTATCAGGTCATAAAAAAAAATAATAAGTTACCTCTATTCGTTTAATTAATATATATTAATAAGGATTCTCTTCAAATTCTATAGGCCTTTCAAACAAAGGATGGACACTTTGTAATGGGAGGCGGAAATAATAAGAGTTTTAAAGAGATTTGTCAGGTAAATAATAGTTATTGCAATTTTAAGTTAATTAATTGATAAAGAAAGAAATAAAAACAATAGAGACTAAGGTTGGATTATTTATCGGATGACGATAGATTTGTGACGAATGAGAAAAGAGTAGCCAATCGTGAAGAATTAGTTAAGATAATTACCGATAGGTTTCATTTTTATTTCAAAATTTCTCTTCTCTGATTAAAATAATTGCTAAGTAAACCTTTTCGCTTCTTTCCGTTCTATTTAGAATGAAAGAGAAGACTAACGACGAATGGGTCAAGGCTTTAGACGGTGCGACATTCCCTTATGGGCCCGTTAATAACATGGAAAAAGTATTTAATGATCAGCAGGTAAGTAATTGTTCATAATTATATCACGATATTATGAAATTACTTGCACGACTGATTTTTTTCTTAGGTATTGCATAATGAATTAATAGAAGAAATGAATCATCCTAAAGCTGGTTCCATAAAATTACCTGCACATCCAGTCAGATACGACAATAAAGCGCATAAATTTCGTACAGCTCCACCGTGCTTAGGAGAGCATACAAATGAGGTCTTGACCAATGAACTAAATATGAGCGATAACGATATTAGAGACCTAAAAAATCGAGGAATTATCCAGTAAAAATTGTCTATTTTTACAATCTTTAAATAAATAAAGCATAATTAATTTAATAATAATATCTAACCTATTAGATTTTCTTCCCTGGAGTCCAATAAATAATTAGTATAGGCCTATTGCAGTATTGCATCAATTATCTTCACATTTTTTCTTTAAAAAAAAAAATAAAACAAAATAAAAAGGCAAATAATGCTAAAAGAGTTTTATATGTTATATTTTTGGGATGATTACGGATCGTACATTCATACGTTATTTATATGTTTAGTTGTTCTTTTAATAACCATAATTACTGTAAGAATTTATCGAACAAGGAATGAGCTAAATGAAAAATCTCTTTTAAACTTGGACGTTTATTTTAATGTTAGAAATGAATGAATTATGTAAGGTTTATTGAAGAATATTTTTTAAATACGTAGTTCGGATACTTTCAAGTTACTTCTTGTTCCCTTTTCGCAACTATTTTTTGCTAATTAGTTATTTGTTGGCTATCTACTCATAACTTATGTAAATTATCATATATGAGGCAGCGGCATCCGGCGTTTGACATTGTATAATGAGAAAGAAAGGCGGTAATTCGATTGGTTTCAAATATCGAATGGGAATATAGTCTGGTTCTCGGTGAAGAGAAGGCGCACCGCGGTTTATTTTATTCAACAGTTGGAACTATGGAGAGTATGAAGTTCACTGACGTTGATGATACGGTTGTAACAAGGCGAAATGAACCTGGAATAAGGATTCGAACGTTGACTGCATTCTTTTTTCTTCTATTAGCAGCCCTATTGGCTGTAGGTGTTGGAATAATAGTTCATTTTACGACATCTTCATCCGGCTGCCAAGTGAATTGGCCAACCACGGCACTATCGGATCTGTTCAGCGATGAGTATATGTTGCAGAAGTGCTCTGTAATTAGTAAAGAAAGAAAGAAATGTAAGTTACTTTTGTTCACACCTCTCAAATTGAATTTTTTTTTAATACGGTTTGTTTACGAGAAAAAAAACCCTTTTTTCTAAAATCAACGTACTGATTTCCCTTGATAATTATCGCCAGGTTTAGCGAGGCCTCCTATTGGTATTTTGTAAGTGGAAGAGACGCCTCTCGATTATAAACCATTACTTTTTTATATATTATATACTATTAGCGCGTATCCATTCCACTATCTCATAACTTTCTGTATAGTAAATGTATATATATATATATATATATTGTATAAACGTATTATATATCTAATTAGTTAAACTACAAACTGTTACAAAATTACAAGAGAAACAATACCTGATTATTTGTTTGTTATTCTTTCAACTTTTAATTGTTAATAACAACTTTGTGAATTTGTATATGTTTACTTAATTTCGAAAAGAAACTATATAACCTACTTTTTACCTTTTCTATTATTATTTAAATTTGTTCCTCGTTAAATGAAGCTAATTTTATTGTATAAAAGTGTTTGTAAACCTTGTTTGGAATTAGCTTATTAAAAAAAAACAGGAGAGACGAAGAAGAAGAAAAAACAATTATCATTTTTATAAGATAAAGACAAAAAAAGAGAAAAGAAAGTAAAATTTAAAGGAAAGTAGGTTATGTTGAAAACATTGAAATGTTTTCGTATTATTTTCAGGTCCGAAGGGTTGTGAATATATTGAAAAGATCGAAACTCCTGTAAAGGATATCTTTGACCGTCCTAACGATGTTCGTCTACCTAATGAAACTGTACCGTATCACTATAAAATCAAATTGCAACCGCACTTTTATAACGAAAATCCAAAAGACTTTTTCTTTGAGGGAACTTCTAAGATGTTCTTTACAATTTTCGAGAATACTACAAAACAAATTATCATTCATAGCGCTGGTTTGAGAATTGACAAAACATATACCAAAGTTCAAGATGATAAGGGTAGAGATATAAAAATTGCAGATCAAGTTTATGATGTAGAGCGTCAATGGTGGAGAATTGAATTAAAAAGCGAAATGCATCCAAATAATAATTATAGTATTGAACATAAATTCGAAGGGGATCTTACAGATGGCCTTGCTGGATTCTATAGGAGCAAATATTTTGATAAAAAAACTCAAATGACAAGATACCTAGCAACGACCCAATTCCAGCCAACCGATGCCCGTAGAGCCTTTCCTTGCCAAGATGAGCCTGCCAAAAAGGCGACGTTTAACATTACTCTAATTAAAAAGAAAGGCTATACCGCTCTTTCCAACACAGAGAGCTATTACGAAAGAAAATTGTCGGTTTACTTTAACATTGTCATATTGTAAATATACATTTAATTTTCATCATTGTTTTACAATAAATTAGGCATGACGATTGGATTGAGGTTGGCTTTAAAGAAACACCCAAGATGTCAACCTATCTTTTAGCTTTCATAGTGTGTGATTTTATTAATAAATCCCAGAAAACCAAAAATGGAGTAGAGGTAAGATTATACGACAGCTTCGCTTCGAAAATTTAATAATTCTACTATTCGCCAGATAAGAGTATGGGCTAGGCGAGATGCCATAGACAAAGTTGACTTTTCATTGGACGCAGGCCGAAAGATTCTGGAGCATTTCGAGGATTATTTCCAAATTCCATTTCCCCTTAACAAACTAGGTTAGATAGGATAAAATATTATTGAGTGTTTGAATGTCTAGTAAAGATTTTATTCCTCATTCACGCAGATATGATAGCCGTTCCAGATTTTTCTGCAGGAGCTATGGAAAATTGGGGATTGGTTACGTACAGAGAGACTACATTATTAGTAGACGAACGTAGCGCAACATCTAATAAACAACGGGTAGCCGTAATTGTTTCTCACGAATTGGCGCATCAATGGTTTGGTAATCTTGTAACGCCCGCTTGGTGGGACGATCTCTGGTTGAATGAGGGATTCGCCTCCTACGTTGAATACCTTGGAGTCGATAAGATATTTCCAGATTGGGGAATGGTAAGCTACTTTCTATAGGATAATTTATATACAATATATGAGTGTTGTTTTACAAAACAAACATGTAGAAAGGACTCTTCATAATCGAAGATTTACAGGATGTTATGAGATTCGATGGCTTCAAAAATTCCCATTCAATCTACCATTATGTCATTCATCCGCGAGATATTAGTGAAATATTCGATAGGATATCATACGCGAAAGTTTGTATATATGATAATTTCGCCTCTACAAAATTCTGATTTATGACAATTAGGGGGCAAGTGTTATTCGGATGATGAAAGATTTCATTGGGGAAGATCTATTTCTCAAAGGATTAACCGTAAATTTCTGATAAATTCTAGTTTATTTTGTTTTCCGAAAAGATTTACTTAAAAAAATGTCTCTCCTTTTAATTGATAGAAATATTTAAAAACTTATCAATATTCCGTTGCTAATCACAACAATTTATGGGACGCTTTGACCAATGTTTGCAAAGAAGAGGGCAAATATATTGACGTTGCTAAAATAATGAACTCTTGGGTAAGACAAACAGGATACCCGGTCGTAAAATTATGGAGAGATTATCTCGGCTCAAAGACGAAATTGTATAGTGATCAAATAAGATTTTTAAACGAGAAAAATCATCTTTACGATCCTGAACATAATAAAGTTCAAAAGTTACAGTTGGTATCTCTACAATGTCGTAATTGAATATCTAATTGATTAATTACTAATGGTAATAGAAATTCTTGGTATATTCCTTTGACTTATCGTTTGGACACATCACCCAAGACAGAAAGAGTTTGGATGAATAACGAAAATAGTATATTCCTATATATTTTATATAATAAATATAAATCTTATTAATTGGCTCTTTACTGGTATCAATTGCCTATTTATTGTTTTCTATTCCTGCAGTAACGATACCTATAGATAGAAATGTTCAATGGTACCTGGGTAATTTAAATCAATCTGGATTCTATAGGGTGAATTACGATGAGGCCAATTGGAATGCTTTGATTGATCAACTTATTAAAGATCATACAGTTTTTGACGTAATAAACAGGGCTCAAATTATAGACGACACTTTTTGGTTGGGAAGGTATTCCGTTACTTAAAAATACAAATGTTTATTAAAAATTATTCTGCATATTACTATTTAACATTACTTTATTGACAGATCAGGGTTAATTGACCAAAGATTAAGCCTAACAGCAATTGAATATTTAAAAAGGGAGCTAGGCGATATGGGATACTTACCATGGAAATCAGCTGTCCGTGCTTTAAACTTCTTTGATCGTATGCTTAAAAAGATGCCAATCTATGGTAACTTTTTGGTAGGTTTAACATATTCAAATCCATGCGTATCTCCTTTATTACATAGTTAATAATACCTTTTATCGATTTAGACCTACATGAGAAATTTAATTACTCCCGTTTATGACAAATTCGGATGGAATATCTCCAAAACGGACAAACATCTTGTAAAGTAATTAGGAAGTTTTAATTTCTATTTAAGACTAAATATAAAATAAAATAAAGCTTTACACAATAAAGAGAAGAATAATATATTTATATAATTATATAAAAACCAAATATTGAAGATATATGAAATCGACGGCCGTTGAAGTTGCCTGCACAGTTGAACACCAAGACTGCATAAAGAAAGCTAGAGAGGAATTCGAAAAATGGCTTATAGATGATAATTACAAGTAATAAATATAATTAAATGCATTGGAGTATATTATATAACTTTTAATTAGGTTAATAAATTAATCAACTTTTTAAAGGATTGAAGCAGATTTGACATCAGTAACACTATGCGTCGGCATAAAGTTCAGTAACGGTTCAACGTGGGAAAGAGTATTTGGACGGTTTATGAATGAAACTTCACCAACAATGAAATCAAAGTTGATGCATAGTCTATCTTGCAGTAGAGAACCATGGATATTAATCAAGTAACGAGATTATTTATTACTCCTAATGAATGTAAATGTGTTGTAAAATGTCTAAATGTCACTAGATACCTTCTGGGTGCCATTGGTAGCGAATTAATACGGAATCAAGATGCAGTAATGGTTATTCATTATATATCGAAAAATCCTATTGGAGGCGATCTTGCTTGGAATTTTATAACTCAAAATTGGGACGATATTAATAAAAAGTAAGAGTTAACAAAAAACAATTAAAATTACTTATATTAGTAAATAACTGTTGAAATCTTTAAATAATCAATGACGGTTGATGATTAAAATTACAAAACAGACTCGGAGGGACTTTACTTTCAACGAATAATCTTATAAACTCTGTAACAGCAGCTCTAAACACAAGGGTCGCTTATAAACAGGTATAATCTATCGAATTATTGCCTATAAATATTTAACAGGTTCGGTAATGGCCGAACTCTAGTCAATTTAGCTTATATTTTACGGTTTTCTTTTCTTGTTTTTAAAAAAAAAAAATCAAAAAAAAAATTAAAGCTTGAGAATTTCGCCAAAACTCATAAAGAAAAACTTGGAGCTGCCGTAAGAATTGTCGAATATGCTAAAGAAAGAACAAAAGCGCAAATTGAATGGATAGATAAGAATTATGACCAAGTTGCCGCTTGGCTAAGAGATCGATATCCTTTTGCATGATGTAGCTTTCTGTCAACACACTTTTGCAACTAGTTTTCAAATTGTACAGTACACCTAAAAATCTGCACAAACTTAATAATCTCATCTTTCCTTCTTAAAAGATAACAAAGTTATAAATTGATTAGTATTATGATAATCAAAAACTACAAATATATGTATATATATATATATATATATATATATATCAAATGTTTACAAATTCTATCACTTATAATCTATTAATTAAACATTTTAACACGTTTGTTCCCAAACTGTTAATTTTGTTTGTCTTTTTTTCTTCTTCTTCTTCCTTTCTGTTTGTGAAGTTTCTCAACAAAGAAAAATTAATTAACTATATTTTCATATCATAATTTTCTATTGTTACTCATTTCGTCTATCAACGATTCCAATGAAAAAAGTACATTGGTCTGGTAATATACTCTATTACCAGAAAGATATTCTCTCACTTTAAGATATATAAATATGAATTTTGCTTATTACTTTAATACTCTTTCAATAGTTTGACTTTTAGAACAAATCTTAAATTACTTGACTTTATAATCAGTATTTTTCACTCGATATCATTGTATTTCTAATTCGAAAACAACTGTACATTTAAGAGAAACGCAAAACGTTCATTTAAAGATCTTACTACCTTCGTCCTTTCAATGGTAGACTGTTTTACTGGTATTACTTTATTAACTGAACAACAGAATCGTTCGAAGAGAATAAAATAAAAACAAGTTTTACGATTTTTTTCATCTGACGAATACTATATTTATTTAATTAAAGGTTTCTTTTTATTAAATAAATAGCGAGAAAGTTATAATAGATATTATTTTTCCTAAACGGATTATAATATGCACAATTTATCGCTCCGGTGACAAAATCGAAAAGTATCGGATAGTATTTCAATATATGAATCATCACTTTTAGCCGACAGACTTAAATATAACTTTCTAAATACTTGTTTTTCATAAAACAGTAATTAGATAATGTGCAGCTATACTATTTCACATTTACTTAGATTGTTCTCATCTGAACAAACTGTCTATAGCAACTACAATCCGTCAAAATTTAACAACCTTGTAATCTAATTTAAATATTTTAGGATTAGTCATTACATATCTATTAATTTATCAGGCGATTACCTCTTATAAACTATATAAATACAACTTCTTTGCAACATAAGCTATATGCCCAAAACTCATACAACATAGACAATTTATTATCAATAGCTCTTTACCACTTTCTACTTGTCACAGATTATTTTATCAAAGTCAAATTTCAAATATTTAATCTGAAACAAATATTCTGTTTAGCAACGATTATCTTTACAACGTCATTAGTCAAAATAAAAGATACTCTTTTTTAGAGTAGCTCTTTTTTCATCTTTAAACTTGTCATATTCGATAAAAAGTTTAATGTTATTAATAATATTGTTAATATTCTCATTTTGAAAAGTTTATTTGAAGAAATCATTTTCAGTTTAGTTCTGTAATTCTTTTACTTAATTGCCAATGCGATAAACGCAGAAAATACCAAAGTCCATCTCTGATAATAAAACCTTGACATATTTAAATTAATTTCTTTTCTTCATAATAATAAATTACGAAAAGAAAAAGCAACATATTTTATATTTGTGTTTATGACATCAATGGGATTTTATGAATATGCATGTGTTTTTTCAAAAAAATTTCAAACTAATAACCTATAAATCTCAGTCAAATATGAGAACATTCTAGGCTGAATTTACTGTAATATAAGTGAATGATTACCTAAATTTACTTTGAATTTAGGACACATGATGCAAATTTAGAAGAAGGTAATAAATTGATACTAATAACTATATTTAGATATTACTTATGTAGTTTGCATATCACTAACCTCTTAAAAATTTTATTAGAAATGTTCAAAAGGGGTCTAGAGTTTTTAACAAGTTTTCTAATAAAATGAACACTTTTTAACTCTTAAAATAACTTTTCCTCTTTCGTATTGGGAAAAAAAAGAATAGACTAAGAGAAGAGAATTTAATTGGTATTTTATCAAATCACTGATGATAGACTTCATATGCATATGCAAAGAGGTAATGAGATAGTCATATTCAATTTGAATAGCAAATCATTTCCTATTAAGTGAATTTTTTTATGTTAAAAAGAAAAGTAAAATTATTTATCAGTCTTATCGTTCAAATCCTGTGATAAACTCTCAATTTGTGGCCTATTAATCCAGATATTTTGAATAAAAGAAGAATGTGAGTTTGAAAAACTTCATACAATTCTCGTTTGAATCGAAAAACGAAAAGAAAATTTGAAAATGTCGTCTGAAATAAAAGAAAATGGAAACTCTCACAAAATCCTCTATACAACATTAGATGAGGCAAAAAAGCTTGGTAAAACCAGTCGGGACATCTTCCATGACTTCAACTCAGGTCGCCTTATGCCACAAGCCGATGTTATTGGTGAAGGGTAACTATCATTGCTTTTTTCATATGTTAGAGCAATTTTTTCCTCTTTGTCGGAGGAAATACATGCGGACTATTTATATATAAGTATTTCAATTTAGTATTCTATTGCTGAATAAACTTCTATACCTTAGAAAGTAGTTTATCTTCATCATATAATAATATAGTTGCTTTAATGATATTAATATATTTATATAGCGTATACTACGACATGTTCCAACATTATTTGATGTTAGCCGATTCGAGTCGGATGCTTCACTATAAAAGAGGAATCTTTGAAAAAAATAAAATAAAAGGCAAAGTTGTTCTTGATGCTGGAAGTGGCTTTGGAATTTTGGCATTGTGGTGCGCACAAGCTGGAGCGAAAAAAGTTTATGCCGTCGAAATTACTGATAACTATAAACACATTATTGAAGCTGCAAAGGCTAACGGTTTATCAGATATTGTAGAAGTTATTCATGATGATGCACTTCTCGTTGATTTACCCGAAAAAGTTGACGTCATCGTTTCTGAACCTATTGGAATGAGTATAATCGCTGAAGGAATGTTTACTTTCCTTTGTAGCGTTAGAGATAAATATTTGAAACCAGATGGAGAGATCTTACCTTGTGGTGGTAATTTATATATTAGTGCCATAAGTGATCCAGACTTTGCAGGTAGAATAGAATCCTTCTTTCAAAACTTCAAAGCTATGTATGGCGTAAAGATGAATCATCTTATTCCAAGAGCTAGAGACAGCTTATCCAGCAGAGCTTTCCAAAAATCTATAAGAAAACACTTCTTGAGGAGCGAACCAGCAATGTTCAAGACATTAGATTTCAAAACTATGAGTTTTGAGGAAGCAAATTGTGTTTACGGAGACTATGATTTGGAAATTGTCAGTGATGGGCTCGTTCACGGATTCAGTATATTTTTTGATATCCTGTTTCCCAATGGCACTCTCTTAGACACTTCACCATTGTCACAGCCAACGCATTGGAAATCGACTGTTTGCTATTTCAAGGAACCAAAAAATTTACAACAAGGACAAAAAATTACAGGCACAGTAAAGCTACGTGTTGTTGAAAACATTGAATTGTAAGTAAAATGAGGGTCAGATTTCTCCTCTAACCAAATATGATAACTTTTCTGCGATGACTTTTTTTTTATCAACAGCTTCATAGATGTAACTTTGGAATATCGCATTGACGACGAACCACTCGAAACAAATGAATACTGTTTGGGTTTCGACAGAGGTCAACTCATTAACCTTATAAACTTCGACATCGATCCTAACTAAATGATATTCTAAAATTTCACAATCTATATAGATATATGTATTTGTAGAGATATCTGTATATTTAAAGTAATTCAATAAAAAGTTTATTTAAATACAAACAACCAGTCTTTTTTAATTATAGAAAGATTTCCCCTGGTATATAAAGCTGTAATGAAGAAAGAAACCTTCTTGTTTCTCTTTTTTTTATGATAAAATGATAAAAAAGGAACTTTGAAATCTATCTAGCATAGTGATATGGTATAGTTATTTTCTTTTGACAGAAAAATAAAAAACAGCTTCAATATCTTTTCCAAATTTAATCAGTTCTTTTATCTCTTTATTCACAACAATCAGGCATTAAGAATTTTATCCTCTATAATGTAATTGTTTCTAACTAATTAGGCATGTGTTAAATCATGTTATAAATAACTTAAATTTTCGTTGTAATCTTCAAATCACACCATACAAAAATTCTTTTAAATATTGAAAATTTCCCGCCAAAAAAAGAAAAAGAAACTCGTATAAAAAAATCCATTCTTGTTCTTTTGTACTGGTGTCCATGTTTGGTCCCAGTATATTCATAATATTTAAAAAGACAAAAAATTACTGAGGGTGCGTAAAAATTATAAATTCTTTAAAAGAAAGATTTTTAAGGCCTATTTAAACGTTATAGGACATAACTCATAATTATTTAGACAAGAGTTTATGTAAATCATCTGGCTTGTGCATTATCGCTCAAAATGGCAAGTGTCAAAGAAAATGAGGAAAAACTGTGGTTTACAGGTAATATGCCACATTAATAAAGTAATATACAACTTGTTTAATTTTAAATGTGATATAATTTCAACAACATCTCAGCGGAGAATGATTTATTTAAGATAATAAAGAGGGCAAGCAGGATATACGGATTGATAAACACGTGAATTATTACACATTATATATGATGCATAATTTATTTGCAGCAAGAAGCTCTGATGGAGTTGAAATTTTTTCTGGGAAAGAAGATTACTCTGAGCATGAAGGTTTCTGTGGGTAAGGAAAATATACTGTCCGACAGTTATCCTATTCTATTTTGTCAATTCTCAAGAAAAAAAATTTACCAATAGGAGGCCCTCTGCTGCCAGAGTGATGTCGTTTAGCGCAAATGGGGAATACTTTGCATATTGTGACGAGAACGGGTGAGAAATTTTGTGACTAGACCATCTAATATGCCACTTGAACGTTTTACATTTTCTATCACTTTTTGAAGCTCTTGACTAGACAAGACATGCACACATATATAATTTACCTTTCCAGTGTCCATGTGATCCATGTAGAAACTCAAACAGAGAAGTGTTTGATCAATCGACCGAGAACAGTATTAATACAGTTCTCTCCACTGGGGACTCATATCAGTTTATGGGAACCTTACCAAGGTAGCATATTTTGACATTTTTCCAGAAAAATCAAATGTCATAAAACGTATGTGCCAGAGTTAATGATTTCACATTGACAGTAAAAGCTGGAGAAAAAGAAGGTGTAAACAATGCAAGCATTTACGAATCAGAAACAGGAAATGAACTAATATCATTCAGAAGACGTGAAAGAAGTGGATGGTATGTATTATTTTAACATTTAAAATGTTGTGATTCTTTCATGCAAGATACAAAAGATATAGGCAAAACATTATCTTTTTAGTGAAGTGTATTGGACAAGTGACGAATCGTTGTGTGCAAGACTACACAATAGTGAAGTTCATTTCTACACAAATAATGACTTTGGTAAGTTTCATCACTTTAATAGTGTTTTCAGAAAAAGAGAAAACGAGAGTAAAACAACAATTTAGCCGAAAAATTAGTAGACACTTTTTGTTATCAAAATTCTTTTTAGCTTCTCCACCAAAACGTTTACAAATTGGTAGAATTGAAGATTTTCGAATTACAACCAAGGTTAGGGGTGATCCTATGGTTAGTGTATATGTTCCTGGTCAGAAAGGTCAACCGTCGTTTGTTAGACTCTTCAAATATCCCAACTTCCGCTCGGAGGAAGTCGTAGGGAACAGAAGCTTCTATAAGGCGGATAAAGTTGATATGCTATGGAATAACAGAGGAAGTGCAGTCATTATTGTAACTGCAACAGATACTTCGGCAGACTCGTATTATGGAGAGTCGGGACTTCATTTTCTCTCAGCAAAGGGAGATAGCTGCCTGATATCCAGAGGTTAAGTGACTAATTATCTTAAAGTACAAAGGCAATATGTTACAAATCAAATTACACCGTACGATTTTTTATTTCATATATAAAACTTACTTTATTCTATCAATAGACAAGAATGGTCCAGTGTATCATGTTGAGTGGGCTCCAAGTGATAAGGAATTTTGTGTTGTTTATGGATGTAAGTAATTATTTACTATATTAAAAAGATAAGTTATTCTGAAAACTAATAAACATTTGTTGTCCTCATTTTGTTTTCAGTTATGCCTGCTAAAGTGACAATTTATAACTTGAAATGCGATCCAATTTTCGATTTCGGCACTGGAGCGAGAAATTGTGCATATTATAATCCATTTGGCAACAATATCCTTTTTTTGTACAATCAATTAATAGCTGAGATATTTATTTTATTAGTCTTATTCTGGGTGAAGGGATAAAGCTAGCCTTTTAGTAAAAGTTTACTTATTACTTGCCTGCTTTCAATAATGCGCAAAACTTGATGGGAATAATTCTAATATTATAATAGGTTTAACTATCCTTAGCGCTTGAGTTTACTTTTAGCCATTTGCGGTTTCGGCAACTTAAAAGGAGATGTAGAATTTTGGGACGTTGCTCAGAAAAAGAAAATCAACTCAACCACTTTCTCCGATACAACACTTTTCAGATGGGCTCCAGATGGCGTTCATGTGATAACTGCTACATGTGCACCTAGATTGAGAGTTGGAAATGGATTCAAAGTAAGAGCATTGGAACACTTTAATTTATTAAATTAATTTGAAAAATTGTAGGTATGGAATTACAATGGAAATTTGATATATGAAAAAAGTTTCAAGGAACTGTGGGAAGTATGCTGGAGACCAAACAAGGACTTCAAAGTTAAGCCTATACAATTCGTGTCTACTAGGCCTACGGCGAGTACAAGTACTACCAATGGTCAAGGTATATATATACAAAATAACCGAGTTGTTGAACTAGCAAAAATGATTGGAGAAATCTTCGATTTATTTGAATAGCGAAAGTATACGTTCCACCTGCTCTTAGGGGAAGACCCCAGCCAACAACGCCTAAGGTAAGAGATGATTATGAGCCACCATCAAATGTTAGGAATAAAACCGAAGGTTAATAAAACTTTTATATTTTTCATATTTCCAAGAAACAATAGTTTTCTAAGATGTAAACATTTTCAAATAATTAAACAGAGTCAATGTCGAAAAGCGCTCTTAAAAATCGAAAGAAGAGAGAAGCTAAAAGGAATAGGGTAAATGAAAGTAATACTGAACCTAGTAGCGCTCCTAGAAAAACTGCAGCAGAAGTGTTTGATTCAAGTGGGGATCCCGAAAAGGATAAAAAGATTAGGAATTTGAGAAAGGTGACTTTAAGCCATTATCATAAAATAAATACAATACATATTCACATATTAAAAAATATTTGACAGAAACTACGACAAATCGAAAACTTAAAAAGTCTACAAACTGAAGGAAAGAAACTCGAATTGAATCAATTGGAAAAGATAAAATCCGAAGCAGACGTTGTTGCCGAGCTTAAAGCTTTAGAAATTTAAATTCGAAAAAGAAAAGTTATCATTAAACAACTTCCCTCAATAATAGATATTTTTTGGTTGGGTTCCCCATATGGGTTTTCTCCCATATAAAAAGAGAAAGGAATATAATTTTTTTCACTCTGCTTTGTTTCTTTTTGTCTGAAAATTCAAAAAGAATTTTATGTATAAAGAGGAAAGGAATAGATTTAAAAAAAAATTCCATTTTTTTTTCTATATTCTTTAACTACAAAACACAAAATTTTTTTTTTTTTTGATTTGAATTTGCGTGTTTTTTAAATTTAAGATTCAGTAAAAGTGTATAATAAAATTATGAGCACCAAAATTCTTTATTCTTTACATTTACTTCTCTTATTCAACATAGCTCAAATTGTTTATTCAGATTTATGTTCAAACGACTTTAATTGGAATGAATCAGTTCGGGGTTGTATTCGATTTATCACATCACCTTATTCGTACGAAGATGCTTTTGAGACTTGTAAAAATTTAAATTCATCATTAATCAGTTGGGTTATTATTTTATATAGTAATTTTATCCTGTAAAGAGTAATTTATTAGATTTCTTCCCAATATAATAGGAAGATATCAAATCTAAAGAAACCGTAGCCAACTTAATATATGGAAGTTCAATGACAAATCGCTATCCTAATAGGTGTTATAATAATTTATCATTATTAACTGATAGTTATGATCATTTAGAAGAAAAGTTAGGGAATTGGTTGGATAAAAGGTTAACAATACGCATATATATATATTGTATATATAAATACGGTAAAATATCGCAGAAAAGTATTCAACATAAACGATTTAGAATCTATTAAATTTATAAAAATTACTTCGATAATCCTTCTAATCCGTAACAAGATTAACAAATATCTTTATCTAAAGCAACTTCTTAATACTTTAACTACTGAAAAGAATATTAGTGTTTTATTTATACCGAGAAATTCTACTAGCTTTCATGAAAAATGGTTTCAGGTTTGTTTACTTAATAAAATAATATAAGTTTTTTTATCTAATTTACATAATTTATTCATATATTTTTAAAGATTCTCTCTAATACGTCCAATCCTTCATTTGATTATCATATATCCAAGTAAATCTACTTTTGCGCTTGTACTTTCTTTATTATTATAAAGAATGTTATTTAAATTAGTTACGAAACTCGTCTAAAGTACAAGTTATTAAAGATTTGTAATGTTAAATACGCTATTGATGGTTTTTGGATAGAAACAACTAATGGACAAAATCAGAGTCATTGTATAGATTTAACAAAGTACCAGTTTTTATTAGAAAGTATATTATATATAAATATTATCTATTCATTTGAAATTTCCAGTAATGAATGGAAAAATTCGATTTGTCCTAAAAGAAACTTACCTTTCGCTTGTCATCGTAAAGTGAACAAGTGTTCGTTAGTAGAAGAATAATATCGCTATTGTAATAAAATAATAATAGTTAGTTTTATAGGCTAAAATGCATTGAAGGTGTGTGTAGAAGATATTTCAATGGAGAAGAATACTGTCTTTGTTATCCAGGTTATACGGGAACTAATTGCAATATCAGGTGCAAAAAAGGAGATTTCGGTTATGATTGTAAATCTAAATGCCTAGATTACTGTTTAGATGACGATTGTCATCCAAAAACAGGCAATTATATAATTTGATTCAAACTTTCCATTCTATACTGTTATATAATAAATTATATTTAGGGCAATGTAAAGCCTGCGTACCCGGTCTATCCGGCCCAATGTGTAATGAAACTTGTAGTCTTTCAAATTATGATTCTAATTGTAAAAATTCTTGCCATAATTGCCAGATTGGATGTGATCCAACAAATGGTATTTGTTTAAGGAATATTTGTAAAAAGGGATATGTGGGATCGTATTGTTCTAGAAGTTGCTCCAGTGGATTTTTTGGTCAAAATTGTTCATTGAAATGTAATAAATGTGCTCATAATATTTGTAATAAAACTAATGGTATTTGCTTAAATGGTTGTCCCGCTGGATGGCATGGACCTTTTTGTAATAGCATCTGTTCACCTGGAACTTTTGGACAAGGCTGCAATAAACGCTGCTCACAAAACTGCCTCGAAGAGCCGTGCGACGCAGTGACAGGCAACTGTCCAAATCTGAGATGTAGGGCTGGATATACAGGGGATCAATGCCAAAGCCTTTGTGCATCCGGTCTTTGGGGAAATGGTTGTAACAACGTGTGTAGTGACAATTGTAAAAGCTTACCTTGCCACCACGCAACAGGTGAATGTCCGGGACAACATTGCAAACCTGGATTCATTGGACCTAAATGTAATGAAGCCTGTCCTAGAGGATTCTATGGTTTAAAATGCTTAGAGCGGTGTGGCTTTTGCTCTTCTGGTAGAAATTCGTGCGATTCTGTAACTGGATTCTGTAAACCTTTAAATTTTGGTTGTGATGATGGTTATTCAGGACCGAGGTGCAAGAATGTTTGCGCCAATGGCCTATGGGGAAGAAATTGTCAATTTGCCTGCAGCAAGCGATGTTTATTTAAAATGGCCAAACCAGTTTGCGATCCTAAGAACGGATATTGTTTTAAATTATCATGTGATGCTGGATGGCTAGGATCACGGTGCCAAGAAGAATGTCCACGGGGAAAATATGGTCCAAGTTGTAAAAGGTCTTGTGGAGCATGTTGGGGAGGAGCGGCTTGCGACAAGGTTACTGGCTTGTGTCCAGTTCGAGAGCAGAGATGTCTAGCAGGATTCATTAGCTCAAAGTGTGATACCCCTTGTCCTATTGGAAGCTATGGAAGAGATTGCTCTTTAAAGTGTTCAGCAAACTGCAAACGAAAAGACTGCGATCCGGTTAGTGGATATTGCCGAGACGGTCTCTGCAAGTCTGGTTTTAAGGGAAAAAACTGCTCACTAACGTGTGAAAGTGGGGAATTCGGTGAAAATTGCCAAAAAAAATGTGGCTTCTGCTTTCACAACTATGGAAATTGTAATCCTATCACTGGTTATTGTCTTAATGTTAAATGTTTACCTGGTTATACTGGAAAAGGTTGTACAGAGTTGTGTCCGGAAGGCACCTATGGTTTCGACTGTTCGAATAACTGTAAAAATTATCGTCCTACACATCATGCAATGGATAGTCGTTCTTCAAAGATAGTTACGAGGTCGTTTATCAGCTCGAGTAAATCAGATAAACCGAATGAAAAAGGTCGTGAGAAGACTTCAAAAAAAACAGAAACTGGCGTCTATAAATGCCATAAAGGGTTTTTGAAGTATGTGTCGGGAAAGAAATGTAAACTAGAAGCGTTGAAAAATCTAACAATTAATCTTCAATCCAAGATCAAAGGAAGTAAAGAGAGAGACGTCAATTACGCAATGCTATTTTTATTATCATCAGGCACGCTCATTGTGGGTATAATTTTAGGAGTATCTTGCGGTTTCTACTGCAGTTATAGATATTCAAAGTCAAAGGAAAACAGTATAAATTCTAGCATCTCAAAACTACTCTATGATCGTTCAGAGAATACTTTACTATCTCGAATCCAAAACAATCAGGCGGCAAATACCCAAGCGCATAAACTCAAACACCAAGAGGCAAAAACCATGGAGAGCTTACAGGTAATTTCTTTCAATAAAGCCATATTTTACCTTCAAGTCAATTTTTCCATTAGAAAAGCAGGGATCCAAGTAGAAAAAACCAGGACAGATCTCAACGATTGTCTACCACCATTTTTTCATCATCTTCCGGTTCCTACATAGTTAGCGAAAACGATAAAGACGAAAAAATTTTAAACAAAAAAATTTAAGTAAAAAGTGAAAAGTGTATTCTTGCCCTCAGTCACATCAATTCATATAAAAATATACGAAAAGTCGTTAACACAGTTTATACACATAGGCAAACTCAATTAAGCGCAGACTAGGTGTAAACATTATCGTAAAAATAAATTTTTAAGACAATGCCAACAGGTAAACGAATGACGAGTTGGTAGAATCCAACTAATCTAAGTAAAATTATTGAACGTTTAACGGCACAAACTAGTAAAATTTTCAACTCAGATTATATAGGAGAGCACAAGAAGAAAATAAAGTCATCAGTTTATGGCACTTGAGTTCGTCATCTAAGCTAAGTGTTTAAACAACGCTAAAGCTCATATCTTCGTCATCTTCAGGAACCAAGAACATTTCGCTAGTGTATGGATAGAGAGCTTCTTCTGGACTAACGAGCCAGCAGTTCTTATTTCCTCTCTGTGCAGATCTTGCTCCAAAGAAACGATCTCCGATCTTAACGGCTCCGTAGGCCGAAGGTACATTTTGTACTGCACCTTTAGCTCCTACGTAATTCTTTTTGGCGTGTCCAAGCAAACCGCCGACGTTTTCATCAAGGATTCTGTGTTCTTCAACCTGGATGTCCAAGTGTTTAGTAGAAATAGAGTGTTTTTCAAGGCTGATCAAAAACACAACTTTGCGTTCTTCACTACCAGTTTCAACTCTCATCTTCTTTGAGTTAGCTTCATGATTAACGGTGATATCTCCGATTCGGGCTTCTCCACCAGTCTTCCAAGTAAGACCAGTGTTTGGTACTCCGCGGGTATCGATGGTAACGTGCGAAGTTCTCGTCTCAACAACAACGATATGGAAGTATTTATCATCAAGACTTGATGCATACATGCCCCAACCTCCAACAGTGTCATTCAACATGATGAATTGTCTGCCAGGGTAGCCAAAAATGTCAAAACATAGTGGGTCAGTTGCGGCTTTTCCGTATACAAGAATATGTGGATCACCGCTACTGCTGCTTCCTCCAGCACAGCTAATACTCATACAAGTAACGTCATTGGCAACATTTGTATCTTCATAAGATGCTTTAACTTGTGCTGGTGGAATGATATTTTTGACGGGCTTAGTACAGGCACAAAGCTTCATATTCTTTGAACACTGAGCGCTAGTAATAACCAACTTTTCAGTTTCAAGATCAATTTGTCTGCTTTCACCATCTAGAAGTCCCATATCAACGTTGTTTGAAGACGCTATTTTATAGTCATTTACAGCTCCCTCGTTACCTGATTCAACGATCTATCAAGAACGAAAAAGGACAATTATAACAACTTACAAACATTATATACAATAAAATATAAATACGTACTTCTACTCTGAAGAGAAAGTTGTCAAGGTTCTTTCCACTTGCAAATAAATCATCAGGTCCATGATTTGTCAACGTCATAAGCAGTTCTATGCGAGTTGGTGTATCTCTCGGGATGACAATTTCCTCCTTACCATCCGTAGTCTTCAATTTCGTCGAAGCGATATCACTTTTACCAGCTAAGGAACTTGACACTACGGAGAGGAGAATGAGAAACCAAAACGCCATTTTTTTCTCTCTTGCTCTTTCTTTCTTTTAGTGTTTAAAATATACCAACTGATGACTCTGATTTGACTAGGAATCCGCTGGCCTTTTATACTATAGTTGAGCACTAAGTGTCAAACTCACTAGCAAACTTCGAAATTTTCACAGTTTGCGAAAGAGACCAACGTGTTAAATTTTCAAATTAAAGATTTTCAAAATGGCCGATTAATTTTTAAAAACTAGAAAACACCATTTTAAAATTTTTAGACAACACTAAACTCTAGTCACTTTTTTTGTAAAACTGCTTAAAAAATGTTTCAAACTCGCGAAAACTTTTATCTTTTATTTAGTTTATTAAGTAGGCCTTTATTTCTGCAGTAGATTTTCGATCCTAATAAAAATAACAAAAGCGTGCACAGTCAAAGACGAGAAAGACGATACACGAGTAATAAATGATGAACACATGTATAATGTCACCCTCACCGATAAAATTAACGTCTATAATCAGTCAAATTCTCCTAAAATTCTAGTTTGCTCCAACGTCAGCTGTTGGAAAAATTGACATGACAAAGCTTATGACAAAAGTAGTAAACATCCGAAAGATAGAGACTAAACGATTGTCTTCAGCCGGCTGTTGACCGTCTTGTTCCGGTCTCGGAGACTCTCGATTGAGGCGTCGTTGGGGTCTTAACCAGCCGATATGATACACATAAAAAACGAGGGCCAATGTTAAAAACAGAGCGAAACGTTGAAAGTTGGAGTAGTAGTAGATTATAGCCAGGAATATGGCTATTCTGCATAGAGTATATAATTTATCAAGCCAATCTCGATTTTCAAATTCATCATCTTCCGCAGCAGCGGCCCCTGGTCCAGCATTCATTCTAACCGGTTCAGGTTCTTGGGCAGCTTCAGGTTGTGGTTGCTGAGGAGGGGGAAGTCCCGCCGAAGTAGCAGTCGTCGTACCCTCAGCAGGAAGAGCAGAGGGAAGAGATTGTTCTTGATAACTGTTATAAAAAAGGTAATAAAAAAAAACATTGTATCACAAACTTTCATCGTAAATCATTTACTTACTACTGCGACATCATCTGATTCCATTGCTGTGTATAAATTTGCTGTAACCACATCATTTGCTCTGGATTGTAAGGCCAATTTAACTGACTGAATTGATTAAATTCTGGTGCTGATATTGGAGCTGGAGTTGGGGTTGTAGATGAGGGTGCTGTAGCCGACATAGATTGTTTCCTTCTATATGGTCCATTTTCATTCCTAATATCTGATGTAGGTGGTATTCTTTGAGGGACGGGTGATGGGTTCGAACAAACTAGATGTACTGTATGCTGAATTTGTTCTTCGTTATCCTGAAAAGGATAGGCCTAAGTTAAGTCTAATCAGATATCAACATTCAGTTCACTCGTGAACTTGACGTTAGATAATATAATATTATATATATATATAAGTCAGTCTACTTACTTCTTTTAATATATCTTTGAGTAAAACATTGTCGGGTAATAATTTTCCGGAATAAATCAACTTTTGGTTATCTTCATTCTATTAAGTAGATACAAATTAATTATTGAATTGTTTTACAGTTATAAATAATGTACTAACGGGTTTACTAGGGTGGACTTCTGATAAGTGTCTCTTCAATTGTTTAACTGTCCATTCTATTGCGCATTCTACCGTCTGATCGGCTATTTTCTGATTCGGTGCCTTAACGACCAATGTCACATTTGTATTTAAAAGGGAATCCATAATTTCTTTGTGTTAGTAGGTGAAAGCTCTGTGTTTAAAAAGGTAACGATATATTATTGAAAGGTTGTATCGGGAAATGTACGAATTGCGTCAGTCAACTATTATAACACCGATCCACAATTTCTACGACAGATCGGGCAGAATTGATCGATCTGTATGCGGCAGCATATGTTTAAAATTCAACTTACGATGAAAATCCTTCTTATAATCTTATGAAACAAGGGTAACTTGTGTAATTTTTCTGTTGTCAATTTTGACGTCACTGCAATTGATCGGCAGCGCCACACCGTATTCGTAGCTATAAATATTTACGTTTCGAGCGCTGATTGGTCGAAGAATACTAAGATACAACCAGCATTACAAACACTAGCGCCATCTTTATGACGTTTATCAAAGAATATTTAAAAAAAAAGTAGTTTTACATAGGTTATGTATTATGTAATCATAAAAAGAAAACATGAAACTTTTAGCATATACCATAGCTACAGTAACGGAACAAATACAATTTTGTGAACATTAATTAAATCGTCCTTGAGTTGCTTCGAGTTTAGCCTGTATCTTTTCCAAAACCCTTTTCGCTTCGCAAACAGGAAAGTTTGATAGCTCGTAGTACGAAGGAGCAATTTTTAGTAGCCTGCAAAAGATAAATGAAAGATGTTTAATTTCTGTGTTTTTACGTATATATATGTATATATATTATTTTTTTTGTTTTTACTATTACCATTCAGGTTTTATATCCGTACAAGTCCTAATATAATTCTTGGTTGTAAGCACAAACTCATTGTATAGAACCCATTCTGGTTTGTGGTCTAGACACGTAGATGGATGGAGTTGTACAACTTGATTGTCTTTCACTGTTAAATAGTGGCCGGTTCTTTCGAGATGGGCAACTTGCATGAAAAAACCAGTTACCAAAGCTTTGCGAATGTTAAGATAATAATCCCTTGATGTAAAATCTGTACTTGCACGTTTCAGTTGAAATCTATCCATAATTCTCGCAAGCTGCTGTCTCACGTTATCGGCTGATTTCAAAGATCTAAAGTTGATAAAGTTGTCGTAGCACCACTGTGGATCCTCGTGATTTTGTTTAAATGCGTGATAAACGTTCAACAGGGTCAAATGGTCTCCGTCAATATGAGCAAATCTCATCTTTGCCTCGTCGGCTTGCTTCTTTACTTCATTCGGTCTCACGAAGCACTGTGGAACTAAATAGTTGGTGGCCCATATCATGCCACATTCATTAATACGAACTTTACAACTTGAATTTTTTATACCGAAAGAAAATACGCTTTATGAATTAAAGTTCTTAATATTATATCTTTTTTTTTCAAGCATAAATTCTTTCACTAAAAAAAATAAACTTTTAACGTCTATTGCTTTTTATCTTTAACGTCACCAAATTAGAAATGAAATTATTCAATAATTTTTTATATACTCACCGGAAAGCATGGCTGTTATTGATAAAGCTTCGTTGCTGCAGTTAAAGTCACAACTGGCAATAACCATTTTGGATAATTGAGGATCCAATGGAAATTCAGCCATCATTCCACCTAGTTGCGTTAGTTCTCCATCATCATCTAGAGCAGCTAAATAATTTAACAGTTCGAGAGCTCTCATTAAAGTTTCGGGGGCAGGAGGATCCATAAAATCGAAATGAACGAGATCGTCTATACCCAATTTCTTTAAATTTAAAACAACGCTTCCTAAATTTGATCTTAAAATTTCTGGATAAGTTTGCTCTTGCATTTCAGATTTATAGGCTTTTTCTGTATATAAACGAAAGCATTTGCCTGGTTTCGTTCTTCCAGCTCTGCCAGCTCTTTGCTGAGCAGACGCTTTGGAAATGGCAGTAACTAGCAATGATTCTACCCGAATTCTTGGATTGTACACCTTCTGTTTGGCAAATCCTGGATCAATGACAAAAACAACTCCGTCAATAGTTAAAGATGTTTCAGCGATATTCGTCGATACCACAACTTTTCTTCCAATAGCTCCATTTGGTCTAGCTGGTGGTGGTGGTTCAAATATCCTTTGTTGCAAGTTTGGAGGTAGTGTAGAATATAAGGGAATGCATTTCAACTCGCCTACTTCATTCCCTAAATTATCCATTTCGCGACCAATACGTTTACAAGCTTCCTCTATTTCTTCTTGCCCAGTAAGGAAAAGCAGTACATCACCGTCCGATTCTTCGCACATGTGTATTTGAATAACAGTTCTAATAGCAGCTTCTAAATAATCTCTTTCTGGCTCAGGCGTATAAAAGATTTCTACCGGATGGGTTCGACCAGGTACGGACATTAAAGGACAGTTATCGAAATAGGTTTGAAACTTTCCTGCATCCAGAGTTGCAGACATAACAATTATTTTTAAATCACTTCTCCTTTTTGCAACTTCTTTCAGTAAACCCATAAGAATATCGGTAGCCAATGTTCTTTCATGAGCTTCATCCAACATAACTACACCGTAAGCTTCAAGAAGAGGATCAGACATTGCTTCTCTCAACAACATACCGTCTGTCATATATTTAAGTATAGTTCTGTTTGATGTACAATCCTCGAACCTAATTGAATAGCCTACTTCTTGTCCGAGACCTACGTCCAATTCCTCTGCTACTCTCTGTGCAACTGACATAGCTGCAACTCTTCTTGGTTGTGTGCAAGCTACACCTTTTTTTTGATAGCGAGACTTTACCCAATCAAGACACCATTGAGGTATCTGAGTGGTTTTACCAGAACCGGTTTCTCCTACAAGTACCATAACTTGATGTTTGTTCATCATTTCTATAAAACGTTCTTTGTATTCCCATACTGGTAGCGATGATCTTTTTCGCAGAAGCTCAAAATATTTAGGAGTATGAGGTAATCCAGTAAATGGATTCGGCGTGTTCACCGTAGGCATCTTTGTAAACGGTCCAGAGCCTATAGCAGGTGATGAATCCCTGAATACACGATTAGTGATGTGAAAATAATTTTTCAATTAAAAAAGAAAAGATTTATAAACAATTTTACCTTGGCTTTTTGGGATTTGAGTCGCCGACGTCGATTCTCTGACGTTTCGACATTTTGTTGGACATTAAAGTAGATTTTTACTAAAGCACGCCCTGACGCTGTAAGCGCTTTATGCTATTTATCATACAAAGCACTCTCCAGCGCTTCTTCGTTCGAAAGTCGTCTTTTAGTTTAGTGAGGTTAGTGGTTATTTTTCCTGTAGGGAACGGAACTGAGCACCCTGTTAAATACTTTATTTTGGACCAATGACTGACCACGACGCCTTTTGGTGCTGTACGCGATTATTAACGCGGGAAATGTATTAATCACCTAATGTGTTTCTCAAATCAGTTGTTTTTAACATATAAATTTGATTATGGATCATTTGAACAAACTTCTTAGTGCTTTAGACGATGAGGAAAAGAATAAACTCGATTCTCTCAAAGAACTTGAAACATTGTAAGTTAAATAATTTGTTTTGAATATACTATCTAATGATTCTTTTTTTAGTTTATCTAGTCAAAAAACTGACGACCTTTTTGGCAACGTCTCTGCTTTGACTCAAGTAATACTACCGTATACTACGTCAAAAAATAGTTTTGAAAGGGTTCAAGCTTATAAGATATTCGAAAAATGTACTCTACATTGGAAGAATGATCTAGAGAAATCATCCAAAGAGTTTTTCCGATTACTTATACAACATAATTGTAATTATGAGAAATTTAATTCTGAAGATTTACGCAAAACATTCTGTTCCGATGATTTAACCTTCGTGAAAAATGTTATATGTTTTTTGGGGAGGAGAGCTATCAGTGATAATGAAATGGGTGTTATAAATAACCTTCTAAAAGTCGTAACTTTCGGGCTAAAAGGTTCTGTAAATAATTGTTTGAAAGCCTACGATTGCGTTGACGCCCTATTCGAGGTAGTTTGTTCTGATAGAGGTTAGTAAATTGAATAAGAAAAGTTTTTTTTTTCACCAAATAATACTTTATTGATACGATTTCCTACTCCAAATAAAAGAACGTTTGCATAGAACAAGATTTAAAAAACTAGCCAAAGCTGCATATGGTAAAACTCATCATACAGAAAGCTTAATATCAAGAAAGATCTATTCCTGGTGGAAATTTATAATTGCGCAAGAATATTCTGACGATAGCACTTCTGATGTAATTTTAATTAAAGCTAATTAATTGATTGACGGATAGATATTAATTTACTCTCACAGATGATCGACGCTTACTACGAGCATTGCAAAGAGATTATTAGCTCCAATTATGGTATCAATAAATAAATTAATACACTAAATCTATAAATATGTATATACACATACACTTTTAATATCTTTCTAGCCGAAAACACTTCTTTAGAATTAACAGAAACGCTCTTTAATAATACTGCCGTTATATTTTGCTTACTATTTGTTAAGGAACCCAATGAATTTAAAACATACATACCGAATTCTTTTACAAAAGGTATTTATTTTAATATTTTGAATTTAATGTGTTTTTTAATGATTTTTTTTTGTTAATAAATAAATTAATATTTTTAATAGGTTTACCTAATATTCAACTTTTATATTCACGAATTACACTTACCAAACTACTGGATTGTATTAAAGCCGTATTTAATATATTCAAAACTTCACCAAACTTGTTTTCGGGTATTTCTAATTAAGCAATATTAATTGGATAAATGTAATTAATATAATTATTCTATTTATAGAAAATGCCAAGATATTTCTCTTAGAAACATGTTTATCTTATATGAGAGGAAAAGTAGTACCTAATGTTGATTGTATGAAAAGTCTATTTGACGGCATAAAATGTTTATTAGAAGATAAGATACTAAGCAGGAATGCTATACCAGTAAGCTATTTTTTTCTTTTTTTTTATATAAAATCCTCTTACAGATGTTTAACCTTTATTATTTAAAGAAATTTCTAAAGTCTATCTCTGAATTGGACAAGACGTTTCTTTGTCAAAGTCATATTCATTTCGATAAGGATAAAAAGGTTCTCGTTTATCACTTGAAGAATTAATAATAAATACGTGGTTAATTTGTTTATTTTACTATTCCCATAGGAGTCGTCCGTATTTTATTGTCTAAAATGGATAATAGAATTATTAGAAGAGAAGACAATGGATAAGAATCTTAATTGTGAATTGGCACAATTATTTAAATCATACTTATCAATTTTACCAGAAGGAGAATATATATCGTTAAATAATTTTAACGAACTCGTTAAAGTCTGTTGAAGGTTAATTAATCACTAAATAATTTGTAAACTCTGGTTTATTATTTAAATAGACTATAGAAAGAATTGAGAAAAGAGAAGAAAATACGATCTGGTTGATGGAAATATGGGAGATGATTGTTTACGAATTAAACGAATGTATAATGCTGGTAATTAATATTTTAAATATTAAAAATATTTCCCATTTACAATTGTGTTGTTAATAAGAAATAATTGTTTTCATAAGACCCAAGAGGTCAATCAGGGTAACGTTGTTAAGCACGATTTCTCTTGTTTAATTGATACTTTGATGATACCATTTGAATTTCATCTTTCATTCTCTTTGGAAAAGTGGCGTAATCTATTCAAAGTAAGGACGTTAATTACTATTATAAACATGAGCATTATTTAACATACTACTTTTAACAGACGTTTAATAGACTAGCGTCAATGGTTGAGAATGTATCTTCAAATCAATCGATCTACGAATTAACCGATAATTTATGCAAATTAGAATTAAAAGTAACAAAAAAAAAGAAATAAATATTTTAATTAATTATCAATTATTATGCAATAAAAATTTTAATTTTTCATTCTAGCCGAAAGATTATGAACAATTTTTAAAAGTTTTTACAATCCTACTCGAAACAATCGACTATTGCGAAGATTCAACAACTGGTAAGTAAATAATGAAATTATACATGTATAAAATATTGTTAATAAATATTTTTGAATTAAAAAGCATCACTCTTTGGAAGTCCTCGTCCTTCAACTGCAATTAATCATTCGATATTATCTATTATTTCGAAACTTTTTTTATATATTGAAAAGAATTTATATTATAAATGGAAAGAAGATAAACTATTTAAACTATTAGCCGAATGTTTCATGGTTTTCTTCAAAGCAATGCCTAAAGCGTCTATATTTCAGAATGCCTTTCAAATATTCCAAAAATATTTTATTGCATGTTATGAAAATTGTTCGGAGAAGAATTTACAAGAAGTAGTTAACAATTTTTTAATCATAAATACTATATATATATATATATATATATCGATGTCTGTATTGTTTTTACCAGCTACATCAAGCGTTTATAAGTTATTTAAAAGACTATAAAGCTCCCTACGACTCGGAATTGTTATCGGATTTAAGTGAATTATTTGTTAAAGCATTTGATAAATCATATTTAGTAAAATCAACAACAACACTATGGAATGAAACGTTTTCTAAATCGAATCATTTAGTTTATCCCAACACTCTCAAGTAAAAAAAGCTTTTATCATTTTTTTTACAGTCTTAAATTTAATTAGGTTAATCATTTGTTATTTTTTTTCTTTCATTAAAACAGGGAATATTTTAAAAATGCTTCTTTAAAATTGATTTTACCTAATTGGCATCAACAGACTGTTGTAATGGAAGAATTAGGATCAAGGGAAATACATTTAGAATCTCAAGTAGGAATTTCATTTCTTTTATAAATAATATTGATATATAGCTTTATATACAATAAATTTTTACAGGTTGATCTTCCAAGTATTCCTGGTATTCTTTCACCAAAGAAAAAAACTCCTACTCTATCACTTGAAAAATCATCAATTAATCTAATGTCATCTCCAAAAATCTCTCAAAAGAGTACAAAAGTCTCAAATCCTAATCCTACGTCGCTAAATGATATGAATTCCAATGTATTTAATCTCAATGAAATATTTTGATTATTTTTCTCATAAAATCTAAATATTTCCTCTTTTATTCATAGAGTTTCATAAAAATCGATTCACCACCTAAAGGTAAGAGGATTTTAACTCAACATCAAAAGGAAATTTTAAAGGAACAGAGGTAAATAACCGATGTTTAAGATTTATTAGATTTTGTATGAATAAATTGTCGAAAAACACTTTTTAAAACAGAAATAACAACATTTATGGAGACACGCAAGACATTGTGACAAACGATACTCAAATGTCACAATTAAGGTATTAAAGATAATTTTTTCCATTAAGAGAGAGATTAACTTGTGCATTGAAACGCAGCACGGAAACTCCTGTAATGGAATTGACGCCTTTACCATTTTCTAATATTGGCGTTAGTTCTGCTGGGCCGAAGGATAAGACAGAGTTTAGGAAAGAGGAAGTGATTAAAGATACGAATGACACGGTTGAGAAAGATGTAGAAGATGAACATATGGAGATTGAGAAAAAAGATGAATCGCAGATAGTGAGTGAAAATAGCGAAGAGGTCGAAGTCATCGAAGAGGACGTCGTTACGGATATATCGAGTAAACTATCGAATTCCTCTCCGACGAAAAGTAACGACTTAAGAAGCCGGAAACAATCGTTCGATGAAAATGTATCCGCTGACGGGAAAATCGATAAGTGCGCCGAAGTGGTTAAAGAACGTTCCAATGTTCTTAGGTCGCCGAATATTATGCAAAACGACGAAAATAGAAGAAAATCAAATAGAGGTCGAAAGCGAAAATTAAGTCTCGATGCCAATATTGTAAAACAGAAGGAAGACAAAATCGTACGCAAACGCCGAATGACAAGAAAGAGTTCATCGGAAATACTTTCACATAGCGAACCTAAATTGTCTTCATCTTTTACCGATAAAAGAAAGAGGTCGAAAAGAGCAAGAACAAAATTGGATTTTAGCGGTAATTCAAAGGAGAGTAGTTCTCCATTTTTTGTTGAGGAAACTGAGGATTCAGTTGCTGAGAACGATACGTCAGTTGAGAAGAAAGATGACGGCGTTCAAATTGTTGAAGATACTATAGATAGGGTCATAACCGAAAAATTATTAGAATCAAAGAAATTAGTTATCGAATGTCAAGATGAATTAAAGGAAGCACAATTTAAAATCAATAAAGCTCAAAGTCTTGTAGATGAAGTTCCGAATACGCCTAAGAACTTAAAATGTACTAAATTTCCTTTAGTAGCTCCGGACCCAATAAATAGTCCATCACTGAAAGGTAAAACCGCCTTACAAGAAGTGGAAAAGGAAAAAAATTCGGAAAAAGATGATTTGGACGAAGTATCAAACGCTTCTGCTTCTAAAGCGAATAAGATTGATTGCCAAATTAAAATGTTGCCAGTTATATCCGGAAGACAAAAACCTTTAACCGAAAGTCCAATAAAGGCTAGAACTCAATCTAACGAGTTGAAAAGATTAGTTTTCTCTTCGCCCGTTCTCAAGAAATTTGAAAGAACGAAACAGATCAATAGCTCTCCAACTTCTACCTCTGATATTAATATTGCTATCACGTCTAAAGTATCTCCAGGTATCTTAAAACGAAAACCGTCAGTAAGCGTTGAGCCATCACCAAAGGTAAAAATTTCCGTTAGATGAATTAAAATATATCTGACTTGAATAGTATTTAATTAATTAACGATAGTTAATTGAAAGTTAGATAAAATAACTATTTTGTTTATTATATATTTACATAATTATCTAAGTTGTTCACTTTTCAATGCAGCGTCGTCATGTTCACTTTAACGAAACTATATCAACAAAAGACGCTAACGGAAGGGAATGTAATAGTCCTATGAATTTATCAACTCAGAATAGCGTTCCTGAACTATCTCAGGCTTCCAATTCTTCATCAATCGATTCCGAATCATTATCTCAATTAAACCAAACCGATCCGATTTGTGGCGATTTAATCGATTGTAACGAAGATATTGGTGAGATATTATCCGCTGTTTGTACATCGACAAACGCGTAAGTTATTAACATTATAATGATAATGTAAAAACAAAAGAATATTTAATATAGTTATATACTGTATATATATATATATATATATATATTTATTATCTATATGTGTTGTATATTTCAATTTTCTTTTCTCTTTAACTAGAAAATTGGTAGTAAATAACTGGAAGAAGGTTCATGGAATAAAGACAGTTGGAGATTTATCAAAGAAAAGCCAAATAGAAGTAAAGAATCTTAGTGGTATTGCCGAACCTAAAGTGAAGCGTGTAAAGGAACAATTGCAAATTTTTAAGCAACAATACGAGCGAAAACGGCAGAAATTGAAAGAGAGAGAAACAAGAATATTAGCTCCCCTTGACATGGAAGATAGTCAAGACGCTGTTGCGCTGGAATCATCACCTATAGCTAACATAGAGAATATAGCTCAACAAGTTGAAAGAGTTAGAGAAGAAATCCATAGTAGATTAGGTCAGTTCAGCCTCGAGCAGAGATTGCAAGCGGCTGCTAGATTACAGAAGGCGCAGCAAAGCTTATCAGAACTTCAAAGTTGTTTGTTGCAGAATTTAGTTGAGGAAAGTCGTAAGTAGTTTAGTGTTGTTTGCATAAGAAAAAAAATTCGTGTTTTGTAATATGCATAACAAATTTGGCGACGTAGGAGAAAACAGTTATTATATCGTGGGAGCAGTCTGTTTTAACAGTAAAGGAATAAAACTATTTCGTTTATGTACAAAAAAAAAAAAAAAGAGAAAAAAAAAGCAACACAATTGTGTTCTTTTTTTTTTTTTTGCAAACGAGACAGAACGTGTTTATAATTTTGTTTTTATTAACTTTTTTTTTGTTTTTGTTTGTTGACTAGTCTTCCGTTTATTCTAAAAGTTTCTTTTTTTTTTCTTTATTTTCCATTTCAATTTTCTCTTTTTTTTTTTTTTAAACAATAGGCGGTGGTGGTGACGGCCATTTGTCCTCTTGATATTGAACGTTTTTTCGTTGAAGAACATTTAATATGTTCTGTACATCGGTCGACATCTTTTCTTCTAGCCTACTTAACTGTTGAGATAGTTCTTCGATACGTCGATTAATATCCGTATTCTTCTCGATTGTTTCTTGGATACGTTTTTGTCTTTCAATTGGCGTATGCTTCTTTGTCTGATTAGCGCCTCCTATAGTATAGGCAAAATATACTCGATATTAGTGAAAAATATTTATAAAACATTGCATTTTAAAAAAAGCCCAACTGAATATAAATAGGCATATAGGAACAAACTCAAACTTTATAAAAAAAAGAAATGAATAAAGTAAACTTAAAAATAATTGTTTTACACATGTAAAAAAAAAAAAAAGACTACAAAAAGAGAAAGATATTTGGTGTATATACATGTTCTTTTTTTTTTTTTTTTGTTTCGTCATATACAAAACATAGGGTTAGGGTAGTTCTAGTGAAAAGAGAAGGAGCAGATAATAATGGTGGTAATAATAATAAGTGGGGAGAATTTTTTTGAGGGAGGAAAACTTTTCTTACCACTTGGTTTTTTACCAGAGGCTATGGCGCTTAAGTCTGTTGCGCTTCGCCTTATCCAGCCTGGATTAGGAATTAAAATTGAAAAAAAAAATTGAATGCAATCATTAATAGGAACATTCTTTCTTTTGGTAAATAAACGAAAAGAAATAGGTATTAAATAATACGCTCAGCAAATCTTGGAATGGTAGTCGTAAATGATTTCGTTAATCACTTTAATCAGTTTAAAATACACACCTGCAATTGATGAAATGGGACCTGAACCACTATTACCACCTCCAGCAGCCCCACTGGCGGAGGGTGATGGGAAATCCAGATTGGCTGGTGTAACGTCCAAACCGGCTTTCTCCGGTGAGAATTCTAATATGCCAACACCTGATCGTTTGGCATCCTGTGCCTCATCATCGTCATCCTCTTCCGTAGTAAATATGTCTTTTGATCTTTGCATTACAGCATTATTTGTAGAAGACGGAGTTGTTTTACAATAAATGGACGATTTAGATTTACGATTACGTAAAAACGGATAGCGCTGCGCCTGTTCGCTACCAATATCAATAGCCCTGCTTTGAATGACCAATTCTTCGTCTCTTAAATCAAACGTTACCTCGAGGTTATTTGCAAAATGTTCGGCGAACTCGGGATACATTTCTAAAACATCTAAAAGGTCGTCGCGGTGGATGTTATGAAGGTCACAATAGGTCAGCGCGCGTACATTGCAGGATGATTTACCCACAGTTCCGTGCTTGCACAAGTTTTCCCCAAAGACGTCGTCCTTTCCAAGTATTGCCATGACAACATCTTCCTTGAGAATTTCGATCGAGCCGCGCGAAATAAAATATAGCGCATCTAGTATGTCTCCGCGATGCACTAGTGTGTCACCCGGTGGTACGTGAGTAGTCTTGAATTTTATCGACAAAGTCCGTAAACACCCCGGTGACGCTCCTTTAAAAGCTGGGCAATTATTGAGCAGGTTTCTATTTAAATGCAAGCATATATCGGCTTGAAGACATTCGGGAAAGCCTTTCAGCACCATATTCATATCAATACCGTTAGTATATGACCAAGCGTGTTGAAAGTATTCTTCCAGACGCTGTCTTAACGGATTGGGAATTTGGTGGAAGCGTATAAATTCCTTAACCTTTTGCATTTGAGTATGATAGCGAGCCGTACCCGAATAGAGTCGTTGTATAATGGCGCTAACATTACCAAAGATGGACGCGTACATCAACGATCCTATTAACATGACACAGATGGAGAAAATCTTCTCCGTGTTTGTATTTGGAGAAACGTTTCCAAAACCCACAGAGGTTAGAGATGAAAACGTAAAATACAAGGCCGTAATATACTTGGATTTGAGTGTGGGACCCCCTCCTGTGCCATTATTAAACGGCTGTTTAGTCTGCTGGGCTAGGTCGTCCAACCAACCAATCTTCTCTTTGTTCATCTTTCTTTCCATATTCCCTATTGCGTACCAAATACAAGCCAACCAATGGGCAATTAAGGCAAAAGTTGCCATTAGTAGTAATAGTACTGCTGCTCCGTATTCGGAGTATCTATCCAACTTTCTCGCTACCCTAACGAGCCTTAGCAACCTTGCTGTTTTCAATAATCCTATTAGAGTAGTCGTCTATTTTGTAAATGACGAGGAAATAATAAAAAGTAAGTCAGCAATACTAATTGAGAGAATAATTAAAAAATATAATTGAGAGTTACTTACCTCGTCATTATTGGAGCCGTAAAGGAGGGCATCAAAGGGAATTGCCGCTATCACGTCAATCAAGAACCAACCCTTGAAGTAATGAACAGCGATTTTACCCGGATGGCTAACTACTTCGTCGTTCTTATTAATGTACGTGGTACGGAAGTTTATAAATATATCAATTATAAACATGACATCGACAACAATGTCAATTATCTTCAGAGGATCCGTCTGCTTTTCACCTTGCCTATTTTCCGTATCGGATAAAAGAAAAGCGGCAGAATAGGGAGTGAAAATTGCCGTATAGATAACTAATATCAAAATCAGCCAATCCCAGACTGCCTTAAACGGAGAGTAATGCAGTAGAGTAAATCGATGAATTCTCTGCGTCGGTAATTTATATTCGGGTAGTACGTCTTGACCCAGAGAAAGTACCTAGATACAAAAAGCATATTTTAATTGGACGAAGAGATACTTTTGGTCATATAGGCCTATCCAATGGGCGGAGGACGTGCTGTTTCTACGTCTGTACCGAAATAAAAATGCACTAACAACACGCCCGCAATCAATAAATGGAATAGCCTCTACGTGTCCGTCTCCTTATCATTGAATACTGCTGACCTACGGAGAAGAATGGCGAACTGATTTTAAGAGATTGGAAGTGTGTACTATCGTTAAACTAGATAGAGGGAGGGAAAGACGAAGAAAGAGATTTCCGAAAAGCGCGTGAGCGGATGGGATAGATTTTTGGGGCAATTAAATTTTGGCGCTTCCTATTGAAAAGTTTTGTTTTGTTTTATTCATTAACATCCTTTTCAAAATGTAGATATAGGATAGGAAAACAGGAGAAGCTTGTCGGGAAGATGACGACAGTTGGTGCATAATAATTTCGATTGATCAAAGCGCGAGGAAAAACGCCTAGCAATTACCTGCGCCATTTTCTCAGTTACGTTGTGTTTCATGTTTTGCATAGGTAAAAAGATTCCCTGCTTCGACGAGACGATACTTTCACGTTCCACCGATCTCCTGTAAGGGAATAAATTAACAGAATCCTGGATGAGGGTACGATGTTAAATTTCTTTTGCATTTCGTCGGTGACTGCCGCTTATTCATAAATCAAATACATATAGTGTAAGAAACAAAAAGGTAAACTTAGTGCTTTTATGAACTTGAAAAGGAGTGAGAAAAGTTAACAGGGATGAACATAAACAAACAAAAAGTATAATAATAAAAGAAAAAAGGGAGTGCTTCATTAAAATAACGTGATTACAATGACAACAATTAATTAAAGACAATAAAAAAGTTAAATTCTAGTAAACACACTCACTTTTGATCGAAATCAGTCAACGACGAAACGGAATAAAGTCTGGAACGTTTCAACGCACCTGCAAAACGACGCATGTTCAGTTATATTCTTTGGTAGGCGTTTAATTAGTTCCGAATCGCTCAAGGCCTGAGCCGAAAGAAGACTATGTCGAAAAGGCTTTCTTCCTCCGGCTAAATAATGCACGTATTCTTCATTACTGCTCTTTTTCTTTTGTCACACGTAAAAGGCACAATCAAACGAAGCAGTAAAAGAATACCACAAAAAAAGCCGAAAGCCATGCATATTTTTACTCACTGGCGTCGCAAGTATACGAGCGTTGCCTGGAGTCGAAAGGACGCCCTGTTTTAACAACGTTTAAACGCGCAAAAAAAAATGATGCACCGATAAAACAATCAAAAATAAAAACTGAAAATTAAATTAAATACTGATGAAAAGAAGGAAACCACACCAATTGAAAATGTGGATATATATACATATATACAGTATATATATATATGAATGCGTATGTGTGTATGTATATATACATATATATACATATGTGTACAAACTGTATATACATTATTGTATATCGTTCTATGTATGCAGTTTGTATCATCCGAAAGGATGTAGTTGTGTTACATTCTGATTTGTAATTTATATAGCAATATTTTTAATTAATACACTTACCATCTTTACAAAACGCCTTGGCATCTAGATGTTCGAAGCTGGACGCCTTTCGGAGGCCATCGGCAACGTCTCCTTGTATTGATTGCAAGGGTACTGCTTCGCCTTCATCTTCCGATTCCTCTTGCTTTTCGATATCCTTTCTTTTCTTCCTTCCATCGGTCTTTACGTCCTTACGGAGCATGGGTAAACGGAGCTTGAACGCTTTTCCGCGGTCGGTAGAAATAGAATTGCGATATTGACTCTTGACGGGAGCATCCGTAATATCCTCAAAATTCACGATGAACATTATCACCTCGTTCGACTCATTCTTTACCGGGGCAACAAGGACGCTACATAAGAATTTTGTAGTATCTTTTTTGTAGTACAGAACTTCGGCCTGTTTCTCTTCGCTACCCTGAAGGGCATCCTGAATTTGTTTAATAGCGTACGGTGTTGTAAGAGGACCGTGAAGAAATTCGCAAGTAGATGACTTTTGTACAACTTCTGCTCTAGAATAACCGACCAGCTCGCAGAATCCATCGTTACAAAATATAATTGGGACATTGCTAACTTGAGCATTCGCTATAATAAAGTTACGGTCTGTAATGAGGAAAGAAAAAGGGGTAAAACACTAATCGATTATAGGGAAATATCGGTTCCAGACGTAAATGCATATACGTTTATTAGTACATTGTGTATATGCGAGGCGTATCGATCGATTTTATACACACATTCATGCCATGCTGCATATTTCGCATGCATACATAGTTGCCTATATATTATAAAGATCTATATGGCTGATTTAGGGGATATATGAATAAATATATGTTATTTTTATATTCATTACGGTATATCTTTACACCTATTGTATACAGTATAGGCGGGATTTATGTATATATATATATATATATATATATATATATATGCACATACTGTATCTTTTTATTGCATATTTATGTATTGATATATCCGAATTATCTATGCTGGTCGAATATAATCAAAACTAAACAAGAAGAAAAAACGGCAAAAAGGCTCATACTGTATATATCCAGAGTATATATATATATATATATCAATTCTATGTATACATTATATATATAAATATTCCTGACTACGTCTATGTAGATTTACAAAATGCGCTTACGTAGATATTATCTTCTATATTTATAGATATATGTAGATTCATGGATATTCTTGGATATTACACATATTATCTATTAAAGATATATTGCCTTTGTTACTCTAGTAAAGTTTATTAAACCATAAATTTCACTTAAATGTATAGAGAAGGTAATATAGTTAGATATATATATATATATATATATATATACTGGAACTGTTTATTGTACATCTATAAATATATACGCATTTTACTGTAATATACAGCAATATTTTAATACTCACTTTGACCGTCGAATTTTCGAATGATAGTGTCGATGAATGTATTTTGCGGGGCGACATGTCCCCTTCTTACGGGCATTCTCCTTTACATAAACCTAAAATCCTGGTTAGAAAAAATAGCACCGACGATAATCCTCTTTTCGCACATTTCGCCGTTTTCGTCACTAACCAAATATGGCCTAGGTAGAATAATCAAATCAATCGTCTAGAATTTGTATAAGAAAACAATGGTGTGATTTAATCTATTTTTTAAAAATACTGGCGACCGATTGACGTTGCGTTTTCGACGAGTACTGCACTCGTCGCTGAGCCGGGGTTACTCCCCGCCAAACGTTGTTTGTCGCTCTTACTACCGGCTTGCAATACCCCCTTCGAGAGTATAAAAAAGAAGAATAAGCGATTGAATTATAAAAGGAATAATAAGTAGAAGACTTTCAATAGCTAATAATAATTCATAATTTTATAGGCACACATATAAATAACCTATTTGTGTATTATACTAAATTTGCATACAGATAATTAAACATATTTATACACGAAACATAAACTTACATATATTATATATAAATATACTATATATATATATATATATATATATATAAACTATATATATATATATATATATATTTATAACAATACTTATATAAAATTTTTTTTATAGATATATGTATACAGTATATTCTTGTATATACATACTGTATTTATATATATATATATATATATATATATTCACTATATATATCGTGAATGTTTATCTGTATATGTACGTATATAATTCTTAATGTGATTGGCAGCACAGATGTAAATACGATTCGAATTTTTTGTCTAACAATTTCTCGTTATCGTACCAGAGGCTGTCAGTCAACTTTTTCTTTTTACCGCATTCGGAACACAAATCGCCGGCTCCGGCAATCGATTCGTCTGATTCGGCCTTTTCGCCTGCTATTTCTAGTTTAGCGATAGCAGCATATAATGAACTTAGTGCTTCGTACATATGTCTTTTAGCGGGATGTTCATTATCAATCTTACTCAATTTCCCTTGAACTTGTTCAATGGCATATCTCAAATCTTCTTTTCTATATTGTAATAAAGGTTTTTGCTTGTTTAGTAGCACCTCGTGAACCCTATTCCCTTCGTATTGAACCCGAGAAAAACTTCCATAGTCATCATCTTTTTCAGTTAATTCTTCGAATTTCGATGATACTGACGCCACGGAAGGTAGCTTTATTGGATTAATTAAGCTATCATCAATACATGATGTAGATGCTATTGAATTTTGAGTTTTTTGCGATAAATAGGTTAAATTAACCGATGATGTAGATGTAATACTAGGACTATTACTGTGATTCACTTGAAATCGAGGGATTTTGCGTCCATTCTCGTTTTTTTTCGTTAATCCCTCAAAAACTCTCTTAAGGGTCGATACCCTATTTGCATATCCATCATAATCAATAGTTGAAATTTTAGGAGCTGAGAAGTCGCAAGCTTTTGCCATTTCTTTTATTGTGTTTGCTTTAATTTCTTGCAAATCTTCGCTAGAATCTGACTTGTATTTAATGGGAAAATTGCTCTGTTTTTCTTCTCTTAGCTCCTTTTCACTCGATAACGCTTGAAAATTGTCACTTACAATTTGAGCCTTTCTAATACTGGGTATCGAATCGGGAACGTCACACCTCTCTTCTTTCTTTCTCTTCAGTTCCTCATCGTTGATTTTCATACCTTCCGAATAAGCCCAAGCCAATGGATGAATACCATCCTTCATATAGAAATCTATATTTAATGCTGGACAACTCTCTTCGTCTTCCTTATCGGGATAATCTGCTAAAACTCGTTTCAAATATTTACTTCCTGTTTTCCACGCAACATCCATAGGGTGTCTTTTAGATCTGGGTACATGATAAACACCATCACCTAAAAGTAAATTATTTTTGGCCCTAGAATATAACGTCTGTAATCGTTCTAAACGACTACTATGGGCTGCCGATGTTGGCGTCTCTCCAGGACTTGCCGATCGACATTGAGTAGTTTCCTTGTTTTGAGCTTCTTTAACCAGTGTCTCTTCTACAATTGGTGCTCGGGTGCTGGATAAAAAACAAAAAAAAAACAAAAAATAGCAGACAATTTAAACGAGGGCATTTAGAAGGAGAACATATTATTTTATAAGAAAAAAGAAACTTACTAAACTTCTTCTCGAGCAGGGTCACACGGTGTAAAGGGTGTAGAATGCACACTAGGAGGTACAGAGGTCAAGATGGGAGTGGAAGGTACCACTGGTGCGGAGACAGGAGCAGGTTGAGGGGTCTCCGAGGGTACTGACGATACCAAAGGTGATAAGGGGGTGGGCAGTTCTAGCGGTGCTGCACGCGCAACAGGCACTGAAGGTGCTGAACGTGTAGAAGGTGATGACACTGCTGAAACTGCTAAAGGTGCTTTTGCTATAGTTCGCACCGATGGTACAGACGACACAGGGGGTGTTGTAGTGATAGGCCTTGTTGTTTTTAAGTTTTTTGACGACTGTGGTACAGACGTCGTAGGATTTGCAGTTGGTGGGAACTTTATATTAGATCCATTTGCAGCGCAAATTTCCTTAACGGTATCAAATTTATTACGTAAATTCTTTTGAACATCTTCAGGCAGTAAAGCACTCTTCTTATCCTTTTCGCTTTTCTCTTCAGTATCGGATGATGACTCCAATAGAATATGGGAAATCCCTTTAATCTATAAGAAAATTACAGAATATTTTAACATTTATTCCCTTATAAAAGTATTAATAAATATACAAACCTCCCTCACAACTTCGTTCCATTTACGAGAGTTGATTAATTCTGGCAAAGCCTTAAAACAGCCGGCAGCTTGTTTACGATTGTCGTCCAAAACCATTTTTTCAAAAGGACAAACCAACTCATTCACTTTTTTTATATATATAAAACACAAATTTTTATAGATATACTATACATATATACATATATACATTATACATTATACGTATATATATATATATATATATATATATGAAAAATATATATATGTATATATGTATAAATTTAAACAGATGTAATCTTTGTGTCTTAAAATATTCTTTCCTTTCTATTTTTAAAAACACAAAAGGGAAAAAACAGCCTATTCAACGTTCCTCATCGATTACGTTACGTTATTACTAAAAGCGCGATGAGTTAGCGAATGACTAATCCAGATTTTTTTTTATTAAAAATTTAGCCTATTTATAATAAACGAGTATAAATAAATGTACTCAAACTGTATCTATTTAAGTAAGTATGTATATTTTTTTTTAAAATAAAAAAAAAAACACATCAAACTCTCCGAAAGATTCGTGTTATATACATAATAAATACTATATATAGTATTGTACATATTGCTATAATCCCAAACTCCCTTCTGCCTTTCTCTCTCTCTCTCTCTTTTTATTCTTCCGTATCTTTTTTATTTTTTTACAGAAGTAGTCAGTTTTTATTGTGTTTTCTTTTTTTGGTTTCTACCTATTTTAAATCTTAACGAAGAGTTATATTTTTTTTTTTTATAGTTTCGCTATTCCATTTCAAACAGCTTGAAGCCTCTTTTATATTAAGAGTATTAACTCATTAGCACAGCTGTTAAAGAGATTGTCGACTAATTGTAATTACTCAGTATAGCTCTTTTAAAGTCAAAACTGAATATTACTCTTTATTTTTATATTTCTCTTTCTTTCTCTCTCTCTCCTATCCTTTTAATTTGATGATAAGCGAATCCTTTGAAATAATTTTTTAATGCTTTATTTAAATAAGAACAAGGATTATTCAGCATTCATACATATATATATGTGTATATATTTAGAGTTTCTATTAATATCCCCTACAATCTCTTTCTCCATAATTCCTCTCCGTTCGCTCCATTCTCTCTTCTCTCTCCTCTTATGCCAAAAAATTACATTTGGACGGTAAAGCAGTAGTCAATTCTAGGTAACATTGACTAATGGAATTGTCACATTTGTAAACTTCGATAGAGTTCGCCGAAGAGGATGATGATTCAACTGTTAGGTACTTAAATTCGCCAGATTTGCACTCTTTTGCTATATTATAGGAAAACAATAGAAAAAAACGGCGTTTTATGAAAGAAGGAAGAAAAGGAAAAAACTATTTTATCTGTTACATAATAATTCATGAGACCAATTGAAGAAGCAATAGTTGGTTTACCTATCGGGAGACAATTGGCAAAGCTTTTCGAAGAAAATATTGGACTAGTTTCTGGACAACGACACTTTATACAGCCTATGTTGACTTTGGACTCGGCACGAAGTTGTGGTGAACAGACTTCAAATGAACGCTTATTAGTAAGTGGACGAAAAGAGCAGTCACCCCTATCTCGACACCATGATACACAATCGTCCATATCTAAAAAGAAAAGAAAATACGCTTTAAATTCAGTGTATATATGTAAAATAAGGGTACAAATGAGTAATAAACTATTTTTAGCACTCCCACTTACAATCGCTACAAGATCGAGCATCTTCGAGGAATAATTGCGTTCCGGGGCAGCGTTTTAGCATGCATTGGCCTCTGTACTCATAGTCGGCGTCTTTCGGAATGCATAATTTGTAAAATTGTCTGCCCTTTGCTGATTTTTTAGCTGTGCACTTATTTGGTTCCAAAGAGCAATAAGAATAACCTAAAAGTACCGCAAATAATTTGTTTTTAATAAAGAAATCAAAATTCCTTATAGAACATTCTTTTCATCTTAATCCTTCTTATTATTTAGGTAAATACCTATATGTTTACATTCATTCGATTCCTTGTCGAAAAAATAATCGTATTCACAACGCCTGGGGAAGCACTCGTTCTTCCAATTGTCCCTTAGGTGTTTAATACACACATAATACGCTCGCTCGTCTTCTGATTCATGGTCGATTTTAGTAAAGCACTTGATCTCGGAAGAGTTCTTCTTCTTATTACAAAAATGATAGACATATTCCGATTTATCTGTGCATTTTTTATGATATGATATACAGTATATACTACTATATATTCTAATATATAAAGAGTTTTTAAGTCTTAGATTTTATATCTTAAATCGATATCTAATTATTGCCTATACCCTTTTTATTTTTACAAACCTACACAATGAGCCTCTTTTTTCGTTTCTTGACAAAAGTCAATGCAATTTTCAACAGTGCCCTTCGTTGGTGAGCACAGGCTACTTTTGTACGGAAACGAGCTACTCCTTACTCTGCATTCCCCCCCGTTATTTACACAGTAGACGATAAACGAATCTGCAGTAAAATTTTCTTGGTTTTATCATTTTTCAATCAATGCAGTACGATGGGCTATTAATATAGTTATAATAAACTTACGAATACAACCACGCCCCGGAACGTAATTCTCCATATTCGTACAATATTGCATAGAACACACAGGATTATCGGAATCAATGCATAGTTTATAACTGTTAAGACCGACTTTCTCTTCAAAGCATAGACTACCATGTTTCGAACAATACCGAAAAATATCGTCAGGTACAAGTTTTTGTTCTTTTAACAGATAACAAACGATTAAAATTAAAGGAATGAAAGGCAATGAATTAATAAAGGATCGACCCTTTTTATAACTAAATAATGAAATAAAGAAGATAGTGAATTTTTCAAACCTGAACAAGACAATAAATTACAATTTCTCTTTTCCGATGAATCTTTTGAACACGATGATTTCTCTAAGCATTTTTTTCTATAACGAATTTGTGTTGCCTTTTTCATTTAGAAAAGAAATAGATTAGGTCAAATCTAGCATTATATTTTCTATAATATTTGATTAAATGTATACATCTGTTCCACATGTAGCTGTACAAGAACTCCAAGCACTCCATTCGTCAGATTGGTCGAATTTCGATATAATGCGAATAGTAGTAGTTGGTGTTGGTGTAGTTTTCATAGTAGTTTCACTAGGCCTAGATGGAAATGTATTTGTTTTAGCTGTTGTTTTAAGCGGGGTAATGGGTCTAATTGTTGTGCCGATGGCGCAATAACCGTCGGAATAGGACAAGTCGTCGATCGATACGTGAGAATAATGATTATTTCCTCTAGAGACTATAAATTTTATCTGTTTAAAAAGAATAAAGAAGTAATGAAACAAAGTCTTTAGGATTAACGTAACAAAACTAAACAATCAATAATATTCATTGTAGCTAAATTGTACATTGTTATGACAGAAGCAATGACAACAACGAGGCGAAATATCAAAAGAATTCGATGTTTGCTGATAATGTTGTTGTTGTTGTTGTGGCTGTTGTTGCTGCAGCTGTTGTACAGGTTGATGAAAGTACTGATCTTCGAAAGGCGGATAAATTTCCGGATAATAGGATTCTGTTAGATTAACGTTGTTCATTATTTCTGGTTGAGTAGGCGTAGTAAAATGGATATCGTTATTATTCAAAGGTTCTAAGCTTTCAAGAACTTCGTTGAAACTCGGTATAACATCAATAGACAAGGTCTTCTTATTAGATTTCTTATCTTTATTAGTTTGCTTATTCGTCGTCAATTGTCTGAGAAACCTTCTTCTTCTCTTGAACCAACCTCTAACGCAACTATACTTCAATCCGAGTTGATCCGCTAAACTAGTCATAACTTTAGCCGTTGGAAACGGTGACTTTTCAAAAGTTTCCTCAAGTTTATTCTTGTTTTCGTCACTAATTCTATGGTACGATTTATTCTTTCTCGTTTTCTTTTCTAAATTTTCACAATTTCGTTTTAAAGAGTAGTCTATGGGCGATACGCTTTCCATCTTATCCACAATCTCAGAGGACACGGAATGACAACGAAATGGGATACGTCAAGCTTTTATATGGTATTTCTAACGATACTCAAAAATGACACTGCTATTCCTATTCTATTTTGTAATAAAATGAAAACGATTGTAAACACACAAGACAATTTAATTGCTTAGTTACGATGGACGAAGACGGAAATGGAAAGGCGTTAGACCATTAATATAATAAGTGTTAAATCATACCTGAATAGTGTCGGGGTTTATCCTTATTTGACGCTTTTCCCATTTCATAGTAATTCTTTTAGTTCCCCATAGTTTTTTAAATTCAGCGTCTAGACCTATTCTGACCATTAAGGTCAAGGTTGTTGGAATCTTTTTTTCTTGATTATCAGTAAAAAGATAGAAAGACAGACAGCCGCCTTGTTGCCCTACGGGCGTAAAGATTGGTGATATAAGATATGTAACACTTCCACGAAATCCTGAAGTTGCATCCGCCATAGCAAAGCCTCCTTCGTAACTATTGAGTGTATGATCTTTAGCCGGACCAGTATCGTAGTATTTCGATCTAGTTATACTCCAATGCCCATGCGATCTCTTAAACACGTATCCTCCATAAATCGTTCCAGCTTTGAGAGAGCAAAGGCCTAACTCTCTGAAGGGGGAATCAAATTCGCAAACAAGCATAGAAGTTGGACTACAACTGTTCCTATAATTAATATCATCTAGTTGAACGTATCCCATAGATGTTCGAATTTGGAATTTGATCTAATTAGCAAAGTTAAGGAATACGATTAATAAAAGGAATCTTTTGAAATTTTTAACAAAATTACTTTTCGCTTACTTTAATTACATTTTGACGAATCATCAAATGATATTTTTTCCATTTCCCTGCACTGCTTTCATTAAAAGATGCTACAATTTGATAACCTTCCTTAATTTGATCCCTTTTTTTTCCCCATGAAACAATATTTTCATTTAATCATTACTCAAATAATTATTAATTTTATATAAACAAAGTATAAAAAAAAGTTCATTTTCACCAATTGTAAACTGATATTTCGCATTCCTTTCCAGTGATGTAGTAAGAAAATGTTAAACATCCATCCTCTTTCGTTGGTTTAAATTCTACAGTTTCCAGTTTGTAAGTACCAAATAAGTTAGGCCTTGTTGAAGCGGTATATTCTAAAACGGCACAAATTTTCATTTAAGAATTTTCTTTCTATATACCGTATAGCAAGAAGAAAAATAAAAGAGGATAATTACTGTTTTCAATTATTCCATACTCTTTCCGAAGTTTTCTTTGAAACCTTATAATTACGTTTCAATGCAATTAATATTATAATTAAATCTGTAGATTTCTTTAATCTTTTATTTTATAATTTATTACTTGTAAACATTCTTTTTGGGAATTTTGTAGTAGCAGAAGCGTTTCTTTCCGCCCTTTTCAAAGTCGCATTTAGCTGCTTCCTCTATTGTTAATTCTATAGGAGGGAGAAGTATATTACGCTGATTTCAATAAATAATTACAAACTCTATTATAAGTAGTTTGTTTTGTTTGCAATTATCAATTTTTTATTGTTATCTATACCGAATGGACTGGATATTGTTGGATCAGGAACGTAACGGGAAATTTTTGGTTTTTCAGTAACTCTCATTTCGCCTATTGGTTTTTCCGTTACAATCATATTTCCTGGTCTTTCTATTAACAGAATTGGTCTATTAGGCTTTTTATTCTGTTTTTTTACTATTAGATTTTGCAATAACTTCTCTTCTGCCGATTTAGATTTAACACCTTTAATTAATTGAATGGTAAATTAGATAGTTCTATTAATAGAGAAATGAGTGAAAAACTTGCAGAAAGTTCCTGCTCGCTTGTTATTGCAGTTGTCTAGACCAATTTTACCAAATTCGGACCCAAAAGCCTTTAAGAAACAGCACTTGTTTTTCCTTTTTTGTGAAGACCCTAGATAACAATACGCATTCTATTTTTAAATATTAATTGATGTAAATATACAATACATATATATATATTTACATTGGCGAACGGTCTTTAACAGGTATTGTTCTTTTACCTCACCAAGATTATGAGGTGAGTTTATCACGCCACCATTCCAATAAATACGTCCTTTTTCATCTGATCTACAACCTAAATAGAGATTCTCTATGCGAACATTCCTACCAAGTGTTTTTTTTTTTTCAACAAGTTTAACTAGTAGTAAAAGAAAAGGAACGATGATTTAAGAAAGAAAAAAGAAGATGCTGAAACTTTTTACCCAAAGCTTTCTTATAAATTTTATCCGAATCAAAGTTTTTCATGAAACCCGATCTACATTTTATCCTCTTTCTATCATACTCATTAAACGCTGTTTCTTCTTGTAAAGTGTAAGTAAATAAAAGTAGGAAAACTGTTTAAAAAAATCAATATATATATATATATATTATATATATAAAACAATGAAAAATTAATTAATAACTAAGCATACTGTATAAATAACTGATCATTGTTTTTTATTCTTCCTTAAATCATCAATGTTGAAAAAGTAAGAGTATATTTAATGTTTCCTTTCAAAACTTCCTTACGTTGTAGTCTGATATTATTAAATGATTTATAAACTTATTCCAGCAACATATTTTGAGAGAAAATCCGAATGGATTGATTAAATTCTACCTATATATAAAAAAAAATCAAATAAAAAGGAGCGAAGAGAGTTACTGCTGTTCCGGCGTTTAGATCGTCGTGATAACAGAGGATAGATATATAATTTATCTCTTTTATGCATGATTTGTGTCGAATTTCCAATAGAATGATTATAGGATAATTTCATTCATTGTAAGAAAAGATTATTTATTCGTTAGGGAATGTCTATATTATGTATGAAAAATACTTGTTTCCTGCTGATTTAAATTGTTTTTTCAGCTGTGAAAATTTGGAGAAGATCAATAGAAAATATCGTTATAAAAGTAAATTATCCGGAAGTACATCTTGATGCTTCTTATTACGTGTAGCGTCACAAAGCTTATTCTAAAATAGACAAATATTTTTCATCTGCTTCAAAATGTCTTTGATCTGTTATTAAAGTAGAAGAAAAGAAGGAAGTATGATGAGATTTTAAGAGAAGGGGCAATCGTGATTCAACAACATTTATACTAAATATTACTCCTTTTATGTTCTATATTATCTTCTTAAAAAAAGACTAGAAAGAAACCAAGTTAAGTCGTTAACTTCAATGAACCAAATTATTTTCCTAATTAGATATCTTACTATCCTCTGTGAATCACACTATCGATTCATCATGGAGTAAATCGATAGGATAAAATTTCAGGCTATCATTTAAATAAAACAAGAAGGAAGAGAGAGAGGGAGAGAGAGAGAGAGAGAGAGAGACAAAAAGACAGAGAGTGAGTGAGCAAGGTAAAGAGAAATCTAAGAAATCTATACAGTTTATACCATTCTAAATAAAATTTAAAGCTTATATAAACATGTTTATCAAATAAATAAAAGTCAATTATTCAAAGCAAACAGTATTCTAACTTTCGTCCTTATTAATTGTTAAAGACTTCAAGAAAAGAGTAGAAAAGCTTCTCTCTTCCAATAGCTTATTGAGTTGAAGGTACAAAATATTAATTCCTTTGTGTGAAGTCATTAACAGACTATCACTCTATCTGCTTGTTTTCTATACAATCAATATAAAAATCTTAAAAAGTTGAATTAACTTATTCAACGGAAAGAGAAAGGCAGAGAGAGAAGTCAGGGGTCAGAAAGAGATTGAAAGGCTTGAAAATTACCGATATAAAAAACTATTTGGAGTACTAAGTGCATGAATAAACATGAGCGGACGGGACCGATATAAAACACTGGTGAAAGAGAACGATAAGTTGTCCCATCAAATAAGAGAGTGGGAAAGAAAAGAGAGCGACAGAGAGGAAGAGTCATTTACTTGCACGTCAATTGACTATTCAAGGTTACGTTATTCAATATGGTTCACACAGAATACAGGTAAAAGAAATCGTATTTGTACGAATTTCCAATATAAAACAAATATTGAAAAACACTTGTTTTTTTCGACTTAAAATTTAAACAGTCGCCAGAAGTCTCGTTGTTCAAACTAACAGCTTAAACTTCTATGACACTGTTGTATTATCATTATATGTGAATAATGGAGAATAGGCGTTTTCAATCAAGGGAGATATCTCACGTAAACAAAGCATTTGAAGCCAATGTTGATGAGGTAAAAAAATAATAATATGCAAAAATTTGCTTTAAATAATTATAAAATTATTATTATAAGATAACAATTGATCAAATCAATGCATCGGTTGATGAGAAAAAGGAATTAGATAAGGAAAACGATGAGAGAATTTTTGAAGATGAAGAGGAAACGAGTACTCCTAATTGTTTTTCAAAATTTGTAATGAAAGTACAAAGGTTAACAAAAGAGTTTCTTAAAAGTAACAAAAGATTGATAAAGATCGTTTTGGCTTTAATAATTACAATAGCATATTTATGTTATTTCGGCTATGCTATGTATTATGAGGTAAGCTATAATTTCCTTTTTGTTATAGATACTTCATATTTTATATAAATACCAATAGTTAGGAAGTGAAGAATCAATTCGTTTATTATGGATGACTTGCGTAGTTGTTGTTTTTGTTATTGGATGGGGAATATATAGATTTTGGAAGGAACCCATTGATATATTTACTGATGAATGCTCGGAAAGACTTGGAAAGCACTCGGAGAAATTATCATGGTTTGTTTTAATTTATGCATTCGATTGACTAATGAATTTTAGTTTTATAGGCTTATTGGTATAATAATATACTCGTTTTGGATAGTCTTTGTTATCATTGATGTTGCAATAGTATCAAAGGAACCATATAACTTAGTATCGGCATGCGGAATAGTCGTATTCATTTTTCTTAGCTACGTATTTTCGAAATACCCTTCTAGAGTGAAATGGCGTCCAGTCCTTTGGGGCTTAGCTCTACAGGGCATCTTTGCTATATTTATATTGCGATGGGAAAGAGGCTTCAACGCTTTCCAGTGAGCATACATGCGATAATTAATAAATAGGTCTTAATTAAGTTGCTTCTTCAGTTGGATGGGAAAACGAACAAGTGAATTCTTAGAACACACTGATGCTGGTTCAAAATTTGTCTTTGGTGACAATTATGCCGATCATCTATTCGCTTTTAAACTGATACCCGTTATTGTATTCTTCTGTGCTATTACATCCATACTTTTCCATATCGGAGTGATGCAAGTAGTTATAAAAGCAATTGCAAAAGTTCTCCAAGTAAATAGAGTGTAAAATAATAAAAAACTATTAAGTACTGTATAAAAAATTAACTTTTATCTTCCTAACCCAGTTAGCTATGGGAACGACAGCCGGAGAGAGTTTAAATGCTGCTGCTAATATATTTATTGGACAGGTTTATATCTATCTATTTACGCTCTTGTTTATTCAGAATGATTAATATATTATTTTTTTAAATAGACAGAAGCACCTTTAGTGATAAAACCCCTTTTACCAAATATGACAAAGTCCGAACTTCATGCAGTTATGTCTGGTGGTTTCGCAACAATAGCTGGAACGGTTTTAGCAGCCTATATCGGTTTTGGGGTTATTAATTATTAATATATTTTATAGTTTGATACTAAAATACTATTGTATAACTTATTTAAAAACAGGTCCCGGCAAATCACCTAATTTCCGCTTCGATTATGAGCGCTCCAGCGGCCTTAGCAATAAGTAAACTGGTAATTAATTAGAAAAGCAAAATTACTAATTACAAATAACAAAATAATAATAACGTAACTCTTTACTAATTCTAACGATTAGATGTATCCAGAGACAAAAAAGTCTAAAACTAGAGTAGAAGACCTTAAAGAAGCATTGGGAAAGGGGTAATCTAAACTGTATTCTTAATCTTATTGTAAAATTATAAACTTTTATTGTAATCTTTTCAGAGATGCTAATAATATCATAGATGCCGCATCCAAGGGAGCAACAGCTAGTATAGCTTTAATAGCTAACATAGTGGTTAATTTGATAGCTTTCATAGCCATCTTGAAATTTTTTAATTCAGCGTTAACTTGGTTTGGTCGCAGAGCGGGAGTTACGGAAGAAGATATCACTTTCCAAGTAAATGAAACTTAACTAATGTGACTATAGTACGATTTAACTCTTCTCAAATTTTTTCCCTTACCTTACCAACCTCGCTCACCTATCGTGAAAAATCTTCAATAGTTTATATGCTCCTACCTATTTTATCCTATAGCAATATTAATGGGAGTGAAACCAGAAGATTCAAGAGTCGTAGCATCTTTAATTGGGACCAAAACATTTATAAACGAGTTTGTAGCATATCAAGGTAACATTCTAAATATAGTATACATAATTAATGGAAAATAATGAATTATTGTTTAAAAAATTAAATCCAAAACAGAAATGACACCATATATAAAGAATTTGAATACCTATAACAATTTAACAAGTCAATTTAATACAACCATGGAGAAAAATGGAAAAGATATTATACTCTATTTTCAAGGAGGAAATGCAACCTTACCAGGGGGTTTGCTAGCTGTAATTTAATATAAGTGATGGAAAAATAGGAAATATTACATATGATATCTTTATTTTTTCTTTTAGCCCAGATCTATTGTCATTGCTACATACGCTCTTTGTGGGTTTGCAAATGTAGGCTCTATGGGAGTAATGATTGGAGCGATGAAGGTACTCGTCCCCTCTAGACAGAAAGTATTTTCAGAGCTAGTCGTTAGAGCTCTTGTAGCTGGTACTATTGCCTGTTTCTTAACAGCCTGTATTGCTGGTAAGTATATAGTATTTACATCACTGTCGGGTAAACCAATTCTAATGTTATTTCTCTATTATCTTTAAGGTTTACTTTTCGACGAAAAGAGAGTCAGAAACAAATTATAAATGAACTTCCATATAAGATGTGACAGCAAATGCAACATGAATTTTGGATAAATATGGACATTACAATAATTAGTTTAAATTAACTAATAAAGCGATTAAATAATAGTGAAAAATCGTTTTACTGGCACTACAAATATAAGCTATATGAATTGTTTGATATAGTTCTTTTAGACATGAGTTTTTATCTAGTATCGAAGTGAATACAGTATTTTTTGTTTTCATGGTATATGTAATTGTTTCTGACTTAATGGGTCATTTAATATAGTATCAGTACGCACAACATTGAAAAGGCTATAAGTTAATCTATGAAGGCCTAAACAGCTATTATAACCGAAATATGGTGGTCCATTCATTTGCAGTTGCTTATCCAAGAGCATAATGTCCAATCAGTCGAGCTTCAAAAGAAAAAGCATCCTTTCGAACGACGAAAGTCATAAGGTTAATACAGTTTTTGAAATGAAAGAGGAAAGTTGAAGCTTTTATAAACAATTACTGTATATCCTTTCCAGGTATACGGAGTTCGCATCAAGGATGCTGAAATAGAGGAACGTATTGAAATGGATGACATCGCAGGCAAAGCGAAAAATGGAAGGGCCAGCGCAAATGAATCAAACGAGTCGGACGGAGAGAGGGAAGAGAGAGAAATCTTTCGGAGAAGAAGTTCTAGGAAAATGTCGGTAAAAAAATTAAAAAGACGAAAATCAGGTTTTGAATATCAGGATGATGAACCGAACAACGCTTTTGTTCGAATCATAGAGATATCGCAAACTAAGCTGATGATGTTCTATCTTAAGAATAAGCAAACGATCTTTTTAGCGGTAAATACCATAATCCTTTTGGCATACATTGTCTACTTGATTTTTGCATTCAGGTACCAAGTAAGTATTTATAAATGTTCTATAAATACTCTATATACAATGTATACATACTAGTATAGGTTTACTAATATGATCCTACATTCGTTGCAGTTTGGTGATAAGGAATCTGTTACTCTGCTAGTTTTATCTATTCTAATATTTATATTTGTAATATACAAGATTTTATGGAAAAGGTGTAAGCCTAAGGATGATTACTTTAAGAAATTTAAGGAATGCTGCAGATGTTGTACAACCTTAGGGGATAAACTATCTAAGCATAAAAGCAAATTTAATTGGTTCATATCATTATTGTTATTAGTAAACTTGAACGATTAACAAAAGACAATTTTACTTTTAAAGGTTGATTCTAGCTGTTATCTATTGTAGTTGGTTGATATTCGTCCTAAGAGACATTATCAGATCAAAAGAATATTACAATTTGATTTCCGGAGCTGGTATTCTTTTCTTTGTACTTATATCGTATATATTCTCATATAACCCGGTTAAAGTCAATTGGAGACCAGTTTTATGGGGAATTGCTCTTCAGGCAATTTTCGCAGTCTTAATTCTAAGAACTTCAGCTGGTTATAAAACAATTGAGTAATTTATCAATTCAATTTAGACAGACTATCTCTTACCTAACCCTTTTGACCTGTAGATGGATTGCTGGAAAAATACAAGCGTTTATTGATAATACAAACGCCGGCTCCAAATTTGTATTTGGCGATTTATATTATAATCATCTAATTGCTTTCAAAGTCATGCCAGTTATTGTATTCTTTTCGACATGTATATCAATCCTATATTACTTGGGAATATTACAAATCGGGATCAAGGCTGTGGCTTACGTTATGCAGGTATATATAAAAAAATATAGGGGAAAGGGAAAGGATAGGTGGGCGTATTTTTTCTACATGCGTAAACTGTATAAAAGTTTAATAAAACATGGTAAAAAAAAAGATTATAATTTACTTTTATTTTTAGAAAACGATGGGAACTACGACTGGTGAAAGTCTCACTGCAGCTGCAAATATATTTATAGGCCAAACTGAAGTTCCACTAATTATTAAACCGCTTTTAGAGCACATGACCCGTTCAGAGTTGCATTCCGTTATGACTGGAGGATTTGCGACTATTGCTGGTTCAGTTATGGGCGCCTATATAACGTTTGGAGTATGAATATATTATAAAATTTTCTATTTTCTATATTCTTTCCTAATTATTTTCCTTTGAAAAATCCAATAAGGTTCCTGCTAACCATCTCCTTTCGGCGTCTGTTATGAGTGCACCTGCAGCATTAGCTATTTCTAAACTATTCTATCCCGAAACTTTAAAAAGCAAAACAAAGGCTGATAGTGCTGATAATATAATGTCTAAAGGGTTAGTGCCAAATATCTGCTAATGGAATTCTTTAACGATTCATCAATCCTATTATAGAGATTCCAAGAACGTTTTGGAAGCAGCGTCTAGAGGTGCTTTAGATAGTATTACAATGGTTGCAACAATAATTGTAAATTTAATTGCATTCACTGCTCTCCTTCAATTAATTAATAATATCTTATCATGGTTTGGAGAAAGGATTGGTATGGTTCCGCCAGAGTACGAAAGTATAACTTTTCAAGTACGATCTGGTCGAGTTTCTCTTGCTAATTAAATAACTAAAGAGCTAAATTGTTAATGATTTCAGTTTCTTTGTTCTTACCTGTTTTATCCTGTTGTCGTGATGATGGGAGTTATTCCTTCGGATGCACGGAAAGTAGCGTCGCTAATTGGAGTTAAGACGTTTTTAAATGAATTTATAGCGTACAAAAGTATAAAATTTAATAATCTAAATTTTGTTACAAATTCTCGTTAAATCCTTTTTATTATGTAAGACCTTGAATCTTATATTAAAAACGTGGACCTATACTCGAACATAACGACACAATTCGCAAATCAAAGCATGTCTGGACCACCTATATATTACCAAGGCCAAGATCTTATCGTTACAACTACCGATCAGACCAATGTCACGCTTGTCGGAGGCCTATTACAAGTAATCTGATATTTACAAATAGCAATTTAACGTTTAATTATACAGTAAAATTCAAGTGATATTTCTTTTATTTTACAGAACAGATCTATTGTAATTTCGACCTACGCATTATGTGGATTTTCTAACGTAGCATCAATTGGCTGTTCCTTAGCGGTTATGCAAAATTTAGCTCCAAAGAGAACGAGAGCATTTACGAAGATTGTGGTTCGAGCAATGATAGCCGGTAACATTGCTTGTTTCCTTACGGCTTGTGTTGCCGGTTTGTATTTCATCTCGTATAAATTTAGTACCGATATACTATCGAAATAATAACCGGTTAGCTAAGCAGTCGTTTAGCTGATTGAGAAGTAGGGGTCAATAAGGGTAATTTTATATTTTCTTTTATAAATATTCATTAAAATCGATTAAATTGATAATAAATTATTGGGGAATTATCATTAAACGTTTGTTAAAAAATGCTAGTTTTAATGACAAAGTTTGCTAGCCTGTATTGTACGTTAAGCACTAATCGAAATTATTAATGAGAAATCCATTTTTATCAATATCCCCCTTTCAGGTTTGCTGTATAGATCGTCGTAGACTACCCAGAGAAAATTGCCAGTTATAAATAAGGTAACACCAAACATAAATACATACTTAAAAGCTATTAATTAACTCATTTAGATTTATATTGTCTTTTTTTTAGACAAAGGAAATGTAGAAAACAAAATTTAGAGCTTTACTTAGTTATACTACTATCATCAAGAAATAATAAATCTAGATAGAAAAGGAAGAAAAAAAAAGAAAGAAAGAAAGAAAGAGAAAGAGAGAGAGAGTGAAATGAAACTGATATAATTAATCATATATTACTGTTTAAATAAACAAGATAATATGCAGAAAAACTTTAAAAGTTTAATCGTTCATTCCTCTTCCCCGGTCAAACCAATAACCTTAATACAAGTAGAATAATAAATTGTTGATTTAAGCCTAAAACCAATTAAAAAATATATTATACTAATTCCAAGTAATTAATATAAACTACTACTACCATTAGAATAAGCTTTAGAAGATTTCGTCTGATAATATGCATTACCTTGAATAAAGAAAAAATAAAGAAAACATCAAATAAAGTATAAATTTTAGTGGAAATAGATTTTTTCTTTACGGCTAATCAAACTAACAAGAATCGATTAATTTCTTTTTATTTTCCTTTACAAATCTTTTTAATATAGTCCATTTATTTATGAGCCAACCTAGAAAGCAATATTCCTTTTCCTTTAATAAATTATAAGAATTTTGATAGCTTCTTATAAAATCACATCTTTTCTTATTTATAACCAATTCATTAATTGTTGTAGAAATATTTAGATATATTGCGAATGTTTCATCAGTAAGAATCTTTAGGGTTTTGCCACATTCATCAGTATTGCCTAAAGGGAGAAACGAATAATTTTATTTTATTTATTAATATATGTTAAGAAAAATGAAGAAAAAGATAAGAAAATAGGAAAAACTATAAAGTTTTTAATGTTAGGAATGAGTTAAAAGCTAACATTTATCAATCCTTCTCTCATATATAATCAATTTAGCCATTTTTATTAAACTTTCTCTCTTTTTATTACACGCTTTCTTATCACCTATATCCCATATTGCTTCTATTTCACATCTTTTCGATTTTATTTCATCGCAATAAGTCCACTTAGATGATAGACAAGAGGATAACTTGTTTAGAGCCTCTTTCTCTAATTTATTACAATCGTTGTCTGAAATATACTACGCGTATATTAGTATTATTTTCCTATTAAATGATAGAACTAAAAACTTTCGCAAGTATATTTAACGAAGAGATAGGGGCGTATAGCAGATGTACACTTTTTATGATCCCGTCCTAATATATTGTTTCTACTATATTCGTTTAAAGATGCTTTAAGGACGCAAGAATTCTTTCCTTCGCATTGTTCGCTAACAATTTGACTTATTTCCGTTGTATTCGTTTCGCAGCTGTGTAGATTTAAGATTTTTATCAATTTTCCATGTGAAAATATATCGGGGGTGTGGTTTTTACTAACTGACGCTCAAAAATGGATAAATCTTCATAATCTTGCAGATCTTGCGCAAGATTTTCATAAGGATTACACGTCTTTAGGCGATGTCGGCCAAATGTAGCGAAATTTAATCGAATTACTTGATCTTTGGGACATTTAACTTTCCTTACTTTGTTAAAACATATATTTAACATGAAAACATCTGAGACAAAACCAAAAAAGAAAAGTAGATAAAAAAGAATCCAAAATATTAAAAAGACTTACAACTACAAAGGTAATCGACCGTTAAGAAAGGTTTATCTCTTATCGTACATTTGCGGAATTTATGCATACTGAACTCGGGAAATCCCTTATCGAATTCACCGAAATTTTCCAGACCACAAGTTGATTTCATGCTGCAAAGTTCATTTATCTTCATCAGTGTAAAGTTCGAATTAGCTTGGCATGGTTTATAAAAGTTTTTAATGCCTTTTGGTTCGCAAAAAGGGTCACTTTCAGTGAATCTAGCGAAATACGAATTAATTACAGTAATTGACATCTCTCTTCTATTGCATTTTATTTGTTTTGCATTATTATAACAAGCAGTGGCTGTTCCACCATGAGCTCTAACTAATGTTTACGCAAATAATTATCATTAATAATGAAAATAGAACATCTTACTTTTACATGAATATTTCACTAAAAGATAAATCTTCCATTCAGGCTTGCATGTATTACTTGTCCAAGAGTTCAAAGTATCTCTACTAGCTTTTATCCTACACCATTCCTCTCCTTGGCATTTTTTACCTACAATTTCCCAAATTTTCTTTGTATCGGAGCCACAACTGGAAAAGTAATAATTTGCTTTTCGGTATAATCGAACTTTATAGTTATTATTACATATTTTATATATATATATATATATATATATATATATATATATGTATACTGTATACTTACGGGCTAAATTCTTGACTTGATATCGGCGTATCACTCTTTGTCATACATTTATCAATTTCAACTCTTCCGAATACAACCGAGACGAGATTAAGATAATGATAGTCAGGGCAGTAAATCATTAGATGATTATTCTCACAAGCAAGTGACTCTTGAACATCTTTAAAGGGATTTAAATAATGCTGTTTTATATAATAAAAAAAAATATAATGTCTTATATAACACTTCTTACAATCACATTTAAAATCATAATAGACATATGAATATACATCTTCGGGACAACGATGATTAGTTAGCCATTTAGATCGATTAAACAATCTCCTATTTATTAATTCATCGCAACTTTGTCTTCTATCACATAGATTTCTCATAGCGTTAGTTGCGTCTTTCATACAACTAATTTATTCATTAATTAATTAACTTTCATCAATTATGCATTTATTAATCATAGATAAAAATTTTATACCTCATTTCTATATATTCTTTATTTTGTGGATGACACTTGTTTTTATTAACCATTATATTCCTTCCAAATGAGGCTTTTTGAATAGAAATAACATATCCAACCCCACAATCTATATCCGTTTTTGTACCTTCACAAGTTAATTTTGAAAAGATATCGACTTCTGTTATTACTATACAAATAAGAAAGAAAAATATTATTTTATATAGATTTATACAATATAACAAATAATATAATCTATATATTATTTACAACTATAAACCAACTGCAATACTGCAAAATAAATTTGAAAAAGGACAAGCTCAAAGTAGTACATACTAAAAAAAAGTCTTAGTGTTGTTGTTTAATAATTTGAAAATACTTTTAGAAAAAATATTATGACAGGTTAAATATAAAACTGTTATTTTGAATGAATGATAGCAAGCATGTAGCTTATATATAAACTTCAGAGGAATATTCTATTGCGTTCTATATACATACAGTATATAGTATACTACATAAATACAGTATAAATTAATATACGTCGATATCACAGCTCAATTATAACCGTTTATTATTAGAATTTTTCATCTTTTTTAATATTATTTATATGGAAGTTTAATATAGAAAAAGAAATGGAGGATAATATTTTATCCTTAAACATAATAGAAAATGACTCATCTTTACTGCAAATATTATAGAATAATTGTATTTCCTGACAAAGCAGCATATAGTATTCTCTACACTGCATATATTGTATAAATATATATATATATTTATATTTATTTATATACAGTATATGAATAATTTCAATAGCTTCTTTTTTTATGCAGATTTATAACAATAATTCGAGTAGCTGTCATCTTTATCAATAAGTATAATAAAGCTACTAATTGTAACTGTTAATCAAAAATATTATATACATTATGCCATATTATTCCTATAACTGTCTTTTTTTGTTTATGCTCAATAGAGTATTATTATCTTTTCTACCGAATTAGAAATTCTTTTCATTTAAATTTAGTCCATTTATACTGTGAGCTTAGACTACAAAAGTATATTTTTGAATTATTAATCAGATTAGATAAATAGAAGACATTGTTTGCACAGTTAATAAGGAAGGGTGGATATTTGGAATAAAATTTGAATTTATGTCAGACTCTTTCCTTTCAATTAATAGAAATCATAGTGTTTGTATAATCTCTCCCTCTACCTTTTAATTTGAATTTTTTCTATCAACAGATGTCACTACTGTTCAAAAGTACGAGAAGAATAACATGGAGTGCATTCATTTTATTTGAGCTGAATTTGGCTATATCTGTTAGAAATCAACGAAATAATAATAACTGTATCCGAAGCTGACTAACAGGATACCGAATATCATTTTCGCTTCACGTGTGTATCAAAAATCTGCCTATTATAGATCAAATTTTTTTTGATTGCACAATGACCAAACTTTATGAGCGATAATAAAGCGACATGTGACTACTCGATATATTAATTTACTGTTCTTCTGAGTAGTTATTCACTATTTTTTGTAGTTAACAGACACTTAAACTTTTTTTATTGAAATTGACTCTTGAAGCTTTGACTTCAGTTAAATTTTGACATTGATTCTTTTTTATCGAACGTTTAACATTCCGGTGGAAACTTCGCCGTTTAAATCCCCGCAATACTTGTATTCTTTCAGAATAAATTTATACAAAATTTCAGAATGTCTGCAGTTCAAGCTCTTCAAAATGTGTTAGAAGAATGGAAGAACTCTAGAGAAAATAGAGATGGCTACTTGAAATGTTTAAAATCTATAGGAAATATACTGCAAGAACATTACCTTAGTTATTTGAAAATGGATCCCGATCCGAATGATGAAAGACACCCCTTGAAAATTAAAAAAGAATCATTATATGCCTCTATGTTAGAATATTTGACAAAGGAAGATGATTTCATGAATAGCATATATACAAACTATGTCCTTGACAATGAAAATGACGAAGAGGTTCTTATAGCAGCGTCTTGTGTTAGCATCATGCTGATGCCTGCTTTAGATCATGAACTAATGATTAAAGACGAAAAGTGTGAAAGACTAGTAAAAAAGCTCTTTAAAACATCTTTAGAAGATAGGCCAGTGATTTCTTATTTTACAACTGCATTTTTGAGTATTTACATAACAGATTCAAATCTCTTTGCAACATTTCGAGATGAGACAATTTCTTTAATAAAGCTCGCTGTAAACAGATTAAAGAGTTTACAGGGAAACATAGAAAATTGTGAGCCACCAAATAAAAGAGTCAAAATTGAAAGACCATTTGCAATGTTTGGAAAATCATCCAGCTCTAAACCAATATCGTCTTCACCAAAAGTAAAACCCTACATAATTGATGCTGAACATTCGAATTCGTCATGGCTAGAGCAGAAGGCACTAATGGTTCCAGAATTTAGTTTACATGCTCCATTAAGTGATAGTATGAAACAAAGGCTCCTGTTAAAGTTTGTTATTGAATTTTTATTATTCAATTATTTATTAATCTCATGATTTTTTCTTTTATTTAGATTTATGGCGCCTGTCTCTGAATATCAGGATGTTGTTGGGATATTACTTGAAAAAGATATTATTCAAATAGTGTTTAATTATATAAATATGGCAGATAAGGATATTGGACTTGTCTTAGATGGTTTAAAAGTACTTAGTTGCTTACTATGTCATAAAAAGATTGCCAGTTCAGTGGTTGACTATCTTGTGCAACTGTTGGATGTTCCTATTCCATCAACGGCTGCCACTATGGTTCCATGTTGCATATATTATACCTGCTCTTTCCAAGATATTCTACGGACACTATGCACTGTACCTAATAGAACATTAGTAAGACAGATACTCGACTATACTTTATCAGCAATGGATAAGCTACATCTATCTGCAAAAGTTTACTCAGCTATGTTCCTGCAATCAGCTTTTTCATTTAGATACTTTTTAGATCAGTTTGATCAGTTTGGAGGATTGAGAACTCTGTTGAATTTGTTAAGCACCCTTAAAGGTTGGTAAAAAGCAAAATATTAAAAATATTGCATATAGAAATTTCATAAAATACTTAAGAAGTTTCACCATTTTTTCAACACTAGAACATGCATTCAATCCCGAAAAACAAGATGAAATGGACGTACTTCAACAAGCTATTGAGCAGGTTCTCCAAGCTCTAAAGAGTTATGTGCAGACTCATTTAGCTATTCGAGTCAACCAGTTGGAACGTCAGAAATCACGAAACGATAGATCAGAATCTATTCCCGATTTGCCTTACAACAAACCCATTGACCTGAGTTCTGAGGCTGTTGAGGAACAGATTGAATTTCTTCAAAATGAGCTACCTTTAAAGGCTAGGTGGACACCTATTTACGAATTAATAAGTAATGGTCATATAGATAACTTGTGCCGCCTACTAACTGCCGTAGCTGATTGGAGTGACTATGCCAGAAGAGATGAAGTACTAACTTGTCTAATTGAAATTTTATCTGTTTGTTCAACTGTTTTGAGAGCTCAATTGACCATGCTAAATAATACTTCTGAGGATGACTCGTATAAGAATGCGTTTGCTGTTCTTTTTGGTTTAATTGACAATAGGTAAGCAAAACAAATAATTTCAATTATATTCACTTTATGATTGCAATTTTCTACAGGGAAGTGGAACATGAACATGATAATTTTGAGGTTCGAAAAGCAGCTTTATCTCTTATAAAAAATTGTGTCTCATCTCCGGTTAAAGCTGGTTCATATCATGTAATGAGATATGGTATAACACCAAAGAAAAAACTAAAGTCAACTCCAACACCTAAAAAACCCAAATTCGAAATTCTCCAAAAGATGTGGCAAGCTTTTCGAGATAATGCAGGAATTTTTTGCTTGTCCCAGTACTTGGAAGCGATCAATCATACCGACGAAACTAACTTAGCTCTGCAAACTCTTGTTGTTAAATGTTTTATTGGACTATCAAGATGTTCTTCGATTAAGCAAATTCTAATTAAACTGCCTTTATTTAAAGATAATTTAAAGCAAATTACTGAAAATGCTGCCAATTTAGATTACAAAGGTCAATATAAAAAGTTCGATGAATCAGTGAAAAAACTCTTAAAATGTTTGGATGACGGAAAAAAGAAACGTTCCAAAACTCACGTGACTTTTGATGACAACGAGCTGTTACCTTTAATACACAAGTTTTTAAAAGAAAAAGGCTTTCAGAAAACGGTAACAGCACTACAAACTGAAGAAAAAGAAAAAAAACATAAAGTTTTGGATAAGATGGACGAATTCGTAAAATATCAGTTGGAATCCAATACACCTAAGTTAGAGGAAAAAGAACGAAAATCAAAGAAATCAGAAAAGCTTTCAAAACAAGTGTGTCTCGACGAAAGAAAACTACTAAAAGTATCTGAATTGGAAGATATACCAAACAAAAGAGAAACAAAACCGTCAAAAATGACAAAAAAATTATCAGATTTAGGTGATTTGATGAACTCTCAAGAAGAGAACTCAAGAGAAAGAACGGATTCCGACGAAAACTCCCAGAAATCGATAGTTAAATCTTTGAAAAATGATGCAGACGATGACAAATTCAATCAAGAAAATATGCCAAAACCAGTCAGGAAATTAAAAATAGTTGAAAAATTTCTCTCTCCATCTACAAAGTTATACGAATCTTCTCCCATTCGAAGAACATCATCTCAAACACCAGTTAGTATGAGGTTACAAGATGTTGTAATGGATTATCTAGAAAAACAACATGCTGAATGTAAGAAACCCATGCATACCTGCCCGCCTTTTAATTTTTCACGACCTCATTCATGCCCTATTGCAAACAAACACTTGATGGATTCCGATTTAAATATCACTTTAAGATTAAATGATAGACGCTCGGGTGGTACTCTTAGATGTTATAAAAAGAACTTGCGAAGACATGAAAGAACTTGGAAATGGAATCGACTAAGATTTTTCCATCATTTTTCAACAGAAGAACAGGACGGAATGATCAATCAAGAGGATATATTCAGTTCCTGTGGCTTTGTTAAAGGATCTACTGAGTTATGTTTAGGAACTCAGGGAGGCTTTTTGAAAGGTAAGTCTTAAAACATTTATATTTCTCCGAATATGATATTGAAAAATATTATATATTAAAGGTTATCAAACTTCTAATATGAGAGAAATATGGAAGGTAGAATCACTTGGATCCTCAATTGAAAGTATTATATCCAATCCAGTAAATGATAAATTGTTTGCAACCGTTAGTGATGGAAGATCAGCTGTTTTGTGCTATGATAATACTGGAATACCTAGAGAAAAATTTCAGTTAGATGAAACAGAAACATTTCAATGGAGTTATTGTGGCAAAAAGGCAGTTTGTGCATACTATGACAATGCTTATATATATGATATAAATACCAGTAAAAAGATATTAAAAATATATCATGCTGATTCTTTAAATTCATTCTACACACGATCGGCTCCTTCATTTTCTCCTGACGACAAAATGATACTATTTGAAGGAATGCTTTTTGACACCCGTGCTGGAAAAATAATACATAAATTTGATAAGTTATCAAAGAATTCATATGGAGTTTGTAATCCTAATAATGTGGAACTAATACTGAATTCTGAAATATGGGATATGAGGACATTCAATTTAGTAAAGATTATTCCCGAGTTGGAGTCATGTCAATTTAGGTATAATATTTGACTTTGTAATACTGCAATAAACTTATTTTATCGCTTTCTTTTCAGATTCAATAGCCAAGGAGATGCTATGTATTGCTTATCTTCAAGTTGCGAAATTGATGATGACAATGAAGAAAAAAAGAAAACTCATGCTTTTAAAGTGTATGATGCTAAATATTACGATCAGCTTGGAAGCGTTGATCTTTCTACCTATGCTGACGATGTTGCTATAGATGATAGGGATTTAACAGCAGCATTTGTTGTCTGGTCAACGGATAGAGAGAATGACTTAAAAGAAGTGAAATTAGCAGATATAGGCGGAGTTACTGTTAAGGAGGAAGAGGACGAAGATAAAGAAGAAGAAGGAAGCGATTTTGGTAGCGATATTGACATTAATGACGGTAATATCCTGGATTCACTTTCTAGTATTTGTCACTAAAATTTTCAAGATAATAATTTGTATATTTTCGTTTTATATTCAGCAGGTTCCGAAAGCGATCTTCCAATGACGCCTGATACAGATTCAGAAGAATTCAACTGGGATGAAATGGGATTAGAAGAGTCCAATAGTAACACAGAGTGGGAAACTGAAGACTCGGACGACAACATTCGCTATGAGCTATCTGACAATTCTAATCTCTTATAAAAGCCCAGCGTTATGTGGTTCCTGGGTACTTTGTTTATTTTTGAATGTATATATTGTACGAGCTTTGTTAATAAAGCTTTTTATGAAAACAATTGCAGGAATCTTTAGTTGTGATGCCATAGTTCTATTTAATTATACTTGTTCATCCTCTTTAAGATTATTTTCTGAATTGTCAATAATTTTAAAGGTCACCTTTGTCGTCCTCGGTCGACAAATGATAACTAATCCCAATGTTAATTGTTTAATTTTATTATAAATATAACTTGAAAAAAAATGAATTCAAGACTGACAGAAAGGATATAATCAATTTTAATACTTTTGCATAGGCTTTATTGTTTCTTTTATTTTTATTTTAATTTAATTTTTATTCAAACGACTCATATAATGTGAAATGAGTTTCCACATTAATCAGATTTTACATATCAAAGGTGAAGTAATGTTTGCAATAAAGTTCTCTCTTTTATTATTACGATCATACCAGTTTACACTTACGAAGCAGAGTGTTTTATTGAATATCGTAAGTATATAAATCAGTGATCATTGAACATTTTCAAAATGGGAGGAAAAACAAGTAAAAGTCAAGAATACGAGGATGCTATCCAGTATTTTACGTTAAGTGAACTACAAGCAGCCAGAGACCTGTTTCGCAAAATAAGCGGAAGTGAAAAAAGTAGTTACTCGGAGACTGATTTCCAGGTAATCTTTTTACACCCTTTATTGCGTAATAATTACAGCAATTTATAATTGTGTTTGAATAAAAAAGAGTATTATAGACAGTCTAATTTCAGAAATTCACTGAGAAAACTTTAACGAAAGATTTATCTAATAACCTATTTAACGCCTGTTCGAACATTATATTTGGACGAGAAGAAACCGTAAATATTGACGAAGAGGCCTTCGTCATTTTCTTATATTATGCAACAAAAGGATCAGCATCAGACAAAGCAAAATTATTCAGCCTAGCATGTTCCAAAAGTATAACAAAACATTCTCTGGAAAAGGTTACATCTTACGAACTTTACGTATCGTTTACCTAACCAATAATAATCATAAACTAGATAACAACGGAACTACTTCTTTCTTACGAAAAATGTATGGAACTACGAGGCGATTATACAAGTTGGACATTCAATTCCAATTCAGACTATAGAACTTTCAGCCGATATTTGTTGAGCAGCTTACAAGGTAAATTTAAATCAATTATTCTTAAATGTGTTCTATTTATTTTCGTATAAAAAAACTTTCAGGCAACAATCCAGAGTTACATTTAATTCTCTCTGAAGTTGAAGATTGTCTACGACATTCTCCAATATTATTAAAAATTTGTGATTATGTATTTAAAACAGTCTTAAACTCGGAGGTAGTTATTTCAAAGAAAGTATGTTGCATATTTATCACATACACTTTTGCATATTCTTAGAGTGAAGGACTCAGCGATATGGACTTAACACCTTCCGAACGTTTTCAATTACCATGTGCCAATGATGTTAATTGGTCAAAATTTAGAACACAATTAACACTTTCAAGTTTAACTCTACTTATGCAACATTTACCTATGAATATGACTAAAAGGTGGACATTATTATTCAACAGTGAAGTTCACGGTCAAAGTTTTTCTACTTTTGTCAAAAATGTTGTTGATAAAGGCCCGTGTATACTTATAGTAAAAGATACTCGTGGTCATATTTTTGGTGGCTATACTTCAACAAACTTAAGCATTGGACCTAGTTTTTTTGGTAATTTCGTAAATTAAGAAAAACTATATAGTTCTTGTAATTCTTTTTATTTATTCGATATTTTAGGTGATGATAGTAGTTTCCTGTTTACTCTCAGTCCTGATTTTGCCATATACACTTCGTCTGGTTTCAACTCGCATTTCGTTTACTTCAATCAACACCAAGAAACGATGCCCAACGGATTCGTCAGTAATTTATATAATTAAATCCAATTATTAAAGCTATATGTTATTAAAAATAGGGAATGGGAGGCCAACTGAAATATTTCGGCTTGTGGTTAGATTCAGATTTTGGTAAAGGACATAGCAAAGCCAAACCCTCGTCGACAACTTTTAAAAGTCCTCAATTATCAGCTGAAGATGAATTTGAAATCGATATTCTAGAAGTTTGGAGTGTGAGTAAACCTAAGGTCTATAATAATGGAAATGAGGTAATCATACGTTCTAGTAAAATATAATAGAAATACTGTATATTCTCATCTAACTATTTAGAGTGACGAAGAAATTAAACAAAGTATTCTGGATAAAGATCCTGAAGCGAAAGCTATGCTATCTCTTCTTGATAAGGGACCTGTTAGTGAAGGCTTAAGAGAACACGATATGACAGCCGACATACCGGAAGAACACAGCATTCCTTCAGTTATGTAAAAGCAAATAACAAAAATAACAATTCGAAACTACTCCCTTCCTTGAGTGTTCTAATCTTTAGCAAGACTTTCTAACTTTTAATGATTTCTATACTTTTAATAAAACGTAAAAGCTATTTATTTCCATAGAAAATTCTACAACTGTCCTTGTTTCAAAGGCAGGCTCATTACCTTCTTTTTTTCAATGATTTATTTTATACCTTTTCTTTATAAATATCTTTTATAAAGATGATTCTATACATAGTTTGTACAAAATTATGAATGAAGTTTAAGAACAAAAATGATAAGGAAAACAATTTTTGTCAGAATGATTGAAAGAACAAAAAAAAAACTATTTTCCTTCAAATGTTCTGAGAATTAGCTGTTACGTATACTTTCAACATTTTTATTTCTTCAATAGGCCGATCATTTGAATCTGTTTCTACCATTCCAATTCGAGCAACTATACCCATACCAGAAAATACCCTTCCAAATATTGTATGCTTTCCGTCTAACCATTGAGTCGGGGCCAAAGTTATAAAAAATTGCGATCCATTTGTGTTCGGTCCACTATTTGCCATTGATAGGATTCCAGCTCCAGTATGTTTCAGTTCAGAATGGATTTCATCGTCGAATTTCTCACCATAAATACTCGCACCTCCTTTGCCAGTTCCAGTTGGATCTCCAGTTTGAATCATGAAATCTTTGATAATTCTGTGAAACTTAATTCCATTGTAGTAACCCCTTCTAGCCAATTCAGCGAAATTTCGGCATGTTTTGGGAGCATGTTTCCAATACAATTCTATTACGATGTCTCCCATGCTAACGATAATAAAAAGAAATGAAAAATTAAGACAATCTTTACATTTTCTGGCTTAAAAATTTATACAAGCTATTTTTAACAATATTTAAAAAATTCTCTTAAAATAATTTACCCAGTTTCTATTGTTATTTGAGCAGGTTGCCAATTTTTTGATGTTTGGCCGGTATTCGACATTTTAACGTTTAATAGAAAGGAATATTTCGTCACCCAAAATACCAGTTTTCACTAAAAACTGAGGCGCCTAGATTGTAGGCCTAAAATAAATGTTGAATTTGGATTAAATAAGAAAAGAAAACTATTCTCATCCTTAATAAGAATAACATATCTTTCTTTTTATATACAAATTTGTCATAAAATACATTAGTCTCAAAAATTATATTTTCCATTAAATTTACAGATTAATTTATCATTATTTACAAAAAAAAAAATTATAAATTCTCTTTGATACATAAATTCAATTCGACATGAAAGAAAAAGCTAAAAAATAAAATACTATTCTAAAAAATAAACAACATCCCATATATATATACTGTATATATATATATATATATTAATATAACAATTTCAACGATCAAAACAATATACCACTTTCAAAATGAAATCAAAGATTTTTGTATTGTATCAATTATGAAAAAGCTTTAAATTATCTTAGGGATTTCATTTTAAAATAGATTGGTAAATATGTAGAAAAAAACCTGTATTTTTAATTCTATATAGCGCTTGGGCCAAGATTAAGTGACAACACTTACGAGAAAATAAGTCTTACATGAAATTAATCAGTTTTCTCCTCTATATTTCGTATTTTATCCATTTCATCTTGGACAGTATCTTCAAATCTATCATCGTCGTAAGATGGTCTATCTTCACAAATTCTTCTCATTTTATTACTAAAAGTTTCTGACGATTCAACCAATAATCTTTTTCTCTTATTGTGTTGCTTTTCGAGATTCTCCAGTTCTAATTCTAGCTTCTTTTGGTGAGTAATTAAAGATAAAACTTGCCTTTTCAATATAGCCATTCTACTAGTTGTAACAACGGTTCTAACATCAGGAACAACAGATTCTCCCAGAATTTCATTGATTAATCTGTGATTTCTATGATAACGAGAAGATGCTAAATGTTTTTCCCACAATCCATCCTCTTGAGGCTCATCTTCATCATCTGCTGGCTGAATGCTGATTCTTGTATCTGTTACTTTCTTCCCTCGTCGTCCAGCGATTTCTTCTTCTTCTGCATAAGCTTGAACTGCAGCCTGAGCTTCTTGAGCTTTTGATTTGGCAGAAACATAAGCTTGGTACATAGGTGAATTGTGATAATTTCTCATAGCATCATTATATTGAGATTTCTCTATTTCATATTCATCCATATATTCTTGCTTTTCATTTTCAGGCAACTCTCTCCACATTCCTCCAATTATCTTTCCAATTTCCCATAATTTAAGATCTTGATGAGCAGCTTTCACTTGTTCCCATACTTTACGGGAATAGCGCATATAAGGCATCAAAGGTTTGTCAGGGGGTTTGGGAGGTTTTGGCATTTTCAACTATTTAAAACAATTATGAAATAATTTAACTCACTGCGAAAAGCTACATTCTTTTCAACTTAAAATATATGCATTATGCATATAAAATAGGAATAGTCTCATACCTCTGGCCCTCTAGCTCCTAACTTCATGGGTGCGAAGCTGGGAGGCCCTAGACTTTTTTCTGTAAATGGCGTTGTTGGTTGTGGAGTAGAAGGTTGATTGACCGCGGAGTTAGGTGTAGGAGTTGACTGAGGCTGATTATAGTAGTTCTAGAAAGAAACAATTTAGATATTCAGTAAGATTGGTTCTCTCACGAAATTCTAATCTCACCATGGCAGGATTTGATGGTAAGTTTGATGGCATCGGATATGATAGAGGACTTTGTTGCATATAAGGCCCTCTTATCCTCTCTGAAAATAAGTATACATGAAATACCACTACAAAAATTTGATATCTTTTAAAATAACAAGTAATTAACATATATGGTCGAAAGATAAAAAATGACTCACGAGCCAAAGCATTTGGAGTTACACTCCTAAAAGCCGCAGACATTTTCTGCTAACCGATCTTTAGTATTTTGTAATAAAATAATAGACGCTGTTTACCGGAAGTCCAATTCAGGAAGTGCTACAAATTTGTTTTGCAAAATCAAGAACGCAGAATAAGTAATGATCTGCTATCATTAAAAATACACTATATATTGTCCTTCTAGTCAAACTTAACTGTAGTTTTATTAACAGTCATTATATTTAAGAGAGAAAAAACTATTAAAATTCAATATGTACGAAAAAAGTGAAAAAAAATAAACTTCCGCTTGTGACGTCACAGTGGTAATCTAAAATGGAGATCGGTTTTATGTTTTGAAAAAGGCGGTATAAATTACTATATTCGCCTAATAATGATCGGATTAGGAGAAGGTTTTTTCAAGTTATTTTTTTGAAATATCTATGTAAATAAGATGAAAAGGAATCACAAACTGCTTGATAGAGAAACGAAAGTTAACGGTGTACATTCCGTGGTACCGCTTTCCACGGAAAATTCAGGTAAAAGATTGCGAAGATCAGCGAGGAATGGTGAATTATGCTTATTAAATAATTCATCAAACTCTCCTGGGTAGGTTTAAACGAATTTCAATCAAAATACAGCTTGCTAAGGGTTTTTATTGATCAGATTGAATGGAGTTATAAATCAGGTTGTGGACCCTTCATCTGACAAACTTATAGGAAATGGAAAGAAAGGTTTAAGGAAAAAAAATCAAGTGAATGCGGAAAATGAAAGTTTTAAAAAACCATTACGAGCTGACTTTATAGATTCAAATTCTAGTAAGAAAGTGCAAACTATTCAAAGAAAACGAACTCAAAATCAAGTGCAAAATGGAAAACTGAAGAACAATCTTGACGAACCTGATGCAAGCGCATATAGCGAAAAAATTTGCTGCAAGTGGTCCAACTGTTCTTGTAAAATAGAACCAAGCGAACTCTTAGATCACCTAACCAAAAGTCATGTTGATCCTCAAAAGGAAAATAATACCCACATTTGTTTATGGAAAGGTTGCAAAGTTTTCGAAAAACCCTCAAAACTTCAGGCGTGGTTAGAACGTCATGTTATATCGCACGTTGGCAATCGTCCTTATAAATGCATTGTTACCGGCTGTAAGTCAACTTTTGCCTCATATGTTTTACTCCAAAGACACATAAACTGCCATTTCAAAGAAAAGAACGGTTCAGTTTCAAACTCATCAATTAGTTCGTCCAATTTATGCACTCGTGATCCTCTAAGAAAGAAGAAAAAACGTCGCAAAAAACTCCCATCGTGTGTTCCTGTAACCCCACTCCTAGATTTTTTCGATGAGCCGTCCGTTAAGCGTATCAACGATAGGTTGGAAGAGCTCGCCAACTCTTTGGACGTGGATCTCTCCTCCTCTTGTAGGCCAGTTGTTAAATTTACTTGCTCGGTAGGTTTGCAGTGATATTCAATAGGTCAATTCATACAATTTTTATTGCTTATATCCTTTATTTATTAAAGGTTATAGCGAGAACGTTTGATAAACAAGATAAAGAAAAATTCCTTGTTCGTTGGTTTCCCGATAATGTGTAAGTTTCTCTGGGCGTTTTTTTTTGTCGATTATTACTAAAGTATTGACTGTTTATTAAAAGCGTGTATTGACTGTCAAAATTCGTAAACTAGAAACTAAATATCCAACTTTCCTTTTCTTCCTGAAATAAGATTTCAAGACGAATGGATTGCGGCCAAAGATTATCAATCTTCTAAAGATGTACCGATAGGAAAATTGCCATCAAACCTACCAAATTCATCACCCTCATTTCCCGCTTTTTATAAACGTCAAAGATTCCGTTCGTGTAAACGTAAGTGACGACCTCGTCTTTCATATTAGTAAATAGGACGGAAACTCAGGAACATATAGAGAGCGAAACTATTTATGCAGACTTTTTTTTTTTTAGCAATTCTGTGCTGAATGATCAAACTATAAATTTCTTTATTATTCAGTATAACGTTTTATAACGTCAAGTTACAGAACAGAAATGGGCAAGTGTGATATGCTAAGAAAAAAAAAACACATACACACTATGGTTAATTATCGGAATAGTTATTGTTTATTATTTTTTTCTCTCCCAGTATTAAATATTACGTTGACCATTAAAAGAATAATTTTGCGGATCAAAGAAATTATTGGCTTGACCTACAAATATATAAATAGGTCAGATTTTTATATCAATGATTAAAAGTTTAAAAGAGACCTGTACTTGTCTTTAACAATTTTTTAAAAAAATTAGACTGCTGTGATAAATAACACCATTGTAACAACAACAATTAATTAATTAAAAAAACAGAGAGAGAGATATCTAAGTTTGTATTAAGTTTCGTCTAAAGGAAAATTTTCTATGTGAATTACTTCCTTTTTTTATTGTCATATAAAGAACACTTCTTTTATCAAATTTATTTTGTACATAACAATACATTGCGTTTTATTGAAAAGTTAAATCGTTTGTCATTGCGGGTGGTAACAATTTTAGATAAGAATCGTCTTTATCGAATAAATTGGTGAACTTTTTCGTTGATGAAACCTCACCTAACTTTCTCTTGTGTAAATATCCAACTCTTGAAACTTTAGGTTTCTTTGTTTCCTGTTGGGAGGGAGTTTTGATAACATCCTCTTCAACATTTGGCATAATTGATAGTCGATTTTTCGAATATAGAGTAGTTACTTCTAGGCCTTTTTTGTCAAGAGAATTTTTTAGGTGTCGAACATAGCTACCACTTGTATCCTCGTTTACTCTAATCCTCTCAGAGTTTTTTAGATCGGCGTTGGTAGGTAGTTGAATACTACGACTTTTAACAACAAACCTCCGCCTAACATAAGGTTTAAAGGGTTCCAAAGCCATCTTTCTTCCATATTCATCGGAGGGTAAGGTATGATTAGTGCAATATCGAGCGTTGCCTATCTTCTTTGAGAGCTCGTCGTTCATTTGGCTTACCCTTCATGAACCATTTAAATACTGTATTGAGAAAATGACAATAAAAGAGAAATCGAACGCTAAAAAGCTCTAAAGCGCCTTTCTATGCGAGGCCACGCTTTAGCAGATTTTGTTGTAATTCAACACCGCTTATTACTGATTTACACCAGATATTTTTTTATTGAACCTTTAAAACACATGGAGTTTATCAAAAACATTTGGCCTATGTTATTTATATTGGCACAATAATAATTGGCACGATAATAATCTTATAATGCTATTGAAAGGAGTTTAAAAAGTAAAATATTCGAAAGTAAACATGTTAAACAATTAACGAACGAAAACAAAGTTTTTTCTATACTTCTTATGTAAAAATTGTTAAGAAAGCAACATTCTCAATTTTGCATTAATCTCTTTCTCATTGTCCAACATTTTCTTAGAATGCTCCTTAAAGGCATTGAAGTTCTGATTGGATAATAAAAAAATATTATAAAGTGCTACTGCATATATATTATATATTATATAGAAATGGGTGTGAAAAAAAAATCCATACTCTTTCCAAATCTTTGTGTGTTTCTTCTGCTCTACATAGCTCATCACGTAGTTTAATGACTTGTATATTTGCGTTGACTGATGCGGCTTCTCTCCTTAAGAGGATAAGCATTTTGACAATAACATCAAATTTCTATATAACAAATTGCAATATTTTCTAATATAATATCTTACTCGAATTTATCTTTAGAAGCTTTTACTTTCTTTTCCATTTCGACAATTTGATGTTGTAGACGCTTTATTTCTTCAACTTTATCTTGAACTAGGCGACCCCTTTGCATAGCCAAAGCCATTAGCTCTTCTTTCTCTTTTTCAAGCTGCTCTATAGAGGCTTTCACAGCACTTCCGCTTAACTTTGATTGTTCTTGAGCAGCTTTTAATTTCCTTTCTAATTCTAAAAACATGATAAGGCAATAAATGAACAAAAAAGATTCGGCTTTGTTTTCTGATTGTAAACAAACCTTTTCGAAAACTCTCTTCCTTAGAGAGTTTGTCTCTAAGATCATTATTTTCTGTTTTCAGGCTATGGGTTTCTTTCTCGTAAACCTGAGTCGTTTCCTTTAGTTCCTTATTTATTTTCCTAATAGATAGGAATAAAAGGAGAATATAATAAACAGGGTAAATAAATCTATGAGCTCAATAATCATTATTGTATGATAATGCAAATATTTCGTACGCATAGTGGACCTCTAATTATCGCAAATTAATTTCTTACTGAAAATGATAGTCCATTGAGGCTAGTTTATCTTGTAAAGTATCAATTTCGGCCGAGAGTTCCCTTATTTTCTTATCTTTCTCACTTAAGGCAGAGCTAAAGAGTTTAGCATTCTCTTCTTTCAGTCTTTCATTATCTTTGCGCAATTCATTATTTTGCCTTTTATATTCATCTTTAAATTTTATCAATTCTTGATGATTGTAAGCTAAATCGTTAAATCTTGCATCCAGCATATTATATTTGTTTATTTCCCTTTGCAAATCCTCATTAGCACCTTCGCGAAACTCTGTCAACTCATCAACCATCTTTTCGAGAGTTTTAGCTCTAATGCAATCTTCATCAGATCTTTTCTTTAAGATCATTATAAGCTGTGATTGTTCCTCTATTCTTGATCTTAAAATTGCGCTGTCTCCTTTCTCCGATTCGCTAAGGTTTTTCAACCTATCCAAATTTTCCTTCATAGTTTTCATATCCTAAAAGTTTTCAATTATCGCTCAGTATATACTTGATTAAACTAATAACTATGAATTAAAATTTATAATTCTATTAATTTCAATATTAGAATAAACCTGTTGACTAGCTTCTACCATTTCTCGTAACTCCGACGGTTGTTCACATTTTTGAGTTGACATTTTTCATTATTAAAAGACTGTCTCTAGTGTAAACAAATCATACAAGCATTCTATTTCCAAAGCTATTATACGACGTCCTGAAAACGCGCTACCTAAGGGAATCGCATAATAAATTGATAGATCTTCCCTACAAACAGAAAAAAAAAACAAGATTATTTTTTATATAAAAAAAATAACAGACGAATTTATTGATTTATTACAAACTTAAACAAAACACAAATAAAAACAAAATTTTATATAAATTCTGCAATGTTTCTTTTCTTTTTTTAATTCTAAATCTCACAAAGAATCTAACAAAACAATACCTATTTTTCTTTTTTGTGTTTTTCATACATTGAAGCATCTATTCCACTTTTTTAGCGGTAATCTTAATGATATACTATTTTTAACGTGTTCTTTTTTCTTTTTGTTGCGTTTTTTTTTCTTTTGATTAGGAACTTTTTTCTTAAAAGAATAAATTCAGGTTTTGCCAAATTTTAGAAAGTAATAAAGAATATCGAAAAATAAACTTTGTGTTTAAAAAAGGCAAGGGATATTTTAAATTCATCTTTATGGCACTTAAAAGCAGTAAAAAGTTTTTTGAGCAGGAAATAAAGGGATTAGATATATATGGTTTTTTGTTTTTCCGAAAAGGGAAAGAGAAAGAAAAGAAAGAAAATCTTTATATTTTCCATTTTTTAGCAGTAATTTTTCTTAATAAATGTCGACTTTCATTCCTCGATTTCATCTGTATAATAAATGTCATAACAGTAATAATATTATTAAATTTTCAAAGAGATAATAGAAATACTAAATGATTTACCTAATGAACGGAGCAACTATTTCGATAAACTGCAACTGACTTTAAAAGCTCTTGATAATGACCATCGATCTTCGACGCTGGTTTTTTATCCAAATCTATAACACCTACTGAACATGTATAGCAATCGAAATCAGTTTTTATTTGTATTCCGTTTTGTTTGATTTCCGATTGAAGTGCAACCATTATCGAGCAATCATTGGCTACCGTTGATATTAAATAATCATCAATTTCCTTTTTATTCCCAACTTTTTTGTAGGAATTATAAATGGTTCGAATATTACGAATTGTATCTATTTTTTGTAATTTCCAAATTCCTTCTAAGACGCAATCTTTTGGCAGATAGCCTTCTTTTTCTAAGCAAAAACGCATATGATCAAAATCAAAGTGGAAAATTCATTAAAAGCTATTTTAATCTTGAAAGGATTAATTTATTTCATATGTCATAAGTAATTTCGGAAGATTACAACTTCTTATATTCGATAAAACATTATCAAGTATAAAATATTCTTTAATCTTCCAGGCAGAAAATTAAAGGTAAATCCATTGTGATCATATATTTTTTTGCTTAATTAACCTTGATTTCTGCTAGAATTATGCTGCACTGCCGCACAAACAGGAGATCCTCTTATCTGCTTTTCATCACTTCTTGTCCATAATAGAGTTTTTATAAGAATATCGAAGAAGCGTGTTAATAAGCAATCATTCGATATACCATTTTCCGTCTTCAAAAACTTTCGCAAATTGGATATTAATGTGTCAAGCTCACGTACTTCTTCGGCCCAAATGATTTTTCCGTCTAAAAATATCCTGAAGTTATTTTGTGGAGTAGCAAAAAGTGATGAAAATGCCAAACGCATCCGATCTTTATTCCCAGAAAAAAGGTCCAATGGGCAATAGCGGCTAACGGTCTTCCTGATGTAGTTTATTGTGTTAGTTTAAATAATTTATCTCGGCAAATAAGATAGGCAAAGAATAGTATGTATAATCTTTCAAAACGATTAATATTAGAGTACTTTAAGTGACATTGAACATCGATAAGCTGGTTTTTAGTGCTGTTTTCTTAGCTAATAAAAAAATATTTTTGTTGCACTTATGATTTAGACAATATTAGAGTTGTTAAGGGTTATCAATTGAAAAAAGCTTGAGAAAATGAAATTTTGTCAACTATTTGAAAAGTGAAAGCTGTGATTATAAGCTTGAATAAAATTTGTGCCCTAATCGGACAAGTACAAAGCAATAAGCGTGATTTTAAGCCAATACACTAATCTTATGACTAGTTAGATTACTGATTTTTACCTGTCAATTAAATAAGATATATCCTCAGAAAGCTTCAAAAAACACGACAGAGATTTACAAGGCTGTGAAAATACATCAAGGGTGGGACTTTTTGAAAATGGACATTGAACAATTGACACAACAAACCGCACCATTTGCCAATCTTCAACTTGTAGTGTTGAGACATACAAAACTTGCAAACGCCTTTTAGGAAAGGATAATCCCAATTGGGAATCAGTCCACTTTTAGCTTTAATCTCCACAGCAAATGTTGGCATGTCATTTGAATTTGGTACGAAACAGAGATCAGGCATTTCAATCGCAAACGGGCAGGTAAAGTCAATTTCTTTATCCAGTCTGGACTTGGACCTATATTGCTTTACAGAATTATTCAAGTCTCTCAAATATTTCTCATCGTGTTCAATTGTACAACCAATATGAACAAAATCATTTCCAATTAATGGACTTATTACACTTCTAATAAACCTTAATTTTTCTAAAAGTTCATCTTTAGTCTATTGAGATTTTAACACAATTAAGTAAATTAATTAATAATTGGACAAATAAATACCATTGGCTCAGTCTTTTGAGACTCTGTCGGATTCGTTAACACTCTACGCTTTTGGAATATTTGAACAACTTTTCTCTGCAAAATGCAAAAACACACATAATATGAGAAAACAGCAACAAACAAATAAAAGTACTACACGAAAAGAAGTCGATATTTCCTATTTTATCTAGACAGCAAAGTGGATTTATAAAATAATTAAGCATGACTATTCGTAATTTACCTGCAGACTATACACAACCAATCTTTGATTTCCTTCTTGTCTATAATGCCAAATATCCTTATTATATTTCAGATTGTTCTCTGCATCTGACGCCGCCATATTTATTATGAAATTAAAAAAAATTTATTCCATAAATTATTTGCCGTATGTTTTATAACGAAATTTAATCTCATTTTAAGTAATAAAATATTAATATTTTTAGGAAACATAATCTCTAGAGATTAAACTCTATTGATCATTTTAAAGATACGTAAAAAAATTATGGAATATATCTAAAAATAAAAAATCACTTTTTAAAAGCGTAAAAATTACTAAAAAGTACAATAAACATTGCTTATATTGATTAGCCAAACATTAATAACTATTAATTGTTATTAAAAGATAAAAATTCTGTACTTTTTTGTTTAGAAAAGTAGTGATTTAAAAGCGGCAGCCATTTGTTAAAATTTAATTTTTTAAACTTTTTGGCACAGTTAACCCTCTGAACTTTCTGCTCGTGCAAGAGTTTGAGTAAGGCAAAACTTTTTGTGTCTTCGTTGAATTTTCACCTTGAAAGTTAACAAGAATTGTGTTAAGTTCGTTAAGAAGTGGTCCGAACGTCTTCTAACTAAGAATCATGCCTGTTATTGACCCTTCTATTTTGCAAACCATCGTTGGAAGCAGTAAGAATTTGAATCTTTTGAGTCGCACACGTTCGTGTCACTCTTACTCTCTTTGAATTTAGTGGCTACATTTCATGTTATATTTCTTTTTTTGTCAAAGATTCGTCGAATTTGCAAGCTTTCACTTCGTCCGAAGAGCCAGAAGTATTTGAAAAGTATATATATATATATATATATATATTTATTTATACGGAAAATTTTTAAGCATAATAAAGTGAAATTAATTTATATATTTCAGTAAATTCAGAAGTGAAAAACCGGAGAGACGGTAAGAAAAGGATTATAAAAAAAGCAATAATTAAATATTATTTATTTACTAAAGCGATTCGCAAGATATTTCCTTGAAATCTTCGACCATTCTTAAAGAAGTAGATTTCAATAGTCCTATTCTCTATACAAAGAATAATATAAAATTATTTTCAGAAATCAAACATTAAACCATGGGTTAGAGAAGATGGTATAAATAGTAAAGAATCAATTTCTATATCATGCTATATTATTTCCTTTACAATGCAGAACGTAAGAATAAGGAAAGCGATAATGAGGAGAATTTCCAAGAATCCAACGATATTACATTAGATAAAATAAATAGACAAAAATGTCTGACGGCCAAAGATATCAAAGAACATAATCAAATAAATGGCTTCGATAATTTTGAAAGATTTAAGACAGGGAGTACACCTTTATCGTTTGAAGAGGGTAAGGCTTACTTTTAGGGATAATCTATTATTAATTACTGATTGGAATATCTTAAGGATTTCGTAACTTTAAGAAGGTGAATAGTATAAATGAAGATGCAGTAAAAAAAAGTAATATTCATTTTTTGTAGCTTTTTTAAGCTATTATGTCTAAATACTAATGAAAATTGTCAACAGACGACATAGTTGAAGAGAGTATTAATAAGAAATTACTTATTACTCCTACATCTCCTAAGAAAGGTGAGTTATAAAAGTCAGCTTTAAACGCTACTCGGCACACTTTTTTTTACAGTTGGTCGTTATTATGATTTTGAGGAATTGTACTCTCTGAGAAATAATGAACTATCGAAATCTCCACCCAAAGGAAGAATTAATTGGGATGTTATGGTTCTTTTATTACCTGAAGTTTGTCTAAAAGAAGTATAAAAATATTTATGCCCATAATTTGAAATGTATATACATATCTATATATATACTTTTTAATGTTTTTCTTGCAGTCTTTGGTTTAGATTTTAATGACATGCAGGCCTAGCATAGGATAGGCAGCTAGACAGCAGCCATAACTTATTAAGTCGACTGAAGAATATTACATTTCTTCGTTGGGGTATTAATATTTAACTTATGCAAAGTTTTTTAACTTTTGTCCACTTTTAAAAAGCTTGAAATTAATAATCAAAACCATTATTGTTTTTAACTTTGCTTTACTTAAAACGTAAAGTTTCTATGGATTTAAGGCTTATAAAACATTTTAACATCATCATTTTAGTAAAAATATAAAGCATTTTATTAAAATTATGAAAACCTTAATTTAGTCAAATCGAAGTTTTTATGTAAATATTACAGATTTGACTATCTTAAATCTGTCGTACTTGCAATTATTTGAACCGCTTCCGAAATTCTTGAGAGTTTTCGTACGATTTCTTTGCAGCTTCTTGAATTCTCTTTCTAAATTCTCTGTCGGATTCTCCCGTAAGCATATCCCTATAGTTTATCGATGTCCTCCGACGCAAGTTGTATCTATGGCTTGAGCTCTAAAATTACATTTCAAATGAAATAAATATCCACCAAACGAGTTGACAAACTTACATTGTCTACGGGTGAAGACCATCTTTTTTGAAGTTTAGCTGTATTGATCATAAATTTAGTTTGTTTCACTGGGGAAAACATTCAATTACCTTCTTTGGCCAGTTGCCTCATAGGAGTTGATTCCGTCAGGGATTTTATTTCCTCCTGGTCGATGAAAGAGAATGGAGTAGACGCTCTACTGCACGAGGGAGTCGAGCGGTTACTGCTTGACGAAAAGCTAATAGTTGGATCTTCTTCATCGCTTGAACTGGACTCGCCAGTATCTTCTTTGTAAAATTATTAAAAGGTTAACGATCTTACAAATAAACATTATCTCGTAGACTAAAATATGATAATTTTGTAAGCTTACCTTCTTCATCCAAGGCAGCTTCTTTCTCAACTTCCTCTTCATGATGCTCTACAACATTACTAATTTTTAATTTCTCCGGTGTGTCGAAAACAAAATTATGTTCACTAGAAATATGTCCATTGGAAATTCTGCCTGTAGAAATTCATAATATTATCAATATATATTTATTATTTAAGATATAATCTACCATTTTGAAGCAGAAATTTTAATTGCTCATTCTGTTCTTGAATCTTTAATAGTAGTTGATTATTGACTTTATCCATGTCTTGAAATCTATATGCCATAATCGCCCATACGATAATGGCTACACTTGCAAATATACCACGGATAAAGCTTATTTTCTTATGGAAAATTTCAGGTACATGAGAATCGAAAATGAGTCCCGAATTTGATATGTAAGTTAAAAAATATTCGCTCATAAGACCCATAATGAAAATTGAAAATATCCAAAATCTTGAGGAGCTAGTTTTCTTCGTTGACGTTAATAGATAGGATAAGAACATTGTTGCGGAATAATATACCATTGAGTATAACCAAGAGCTCTCAGTAAAGAAGAGACGTTGGAACGAAGATATTTTCTCAAAGATTTCTCCAATCATATTCCTCTGCTCGAAGGTATTTTCACGAAAGTCAGTCATAAGCTTTGATACCCCGTCTCCTGCTGTTTCAATAAGGTATTTTACTTCTTTTCCACTATTAATTTGCTTTTCTTGAAGATCAATTAATTCTTTCTGTTTTAGTCGAGAATCTTCAAGCTGTTGACCAATGTCTTGAGATTTTTCGATAAGTCGTGAAGTTGCCTTATTCACATTTCTATACCAGATTTGAGATTGAAGAAAGTAGCACATGTTGTTCGTGTGAGTAAAGAAATCGGTATAATCGGAATCCTTTCCCACTCTCTTATAGCAATCTTTGATATCTTCATCTTCTTTGCAATTTATTAAATCTCTTCCCAACTTCTCTCGGAAACAATCAAAAAATTTGAAAGCCAGTCTATGTTGTATATCATCAGTTAAGTATTTACATCCAATATTAAGTGATTCTAAGGCATCAGTATAGCATTCGCTATATTCAGGACTGTCAAAGTCCGTATACCTTTTGTACATTTCGAAGCGATTTCTGCCGTCTTGAAAATTTTTTTCGTTTATATTTAAATCAGCCTCCTTTAATGCCGAACACGAGATGGTCAATAACAAGAGGATGTTTGTTATAATGAGACTCATTTTTGATATGTTTCTTTTAAGTAAAAGACAAATTAACGCTAATAAACTTATTTATTATAATTTTAAAAACTATCTAATCGGGTACTGCAGGAACCGGAAACCGGTCTATTTCACAATTCTCTTTGTCCAAATGAGAGAGAAAGTTTCACATTCTAAAAATATTACTGGTCAAATGTACAACTTTTAGTTTTAATACATACAGTTTTTACGAAACGAAACTTGTACCTTTCAGAACAAGCCGTTAGCGAGCGATATTAAGCAAATTCTAAACAAGGAAGAATCACAAGAAATTTTACGATGAGAAAAGCTCCTCCACCTCCCACATCGAAACCTGCTATGATCAATGTTGTCAGGGCACTATTTAACTTTGAGGCCCGAAACGGAGATGAGCTGTCATTTAAAGAGGGAGACACAGTGTATTTATTAGATAGAACTGATCCTAATTGGTGGACAGGTAATTCTACTAAGATTATTTGTTATATTTTTTTGTTTATTATTGCTTATTTCAGGTAGATGTGGTAATCGAACAGGGCTGGTACCAAGTAACTACTTTCAGGATGGTTTGTAGCAAAATATCTTCAATTAATAGAAATCACTAAATAACTTAACGTTACAAAAAGGTAATCATCTGGAAACTATTGATAATCCCATGCATGAGGCTTCAAAAAGTGGTCAAATTGATTTCCTAAGAGAATGTATTGCAAATCAAATATCAATAAATGGAAAAGGTGAGCTTTTTATCCTATTTTGCGGAAAAACTACTGTATGAATAGCTAGAATAATTTTGACTAATATCATAAATTATTAAACAGACCATGCCGATAATACTCCATTGCATTGGGCGGCGAGAGGAGGACACATTGATTGTGTTGAAGTTTTATTGGCTAATAATTTATGCCGAACTGAGTAAGTCATTAAGTAAATAAACAAACTGCATTATTGAAGATTGTTCGTTATAGCCTACAAAATAAATTGGGCGACACGCCTTTGCACTTGGCAGCATTTAAAGGAAATCTAAAGGTGGTGGAATTGCTACTCAACCGTGGTGCAGATATAAACGTTCGAAATAGAGATAAGAAATTACCTTACGATTTAGCAAAAACACCAGAAGTAGCTGCTATGTTAAAAACTACCGTTTCAATGGATGCAGGAGATTATTTGGGTGATGAAGGAGATTCTGACTAATCTATTTTTTTATGGTTTTTCAAAAAATTGTACTCTGATTATTTTGAAAATGCTTTTATTACCAGGATATAAGTTTGACATTAGTATTTAAAAAGTAATAATATTCTAATAATCTAATAGCCATTTAACTAAAAGCTCAGCACCAATAAAGATTTTGTAATTATAACCTTTTTAACTAACACTTTTAAATCTGTTGATGAGACTGAATAGAACTCTCATTGTTGATTTCATATCCTTTTTCACAATGTCTGCAAAATAAACATAAAATCATTCATTGTTTTATATATTTAATTTTTATGGTTTCTAAACTTTTTTCAATTATTTACCTTCCGGTCGAGTGTTAGGCTTGTGCAAACCAGCATCTACCATCAATTTATAAGCCAGTGTAACATTTGCAACCTAATGTTTTCATATCGTACATTTTGGATTAATTCTTTATTTTAATGAAAATTATCAAACCTTTTCCTCATAAGTCTGAGGAGTTAGAAAGAAATTATGCAAAGGAACAAAATAGCCTCCTAAAAGTCCCATTAGCATGACAAGTACCACTCCATCATGAAACTACGTTGTAAGAGTTCATATAATAATTATAAAGATAATTGTATAAACTTTAATAAACTTACATCTTCTTCAATACTCTGCACTGGTATGTTAACTTTGGTCATGTGTTTATTAACGAAGACGATAAGTGACTACATAGAAGAAGTATTAAAGAAAACCTATTAATATATTTTTTTTAAAAAAAAAAAATACAAACTTTTTTAACAACTTCCAATTTTTCAGGAGCGTGATCAAATAGAGTATCAAAAGCGTCTCTTTCTGTGAAGTAGATATTTTATAGAATTATTCATCAAGCAAATGGTTGTAAAATAGACAAAAAAAAAAGAGTACTCTACCGTAATGGGCTGTTGTGTCTCTAAATAGTTAGGAAAGGGATAAAATTAGTTATCTATTCGTTATTATAGTATCTAAAGATATTCTTTTACTTACTCTTTTTCCATAGTAAGTTGTTCGGCTATTGGATTTATGTCTCTTCGTAATTCTCCATTCACTTTCTATATGATGTTAAAGTCCAAAATTTAGAAAGGATTTATTCTATTGTCTTTGTTTACCTTATAGAGATGTCCTTCAATTCTGACGTTTTCCGGTAGCTTTATGGGTGGCCTATAATGTCTAACTAGTGCCGTCAGAAGGTGAAGGATTGCTATAATATCTCGACCATGAATTTTTTCTACTGTCCACAGAGGACTTTCGTAATGCTGATCCATGCCTAATATTCTATTGCATTCCTCCAAAACAATTCTTAACTTTTGTTTTTGCCCCGTTTCCGATTGTAAAACCTCGGGAAATTCTAAACGTATGTTACCGAGTTTCTCAACAAGTTTTTGTAAAACTTGGCCGTCGTACAAATCCTCTTGTAAATTTCTAACGATTATTCGATAGGAGACTAATTCGTCGTTTATCCAATCAATAAGAACTTTGATTAACTCTTGAACAGAGGGACTTTGTTGTCCTTTCTCAACAACTAACCGCTCTTCTCCTTCCTCTGTTTACAATTGATTTTAGTTAATGTAAACATTTAATAAAAGGAAAAGCCTAACCTAACTCATTCAGATCTGGAACATAACATCGAACACCCGATTCTATTTCTTCTATATGATCCCTCATCTCTTTGTCTAGATCATCAGCTGTTGAATTTTCAATATTGATAATACATTAAAATGTAAACATAATGCAATAAATTGACAGGATTCGAGGAGATTACCTTCCTTGTTCTTCTTCTTTCGTCCAAGAGTGATATATTCCAAGAAACTGTTGTCTTTCTTTGCCTTACGAGGGCTAGTTGGGCTAATAGGAGTTTTTGGTGATGCCATTTATGCTTGCTTAAGATGCGATCCGCCTTAATATTTAATAAATATTGAACAATTGAAAGTAGGCTATGTTCACATTACTATCTGTAAAGTGTGGATAGTGGTGCAGCGCGAAAATTTCTTGAGCTCTTCAGAACGAGACGGTGAACCACCCCAAGACTACCAATTTCCGATAAAAGAATATCCGGTTTTTCCGTGTAAAGAGGGGTGAAGTTGAACCTTTCCAGCAAAATGGTGAGAATTAAGATCTTTGTGATAATAGGGGTCTCATTTAGAATTACTAGGTAGCATTACTAACAAAACTCTTTATAGCGATTATTGATACACTTTAAGAATAAAAGGAAAGGATAAATTCATTTCCTGAATAATACCTACCGGTTCAATAAAGTTATTGTAGATTTTTTAAATATGCACAATATAATCTCACAGTATAATCTGAAAGCTATTGCAAGTTTAGGATATTTGTGAAACATTCGTATCTTTAAGGAAAATGTGTATGATACAGATTGTTATTAATCGTTGTGTAATTATAGGTAAAATTGCTTGATTTTTTGTTGACAATTGCATAATTTGTATTTTACTTTAAATATGCTTATCTTTCAGAGCGATCAGTTAGATTCGGCATTAGACTTATTTAGAAGACTTCCACCTCAAAGAGTGGATGATAATATAGAAAAGATAATAGAGTTAGTACCTGATATTCTGGAAGATTTATTAGCTGCCGTAGATAGACCAATTCAAGTCATGAGAGATACAGAATGTGGAAAAGATTTTCTGATATGTGACTATAATAGGGATGGAGATTCATATAGATCGCCTTGGTCTAACAAATATTACCCAGCCCTAGATGATGGTACAGTTCCATCAGAACGTTTAAGGTTAATGGAGGTGGAAGCGAATTCTGCCTTCGATCAATATAGAGAAATGTACTTCGAAGGAGGTATCTCTTCCATTTACTTCTGGGATCTGGATCATTGTTTCGCAGCTTGCGTCCTTATTAAGAAACAAGGCGATGGCTCTAAAATGATAACAGGTCAATGGGACTCTATGCATGTGTTTGAAATTCAAGAGAAAACAAGTGGCAGAAGTGCTCATTATCGTCTAACGACAACCGCTATGCTATGGTTGAACACAAAAAAAGAAAAATCAGGAAATATGCATTTGGGAGGTCAAATTACAAGACAAAAAGAAGACGATTTGTCCATTTCAGAAGTTCAAACTCATATTGTGAATATGGGGCGAATGGTTGAGGTAATTATGATCTATCATCGATATAAATTCTTTTCATCTTTCTTTTTTATGAACCTCTCATTTAATTTCAGGATATGGAAAATAAAATTCGTAACACAATGAATGATATATACTTTGGAAAAACAAAGGATATTGTAAATGGATTAAGAACGCTTGATAAACAAGACTCTCGCCAGAAAGAAATGTTCAAATCGGAGCTATCTAGCGCTTTAAAAAATCGTAATTTTTCAAAGGAATAGACTGAATTATGCAATTATCGTTAGTATCACTTTAGAATATTCCAGCCGAACTTTTAGAGAGCGCAGGCAAAAAGGAATCGAAACATTCCATATTTGAACATTTTTGCTGGTTAATTCTCTCTAACGCTACTTAATACAGCAGATATTATTTAACCATTAGCTTCTATTTTTATGTGCCACAATATCTTAAACTAAGCCATTTTAATTTGGTGAAAGATAGTTGAAATAAGCCTATGGTATTGCTCTTATCTTTCTAATTGTAATACAAGGAAAAGTGAGAAAATGTATAAAATCATAAACTTAAGTATCATATAAGTATCAAAAAGCCCTTGTTTTCAATCAAAGATTTGAGTAATGTTTTATAAAATGTTCAATAAAACTTTTCATTATCTAATAAAAGCTTCAATTTTTATTCGTTAGAAATATCTTATATTAAAGATTAGACATTATTTACGTACTTAGCAGAGCATTGGCGTATTGAAATTCTCCACTGCTGTTATAATCACTCATGTCCAAAGCTACTTCGCAACTTTCCTTGACAACTCGAGCCTAAAATATGATTTGATTAGTAATATCAGCGATAAAGAAATATTTTTTACCTTATCTTGAAGAAACTCTTTTAGGACATTATTACATTTTGATAATCCTATTGAACCTAAAGCTTCAGCACTTTCGTGTCTAACCATACAATTTTCTAATGGATCTCTAAGAGATTCTTCTAGGGAAGGAATAGCGGCTTCATGTTGCATCTGACCTAAGACATAAGCTATTTCGTGCCTGAACAACGGACTTCCAACAAACAAACCTGTTTATAGTAGTTTTTCGATTATAATTAAAACAGTACTTTTTATTAAACAATAACCTTTTGACAAGCTTAGAACAGCCTCCGTTGTGCCTATATTCCTCAAAGCGAACAAGGCCCGATATCTTTCAAATAGATCTTCTTTTTCGTTCAGCATTGTTGTTGTTAATTTTTCAATATTTTTTTCAGCCGAAGGTGGAGCTGGATCTACTGATTTATAGGGATTTTCTGACACTTCTTCTTTCGATTCTTTAAGCCATCTTATCCTTTTAATAGCCAAATAGCAAGTTTCTGCTATCTGCATAAATGATAATCTTATTCTCTGCAAGAAATTTCACAAATAATCTCTTACCTCGGATATCGAGCAAGTAGAATATTTTTCTAGAATAGGCATAACTCTATCATCGCCTAAAGCGCCAAGTGCTTCACCGGCCTCATGTCGAACGATAGGTTGCTGACTCTCGTCTTCTAATATTTTTATTAAATAATCAATAGCTAACTCATCCTGCATCTGTCCTAGAACATAAGCGCATTCATGTTTCAATAATTCGGATTCATCTTTAAAGCAACTGTTGATTTCTTCAATAGATTGTTTTCCACCTAAATTTCGTAATGTAAATAAAGCTCGAAATCTTTTCTTTAAAGGCTCGTTGGTATTATTTAGAACTTTTCCAATTAAGATAATTTCATTATCGCTTGCTTTGACAGATGTCATGTTAAGATTCAATATTATAATGTTATACACAGAATAGTCCTGAATCTTACGATTCACAACACGTGGGAATATTATACAACAACCATACGTAATAAGACCGCAGAAAATATTTTCAAAACGCATGCGCAACAGATTTTCGAACTTTTAAAACTAATTCAAAGCAGGAAAGTTTTCAGAAAGATTAAAGCAACTATTGTTTCTAATTTTCTATAAATAAACTTTGGTAACTGGAGTTTTATTCAAGATATCCTAAAATATCTTTCTTGATGATTGACGTTAAATGTTATTGTCTCGAAGGATATCATCAGGGTATAAATACTTATTAAAAGAAACTGTAACAGAAACAAAATTAATTTTAAAAAAAAAATTTCGAATATAGTTAGCTTTTGGCAATAATAGAAAATATTAAATTTCAACAAAAACACGACTGTTTCTTTAAAAAGTTTCATCAGCAAAAAGTGTTAAATTTGATTAGCGAAAGTCGTGAAGCTAATATCAAATTTTCAAATAAATATTTGTTTATAAGATAATCGAGATATGAATGGTCGAACAAGTTGACTAGTTGCAAAGTAGAATACTAATCCAAAGCAAACTGATATTGGTAGAGCTGGTAGTGCCTTCCTGAAAATGGCCAGGAGTAGTAGAGTTAAACAGAGACCCTGCAGAATAGAATATATCAATAAACTACTAATTATTCTCAATAATGGAATACTTACAATTAGAATAGCAACAAAGCATGAAAGAGTCGTATTCCAATCTCCATAAGAAGAAGCCTTACCTACTAGTAGGCTGTAGAATATAAAGTCACCCAAACCTAATTTGACTCCTCTTTCTCCTGTTTCAAGAGATGATACGGAGTTTCTCTTTCTTTCCTTTTGGGAAGATCCGAGAGCGGCTGCTGCTTGACGAGCAGGGTTTTCTCTTTCAGCAATTAAATGATTCTCAGATCCCTCAACACTTGGATTATTTTCAATATCAGCCATATTCACGAACCAAATCATCGTTGAAGAATAGATTAAACCAGGCATCAGTGTATCATTTCGCTCTTGAGAAGTTTCTACTAGAATTCTAAGAGGTCCAAACGGACAAAGGACAGCTATTAAATCCCATATTGATATCAATGCCAAAAGAACCCAAGATGTCCACTCGGGTAGATATCTTATAAAGACAAGAGCCATCAGAGCCGATATAACAATATGATACATTTGTTGAATGCGTAAAGGTCCCTTCCAGTGTATACAACACATTCCCAAGACCCCAAAATTCCAAACAAATAGAATAGTTGTGACATAATCTAATGGAATATTATATCTTTCTAATACTTGGCCCAAGTAAACGTAAACAAATATAAACAAAAGGAGAAGGGACGACAGAACTAACCACGCATGAATAAATCTATAACACTCGAACTTATATAGGAGTATTAATATTATGGACATGACAATTATTAAGGATAGAAATATCATTGTATTTCCTAATGATATTCCAAATCGTTTTGCTCCGCTGGTACCGGTTTCTTCGAGGGGCGTGTATATTAGACGAACATTACTTTTGTTTTCTGCATAATAAGTGACCGACGAAACAGTAGCAACCACTATTATCATACATATTGTTACTGGTACGAAGAGTCGAATTATATTTTGTGCGCCAATCATAAGAGCATTGTCAGTTGTTAGAGTTTGATTCTGCTCCCTTCTCTGCTCTCTCCGCCGCATCTGCGAACAATTAATAAATAAAGCATTCTCGTAAAAAATACTGTTTCGTTAAAAGAGCGTTATATGTGAAAAAAAGAAGAAGAAAGAAGCCAAGTTAACTTTGTAAAACGGGTAAAGACAACAGTAGGTAAGCACAACAATCCACCCTTTTTCTCACCTTCTTTACCAATTCATCTTCGTCATTTTCTATTTCCATAGCAGCGAAACGAACATTACCGTTCTCGGGAGGTTTTTTATCAGAATCTTCAATAGCCTTTTATGCGAACAATCGCCGCTAAATCTATGTAACAAGTTTAATATTAATATATGCTTACTTCGTCCTGTTCGTCAGTATATTCTGACATAAGACTCGTCCGCTCATTCGCTTCTAATTCAGAACCCATTGGAACTAGTTCTACGAATAATATATATGGATGCTTTAGACGAAATAATAAAATTATAATCTCAAAATTATACAGTATTTGAACAAAATTTATTGATGCTTCAGTACCGTAATTGATTTAAACTAGCAAAAAGAATGAGTAAATGATGAAGAACAATGGAAAATACTTACCAATTTATCATTAACAAATGAAAATCGGTGTACTTATAAAGCCCCAGCTGGCTTTATCTTTCTTCTCGCAATCGATTATCCTATAGCATCAACCGATTTGTACTAAAACTAGTGATAACTATATTATTCAGATAGTAAAATATTAGGATGGCGACTATGACGTCAGGGATTTTCCGGAAATCTCTGAAGACGGGTTCATGGTTCCAGTATACCATAGATCATATTTCTATTTGGTGGGGATAGAAACGTTGCGAAATCCTTTGCCATTCGCGTTATAGTACTAACTTTGTGGACAAAATGTCTGATAAGGAGGAAACAAGCAACGAAGTTCGACGACGGAATACACCAAAAACTGACTCGAATCACAATGGTAAATAACGTATAATGATTGGCATCCGTCTAAATTATTCTATAGCGTTTCGATAAAGTAGCTAATAATTCTACATTTTTCTTAAAGCCGCAAACTGTAAAGACGAGATAGATATTACAAGCTCTCTATATGGAAACTTACAATTACTCCGCGATAGAGCCGAGGTATAACAAATTAAAGATTTGAAATTAGATGTCAGTTAATATTCCGACGTAAAAATACAGCTATTTAAAGCTAACTTAGTATCGACACTTGATGAAAAGCTGAGTGACTCGCTGGACGATTTCTTAATCGAACTAGAAAAACTTGAACAAATTAAAGTTGGCTCTCGCGGAGAAAAAGCGTCTCTAGCAGCAGCTGACAAGTAAGTCGCATTTGTATTTACACAATAGGAGTAATATATAATATAACTATTACGCTAAGTTTATTATAAAAAGTTAAAAAGTGTTTTCAATCATTGACCCAAAAGGCGATCTACTTGGTGAGTAAATATCTCTAAGGAGATAAGATATCCTCCTTTTCTTAACTATGCAATTCTAACTTTTTGCAGTAAAACTTACACATTTTCTATAACACTTTTTTTTTGATTACAAAAGAACGAATAATTGATCAACTACCTTCAGTTCAATTGACACATTTGTACTATAAATGCCCTCGCTGTCCTAGTTTTAGCTTTCTACAGTATAAAGAGTCAAAAATATCTCTTATATGGATAAGATAAGAACATGATCCGATATATGGTCGTCAGACAAAGAAAATTAAAAAAAAAAAAAATTATTACTTTTTTATTTGGTACTTTTCAACTTTTGAAAAGATGCTAAATTTATTAATTTACCCTATTGGTAAAAATTTCTTTCTATCTTTATGTTTCAACGCTTAACCGGCTTAATTGTTTAATTCAAAATTACTATTCTATCTGAATTATTATAGTTTTTGTTTTGTTTTATTTAATGAGTGAATATTTCAAAAAAAAAATAATAATAATGTGCTATTCTCCATTTTATTTTGAACAGGAAACTCGATAGAAAAGATGGAGAATTGCCAGATAAGCAATTTGTTGCACGACGTTCCGTATTAACCGAACTATTGGATATTTCTCATATAAGATCAATCTATCATATATTCGTTGCAATTTTAATTGTATTCTCTCTTCATACAATTGTAAAAGATATTCTTGATAATAGTAGTACATCATTAAAGTTTGAGCTGATCATATGGGGATTTGGTAAACTACCTCTTGTAATTTGTCTTTGGATGTGCATGATGGCATTTTCAACGGCATTCTTATATCCATTTTTTCAAAATTGGGCTAAATTTAGAAAGAATGGAAAATTAAGATTAATGGATCTACCTTGGATGGGAATTTATGGACTTTATATGATAGGTTTTATGGTAGTACCGTGTTATTACGTCCATAGTCATAGTTTTCCTATAGCATCGTCAGTTGTTTGCGCTTGTGAGCAAGTGCGTTTGATTATGAAACAACATGCGTTTATTAGAGAAAATCTAGATAGGGCGCTTGAAAAGGGAATCATTCCGGACTTCTCAAAATACTTATACTTCTTATTCATCCCAACTTTAGTTTATAGGGATGAATATCCAAGAACAAGGGTCATTCGCTGGAATTATGTTGTCTCAAATCTAGCCCAGGTTGTTGCTTGTTTGCTATACGTTTATTATATTTTCTTGAGGTTCGTTGCTCAATTGTTTTCCAAATTCTCAAATGAACATCTGAGCCTAAAAGATCTAGTATCATCTTGTTTTGCATGTATGATGCCGGCAAGTTTAATGCTTTTTATTGCCTTTTTTGCCATATTACACTCCTGGATGAACGCCTGGGCTGAGATGTTAACTTTTGCCGATAGGCTATTTTACAGAGATTGGTGGAATTCTAGGACATTTTCTAATTACTATAGAACATGGAATGTTGTTGTTCACGATTGGCTATATACTTATGTCTACAAAGACGCGGTCAACATATTTGGAAAATACAATAGAGCTGCAGCTATGTCGTCAGTCTTTTTATTATCGGCTGTTGTCCATGAATTTATACTAGTTGTCAGTTTTGGTTTCTTCTATCCTGTGCTATTTGTTCTTTTCATGGGGGCTGGTTTTGGCTTAATGTTTATCAAAGGAAAAAACCAAAAATGGAATATAGGGATGTGGGTAGCCCTTTTTATGGGTACAGGTATCCTACTGTATACTTACTCTCTTGAATGGTACGCTCGAAAGCTTTGTCCCAACGTTTACACCGGAATAAAGCATTACATAATACCAAGATCCTGGTTATCTTGCAAAGTAGAAAACTAAAGGCATAATAGTTGACTAATACGTATATAGGCACGTAAGCGTGTAAATGTTTGTACTCGTTTTTTCCTGATCATTTGTCAATACATTTTCTCGATCGATATTTCGGTCTTTGTTATCACTCCTAATATTGCAATTTAACTGATAAAAGTAGTTTAATTTTGTAATATCTTTTAGGAAGACAGTACTATGATAAAAATAGAGGCAGACGTCTATATTTCTCAACAGATTTTTGATCTTGAATGATAAGACCAGATGATATATATAAAGTAGTTGACAAAAAAAATCTGGACACTGTAAATTTTAATAGGCCAAGTTTTAAAAAAACGCTCCAAATTTTTTTTTATTTGAAATGTTTGTCTCTTTTGTCTAAAAGTTATATTTATAAAAAAACACTTATATTTATGTTTATTATTGAAAAATATTAGAAAAACTTATTATATTTATGAATAGAATTAGGAAAAACTTTTTATTAATTTACATATTTTCTTCTTTATTTGACTGCGAGACATAATACATCCGGTTTGGCATTCAAATAGACGTCATTGATAAATTCACTTTTCAACGTTCAATTTCTCAAAATTATATTAATTAATTATGGCGTGGAGTAAAGATGTTAGAATTTTAGTAATCAAGAAATTTGATGAGTTGGGAAAAGTAAGGGCAACAGCAAGAGCTTTAGGAATGGCACCATCAACCGTTAGCAATATTTTAAACTATCAGCCACCGGAAAAAGAGAATAGAGGTCGTCGAAAGCTTTTTACAGAAAGAGACTCAACCAGGATTAAAAGGATTGCGAAGAGACTTGAAAGAAACAAGGAAAGAGTAACATCAGCAAGGATTTTGAAGGAATTAGAACTGAACGTAAGCACTAGAACAATTCAGAGAGAACTGAAAAGACAGAATTTCAAATATAAGTTCAAGACAAAGAGTTGGACTTACAGCCAAGGATTGTAAAAGAAGAAAATATCAGTGATATTTTAGATTTATTTAGAGTAATTTTTAAAGATGAATCCAGAATCTCACTGATGACTGGACTACTGATTTTCGCACGCGGACAAATGACGGCCATGAAAACTTAACGGTTATAGAAAATTTATGGGCTGGGGTGGGGAGCAATGATTTTGGGACTAATAACATCAGATGAGGGGAGTGGGAGGGGGGGGGGTGTATGAAGAAGTTTAGTGTAAGCAAATGCATTTGAAGAAATAGGGTATTCATATTTAAAAATATTAGTCCCAAAACCATTGTCCGGATTATTACGTCTCTCGGCGGAATAAGAAGAAAACTCATCAAAAACAAAAGAACAATGTAAAAACTTATCTAAATGTATTTTTTTTTTTTTTTGGTATTGAAAATGATTTCTACGATTCGGCCTATAAAACTTTGTAGTGTCCTGTTATTTTTGTCAATTACTACTTTATGTACTGTATATTAATTATATGCCAAGTTAAGCTTTGTTAAAGTTCATCTTCACCTCAAAGATATAAGAAGTCTTCATATTTAATTTTATATAAAAAGCATAAAAAAGTTTATTAGATAGCTAAAATTGATAAGATTAAAGAAAGTCGGATAATTCCGGAAGTTTTAACTTAACTTCAAAAAAAAAAACGCTTATTTCAATAAAATAGATTTTTACTATATTTCACTATTACTAGTGCAATATTTCGAAGAAATGAAGAATCTGAAAGTACAAAGGATCTATTGACATTTCACTGGACAAATCAATTTAAAGATATAAGTGTAAAACTGTAATCAGATAGATATTATTTTTTATTGAGAATATCTTGTTTAGTCTTCTAGAAAGATTATAGAAATGTATTGGATATTTTTAGCAGATCTTTTCCTTGTAAAAACACTACTTTGTATAAACAAAAAGAATACAGGAATAAAAGATAAACACGAAATGAAACTTCCGGTTCTTTAGGCTTTACATTATAAAAGTAGTTTTCATTAATTCTATCAACTGTGAACTAATGAACACATTTATCATGTATTTATCAATAGTTAATCTTCTAATATCATCCGATTATCGGGTTCTCACACTTCTAAATTATGTACTACTTATGATGACGCTGTTAAGATTCTTGTCAAGGATTAGCAAACTTTTTCAGCGGAAATATTTCTTGTTGGAAACTTTCTTGAATCATGCAGGGAATCATTATGCCTTATTCCGCATCTATTACACATTCTTGATTTACACTGATGCAACTGGTGTCCCGCTCTAAGGCAATTGAGGCAACGTTCATCTTCAATTGCTTTGTTCCATCTTTCGTTGATAGTCAATTTTAAGAAATCTGGGCATCTTGAATAAGAATGTTTTCCAGGATGAAGAGTACAATCTCTGTTTCTTTTCGAACCGTAACAGTTAGATTTATCAACTTGATATTTTTCCATCGCTGAATTGTTAGTGAATTTCATTTCATTCTTTGACAAATCGCCGTTCGCTCTCACCTTGGAGATGATTGATCCTTTTTCAACTTGATGAATAAAGTTGGTTAGATTGAGTAGTCGCGATTCCGAAGGTTTGAGTTTCGATTCAACGTCATTCCATTGACGCAGGAGATTAAAATCCATTTTATCACTTAATACTCTCAAAACCGACGACTCTAAGGTCGATTGAGCAATACACGCTTCTGGAAGAGTAAGTTTGATATTAATTAGGATTAGGTGAGCTTCAGCGAGTGCCATCTTTGTAGAAGGCGAGAGTAAAGGTAATTGTTGAATCTCATTAAATATTGCTTTCTCGGGTCTATACATCTCTTTAAATTTCTCTTGTAGTGCTATCATTGCCTTATCAAAAGGATATTTTTCATCTTTACAAGCGGTTACAATCACTTTGGAAGCAAATCCTGTTGTCCATCTTTTCAATAGTTCAGCCTTTTTCCATTGAGAGCATTTACCAAATTTTCTTGTTATCTCATTGAATCTAGCCTCAAACGCCTCGAATGATATATTATAACCATCGTATTTTTGCTCCGTATCGGGATTCCACATGGTTAACCCGCTACCTTGCCATAAGACTTCAGTAGTATTCTCTTGACTTACTTGACATTTAACTTCCCTGTCGCAAATACTTAATTCATCCTCTAGAGCAACGGATTCTAGAACTCTAATTGCTCTTCCTTTCTCGCTATCCCTTTGATCATAGATGAAATCTTCGCGATTCTCTTCTAATAGCTCTCCTCCTATTTGTATACTTCTATAGTCGTTAAGGTTTTCTTGTGAGGTTGATCTTACCAATTCGCTTGGACATTTCCGTATAAATTTATCACAGTTGACAACCTCCGCAGCTTTAATACATTCTTTGATTAGTTCGAGTTCACTAACAAAATGACTATGAGCTCTTTTTATATAATTATAATCGTTCTTTGAAGTAATATTTAACGTCATAGCCGAAAATAGATGCGACGTCGCCTCAACAACTGTACGTAAAGTGTCCTTATATACATCTATATTTCTATTCAAGGCCTGTTCACCTATCCTACTAAAGGTTTTCTTGAAGGTTTCGCAAAGCGTCCTTAACTGTACATTCGTACGGTTACGATTGTTTGTCTCCTCATCAATTCGATCTTCTAGGAACTGTAGTAGTTTCTCTACCTTTTCCTCATCGTTCCAAGGAGGCTGTAGTGGGCTTATATCGATATCGAACTCCAATAGAGCGTCAATTTTACCTTTCAGCGGATCTGCAATCGGTTTTTCTTTTGAGAAAAGGTTAATTGCTGACTGTAAACTTCTTGGATGTTCCATAGCAAATTCAATTTTTATTACTCGTTCGCATATGTTTTAATACAAATATTTACGAATATGATTAAACTTTTACACTTATTTTAAAGCTAAAAATCTATGAATTTAGTCAGTAGATTTATAGTGAATATGCCATTACACAATGCCATTTCAAAGACAGCCAATCATCATCGATATGCCCTTTTAAGGTACAAAATGGACACTATTTTGGCGCCAAAGATACAGTCAAAATAGATTGTATATAAACATTTTTCGTAGTTTATTTAAAATAATTAGATTCACTTTAAAGTTCTTCATTCAAACAACAAAAACATAGATATTTAAACAAATTTTACATATATACATATACTATACTGTATATCATATATAAATATATCTATAAAAAGTATATATCTATATGCTAATATATGTTAATATATGTATACATATAGGTAATACATATATATTTATATATATATTGTTATTATTTATATTTTTTATATAATTCAAAAGAAAAGAAAATATTAAGATGATTGATTGAATAACAAAGACTAAATTTTGAAATATTTAAGTTCTTCTTTAAACTCTTTTTATCAAGTTCTTTTTTTTTCCTTATTCTTCTTATTTCTTCCTTTATTTATTTATTTTTTTATTTATTTGTCTATTTTTCATTACCCTTTCATGAGTTTTGCATAGGCGTATTTTCGCTCAACATTTTGACAACTTCGCTCTTCTCACCAGCGTTTAGGATTGAAATTGCGTATGCAACTGAATCCATCGCTATATCTTCGTTTTCTTTCAGGACTTTCTTAATTTGTTCTAATGCGTAATCTCTACGGATTGCTGCGAGATTTTCGGCAATTCCTGAATTATGTAATCCGTTATCTAATTGAGTTTGCAACCACTCGGTAACGGTCATGTTATCATCCTCCCATAGATAGGCGTTAACTGCTCCCTTGTGCTCTGTAAACCATCTTGAAAGCATCATTCTGATTTGGGCGTCATTGAGTGTTGGATTGAGCTCTTGAACTTTTTTAATGTAGGTTTCTTCCAACAATAGACGTCTAAGACGCCAGTATAAATATTTTCTGGATGTTTTCCATGTAAGAACGTCGTTAATCACGCCCTTTTCTTGCATACGACCGGCAGTATCGTGTAGATCAGCAAAGGCGATGGCAATTTGATGATAGACAGGTGCAATGAGAGACTCCCTTTCACGTAATTTCTTTTCTAAAGCGATCTTATCGGCAGGAGTTAGATTAGGTTCGTTCAAGCTCTTTTTCAACTTGCGATATGTTTCGTCGAGTCTCGTCATGGCTTTTATCTGTTCTCGAAGTTTAAATTTAATTTCCACAGTTCCAGCCGGCTCGAGAACACCGCCTCTGCTCTCTTTGTCGGCGTACATTTCCATATGTCTTTCGTTAATTGTCGGATCGACAACCACCCAAGCGCCTCCTCTTAGTTCTGCTCCGGGTGGTAGATAAACGATTATCGGTTGTTTGTATTCTCTTAGTCCGTCAACAATATAACTTCCGAATTTCAAGACTTGATCGTACATATCCTTCATACCGCCGCTGAAACCTCTCCAGTTGGCGAAGATAAATAGAGGCAACTGTTCGCGGTTCAAATCCTTAATGGCCTGCGCTGTTTTATAGGCGCTATCGGGAAACCATACTTGTCCTGCTTGGGGAATTACTAGAGTTTCTGAATCCAAGTTGGCTGGATCAGCCGGTACCTTAGCCTCAACTGATCTAGTCTCAACGCAAATCACACCGACAGGTATTCCACCAAGTCTGGCTCTGCCCGTAATCACTGTTTGGGCCCATGGGGCCATCATCTCTTCCCAAGAGTTCTTATCAAAAAAGCCGCTAATCCATCGACCATTCTCGCAATACTTTCCGTCCAACATTAATCGTGGATCGTGTGGGGTTTTAGGCGGTTTGAATTCTATTTCTCTCTCAATTGGATCCTGAGACGTCAATATGGGCAAAGGCCCATCTCTGCAGCGAGGAACGTATGCTAGCCATCTTAAAATTGCTTCAACTCCCTCGAAATCGTCTTTAACAACGGTATGAGTGACGCCGTTGTTGTGCATAATTTGGATACCACCAAGTTGGTTGTTACTTGTATACACTTCTCTTCCCAAAACCTTATTGAGAGCGCCCGCTCCAGTAAGAATAATATGGGCATTTTCAGTTTGAACCACTCTCTGACCAAGACGAACCAAATAAGCACCAATACCAACAGCACGGCAAGTAACCAAGGAAATAGTTGGAATTTCATTGTAAGCTTGGGAAGTTTCCCCAGCAATAGTACCGGAGCCACGTAAATTTTCAACGCCTAAACCATCTTCAGCGCCGATAATATCGAGAAGCTTATAGCGGGATTCACCCTTCTCCACGACATGCTCAACGTGAACACTCGACATGACCTTTTTATAATCGTCGGGAGTCAAATACAAATAATTAAATCCCTTCTCGACATCCTTATCATCTTTCCAAGCCACTCGGAAGTGATGCATTATCTCTTTAGCCAAGCCAATTCTGGCTCCACTGTTAGCAGACACGTATATGCGAGGGATTCCTTCGGCTCTAGCCAATTCGCTTGCCTTCAAAAACAGATCGTCTTCTTTTGGTCCAAAAGAACCAATTTGGAATGTTATATCATTAGCTATAACAATGGCACTTCTACCGTTTGGAAATTCTGGAGTTTTCAAGGTGAATTTCCAAGCAACCATTCCGCAATCATTCTCGCCTTGTAATCTATTAAATTCTTTTAGTTTTCCGTCTTGACCAATTACCAATTCAACAAAAGAGAAACAATCTAATTCGGTATTTTGAAAGTTTTCTTCAGCTTCACCTTTACTTGCGTAGTATTTCTTCCAGAGTTTTACTAGTGCTTGCTTAAACAATTCTGGCAGATCGTAGGCGTACGTTGTACCGGCACTTTGTGCTTGGAAACGTTTCAATTGTAATTGATCCTTTGTCATATATGGTGTAGACAATATTAGACCGTGAAGAGGTCCTTTCTTCTTTCCCAGACTCTCAAAGTGAACTTGTCCACCTTTACCATCGTTGATTTCTTTGTAGGTAGTAATATCCAAATAGTATCCACTATCGTTATTAACAAACACCCTAATAGGCATTGGTTCACTCTCTTGCGTCTTCTTAACGTTCATTTTAACTTCTGCTTGTAGTACTCGCAATTTCCAAATACGGTGTCCGTAACACATAACCATATTTCTAACGGTATCTTCAATTTTGATCGGATCTGCCATAACCATAGTTGGAACGAAATTCAAAAAGACGTGATTGCAATCGGTTCTCTTGGAAAGAGGATGCTCGAAGGCTACCTCTAAGGCGTCCATAGCCTCCAATAACATGCGTTCACCTTCACTTCTTAAATATTCGAACGAAGCTTCTCTCGATACGAGATCAGAATGGCGGATAATTACGCGAACGAAAAAACGATAATCAGTAACTTCTTGGCCTTTGGCTACTTGTTTTGCTCTTCCCAAGTACAAATGTATTCTATGATTTGCTACTGGAATAGCTTCTAAATTAAAATTTCTCATTCGATTAATTTCCAGCTGGAATGCAAGAGCAGGTTCAAGATGTCTATAAATTCTATCCTCAGTGAATCCTTCCCTAGAGCGGAAGGTGAAATACTTTGGAAATTCTCTATTCTTAAGCAGAATAAATGTTGCTCTCCTTATACCACGTTCATTTAGAACAGGCCTGTGTTGAACACAGAATTGTTCAAATCTGTCCGCTAACTCTCTATCTTCTTCGTCACTACAAATAAAAACAATAGTAGATATTATCATTGATAATAATAAAAAAAGAAGATTTGTTAACTTACTGTTTACAAGATATAGCAATATTCAGTATGTGAATCGGTTCATCATCACCGAGGACACTTCCTAAAGAACTAGAACTACTTCGTCTACTATCGTATTGGTGTGATGCATCGTCGCCATTCATTGTTGTACAATTATTAGTTTTCACAAATCTTTTTAAAAGATCATCGAAATATCTCACAAATTCGTCGAAACATCTAAAAGCAGCCATAACTCCAGTTCTCTGACATGGTAAATAATTGGCAACGGCAGCCATTTCATCGCCTAAACTCGATACTCTAGGTAGCATATAGCTAGTTTTTCTCTGATGGAAACGATTAGGATGGGAGCTCGGAAGTAGAAATTGAAATTCAACAATGCATAGATCTCCTTTCAACAGATCGTGTTGAATACAATTCAAATCGTAAGCGATGTAAGCTCTTCGTACATAGACCTAAATATAAGAAATATACATTGAAATAATCATGTAAATAAAAATTAAAGAAATCATAAACAAGATATGATTTTTCTTAAATCGAAGAAAATCTCCATTTTTTTTTCAAATAAAAAAAATTAGACTTCTTTCACACTCGTTATATTTGTTTAGGTATATATATATATATGTATTGTATGTATATATATATATCAAGCATATATATTGGATAGGCTTTTTATCTGATTAAAAGCAAAATTAAATATAGCTTATATAAAATATATATATATATATATGTAACACTTCTTTTATTTGTTTGTGTTTTTGCTCGCACCTCTAAAGCAGCCATTCGAACCAATTTGTTAGTATGATAGAAGAAATCAGGTAATACGTCGTATATCGATGTTTCGGACAAAATTAATTTCTGTTGAAGCAACATAAATATAAAATTTTCAATCAATAATTACCTCGAATGCCGCTCGACGAACGGCCAAATTCGAATAGAAGAAGAAATCGTGAAGAACGTCGAATATAAGCGTTTCGGTTTTGATTAATTGCTACAGTAATTCATGATATTTTTGATTGTTTTACTTATAAAATATAAAAATGATATTGTTGTTGGTATATGATGATTTTATGGATAAAGGGATAGATCAAAAAGGGTATAAAAGGATAACTTACCTTCAAGTTATCAGGGCTGATGTCGTGTCCGTAGGTATCGATTGCTTTTAGGAAGATATTCTCTACTTGGTTATGTCTTAATTCGTAAGCTGGTTGGTGAGCTGCTATCAAAATTTGACGAGCTTTTAGGGCTACTTTGCTATTTTCCACCTTGTTAAGCATTGTTAATTCGGTAAGAAGTTTTTGCATATCCTCGGTTAATCCAAAATCACGCTCACCGCCGAATAGCTGATCTAACAATGTAATAATAAGCGTATTCTTTTCGGCAACGTGAGCATGCGACAAAATAACACTTGAAACGGCTGCCATATCCTTTTTGTGCGTATCTCTTATGTGAGCAACGCACTTATCATAATGAAAATGTTGAAATTGCTTTTCAACATCTACATATTTCTTAATTAATTCGGCAACAACGTTCCTCATATGACCACGAGTTCCGTGCAAGTATCTTTGGGTCAGTTGAACAATTCCCTGAACTGTCATAAAATATACGTCTCTTTCGGTTTTTCTTTGAATAGAAGCGGCATAAGAATCGATATATTTCGAGATTGAATGACTAGGAAATTGACATAGGATCGACGTTATATTCGAGGCGTATGAAGCCATTGATTGTTTTATTTCCCTTTCAACTTCCGGTGGAATACGACCAGAAACTGCTGAAACTAATTCTTGAAGTTCCAGGAGTGGTAGCGCCGGATCATTCAAGCATTTCATTAAAGTTTCGACTGTTGTTCTTACTCGATTCTTGAAATGTTCTTCTCCTTCGCAATACCCATCCAATATGTTAATCAACGTTTGCTTACATCTCTGAAAGATTTGATGAAGTTTATCTCCATGAGCATTACCATTATGAGTTGTTTCGGGCAATTTACCCTGGTAAGGGATAGCCTTTTGAACTCTTGAAGGATCGTCGAGTTCCAAGCGAGCAACGAGGTCGCCAGCTTCAAGAATTGCTCCAGATCTTTTAATATGATTAATTACTCCGCTCTCGTTAACTCTTAATTCCATAATCATCTTCATGACCTCTATTTCGGCATAAACCGAACCAGCCGCTATATGAGCGCCGTCCTCAACCAAGAAATTAATTAATTTTCCAGTGGATGGAGCGCGTAGAGCAGCCGGATCGTTTTCTTTCTCTAGATTACAGGTTTTATTTCCGATAACAACCCTATAACCACCAACTTCCTCTTTCATATATGTTGTGTGAGAGTCACCATCTAAAGATATTAACAATCCACCGTCGGATAGACGATGAGCGTCAACCTCAATAAACGAATCATTCATGCGGATAAGAAAGCTTGTTGGACCTAATTTTGATACGACTGCTCTATACTTTATGCCTTCGTGTATTAATTCAACTTCGCACGAATTTTTCAAAGAATTTGCAGGTAGAATCTGGCCTCGTTCAAGTGTTGATTGAAAATTTTGCAAATTCTCAAGTATCGTTTGCTCTGCAACGTGTAATCCACCGCAAAGTACACCCAAAAGTGGGTCGGGTTTTTCAGATTGAATTTTCTCGGCAATCAACTTGTCAAGCCATGCAGTATCAATAGAATTTCTTTGGAAACATTCCGTTTCAAAGAGGGTAATCAAATATTCTACAGTTGTTCTGAAATCACCTCTAATCGATAGTTCTTTTAGGGCAATAACCATATTCTCTCTAGCGCAATTTCTGTCTTCTCCCCACGAGAAACAATGTCCGAATTGAGAATCGGCAAATTCGTGAAGGCCACCAGCTGCGGATACGCTAAAATAGCCCCAAACATTTTTCGAACTTCTAAAATTCAATTCCTGTACTGTTCCTGAACTAGGTTTAAATCCTTCGTCCGGATTCTCGGACGTAATTCTAGAAGCGATAACGTGGCCTCTAGGCTTTGGTTCATATGCTGGATTCTCAAAGTCGATTTTACTATCTCCCATGGGATCTTCTCCGTACATAGTTCTAATAGTCTTAATTCTCCACAATGGTATACCCATACCAACTTCCAGCATAGCAGATGGTAAGTTAACATCACATACCATCTCAGTACAAGGATGTTCTACTTGAAGTCTTGGATTCAATTCCAAAAAGTGAAAAGATTCATCTGTAGGATTATACAAATATTCAACAGTTCCTGCCGACTGATAGCCTACCAATTTGGCCAGCGTAACGGCAGCTTTCTCCATTTTTGTTCTAATATGTTCGGGTGCTATCGTTATGGGGGCTTCCTCAATAATTTTCTGATGTCTTCTTTGGATAGAGCAATCTCTTCCGAACAAGGATACGGCGTTTCCGTATTTATCGGCCAAAACTTGAACTTCCAAATGTCGTGAACCCTTTGCCAGTTGCATAATGAATATAGGGGATCCAGGTACTTCGGTTTGAACTTGTCGGAAAGCATTAGGGAAATCATCTTCATGATTAACTTTTCTAATTCCTTTGCCGCCACCTCCTTCGGAGGCTTTTATCATTACAGGGAAGCCTATTTCCTTGGCAGATTTTAGGCCTTCCGATACGTTAGCTACGCAACCTTGAGTGTAGATGTCTTGAGGGACCGTGACAACTTCACCTTTGGCTATCTGATCAAGGTCATATTCTATTTTTAAATGACTACCGTTCCACGGCAGAGTTGGAACACCGCAGCTTTGAGCGACAATAGAGCTCGCTATCTTATCACCTAGAGCCCACATAGCATGTTCAGGTGGACCGATAAATATAATATTGTTACGATGTAAAGATTCAGGTAGTCTTGGAAACTCGGAAGCATGACCCCAACCTGCCCAAACGCCTTGAACTTTTGTCCTCTTAGCGATATCAAGGATAAGATCAACATTTGCGTAGTTATTGTTATTAGTACCGCCAGGAACGGGGATATATTGATCGGCTAAACGAATATATTCAGCATTTGCCTTTAAATCTTCAGGTGTTACCATAACCACAAATTTAACGGCCCGTTCATTGCGAAATATCTCGTAGGACCATCGTCTGATCGATCTAATACACTTAACGGCAGCAATACCGTTATTAGCAATTAGGATTTTTGATATAACCCTAGTACCACCGAATCGTTTGACATATTCCTCGGGCGTAGCGACGATAGCTTCCTTTTTCGCTTTTGCGATGGTGGAAAAATTAAACTGTGGACCAGACATTGACCTGTAAAACGATATATCTTTTAAAAATACGCTTAATTTAATGCATATGTTGCATGTAATTATTAAGTAAGGGTTGTGAAAAGCACTATTGAAATTGATAAGTTTAAACAAAAAGAAACAAGCATATGTTAAAAGTTTGGTAAAGAATGGCGGTAAAAAAAAAACAAGATAGGATGGACAATGATAAACTGAAGAGGGCTAGGCGGTAGGAGTAGCAATTTTTTTTTGAAAAAGCAGCAAAATATTAGCAAAAAAAAAGTTTTAAAAAACGATAAACAACAATAACAACAGAAACAAACAAACAAACAAACAAACAATAAAGCATTGTGATATTAGCAGCATATGCTATAAAAAATTAATAATTTTTTTGTAGGAAGAGTGGGAGATAGGGGCAAAGGGTGATCCTATGCACAGACTGGCCTAATTGATAACAGGTAAATTAGTAATAACAATGAAAACAATAGTTAACAATATCTATAATTATCAACAACAAAAAAAATTAAAATATTAAAGCAGACAAGCTGTTTCACAGCGGAAGTAATAATCAAAAAAAAACACAACTCTTCTCTTTCTCTCTTTCTCTAACTATCTAACTAATTTTATCAATCCAAACTAAATTAAAATAAAGCAGGAAGATAAAGTTGAAAAAAAAAAAAATTTTGTATTTCATATTTTTTTTAAAAAAAAAAATAATTAAAATATTAATTTTTTTATTATTATTATTATTATTTGACATTATTTTAGTTTAGTTTAGAATGTTATTTTTGTGGGGTTTGTTTTTTATAATCTTTTAAAGGCACATAAACAGCTTATAATTTTTTTCTAACCTCATATGCTTATTCAAGCTGGAATGACCAATAATAAAAGAATTAAAATTACATTAAATATATACAAATAATTACTTAAATAAAGCTATAAGTTTATATCTTATATATATATATATATATACATATATATATTTAACGGTGTAAATGATTAACGCCAAATGTAGTTTTTAGACTACTAATGGAAAAGTTTTCTTACTTCTTTCTCTTTTGTTAATGTAAAAGAAAAAGAATGGAAGAAAGCGTAACACTTCGTAAATATTCTTTATATTTATTTATATTATTTACCTGGCGTAAATTTTCGAAACATCCTTTTTAATGTTTGAAGGTGATTTAGGCATTTGGTCTTCGGCTTCCGGTGAAGAGTCGTCGGCAATAACGAATTTTACGTCTTTTCTTTTACCATTCATATTCTTAGCCATTTCACTGTCTGCTTTTGAATGAAAATCTTAAAATGTTTTTCTTATAAAACAATTTAATAAAATAAGTTATCCCTTTAATTTATAATGGACACGCGATGGTAATCAGCTGATCAAACTCTGACCTGACACTTATAGATAAATAGGCCTAAGATATATTCGTTTTGGGTTAAAAACGTGCTAAAACATTTCAGACGTAATTACATAGGAAAAATGATGAGAATACGCCACAATCAGCGAAATTTGTCTAAATATTGATAAATGAAAATTTTAAGACGCAAAAAACAAAATTAGATCGAATTGATCTAAATCGAAATATTGAAAAATTATCACCGTTTTTTGATGAATTAAGATCCGTAATTTTCCGCAAATTATTCCCAAAAGTAATCAGATAAAAGAAAGTTATGATATGTTTGAAACAATCATAAAACTTTTTCACACGTGCACCGATCTCTAGGAGGGTGTTTACAAAATCACCCTTTAAGAGAGGCTTTGTAGAATAATTATTCATATATAGTGACTAGAATCATCTGACAGCCTACGAGAGTGAAACAATACATACCCATATTGATTAGAGACCATGTACTAACGCATTCGATGCAATACCTCTAACACGCGGTTACTTAAATGGACCGCCACGGTATTTCTATGCAAATTTTCCCGGTGGCGTGATAACCTACGTTACTAAATGCGCATGCGCATCACTACATGAGTACACACATGCCTTCGTAAAAAAGCATTTTCATCTTGTTTTAAATGATGTTACATTTTCTATGTATAACATAAAATTAATGAGAATTTTTATTCTTCAATTAGCGATATAATTTTTACAGATTTAAATTTTTAGTCAAAAGAATTATTTCATGCAATAAATTAGTCATGAAAAGGTCTATAGCTATTAATTACCGAAATTATTTCTTTTTTAGCCATAACAAAATAAAATAGCATTGCCTTTGCTTGCATTTTTCTACAGTCAGGCGAAAGTTTCCCTAGATTGGCCGCCATATTGCTCTAACGATTTCGAGGTTTGTGCCTCTTTTTCGGTGCTACTTTCTGTTTTGGGATATTTTGGCGCGTTTATTATTAATTGAATATGTTTCAATAATCATAGATATGGAACAAAAATCAGCACCCGAATCAATAATACTCGAGTCCGAATTGGAATCCCCTTGTGTTACAATGATGCAGCCGTTGCAATCAGGCACTGGTAATATTTTAGTTATATGTTATAGATCAGTCAGTCAATAATTAATTTTTTAAGTTATTCGTTTCTATTCTTAAACTATTAGTATATTTAACCACTTAAATCCTTCAATGAAAATCCTTGCAGAAAACGTCCAAATCCAACCAGTAATGCCGGTTATTAACGTTGAAGATCTAAAGACTGAGAATGCTTCGAGCGAGGAACTGCAAATAGTTACCTTCAATTCTGATGGCAAAGTCACAGCTGTAACGTTAGACGCAGTTGATGGGGTTGAAGTAATCAATGGTCATCAATTTTTAATTCTAAAAGATAGCGTTACAAACGAAAACGGTTGGCTTTTAAAATTGTTATTGTAAATACTAGTAAATTATCAATTCCATTGTTTTTCCTTCGTAAAAGGTGAGAATGAAGAGGCTTTTAGTATTGAGAAATACCTAACCTTTCCCGAACAACCAAAACCGCTACCTCCTGGTACTCCTGCTTGGGCGGCGAAATTAAGAGATTGCGAAAAAGTTGGAACTAGTTATAGAGGTTGGGTTCGGACAGAAGCTGAACTCGATATAGTAAAATTATAGATTCCATTGCTTTTTATCTATAATAACGTTTTCAATAACATTTCAGGTTTTGACAATGCATAAACAAACAACAATGTCCGTTTGGGGTACGAGACAGTCCTCTTGCCCTGGAAAAAATGCCACTCGCCTTATGTGGAAAAGTCAATATGTTCCCTTCGATGGCATTCCATTCGTAAATACTGGCTCTAGGGCAGTGGTCCAAGAATGCCAACATGGCCCAAGAAGGAGAGGAGCTGTCAGAAGAAGCGGTACCGATTCTAAAACAAAAAATGAAGATTTCAAGGCTACTTGCCCAGCCAGAATTTATATAAAAAAAGTCAAAAAGTTTCCTACTTTCCGCGTGAATATTTGCGATGATCGTAAAGCTTTAAAGGAGGAAATGGATAAAAGTTTCAGAGAATTAAAGCAAGCATTACAAGATAACCGGGTTAGCGGAGAAGAAAGGCACTACGTTCATCTACCCGCAGAGGAAGCTCACGAATTTCATTCGCTCAACAATTCATCAAAATCGATCAGATCGACTTTTTCAGACATCTCTGCTAATGACCAATCAGAGATGGATTTGCTTAATAGAGAAAATACGGATATGGGAGATGCTGACAGCGAAACAGATACAATAATAAAACCTTTAAAAGGTCGTTTACATCCGTTAATTCGGAAGAAGATAAGAGAGTACGTTGCCAGCGGACAGACGCAATTATATGAAATTAGATCTCGTCTACGTATTTACGCCGAAAGAAATTTAAAACTATTATCTGCCTCTCCCCGTGTGGAAAAACACGATTTAAGCATTTTTCCAACAGTGCATGATTTGCAAAATCAAATTCAAATGGCCATAGAGGACGCTGAAAAGGGATCGCTAAAATTAGCAGATAATGTTAGTCATATGTACACACATCTATCTTTTTTTTTTGATAAGATTATTAAACATCTCTTAACAGCCTTTTTTTTATTCTCCTTGTCTTTCTAGGTTACAGTCGAGGCCTTGAGGAATAGTAAAAGTCTATCACATCAGAAGCTAAGTAAGCATTCTAAGCAGAAGCCTAGAACTTTTTATGTAACTTTTAGTAAAAATGAGGAAAAACCCCTAGGTAACAATAAATATTTGAAATCTTTTATTGGAGAAAAGACTATTATTAATATGATTTATTCATGCTTTATTTTCAGCCGATGAATCACATTCCATAACAAAAGTTGAAATGCGCTATCCTACTGGCACAACAAAGAGCGTTTCAAAAGAAGAATTAGCTCAAATCATGTTCAAATCCTTACCAAAAGAAATTTTTGTTGCAAATGTTTCAAACGATTTATCCGTTGAAGGGAATTCTTTGGAAAGTGACGATCATCTTCAAACAAATACATTAATGACAGAATTACCAGATCATTCATTAGAATTTGATAATTCTCAAGAAAATCCCCTGTTATACCCAGTCACTAAACACGAAGATTCCAAAACCGATTCGTCGTTGGAGTTTGTTGATCTCGAAAATAAGATTTAAAAATACACGCTACTTTTTGCTCTATACTTAACTGTTGTTTTTTTTTTTTTGTTGTTATTTCGCCTATAATCACGTAAATAAATGTGTTTTAGTCGAAACTTTTCCTGTTTCAAGCTAGTAAAATTTCAAGTTGGTTGTTATTGCACGGTTACATTGAATTTTTATATATTATACTAATATACAGTATAGACAGTATAAACAGTATATGCTATCTTACTTATTTCTCTTTGCCGTATTAATGAACATTATAATACTTGTTGATTTAAGGAATAGTTTTCTTTTTATGATAAATTTTATGAATTAAAGTTTATGCATAAATTATTCAAATAAAGTTAATGAAAGTCTTTTCAAAAAGGAATTATTTAGGCAAAAGTTAAAGCAAACTTTTTAGCTGGATCATTCGAGTTTTGTTTAATGAGCTGTTTCTTCCAGTCTAAATACTGATCAAATATTAGACAATATCTGTTTTTAATTGAGGATTGAACATGAGATTTTCTTAGAAATTTTGTAACTGGAACAGCTGGTCTCGTTGCTACATCTAGTAGATTAAATATCGGAAAATTTCTATAAATGAAAGGTGGTGTGTTATAAATATTGATTTTAAAATTTTAGATATTTATTACGTTTCGTCCATATTAATCGCCGCGGCTCTGATAATATTGTTTTCCGTAATCAATTCATTAACTTGAGTTTTACCATCATTTCCCAAAACAACAGCGTTTAATATATCAACAGTCTGATTCCTATTTACTCCTAATTGCGTGCACATATTTATAAGCGAATAGATGAAAACTTCCATTATCTTCTCCGAACTTTTTATCACTCCAACTAATTGATTCGTTAAGAGAATTAATTGTATTTTTTTCAATAATAAATACTAGATTTGTTCTCTTACCTTCTCCAGCCGGCGTTGGACAAGTTTGAGTTAGCATTCTCATATTACTAAATGATCCTAGAACATCTTTAGCTACATTCCAATCGCTAATATCTTCAGTGTGATTGTGAAATTCGTAAATTGGATGTATAATAAGGTCGTGATTTAGGATTGTTTGGACTTTTTTTGCAGGCGTTGCAGAAACTAAACTATAAATATAACAATGAGGAGATATTTTATTTCTTATTGATTCAGCGACCAGGGGCAATTGATTAGGAAGAATGCACAAAAAGATTAGGTGAGATGAGCTGGCTACTTCTTCGCATTGATCTGTGCAATAGACACCTCTCTTTTCTAAATCACCTATAATTATAAGAGAGAGAAAGAAACAATATATTTTGTTTTCGTACTGTTTTACTAGTAAACATCATTTACTTAATGTTTCTGGTCGTCTTGTTGCTATTTTTAGTTCTGCAGGACTTACTTCACCAAAACTTAATAAACAACTGGCTAGTTGACTTCCTATTCGACCACAACCTATTATTCCAATTTTTAACGCATTTAAAAACTTTGAATCGTTCAGAATTTTTAGGCTAGCTCGTCTCTTCTCTTGTTTCATAAACGATACAATATGCCTGTAAAATTAGTAAGATTGTTTTTCTTCATTTAGTTGAATTGTAACAATAATAACCTAGCCTCGTTGAGAATTGAGACGAAATAAGTTGCCTGAGCGCATGCATATACTGTTAGAGCATGAGATCGAGTTCTAATGTTCAAATATCTTTTTTCAATTTCTGACAATCCACTTTCAAATTGTAAACTCTCTAGGTTTGCTGTTATATCGAGAGATGTATCGTCATCTACATCAGTTTCCAAAGGTAACGCAAGAGCCATTTTGTTTCCAAGTAAACATTTTTTTCTGCTAAGGCTTTTTCAAGTCTAAAAAACTGTTTTGAACAACCAATGAGTTATAGCGCTCGATAATTATAAATATTCATAAAGCTTCTTCCACGAAAAGCGGTTGTTTTGATTTTATTGCTTTATTTGAACAATAAATATTCTAAGATACACACTGAATGAGTCATAATTTTATAAGATAAAAGCAGACAAATATCTATAAATATTTCAAAGGATCGTAGCGCTAATATTTACTTTATTATTATTAGTCACATTTCATAATAATTCAAAAGTAATTCATCAATAGCAACTAACTAAACAAAAAATATAGAAACACTTATATTAATAGGCCTAATTTGCATGCATGTAGAGAAGATATCTGCAACAATATCAGAAAAACAAAACTTTATGTATAAATTATCTATTTCGCAATTCGTTAAAACGTTACGCACGAAATTAGGAACCAGAGCAAAATTTCTCAATAATTTGCACAAATTAACTCCTTAAGATAATCTATTTCTGATTTATTAACAATCATCGACTGCTTTCATAAACAACTAGGTCAATAGTCTACATTTATTATTTGAATATTAGTAAGTAAAGGGCAGGGAAAGATGAATTTTCACATATTATCGTTAATGCCTCATTTTTTTTTGTTAGTAAGCAAATGAGCAAAGAACATTACAAATTCGTTGTAATAGGCGGTGGCATTGCAGGAGTGACTTGTGTTGAAACTGTAAGTAAGCTAATGCTCAAAGACTAAATATATTAAATTTTCTTTCTCTCTTTTTGTTGAAAAAAAACCCACGTTAAGCTCGAAACATCGAATGACGATAGAATTCTGCTTTTGACAGCGTCACCTCTAGTTAAAGTTATACAAAACTTTAAACAAATCTCAAAAGTCATAGAAGAATTCGATGTTACTGAAAAAAAAGCGTTGGAATTAGAACAAACGTGTAAAAATGTGACAGTTCATCAAGAAGTTGTCGACAATATTGATTTTGACAATAAAGTAGTATAAATTCATTTTATGATATATCAGTTGATAATATTCTATAAAAAAATTCTGATTAATATAGATTATAAGCACGAAACGTAAAAAATTTAAATATGAATATCTTTGTATTTGTACTGGAGGGAAACCTAAGGTCTGTTTACTTTAGAGAAGTTTAACATGTGATTAAATTGTTCCATATTAGTTAATAGCTGAAAATAATCCTTATGTTATTGGAATAAGGGATGTTGAAACAGTACAAGTGAGTTAAATAAACTTATCTGTAGGCACAATTTACTAATTGTAATTCTATGGTATCTATTACAGATATTTCAGAAGAAACTGAAATCAGCTAGAAAAGTACTAATCGTAGGAAATGGTGGCATAGCAACCGAACTTGCGTAATAATTTTTGTTTATTATCTACATACAGTATATACTGTATATACTAATATATATATATATTTCATTATTAATATTAACAGTTACGAATTGAAAGGTTGCGATGTAATCTGGGCCATTAAAGATTCATCCATCACTTCTACTTTTGTTGATGCTGGTGCTGCCCAATTTTTCCTTCCAACTCTACTAAATGAAAATCAACGACAGAATAAAGATGAGGAAGGCGCAACGATTTGCAAACGATTAAAATATGGTTTAGGTCTGATAAAAGCAGAATACAATATACCACGTCGCATATATTAATTTTACTTTTTCATTTTATAGAAGGAACACGTGACGCGAATGACTCAAACATCTTTGGGGGTGCTTTAGGACCGGATTGGGCTTCGGGTTTAGAGTTAATTGATAAGCAAGATAAAAAGCATGTTGTTCAAATAGAATATAGCGTTGAAATTGATAATATAATTGAAAATACTGACGACGAAAGTGAATTCAACATCAAAGTGCGCTTAACTAATGGTAAAGAATATAAAGTAGACTTTATTGTTAGCGCAACTGGCGTAGAACCTAATACTTCTTTATTTTCAACTACCGATGCTGTCAAATACGCGAGTGATGGAGGAGTCAAAGTAACAGACAAACTTGAAACTGGTGTGAAAGATGTATTCGCTGCTGGAGATGTGATTTATCCCGATTGGAAGTTTTCTGATCAATGGATCCATATGCGATTATGGACTCAAGCAAGGCAAACTGGTCATTATGCTGCAAAATGTATGTTAGCCAAATCTCAAGATGACTTTGAATCTATAAGTCTCGATTTCTGTTTTGAATGTTTTGCTCATTCAACGCGTTTCTTCGGATATAAAGTTATTCTCTTAGGTAAATTTAATGGACAAGGTCTACTGAAAAGCGAATACGAAGCATTAATAAGACTTACAAAAGGAGAGGAATACGTAAAAGTTATATTGAAAGATGGTAGAATGCAAGGAGCTATACTAGTTGGAGAAACAGATTTGGAAGAAATGTGTGAGAATCTTATTTTAAATGGCACGGACCTGTCGAGTCTAGGTGACGATTTATTAAATCCTAACATTGATATAGAAGACTATTTCGATTAGGATTTATATACAAATATATATAAATAAATAAATATATATATATAGACGGTATATATGTCGTAATAAATTTTTGTCGAATTCAATTTTTCAAAAACCTTGTAAACAATATATCATTATTAATTACTTTTTTTTACAATAATCACATATGGCCAACGAAATATGGATACCACTTATTCGAAACAAATATCAAAGAACTTGCGTATATTCTGTTAATAAAACTAAGGAACAATTCGTAGATGTCATTTATGGATCTATTAAAAATTTTGGGGATAAAGAGCATTTGTATCAGGACTATCAGCAATACGCAGATGAAGTGAAATATAAATTTGCGGTTTGTAGCGGATCAACCTTGATGAAAGACAATTGCTGTGTGAATAAAGTAGGATGCTGCAATAATGGAGAATTAACTGTGCAAATTTCGGCCTGTATACTTGTTGTAATCGTTCTCTTAGTCATATGGCTATGGATCTGTCAATTATACATATTGAAAAGACATTTGGACGACTTAATGAATAGTCAGAAGAAAACATTCCTAATAGGTCATTTACCAGTTGGTCAACGTGACTTAAGCAAACCACCTCAAAGTGAAGAAAATCTTTATTGCCTACCCGACTTACCTAAATCTAAGGCATCAAAAACTAATCCTCTCGAGAGTAGTTTACGACAAGCGAAATCACCGACAGATAATTAATAAACTAGGAAACTTACAAAAAAAAAATTCAATAAACACAAAGATTATGAAATAAAACCAATATTAAAGGAGGGGGGAAGGGGAACAAATTTATTCTGTCAAGGATGTTTATTATCTTTCAATCTTGAACAAAGTAATAAGAGAGTCTAATTAGAATTTCGGTTTGTTGATTAGAGGACGATGGTTGGCCAATAAATGAAGAAAAACAGACTGAAAAAAAGAAAGGCGAAAATCGATGGAATCTTATAAAAGCGGGTTAACGTTACCATTACAGTCCACTTTCGATTTTCCGCTTCCTCCCATACGAGTGAACGCGCTGGATCGTAAAATACTTCATCGTCTACTTCCTCTTGTTTCCTCGGGAGGCAATGTAAGAAAACTGCTTCCTTAGAAGCATTAGACATCAACTAAAAGGAAAAATATATATATATATATATAGTTTACAAATGTACTGAAAATCTTTATACAGTATATTTATATATATACTTATCAATTGTACATTAAAACATATATAAATATACAGTATATATGCATATGTAATTATGTATGCACATTATATATATACAGTATATATCTATGTGCAAGATTGTAACTATTTAAAAAGGCCTACTTTCTTCGTGACTCTATAATCGGCGAATGCCTTGAGCCTTGCTTCTTTCTCATCCTCTTGCCCCATACTTATCCACGTATCGGTTACTACTACATCCGCTCCGCTGACTGCTTCGAACGGATTGTTCGTAAAAGTTAATGTAGCTTGGTGTTTCTCAGCCAAGTTTTTTGCATCTTTGATAACGTGATCAAAGCATTCGTATCCTGACGGAGTCGCCACTCTAAATTCCATTCCAAGAGGTAAACCTCCCAAAATTAGGGAATGAATAATATTATTACCATCTCCTACCCACGCACATTTCAACCCTTTGACATAACCAAAGTGCTCTTGTAATGTTAATATATCGGCCAAGGCCTGCAAAGGATGATATGTGTCGCTTAATCCGCTTACTATTGGTCTGTCAGCAAAATTGGCCAAGTCATCCAACACTTTCTGACCGTAAACCCTTGCTAATATAACATCGGAAAAGCGTGAAAGTACTCTGTAGAAAGGAAGAAAGACTCGAGGATAAAGTCATATAGGTGAGTAGTTCTGACACTTACACGGCGCTATCGCGAATTGTCTCATTGACCCCTAAATGAATATCATCAGGACTTAGAAAGCATGCTTTTCCACCGAGAAGGGAAAAAGCTAAAAAAAATTAAAATAATCCTATTAGATAGAAAAGTGAAAGTAATATAAATTATGTGAAAGTAGACACCTGTTTCCGACGATAGCCTAGTTCTAGTACTACGTTTCTGGAAGATAAGAGAAGCTACCTTTCCCTTCAAAGGTTCGTAAATTTCTCCATTCCCTAAGCGACATTTAAGATCTTTTGCAGTCCATAGTAAAGTTTCTATTTCGTCCTTTTCATAATCTTTAAGGGTCAAGAAATCCCTTCCAATCAGAGATGATCTAAAAAATTTTTGGAAAGAAAGATGAACGAGGTATATAACACAAAAAAAACAAAAAGAATGAATTACAGATAGAAATTGTACTTACGCATTTCGTGCGTACTTGGAAATCGATTGTACTTGTGCCCTCAACGTGTTCACAAATAATCTGGCCATGTTTCTTTTTTCTTATTTGCAATGTGTATCTAGCAAAAGTCAATTATTAAAAGAAATTTCTCCATGATTACATATCTAAAACTCTCATTTAAAACTGATAGCCTAACATGCATTCTATCAATGAAAATCCAACGCAAGTACTATTTGAACATAATTTTAATTGCAAACACTATAGTATAATATTCTTATATGTGCTAGTTGTAGGTTTTTTTCTAACTAGGTTATACAATTTCTCAATATAGAAAATTTTGTATTCTTCCATAGTGGTTTACTTCCTTTTTCACAATTAAACAGTCTTTCGAGAAAACCTTTAATAATAGGCGGAAATGGAAAATAAGTTAATTACAAAGTATTTCAAGGAAGCGCGAATAATCCGTTCTGGAGTAGCAAAGATAATGCCTTTAAAGATATAGGCCATGGACACTGTATTCAAGCTTTCGCACATGCGCACTTTGTAAATTTTCTGCGAAGTCAAACCTCTTACTTTAGAGTATTTGCACGTCCACGTCACGTGACAAACACATGTTGCTGACTTTTCAAGGGTTTATTCTTTTCCTAGTGCTCATAGTCTTTTGCTTCCGGCGGATCCATATCCATTCCTATTATTCTTGTTGAAAGATTGTTAGGCCTACTACTACTGTTGCTACTTAAGCTATGTTGCATATTGTCAGCTCGTGTAATACAATACATACAATGTATTGAAAAAAAATAGACGAACGTATACAACGTCAATTTTTGTGCAGGATTGAAAAACGTTCAAAGATTAGGTGAGAAAAGTTTGCCTCAAGTCTTTCATCCAGCAGTATATAAGGCTGTCTCGTGGAACGTCAATTGTACAAATGCAACGCTTCGGAAGCAAAAAAGAGCAGGATTTGGTTTTGGCCAAGTGGTAGGAAAAAGAAAATCTTATTAAAAAAATGAAGCTGCACAGCACAACTACGTATTTCCCTCTTCTTCTTCTTCTTCTTCTTCGGCTAAATCGTCATTTTCTATATCATCTTGCTCGTCAACCGAGAGATGCCGTAAACTTGTCAAGGCCGAGTCGAGATCAGAATAGCAAACAGCTCCTCTTCGCTGAGCTCGTCTTGTTAAATCTTTTATGGTAGCCCTCGATAAATCCGGTAGGGAATCGTACAAACCTTCTTCTTGACATTTTTCTGCCAAGGTTGTCGAAGCCGTATCAGCGCTCAATGATCTAGATAACATATGACGCGGTCGAGGACTCTCAGGAGATTTAGGTGAAGGCGATGTTCCCTGATCAGGAGACGTTTGACCAAGACTGAAACGTCTTTTAGATTCAATTGTTTCGTAAAGAGGTTGACAATCTTCCTCCTCTATACATCTAGGAAATAGCGTTAATGTAATTTCCTTACACGATGACCGCCTCCTCTCCGACCTAACAGTAGTACATTGGGGAAGGGCTAGCGCTAGCTTATTCCTAGCAATTTGCAAGTGTGTCTTTTCTTCTGCCTGTTCATCAAATAGATCCATTGAATTCCGACGCTGTTCCGCTGCAACGCCGAAAAAGGCATGAAGCGATCTGGGATCGGGAGGCAGCCGATAGTTCCAGCCCAAACCACTGTCCCTTGAAGCGTTGCTATCGCAGGAACCTTCTCTAGACCGATACCAACTTGAATCATATGATCCTTCTCGCGATCGATACCAGGTGCTAATACTATCAAAAGAATTTTCTCGCGACCTGGTACTAAACGTTCCTCCAGAGTCAACTGAATCTTGACGGCACCGAGTTATATTGGCGGGAAACATATCCATCGCTTCAGCTCCGCAATTCGGCGGAGAGACGGTTACTGCCGGCAGTACGCTATCTCCAAGCCAAGAAAAGTCGAATGCAGGGGCAGGGCTTGCTGAACGAGGCGATCCCAATGGGGATACAATTGGTGATTGGCATGGTGATTTTGGAGGACAAAGGTTATCGTCACTGTCATCTGAGTCAATCATTTGTCTTCTTTTTCTGAATGGCCTTGGAGACGACGATGGGCTTGGGCTCGGGGAAGTTGGTGAGGGAAGGCCCAATTGACGATTCATTATTCCCTCTTCTCTCTTTACAAATAAGCGGCGGGTAAAAATGCAGAACGCTAGCTAAGAATATTGATTACGGATTTTGCTGATTGCTACAAACAGCTCGGTGCATACAAGTTCTTTAAAATTCAATCAGTTTAAACGACGTAAGAATCTAACTCGTAAAATTGTTTTTGCTTGAAGCTCATTATATGGCATTAGCGGTTAGAAACAAGAAACGCTTTTTCAAGGTCGCCTATCCCTTCTTCCATCTCATGTTCTCCTTATATCTATAGACACATCTAAACGCAGTGCGCGTTCTATATCGATCACCGACGATGCCTACCACTATGCAAAATGTTCTCATTGAAAAGTATGTCAGTAAACCCTCCGGGAGTGAAACTTTCGATTTTTTCTCTTTTTCCTATTAAACGTCATTTCTTATATACTTATATAAAATAAACTACTTGTACTATACTATTGTAACATGAATTGCATTATTTAATCAACCGGTTGAATCGCAGAAAATTAATATATTGAACAACTTACCTCTTCTACGTCTCTGTGCTGCACCTGCTGCTGTCGACGCCCGTACTGGTTGGACGCAGCGCTGACGCTGCAACGTTACTCAGAACCACGTGACAGCGGTCGACGACATTCATAAAAGTACCCCGTGATTTTTGCTAGTGCTACATATCTAGGCGTGTGCTTTTAGTTTGTCGTCTAGAGATGAGGTTTAACAAGGTCATAAAACAAAAAAAACCAGCAAATAAGTTTACAAGAGATTGGACGTCTCAGTAATAAGGTGACGGTCATGTCAAGTTCTGGCATTCATAAATCACAAATGCCAAACTCACTTTACTATACAATAAGGCTAGCGTCAGTTTTGCCTCATTACCCATTTCTCCATCCTCAGCAACGCTAGTGCTCTTTTATATTTAATAAGCGGATGTCAGTTTACAATATATGAAATACAGAAGGAAACGTTATTAAACTGTATTACAACCTTAGATGCTAGTTTCTAATGACATTATCTTGTTACAAGGGGTGTGTTAATGTCGCTATTATCTGTTGTAGTTTATTGAATCAAATGAAAAACATATTCAAATATCATTCTTGCTTATGATAAAATTGAGATAAATTAGAAATTAGGTTCCTTAATAGTTATTTACTTTCTGCCTTCTTCTTTCTTTTCCTATTTTCAGCCATATTATTTTCTCTCTAAAAGAAAGCAAGATAAATTTATTAAGTCAAATAACTTTTCAATGTTAACCTCTTTAACAAGACATCGCCATAATTTTGAGTCTATTTCACTGCACTTTCCGAGAAATTTTTTTACTGGATAGTCACTATGGCACTGATGAAGTTGACGTATTATGGCATTACATTCCTCTGAATGTAAATGAGGAGAGAGGTCAGGGTGCATGACAATTCCTTAAAGACTCGAAAAAGCTGAGACCTTCCCTATTATCGTTCGAAGACGACGGCTTATAAATATGCTCGAATGTGGTTCCTCTTTTCCCGCCAGTAGACGTCCTTGACTTTAATCACTACGCATGCGTTTACGATTTTGGCGGCTGCCAATTTTACTGCAAGACTATTTCAGAGTCGGTAAAATTAATAATGCCTCGAGCACAACGTAAACGAAAAATGTCTGGTGAAACAGATAGTTCGCCAAAAACAAAGGCAGAGAAAAAGCCTATAAAGAGGCAACGTAAGCGAAATATTTCAGATTCAGATGAGGACGAGGGTTTGTTGATTTCTTCACTCTCTCAGTCAAATGATTCTCAATTATCTAATTAATAGAAAAACAACCAGATGATAGCAGGTCACCAGTAAAATACGAAAATAGCGATGTTGAAAATGAAACGAAAAAGAAACCAAAACCAAAAACTCAGAGAAAGAAGAGTAAGAAAAATTCCTTTAAAGCCATTAACTATTTAAAAGCTATGTATTGACCCTAGAAACGAAAGAAGCTTTAACTGATGATAGTAACCCTCCCAAGAAAACAAAATCAAGAGGCAGTAAAAAAAAGTCTGTTGAGGAAACTATAGAGGCTAATGAACAACTGCTGGAAATGGCTAAAGAAAATGAAAAAGAACCACCCGGTGAAAAATACATTGGCGGACATAATTCAATTAACGGTAAATAGGACGGTTGTGAATAATTTATATTTAACTCTATTCCTTCCATCCCCAATAGGTGGGTTATATAAAGCGGCATTAGAATCGGCTTCAATCAAAGGAAGAGCATTTGGATTGTTTCTTAAATCAAATAGACAATGGGCGGCAAAAGCACTCTCAGACGACGATGTTGACAATTTTCAACGTGCCTGCAAAGTTGAGATAATTATAGCTAAAATAATATTATTTAATTTATCTCATTAATCTCCCTCTCTAGAAATTAAATTATTCACTTGATAAAATATTACCTCATGGTACATATTTAATGAACTGTGCTTCAACGGATTCGGGTATGTTTCTCTTTATCAGCTTTTTTTGTCATTAATTTTTAACGATAATATATCCCATAAAGCACTTCTCATTCCATTCTACATATCAATTTAAATAGTTCTAAACTCCTATAATAAATCATATATATTTATTAACTATTAGCATATGGCATATATGTGACTTGTAAATGGTTCAACATTCTATTGATAGAACAATTGAAGAAAAGTCGTGATTGTATGCTGGAAGAGGTCAAAAGATGCCAGAGGCTGGGAATAAAATTGTATAATTTTCATCCCGGATCTACGTGCGGAAAGGGAAAAGTTGAAGAAGGTCTGCAAACAATCGCCGATAGTATTAATATGGTTCTTAAAGAAACAAAAGATGTCATTATACGTAATATATCGTGGAACACTCAATACTTTCTTCTAATTATTTTAACCTTCAGTCTTGGAAAATATGAGCTGTCAAGGAAACACAATCGGTGGAAAATTCTCAGAACTATCTAGTATTATTGATAAAGTTGATGATAAATCAAGAATCGGAGTTTGTCTAGATACGTGTCATGCTTTTGCTGCTGGTAAAAATAGTGAAATAAGAAAATCCATTATATAACTTTATATATTTATTCTGTCAGGTTTTGATATTAGAACAGAAGAGAGTTATGAGGCAATGATGTCTGAATTTGATGAAACAATAGGATTAAAGTATTTAAAAGCTATTCACTTAAATGATTCCAAGGGTATATATATATTTTGAGTGTTTCCGGTGTATTTTTATATTATTAATTTCTACTAGGCAAACTCGGATGTCACGCAGATCGACATGAGAACATTGGAAAAGGTGAAATAGGACTGGATGGATTTAAACTTGTAATGAATGATTCTCGTTTGAACAATATGCCAATGATACTAGAAACACCCTTCATTGAGAATGTATCTAATTATGAAGAGGAAATAGAAACCTTGTACGGCCTTGTGAAATAAAAACTTGGTGACGTCAAGGCTAATAATAAGCAATGATACATTAGGTAAAAAAGCCTTTTCTGTTCGATGTACCTTAAAAAAGTTTCTTCTTTTAATAATAAAAGCGTTTTGTCTTGGTTGGCAAGACAAATTATTAATCTTCCCAACGAATTCAGAATGCAAACTAATCATTGGGATTTTACAATAAAATTATAGATTATTCTCAGTAAATTAACCAACAACTTATATTCAGAATCATGTTATTGATTGGCAATACCATGATTGCCTAACGTCATTTACATTTTAAGGTTTCTGCTGAAATTTAATTAGTAAATATTGCATTGAATTAACCAGAACGCGCCTAAATCTTGCTTCCGGAATCAAAGGGATTCTGGGTAATCTAAGCCTATTACTGAATGTTCCGAAAGTCATTCAAGTTTACAGTTTGAAAAGATTCTTCTACAATATAAAATATGCGTCTTATTCCAAGAAGCAGGATAACAAAAGTAAACCTTTCGTGGTATGTAATTAATCTGCATCATATGTTTCTTTTAACGCAGATGAGCGCTAATTGAGCGATAAACGGACTATTTCAGGATCGGTATCATCGGTATAGGAATCGTTTCCTTTATATATACCAGAAAACAAGTTGAGAGAAGAAGAGTTGATATTATGAAAAGTAAGAATAGAATAAGGAGAGCAAATATAGAAGAGCGCAAGGAAAACTAATGTCGAAGTATGAACTGTCAAATTTGAAATAGAGTACTCTTTACATTCATTGCTAAGATTTCTGCATAATGAAATTTCTTATCTAAATAAACTAATTAATCGAATAACAAATGTATGTACTCAAGATAGTATATTCAAGATATTTTCTTCCTTCTGCTAAGACAAATTGTAAAACATAAGTCATCTATTTCAAATGAAATTCTTTTATTAAAAAAAGTACAAGTATTCAACTAATAATAAACTATAATCATTCTTCCGTAATAGTTTTCTTTACGAAAGCTTCAATTTCAGCGTCGTCTTTTAAGCCAACAAACGAATGGGTTTGTTCCCCATCCTTAAAGGCAATAACAGATGGAACTGCTTCAACGCCATGATCAATGGCCAATTCAGTAAAGTTATCAATATTAACTTTAGCCAGGATAACTTTTCCTGTATATTTAGCTATTTGCGATTCCAATCTTGGAGCCAATAATTTGCAAGGTCCACACCAACTGTTAAATAATACAATAATATAATATAATTTGCAAATGAAATTTATGTTATAATTACTCGGCGTAAAAATCTACAATGACGGGTAATTCATTTTTAAGAACAGTCTTTTGCCAATCCTTTTCATCTTGAATTGTCACAATGTTTTCGGAACAAAGTTTGCTGCTTGTGTGAAATTGTTTAATTGAAGTTGATCTTGCAGTCATTAATCTAAGTGTAGGAGCAGATGTAAGACATGGTTTACTAAAATTGTATATTTTGGTGGATGTAGTCCATAAGCTTCTAAGAAGACTCCTTGATGCCATGGCTGGAGAAATATTGCACAAATATTATGTAAAAAAATTATATAAAAACCAGTTAAAATACTTTTTTGCTTATATTATTATTTATGTGAATGATATTACCGTATTCTTTTCAAGGTGTTCGGGATCGACCTCCACACGTGACAAAATATCGTTTGTGATTACCGAAAAACATATTTACGATTGAGAGTAAACCGGTAGCAACTGCTTACAACGATTTTTGTGGCTGTTTTACAAATTTTTCTCTTCTATTCATTGTAAAATTAATGATTGAATTAAAATGAGTAAAAGTTGGTATATTCGCGCACATTTTGATCATTTTAGATAGATTTGACTTAGGTATGAGCAGGTTTTATTAAAAAATTACAGATCTTGTATTAAATCTAGTAAGATAAAGTGTTTAAAAGGTGTTGCTTTTAAACTAATAATGCCATCAATTATATATATATATATAAATTGTGCAATTTGATATAATAAGACTTTTATCATTGCTTATTCAATAGAAATTTTTAGGTATTACAATTTTTAATTCAAAGCTAACAATATTACCGAATTTTGTTCTAACTTCTCCAGTGTCCGCCATGTCAAAACGTGACCAGAAAGGCAAATTAAAGCTGTCCAAGACGCTTCTTCAAATGAAGGTAACACTGAAATGTCTTCTTGTGTTTGTAAGAAGACGTGCTAAAAAGTAATATATTCGTCCAAAACTTTGATATAAGATTTCACGAGATATTGCCTATATTGAAGTTAAAATGTGAGCGATAACAAAAGGTTTTTAACAGTTTATGAAACGAACTGCTGATGAAGAGAACTCGGATGACGATAATTCAAAAGCTCTAATTGACGATGAACATTGGGTTTTAGATTTACCTGATTTACTGGAAAGAAAGTACTTTTCATAAATATTTTATAAATTTTTAGGCTCTAAACTTGCTATTTCCAACAGTTCGCGGTACGTTATTAAAGACAGTATGCTTTCTTGTGATGTTTTGAGCAGCTATGGAAGAATGTCGTTTAAAGGCTTCAACCCAGAAATAGAAGTAAGTTTACAAAATAGCTAATGAATTTGAAAATGAAATCCTATATTATCAACAGCGTTTAAGAAATGAAAGTGAGACTCAGGAAGTAGAAGAACAGTACGACTCAGAAGATGTAGAATTTGCAGAGTCAATGACCTCCCTTTCATCAAATTTGAAAAAAAAGTTCGAGAAAACTAGAAGGAGAAAAAAGAAGGAAGAGACTGTGTCTAATGAGAACAGTGATAATAATACCAATTCGCCTCAAGTTGTTAAAAAGAAGAAAAAGAAGAAATTTCTTAAGCCGAAGGAATAATTGACTTTATTTGCTAGCATTGTATATCATATTTTATAGTTATAAATGAGAACGTTCTCATAGAAATATTATAAATACAACGACAGATGGCGCAAAACTGTTTGTAGGATCAGCAGGTCTAGTGTAATATAAATAATCGATGCGAACCGGACCAGATTCAGCTGCTTCAGGAAACAAAAACTGTTTCTGATCTCTGGTGCTAATTTTTGATTTTGACAATATAATGGACTTATGGATACTTTCGTGATTTCGATATTTCTAGGTACTTTCTTACTTATTCAATGCTTCACGGAAGGTATCAGAGTTATTACAATATTGCTTCCCAACAATCTTACACAATCTCTCTTTTAGGTGCTCATTGTAACATGCGTTCTTTTCGAGAAAGTGTTTTGATGATCTGCGATTCAGTGCATTGTAAGTAAAATAATAGACTGACATTTCACATATTTACACAAGCTTAACCTTGATTTTGAAAGACGGAGAATGGACGTCGTGGTCTGTTTGGTCTGCGTGCAGTGTATCCTGCGGAAGTGGAGTTCGAACTCGATCACGCAAATGTCTATCTTCGTACTGCACAGGAAAAGATCATGAAGAAGATACATGCTTTTTAATTCACTGTTCTGACGGTGAGTGGATTAGTGAAAGAATCTTTCAAGTGGAAGCAGCACATGATAAATTCCTTTAATCTAATTTAGACACAAGAAAGGCGGAGAAACCCAAAGGCGAATCGGATGATAACGACGATGATAATGAAAACAACGAAAACGACGAAGAAGACGAAAAAGGAAAAGCTACTAGAAAGGAGAGTTTACAAAGTGAAGCTGGTGATGACTCTGCTGACGATGGGGATTCTGCTGACGATAATGGCAACGATACTTCCGGAGATGATAAAAGAAAAAAGCCACCTGAGGATGACGAAGACAACGAAGAGGTAAATATATAGTATAAAAAAATTGCGTGTAGAAATAACTGTATTATTTCAAAAGGAAGACAAAGATGAAGAAGAAGAAGAAGAAGATGGCGACGACGACGAGGAAAAAAACAGAAAAAAACGAAGAAGAAAAAGAAAAAAGAGTAACAATTCAGACGATCTCAGCTCAAGCAGTTCTAGTAGTTCTAGCAGTAGCTCTGAGGAAACCTCTTCAGACTGTTCTGATTCCGAGACTTGCGAAAAAAGCTAAACTTGATTAAAAATTTTTATCGCCTTAAATTATCTGATAATTAAGGTAGCAAGCAGATCAATTAATATATGCTGAATATATTATTTTCGAAATTTGAAATCTTACCGCGAAAATGTTATCCCAAACGGTGACGGTGTCTTTTTTCGAATAATAACCAGTTTATGCATTTGTCATCAGACCAATCAGGGCTCGTTGTGACGATCTTAAAAATATACTGGTTTTAGTCGTTTTTAAATTGAATTTTCATATAGTTTCAATCTGCTTTAAGTTGAAATACTCTCTGTTTGTTATCTATTAAACTTATTTAGTTAAAATATGAGTGGTAAGGTGCTACAGCCAGCAAACTCGAACATGACAACCGAGGAAAACATGGCGAATCGTTTAAAATCTGAAAGTGGACCTTCTGGGTTATCCGACAGAGCATTGAAAGATATTGAAAGACCAGAAAGGGATGATAGGGAAGATAGGAAATGGAAGATTACTGATTTTGACCTTGGAAAAGCCTTAGGTAGAGGTAAATTCGGAACGGTTTACCTGGCTCGTGAAAAAAAAAGCAAATTTCAAATAGCTTTGAAAGTACTTTTCAAGTCCCAATTAGAAAAAGGCGGTGTAGAGCATCAACTAAGAAGGGAAATTGAAATTCAAAGCCACTTGCATCATCCAAATATTCTGCATTTATACGGTTACTTTCACGACGCTAAAAGAGTATATTTAATTTTAGAATATACAGCAAAAGGTGAATTATTTAGACATTTGAAAAATAGTGGAACTTTTAGTGACAGTCGCACAGCCCTCTACATTCATCAAATGGCCAGTGCTCTGGATTTTTGCCATGAGCGAAATGTTATTCACCGTGATATTAAACCTGAAAATATCCTATTGGATGACGATGAAAATATAAAGCTAGCAGATTTTGGATGGGCTGTTCACACGCCCTCATCAAGAAGAAGTACCGTATGTGGTACCATCGACTATTTACCGCCAGAAATGATTTTGGGAGAGTTGCACGATTGCAAGGTTGATAATTGGTCTTTAGGTGTTTTAGCATACGAATTTTTAGTGGGAAAGCCACCCTTTCACTCGGAAACTTCAACGGAGACTTTCTCCAGAATTACTAAAGTTCATTATAATTGTCCACATTCGGTGAAAGACGGTGCAAAATCGTTAATCAATGGTCTATTAAAAAAGAATCCTAAAGATAGAATGGAATTGAGAGACGTTAAAAGTCATCTTTGGATAAATGAACAAAAGGTGTTTTTTGAAGAGGAAATTTCACGAAAAAGGCGAATGAAAATGGTTATGAATAGCCAAAAGAAAAACATGACGGCTGCGGCGCCGGCCAACAACAATAAGGAAAATGTAAAGGAAGCCCCGTCTGCTCAACCGGAGAAAAGCGTCAACGATAATAAAACAGAAAAGAAGGTCGAAGCCGTTAAGACTTCATCTTCGCAAAATGTCAAGACGAAGATTTTACCGTCTACCAACTTTGGAATGCAATATAGGGTTCCGACCAAGACTTCATCGACTATAGCGGCCAAATATGCTTCCACAAAACCTTTAGAAAGTGTTTCTAGATCAGCTCCAAATATCTCAGCAGCCAAATCAAAAGTGACAGAAGGTCATCAAGTAGTGAGACCAAAGTCCGCTCCAAGCACTGAATCCTCAAGAACTATTAGCAAGAATGAAGCCATCGCTAAGGGCAGACAAATTTTAGCTAAACCCTCAACGACGGGGGTTAAAAGTCAACAATTATTAAAAGGCAATAATCGAAGAATAAGTCACGCGCCCACAACAACGAGTAGGGGAGATATTCCTAAAATGAATGAAAATAAATCCAGAAGAAATTCTGTTCCGGCAGATACTTAATTGTTCTAAAGATTCTTTCTTAATTTTTTTTTATCAATTTTTTTTTCTTTTTTCACTTTAATAGGAAACCTAGATTAGAATACAGTCTTTTCATGACGTTCTTGTAGTTCAATTAATGAACGGTAAGCTTGAATTGCATCTCCTTCATTTATTTGTAGCTATTGAGAAAAAAATAAAGGATGGTTTATTGATATCAAAGGGGAAAGTGAACGTTACTTTAATAGCTTTTACTCCTCTTCCACCTAAAGGGGAAACGACTGAATTATACTTGACAAAGCTACTTAAATTGCTGCTTTTTTGAAAGGCCAGCCAGAATTGAGCCTCACATCCATTGAATGGAGTAATAGCCATAGTATTTACGAAAAGCCGAATCTGTCAACAAAAACAAACTAGTGACTTCCTATTTCAACCTTTTATAGGGAATTAAACCCTGGAGTTAATGAGTAGGAAAAAAAAGCTCAAGCTTCAAAGTAAATGAACCATACCATAAATAGAATGGGCATAACAGCGTACCACAAAAATATTGGTAATATGGAGAATGTCATATTGGTGAGCACTAAACCGGGATTAACGACGCTCGACGTAATTCCGCTTTGCGAAAATTCTGCATTCATTGCCACGGAAACGAGATCTATCAAATACTTGGAAGAACTGTACGGTTCTTTTCTGTTAGGGATTTAGGTTCTTTTATTACCTTTTTTTTCGCCTAAACTCGCTCATCCTTAGGACATTGGAAGATGAAAGACAGAATTATTTTTTCTTGTAATATACATACCCGCGGGCGTGTTGTATATCGTCCAAATCGAAATGTCGCTTATTTGCATTACTCGAAGACGTCCAAATAATCTTTGCTCCTGTAGAGCAAGCCATTAGTTCCTTCAGTTTTCTCGCCTTTTATTGTCAGCATTGTTTGAGTGAATTAATGGAAGTTGGTGGCTTATAATTAAGGTTTTATTTAGACCAGATGGATATACACTTACCAAAACAAAATGACCAAAGACATTGGTAGCAAATGTTTCCTGGTAACCGTCACTAGTGACGTTATCGGATTGTTTCATTAAAGCTTCGCCCGTAGAGAGGATTTCAAACGCATTCCTAAACCGTCAAACTATTTATTAAAAAGAATCACTTCACAAATCCCCTTATTTTATTTTTAGGTTACTTTGATAATATATTGGAGATAAATCTTTGAAAATCGAAACCAGTTACTGGCATTATACCGGCGTTTAAATACAATAAGTCCAAGCGTCTCAATTCTCTCTTAAGAGTTTCTGCCGCTCTTAAAACTGATCCTATGTTGGACGTGTCCAGTTGAACGATGCGAACGAAAGAGTCCGGAAATTTACGTCGTAACATATCTTTCGCCTCGTTCGCTTTACGAACATTTCTGCACGCCAACCAAATTTGTATATTACGTTCATCAGTTAAAAGTCTCTCGGCCAAGGAGAAACCAATACCAGTGTTAGCCCCAGTTATAACAGCTACTCTTTCACTCATACTTGGACTGTACTCAAAATGAGCAGATTTCTATTATTTTTATCGATCGCGCGATTTATGAATAATCTATAATTAGATAAGACCGAGTTATTTTTTTTTATCATGGGAACATATTTCTTTTTTTTTTTTATTAAAAAACAAAAAAAGAAAGTTAAGAAATTCAGGTCGGTCACTTTTGGCCTAGAAGACTGTATCGTCCGAACTGTAAGCGGTCAACAACGCTGGCGACCAATAAATAAATTAATAAAACCCATTAGCCGGCTTGATTGATGTAGTATCCGATCAATTCGATCCGTAAGACGGCGTTTGCGTCTGGAGTAATTAACGGCTGTTTCGTTAGTTTTTTCCCTGTTGTCGAACTGTACAGGTTCTTTTGCGCATGACGTCACGGCAGCGCTCCTCCCTACAGAAGAACGATGGTAACGGAGGAGGTAGCCTACACTTATTGAGAAGAACTGTTCTACTGTGCGGCGATTCTTCGTCAGGTAAAACAACTCTGTGGTCGACTGGAACGAAATATGCGTCTCAGGAAAGCTTTGGTTGGTTGAATATTTAAAGTTAAAAGCGTTAAAATATTCGATAATTTAGGAATATTAGATTACTATGCATGCAATATCCACTTTTGTCAGTTCATTTCGCTACTTATATCAATAAATTGTTTATTCTGATATATCCATACATGCAGTATATTTTGTTTCTTTTACTCTTCTCTATCTATCTATCTTTCTCCCTTTCTCTTTCTTTCCCTCTTTCTTTCTTTTTTCCTCTGTTGTATGTATTCTCTCCTCATTTTTTATGTAATATGTAGACATATAAAATCGAATATATGTAATATAACGTTTTATGTATTTCATGTGTAATTTTCAAGACGAGTGCATATTTCTCTTTTAGACGCTCTTCCGGTATCGACCCTTGTGTCTTACACGCATAAAGTGAACCAACGGACGTTGGTTAAGTTAGCGCCCTTAGAAATATCGACAATAGAGAAGAAAGAAAAGGGAGACGTTGTCGATTGTGTAGACGTTGTTCTATTATGTTTCGACGTTAGTAAGAACAACTCCTTGGAAAGAATTACTTCAAAGGTAAGAATATACTGAATGAGTTCTTAATAAATAAACATAAATAGCATTTCCGATGGCACGTAAGAGAATTTTACATTTTCCCTCCACCTCATTTGCTCGTAATTCAATTTTGCATCTGAATCGTCGCCCCTACAGTGGATTAATTGGTTGAAGAATCACTATCCCGAAAAGCCGATTATATTAGTCGGTTTAAAAATGGACTTACGATCGCCTGATGCTCATCGGAATGTGAGTAATTAGCCTCTAATAAGGAGTAATGAAAAGTTTGTCATACATAATAAATTGGATTAACTAACATTTATATCCATACTTAATTCATAGATATACTTTCTCTGTATTTACTCAGAATAATTATTTATAATGAACCTGCTTACGAGTATATTGATTTCTTTACTTAGGCAATCTCAACTAGTGCTTCAATAGGAGCAACCGTTTATTCGGAGCTTTCATCTATTACGCAACCCGCTAGAGCCGCTCTAGTGCTTGAAGCCGCCGCTCTTTCGGCCTGCGGCCGTCTGCAAACCGACCACGCCATCTACCAGCAACAGATTAACGTGCCATCATCAATTAAACCAATGACTATTGAGAAAGAACGAAGAGATTCTTGTTCAACCATGTAAAACTATTTGTCAACGAAATAAACATATCTTTAACGGCAGAACATAGTTATTGCTTTCTGTTTTCTAACTATTATCTTTCATTATAAGTAAAAGTAAAAGAAAGAAAAAAGAATAAGAAAGGATTAACCAAGTTCTATTTCATTTGATCTTGGTTCGGAACGTTGACATGAACACCACTTCCTGAAATCATCTCGTATAGATTCTCTGAAGTCTGTCATTCGGGTCGAGTATATGATGACGTTGGCTGCGCAATTCATAAATACCATTAACCTTATAGTAGCTCTGTTATAACATAAACAAAAAAACAAACAATAACTCAAACAATACCAATAGAAATTCATTTAATAGTAAAATTTTTAAGTAAGGAAGAAACCTTACGTTGCGTATTTGTTGATTTTGCAGGACTTGCAGACAATGGCTACTATCAGGTAAATGGAAATTGGTAGCCAAGCTATCAGATAGAAGCCGAGGAGTATGGAAACGACTTTGAATAGGTTCAACTCCCTTTTCCAAACAGCTGAATCTGTATCTTTAACATCGGTAGCTACAAAACGTATTTGTTTCCTTGCAATGCAGTACATATTAATATAAAGGATCAATATGATAGAAAACGGAAGTAGAAAAGCCATAACAACAACTATGATACAATGATGTAAATAATAGACTCGTTCGAAATAGCAACTTTCATCATAGTCGGACGGTTTGGCAACGATTGTATGTAATAGAAAGTTGAATATTATAATGAAGCTTGACAAAGAAACAATACAAATAATAGCCCGTTTTGTAGTCAGTAGCGATTGGAAACGAAGTGGATTCCTAATTGAGATGAAACGTACGGTAGTTAATGCAACAAGTAGCCACGCCGAGAGTTTATAAGCTGTATCCTTTGAAAGAAAAGCAAAAAAAAAACAACAAATAATAATAATAAATATGTAAAATGAATAAATTAATTAATAAACTTGAGGAAAATGGAAGATAAAATTTAACCTACTTCTTTTCTACATTGTGTGTGTGTTTTTTTTTATTTTTTTTTTGTTTTTTGTTTTTTTAAAGAAAAAAATTAATAGCTCACGTAGCAGGAAATTATCAGTAGACAAACAGGCCATTTTCCTAGAACAGAGTTCACTTGTTGAAGGCCTGCATGATTAAGGTTATAGAGTGGATAAAATACTGCAGCCGTTAAATCAGAGAGGGACAAGGCAAGGTAGAACATATTTTCAGCTGTTCTAAGACGCCTATGTCTTATGATGGTTGTGGAAATCAGCGTGTTCCCGACGATGGCCGCCACCGCGATAATGCCTAAAGAGATATAGCGGTAGCAAAGAAAGGCTATATCCGTATCGTCCATACGTCCTGGCGTCTCTCGACTCGCTATTCATATTTGAGCTGAATTGAATGAAGAAACTCAACTTTAGCACTTCAACTCAAGCAATAACGTCATCTGGCGGCTGTCGGAAAGACCGCCCCAGGCGCCTTTGATGTTTAAAAGCTCACACCGATAAGCGACGGTGTTTTCATTGCACTTCATAAGCGAAGAGAGAGAGACTGAGAAAACGAAGGAGATCGTACCAAAAAATATTAAAAAATTGATTTTCAGTCCCGGATCATATTGCTGACCGACGGAAATGACTTGATTGCGGCTACGGAAGCATTGTTTTAGAACGTAGAGAAACGTAATCGAATAAGTAAACATACTGTTTGGTGGGTCGTAAGCAACTACTTCACTTAGGACTGAGTCAGCGCTGGTTGTACTAATGGATACCAACTCAACAACTCTTTATGCTTCTCATAATTATTCGGACTTTTTTCAATTTTCAGCCGTAAGATACGCGGCTGCTAGCTTCAATATTCTAGGTAACTTAATAGCGGTGACTGGAAACTTATTGGTTCTACTTCTCGTATGGAAAAGAAGATCGTTAAGACAGAACGCAACTATTATATTCATAGTTAATTTGGCTTTGTGCGATCTCATATCGTCCATCGTCTACAGGCCGTTGTTCTTGGTTGATTTACTGCTACCGTTTACGTCCGACACGTCAAAGCATTATACAAATAAAAATTACTGCAAGACGGCAAATTTCTTTCAAGCTCTCTTCTCAGCTGTTGGATTTCATACAATAGTCGCCATAAGTTTGGAACGTTTTATACTCATAGTTTACCCTTTAAAGGCAAAAAGCGCTTGTTCAATAGGAAGGGCAAAAAAAATACTTATATGCATATGGTTCGTGGCTCTTATGTGCACATTACCGATTCCCATTTATTTCGCGGAAATTCGAGTTTTAAATATGTCAAATGGCAACGTGTTGCATTATTGCTCGATATTCGGTAAACAATACAGTAAAGCGGCGAACCAATACCACATATTCTTATTTACATTCTACTTCGCTTTGCCTCTCATCCAAATATCTGTGTCGTATTGGTGTATATTTATGACATTGTTTAAAAACTCTGAGAATACTCCATCTGCTCCTTCTAGAGCTGTGCGCTTAAGGAAAAATCTTGCGAAAATGATGCTTTGGGTTGCTGTCCTATTTGCCATATGTAATGGACCCTCTTTCATTTTTTATCTCTTTTTGGCCCATGGGTACAACGTTCATAATGTTGTATTTACTTTTACGATAGTTGAGTTCTTGCCTATTATAAGTTCTGCAACAAATCCCTTTATTTATACTTTAAATTCAAAAACTTTTCGTCACGGACTTCAACTTCTCCTTTGCCGAGGACGACATAGACACCGTGATTCATCTTTAGCTCACGAAGAATGGAAAACGGATAATAATAGACGACAGACAGCTTTATAATTGGATAACTACATGCGTTTATACTTAAGATTAGCGAAAGATAGAAGAAAGAATAGGAAAGCGAATATATTTGAAAGTTTGCACCTACATATATATATATATATATATATGAGTGTCTGCTTGCGCGAGTGTTATATATATATAAGTGAAAATGAGAGAGATATAGAGAAAGCAGATGTAAATAATATCTCGAAAATAGAGTGAGGTAAAAGTATTAAAAAAGAAAGCATTTAAAGAGAAATTAGAAGTTTCAGAATGAGAAAGTTTAGAAATGCTCCGTATTGAAAATAAACTCTGTGTTTTGTTCGTTTGATGATGAATAGTCTTGACAGCATTTGTTCACTTCTTTAACCAAGCCTGACGGAGCACAGCAAAACACACCAATTTTCACTCCAGGATGATCGTGAAGGAAGCTTTGAAAGAGCTTAGGCCATTCTGGCCGTCCAAAAAAAGTTTTCTGAGATAATCCGGTTAGAGGATCCTTCGATTCTCGATCCCGACTTACGATATCTCTCGCCTGGGTAGTAAGATATTCTCTTTTATTCTTACGTCAAATAGACGGATTATTAAAAGAACAAGTGTTTACCATTCTATTATCCCAGCCCCTTGTCAAGTAAACGTGATAAGACAGAAAATCTGGAGATCCAGAATTTCTAATTTTCAGCTCAAGGTCTGAAAGAAGCTCTCGAAACCATTCAAACGAAGCTGTACTGCCGCAAATCCAAAAGAAATGAACTTTTCGTAATTTTATCGGTTTCTCGGATGATTGTTGCAATTTATGCCTACGAAGGAACGGAATATGCTTTCTTATCTCATTAAAGCTTTTAGAATATCACAACGAACCATATATGTTTCAATACCGAAGCAAAAGGTGTTATTCCGATACCAGCGCCAATCATAACGTCTACTTGGTACCTGAAAACGTCTTCTGTTGCAGTACCGAAAGGACCGTCAATAGCTAATCTAAAAAGCCGTAAATATGTGACCTTCTGGATTATTAAACGATGTCCTGTAAATCACGTACTTGGGTTTTTGTCGTCTCTCAGCTGTGCATATTTCGTAGAGTTTCTCTGTCCAATCGCCGGCTACTCTTATATGAACGCTTAAATAGTTGTCATCTGGAGCCTGTGGCGTTAAAGAATAACTTATTCTTACCTAAATCATTAATCTTAAGTAAAACTAGCACTTACGGAAGTTAAGGTGAAAGGATGCCACTCTAATTTAGATATCTCCATACATTTAAGTAAAACATATTCTCCTGGCATTGGATCTAATTTTTCTTTATGCAGTCTTATTTCAATTACTTTTGAAGGATGTTGAATGACCTATTTATTAATGTTCTGTACTGTATATTTATATTGATATATGGAATCTATTTATTATTGCATATAAACTAACGACATAAATTATAGAACTTTTAATTAAATCTACCTCGAAAATGTTGACTGGCCTAAGGCTTTTCAGAAAGCGTAAAAATCTTTCCAATAAATATAAGCAAATCGGACCAATTACCCATTTCCAGCTCTAAGGAACAAGTATAACTATACTTGCATAATTTTACTTTACTAATTCTATTACCGAAACTCCCGGGGGTTCGAACTGAGGAACTGGACAATTCTTACTATTGGCACCTCCCCATAAAAGGTTTTGACATTTCTCCGGATCATGTTGAGCAACATTACTCTGCTTTCTAACCATGCCTCTGCAATATTTTAAACGGTATTGGAATTATTTAAATAACATTTATATTTATTTATATAAGGCAAAGATTTAACGTACCCTAAGCCATGTGTAACTAAGAAAATATAAAACAAAACAAACAAGTGATGAGTAAACCAAAATGCTTCAAAGTATGATCGTCTATCAATTGATAAGGATTTAAAAATAGAAATTAACGGATGCTATTATTTAACCTAATAAGTTGGGTTGACGATGAGACAATTATGACTAATGCCATTGTCATTATGACCCCAGTTATACCAGCAACACATTTAACTAGCTCCAACATTGGATTCTATAGTTTTTTAATTGTTGGGAAAACATTATTTAATTAGATAATTAAAATATGATATATAAATTACTGTGTTAGGTGATCGAATTGGATTGATGTAAGTTTGATTTTTTGCATTTCCTAAATTCGACAATTTAGATAATAAACCCTCCTGATGGTGAGCGTCTATAAAACGCTCAAAATTAACAGTATGAGAGTAATAATGCATCGCTGAAATGATATTGATATATCCGGTTTAGCAATAAGTACAATAAACAATTACTCAATGTAAACCTGTAAATAAGCAAATTGCATAGGCGATGAACTTGTGAAAGATAATGTTGTTGTCAAGCTGTCTCCTGACATTTGTTTTGCATCGCTGTTAACATATAGTTAGAGTATTTAATATTTCAACAAACTCTATAAACTATTTACTTGACAGCTCACTCTCCAAAAGGAAATAAGATTTCTACAAACAGGTAGCAACAATAACGTACAATTAAGATTCAAGCAACTAGCTGAGGCTCTTGCAACAGCTAAATTAATCTGAAAAGTGTGTGATGTTTATTAACAAATATCTTTCATTTATTTACTAGGTGTTGTAACTTACCCCTACGATCTTACGAAGATAGAAATATTCGTCAGAAACTTGATATTTTACGAAAAATCCAATAAACATTCCAATGTTAGCTAATATCCAAAGAATCTAAATTTCGAAGAATATTTTTTTAAAAGTTCTATTAATTTTTGAATAATATTCTATCTCACTAAAATAATCCATTTAGGAGTTTCGCTTCTGAGAGAATTCAAAAACATTCTGCAGTTTACTAGTTTGAAGATTTCCTTTTTTGAAAAAAATTATCGCAAAGAACTTCTTTAAACCAGTGGGAAGTGTAATACGCCTTCAGATAATTTCACAGCACTTTTTATCGCTCAAAAGTAACAAGGTAATAAAGAAATCCAATATATTAAGTATTTATTTCAGAAATCATATAAAAGAGTAAAATTATATTTATTTTCAGTATATTACATAGGGTCGTGAATTACGAGTTGATTAGTCATTCTACACAAAAAGAAGAGACATTCAACTTTATCAAATGCTATTCAACTTTCTTGGCAATTCCCAAATCCGGAAATAGCTTCCATCCAATAGGAGATCCTTATTCATACCACGTGATAGGTTATGTAAAATGTTTGAATTTTTCAAGCCTATTTGACAAAAGTCTGTTTATTTTGACTAACAGTTGCAATCAAGAGACATCACACTATTATTTTAATTATCACTAGTCTATGAAATATTCATTCTTGTAAGAGCAATAGGATTATGTGCAATTTTTTTATTAAATAGTCTTAATTGCTTCATTTACCTCTTATATGTTATTATTTTATTAGCATAGACCGAAACGTGACAATTTTTTCAACTTTTAAGGAAATGTCGATATTTTAGGTGTTAAAAAATATAGACGCCTTTTATCTAATATCGACTTTTTTCTCATTTTAGAGTATTGAATGATAGGGTGCTTAAATATTCCATACATAAAAATTAACATTCAACTTGAATGTTGAAATTCGCATCGTATTGACCCGTATTTACCCAATAAGAATATAGATTAAAAATATTATATATTATAACTTCTAAAAGTAATAAAATTAAGAGCAAGCCTGCCGACTGTTTACGGTATTGCTAGAACGATAGCAAAAACTACAGACATAGTTTAGTAATACCATCAAGTTGTCTAAGCTCCGCGTAGTTGCTAAGGTCCATAGCAACAAGGAACGAAAGAGTTGAAGAGAAAATGTCTCAACCGACTGTACTTCAGCAGATTGAGGAAATTAAGGCAAAGATAACACTTATAGAAGGTGACCAAAAGGCTTATCTAGAGTCGTCAGAATGGACAAGAAAACAAAACAAAGAGATGATTGCCAAGAAGCGATCAGAATTGAAATCTTTGTATAAAACCATCGCTGAGCAGAAAGCAGCCGATCAAGATGTTATTAACAAGGCCTTTGTTGATCGTCCCAAAGAAAGGATGGCTTACAAAAATAAGACAGGACTGACTGCCGTTGAAAAGATGGATGAGAAAGTATCAGACAAATTGAAACAGCTTGATTCAATGAGGAACAGGACAGTAACACTTCAGAAGAAATTGGAAACGAAGAGAACAGAATATAATCAAAAAGTAAAGGATGCCAGTGATGCTGTAGCAACTGATGCCGGAGAATCCCCTGAAGCTCAGCGCCTTCGTGACTTGGAAAACCGCTTAGATAAATCAAATCTAAAGTGTAAAGAAGCTGAACATATCCGTAAAACGTACTTAGAAATTAAATCGAAATTAGAAGGCGAACATAAAGGTTTCGATAATACTATTAATAACATGGAAATGGAAATAAGAAGATGCCAAGAAGAGCTGAGGGAACTTAAAACAATGCGGGATGATGCGGAAATTGCCAAGAACGTTGCAAAGAGTGAACTGGAAAAGAAAGAGCGTAAGGTCTATGCTGATAGAAAGCAAAGAGAAATAGAATTACAGGAAATGAAGAAAATTGCGGAAGAAAAGCAAGCTTACCACGATAGAGTTGAGAGACGTATGCAACAAAGAAATTCGCTTACTGGAGATGATCAGGCTGCGCAGCAGATTAATTTGGGATCGGAGGAAGAACAACAAAAAATCACGTCCTACGAACAAGCCTTTAAAGTAATTAAGGAGGCTACCAGCGTCCATGATACACAAGAAGTTGTTAAGAGATTTGAAAATCAGGGAGAAACTCAACAACATCTAGAAGAACTTAAGAAACAAAATCAGAAAGAGATTGGACGGCTTAGAGAGAGGAAAGAAAAGTTGGATGAAGAGTTTGAAGAGAAAAAGTATACAGGCGAAAAGAAATTATCTGATGGCGAGAGAATGTTGGAAAGATACGAAGAAATATTAGAGAAGGAAGAACACCGTAGAATCCTCTCTAAGGAAAAATTGGAGAGAAGCTCTAAAACTTTAGTTGAGTCAAAGAGTGGTGTAAATCATTTATCAGAAAAACTAAAGAGCCTGAAAGCATCAAAATCAAACGTACAGAAAGCTAAAGTGTCACCACAGTCGGATGAATACGTTCTGGAGCAATTGTCTGTTTGCGAGGAAAAACTATTAAAATTACTACAAGAGTTGGAAAATGTCGATTTAGATGAAACACAAAGAAGGATGGAAGAGGAAGAATTTAATTCGCGAGAATTTGGTCTACCAAGATACAATCAACGTGTTAAATTTCCATTGGAACAATCTAAAACCATGTTCGACGAAGATGAGAACAGCGGCGAAGACGATCAGGATGCTATGACACGAGAAAAGATTAAAGAGGAGAGCGAACAAATGAGGGACTCGAAGAAGAGAAGAGGAAAGAAGAAGAAGAAATTTTAAAATTTAGACGTTTCTTTTTTCTATAAATATTCATCTTATCTTATGAAAATACAAGTATAATAAAATCTTACCAGTCGAGAAAAACTTGCATTACTTTTTATTAATCTGCTTAGTATCGACTAGGGGACCAGTCGAAATAAATAAGTGGCCGAAAGCAAACATCTGTCGGGACGTGTTCACTTGGAAAGACAGTACAAGGTATAGCAACTTTACTTATTGGTTTGTAATAACTTTTTATTAATAACTGATGTTTGGCTACATTGATTCGTATTTAAAAATCAGTGTTTTATTTAAATTTCTTGAGCGAAAATAGATATATCTCCTGGCCTATCCTAGTGCTTTACCTTTAGTAATGAAATATGCCTTTGAAACTACCTTAAACCTGTGACAATGAATTTAGTGTAACTCGCTTTCAACCCAGATTTAAGTCACACACTTTTCCTTTCCATCAATCGAAAAACATATATCTAATGAATGTATAAAACATTCTGGAACTTTTTTGAAATAATTAATTAACTTTGAACATATTATATAGATGGATTCTTATGAAAGTCAGCCTGATGCACCTGGAAGTACTCGCCTATTTATGTGGTGGGTGCTTGTTGCCCAAGTTTTTGGATTAACATCGGTTATTCTAGGTTTGTTAAATTATTTAATAGACTGTCTTTGACACGCATCATCTTTGCAGTGGCAGTTTGGATGGGTCATTATAGAGGTGGATTTGCGTGGCAGGGCGATCCAACTCATCAATTCAATTATCATCCCCTATTCATGGTAATTGGTATGATTTTCTTGTATGGTGATGGTACGTATTCACTTTAACATCAATACATTCACAATCTATGGTAATAAAATATTAAAATATAATTTGATACAGCTATACTGGTTTATCGGATTTTCCGCAATGATAGAAAGACCTTGATAAAAGTCCTCCACGCCTCTCTTCAAATTTTATCTTTCATTTTCGTAATTGTAGGATTAAAGGCTGTTTTCGATTCGCACAATCTAAAAAAAAAACCTGACCCTAATCTGTATTCTTTACACTCTTGGGTCGGTCTGATGACTATTATATTCTTCGGTTTCCAATGGGTAGCCGGCTTTGTGACGTTTCTCTGGCCTGGACTAGCTCTGAGACTAAAGAACATTTATAAACCAATTCATGTTTTCTGGGGAATTCTTATCTACGCTTTCGCACTTGCTGCCGCTATGATGGGAATAGTCGAGAAAGCTCTATTTTCCAAGTATGAGTATATTTTGTTAACAGTTTTTTTTCTTCGAAGTTTGTCTAAAAGGTTCTTCTTTCTGATTTTGACAGAGATTTAAAGTACAACAAATTCGAGTCGGAAGGAATATTGATTAATTTTCTTGGAATCTTCCTATTGGCGTTTGGAGGAATCGTCGTCTATCTTGTAACCAATCCATCTTGGAAGAGACAACAGTTTCCTGAAGAACAGCATTTAACCCTAAACGATTAACTTTTCTTCTTTGTTGTTCAAGAGTCGATGTTGTCTTTAGGACTCTTACTCTAGTCACTAATCTTTAGACGTTCTTTTGTTGTAAAGTTGTTCCTGATGATTAATTTTTGTTTTTCTACAAATTATTTTCGATAACCTATAACCCGTATAAAACCATTTTAAAATTCGCGCCATTTTGTGTATGTGTATTGTGCAATAGTATGGACTCTACCAATGTATTATAAACCTTTTAACGCCATATGTATTAACTGCCATTATATTATATCGTCCTTTTGCTGATTTCGCTGAAGCTGTTTATTAAAATATTGGCTGGAAATATGATGAAAGCTATTCAATTTACTAAAGGCGATGCTGGTAATATGTCATTAGGTGAAACTAACAAGCCGGTAGCAAAATTAGGGGAAGTATTGATAAAGGTTGTCGCTTCAGCGGTTAACAGAGCAGATACGTTACAGGTGCAAGTCTAATTTTGTCGTTTATGTAATTTATCTAACTTATTACGTAACTTAATATATATAGCGTAAAGGCTCATATAACCCGGGCCCAGGGATAAGCCCTATTCTAGGCCTTGAGGTTGCAGGGACGATTGAAGAAGTAGCTGATGACAACCAAAGCTGGAAGAAAGGAGATCGCGTTATGGCTTTGGTGTCTGGAGGCGGATATGCCGAATACATTGCAGTAAAATCGTCACATGTCCTCTCTGTTCCTCCTAACCTCGGACTGGTTGAGGCAGGTGGAGTACCCGAGGTCTGGTGCACGGCATATCAGATTTTATTAACTATTGGTAAACTCTGTGAAGGAGAAAGTGTCCTAATTCATGCTGGTACCAGCGGTGTAGGATTGGCTGCCATACAACTAGCCAAAATGACGAAAGCCAAAAATATTATCATAACATGTGGATCAAACGAAAAATGCCAGATGGGACTTAAGATGGGTGCAACCGTTGCTATCAATTACAAGGAAGCTGACTTTAAAGAGAAAACTCTTGAAATAACTAACGGAAAAGGAGTAGATGTTATTTTAGATTGCATTGGAGCATCTTATTGCGAGAAAAACGCCGAATGTTTGGCGCTCGATGCTAGATGGGTTCTATATGGACTGATGGGAGGAGCAAACATACAAGGCGATCTGTTAGCGAAGTTAATGAGAAAGAGAGCATCACTTATCGGAACATTACTTAGATCAAGGTCGGATGATTATAAAGATGACCTGATTGACAGCGTACGAAAACACGTGTTACCTGGTATCGAAAGCGGCAAGTTAAAACCGATAATCGATTCAATATTTGATTTGAAGGATGTCAGCGACGCACATCGTCGGATGGAGGCGAATTCTAATATCGGTAAGATTGTATTGAAGGTTATAAACGAATAAACTACATTTGCTGTTCAATAATCTGCTCTAGTTTTACACTATCGGCAGCAAATTTCCTGATACCTTCACTCAATTTGTCGTTTGCCATAGAATCTTCGTTCATTTCCCACCTGAATCTCTTTTCAGTCAGTTCAACGCGATCATAATCAGATTTACGTGCTAATTGAACAGACAATTGTTCTTTAACTTCTTCGGAAGAACCATCGAGTTTTTCTAGAAGAGCTGGCGATATTGTGAGTAAATCGCAGCCGGCTAAGGCTGTAATTTCTCCTGTATTACGGAACGAAGCTCCCATTACAACTGTTTTATAGCCAAATTTCTTATAGTAGTTGTAAATTTTTGTTACACTTATAACTCCTGGATCTTCATTTGGCTCATAGGATTTTTTATCTGTATGAGCTACATACCAGTCTAGAATTCTTCCAACAAATGGTGAAATAAGGGTAACACCGGCTTCCGCACAAGCCACAGCCTGAATTAAAAAATTTTGTACAATATTTTCACTACCCTGCTGTTACACAAATTAATGAGATACTAACTTGATAGAAGTTAAACAATAGCGTCATGTTGCAATGAATTCCGTATTGTTGCTCTAAAATCTTCCCAGCCTGAATTCCCTCCCAAGAGGAGGTTAGTTTGATGAGTACTCTTTCCTTACTAATTCCACATTCTTCATACATTTCGATGAAACGACGAGCTTTAGATACCATAGAATCAGTATCAAAGGAAAGGCGAGCATCGACCTCGGTTGAAACCCTTCCTGGAACAATTTTTAAAATTTCGCATCCGAATAAAACATATAGCCTATCCATTGCCAATTCCAAACGGTCTTCCGCAGATCTGTAATGAAAGAAAATGCTTTGTCATGACAATCATCATATATCGCTCGTTTTAGTCTTACTTTGCTTTCTGTTTAGCGTAAGCTATAGCTTCTGGAATCATTTTAGCGTATTGAGGCATTTTGGAAGCTGCCAAAAGAAGTGACGGATTCGTCGTTGCATCCGTCGGCTTATACTTTTTCATAGCTGAAAAGTATTGCTTTTGTCATATAAAGGTTCACTAATAGGAATCATGATTGGCAAATAAATACCTTCAAAGTCTCCCGTGTCGGCGACAACGGTTGTTAGTTGTTTCAGCTGATCCAAACTCGACGACATCTTAATCACTTTTGAAGGAGGTTCCGTCATCACGTGATCTTATAAAAAAACTAAAAAAAATTACAATTTTTTATGCTCAATATAACGCTATAAGTCTCGGTGTGAGTCCGATTTATTCACCCAACCTTGACCTCTAGTAACTTTCGTAGTAAATCTCATGGAATAGGCTGGTACTTCTATAGTCATAGTGAGAAAACTAATCGTTCAACGAGAGAGCGGATCAGGGAACCCTCTAATCCAAACTACTAGTAGCATATTTTCAAAAGTTTTATTATTTGTGCCTAGTCAACTTTAAACAACAAATTCATGTTACTATATTTTGAATTCTTTTGTCGTGGTATTTGCAAAAAACTCATTACGTCTTCAAACTCGAAGTTAGTAACATTGGGCTAGCTTAAAAAGGAATTTTGTTTAGGGTTTGTCTAGATGTTACATTATGATGTTTAATCTGTTTGTCACAGGCAATAATTTCATAAGAGTGCCTTCCAATTTAAAATATTTCTATTAATCATAATCTTTCGAATCAGTAGAGGGTAATATCTCATCCTAGGAGTTACGTAAATTAGTGAACGCTATAGTATGGTGGAAAAATACAATAGAAGAGAGCACAAGATTAATTTTTCTTCAGATGAGGAATTGTATTAATATCTTATGAAGCATCAGCAATGGTAACCTCAACTTCAACTCCGGGTTCAATTGGGATTGAAGTGATTTGTTTAACAACCTCAGAGGAGCTATGTAAATCAATGAGACGCTTGTGGATTCTCATCTGGAAGCGATCCCAGGTCTTAGAACCTTCACCGCAAGGAGTTTTTCTCGTGGTGATACGGAGAACTTTAGTGGGGAGTCTAACCGGTCCCTTAACTTTCAACTTCTTATCCTTGGCGCTCTTGATCAAATCACCGCATACTATAAGAGAATTAAAATATGTATATTTTTCAATAATTATAATATAAAATTACCTTTTTCCAAGCTTTTAACATTTTTGCTGGTCAAAGTAATACGGATACGATGGACCGGAGCCTCTTCAGTTGATGTCTTTTGTGGTTTATCCTGAAATTTTTTTTGATTAAAGTTTATGATAATGCAACGAAATTTTTAAAAAAAATAAATACATCAATTTAATATTTAATCTTTTAGGAATTGTCATACTAACCATTGTATTTCCTGGCCGACTTATTCAATCCGAAAAGCGGTGAGCCTTAGGATTCTGATGTCTCTTGGTTGCCTCGTGGAGGTAAAAGGAAGTATCTTGGGCCGGAAACAGAATAAGTCGGCATTTATTTGTTCCAAAAATTTTTGATATAAGCAACATTATTTTTCTAATAAATACGATAGAACGATATTGATATTAATTTTTTACGCCGACTTTATTTTTATACGAAAACGCGCATTCAATCAGTTTTGTCGACTTTTAAATTTTATGAACAAGCCTTCGTTTAATGTAAGAATTTTTTAAAATAATGACCAATGACTTCTTACTAAGCTTATAAGAAGTCGTAATTAAAAACTGAAGTATGAATAAACAATCGCATTAGCTAGGATTGAAATTTAGATATATAGAAAATTTAAGTTTTGTTTGGGTACTCTATTATACTTTTTTCACAAAGTTATTGTGGTATCTTTTCACGTTTTTAGTATATTACATTTCTCAGGTACTTTGCAATCCACTTTCGTGAATACTTCCCTTGCCTCTTTCCTAATCAAAATTAACTATACAATGTTATATACACAATCAATTAAATACTGATCTACTATATGACAAAGACGAAAAGTTTTTCACTTTTTTTACTATATATTTGTAAATTTCGTTACCATGCCTGCCAGTAGCAATATGTTAGTTTATTTAATAAATTCAAGCATTCTAAAAAGTAAATTATGGACACCGTACTAATGCTGGAATATTATTTTCCCGTTAACTCGATTCAGACCTTCACAACTGTAAGAAATAGTGTAATACACTGGCAAATCGGAAGTATTTTAGCATTTGTCTGTTAAAAAAAAGTAATTATAAAATCTTTTTCTTCATCATAACTTATTTGAGGCTTAATTATAATCGATCTTCTATTCCTAATAGCGAATATTGTTAAACTAGATTCTAAAACATTATTATCAAAATATGAGATTTTTATAAACTTAAAAAATTTGATTTATTGAATGTAATACAAAATTTTCAAAACATTTCTACAAGGAAAGAAACGAAGAAAATATCCTGATGGAGGTTGTGGAAAAAACTCACGCATTATTAAGTAATCATGAAGTATTAAGTCATCTTCGAGACATTCAAAATGGCACAAATGACCAAAGAAAACCTGGTAGAAATCAACAAAATCTAGCAACAGTTTGTTATTCAACAGTCAAATTTTTGGAACAAACTCCAGCCGTATCTCAGTCAGTGGAAATTATAGAAAACTTTATGCAGGTACTAAAGTAATGTAACAAGCAAGTAGAATTTCTCAATTAAACATTTCTAATCTCAATCAACAGAAAATAGAACCCTTCAACCTTACTAAAGCAGAGAAACTTCAAATTCTTAATCTTAGACCAACCACGCAAGTCGAAATTCAGCTTCTAGTCGAAGAATGCGAAGAAAGACTAAGTGAGGATGATATTGAGAAACTATTACAAATTGTTCAAACTTGCCTTACAACAAATGATCAAGAGTCCAGTTAAAGAAATTAACATACTGTATATTATAGAAAAACTTCGCTGTCGTCCTAAAATTCCCTTTTTTTTATATCAATTTTGAATTATCTCTTATCCTTTTAATATCGTCATTTTATTTTTAGCAATAGGATTTTAAGTAAATTAATAAATAATGATAGTTAGAGAGTTTTTAAAATTCGAAATTTCATATAAATCAAGATTTTAGTTTTGTAAGAAAGAAAAAATGGCAAAAAGACAAAGATCTCGCAGTAAACAACGAAATGATGGTGCAAAGCTTGAGAGAAATAAAATATATCGTTCTGCTTTTCTAAAGAATGTCGGTACACATGTTATGGTATCACTAACTGCATCAATAATTAGTCAATTGACAAGATACATTATTGAATGTTTACAGAGACGTTATCTAAAATATGACAGAGAGTTAGATACTAGATGTTTTCCCTAAAACTCTCTTTGAATCACTTGAAATTAAATAGACATTTTTTTCTAGATTGAGAAGATTTACTTCTAATTTTGCATATAAAAAAAATAGAGTAAAAACATAAAAATAAAATATCATCAATAAACTTTAGATACTAGTTTTTCTTGAAGAAATTAACATCTTGCAACTCCGGAGGTAAATAAGTCTGCTTGCTACCTTGGGGATCTTCACCGGAGAAATAAGTATATCCTTTACCGTAGCCTATATTCATATGAATGAAAATAATAAAAAGTCTTATTCAAATATTATTTTATATAATTAATTTACCAAGATCTTTCATTAGTTGCGTTGACGCATTTCGTAGATGCAACGGAACGGCTGGAAGTAAGTCATCACGCTCAGTTATAAGGAGTTGGGCTTGTTTATAAGCCATGTAACTTTCAACACTCTTTCTAGCTCTTGCTAAGTAAGTTGCGCAGTGGGCTAAATTTATCTAGAAATATAGTTGTTTTAATTAGATATAATATACTGTATTTTGTAAAATACCAAACTGAACATTCTGGAAGACCGATGGCTTGGCAAGCTTGTAGAGCGCTTACAGCCAGTGGTAGAGCATTCGCATCTGCTAAACCAACATCTTCACTTGCTATTACAACCATTCTTCGCGCTATGAACAGCGGATCTTCTCCACCTTCAAGCATTCTAGTAAGCCAATAAATTGTTGCGTTATCATCCGATCCTCTTATTGATTTTTGGAAAGCTGATATGCAGTTGTAGTGTTCCTCACCTTCCAAAAAAAAGAACAGACATTCGCAATGATAGTAAATAAAGCTTAGAAGACAAATTTTTACCGTTTCTATCATAGGTTACTTTTTTAACAGATAGATAATCCTTTACGAATTGGTCATCTATAAGATCTTTGTGTTTCTCCATTATGCATTTACTTAAACATTCCAGATTATTTAGAGCAGTTCGAGCATCGCCATCACTATAAATTGCAACTAACTTTAGAGCTTTGTCTGTTATTTGAATTTTTGATTGTTCATTATTTTCCTCCATACACTCATTTTCCAAGCGAAGGTTTAACTTTGAACATGCCTTCTTTAGCAATGATATCATGTTATCTATAGACAATGTATTTAAAGTTATCACTTTACAGCGACTTAATAATGCATTATTAAGATAAAATGATGGATTTTGGGTTGTAGCACCAACTAAGATAATAACTCCACTCTCAAAATCAGAAGCCAAAAAAGCATCCTAGAAAGATGTCGAATTATTTTCATTTATTATATTTAACGAATTATATTTTTAAACGAACTTGTTGTAGTTTGTTTAGTCTATGAATTTCATCTACAAACAATAAAGTTTTTCTCTTTGAAAATGCCCAATCATTTCTCGCTAACTTAATTACTCCCTTAATATCTGAAATGTTACAAGAGGCTGCTGAGAGTTGAGCAGTGCGACAATTGCCTGAACCTTTCGCATGATCAATCAATATACGAGACAACGTAGTCTAATCAAATAATAAATGTTTAGACAATCAAATTGTTAATATATACAACCCACGGTAACGAACCTTTCCGCAGCCTGGAGGACCCCAAAATATTATAGAAGGAATTGTCATACCCTTCAAAAGTGTTGGTATTAAAGAATTTTCTCCCAAGATATCATCCTGACCAATAATATCTGATATTTTCTTTGGTCTCAGCCTCTCAGATAAGAGAAGCAAAGAATCTTCAGCATTTTCTTTTTTATCAGTATTATTGTTCGTCTTAAAGGTTCTTGTTCTTGTATGTTCAGCTTCATATTTAATTTTCTTTTCATTTTCATTCGGCATTTTTTTGGCAAATAGTATTGCCTGTTTTTTTATAACGTTTTTCACGCCCAGGAATCCTACAGTTTGCCCTCTAGAATTGCCTTCGATTTTCGTTTTTTTCGATAGTCTCTCAATTTCTTCAATATCCGAGTCCGAATCATTTCCCCTTTTTAACGTTTCCATTCCGAATAGCCAATTAGGTAGCAAGATTTTTAAAAATCTTTCTTATGTTTATATGGATATTCCTAAAATAGGATTTATTCTTTTTATACTATTAATTATAATTAAAGAAAGTGATTTATTGCGAAATTGTACACTGACTTATTGAAATGGCTATATTTATTGTAAAAGATCACTTGAAAGTGAAGCTTTTGCAATAATTAGTTAGAGAATTTATATTTAGTTTGATATATTTTAGATGTTCAAGTAAAACTAAGCTTAAACAAGTAACTTACTTAAAAGGCAAAACACTTTCTTTATCTAAATTCACTCGTAGGGGTTCAAAAAGCGAAATATTTCCTCACCAGTTTATCTGAAGAAAGAGCGAAATTACGCGGTTTGAAGAATATCACATGTTTCATTTATAACTTGAACGATAATCTTCTGAACTATTTTCAATGGCTACAAAGACAGGCAGTTCAACAGCATCTGGTCTTGCACCTATTAAGGAGGAGTATGGTCAATTTATCTTCAAGTTTACTCACATGTTGGCATGAAATTTTATCTAGTTTCATTTCAGATACATTGACCGGAACCATGTTAAAAAGATTTCTCAGTACTTACCATCGAGCATGCGAGAAGAAATTAGCGAAGGAAATGACAAGGGAGGTCAAAAGCCTAAAAAAAAGTTAAAAGGAAGAAATAAAACTCGTCCTATCGAAAAACACTTAGAGGAGGGAAAATCCCGACTTTGTCCAAACATAATTCAGAAACGAGAATGCCAATTTGGTGAAAAGTGTAGATTTCTTCATGATCCTGCTGAATACTGGAAAACTAAGCCTGAGGATTTACCAGGGCCTTGCTATAACTTTGAAACTTTTGGGAGATGTCCATATGGTCTAACTTGTAGATTTGCAAAGCAGCATACAAATGAGGATTTAACGGAAATACAGAAAAAAGTTGAAATGAAAGTTGAGCCTAGTGAGAAAACTGTACTTTCTAAGGAATTGCAAATTACTTTAAGAAAAAAGAAATATGATTTTTCTCTTACTGACAAAGTTGTTGCACAAATCAGGAAAGAAAACACTAAAGAGATAACTTTACCCGCTAAGCGTAAGTTAAGCGAAGATGGCTGCGATGCAACAATAGTATCAAAACCACAAGTTGAGTTAGAAAATGATGATATTGCTGTGAAAATTCGAGCGTCCGAAAAGAAGAAAATAGATTTCTCGGATAAGACTTATCTTGCTCCTCTAACTACAGTGGGAAATTTACCCTTTAGGAGAGTTTGCAAAAATTATGGCGTTGATATAACTTGCGGTGAAATGGCAGTATGTACTAATCTACTTCAAGGCCAGAACTCTGAATGGGCTCTTGTAAAACGTCACGCCAGCGAAGATCTATTTGGCGTTCAAATTTGTGGTTCTTTTCCCGATGTTGTAGGTCGCTGTGCCCAATTAATAGATGAACACGTTAATTGTGATTTTATTGACTTGAACTGTGGATGCCCTATTGATTTAGTTTATAGGAGAGGAGAAGGATGTTCACTGATTGGTAGAGCTACCCGACTAGAAGCTATCACAAAAACAGTTACAAGTGTGATCAGTAAGGACTTTACGATAAAAATGAGAACGGGAATAAGTGATGGTAAAAATGTTGCTCACACACTTATACCTATGATGGAGAAAAATGGAGTTTCAGCGGTAACTATTCATGGTAGATCAAGAGAACAACGCTATACACGTTCCGCTGATTGGAACTATATTGGAGAGTGCGTCAAAAGTGCCGAGAATATGGCAGTGTTCGGAAATGGAGATATTCTCTCTTTTGAGGATGCTTTAAATTTCAAGGAAATAGCAAACACAAAGAGTCTCATGGTAGCCAGGTAAGTCTTTTATTTTAAATTGGTAAATTAATTGCTAATTTCAAAATTTCAGAGGTGCCTTGATTAAACCTTGGATATTTACTGAAATTAAAGAAAGTCGGCACTGGGATATTTCCTCTTCGGAAAGGTTTGACATGCTAAAAGATTTTACCAATTATGGACTTGCACATTGGGGTTCCGATATTAGAGGAGTAGAAACTACACGACGCTTCATGCTGGAATGGCTGTCTTTTCTATATAGATATATACCAGTTGGTTTATTAGAAGTTTTACCACAAAAAATAAATGAAAGACCACCTTATTATTTCGGAAGAAATGACCTAGAAACTTTAATGGCTAGTCCCAATAGCGGAGATTGGGTTAAAATAAGGTAAAATGCAAATATTATTTTTCAATTACAACCAATAAAATCCTTTTTATTTTATTAAGTGAAATGCTTCTGGGTCCAGTGCCAAGCAATTTCGTATTTTTACCCAAGCACAAGGCGAATGCATATCAATAATTGGTACTTGCTATTTTATGGTTTCTTTTTAATTTTGCATCTTTGTTTTTTTGCATATTTATTGTTTAAGTAATGTTGTTAAAATAAAAAAATATTTATTAACGTATTCAGATATCTGTTATACTGTAGTTTTAATATGGAGATAAAAAAAAGCTTTTATAACATTAACAAAGCGCATTTTTAATAATGGTTGATAATTATTTTTTCCGGAAGTTACTTACTAGTAATCGAACTTGAATAAAAGAAAAGGAAATTAGCTTTGGATATATGAATAAATTAATTATTGTTGTTAATACGAGTAAAGAAAGTGCCTAGGGAAATCCGGTTTTCAAATTATAGTAGATGATCCGGATCGTTGACGGAGCCTGGACTGTTTCCGCTGTAAGACGATAGACAAATAAAACTGCTATTTGTTATGGAAAAATTGATCTATTGATAAATATCAATCATACTACTGTTACCAAAATAATTATCTATTGATTAACACTTATTTCAATTAGAAACTTTGAGAAAACTAAAGCAAATTAATGATTCTATTTCTTTACTCTTTTATCGTAATGGGTTTAATTTTTGCACTAAAATATTTAACACACTAGTAATAATGTTTTGAAATAGGAAACGTTACATATTTGCCTACTTGACGAAAGTAAAAGCTAAATGTAGCATCATTTGATAAAGATTATCTTTGAATTCTATTTTTACAAAATGTTATGAGTCAAGATGAGTCAATATCAATAACTCTACGTTTGCTCTTCATTTGACCGACACAAGAACCAGTTAGATCTGATGATAATCTTTATCAAGATAATTAAGTCTTGATATTTAGGCTAGTGCTTTATTTTTTATCGTCTATTTTAAAGCCATACTGCCACGCAATAACCGAACTTATATACTCAAAAAAGAACTAACTGTACTATAAACAGCAATTACACCACGACAAACGATTGGTATGTATTTTAATTGATATTATAGACTAGACTTTGTATTTTTTATAAATATTAAAAAATCTTAACATTTAATCGAAAACGAATGATATAGCGTATTAGTCGATTTTTGGTCATTTACTACAATAGAAGATAATATTGAAAGAACATCATCTACTTGTCAATTATCATAGAAAACTCGTTTCGAAAGAAATTTTTGTAGGCGGCACTGCTAACTATACAATTTTTCCATTTACTTCTACAAAAACTCTCGAATTGCTTGTACCAGGATTCTAAATCTATATCCTTCAATGTCCAATTTCTTAATGGTCTACTATCTAGTTTTGAGGTAAAGTGATTCCTCAGCAAATCGACTATTTGTTCAGGTAAGCATATCTGTTTGCCTCTCCCATCAGCTAAGTCTTTGCCTGTCTGCGCTTTAGCCAAATTATGATATATAGTTCTCTCACCGACATCTAACGTACATTGGAAAAAGTTCTTGCAAACTCTAACTTTTCCAGTTGAGTTTTCGAGATAATATTCAAGAGTAAATAATCGACTTTTGTTCAGTTCACCACTTTTTGTTAAGGCTGATTTTTTCTTCTTCACTTTTATTATATGATCGACTAGATATTTACGCTGCTGCTCAAAGTTTTTCATCCAATAATCACTAAATATTTTACCTCTATCCATCTCTGTTAATTTCTCTCGACATTTAAAATTACATTTACACGTAGCTAATTTTAATTTGGGCTTCTTCTTGTGAGGGATTTTTGAATAGTCTATTGAACATTCATTAACCTGTTCTAAATCCTCAAAAGCAGAGTTTTCGTCAAAGGTTAGAGGGAATTGTTGAGCTATGAAGGAGCATAACTGATCTTGATTAATAAATGATATATCACTAAGTTTATCTTGTTCGTCATGAGCGTGTGCTGGTGAGAATCCAGCCAGTGCCGAATCCATATTTTCGTCGTTTAAGCATGTTTGAATAATTGCATCCATGTCGAGGCAATCGTCTGTTTGTGCCCAGGAATTCATGTGATGATTGTCACCTTGTTCCATGGAGGTTGTTTGAGTGGACGAATTCAGTGTTATGGTAGGCGTGTCTGTCTGAATGCCTGTGTTTTCTTTTTCAACCATATCAGTAGAATTAGGCCTTGGAGTGAGTACAGTTACAACATCCACTGTTGGGGAAGGAGGTTTAGGCGGTGAAGGCGGATTTAGGTCAGATGGAGTGCATGGGGCCGTATTCACGGTGACAACATCAACATCTTCATCTAAAAGTTCTTCATGAGCACTTTTTTTCTGTGGAAGACTAGGTAATCTGCTTAAAACATTTGTATAAAAGTCAGATTGATAATCAGTGTTATATTCCGTCCTCGAGGCTGCAAAATCTTCATAAATTTTTCGATAGTGAGAAGAGAACGATGTTAGATAATACTGCGGAGGCGGATAATATGATGGATTTAAAATGTATGGTGTTTGATTGAGTAGAGGACTATAATTATTATAAAGATTATTCTCCGGTGGTATTAAATTAGAGTAAAATGCAGAATTTGCATCTGTAAAACACTGATCAGAAGCCGCTAATCTTGCTCCTTGATCATCCATATTCGATCCGGCCTTAGATCACACTGAGTACTATAAATAAATTCGAACTTTATAATGTTCGATTAAACAGAGAAACTTCCGGTAACCTCGTTTTCGATTTTCTCAAACTTTGGTAAAACATTACAAAATTTTTATTTTACTGGTAGACTAAGTGAGGCTATCCGTTCATAGCACAAATGATCACTCTTGGAGTCTGATCGTCAGAGCACGCCTTTAAAAATTCAGGGTACCTGACTAAGTGACAAAGTGTGCTTCCTGTCTATAGCTTTTTCCCAGCTCATTTTTTTAGCATAGTTTGTGTTTAATTTTTATGCATATAAAGCATTGTTTCCAGGGAAACTATTTTAAAAGAAAGGTAAACGAAATAGATTTATAGGAATAAACTGTCATTTACTATTGTCATTACAATTGGCTGTTTTTTACTTGTTTGACTTAAATAGAAGTCAATCATGTTCTGAAGAAATATATCATTTTTTATATTCATTATTTAAAACCTATTAACTTTTCAATTCATAACTTACGTGCATGTGATAAACTAAATACTTAATGTTTATTTATCTTTTAAACTGTTTCCGAATTTTACAGACGAATGTCAATTTTTAGAACTGGTAAAATGCCAAATGAAACAGGAATGTTAGGAGTTTTGGATATCGCTATTATTGGAGGTATTGCAGGTCTGGCTGTGTATTATCTAATTTTTAGGAAAAAGAAGGAGGATTCCTCATCTACTGAAATTAAGCAACTTACAGTAAAGTAAGAAATTATTTATTATTATTATACAACAAACCGACCTAGAGCTCAGCAGGCTTAGAGTTGTAGAATTCTTTTACTGATTTTTCAAAGAATAATTAAAATTGTTTCTTTAGGCCTATAAAATAAATTACAGTTACTCTTGTAAATAAATGAAATAGGTTAGAAGTAAAATACTGTTGAAATATTTCTTAATATTTCGAATATTCAGGTACTTGTAGACAAAATTGATTTCGACGTATAAAGTAGTACATTGGTATCAGCATGAGGTCAATAGAAGTTGTTAGTCTTCAGATAAGGATTATATCTTTTTTGATGAGTGTTATACTGTGCTTTGTTGAATATAACGAAATAATTGTTTAAGTTACGCAAGCGTAAATTAAAATTTGTTAAGTTTATACAATTGATGAATATGTTACGTTCTGTATAGTTTTCATAAAGTAATTGAATATTTTATTGTATATCTCAGCGGACAATTATATAGTACAATGACCGAATCGTCTTACAAATTTTTGTAAGACTTTGGTTTATATCAAGTTATTTAAAAAATATTTAAAATCTGGTTATTATTCTTTTTTTCGCGCCGTTCTATATTTATATAATTAATTGATAAAATTTTCTCTAATTTATTCTTTTCTTCTTTAGTTCCTCTGTTAAGACGAATCGAACGGATAGCTTTAGTTCAAGTTTTGTTTCAAAAATGCAAGCATCCGGACGTAATGTCATAGTTTTATATGGTTCTCAAACTGGAACGGCTGAAGAGTTCTCTAGCCGCTTGGCAAAAGATGCTGTCCGCTATGGTATGAAAGCCATGGTTGCTGATCCAGAAGAATGTGAACTTGACGAAATTTCTAAACTAGCAGATATCAATAATAATTTAATTATATTTTGTATGGCTACTTATGGCGAAGGTGATCCAACCGATAATGCTCAGGAACTTTTCGAATGGCTCAACGATAATGGGGGTGGCGTTGAACTTAATGATGTAAATTATGCTGTTTTTGGTCTTGGTAACAAAACTTATGAACATTACAATGCTATGGGAAAATTGGTAGATGAAAAATTACAAGAGATGGGAGCCACTAGGGTTGTAGAGCTTGGCTTGGGCGACGATGATTGTAATATTGAAGAAGATTTTGTTTCTTGGAAAGAGAAATTGTGGCCAGCAGTTTGTGAGCGATTTAATATTGATGCAACAGCTAGTGACATCTCGTAAGTATACTGTTTCCAAAAATAATATTAATCTTAATCATATATCTTTATACAAATAGCGTTCGTCAGTACGCCGTAACTGAATTTACAGATACGCCCGAACAAAAAGTATTTAAAGGTGAGCCTGCCAGACTAGGTTCTTTGAAGAACCAAAAACCTCCATTTGATCAAAAGAACCCATTTCTTGCAAAAATTATTACAAATCGTGAGCTACATAACGGTGGTGACAGATCGTGTATGCATGTGGAAGTCGATATTGAAGGGTCAAAGCTTCGATACGAATCTGGAGATCACATCGCAATTTATGCTACCAACGACAGCTTCCTAGTTGATGGTATAGGAAAACGATTGAAAATAGATTTAGATACAGTTTTCTCCTTGACAAATGTTGATGAAGATGCCAGTAAAAAATATCCCTTTCCTTGTCCAACAACTTACAGAACAGCTCTAACCCATTATTTGGACATAACATCACCTCTTCGAACAAATGTTCTTAAAGACTTAGCTGAATATGCTAAAGATGAAGAGGAAAAGAAGCAACTTTTGTTGATGGCATCAAGTTCCAATGAAGGAAAAGAGTTATATAACAATTGGATTTTAAAGGACCATAGGTATTGTATAATAAAAATATTGCTTACTTGATGATGTATACGCCATATCATATAACTTAAATAGACATATTTTGGCCGTTCTTGAAGATATGCCATCGTTGGAACCTGCTATTGATCATCTTTGCGAAATTTTATCAAGACTTCAACCAAGATATTATTCAATATCTTCGTCACCAAAACTTCACCCGACAGCTGTTCATATTACAGCTGTTTTGGTTGACTGGACAACTCCAACTAATAGAAATCAAAAAGGAGTCGCTACGTGGTATTTGAAAAATAAAATACCAATGGAAAATCTTCAACCAACTGCACCAGTGTTTATTAGAAAATCACAATTTCGATTACCTTTCAAGCCTAGCACGCCTGTTATAATGGTCGGACCGGGAACCGGTATAGCTCCCTTCAGAGGTTTCATTCAAGATAGGGCTGCACAAAAGAGAGCTGGTTAGTATATTGGAAGCTTTTGCAAATGTTTATTGTGAATTAATTGAATTTGTCTACTATAGGAAAGCCTACTGGAGAAATGGTTCTATATTTCGGATGCAGACATAGAGCAGAGGATTATTTGTATGAGGATGAATTGAAAGAATTTGTTGAAGAAGGGGTTTTATCAAAATTACACGTGGCCTTTTCTCGTGATCAAAAGGACAAAATCTATGTTCAACACTTATTGAGAGAAAATAAGCAAGAAGTAGCTCGTCTATTAAGGAAAGAAAGCGCACATATTTATGTTTGTGGGGATGCGAAGCACATGGCTCATGATGTTGATCTTGCTCTTCAGGAAGCTCTAGAAGCTGAAGAAAATTGGACCAGCCAACAGGCTCAAGACTTTCTTAAAACCTTAAGGTCAAGGGGAAGATATTCATGTGATGTTTGGAGTTAAAAGTTTTTCAATATATAGTCACAATTGTGTACTTTCTCACTAAATCTAAATTTTCATGCCAAATTTTAATTTAAAAGAACCTGTAGAATTATCATTTTCAATATAGCGAATTTATTTTTTCTTAACTATCGTAAAAGATCTAAAAGCTTTAATAACATTTAACTTGAATAGATGACTTTTAACATTATTCAGTCGCTTCAGAACCAGCCATTTGAAGAAGCATATCTTTCTTATCTTGCATATCTTCAACAAGGGTCACATACTGCTTAACCAGACTGTCAAATTCTCCACCAACATTTTCATATGCTTGAATTTTTGTTGTAAGATTATCAATTTCATGACTTCTAGCATCTACCTGATTGTTTAATCGAGATGAAATACACTTTAAGGCCTCAATTGATTGACTACTGTAGGTATCTAGAACCAATTCCATTTCTGTTAGCTTCATCTTCAAGTGAAGCGCCTCAGATCTTGTACGAATAAACGATAACTCATCTTTACTGTAACGTAACAACCTATCAACTGGATTTAAAGATGCTATGAGACTTTCCGTTGCTTCCCTCATGCCCTATTGTTTAATTTGTGTTTAAAGAGAAAATGAACAAAACATTCAAGCACAAAAATCTTACATTAACATATTCGAAGAAGAGAAGTTTAAGCTGGACACATTTTTCCCTCATTTCATTCTCTATATCAGTAATTTGCTGTTTCTGTTTCGCAATTTTCTTAATACGAGTATAGTGGCTATCCGAACTGGGAATGTGAAGTATTTTTGATAGATGTTCGAACTTTGATGCTAAATTTGTTTCTATATCGGCTAAAGCCAGTGGAAGAATTTGATTTTTCTAGAATAATATAGTATAAATACAAACAAATAGAATGATATTGAAAGTATAAATACAACTTTGTCTGTAGTTTGTATTATAGATTCACGAGAGAGACCAAGAAGACCTTCAGAATACATGCTCTTTCCACATTCTCCTTGTGATGGCAACAAACTTTTTACTTTGGCATACGTGAGTTGTCTCTCAATTTGGTCGTATAAATTAGGCTGTGTTGTTTTTTTCTCTCGTATAACTTCTTTAAGTACGTTAAGGAATATTTGTACTTTGAAATAATTTTTCTTTGCAGCACTGTGCTCTTCTTCAATTTTCTATATTTGAAATTGTTTAGATAAAACATTGAATTTGCTTTTAATTTTAACTCCGAGATTACCAGTGACTCTTCAGATATTTGTGGTATATCCAAATTTTCTGATCGTGTAGTATTTTCCATTATATTATATTTGGATCTGAATATATCTCCTTTAAGGTTTAAAATAAAAAATACCGACACAACTCACGCCATCTAGTTTTTATACCAGTTTATTTTTTTATAGGTTAGTAAAATTGATCATCATAAAACTAGCCAATGAAAATCGTCCACGAAAAAGCAACGTGTGTTTACTTCATTTGAGACCGGGAAAGGGGGATTGAATTATTTCATTCTGAAAGTTGAAAGGGTGAACTTGAGCCATGTATCGTTCTATAGGTAACGTTTACTTTATATGATACTTAAATTATACTCTATCATTTAGTATTTTTAAGAAATCATATAAAATGATATTTATTTCGTTGAAAGCTTAATAATGTTTAAATAAAACTGAGAAAATTTAAAAAAAAAATGATTGTAGGCATGTCTAATCATGTTAAATTCTTAATGTATTAATGAAACATTAAAAATAGCAATTCTTCAACATTATAAGTAATTTAATATAAAATATTTTTCAGTTTTTCTGCTGGGTTGTGCAGCTGTAAGCTACGGTTTATACTCTCCGTCCGACGATGTTATTGATCTAGACGCGTCTAGTTTCAATAGAGAAGTTGTGAATAGTGATGACTTGTGGATCATCGAATTTTATGCCCCATGGTATGAAATTTGAATATTTTATTATACTATTTATTGATCATATTTATAATCCTCTTGTTTTATTGTAAAGGTGCGGTCATTGTCAGCAACTTGCTCCAGAATATAAAAAAGCTGCAACAGCTTTGAAAGTAAGTTAAATCAACTTTTCATCTAAGCCAAATTTGAGTAAAAATTGCATATTTTTTAGGGAATTGCCAAAGTCGGTGCAGTTGATATGGATAAACATCAATCAGTTGGAGGACCATACAATGTTAGAGGCTTCCCTACTATAAAAGTCTTTGGAGCAAACAAGAATTCTCCGTCTGATTACAATGGTGCACGAAGTGCATCTGGTTTGGTTGATGCCGCACTGAATGGTTTGAGACAAATAACTTCGGCTAGATTGTCTGGACGTGGAGGAAGCAGTGGAGGTGGTAGTGGTAGTAGAGGAGGAAGCAGCGGAGGCTCCAAACCAGGAAATCAAGATGACGTCATTGAATTGACTGATTCCAACTTTGAAAAATTGGTTTATGGTAGTGATGACATATGGTTGGTCGAATTCTTCGCACCATGGTGCGGTCATTGTAAAAATTTGGCTCCCCAATGGGCTTCTGCCGCTACTGAATTGAAAGGCAAAGTTAAAGTAGCCGCCGTTGATGCAACTGTAAATACAGTTGTAGCCAGTAGATTTGGAATCCGTGGTTATCCCACTATTAAATATTTCCCAGCTGGAGCTAAGGATCAAAATTCGGCTGAAGAGTACGATGGTGGAAGGACATCTGGTGATATTGTTAGATGGGCTTTGGATAAACTTGCTGAAAATGTTCCTCCCCCAAAGGTTGAACAAATTACAAGTTCAAAAGTACTTGAAGATGCTTGCGCTGAAAAACAATTATGCATTGTTGCATTTTTGCCTCATATATTGGATTGTCAATCGAAATGCCGTAACGACTATATCTCCGTTTTATCAGAATTAGGAGCAAAATACAAGAAGAAGATGTGGGGATGGGCTTGGTCTGAAGCTGGTCAACAATCCAAATTGGAGGATGCTCTAGGAATTGGTGGCTTTGGATATCCAGCAATGGCTGCAGTTAACTCGAGAAAAGGAAAATACTCTCCATTTAAAGGTAACGAATATTTAAGAATTATTTTATTCGCCAACGAATAGGTTTATATCGTCAAATATATCTTTCAGGATCTTTTGGTCAAACCGGAATTGATGAGTTCTTGAAAGCTCTCTCCTTTGGAAGAGGATCAACCGTTCCAATCGGAGGAGGAAAATTGCCAGAAGCAGCTGATATCGATGCCTGGGATGGAAAAGATGGAGAATTACCAAAAGAAGAAGAAATTGATCTTTCTGATGTTAAACTCGATGACGAATTATAATCTACATAGGGTTATTGTGACGTTTATTTCATACATATATTTATATATATATATAAGAAATATATATATACACTTATTTTCATGCTCATTTTTTTCACCTAAAACCATTTGTGCAAATTTAGGTCTCTTTTGAGTAGAAGAGGTTTGTTAACCGTTTCTCCAGGACTACAAATTATGTTTTTTCAATACAGTTAAGATAAATTTTCATTCGATGTTATTTTTATCTCACTTAATATTTTCAGCATGAGAATTAGAAGAGCTATAAGTTACATATTTGAAACATGAATATTAATTATTATTAATGCAGTCTCCTAAACAAATAATTTTACCATATCACATTAATAATTCGGCCTTAAAAAACCGTAATTCATCAATAACAATACAGTTTAGAGCTCAAGATTCAAGCCGATGAGTCATAAAAAGGCAATATTTATGACTTTACAGGCATACTAATTTTGCATAATACTATTATATACAAATATACAAAAAATGAAAAAAAAATACATATACATATATAGAATTATTACTCAATCTCTGATAGATCTGTTAAAGGGGCAGTCAATATATATAAAATAGCTGGCATAGGTGCCAACAGCAAAAATGGTAAATGAGTTTTGAAATCAGTCAATTCTGTTATAGCGCAAACAGAGAACGCTAATAGTGAAGAATCAGCTAAAATTAAAATCAAATTTCTAGGCTTTATAGAATCCACAATTAAATTTTTCCATGTTTGAACGGGATATGATGATAGGTGTATAGCGTTGAATACAACAGCCAAAACTGCCAAAATATAGGGGAAGGTGTAATATATTACTCCTGCCAAGAGAGAGTGAATTATTATCAATGACGGAGCGATGAAAAGAGAAGCGTATGTTGGTCTCGAACAAGATCCTATAATTTTGGAAACTGCAGGCCGGAAGATTAACAATACAAATACACTTATTGCATAATACGTTAAAATGATAGTATATCTTGGGTAAACAACTTCATAATTGCAGTAAATAGTTTCTCCTTCATATTTTGCTCTGCTGGAGAAAATAGCATAAAAATCTTTCACTTTTTTAGCATTACAAACTAATAAATTCAGTTCCCACTTGGGAGTAAACAATAGTAGTGTTATAATTGCAGATAAGATAGTTTCAACAACTACGCAGATGTAAAGTGCAACAACTCTTATTCCTTTAACGTAACCCCATCTATCTATCGATACAGCTGAGAGTACAGGGAGTAACAGAGCCATGAAAATAAAATACATATAATCATAGGTGGATGGTGAAGAAGTGCATTTTGTGCATATCCCATTACAAGACTCGTAGAGTCTTGGGCATGGACCGCATTTGCTATAAGTATTATCAAAAGATTTGATTTTTCCACAGTAGCTCCCAGGACAACGCTTTTCTGCTGGTTGTATTGGGTCTGAAAAATATTTGAGAATGAAAAAGGAACTGTCCGAAAAACGGAATATTTCTTGATATACTTTAACTACGTTTACTGAAGCAAACCTTTTCTATATAAACTTACCAGAATTATAAGTTTCGGCTGAACAAAATGAAAAAATCAGAATTAAAAAATGAATTATCCGCCAAATTGTCATTATATAAATCACTCTACAGATTCATCGCATCAACGGCGAGGTTGCTCATCAATATTCATGATTCAAAATTGGCAGTAGAATCACAAGTAAACGACCCTTTACTAAGAGAAAATGATAAATCGAATATTTAAGAGATAGTGCAAACTATAAAAAATATTATTAGATTCTTCAAACCATGTTTGTTTTATGCATAGGGTTTATTGTTTTGACTTTTAATTAGTATGGTTGGGGTTCCGCGTAAATATTACCATAATATAATTGAGTCTAACAGGGGGATCATTCATTTTCTATTTCCACTTTAATGTTGATACATTATCAAGGCACATTATCGCTCTGAATCTTTATAGTTAATTATGTCGCTCTCAGCGATGTTAAAAGAGCACCATCAGCGGACCGCTAGTAGAAAGGAAGAACAAGGTAAATGCTGACTGTAATTTATTTAGTTCAAAGCACTACAAGCGAGTCGATGTTTAATTTTGCAAAATGTTTTTTTAAGAGAAAAGAAAGAGGGAGGCAATTGCTGCTGCATCCGAATTTTCTAGTGCCCTTGTTGACCATCTAAATGTGGGGTAAGTATATTTACAACTAAAACCCGAGTATAATTAATAAATTTCATTAAACCTCTTTAAATTTTTCCAACATCAATTATTTACTATCGCATCTTTCCAGAGTATCACAAGCTTATATCAATCAAAAGAAATTGGATACTGAGACTCGAATGCTTCAATCAAGCGTTACTAGTTTCAATAAACAAACAGTATTATGGTTGAAATTAGTAGAAGATTTAAAAAATTCACTGAAAGAGTTGGGTGATGTCGAAAATTGGTCAAAAAGTATTGAAAGTGATATGAAAACTGTTGCCTCGGCCTTAGAATATACTTTTAAGCAAGCTTCTCAAATTCGATAATTGGATAATTTTTCAATTGCTAATAGTTCTTGAGATATTTTCTCACATGTTTCTAAGATGTCTACTAAAATACATTATTTCTTACGTTTTGTTGTTGTTGATAATTTTACACTACTTTGAAAATCTACATTGAAACAGTTACATCAATTTGTTAAAATTGTTTCCTATTTGTATCATAATGATATCTAACATAATGTAATTAATTTAATACTATAGATTTGCCAACCAGAAACTACCAAAGGTTGATCGATTTAAATTTTACAAAAAAGCTTATAAAAAGCTTTTAACGTACTTAAAAGAAAATAGGAAACAAAAAAAAAAACATTTTCAATATAAATTGATATCAGAGATTGGTCTTGATTGCTGCTGGGATAATTATATAGAGAAATAATCGATCTGTCGGCTCCAAGACTGAACCAGTTATTTTCGTATTTTTATATTTCTTGAATTTTGTATATTTTTCCAAATCTTAAATATATAAAATAATATTTTTATGAGCATATTTACGTGTGGGTGATGAAAGATTACTCTCGTTTAATGAAATAAGTACCAATTTACCAGTTAAGGGATTTGACTCGCTTTTCGAAATGAATGAAGAGTCGATTAAAGGTGTTATTGAGCGTCTGGAAAGTGCCGGACACTGTATTATGGTAAATATCAAACATTCGAACTTTTGAAGTTAAATATTCTTGTAACGGTAGTTTACAACGGCCTTACTTTGTTACTTTATTTATATGAGAGCGATAATACGGATATTTTTAGGCAAGTCCTGCACTTGTAACGACTGAGCAACGACAACAGGCTGATCAGGTGTTTATCGAGTTTAAAAGATCTAAATTTCCTTATGAGATTTGCCAACAAATTCTTCGTAAGTCTGATATAGTTCTTAATTATGGATTTAATGAAATATAGCACTTTTGCACAACAGAGAGAAGCAGTAGCACGTTTGTTCTTTTTCAAATGGGGTCTACAATTAAAGAAGCCACGCTGAGAGAGTGGTGTATTTTGAAAAAGGACTTGATTGACAATCTTAGAAAATTCATTTTGGAATACGTTACGTCAAATCCATCGTAAGTATAGTGAACAAATTGCGAAATGTATCATAACTAACAAAAACTCTTGTGTTTAGGTTAATACTCTGTGTAAGGGAAGAACTGCTCGATGCCTTGGCTGTCATTATTAAAAGAGGAAGCGTGGAGAGCAATAGCTTATTACAACAAATATTTCTAGATATAAACAATTTATTCCAGTCCAATCAATTATATTATCAATTAGTAGCATGTTCACTTTTGAAAGCTATCCTCATTGAATTTTCTAGTACAAGTCGATCAAGTGCAGTCGGTTTATCGTGGGAAATGCATAATTGTTGTAAAATGCAATTTGAGGTAAATTGTGATATCAAACTTGACTGTGATTACTTATCCTGTTTTTCAGAGGGAGCATCTGAAAGAAATATTCCTCTTAGTTAGCAATTTACTCATACAAATTCTGCAATCACCTCAATCAAGCGAAAATTTTCAAATTAGCGAAAAGCTGCTATCTGTACTTGAAATTTTACTGAATTGGGAATTTTTGCCAGTAGATTTATCTCGAAGACATATCGGATGTTTTAAAGGATCACCAAATCCATCCCTTAAGCCACCAGCATGTTGGAAAAATGTATTTTTAAATCCAGACCTCATTACTTTAGTTGTGAAATTGTATTCACTTTTCACGGAAGAATTGAAAGAATCGTGCATAAGATGTCTAATTCAGTTAGCATCATTGAATGGAAATGTATTTCCTGACTTTGACTCCAAAATTCGCTATCTTAACCATTTTATTAATAGCATATTACAAATTTTCAAGGATGCTTCTACAAGGCCATCCTTCGCTCATGTTATATCGAATTTAATCATTTTCTTCCCTCTTATGCTTTTTGGACAGCTTGACACTAGCTGTAGAGAGAGTTTATTCAATGGAATGACCGAAATGACTGTAACACTTGGTAAGGAAGCTGAACTAGAGAATAGTGATGAGAAACAAGATGCTTATCGAAGACTGCTGGATGCTTGGTCAAGATTAGCTATTGAGGACTTTCCACTTAGTCCAAACCACTGCTCAAATATTTTTGAGTCTTTTCTCTATTGCCATTTAGCCCCTCCATTAGGCTGTCGACCAGTAGCTAATGACGAAGTTATCTTGGAAGAAGATGAAGAGGACAAGGATAAATTTAAAGATGAATTGTGTTCTATTGCAACTCTAGCTAGAGTTAACCTATCACATTGTTTAAGCCTCGTCAACGACTTGTTAATTGATAGACTGTCTGGGAAAACCCCAATTAGTCTAGCAGAATTATACGAAGATCTACATTGGATAGTTTTGGTTGCCGCAGCTCTCTTGACCGACGACGTTATTGGAGAAACCCCTTTAATTCCTAGTCAAATAATGCAGCACGCAATCGATGAAATAAAATCAGGAAAATCCAATGTTAACGCTACCATCAGTTTTGTTCAGGGAACTAGTACAACGCTTGAAAGTGTCGATGGAATCGTTTTACTTGTCGTTAAAATTCAAAGATTACTGGAAATGTGTCTAGAAGCAACTTGCAATAATATGGATTGGTCGCCACAAGTTGCAGCTACCTGCGGTTTATTTCTTCAAAGGTGGGTAAGAACTTATCTCCTACCGAACGAAGATAATTACACAGAGATGAGTCCAACATTTAATACTATATGGGGATGTGACGCTCCCATATCGAAAGTGATCGTGGCACAACTAGTGGATATATGTACAAAAGCCGTTCAGATGTGGTCGGGAGAAGAACAAACTTTAATTGAATGTCTTCATCTATTAGTAATTCTTGCCGAACGTCATCAACGTGCAGTACTATTACTAGAAAGTGAAGGATTTTGGAGTTTAATAGAGCGTTTAGCAAGTTTACAGGTTGCTTCGTTACCATCACAAGGAGTGAGATTGATATGCAAGGCTATAGTTTATGCAGGAACATCACATTCTGGAAATACATCACGATGGACAATGTATTTTGAGAATCTTAGAAATAGTACACTTATATTAAGGAATGACACAATTCGTAAGCAAGAATTGAACAAAATATTAGAACTTTTATGCGGCGTTGTAGAAGCTACAACCGCTCAAAATTTCCGTGACTTGTTTAACTTTGTTAATCCTGCTATGGAAGCAGGGCACTTAATTCTCAATAATTTCAAGGATAGTCCTGATGTTTTAGAAAATCTTTTTGAATTTTATAGCTTGATCGCAAACAGACAGTTGTGCTACTTAAGTATTGACTATTCCAAAAAATTTTATGAATGTATCACAAAACTATTGGAAATGTATTCGAAAGTAAACAACGGAAAGATACGATTGACAAAGACAACGGAAGAGGAACAACTTCTTGACCTTAGTTTACTCATGGAAATTTTAACGCATATGCTATCCAAAGACTTTATGGATTTTTTCCCATCTAGCGATGATTATAAGAGTCCAACAACTGGTGTCGTATTAAGGGGACTAGAAATTATTATGCCAATGATGAATGAAAATTTATTAAGTTTCCCTCGTTTAAGTAGTCAATATTTCAAATTAATTGCATATTTAAGCGAAATGGATGCAAAGTTAATGCTTACTTCGCCTTCCCTGCAAAATGTACTTGACTCACTGCAATTAGGATTATCCTCAACACTTGGAACCGATGTTCTTAAACTCTGTTTGGAAGCCATAGCTAGTTTAGCTACGGTTGAAATTTCTTCTTATAGATTAGAACCTTTCATGGGAACCATTTTGCAGATGGTCTTGTTAGAACCCTTTGAAATGGATTTGTTGGATACTGTGGCTGACACTATATTTTCTCTTATATCTTCCAATGTTAATACATATAAGACGTTGGTACGACAAATTGTAGAAACACAGAAAGAAGAAGAAGCTAGAAATAGATTAATATGTGCCTTTGATGAATTAACACCAAACGACGAATATTTTACAAATAATCGAAAAAATAAAACTCGATTTACAGATAAATTTGAAGAATTTGTTACGAACGCCAGAGCAATGCTTTGTATTCATTGAAAAACAAAATGTGTTAACTTTCTAATGTTATTTTTTTCAGTATTCGTACTGATTTGTACAGGAAAACTTGTATTTACCTATGTTTTAGTTCGTTACTAATAAAATTTCAAGTCTCAATATATAATTGAATATTGAAATAGTTGAATATGAAAAAGCAAGGCTAATCCCTTTCATTGTATGTTTGATCTTGTCTAGACTTGCGGTATTACTTTTTCAATTGTCACTGTTATAATTTTTATCATGAAGGTGTTGCTACTGCTTTGCCTTTTTCCGATTGTTCATGGCGAACTTTTCACATCTATCAGGCACATCGCCATGCTGTTGAAGAACGAAGATAATCTTTTGAATGGTTTGGAGAAGTATTACGAAGCTGAAGAAGTAAAATTGGAATGGATGAAAGAAAATCTTCAAAAAATGGAAGATTTGATTAAAGATTACGAACTAGTTGGAGATACCAAAATTCCCATCTTTGAACCTTTGAATCTTAATCATCCCATCGATTCTTTTAGACTCTTTCAAAGGTTTCAAAATTTGTGGATCGCAAGTACCCAGAAAGCAACGAGTACACAAAACATGAAATTAATTACTGATGGATTATCAATTACAGAATTACCCAAAAAAGACGATTTTGATGGATCTTGTCTCTCAGTTTTAAGAATTCAAAGAACATATAAAATCGATACTAAAGATCTAGCGAACGGACATGTTCTTGGTGTTCAAACAGAGCCCTTATCTAAAACTGAATGCCAGGAAATAGCTAGAGTTGCTGAAGAGAGCGCAAACTTTAAAGATTATGGTATAGCTTGGAGATTGGCTGCTTTGGAAAGGACCAATCAATCGGATTCATCATCGTTGAGAGATGCTTATTTAGGAGTAAGCATAATTCATATATTGCAGCTAAAGTATAATAATAATATCATATCATATAATAGCTAGTCAACGCGCATTTGGCTTTGGAAAATTCAACTGGGGCCGAAGAATTCGCTGAGAGAGTGTTAGATCTTGATCCAGAGAACGAGACTCTTTATGAGGAAGTATTAAAATTATTTATCCAAATTGAGGGAATAAAAGGTCATTCAATATGGAAGAGAAATGTAACAACTGAATTTGAGTAAGTTATTATTGATAATAAATAGTATTATCTGAGAATTTCCGATCTGTCATCTATCTATATTAGGAGGTACGAAGCTCTTTGTAGAAACGATTTTCCTCCGAAGCCTTTAGTTTGCCGATATCGTAAAGGAAGAATCCCGTACGAACTTATTAAAGAAGAACTGTTGAATATCGATCCCCTTATTTCATTAGTATACGATGTTATTTCTGAGAAGGAGGCAGATAAACTTGTTGATTTAGCTTATCCTTCTATGGCAAGAGCGCAAATGATTGGTGGATGGTCTGGTAATAATCGAATAAGCAAAGTTGGTTGGTTAAACGATGAACAGGATAAAATGGTTGAAAAGATAGCAAATAGAATTAACAGGTTAATTCATTTGAAGACTGCGAAAATATCAGGTGTGATGACAGCTGAACCATTTCAAGTAGTTACATATGGTATTGGAGGTCAATATGAGCCACATAAAGACTTTTTTGAACCGCACGTTTCGGAATCAAGTTTTGGTCAAAGCCGTAATCGCATTGCTACTTTTATCTTTTATTTGTCAAGTATATCTCACGGTGGTGCGACAGTGTTCCCGGAAGTAAATGTGACAGTGAATCCTGTAAAAGGTGCTGCTGCCCTATGGTATAATATGAAAAGGTCTGGTGAAGGGGATACAAGGACTATACATGCTGGATGTCCAGTTGTCCTTGGTCAAAAATGGGTTGCCAACAAATGGATCCATGAATACGGTCAAGAATGGACAAGGCCATGCGGCCTCGTATCTGATGCACAAGATTTAGACCTATATTCATAATTTTCTGTTTTTTTTTTACAAGTTTAATTATCATTCGATATTGTAAACAATATATATCTATATTTATATAAGCATATATACATATATATATATATATACATCTTTTTCCTTTAAATCTCGTGAATCGCGCCACGTGACTGCTCAGTGATTGGCTCCTTCTTTTAAGGCCGATCGATATAAGAATGTTCAGGTGTTCCTAGGTCATATCGCCGGCCTTAAGTTTGATAACAGTCATAGATTATTAATCAAATCGCCAAAATGGATGTCCAGCGATCTAAATCGTATGAAGCTGGATTTGAGCCAGAGGAAAGGGTTCCGATGATGTATCCCCACCCTAATGAAATTGAGAGGGCGCCTGACCAACAGATGGCGCCGGAGGATTTACCTGAGAAAATGGCGGCGGACGAAGCTCCCGAGAATGGGATGGATTTAAAACCGATCGGTTCCATGTTATGGGCCGGTTTGGGAGCAAATTTATTTTCGTTAGCAAGTTTAATCATAGCATTCGCCAGTCCTTTCTGGCTTCAGACCTATCCCGATTCGTTCAACACCTTCAGAAACATAGGATTGTGGGAGGCTTGTTTTCAGAACTACATCCATTACAAAGATGATAAGCAGGAAGTCTACGATGGTTGTTGGTGGATATTAAACCCTGAGGATAAATATTGGAAGCTAAGAGAATGGCTATTACCCCGTAAGTTATTAAGTTGTTTCACCTGGATTATAATTCATACCTGGAAATATAGATGGCGCTGAAATAATAATGTTTGTATTTATCTCTTTCAGCATGGTTTATAACTTGCCAAGTTCTAGCAATCGCTTCGATTATCATATGCATTGTAACATGTATAATGGTAATGGCCATTATGCTACATTTCTGCCCCGTCTTGAATCATGAGTATCATCAAACGTTTACTATTTACTTTGCTAGTGCTCTTTCCTTTGCAAAAGGTTTGTTTATATCCCTATTATTGATCAATTACAAAAAAGCCCTTAATAATTCCAATTCTTTTACAATTAGTTATGCTTATCTTTATAATCGGAACAATTTTTGGACGATTGAGCGAAGATTGGGAATGGATGCCCAGACCAGATTGGAACTTTTTAAGTTGGGGATACGGCTTTCTTATTATTTCAGGTTTGGGATCAATAGCTGCCGGTGTTTGTTATTTTATGCAGGTAAGGAAATTAATGGAAACATTCTATTAATAATAGATATAGTAACAATTATCTCTAATTACAATTTTCAGGCCCGAGATGCGTATGATCAATTAAAGAAGAAGGAAGCAGAATTTTTAGATATTGCCCAAAATCTTGCTGCTTCCCAGAGTCAAATACAACTATCATATCAGATAAATGACGACTACAGTCAAGATTATCCAGAAAAAGATCCTGACGCCTTAGGAACTGAAGCTCCCGTTATTTATCAAGGCTATCCTCCAACCTCTCAATATCCAGAATACGATCAACGATACATGGAACGACAACCCTACTCTTAACTGATTTCATCGTTAAATAATGTTTTTATACAATATTCCACATTTTACATTTTTTTTATATAGTCGAAATGTATATAATTTTAAGTAAAGAATTTTTTTATTAGGCTGTTATTGTAAATAAAGCATTGATACATTAGATGATTAAATAAAATACAATTATTATTTGTTTATTTACAAAAACCGCGAAATACCGGTAATGACACCTATCGATAAATCTTTTAGTTGTCGTCTGCTCGGGGTCGGCTTGGCAACAAGAAGACGCCGTTGATTAAATGTTAGCTTATTGATCAATTATTCACGAAATTAAAGACGTTCGCGTGATGTTGAACTATTAAATGAACAAATGGATGGTCACTTAAAGCTTTAATAAATACTTGAGCATTATTTATTTTATTGGTGATTTGTGTTTTGTTTGCCAACTTTAAGCGATATGGCTTATCGTGTGGATACTGGAATGAGATTACATCTCGAATCGCCAAGAAAATTACCAGTTTTACCTGCAGGAAAGTGTTTAGTCGCTCCCGATGCCTCTAAATCAATTTCAACCCGTGAAGAACAAATAAACAATTGGGCTTATGAAGCTCGAAATAGATTACAAAATATTTTGGATGCTAACGATAAAGCAAGATTCTCAACAGAAATAAAGGAACCAAAAGAAGAAGATGTTCAAGAATTAGCCGATAGTTTAATTGCTCTTTTCATTGATGCAATGAAAAAGAATACGTAAGGATTAATCAACAGTGAATTTAATTATTTTCATTAAGTGTATATCTAAACCTATAGGCGAGAACATTGGGAGTTTATTCGAGATATTCTTCCATTATGCAAACCTTTTAAAGAATATTTAATAAGAAGACATTCAGTAAGTCATTAATAATTGGACACAAAGTTAAGGTACTAATATTATAAATATTCATATATAGCTTATTCATTATCTTGAAAGAGTAAGACAGCATATTAAACAATATCAAGAAAAATTCTTTGATTTACATATAACCGAAGCATTAAAAATGGTCTTTTACGAAGATTATCTTGCTATTGAACGATACGATTCTCAACCTAAAAACTCTTATAACGAACCAGGACCTCCTAGATCACAGTTGGCACAATCTAGTGAAGAGCCTATAACCAATTTTCAAAATTGGTCACCGAAAAAGAAATTTAAAGATCCATTTCGTGGAATTCCAGTAAGAGTTTGTCTAATACAATATCATTTTATCATTTAATCTTTCTCTTTAACAGAAAAAAGATAAATATGTAAAAAGTATGAAACCTTTAACATTCAAGGATTTAAAAGAGAGTTTCTCAAATGTAATTTTGCAAATGGCTTCCAGTAAGACTATTATTATTATTGTTTATTATATAAATTATAAAGACTTATCTATCTTTTGATGATAATTAGATGAAGCTATTTGGAATTCGACTAATAATTTTCTTGCTATGGCCCATGGTGCCGAATCTATTAACGATGAAGATGAAATAAAGGAAGAGGAATCAGATTCGGATGAAGAGAGAATATGCGTACCTACGCCGAGAATTTTAGCAAACGCTAAAAAGATTGTACCTGATGTTGAGGTAGGAACAGTTCCTGAGAATTTAAGTGGACGAGAAGCTGTTGAATATCTAACAAAGATGAAAAATCTAGGAAAAATACGGTTAGTCTAAAATCTTAATCAAATAAAATGTTATATAGAAATGTGATGAGAATTGTTTTATTTTTCTTAATAGATGTGTCTACTTGAATCTAAAAGCATCCGATAAGCATTATAGACCTTATGATTTAATAAGTGTGCCAAAAGATAAGGTGAACCGTGAGCATTTTGTATTTTCCGTATTTGGCGTTTTACATGTTGTGGCAAATCAACCGTCCGAAACTTTATTATTAGAAGAATGGTATAAATACGCAGTATTGTGGGAAGCATGTTCAAAAATTGCTTTCTTTAAGAATTTCCTTGTTAAAAAGATGTTTCAACGGTTCGTCATTCAACAACAATAGTATTGTAGTATTTGTTGTTGAGTATTTTATTCTTTTCTCCTTTTGCAGTTGGCTGCATAATTCCAGTAAAAAGAAATTTTGTCGTATTAGAAAAAATGTTTTAACTACTCATTTGCAATCCGTAAATAGCTATGGTTCTGCACTACTACATGTTTATAGATTGTGTAATGAATGCCTACGATTACAGTTTTTACCAGACGATATAAGGTTAATTCAAAAACCTCTCTTCCTCGTTCTTCCCTGTTTTAATATAAAAATTCAATAAATTAATAAACAGAAAATCGTATCTTCTATCCGAATTTGAGGATGATGTTGAAGCAAAGGCCATCGAGGCTAGGGAAGTTTTGGAAAAGTTTGTTAAATACAATCAAATAGTACTAGACGTTACAACTGAAGAATGTTTCAAGAGATTAAGACATTGCATGGAACAGATGAGCTATCAGCCAGTTTTGTAAGTTAATTATTTTCCTTGTACAATCCAACGTGCAGGTATATCATTTCGCCTTTATTTTCTAGTTCTAAAGACTCAATACATCTGCAAAAGAAGAAACATTTGCAAAGAATGGATAATCTAAGAGTAGCTAAGGACGAAGCTAGGTAAATTTCTTTTTTCGAGTTTATATAAATTCATCCCTTTCGTTTTGATCATTTTAGGCGATTGGGTAACTTAGCGAAGCTCATTGATCAACTGCTACTCGCTCATCTTGTTCAAATTGCACGCGAAAGTGTTGTATCATTCGTTAAAGATAATCTTAATTGCGGTACAAATGATGATAGAGACGCTTTTATGAAATGTTTTCTCGTATTCGAATCCGACCAATTAACTATTTCGCCAAATTACGATCGTCTAAAGTCAAGCTTAAGAAAAACTGTGACAAACGTTGCTGATTTATTATCGAAAGCTGCTGAAAATATTGATGGAGCTATTAAGGTAAATGTACCAGAGACTGTTGGAAATGAGGATGTTATGTTAGCGGAGATGTCTTTCACTCGTCGACCTTCTAAAAGAGATAAAAAAGCTGCTGATAAACGCCGAATTATGTCACCTCCCAACATAAAAATTGAAGGTTAGCTATACCCTCTCCACAGTGTGCCAATGCTTATTCAATTGTTTTATTCTTTTAGAATTGCCTACTAAGGAAAACGATGATATGGGTCAGAAAACTCCTCCTCTAGTCAAACCTCCAGAAGCCGAGAAAGATTTAATGATAACCGGTGTTGGATTCATAGGACAATATTCACCTTTAAGCAGGGGAAATCTACAACATAAATTAGACAATGAGTTAGTTTCGTACAAGCAAAATAAAAAAAGAAAAAGGCGTCTAATTATTTAATTTCTTTTTAAAACAACTAGTGACTTCTATCAGGAATCATTACAACTCGAAGAAAGTTTAGTTGATGAATCGTTAAAGGATATTGAAGATTTTTGTAATAGTAACGCCTGGTTAAATGAAATATACGCTTTCGCGAGTAAATGGAAGAGTAATCATGTCAATCAGTGGAAAGATAAAGCTGCTTTTACAATTGAAGTAAGGAGAGAATTTTCTAATATCAATATATAGTATATATTATGAATTTTGTAGCAAAAACTGAGCGAAATTAAGCAATATATTGAAAAAGTTAAAGCATTTGACAAGTTAGTTATATGCGAAAATGGTCTCTTTTGCGTTGATTGTACAGGAGTGCACACATATCTTATTCCAAGGTTAAATGGAGCTTATAAAGATTTATGCAATTACGTTGGTAGTGAGGCAAATAGTATGGCTAAATCATTGACAAATATCCTAAAGGAAGCGTGTACTGTTAGTACTAATATTAAAGATTGCTTTAATTCATAACTGAATAGCATGTTTTATAATATTTAGAAAATGGAGGATAAATGTACAGACGTTGCAGGTTTTGCTGCTTTTGCTAGAACTGTAAATGAATGTAAAGCTAACGTTGGAAATTTTAATATTAAAGTCGATTATATAAAATCTCTTTACGAAGTTGTAAGACAAGCTGGAATTTCTGAAAAAGTTGATAATAGCGAAGAGAAACTTTACGATACTTGGCAAACATTTGTTGTTGCTTTACAGGTTTAAAATATTCCTTTCTCTCAAAAATCCACGTATCTTTATAATTCTTTTTAACAGGAAGCCGTTGAGTTTGTCAACACCCATACACCAATTATCAGTAGTAATTTGGAGGATACATACGCCGTAAGTAACGTTTTACTTACAGTTTACTCTATTTATATAAGATTTTTGAATAATTTTGCATATATAATATCGCATCAATGGCAAACAACTTTCTATAAATAGCATATATAAAAAAAATATTATATTATTACTAGAATCGGTTGAAAAAAGCAAAAACCAAACAAGCAATACACGAAGCGTCTCAAAAACCAAGTGAATTTATGGTAAAAATGATAAAAAAAATCCCCCACAAATGTTGTGCTTATTTATTGGTTGTTGTGACAGTTTTTTTTTATACAATTATAATAGAAAAGCTATATAATGCACATGTTTAAATATTTTGTTGTTTTTTCTTTAAATCCCTTCACCTGTCCGGTTTATTGTTTTTTTTTTACACAAATGTTAATAAAGCGTCGCCTTTTAGAATCTAACTAAGAAGAAGAAGAAGACAAAGAAGATATATTTTGTGTTTTTGTTTACCAGTTGTTTTGACAGCATTTTTAATGTCAACCTTTTTTATTATATGACAAACAAATAGATAACATTTTTTCGGATTGTTGAAAAATCATTTGTTTTTTCTTTTTCAACTTTTAGAAATTGGAAGAAACTATTAGGGAATTATACGAAACGGCTACTTCGGGAAAGTATTTGGATCATACTCAAGATCCTACTGATATGATTATTGAATTGCGAAACGTAAGTATAAATACATTGGATGTTGAAAGGTTTAAAAACATAAGATGAATCGTTGTTATAGTTGAGAGAAAAATTCGTTGAGATTGAAAAGAAGATGGCTGAAGCTAGTAAATGGAAGGAAGCAATTGTTGGCGAAGGATATGACTTATCTTTTCTAGTTGAAATGGGATCTAGAATGGATGTTCGATTAGAATTATGGAAATACGTTCAAGTCGCTTCAAACAGTATTAATGAATGGAAGAGAATGACATTGAATAAATTCAACGCTCGAAAGGCTCTTGACAAACTTACAGAATGTTTAGCTGCAACTGGTCAACTTAGACAAGCCGTTTCCCCGGGAGATAAAGTTGTTCGTCATCTATACGACATTTTAGCAGATTTTCATTCAGTTGTACCAATTTTATATAAACTGGAGAATTCGGCTTTAAAAGCCCGACACTGGAGAGCCATCTTAGTTTCAATGGGACAAATATACAAATCGGATTATAAATATACAGTTGAAGAGTTATATTCTTTCGATTTGAAGAAGTATGAGAAACAAATTGATGATATTTACGAAAAGGCCCTTAAGGAGTTTGACGTGGAAAATAGACTTGAAAAAGTTCTCGAAGTATGGGTTGATCGTAAATTTCTCTTGGCTAGGCCTATACCTAAAAGTGAAAGTTTAAGAGCTAGAACGCCATCTGTTAAACAAAAAAAGAGTAGTTTAGAACAGTATAGAGAAGCTGTACAATCTTCGACAACTTTAAGTAAAAGGAAACTTAAAATAAACTATGAAGAATTGTTTATGCTTAGCTCTTTAGAAGATCTTCGTTTCCTGTTGGAAGATGGAAGATTGCAACTGCAATGTATGCTGGAATCTGGAAATTTATGCGATAATGAGAAAAATGCTAGAGATTTTTACAACGACCTGTTATATGTTGATGAAATTCTTGAACTTTGGCAAAAAGTTCAGGATAAGGTAAGTTATCTTTCTCTTTATTCCCTTTGTCTTAATACTAAAATACCTTCTTAATAACCTTTTCAGTGGCTTTATTTGTTAAAAATCTTTGACGAGCCTTTACTTTACCGCAAGTTTTACAGTCAAGCAATACTATTTGAATACAATCATTCTTTATGCATGGAAGTTATCAGAAGTATACAAATCGATCCTCTGGTAATAAATGTAGCGCCAAGACCAAAAGGAGTCAAAGGTCATAGAGTTTTGCAAGGGGAACAATTAGCCCATCATTTAAGATCGATTATAACTCGTCAAGAAAATATAATAGCTAGTTTAAATAGCCTATTGGATAGTACAAGAAGGGAGTTTCCAAGATTATATATGGTATCCGATGATGAATTGACGTCGATCATTTCTCTCAGCGACGATCCTAGATCGCTAATGCCTCTTGTTAGGAAATTATTCGCTGGAATTCGTAATCTTAGATTTTCTCTGCCAAAAAATTTACCATCAATTAATCAAACTTTAGATATGGAATTGAACGCTCGCTTATTAGAAGTCTCTGGAATGGTGTCGACCCATCAAGAAGAAGTTGACCTTTTAGAGCGAATACAGCCAGCCGAAAATATTTCGGAGTGGTTATCGAAATTAGAAAGAGTTTCCAAGAATACTATTCACAGTCTTCTGGAGGGTTGCATGGAAACAAGAATGGACAAAGATGAGGAACCTTATACCATATTAGAACAGCTTGAAAAGGCGAAAGCATCCAAGGACGATGTTGAAAAAATTGTGGTTAATATAAAAAGTACTTTTGAACATTGGCTCTTGCGATTTCCTCTGCAATGCGTTCTCTTATCGGAAGCTATAATCTGGTCCGAATCTGTTGATAACGCTTTAAAAGATGGTCTAGAAAACGAATTAAGAGATTTAAGAGGTAAAAAACGTCATTGTATCGAACAATACGTAACAGTTGTCAGGGAAAATATGCAGAAAGAGCTGCAAAATGAAAACGAGAAGAGATTACACACAGTCTTGTACTGTCTAATATCTCAAGCTCTTTATCATAGGGATATTATTGAAAATATACTGGCGAAACCAAGTGTGGAACCCAACGATTTTGCTTGGTGGGCTTCAATAAGATACGAGGCTCATACTGAAACCAATCTAAGCCCAACTAATTGTGGAAAATCTATTATAAATCGTCAAAAATTAAGAGAAATTGAAGTTCATCAATTGGATCAAACTTTCCGTTATGAATACGAATATTTACCCCCCACTCAACGTCTTATCATAACACCTCTCACTGAAAGATGCTTTATCGGCCTTTCAAAAGCTATTAAAGATTTTAGATTTCCTTCAGTCTGCAGTGGAAAGGGATTTGGTAGTTCCTCAACTGTAAAAGAATTCCTTTCTATAATTGGTCGTCCAGCTTTTACTGTTCAATGCAGTAAACTTACAACCGTAGATACGCTAACAAGATCAGTTATAGGAGCATTGAGCTCCGGATCTGGCGTCTTCTTCGACGATATGGAATCTCTTTCTATCAATAACTTATCGTTGCTAGGAGATTATTTCCAAACGATTTCGACTACTATGACCTTGCTTAATTCTCAAGACGAAAGTGAATATTTGAGAAGAGGTCGAGCTAGGCACGACATGACTTTTGTTCAGAATGACAAGCTCTTACCAAATAATAGCGAATCTTTGGTAATTCGTCGAAATTCTTTGAATACTCTTCATTCTTTACCGTCAAATCCAATTCCTGTTGAACGCCAATTAACAGTACCGCACGGATTTAACGAAGATGGCTTACATACGTACTTTGAAAATACTTGGATTAAAGAGAAGGAATCTAGACGACATTCTGTTTATAAGGAAATAGGAGTAAGAGATTATCTAGCATTTGGAATTAATAACAAAAAGATGCCCTTCGAATATGAATCAATTTATGAAACTGCAATTGCCCAACAAGAATCCTTTATATATAATTGGACGTATAAACCACATTTTTGCGGTCATGTGATTATTAATGGAAAGTTAGTTAGAACCAACTCAACTGTAACAATATTCACATCATTGGATTCAAATAGAAAAGTTCAATTACCAAGTAATTTATTGAGCTATTTAAGGCCGGTTTCTCTTAAAGTTATGGATTTGAGAATTATTATTGAACGATACCTATTTTCCAGTGGATTTCCAAGTGCTTCAAATTTAGCTAAAAGATTCTCAATTCTCCTTGAACTAGTAAAGGAACAATTAAAGGACGTCTACACTGGATTTACAATCATAAAGAGTATATTACAAATAGCCAGCTCTTATTATCAGTATACCCTACAATTGCAGGCTTCGAAAAGTGATGGATCAATAGACTATGAGAGAGATGAAGAAGCGTCTCTCGTTAAAGCTATTCGAAATGTTCTCTCCTCAAAATTGAACATAGATGATTCTCAGAGATTAAATGAGTTAATAAGAGATTCTTTCCCTCATAACTCTAGACCTAGATCGGCTGAATTTGATATGAAATTCACTAATATACTTGAAGAACAGCTCAGATTGAGAAAAATGACAGTTAGGAAGCAAATGATAGATAAAATTATGCAATTGTACACTGCTATTCAAACTAAACAACCAATACTAATAAGCGGAATAGGAGGTAGCGGGAAGACCACTATGTATACTTTATTAGCCGATTCCTTAACAACTTTGGCAAAGGGAGGTGAAATTGTAGAGAAAAAAGAAATTTCAATGGAACCTCAAAGGGGTTTAAGTGTTCACATGGCAAACAAATTAAAGGTATTAAAATCCTTACCAACCGATGAGAAAATTGAACAGCAAGCTAAAAAATGGCAAAAAATTGGCGCAAAAGCTGGAGCAACTGCGGATGTTCAAGCTGCAATGGAAGTTAGCGCCCACAGTAGTACAAAATGCGTTGAAGGTGTTCAAGTTGATCTAGAAGTTATTTTACCAAACGCCTATTCAAGTGAAGATTTAGTCGGATATTATAAAGGTCGTACATTCCAAAGAGGAATATTACATACAATCTTCACAGCAGCAAATGAACAATTGGAAGTTTCCAAAAAGTCGTCTTTAAGGAAATTACCCGGAGATGATGGAAATAACTCAGCAACAAGCAACCTTCTACAAAAATGGATTATTTTTGATGGTGATTTAAATGCCCATTGGCTTGAATCAACCTCATGCGTATTCGATCAAACGAGATGCCTAAGATTACCCGATTCTTCAACTATTTTCCTTAACGGTTAGTTAATAACATGTAATCGTATCGTTATCTTATAATAAGTGTCTTTTAGACGGTATTCGCCTATTATCCGAAACAACGAATACTGATAATGCATCTCCAACTTTATTTGGAAGATGCTACGTTGTTCATTGCTCGGACGGAGAAAGTGTATTTTGGCGCGATCTGCTGGATCGATGGCTGGGTGATGCAAGACAAAAATGGGTATTAAATTCTGCTAGTGAGCAGTTAATGCAGACTTTTATATCGTTCTTATTTAATAATCTATTACAAAATGAGTCAAGCAATTCCTGGACGCATTGCTTATTTGAGTACTCTTCGCCTGAATTTAGGAGGAAGAATACTTCAAGTCTTGGAATATTTGAAATAGCTTCTTTTACTTCTTTATTGGGAGCTATTTTCGATAAATTCCTTTCCCGAAAACATTGGGAAAAGGTTTCGGAGGAGGATAGCATGAAGAGGAAGCCTGAAGATCTAATACAGAATTATTTACTTTTACTCAGAAACCTTATAGCATTCGCTTTTATATGGTCTATAGGAGGAAATTTATGCGCTAATTATTGGACATCTTTTAATAATGCCTTTAGAAAGATGCTTACCCTCGCTCCTGTATCAATTAATATACCTGAAGAAGGATCGGTCTTTGACTATTGTATAAACACAAGTGGAAATGGTGAATGGATAAAATGGAAATCAACTACCGCTGATAAAACGGGAAATTACGTATTTACATCAACAGTGGAGAAATGTTCTTATTTAGCCGAGATTTATCTTCAAGCACACAAAACTATATTAATAACTGGCGAAAATGGTTGTGGAAAGTCAACATTTGTCAATAAGATTCTCGCGCCAAAGCTTCATCTTACTCCATTTGCTATGAACCCTCTTTATGAGTCAAAATCTTTTCAAAACCAACTTGCGGCCCACGTAAATGAACTGTATTCCAAGCAAGTAGCCGCTAGAAAGACCAAGTTACATCAATCGCCTGCTGAGAATATAAACTTTTTCATTGATGATTTACATTTAGCTACCGAATCCGTTTCAGAAATGCTAAGGCAAGCAGTATGTGAACAACGGGTATATAGCGTTGACAAGAGGCGCCATCTCGATTTTCACATAGCGTACTTTATATTATCAACTTCGGTGTCTGGAGTAGCAGGTTATGGAAAAACAACCTTCATGAATTCTCGATTTTTAAGACATATAAACGTTATTAATTTGGGTCAACCAACAAAAGAAGATTTAACTTTCATCTTTGGACGTCGGGTACTTTCTTGGATGGAGGAGTTTCCGACATATTCCATTCCTAACGTATCAAAATTAGCCAGGGCAGTTGTTCAAGCAAGCGTTGAAGTTTACGAAGAAGTTCGGCGTCGTTTCCGTCCAACGCCGCTAACACCTCATTATATATTCACAAGCCAAAACTTATACGACGTTATCGGCGGTATGACTCTATTCACACCAAGGCCTAGAATGCCAAAACTTTCAATTGGTTCAGGAAGTGCTGCAACAGGTTCATGTGTCAGATCTATTGTAAGGTTATGGATTCATGAGAACAATCGCATATTCTCGGATCGTTTCGTTGATAAAAGCGATAAACACTGGTTTGATGAAATTTTAGAGCAATCTCTGTCCAAATATTTCTGTTCATCGGCGGAAACTGAGGACTTTTCACAACCTATGGCGGCAATACCCGAAGGTTTGGATACCAGTAGTGAAGAGGAGGAAAACGACGACGAAGATAATGAAAATGAACCTGATCCATTATCTCCTCCTGTAAGACAACAAACAAAGACAACATCGAAGCAGGACAGCTCAAGCAGGAATCTATCAAAACTGAAAGCCACATCAATTGAATATAGCCGAAACGAAGATAGTTCGGTAACTAGCGATTCTGAGGAGACCACATACTCTCAACCAACGAGTTGTAGCAGCTCGACAACCTTATTTGAAAATACGGACGAAGAAATTAGGCGAATAGGTTAGTCAATAGACTTTTATTAAATTAATTTCAATTATTAATACTGTACATTGTACACCATTTTTACAATTTATCTTCTTAGATCAATTGCAAAAGTTAAAGAAGAAATTCTTCTCGAAAGGACAAACTTCCGCTACAACGGACGTTCCTCAACCACCAAGTAGGGGAAATCAAACGTCTCGAAGTAAATGATCATAATTAGTTAATTAAGTAATTAAACGGGTTAACCTCATTTCAATACTCTTTACAGGAAGTAGTAAAATGACATCTAGAGGATCGCATCGTACCAGTGCCAATTTTAGGGTTTTATTCTCTGCCGAATCAACAGAAGTTTCGGGTCCTTTATTAAGTGTAAAAGATGTTTTAGAAGAGAAGCTTTCATCCTCCGAGATAATATTTGCTCGTTTTGTATTTGGCCCTTATTTGGCAGTACCAAATGATATTGGCGATAGACGTAAGCTTTAATAATAGATGAATTAATTTCACGAGTATCTATAATATTCAACTTTACAGAATATATGGAGGTAAGCAAAAGAGAACTTGTCGAAGCTCTACATAGAAGTGTAGAAGGTTTGGAAAACATGAACTTTATTCCCTTTGAACAAGCTGCTCTACACGTTATAAGGTTAACTAGATGCTTCAGTCTACAAGGCTCTCATAGTTTGCTATTTTCCTCTTATCGGAAATTCGGAAGGTCAACATGCGTTAAGCTGGCTTGTCTCATGTCCAATTGTTTGTTCATAGAGGGAAGTGACGAACAAACATTGAAAAATGCTTGCCATGCTGCAGGTGTATCCTGCAAACCTACAGTTGTAGTCGTTAAGAACGTTGAAGATATAAAAACCGTTGTTTGTATTGTCCAAACTGGCTACACTCCTCAAATGTTTACGGACGCTGAAAAAGCAGATATAGCTCTGAATGTTGCCGGAGTTAAGGTGGCAAAAATTGATAGAATTCACGCAGCGTTGTTGAAATATGTAAAGAATCTACAAGCAAATTTACACTTTGTCATCTGTATCGATAGAAATACGGAAAATCTTCACAATATGACTGACTTCTCAAATTTAATGGCAAATTTATCACCAATTCTCTCCAAAGGCGCTATAATCGATAATTATGAACCTTGGACAACGGAAGCCTATCAGTGTATTGCCACCAAGCTAATACCGTCGTCGAATCATCAAACTATTGGTGAAGTTATGGCTTATATACATCAGACGTCTGGCGATTTATATAGGGCACAATTTCCTTCGCCGCCACGTTATCTATCCGCCTTCTCACTTAAAACATTCTTTTGGTTTGTAGACGAATATAAAAAATTAGTTGTTCAATTGCAAGAGAGTGCCGAAGCTAATCTTATAGCAAGGAGAGACGGTCTAGGTAAAGTTTCGGAGGCATTCGATACAATTGCCGATTTACAAACATATATCAATCAATGCCGAGATAAAAAGAAATCATTTAGAGATCAAATCGATCAATTAAAAGATCTAGTTGGGAAAGAGAGAGATGATTATGTTCAAGCTTTGAATCGTGTTAAAGAAGACGAATCGAATTTACATCAACTTCAAAGGCCTCTAGAGGAATTAAAAGAAAAGATGAAATGTGAAACAAAAAAGAGGAAACCAGACCAATGGATTCAAGGAGCACCGTCTGATTATGTTTACACTACTGGTATTGACGTTCCAAGTTCTTGGCTTGAGATAGATCACAATCAGAATGATTTTGATATGGCAGTAGCAGCTGTGAAATCGATTGATCCAAGTTCCTTCTACGAAGTTCGGCAATATAGAGAACCCCCAGATATGGTTAAACAAGTGTTACAGCTGGTAGCTCTCCTATTTGGAGAAGAGCAGTCATGGATGTCGGCTCGTCAACTATTAATGAGAGATAATTTCTTTACAGATTTAGAATTCTTTGACAGAGACAATGTTGATGAGAAAATTTTAAAGGAGCTTGGTAAGAAATTGAGACCTCTTCATCCCGAAGCAGTAGAAGTTGTTTCATTGGCTGCATCTGCATTCTCTAGTTGGTTGGGAGCAATTTATCGATATGCTGTGCATACAAAAGGTGTTAGAGATCTGAAAGCAGACGTTCAAAAATTGGAGGACAATATAGAACAAGCAAAGGCGGAATTAGGAAAGAAGAAGCTTCTAGCGGAACGATTAAAGAATGTTTTGGAAAGAAGTATTGCCAAGCATAAGCAAACTGTTGAAGCCAGTAAGAAATTAGAGAAGCAAATACAATCGTTAGAGAGGAGAGTTGATAGGGCTGAAGCTTTGATGGAGACTATGAGCGAACAACAACAAAGATGGAAAACAGAATTGAAAAATGCTTCCCGCAATGTCAAGTGCGCCTCTGGCGATGCACTACTTTCAGCAGCAACCGTAACTTATTTATCTCACCTTCCTCAAGGTATTAGAGTTCATTTACTAAATGACTGGATTGAAAAAATCCAACATTGTGGCCTTCTTATAAGAGATAGCTATGACTTTATCGACGTCATGACAACCTGGGATGAAAGAAGAGAATGGAGATCGTCAAACTTTTCATCGCTATCAGATAAACAATCGTTGCAAAATGCAATTATATTACGTGAAAATGGTTTGGACAAGAAAAATGGAACAACGCTAGTTTATGATCCAGATAATGAAGCTGAACGTTGGTTGAGGACTTTAAACCACTCTACATTAGTTGTTACAAGTGCTGGAGATCCGAACCTGGAGAGTACGGCCAACGAAGCTCTAATTAAAGGACATACTCTACTTATAAAACACGCCGAACGTAATAATATACCATATAAGGTTAAAGATATGTTGAATAGTATTTTAAGCGAACGTCATGACGATTTTAAAGTTTTTGTCAGTTATTGTACGCCTACTTGGATGTCTAAATCAGAAGAATTCGGAGGGAAATTTATTGATTTAACCTTATCAGCAAATGTTCATTATCGTTGCATACTCGATTCAATATTAACGTTTGAACGTCCCCAACACGCGGCTCAATTGAGGTCGTTGATGGCCGACGTTGATCATCACGAGGGAGAAGAAAGATATATTATAGCTAGTATTGAGGCAAAGACAAAAGCTGTAAATGGTTCATTAATCGATGATCCATCTCTTTTGGATAGCCTAGTTGAATTCCAAAAGTTATTAGATGGTATTAGGCATTCATTATCCGAAACAAAACACCTTCAAGAAGAATTAATGGCCAATGAAATTCCCTACGAAAAAGTAGCCTGGTCAACGGCAAGAATGTTTGCCGTATTAAATCACATAGCAGCCTCTTTAAAACGGCGCACATATTACATCAGTTGGAAGAACTTTGAACAGCTTGTAAATGATTGTCTAGTTCAAAAATTTAGAGGTAAACACCTATTCCCAAATCCGGAAGCTAGATCCGCGGAATTGACTGAGGCCCTAACAAATATCGTAATTAACGATGCCCACCAACGTATGAGTCACATAGATTCAAGACTAGTTGCTCTGCTGATTACTTTTGACCGAATGGAATATAAGAAAAGCATCTCGATTAATGATCTTGTTAGATTTTCTCATGGTGCTAAATTGGAGAAGTTAATCGATAATTCTGAAATAGAATGGTTAAACAATGACACATGGAATATATTGGGCAATTTAGAAAAGGAATGTTCTACGTATCGTAATATTAGAGCTGCAATTGTTCAAGATAAAGACAAGTGGGAGCATTACTTTTACGGTGATCGCCAAATTCGTTTAATAGAAGATGTTCCCTCCTTCAAATTCTTACATTTATCACCATTTGACAAGAGTATTTTATGGAGGATTTGTAGGCCTGAACTTGTAAGTATTCGCCATGAAAATAATCATCCAAAAAGTAGACCAAATTATATTTTTTCTGTTTAAAAATAGATTTGGGAAGTGAGCAGAGCTTTGATTCTACACGAATTGGGTATTGGAGCTTTATTAGACGATGACGAAGTTAAACTGGAAGAGGCCTTCCATAAAAGTTCACACTCAAAACCAATTCTTATCCTAGAAGAAGAGGATACATTGGGTGGTCTAAAAATAGCCGAAAGCATTCAGTTATTAGCAAGAAAAATGCATATAAATAACCGTATTCCAGTACTTACCTGTTCTAGCGATGATTTATCAGAATTTAAAAATTCCCTAATCGATTGCCAATCACAAGGTTATTGGTTAATCATTCAGAATGTTCATCTTACCACATCGTCCAATCTTCAGAAGTCCCTATCGTCGGTTCTCCATTCTGCAGATTCTGTTAATCCGTCCTTTAGACTGTGGATTTTGTCGACATTGAATAATTCTGAAAAATTACCAATTGACCTGATACTTGGTAGTAAAATAGTTATTTCTAAATATGAACCTATTTCAAAGACTGCTAAAGGTAAACTTAGCCTAATGAATAGTATGCACAATTCATTAAAGAAGAAACTGCCATCTGTAAATCGTTCACATTTGAAAGAAGTCAATGACTTCCTAAGGCAAGCCAAAGAGAATAATATCACTTCGGCAAACAATCCAAAAGCTATTGAAGAGCTGATAGAAATTACCTATGATTGTTTTGATGAACGAATAATAAAATCATCAGTTCAAGGAGCGATAGAGTACGATGATGTACAATTAAGTTCTCCTTGTTCTGGAACCAATCCTGAGCTGAGCAAAGCTTTAATGAAATCTCTGAAGAAGGTTGTTGATGGTGGCGAAAGCACGTACCAAACTCTAACTAGTCTTTGGAATGATCGGAAAACAAAGTTCATTGAGTTATCAAAAGAAATGGTTACCGTTAATGAGAATGCTAATAGTATCAAGCATAATAATACAAATACTTTCTATCCAATAGAAGGATTGATGAAAGCAGCTAAGCGGCAAATAAAAATCGATGTAAAAGAGGCAATAGATAAGATTGAATACGCCCTAAAGATAGTTAATGGTTTTGTTACATATGATTCGTCAATCGATAACCAAATGATCAGAGCCAATCACTTAAACCTTGCCACTGATCACCTAAAAGAAGATCGTATAACGCTGGAGAGTTCTCCTAATGTACAAAGTTTCCTGCAGAGTGTGATACATGATTATGCAAGAAGAAATTTCAGAGATGTATCTTCTTGCTCGTTTGAGGTATTATTCGAGGATGCGCCAAAGTCGCCATACAATATTCAACTTAATCAAGCCATCCTTTTCCATGCTTCCCTAGATACTGAAAATCAACTAACTGTAACAGTTGAATCTACAGATACATATACAAAGTTGCAAAAATTTTCTCTAGTAGCTACGGCTAACAACAGTAAAACTCGTTCTCTGTATCGATGCCCACTTTATTATGATGGACAATATTGCGTAGCAGTTCCTATAATTGTTAAAGACAACAAAACGGCATGTCTTCTGCAACAGAGAGGTGCATATATAAGCTGCCAAAGCTCAATGTGCCAATGTCATATTTTCAAAAGCATTAGAATGTAATGTGCCAATGGTTTATTATAAGATTCCCGTTCATTTGAGTCCTTCCCGACACCAAACTTTTATCATAAAACAATTTTCAACATTCTTATAAAAAATGTCATACATATTGCTTTTATACTGTCACATCATTATCATAAAAGATTTTTAATATTTAAGCCAATTTTTAATAAACATTAGCCAGACATAAATTACATTCAAGTTAAATTAAACGTTATAAGCACACACCGTATTCGAAGATAATGCGAAAAAGTCTAATTGCGCAAGTCGGCCGGTGTAGGAGGTGGAGTCAAGGGCTCTGCTTGATCCATCAGCGCCGATCCATTCACTATCTTCGTCACGAATCTAGGTGGCGGTATTTTAGTGCTGGTCGTTGAAGACGACCTATAATGACCCATCAACTTCGGACGATTTGGTGATGCATACTGGCGACGAGCTGCGAACATATTGGCCAAACGTTGCTCGCTAGACGGTGCTGGCTGTATTTAAAAGTTTCATTCTTGATGAGGTGCCGTCGTTAACGGCATAGAGCACATCTGTAAGCGGGTACGGTTAAGAAAAAGAGGGTTGTTTGAGGCGTTAGTTATATTTTTTACGTGAGTAGGTGTATGATTAGTCGATTTTATTAAGGCTAAGATGAATAGTATTACGTGCTTACCTCAGCAGTAGCTGCTTCAATCATCGAAGCGTCAGTTATATCAGAGGAGTGATGAACGCCATGAGGCGCATGAGCATACAGCATGTCGGAAGATATCTGCTGCTGAACGGGATAAATAAAGTGTGCCGCCGAGGTTTGATGATTCTGGGCTGACGACGGATTGCCCCATCTATACTGCGTAACCGGAGCATTATTGCTCGGACCTGCAGTCCATTGAGTCGGTTGGGCGGCAGCCGTCGGTGGACTTTGATATGTCGGTGAATAATAGTAAGGTTGTTGGGTTGCGGGAAGAATCATTTGTATTTGCGGTTGATTGGCGTAGGCGCTGGCCGATGATGGGTCCATAGGATTGGCAATCACGGTCATGCCGTTAGGGCCGTAAGAATATGGAGCGGACGACGAATTAGCCAGCCAAACTGTTCCCGCCGGTGCGGTTGCGAAAACGGCTGCTTGGTCATAAACCCTAGGTGCATAACCCTGCTTGCGGATAGCTTGGCCGATATTCAACTTGCGCTCTTTGAAGATCAGGTGCTCTTCCCGTTTTATTAGCCGTTCCGCATCCTCTAGAGTTTCGAAAGTCACAAAACCGTACCTGCTGAAACCCAATGCAATATAACATAATATCATTAATATACATGACTGGTTCTAATATATTTTATTCACCCTTTCGAGACACCCGCTTGGTTCGATATAATTTTTGCATCTTTAACCGCTCCGAATGCACTGAAGTAGTGTTTTAGTTCTTCTTCAGCCGTCTGAAAACAAACGACTTGAGAAATATCACATATATTCTATTTATTAGACAGTAGCGTTAACAGCCATTCAGTTTACTTACTCCAGCCGGAATTCCTCCTACAAAGATTCTATTCGGCACCACCGTTCCAAATTTCGGTACAGAATGAGATTGCATAGCAGCCAAAGAGCTGATGGAGGGTGAAGGCGTAACAGAAGCTTGTACAGATGAATCGGACGACTGTAAAAAAGTGAAAAGACGTAACGTTCTCATACTTGTTCTAAAATTCTCTCGAGAACAAACTGCGGATTTCGTACTTTTTTACTTAAATAAATACTAATTTCTATAATAGAATGTTCTGACCTTATTAATATTCTTAAATACTTGTAAGTTGTGAACGTTTCAGAAAAACACTTAAAAAAAATGTAATACGTTTCTAATACAAACCATTTCCAAAACTTTTTCCAACTATACGACGAACTAATAGAAACGGCAAATGCAAAGCAGCGTAAAACGACCAAGAAAATCAATGCTAAACTGCAAACAAAACAAGAAAAATTTGAACACTTCAAATTCTGAACGGCCAAATGCGTTATGACTTTTTTTTCTCAGCTTTATATCATACCACAATAGCCTGGTTACGGGAAAGTGTTAACTTTTGAAAGTGCTCATCATTTCGATACTACTAAAGACTGCTATCAACACTTGAACTGTTTTTTTAAATTAAGATTTAATAAGACTAAAAATATGCAATATTGAGTTCGTTTCCGAAGAGCTCACCTTGAAAGTTATATTACTTATGTACGATCACATGCCAAAAACTCTGAAAAAAGGAAGCCGGTTCCAGATTTTCTATGTCCTCTGCTAGTCATATTTTTGATTTATCATACTAGCGCAGTTAATTATGAAATTCTGTCCAGAATCAGCGGATCTTAACACTCATATTTGGAAAGATGGAGGCTTTACAAGATGCTTCTATGATACTATTGCGTCCTCTGTGCTTACTGGTTTTATCATAATATTTGGTTCTTTACAAATTCACTTGTAACTTTTTTCTTTAAACTCTTTTAAAAATCTTCTAAATAATTTTCGAATCATTCTTACAGTTATAAAAAGAATGGACGAAAAATTAGAAGTACCGATCTCATAAGAAAGCCTGCTTATTATATATTATTAATTCTGATATATTCTTCAATATTCGAATGTCTAATTCGTCTGCTTCTGCAGCATCAATTATCTAATCTATACGCATATTCTATATTATACTGTGGTAAAGTTTTCTATATTTAATATTGTAAATTATTCTTCTTAACTATTCTTCATAAATTTAGTACTTATGTTTGTTTCATGGATATTTGTCTTGTATTTACTTCGATTCGAGAGAAATTACCGATTACGAAATAGCAGAAGAGGTCATAGTTTTGTTTTATTATTACTTTTGAGTGGAATTCTCATTGAAAGATTATTAGCTTTAATATCATGGTCAAGTCCACAATGGTGGTTTAAATCAAAGTAAGTGTTACAGATATTCTTAATCGTTTTATTAAGTGTTTATTTATATTTACAGAACAAAATATATACGAGTAGAGTTTATTCTATGGTCTATACGTTTATCTTTATCGACTTTAATATTTATTCTGGGTTTAGTAGCACCAGGCGTACCCTTGACAAATCCAAATGAAGATTACGAAGTAAGAAAATAGAAATTGACATTGAAAATTGATTTAATTAATAAAAATTGAATTACTTTTAATATTTAGCAACTCCCAGGAAACTCTGAAACTTCAGGATCAACTTGGCAAGGAATATGGAAAAAATTAAAAATGCTTTTCCCATATTTATGGCCAAAGAAAAGTCCCAAATTACAAGTTTTTTATTTTAATATATTAATAAGTATTTTTGTTCTTTTTATCTACAAAAACCTTTATTTATATTTCAGATTTGCGTCATTTTTTGTATGCTATTGTTGGTTGTTGGTCGTATTGTTAATTTATTAAATCCAATTTATTATAAGAAAATAGGTTTGTAATTAAAAAGATGTTAAATATTTTGTTGAAGAATTTTGAAATATTTTCCCTATCGACAGTTGATAGTTTATCAATACCCAATATTCCAAAGCAGAATACTACTATAACCATCGTTGATAATACAGTGCTTTTATCAAATAATTTAGCGTTTAGATGGGATTACGTTTGTATTTATGTTGGTTTAAGATTCTTGCAAGGCGGAGGTTTTGGAACTATGGGTTTGTTAAATAATATTCGAACATTGTTATGGATTTGGGTACAGCAGTATACGACAAGAGAAGTTGAAGTGTCCCTATTTTCTCATCTTCACGGGTAAAATTTTTATGAAAATAAGCAAATTCTTTTTACTTATTTACTATTTTCTCTTCGTAAAATTAGCTTATCTTTGAGATGGCATCTGGGAAGAAAAACTGGCCAAGTTCTTAGGGTTGTTGATCGAGGAACAAACAGTATTAATAGCTTATTAAAGTAATTATTGTAAAATTACTGTTTTAAAACTATTGGTTATACACTAATTAATGTTTCTTGTTTTGAATAGTTACATCATCTTTCAAATTCTACCAACGTTTGCCGATATAATAATAGCTATAGTGTATTTTCTTATGGCATTTGATGCGTGGTTTGCTATTATTGTTTTTGTTACAATGATGTTTTACCTTGGTAAACATTTTTCCATACAGTAAATATATATACAGTATATCTTTTAATATCGTTAGCTGCAACAATTATGGTAACTGAATGGAGAACAAAGTTTCGTCGTAAAATGAATACTTTAGATAATGAGAGGAATGCTAGAGCTGTAGATTCGTTATTAAATTTTGAAACAGTTTAGTTGATTAATTAATTTACATATATTTGTTTTTATTTTATATTAATTAAATGAAATTTAGGTAAAATATTACGGAGCTGAACAATTTGAGATTGATTCTTATAAGGATTCTATAATTAATTATCAAAAAGCTGAATGGATATCGCAAGCTACATTAAATATTTTAAATAGTATTCAAAATGTTATAATAGGAGCTGGCCTGCTAGTTGGAAGTTTACTTTGCGTTTGGTTAGTTTATATACATTTGTATAATTTAATATTGTTATTTACTTATTAATAATCTTTTTATTTTACAGGTATGTTGCAGCTCGAAAAGGTTTAACCGTTGGCGATTATGTTTTATTCTCAACTTATATTGTCCAGTTGTACGCGCCTTTAAATTGGTTTGGAACGTATTATAGAACAATTCAACAAGCTTTTATAGATATGGAAAATATGTTTGAACTATTAAGCGAAGATAAGGAAGTTACAGATGATCCTAATCCAGAGATGGATTGGGTTGTTACTAAAGGTGGAGTATCGTTTGAAAATGTTTCATTCCATTATGCTCCAGAGTAAGTAATTTTGTTTGATCTCTTTTTTATTTATTTTCCAAGTTCTTATCTTCAATTTTCAGGAAACCCATTCTAAGGAATATATCATTTACAATCCTTCCGGGCCAAACTTTTGCATTTGTAGGGCCATCTGGTGGAGGAAAAAGTACAATTATTCGTTTAATATTTAGATTTTACGACGTCGTAGATGGAACCATAAAAATCGATGGAACGGAAATAAAGAAAATAAAGCAATCGGATCTTCGTAAAGGTTTAATTTAAAACAAGTGTGCTAAAGTATTGAAATAATAATTGAAATTATTATATTTAGCAATTGGGGTTGTGCCACAAGACACTGTCCTATTTAATAATGATATAAAATATAATATTCGATATGGAAGGACGAATGCATCGGATATTGATGTTGAAAAAGCCGCTCAGTCAGCGGATATACATGAGAAGATAATGGCTTTTCCAGAGAGTATATTATAATTTTTTATGTGAAATTTACGATATGAACGTCTAAAGATGAATTATTCGTATAGAATACGAAACAAAAGTTGGAGAAAGAGGTCTCAAATTAAGTGGCGGTGAAAAGCAAAGAGTAGCAATAGCTCGAACGATATTGAAAGCACCTTCTGTAATATTACTAGATGAGGTAGTCGCCTTTTCACGATCATTATATTTATAGAATCAGTCTTTAGGATTAAAAAGCACTCGTTGACATTCACATTTTTGTTGTAGGCTACGTCTGCGCTCGATACTCAAACAGAGCGTAATATTCAAAGTTCTTTGTCAAAGGTATGTGAGAATCGAACAAGTTTAATAGTAGCCCATAGGCTTAGTACCATTGTCAATGCCGATACCATAATGGTCTTAGATCAAGGAGAAATAGTAGAAAGAGGAAGGTAAAGTATTTGAAAATTTCATTCCTAATCGTGAATAGTGCTAAAAGAAATTAATTAACTATCCTTCAGTCACGAGGAGCTATTAGAATTAGAAGGGAAGTATTGGAAAATGTGGCAAGAGCAAATGACTAAACGAGAGGACGACGACGGAGACGACACTTAAATTAAATTTGAATATTATTTTTGTAAATAAAAATATAAAAATGTTGTAAATATTGATAAGACAAAACAAGAATGACACTTAAAATGAAACAGAACAGTAATAATGTTTAACAATGAGTACAATTATGAATGAATTATTTTTATATATGCATGTATATACTAATATATATATAAATATATATTATATTATTCACTAGGCATGGATAGAAATATTAAATACCGTAAGAAAGTTGATGAATAAGTAGATCATTTAATAAGCATGATTTCTATAGTTGTAATCATCATGTTCAATTGACCTGGCACCATATCCTCTGGGGCTGCCATGACCGTTTCTTCCGTATGGATTATAATTTCCTTGACCACCTCTGAAATCACCATAATGTCCCCTACCATATCCTGTTGGTGCGCCTGGAGGATCGAAAGGAGCTTCATCCTCACTCGAACTCTGTTTTTTAGACTTTTTACCGAACTTGCCGAATAAGCCCCCAGCCTTTCCAAGGGCTTTTCCACCTGCTTTACCCGCTATATCTCCACCTGGCATGCCGAATTCATCGAATGCTGCATTCATTCCTTCTTCGCCTAAAAATTCACCACCTCTTCTAGCCATATTGCCATAGCCTCCTCTGTCATATGGGTTAGGTCCAGGTGGTGATCTATTTCTATCCCAACCTCGGTTATTAGGAGACATAGATCTCTCTCGGGCTTCTTTTTTACCTTTCTTTCCGAACTTTGACAAACCTTTACCAGCTAACTTGCCGCCATATTTTCCTCCTACGTCAGCTAACATCTGACCTCCAGGTACATCTTCAAGAGCATTTTCAAGTCCAGCACCAACCAAATCTTCAGCCAATGACTTACCCATATCCTCAGCCATTCCACGATGATTGTTTCGATCGTCATATTCGTACTCATCACGGGGTTCTCGTCTGTCAAGACTGCCTTGAATATAACGGTTTGCTGATCGTTGAGCTATTCGAGCAGCCTCTACGCCGGCGAAATTATTTGGCATGGTTCTTGTTCGTGGTGCTCCCGGATGTTGTACATCATTTTGGTCAAATCCTCCTCTGAAGTCGTCACGGCTATCGGGAGATTCTACTCTCCTGTTCCTGCGGTTAGGAGAATCATACCTTCGGCCCTGTCTATTTGGAGATTCTCTCCTGTTACCCATTCTGTCTGGAGATTCTCCTCTCCTGTTACCCATTCTGTCTGGAGATGATTGCCGACCGCCACCTCGTGAAGAATATTCAAAATCATCTGGATCGGGACCTCCATACTGTTGTCTCATTTGTCTCATACCTTCTTGTCCTAATCTATCGGCAAAGTTTCCAGCTGCTCCTCTCATATCTTCATTAAAAGCCATATCATCAAAATCTCCGATATTATCCATTTTTGGTTTAGATTTTAACAGCTTGCTCAATTTACTGAAGCCTTTTTTAAAGAAATTTCCACTATCACCAGTGTCAAACTCGCCCATTTCACCTGACATTGCCGCCCCAAAAGCTTTACCGCCCATTTTCCCACCAAATTTAGCAGCTCCAGCAAAATCTCCCAAACCAGCTTCATCCATTGCTCCATCAAAGGCTTTACCAGCCATTTTGGCGCCGAATTTTCCTGCCATTTTACCGCCCATTTTAGCGGCTCCAGAGAAGTCTCCCATACCAGCTTCATCCATTGCTCCATCAAAAGCTTTACCAGCCATTTTGGCACCAAATTTGCCCATTTTTTTACCTCCAAATTTAGCAGCTCCAGCGAAATCTCCCATACCGGCCTCATCCATAGCTCCATCAAAGGCTTTACCAGCCATTTTGGCGCCGAATTTTCCTGCCATTTTACCTCCCATTTTAGCGGCTCCAGAGAAGTCTCCCATACCAGCTTCATCCATTGCTCCATCAAAAGCTTTACCAGCCATTTTGGCACCAAATTTGCCCATTTTTTTACCTCCAAATTTAGCAGCTCCAGCGAAATCTCCCATACCGGCCTCATCCATAGCTCCATCAAAGGCTTTACCAGCCATTTTGGCGCCGAATTTTCCTGCCATTTTACCTCCCATTTTAGCGGCTCCAGAGAAGTCTCCCATACCAGCTTCATCCATTGCTCCATCAAAGGCTTTACCAGCCATTTTGGCACCGAATTTTCCAGCTCCATCCATATCCAAATCATCCATTTCAGGTAATGACATTTTTGGTGCTTTTATCTTCCCTGCAAGTTTTGAAAAGAACCCGCTTGGCTTTTTTTCTTGGTGCATATCATCACGGAATTGCCTAAAATCACCATGATGAGGGACATCTAATGAATCAGCGCTGAAAGCTTCTCTCATATGACCTCCAGCTTGGTCAAACATTTTCGTAGCAGGTATAAAACCAGTGACATTTGGCCCGTATCCAGGTTGGTCGTCTGTTTCTCGATTTACCTACAAAATTGCAAAATTAATTATTTGTCTAACTATATTCTATAAGTGCAATTGCTTTACCTTAAATGGAACTTTCTCAGCCCGAACTCCTGCCGCTCTAACTAGAACTAAATTTTCTTGGAATACACCGCCTCTACCTCTGCCCCTATGAGGTCTCCCATATTCATCTTCATCGCCATAATCTCTGTCAAAGCTTGATCTTCTACCGCCTCGGTTATATCCGTTATATTCTTGATCGTAACGATTTCTTTCTCTTTCTCTTTCTGGTGGATTATTGTCGACTTCTGCTTTTGGTCGACAGAGAACGAAAAGGAGTCCACAAGCAAAACCAAGAGCAACATTTGCAGCCAACTCCTGAGTTCTCTCAAAAACATTTATTGTTCCGTCTTTCAAGTCTATAACTACTTCATTGGTTGATATCTTAAAATCATAGGTTCCGTTTGGTCGCCTAGTTGGAACTGGTATCTTGGAAATTTGAGATGATCTTAACTCATGAATAGTGATTTCTAGAAAACCTGGATTAGTTGCTGAGGGTTCAGCTGTGGCAGATGGATCGCTTCGTCCATAATGATCTCGTCTGGGACGAGGTTTACATATCCATTTACCAATAACAATTGAATGATCACCATTGCCGTCTTTCACTAAGATAGCTCTTTCCTTCTTACTGGGATCTAAGGTCACAGCAAAATCAGGGTTGTTTAACTGATCGGGTAGAGGAATTTGGTTGGACCCAATAACATGAGCTAAAGCTTGATAATCATCTTCAACTCTCACTTGAATGGCTGACATACAAGTTTCTACTGAATGGAGTACGCGAACATTATAAGTCTCATCTTTTGAATGATTAAAAATTTTATGGAGAGCAACGCTGCAAGCTCCAGTGTATGTATCTGGTGAAGGGGGATTTAAGGGTAGAGCTATTGGTCCCCAAGCCGATGCATTACTTTTTTCTCTAACAGTAAACTCTGTATCTTCAACTTCAAAGAGAGCGGCCCCGAAAACTGGATTAGGAATCAAAACGTAGTTGATATGGAAGATACCAAAATATTCTCCGCCATATCTGTCTTTAAATTCACCATCTCTTTGAATGATTTGATGTTCATCAGGTGAATAATGCAAATCTAAAATATACACCTCAGCTTCTGATATAGGGGGCTCCTTAATTTTCGATCCATGGTAAAGTTGAACCCTGATCTTTTCATGTTCTATGGTATCGAACTGAAAGCTTTTCAGACTATTCTGATGATCTTCCCAACTGTTGGGACGGTTAGACAGTTTCGTTGATTTTTTCCATAAGCTAACTACTTCAGCTTCACCTGAGTTTCTAGGAATCAGATCAAGTTTAACAGTAACATTCTTTAGATCAGGATTTACGTGAATCCCGAAAGATCTAATTTTAACATTAAACCTTGCCGACCTTCCAGCAGCTTGACGTTCTTCAGTTTCTACAGACATAGAAGAGTGTGGAGCTTCTCCTCTGAAACTTCCACCTCTAACGGAATATTCTTTGTTGAATTCTTCTTTCATAAGCTCTCTTGTTACCTTCTCAGCTTCAACGGCTTCAGGTAAATTTCGTTGAAAGTATGAGTTTATCGGTATTGATGGTAAGGTCTCAAGTACATCCTTAAAGTCCTCCTCATAATCTTGAGTGGTACACATGTGAGCCCTCCAAACGAGTACAACATCTATAGGTGGTAGTAGGGTTTTATCTGAATTTTTCGCTAGAAGATGAATATAATTCTTATAGCGCATACAAGCATTGTAAAGGAACTCAGAATCCCAATAGTGTTTCAAAGAGACTTGATAGTAAAAGTGCTTTTGATGATTAACAGCTTCGGCAATATCGTATTTTAATTTGCTCTCAAATGAACGTTTAGGGAATTTTTCCCACATTCCATTTTTATGATTTATTTCGAAAGGTTCTCTAAACATTTTTTCCCATCTCATTCTAGCTAACTCCCTACAATTATACTCCTCCTCAAGACCATTAGGATACCAATGATCAATAGGGCATCTTGCTATAACTTCACAGTCGTCAAAGTATTGTTGGCCAGAAAGAAAGTGAATGTGCCAAACCCAGTAAACGTCCAAAGGTGGTATCAGAAGTTCCTGTGGGAATTTCTTCTTCAAGGGTAGCCAGCATGTTTCATAGCGTCTTATAGATTCAGATATAAGATTTGGATGAAAAAGATTTGGAAAAGCTTCAACTTGTCTCAAAAAGTCCAAGTGTCTAAGAGTATCATTAACCTGTTTCATAAAGAAAATAATAAGATAATAGACGAAATTGAGGAAATATTTTTTGAAAAAGCTACAAACCACAGTCTTTATCTCAATGTTAAACTTTTTGGACTTTGCCTCTCCCTCTTTATCCGACATGGTTGAATTTCAAATGGAAGAGAACTGTCAAGAAAAAAACCCCGCCCAATTATTGATGGGTGTGGACAATCTTACGATAGTTTGTAATATGGCGACTTCAATACTACAATGTATAATCAAAGTATACTATATTTATACCTAATCTTATTTGGTATATTTAGAAAATCTAAACACCTATTGATGACCTGTGACTGATGACTGGTATTAGATGGTAGAAAATTTCACACATAAAGACCACGCCTCGAATAGGCCTACGAGGTCGCTTCGTAGATACGGTACAATAATTGAACGAATAAATCACGATCCTATCATATTAAACTTGAATAAAAGACTTTTAAAAGTTCAATTTATAGAATAACTTTTATTTTAATTGAAGTTTTAAACAATTAATTGAATAGTTAAAAAAAACTACAAGATGCCGATGATAACTAGAATTCTAGCTCATCTTACAATGTCAGCAATTTAGGAATTTTTAGTCTAATAGAAACTAAATAAAGTATTAAAAATATTAATATTTAAAATTCATATTTCGATAGATTAATGATTATTACTTTAATAGATAAACTAATAGTAAGTATTTATTCTAGTAACCAGTTTACATTCGTCAGGATAATCTTAAATGCGTAAAAGAAAAGTTTCATTTTTTCTACATTTATAAGATTAACCTAAGTTAATAATTAATCTTACGGTGTAGTTATATCTAGTCCAAAAGAATCGTATATAAAAATTAAAGAACAAAATAATAACTGAAAAAGTGAACTTACCAGAACTACAACTTACGGCTGAGTAAAGGGCGTGTATTAGGGAAAGAGTGGTCTACAGGCCAATGCTGTTGTTAAAATCGCCTTGAATACACGTTACCCTTTGTGGTTAGTCTTCAAAATTCACTATGAACTGGCCATTTTCGTTTTCGGATTAGGTAACCACCTATGTCTATCTTTATAGAGATATTTGATTACCATTCATATTTCGACTTTGGTATTGATCATTGAGTTGGCTATTATTGGCTCTCAATACAATCGATAAATTGAGGAAAAGTTCTTTAATATAATATAAGCCATTTTCAAAGTATAAGCAAATAATATATTAATATTTCAGCCATTTATCGCTAAGAGATTTCAATGTTGAATGAAAGAAGTATAAGACCTTTTTTTATTTCATTACTTAACATTTCTTACGTTAAAAGTAATAAATTCTTATCATTCCATATTTAATGGAAAAGGGTTTCGTAGGAATTCTCTAATGCAAATTATTATTCATAAAAGAAAATTATGAATAATCTTGAAATTCTATAAAGAAGGGAGAGGTGCGAAGCTCTTCTATATCTTCAACAAAACTTTGGTTTATTACATGTGCTTTGAAAAATTTCCTTGATAAGTCTCTTCAAATATTGTGCTTAGAAGAAATTTTTAATCACATATTTGATAGTACTTCATACATTTACGTTATTCTAGGAAGAAAGAGAAATTGCCTATTTAATTACCTTATCTATTGTTTTTTTAATCTTTTAAGAAAATTTAAACAACTCTAAATTTATTATTATAACTCTTAAAGTGTTTGATTTCGTGTTCTCTCTCTCTCTCTCTCTCTCTCTCTCTCTCTCTCTCTTTTCTTTGTTCTAAATTACTATAACGTAGTTGAATAACCTTATGATTCGTGTATCAATCACTACTTTTTCATTATAATAAGTGCAGAAATTTCAAAGAGGCTGCCATTTGACCAATCAGAAGAAGCACTAGTTCAACATTCCTTCAATTCTTTTCTCTATTGTAAACTTGTAAAGACTAGCGGAAAAGTTCTTTCTTATTGAAATAGAACTTAATTCAAATATTATATTTTACTCCAGCCCTAGCGTGGTTACGTATTCCACCTTTAAGTTTCAAAGTTCCGAACACACTTTAAGTAACTAAACCCATTGATAACTTTTTCACTTTAACAAAAAAGTTCTTATGCATTGTCACAATAAAGTATCTATAATTTTTAAGTACAGAAATTGAATTATTTTATTTTTATTCTTGAGATAAAAAAAAAACAAACTATCACATGACAGTTAATATGGCGACGTACACAATTTCCATAGCCGTAAAAATTTTCTTTCTTTTTCAAGTTGTAACAGTAATTGCTTATCCATTTAAAGAGGACTATATAACTCAAAAATTAGATCACTTTAATAATCAGGATCTTCGCTATTTCAAACAGCGAATTCTTATACAAGGTGAATAAATCAATTCCGTTTCGATTTCTTCTGTAATTAATCTTGATAATCCTTATCAGACAAATGGTGGGGAACTTCCTCATCTCCCGTATTTTTCTATACTGGAAATGAGGGGAATATCGAACAATTTTGGAATAACACAGGTTTTGTGTTCGATATCGCACCGAAATTTAATGCTCTAGTAGTGTTTGCTGAACATGTAAGATGGCAAGTCTATAATTCATTTATATTTATAAAACTACACTTCTTTTAGCGTTACTATGGCAAATCATTACCATTTGGACCAGTAGACAGCTTCACTTCAGATAATGTTGGCTATCTGAGTATCAATCAGGTTTTAGCCGATTTTGCCCTTATTATTACCAGCGTTAAGAGGAAGCTAAACATTAAGGCACCAGTGATCTCCTTCGGTGGTAGCTATGGGGGAATGTTGACCGCTTACCTGAAACTAAAATATCCGGGTATAATACAAGGAGGAATTGCAGCTAGCGCTCCCGTTTTATCTATTGTTAATCCAACTTACAGAGATAGATATTTTTTCCAAAGTGTTACTAAATCGTTTGCTGATGAAGGATGCGCTGATAAAATCAGAACAACTATAAAGCATATTACTATCAAGAAAGATTACGCAGTTATCTCTAACAAATTTAACCTCTGCAAACCTCTAACTGATGAGGCTGGTTTAAATCAGTTTTTAGGTTGGATAAGAAACGCTTTTGTAACAATTGCGATGGTAAATTATCCTTATCCTGCCTCTTTCTTGGGAAATCTACCAGGATTCCCAGTCAAAGTATGTCATATCCTTTAATAAAATAATAATGCTTAATTAAACAAACAAATAATAGAAATCCTGTGATATAATATCAAAAGAGTTTTCTGTAAACCCTTACGATGGGCTTGCTCAAGTAGTTTCTATGCTATACGGTGACAAACAATGCCATGATATTTACAAGGAATACGTTGCGTGCTCGGATACTAGCGGCTGCGGTGTAGGTAATGATGGATTAGCCTGGGACTATCAGGTAAAGAAAGAAACATTTTATCACTTGATTTGACCTATACAAAATTACTGTAACAAAATACAAAATTTTTCAGGCTTGCACTGAATTACTGTCTCCAGGTGGAACGAATTCGAAAACTGATATGTTTGCTGATATGCCATTTACTATGGATGATAGGAAGAATTACTGCAGTCAACGATGGAATGTGACTGATTGGAGTACTTTTAACGAAATTGATTTTGGAATGGAAAGTAAGTAAATATTATTTTATTCAGTTTTCTTTTTTTTGCATTCCTTTTTTTTCTATGTTTACTTTGAGATTTTAAAAACCTAACACAGGTATAAATCAAACGTCGAATATAATATTTTCTAATGGAAACTTGGATCCGTGGCATGGTGGCGGTGTAAGGATTTTTTATGATATATATAGAATACTCTTGCGTTTTTATCGTTCTTTTTTTTGCTTTCTCCAGGTTTTATATAGCATAAAAGATCGATTAATTTCTTTAATAGTAATCGGTGGCGCCCATCATCTCGATTTAAGGTAAATCTAGATTTTAATACGGTAGCCTAGTAATTGTTTATACTGTATACACATATACAAACAGAGGTCAAAATCCTTTGGATCCACCGTCCGTTAGACAAGTACGCAAGATGGAAGAGCATTATATAGAGAAGTGGATCAGAGAATACTAAGAAAAGAAGATAATATTTTAACTATACAATTTCACGAATAAAAAGACCCTTAAGAAATTATACATATACCATATACTAATATATATATTATTATACTTGGGATAACATAAGCAATAGATGGCGTCGCGAAAAAGCGTTTAATTCAATACTTAAACATTCGCAAATTGCCTTCGAATGCAATCACATTTACATACTCAAAATCCTTATTTGCATATATATATATAATTGATTGTTATTAAAAAATCTCAATTTTAAACACTGTTTATAGTCTTTTCACCCGAAAATTTGATCTAAAGAGAAAAAATAACCTATATAATCCTAAAAATTTCAATAATTGACCATTCTTTTCCAAAGCTATATTCTCAAATTCCGTTCTAAACATCTTTAAATTATGAGGACGTTATCCTTTTGTCACAATTATGGCAATGAACAAAAATTTCTTTAAAGCCATCTCGTATAGAGTGTGCCTTTTTTCTATATGAACAATAACTGAAATTGGATTAATATACATTAAGCCGACGTCTGTGAACGTAATCAGATTACAAAGTTAATTCAACATGGCTAATGATATCGTATTCGTTAAACAAGATTTCTGGAAAATGCAAACCATACCAGAAAGTATATGTTTCAAAATCTTTAAATTTATGAAAATTGAATTGAAGAATTAGAGGAAATTTTCTATATCTTATCAGTCTACAAGGATAACTATTATTATTTACAGACGGTGTTAAATTGACTAGTTTATTTAATTTCTACAAAGAGAGCTCTTCATCGAACTTATTTTTTTTTTAAATTAGCCAAATTTAGCGCCCTTTTCAAAGAAGAACGAGTCAGGAATAAGAATCAGATTTTCCGTAGTGAGAACACATTGATAATAATTTTTAGAGGGAGGGAGAGAGAATATATATAAAGTATATATATAATATATACTGTATATATGTGTGTGTATGCGTGTGAGGGAGAGGTATTTACCTTACTCTATTATATTATGCATGCAAATACCTTCTATACTATAATAATCAACTTCATTATCCTTAAATACAGTTAGCATCGTAGGCTTAATGTGTATTGGATAGGTTGTTCTTATAAAAGAGAAATAAAAGAACTTAAAATTCCTTGCAGAATATCTCAGATCCTAGAAAAGTTATACAGTTAATTAAATACTATTTAGTAATTGAAAACGTATTTTGTTAACCTAATTTGTTTTGTCAATTAGCCTTTTATCCCTAGAATTACCAATTTTTTAGTTTGTTTACCTAATAATGATACGTTGGAATGTATAAGTCAAATCAATACAAATAAACTTCTACATATAAAATGATCTCGTATAAATTCGAAATTTCCAGCCTAATGAACTATAATATACCTCAATTTGTCACTCATTCTAATCATAATCTTATATTTTGGCTTCTTTTTAATTAATGCGGAACAAGATGTTTTTGCAACAGTAATTTCCGTTCTATTTCTGTCTTTATTTAATCAGTAAAATGTCAATAATTAGTAAGTTTGATGCTAATATAAATACAATTCTATAATCTTCAATTCTCAGAATTCTTGTAATAATTATTAAAAACATATATTAATATTTCATAAGGATCTTGGAATAATTATAACAAAATTAAAAGGGAAATAGATATAATATATATGGAACTATCAGAATATAAGATCCGTTTTAATTAGAAATAAATTTTCACATTGTTTCTTTACATAATTAACGAAAAATACATAAATAAAGGTACAGTTTCAACTTTACGCACTAATTCAAGTAATTAATAACACATATATTTCCTTCACTTTTCAGCAAATTCGACTCTCTAAAAAAAAACACTTGCAGAAGTATTTAATTACTTAAATATTAAAGTAATTTCTTCGTCCAGTCTATAAATTTAAATGATAAAATACAGTAGACTATTTCCTGTATTCTTGTTGAATAGTTTAATAATTTTCAACATCAGATGAATGCAATATGTTTTTATCGACTTATAAGAGAATAATTGACGACGTCTAATAATTGTTAACTGCCAGAGGATAAACAGTGCAAATGAAATTCTTCATCGAAGTTCATATTAATTGAGTAACCAAGCTGGGATCCATACAATACGGTGCTATTAATAGAGAGAGAGAGAGAGAGAAAGAAAGGGAAAAAATGAGAGAATATAATAAAGTAACCAGTTTAATTAGAATTTTATCTTAAATTACCTACCCGACAAATAGTCTAGCTGGATATGATCTATGACATAAGAATCTGTTACAAAATATGTTAAGTATATTTATAGATGTATCCTATATTTATGCTATACTTGCCCCATGACACTTCGTAATTCCATTGTTGCGTTAATATTATGATTAGCTTCAGATTTCAAGGCTATTTCAAACTTACTATTATCAATTATACGACCTGCTTGTACAGGTGAATCGAAATCTCCAAGTGTTGAAATTGTCATTTGAAGTTTTGAAATGTAGATTGGATAGAAATTTGTATTCGTTATTTTATAGGATAGCTGCGAGGAAAGGAGAAAAGCTAAACACTATTATACTTTTTGGTTACTGTTTAATATCTTACAATTGAGATTACTTTAACATCAGACTGCGTAAAATCGGATGCATTATTGTCATATATTTTTGTTCCATTTAAATGGTTACTTCTCAAACTTAATTTGACGCTCCTCGGAGCCAAGAAGAAGCCCAATAAACTGGCAAGTATAATACAAATGGCCAAAGTCAGGACGATCCATAGCCACGTCCTTCTTGGCTTCAGACGTTTGTCTCTTACCGGGATAATCGCTACAAGTTGAGATTCGTATTCTTTTGGAATACGTCCGCTTCCTCTACAGCTTGGACATTTTACTGTTACTGATTCAGTACTAGGAGAATCGTCCACTGAATCGCAGAGATATTCTGTTGACATGTCTTTAATATAATTATTATACCAGAGAAAATAAATATCTTAATTAATCAACAAAGCCAATTGTCTTAAATCTCTCAGCGAAATCTTGTCACATGACTGTTATACACAGTAGTCTTTCGACTCTTTAGAGTAATATTTTGGTGGACAATAATAGATCCGCACTGAAGAAAAATACGCCATTTTAAGGGTTCTGTGCGAAAAACCGGCAATGATAAGAAATCCTAGAGGAAGGGGAAGGGGTCGAGGTGGAATAATACAACCAATGATCCACCAAATAAACCCTCCACCTGGAAATTATAATAGAGGAGGCAAGGTTAAAAACAACAGGAAAGAGCCGGAACGTCCATTATATAACGCAATATTTATAATATGTGGTAATAGTTACCCTGAGGACGAATTTAAACAAGTTTTTTCTCAATACGGAGAAATCACAAATTTTCGACAGCAAAAAAAAGATGAAAGAAAAGGTACGAACTTTCTAAATAATTGATTATCCGGTGTATTTTTGCTTTTTTTCGAACTTAATTGGAGTTGACTTGTTATTTCTGATTTCATTAAAATAGATATAATTTCATTTCTAACGTTAATGTTTTCAGTATACACCTTTATCACCTTCTCTAAAGCATCTGAGGCTGCTTTGGCCATAGAAGAGATGAACGGAAAACCGTTGAATGAGTCTGCTAACGATCGTCTAAAGGTTTATTCACTAATTTATCATTTAATTATTTTAATTGCAATTCGCTTAACTATAGTGTATGTTAGCAATGAGTAAAGAATCTCGTGGGTCGGGTGATAAAAACGAGGAAAAAGGAAGACGTATATTCTGCAGAATTCCAACTGATAAAACAGTTGATGACTTGAAAGTTGAATTTGGTGAGTTTGGTGAAATTCAGCATGTTAAATTGCTAATGAATAAAGAAAATGGAAAATCGCGAGGTTTATGCTTTGTGACATTTAAAAGGCCTTATTGTGCAGCCAAAGCTTTAGAGAATGTTCCAGAAAACTATAAACCTTTGTTTGCGGAGGAGAGGCCTAAAAGCGAAAGGGTGCAAGGTGGAATGATGACAGATGGTATTAGGGGAGGAGGATACGAAGACTTTACAGATTCTAAATTTAGCAATTATGAAGTATTCAATCAAGACTTTTCATCCAATATGTACAGACAAAATAATCTCGGTCCGGAACCGATGTCATTTAACGGGGTTTGCGGTAACGATGGCTTTTACGATGACAATTACGAGGATATGACGTATCATAAAAGCCATTTTGGTTCGTTCAATGATCCCTATTCGTACGAATTGAAACCTAGTATAGTACCACAAAGGGCTATTAACGCAACTGATGTCATCAGTAACTTCCCTAATGACGGGAAATTAACACTGCATGTTCAAACTGGTAAGGGTATTACAGCCGAAAATATTGAGCATTTGTTTAGGATTGTTCCAAGTTTTGAATCCTGTGCATTTGACTCCTCAAGAGGAGAGGGAACTGTTAGATACGGGGATTCGGCTTGTGCGGCCTATGCTAAGGACAGAATTGATGGTTTCCTTTTCCCGAATGGTTCAACAGTTTGTGTTGCTATATACAAACAAGAGCAGAAAGCTTCAGAAATAAGCCGGTTAGAAGCTAATTTAATAGAGCTCACAGAAAAATTAAGCCAGGCAACGACTGGAGAAGAGAAGGACAACATACAAAATATCCTTGATAATGTCATTAAAGCCACAAGCTTACTGAAAGGCAAGGAAGGAGAAGAAGAAAAAGCAAATATCTTTTCAGCAACAAGTCAACTTGTTCGCGTTCGCTACTGCGCATTTCTAGTCCCAGAAATCAAAGAAATGGTTCCACAGGTACTATCATCGTTTAATAGAATTTCCCCTATAATGCTCATAATTTTCAGATGGAATGTGGTGAAAGACTATTTATAGTTGCCAAGCCAACATATTTTAGTGACAGTGTGTTAAGAAATTTGTTCTGTCGTTATGGCAACCTAATCGATGCTTACTTTTTACCGGGCAAGAATTACGGTTTTGCAAAGTACGGGACACTAGAGAGTGCTCAAGCAGCAATTGAGGCCATAAATGGAAAAGAAGTTGCAGGACAACTTATGAGAGTTGTTGTTGCAGATCCTAACTACGCTTTTAAGAAGAGGGCAGCCAATGAAGCTGATGAAACTGAACCTGATGCCAAAAGACCGAAATAAAAAGTTTTTTAGTGTTTCACTCGTGTTAGGTAAGTTTGTTTTTGTTTAATCTGACTCTGAAAAAAAAATCTGCGAAAACTTGTCTACTTCGTTACTTGTCTGTAATTAAAGAAACCATTTTGAATAATAATAATAATGAAAAATAATAATAATAATAATAAAAGGAAGAGCCTATTTAGTAAACACAATACAAACTGGTTAAGAATCTAGAAAATTTTTGACATTAAAAATAAAATATCTACGTTTCCCGCCCAATTAAAATAGCACCAACAAACATTAACGTCATGAGACTGACTTTAAGAAACAGTTTTGACAAATTTGTGCCTTGTCCGATGACAATAGACATTTTCGCTTTATAAATTAGTAAGTTGATGAATAATTTTGCTAATTTATTAATTTTCAATAAAATTCTCTTTTCGTTTTTTTTTAAGTCGATATAAAATACTGTTTTAGATTTCTCCAATGAAATAAGCAGAGAGATTCTTCGAATGGAATTCCATCATTCTATCGATTTTTAGTAAGTGATATCTTTTTGATAGTGATAATAAAGTCAACTCTAACCTTTTTAGCCCTAACTACAACCCCAACACGGCTAATATCTCCATGGAAAGAGATCAAATTTGATATTATCGATTAGTTTACGTTCTATATAGTGAAAGCTTTATGTATTCCGTGAACTATAAAAGTCCAGAGCTTCCCCTGAAGAGAATTTAAAGACTGGTTTTCATACTCGCTGATTGCTTGTAGATTATAACCGAAGCCGCTAAGAATTTTCTCGTTTATGACAGAAGGCGAGTGAGTACTGGCTGATAATTAAAGATAGAAACATCTTCTGAGTTTTCCAGCTTTTCTGTGTTTCCTTACAATGTTACCAGATTATATTAATGGAGCTGTTATTTTTTCTCCTGGATAAAGACAGTACATTATTCACGTGCCTTTATCTGAGAAGGTTTTCATCCGAAAAAACAATGGAGATGGCGTTATAGATCATTCAAGTGTAGAAACTGCTTCGCCTGATTGCCTGTTTTCTAAACCCATATACTTTGGATAAAGGAGAATAAAAACAGCTGATAGGCTCATAGCAATAAAAAGGCACCAAAAGAAGAGTCTATCTAATACCATGGCGAGCTCATGCCAATCTTGCGAATAATCCGCCGCAGTCACTTCATCGTCGATTTCCGTTCGCCGAAGAATCAATGAATTTTTTGAGTTCTTTGGCCCATTACTGACCTGCACGCTTTTGCCATGGTTAACTTTAGTTAATGATAGCAACTCAACTTCGTCAACCATCAGTCCATTATTGTCCTCTGGTCTTCCGTTCTTATTCCCCGATCTTATGTAAACACGATTTTCCGCCCGACTGCAATTCATAGTTGTTCGAATACGCAAAACTCTTGCCAAATACCGTAGTATTGCTGTCCGTAGAATTGGTTTGACGGGAAAACGAGGATTCCGATGGTGAACGTTCAGCACAAAAACTGTCAAACACACTGACAGAGTACCAAGGGTCATAGTTGCAGTCAAGTATAAAACTGCGAAGTAAAGAATTTTAATTGAAATACTCAAGAAGTACATTCCGAATCGTAATTGAAATCGATCGACTCACCTAGAAGCGGAATAGCTAGACTAGTTCGAGGGATATTGTCTGCAACCATAAGGAGGAAGACGGTAAAAGCAAGGAGAACACTAATACCAAGACTAATTTTCTCGCCTGCTTCGGGCGGAAGAAAGAAGCCGATCATAATGAGAGCGGAAAGCATTAGGCACGGCAGAACAATGTTCATCATGTAAAATTGGTATCGTCTCTTCAAATAAAGCATAAACACTACGTGAGCATAACCCTTTCCGGATGATATATCCAAGATAGTTTCGTTTCTTGTGGCGGATGTTCCTGATACTTGCCATTCGCCATTTAATCGAAAATCATGCGTTGATATCTCACTAGCTAAGGTTGAAATGTTCATTTTATCACTATGGTACGAGTAGGCTCCAATAAGCATAGGGCAAGCCTGACTATCGAATGGAAAATACTGAATATCGATATCGCATGTCGTTCGAAATATTCCTCCCGGTTCCCAGTGAAGTTCTCCCCGATGATTCAATAGAACCCTTATTCGTTCGAAGTCGGGATTTAATTCATCGGCTCTGTGGGATAAAAGTAAAGCATTTTGCCTAATTTTCCCTGCTCACTCACCCGTTCATGACCGCGATTTCCGGTAACCAAATTTTATCAGCTTTCACGACAATTTCACTAAGATTCCCGAAATCTTGAGGATTCCATTCTAATCTACCATCATTCCACTCCTGAAAAACAACGTTAATTCGCATTGACAATCGTATCCGACAGTTGGCCGTAGCGCTTGCGTAAATATTAGCGCTCGGTTAAAGAAACGCGTTTGTGCATAAAGCCTATATAGGTGTACAGCAAACAACCGTTTTATTAACTACATTGCTACAAAATACGATCACTCCGGTCTAACAACACTATACGTACGGCAATAACGAGTCCAGTAGTTGTTAACACCTGAGACCTTTCGTCCTGTTGATGGACATGTTAGGTTGGAGACAATAGTCCGGTCAGAATATTTAGAGAAAGAAAGAAAAGAGACACAGAAAGGAAAGAAGAAGTCAATACATACTAAGCCGTGTATTCTTAGTAGTACGAAGGCTAAATAGACGTCGACAGGTTTATCGGTATCAACAACTGCTCTCGCAACTGGATCGTAATCGCGAAATAAATAGGCCAACAAACGTTCTTCATGCGTCAAGTTCCTATGTGGTTTGAGCGGCACTGTTAGAACATAAAACTATATGGTTCTATAATACATTGGAAGAGGATTGAGAAAATTTGCAGTTAGACTTGATTTATGAAGTTAATAGTTAGATAGAAGAATGTAGGATAAAAATTCTTACATCCATAAAAATCGTAGCTGGCCATAGCTCCATCTTTTGATCCTGACGAGGTGCTTCCTACATTCCTACCAATACCTGAACCATCCTTAGGCTTTTTATTTTTTCTAATTTTTGAGCCTGCACCTGCAATATTATTTTTTAAGTCATCAATCAATATAATATGCACGAATGTGCTTCGAGGTTAAACGAGATTGCTCCCGTGCGGTCCGCGTTAATTCTAGACCAAGGCCTAACTTATAAAGGCAAGAACGAAAAAGAAACAAGCTGACTCCTAATAGATGGTTCTTAATACGAAATCAATAAATCTCATTTGATCGATTTTCCTTCCAGTGAAATAAATTTTTTCTGCAAAAACTTTACAAAAGAACGATAAAAACTTCCATTTAAAGTTTAGACAAAGCTGCGTCATGTGGTAAAGATTCATATCGCGTATGTAGTTAATTCACGTGAACCTTTAACGAAAGGTTAAGCATCCGTCTATTTCACTAGAATAAAGCCTACGTCTGTGATCAGGCCTACCTTTGCAATCGACAGCGGACGACAAAAGCCAATAGTAAACTGTTATTTTCAACGCAAGATGCTTCATATTTTATACCTGAAAAATGAGGACACTCAGCTTACATTGATTAATATGTTACGTTATGTGTTTCTTTTTTTATTTTTCAATAAGATAAATGTAAACACAAGTGAAACATAATTATTTTTTCGAACTTTTACTCTCAGCCTTTTCAGCGGTTGTTGTTGTTCTTGATTTTGTTGACTGGTAGGAGGTTGTTGAAAGAGAGAAAACATGTTCTTCTAGTAAACTTAATCTTCCTTTTATTAAGTTCTTAATTTCTCTTCTTGACACCAAGAGTAAATTTAATAAAGCGACTACTTACATTATTTATTACAAATCCATGGAAAGAAACTGTTTACGCAAGTTACCACTGCAGTAATGTGAAGAAAACTAGAAATAGAAAGCTGAGTCGTCACCCGCGCCCCCTAACGGTTGACGCAAATCCCGCTAATTATGGGCGGAGGAAAAAGCGAAAGGGAGAAGAAAGAAGAAAGGATAAAAGAGGAAAAGCGTAAATTTTTTCGTAGAAGAAATTTCTTTTTGGATCGATAACTACTTAATAAATTGAACGTGCGAAAACTTCTGTTTGTAACGGCGAAGTTATTGGTTTTCATATTCTGTTCATTGCTAAATACGTGTTTTAATGAGTTTATTTGGGGCAACTTAATGGATTTTATAAGCCTATAAATGTTGGTATGTACCACATAAGTTTTCTTTTTGAATAATTGCTTAGTCCGATGTAATCGGTTGGCGGATGCGACCAATTTTATTAGGATCTCGCCTTATTACCCACTGCAGTACAGCAAGAAGAATAATTAGAGGCAGCGTCAAGGACTGCATTTTATTCTTTAGCGAGATTGCTCGACGAAGACTGGTAAATAATAGGGTGCCAATAGAATACATATAGCCGAAACGATCATGACTGTAAACACAAGCCAGAACAAAAATCTATCCACGACTCTCGCAACATTCTTCCAGTCATTTTCCTCCGCTCGATCCATCTTCTCCAGACTTAGGGCTCTGAGTAACCTATCCGAAGCGCTAGATGGCGTTTCACCGTCCGACAATAAGTGATTTGCTAAGCGTCTAGCAGGACCGTTATGCTTATTGGGAATTGCTGTCAAATCTGGATCCGAAATTGCTTTAATGCTATTCACGCTTCTTTTGATAATTGGTGACCGAAAGCACACAAACTTGGCCATTACTTGTAGTACAAATATTCTAACCCAACCAGGCACTGGCTTCTCAGGGTGTAAATGATGAATATTTAAAACAAGGACAGTCAAACAGACGCTTAGGGTTCCAACCGTCATCGTAAAAGTAAGATAGACGACTAAAAAATTGAATTTAATAAATATATCTAAAAAAATTAGCTGACTAGCAAAATAGAAATGGTAGTGATAGAAAAGAGTTATTACCTATTATTGGTACGTATAACGAAGTCCTCGGTACAGTCTCTGCCACCATAAGAAGAAAAATGGTAAAGGCTAGAAGAACGCTGATTCCTGCGCTAATTTTCTCTCCAGCGGAAGGTGGAATGCAAAAGACAACCAGTAACATATGAACGAAAGATATTTAATATGTCTTTTTATGTAATACTTTGCATTAAAAATTCTATATTTGACATTATTTAATAATTTAATCGGATCTTATGGACTTTATGATCTATGGTTTCTATCATGTAGCATTTAAATATACGTGATCTTTCGTTCATAACCAGCACAAGAATAGAAAGCATCAGACAAGGCAATATAATATTAACGATGTAGAAAATAGTTCTCCTTCGTAATTGTAAGGCAAATTCGACGTAAGAATAGCCTATACTCTTACAGCAAGGTAGAACTGTTTCTCCCCAGGCTACATCAGTCGAGACCACCTGCCATTCACCATTCATTCGAAAATCATGCATTGGCACTATACTTGAACTATTTGTTAAATTCATTCTTTGACTATAATATGCCCATGCTCCAATTTTTATCGGGCATCGTTGTGTATCAAAGGGAAAAAAAGATATATCTATATCGCACGTTGTACTAAATATTCCTCCAGGCTCCCAGTGTAATTTTCCTACATGTGAGATGAGTACTCGGATCTTTTCAAAGTCTTGAACCATATCCTCGGCTCTGACGGGATATTTTATTTTCATATTATTACTATTATCTCAGTAAATGTTCGATCAATAAAAAAACGATTATCGAAGGATGAAAAAGGGAGAAAGTTTACCCATTCATTAACGTCAATTCCGGCAGCCAAATCCGTCCGGGATGCACGACAATGTCCGTTAGATTCCCGTAATCGTTCGGCTCCCAAGTTAGACGTTTATCCATCCATTCCTATGAATGATTAAGCCATTAGGACTATATCGCAAAGACAACTCATCAGTCTACAAAGCATTAACCGTTATTACGAGTCCTGTTGTAGTCAAAACTTGAGATCTTTCGTCCTATTTTTCACAAAAGTCATATGAATAAATGTATTAGATGAACGAGTATAGCCTATAAATTACTGAATACGTTACGATATCCACAAATTATCTAGTTAACATGTAGATATATGCATCTTATTTATCTACTGACCAGCTTCTGAATTCTGATTAACGTATATTGAATTTCAACCGTAACCACGTGAGAATCTAATGGCACCGCCCGAGCATCTGGATCGTAATCCATAAATAAATCTTTTATTAAACGCTCCTCATCCGTCGTGTTCCGTAATTTTCTCGTTTCCCTTGAATTTGTGTAATAGTAGGGGTAAGAAAATTTCGAACCAGTACTCTTAGATCCTTTTGATTTGACGTCTTAAGTGAATAGAGCATAAAAAATAAGAAGAAAAGATGGAAAACTTTTCAAATATTTGAGAGAAAGAAAAATAAGAAATGATTGATAAATGTAAATAATGAATAGTTTTGAAAAAATGTCCAAAAATAACATATAGAAAGATAGGAAAAAGTAAAATGAGAAAATGAGGTAAAGGATAAAAAAACAAGTTAACAACCTAACTTAGATCCCGATCCCTTATGCATTTTGAAAGGTTGGCCAATTCCATGTACGAAGAAGCAATAGCAACTAACTAATAAGTTGATTAGAAAGAACCAATTGTCGAGCATGTTGCAGCATCGTTTTCCCCTGAAAGAATAGGTTAAACGGACTGGATAACCTTTAGCTTTCAATTTAGAGCACAGTCGAAGACAATAAACCAAATTAACTATTGATTATTGAAGCCTCACTCAAATGACCAAATATTAGTTGAGATTATATCTAACTATGCATTAATGTTCTATAAAGGCAGATTTAGAAAACAGAAAAAAACAAAGGTTTCATTGTATAGTTTTAGTCAAAAGAGCTTCATTTTATGTTTAAAACATCTGTTCAATTTAACGTTATCAACTAATTTATATTTAAAATGTTAACTTTCTTCTTTTAGTTTTTTTTTAAAAAAAAAAGAGAATTTCCTCAGCTATTTATTTATATAAACAGAATTTATATTACTTGCCTGTAAACAATGACTTTGATTTTTAATTATTTTTCTTGTGATGTTATAACACTTTCCTAATTAATAATTATAATTATCTGGGGCAAATGGGACATCAGAATAGTTTTTTTTCCCCACTGCCCCCTTTCTCGAATGTATTATTTAAAATAACCTTATAGAATTTCCTTTAAATTTAAGCCTACGGGAAAATCGCTTGTAGGATTCTCGCTAGGATTGAAAATCTCCTAATTCATCACTAAATTGCATGACGAAACTTGGCATTAATTAACGATGTCGACTTTTCAATATAACGTTTACAAGCTCCCTAGCTTTCTAGTATAGTTTACCACTTGGCTTTTTTTTAAAACTAGCAAAACAACAACAAACCTCTAGCGAAGATCGTAGATATAACTTACAATAACAATATCTGATTATACAATCTTGTAGTACTTGAGTTTTGTAGACCTAGAGAGGCGATTGATAAGACAGGAAATGAGACTTTGTGATAAGTTATCCTGATGGAATATATTTTCATATATTTTTTTTATGCTGAACAAACAAAAAGCATTAATATTTAAATGTAAAATTCAAAGTCTTACTTAAGCTATAAAATTTAATGAATAATTAATCTCATTGAAAAATTTTTAAAAAAAAAAAACAAAAACAACTATTACTTTCGTAGAAAAAAGAAAATAGATAACTTACAAGATATCACACGCTTGTGAAATTGTGAGCAGCCTCGATGGAAAGACTAGCTCGTCTGCAATAGGTAGCTATTCTATGCGCTGACGTCACTGTTTCCATCTAGAACTATATGTAATTTTCTCTCAAACTTATACCCCCCTTTGTTGACTTTGTAAATAAAGATAAAAATAATTGAGAGGGTATTTCATATATTAACCTAATTTATTAAAAATTAAACTCGATTGACGATTTCAAATTAACTCCTTTTATCTTATCAGTTAAGGATCGCTGTATTATTACAATTCAAACGATTAAAGTTTCCGGTAATTGGGTTATCGGAATAGAATAAAGGCCTTTTTTTTTTACTTAATTAGCGTATAAATAATGTCTACATGTTTATTACTATCCTTTTTTGTTTGTTTAAATATGAATATAAAAGAATATTTCCGCTGTTTTTCTTGTAGATTTGATAAAGAAAATTAAATATTTAATTTAATTTCCTTTGTCAAAGACAGCAATAGACCTAAAAAAATAAGGCTAAAAAATGCGTTTTTAAAACAAATAGTGTTCAAACGAACGGTTTTTAAAGTAAAAAAAAAAAACAGATCAATCGTCTCTTCCAACGATTTCGTAATCGAAATTCGTTATCGGTTGTTCGTTGTTCGAAGTTGGTTTATTTTCCTTATCGTCATCTTCGGAATCCAAATCAATTTCTTCGAACTTCCCCATAATACGAGGCAATTTGATGTTATCTTCTGGCGTTCCATTCTCGCCTTCAGATTCGGAACTTTCTTCAACTTCAAAGTATCGTTCTTCTTCACTGACTCGTGGTCTAACTTGTAATTCGGTTAGCGGTCTACGTGACGGTTTATGTGAATCTAGGCATCTTTCCAATCTTTTTTTTAACTGCAAATTTTAATATTTATTGTTAAAGTTATCCAATTTGAATTGCGTGAGATGAATCGCTCATTACCTGATTCGTTTTTTCCTCCTTTTCTCTGAATTTAGTAAGTAAATGCTGAATGGGAATATTTTCGTCAGAAGCATCAATGAAACCTTCTTCTTTAATAGAAGCAACTAAGCTTTCATTAATATCGCCTATCATAAGCGATGTGGCCAGTTTTTTTCTGCGTTGATCTGGAGAATTAGTAACATCTGACAGGGCCAAACGTGGGGGTGTATCCGATTTAATATCATCTTGCCAAGTAACGCTTTTCTTTACAGCTGATTTCACGGCTTGTTTTAGAACAGGTGAGGACCCTGGAAATGTAAGATAAAGTTAAGTATATATAAAAAAAAAGCTTCAATTTCATAATTTACCAAAGTCAAAGTCCAGCTTGAGAGGGCTTCTAGACTTTATTGCTGTATGATAGTGACCAGCCTGTTGAAATTGTACAATATCCTTTTAGTATTATACATAATATTTAAAGATTAAAAGACCTTTTGAGCAGATAATGAATGATTTTTTCTAGGTTGCGGTGTTCGGAACATCACTGATTTAGTAGACGATGCGTAAGACGAGAATTTTCTGGATGACGACGGAGTGGTTGAAACCAGAACTCTTGCTGGTTTTGACAGAGCTGCATTAGACGATGAAGCTGATTTCGAGACAGGAATTCTCTGAGGCATAGGAAGTGGTGTCGATTGAGAACTGGAAAATATTAAATTGATTTTAAAAAACACTCTTTTTGCTGGAAAATTTGAAATATTTTACCTCAGCATAGGTTCGCCTGATTTTTGAGGAATTTCAAAAGATACTTTTCTAGGCCTTTCGTTTTCTGACGTCTGAAAAAGGTCAATTTTCACATTTGATTAATATTTCGTTTAGTAAACTTCTTACCAGTGCTCTGCGAGTTTTTTGACAGCTACTTTGAAGCTTTCGAATTGAATTTGGAGTTTTAACGGGAATGTTGCTAAAATAAAGGAAGTCTTTGTATTAAGTGGTTGATAATGCAAGATAAAAAGCTGATCGGGGGAAATTGTATCTGATAAGAATTTAAACGTTACCTTTTAAAGCTAACTTTTGATTTGCGTGGAGTTTTAGCCGGAGAAAAAGTATGCATCATTGGCAGGGCCATCCTTTCACTTGTTTCGAATTTTCAAATAACCTAGAATGACGTCTAACTTTAGTTGCTCTGATTAAAGTCTTAGCTATATAAGTATATAATAATACCTGGGAAGAAATTAGTTTTGTTAATCAAATGTAAAGTTTATAAATTTTTATTCTAAAAATAAAATATTCTCAATTTAACCAATTTAAAGTCATTTAATCACGAATCACCCATAAAATAACAGTCAAAAATTTAGCGAAACTCCACTAAATAACAAACAACCAATCAGCATCGTGCATTATATCGGTCACTTCCGGTTAGGACTAGATAGCACACTGAACTTTGACTGTTTCAGAATTTAGTAATACCCAGGTTTCACCAAATTGCAAGACGTTGTCTAGTATCCGGCGATTAAAAAATAGATGGATTCTAAGCAAATAAAAGCCAGTTTGAAAGAGACTCGGGAACTTATAAGACAAAAAGATTTCAATGAAGCTTTGCGGGTTTGCAAAGTGGGACTTACTTTTTAGTGCATTTTATATCGCTCATTGTTTTTTTATTTCAAATTAGGAAATATTAAAATCCGATAAGACAAATTATAACGCTCTCATATTCGTCGGTGTAGCAGCAGAGGGTTTAAATGAAGATCAACAAGCCTTAAATGCCTATAATTGCGCAATAGAGCAGCAACCGGATCAAATTCTGGCTTGGCAGGGTCTATCGTCATTATTAAAAAAAAAAGACGACGAAGAATCAAATCAACGCCATATCATAGCATGTGAAAAACTCTTAATTCTCCTTAAGGGGTAATTGAAAAGTAGATTTGTTTTCTATATTTAAATAATGAAAAAACTCTCCCTTTCTCTCTCACTTTTTAAGGAACGATGATAAAGTAATTGGATATCTTTCAACATTAGTAAAGTTATATCTATCTGTCAAACGTTTTGACAAGGTAGTTTCAAGGCTTGTTGATAAAGCCTATTCCAATATCTATTTTCCGGAAACGTATTATAAAATCTTTATGTTTTATTTGTTATTTAGTGTATAGAGACCGGAAAGATAGCATTAAATACGACTACCGATAAAGATATGATTTTGGACATTTATCGTTGCATTTATCAAGCGGCAAACGAAAGTTTTGAGGAATATAAGTCAAATGTTATACCTCTTATTACATCTAAATATAAATATTTATTTATAGAGATATAAATATTTTATTAATAAAGTTTATAATAATAACACAGGTTGAAGAAAGCTTAATCTATCTAAGCCAAAATTCTAATCAAGATGATTTAGTAAAGTATGTGATAGAATTACTACAATTTTATAAATGGGTAAAAAATATTAAACATTTTTTAATCTATATTATAAATAATATTCATATTTTAACTACTTATAAAGGAAAACGAAGTTGAAAAATTGCAAACTCTTCTTGACGATTCTAAGAATAAATTCCCAAGAAATAAATTCTTATTACAATTCGAAATCGAAATGGTCATTGATAAAATCTTGTTGGATTTTACAAGCGACATTTATTATACCAAACTGGAGAGTATTAGTGAAACATTACAATCATTAGAATGCATCAATTATACATCATTAGTGGAGGCGATACTTTTATTTAGAAAGGGAGAATATTCGACTTGTTGTAAATTGTTTACAGAAAGTATAGTTTTAATGATGAACTACTTATCTATTTTCATCCTATTTCACGCCTGTAATTGCAGTATTGAAAAATCATGGAGAAAATCTATCTGCGTGGTTAATTTATTCTCAGTGCCTTATCCATGTTAGAAACTTTAAATCGAACATTAAGGCGTGCGATTACAGTTGGTGCCTTATTAATAAAGTTTAATTTAATAGTAATTTATAACAATTTATCTAGTATTGAAAATCATTAAGAAAAAACGATCGAATGTTACATTAAAACTACAAGAGGAAAAAGCTAAAATGTTTCTAGTCGAATCTCTTATCAATCAATCGGATAAATCGGACTATATACAAGCTAAAGAAATAGCTGATGAGGTAATTATCTAGTATATTTTTCTGACTTGTTCTATATTGAAGAATATTTTTTTTTATTTTCTATGTTCATATATAACATACTCTAAATATTGATGTGGGAATTCAATTAATAGATGATCGGAAAGTCCAACAATCAATCAGAATGGATTCTATTAAAGGCCAAAACTCTTCTAAAGCTAAATTTAAATTCGAAAGTTGATGAGTGTTTAAAATTTTTTCATCAAGAAAACTTTTCGGAAACGGAACAGTTTTGGATTATTAAGGTCGATTTGGAAACTGCTAAAGGATCACTTGAAAATGCATTGATTGCGTGAGTAAAATGCCTTCCCCTTTTTTTTCTATTTGACTAATGTTAAACAACGATTTTCTTTACCAGCTTAAAACAAGCTATTAAATCTTTTCCGAAGAGTTCTTCACTTATGACCAAGTATGGAATCGTTTTATATAAATTGAACGAGATGGAGGCCTTAAGAATTTTAACTGAAGTGAGTATAACTTAAATACCGTTTAATAGTTGATTGTTGTTATTAAGGTAAATCAATTTTTTTTTTTCAAAGGCTGCCCGATTAAATCCATATTCCCCTGAACCATTTATTTATCTTGGTTACTATTACGAAGATAATAGTTTAAAAGAGTAATTATTAAAATAAATGTATAACAAGAAGGTGAATCAATTTTTATCGATATGACTTTATTATATTATTATAGAAGAGCAAAATTATGCTTTAAAAAATTATGCTTATTATGCTTTAAAAGAGCTTTTGAATTGGATAAAAGAAACTCTGAGACTGGAGCTAAATATATTGATTTATTACTTTTATCCGCATCAGACAAATCTTATGTAGGTTTTATTGTTTCTTATTGAAAAATTTCTTTGAATAATACAAGAAAATACTAAATATTTTAGGATGATGGTATTAAACTACTAAAGGGAGTTACTGAAGAAAACGTTGGAAAGTAAGTTCCGGTACGCTGTAAAGTTTTTCCTGAAATCATTTGTTTTTCTAACAGCTTGAAGTGGGCTTGGACTAGGTTAGGCATGCTAAATATGAAGAAGAAGAATTCCAAAGAAAGTATTCGTTGTCTTCAAAAAGCTCTGAAAATCGATCTGGGTGACAGGTCAATAATTGATCTTTTCTTTAATTATATTTAGAGAAAGAAACTAAAATGAAACACTTTAAATAGAATATTAATTTCCTTTTCTAAAATAGACATATGTGGGAATGTTTAGCTGAGGCGTATATCTTAAGAGGTAGTTACAACTCAGCTTTAAAAGCATTCGGAAAAGCTCATGAAATCGATGAGAATGCTATTTATCCCTTATTTAAGTATGTATTGATTTTATCATAGATTTCTCATTAATTACGAACATTTTCTTTCTTTTTTATTTTAGATCTGCAGCAGTTTCGCAATTACTTGGTCAATATATAGAAGCCATAAAAGAGTATGAAGAAGTTTTAAAGATTGATACTAATTATGTTCCCGCTCTGAAGGGTACTTCTTTTGAAGATACATATCTTTTTTTGTCTTAAAAATGACTTATTTATAGGAATTGGAGAAACACAATTTTTATTGGCTAAAGTTGCCCTAAGAGATACTTTTGACAAACGAGCTTTAGCGCATTGTGAAAAAGCTGCTAAAAGCTTAGTCAAGTAAATGCTTAGCTTTTAGAAATAGATGCTTAGCTTTTAGAAGTTTTAAAAATATTTTTTTCTTTAAGATGTCTTTTTCGACGGAAAAATTCAACATGCGTTTGGAAATTACTGGGAGATGTGTTTTCTATTATTTATAAAGTTCAATTTGATACGTAAGCAAAATAAAACATATATATATATATATATATATATAATCTTTAAGAGGCTATTTTAATATATTAATTAATATTAGGATGTGCGTACCTGAATATTTAATAAAAACTACCGATGATGAAAGTAATATGACCGAGATAGGCAAGAAGGACGCTTTTATGATCGCTGAAAGGTATTAACTACAAATGACCTTTTTTAAAATAATATTACGACTATTATTAGATTATAATTTCACTTATCTTTTTTTAGATGTTACGCAAAGGCTATCACATTAAGAGCCGATTCGTCCGCCCTCCATCATGATCTAGGCGTAAATTATTACAGATTAGCCTCTTGGTTGTCGATTAGTAAAATTAAGGAAAATTACATGCTAAAGGCTTTACATTGTCTTCAACTAGCTGTAAAACTAAACCAAACATGCCACGAACATTGGACAACTTTGGGAACAATAGCCTTGTCGAAAGGTACTGCGCGCTAAATGTTTTCTTTATTTGACCCTTGATGAATGCATAATTGTGTGTAGAGATCGACGATCCAGCTTTGGGACAACACTGCTTTATAAAAGCTATCCAAATAGAACCAGTTGTAAGACATTTCCATTTAGGTTACTCAATTGATAAGATATTGACCCGTATAATTAATTTGTAGAATGCTCCGTCGTGGACAAATTTAGGTGTTCTCTATATGCAAAATGACAACATTAAATTAGCCCATGAAGCCTTCAAAAGAGCTCAAGCAGCCGATCCTTCCTACGTCGCCTGTTGGATTGGACAAGCCTTAATTGCAGAACGAATAGGGGATGATGATGCCATGGATTTATTTCGACATACGACACAATTACAAAATCATGTAAGCTGTTTTTTCTTAATAGAATTTCTTTAGAAATCTTTTCTTTCATTAGATTGAATCTCAAGGCGGCTACGCCTCTTGGGTATGTAAGACTATATTGGACAAAGAATCTCCTAAAGGAGCTTTCTACGATTATAGTATCAATAAGGTAATAAAAAATTTATCTATTAAGAATAGAGTTATACTTTACGTATTTTCATGGGGAAAAATATAAACAAGGTCTATTATTGATAGATGAATGCAGTTCCAGCTGCAGTAGATGTTTTAATGAAGTATGTCGAACGTGTAAAGAATGACGCTGTTTCTCTAAATAATTTAGGATTATTACTGGAAAGGCAAAGATTGTATAACCAAGCATCTGAAAAGCTAACATTAGCCTACAATCTTCTACCGCACGAAGATGATTTTAAAGCAGCTATAGCCTGGAATTGTGCAAGGGTTTATTGGTGCTTATCTTTATTAATTGCCTACTTGTTTAATTTATTAATTCATATATTTAATCCTTTATGTTTTATCTCCCTACTATAAAATCTATAGTAAAAGGAGAGATTGGGAAACAGCCATCAACTACTTAGCACAAATACCAAAAGAGAATAATGTGTGCGAACCGGATCAGATTCAGTATTTAGAGTCATATATCCAGTTTTGCGCAAATGACGAGAGGTGTATAGTGTGTAAGTTTACACTTTCATCATGAGCCTTTTAAAAAAATTATCCCTAATTTTTGTTATTAGCCTCTAAGAAGGCATACGAACTTTGTACGGATAAATATGAAAGACTTCGAATAGCTTTGACAAGAGCTAAAATGGCTTATCATTTTGGTAAAGTTACTTTATGTAAACAAATTCTAGCAAATTCGTATGTATAATTATTAATTCTCATCGGATTTACTGTATGAATACTAATATTTTCTTTTTCCGCCCTATTTTCAGGTTACAAGGATGTGGAACACATTGTAAGGAAATAGACGATCTGTTAGAATGCTGTTCTGCCATTAGTATTCTATCAAATGATCCAGAACTTTTACGGAAAACTTTAACAATATATGGGGGAAACTTGGACGTTTATTTCCGTTCAATGAATTCGGTATTAAATAACGTTGATATAGGAGATATAAAAGCACTTCTTATGAAAAATTTGCACGAGAATCCTAAAAACGAACGACTGTGTAAATATATTACACCTTTCTTTCTTGCAAGTGATCCCACACGCCTAAATCAAGCGGCGGCATCCTGCAGCAAGAGGGCGTGTAGGAAGGACATAAAGAATGCTTTGTTATTAACTTGCTTGTCAAGTCTTAGTGCGGGGCACCATTCACAAACTAATTCACGTCGAAATGCTTTTAAATCCGTTCAAAAATTCTTGCATCTTCACCCTGATTCTATAAAACACTGGGCACTCTTGGCAGCCGCTTGTCATGGTCAAACAGTCATTGAGGAAGCTAAAGGAAAGGACGTTGAAGAGAATCACAATTGCAATTTAAAATTGACAACGTTTGTCATGCTAAAAGTAGAAGCCGATAGCGATTTACCGGGAATGAACGACCTTCATCTGTGGTGTGCCCGTCTCTATGTTACGCAGCTACTTTTCTCAAAAAGAGAAGACCAAGCCAGACAGTTTTTGGAGCAGGCCCTTTGGCTATATGAAGACGATAATGTTCTTAAGATACTTTCAGCGTTCCTAGAATGTAATTCCAAAGCTTTGAGAGAATTAACTGCTTCCGGGAATAAAGGAAACGCTTTTGGTTTACAATTGCTCTTAAGTATTCTAATAAAACTCAATTTGAAAAATGACTTAAGGCAAGTGGCAAATGGTTATAGCAGGTAAATTAATTTTTAGAAAGAGTCTTACAAATCCTAATTTTATCACTCCGATTTTACAGTCAGTCGTTCTTAATCTTTTCTAAATTAGCAGTTGCCTTGTATGATTTACAAGAGAATAAGGTTTGTACAAGTTATATTATTATTCCTGATAAAAACAAAATAAACACTTTAAAAAGGGACCGAATAGAGAAATTATAGAAAAATGTCCAAATAGTTCAGGAACCCTTTTACTTCATGCCCTAAGTCAAAAGAAGAACGTTAAGCACGCCAAGCGGTTACTTATCCAGTCAATTCAGGCCTCTCAAGTGGAAGATACCGGCTTATCCGTTTCCTATGCGCGTAAACTTCTTTTCCAGCTACTTAAAGAGAAGAATGACACTGATGGAATGCAGGTATTTGATTTATTTCGAATCATTTATTAACTTTGTACGAAATAACATTTTAATCTCTTTCACTATTTTCTTTTAGTCTCTCTTGGAAGAAGCAACTGCAGATAGCGATAAAGATTTCTTGATATACTACGAAACCTTATAGCTAAGTAAGAGAAGGAATTTTCGATAATAAACATTTTGTTAAATTCAATTTAGCAACACATGAAGTGGTTTATAGTCTTAAACTTTGTAATTTAGGGAGATATGCTTAATTATTTCGCAGTCAGGTAGAACTTATCAAATTTAAAAGAATTTACTTTTTGCCTGTGAGTTGTTTCGGTTGTTCCCTGAAAAAATTAAGCAAAAAACTTAGACATAAGTTATCTTTAGTCAAAAAATATACATATATTTGCATTCTTATCACGACTTGAATTTATCCTTGTAGTCAAATTTCCATTTTCTATAGATATCTTAAATTTTCAAGGCTCTAATGGGTCATCAAAAACGCTAAATTGGCAAACCCTTAGTTCAGTGGCAAATTTTGAGAACAGTGAAATAAATTTAGTTCTTAAAGGTTTACTGCAAATTTGATCAGTGATTGAAAAGTCGGAAACTGGTACGGGAAAACATATGTCACTCTTATTCATTGGATTTCTTAGTTCAGTTATTTTAGGAAATTCCGCTGTCGTCCTTCCAACAGAAACGGAATTCAATGGAGTGTTTTCTTATGAAAAGAATCATTTTTTTTATTGTGAACCTAAGCAAACATAAAAGCTAGTAGTACCTCCTGAATATATATAAACGTGTGTGACGTTATAGATATTTCCTAAGTTAACTGTCATCCAAGGAAAGTCATCAGCCTTTGAACTTTTAATGATTAAACATGTGTCTTCTAGGCCATCAACAGCAAAAGAAATACCTTTTTCATTTGTTGACCTTCCAAATGTTGAACTAATGGTTACCTTTTTCCGTTTGGCCAGATCTAACGATTAAACTAGTGAATAAAATAGCTTGTTTAATGGCATAGAGTAACCTTTGGCAGCTGGTCTAATAGTCAGTTCTCTATTCACTGTACTCATGCCTTCCATTATCGTGAAAAAATATAAAACAAGGAAGATAATCATTAAAATTTCCATCAATATATATATACATTTATATTAGTATATATATTTTAACAATATATTTAAGGAAACAATTTACGCAATGAACTTGAATTTAAAAACGTCATTACTTTAAAAACAATTCCGAAATAGCCTGAATTTTATTCAAATAGACAAATTAACATTTTATTTAAACATAATGGTTTTTTTTGTTGTTGCTATGGACAACAAATTCAAATCAAATAATAAATTTTAATAATTACAATTTTTTATTGGTTTAATTTGGAATTTAAAAACATTTTTGAAAAAAATATTTTCCTAATAGTTGAAGCTTCTCTTATTTATTTATTATCCCCCCTCCCCTTCTCCATCTATCTGTCTTTCTCTCACACACACACTCTCTCTCTCTCTCTCTGTCTCTTTTATTGTACTATGACGTTTTGACACTTTTCTCTTCACTTTTTCTCAACCATAAGCCAATAAGTAGAATAAAATGGCAACTATGCAAGGTTAAACTACTTAGCGACGTTGAAGGATATGTGTTCCAAGACATTTCGATCAGTCCTAATAGTAATAACCTGGAGGGAATATTTTTAGAATAAATTAAACAGAGGAAAAAGTAAACGCTATTAAATTTTTGGTAGTTTACCTTAACGTAGATGACATCGGAATACGCCATAAAAGATAATGTAAAGTGTAGAAATACCAAACATAGAATTGATAATGAAGTGATCTTGAAAAGCACATGCCAATAAAATTAGAAACAAACAACGGCTCGATGATATCTAAGTGTAATTAAAATTTGACACTAAGCTTTATAAAAGAGCCTTATAATGCGAAAACAACTATTTATCAAACTTACCATTTACTCCAAGCTCATTTTTTGGCTTTCCTGCTAGAATATTTCTTAAACCTCCATTCTTTTTTATCCATCTAAAATATCCAAATGTCATAAGAAAAAATAGGTGGAGTGCTAGTAGGCAAAGATGAAAGTTAGTGTTTAGAAACAACTCTTCGTTCAGAAATCTCCAGTTAACAGTCCACTTGAAGAAAAATTTTCGACTAAAATCAAAGGACATAACTAGATACGCTTTTGGATTCTCTTGGAGGAAAGGATACGCCAGTATCAATTGAACGAGGGCACATAGAGCAATATATTTTAAAAAGGTTTTGTAAATGCCATGACGACAGAGAAGAAGATATAAAAGGGCTGGAGCAAAAAGTAAAATGTTCATCTTGATGCTTACAGATAAACTGCAAAGTTAATTAATAATTAAAAAACATTATGGTGTATATAATAAATAAAGTTTAACCTATAGAAAAGGCAGGCGAGTGTCCAGTTATCACTTAATATGAAATTGAGCGCTATAAAGAATAAGAATACAGCAACAGGATCATTAAATAGTCGAAGAATAAATATTGAATGAATACGATATGAAGTGCAACACATGAACAAAAATACAAATGGTGGAACCTGTGGGGAAAGAGTTATTTTTAAAAAAGTTGTACAATATTAATTAATGACTTTACTTACCACTTTAGCTTTCCGATAAACGTTGAAAACCAATAATAAGTTCATTAAATAGAGACCCATAAAAAAATACTGAGCTAATTTTATGTTGATGCCATGATTAGTTAAATAATAGAGTCCAGAAAAAACATAAACGAAACCAGCCGGATAACTGTTTACAATAAGGGACATTAAACTTTTTAGTATACATATTTAAGAGTGCTAATTTAATTACACTAATGGTCCAGTATCTCCTTTAAGTTCTCCATAATCTAAAGTTCCATTTAAGAAACCCTCAACTTCTTGCATATACGCTATCCAATCTATTTCAGTATCTTTTGCAAAAATTCACCAATTATCGCTCAACGAACACTTGTATTTAATACTAAACTTACATTTTACTTTCCATATTACAAGTAAATTTACAATTATTTCTGCAATAAATAAACCAGTCATGATTAGATAAGGGCATTCTGGATTCAACAATTGATTCTTCAAATATTGCCATTTCAGATAAGTTTTTAATTTTTTCCTCCACATGGGCGGCGCCATCTTGTACAAATTCACCAAGTTCAAGCCAAAGATTATAAACAAGTTGATTCCGTATACAAAGTTTATTGTTATTTCTTATCAATAAAGTTATTTTAAGTAGTACAGTGTTATTTGAAATTTTCTGTCTTATTTCCTCTACTCCGACCACATATCATATTTCCAATGCTATTTTAACATCACCTAACACCTGAACTTTTACCAGCCGAACCCATTTAGATTCACTCCTCGATATTTTTAACTGACGATATTGTTTAATACCCAATTTATTTGAGATACTACGATCAATCTCTACTAATCTAACATATAACAACTGGCAGAGAAGAGTTTATTAATTTAAAATATGCATAGGGACCAAACGAAAATAGAAAATTTATGGTTATTGTACTAAATTATTAAATCCTTAGTTATTTGTTTTCATATGAAACATCCTTGTTATAAAATCTATAGCAAATATAGAAAATATATATATATATATTTAAATATAGGACTATTTTCAGATTAAAAATAGTAAAATAACTGAAATCTATCCATTTATTTATAAATTTCTAGAAAACTGTTAAAAAACAAAAAAATTAATGTATCAGTTTAATAAGTTAATAATAAAATGAGTGAAAATGCTCATCTACACGAATTTCTATCTAAAATAACTGTAATAAACTTCCTTTTTTTTTATAAAAGATATTAAATATGGCGTAGGTTCACAGCACTTCACCAGTCACGCATTTTGTTTTTAAATGATACGGTAATAAATAATTCAAATTCTAGATTGTTGTAGTCATATATTATTTATATGTTTTTGACAAACAAAATATAAAAAATAAGATATAGTTTAAATTAGGTCTAACAGACAAAAAAAAATAAAGGCATAGTTCCTCTTTAAGTTGAAATTGTTTAAGAACAAACAGAGCAAAATATCTGTTTAAGTGGCAATTTGTTGAAGATTTAAAATTTTCAGTTCAAGACGAAACTTAGCGAGAAAGAGATTGTTAGAGATAAAGAGGTAGTTGATCTCTGTTCTGCCTTTAAAATGACATGTTAAATATAATAGAATATTGTTAATGTACTATAGAAACTAAATATATACTGTACTGTCATACATTTTGTATATTCAGAGTCTATACTTCGGGAATAGAATGATCCATTTTTTTCAAGAGACCAGAACCAAGACATTTTTTCATGTGATCATAAACGAATGTTGGCATTATTGTTATGGTAACTGTTGTTCCACAATGGCTGATTACTTCAGATACTTCTTTGTCTTTCATTCCAACTACGTTTTGACCGCCAATTTCAATCAAATGATGATCGATTAAAACACCATTTCTTGCTGCTGACGAATCTTTAACTATTGCAGTAATTTTGCCGTCTTTGAACACGAAACCAATATGCCCAGTGCTATCTTTTTGCATCGTAATTGTTCTTTCAAAAGGTCTATCTCTGATAGCAAACTCAATTCTTTCACTAGGTGCCTTTTGCAAAACTTTCATACACTTATCAGTATCCCATCCGGCAACATACTGACTGTTTATCTGAAGAATTTGATCCCCGAATCGGATTCCAGCAAGAGCGGCAGGAGAGTTTTTGTTGACGAATGCTACGAATATACCTTTGTTAATAGCCTTTACTTTCATTCCAACTTTGCCATTTCCATCTTTACAAGCTATCACTTGCCTTATTCCTTGTTTGATTTCGGCTCTTACCAAACCAGCATTATAACCAGTAACTGGCGCTACTTGTCCTTGGTTTCCGAAGGTTGATACTGCTCCATTAGAGGCTGGCTGTACCTGCATCTGCATTGCTGGGGTAATCTCCATTCCCATGTATTCACTTAGAGATGGATACAATGATGCTTCATTTCGGTAATTTTCAGTCACTTCTGTTGCTGAATGACTAGCAACCATTGGCTGAGGTGGCATTTGAGCTAGTTGAGCTTTGGCCATTTGGTCCACTTTCATATCTTCAAGAGAAGGATAAAGACTCATGTTTGATGTTTAGGTTCTGCTTTAAATTATTATTAAACTGTAATGTAGAAACAAGCTGCAGTTGTGTGTCGTGCAGACAATCGATTTCTTCTGATCTGTGTAATAATAATATTATGACGATGACGCACGTGATCACGTGGAAGCGAGTCAGCTTTATCGTCATAGATCACATGATCTATGACTCACTCGGATTTTCCCGAGCCCTATTAATAACAAACGGTACATAACCTTTTAACTACAACTTTCTTATTATGAAAAGTGCATCCATTTAAATTTCAATTCAAATAATTTGAGCATTGTCATTATATATCAAATATTAACAAAGAAGATATATTAAATTAACCAAAATGAAAACAATTTGTTTTTTTATCAGTTTAATATTACAGCAATGAGTCTCATTCACTGCAAGTTAAAACAATTTGCCATAAATATCATCGTCTTATTTAATAATAATTATAGAATATAGAGCAGTTTGAGAAAATATTAATCTCTATGACGGTGTTTATAATACTTCTTCTTTTCTCCTTCTTACTACGTATCGTCATCTTCGAATTTTGACATATAATTATGGTAACTTTTCTCCATTTTGCTGTTTGATCCTGCTTGTTTTCGAAACGCAAACTAAACTTAAAAACAATAGGAAATAGAATTTTTCCTACAAAAAAACTGGTAATAAATGCAAAATATTCTTTCAACGAGAAATCAGAGGCAAAGATTTTATTTGTATCTCGCACAATTCCGTTTTAGGGCTTTTTCCCAAGAGTTTTCCAAGGGTTTCTTTTGTTAATTTAAGTAAATGTATGATAAGAAATGATAATTTGAAGAGCTGAAAAATGATAGTATGTTAATTATTAAAAGTTGTCGTTTGTAATACGTAATTAAAACTTTTACGGCCTTAGAATAAATAAACATAATGCATATCCACCTTTTCTGGATAAAATTTCGTCTCATCTGTACTTGAGATTCTATTGAGATAGTTACAATGTCGGTGTATATTATGAATATACAGTTCCATTTTATTCAATTAGAGTGGCTTCGTTTACTTTAAGTAATTTCCGTGTGGTAACCTAAATGATATCGATAATGGTTGGCTGTACCCATACGGCGAAAAGTGTTAATATAATACACCATTAAACCTTTTAAGTGCTACTTTGTCATTAGAAAAAGTGCATCCATTACATTTTTATTTCAAATAATCCGAGTATTATTGTAATTCCATATCAAATATGTAATATAAAAAGTACATGTATTTTTAATGGAGATGTCTACTGTTGTTAAAAAAATATGCGCTGAAACAATCATAAGATAAATCCTGCAATTATATAAAAACGTTTTGACTACAGTTCAAATTGTTATAACTTTTTTGTTTTCAGCAATTATTGTTCTAATAAAAGTTATACAACACAGATCAGTATAATGAAATGTTAATCTCTATGACGGTGTTTATGTTTCTTCTTCTTTTTCTCCTTCTTACTACGTTTTTCTAATTTTTTCAGCAGTTTCTTCTTTTGCTTATCGGTCAAAGTTCTTAAAAATGCATTTGTATCGTCGTCTTCGAATTCTAATTTTTCATTTTCCTTTTTAGGCATCAAATCTCTTTTGTCTGGCTTCATTATTAATTTTCTTTGAAATTCTTCATCGTTTTCTTCCTTTTTCTCTTCTTGCTCTTCTTTTCCAGGTTGAGGTGGTTCAGCAGTAAGATTTTTCTTAAAGAATGGACATAGGTTATCCGTATTCATATGACCCCATTGGTGACATTTTATGCAACGAACATTTCTGACTTCTATACCAAATGGTTGATCGAGAATAGTTTCATCATTTTTAGCGAAAGCTTCTCTTGGAGCGTTATATTTTCTTTGCCATTCGAATTTATATTCTTTTTGAGGTTCCAGTTCTTCTTCTTCCTTTTTCAAGCCTGGTGGAGCATCGTACATAAAGGATAGACCTAATTTGGCTTTTTCGTCTCCCAGTAAAACTCGATGCTCAATTAGTTCTTGTTCACGTTTATACTGATTTATACTATCCTCTTCTTTTTTTCGATCATACTTATCTTTTTCTCGGGCCATCCATACTTTTTTAATATTTTCTGCACTATCAGGATGAAAGAACTTTTTTGACATATAATTATGGTAACCTTTCCCCATTTTGCTGTTTGATCCTGCTTGTTTTCGAAACGCAATATAAACGAAAATACTACAGGAAATAGAATTATTCCTACGAAAAACTGGTAATAAATGCAAAATATTCTTTCAACAAGAAACCGGAGGCACGCGGTTCATTTGTGTATCCCATAATTCCGTTTCAGCGCGTTTTCATAAAAGTTGCGCAAAGCCATTCAGTCAGATTTAAAGAGTTTTTCATAGAGAAAAAGTAACTTTGGTGAGCTAAAAGTGATTGTATGTTAATTATTAAAAGTTGTAGTTTGCAAAGGGTAATTTAAAGTTGTGCAAGCGTTGAATAAATAAACCAAATATATATTTAGTTTTTAAGATAAAATTTTGCCTCATTTTGTACTCAATATTTCATCCATAAAGCTATCTTATTATTGACATATGCTCTGAATTAATACTTTCGTTTTGTTCAATTTAGGCGGCTTCGTTCACTCGAAGTAATTTCCTCGTGGAAACATGAGTGATATCGACAATGACTGGCTATGCCTTAACTGTGACGAATGGAACCTTGGGACGACACTGCAATGTGTTGTTTGTGAAAGCAAAATGACAGATTCGTGTAAAAGGTTCAATCCGAACACAGGAAAACTTGTTGAACTACCAAAATCTAATTCGCCCAAAATGTCTTCCATCCAGGAGTTTGAAGGCATCCAGCGTGGAGACTGGAAATGCCCGTAAATAAATCGACTATTCGTATTTGATGTACTTTTACATAATTTTATGTATTCCAGGGTCTGCACGTCAATTATTTTATTAAAAGACTCTGTTTGCATGCACTGCGGGTATACTATTGACAATAGGGTAAAGCATTATGGGCAACAGGGCGACTGGAGTTGCATGTATATTAATACATTTCTTGTTTAAATTTTTTAATTCCTTTACTCTTATAATTCCTCTTAAACATTTTTAGGTCATGTCATAATTTCAACTTCCATTCTGAGGAAAGTTGTACTAAATGTGGTAAAATCAAAGCTTATGATGATCCAACCGTTCAAGCCAATTATGTTATTGACGAGCAGTCAGTTGATAACGACTTTGAACGTTTAAGACGCGACGAAATGGTTAATAAAAATTTATTAGGGTAAGACAGTTGTAGTATTCAATTCCTTCTACTTCAGATTGATCGAGAAAAGGACAAAGTGATAATGAAAGATATGGAAGAGATTGATACAAAGTATGTACATGTAAAAAAAGATCGAATTAAGCACTTTATATTTTTTCAGAATAGCAAATATAAAAGACACTTCTTACGCATCTGATGAAAATATAGAGGAGCTAGATAATTGCAGTGATATTATTGAAGATTACATAAAAAACGCTGACAATAATAACCGTAATTTTATCTCATTATGTACTATAAATAAATAATCCAGTGTTCTTTTTCAACTACAGAAGAAGATAGAAGCAAGCTCCGCGAAACACAGAGTCAACAGTATCAATTCGGATCTGTTGTTAAAACAGAAAAGATAGATTCAGAGGAAAACCCGAAAGGTTGTAGATAAGCATACGTAAAATTATTGTGCCAAACATAACTGCATTTGAGTACATTTTTTGTCATAAATTGAGTACTACTCACTTGTGTTACTACGTACTGTGCTTATAAACATTGTAATAAGTCTTTATTTTTGAACTTACGTATACTTTTCCAGAAAAAAAAAGTTCTACATTTAAGTTTTCATACGACGTTAAACAGCAAGAAATATGCGAAGTGCTAATGGAAGGGAGCGACAGTGATGAAGCTGAGGGCCAGAGAATGACCTTTGATTGTAAATTATGTACCTTAACCTTCACTTCTCTAAATGTAACTAAAAGAGTTTTTGAATAGTACGTGCTGCTAATCCAAAACTTTTCATTATCTTCTTCAGTCATTTGAGTTCCACTGCAAGGGAAGTTTACACATTTTGAAACTACGAGCAGTTACTGGAAAGTCAACATATCCTAGTCAATTTTTGGAGTCAAATTCTTATTCCTCCAAATATGGACACAAATGCAAAGTAACTATATCACTTTAATAGTCCATTCGTGGCCTAAGCCAACATATACATATCAATAATTAGGTATGCAGAATTAACTTTGAATCTCGGGAAGAATACTTGCTGCATCTAACTACCCCGACACATCATTCAGTTAGTTATTTATTGTCCATTACTTATTGTATACTTATAAAAGACACATTTTTCTAGGCTATCGAGAACGTAGATAAGGCCGTTGTAGCTAATAAATTGGCAGAAGTTATGGATTTCTTAGAGGATAGAAAAGTGATAGACGCTTGGAAAAGACGTAAGTCATTTATTCACTTTTGTTCTCTGTGTTATTAATAAATAATAAACGATGATATAATATTAGGCCGCGCTCGAGAGAGAAGAAGACAAAAGATGACTGAAAAACAAGATCAGAGAAACAAATTGAAAAGTACTGAAAAAAGTTGTTCCGGTGATAAGGAACTTGCAAAAAAGAGATCACAATTAGGGGAAAGCCGCGAAACTGATCAAAAGCAAAATTATAAGCGAAAGAAATTTGAGGACATCGACCGTTTTCAACCTAAGCAAAATTTCACTGAAAAGGAAACAAAAACAGATAATGATGGTAACACACTTCAAAGACAGAGCATAATTGATATTAGAGATATAAATTTAACAAGGAGTCTGCGAGGAAATTATTTCAAGAAAGATAATGAACGATCTAGCGAGCCGGCTCGACATGATTTTTATAAACGAAAAGAAAGAGATAATAGAGACAACAGGAGATTTGACAATAATAATAACAACAGACATTTTCAAGAAAAATTAAAATCTTCTCGAAACATGAGAAAACAATTTAATTTTCAATACCCAATTGAAAATCCTAACGCATCAATCGAACGAAATAGGAAATTTGTTTTTGGTATGCACGTAAGTATTAAACTCTTTTTTCTTTCAATTACAAGAAAACATCTATAAAACTTGTGATATACTCGATGAATTTGAATTTTGCAGCCCCGATATAGACCTCACGTTGATCTCGATGCTCCTGAAGTTGCCAATATAAACCAAGAACCTATTCCGGAGTTTGGAATTAAAACTCAAGCGAACTATCGTCAACAGCAAGGACTATTTGGTCGACAGAGTGATAACCCCTCCCGTAATCAAGACCTCGCATTTGGAAAGAGCCCGTCGACTGATAGTCAAAGAGGTCAAACTACACTCTTTGGAAAAAAGTTTGCGGTTACTCCCGACTCGACTAATAATACAAGGAGTACGCACTTTCAACCAAGACAGCAGCATCAACAGCCCCAATATAACTTTGGAAATTTAGATTATGATGACGTAAACACTCCCCAGCAGTCCAGAAATGAGAGAAATGACCCTTATTCGTCAAAAAATCCAGATGTTCAGCAAAACAGAGATCGTAGCGATCCATCCAAACCTAAAGAGTTTAATCATACACATAAAATGTCTGGTAGTTCTAACCGGCCGAGGCACGAACCAAATGATCGTTTCCGTTTTGAAATTAAAAACGAAAGCGAAAACGAAGTCAATAATGGTAATGATAATGACAACAACAATGACAATAACAAAAACAATAACAAGGACAATGGTAATGGAAATGATGTTGAGAACTATAGCGAGAAAAATGATGAAAACGATAACGAGAATGATAACGAAAATAACAACGAGAAATGTAGCGAAAATATTATTAAAACTGACCACGATAGACAGGATGAAGAGAACAACGATAGAAACAACGAAGTGAATAATAATGAAAACGAATGTGAATACGGACTTGAGCCTGTCGAAAGCCCACGTCAAGTAGGGAGAGACTGTGTAAGTGAATACTTAAGTGACAACTAACTAAAAATTAATATATACTATTTTTACGAGACAGTCTATTCCTTGGAGTGAAGATAATCTTAGAACTCTCAAAGCACTTCAAGTGGGAATTCGAAATCTTCTGGAACTTGAGAGAAAGGGTGTCGAAAATAAACTATTGGCATTCGAATATACCAGCAGAGAAATGAACATTGAATCAACGTTAGTTGCCTCAGCCATCTATGAACTCAGAAGTGCAAACAAAAGGCTGTTTCTTGAATTAGAAAGGATTAACCTGCAGGATGATTCGATGAAAAGTAAAGCTTGCTACATTATGAAAGAACTTGAAAAAATCACTTTTTCGAATTAGTTGTTCTGTTGTGCAGTAATAATTGAGAAGAATGAAATAAACCTAAAATTCTTTGTTATTTGATGTAAGAGAACGCCGAATATTAAATTTATGCTCAACAAAGATATTGAATTAATGATATTGTTTTTTCTAGATAAACGTATTATGAAAAAAACCTATCTAAATATTTTCGCAATTTTTTGTCCTTATTCTTCTCGTATGCAATATGATCTATTAAATTTATAGAAGGACCTTGAAAGAAACTTCTTTCAAGGTCGTAAAAATGATATTTTTATCCGCAGTTCATAAGTGGTTTGTTTGTTAGTTGATAATAAAAAAAAGTATAACACACCAAATATAACAGCTTTTTATAAGACGATTTAAGGTAAACAATGAAGGACAAAGAGAGTAACTTGAAGTGATATTGTGTACACTTAACGACTAGAAGATAATCTCTGATAGTTTTGCATGCTGTAGTTTAATTGCTGGAAAAATGGAAAAATTATTCATCCACCTCATTTTGATTAGACGTGAAATGAGCGTCACCAGCCTCTATATGTTTCCGTTTGCCAAATAATTGACCTATTACTTTATCCGTAATTACAATCGATTTAGCTTTATTTTCCATTTTATCACTATATAAACCCCCAAATTTGCATAGTTTCATTTTCTTTCTATCTGAAATATCATCATCTAGGTCATCTTTCCGATTTCTCTTTCTATGGTCGGCTTTTGTTGAAGGACGGTGAATTGAAATTGAACGCAATCGAGGAGCATCTTCTCTCACCCTAAAGGAAAAGAAAACTGGTATATAAATAAAATAATTGGCTTTTGTTAACAAACTTTCTAAGTATTATCACGGCCCTCCGAGACTTAACATCGGTTGGTCGAATACAATGAGTTATCTCGTCAGCAGCATACCCATCCATTGTTGTCACCTGACCTCTTTGTAACTTGAGTACGTATAATGGTTTGGAGCATCGGATAGGTTTGAAGGCGAATTTACAACCGAAAGACAAAGCAGAATCACTAAAGAATGTAACAGAGACAATAGGCCTCTCGAATATATGCGGAGGATCAATATGCGAAACAATGCATCCTCCAGGCAAATAGTCATTGATAACAGCACTATTTACAAAATTTTTCTTAATGATATTTTTCTTAACAAGGCGATTAATTACCAATTTGTAAATCCAATCAGGAATTTTATCGACAGTACCCTCCTCAAAGAGGCGCTCCTGTCGTGGACCCTTTCTTTCTAACTGTGAACCGTAAGTATAACCTTCTCCGAAAAAATATTTATTTCTTAATGGTGCTCTATCCACAGTATGCTTTTTATAATAGCCTTTATCAGCCTTAGATACAACTCGATTAATGTTTTTTTCAATTTCTAGGCACTCCTCTTTACTAAAGATGGTGTATTGTTTTAATCCTGTTTTAACCTTTTCCAAGTCATTTTTACGTTCTTCGTCACTCATTAAATCATATTTAGAAAAAGGAACATTACTATGGTTATATTTGTAGTTGGCATTAACGTTTACAGTTTTTTCACGGTTTTTTTCATCATCAGAGAAAGCGGCCATTTTGAAAGTCCGGTCTTCAACCTTCAAAACAATCGAACGATCTCGTATCGCCGTCTGGCGTTTGGCGCGAAGATAAAAAATTAATTGTTATCTGGCTTGTAATTCTATATTTTCGCTTGTTCTAATTATAGTAGAATATAGAGTGTGCCTTTTTTCTAGTTTAAATAAATACTTTGTATATATATATATATATATATATATATATATATATATATATATACGTATATACGCTCTTCTAAGTCTATTCTCGCATTGTGGGATTGGAGAGAAGAATACAAGAGAAAGTAAAAGACAAAGGGAAGAGAAGGATATCCTTACTTACAAAAAGACATCTTGTTTGAAGTAAGAAGTTGTTCTTTCCCACACTTTTACCGTCTATATTATTTAAATTTGTACTACAGAGCATTTAGTAATTTATACTAGAAGAATGAAAATCGATATACATAATCATATTCTTCCAGATTCATGGCCAAATCTAAAAGATGTAATTATCTTTTATATTAAAAATATCAAAATATATACCTATGAAATCTTTAATACCGTTTTAAAATATTCTAAGAAATATGGCTATGGTGGTTGGATACAATTGGAAAAAGATAACGACGGCCATCATGGGCGTATGATGATGGACGATAAATTATTTCGAGTCGTTGACGAGAATTGTTGGTCTATTGAGAAAAGATTAGAGGAAATGAATGCTAACGGAATTGACATTCAAGCTTTATCGACCGTTCCTGTTATGTTCAGTTATTGGGTAAATAGCGCATTTATCACTATCTGACAAATACGACTTTTTCTCTCTATAAACTATAATATATCAGTAGATGGAAGATATAAGATGTTAATAATAAGAGAGAAAAACATATAGAGCTAATATGATCGTTAAAAAAAAGAGAGAGATAAAAATTACAGTAAATTTACTGCATAACACTATATATAACTTGTACAGTATGTAAAAAAAAAATCAATCAATAGTAGAAGTCCAGATGCTTATTTATTAAAACTGCTAAGATCACCTCATATATGAGAAGATATTTCAAGAGAAAATTAATAATTCTTTATTGCTAAATTGTCTAAGCAATTGAGCTACATGAATAATAGGTCTATAGCTCAAAGGGACAGAAGAGAGCGCCTTTTCTATACGTGTTACTTAGTTATACATAGATATTAGATGTAATGTAATAATAACAAATATAAATGGCGTGCAGGCAAAGCCGGAAGATACATTGGATTTGTGTAAGCTCTGCAACGATAACATTGCTTCTCATACTCGAAAATATCCAAAGAGATTTGTTGGTCTCGGATCTGTGCCGATGCAAGAGCCCAAACTTGCGATTGAGGAATTAAGACGATGCAAGAATGAATTAGGCTTCCCAGGAGTCCAAATCGGATCACACGTTAACGACTGGAATTTGGATGCCGAACAGCTGCAACCTTTTTTCGCTGTATGTTCTTTTTGCATTATGCTTTATATGTTTGTTAGGACTACGCTTCCTTTAGTAAACTAATTACTCTTTTTATTCTGCTTTTAAGGAAGCGGAGAGATTAGAAATGAGCATTTTCGTACATCCTTGGGATATGGAACAATGCGGTAGAATGAGCAAATATTTTCTACCTTGGCTAGTTGGTATGCCAGCCGAAACAACTACTGCAATTTGCAGTGTTCTAATGGGAGGTGTATTGGAACGTTTTCCGAATTTAAAAATTTGTTTCGCTCATGGGGGAGGCGCGTTTCCCTTTACTATAGGCCGAATCGAGAAAGGATTTAATGTAAGGCCAGATTTGTGCGCAGTCGATTGCGAAGCTAATCCTCGTGACTTTATCGGGAAATTTTATACTGACTCATTAGTTCACGACAGTAAGGCGTTAATGCATTTGGTTGAAGTTATGGGAGAAGTAAGTTTTCTTTTAAACTCTACAGAAATAAATTAACTCTCCCCCTCCATGCATACTAATGCTCTCTTCCTACAATTTATCCATACGCCAAAGCATTATTAAGTTTATATGCAGAAATAATAATAGTGATATTTATACTTTTTATCCATCTATTAGAAAAAGGTCCTTCTGGGGACAGATTATCCGTTCCCCCTTGCCGAATGGCCACCGGGAAAGACCATCGAATCAATTGTCGAATTTTCCGACGACATAAAAGTAAGAATGATTTACATTTAAGATTAGAAATAATAATCATCTCGTAATATAATAATAATAATAAATATTATTATTGTTATTATGATTATAGGTGTGTAACTTACATGATATTTTCCTATTTTTTAGGATAAACTGCTCGCCAAAAACGCTTTAGAGTTTCTCAATTTAAACCGCCAAGATTTTCAGTAAATTATTTTTGTTTTTTAATGCAATATTTCTTGTCGAATGTACAACACTTATACATGCATGTCGTTCTAGGTCGACCTGACATATATCTGCTCATTCGATATTCTTAGTAATTATGATATTTACTAAGCTATTCACTTAAAATAAACATATTAATATACTCAGATGGTCGTTTTTTTTTTTATTCTCATTAAGAATTCCGAGTTCGCTATTCTTTTAATTAATGAGCTATTTTTAGATTTACTTCTTTTTACCCAATCTATAAGCCAAAGCATAGAGACGATTCATTGCCTCCTCTCTACTCCTTTTCTCACTAACAGTATCATATAATCCATAAGGGGCTGCTCGTTTCCACGTTGGTTCCGATTTATATCCATAGAGCTCTGAGATATCTTCCTCGTCTTCTGGAATGAGGCTGTCAGAGGTTGGATATTCAGAGTTTTCATAATATTCGTAAGGATCTTTCCAATCGTAGAGCGATGGATAAGTCTCGTCATCGTCGAATGGAATCTCATCTTCGTAAACATCCATTGGCAAATCATAGTAGAGAGAGCGTTTTGAACGAGCCTGTACGGGGGCGCCTGACATATCCTCTGCAGTTGCCGAAGACCTTTTCTTTCTCCAATTTGTTCTCATTTCCGGCTTCATACTCTTCATAAGCCAATCATAGATATCACTCAATTCCTTATCCTCTTCGACTGTCTTTTCCTTGGGTACGATTGCAACATCTGACTTAGCAGCTTTATCACTCTCCACTTTTGTTACTGGAGCCGGCGATTTAGTCTCTTCCAGTCGTTTTGTGGCTATGGGATTAGGCGGCATAAGCTTCTGCGGCACATTCGGATCCGCTTTTTTTACTCTGGGTCTATTCTGATGGTTTCCATATTCCAGCTGCTCCAGGGCCCGTTTTACGCGAACTTTAGCCTGCGGAGCGGCTTGATTCAGGGCCAAAAATACGAAAAAAATGAACAACGTAACGGCTGCTTTCATTCCAGACAGCCTGCAAAAGAGATGTGTAAATTACAAAATATCCATTTACTTGCACTCTCCTTAAAGCGAATATCTAACTCTCATCAGTACAATCTGATTTATATAGAATGCATATGTGTAAATATCCAATATATATATATATATATATATATATATATATATATATAGATACTAATATATCTATATATATATATTGTACTCTCTAAGCATCACATTAAAAAGAGGATGATTAATCCTATTTACCATTCAATTTACGAAATTCATATAGCTGTCTATGTCTATCTATAACTGTATATTTATAGCCTTTGCAAACATACAAACACATATATACAGTATATAAATATATATATATATATATAAATGATAGAGAGGTTTCTATGGATACAGTAAAGAATATGTTATTTTACTAAACACATATATATTCTTAATATAAAATGCATACTCTCTCTTTTAAAAACTACATCATTCTTTATCTGAATAATATATGCAAGCACGTAGGTAGATATAATCGGCTTAAAATAACCGTCATAATTATATAAGATAACTTAATTCGGGTAGAATAAAAATTAAAAGTCACTCTAAATCGTTGGTTATTGAAAGCCGTCTATATTACGTAATCTAATGAATAGGTTGATCAGATTGCAATGAAAGGTAAGTTAAGATAACAGATGTTACCTATTGTCAATACGGCGCCATTCGTGTTTCTGCAAAGAAACTCCTACGAAATCACGTGACAGAGGACATGTTGAATTTGCATTCGACGCTGAGCGTCTCTGGCGTCTAATTATATTTTCGCGCCAGCTTTATGAAAAAAAAAAACAGGTATTGATATTTTGATACAGGATTATAAAAAAAGAATACAAACAAAGCTATAGAAATGAGTTTTCATTATAATTCTCTCTCTCTTTCTCTCTTCTTTTTCTTCTTCTTTTCTCTTCCTTTTTTTTCCATTTATAAATATTGAATGAAAAACCTGAACAAAAACTATTTTTATCACTTGAATAAACAGTATTTCTTTAAAAACTCCTCTTTTTTTCTAGGTTATTCAAAAAAAAGTGGACCATCGTAAAATTTTGTTTTGTTTACAATTTGTTACGTTCCAGTAAAGTTTGTAACAACAGCAAAAGATCTTTTCAAAAAAAGTCGTTCTAAACGAACATTAAACATAAAAAAATGCATTTTAAAAAAAAAATAAAGTTATAATAAGATCTATTTTATATCCAGAAGAATGTAAAAATCTTATTCACCTCTTCACTTCCGGGATAAGAATGAGGTGATAAAATTTAAATAACCCTCTATTATTGTTGTTTTTTTTCTTATAAGATTTTTTTATGTGATTTGATCTGTTGTTAAAATCAATCTAATATATACAATATATACGCTTGGGGCACGTACGGCGTGATTACAATCTGATACAGGCTATATTAAAAGATATATAAGAGAAAAAAATTCCTTTTCGGTATATATCTTTCATGAGTTTATTTAAAAAAGATCCTTAGCGGATCAAATAAATGGCCCTGGTCATTAATTAACAGCTGGAGAGATTTTCAGCTATGCAATCGGGTACTTCGGGTGGTCTAAAAATGAAAGGCTTTTTTGTCAAATGTTACGTAATTGTCGACCGTCTTTACAAGTTAAAACCCTTCAGGGACAGAAATAATATAAAATCAATTCTACCTTTAATCGAGATATTCTATCGCCTGTAGGCGTTAGGTTTTTCAAAGAAAGCTACGAATTATAACGCTTTTCATTGCGTTTCAATGTTGGAATCTTTTAGTGGGCGGAGCTTCAAAAGTTTTTATCCAATGAATGACCGATATTGCCGAATGTTTATTCAATAGATAGCTCAAACGAAAAAAACTGTATATTGGTGTGTTTGCTTACAAAGTGACCAACTTGTTAAAGAAGCGGCTTCTTTTGGCTGAGTGCCGCCGAATGCTTTGGACTACTCGGTTAATTTAACCCATTATAACAGAGTTAATTGGCTTGATTAAACCCAATTGATTAGTCTAGTGTGCGCTTTGCAAATACGAAATAGAGCAAAAACACGAGAAAATCCTCTAAAGTCGACATTAGATCGCCGTTTAACGATGATGGCAAACTATCCTCTTACCGAATTAATTTTATTGCTCTGTTTCCGATATTCGCAACCGAGTTGGCTGTAAGTACAACTTTATATCTTTTTAATCTTATATGACATATTATTTAGTTGGAGGAGAGTGTTCTATAAAAGAGCTTCTGTTTCTTCTATTTTTGCGATAAGATAAATTTCAATGATATTCTCTTCCCCTTTAGGCTTTTGTCGGCATCAAGCGCAGCTTCTGTTTCACGAAATTCCCTTGTTTCTCTTTGCCGAACCATACCAGAAGTGAATGTTGGTCAACTAGAATTATGCGATAAATATCCAAACGCTATACGAAGCGTTCAAGAGGGTGGTAAATCAGCGATAAGGGAGTGCCAACGACAATTTAGATACGAACAATGGAATTGTAGTACATCGTCGAACGCATCTTATTCAATATTTGGTCCTACTTGGAAAGAGGGGACTAAGGAGAATGCCTTTCTTTTAGCAATATCCTCAGCAAGCCTTGTGCATATGCTTACGAAATCCTGCTCAGCCGGAAATCTTTCAGCCTGTTCATGTGATACATCGAGAGACGGAGAAGTTGGTTACGACGGTTCGTTTTCTTGGTCCGGTTGTAGCGACAACGTTGGTTTTGCGGAACGTTTCACGAAAAAATTCGTTGACTGGTCAAATAAGCAGACAATAAAAAAAATTATAAATGAGCCTGGATCCAATTTAAATCATACTGCGAAAAAGGTATTGAAAAAGTTGTTAACTAGGAAGATGGCTAATTTGCATAATAATGACGTTGGAAGAGAGGTTAGTCGATTTGAAGAAATATATTTAAATAGGTAGACGTAGGGTTGAAAAAAAAAAGCAATATATATGCAAAATTCCCGTACATTCTTATTGACTCTCGCCTAAAGAACGACTTAATGCCCCAGTAAGAAACGATAGCCGCCTCACGTTTCGTCAACAACCTCGTTTCTTCTCATCGGAAACGTGAAAAAATTAGTGAAGCGGCACGTGTTTTGTGTTTAACACCTGTGTCGAACAGCATATATCACTCAACGCTCGACGAAGAAATTACATGTACAGATTAGGGTTATCGGAGAGGTGAGCTCCGCCCGATAAGAGTCGATCATCGGCTCGCATCGTTCGCATTCCATTATGGATTAATACAAAGAATGTATCTTCTACATATGTATTTACTTAAAAAACAAAGAATAATATAGCTTACTAAATCTATATCACACAGTGTATATCTTTTTATTGGACAAGGGGGTGGGAAAGGGCGATAGATCTATTTCATTTCGTCTTTTGACCACAGTTATTTTTCTTGATCGATAAACTAGCTTTCGAGGCTATTTGCGCGTGTGTGTTCTTCGTTAGAAATAGAAGAAAAACAATAACAAGTACGTGAGAGCGGATTGAATACTTGATTCAAAGGCATAATTGTATGGCGTAAAAATGCTCCAATTGAAAAGATTCAATTGGGCTGAAATTAAAAGCGAACTTTACGACCCTCATTGAAAACGTTCGACAATATCTTTTCTTTAATTTTATATATATATGTGCCTTATTTATTGCCTCACAGACAGTCAAAAGATTGATGGAAAGAAAATGTCGTTGTCACGGAGTGTCTGGTTCTTGCGAGGTTAGAACTTGTTGGCAATCGTTACCCCGTTTTTCAAGTAAGCATTCTTTTTTTTCAGTTTTCGTTTTAATCAATTCAATTATTTCCTTTTAATAAATAAAAATAGACGTTGGAAAGTTCCTGAAGAGAAGATACGAAGGTTCTATAAGAGTGAACATTAAGAAGAATCATTTAAAAAGAAAAGATTCCCGAGTCAATTATATACCAATCACAAAGAAAGAATTAGTTCATACTGATAAATCTCCGAATTTCTGCAAGAAGAATAGGAAAAAGGGATTTCTAGGAACGACAGGTAGACGCTGCATTAATGATTCATTGAAAAAGGGTTCATGTAAGATGCTCTGCTGTGGAAGGGGTGCTAAGGTTACGGTTCAAAGGATCAAGAAAAGATGCAAATGTAAATTTCATTGGTGCTGTGAAGTTAAATGCGAAACCTGTTACGAAGATAAAAAGTTTTACACTTGTAAATGAAAATTGGGCGCCATCTACATGATATTTTTGATACCTCAAACTTTTTTGTTTGCAGTTTTGTCTGTAAAATGTATAGAATAGTTATTTTATTTTATTTTTTAGTATATAGCCATAACTATATCAGTTATGTATACTGTACATATATTTATATACAGTATAAGTATGCATATATTGCAGTGAATGTACAGTATAGTAGTTAAATATTCACGAAAATATATGTATATATCTTAATCTTTTTTATATAAAATAAGTGCATTTTATATTATAGGAAGAGAAATATAAAATGCTCTTTATTACCGTACACTATATATGCACATATAATATGACTTTGTGCATGTATAGTTGTTATAGAAATGTGCTATTTGGGCGCCATAAGTGCGTTGCTGTGAAATATAAAGATAAAAAAAAAACAGTGTAAACATACTCTATTTCGTCTTATCTTGAAAATAAGCCGACTGCAAAAGAATGCTAGTCGACAATACTTTTTTTTTTCTATTTTTAGACAATAAGATAAGGCGAGAACGATGACGGAATTTTCGGGCGCATAGACTCGAGAAATCACATTTAAGCCTCGTATAATCTCTTCCGACGTCCCGAGAAGATCGAAATAAAAGACGGACAACGGAATTTGTCAAACTATTCACGGACGGTTTACTTTTCATATAAAAAAATACGACATAGACTATGCCCGCTTAACTTCTCTCAGTATTATTGCGGTGTTTTAGAAGGAAAACAGCTGCGAATAAATTACCATCGAAGAAGAGAGACTGGCTAGCAGTTTTCGCCTAGTCGTCATGCAGAACGCAACGGTAACGTTGCTTTTGGACAAATCACTACAGTTAAAAGCCGTTTATGCTCCTTTTTTATTGGCTGTTGAACCTCTCTCAAATATACTTTGTGCTGTTGTGTTTTTTAGATACGCTCCTGCAACGTCAACAAATGTTTATATGTCTGCATTATCTTTGGCGGATTTTACTTTTGCTACAACTGGATTGATATGGCATATGAGGACGGGACAAACAAGAGATGAAACTGATTTAAGAGTGACTTTAGGTTGCGCAATACCAACCTTTCTTCATATTCCTCCAGGGCAAGTATCAGAATGGATGGTTCTAGCTGTGACTATTGATAGAGCTCTAGCAATCTATGCTCCAATCAAGTCGAAAAGTGTTCGAACGACCAAGGTCGCCAAGTATGTTGTTTGCGGAGTTGTAGTTTTAGCCATGCTGTGGGGGATACCGTTATTATTGCTCATCCCTGGTGATGAATCGGACCCAAATAGATTTCACCGATGTAAAGGAAGGAATCAGTACTTGACGGAATACGCTTGGAATATATACCCATGGTATGATCTGGCTATGTACGCTTGTATTCCAAGTGTTGTAGTATGCATTTGTACGACAATGATATTGTGCAAACTAATAAAGGAAAAGCGTTATTTTCGGTACCGACGTGGTGCCAAATCGACGCTGGCCAAATTATCACAAGGGACAACCATAATGCTAATTAGCGTCGCTACGCTATGTCTAATTTGCACGCTTCCCGTTTGCATACTCGTTATCACCCTATCAATACCGTCCGTTGCTGAGGATACAGAGACTTTCGCAAAAGTGAATTTAGCGATGACTGTTGCTGAAATGTTTATGTTTCTTAATCATTCCGTTAATCTGTACGTATGTCTGGCGTCTAACGCCCACTTTCGTCAGTATGTTAGAAAGGCGTTACGAATGAAGTCCGCCCCCGCCGATGGTGCTGGTAGACAGACTGTAGCGTTAATGAAGAAACGGACTTCAGTTAATTTTAGTCGTTCGACAACATTACAAAAGTTCTAGGAAGACTTTCTAGTGACGCTCTCTCACACAAGAATAACGAAATATCTATCACTCTGATATATAAGTATATGTGTCATATATACAGTACATATATATATATATATATATATATATATATATACAGTATATATGCCTTGTAAATGTATAAAGACAGTATATTATGGACATAATATGCATATATTGTTTTATATTTATGCAAAATTTATTTGTCGACGAAAATTTCAATTATTAAATTATAAAACTCTATGCCATCCATTTGGAAATTCTCATCTCTTGGCAAAATTCTCCCCTTGGATATACTTGGGAATTTTCATCCATAAGCGATAGCCATAATGGGGTCTGTGCGCCTGATTTAAAAAAAATTAGATTGATATCGGAAGAACGTGAAATGATGAAAACATGCGTTACCTTCATCTATGGTTTTCACGCCTTTATGGCTAGTCATATCAGTATCGACATATCCCGGGCAGCACTGTCAATTTGAGAGACGTATAGAATGACATTTTGGGAAAAATCGCTCACTTACTGAATTTACAATAATATGTCTGCCATCCTTATCAAACTCTTTTTGCTGTATGTGAGTAATGGCGCTTACACCCATTTTTGATACACCATAAGCCGTATCTGTAGTTGAGATAAAAGGCGTTCAATTTATAGATTTAACGGTATACGATACGTTTCTTCAATATCAGATCCAAGAATAAATTAGGTAAAAAGTCAGAAGAAATTTCTCTGTCATTTCTTCTGGTACACTAACTAGGCCAGCCTTTTTCGAGGTGATTGCCGCTTTTGGCGGCCTCAACGAAATCGCTTATCAGCTTCTTCACGTCGTCAATCGTTTTAGCGTTTCGAAAGGATGATTGAATATTCGGTTTAGACTTCGAGAAAGACATTAGACAAACCAGACTCGATAAGTGAACCACTCTAGAAGAAATAAAATTATTGAAGATGATCGAACAATAACTTATAACTAAGTATTAAACCTCGCTTTCGGTTTCAGTATAGGAAATAGAATTTCGCAAGCTCGGATGGTTGAGTATACATTTGTTTTGCATGTAACTTCGGCTTGTTCTCCGAATGGTTCAGTGGCATTTCCCTAGAAAATCAATTGTTTAAAGTGAGCTCTAACTAATTGTTTTAGTTGTAATGTCATGAATTGAGAACAAGGAAGGTATCGGTATTACTTTATAGGCGATCCCGGCATTATTAACTAATAAATCCAATCCTCCATATTTCTCCTTCAAAAAGTCCCTGATTTTCATGATCGTTTCTTCGTTGTCAATATCTAGGACATGAAATTTGGGAGACAGACCCTCCTTCTTCAACAGCTCGACTGCTGCTTCACCCCGCTGCTGATTCCTTGCGGTTAAGTATACATCTCCATCGAATTTCTTACATAGACCTCTAACGATGCCGAAGCCGACACCTTTGTTACTTCCAGTGACCTGTTACGAGTGTGGAAAGCGCACATGCGTGTCAAATTGCATATTTATACGAAAATTACCCGTATTTTTATAGCATGTTGTTAAAAACTTACTATAGCTACTTTGGAGGACATTATCACAAATTGCAATGATGAATTTCAATTAACTTCTTCAAATAAAATGCTCTGTCAGAGATTACAAGCAATAAAAAAAGACTGGTTACCAGTAATATAAACAAGAGAGGTTAACTTCGATAGTGGCGACTCACCTACTTTTGCGGCAAGTAGTGAAATTGAATAAAAATCGAAATAGATATTAAGTTATAAACTATTTATTAACTATTAGCATTTAAGTAAAGTAAAAATATAATAGACGTATAAAAAATTTAGACGATTAAGAAAAGAAAAAGAAGTATGTCAATTATTAAATACTTAATAAAATAGTCACGCATCTCTCTTCCTGAGAACCGATATTCAATTTTAAAGATTTTTTGCTAGTTTTCATTATATCACTCCAGATAAAGAATAAATAGTATTCTTCAGTTTGTAAAATGGTTGTTGTGTTGAACAATCTAGAAATCTAAAGTAATATCAGATTCCAAGTAAGAAGTTTTAATGATTGTCCAAAGAGAGGTCGAAAAGGAATGAAGAAGAGCAGAAAAAAGAAAAATCTTATTTCCATTCTCTTTTGATTCATGTCTTGTTCCGAGGACGAATTATATACTTAAAATGTTTGACGTGTCCAAACAATAATTACTATTACTCTTCGCCAAACAGCATCACTCGAACAGCCTTTCTAGCCCCTTCTTCCATTTCGTCTTCGATTGCTCTAAAGCATTCGATTACCAACGACTTTAAACGTCTACTTCCTAAGATCGACGCTTCTCCATACAGATAGACGCCCATTGCCTGATTATTTAATAAAAAATTTCGTAGTTCGTCGAACGCAGGGGCGTAATCGGTTCGAATAACTAATTCTGACCATCTGTGCCTTATCTGTAAGATTATAGGGTTAAACTGTAAAATAGTCAATTCGGCACAGGGTAAATTGCTTACGTCGGCATTGCATTCATCGAATCGATAAACTTCATTTAGATGTTTCATGCACTGTGTATTCATCCTTTTTGACGTCCACCTAATGATTAAATCTAATAAAAGTTCCAATTGAAAACAATTCATCTAAAGGAAGAGAGAAATGAAAAAAAGATAAAAAAAAACACATTAAAAAATTAACAAAGTTTCTTCATTTTACAAAAATAAACACAACAAAGAAAAACTTACTTTTCTTATTTGACTAAAGTCAATTTTCCTCTTTTTACGACTTTTTCTCAATTTTAAACCCTTCCAGAATTTTTCCTTTTAAACAGGACAATTTTCCCACGTAATAATTATATGATATATAATAAATATGAAAGGAAATATTAAACGTACCGCTTCTAAGCATTGTTTATACAAAGTATTGTTCTCGTCTAGTCGCTCGGTCAAACACTGAATATGTTTTGTTTTCATAGTTTAAACAGTTAAAATAATATATATACTAATATATATATATATATATATATATAATGTATATAACTTACTTCTGGTAGTTCTGCTGAATCCAGCCATACTTTATATAAATATGTATCGTTAAACTTTATTGGATCTCTGTGGAGGGGAACAGCAGAAAATATTTCTCCATTTATCAATTGTATATGAATGTATATATTTAAATAATTCATTAAAAATAAATACTCAACTCTAATTGAGGATTCATTCGGAAGAACAATGTAAGGACATCCTTTAATCGAAGGAAAATATGATTACTATTAGATTATAGAGATATTTTATTTATTCACAAAATTTACTTTAGAATTAACCATGGATCCATGGTATAGCATAACGTACTCCCGTAAGAATAATTTAAAACTTTCGGCTCCAGAGTATTCGTAGAGATAGGAAAGTAGGAAATATCCCTTAAGAAAGATCCATCTTTTTTTTTTTTACTCTAAACAATTAATTCCACGACAGAAATGTTTTACCTTTAAATAATGCACCTGAGTAAATTGCTTTTCAGGATTCATTCCATTTTTAATGAACTTTACTTCTTCATTTTCGTATACATCTTCGCCTTTATTTGGTCTAGAAAACAAAACAGAAGTTAGATTAATTTGCAATTAATAGGATAATTAATAGACTTTTATTAAGTAGTTTCTTTTGTACCTTAAAGCTTGCAAATTTTTATCTGTATGGGCCAATTCGGATTTTAGTGTCGATAATCTCATACGGTATCGTATTTCCCTAATTTCTTTTGGATTTTCATTCTAGTTTACCAAAGTACTTTACCTTTCAAGGCTTACGGGTAAAAATAAACAATAATATATAGCCAACCTCGATAAGTTCTTCTATTAATAAATCTTCAACAAACGTTGCAAATCCTTCGCTTAGCCATTCTTCTGTCCAATCTTTAGCGCCAATTAAAAGACCAAACCACGAATGGCTTATTTCATGCACCAACTTTAAGATAAATCTATAATCATTCGATAGAAATGACTCTGAGAGAAATAATATATTCGGATTAGCAAACGCCAAATCTTGAGACGATGCAGGAAAGAGAACAATATCCATTCTGTAAAATGGATGAGGGCCAAGAAATTTTTTTAAGACATCAACGCATCGATGAAGAGTAAACTTTAAGTTATCATATACAAGCTGCAATCTCGATGTTGGTGCGTAGATAGTACAAGGAAGTACTTCATTCAAACAGTAAGTAATTGGGCAAGGTGTATCGTGAAAACATTCGAATTGTTTAGCATTCTTGCTTAAAAAGCTTTCGGATATAGGTGCTAAGACTTTTGAATCCCACTTACCAACAGCAATGCATAAAGTGAAACTAGGAACTGGCGTTGCACTTTCAAAATAAAACTTGGAATTTGTCTTTCGACTACCCTCCAAATCCGAACTCATTAATGGATAGTAGTCGCTATCACAAGAGATCAAAGATTGCCATGTGGACAGACAAGCGTATTCTTGGGAAGGGAATAAGGCTCTGTTGTTTATCCACATGCCAGCAGTGTAGACGCATTTGCTATATAAAATAGAATACATTTTATCTTAATTTGAAAACTAACATATCATACTTTCCATCCTGATCAATGCACCATCTAAGAGATTTGCCGTTAGGCTTTGTTGAATAGTATATTTTAATAACAGTTGGGAAATCGTCTGGACGATAGGAATTTCTTTTTGAAATCTTTAAGCACCATTCCTCAATTACATAATCTAAACATGATTCTGAAGTACAAGTGGAACATTCTAAATAACAATCCCTCATCTGTTCTAGGAGATGAGTGGAACCAGTCTGTAATTGTTGGATAAGACTATTGCTCAGCAATAATTCAGTAACTTTACTAATTTCCAACTGATGACAATCTAATTTCAATTCCCAATTTTCCTGAGTGTTTATTGATTCATCTTTGGCATAATTTAGTTTGTTTTTTAAGTCAAATAGAACGCAATCTCTGACTGAAAAGACCTTTCCCGTTTGACCGGGAGAGGGAGATCGTAAAAAAATTATGATAGACCCTGTAAATTTCTTTTCATCCGGAATGCAATGAAGATCTAGTATGTAATGGTACAGTCTTATTTCATCCGAATTTCCGCAAAGGGGTAGATCTTTCTCTCCCATTCTTTTTCAAATGATGGAAAATTGTTTAGTTTACAGGAGAGGTCAAGGTCACTATTCGAAAAAATCCATATCCGGAAACGGACGACCAGAATTTTTGCGCGCCAAAAGACCATTTGAAAAAGAAATTGAAGCGAATGATTCATTGTTAAGTTTACATTTATTTATTTGAGAGAAGAATAACAGTAATTTAACAGAAGATACGAAAGAGTTGGAAGCAAAAACATTAAATGGTAGAAATTCTCAAAAGATGCGTGATTTTTGGCTGAAAGTCGAAGTTGATCCCTTTTGAGTTCGCAATCCAGAACCGTCGAGTCGTTTCCTGGATCCTATTATGTGAAACTAATGTTACTAAGAAGAAGTATTATATTGATAAAACAACGGAAAACCAAACCGGAAGGGCATCGAAGTAGTGCACGCAGCACCTCATACTGGTCATTGTACCGCAGCAGAACGACTCCAGAGGACATAAGAATTCATTGAAATAATAGCCAGTGTCGTTACAATACGCCGGACACCGTCGAATCTGTCCTATATTTTCAATAAAAAGCAGATTTAATAGGCAATTAATTGTAACAATGGATTGTTACAATTGATATCTAAAGAATATTGTTTTCACCTTCAACACTGGAGTAGATAACAAATAAGAGCAAAGAGGAGACCAATAAACGCATGAAATCGGAATGTACACACACAGTAGCTTAGTTTATTTAAGCTTGGCAAGTCGATTGAATTGATCGCATGTAAATACAATTGTGACAAAAGACGAAGGAGGGGGTTTTATACGGGTAGGCCTATAATTAAATCTTAATCTAGTTATATCATAAATTTATTAACAAAAGATAAGCGAATAAATGTAATCCTTATTTCTATCATCTATAAATTTTATAACCATTTATATAAATTTCTAATACGGTATTTTTGTAATGTAACTAATTTGATAATGAGAAGATAAAGTAGCGATAATATAACAACGAGACTATCAACGGCACCAATCGATATGTTTAGAACGAAACGTCGTCAAGGCTACATTTGTCCTGAAAGCTTTCGAATACCGCTCTGTCAATTTACATTCAATTTAAAACCTTTTTTTTGAATTGCGCCTATCGCTATCGATTCAACTCTCTATCGCGTTCAATTGAAAATGTACAGAAGACGTAGAAAGATGCCGTTCAGCTGTTTGAAAGATATGGAAAGAGCCATAAACGCGGCTCTAAATCAAGCTCTAATCTATGAAAGAAGTTCAAAATGGGAAAAGGTCGTCCAAAGTTACAGGCGACTACTCAGGATGCTTTATGATATTCCTATTGAAATTCAACCGGACTTTATGAAAACTTTGGTAATCTATTTCAACTATTTTAATTTCAAATTTAATAGAAAAGTTCATTTAAAAGTTATTTCCTCAATAAATAACTTCATATAAATGGTAACTAATGACAAAATGAATAACTTGAAATATGTCTAAACAGCTCTACGAATGTGAATATCATCTTGGAGTAGCATTACAGAATGGAGGAGAGCACCTAAAATCTTTGAAGCACTTTACTAATTCCATTCATGCTATTTTCTTACCGAAGGTTAGCCGTTTGCAGTTAATTAAAGTTAATCAATTTACTTATCGCGGGAGATTTTTTAATTACAGAATGGTTGTGCGGCTGGTTGTGGTGCCAATTCTTGTTTAATTACACCGCTCTATGCTAGGAGAGCTACAGCTTATGCAAAATTAAATGACATTCGTTCGGCTTTAAAAGATGCTGAAAGAGCAGTTGTTTTAGACTGTTGTAACCCAGATGTTTATTGCGTTCGAGCAATGGTTCACGCTTCAAAAGATGAATTCTCAAGATCTGTAAGAGATATAAATATGGCTTTGAAGTACGATTCGAAGCATCTTTGCGCTTTAATGTTAAAAGGCGCGCTTAAAAAGAGAAATATGATGTCTGACTCATCAGACGATTCTGAACATCGATTGGCTTTGAATATTAACCCTGATGCCAGTCGATTTTTTAACGTTTGCAGTTTCAAGCATAAGGATGCAATGGCATTTTTCGAAAAATTTCTATACGCCTTAGGCGTTCCACATACAATTAGTAAAGTTCAATTTGACGACGATGTAGCACTAGATTTCGGAAAGCGTCGAGTTCAATCAGCCGATTCTTACGAAAGTCCAATGAAGTTCCAGCAACCAAAGCCTGTCCTAATACAGCCTGTGAGATGCGGAACTTTTACCGACTTCAGAGATGGTAGTGAAAAAACAAGAAGGCGTTACCAATATGGTGAAGCCGTACGACAGTGCACCATGAAACCGAAAACGGCCGAACAATTTCTAGATATGTTGGAGAAAGCGTCGACTGTAAGCTCAATGAAGTACAGTTTTGGGTCTACGTCGTCAAATCGTTCTGTAATCAGCGCATTTGAACGCTCCGTTAATCTTGATGATATCCCTCGCATGTATTCCAAACCTTGGAGTGGGGATGCTCTTCCTGCCGGTGAAAAAGTGACTAGGCCAGACTCAATTAGAATACCATTTAAAACTTGAACACTGTTTAGGCCTAATTGTGTTGTAAGTAAATGTCGCAGTGCGGCTATTGTCTTTTTATTGGTTTGACATTGTATTGATTAGAAATACATAGTGACGTCAATAAACATAGCATAAACGTTGCATATTTTACACAGAATTCTGTACACATTCATTAGAACATTTGATGAAAGCTGTTTCGTTTTTAATTAGTTGAACGCTTTTTAAGTAAATAAATAAAGTGTTCTCTTTTAAAATGGCCGAATCTGCCCCATCTGAAGATAAAACTAAAGAGAATCCACCTGCGCCTGTAGAGGAGAAGAAGAAGAAGAAAAAGAAAAAGAAGGAAGAGCCCAAAGAAGAAGCTGTAAAACCGGATTCAACTGCTGACAAGGCGAATGATGATAATACAGAGGAGCCAAGCAAAGAAGAAACTAAAAAAAAGAAAAAAAAGAAGAAAGAAGATCCTCCCCCAGTAGATGAACAAGGTAATGAGGATTCGATAGAGAAACCAGAAGAGAAAAAAAAGAAGAAGAAAAAGAAAGAAGCACCCCCATCAGTCGATGAAAATAAGGAAGCTGATAAAGAGCAACCAGTGGAGGAAAAAAAGAAAAAGAAGAAGAAGAAGAAAGAAGAGCCCACAGAAGAACCCAATGTTAAACCAGGCGAAGAGGCCAAAGGTGACACAGCTGACGATAAACAAGACGAAAAGCCAAAAGAACCACCAGCAGAGGAAAAAGAAAAGAAAAAGAAGAAAAAGAAGCCTAAAGAAGAGACTTCAGCTCCGATTGAGTCAACAGAAGCTGTAGAACCGCAGCAAAAAGAAGATGCTAAGCAGGAACCTGAGCCGAAGGAAGAGTCTAACGAAGAACCAAAAGCTGAACCTAAGCCTGAAGAAAAAGAGAAAATAGAAGAGAAGAAAGAAGATGAAATGCAAAAATCTGACGAAACACCCATCCAGGAGGAGGAAAAGAAAGAGAAACCCAAAGAAGAGACCCCTACTCCTGAAGAGACTCAGAAAGAACCAACAGAAGCGGTAGAATCGCAACAAATATCTAATCCTGCGAATTTGAATGATGATAATGAGTCAAAACAAGAAGGAAATGCTGCTGACGAGGAAAGTAAGAAAGAGAGGACCAGCAAGGAAGAAAATAGAGAGGAAAGTCAAGCAGAAGAAATATCGACTAAATCACCAATCAATGGTACAACCGAACCGGACACACTAACTTCTAATGAAGTGAACAACTTGAAATCGGAATCGAATCTTGAGTAAGTTAAATGTCAAGGAGATTTTTCTTTGTTTATAATTTTATTTATGATATTTTTGGGGGAGCACAGCTTTGATCCTAACTTGATATTGTCTTCGAATATCTCTGGAGAAGAATCGATTGAACAAGCTTTAAGGGGTATGGAAGTGGACTTAAATAGCGGTAACATGCAATATGCGACCACGTAAGCCTATTATTTTTAAAATTAGCTTGTAATAGCCACTTAATACACAATTTTACCAGAGATGATAAAGTACAGAAGCTTTTAACAATCGCCAAGATGCTACGTGAAATTAATAGTGGATTGGAATTAACTTCTGAAGATATCATCGACCAGAATGTCATATTGCAGGACGTAAGAATATATCTTATTCAATTTATGCAACCACAAAAAAAAGCGACCTTCAATATTTCTCTCTTTTTTTCTAGCTGGAAAACAAGATGGAAAGCGTGCAGAAAATATTTAGTTCTAGTCAGATGATTTGGAAAATTGACGGTTTCCGGAAGAAGTATATATCGTCCGCCAAAGGCGAGAACACAATACTTTACAGGTAGGTTGTAAATTAAAAGGAACGCGTTCACGTTTTCATATGGCGCCATCTTCAGTCCTGCTTTTCTGACACATAATAACGGATATAAGATGTCGTTGAGCCTCTGCCCCTGTGGTGATGGAAGAGCTCTGGGAACACATATGAGTATCTTTTTCTGCATCATGAAAGGATCTCATGACTCCTTGCTACCGTGGCCCTACAAATTTCCATTACAATTTATACTGATAGATCAGTCGGACAACGAACAAAAGGAACATATCACAGCAACATTCTCTCCCAATCCGAGTCAGGAGAATCTCACTTTTCTTGGACGACCAGAAAATTTTCGCAATCCAAGTTTAGGAATACCAAGATTCGCCGAAATTAATGAAGTATGGGAGAAAGATTACATAAAGGATGATACTATATTCATCAAGGTGAAAATCAACACTAACGAAGTGCCTGCTCTGTAATAACATTCTTCACATTATAGAATGTTCTCTAACCTTTTTATGTGCAACTTATTACAGAAAGAATTAATTAATATATCAGTTTTAGAATCAGAGAGTCATAAAAAGTTGTTTTTCACACTTATAGAAAATGTGATAATAATGCACAATTCATAGAATGAAATGCATTATACCATTTATGCATGTTATAATTGTATAAAATAATTCACGTTATAAATGACATATAGACTCAATAGTAGGTTTTTCCCCTACTGTCATATAGGTTTTAATGATATACAGACAGACTTTTCCCAGTATAAAAGGCGTTTTTTACCTGAGAATCTATTTAATTGGAGGAGAGGTTGTTTTCTCTATTGCAGCTGTATTACAGATGAAACATATTCAATCAAGAATGACTCTACCTAGGAAACTCGACCATTAACTAATTTTCAACTTCCTATTTTTATAAGTGCATTGTTTCTAAGCAACCGCTGAAGCTGAAGGATAGAGGTTGCAAGTGTAGGAGTATTTTAAGCTAATTACATATATACATAAACGCTGAATGGATAGCAAGAAATTACGACAGCGTCTGGAAAATATGGGGGCGCCGCAGACGGCCGGCGTCAGTCAGGCATAGCGGTGACAAACTTCTTCCTCAGCGCAGATGGTACGTTACTATATAGAATAATTACGAGAATCGATTTTTTTGCTCAGTGCAAACAAACGAAAAAAGTAACGCATAATTATAGGCGACGAGGATTAATTTAGAAAATAGAAGCCAAGTTTATACCGGTGACAGGTGAGTCAACAGACGGAAAAATGAATATATATTTTTCGAGAATATACCTATATTCATTGACTTTAATTATTAAGCGTTCCGCGTCACCAACAGACTTCTTAGTTATGGTTGATAGTTGAAAAGAAATGAAACGGATTAATGTCACTATGCTTATCTTTTCGGGCCTCTCTGATCCCGTTTGGACTTTGGATAGAACTCAACACAGCAAACTAATTAATCGGTTAATGAAGGCGAAAAAATGTAGTAAAAGCTTGGGCATCGAAAGAAGCGGATATGGGGGTTTTTTGATGAGCGTCGATCGTCATTGCTCCTGTTTAGGATCGGGAAATTTTTTAATATGGGGTTCTGAAAATAGACAATTGCAGTTAGATTTATTGGCTACTGCACCAGTTGACGATGAATTAAAAGAGATGGTGAGGAAAAGCATTAACGCCTTGTAAAAATTTTTTATTGCACGCCTCTTCTATCACATACTTAGCTGAGAGCAACGAATGACTGTATATATTTATATATAATATAAATTGAGTTAATCTATATTATAAAATATATACAAATCTATACATTCAGAATATATTACATAATATGCCTTTGATTGTATTCGTATAGATATAGTATATACATTATATATATATATATATATATATATATATATAAATACTATAAATATACTTTGTATATAAAGTATAAAGAGGATTACATAAACGCAAACGCCATGTGGACGAAAAGCAAAAATACAACATTGAAGATAATGCAGAATTAATCATTGTTTGTTTTTCAAAAGCTTTCCATATCTGTGCCATTAATTAAACTTTAATTAGAGAAAATATTTAGAATACTTTCTTGCATGCGTTACAAAACTTCTCTCTTGACATGAGATATCCAATAGTTCCGCAAGGGCAACAAATCACCGCGGGAATCAGGCAACTTCTTTTGCGTCTTTCCACCAACTCACCTTTCTATTTTTACGAATTAATTAATAAATTGTAAATACTTATTTTGTACCTTATCTGGTACTTGTTTTGAATATTTTAAAATCGAACTTTAAAATAAATCGAATACTGTATATTATTGAAATTAGTAAAAACTTTACCTTACATTCTGGACAAATATCATTCTTTATCTCCAACTCGGATGGTTTATCATTCTCATTTTCTGTTGCAGGTTGATTACGAACAATTTTCCTACTGCCACCCTTTCTTTCCAATTTTTTGCCATTTCTTTCTGGTTCGTTGTCTTTCTCTTCTTCATCTTCTTCGGTTTTGTTTTCTTTATCGTCTAATTCATTCTTTAATTCGCCGTTTATCTTCTTTTCCTCGCCTTCATCTTCCTTATCATCAATGGTCTTTTCTTCTTCGATTGGATCTGTTTCGTCTGTATTTTCATCTTTTTCTTCTTTGTTATCTGATTCGTTGTCTTTTTCAACTTCTACTTTGTCTTCAGCAACATCTCCGGACTGTTGCTCATCTTCAGGTTCGTTGTTTTCATTCGCTTCATTTTCCTGCTCAAGTTTACTTTCTTCAGCGTTTTCGTTGTCTTGCTGCTCTTCGTTCTCTTCAACTTCAACATTAGCTTCAACTTCAACTTTTGTCTCGTCAACACTTTCGTTTTCACCATCTTTTTCACATTCTGCTGAGTTTTCTTGGCATTTCTCTGCTTCATTTTCCGGTGGAGGCGGAGGTAAGTCTTCTTGATTAGCGTTAATATCCGACTCAGTTTCCTTCTGTTCAGTCTCTTCCATGCTTCCGTGGTCCTCGGACAGCTTTGAAGTGTTCAGCAACAATTTTGCATACGATTTGAGTTTGGGCGTCGAGATGGAACTATCCGCTTCGGCGCTCTCGCAAATGGCATCACCCATGTTCTATTATTTTTAATGCCCTTTTGTCGGCTTGTTTGCCAAGTTTCAGGTGCGCCTTACATAGACACGCCCATCAAATGGCTGATAGTTATGTACCCCACTGAATGCTGACTGGATCATCTGCAATTCATAATTAAAAGTTTTTTTTTCTCTTTAGACTTAAATAGGTTATTTATTTTCCTTAAAAAAAACAAGTTAGAAGTAAAAAGTGATCTTTTTAATTAAGTAATTTAAGAACCTAGCCAAATATGGCGTCTCTGAAGAATTCTGATACCATTCTTTCAGATTTAAAAGTACAATTAAAAAAGGCCAAGGTCGACGTCAAGGCCCTGTCAACGCTCGCTCAACAAGGAGATGAAAAGGTAGAACGTTATCATCTCTCTAAATAGGTTCACTACTGTATAATTTACCTTCCTGATCATTTTAATTTCATTCTTATTTTCGTTATGTCCCATAATTTCGCGGACTACGGGTAATAATTTCGCCGTTTTTATTTCTAGATTTGGTTGAGTTTTGAAGATTGTAAGGTATTAAACTTGATCTATAGATATTTTTGGTACAGGTACATTATCTATAAATTTATATAAGGCAATGTTGTTCACGTCAACCTAATCTATCGATCATATAGGATATCTAGTTCATTTTTATTTCAGCTTCATTTAGTGCATGTAGCCACAATTACGTACATTGTTTTTATTATCATTATTATTGTGTTTGAATTTCATATTTACCCATGTTACAGGTTTACTACGGTATGCTTAGACATATAATACATATATATGTATATTTCCTTTTATATATATATTTTAGTATATATATATGTATTACTTAAATGTTAAAAAAAATGTTTTTGTTTATTTATATCTTGCAGAGTAATGGGCTAACTAACGCTAATTAAAATGAGGCGTTTAGTTACGATCACAATATCAACCAATAGAATACACGACTTTTAAATAGGTTCTTCAAACATTTATTACTCTCAAGTTAAAGTTACTAATAATTCATTTTTAATATCGCTTTTTTTCATATTTTCCATTAAATTTTATTTATAATGGTCTGTTTTCGCAATATTATTAAATATTGTACGCTGCGGTCTTTTTTTTGCATGTAACAATTATTTTTTAATTATAAGACTAAAAACAGACTTTAAGTACTTATTTTTTATGCTTGATTTATCAACATAATACAGATTTTCAAAGCTATTTTATAAAGAAACGGAGTAGATAAAAAATTAAACCAAAATGATTTTTTATATAAAAAAGAAATGTAGTTCTACTGAGGTTATTTAAGAAAACAATTATTATGGGTTAGCTAGTTTAATTCCGGAAATTGATACAGAAAATTTAGAAGGATTGGAGCCGAAAGAGAAAAATATATCATTAAGTTGAAAGCAACAAAAAAACGAAGGTCTAAGTAATTATTGATGATAGAAGATATTTTTCTTTACTAAAGAAAATAAATTAAAATATAGATTTGTTTCGGAGATTATAAATGGTTGAACTTTTCCTAAAGTAAAGAGCCTTTAACCCAATCAACCACTGTGTAATAAGTACTATTTATGCAACGTGCTTTTAAGTGGTATGTACATTATTCCAATTGGTCTAATGCGAGGAGATAAAGAATATGGGGAATTTTTGAATTAAATATTGGAATAATACTATCGTAATGAACAATCCGTCTAATATAACGCTAAAGCGTTTTATTATTTCACAATAGGATTTATTTCAGAAAATTTTCTCATTAATAGTTTTGGCACAACATCTTCTAACACACAGTTGAATCCTAAAATCTTCTTATAGCCTATTTTTTCTCGCAGTTTGTTGAAAAATTTATCCGTGAAAGCCTCTCTATACCGACATCGGACTTTGAAGCACTTTCTAGCCAGCTCTATATAGCTTGCTTTTGGGGTTTTAAGCAAATTGTTGAAGCTGTAATCGCTAAGAATGGTATAATATTCTTCATAAATCTAATAATTGTCAAATAATTCTAAAAGTTTAATTGTTATTCGTTAGTTAACATTGACAATCAGAACAAAGGAACTCTGTGGACACCTCTGCACGCTGCCTGCTTCCAGGAACACGGCCCCGTAAGTGCTGACATTGCAAGAGTGATTGTTTACAATACACTTGCTTTTGTAATTTGTAACATACGACAGATCGTGATGGTGTTATTAAACAAGGGAGCGCAACCGGAATTACCCGACAGCGAGGGTCGAACAGCAAAAGATTTTGCTTCTATCTCACCGAAAATATGGCCGCTGTTCGCAGCACTTAATTTCAAACCGACACCTCGAAGTAAGTTGATGAAATTGGGTATCATAAAGGTAAGAACTCTCTGATCTTTTACTTTATCTCGCATAAAACACGTTCTTATTTTACGCAGTCAGACAACGATAGTCACGATTTACCTAAAGCTCTGACCAGTGGTATAAAAATGGCTGATAGACAGTGCGAACTACCGACAGGAGATGGAAATGCCGCTTTGGGTGTTGCTCAAGACGGTGATGTCTTGGCAAATAGTAAAGAAGCACAAAAACGTTCACAAATAACTTTACAAGCTCTTCGCTAAATATTATAATCAATTTCGTGCAGTTTGTCTTTCTCAATCTTTTCAATCTGTTCTTGTTTTTATTTGGTCACACATCCGTCCAAGGATAATTAAGCTTGTATGCTGGTCACATTCAAAACAATGCTTTTTATTTTTTTTTCAAATATTAATCCTATATTATATTATGTGAAAATATAAAAGAGAAAAGTGTAAATCTCTATTTGGGTTATCTTTTTAATAGAAAACCACCGATGCTAAACATGTACAAAAAAAAATTCAATAATTAGAAAAACACCATATCAGAATATGGATGCTAAACACGTAGCGTCTCATTTAAATATACAATTTTAATTAGATTTAGGGAATTATTTGGAAATATAATTTATCATTTATATTTCACTTTTAAATGAAAAAAAAATATTTTGTGTAGGCTTAAATTGTTATTCAGTTGACATATTTTTATATAATTATTTGTATTATATAAAACCTTTCACAAAAGAGCCATTAAAATGATCCATTAGTGACGATTCTGTCAAAGCCAGCTATACGACGGTCATTCGTTGTATATAGTTCATTGGATGATGAATTAACTCTATTCTCTTTCGATATTATTCACTCATCTCCCCCTCCCTTTTTTTTTAATGCTTTTTATTTTATTTTACAATATACTAATCTAATAGAATTACTGTCCAATGACAATTACTGTTAATGCTATCTGCTTTAGGAAAACAATAATGATGTTTTTTTTTCTTTTATCCTTATTACATTTCTCAAGATCTAAGTTATGAATTATCCTTGATAATACAATCATCGATAAATTTATCCTGAATTTGATTTGGGAGATTGAAGAGAAAATCTTATTGAGGGAGGAGAGAGGAGGGAGGGGATTATCTGAAAATAGTTACGATTTAATTCTTTCTCTTTTTTTTCTTCTTCCACGTTTCTTCGAAATCCTAAATTATGGGATAGAATGAAGAATAGAGCGGTAATAAGTTGTAAAATATTTCCTGGGCCTTATTATACTTATAATTACGTTAAAAAGAGCTTTTAATTATTACTAAAGAGAATTTAGAAAAAAAACTGATATTTCTAATTATACAAAGAGCCCAATTTGTTAATATGCAATTTTTCTTTATGTAAGATCATTTTTGAAGGGTTCCATATGTTCAATTTACAACGTCTAGCGATAAAATATATACTATTAAATAAAAAGCGTAAACTTAATCTTGTTCAATTAATCGCAAGATTTATATGAATCCTTAAAACTCTTATCTAATCATCGATAATAAATTATAATAAAAGGTGACTATTTCGTTCTTCCACCCTAATTCTTCGTTACATTTTGGATTCCTGTATAATTGGTTCTTTCCATAGCATTTTCCACATGACAAAATTTTCGGGTGATTTATTAGACCATCTAATGGCGTTTTCCACTGACGTACAGTGTTTACCTTTTACGCAGCTTCACTTTGTTGTCCACTCAAGTGACAAAAAATTTCACACTTTTATAGGTAAACAGTGATTCCTTAAAATCTATTGTTTCTTCACATAAAATAAATATGTAAGATGAAAGGATTCATTAGTCTTTCATTCCACGACCTATAATTTAAAAAAAAAAACCTTTTTGCCAAATGCGAATAAAAGCTTTTTTTTATTACTCTATCTTTCTAGTCAAAGCCGGATGTTTTTATTTAAACATGAAATACTGTAGGGCGAAAGACAAAAGACGTAGATTCACGTTTCACTAGAAATTTAACAAAAAAGTTTAACTTTCAAAGCGAACATTATAAATTCTTATTTCAATAAACAGTGTATTTCTACCCTATTTTATTACGCATCGTACCATTCATATTTGATAGAAAGTATATTGGATTATCATTGACAATTGAAATGGTGGCAAACAAATGAAAACGTTGACAAAAAAAAATTGAACCAGGGATCATCAGCGGTTGAGCTAGTAATTTTACTAATAGTTCTTTCCTATAAACTATTGTGGACATTGTCAATGTTGTCTTTGGATCAGGTTTCGATATGGTTTTGAATATAAATTGTGGTTTTATCATACTTATGAAATAAGATGATGAAAAATTACCATTAAAGTGATGCTTGTCTATTGACATCGAAATAAAAGAAGAAATATCCAAAGCATATATGATTGCTTCGGATAATTTCAGAAAATTTAATGTTGTTTTCCAACGAACTCTGCGAATTGTATTTAATTCGCGTAGTTCACTTAAATCGTACAAAAATAAAATGACGCTTTTTATCTTTAATCTTACTAGAACTCTAAATCGGCGTCAAAAAATTGGAGCTGTTACTGTTATAGCTATAACAGTTATTTTTTGTCTTCTGAGATATTTTGCATATAGTAATAACTACGAGGTTTATCCTTACATTCCAACGGTTGTTATAAAACCACGTGAACGATCTGCATCCAACTTGAAAATACCGCGAGTAATTCATCAAACATGGAAATCTTTAAGTGTACCAGAAGCTTTACGTTTTTGGATATTAAGGCACGCAAATTTTAGATTATATAAAATATTATCAAATCTTTTTCTAAACGATTCTGTCGCTAATAATACATTTAGATACTTTTATAAGAGGAAAGTAGTTGAAAAACCAATGACAGATGATTTAAGATATTCTAATATACCAGTTAAAGATTTCAACATAAAACTAACGAAAGACTATTTCAGTTGGTTGGAAAAACATCCTGAATGGGAATACAAGTTCTGGACGGATGAAGAAATGCGACTCTATGTGAAAATAAATAGTCCCGATCTTCTAAAGTTGTATGATTCTTATCCACATCAAGCGTATAGAAACGATGCATTTAGATACATTCTGCTATATCATGACGGAGGTTTATACGCCGACTTAGATATGGAGGCCATCAACAATGTTGATGAGGTATTCTTGGAGAAAGACTGCATTTTATCTCAAGAACCTGAGGAACACGCTCACTTTTTGAGCGATCTTCATTCGCCTCCCTTAGTATCGAACGCGCTAATGGGTTGTCGAAAGAAGCATCCTTTCTTTAAAAGTTTGTTACAAAAGTTGTCATCGGCTGCCGGGTTGTTATATTGGAATGATGTATTACACGCAACAGGACCATACGTTGTGACCGAGGTCTATAGATCATACACAGCTGGTAGCTGGTTCAAAGAAGCCCCATCAGACTTATTTTTAGCTGACGCTGTTAGCTTTCACCCAAGAATGGACGAGTCAATGGTTGATAAAATAAGACAAGTTTGCATTCAAAGTCAAGGTCACGAATTCCCATCAAGAAACTTCGAAGAACGCCAGGCAAGATTATGCGACAAGATTTTAAAACCAAGGAGTCGAAGAAACTTCTCTGATAAACCAAAAGTCTATACAGGTTTGTTCACAACAGTCATTAACTTACCGATAATGATTTCTATATCATTATATAGATCATCATTGGACTCACACTTGGGCCGGTAGAAGAAACGATCCTTTTGGAATTTTGGATGCCAAACAAAAGTTTGATATTTCCAAAATCCTTATACTACCAAAACCGAAAGAAAGAATTTTTTGATAACTTTATTTTACTTTTTATTTTTTAAATACTTTTACATGTTTTAGTCCAATTTTTCCAAAATCATCAAAAACACTAATTGTTATGTTATACATTTAAAAAATGCTTTTTTTTAATCGCTTACTAGAGCTATTCAACTGTAAAAGCTAGTGTTTTTGTTTTTATCAATATAATACACAGCGAGTATTGACATATTGTATGTGTGGTTAAATGGTTATTATTACCTGGTTACATCAAGCATATTCATCAAATTCTTCTTGCTACATTAAAACCTTTCTTATCAGAGCTGTACAATTCAAATGTATTGTATGGATAAATTATATATGAAATCGTATTGTTTCATCAATTTTGCTATAGTATTGACTGCAATTTAGGTATAATATTTTGTATGTTTGATTTAATATCTTCCTATTCTAAATCATACCGTCTCATGATCTGAGATGAACACCAAAGATGGTTCAAAGAAAGTTCCTGCGGAGTCTGGAGCAACGAGTAGTACTCAAAAAGTGTCTTTAAGAGGAACTGAAAACTATATATTCTACTCAAACGATAAACTTGGAGCTGGAGCAACAGCAACTGTCTTCTTAGGCAGACATAAAAAGACTGGAGAGAAATATGCTTTGAAAGTATTTTTTCAAAAAGCAGACGCACGACCACTAATTATAAAATTAAGGGAATTTGAACTCTTACAAACTGTTAAACATGAAAATATTGTACAATTTTTTGGACAAGAGAAGGAAACAGTAACACAAGATGATATCGCTATATTAGAATATTGCTCTGGTTCAAACCTACATAGTTTGATAGAACAACCGGAAAATTTATGTGGCTTAAGCGAGAAGAGAGTGTTGTTGGTGCTAAAGCACTTGAAAGATGCAGTTGAATATCTTTTCTCTAATAACATTGTTCACAGAGACATTAAACCAGGAAACATTCTAAGGTAATCAATTAATAAACGTAGTCAAAGCTTTTAGGTATATAAAGCTAGCTTATCAGATTACGAACAACAAAGGTCAAAATGAGTATTTTCCCGGAAATATAAAATAGTAGAAAAAAAAGGAAAAATTATTGAAGGTAGTAACGTTTAGATTTAATTCCTTAGAAGAACATTAAAGGGATATTTTTATAAATAAGAAAGTACTATGATTTCTTATACAGTAGAAGAGATAATCCCAAACAGATTAGGCACATAAGATTCACCTGAATAGAAATTATTCTTATTGAAAGATAAATGAAACTACTGTGTAAAATTATCTTTAATTAAAGTAAATATGGTATTTATTTTCGCACAATTTCTTTATTAACGAACTGGGATAAATAAAGCTAATCTATTTTTCATTAATTTATTCTATATTTGTATTAAAATCTATTTTAGATAAGCTTTCTTTTAAATATTGAAATGTTCGTTTTTAGTTTATTAATTGGAGAGTTTTATATCTTTTTTTCCCCTCTTTCTCTCTCTCTCTCTCTCTTTACTAGAACATTCACAGAAGATGGTAGAGAAATTTTTAAACTTGCCGATTTTGGTGCTGCGAAAATTTTATCAGAGCAAGATGAAGGTTTTAAATCTCTGTATGGTACGGAAGAATTTTTACATCCTGAAATATTTAAGGAAGCCCTTGCACCAAGGCAATATAGGGGATCAGAGAGACATTTTAAATATAATACGGATTTATGGAGCATTGGGTGCACAATTTATCACATAGCTACTGGTAGACTTCCTTTTAAAGCTCACGAAGGAAGAAAAGATAGAGAGTCTCTATATAAAATTATAACAAAGAAACCTGATGATGCTCTTTCGGCTGTACAAGATCCAGTAAACAAAAAAATTTCATATTTTACCGAATTACCGAATGATATTCGATTATCTAAGTAATTTTCTTATTAGTTATTGTTCCTTAAGATATAAATTAGTTATTGTTGTTTTTCTTTAATTTAGAGGCGGAAAACGTGAAATTACAAAAATTTTACGTGGTCTATTAAGCGTTAGAAGACCTTGGGAATGTGGAGACTATTTCAGAGCCGTTAAAGATCTTGTAGAAAAGAAAATCGTATATGTTTTCCTTTTCGAATCCTGTAGTATATGTCATATTTTCGTTGAAGAGAGCAAGTAAGCTATTTAAGATTATTCAATTTCTTATAAATCTAAATGAGTTTTATGATTTGCTTTTGAAATAGTTTTACTATTGAAAATTTAAAAAAAAAGATTTACGAAGATAACGAAGACGTATTACATGATAAGCGTTTAATATTTAACGGCGAAAGTATAACTCATTTAACGAGTATTCCTGCAACAACCAAGGATAAGCCTATAATGGTCATTCCAAAAAATTTTATCGAAAGTGAAATGCAAAATTTTAAACTTGACATTGTATTACCTCTATTTCAACCTGGTATAAATTGTGAAGATGATTTAAACGTTTCAAAAAGGATTTGCGGTATGCTACATTTCTTTTTGAGAAGGAGTAAGGAATTACATCATTGTATGAATATTTTAGCAGGTATAATTTATTCAAGTATAATAATGGATTATTGAACTATATATTCGTTTTTTAGATTGCTGTAGTCATTTGACAGCTATGAGTAGGAAATACGTAACAACTATACAAGGAAAAGTTGAACATCTTTCAATTAATGAACAGCTGTTAAACTACATAAGAGTATCTCCAGGTCTACGACGTTCGATACAAAATAAGGTACTTAGGAATAAACGAATGCTCTTTTTATTTATAAATTTCACTTATCTAATTTTAGATAGACTCCATTAAGGATATTAATTTGAAATTAAGCAGAGATATTGATAAGAAACCTTATCTTTCTAGTCGTTGTCAAGACACGGATTCGTGGTATTTAAACGAACTATCCTATTCTATAGAATAATTTGATAAACTGTCTTTTTCATTTTTTAGTAAAGAGAAAATATCCGTTCATGTTTTTCACGGTGAAAAATCTCTTTTTATATTTAAAGCTAATAAAACTAAAGGAAAATTAACGTATAACGAAGAACAAATACACAAGTTCGAAAGGAATAAATTGGCTGAATATTGCGCATTAAGTTATTCAATATTAATGGACGTATGTTATAAATCGTGGAAATCTTTATCCGAAAAGAATCACAAATGGTACAGGTATGTTAGATACTATATTTTATTTTAACGCAATAATACGTGGTTTCTTTTTTTAATTTCAGAGATATTTATAGAAAAGTCATATATCAGACATGTGAAATTGAAAACTTAATAAAGGAGACACAAGAATTGATGACAACTGTAATTAGAGAAAATCAAACGGTTTGGTTTTAATCTATAAATAGAAATTTAAAAAATATTTACTACTTTTTTTATTTTTTAGCCTGCTGAAAATATTGAATTCGACACCGATAATAAATCCTCCAATTCACCAGAAACAGAATTGGTTAATAGTAGAAAATTCAAAGTAGTTGAACAGTTCACAACCGAAAAAATTGAGTTAGCTTTCTGCTTTTTATGATTATTAACACTTATAATAATATTTATAAATATTAAAATATTGACAGATCGAATAGTTTAATTTCAAATTTTGAAGACGCAATGAAAGATCTGGAAGTATCTACCGACTATCTAGCTCGTATGGTAGCTGGAACGACGTCCGTTAAGTGACAATAAAAATCGTAAATATCAAAAATTTACAATCAACCAATGACTAGTTCTAAAAATATACGTATGTGTGTTATTTATGTCTTTTTCTTGTTCTATTTTTCAGGAGAGCTTGTCTACACCTAAAACTACTCGGTTTTAGGAGAAATAAAAAGTGAGAGGAAAGCAAGAAGCCGATATAAATTAGACAGAATGTCTAGTAACCTTCTTTTGTGTTGGCCTCTTTCGAATTTGGGCTAAATATTTTAAAAATTAATAATTTTAATCTGAAAATGAACTTTCCAACGTTAATATTTCAAGTAGATAAAAAGGATAATATCAATATCACTTTACGATATATGTCGTCATCCTGTTGATGAATACAACTGACAACCAAAAAATATTCGAAGGATGGAATAAAAAGTCAAAAAATTAGTCCAATATTGAAGACTTGTAAATGCTTTATTGTTAAAATATTTGCTCAATACATTTGTAATAATTTATAAATTCAACTGGAACAAAAAACAAAGAAGAAAGGATTGTTTTTGTTTGTTATCTTTTGATTGTTACTTGCTTATCATTGTACATTCTCCTAATCTTATGTTGATTGTCATCTATCCAAAATTTATGGAGTTTCCTGCTCTTTTGTAATGAAAATATTTTTAAGAATGAATAAAAAATATTTAGCAGAAAATTTCGAAGAAAGAATTGTTAACTTACAAAAACGCTTTCTTCCTCTTGTTATTGTGACAAGGGGAGAAGAAGAACTCAAATTGCAAACTACAACATTCGCTTTTGATAACCTTTACAAAGTCGGTTAAAAGGACAACTGATACCCTTCTTTTCAATTGTTAAGTATCATATTTACTCTTTATGTGTACAATTCTGTATATATAAAGTTAGATTCGCCTCACTATAAGAATGAAGATTTCATTGATAAGTAATTACGAACTTTTGCAATGGCAAGCCTAAAAGTTTCATTACAGTTATGATTAAAAAGGACTCATTAGGCATAAGATGATCATAATAAAAAGCATTGGCAGGAAACTCTAACTCTTTCGGAACGTGTATATGAATATTTACAAAATGCTCATAAAATATTCTCAAGCTTATCTTGAAATCTTTCTCAATAGAGTCTTGTTGAATGTGGTCATTCAGGTGACGCTTGATAAGCATACTTTTTTTTCGTTTATAAGGCAGACAATAATTAAATCATATTAAAATGAATAATAATTCCAAAAAAGAACTTTATACAGTGTATTCAACCGGTAGATGGCGTTAAGAACTATGATAAAATTTACAAACTATAAAGTGTAGTTGATGGAGAGCATGTCTGAAAAGAGAGGATAAAAGACTGGGAGTAGGTGGGATAGAGATTGAGAATATAGATATAAAGAAAGCGTATAGAGAATTGAAAGCGGTGAAGCGGGAGAGTAAAGGGGGCGGGAGATGGTGGGTATTGGGAATTGGTAGGGTCAAAAACATTTCTCTTTTAGGCATTTATATGGCTGCTCTTCATTACTATGGTAGCTAATCCCAGTCGTATATTTATTATTCTTTCATGCGGAAAGGTAATTTTTCACCAAGTTCAATAAAAATTATTATTTTACTGTTAATCCTCCACAACTAGCTTTCATATTTGTAGATATTGTCAATGTGTTACTATTATTATATAAAACAGAATTGAATGAATGAATATACAATATACCGTATATATATATATATATATAGTATGTAAATGTATATAGTTCATAGGGATAAATGTATATACGCCTACAATATTTTGCGTATCCATATCTATATAAATAAAAGAAAGTATACTATAATTTATATTTGTATATGATCAGTTTCTTTTTTAGTTTAAATACGTAACAGCTGTAAACAATTCTATACGCACCATTTGCAAGAGTTTGACATGAAAAATATCAGAAACAAAGTATATATATATATATATATATATTCCTGACTACAGAAACTTGTAGTGTTTACATTCTTTCAGACGTATGTCTATAGCATTTTATCCTAATTAATCAATCTTTTTGAATTTAGAGTTAAGCTTCTCTTAAACCCGTATTTTATCATACTTTAATAGAAAAGATAAATTTTATCTCTTAATTTTCCAGGATAATTAGTTCTTTAGGAATCCTTTTTTTTTCTTTCATTTTTCAAAATATTAACTTTAAAAAACATGTTTATCTTTAATTAATTGATTTCCTTAGTACGACTTTTTCCTCAATTTGCATTTTTTTTACTCCTCTCTCATATTTCTTTCTCTCTGTCTCTGTCTCTCCCACTCTTATTCCCATTCTTTCTTTCTTTCTTTTTTTCTCTCTTTCTCTCTCTTTCTCTCTCTCTCTCTCTCTTCCTAGCTTCCTTCTATATACGTCTATTTAAAATTAATTTATTTGTTTTATTTTTTTTTCAGTACAAAAGATTTTGTTTTTTTTTAATAAAAAAAAGAAACAGCAATGTTATATATATATATATTAATCTTTTTGCTTGTTCCGTCTTGAATAAAAATCATTTTATATGAAAGAAAGTTTTCTGTTTTCATTGAAATCTAAATGTTTGAATTTCTTATTTTTGTTGAATTTTTTTAATGCATATAAAAAATAGAAATTATCTCTTAACGAAAGTCAAGCCGATGATGATTGATTTAAATCTGCTCCAGTTCCGTCTCCAACAGCTTCTGGTGGTATTGGACTAGCTGGTCTTGCAGATTTTCGACCGGTAGAATTTCTCCTGTGTTTCGTACGCGGTCTTGTTGGAAGAGTGCCTGTTTGGCAGGCTGGACAAGTAGATCTACTCGTAGTTCCCGATTGCACAAGATTCGGGTCGAGTTCAAAGTATTGCGGAGCTGTTGAATCATAATCAGGTTGGAAATGAGTGGAAACCCTACGAGGTGGTCCGTAATAGGGTCTATGTTGCATTGCATAGTAGCCTTGTTTTGGTGCTATGCTATCGCGAGGAGTGCAGTAAGTAGAGCCAGGGGGAATGGCATCGTGGACGCAGCTGTATTCATTTTCTACAGACCCTGAACCTTGGCTTCTATTGTACTGCTCAGCATTTTGTCCTCCAGCTTTTGGAGCAGCTTCATAATAAACTTGACCATCGGCGTACACTCCATTTGGCATTTGGAGTTTTTGCCTACGTTTGAAGAAGGTATTAGAGACGTTTGTGTTTATCTTTAACTACAATAGAGGATATTTTAAAGGAAAATGTTCAATACTAACCTCTTAAGGCAAACTAAGCCGATCGTAAGTATAATAGCCGATATAACTATAGCTGCTCCAAGGATAATCGATATCCAAATGCCGTCCGGCAGCGAATCGAATATATCATGAAGTTTACTTTCCAATGTGTCTGGCGTATCGACACACTTACCAATTGCACCTGACCATTCACCGTCCTTCGAACACATGAGAAACCATCTGGGACTTTTTTGCTCACGGTCACATCCCGCTTGCGCTGAATCGTCATCTCCACCAACTCCGTATTGAACCCAAACGCCATCTGGTGCTTTCAATTTACCACAGCCATAGCTAGTAAAGCGTAGTATAAACTTGCTGTCTCTTTCTAATTCCACTTCGACCCTATTTGAATCGGATTTATAAATATTAGACCAGATGGGGTATCTATCTGGCTTTTCGACGTCGTTTTGGCAGAGGCGAACCTGCTCAGCCTCTTTCCTACTAATAACAGATTTACTATGGGCTTCAGAGAATTTCATAAAGTTAATACAGGAATCACGGTCGAATTTAGGTTCAAATCCAGTATATAAAGTAAAATTAATCTTCTTGCTTGGTGCTTCAATTATCCATTTCTTACACGCGTCACGTTGATGTCTTGACTTTCCAAATACTAAATAACCGGGTACTTCCAAATGTCCAACCTTCTCCGCACCGCATCTTTCATTCCTCTCCGGAACGCACCTCCACCATACATAGAGAACATGGGAATAGCCTACTCCACAAGGTCCTCCACCTTTAACATCTTCAGTAAAGTAGGAAACAAAGTTTTCACATGTTCGATTACCCGTACAAGTCACTGTTATCTTTTTAAGAATATCAACACGATAACGTTCATCAGAGGTACATGGAACATTAGTTTTCCCTATGCATTTTTCATTCTCATGGTATTGCGGAAATCTTCCATATCTTGCTCTTTCGACGATGATAACTGTTCCTTTTGGGCAGCCTATTTTTAGTTTTTCTGCTTGACAAAACAAGCCTGTTCGATAAGAAAAAAGGCATGATTTTTATGATGGCAATTTGTCGATCGTGCTGAGATTGAATGAACGCTCAATCGATTATTGAACGCCTTTTTTATGTCGACAATAAATGCCTATGTAACTTATACAATTATGGTTATTATACAAGACTGCACACCAAACAAATTATGCATGTCATTTTATCTATATTTGACAGAGATAAGCTCTTTTTTCTCATTCATTCGCTCTTTTCTCTCTCTCTCTCTCTCTTTTTTACAACTATTTACATTAAATTCGACTAAAGTTTATAAATTTCGTAAGCTTTTTATATTTCGTATAAAATTGCACCCGGAAAAAGTTTGTTTATCTGGCGTAATGGTGTGTTCTTTCTCGTATTATCGGCACGATTTGATCGAATCGCTGATAAGCCGTATATCGGTAGGAGAAGCAAATTGTTTTATAAGAAAAAAATGTATATATATACTATATAACTGAATACTTTAAATAGAATTATCTATATTTAATTTACTAACAATCTTGTGAACCATATATGTATAAATAGCATAATCGACTATATACAGTATACACCTCAAGTCGTATATATACAGTATATATACATATACATATGTATATATTACACGTATAAAAAGAACAAGCAAAAACAACTATGTGTAATAAAAGATATTATGCTATTATATGGTATGACTAAGAAGGGTCAATGTCTAATTTATCAAGCCATAATTTGCTAATAAGCTTAATATCGGTATAAGACAATTATTGTCTCAATAGTCTATAAAGATTTTCCTCTATTATACTCTCTATAAATCTCAGAATAGCAAAACAATAATTTTCTTGTTCTAGAATTCAAAAGGCAAGCTTTTTCTGCCCCAAAAAAAAAGACAGAGGTACTGTAATTTATTTAGCACGCTACTGTATTATTATTTACATAGTATTATATAACTCTCTTTCTCCTTTCCTCCCTTCCCTTCCCCCTCCCCCCCCCCCTCTCTCTCTCTCTCTCTCTCTCTGTTTCTCACTTTCTTTCAGTCTTTTATGATATTACTCTGTAGCTTTTTGTCTACATATATAAAGATTTATACAGTGTATACAGATAAACAAATATAAATGAGTTTACTATATATGCTTTTGTGAAATAAATTCGTATGTATTCTTTTGTATGTTAATGCCTGTTGGCGGTACAAATACGCTTGCAAAAACAGGTATAGATCTAATATATATATATATATATATATATATATACTGTATATATAGTGTATATGTATAGACGAAAGCATGTATGCATGTGTGTATGTATGTATATAAGTATGTACACATATACAATCGCCCATCGGACCTTGTATTGAATATCGACGTATGGAAAAGCTTAAATCTCGAATTAGCTTGCCGAACTAATGGCATTTAAATTGAAAACACCGTTGCTTTTTCTTAAAGTTCATTCGGATCGATCCGATATATAATCGGGCGCGCTTACTCGATTGATGCAGAGAGGAAAAAACTGCAATCAATTTGCTGTAGCATGCAGACATGGCCTAGTCTGTCGGGAGGGGGGAAGGGGGTTGGAAAAAAGGGTGGGGGGGAATTATTATTTGTTTGTTCGATGACAGTTTTATATGTGTTTATAAGGTATATTTTAGAATTTACACTGTGGAAACAAATTTTCCCGCACCGGTAAAAAAAATCAATAATTTCTTATATATCTTATATATATAGTCTACAATATAAAGTAATAAGTCGTCAGAAGAGATCGTTTCTCTTTACTCTTTCTTTCACTCTTTCACTCATACTCCCTCTTTTTGTTAGTACAGACATATTCTCTCTATCCTACTCTGTCCTTTTCTTACTCCTCTATCTTTCATACCCACCCTTTCAACCTTTTTCTTATTCTTCCATTCTCTCTCTCTCTCTCTCTCTCTCCCTGCTCATTGTATGTAGCCTTTTTTCTTTTACTCATATTCTTAGTCTTTGCCGTCACATTCCCATTCATTCTCAGGGTAGATTTATCCACATAAAACACGTGACATATCAGGCGGTCACCGATTGAATATGGTCTAATTTTTACCTTTTTCTATTGATGAATCGGTTGCAAACGTTCGGCTGAAGATTGCCAGGAAGATGCATTGAAGAATCATAATGATAGCATGGCGTCCGTTTGTGAATGTTTTTGCGGAGTGGGAAGGGAGGAGGGGAATGTCCGGAAAAGTAGATGAAAAAAAGAACGGAAGTAGTTAAGAAATGTACTTTCGCATATCGTATCCGCTGTAAGCAGTTGGTGCGAAAGGCCAAGTTTATGCGGTGCTAGCAGAATTCTAACAAGCTCGTGCACACAGCACAACCGAAAACGATCAATGATTCGACGGGCAATGCGCATGCGTGCTTCTACTGCAAAATTCTCCTACTATGTCCTTGCTTCATTTCCTATTACAATAAACTTGTTTATTAGCCTCAATCTTTTAACCTTCTTTTCTTTCAAAGAATTTCAAAAATTCATTCATTTAGCTTTAGAAAACAGTGTTATTTATTAACCTGTACAATGTTATATTAATATTGAATAAGGTCGTAATCTTAAATAGTATTTACTGCTGACAGTTTACTGTACATACACACTATACATTTTTACGTAATCCTACTATTACACTATAAATCAGCGCCATTCATACTTTCAACAAGTTCATTCTGTTAATGTTATTAATAATAGATATTGTGAATATTTGTAAATGAATTTATCCAGATAAACATAAAAACAGCTTGAAAAATAAGTATTTTATTGGATTATTACAGTTGCTAACAAAAAGAAATTAAGCCGAAAAAACTAATGAGTCTTTAAACACCTAATTGATCTTGAATTTTCGTGCAAACTTCCCCTTTAATTTATTTACAAATAAATAGACTTTCCTATTCAACAATTTGGCACAAGAGCAAAAAAAGAATATGGCGAGTCGATCTGAGTGGGAAAAAAAAGAAAAGAAAAGAAGAGAGAGAGAGAGAGGGGGGGGAGAGAGAGAGAGGGAGAGAGAGAAAGAAAGAAAGAAGTATAAAAGAAACAGGGAAAAAGGAAGAGGACTTTTTTTAAGTGACTCATTTTTTTCATTTTCTAAAACAGCTACCAACTATTTAATTATTTAGGTCTACAACAATACATATCCTTTATAAAAACGTTTCTTTTTATCTCATTAATTTTCAACATTAACAAGTAATTATATAATAAATTATAGAACAAAGTTTATAGAAAAATCTAATTACAGGTGACAAACTTTTCTTCCTTCTCTCTATAATCTTAGCCAAAGATATATAGTAAGCATTTAACGAATTTAAGGCTTTAAATAGATTCGATGAATTTAATCTATATCGAGGGAATGTTTCACTATATACAGTATAAATATATACAGTATATACAGTATCTACTGTATATATCATATTTATCTATATACTGTATATATATATATATATATATATATATATAAATATATACATATATATATATATATTTGTTTTTTTTGTACAGAGCATATTATTTTTACAATTATCCAACAGTGATATGAATGTATGAACCATATGATAGATGAATGATGAAAGGCGTAAAAATGAGCAAATTGAGTCGTGATATGATTATTTATGTACAATAGAGTACATTATGCAAAATTACTAAATTATCAGTCAATCCATAATTACAAATGTTCGTAATTAATAGTATATATATATATATATATGTACATACAGTATATACATGTATATATGTATAAGCATACAGTGTTTATATGTATAAATTCTATACACTATTCACTGTATTTGTTTTCCCTAGCTGATCGCATATGCTTCTCTAAAGCAAAGTTTTTGTCTCTCTGCATACAGCAGTCAGTTCCCCATTGACCCCTGTCACAACCGCATATTTCTAGCGAAGAGCAAGTCGATTGCTCGTAATCTGTATCCACGTCTTCCGCCTCTTGTATATCCCTGACCACCTCAGTTTTCTTTGAATGTTTTAGAGGCAAGGTTCGCACTTGTTTTGGTTCTAATTCAAAGTAGCAGGTGTTATCGTTAGCCGATTTATCTCTATTGTATTGGGAGAGCAGCTGCCGACGTTGATTAGTTGTAGGTGGCGTTGGTAATTTCCGTAGTACCATTTGCTGGGGAGGATGTGTGTAAAGAGGCTGAGTTGCTTCAGCATCCTCTCTCCTATGTTTATGTTTTGATAGGGTGTGAACACCTAAGGCTTTGTGAACGTGCCCAGGTGGAGGGAGGGACGGTAAATCTCTCATTTGTAATTGTCTCCTCAATAATTCCGCCTTCTCTCTTTGTCTGAAGGTAAAATAAGAGGATCAAGAACGTTAATAACATACTTAAGATTAATCGGAGTAAAAAGGCGAAAGAATATGTAAATAGCTGTTATAAATAAATATAAAACCTTCTGAGCATGACTAGTCCAACTGTTAAGATGGTGACAGATATGATAAGTGCAGAGCCTAGTATGATGGCTATCCAAATGCCATGAGGTAGATATGACCAAATATCTTCGTCCGTTAAATCTTCTGCGGAATCTATAAATACAAAATTTTCAGATAATTTTCACTGTATTTATGCTAAATAAATATTAGAAGTAATCAATTTTTAAAGGGACGAGGGAATATCCATGGCACACCATATATAATTATATATACCGTATATATATTCGTACATTGCATAGAATATATATTTCTATATATATATATATTTGTATGCATAGCAAATCAGCAAACTGCAATGCTAGTCTAGAAAGATGGCAATTACTAACGTTCATTTTTTGGGCATTCGACCCTTTTACCATCCGGATTAATCCATTTACCGTCTTTGCAGTCCATTCTCCAAGATATTGTGCTGGATGAGTTACATCTGTACCAAACAACATCCGGTCTCTGCTTCTCGTGTATAATCCACCCGTTCTTCGGCGCCACCGGCTTAGGGCACGAATCTGAAAGATGGCGCAAGCGGTTAGTAAATTACGCTCTCCTCTCGCTCCCCCCTCTCTCTCTCTCTCTTCCCTATATACATTTTTAATAGTTTTTCTTTTAATTCCCTTATATTGTCTGCGCGTATTCTCTCTCTCTCTTCTTTAGCCCTTTATTCCCCTTTTATTATTTTCCCCTTTATTTACATTTTTTTTTTAAAACAAGTACAAATGAATTGTTATTTTCCTACTAAAGTAATTGTTTTTTTTTGTAAGAAAACATAAGAAAAGTAATACTAAACCGTTAATAAAAAGTATGAAAGCCCGTTTATTCGGATCGGAAATGGAGAGCGTTAGTTGTTGATCGAAGAAAAGTTTAGATTTCTCTTCACAAGCTTCTACCAACCAGTCAGCTTCTTCGGCCTTTACTGTACCACAGCCAACCTTTCCTCCAACTTCTCTGGGAAAAGCTCGTATGGTTACTAATATACCACGATCGCTGCTAGAATGTAAACGCCATTTGCATTTGGAGTTGAGGGAAGAAATAGTCCTACTTTCGCCTTTTTCGAAATATAAATCCTTATAAGGCAAATAGGAGTTGCAATCCGCTTCGACCGGCAAGCATCGGTAGCGAACACTTAGCACCATTTCCCTCTTAATTTTAGGATCCGTAACACAATTTCGGGGCAAACCGCGCCCTACCAACTCAGTCATATCGATCTGATCTCTGCAATGTTTTCTACCGGAACAACGGCTTTGAAGACTATCCGTAATGTTTCTGATGCAGTTAACGTCGTGCCTTTCAGTTTTGCATTTTCCCGATCGAATTATGCCGATTTGCGCTCGTTCGATAAGGATGATTGCGTTGCCGCACTCGATTCTCGACTGGTCGAGTGCACAAATTTCTTCTTTATAAATAAAGAGAGAAAAAGAAAATATATATATAAACAGAATAATATAATAAATAATAATGATAAGTGAATTAGTAATTAGTTTGTCGCTGTATATATTTTATTTGGCTAGTGACAGGAGACTGGTGGTTTTTAAATAAATTTTATCAAAACTTGCCCTCGTATCCCCTTCCTCCCAACCCTTTGGCTCAACTACCCCCTACTACCACCAGTTGATTAAGGCCTCCGGTCACGTTTCTGCTCTGCATCTCTCTAACGCGCCACGACACATCATTTCCTTCCTACATAAGACGGCTTAAAGAATTCATTTTAGATACGTTTCCAACGTCTGGCATTTAACACTTATTAACCACAGCAATCTTTTTATAGGTCGCGTACCAATTTTCTCGTCATTCCGCTATTTGGGGCCCCGTCGCATTTATAAGAAGACGACATATAAGTGCAATACGAGGAGAAAAAGAGCGAAACGCTGTCACAGACAAGACACTTTTTCCTAGATTTTTTTTCTCTTCTAAGGCAACTAGTAAAGCACGAAAGAAGTAAATATCTTAATTAACTTCCTCTTCTCTTTTTCCATCTTTTAATCGCACGCAAAGTTCGCATTTTGGGAGATCTGGGAAAAGTCATTTTAAAAGGATACAGGGACTTTGGCAAGACAAGACGTAATGGCGCAGCAAAACAAAAAGAAAGAAAGAAAGAAAAAAGAAAATAGCAAAGAGCAAACAAAAAACTAATAATAAAATAGCCATAAGAGACAGGCAGGCTAGGGAAGAAATGAAGAGTTGAATAAAGAGAGAGAGAGAAAAAAAAACAAAAATGAATTAAAAGGTAAACACCTGTTACTTCAATATTGTACGGATAAAAGCATTTACATTTTCCCCTTCTATAATATCATAACAGTACATATGCATGAAATGTTTAGCTCGTTAACACCAATAGTCAGGGTTCTTTGTTCCAACTATATCGAGCATAGTTTAATAGTTTATACTTTACAAAGCACGTAAGTCGTATCAAATTTTTTTTGCACTAAATACAGATTATAAAGGACACATCGAACATTATAAACTATGTAAAGATTAGAAAATAAAGGAGGAGAAGGAGATGGGGAAGGAGCGAGAAGGAGGGAGTGGGAGAGAGGGAAAGAAAATGCTGCGATTTAGTCTATAATATATATATATATATATATAAACTATATGCATAGTTACGTACGAAAAAAAAATCGAAATGACCGAGTGAGTATAGTAATTAGTGTCGGATCGAAAAATCATTGCCACGTCCAACAATTTTCCATTATGTCCTATCTACTACTTCTAGCTGTTTTTTTTTGTCCTTAGCTGTCCCCTTTTTTTATCTAGGTTAATTTCTTTTAACTTACTACTATATTTTTGTTTTTATCGTTTTACTTATCCGTTCCTGGAATCTTTTAATAGTTAGAAGGAGTTATAATTCATGTAAACGTCTCTATATACATAAAACGCGCGTCTATATAGTTAATCGATGTGGAACGCGGCAGCTTTTCTGTTTGAACTATTGTTTTTTACAGCGGTGGATTGGCGTTTTCTTTTGTTCGTTAGTTATTATTATATGATCTGCTCTCACGAAACGGCGTCAAGACACATGTGTAGAAGTAATCAGATTTTACACCTGGGATTTCACCTGCGGCATAGTAATCAGATTAGTTAAGTGTATAAGAGGACGTAACTCATTCTATTTTATAGGTTTCCGGTTAGATTAGGCCTTTTAGCGATCTTCAAGAAAAGGGTAATAGTCAAAAATTATTAAAATAACACGTATAAAGAGGCGTGATTCATTTTACATCCTTGTGTCTATTTATGCATAAATACTCATATATACAGACACACACACACATATATACACGCACACATAGGCACATACACACATACTGTTGTATATACATATGCTTATAGTGCATGTACTATACGCATACAAGGCGTTTTTTCTTGCCAACTCACCGCCTCTTTTTTTCTTTTTTTTTGTCTTTCTATCATTCTACTCTCTTTGCTCTTCTGCCTCTTTCTCCTATTCCGTTTCATAAACCGCCAAATGATAGAGTGTAAATAAAAAGCGAAAAAGGGATGAAAAGAAAACTTTTTTTCGGCTCTTTAAATCGTTTTACAAACGACGCCGCGGCATTTGTTTGTCGTATTGAACGGTCGTATATTATTCTACTAAAAGCAGGTAATTTATCGATTCTATAAATTAAACTCGTGCGGCAGCGGTCAAATATAAAAAACCGCCAATAAACCTATAATTTACTACCAAATATATATATCAATAAGGAGCAGGACGGAAGACGAGATGGGAATAGAATAGAACAAGCGTCTAACGGTAAATAGTCACCTGACACGTCACCTTACAAACTCAGTACAATCGAACAATAAAGGAGTCGTTTGGTAGTACAAAAAGTGCTAATACAATATATACTTGCGCCGAAGACCCTATGTATATGTAATTATCATTATACATATTCAATAAACACAGAAGATAGTTATACATAAACAATTATATTAATTTTACGCTTAAAATCACAGGTTAACGGACACAGTGATAAACTGTTAGATTCTTGTATACGTATAAACACAGTAGTCCTATACTCGCTCACATATCATTCATGTAGTGTACATATAAGCCGTTACAATTATAATAGAATGGCACGTATGCGCATGTTGTACAATTTATAGATGATATTTATTAAATACAATCACACCATCTACATTATATATATACTGTATATAGTATACATAAATACATAGAATACATATCTATATTAGATTTATACTTATGCTTACAAACGTAAAAGTATATAGACAGATACGTTATATTTATATAAATACTCATATATACGAATGATTTATAGTAAGCATGAAATTTTTTGTATGACGAATACCCTTCAAGCGTGCTCTTGCATATTTACCTAGTTTCTCACTATCGACCACGGAACTTGTAAAGAATGAAAGGACAACGGCTAATCCGCTAAACTTCATCTCTTATAACAAAAAAATCTGGAAAACAGCAACACGATTACTGCTTCGTTCTTTGTGCACTCTGGCGGTAAAATGTTGAACGAACGACTGACCTTTGTTTGTACGAGAGTCTTGGTTGGGTTGCACTTGGGAAGTTTCTACCGTCTCTTTATTTTTTCTTTCTTTACATCCAACTCTATTTACTAATTAAAATGCAAGATTTTTCAATAGAGTAATATAATTTCTTTTCTATACCTTTTTTTTTAAGGTTAAACTACACTCCAAGTTCAATAAAGCTATTAATATGCCTTTCCGGCTTGTTTTCATTCGCGTTTTTAGTCGGCGGGAGGCTAATTTCTATATTAATCCGTCGCATAAGGACGGCATGTCGCCCATATCTACTGCATATTGAATATTCAAAAATGTTTATTGTCGTTCGATAGGTATATATATATATATATATATCAGAATAGATTTACTGTGTATTAACAGTATATACACCACTATATATGCGTGAATTGTGACAGTTGTTTTTTAAAAGTTGACGTTACTCTAAAGGAGAAATGTCAAAGCGTTGTAAAACGCAATGAATGAACGAATAAAAGTTACATGACTAACCTATTATACTATTTTCCATAATTAATTAAACAAAACTTGATATTTATTGCAAAATATATCAGTATTCAAGCGCATTAACGATTAAGCTTTAGTAGCGTCTCTTCCTTTCATTCCCCCAAACAGATACAGTACATATTATATATATATATATATAGTGGAATAAATAGATAAATATTGCTAATTAGTTTAGTTAAATATAAAATGCATCTACATAACATACGCATGTAAATATTGAAAATTTGGATATGTCAAGTCGTCAAGACATGAATAATCCAAAAGTTTATTGAAGGAAAGGAGCATTCAGTCGAGTAAGTAGATTGAACCAAGTCAGATCGGTAAAAGATAAGCAACAATTTTTGGCAATCAAGCAATGACAGTTATTCTCGGGCGTCTGAAACCTCATTTGCACTTAAATGCGTTTGCATTACGTTAGTATAAGCGTTTAATGTTGAGGTGATAACGTTACTCTTTTTTTCCTTTCCAGATGTTGTTTTTCTTTTAGACCGAAAATAACACACTATCCCATCCCAAATGCCTTGAAATATTCATGCGTCCCTTTTCTCGACAGTCGTTATTAGTTGAGAGCTCTGGGGTTAAGGAAAGGAGAGAAAGAGAAAAGAGAGATAGAAAAGAGAGAGAGAAGCCTGGCCTTGGTAATCGAACTGAAAATTTTTTCCGGCCAATGATTCTCTACAGATTGATTTAATTGTTCGTTTATCGACCATCCGTGTTTTAGTTCAAAACGATTTTTCAATAAAATACTTTATCCTTAAAAGGTGATATCGTGAACGCTCTTTTTTTCTAAACCCTTTTTTTACACTAAGCGCTGATCAGTGCTTTGAATAATCAATAGCCGATGATTGGATAGCATTTTAGTGGCCAATTTATTTGATTAAATGCTCCCAGAAAATAAAATAAAATACGGCAGTTCGTACGCCATCTATTGCTCATTTTCTATATCGAAATATAAAATTCCCCCACCTTCTCCCCTCCCCTCCTAATTATATGCGACCCCGCCAATTGCATTCTCCTCCTCTATGCAAACGGTTGTATTTAACGTGAAGAGCGCAAATTGCTTGTGTTTTTAGAGCGCAGGAAGTTCTATAAAACCTCAAGAATTATTTATTACTTTTTATTTCTCATAAACGCCTAAATATATAAATATATACATATATAAATGAAAGTATACCTAAATAAAACTTATTAAGCACCGGAAAAAGAAGGAAGCGAAAATAATCCTGGTAAGTTCCACTTAGATTTTCTATCAACTAATTTATATAATAATGAATAGGGGATGTACATTTTTATTTCTATTCTTTTCCTATTATCTTTATTCCATCTCTTTCTTTCGATTTTACTTTATTTTATTATGTTTGTATGTTTGTTTGTTTGTATATTTGCCTCTTTCTTTCTTTCTTTTCGTCTTTCTCTCTCTCTCTCTCTCTCGATTCCCGTCTTCCCCCCACCGGCACGCTTTATATCTTTCTGCCAGCGCCTCTCACCCCCCTCCCCTTCCTTCTTATTTATTTTGTTACAAACCTTTCTTTTGTACAGATCAACAGGCCTATTTGAAAAGAAAGTAAAAAGTTCAAGATAATCAAATAAAGAATTAACAATGGTCTACTTAAACTTAAATTTTCTCATATTAACGATAATTACAATCAACTTGAATATTATTGTTTATGGTAAGTAGAAATTATTACTGTTTTTCGGGAGAGGATACTGTACTTTTGTTTGCCAACGCCTATTTTCGGTGACATTTCTATTGGCAAACTATCGCTTGAAAATGTCACAAAAGGGAGGGAGAATGGAAACGTGAGTTTGCATTTTACAGTATGAAATTGCTATATACGTATAGAGAATGGGATGTATTAGAGACAAATAGCAATTGTTTACTTTTTCTCTAAAATATGCATGTAATATTTTTAGCGTTCAAAGACTATTGCATTGGTAACACATTTAAGGCGGAATGCGGTACAAATGAAATTGTTGTAATGAGTCACGCATTTTATGGTATTATGAAACTTGGTTCTTGCATAAAACAAACAGAAGACTGGGCTGTAGGATGCTCAAAAAACGTTATACAAAGAGGTTAAAATTAAATACATATAATAAAAGTATAGGCCTAATATATTTCCTAGAATACGGTAATGTATATATAGTCGAGATTTTAAACTGAATTTTCATCTCTTTTCTAGCTGACAGACACTGTTCAGGTCGTTTAAAGAGATGTGAATTCCTTCCGGTAACGATTTTCGATGATTTGAACCCGTGCAATGCAGCGCTCAGAACTTACTTCGAGGCGGATTACGTTTGCCGCGGGGTCTCTAATAGATTTTCCAATTGCGATTCGTCAATTATCCAGTTGGGTCTAGACGAAACGCGTTATTTAGCGAGTATGTCTTCTTTTTCTTCAGCTACTTGTCATAATTACAAGATACGGGCTGCACAAGGCTACACTTTTAACATCACACTGCACGATTTCTTCACTGAACAACGTAACCCGGATGATACGTGTATTGAATACGCGAAAATAATTACCAAGTATTCTAATTACAATACTTTAGTGCTTTCTTTAATTATGCTCTATTAAAGTGAGAAAGAGCGAGCCGTATGCTCGAGTAATAAGAGACGGAATCATGTTCTAAAGACGACAACCAATTCAGTGGAAATACGATTAAACGAGATAAAAGAAATGCGATTTCTATTAGAAATAACGGTATTGGGCTGTCCAGAGCCAAATGAACCTCCAGAAAATGGATGGATACGGAGCGAGACGGACGGAAGTTTCGTGACCGGATGTCACGGTTCGGACGAAACTTGGCCTTTAACATGCAAAGATCAACGCTGGGTTTATCCGATTACTACTTGTAAATTGAAGATTTATAATATAAGGGTAGAAGAGTCTTTCTTAGAATCTAGGAAAGGCAAGGCTATCCTGGGAGCAACAATTTTGGGATGCTTTATTGCCTTCTTCGTACCTTTTATTATTTTGACGATTCTTCGAGTCAGAATGATAAAGAAAGAAAAGGAACGATTTGAAAACAAATTCGGAATAATGAAATTGCCTGAAACCTATCCCGGAGCAAACTTTATTGTCGCGCCAGTCGGTTCGTATAGTCGGCAGAGTAGCGGCGGCTCAAGTCATTTATATGAAAGTACTTCGGCTTATCAGAAACAATAAATTGCTTTTGTTTTATACACAAATACCTGTTATGTAAATATTTTAGGCTATATAAGCCGTATCAAGATCTGTTAATTAGACGATAGATTCCCTAGACCCTACTTTTCCCATAGTCTTATATCTGTCATCGTCTTCATCTAATATAGTAGTCGTCTGTTCAGTCTTTAATTCGCTCTCTTCCGATACTAGAACACTCAAATTTACTTTATCAGGCTCATCGTTTTCGTAAGTGTTTACTATTATCGTATTTTCTTGATTATTCTCTTTTTTATCATCGGTTTTACTAGGATCCTTATTCTCCTTTTCCTTAACAATTATAGGCTTAAGGGGTTTGGGCGATTTATTACCGCTCTCAGCAGTTTCTTTAGTCTTTTTCTTTGTGAAACAACAACCCATATCTGAACGTATAATATTTATTTTTAGTCTTTTAGCATAATTCTATTAATTATATATGTTTTGAAGAGATTTTTTTTAATATTGTTATAATTATTGTAATTTGAAATTGGCTTATACACGTCATCGTAATGACTCTAATTAAATATTGTTAAAAGTGACTGAAATAAGGAAGTAAATTGCAATTATAGCAGTTCTAATTGATAATATGTTGACTATAGGCTTTCAATTCAGTAAAATTTAGAGCAATTATTGAATGTATGATTGCACTATCGACTTTCATACGGTCAGTGGTAACAGATGTCATACACTATTGAGACTTATCATCAGTTATTTTTTGAGCTTTTAAATGCCAACTTGAGCTTATATTAAAAACATGATGTCGGATTCAATGGAAGGAGAAGAGCTACAGATATTGGATGGTGAAAAGTACAATATATCCGAGAGTAAATACGGTTCAAGTCCAGAAGAACGAGATGAAGAGAAAACGAACGACGTTAGTAAATCAGCTTTTTTACTGTATATATTGCGTTTTTGTAGTTAGTATGTCTGTAATCGAATGTTACTGCTTTTTTATTCATACAATAAGTTTTTATACCCCGTTTACCTAATATCATTGCAATTATTAAAGACAACGGATAACACGGAAAAGAGCAATAACGCTTTAGCTTCTATGAATATGATTAATTCGATTTTAGGAAGTGGGATTATTGGAATGCCATATACGTTAAAGGAAGCAGGAATAGGATTAGGCATCATCTTTATTTTGATCATGGGAGTCGTAACCGGTACTATAAATTTCTCAAACGCATATGCTTTCAACACGTTAATTAATACATAATTTATCTATAAAATTGTGATATTTCTATAGATTATACGTTAAATCTTCTTATAATTGCTGCTCAAAATTCCAAAGTTACCTCATATCAAGATTTAATGTTTTCTACATATGGTAAATTTGGTTGGTGGTTAACAACAATTCAGCAATTTTTTCAGCCGTTTTTCGCTATGATATCTTATAATGTAATTATTGGAGATACTATCACTCGTTTGGTGAGCAGGATAGGAGGAGGTTGTCTTACTAATTTAACTATTTTATTCATATAATATAATAAATTTATATATATATATATATATATATATAGAATAATCCTCTATTTTTTCTAGCTGCTGTTGCCAATACCGTCATCACAAGAAGAGAGTTTGTTATCTTCTTAGGAACGATATTCTTAACGTTACCCTTATCTTCATACAGAAATATTCATAAATTAGGCAAGGTATTAAAAAGAAAGAAAACAAATATTCCAAATATTTTGCCATTAAATGATCGTATAAACATGTTTATTGCGTTTTTTGTTCAAAATATTTGTATATATTGCGTATTATATTCTTTGATTGTTTACTTTTCAACTAATTTTTCTTTTATTCTTTACAGTGGTCAGCTATATCAAACTTATTTATTGTATTTTTATGCATATTTACTGCAATTCGTCTCGGAACTATGAACTCAATCATGTAAAAAAAACAGCAAATAAGAATTTATTTAATTACTCATTTCTCCCTTTTCTTTAGTTTTTATACAAATGTTTGTTTTCTTTCTTAGACCGTCTGCAAGTGACGATTGGACGTTTGCCAAAGTAGAGGCCTTAAAAGCTATAACGATTATGTCCCATGCTTTTATGTGTCATCATAATGCGTTGCTTGTATTTAATTCAATGAAGGAGCCTGGAACAGCTAGGTGGTCTTTGGTCGTTCATCTTAGCGTTATTATTTCCGTATTTTGTATGCTGTCCTTGTCCATATTCGGATATTGCACGTTCAAAGGGTTTACGGAAGGAGATCTCTTAAATAATTATTGTTATTCGGATGATTTTGCTAATACCGCAAGAGTGGTTTTCACCTTAGTTGTCGGTTTAACCTATCCAATTGAATGCTTTGTGACTAGAGAAGTTGCGGAAATACTAATTAGAAGATTTTTTAAGATACCTTCTGATGCAAAAACTCCTCTTTTGCGTCACCTTATCATCACATCGTTAATCGTTATTTCGGCCTTTGCTCTTTCATTAACAACCGGATGTCTAAAGATCGTGCTCGAAATCGATGGTTGTCTTGCGGCTATACCGCTCATATTTCTTTTGCCAACTTTGGCGTACGTAAAATCTTCTGGACACCAACTTCTGAGCAAAAATCATATTCTACCTGCAATAGTATTCTGTTTCGGACTATTTGTCATGATAATTTCTTTTATTCAAATTGTGCAAGAAATCATAGACGGTATTAGATGCCAAGGTGAAAAGGATATGCCATACTGTTTTAAAAATTTAACTCAAACTGAATAAACTAACCTGAAAGAACTTTTTTTGCCTGCCTATAGTCAGTCAATCAACTAAGAAAGATCTATATTATATATATAAATATATATATATTAAAATATATATATATTTATGTAAATATATATGTCGTATAGCAGCAGGTGTCTCTGTCAACAGCAGTGAGAGCGGTTGCTTAGTGATTCGCTTTCACCGTTTCGACCCATTCATTTCACAGTTTGAAAGTATGTCTTATAATACAACGAAACGTCGAGGACCAATTGCAGCCGAATACAGCAGTCCTGGTCCTATCTATGCCCTGAAAAGTTTGGTCGGAAATTACGATCACGATCCTAGGAGTACGTAAAAGAATATATCATCTCTAATCCTTAGCCGCTTAACTCTCACTTTCACTTTTTCATACTTTTGTCCACTTTATCCTCTATCGCTTTTCTTTTCAATAAAGTGCCTAGACTAAAATTTATATCTACAGGCTCCCACTTCAGGGGACCCGCGTACTCCTTCGGTGTAAGACACGGTAAATGGAGAGACGACTCCGGACCTGGCCCTGCCTATTATCCAGATCCAAAAATAGATCGAAATGGTCGCGACGGGTCACCACAATACAGTTTGTACGGGAGACCAAGTGATAGGAGAGGCTATACTGTACCCGGCCCTGGTGCCTATTCTCCTGAACATTCTGGACAGACAACGCAGCGTGCCCCCCCTGCTTATAGCTTTGGTTTGAGACATAGGGGAAGGCGAACGGACGATATTCCTGGTCCGAATCACTATAGCTTACCAACCCAATTAGGGGGAGGCGTAGAAAGCACCAAATCTAAGGCACCAATTTACAGTCTTACTGGACGTAATCATAGAGGGGGCTTTCATGAGGATTTGTCTAAGGCACCAGGTCCGGGCGCTTATAAAATTACGGATCCCGATCTATATAAATATCGCGGACCTGTTTACAGGTGAGGAAATGCTACTTATCGAATCCTTTTAATGTTACAAATTTGTAATACCAAAAGCATTACGGCGCGCAATCAATTACCGTCGGACGCTACTCGGAAGCCTGGTCCAGGAGCTCATTCGCCCGAAAAGGTAATGACCTCTCCACTCTTATACATACTTGATACCTTGTTCAATAATAAAAGGGAGCTTTCAAATCCACTTGATTCACTTGTTTTTATTTTTTCAACAGTTTTGGGTACATAAAAAAGCTTCTCCTGCTGTTACAATGGGAATTCGCCATAGTCCATACATTGGAGTTTTAACCGAAGTGGAGAATTAAATGTATGAATCAGTATTAACCGTTATTCTTCTGCATATTATATACTTCGAGATTTTCGTTTACCCCCTCTCGACCTCCGCTGAATTCATTAAGTACTTAACGCGAAAGTGGATAAAATATTCCATTGTACCGCACTTGCAATATCGTCGGCTTTGTCAATACAACCAATAATCAATCTCTAAACTTTTATATCTATCGTTCTTATTTTAATTCAAATTTTACGCACGTATACTTCTACTTTTCTGCTTGATTAGTCAGCCTATAATTGTTCCGTAAATGGATCATAAGTCAAGGAAAAGCAATATTTTTTAGCATAATTTTATAACTCAAGATAATCTTATCAAATTACAATAGTAGGTTTATTTTTAGTTATTTACTAGAAACTTCGTTCTTAATTAAGTTGGAAAGAGAGAGAGAGAGAGAGAGAGAGACAGAATTGGGGACAAAAAAAGAAAAACGAGATTAGACAAAACTCGGCTATTACTATTGACGTAAAAGATTACGAAATGCTTACCAACTATGATTTATTTAAGAGACGAGCGTGTTTGATATTAAAATTAGAAATCAACTTGCAATAAAAAGGCTATGTTTGTCAAAGATTTTTATACTTTTCAGCCGTTTCAACTAATTTTCTGTAAGTTCCTACTTCTTTTGTGGAATGACCTGAATCGGGAATGATAAAAAATTCCGCATTCGGCAGTTGCTATAATGAAAAAACGATTAATTATAATATTTAAGAAATAAAAGTTTAATCTCTTTAACCTTATGCAATTCCCAAGCAGATATCATTGGACAAACCATATCATAGCGACCTTGTACAATTGTCGTTGGAATATGCTTAATTTTATAAGCGTTATCGAATATTTGGTTTTCTGTGTCAAAGAATCCGCCTTTAACAAAATAGGTACATTCGATTCGGGCAAATTGTAATGCCCATTCATCATTATCAACTTTGCTAAGTAGTTCTTCGTCAATAAACAAGCGCGATGTTGCTAATTCCCATTTACTCCAAGCTCTCGCACATTTAAGTCGCTCTTCTTTGTCAGGTCCAGTTAGACGACGATAATAAGCCGACACCAAATCGTGTCTTTCTACTTCCGGTATTACGGAAATATATTCTTCGTAGTGATCGGGGTAAACAAAGCTAGCTCCTTCTTGATATAGCCATAAAATTTCTTTTCTCCTTAGAGTAAATATTCCTCTAAGAATAAGAGCCTTAACTCTGTCTGGATGGGCTTCTGCATACAAAAGAGACAAAGTCGAGCCCCACGATCCGCCAAAAACAACCCATTTGTCAATACCCAGATGATTTCTTAGGGTTTCAATATCTGAAATCAGGTGCTTAGGCGTGTTTTCACGTAGTTCAGCAGCTGGTTTCGATTTTCCCGCTCCTCTTTGGTCCATAAGAACAATCCTATAAACTGCTGGATCGAAGTATCGACGGTCTCTTGGCGATGTTCCGCCTCCTGGACCTCCATGCCTAAAACATTGATGACGTTTTAACACTTGATAACTAATGCATCAGATAATAAAAACATGGTAAAAGTTGTAGGATTTTGCTATTGAACCGAAACAGAATAATGCGTAATAAAATGCACTGACGCTTGTTATACATTTGTTTAGTAAAGATAAATATTAAGTCGGCTCTATTGATGAAAAGCCCTATTCGTTTTTTTAATAACGGTAAGCTCAACTGTAAAAGAAAATCTTCTTATCTATCTGCTTATCAACTGCTACGTGAATATTACATTAAAATCTGAAATTTAAACAATGAAATTATTACAGGAATATAACCGGATTTCCTTTAGGATTTCCACTTTCTTCATAATAGACTGAATGAATTTCTGAAACTTTCAGGAAGCCATCGTTAAATGGTGTAATTTCACCATAAAGTTCTGTTTTTGTCGACATTTTGGTGTAACCTCTGCTCATAAACTGAACTGTAGGTGACACCACCTGCCATATTAAAAAAGAGAACGTACACAAAATTAGAGATTTAATTATAAACAAGAAGTTTGAGAGGTAATACATTTGTAGTTTAATTGATTCATTAACCGAAATACTGTATATCATACTTAAAATAACCTTACAGAAACTGACTTTAGATATATATATATCTCTGATTATTCTTTAATAAGTAAGAGAAATAGGATTACATAAATTAATTTCATAATTCTATATATCAAATTACTGATAGATTATTAAAGTTTTCATGTTATTAATATAAATATAAATGAATATTTCTCTTGTATGGCTTATTGCTAAAAGAGGCTTTCGGTTGAAAGACTATTTAAAAGATTTATATAGCAATTACCGATTTCTCTCACTAATGATACACACCAGGGTCTTTAGTGTAAATTATAAATACAACTTTAATAAAAAGGTGTGTTTTTCTCTCTTGTTCAAAGTAATTAGGTTTGTAATTAAGAATATTTCTTTTATTTTCCTCAACTAATATATTAATTTAAAATTCCCTAATTTCGCTCACTCTTTTATATAGATCTATTGGGATCCTAGTTTTTGCACTGTACGAAGTCTATAAACAATTCGAATGTTCAAGCACGTTATCTCCGCTTTCAGTCCAAGAATTCTGTCATCAACTCTCCTTTCAAATAAAATGTCAACAATGGCAAACTATAAGGCTTTGAATGTTACCCAACATAGTGAATTTGTTAAACATGTTGAAGTTAATAGACCGGAAAAAAGGAACGCTATGAACATGGATTTTTTTAAGTGAGCTAAAAACTAAAATCTTTTTATAAGTACTAAATTTCTGTTTATTATCTCTAGTGAAATGATCGACTGTTTCAACACTTTGTCTTTCGATCCCGATTGTCGGGTCATCGTTTTGAGTGGAGCTGGTAAGATGTTCTCAGGCGGTATAGATTTACAAACTCTCATGGCGCTTGGACAAGACGGAGCTGATATTGAAGATGTTGGAAGAAAGAGCTTCATGCTCACAAAGGTCATTCCTAAATTGCAAGAGAGTTTTAATGTTATTGAAAAATGTCGCAAGCCTGTAATTGCCGCAATTCATAATGGTTGCATAGGCGGTGGAGTAGACATGGTTACTGCATGCGATATACGCTATTGCACACAAGATGCATTCTTTGAGATTAAGGAGGTTAAAGTCGGTTTAGCAGCCGATATAGGAACTTTACAGAGACTACCCAAAGTCATTGGAAACAACAGCTTGGTGAGAGAATTAGTTTATTCTGGTCGACAAATGCATTCGGATGAAGCACTCCAGGCCGGCCTCGTTAATAAAGTTTTCCCGACTAAAGAAGCCATGATGAAAGGAGCTTTGGAAATGGCCACACAAATATCTGAACTAAGTCCTATTGCAGTCCAAACAAGTAAATTGAGCATGAATTACTCAAGAGATCATTCAGTTCAAGACGGACTAAATCATATTGTAAGAAACAATACTTTAAGTAGTTTATTCTAAATCAATTTAAAACTATATTATCAAACAGGCAACAATGAACAGTGCAATGTTACAAAGCCATGATGTTGTTGAGGCAGCTACAGCAGTAATGTCAAAGGAGAAGCCTGTCTTTTCTAAACTCTAAATTTTTAACTTCTTATTCAGTTCTTTGTACAATTTAACAGCCTTTTCAAACAGATCGGAGTAATCATATGCTTTAGAAGTGCTAATTACTTGCTTCAAATACAATAAAGCCTCTGGCAGTTCACCTACCTGCCAAAGAACTTCTGCAAGATTTAACTTATATAAAGTTGTTTCATACTTTTTATCAATTAGATTTTCGCTTATTTCTATGGCTTTTAGACAATTACTCTTGGCTTCATCAAAATTTCTTAATTCACATTCTATGGCTGCTAAATCGTTATATAAAGATGCAACTTGCTCGTGGCTATCCCCAAACACTTGTCTAGCAATTTTAAGACTATCCTTAATAAAAGACACAGCTTTATCATATCTTGACAGTTCCATATAATATCTGGCATAAGAGTCTAATGTTAATCCCAAAAGAGCCTGTCCGTCTTCATCTAGCCCATCATCCGAGTCTCGACGTTTTGTTAAACAGTTTAGACAGTATTCGTACCCACTTTCAGCTTCTGGCTTTCGTCCAGTTGATGCATAAATCATTGAAAGTTTAAGTGATATCTCGATAAAAGCTAGATCGTCGGTTTCACGACCCAGATATTTGTGCAGCAATAACGACTGCTTGTAAAGTTTCTCAGCCTCTCCAAAGTGTCCTTTTGAAAATTCCATGTTGGCCAACAAAGATTGTTTTTTTAGTAAGAGAATTTTGTGTAAGATTTTTTTTTTAAAAAAAAGGAATAAACTAATTATTTTAACTTAAACAATGTCTAAATTGGCCACCATAAAGCAAAATGTAGTAAGTCGAGCTTCAGCTATCTGTTTATCCGTTCTATCCCCAGATTTTTGATCTTGCAGTATTTGGCGTAAAGCACTGTGGTAATAGCTATTTGCTGTTTCGTAATCGTCTCTCATTTCTGCAAGTCTTCCCCTCTTTAAAGTCATAACAATGGGATCTTCCTTCTCCTCACTTTTTAGTTTGAAAAATGATAAAAGAGAGACAAGCGAAACAGCTATTATGTCTTTATTACTCGAGGGACTTTTATGAGAAATTAGTCTTCTCGAGTTTGATAAACAATTGCCTGGATATTTGATAGAGAGTCGTGTAGCAAATGGGAAAAAGCGTCGTAAAAACAGTCTTCCAATCATTTTTTCAACGTGCTCGGCCTTCACCTTTAGACCTTCACCTTCAGAAAATTTTTTAAAATGGATTATAGTTTCAGTGTATTTAAGCTCTAATTTACTTTGTTAAACCTCGTTTTAATAATTTTACGAAAGCATATTAAAAGTTTTTTGACTTCCGGTAGAGTAACGTTTTTTGTATTATTCGGCGCGGGGGAGATCTTTGAAGCTTTGTCACAACAACGAATGAAATAAAGTTCAGATAAATCCACCTTTATTTTAGTCAAGATGAACAAGAAACTCCAGAAGTGTGAGGTTGAAGAAATTGAAAAGCAGATAAGAGCACTTTTAGTATCTGCTCCAAATGGCCAGACACTATTGGAACTAGACAAAGCATTTAAGGATTTTATGTGCCGACCTATTCCATTTAAACAGATGGGATACGAAAATGCAACAGAGTTTTTTCAAAAGAATCCAAACATAGGACGGTTAAGAGAAATTAAAGGAGCCACTTTCGTTTATGCGGTAGCCAGTGAAAAAGATAGGCATATAGCAAAACTAGTTGCTGGACAAAAGAAAAAAGCTTCAAATTTTTCTAAAAGAGCGGAAAAAGGTGTCCGTTTTGAAAAGAAGGTATTTTATAACAACAACGATGACTATTCACATCGAAAATTATATAGGAATAATTCTGAATATCACTTGAGCAGAACACAGCGTTTCGATACAAGAGTAATTACACGATTTAACTATTCATCTAGAGATAATAAAGAAAATATGAATAGAGGGACGACAGCAAAGTTTTATAAACAAAAATCAGTTCCAAATTTAAGAACAAATCAAGATGTTACTTATGTTCCTCACAAAAGTTACCAAGATAATCATCCTGTTTGCCACTATAAAAATATTGAAAATCCTCTTAAAACTATCAAAACAGCTTTCAATCTCATCGATGTAAAGAGTTTACCTGAATCATTGTTCGCTAAAGTAGTTCATACGAGATGCCCAACTGATTTTTACATTCATATCTTTGGTAAGAATAATTTAGATGAATTTGAAATTCTCCAAGAAGAGATGGAATCATTCTACGACGATGAAATAATAAATACACGATATCGATTAACGACAGCCGATGTTTATATGGGCAAACCTTGCGCTGTTTTGTTTCTAAAAAAACTATGGAGAAGAGGTGTAATCTTACGATTTCAGTCTACTCTTCGCATTTACCTAGTCGACTTTGGTCAAATAAGAGAAATAAATTTAAGTGATGTTCGGCACCTATCTGATAAATTCTTAAAACTTCCTGCTCAGGCTGTACCAGCCCGTTTGGCACATATTCAACCGTTACATCAAATCTGGAGTCAGGGAGCCGTTGCGTTTTTCCTCAAAAATATTGATTCTAAAAAGTTGAAATTACAGGTAAAGAAACTGGAAAATGACTATTGTTTATCTTGCATTTTAAAAGATGATACAGAGAAGAGTATTAATCAAATCCTCTTGGATAGAAGACTTGCCCGATTTGACGAATCGGATAATTTGAGAGAGTCTGATTTTATGCGTAAAGTTTTTCTTGGAGAGTTCATCGAAGAAAATGAAAGAAAATTTAACGATCAAATAAGACAACTTGAAGAAATTGATGAAATTATGCAGTTTACTTATTGCTTATTCGTTATAAAAGTAAAAATATTGGACAAAATAATTACAGTTGTAATTACAGACTTTTTCAACGATGAATTAGAAGAATATATCATGGAGAGAGATTGTTTATTCTTAATTAAAGAATCTTCTGGAAATTTACTAAATAAAACTGTAAAATTCACTTTAAAATCCCATCAACAGTCTCATAGGAAAGTTATACACTATTTGAAAAGAATATATAACATTGATATAGGGGAATTAAATCTGGACTTATATCCATTAAAATATCTTTCAACTGTATCGTCAGACAATAGAAAACTTGATAAACTTAATGAATTATTTAGAAATGAAAAATCGAATTTCTCATATGAAGTTGCTAATTGCAAAAGACAGTGTATTGAACAGATGAAAAGTCTGGTTAATTGTGGACAAACAGGTCTATTAGAAGAATGTAAAGAGAATCTTAAAACTTGCGTCCAATTATTAAGAGAAAACGGAGAGAATATCCTTGAAATAGAGTACGAAGTGAAAGAACCCCCTGGCTTACGAAAGTGCGAAAGGCAGTTGGAAAAGCTTAAACTAGCAAGTATTGACACTCAAAAGATGTTTGAAGTTCAAAATCATAGCAAACATATAGGCTATCACCGAATTTTTGATTGTTAATTACCAGTTCTGTTTTTAAATTAACTTTTAATTGTTGTAAAAAGACATTTTACATTACAGTCAGATACTTTCGATTGTAGATGGCGTTAGCGTTTACGTTTTTATTTTTCTCTTATGTACCGCAAGAAAACTGGTGAATAAAGTTTCGTTAAATCCTTGCGTTTGAAAAATAACCGGCGTTTTATTTTGAGCCTTTATCGCATCTAAACCTATTTAAATATATAAGAGAATGGTTGGTATTTTTTAGAAATAACCGTGTGTGGATTATTTACGTTTTTTTTTGCCGGTTTCATTAATTCTTCAATTTAACATTTATTATCGCTCGTTTCAGTCAGTTACATTAAATACTGAATACGGGGACCTAAAATTAGAATTATACTGCGAACTATTTCCAAAAACTTGCGAAAATTTCTTGGCACTTTGTGCAAGTGGATATTACAATGGCTGTCTTTTTCACAGAAATATAAAAGGTAAAGCATTCAAAAATACAAAACCGCTAACGTTCGTAATACGTATTTAACCTATTAAAATTTGTCTTAGGTTTTATGGTTCAGACTGGAGATCCAACAGGATCTGGTAAAGGCGGAGAAAGTATTTGGGGAAAACCTTTTGATGACGAGTTCGATGAATCCGTCAAGCATAGTTGTCGCGGTATGATCTCAATGGCCAACAAAGGGCCTAATTCGAACAAATCACAATTTTTCATAACTTACGCTAAACAACCACACCTCGATTTGAAGTATACAGTTTTTGGTAAAGTTATCGATGGTTTTGATGTTCTTGATGACTTGGAAAAACTTGAAGTAAACGAAAAAACCTACAGACCACATAAAGAAGTTCGAATTAAGAACGTCAGGATACACGCAAATCCTATCGCCGACGCTGTTATTTAATGGTTAAAATAACATAGTTATCGAACCTTCTATTTATGTACCTTATTGTTTAGATGAATTATTGAACTCGTGAATAAATAAAACTCTTATAACTTGACATAAAAGACTTACGGGTAGGGCAGTTGCTAAGGCATACGAACACTTGAAACAAAGGCGATCTGTGTCTCAAAACTAGCTATAAATTTATCAGCTTGTAATATTGAGAATTTGAATAGTAGGATTAAATGGTCTAAACAGCTTTAGCTCTATTTCACAAAAAATGACGGACGATCCTGAAATTGTAATTTTTGAACGGGACGACGATACACACTTTATAGATTTTCGAATTAAAAAAGAAGGTGGAGATGATGTTGAATTGAGTGAAAAAGACTTAGCTGCTGTCTATGATCCTATGCTATTGACGGATGAGGAAACAGACAGCAGCATTGATAGAAAACCGAAGCCGACGGTGAAAAGAAAGAAAAAGAAAAAAAAAGAAAAACCTCAGTCGGGAAAAAAAGTTTCTAGAAGAAAAAGAGGAAAAACTTTAGATCCTGATAGGCTCTACGAAATAGTTGACAGACTTACACGTTCAACAGCGGCTTCTAGAGCAAGGGAAACACTTTCAGCTCCCATTATAGCTCCGGTACCTCCACCAAGTTCAGCAAAGTTAAATTTGAAATTACCAAAGGATCGTAAGTCGTCAGCAGATACGTCGTCAAATCGTCAACTAGCGAGGCCAACCACCTGCAAAGAGGCAGTTAATAGATTATCAAGTCCCACTAAAAGAGGAGTGCCTGAATCGAAAAGAGTGCTCGCGCCTATAGATAGGCGACAAATCGGACATGTGCAAGTATGGAATCGTAGTGTTCGCTATTCAAATAGTGTAAGATTAGGCTTTGAGAACATGAAAGAAACGGTACGAAACTGCACGAATAAATTAGACGCTCTACTTATTTCGAATACGAAAAATAATCTGCACCCTACTATGAGCTCTTAGTAGAATTTGCTGACTCAAAAGATTGGAAATTGGCTTGTTATGGTGTACTAAATATGTTTTTCGACAACTGGATCAACAGTATCGCAAGCTGCTTCTTCATAGTCCTTTTCCAAAGCTGCTAAATTCTCTCTGGCGGCCGAAAATTCTGCTTCTTCCATTCCTTCTCCAATATACCAATGGACAAACGCACGCTTATGAAACATGATATCGAATTTTCCTGTCAAACGTGTCCAGGCGTCCTTAATACCTGTATTATTTGACAGCATGCACACCGCTCTTGGAACGCCTCCAATGTCAGAATCAGGAGCAGACGACGGTGCTTGATGGTTCAAACCAATCTTAAATCCGGTAGGACACCAATCAACAAACCTGATTTTTCTACTATTCTTTATTTTTTGAATAGCATTTGTTACATCGGTAGGAGTAATATCTCCTCTATACAGCATACAACAGGCCATAAATTTGTTTTCGCATGGATCACATTTAACCATCTGTGTTGCTGGATCAAAAACAGAGGTTGTAATAGCTGGAACCGTAAGAGATTCATGCTTTACATTGGCGTCAGGCAAACAGGGAGCGTAAGAGGCTAAAGGAAAATGAAGGCGGGGAAACGGCACAATGTTTGTTTGAAAATCGTGTAGATCTACGTTAAGGACTCCTTCGAAACGTATAGAAGCAGTTATTGAGGAGCAAACTTGAGATATTAAACGATTTAGATTCAAATATGACGGCCTTTCAACTTCCAGAAGATTATGACATATGTCATAGATCGCTTCATTATCGAACAGTATTGAACAGTCTGTATAATCGAATGAGGTATGGGTCGTTAGCAGTGCGTTATAAGGTTCAACAATTACTGATGATAGTCTTGGCGACGGATAAACGCTAAACGTGAATTTTGGTATTCTATTAGTAAATTCCTGCGTAATCGTTTCAAGAAGTTTAGCCGTATAGCCCGAACCTGTTCCTCCACCGAACGAATGAAAGACAAAAAAGCCCTGGAGGTGATCACAAATTTCCACTTGTTTGCGAATGCTGTCAGAAACGTTTTCAAAAAAAGATGAATTTAAGGAGTATCCATGGTAACCTTTGGCAAAATTACTTGCGGCGTCTTCCTTGTCAGCAAGTAAAGTACTTGGATGATAAAGTTTCTGAAATTCACTTCGACGTATTTCATCAATCACTGAAGGTTCAAGATCAACAAATAATGAACGAGGAACGTGCTGCCTACAAGAGGTTTCTTGAAAAAAACACTCGAAAGCTATATCTTCCAGTTCACTTTCTTTTATTAAATACCCGTCTTTTGTAATTCCGTGTTCCAAACAATATAATTCCCACAATTCCCTTCCCATTTGGCAACCAGCCTGTCCGATATGGATGGATAAAATCTCTCTCGATGACATTGTTGTTGAGATGTTTTTATCGATTTTAAAACGATTGATTATGTCATCGAAACTAAAAAAAAAGAAAAAGAGTTTAATGATAAAATCGTTGTATAGGTGGCGCATTTATAACATCTTTCGCTTTTTGCTGGCTGGCGAGTCGGATGGCGGAAAAGGGAGAGAATTTTTTAAAACAATTTCGTGATGAAACAACAATGCAGTTACGAAAAGTTACAGCTAGTCAATTCATTGACGTTTGGAGTCATTATGACGTAGATGGTAATTTCTTTTTCCTATATACCTTTTTAATTAAGTAGAAAGTGACTGACGAAAAGCATAAAAATCAATCATTCTCCCACGATTTTGTAGCCTAACTAAGTTATTCTTTTTAGGAGAAAAACGAAGAAAAGAATAAACTTTTAATCCTTTTACACGCTATTTATTAGTATTATATTCCTTATGGGATTATTAAAAAAACGTATATAAAAGTATCTTATTCCTACTTATTAATGCATGTAAACAATATTTAACTTACATTCAAGAAAAGTCTATAAAGAAAAAATATTTATTACTGTTGCTCTCTTTCTCTCTCTCTCTCTCTCTCTCTCTTTCTTGTCTCTTTCCTTCTTTTACTTTTCATTTTAAACAGGTAACGGTTTCATAGAAGGTAACGAATTAGACGCCTTCTTAAAGGAATTTATGGTCAACACCCAACCTTTCGATGTATGTTTCCTTTTATTTTTCACGTTGAATAGGCGTTTCGATCGAATCGATAATTCACTCCTACTTGAAATCGATTAAGGTCTTTCTAAAAAATAATTTAGTGGAAGCGAATTCGACGATTGTAACATTTAGCTTATTGTATTTTATAGAATAAAAACAACTAGGGAATGAAAAAACACGAAATCGAACGTTTTTATATTGAAATTAAAATAAAAACTAGTTTTTTGTTTTCTTTTTTAATTTTATATTCGATTTTTCACTTGTCTAATCATTGTTTGTTTTTATGTTTGTTACTATATTTATATAAACCTAATATATATGTATGATAGATTATATAATTATTGTGTGTTGTATTATATATAGCATTAAATTAATTAACTTTAAGAAATATTATGCAGGAAACTTCTTTTCAATATATGAAAGGGCGTTTCTTGGACGCTTTTGATGAGAATGACGATGATCGTATAGATATTTCTGAAATGGCGCAAATTTTACCAACTGAAGAAAACTTTCTTTTACTATTCCGTTTCAAAAATCCATTAACATCTAGCGTTGAATTTATGAGAGTATGGAGAGAATTTGATAAGGATTGTAGCGGATATATCGAAGCTGATGAATTAAAAGTGTGTATAAAACTTTATCCCCCTTTTTCATTATCGTAGAGTAAACTATAAAGAAAAGTATAATATGATTACAAGTAATACATCAAATGTAAAAAGTGTTAGAATAATATTGTATGAAGCTCTTTTTAACAGGATTTTCTTGAAGATCTTTTAAAAGAGGCTAACAGAGAGGATCAAGTGACCGAAGAACAGTTATTAGAGTACACAACAACAATGGTTCGAACTCATTTTTACCCTTCCTTTTTACCTTTTTTTTTTTTTTATTTTTTCGTTTAGTTCCTTTCCTTTTATTTTTAGTTCACCTAACGTTTCATTGATTTCAGTTGCAGCTCTTTGACCAGAACAAAGACGGGAAATTACAGTTGAGCGAAATGGCTAAGTACGTATACTAGGCCTCAATTAGCTACTAATAATACCTAGTAAATTTCTTAAAATAAACCAGGTTATTACCCGTAAAAGAAAATTTCTTGTGCAGACCTATATTCAAAATGAGTAATGTTAGTTATTATAATTATCATATATTTAATTAACTTTTTATTTAAATGACTAATTAGTAATTAGTAGTAGAAAATAGGCTGACGCATATTGTTTTCATATTTATAAATGTTTACCTTTTGTTTAAAAAGGTCTCCAAAAAATTGAACGCAAGCGACATTGACAGCGTATTCAACTTGTACGATACTGTAAGTTATTAAATTATTAATATATCTAAAATTAAAATGGTCAGGTAAATTCTATTATTAATTCATTACTAAAAAAAAGCAATAGTAGAATTATTAACAAACCTTTAGTCTCTAACCATCTAGTTTAAAAGTTGTTATTAAATTCTTTAATAGGTTTTAAGAAGCTTTTTGAATAAATATATTAATAAGATAAAAGATATTTAGCATCTCTCTTCTTTATATTCAATATTTAAGTTTACGCTATACTTGTAAAGCAGGCTTTAAGTACATCTTCTCTTTATATTTGACATTGTCAGGTCAAATCTAACGATCATTAATTTTTGTCGTTCTTTTAGGACAGTAATGGATGTATAGAAAATGAGGAACTAAATGGTTTCTTAAAGGACTTAATGGAACTTGTTCAAAGTGAATATGATAGTGACGATATCCAATATATGAAAAAGACGATTCTGGATCAGTGGGACTTTGATAAAGATGGAAAGATAAACAAAAATGAATTAACCATGCTTCTTTTACAACAATCTCAAACGTATGATGATTAAGAAATAAGTTTAACATTTTCCTTTTTAGTTACAAAGGAAAATCTATAAAGATAATAATTTATAAGCTAGGTAGGCGTTAAACAGAAATTTCCAGTTACTATTTTATTACTACATGCGTAATAATTTAGTGCCTATTTATTAATAGCAAAAAAAAAGGTTGAAGGGCCATCTAGTAGTTATTTTTTAAAATATATCAACATATCCGTATATTATTACAATGTATCTTTTTTGCTCGTTTGAAAATTTCTATCACTAATTGCTTTTCTTTAATAAATAAATCACAATAGAAAATAACTTCTTAATTATTTTCGTATTTGATTATCTTTTCGTATAATATCTTAAATAAAAGTCTAATATCCGTAACATATACATATTTTATGTATTACGTATATTTAAAAAGAAAAAGTTTATATAGAGGATTAATTTATATGTCACAAGCTAATATATTTACCTTTCATTTGAAAGAAATACCGTTATAGCGTCTCTTTTTGACATTTTAAATGTAATTTATATTTGAAAAGGAAAAAGAAAAAGGATATATCTAACAAAAGTCATTTTCTTTATATTAAGAAATATGTACTGTAATTTTTTATAAACGTTTGCGTAATAAATGGAATATCAACAAAAAGGAAATTAAAAGAAATAATGATTTTTACTTATTTACTATATATAACATTTACTATTTGTATCAAAATAATGAGCAATGTTTTTACTAATTCTAAGGTGTTTGTTGCCATATTTATCAAGAGTTTTCCTTGGAGGAATTAATCAGCTTTTGAAATAATTAGTTTTTCTTTAGTAAAGTAATTAATTCTCTTCTCCATTACTCCTTCTCTCTCTCTCGCTCTCTTTCTCTCTCTCTCTCTCTCTCTCTCTCTCTCTCTTGCTTACTAAAATGTCTACAGGAATGTGGTTGAGAGGCAGTATTTTCATACGCTATAAATATAAAACGATTAGCTTCTTTCCCTTCGTCTCATCGTTTTTGGTGACCTATAAAAGTTTGTATTATTTCAACAAACGATATACAATAAAGAAATGTGTTTACTTTCTCTTCCAGATAGTCTTTACCTTATCGAAATCCGAAAATATTTCAGTTTGTAACCTTGAACTTTAACCTTTTAAAAGTTTACCTACTGCCTTAGAATAAAAAATTTATGAAAGACCTAATATTTTCTTTCTCTCGACTATCTCTTGTTTCAGTTGGTCAGGAGGAGCTTAGCTATTTCTTTAATTACCATTTATTTAACATAATTCTTAAGATTTTGCTTACGCGAAGAGTCAATAAGCATTCTAAATATACTCGTTATACGTTAGTCCTTTTACAATAACCTTTTCATCGACTAAATAAAACTTCTCCTTGATCACAACAATGAGGCTTAATGTCTTTTACTGATTTATTTTTACCACCAATTAATTCTCAAAATTATGACATTTCTATTGGGAGGAGAAGTAATTACTTCTTATTAGCTAGACATTAACCTTGTGTTGTAAGCCAACCAGGTGAAGGGAAAATGTCTTTAGTTATAAAGAAAAAAATCATAAATATTCATTAGGATCACACTACAAAAGTTTCCAGAAAAGCCTGCATTATAATTCTAGAATACAAAGTTAACCTATAAACTAGTGTAAACTAAAAAGCCTAATTTGACTATATTATAACTATTTAACATTAAATTCGTTATTATTAGCAATACCTGTCTGCAAAACTACGATGGTCTTAAGCCTATAACTTTGACGAAGTAATCACGCAGGTTTTTTGTTTAAAGTATTGTTTGAATTGCACTTTTTAGCTATCCATAATCTGTCCCACTGAGATAATCTTTAAGTTGCACAAATAAATAAAATTCTGATGAAGCAAAATCTGGTGAGTGAGGATGAGGTTAAATGGAACTTCTTATTGTACGGTTTTTATTGAAATTATCGGGTTTTTCTTTTTGGCAATTGGATTTTTAGGATTAAAAATTCGTATAATTATATATTAATCCCCGTCTAATTATTCTTAGATAACTTTTATTGTCTTTAACATTCCTATTCAAATGTTTTAATTTTCACCCTTATCTTTGATTCTTTATATTCTAGGTGAATTATACACTGACTCTTACAAAGGATAATAGCTTGTCTAAATTTTGAGTTTGCTAAATCTTCTTGTGAAGTGGTAAATCTTTATGATGGAAATCGAAGATTTCCTCCCACCTTTACGGTTAGAGTGAAATACACAGATTTCATGACGAGTCGCAATTTACTGCAAAAAAGATATTCTCATCATTTTTGTATGTCAGAAATAGGTAGTAGCCATTTTAAAACCTGTTGAACACTGGATAAAAATAGATTTCTTTTCCTTTAATCTATTAATGTAAAAAGTAATTAAATCTAAAGGAGAACGTTCGAAATTATGGACTATGCGATTCGAAGTTTTTGTAAGGAAAACGTTTCGATCTCGGGACGAAAGAGAAAAGTTTGTTCTAAATATCTTTGAAGTGTCCATAAAATATAAATTGACCGACACAGAAAAAATGCTTCGTAGATTAACATCAACGAATCTAAGAAGCATATCATTAATTCAAAAGTTAGTATAATGAATCAGTTTTTTCTGTCTTTTTAGATTTAAGAGAAGACTTTGATATTAATGCGTAAAAATAGAATTTTAGTTGGGTGATAATAAAAGTTTTATAACGAACGTGTTTTGAATTTTCCATAATCTATTTCAGTAGAATGTATATTTTGATATAGAATTATGAAAATGCTATATAGTAATACAATATTCTTTAAATTCGAATATTTCCAGGACTTTTAAACGGCACTACGACAAGGGGGACTATGATGCAACTGTTGATATACTAAATGAAAACCAAGAGGGCATGTTTGTCGATACATTTAACGAAAATGGCATAAAATTAAGTAATGGTATAAGAATTTTGGGTCCTTGCATTCTGTTTCCCAAGTCCTTTCTTGCTTGGAATGTATGTTCATTTTTTTATATAATTAGCAATTTCAATAAATGTTTTTTTTATAAAAATTAGATTAGTGGTATTGAAGATGTTACTGAAGAATCCCTTTCACTTTTTACTACTTTAGAGCCTAAATTAGGTAAATAATAGATAAAATACCCGAAAAATTAGAGGGAAAGAGAGGGTTATTTAACACATCAAATTAATTTGTTTACATCTTTCAGATATACTTGTTCTGGGAGTAGGAGAAAGTGAGAATTTAAGCAAATTAAAAATGAATGCATTAACCTTTTTACGGAAACATAAAGTTAATTTGGAGTTATTACCAACAGTAAGAATATATAAATTATATCTAAATATATATATATATTTAAATTTAGTGAAAATATCCTACGAGAATAATTGTTACTTCTAATAGGAGCAAGCTTTGGCTACTTTTAATTTTTTAAATTCTGAAAGACGTCTAGTTGCTGGAGCATTTATCCCTCCCACTTATACAGAAACTCTTCTCACGGGAACTGATGAAGATGTAAATAGGCTTTTAGCAAACGTTGGAGAAGGTATTCATCGACCAATTTTAAATTTAGTGCAATTGTAGTTGATAGAACCGTAAAATTAGTTCAGAAATTGTGGTTAACTAAATTTTGTTTCGTAGATGTTTTCACCATGCCAAAAATGCAAACGACTGTCGATAAGAAGGAAATTGAAGAAATTCGAAAATTGTTTTCTGAGAGTCGAAAACAAATTGTGAACCAGAAAGATTCGGAATTGCCTGAAGAAGGTTCCTTAGCTTACGGCGTAAAGGACTTTGATGAAATATTTGAGGAGAAGACAAAAGAAAATAACGAAGAAAAGAAACAAGATTCTGACTCGAATAAGAAAAATTCTTAGCAGAATTTATTTAGTTACTTAGTATCTATTACTGTTATTTCTTATTCAAATCTAGACTGCAAATGTATGGTATGTCGTTTGTGTATAAAGGAATTTGTTTACCTAAAAAAATAAACAATAAAGTTAATGGTTCTAGATTCTTTGAAAAAAAAACCAAACAAAATTTTTCCCAGATTATATTCTGAATGAATTGTAAAATTGTCGTAAATAGCTTGACAACTATACGAACAAAACTCTTCTTTGTATCTAACTAATAGAAATGTTAAAAAAATGTTAATAAGTATTATTTTTTTTAAGATCTTTTTTTTTATATGTCACTTCATATTAAAGGATTATCGAATATTACTTGATCGTAGAAATAGTAAAAGATTAACGCATTAGTAACAAGATATTAATACCGTCTTTCTCTTCAATTACCCACCAATTGGCTGTTGAAAGATATAGTATCATTTTTCTTTATTAAGTTATTAGTTTGACTGAATAGCAAAGTTTTATATTTGTACTTGTACTTAAAGGGAATTAAGTTAATTAAAAAGGCCTCTAAAATTAAATAAATATCCTTTTCCCTTGGCCCTTCATATGATAATATGCGAAATCTTTAGCAAGTCAGAATATTTATTGCAAATTCTTTATCTTTTTCAATATTGTATTAGTCTTATTTATTGCAAATGATTGCGCTATAATACTTTGCGAATTTTGACGTTTGCCAAATCGGAAACTGTCAGCTATTATATCCTGGAAAGAGCAAAAGGTTTTCTGTGATTTACTCTTCTTAATCATGCAACACTTTCAGTTTATACGAGCAATGAGAAGCAAACTCTTCTCTTTATACTAAGAAGAAAATTGCGTTGTTTAGATATAACAAATTGCTAGTAAAATCCTATTAAACCACGCTTTTTTTTCCAATTTACTACTTTAAAAGCCATTATTCATCCGTCAATTCCGCAATTTTTCATAGAGAAGAGGCGTAAAGTAATCATCTACTTTTCAGCGAAGGAACGCTATAATTAACTAGAAAGTATTCAAAATATTTCCCTGAAAGTAAACAAATTTAGAATATAAAGAATGCATTTTAATAAAAAACTATCCTTGAAAAGTGTTGGCATCTGCTGACCATTCTTAATAATCTCAAATTTTTACCCAAATACTTTAATACATAGCAGATTTATCTTCAAGATTTACATATTTAGTATATAATGTATATATAAATATATATATAGATTAGAGAAATATAGTCTATATACAGTATATACTGTATATATATATATAGTATACATACAGTATAATAGACACTATATAAGAATTCATGCAGTATATATAAAATTTTGTTTTTAATATACAAACCTATATTATATTTATATAGAATTACTGAAACTTGCCACAACATCGTACAGCTTGTCATTTATACATTTATTTTTAGAAGTAATAGCAGACAAGGGTATGATATGGCGGATAATAAGGATTTTCTGGTGTAGTTTTCCGATCTGATTTTGCGGGCGTCCAGAGAATCAGAAAAAAGTAGAATTGACTTAAAAATTTTTTCCCTCTCCTTCTTCGAGGTGTATGTTTATTCTAGGAAATAGAAAAGAAAACCATTGCTACCCGAGCAATTGCGTAATAAATTATTCTAGCGGGAGGGAGGCGATAAGAGTATGGCTCTCATCCGAATTAAAAAGAGAAAATCTTTAAGGAGGGAAACCTGAAACTTGACGAACCGTTATGCTGTATGATTCGGTTTGTTCGTTGTATAAGGAGTAAGGTGAAAAGGGGGAAAAGGAGAACTTTTCATGAGTGTATCAAAAGAAACTCGACAAAGTCGATTGGGACGAAAACCAGTAACGCCTGGAGCTATAATAGGAAAGACAGACTTCGGATGCGCCACCTGTACGATATTGGTGAACGCTTAAAGAAATATCTCTCCCCATAGCATTAGAGCTTCCTAAACTCCTATCCTCTCCTTTTCTATTTCCCCAAAGCTATTTTCAATCAGGAGATAAATAGGCGGAGTCGGTATTTCCATTGGCTAGGCTAAAAGTTACCTTTACCATTTTATTACCGGAAAAGCTCGACGCTTTTAAGGTGTGGTAAATGCTGAAAGCCGGTAGAAAAGCAGGCGTCGACAGAAAGATTACCAACGCCTTCAATTTGAAAAAAACTGTTTAGGCAAACTGTACAGAAGGTGATAGAAGGTGGATTTTTTTCCATCTTTTAAGACAGCTAATACGGGGGTAATGAAAGACTAAGCGAAAAGGAATTTATTTCCTTAATTCAAATAAAATACATATGCGATACGGTTTCGCGTTCAACCTATAGTTATACAATAATATACCTGAAGTATCTAAGCAGATGCCATGTACTTATTGCACATTTAAGATGTGATTTAAGGTGAACTCAACATGTAGAAGTTGATTGTTTGTCAGCTGCGATTGCTATTGAAAGTTGATTGTTTCTTTAATAAACGAAATAGTATATGTATTAAGTATATATATACTGTATATATTTAGCATAAATAAAGTATATATTGAGAGTTACGCGTGTGCTTATGTGCGGTGAAATAATTGTATATACTCTACTGTATACAGTATATTTCTTTTTATATACAATATACTATACTATACTATATATATATATATATATATACATATATATATATAGATATTCAACTTAGTGTATATTATATATTGTATATCGAAAACCTATATATTTTTAATCCTCATATTCTTCACTTTATATACAACACATAAAGCCTCTTGAGAATTTTACAGTTTATACACTGTATATACAATATATACATAACCCGAATACGCAAACGTCTGTTTCTGGTTTATGGAGAATGCCAGAGCATTGGTTGGCGGAGATTACATCTCATAGGCCGGTTAATCAAAGTGATACGATGAAGAGAAAACGATAGCTTATTGTTAGTTAGTTAATTATAAACCGCTGGGGAAATAAGGTTAATTTTGTTTTTCTCTAGTACGTTTATTTTCAGTTTAGTCATTCTGTCCAGAAAGAGAATGCCCATAAAAAAAAATGGGAGGAAAAGGGGGTGGAGACGAAGCCTACGTTTGGGTAGTAATGGGGACAAATTATACTTTTCTTTTTTCTTTTCCTTTCAAGAATATTCATAGAGACAAGTGCTAGTTGAAAAGCCAACGTTTAACTTACTCTTAATTTTTTCATTTATTCATTCTTTCTATCTCAAGTATCGACTGTATCGGATTTCGTCTAAGCACATATTTTGCTGAGGAATAAATTTGTCAGCAAGCTTGTATAACGAAAATTTCTGCGGCCAATATAAACAGGGTATTGAGGAGCTATTGACCTTATTAAAAACTGTAAACAATCTGCAAACCTGTTGCAGTTGCGATAACAAACAAGATATCCGCTAAAATGTTGGAAGACGCGAATTTTTGGCGGATTGATAGCTCGTTGACGGATAGTTTTTCCTTTTCTTTACTTTCTTTTCTCTATTAGTATTTTTTTTTAAATGCCTCACTGCTCCAATATTCAGTATAAATGTATGAGTTAAGGCTTATATACGCAAGAGACGATTGTGTGAAAGGGTTGGAGAATTAATCATAATCAGTTATAATGGACGATCGTTAATTTCCACTAAACCTGCGCTAAATACAGCGCCCCCTTCCGACTAGTTAACGGCAACCGCGTATTTTGGCTTCCGGAGGGAGAGTGGGCCAGACCGCTGAGAACGATTTTACATAAGCATATATATACATATTTATATTTTAAAAGATATGTATATTTATGTATATGTATCAAAATATTAGGACGGGAATAACTCTTTACTTGTTTTTACGGATCATCTTCTTCATGAAAAACACCGCTTTGTATTTGATAATATAAAACTTTTTAAGAGGACACAAGATAAAGGAAAAAGTGATAATAGAGCAGAAAGACAAAAGAGAAAACTCTTTTCTACTGAAACAGTGACAGACAAAGACAGAGCAGTGAGAGAGAGGAAACGAGAGAAAAATAAAGCGTGTATGTGAGAGAGAGAGAGAGAGAGAGAGAGAGAGAGAGCGAGAGAGAGAGCGAGGGAAGGAGACAGAGAAAATAGACTAGAGAGAGAAAAAGAAAACGAAATCACATTTAATATTTTCGCATACTTTGTGGAGAAAAGTCGACAAAAATCGGGTAGGCTTTTTCTTTGCGGTCGAATTTTATTAATCCGCTGCTTTTTCATATTTAATAATGGAACGGCATTTTAGAGTTTCGAATTACTTGTCTAGTTGCCTTGCCTTTGTAAGTAGTAAGTAGGTACGTTTCTGTATGATTATTTATAAAAATGTTCTCGTTTTTTTTCACACTATTTCTATAATTATATTTCGAATATTGATCATCGAAAGCTAGTTCTTTTCTTCTAATTGGTCTCTGATTGTTTCTGAGCCAATATTTAGATAACCGCTTATAGGTCGTTGTGAAAAATGTTAAAAACACACAATTACGAAAAGAACATACGTATTTGAACAGGATTTTCTTACTTTCTTTCACCCCCTCAATCCTTTTCGAATACAGTTATTTTTTTTTTAATATATTTTATTCTCTTATTCCTTTATATCCCTCTTAACTCCGGTAACCCTCTACCCCCTTAGTCTTTGTGTGTCTCTCTCTGCTGCTCGCTATCCGTCTTCCTGCCTTTCTTATTCTCTCACTTCACTTACTTTACCTTCTCCTTGCTCCCTAGCACTCTACCTCCCTTAACGTTTTCCTTAGCTCAATCATTCACTCACTCATTCTGTAAGAGAAGGCAACAGTTTGGCAGCGTGTTTATAAGCATGCAGAAAAAGCATATCGTTGCTTACAAACAGTCCGACTTCTATATACTTTAGCACTTGTTTTCCAATGCGCATGCGTATTTGAATACGGTGGGGAACAAGTGTTACGAACTCGCCAGCACAATACTGCAATAGTTTTTCATATTCAATATTATAATTTGAATTTGTTTTTACAACTATTTTATACCGTGCTGAACCATTCACACAGGCTAAAGGAGGATGTAATGTCGCCATCGGCTGTCTTTTTCGCTCTTCTTTTTAAAACCTATCTTCTCCTAGTAGAAGGCGACAGGAAGACAACTTTAACAGTAGGTCAGTAAAAATTTAAGCATTCTAGTAATTTTCTAAGCCTACAACCTGAAAAAAAATATAATTGGTATAGAATAAATACAATTGATAAATGAATGCTAATGACGTTACCAACATTCTGACATAATTCTTAGCAATTACAAGAATGGTTTTCATTTCATTCATAGGCCTTAGGGAACAATATGAATATGCACTAGTAATTTTATGTATATTCATATTTATTTTTTAAGCATATCAATTATATTCAAACAATTAACATGTATATATGTGTTTGCATTCTATATATACCACATGTAATATATATATATATATATATATATATATATAAATTTATATACATATATATATATATATATATTATAGGTATATATGTAAAGTATTGAGGCGGCATTCGAGTTATAAGCAGCTGTTTACAATAAGTCTGACTCAACAAATTCTCAAATCGGAAAACGAATTACTCGCGCTAACAAGTTAGAAGGTTGTTTGCTCTTTCGGAATGTACTTTCTGAACAAATAATCGTTTATTGTATAATTTTGAGTATATATTAGGCGTAAAATATCGTTTATTGTATATAATATATTACAAAAATATATTGTATATACGATACGGGACATACGTATAGTATATAATCCGAAGGCCCCGCTTTAGATTAAGCCTTCCCGTAGAGATTTTCCGACGGCGTTTGAATGTCACGTAAACATTGCACTTTCCCTCCTTCTTTGCCGTTAGCGTTTTCATCTCGCGGCTACTGCAATTTGGCTCCTTTGTCAAAAAAATCCCTTTAGAGATATATTTATACATAAATAAATGTGGTGTAAACATTTAATACGAACTTATGCACATGCAAAAGCTCTCTTGCACACACTCTCACACAACAGCACAACAGACACTCATATATATATTATATATATACAGTATATATACACATGTATCACATTCTTAAATATACCCATGAGTCCTAGTAAATCTATCTATCTATATGTTCGCGCTTTACATGTGGATTTAGAGGTGATTATATTTGCTTTTCAGGTATAATGGTCTTAATTCTAAATACTCTACAGGATACTTTTGCTAATTAAACAATAGAACAAACAATGATAAAAGTTTACTACTGATTTTTTTAAATAAATATCTATAATATTTTAATACAGCTGCTCTCTTCGAACACGAACGAGTAGATGCCGAATCTGTGTTTGGTTTCGCTGTGGAGAAATATAATTCGGATAGAAACGGCGCCTTTCACCTGCAATACGACATTAGTCACACGCCTGCCGATGACAGTTTCTTAGCGTCTAAAAAAGGTTAGAGCCAGAGTGATAGATGCGTTTGAAAAGAGAGATTGAATTAATTTGCGGTTCTATTTTTTTCAATATGCAGTCCGCCAGCATAAGTCTATATTGTAAAGAAAGTTTTATTGAATGGTCTATGCAAATTTTACAGAACTACGATTATTGCTAATTATACACTTGATATTCGTGAGGTACGAAAAAATACTAATGCAAAGAGAATGAGCAAATAAAAAAAAGGGGCGGTCAGAGAAAGCACTGAAGCGTTTGAAAGTTTGCGGTCCGAATGCAGATGGTAACAGCTGTGAGCAGTTTTTCGCGTATATTTTTTTAGGGGAGGTTAGAGGATGGAACGGAACGGTAGTGTGTCATTTGCAAGTGGAATTTTCTTTTCATCACCTCTCAGAGCCTAAGGCTCTGTTCTTTCCGCGAAGAGTTTGGCCGCGGAAAACGTCTACATTTTTCGGCGTCACTATAAATTGACGCGCCAACCAATTCGTTTTGGCATTGTAGCTCATTAATTAAACAACCTCGCGGCAAGAAAATGCTCGTTTAGTACTCTCTTCCACTTTTTTTTTATTTCTTCACTTCCTTTTCTTTTTCTTTTGTATTTTATCTCCTGCTTTCATAGTTTGCAGGGCCTTACGGACGAAGAATGGTATTGTTGCCGTATTTGGGCCCCATTCGCCACATCCATCCGCCCATGTTCAATCATTGTGTCACACGATGGAAATTCCACACATAGAGACTTCCTACAGGAGGTCGGAATCTTCCGAACAATCTTCGATCAACTTATATCCAGATTTCGAGTTACTATCAAAGGCGTTTACAGCTTTTATCAGTCGAGCCGGCTGGGAGAAATTCGTTATTTTATACAAAGATGCTGGGAATTTGTTACGGTTGGAGCAAATATTCAAATTATCTTCTATTAAGGGGAACAAGATTATGTTCGGAAAGTTGGAATCAGATGAATCACCGCCAAATTACAGGCCTATCTTACAACGTATAAAGAAGCGAGAAAACTTTAATAATATCGTATTGGATTGCGATATCGATGAAGTTAGAGTTATAGTAGATCAGGCATCAAGTTTAGATATGTTATCAAGCTATTACAAGTACTTTTTAACGTCGTTGGACATTGAATTATTGGAGGTTAGGAAACATAATCCAGTAAATATAACTGGATACCGTTTAATAAACCCCAATAATGCCATGGTTAAGAAGTTTGTAAGAGAATACAGAGGCAGGAAGAGGGTTACTTCTATAAAGACGGAATTGGCGTTAATTTACGATTCCGTATTCGCGTTAACTAACGCATTGGAGGAAGCCAACAAAGGACACGTTATAAGGCCAATTCCCCTTTCTTGTTCGAAATCCGACGCTTGGGAAGATGGATCGACCATAAACAACTTATTGGCAAATACCCGTTTGGACGGCCTAACCGGACGAATAGAATTCGTTGACGGTAAACGGAGAAACTTACAAATGGATTTAGTGGAAATAAATTTCAGCGGTGAAACGGAAAAAGTCGGCTATTGGAACGTATCGACCGGATTAAACATAACCAGAAATTACTCTCAATTGAATGATAAAATCACAGATTCTTTGCAAAATAAGACGCTTCGTGTGACTACTATTGCGGTTGGTATTCCATTACATTATCTTAAATTTGTAGTTTACACGCGTCGATCCTCGTAAACTAATTTTTTACCTTTTGTCTATGTACATGATAGGAGGAGCCGTATATCTTTGTAAAGAATGATTCGGAGGGCAATATAACTTTCGAAGGTTATTGCGTGGATTTGCTTGAGGCTATTTCGAAAATGCACAATTTTAATTACTCCATTTATCTTGTACCCGACATGAATTACGGTGTTGAGGATAAATCCGGTAATTGGAATGGAATGGTCGGTGAATTAATTAATAAAAGAGCCGATTTAGCTGTCGCTTCATTGACTATAACGTACGATCGAGAGCGAGTTATTGATTTTACGAAACCGTTTATGAATTTAGGCATATCAATCATATTTAAGAAACCAGAGAAAAAGGACCCATACTTGTTCTCTTTTTTGTCACCTCTATCCTTTCAAATATGGTTATACGTGTTAGTTGCCTATTTGGGCGTAAGCTTTACTTTATTTATCGTTGCTCGCTTCTCTCCTTACGAATGGTATAACCCGCATCCCTGCGATAAGGATTCTGATGTTGTGGAAAATCAATTTACTTTGCTCAATAGCCTTTGGTTCACAATTGGTTCGCTAATGCAGCAGGGTTCGGAGGTGGCACCTAGAGCTGTCTCAACGCGTCTCGTTAGCGGCATTTGGTGGTTCTTCACATTAATTATAATATCTTCTTACACTGCTAATTTAGCTGCATTTCTTACCGTTGAACGGATGGTTTCACCAATTGAGAGTGCAGATGATTTGGCCAAACAAGTAGCTATCAGATATGGAACATTGAGGGGTGGTTCAACCATGGCTTTTTTCCGCGACTCCGAAATTGAAACTTATCAACGTATGTGGAAATTTATGGAAAAAACAACCCCGTCTGTTTTTGCAAACACGACAGAGGAAGGTATTAAGAGGGTCAAAAAAGGTAACTACGCTTTTCTACTTGAAAGCACTATGAATGAATATAAGGTGGAGAGAGATTGTGATCTTATGCAAGTCGGCGGTCTATTAGATTCGAAAGGATACGGTATAGGAACGCCGATGGGTTCGATATGGAGGGATAAGATTTCTAGTAGTATACTCAAATTGGCCGAAGACCAAAAACTGCAAATCTTTTATAATAAATGGTGGAAAGAGAAGGGCGGCGGTGGACAATGTGAAACGGACGATAAAAAGCAAAAGGACGCTAACGCGCTATCTATTGCTAACGTGGGCGGCATATTTGTAGTCCTCTTGGGAGGGCTCTCCTTATCACTTATCGTAGCCGTTCTGGAATTTGTCTGGAAAGCTAATAAGAATGCTGGAGAGGATAGGGTTAGTAAACAGGCGTCTAATTATATCTATGATATAATTAGATAATATTCATCGTTCTTTTTAACTAAACTCCTCCCTCCCTCATATAGAGATCCATCTGTCAAGAGATGGCGGACGAATTACGATTCGCCGTTCGATGTACAGGATCGTCGACCAAGTCACTAAGTAATCCAGAACATAAGAGGCCAAGAAAAACAACTGTTACTGATAATGGTCTTACTCTAATGCCTCTCACTGGATCCTACACTTACAACGGAAGCGGTCGTTCGGCCTCTTCAAAATACATCTCAACTTAGGCATAAAGAAATATATAGTAGATGTACAATAATCAAATACTCATGCCCTGGTGCTCTTTGCTCACCTGAAATTTATTCGTTTCCAAATGTGCCAATTTAAAACATCGTATTCCGCGAGTATAACATGTATCGTGTATTATACATATTACTCAATTTTAATTGTAATATATTCTTAATGCAATTTGCAGTTTCAGCGCTTCAATATGTATAGTACCAATATATTTTTCGTGTAATACAGTATATATATATATATATATATATATATATATATATATATGTATATGCAAAGTTTAAATTTTGCTAAAGAAAAATTAAAAAGAATATCAGTGCCTTCTCCTTTTGTGAAAAAGAAAAAAAAACGCATTACACTTTACACAGGTATCATGATTTTATTTTCTTTAAAATTAACCCCATATCGGCCAACATATTACATTACTATTTACAAAAAAAGTATACAAAGCATATAAATCATATATATATATATTCATATGCAAATTAATGTATACTGTATATATTGCTATATTCAAAAAAAAAAAAGAAAAAAATAAACCAAACGATAACGTTACATAAACTGTATTATGTAAATTGATAAAAAAAAAAGTGTTTTTATTCACATCACTTGCCGTTCATGCTAAATGTTTGCTCAGTATGTGTCATAAAATATATTTTCCCACCAAGGTCTTGCATTAAGAATTATTATATAATCCTTTTATTATATTTATATTATTTTTACAAATATAATTAAAATTCCTTAGTTTGGGTTTGAGTACACATACACACGTATATATATATATATATATATATATATATATATATATATATATAAATGCAGTATATACTGCAAACTTAGATCTTGGCCTGATAGGTAAACAATACATCATTTTTTTTTTAATTTATATTATTTATGTATGAAAATGGAAATATATGTTATTTGTATTTTGTACTGAAACTATATCGAAGATAACAATGATAAATGCAGAAAAAGAAAATGAGAATTTAAAAAAAAATTAGCTTGTTTCTTTTACTATCGAGTGTCTTTGTATTCATTAACCGTTTCTGGAGGTTCTTGATAATGCCAGTGATCAACGTGATGTGTCCGGGAAGAGCGTCGTAACTCTCTCAATTGAATAATACCTATTAGAGAGTAATAGGAAAGTGATAAGCTAACAAAGAAATTGTACAAAAAGACAGATAAAAATATAGAGGGTAAGGGTTAAGAATGGTTAAAAACAGATAAGAAAAATAGCGCAGAGATCGAAAGAGAGCGAGAGAGAGAGAGAGAGAGGGTTAGACGAAGATCAGAAATTAAAAAAGTTTCTCGTGCTCTTCATAGATTTAGGTTAAAAAAACTGTAGGCCTACCGTTCGGTGAATCGATGGTACAAGCATCAGGAGCGGTCGGTACGCATCTGGAACACTGGCGTCGGAGAGCTGGCTTTTTAGTTGAACCGTGGCAACGGATCGCAAATCGCAATTCTTCTCCCATTTCCGAACAGAGGGATTGCTTATAGGCATGTACAGGAGTAAAAGTTTTACGCGACTTTTCTATCATAATTGAATTTACCCTATCGTGCCTTGCGTTCTTCCTCGAATTCCAAACGAATTCGATTATGGCTGTGATTATTGCCAAACACAAGCCGACCATCAATACAACGAATATTCCACCAACGTTGGCAACGCCTAATGATGACGCTTTCGAATCTTTTTTATCGTCCATATTACAAGTTGTGTCTCCTTTCCACCAAGTATTATAGTAGACTTGTATTTGACCGTTCTCTTGAAGATTGAGTATAGCCATTGATATTTGATCTCTGTAAAATGAACCTATGGGCATCCCAATGCCATACCCTTTCGAATCTAAGAGACCTCCTACTTGCATCAGATCGCAGTGCCTTTGTACTGCATAATCTATCATAGTGTTCTCCATAAAGAATGCATAATTGCCTTGAAGTACTTTCTCAATACCCACTTCGCTCTTACTGACGAACACTTGCTTACTGTTACTATTCATATTGCTCCACAATCTTTTATAAGTGTTGATTTTGCTCTCTCTAAAGAAAGTCATAGTGGAACCACCGTCGATTGTTCCATATTTAATTTTGTTTTGCTGAATGAGATCATCTGCCGTTTCTATTGGTGCTACCATACGTTCGACAGTTAAAAAGGCAGCTAGGTTAGCCGTGTAGGATGAAATAATGATGAGCGTAAAAAACCACCAAATACCTCCCACAATTCTTTTAAGACAAAGAGCAATTATGATAATGATTGGAATAAGATTAAGTATTATACCTTGTAGAAACTGCTCGAGGATTAATGTCTGATCCCTGCTGCATTAAAGTTCCAACGGCAAACCAGAAACTATTAGACAAAGTAAATTGATTTTCTACTTCATCACTATCTGGATTGCATGGATGTGGGTTGTACCATTCGTATGGCGAAAATCTGGCCAGTACAAACATGATCATCGATACAACAAGATAGGCAGCGATCACGTATAGCCAGATTTCAATAGCAAGGGGATTGAGAAAAGAAAACAATCCAGGAGATTCCCTCTTTGGTCTTTTAAATAATATCGATATTCCCAGATTCATAAACGGTTTTGAGAAATCTATTACTCTCTCTCGTAAGTATGTTATTGTGAGAGATGCAACTGCCAAATCGGCTTTCTGAAATGGATTTGCAGTATTTTTATCTCTTTCCTATAATTTCTTTTTTTTTTTTTAACAAGTGACTTACATCTTCTATTAATTCACGAACCATTCCATTCCATGAACCATTAGCGTCTTTTGCACCATACTTACCATCAGGCACCAGGTAAATTTTGTATTTAAATTTAACTATATCGGCTATGGCATTTAGCAGATCGATACAAAATCCCTCAAAATCATCATTAGTAAATTCTGCTGTATCATTTTTTTCACGGCCCTTTTTTATCATGACGTAAGGCTTTTCCTGTTATAGAATAACGTTAAATGCTATAAGCATAAAAAACAGAATCAAATTCTGTCGCTTAAATCCCTGATTTTATTTCTCTGTTATTTGCACAGTATACTTTTTCTCAGCTTTTCTAATAAACCAAAACCTGGGAATGGACAAGACAGGCCACCTCTATTAAAAATTTAAAGTTTCTCTTTTCCTCCACCTCCCCAAGTCTGTCATAAAGTCTAAGCTCTAAAAATTCAAAAAGGCTGAGAGAAAGAGACAGAGAGAGAGAGAGAGAGAGAGAGAGAGTGAGATTTATATATATATATATATATATATTAAAATACCAGTAAGGCTGTTACTCTCAGTTTTCCCTAAAAGAAAAAACAAAATAAATATTTTTCTCCTAATTAGCATATTGTATATCTTGCAATATTTTATAAATCAAATAGAAGGTAGAGAGTGTTCTCCTTTTCTTTTTTAGTAAATAATTAAGAGCTATTAAATTAATTACACAACAGAAAAGATAGAACGAAGAACCGGAAAAGGTTGTAATAAACCCTCCAAAAATAAAAAGAAGAAAAAAATCCATACTTTACGAGGAGGTAATTTTGGTCTTCCTGTTTTTTTCCCCTTATTATTCTTACCCTTTTTTTGTTTATGGAAAGAAAAGAATTAAATAATAATTTATGGAAAAATTAAGGATTATTAAGTTTCCTTTTGTCTTTTTTTAGACATTTTTTTCACTCTATTTTCTTTTAAATATACAACTAGACTGTAATTCTTTTTTTAGTAATTGTTATACTTTTAACGATATCTTGCGCAATATATAATTATTTAATAATAATATTTATTAAAAGTATATTATTTCACAATTGAGCGATATCAAAGGGAATTTTTTGCGAAATTATAATATTCCTTACCAATATTGATGTTACTTTGAGTGTTTTATTACCGAATAAGCCGCGAACATCTAAAACTTCGAGCGTTTTAGTAATGTTTACCCCGGTCTCCAATCTCCAATCTCCAATCTATAACAACAATAATAGGCCCCTATTAATACTTTATAAATAAATATTTGTATATATAGCAAATAGACAATAGTATTAGCTATATGATTATGTAATAATTTAGTTACCCTCGCTAATCCATACGATTGTAAATGAAGGATATTTAGCTGAAATTTAGATCTTCTTCCCCGATCGAATGATATTGGCCCAGTTAATCCCGTTGACTCTACCTGTACGGTTACTCATTACTTAGGTCATTAAAAGCGCCATCTAGCAATACACTGAAGAACCAAAAGGGAGGAGTCGACGAGAAACAGTAAGGGAAGACGAAAGATTTTAAAATCGAATTGTATTTCAAATCGAATTAACTGATTGCGATTTACTGGTGAGATATATTTACGACAGCCCATTCTCCAGGGAGTCTATAAGATTGCTAGTGATAGATGTAAATTAGCTGGCAAGAGTTTAAATTGGTCGACGTAAAATAAATTAGAATTCCGATTCCGTACTTGGTACTGTCGCACGACTTTGCCTTCTTCTAGGGAATTATTTAACGATCAACAATCGTGTGAAGTCTACTAATCACGTCGCACTACTTAAAGAGAAGAGTGTTGCATGGGTAGAATTATTCGCATTAAAAAAAAAATAAAGAAAAGAAGCGGAAGCTGGGGAAGTCAGAATCACATCTCACAACTGCTTCGACTTCGGTATGGTCAAGTTCAACAGTTGTTTTCTAAATTTTATCTCAATTCTATATAAATAGCTTCCATATTGCATATAGATTATATACATATGTATATTTTATGCTTGTATATTTTTGAAAATACTATATACCTTACGTGTGTATAGGTCTATCAAATTGTACAGCATATACATAATATATACATATGCAATATGTTTTCTTTTCTTAATCAGAATGCTTCTGAAAAGCTTTTCTTTATAGGTATTAAAAAAAAACCTGATATCTATATTACAATCAAAACATTCCATTTAGGCCAATGTCCTGATTGCACTAAGCAGTCATTTTGCAGGAGAGAAAAAATGTGGTTAAAAACAAAGTGATCTTTTTTTTCATATATGTTTTAAGATAAAGAACGTTTAGTGATAATAAAAAAGGGGGAAAATAAATATAACGAAAACGATTAGGTAGGTTTATAAAGACAATAAACAAATAAAAAAAAGGGCGAGATCTCAGAAAAGAAGGTAGGATAGGAAATCAGACTATAAGTTGAAGGTTATTTTTTTTATATAGGAAAGATATAACGGAAAAGTTTTTTCTTTTCTAGTAGTGATCACGAACATTGGCCTAATTTAATAAATGCGCGAAAAATATGCGCTGTCATTGAAATTACCAACCGAATTCAAGTAGTTGTAGAGACTGCCTCCATATTCCCAAGCATCGTTTTTGTCGCATGATAAACTACTTAAATTCATGATTGTACCGATGTCCGCATTCGATAAGGCTTTGGCCAACACTTGAAAAGCATCATAAACGAGAGCAGTTTGCGTCTGTAGTAAAAAGGTAGTGTCAAAGGTTAATCTGTAGACTGTAAAAAGTACGATATATAGGTCTATGTAATAGAAATTGGTAGAGATTGATAAAGGAAGGAAAGTGAAAGGGAGAATTAGCCATTGAATAAGTGAGTTGCGAGAACTATGACTAATATAATATTCTTATATTCCTATATGAACTTTTCCAGACCTCGATGGTTCCTTCTTTCATTATGTTAATATTATTCTTATCTTCATACTTTTTAACATCTCTCCTGACCTCTTCCAAATAACTAGCATCATAATCAATCAGACTAAAACCAGTTAAATTAACGTAATTATATCGGAAGTTTTCCAAATCAATAGTATACAGATCCAAATTAGCTAACACGAAATGATGATCTGGATCTATCATCCCAACTTTTAAAGCCTGTATGTGAATATAAATATAATAAAAAATCGATAATAAGAACTGTTTTATGGTGTGGGAATTTTTTTTGTTTCCAAGAATAAAGAGCTGGCCTCTTTATCCGGCCTTTACCGAACATTGTCGGTGTTCTTCAATTTATTGTACAAAAGACATTTGCCGTTGCCTTTAAGGCGGTTTGTCTCGTTCGAGCGTCAATCAAACGCCCTGTAGCAGGGTGCGCTTAATTGTAAAGCTTAGCGACTTTCTTTAGACGTAAACGAGAAATAATTAACAATCGAATGTGCAGGAAATTTGCAGCAGCGAACAGTTGGTCTTCGCTTCCGATTCCGCAGGTGCACACAAGCTTTATTATATACATATGTGCTGTGTACGATGTATTCGCAACAGTCAATTTATGGGATTTCTTTTAGCCCTAATTTTTTTTTATTATAAAGCCTACTTATTAATATATTTTTTAAAAGTAATCTATTCATTCTACAATCAACTAGGCGGTGTATATAAAAAGCGTGGTCGCACTTTTACGAATAATTGATGAGTCTTATGAATACGTTAAAATTTGCATAAAAATCTATTAATTTTTTAACTCACCTCTTGTAATAATTTGAAAGTCATATCTTTACTTAAATGAGCAATAAAATGTCTTTTTCCCTTCTTATCCATATCTTGTAAAGTGTGTCGGATGTTATTCTCGTCTACTCGACGAACAAGAACTTCCGAGTCTGATTCGTACGGATGCGATATTATTTTTTGCATCAAGTACAAATCTATAAGACAAACGCATGGTCATTATGTTTGTTATTTATGGGTATTATACATATTATTTATATTTATAGATATATATGTATATATTACCCATCTCGCTGGAAAAGAGTACTACGAAATTCTTCCATTTAAAATACTTTAATAAATCTACATAAGCTTGAGCTAGTTGACTACTATCCGGGTAGAGATTCAAAGAGAACATTTGAAATAGCTGAAATTACAATAAATCCTGATTAGCCTTTATCTGATTAACTGTGGAAAACAAAGAGAGAATGAATGAGCGACAGTGGAATTGAAGGAAAAGTGATATAGGAGGTGGTAAGGACTTGGTGTGAATGTGTGCGCAAGAGAGAAAAGGGATTGGCAAGGCGAGATTTCAGATTTTCTTTTAAACAAGATTTGAAATTAATACTTATTAAATACCTTTTCTCCATTTGGATCTAGCCTTGCTTCTAAATGTGGGATTTCTAATGTCTGACATAATGCATTCATATGACGGGCAATAGTTTGACTGCGAGTAGGCCCAAAGAGAGCAGCTATTCCAAGATTCGCTTGATCGCAGGCTGTTTTCCATTGGAAAGGGAGGAGATCATTAAAAAAACAAATTTAATTACGCCTAAAACGAATAATTTTGACAGTATGTATAAAATTGATTATATATGGAATGTACGTAATTTATAAGTTGTATACATATGTGTTGATACTCTGAATATTTATTTATAGGATACATTGTAAAGAAAAAGACAAAGTGTGCATGCATGCATGGCTGAGAACCTTTAATTTCCTTCCTACATTGTACTAATATTTCAGCGCTTTAGACAAAGGGTGTTTAATTATTCATGGTTATACCAACCGTCCCACAACCCATACAAGCTTCGAATATTGCTCTATCAATTAGTCGTTTAATTGTTTTTCTCTTAAAATACCTTACGGAGGCATTTGCGTTTAAGTGTTATTATTTTTTTTCAAACCACAATGGGACCAAAACACTAAGAATCGAAGGGAAAGGAATAAAAGAGACAGAGCCGATTGGTAGTCAATAGACGTTGATAAACGAGCATGCAAGTTAATCGTGCCAAGTCTCCTGACGTTCGAAAGCGTCTTTTCCCTTCCTCCCGAAGAAAGTTTACGTCTGGGAAACAGATTGGCTACTATTTCGAATTATGAGCAATAGGCCTATAGACTCTTTTTTTATATATAAAGCGCTAAGTAGTTTTCTTGTCAAATAAAGGAAAGAGAAAGGATTGTTAATGAAAAAAAAATCAAAAATTGCCACATTTTATCAGGTTCTCTTTATAATATTGCACGGATTTTTTTTTATATAAATGCTTGTCACATAAAGAATACCCACAATGCATCACTCACATAAGATAATAAATGTCTTTTCAAATACCAGTCGGCCCCTTTCAGCGGACGAGGGAGTACGACGATCGAATAAATTTACGCATATCGTCTAATTATTTCTTACAACTAGTCATTTCAGGGAAAACTATCGAGCTATTCTTCCGTAATAGAATATCACATTTACACGAGAAGGAAATGCGAGGTGGAGCCTCAAGTCAAACGCAAGAACAGAAATTTCTTCTTTTATTTCTTTTTTTTAGGATGCAGAAAAACTTTATACATAAGCACTCATACTCACGCACAGATATGTATAAATATATATATATATACTATATATATATATATATATATATATATATGTATATATATAGTATATAAACAACATAAAACTTTAAAGAGTAAATTAACTGTCAATAGATTATACTAATTAGGATAATTAAGTAATACAAAATCCTAATAATAATAACTGGGATTTTAATAATTAAAAACAAAAAATTAGCCAAATGCTCAACGTACTACTAGTTGCAGTATCATTGAGATTTAATAACTTAAGGCAATAGATAGTACTAATTGAGCAGAAATAGTAGGATTAAATAGGAAGCTTACCTTGTTTAGAAGCTTTAAAACTTTCTGTAGGGTGGAACTCTTTTATATTATATTCTACTCGGGTTCGCTGGTAAATTGGTGAACCCTGGCTGTTGATGGCGTGTATGGCGTAGAGGAATGCATTTTTGATATCCTCATCTTCATCCTTGGCGAACAGTCCCCCTAAATATTAAAAAAAAGAACAAAAAGGAAGAAAATAAGTAGCTCATCTATTGATTATTTATTAATTATCCTCGCTGAGACCAATTTCTTATAGATGATATATCAGACAGGGCAGACTATTGCAGTGGGTGTCAATGTCAGATTTCTAGCTCTAATCGCATGCCACCGTTTGTTCTGTGAATCGGAGGCCTCATAATACTGTATACTATTTCGATATATCAATACACCAGAGCTTTAATCGAATTTTTCTGCCCATCGCCCCCAACTAAACGCAATTTGCAATTAGGAAATTCTTTTTTTTTTTGAAAAAAAGAGCATCTGTAATTTTCTATTTCTCATTCGACAGCTAATTTGTTCCTTTAATTGAGAAACAAAAGTAACTCTACACTTTCTTCCACCTTTTTCGTTCATTCCTTCCCATCCGTTTCTTCTCCCCTACTAAAACCCCTAAACCGAAATAATAGCTTTATTACACCTATACTTTGGTATTAAGGAGAGAAACCTTATATGTAAGGCAGCGTATTAAGTCTATATAAAATATTATGATAATTATAAATAACTACGAACAATTTGTAGATATGGAATCTATTGAATTATAATAAACCGGATAAATGGGTAACAGCTCAAATGCAAGAGGAAGCTAAGACGATAGTATATTGGAATCGAATTAGCAAAAAGTGGGAGGAGAAAAGAAAAGAGAAAAGAGGCGTCGACGTAACTGAAACAATCAGTTAAAGAAAGAAGCACTCAAGAGAAATAAGAGAGAAGAGAAGAGCGGCGACCGGCCACAAAAGGAAGCCGCCTGTCAGCCTAAAGATGTAATCAGATGATAAGCTCAACACTGCACAATACCACTCCATTACATCAATTGTTTATGTCAAGCACGTTTATATCTCTAATGTTACGACCTACCGAAACAAACAAAAAGAATAACACTAGAAAATTGAAAAAGAAGGCGGCGATGCGAAACAAGTTGTCTCTGCCCATCGTCATTTCCTTCCAATCATACTTCAAAGAATCAAGCGTCGGCAGCTTGTACTTATTGTCAAAAAATTTCGTCTATATGAAAAAGAAAGAAAAAAGTAGACGCTTTAAAGTTGATTAAGGGTGAATTTTTAGTCGCCTCCATCCAACAATTAGTGCTTGTATTATTAAATGCCAATCAAATATTTTGCTGTCTAAATCCTCATATATATATATATATATATTGTGTGCTATTTTTCAATAGAAGAACAATGAATATGTATATTAAAGACAATTATGACACATATAATTCCTATGATGAAATCATTATGATCATAATCATTTTAATAATAATAAACAAAACTGTACACTCGAGATAAATACTGAATAAGCACATTTGTGCTACCGTCGAATAATAATCATATATGCATACAAGATTGTGCCTTATTGTCTATACTTAGCTAAAGTATCAATGCATATATACATAATTATGTCTACATTCTTCGTAAATATGAGGCATACAAATAAAGAAAGTATATATGTATATGTATAAATTATATGTAATATATCTGCATTTTACTTTATATTGCTGTATGTAGAAAGAATGTACACTGCTTATACTCAGCACTATTTATATATAAAAGTAAGTATATATATATATATATATATATATGCATTAAGCAGTATAACTATGCTTGGGTGATTTTCAATGAAGTCGTCGTAGACAACGCGCCAACTGCAAAGCGAATGCAGAGCGGGATTCCGTGCTGCGTTTGATAACAGTGGCCGTATCAACGCTTCCGTTCACCTAGCTTTCTGGTGATGATAAACCCTTCTCTTAACTTTATATCATTCTATTTGTACAGTTCCCTTTATATTTTATCGGTTGATGTTTTTTTTTTCACTTAAAACAATTTAATTTTAAATTATCAGAAATAAGAATACCAAATGTTGTACTCATACCCCTATTCGATCGGTGAGACAATCTGTTACCGAACTAATAACAAGCTAATCATCCATTTTACTGAATATAGGGTTATGAATAGAATTCTGGCATGTTCAACGGAACAGACTTTGTTGCGTTATAGTATTACAGTATTTTTTATTGACAATGTTAAAGAGCTCTTTTTATGAAAATAATACTATTGATAATATTCGGAAGTACAATGTGCACTAAACAACAATTAACTCTAAGCCTTGGGTAATATTCTCCATGAGAAAATATATGAGTACCGCTAGAACTCATTTAAGGAATTTCTCTAACCTCATCAATCTGTTATAGTTCTCAACTAATCAATTATTAAAAGGCAAAACTGAAAAAAGAGAAGTGAAACTTACCTATGCGAATTTCATTTGGTAGAGCATAAGTAGTGGACCATATGAGCAAGAACCGATAAACAATCATCCTTTACGTAGCTTCATTCCGTCGGATGTCTATCCTGAATGCGTTCTCTGCGACGATTAGTCTCTACATTTATATTCACCAGGTGGCGTTATCATTAGAGCGATATTTTATGGAAAATATTGGGTTCTTAACAGTGTGCTATCGTAATAGAAATAAACGTTGCTTATCAATTTAAAAGAAAACATAGTAAGTGTCTTGGTCATCAAGTAATAAAAGTTGAAAAAAGAGTACAGGGAAAACTGATGCTCTAGATTAGTTGCATTGTAACTGTAACACAAGGGTTAGTTAATTTGGCTAATTGACTGAAAGACCGGCTGAGCCAGCGAAACTAGAAAATTAAGTGTTTTATAAAGAGAATGAACATGATTAAAGAGTCTAAACGGGGAAACTTATAAATGGTGAAGAATATAAATGAAGACAACTGACATGTAAGGCTCGTTTCTCTCTAAAAATCTTGCCACTTGATTCTTTCTCCTACTAAAGGTAAAAAGCGAAAAATCATTTCCGGTATCTGTCTCATATTACAAACTAACGTTATTAAATTTGTGTATTTCTCAAAAAAAAAGCAATCGTTCGTGGCAAGCGATCGGTTTATATCACGGTGTTTGGTGATTGGAAAGAGGGATGAAATGAAAAAATATGTGAATACAAGTAACTTGTAAATAAGGTATATAGTTGGAAAAGCCAATAGTTGAATAAACAAAATCTAAAGCTGCGATAAATAAGAAATAACTGCCGATGGGCGCTGAGATACAGCCACAAGCGTACGTTCTAAAATTCATGTTTCGGTTCATGTGCGCTCTCTGTGAAGCATGACAATTTTCTTTTTGCCTTTTTAAATCGATCAAACAGTTGTTTGCGTTTTGTTTTCACACGTTTCGAAAAGCGCTTGTAGTCTTACCTTTTGGTATAACATACATTTCCTTATTAAACATTCATTCATAAATATTTAATATCTACACTAATAAAGGTAATAATAATAGCAATAATTACAATAATATTAGCAATAAACAATAATACTAAATGTATTTAATTTTATTATCTTCAATGGCAAACTGGATAGGAAAGATATATGAAAATATTTCTAAAAAATACGGCCCTCCCCTATAGTCGGTAGGGGCCATTAAACACTAAGCAAGCATTAAATCTAACGAGGAAAATAGTGAAGTGAAAAAAGAAAGAAAGTACTCTAGTCCTACCATTTCACACACTATTCCCATATAAATGTGACAACGATGGAATTGGGATTTCAGGGGAATTTGAATGAAAAATAAATAAATAAATAAATAAATAAATAAATACGGGGAAAATCACTACTACTGTACGATAGTGCAAGATTCGATCGACGCGGCAATACTTGTAGCATCATTTGTGCATAATCTACAACAATCCCCAGAGACGAACGGTGTATCCAAATGCAATGCGGCGCTGCCAAGCGCAATTTAATGTTCGTTGGCGGTCGAATAAAATTTTTTTTTCTAGAAACAGACTTAATCAAACTACGGTTTTTTAGACGCTACTCCTCTGGCGTATTCTGACCTTTAAGGTGCAAGGGAACGCCAATAGAGACATCACTTATTACGCTTATCGTCTTTCGCGTATTTTCAGTAAACCGTGGATATTATTGTTACATTTCGAGACTGAAATCGTCTTTTCCGCGCCAATTTGTTATGTCAATTCGTTCGAGCCATTCATTTATCGTACGTCATAATCGCTTGGGCAGAACATAAAACTTATTGCATTTCTGCATATAATCGAACGGAACAACGTGAAATAGGCGTAAACGATTATGTAGTTTGCTCAAGCAATCTTACACAATGACTTATATTAGAACTTATCTTTCTCCATTCATATTCATCTGTATTGTTGCCATTAACATATTAGCAATTGTATTGTACAATTTATAAAACATTCCATATGCAATTTCTACAACAGAATGACCATCGCGCTATATCTAAAAAATCTTTAATTGCTAATTACTTTTTATTTAATAGATGTTGATAAAAGGAACAGTCATAAACAGATACTAATGCCATCTTAATCGAAACTCAAGGACAAGTAGCAATTTCCTTTTATGACAAATCTTTTGCTTTAGGAAGAACTTGAAGTTGTCTAAATTTGAAGGCCGAAGTAACTGTATTCATCAGTTGCACTAAAGTGTCGTTGATGTCTACTAAACACCCAGCATCACACTCCAATCCTTGAATTAGGCAATTTAGTTGACTATCAGAAATATTTCTGTGTGAGAATTAAACTATCAGAGATAAAATATTAATAAACTCTCTTACCTATGAAATTTGATTTCCGTATTTACTAAGCATTCGATGGCTATTTGGGCAATGAAGTGTACTCTTTCGAGCGCTTCGCATACGCTTTCTGAGTTCAATAATCCAAAGTAAGTTAGCAAGATCGATTGAGCTAAAGTGCACAAGCAAGTAACAAGTTTTTCTATTAGTTGGAATGAAAAATATTCATGATGAGCAAAGTGCAAAAGAACTGTCTGACGCTTTTCTTGTAGTATCTGTATGAAATGTTACTTAATTTCTTAAAAAAACAAGACAGAACTTTACCTGATAGTGACTCTTGCCACTAGTTATGAACCATATGATTTTACTCATGAATTTTCCAACCGAAGTTATCAAAATTTCAGCTTCGTCGTTCGTTAAATACAATGCTGAATCTTAAATTGGACAATTTGTTTATGAGTCGTTTTTCTACAATTGTAAACATGTTAAACTTACCACAAAAAATTTCTATGCAGCGCTTTGTGTCGTGAGTTGTTTCCTCTCGACAATCTCTTAAAAACGTTTCTAATTGAATAAGATAAGTGTGAAACAAAGCAATACTATAGGGAGGCAATTTTTTTGAATTGTTTTGAGCTTTTTTGACAAGAACTCTAAAATTGTAAACAATGGTGGTGAAAAGCTAATTATGGAAATTCGACTAGCTCTTACTCTAATTTTTCGATGCAATTTGGGATTCGACCAGTTGAATCGATTTTCTTTGTAGATTCACTTCTCAAACCTATGTTTTCGCAAAGATAGAAAACAAACATTTTAAAAGCTAACTCAACTAACTTCCGGATACAACAGTCTGAACGCTGACGGAGGTTGTCTTTGCATGGCGCGGCACAATAGAATCTGTCGCTTTAATATCATTAAATAGATCTAAATCATCAACCCAATTCCGACTCGGATAAGGACTTTCCGGATGAGTTGCATCGCTATCATAGGCTGGAGAAGGACAATATGCTTTCTTCATCTTCATATAGCTCTTTAAATGCTAATGTTCTATAAACGTAAAGTTTAAATTTCAGTGAGCGATATTATAAAGTTTAGAATGCTTTTTAGAAAATTGCTAGAAAAGTATTTAATTTTCTAAAAAGTGATGAAAGAGGATAACAATATCAAGGCAACATTTTGTGTTGGTTAAGGTTAGCGAAAAGTTAAAATATTTCTGTAAATGTAACCTTTTCAATTGAATAGATTTAAATATTGCTCCCTATCAATTTACTACCAGTTTCCCCTTGCGAAATCTTGGATGTTGCACCACACGAGGTAACGAAATTAACAACGTAAGATAATTCTCCAAAGGAAATCGAAGGATTTACACACTTCCTACTAGATTTGGTTACAAAATTTAGTGATGGGAGGGAAGAAGAAAGAAAATAGAACGAAAGGAAATACAAGGGTATTAATTGTTAATTAAGACTTATTTTGTCTATCTCACGATAATAGGAATGAATTGTTATAGCCATCCAGTAGTGCCAGAGCAGCAGAATATCTCCAACAAACTGGAGCAACAGCATCAGGGTTCATCGGCTTCTCTTCTTTATCTGGTGATTTAGGCTACGTACCATCTGCCCAAGGCAACGATGAAATCGATAACAGCGTTGATTCTGATTTTCGTATGACTTTGAGAAAACTACACAAAAAAGACTTTACTACAAAAGTAAAAGCGTTGCAAGAGTTTTGTAGCCTTTGTGAAAATAAAGAGACAGACGATATCAAAACTGTGTTGCATTTTTGGCCTAGAATTTATTCTAGAATTGGCACGGTTGGAATTATTTTATTTTATAACTTTTAATTAATTCCATATTTAAATAAGGACTGGGATAGAAGAGTTAGGGAGGGAGGACATAATGCTCAACATTATTTTGCAATGAAATTGAAAAAAGAGCTTGCCCCTGTCATAAAACAAATTTTACCAACATGGCTTATGGGTATTTGTGATCCAGATGTCTCAGTTTCAAATGCAGCTAGGAATGGATTAAACAATGTATTTCAAGAAAAAAAGCGAAAGGAAGCCATAATCTTTTGCGCCGAGAGCACACTTGAAGTATTCTCTATCTTAATTTTGATATACTTCAAAATTTATATAGGCTTTTTTTTCAGACCTTAAATGATTATTTACTTGTTCAAACTGCTCAAACTCTCAGCGATGCAAAGTTAGTGTAACTACATGTTTATAACGCAAAACATTTTTATTGCAACATATTGTAGAACAACATCTACAGTTGATTCAGAGGCTAAATATGAGAGGACTATTGCTGTTAGTCTCTTAGCTACTAAGCTAGTGCTCTCTGAGTTGAATGACATGCCGAATGAGAAAATAGACAAAAAGCTATCCGAACTTTTAGAATCTAACAAATTTTGGAAAATGGCAAAGAGTGGTTCATGTCTGGTAAATACTTACATTTTGGTATATATAATTTATCTAAATCAAGATTCTATGCTATTTTTTAAGATAAAATCTGCATTTTACAAATTGATTGCTGCTTTATGTCAACATAGAAAGTCCTTGGCAAATTCGTTCTCCGTTAAAATAACGCAAAGCGTTTTACATAACATAGAAGAGGGTGATCCTACGGTTGTTGGCTCTATATGGGATGCAGTCTTGCATACAATTAGCTATATAGAGGTAATTATAAAGAATTTCTTTGACGAGATAGATATGAGATTCACTCTAATTAAAATAATTAGGAATGGTTTAAGCATGTAAATCTACGAAAAAGCACTTTACCTAAATTATGGTCTATTCTTCGAAATGCTGCAAATGGATGTTCTGTCATTGTTATGCCTAATATACTACCCTTTGTAAGCAAATTACCGAAGGAAATATGTGATATTGGTTTTTATAGAGAGCTATTTACTAATTTATTGGCAGGGTCTGTTATATCACTACAATAGATAGTCTGAGATTTAATTTTCAACCTAATTTTCAGTCTGAAACAGGATAAAATCACATCAAGCATAAGCGAAATATCAGCTATTGTTCAATGTATGGCTGAAGTATGTAGATATTCTTTTACACTTTATAAAAAGAATGAAGATATGAACGACGAGATCATTAATTATGTTATTTACGACGTTGTACGTATAAACAATGCTTCAATAGTGAAAAAAATAAGATAGAGTTTGTGAACAGATCAAATCCTTCTTTAAAGACGCGCTAAATGATGACAACGTTCATGTGCAATCTGCTTTTATAAAGCATGTATCGTACTTATGGAAAATTGGTAAAGAAGACGATCAAACGGACAGAAAATTGGTTTCTGACGGTTTATGGAGTATTTTAAGAGAACATTTTAAATTTATAATTGAAAACTCATCTTCTAAAAAATGTTTAAAATTCGGCGCTGAGTTCTTAAGTCATATTGGAGGAAACGAAAGTTATAAATTTGAAAAATCAGTAAACTTTTCGCAAAATGAGAAAATGGAAAAAATTAGCAAGAAATATGAATTCAATACTGAAATTAATGCGAATCTAAAAGAAATTGTTGTATACATTCTTACCCGTAAAGATATTCGTCAGGAGAATGATTTAAATTATATTGAATTCTACTGCCAAATAGCCAGTAATTTCTTATACTATGATATATTAAAAGATGTTTACAATGGGCAAGACCCAGCCGATTTAAACATCAGACTTTATGAAGACAGTATTATGCATTTATTAAAAAAGCATGGAAATCAAAATGTCATAAGTCTTTTTTTTATAAATTTACAACGCGTAGAAAATGATCGAAAATTGAAATTGATTGAGAGTGCTTTTGAAGTAAGTTTATTAGTTCCTTATAAATAATTCTAAAAAATAATAACCTTATTTTCAGCTCCTAAAAAGTGGTTCAACTTTGTCACTTTTCCTATCTACAGTTATAATAGAGCTAGATCATAATGCTGTTAAATTCTTTGATGGAGATGTTTTTACATCATTCTTTAGCAATATTTTCAATGAATTGTTAACTGAATACAACGAACAGCTATGGAATATTTTGTGCATATGCTTGGGAGAAAATGACATGAAGGGTAAATAATTTAATCAACCTTGTAATACAATGTTATAAATGAAATATATTTAAAGGGATCGTATTATCAGAAAAATTGGTAGAGAAATTATTGGATGACATCAATTTACATATCCCTGACAATATTTCTTTAAAAGAAATTGACGTTGATGTAAGAAAAGCTATAAAATGTTCTTGTGAAGTCTCTTTATTACTGTTCCAAAAGTTACCTGTAAGTTAAAATATCTTTTATTAATTTTTCTTTTCTTACATTCTAAATATTTTAGAACGTTGCTAAAAATGAAAAAGCAGAGAAATTTGTTTATAAACTCTTTGATTTATCGTTTCGGTCATATTTATCAGGTAAGGTTAATAAGATGTCTAGCTTCGTGTATTTAAATCTTTTATTTTTATAGAAAAAATGTCAAAACTAATAGACGAAAGCTGGTGCGCGGGCGCCAATTGCATTGCTTTGACAAAATCTATAAATGACTCCTTTTTCTTTCAAAATGCACGGAAGAAAATTTCGTTTTCTCTTCATAATGACTGTGATACAATGAAAAAGTATTTATTCTATTTTTTTATTAAATATTTATAATTCTTTAAAAAATGAAAAACATTTATAAATTAAATAGGCTGAATATATACGTTGAAAAATTCGGAACAATATTGCGCGTTATAGCAGCCAGTGACAGTCTCACAACGCGCGCATTGTTCTTCGATTACTACGATGAAACGAAGTTAAATTTTGAGGCTGAACTTTCACATAAGGTGAAGTTCAACAAAGTATGCTTTAATCTTTAATTTATAGATAATGTTTTTATTTAGTGGACAGAACGAGCTGTTATTGATTCAAATTCCTTAATAATTCAAGATCGTTCTAGCCTCTCAAAAATCCCGTTAACCTTTGTTCCAAAATGTATGGCTCCTCTAGTTTTTTGGTCCTGCGTTGAGATATTAACAAAAGAAATTTGTGATACCTTTAATTTGTCTTCTTCGAATAGACAGAATATCTTCCAGGAACGAATTGTTGATTGTATAGCAGCAATCACTTTTGGTGAACAACTAAAAGTCACTAACTTTATGAATGTTTGTACATTTATATTGATTTTTACTTGCCGACTAAAATGCGATTATTCTCTTATATAGAAAGATGATTTCTCTGACTGCTGCCTGCTTCTTGAGAAAAATATATTTACGCTAATTGAATCAATAAATGAAAAGGACGATAAGGAATTTTTTGAGGATCTTATAAATTCTTGTTTAGATAGAGGAAAAATCTATTTGTACGGAATACAATATTTACTGAAGATTATTTCGAAGGGCAATAAATTAAAAATTTCAAAAATGTCCTTAAGGTAAATAATTTGTTATTTTATCCTTTTTTATGTTTTATTTACTTATTACATATTTAGGAAAATTATGACTACAAAGGAAACTTCAAAAATTACTGGATTAGAGTTGAATAAAGTATGGATAAAGTACTTAATTGAAGAACCGGAGGAGCGATTGCATGTTTTTGAAGAGCTCGAGAGAATCTTTAATACTATAAAAGATCCCAAATTGATTCTCAGTCATGGTAAGACAATTAAAATTAATAATCTCGTGCTAGAGAACGTCTTAAAAGGTTTTAATTTTGAAAGGAAGGTGCTTTTAGTTTTATCCTAAAACTGAAGATTTATAGTAAAATAAGTCACAGCTTAAATACTCTCTTTCTCAGTGGTTTATTGCAAAATATCACAGTCACAACAATTAAACTATCTACTTCCATAATTTCTTTGAATGATCTCAATCCATTACTTATTCGTAACTATAGTTAAAGTAAGTGTCCGATATTGTTTTTTCACATCGTAAGAGCCTAGTAAGAAAATACATCAAATTCCCGAGTTATATTTATTAAAATCCTAGAATTGAATTATCAGCTTACTCAATTCAACTTTATTTGCATTTGTATTTCCTTTAAAAAAGGTGATAGGTTTTCTTAATAAATTAAATATCACATATTTGTAAGCACAATCACAATTAATAGTAATCAAAATCCTATAAGAGCGAGATGATTACTTATTAATAATTAACATTAATAAGGAATTCTTCTTTAAATATTATACTGAAGTAAATATTCTTAGTAGTGGATAGCTATTGAACTTATTTTTTAAAAATCGGATTATTAATTTTATCCAATATCTTGTGTCCATCATTTAATAATAAAACATGTATAAGCGCTTAGCATTGTTGAAGATCGGTGTAAGATTTCGATCCATTCTATGAGAAAATTGGTAAAGGCATGATTTGAAAAGACAAGATTTGATTCTAAATAATCAAATGTTAATAGATCCGGAATTTTCCACAAACTAGGTGAACTAATCCATAATACAGTAATAGACACTAGTAGCATTAAACAATGGTGTTCTATCTGCAACGTTTAAGCTTTCTATAGTAAACATTTTTGAACTAATATAGCATCTATTATCGATCTTACCGTTTTCTCAGGACCTTGATACATTGTTAACAAACCCGAAAAGGTAGGCATTTGAACCTGTCGATGAAATCTCTTTTTACTATCGAATTTCGATATAGAAACAATTCAGTTATCATATAGTAACCATAGTAAGTTAATTAGTAATATCTACACGTTTATTCAGTTTTTCAGTACATCGTGTCACAAACTGACCATAAATTTTCGCTTTGGCAACCGTTATTTAGCTATATTTAATTTGTCGTATCTACTGTATATATGAAAATATACTTGTAGATGTTAATTAACAATAATATGTTACAGCAATTCTATTGTAACTAAATTTAACATTCACAATGAAATTTATATCATAATTGAATAAGATAGTTGTTAATTTATGCTTGATATTTTGTCCCTTTACATATTTTTTGCCTACAATTGGGCTATAAAAAAAAAGTTCTCTTGTTCAAGTATATTAGCTTACCATTAATAAAAAGAAGAAAACCGAGTAGGATCTCTTAATGTTGTCATCGGCATTATACCATGTCCATAAAATAATAGCAGTCAAACAGATTCCTGAGTGAATTCTGGTAATAGATGAAGGTGACAAGTTAATTAAAACAAACCTGTTAATGTTGATAGTATGTTAAATATTAAAAAGAGAGTTTTATATAATCTTTTCTTCACTTGTTGAATATTCTTCTCGTGTTTTTCCATGTCCATTATAACATTGGAATGTAATTTTTCGCTACCAGGGGTCATTATATATAATATCTGATTTGTTATTTATATGTGTGAACTTTAGGTATGCTCTTCTCCTATAAACAACAAGACTAAACAAAATAATTGAAATCAAGCAATAATCTATTTAACTGTAGGATTTTTTTTAGCAAAAACCAACTCATATACATTGCAAATATTTACACGTATATCTGTTTAGATTCAGCTGGATATCTTGATAAATTGCAACTTTTTAACTATACGTGTCAACACGTTGTCGCTCACCAACCTGATAATACAACGTTAAAAGACAAAGTAATTTCTTGTTGCAAAGTGTTAGCTGACAAAATAACTATATGGAAAGAAAATTGTCCCAATTTTTACCTTTTCAACGAGAATAAGTATGCGTTTATAACAAATTTTTAAATTTTCTTTGAAATTAAACAAAAAATGATTACTTTGCAGTAATGTAAAAGAATGTCCATGGAATGAAGTTCAATGGAACATAGAGTTAATAAAATTTTTTAAAATATGCGTGTCCGTCAATGCGATCGAACACCCATTTTGGGACGTTTTACTTTGCGCTCTTTCTGCTTATGTGCCTGTAAGTTGGCAATCGCTGTTTGAATTCCCACCTGTCATTACTTTTAAACAAAATATATTAACAGGTTATAGAAAAAGAGAGTTTATTAGTAGATTTATCAACGGCAGCATTAGCTATTGAAGCTTTCAGTCTATGTAGTGAAATTGGAAAATTCTTCAACTCATCCTCCAGCTCAACTGAATTAAAAGATGAATGGATTAATTTCTTCAGCGCTGACATTTATCGTCATCTCTTTGAAGTTTTTATGTATATTTCACAAGTCTTAGAAGGCAATTCAACTTATGCTTATCAGGAAGTCCTCTTGTCACTTACTGGGGCTATTAATTTTCTACCTCCTACTCATTTTCTCGAGCACGAATTACCACCCCTACTGGATACTACCAGTTATTTACCAGATAAAGTTGTTACTTTATTTAATCACGTATTCCCTTTGCTGGAAAGAAAAAATGTTCTTACACAAAATTGTGCTGCCTTAATACTTGAAAGGTAATATGTCACTATTTAGTTTACTGCCTTTTCTTTATAAAAGTTTTATTATGCGTTACCAGGGTTACAAAGCTAATACCCAAGACTGTGAGCGATGAAAATGACTATAATGATTATGATAAACAGTAAGAATTTCGTACCTTATTTTTCTAACTGATGAGATTTATATGTTTCAATCAGCTCTCCGCCAGACATAATGCTAACAACTTTAATGAATTTAACGTTAAAAATAGCAAAATTCAATACAGCCTTTGGGGAAAGAATAAGCATTAAGGAACTAACCGACGAAATTTATGATTGGACTGGGTTTATCTATTGTTGGAATGTTTTATTAACATTTTGTGAGGCTACCCATTATGCATATTTGAAAGAGAATAATTTGATTCAGGAAGCTATACATGTTTTATTCTCAATAATGCCTGACCCAAAACTTCCTGGTACTCATTCAAAAATCCTTGACTTATTTAACAGAATTTCAAAATCGTCATGGCTTGATAGTAAGAATTTGATTATTTTAGAAAATCAAGGCGTCCTTTTCTTGCCATTACTATTTAATTATCTTTTGTTCATAGAAACGCCTAAAGCGACAAGTGAATACGTTGAATGGATTGCCTCCAGCCTTTATTTACGTCTGTTAGAGCGTCTTCCAGCCCTTGTTCGAAAATGGTATAATTTGCAGGATAAAGTCATCTGTAACTGCTTCAAAGAGTTTACATCTTCTTTTGCCTCGAAAATCTTAATTTCCAAGGAAATTAAACAATTAAAGGCTGAATCTATATCTAACGATGAATTTACGGTTAGTTACTTTCCACTTCAGCAATGCTCAGATTTATAAATAAATTAATTTTTTAAAGATTTTATTAAGAGAAACTTCAGGAGAAGTCGTTGCTTCCTATATACATAACGAAGTTACTTTAGAAGTGGAAGTTACCTTTCCGGCTGACACTCCATTAACACCTGTAGTTGTAAAAGCAAGTAGAAAGATTGGCGCAGATGAGAATAAATGGCGAAAATGGATATTACAGATGACTACGTTTCTTTCACTTCAAAACGGAACGCTTCTTGAGAGTCTATTAATTTGGAAAAATAATGTTAAAAAATTATTCGATGATGTAGAAGAATGTACGATATGCTTTAGTGTACTTCATCCGACAAATTATCAACTACCAAAATTGCAATGTTCTACATGTCGCAAAAAATTCCATCCAGGGTGTTTGGTAATAATCTCATATCACCTCTAATTGCATCAATAACCTAATTAATCATATCTTTTTTTTTTTTGCTATCTACAGTATAAATGGTTCAACACAAGTAATAAATCTACATGTCCATTGTGCAGAGGCTACTTTTAGAAAGACTCGAATTAGCATTGTTTTTTATGAAATGACTAAATTTTAAAGTACACTGTTGAAAACATTACTTATAGGTGACAAAAAACACAAGGTGCATGATAATTTTCTCTGACATTATTAGCGGATTGTTAAAATATTAGTATATAAATCGATAAAATAAGAAAGAATACCTTCATTATACAGCCGAAAGTAATAGATTGACAAAATTATATACAATAGATTTGGACTCTTTGTTTTCTCGTCAATCTCTTTGTTCGAAGGAAATTCAATTGAATTTCCATTTATTAACAGCACCATGATTAGTCTAATATATATTTTTTTATGAAATACTATTTATTTTTGTCAATCGCCATCAATCGTAGCTCTGTCTTAAATAAAATCAGAGAATATAAGCAAATACAAGCGATTGTGTCGACATCTGAATGATATTTTGGGAGAGATTTAACGAAAGGCAACGATCCGCTACAGAATTATTATTTTTCAACCAAATAAAACTAAAACCAGTGATCTAGCGAATAAAGCAGTCAGAATACCTAATAATAAACCGAATGCAGTGCTTAAAAAGTAATCTTTTTTAACAAAGAGTTTTTTCTCAAAATTAAGGTTCAATTCTTCCATCTCCCGACAATTAGTGATCAATTCTAATAGATTATCTTTATCGCCAACAGACGAGTTAGAGGCCGAAGAGTGTCGTCTTTGAACAATAGGTTGGCTAACTTCGGGCAATTGTAATGTATTTGTTCTCCTTTCATCAAACTTTGAGTGTTTCCCCTTAATTCCTTTTCTCTCCATCATGATATCTGCATAGTATCCCAATCTGGGAGTGGGAGCGATAGTTAAATGTAACATTGAATTTTGACTATCATCGTTTAATTTTTCCATTTCAATATCGTAATTATCCACTATGGTTTTAGTTGAATTACGATTAGCATTCGAATCTACTTCCGCCTCTCCTGATTCTGTTCCATTAGCTGGTGGAGGTGAATTACAGAGAATGTTTGAAGGACGTTCAGTATATCGTAATTTTATACATTCTTCCCATTCTAATTCTCCTCCTACACTCTTTTTATTTGATACTTCTTCGCTTCGATTATCATTGCTAAGATTCGATGTATTGTCTCTCGAACACTTTAATTGTAGATTTGTATCCACAGTAGAAACCGACTCGTATAACATTCTTTGGTTTTAAAATAATGAATCTCTGTAATTGTTTTTCTTTCATCAAAGGATTTTCTTTGAAAAAAATCCACTTTAGATACCTGAATATACATTTATATATTTATTAATATAAACTATGAAAATAAAGGAAGAGAAAAGAGAAATTTTCAAACAAAGTGGCATAAACAATAAATTATATAGAACTAAAAAAAACATAGAAAATCTATAATAATAAAAAAAAAACTGATATGTTAATAGAACAGATAACGATATATAACATTTTGTTCTTTAAACGAACGACTCGAATAAAAAAAATACCTTTAAAGTAGAAAGATTCCAGCTTTAAATATTTATCTTAAATTTATCAAACTACGTAGATTATATTAATTGATAAAGAGTACTTTTTTATTGTTATTAAAACAGGAATATATCAATAGTTATTAAGAATGTTTTTAGATGGTATTTTCGTTGAAAATTGCTATTATTTCAATACTATTTAGAAATATTGGATTAGACATTTTATAAGGGTTCTATACATGTATACATACATTAGTGTATAAGCATAGTACACATTCATACTTCATAACCCATATGTATCTGTAGATAAGTGATTTTTTATTCATTTTTACAATATATATCATACCATTTTCCCTCTTTAACAATACAGTCAATACGATAATTTAAAATTAGCACGTTAATTTAATAGAATATGAATATTCATTAATTAATACATACATTCAATAATTTTAATTTTAAAGGTATCTTTTCAATTATGGATAATAAAATAGTAATATAATATAATATAATAAGACTTGGTTCATTTTTCTTTAAATAAAGTGTAACAATAAAAGACAATTTTGCTGTTTTGATTAATAAAAAGCAGAAAGTAATTAGTCGATTTTTTAAAGAACAACTAACCGGTTTTCGTTGAGCTAATCAGTCGTTACTTGTATAATATTTAATCATTTGTAATCGATGGATCATTCCAAAATATCTAATACTAAAGATATTTCTTTACATAAAAGTATTTGGTTTATCATAAAATTTGAGGCAACGATAAAGAGAATAACTTTATTTGTATTTCCTAGTCCGAACAAGAGGCCTTAAACACGTGACCGTATTGAATAAATTTTAGAATAGGCTTATTTGAAAATTAAAAAGCAATTTTTTTCATTATAAACTCTTAGACAAGTTCTTTTGAAAATAAATATAAATTGTTAATAAAATATTGAGCGAAAATATGGCTATTTTATTGATGAAATTATAATCTTTGAGAATTATTTGAAAAGCATTAAAAACATTCACGTAATAACTCTATAATATATTATTTAATGTCTATACATCAGATTAATTTCATTGAATCAACACTTTTTGTTACGTATTTAGGAAGAACCTACAAGGATATTTCAATAAACAGAATACCTTTAAAAATAAAAAGTTTCTGTTACGTAACTAGATACACAAGTAAATACAGGCCTATTCCTTTTCTCTTTAATCTATCCTCCCTCCCACACACACACACACACACACGTATTCTCTCCCTTTCCTGTCTATCTAAATAGAGTCTATATAATAGATGAATTGTTCTCTTCGCCTAAAGTACAATTGCATAAATATTACGTTATTCAACCTTTTCCTCCCACTCCCCCTCTCGCCTTTCTTCCTCAAAGTGGACACAAAGAAATTTGCTCTCTCCTTAAGTTTACGCTATTCTTCATTAAATAAGAAACACTCTTTATTGTATGTTACTATAACAAAGGTCGATAGCTTAAGTAATAAGTGTAATAAAAAGTTGAAAAGAGAAAAAAAGAGTATGTAATCTTGATATAACGCTTTTTTATTCATTTTAATTAATATTCAATAATTGTTCAATTATATTTTTTTAATAGGAAATGCTAAAACCCTTATAAAATTTACAAAAAGAAAATATTTGCTCTTCTCCTTCTGCTGTTGCTATCCTGAATAAAAAGATTTTTATTATTGAAAGTTTCTTTCTTTCGTTAAATATAGAAAAAAAAACTGTATTGTTGAACATTAACCAATAAAAAAGTGTTAATATTCTTCTGCTGAATGGAAATTTGTTCTATTCGCATTCGCCGTATAGCCGTTTACATTTTTTTCTACAGGCTTCGGATACCTTGGCGAAATTTGACTTTTTAACCTGCAGTCCAAAATCTTTCCCAACTAAATAAATCTGATTTTTGGCTTCAAGAAGCCCCATATCTTCTACTTTTTTACTCTTTGGGTTCTCTCGCCAGCTTGTTCCATGCCGACTTAGAAGAAATCCAAAGACGAAACCGGTCATATAAGAGTCAAATCCTGCTCTATGGCCAGATGATCTAGCTTTTGTTGACTTAGGTTGATATCTATCATCATCTACTGATTCATTTTCCTGAAGTTTTCTCTTTCTGACTTTGTCAAATTTAAAGTCTACGGCCAATATTTCATCAATATCGTGCGAATACTTACAATTTTCCGCATCCAAACACCAGCCAAAAGACTGTGAAAAAAAAAAAGAAATGTCGGTTTACTTAGGAAAAACTTTCAACTAATGAAAAACTGTTACCGCATAACGCTTGCAAACGCAATGTGTATCATTTACTGGTTTTCGAGGTAATTCACAGTGAAGAAAACTTATTGAGGACATTGAACTAGGATAAGCTGGGAACGTTGGTATTACGTGGCTCTTTAGATTATCGCAATTTTTGACATTTTCACTCTGACTAAAAAACATATCTATTGTTTAAATTATTCTCAATAAATAATAAACAGTTGAGATACCATTTGCGAAAGCAATATTCTAAATATGTGGCTTGCATTCTGTCAATGAAAGCTGCCAAGTACTTGGTATCATATAAGCCACCTGAAAATTATCTTTATAATAGTTAATTAACAGAAAATTTATTTCTTATCTACCTTTAAATGCTAAGTCCAAATCTGCTATAAAAGTAGAAAAGTTCTTTGGTAGCTCACATAAAAAGCTTTGATACAGAAATACTATGTCGATTAGAGCGTTATGAAATACTATAGGAACTTTGCAGCGTAATATTTCATTTAAAATATTACGGAAAGACTTTTGATCTGTTTCTATATCTTCATTCTAAAGAAAATATTCTTTAATTATACGAAACTTATAATATTCAAATAATAGTAGTCTTATATTTACCGTATCATCGCCTGGCGAATATAGGAGACCGTATTTATATTGAGTATTGAAATCAAAACCGTGCTGAACCAAGAATTTTACAGACGAAGATTCGATTATGTGATTGTTTTTGCAAAGTAAAAACAAATTAAAAGTTTGTATAGCAAATCTTAATGCGCTTTCTTCTTCCGACTTTGAAAAGCTCGGTAGTCTGCAGAAACAACTTATTCCAAGTGAAACAACAGATCGAGTTTTGGCTCCTTCGCTAATTGCTTCATATCTCTCTGCAATATCCCTGAAATTGATAATAATACAACTTATGATTGCTATAGTCAAAAGTAAACTCTTAAATGTTATACTAGAGAGGATAAATATAAGAGAATAATTAGTATTGAATGTATAATCAGTATATTCTCACTTTGTATTTACTCGTCTCTTATCACCTATTCCGCTCAGCTCCAAATCGATAGCAACAAAACTTGCAGATCTTACAGCAAGAATAATAGAGTTATACAGCTCCTCTATATTACTTGAATGAACATCAATTACCGGCACTTTTGCAAAAGACGCCATAGGTCCGATTATCTTTTTTATCGCTCTCACGAATTTTGAACTTTCTAAAAATCTTCCTAATAAGCAAGAGAGGATGGATAATGCTCAAAACTTTCGTTATCTATTTTTCTCATTTAATGATAATAAATTTATCAAATTTATAAGATCTACAAACAGAAAAATCAAATTAAAGTTCTAAAGGAGATTTGGAAAAGAAATCATGTCGAAAAACAAAACTGGTATTTCAAGTAATATTTTTCGTAGATTTCCAAATTAATCGTCTGCTCCTATCCTTGTTTTGTTGTAATAATCGAATATTTAATACTCTGAAATCAAATGGTAAGTTTAAGTTAATACACTCTGTATAACAACTATGACAAAATATTCGTCAAATAGGCGGAAAAAGAGAAGAAGCTGAAAGTAAAGGTAAAATTGGAGCAATCACCATCTTCTAAGGAAAAAGGTTTTACCTCCTTTTCATATTTGTTAAAGAATTAGGATAAATGTTTAAAAAATTATATAATTTCTATTCAGTTATCAATTGATCATTTGTTTTATTCTAAGAATTGTTTTAAAATTAAAAAAATATAACGGAATAATCTTTTCTGTTTAATAATAATGACTATTTTAAATAGATACATGGCCTAATTTGCTAAATTGATACATTATTTTTTCATTAAAGGCGATATGTAAAAGTTTAATAGCCTCGGTTTAGTCTCTTTAGGATTTTGCTGACTTTATCTTTAAACTTTTTCATTTATTGCAGCCGCTTCAAATTCGTCCGAATCGAATCGTTCGTCTCTTAAAAGAAAATTGGGAAAAGATGATACGTTTAGAACAAAGAAGGCTGGAGACGAAACGTCTGATGAAGAAAAAGAATGGCTAGATGCTCTCGAAAAAGGAGAACTAGACGATACTGGGCGAGTAAAGAAGGAAAAGGATGTCTCATTAATGACGGCCAGGCAGAGGTCTATGTTGACTAAAGATGATTTTGCTTTTGAACCGGAAGTTCCCAGCATAGTAACTAAGTCAACAGGTAAAAACATGACTGCTGAACAGCGACAGAGAAGAGCTCAAAAAAGGAGAGAACAAGCTCTGAAAAAGAGAGAAAAAGAGAAAAAAGATACGATAGAAAGACTTTTAAAAAAACAAGACACGAAAAGAAGCAATCGAACGAAACACACTAAAAAGAATATGAAAGACAGCGTCAAAGTAAAATATACCACAGAAGCTATATGTATAACGTTTCCACCTTCAATGGAAAGTCCTTATTTACCAAAGAAAAAAATCGAGCAAGTACCGATTCAAAGACTATGTGATATGCCTGGTTGTTCGAACAAAAGAAAATATTCCTGTTCCAAAACGGGAAAATCTCTGTGTAGCTTAGTTTGTTACAAAAAGAATTGCAAGTCTTAGATTTGTTATTTTCTTAAAAACATTTTATATTCTAATGTAAAAGAAGAGTTTATAGGTAAAATGTTTCATTTGTAATATAAACGTTCTCTGTTTATTCCTTACATCATATATACTGTATACGTGTACATACTATATAAACTATATACAGTTCTGTATATATAATTAATACGATACTCAAAAGCATATGTATATAATATGCATCTTTATTGTTTTTATTAGAAACATAATATTCAATAGTAATTATCAACTTTCTCCTTCCGTTGGACTTTTATGTTGATATATCAAAGTAGGATTGAAGTTTTTCCAGGAAGACTATAAAAATATATTGGAAAAAAAAAGCAGTTAAATTTTAGATTAAGTTACATCTTGTTCATGTTTACAAACCCTGATCTTTTAGTATGAAATCAGGATCATTTTCAAGAAAATAATTCAGCAATGACCAAAATTCTTCTTCCATAGGTTTAAACGAAATAGTATCGTGGCACATATCGCTACTCAAATTGAAAGATTGAATTTGACGAAAATTCGAATTGATGAGGGAGTTGTCTCCTTTATCATTTTTATTAGTTTCTTGCTGTGCCGAAGAAACATGAGAAACAACTTCGTAATCTCTGCGAACGTCTGTAAGTAGTGATTGAGTCTCTTCACATAAACTATTAACTATGTCGTCGAGGAGACTCCAGTCATTTTCGCTTCCTGATTGTTTCTCTTTTGACGCAAATAAACACTTGATTATTTTCAATTTAATTAATAAAAGGAGAAGTAAAACTAGTAAAAGTAATAGTAATTTACCATTATCTGTTTTCGAAACATTCTCTTTCGTTACTTCTTCCAGGAATGAAGAGTCCTTGAAAAATTTCTGCATTTCGTCACTATTCTCTTTGTTATCTATAATTTATTGAAAGTATTATTGATGAAATTTCATAGAAATACTGTCAAATTACCTTCCGACTGGAAGGAAGTTGTACTTTTGCATTCGACGCTACTCATTGATTGTTCTGAAAGCTCGGCTTCATCTTCGGATTGATGATTTAGAAAATTATCAACTGCTTCCCTTATGAAAAATTTATTGTGAAGAGAACCAATGAAATTTTCATGCTCAAGCTGTTAAATATATATATATATATATAAAAGATAACTAGTGTTAAAATGCTTAAAGAAACAATTTTTTATAAATATTACATCATTGTTTTGAAGGTAGACGAGTCCAAACCCCAGTAACAAACCTGGGGCATTGCCAATTTTAGTTAGTTTTGATAACTGCGATTGGCGGTTCGAAAATTCTAACCAAGGTCTTTTAGTTAGAGGGGTTTGCTGCTTTATCAATCTTGATTTTTGAATGAATTGAGGTCGTCCAGCATTTTTGATGATTTTAGAAAATAACGTCTTCTGACACGAGAAGAGTAATTTTCTTATGACATTCAATTTTGTTGCCATATTTCTTGTCTTTATTCGATTCAACTCATTTTATTTAATCTATTGCCAAATACTGCGCAATAAGAGGCTAAAAATTTGTAGTCAAAAATTATAAATAACCAGGTAGTTATATTTCTATATAGAGTTTCTATACGGTGGCGCCATCTAAGAGGGGGAAGTCATTTCTAGTTTTGAATGAAGAGAAACATAAGCTTTGATGATTTTGATCATTAAAATAATATTCTAAGTAAATCAGATACACAGAAACTATGATTAAAGAAATATATAGAGTTATTACAGAAGTATAAATAGTAAAAGAAAAAATAGATTAATCATAAAAGAACAACAAATAAAATAAGTTTCTTTCTAAATTGTAAAACATTATTATATCCTTTTGTATTCTGTTACGTTTAGTTTTTGAAGAAGAGACATAAAAGCATTAAATAAAATTAATTATATAATAACTATACAAGTATAAAAGAATATAAGAAAGTCTATAAATAATAGACGTAAGAGATGGACAAAAGCAGCTTTGCTTATCTTTTTTCTTCTTCTATATTATGTAATATCAATATATTTAACATGTTAATGAAATCATGATATCACAATATAAGTGTTTTTTTTTTGTTCTTAATGACGTCATCATTGAAATTAAGAAAGCTTAGGAATGAAATTATTAACTATGTGAGATGAAGAAATTCAAATAGGAGGAAACTATTTATCCTCTATCTTTGTTGAAAAAATATTCAAATATAAGTATAGTCATGTAATAATAGGAGTAATAGATAGATAAATAATTCAGAAAATTCCATCCTGTTTATCCGATAGGTGTCACCTAGCCACTTTTACGAAGAAATAGGTATGTTGTAAAGTCTTTGCGGTGCAAACGAACTTCAAGGTCGTTTGTAAGACAAAACTTATCTTTTTACTTAAGCTACATCCTTTTATATAATGAAAACAGCAATCGTTCTTGTAACTCTATTAAGCGTTGCTAAACATCTATATCAAAGATATAAAGTGAAAGTAAACAACCTCTCAGATACGTTTCTCTCTGTCACTATTTTCAGTTGCTCTCTGGCTCTCTTTGAAAATCTAATTCATTAGCCAAAAAAGTAGATTGTTATTGACGTCTTGGTTTGGAAAATGTATTAATAGATGATTTTAATATTTCGTTTTTAGCTCCTTCTAAAGCAGCTCAATAGATCTCGATATTAAAAGACTGTATGCTGTATTTATACAAGAGAGAGAGAGAGAGAGAGAGAGACAGACAGACAGACAGAGAGAGAAAGTACTAGTTCTAATTCCAAGACATATCATATCTTCTTACTCAATAAAATACTGATAATGTAATTTTCTGTTTTGATTATTAACGTTTTTATTCGATTAGTTTGATGTGTCATTGAAGTTGTCTGGTTTCTAGGATAAATGAAAGCACTGCGTTCGTAGAATAATTTAAGATATCGTATCAAGGGACGGAAAAAAATATTTCACAGCGAGATTTCACGCACTTAGCAAAGAAGTTTACATGTCCACTTTCCTAAATGGCACGACGGAACGTGACTTTAAAAGCGTCATCATACAATAGAATTTAAATCCTCTAACAAAAAATCTCATATCGTAGTTAGATCCTAACCTGACAATATAACTCACTGAAATTACAAACGTTTCTAGGCAAACTTAATCAGACAACTTATAAATAATAAATAAACAACCATCGCTTTATGCAGAAGCGCAGGTGTTTGCCCTTAGATGTTATATTGATTCCTTTTGAGTGACATTCACCGTATTGAAATCAATATAACTTACTTGTACATTAGACAGATAATGCATAAAACGAATAACTTCTTCTTAGTCATAGAATCAATAGGCAAGTAAATAAAAAAAAGGAACGAAACTTATTTATTTTTTTTTTTTTAAAAAAAAACATCTACTTTGCACTAAAGAATTATTAATAATTCATAAATTAATATATATATATATCTATATAAAAGTACAAATACAGCTTAAATTACTGTCCAAATTTTGTTCAATGTGAGAAGAGTCATAAAGCTATTTTTAGAGGAAGATCAAAGGTATTGGATTCTCTTAAGTACATAGTTTTTTTTTTTTATTTTATTTTATAATAACTAAATTTCTTTAAGGAAAAAAATTAATTAATAATGCAATTATAATAAAAAGGGAAAAAAGAAAGTGGTATTATTTTCCGTTGTAAAACGATAAAGGTATATAAGATAGATGAAATTCTTTCTTTTTAACTCTCTCTCTCTCTTTTTTTTTCTCTTTATCTCCTTCTCCTTCTCCTCATTCTCCTCATCCTCCCTCTATCATATCTCCACTAACTAGTCTTCTTAGCATTACTTTTCTTTTTCCCTCGAATCCCCCTTCCTTCTTCCCTTCCTCCTTTCGGAATTAAGATTACTTTTGCTCTTTGATGATGACAATGAAAAGTTGGAAAATACATTCCAAGAAAAAATTTGATAGGTTTAGAAAATCCGAAACAGAATTTATTAACCTTTTAAAAGGATAAAATCCATCTTTTCTCTTATTTAACAAAATGTTAATTAACTTTTTGTTGGACAAACATCCCTTTGTATATTGGAAGACGTCACGCAGGAGGTTCATTTACCGAATAATTCTGTATTATCAGTATCAAAGAAAACAGCGTTTACATTAAGTACATATGATAGATAAAAAGAAACGCTTAATTGATGGTGACGCTAGTAAGGCTGGTAGGTGGAGAATAGACGGATATAGTATGTCAGGTGGTTAGCAAATAAAAAACAAAAAAGAAGCCTTAATAAAATTTTATAGTGTCGATCTATGTATTATTATAATGTATTACAAATATGGATTATTATTCCAGTAACATAATTAAATATAATAGATTGAGTAATTGCCTTTTTGAATGCAAACCGTTAAATATCTCAATGAAAATAAAAGAGACATTGTGGTGAATGAAACTGTAAAAAAATAAAAAAAAAGACAGGAAGGAAGAATAAATTGAAATGAATTTTTTATCGTCAATATTATAAACACCACTTTGATTGGAACAAATGCAATTAATTGAATAACCAGAAAGGAAAGTTAAATTGAGTTTTGGTTGAGTGAATCGCAATATCCTACAACTTCCACATCCTATACTATGCCTTTGACTAAAGACTTTTATAGGAAAACCGCTTGTTATTTGTATGTTTGTTTTGTTTGTTTGTTTGTTTGTTTGTTTTTTCATTTCTATTACAACTGTCTGCATAGATTTATCAACAAAATTTATAAATATTTTGCCAACAGGGAAGAGGAGATAGAAAAAGACAGACATAAGATAAACAATTATGTAGAAATTTGATGGAAATAAAACTTTAAATATAAAACAGAGGTAGGCGTAAACAAATAAAAGAGATATATGTATGTATAAAGAAATGAAAGGAATAGCAACCATCCTTTGGCAAAAGCGTCAACGACCTTTGGGCGATCTTCGTTTCTTTAAAGTTAACATAAAACCAGCATGAGATTTAAGGTATGAAGATTTGAAGAGAAAACTTTCTACAAAGTCTTTGTCCCTATAATGAGGCGCCTCAAGCCGACTGCTTGCCATTTTTGTCTCCTTTTAAAATCACTTTTAAAAGTTCTGTCGTGCTTTAAGATGAGAGTAGCATCCTGACGAATTCACTAAAGCTAATCCGTCCGTCACCATTTATATCTGCCGTTTCAAACATTTCTTCTACCTCAGACTCTGTCATGTTTGAACCCATATTAATAACTGTATGTCGTAATTCTTCAGCGGAAATATAGCCGTCGCCATTTCGATCGAACACCCTAAATATTTCGCGTATTTCATTTTCATCGTCCATTTGAGTATATTTCAGCATCATATTGATAAATTCAGGTAATTCTATCTGCCCACTTCCGTCTAAATCGAATTCGGCAATAATCTCAAGTATATCATTCTCTGTTGGATTTAAACCTAAACTTCGCATAACAGTCACCAATTCTTTTGAACTTATCGCACCATCACCGTCTTTATCGTATAGACTAAATGCCTCTTTGAAGCCTGTCAAAATAAGAAACACCATAAGGAAGATTTATTGGGAAATTAACAGATAGACTTGGATAATAAAGCGCTATAAAGATTTTAATGTGTCTTAAAGCTTGTTACCATTAAAATTTCGCGGTTAGAACTTGTTTATTCACGACTTATTTTCCGTTAGTGCAAATTAACTTAGACCAATATGGACTTTAGCATGCAAAAAAACACATGAAAGGACAAGAAAGAACTAAACCAGTAACATTTGACATTACAACCTTGCCTATATAAAAAGCAAAAATTAACCCCCGGAGATATCTAAAAGTTCACGTTCAACGTTTCTTTCTTACATCATATGTATTTTAAATACAAAGGAGACAAACTATAAGACAAACAATCCTCGGAACTTTCTACACACAGAAGCGTCATTATTTACAAACCTAATATTGCCTATTATCAAGATTAGGTTTACCATATTCTTAATATCCGCATTTTTATGTTTTGTCTATAGGAAATAAGAAAAACTTGATGGTCATATGCAAAATGTCAAACGACCAGGTAAAGTTTATGAGTAATTTGCAATATATTTCATTTAAAAATAGATCAGTCAAAGTGTTTCTGATAAATCTTTTGAGAAATCAAAGTTAATTAAATGAGAATCTGATGTAAAAGATTATTTTGTGTATATTTTACTAAATTTACGTATAGAGTATAGAGATTTTATCATGATTATGCATAAGTAAGGAGGCTAGAACTTAATCAAGGTTAAAGTTCATCATGTATTATAAGAGGGGCTATGGTATAGTACCATTAGAACTCGTATAAGGATAAATTGGCTTTATTTATCATTCTTTCCTTATCTTTTTTTTTTTAATACTTGCGCAACTATTCTCCTTTTACTTTGAATTATTTAAAGAGAATTGACGAAATCGCCCTCTTTGCTGCTTAATACTGCATCGGGGACTTTCAACTTAAATATGCATCTATGTAATCCAATAGAAATCGATATTTAATACACATGATATATTATCATGCGTGTTTACAGGATTTTAGCTTAACATCATGCTAAATTCTTTTGTGATATAGTGAGACGTTTACTTAAGGCTTAGAGAAGCAACATAAATGCAAAATTCAGATGGAAATACGATTTGAGAATTACTAGTGAAAGAAAAATTGGATAGTAGGAGGAGAAGCTTTCTCATGCATCATCTAAAAATCTTGCCCACTCCCTATGCTTCTCTCTCTCTCTCTCTCTCGTTAACGCTTCTTCAAGGAAATTCCTGATGTGGAATGAAAACTAGTTTAATAAGAGCCCTTTCTACTTTTATCGAATAGACTTTCTCATTTCGCAGTCAGTAAAAAACTAGGGCCAGTAGTAAAATTACCGTCTGATCAAGAACAATAAATTGCTATTTGACGCTGACTAGAATCCGTGAATACTTTTTCTCTGCCTCTTTCCTTTCCAGTCAATCAGGATAAGCAAAGGGGAAAAAGTGGGAGGACTTTTCACAAACGCATACTGGCTATTTATCCTTTAATACCGGAAAAAATGATAAAATAGCGCGTGACAAAAGTACATATATTTATCTATTCACAAACACAACTTCAATCAGAGGTCATGATCAAGCTATTAAAGTCATACATCACGAATAGTTTGTTCTAAAGCACGATTGTTGGCGTATTATTTATAAAAAAAGAAACATATACACGAAAGATGATTTTAGTATATCTTTGAAAGAGAAAAGTTTGTAATAAGATAATTTTCTAAATTATAGAATATTATCATAAGGATTTATTGTAAACAAATTTATACAAATTCTTAAGGATCTCATTTGAATATTCTAATAAAAGAACGAATAGTAATAATTCAATATATCTAATATATATATATATATATAGTATATACATATAGAATTTTAATACAATGTATATTTTTAATATAGACATTTTTAATAATAAAAAAAATTACAAAGAAAAGTATTTTTATAAATGCACCTGATTGAGAAGATGTAATAATTGAGTACACAAGTATATTAAGCAAAGTGTAATGATAAAAAATTCCTTATTTTTTCTATTATCCTTATCCTTTCTGAATTTATGATAAAGGAAAAGGAAGAGCAGCATAATATGAGCGAAAGAGGAAAATTGTGTCAAAATATACTATGATTCTGACATCTATTATTAAGAGGAATATAAAACGATGTCACCTTGATAATTATTTCAATTTATTCAATGCGGGTCTTTTCCTTGGATTGTAGGCTTGGAGGTTGATAAATATTATTTAAAATATTCCCCATTAAGAAGAATAAAGAGTGTATTCAATAACTAATTAGAATAAAGTAATTTCCTTTTTTTTTACTTTTACCGATATTTCTTTTAGAACAAAAACTGTACTAGAAACAGAATGCACTTGTTCTATTACACATATACAGTAGTTCCAATCTCAATACAGCATACAGTACATAAACTCTATGTAAAAAGATATGCTCACTCTAAACATTCACTTATTTATCTCTTACTCTATAAATTGTTGTATTGATAGTGAGAAATTACGAAAAAAGGGAAAATATATAAAAAAAAAAGGAAAAACATTCAATCTTTGTTTTTTTTTTGTGCTAAAGACTTCCAATTGGAAAGTTCCGAGAGATACTTTTTCCACTGTCTCTCTTATTTTTCTCATCCTTCTCTTTCTCTTTCTCACTCTTTTTTCTTTTTTTCATCCTTTCTCTTTCCTATCTGTTTTTTTTTGTTCCTTTTTTTCCTTTAAGTTTAAAATTTTCAATACCTTCAAAAAAAAAAAGAAAAAAACCAAATGGTCCGTTGCCTGATATCATTCTAGTCAATCAATACGCTTTGTTATAGTTTTCTATAGAATGTATAATTCCTGCCTTTTTCCTAATTCGAAAGAGAATCGAGGGTTTGTTTATTTTTCTATTTTTTTTTTTTTGGATTTTCATGATTTTCTTTATATTAAAATATATTAAAACTTGTGATTGCAATTGAAATGTGTAAAGACTACGTTAATTGCTACTACTAAGGAGTAAGAGACAGAGAGATGGAGAGACAGAGATAACGTAGTCAAATTTAAGTCTCTTTCTTCTTTTTTTTTCTGCAAATTGTACATATATTCTGAATTAAGCGATTCCCCTTCGGGACAAGAAAGAAATTATTGCTTTTCCCTCGACTTCTGCAAAGCTTTTCTATAAGGAAAAGTGAAAACAAATTAGCCTAATTGATTTGGAAAAGTCGTTCTAATTCAAGTGTGGTATAAGTTGAATAAGACTTGAACAGAAAATGACAATGACTAATAGCGTTAAAATATCTATTAGACATTGTAAAGTTCAAGTTTAATTATATTGTTTACTTAAAATGAAATGAAACACGTTTCGTGCTGATAGAAGCAGTTTCTGCTCTCGCCTAGTATCGCTTTCATACATGTTTATAACCGTTGTATACTTTTTGCTTATATTTTCAATAGCTTTGTGGCTTTGTTTTATATCTAATTGTATCCCTGTTCATAATAAACGAAGAGAGAGGGTGAGAGAGAGAGAGAGGGAAAAGAAAACACGCCAGTTTGGCGAAAAAGTAAAGCTGGAACACTGTCGTGCATGCCTGGAGCATCCACTCATTTCTCGGATTTCTGAAGCCAACTAAATGAAGTAATAGCTTTCAACGTGACAAACTTCGGCGCTTAAGTAAAATACGCTCATTTTTGGCTTTCACTAGACAGACATTTATGATAAACTCTTTCCGTTAAAAGAAACAAAAATAATATGAAAAGAGATTTAAGTATATCAATTGTTTAAAAGATTTGTGATTAAGTTTGCTAATAGTTAGTAAGACAGAAGATAAACTTGCACAACAAAAAAAGAAAAGCTACTGAAACGGAAAAAAGACTTGCTTGCGAAGAATGAAAACTGTTCTTACCATGAATCTTCTGGGCGGTTTCTTCGTCAAACAAACTAGCAAAGGTCAGTGATGTGGAAGGATTCGTCATTGCTGAACTGATAGCAATGAGACTATTAGTATTACATCCCAAGCTTAAAAACGGGTATAATCCATGCAAAAATCCAGGTAGGACTTTTATAGTAGAATAATCGTTATTAAACTGGTCACTTTTGAAGGCCAATTTTAATCTTGCAAACGCGTGATTATAAGTATTCCTAATTCGTTCTCCGATCTCTAATATTCGATTCTGAATGTCAGACGCCGTCATCCTGTCACGATTCTGCTTATCTTCGCAAAATAATTCTAATAGCAAAAATAGTAATAATAAAAGTAACAAAAGAATTAGAAATAGTAGAAAGAGTCGAAGTAAAAAGTAGTTGTTGAAGAATATAACGCCGATTATTTTGCACGTTTAATGACATAAACGAGATTTAGACTTAGAGCATTTTCAGACTGCGAATGAGCAAAGAGACGCTTTGACGTCATCGCCTAACGGCGACCGTTTATTCTCCTACGACTAGGCCTATTTTCCGTCCAAAAAAATGCTTATATACGAATAAAATGCCGGAGATTTCTTTTTTGGTCTACTAGGGAAACGCCTAGACGCCTCGTTAAGTCGTCAATTGAGCATATTTTTTCGGTAGACGGAACTAATAGAGAATTATGCTCGTTTGCACTAACGATCGGTGATGATGAAAAGATGCACTCACTTTTTTAACCTCATCCTTCGTTTAATATAGATGGCTCTGTAAGTTTATTAACGTAACGGCATCTACCTTGCTTTACCGAGAAATGGAAGAAATTTTACATAAACTTCAAACAGTCAAACATTATCTTACTCTAAATTGCCAAAATATATGTATATTCATAAATCATCTAATTAATATTCATTCTTGTATATCTAAATTAATTAACTAATTAATTGATAAAATTAAAAATAAAGTTTGTTTTCGATTAAACAGAAAAGAGGAAAAAAGGTGAAATGTTTACAATAAGCAATTGACATTTGACTTTTAAGCTTTTCTGCTATCTAAAGTTCTTCATGACACGTTTTGACGATTTGAGACTACTCCTCCGGGTCCGGCAAGGGAGGATTTTCCCATTAAATCCATATCAATCCTTCGAGCAGCTTGACGTCCTTCATTAATAGCATGAACTACCAAGGACTGACCTCTTCTACAGTCTAAAATAATAATGATAGTATTTAATTACTTATTTATAAAGCAAGGTGCCATTTCAATTAATTTACAAACCTCCTGCTGCGTAGATCTTATCCATAGAGGATTTAAAGTTCTGACAGGAAATATTCGACCTGCCATCATTTTCTACGCCTAACTGGTCAACTAATAGATTTTCTGGGCCCAGAAAGCCCATTGCTATTAAAACTAAATCAGCTTTATAAATCTTTTCGCTTCCCTCAACTTCATTCATTTTCCATTGCCCATTTTCTGCTTGCTTCCAATTAACTTGAACCGTCCTAATACCGCTGACTTTTCCATTCTCGCTAAGAAACTCTTTACTTAATACATTAAATACTCTTGGATCATTTCCAAATTTATTTGCAACCTCCTCGTGGCCATAATCCACTCTGAATATTCTTGGCCATGTAGGCCAAGGATTTGATGCTGATCTTTTATGAGGAGGTTTATCGAGAATTTCGAAGCACGTAATCGTCTGAGCTTCCTGCCTCAGAGATGTAGCAATACAATCACATCCTGTATCTCCGCCTCCTATAATAATGACATCTTTTCCCTTGGCGTGCATTTGAAGGTCGGATCCAATGCCCTCTCCCTTTGCCCTATTCTTTTGCCATTTTTCCAAGAAAGACATAGCAAAATATATTCCTTCGCTATTTCTGCCTGCTATGGGCAAATCCCTTGGCCAAGTAGCTCCGACAGTCAATAATAGAGCATCTACTTGTCGTAGCAAATCAATACCATTTACATTGACACCAACGTTGGAATTTGTTTTGAAAATAATCCCCTCTTGCTCCAGCAATTTAATTCTTCTATTTAAGACTTGCTTCGACAATTTCATGGATGGAATTCCATATCGTAAAAGACCTCCGATAGCATCGTTTCTTTCATAGACAGTTATATAGTGGCCAGCTTTGTTTAGTTGAGCTGCAGCTGCTAATCCGGCTGGACCACTTCCAATAATAGCTATCTTTTTGCCTGTGCGTATTTTGGGCTCTTCAGGGACAACCCAACCCTTTTCAAATGCGTAATCAATAATAGTATTTTCTATATTCTTAATTGTTACGGCAGGTTCATTGATTCCTAGTACACAAGCAGCCTCGCAAGGAGCGGGACATGCCCTACCAGTAAATTCAGGAAAATTATTCGTTTGATGCAAAGCTTCTATGGCTTCTCTCCATTTATCCTTTAAATAGAATATATAATCAGATAACTTTTAGTCCTATTTTTAATTTTCATAAGAGAGATAAAAAAAGGCTTACGTTAAATACTAAATCGTTCCATCTTGGAATAACATTACCCAGAGGGCATCCATTATTGGATTGGCAAAAAGGTACTCCACAATCCATACATCTAGCAGCTTGTTTTTTAATACCATTTTCCACCGCTTTATGGTCGTAGATTTCGTTCCAATCCTTCTCTCTTTCTTCAACTTTACGATATTGATACTTTGCCCTTGAATACTTAACGAATCCCCTATTTTTGGACAATAAAAGGTATTTATATAATAAATTGAATCAATAGCCAAACTCTAAAAAAAGAAAATGATTTCATTTATCCATTACTTTCTTACAAACCTTGTTTTATCTAAAGATTCTTTTGTGGCACCATTACATCCATTTGAAATTAAATCTTCCACGTCCGTTACTTTTTCAGTTTTTGTTTCTTTCTATCAAGAAATTGAAGATGAGAAAAGAAATATATTTCCTTAACACGACAAACCTTCTCTTCTTTCTTTTCAGTAGCAGTTGATTTTCCTTTAAGAGCCAATAAAGCTTTTTGATATTCGAGAGGAAAAACCTTATGGAATAATCTTAAAGAATTTGTCCAATCATCCAATAAAGACTTGGCCAGTCGAGATCCAGTTTTGGTTACAAATTCCTTCAAAATATTTTGTAGCCATAAGATATCTTCTTCCTCCTCAACCGGTAAAATCGAAACAGATTCTTTATTACATCGCTCCATAAATAAACCTTCTTTATCCAAAACATATGCAATACCACCCGACATACCGGCAGCAAAATTCCGCCCAATTAGACCTAACACAACCGCTCTACCACCAGTCATATATTCGCAACCGTGGTCGCCGCAACCCTATACATACATTATTCATTCGTGGAATGATAAAAGAGGTGAAAAAAATGAGAAACTTACCTCGCAAACAGCAATAACTCCGGAGTTTCTAACGCAGAACCTCTCAGCTGTCATACCCCTGAAAAAAGCTTTCCCGGAAGTAGCACCATAGAGTACTACGTTACCAACAATGATATTCTTTTCCGAGAATTCGTTCTGTAAAGAATCTTTTGGTGGATAAATGACAATTTCACCGCCAGATAAGCCCTATAAGTAAAATTATTCGTATTACCAAGTGTATGTAACTATAGACTATCGAATAAACGACAAATAGTATAGTACTCTATACACATTACGCAATATTTTATAAGAGATTACCTTTCCAACGTAATCATTAGCATCACCTTCTAGTTCAACGTAGACTCCTTTTGCCAAAAATGCGCAAAAACTTTGTCCTTTGAAGATGAATATTATTATTTAATTAGAAAGTAGAAATGGAAAGAAATGTTTATGAATGTTTATGATTTTACTTACCAGCTGAACCTTTAAAGAGGAAATTTATACTTTTATCGGGTAGTCCTTCTTCACTTTTAGCCCTTTTAAAGATTAAAGGGATTTAGGAACAATTTACTAAAACATTTCAAAAACTTACAGTGAAATACGATAGCTTAATGCTGCTCCGAAGCATCTATTGATGTTTGAAATATTTAATTTCATCTCTAATTTATCTAATTTTCCATCTATAACTTCTTGAACACGGTCCATAACCTGATAATCCAAGCGTTCTTCTAGTTTGTGATCCTGCGGCATTGACTGAGCAACTATATTTATATTCGGTCTGATGCTGCCAGCGTTGAATAGGAGAGGATCAAATTTTAGTAATTTAGCTTTTCCCTTTAAGTCAGTAGCAACTTTCAATAAATCAGTTCTCCCAATAAGTTCTTGGAATTTCGTCATACCGAACTTAGCCATTATTTGACGAACCTCTTCCGCAACCATAAACAAAAAATTGATGACATGTTCTGGAGTTCCATCAAACTTTTTCCTCAGAATAGGATCCTGGGTACAAATACCAACAGGGCATGTATTTAAATGGCATTTTCTCATCATTGTGCATCCTAATGCTATTAGAGGGGCTGTTGAAAAACCAAATTCATCAGCTCCTAATAATGCAGCAATTACAACATCTCTTCCGGTCCTCAGCTGACCATCAGCTTGCAATGTAACTCGACTCCTTAAATCATTCAGCATAAGGGTTTGGTGGGTTTCTGATATACCTAATTCCCAAGGCGCCCCAGCATTTTTAATACCCGTCCAAGAGCTGGCACCAGTGCCCCCGTCATGTCCCGAAATGACAATATGTTCCGCTTTGCATTTTGCAACACCAGCAGCAACAACTCCTACCCCAACTTCAGAAACTAATTTGACGCTCATTCTGGCTCTAGGATTTGCAGATTTTAAATCATAGATAAGCTGAGCTAAATCTTCTATAGAATAAATATCGTGATGAGGCGGAGGACTAATTAATCCAACACCAGGAATTGAATTTCTTGTAGAGGCTATATCCTCCGTAACCTTGTATCCAGGCAATTCTCCGCCTTCTCCCGGCTTAGCACCTTGCGCCATCTTTATTTGTAGTTCGTCAGCATGCGCTAGGTAAGAACTGGTTACGCCAAATCTCCCGCTGGCTACTTGTTTTATAGCGCTTCGAGTGTTATTATTCGAATCTTGATTTAAATATCTTTCAGATTTTTCCCCGCCTTCCCCCGTATTACTCTTAGCTTTAATCTTATTCATGGCTTTTGCCAAAGTAGTATGAGTTTCCCATGAAATACTACCAAATGACATGGCTCCTGTCGCAAATCTTCGTACAATGTTTGCAGCGGATTCAACGTTTTCAATATTCACTTTCTTCTCCACTGTTCTAAATTCCAACTGACCTCTTAGAGTACAATGTCTTAATGCTTCAGAGACAGATTCAGTAAACTTCTGGTACGCCTCTTTATTGTTTCTCCTGGCTGCATCCTATTGGAAAAATTAATAATTAAATAGCTAATAAGATATTTCTATTTAAATGAAAAACCTGCAAGTTGGCAATGTTAATGGGATCGTTCATATGTTTCTCTCCTCCTTTTCTCCAATGATAAAATCCGGGATTTGGAATTATTTTATTGTCGCAATCTCTTTCGGCGAATGCAAAATTATGCCGATTCAATGCTTCTTGAGCTAAAACAGTAAAATCAGTTCCTTCAAGTCGGGAGGCGGTGTTCTTAAAGCATTTATCAATAACTTCCTTTGATAGACCGACAGCTTCAAATATTTGAGCAGACTACGTTTAAAATATAAGGTAAAAGACGTTATAGAATGTACTACTAATTCTTTAGTTAGATTATTACCTTATAACTCTGAAGGGTAGAAATTCCCATTTTGGCCATAACCTTAGCCATACCTCTTTCAATAGCAGCTACATAATTTTTGAACGCTTCTTCGTCGTTTTCTTTAATTTCTCCATTCACTCTTAATCTTTTGGCCATTTTAAATACCATATACGGACAGATTGCATCAGCTCCATAGCCGACAAGAGTGCAAAAATCGTGAACTTCGCGGGATTCACCAGTTTCGACTATTAAACCAATTCGCATTCTTAATTTCTTATTAATTAAATAATGATGGACTGCACCAAGAGCCAAGTGAGGTGAGATCGGTACTCGACTTTTTCCAGCTGCCTTATCAGATAAGACTAAGAAATGATTACCATTTAGGACAGCCTCTTCCGCCTCTTTACAAACTCTGTCAATATTTGAGGTCAGTCCATGGATATGTTGTTCTAAAGGATATGTAGTATCAATAACTTTAGAAGTAAAATTACGGTAAGAGATTCTTTTCAATATTTCAATATCAGATAGGGATAAGATGGGCTGCTTTAAAATTAGCCTTCTGCATTGTTCCGGCCCAGGCTGAAGTAAATTCCCTTCCGGCCCTATAGGACACATCTGAAGAAGAAAATATAATTTATTTATATTTGTTTATGTAAAGAATGCTTGCGTAAATATAGTAAATTGTCGTTGAATGGAAAATCAACACTTACTAAACTCATAACAATTTCTTCTCTGAAAGGATCAATCGGAGGGTTTGTAACTTGAGCGAAAAGTTGCTTGAAATAATCACAAACTCTAGGATTGTAATTTGATAGACAAGCTAGTGGAGCATCATTGCCCATTGAACCTAGGGCTTCTTTTTTGGTGGTAAACATCGGCTTGAGAAGAAGTTCTATGGTTTCTGTATTATAGCCAAACATTGCGAATTTTCTCTCCTCTTCTAACTGACAATCGATAGTTTTATGATTACCATTTTGATTAAATTGGTGGATATCAGAATGGTGCTTTTTGAGATCTTCCAAGGTGAATGACTATAATTAGAAGAAAAAAGATCAATAAGGCAACTGTAATTGAAATAAAATTAAATATTCATTGTACCTCTTTTTTCAGCCATTCTCCAACAGGTCTTAGCTCAGCAATGTGATTTTTAAAATCAGTATCTTCAATAACCTTTCCCTCTTCTGTATCAACTAAAAGCATTCGACCAGGCTTTAGCCGCCCCTTTAATTCTACTTTATCAGTGTCAACATCGGCAATACCCACTTCAGAGGCCATTATCATTCTACCGTCCTTAGTGATGTAAAATCTACTGGGTCTGAGACCGTTTCTGTCCAATACGGCACCTATATATCTGCCGTCGGTGAAAGTCAAAAGAGCTGGTCCATCCCATGGTTCCATCGCGAAGGAAGACCATTTGTAAAAATTTCTTTTATTTAATGCCATAGTTGTATCTCTCTGCCAAGCTTCAGGAACCATCGTAACGACAGCCTCCGGAAGTTGTCTCTCACCGGCATGCATAAGCAATTCAAGAGCATTATCAAGACTTCCAGAATCTGACATTTCTGGTTCGATTATAGGAAAAATCGATGATAACTCTGAGTCGGTGAAGGATTTCGACGATACGACTCCTTCTCGAGAAATCATCATGTTAACATTTCCTCTAAGTGTATTAATTTCTCCATTATGGGCTAAAAATCTGTGTAATAGACCTTTCAGAATAAATAATAACGAAGCTTTTAAAAGTTTACCGCATGGGATGCGCCCTTTCCCAACTAGGAAATGTATTTGTTGAAAATCGACTATGAACCAAAGCTAGTTTTATTTTGTAATCGTTACTCTTTAAATCCTCAAAATACTCCCATAATTGTTTCGTAGTCAATAAACCCTAAAATAGCAATCAGAAACAAATTAGTTTGTAACAAAAGCAAATTAGAAAGGATTTTTAATAACCTACTTTATAGATAATAGTCTTTGTTGACAAACTACAAATATAAAATCTGTAGCCCTTTTCAGGAATTCTGTGCGTAGCTCGTTTACGTAGAAGGAAAATCTGAAATCGTTACTTTCTTCTTTAAATAAATTAAAGATCATTTCACGTAATTAAACTAAACCTTCTTTGAGAATTCTTTATAATCAATATCATTTTCAGAAGTTACAAAAACCTGTAAAAGAAAAGAAGAAGAGTCCAATAGAAAAAAAAATGCATTAAAGTAATGAAATCAGCAGAGAGCCCGCTCTCTATATTGATCTATATAGACTAATAAGTTTGTCAAGGAAAGAAATCTAAATAAAAAAAGAAGAGCGGAAACTGAAAAGAGAAATAATGACCTGGCGCATAAAAGGTTCAACTTCTTTCGCAACAGATCCTATAACTTCACTATTAGTCGGAATAGTCCTCCAATAAATAACCTGTAAGATGAACGAATACAATTTGTTACAAATTTTTTAATATAAGCTTATAAAGTCTATAAATAGAATATAGAAAATTACATTGCAACAATAGCGATTTTTACAAAGAAGGTTTATGTAAATAATTAATGTAGGAGTCAAATTTTTTGCATACCTATTTTCCATATTGCATGTATTTCTCGTACAAAGTATTTTACTTTATGAATGCTATTGATTGCTCATAAAAACGTATGCAATTCTATGCATTTCCAGTGAATGCATTATAAAGATAACGGCTATTTAAATAAGTTTATATAACGGTATATTATATATATTTTATATATTTGCTTTTATATATAGATTCTTTTGTAATTCAATTAAATAAAAATTCTCTATAAACTTAAAGAAGACTATTCTAAAATTTCCTTCCGAGGTTTATCTTTTCAGTATCATCTAAATATAAATATGTTTGTCATTCTACAGTATAATTCCATACTGTAGGAATATCCACAAGTTATATTCCGTTGCCTAATGCACTGTAAATTGATTTCTAAATTAGATAATAAAAAACAATGAGTAAAGTCTACTGCAATATATACAGTATATATATATATATATATATAAACCCTTTATCTATATAAATATATAGTAAAAATGTTTAGTCTATTAAGAGACGCCTTATGTCCAATGGAATTTCTTTCAGTTCAAAGGCAATAAGTATTAATCTTTGGGATAAAATTTTTTTTATATAAACTTGTCAAGTCTTTTGAAAGGATGATATAGTTTGATGGTAATAATACCGTTGTTATGGAAACTAATATTGACGTCAACGGCGTCCAACACGAAATTGCGATTTGTCAAGATAGATTTTAATGTATCGGTCTATTAACAGTTCTAAATAAGATATAAGAAATTAATAGCCGACTATATAGAACGTTGATATTATCAATTTATACAGTATATATGAAATACGTCGAAAATTTAATATAAATTTGAATATAGTGAGCCCAGAGATGGATATATATACCTTTAATTGTAAATCTTTGGCAATTTCCTCAAATGTCTCTTCCACATTCAAATGATTCTTTTTCTCTAAAAAGAGAATTCCTGTTCCATACTTATCGCAATCAGGAAGATCTACATTTTCAGCCCTAATGGAAAAAGAAAGATCAGTGTTTCGTGACCAAAAAAGCTAATAGTAAAAATCCATTAACTATATCAAGTAGTTTGGTGCGTTTTTTTTTATTCAAAGTCTTATCCTACTTAAAAGAAAATTTTCCGTTCGATTGTAAAACATTTTCTCTTTCTAGAAATAGTCCAAACAGATCAAAATGCAAAGGTCGATTATACCTTATCTCATTTTCTAAGTATTATATGAGGAAGAACTAATATATGTTTTATTTTTTTTTTATAAAAAACAAAACTACTTTATTAAAATTTTTATATTAGTTCAAATAGAAAACTTTTACAATATTCTTTAAACAATTAATTAATAACCTTAAACATTGTTTATAGTATTCGTGAGGAATACTAGTTAGAACGCCTGCACCATCTCCCGTATCATTATCGCAACCACAAGCACCCCTGTGATCCATTCTTTCCAACATAACTTGGGCATTTCTCAAAATCTGATGACGATAAAAAAAATAATATCACTATCATAGGCTTATCATCTTATTCGTTGCTTTTTATACATTCTTTAGCCATTATAAAAAAGAAATCAAGCAAAAATTGCTTATAAAATCTGTTTGAACATGCTTAAGGCAGGAAGTTTCTCATAAAAGATCTCTTAGTTCATCTTTTAAAGAGAAGAAAACTATAAAGTACTAATGAAAAATATTTCGTTTTACTATTTAAATCATATTCAAAATACATCAACTAACCTGGTTGGATACTTTTCCTTTAATATTCACAACGAAACCAACGCCGCAAGCGTCCTTTTCAAAGGAAGAATTGTACAAACCGATACTCTTCATGGTATTCGCCCCTAATACACTTGAAACAACCTTGTATATCCTTCTTGATTTCTATTATTACAGATAATATTGATCTCTAATATTATCCGAAGAGCAAAGCAATGATCGTTTTGAATTCCTAGTTGCTGCTTGGTGGAGACCCTATGCCGGTAACGAACTGGAACGATTTGACAGTTTGTCTGTGGAGAGCTTTGCGAGTGTTGCGTCACGTGACTTATTTTTTTTTGCAGCAGACAGATGTATGTTAGATAGAGGGTGCCATACATAGTTCATTTAGGTAGAAAGTACATTCTTTTTTATATATGAGCCTAGATGCGTGACTTTTGAGAGTTTCATCAAAACAAACTTGCACTTTAAACTAGGTTTCATAGGTTGTTTACTGCATGAACAAAAATTATGGAAAAACACCATGGTGATGTGTGCATGTGAATCGGCGAGTTGTACTCCCACTCCCTAGTCACGTGGATTCAAATGATCTTTTGAATATTAAACAGCGCATAATTGTTCTTCGGTATGACGAATCAGCATCCATCTCACTATTTATCAACAAACCCACGTGGACAATACTACTCCTACACGTGATCGTTTACTGTAGTATATATACTATGCTATTCGACTTCTAGAATCTTGGCTACGCATGCTCATTTGTTGAATGTAGCAAGACCCAGATATTTGCATATCATTTGCTTACAATTTTCCTGGGCGAGCAAGCATCATCCAGTTATATCCAGTCAAAACCCGAAGAAGCCAGTACTTCCAAGGTGAGTACAATTTAAGGACTTTTTTTTCCAAATTTTCTACATTTTGCAAAAAAAACTATTTTGATAGCGAATCCCAAAGCTTTCGAAACTAATGGAAAACGAAATATTAGGATTTATCGCTGAGAATAATGTCATCTCCAACGATCTTATATCGAAGATTGCAACCGAAAATTTCTTACAAGATATTGAGGCTGAATTAGAAAACAGGAAAATTGAACAAACTCAACTTTTAACTGTTTCAGAAAAACCAATTAATTTAACCGAAGAGAATCAAATTGTTATTGATAGAAATTTAAACATAACGTATGATATTTATGGAATGAAACAATACGAAATGGCAGTAATTGGTAAGAATTTTTAAATTTGTATTTACTCTACAGAACTGCAGTTTTTGCTGATAAACGAAAAACAAAAAAAATCACTAAGAAAGTCAATTCAAACTAAAGCGTATGTAGTTGATTAAAATGTCTATGTTTTAGACTTTGCATACTAAAGTTTAAACAGATAAAAATAATTGAAGAGTGAATGAACTATGTTTTATTGGATATGAAATCGATTGACACTGCAGCCGATAAGTCAGACGTTACCACGGCGATCTGAAATTATTAACGTTGTAACACTAGTAATCCGTCCTTAAACTATTTTAGGTGATTCAGAAATAGAATATGTACATTATATTTTGTTTTTATTAATACAGGAACATATATTGATCCAAGAATATCTGTTGGATTCAGGTACCAAGTAAGGCAAATGAGAAATAATAAGTTGGTTTTCAATAGACCACTTATCCTTAAAAGTATTGGACAAGGTTACGGAAAACGTCTGACCTTTGAACCTAGCAGCCTAAATAAGAATGACAACGTTTTTTGGTCCGATAGCCAAAAAGAAGGTTTCGCCTTTTCGATTAATATCATAAATACGGACGATTTATTCCAAATTAGAGCGAAGAATTCAAAGAGAAAAATTGGTATTTTAACAATAACTGAAGTAAACGAAGAACAAATTGAGAAATCGACTACTTTCGAAGATAATCGAGTGAAAAAGAAGGTTCTGGTTTCCGGAAAATGTTTAGTTCATTTTAAAAACAACTCCTCTGCAAACCTACAATTAGATTCTGCAAATGAAATGAAATTTTCAGGGACAGCCTTTGCCGAAGTTGCCAAAAGTAGTAAAATAGTGAAAATTAATAAAATTGCAGAAGTTGAGTTAATGGGAGTTTTTACAAAGAAAATCGTTAGACTAACACCTCTAAAACCTCAATGAGTTGGATAACGAATAAGAAGACAATTCTTTCAATTTCAATGTGGCTTTCAATAACTGTTTTTACTATCTTAATCCTGTATCCCTCTATATTTTTAATAATATTTTCAAGTGGGACGTTTAGATAATCATTTATTTTTAACAAAAATGTTGATTTTATTCAATACAATCCTTCAAACAAATAATGACTCATACTTTTTCAAATTGGTAATTTAATATATATATATATATATACATAATTGACTAATAACTAGCATAAATGCTTATAATCATAACATTCTTTGAATTCATTAAGATTATATTGTTTAAAAATATGCAATCTATTTTTAACTAACATTTGCATTTCTCCCCATCCACCATCCCTCCCGCAACAGATAGATAATATTGCATATTGATGGAAATTGTGACATTTTGTCATTCAAAGTAATCTTTCAACGACTTCCGTTGTAAGATTGCATCGAGTAACCGTATATATTTAGGTAGAATGGATACCTCTTTCATTTTCTCTCTATCTACTGGTATAAATAGAACTAGCTTTTAAGTATAACACTATGATATTATAAGCAGCTTTAAATTAAAAGGAATTCAATAGTACTTTTAGACTTTGTATTCTATACTGAACAAGAGAATACCCTTTGTTACAAAGTTCAAAGAATCCAATGTAAAAATTCAACTCATACATATTATAATAAGTTCCTTAATATATGAATAAATAAAATCTTTTTCACTTAAAATGTTGGAAGATTTTTTAATCTTAAAATATAAGTTTTCCATTCATTCTTAATATTTAATCTGTTCTTAGTAATGAGTAAATGAATGTTAATGTAATTTAGAATTTTTTAACTTTAACCAGTTTTCACAGAACGGAGAAATTATTTCGCTCATACGAAGGAATACACTATGAGTCACCTTTAGAAATCACGTACTTATAAGTCAGCAATAGCGCATTTAATGTTTTCAGTTGAACACTGAACAACTAAGACTATGTTTATTAAAATTCAAAAATGTTTAGTTTTTGTTTCTTGTTTGATTCTTGCAGAATGTGATATTTATTTACATAATCTTCGGTAAGTTCAATCATCATAGTTCATAGTTAATAAACAGATCGTTATGTTTTTTTAATAAAACTTTGATCAAATTAACAGAGGAAGTAACAATAGGCTTGATGAACCAAATAGAGAACGACGAAATGCTAAAAGGTAACATTTACCTTTTCTTCTTGTTCAATTTCTTTTCAGTTAATGATTTTACGTTTAAATTTGTTGTAGATTATTCGATTCTCAGAACAACAATAGGGGAGGTTACAATGTCGGAAATGTATATTATTATTCAGGATCAAAATTACCTATAGAATGGTTTGTAGAAAAAGAATATTTATACCATTTCAAAATGTATTCTAATTTGAAATTTTTCTTCTTTTAGGACCAATCAACATTCTTGCCATGATGTTAATGGGCATTGTGAGATAATAATGCAGTATATGTGTAATGAGAATTTAAGGGATGGAGCAACCATTAAAACAATTCCTGAAAATCAGAAGGAATGTTCCAACGCGGATTGTGATACCGATTATGAATATGGGATGCATGAATCATACACTCATTATTTACAATGTTTGACCAGAGCTCGAAATGAACATTTGTACACTGCGGATCAAGTAATTATCTTTATTTATTCTAAAAATACCAAACCAATACAACATTTGTTTTGGGATCATCCACGTCACTATTAACCTTTACTAATTCCTTTTTAATTAAATATTTAGATTCCGGTCAACAGAAGAAATAAAAGAAATAAAGTAAAAGATTCTACTTATACGAGACAAAATAAAAATGGACAACGATACGGATATGAATGCCCAGAGGAAAGGGATTATTATCCTTACTGGGCACCTTCTCCCTGGATTGTAGGGATTTAGTATTTTTTACCCTTTCATTAAACTTATACAAATTTTTCATTATTTAGGATGTAGCTATTTTAACCAATGACGCATCAAGATGTCCTTATTATCAAGAGGAAAGTGAAAATGTTAAGGGAAGATTTTATTGCCATATTCCAGTTGAAGAAATGAAGAAAATATCTAACAGCAACGCTATTAATCATAATAAAGAAGCTTGCGAAGTAAGAGATTTAACTTTTAATTAGTCATTAAAAAAATTGAAATTTTTTTCCTTGAAGGCATTTTGTTCAACTGCTACAAGTACTGCAAAGAAAGAGTGTGGTTGGATACAATCTAGACCACACGGAGTACCTGCACCCGATTGTAGAGAGACTGAATATACCAGAGACAATCATCTTGGAAATGGTATAGGAGGCTACGCTAGTGGTTTCAACTGGACATTACCAAAAACTGAAAATAAGCATTGTGCCTTTAGAATTCGCTATAATATCTCAACTGGAGATTACGATGGCTGGAATACGAATTTTAAGCAAAATGAACCAGATGGAATTAGTACGAAAAAATTTGGATTTTCTTCTGACGAGGAAGCAAAAGAGAGAGGCTATAAATTGAAAAATAACCCAACTGTGGATTTATTTCCGCCTTATTTATTTTCTAAAAATAGTTTTAAACTTGAATTAGCTATCAATACTGCTCAATTTGGTAGAACTTTCCAAGACAGGTCAATTTTTTTTATATAAACATATATATTCAATATTTTCAAAAACTGGTATTATTTAGATCACATAGTTTCGAAATTCGAAAGCGAAAGGATGAATTCGGAGATAAAGTTATACATAACCTCAACGTCCGTGGAAAAAGAGGTAACATTGTTCAAGTTTACCCAGCTGTTGAGTACGATTTCGTTCCTAATACTATGGAAATAGCTAAGGATGATTATATTCATTTTCAGTAAGAATTTTTCTTAAATAGTTATGTAAATGACTATCAACTTGTTGTAATAATACTATTAATAAAAAAACAACAGATGGACGGGATCGAATACTAATCCCAACAATAATGATGGGCAAGGTAAAATTGGAACTGATAGATCGAACGTCATTTTACAGGTATAAGACGATAAAACTAAACTATTTAGCGTTTTGCTTACATGTCGTATCTTCAGAGAGAGGCGATTTATACAGAAACTAATGTATTGGACTGGTATGATAGATTACCTAAAGTTGGACATTGGGGGAGGAGTTTGCCCCAACATTTCAGCAACATCTCCTTCCTTGGCTTATCTGAAGAAGATAAACTGAAGTTGGCATTTTTGGAAGAAACAGGAGAATTATCCGAATTAGACGCAGCAAAACCTTATTTCGATTTAGGGCCAAGAAAAGTAACATCATCTGGTGTCTATCATTATATGTCGACAAGAAACAACAACTTCTCGAATAGAAGCCAAAAAGGTCGGATTATCTCTGTGTCTGGCATAACTTTTGAATTTCATGCTATTGGTTGGAATGGCGGAAATATTTCAAGTCCACATGGTACTTGCGACATTCAAATTGAACGTGGGACGTTTGATCAACTTCATAGGATTAAACTATCAGAAATAAATAAAGATGAAGTGGAACAGAAATTGCACGAAAGAAATGGTAATATCCCCAACGGAAAGATATCTAGCCATCTAATATTGATAGAACCTGACAATGTTTTGGCAGCAGAATCAAAAAAATTTCAAATGAAAATTAGATTCGAGCGACCTAGGGCTCATTCAGTTACCGTGTATCATGCATGGGTCAAATCCGATTTCGCAACGTGGAGTAAAATAGATGCAGAAGTTAATGATGATATGGTGCAACTATCAGTTTCAAATGGGGGAGCGTATGTTGTAACGACTCATAGCAACGTTGGTATGATTGTTGGAATCGTTTTTGGTACTCTCGCAGTAATTTTAATTGTTGTCGTATTGGGTGTTTTCTATTTAAGAAAAAATCCAAAGACCTACAATAACATCAAACGAAAATTTCAAAGTAAATTATAAATGAATTTTCACGTCCTCAAAAGTTCGCACAAAGCTTTTCTTAATAAACGCAATTTAAGTTTCCTTATTTTTAGTAACATTGTCGGGTATTTCTTCAAGTTCATACTTATGCGCATCTAGTTGTTTAGGGCCAACTTGTTTATAAATAGTCATAGCTTGAGCAACCATACTAGAAATGTCTCCAGTTTGCGATGGCAGTAAAATAGTGTTACTTTCCTTAGCCAAATTATTAAAGGCGGATATATATTGTTCTGCAACGGAAAAGCTAACAGCATTGCTGGCTTCATCCTTTTTCATGGAGGCTGCTATCAATTCAATCGACTTCGCTCGTGCGTCTGCTCTCTGTTTCATAGCTTCAGCCTCTCCCAAAGCTGCGTTAATTTCTTCAACTTTGTTCGCTTCAGAGGCTAATATTCTGGATTGTTTTTTACCTTCGGCAACATTGATTTCAGCTTCTTTAATACCTTCAGATTCCAATATGGCTGCTCTTTTCTTTCTTTCAGCCTCAACTTGCATTTGCATTGCCTCTTGGACTCTAGCTGGCATGGTTATATCTAAAATTTCGTAACGTTTACAGTCAACTCCCCAAGAAGATGATGCTACATTAATTTGTTCCACAATTGCATAATTTAAAGACTCTCTTTCTCTAAACAGATGGTCCAAAGATATTTTTCCAATTTCCGATCTCATAGTTGTCTGAGCTAACTGAGTGATAGCATATTGTGCATCTTCAACACCATAGCTAGCCTTATAGGGATCCATTATTCGTAAGTACAGAACTCCATCTATATGCAGAGTAACGTTATCTGCAGTTATAGCGCTCTGCTGAGGGATATCTATAGCAATTTCTTTCAAGCTCTGTACATATTTTATAGTATCAACGACAGGTATACAAAAGTTTAACCCCGGTTCTAGAAGACGATGGAACTTTCCAAATCTTTCTACAATCCATGCTTCTTGTTGAGGGACAAATAGGATACACGTATTGAAAGGCACCGATGATCTCTGACGAATAGTTTGAACTCGTCCTACATTAATTAATCGTCTAGCAAGAGTTCTTGAAAACATATTGAAGAGAAGTTGGTATCAGAAACTTCAATCTTAGCCTTGGTTATGTCAATGATTTGCTCTTTTCTCGATCAATCGGCTTGGAACGTCACGTGACCCCAAAACTTAATATCTATTGGCTGATTCCTGAATCGTCGTCTGCTATTAACACGAGATTTCAAAGACACTGCAATTTCGAAACAATTTTGATAACTGACGACATTTGATGAAACTCTTGCTTAACGTTTATAACCTTTTCCACAATGGAAATCTTATGACATGAATATTTCTTGTCTGAGTGCTTAAAAATTTAAATAATCAAATATGAGATTCGTAAAATTAATTTATTTATGGTTCCATTTTACCACTTAAAAATTATTAAAAATTAATATGTGAACCAGCATAGCTTATACAGAGATGTAATTGCTATTATATTGAAAATTCGAACAATCTGAAAATAAGTAAAAAGATTAATTAATATACAGTGTATAAATATATAACATACGTACAAAATATATATATATATATATATATATACATATTTTTTATTATAGAAGTCCTTAAAGCAGTATAGGTACATATAAACAAGTAAAGAAAAAACAAATGCCTTAATTTAAATTACATTTTAATTCATATCTACAGCAAAAAACATTAAAGACCGGAATGTCAAAATTTACAGCAATATATAATATATAAAAAATTGCGAAGAATAAAAATATACTTTGGCTTTACTCTATCTAAAAGTCAACATTCTTCGAAGATTATACATTGGAATGATTTCCGAGTCAGAGTACCGTTTGCAATTTTGAACTATGCATTTTGGAGGCTAATTGCTTAAAAACGCCATCCGTTCGTAAAAGATCACTAGGTGCACCCATTTCGACGATCTTTCCAGAGTCGAGAACAAAGATCTTATCATAGTCCATTATTGTGTTTAATCGATGAGCAATTGTTATAAGAGTAGAGTGAGCAAAATGCTTGCGAATAACTTTTTGAATGATAGCATCAGTTTCATCGTCCACGTTTGCTGTGGCCTCATCCAGTACAAGAATTTTAGACTTTTTCAATAGAGCACGAGCCAAACAAATTAACTGTCGCTCTCCGACACTTAAATTTCCACCACTTTCCGTAATACGAGCCTCAAGAAATCCTTCCATTCCTTCTACTTTAGGTCTTAATTGAACTTTACTAAGAACATCCCACAGCTCGTCATCATCGTGCATATTTAAAGGATCGACATTTCTTCGGACTGTTCCAGCGAATATAAATGGATCTTGAGGTATGACAGATAGCTGAAAACGAGCAAGTGGCAAAGGAAGCGTTGTGATATCAACTCCATCAATAAGAATTGATCCATTAGGTTCTGCCAAACGGAAAAGAGCAGATAATAGCGAGCTTTTCCCTGCTCCTGTCCTTCCGACAACACCAACCTTTTAAAAAAATGATTTAAATAGAATTTTTTCCAAGAAATTTAAAGAATAAATACCTTTTGAGAATGTGGGATTACAAAATTAAGGTCACTTAACGCGTTCGGACAATCCTCGTTATTGATATATTTTAGAGAAACGTCTTTAAATTCAAGAGATCCATCTTTTGGCCACTCGTTCTCTATTTCTTTATCTAATTTACCCATTAAAGTCTTTTTGCCTTCCGTTTCCAGTTTTGTATAATGTAAAATACGTTCAACTGAGGTCATCTGGGTGAATAAAATATTTTTATACGTCATCGATAAATATAATATATTGATCAAGATCAACTTACAATAACTTCTATAGCATTAGCGCTCCTAAATGTATATTCAAAATTATCCAAATTGGCGCATGAGTGCATGAGAGTTACACCAATTAGAGATATATCGATATACTTAGACATTGGAACGCTAATAATTGCAACAACGCTAATAAATATTGCCATAAGCCAGTTTAGTCTTAATCCCAACCATAATTGACTGTTAATATATAAATACCAAGCCCTGGTATGATTATCTGAGAAATCATGTAATTTCCCCATAAAAGTGTCTTGCTCTTTAAACGCTCGAATGGATAACAAGCCCGATATTGTATCAGATATATGGGTGTAAATTGGACTCCTTGCAGTCGCTTCTAACCTCTTCATATCCCTTATTACTGGATTTGCTCTGAGGAGAAAGTATATAAGTAGAGCCACAAGTGGCACTATAGCTATGATTGACCAGACGACAGTGAAAATTGGTATAACAACAGCAGCCAAAGATCCACCGACACACATAACAAATGCTGGTAGCTGATTAGCCATGTCATCATCAACAAATGCCAAATCTCTTGAGAAACGATTTAGGACTCGACCAGCTGGATTAACATCAAAGAATCTCATGGGAGCTTGCATTACTTTTTCAAACATCTTATTATGTAGATTTTGAGAAGCCCTTACAATAAATAAGTTGCCTAGCAAATTTCGAACGAAATCCAAGAAGAATATCAATAAGATGAAGAGTCCAACTTTCTTTATGACCTGGTGATCTGAATAGTCGAAATTCGATTCAGATCTGTCCTTTAACGTTTTCGTATAACTTCCAAGAATCCAATCGGTATAAATGTGAAGCCATAAAGCAATACCAAAGCATAAGTAGACCAAAACGAATTGTATCCTCGATCCGTGCGTAATATATTGATAATAAATTCTCCAGCTAACACTACCACCTTCTTTTTCTTCCTCAGTTTGAAGGACCACATCGTTATCATCTGGACGGATTGTTTCTTTTCGTTCAGGTTTTTCGATATAACTTTCTACTTGTTTATCATATTTTCCATGAAATGTAATTCGACCATTATCAAGAACAAGCATAGTATCAACATTTTCCAAGTAATGTCTTTGATGAGTTACCAATACTACAGTTTTATCGTCAAGGTATTTTTTAATACATTCGTTATAAATATGTCTTCCGACTTTTGTGTCCACAGCACTAAGAGGGTCATCTAACAAATATATGTCGGCCTCTCTATACAGTGCTCGTGCTAAATTAATACGTGCTTTTTGCCCACCACTCATCATAAGACCTCGTTCACCAACAAGAGTCCATTCTCCATTAGCCATTTCCTCAAGATCTTGTTCTAAAGCACACACTCGTACAATTTTCCAAAATTTCCTATCGTCATATTTTGCACCAAAAAGAATGTTTTCTCGAACAGAATCGTTAAATATCCAGGCTTCCTGTGGAGCGTAACTGATAGTTCCTCGAGTTCTAAAGATTCTTGCTGTAAATGAAGTTTCTCTCAGGAGAACATGTAATAATGTAGATTTTCCAGATCCGATTCGACCACAAACACCGGCTAATTGCCCATCAAGTAAATCTAATGAAATATTTTCCAAAGCAACATGACGCTTATCGCCTGGCGGGACAGCGGAGGCAGTTAACGGAGCTGTCTCCTTGTCTCCGTTACTTTCGCTTGAGTGGTTCGACTTTCCACTCTTTATCCAGAATGCGTTTAATCCCGCAACTTCGATTCTTTTATTGCTATTATCAGCTTCACTATTAGAAAGTTCTTGAATAAGAGTACCATCATCCTCTCTAAGAAAAGCCTGAAGGCGACCAATACACTGGATCAATTGGTTAATGTAAAATACAGATATTGTCGTGTTAGAAACGAAAGCCCAAAGCATCACATTGATTAAACCAATGGTTTTAAAAAGAATGGCCACAGTTAAATTCCCGTAGTAGCTCGTTAATACAGCAACTGAAAAAGCCGATAAAATCATGCACTTAACCACAACGAGACTAAAGCTTCTTGAAAAACTTCTCAACAGATATCCCTTCATTTTCATCAACATTTCAGCCCCACGTTTCTGTTTAATGAGTTTCATAAATGGCTTCTCCCAAACATACATTTTGATCAATTTCATTCCGGTAACAATTTCATTCATTAATTGTACTCGAGCATCAGTGAGGGGTACAGTCTTTTTCCACAATTTTCCTTCAAATGTTGAAGCTATAGCTGGCAGAATTAGAAGTAGCATACCAGCAGCAGGAACAGAGAGGGCAGCGAAAACTCCAATATCTTGGGCAATAATTATTGTAACAACAGTACAAGATAAAGGACCTAAAATGCAATATGGGATATAACCAATACCATAACCATTAAATTTTTCAAGATCAGACGAAAGTAGAGTTATTATTTTTCCTGATGTAATATCCCTCTGTTTTTCAATTCCTAATTTCAATATCTTTTCGTAGATTAGGCCTGTGAAGGCGACGCGAAAACGCATTCCGATAACGTTAGCCTCCTGCCACATAAACGTTGAACACGTAACGAATATCAAGTTTGCGGCGGCAAATCCAACCGTTACTCCCATAGCTTTAAATTGTTCAAGGTTGTCTTTATCTTCGAAGTAAGAGAGCAACTTGCCCAACAAGATAGGTATGATGATTCTAGTGACCTCCTGTAGGTCAATGCGCAATTTGAGATTAAAGAATGAGACTGGCCATATACTTACGTATGAAAACAGCATGCATGTAAGGAAGAGAACATTACTCCGGAATAAGAGTAAACACCGAAGAAGAAATGCAAATCGGCCATGCTTAACAGCATATTCGTTAACACGACTGCAACCGTACAAAATAATTAGAAAGATAATAGATAGCTATTTAGCCTATAACTCAATTGCTTATCAAGCAGCCTGAAATCTACATATTTTAAATGGTTTAGCACTAAACAATTTTTATTTAGTTGATAATCTCTATGAATATTTATTCATTAAAATAAATCGGCAATATCTAACAGGTGTTGACCATAATCCTAAAAAAAGAATACGCCTATGACACATTGCGCACCGGAACTTGTCTGACTAATATGTTTTATATCAAATATGGGAGAGTCTTTGAATGGGAAATTCCCTTTTTCTTGCGGATCGGCTCTTACTAGGACATGCTAATCTTGCTCTTTTTCATTCATTGTATAATATTGATTGATAAAATTTCGTAAGTCAAGCTTACATGTACTCACCCTTTCACCTTCTGATGTAAATATCGACTAGAATGATAAGGTAAAACCTCGTATATATCTTTTATTTGTAGAGCCTTCTTTTTTCTCTTTTTAAATAAATCATTCAACCACCTATTTGGCATGTTATTGAACAAAACATTAATGAAGAAAATTTAGTGTCTGTAAATTAAGAACTTACCATAAACTAAGTAATGAGAACCAAGATGCACGATTTCTTGGACACTCGTTCCGAGGTACATCATTTCGATTCAATCTAAGAACACCTCCGTTTTCTGCTGATCCATTATTTTCTAATAAACAAGAATCGGATTTTGAGTGATTCATTTTCCAACTTGGTATCCCTGTTAATAGCGATCGAATAGATTGGATGCCGTCTACGTAGAAAAACGACGCTTAGTTTGTCGCTATGACGAAGCTTTTTAAATCAATAAGTGCTTCGAACTCATAGTCTGCTGCTACACCTTGCTACGCACCTGCCTTTTGCACAAAGAAATATATAGTTGTCCGAACGGTGGCGACACCGTCGGTGAGTGCTCAATACCGATAACGGCCTATCAAAACACCTTTGAATATTTTGATGGGGATAAATTTTTTCAATGATTCGAATGACACTTAAAAGAAATTTGAATCGAGGACAGTTCAAAGTCGATCATTGGCACACACACACATACACATTTTCAGACATATACACACCCATCACCATTTGACGTATAGTATTTCCATTTGTATATTGCTTTATTGTAACTACTTCTAGTATTGTTGATTACAGTTTAATTGTTTGAAATATAAATAAAATAAGAAATTATATGAGTGTAATTAAAATTTTTTTATATAGCGACAGTTCTAAACGTTGTTTCTTTAATTATTTATTACTCACCGTATTTTACCCGATTGTTCCCGGGTTCCAGGATGATTGTTTCTAGATCAGATTCCAGATTTGCGAGAGGGTATGTAAATGATTAAAATGGCGAGACTGTTGAAAATAGAGTCATCAGCCTATGTGCACTTGATTGTTGCATAAACTATACCTTATATATGGAGTCAGCAGCAATGACTAGTGCAAAATGGTTTAAAGCGAATGACCGATTTCACACTGAAAGAGAATACTTGTTGGAGTTTCGAAGAATCCTGTTTTCTTGATATTGCCGAATTTTTTTGACGTTATTATTTCGAGTTCTTTACCATTTTTTTTCTTAAATAAAAATCGTAAACGATCTTCTCTGCAGCGCGGCGGCCATCACAGATAAACGGGTAGGACCGGTGTCACGTGAACAATTTTCGGAATATTTTACCATACTTAGGAGCTATGAGGAAGCAGCATCAATTACTGGGCTTAATTCAAAAGATAGTTATTTACACTTCAAAGCACGTAGGAAAAATTTTATATCACTATTATGTTTTATATTTTATTTAAACATGAAAATATAAATATATTCTAATTCAGAGATATTATGTAATTGGATCCAATGAAAGCGAAACTCGATTCCGTGTTTTCAAGATTGATAGATTAGAACCTTATGAATTAAAGATTTATCACGATGAAGTCTGTATACATAATATTTTAAAGTAAAATATACACTTTAGAATTGAAATTGAGACATTTACTCCTTAACTCATTAGGTTGAATATACATCTTCTGAAATGAGGGAACTTCTCAGAAGAATAAAAGAAGCAGCAAAATCTAGTTCAAAGGGGACTAAAAGTGAAGAGATACCCATAAAATGTGCTTTAGGGATAGCGGGATTTGTAAGATTTTTCGAAGGATATTACATGATACTTGTAACAACTAGAAAACGAGTGGCTCAAATTGGTCCACATTTTGTATATAAAGTATTAGAATCTCATTTATTATACATTCCAAACGATGAAGTGAAACCTGCTAGTCATCCAGATGAGCAAAGGTTATTTTGTAATTGATTACGTAAAGAAGAAGTTTTATAGATAAATGACTTCATTTCTAACAGATACGTTAAACTTTTCCAGAACGTTGATTTGACATCGAATTTTTACTTTAGGTAAATTTTTACCTTGGAAATATATTTAAAAAGGCATGACCTCATTCAAATATGAATAAACTTAACAGCTATGGTTACGAACTAACACAAACTCTGCAATATAACCTTGCCTTATCGAAACCTGACGCGTCAGAAATTGAAGAGCTAGGTATCAATCTTTTTTGATTCGTCGATTTTTTAATAACTAGTACGATTTATTTTAGAGATAGATAGCGACAAAAAAATTATAGGCATTATTCAACAATCGGAAAAGAAGTTTGTATGGAATGATTATTTATTACAACCAACACGAGATGTGTTGTCGAAAGAATGGACAATTACGTTAATACATGGGTTTATTCAGCAAGTCTGTTTGAATGTTGTTGGTAAGCCAGTCTACTTAACATTAATCGCCAGAAGATCTCAATATTATGCTGGAACAAGATTTCTGAAAAGAGGTTCGAATTGCAAGGGTCAAGTCGCGAATGAAGTTGAAATAGAACAGATTGTTAACGATGCATCCCTTACACATTTCCACGAAAATCATTATACGTCATACGTTCAATTAAGGGGGTCGGTACCTGGATTTTGGTCCCAAGATATATCAAAAATGGTGCCTAAACCGCAAATAACCAGTAGGCAAAAATATAATATAATTTCTTTTCTGTAATTTTTGACCTTTCTATGGAAAAATAATTTTACAGTTGACCAATCAGACGCATTTGCTTATGTTGCTGGTGCACATTTTCGTTCTCTACTCAAACGTTATGGATCACCTGTTATCGTTTTTAATCTTGTAAAAGTCAGTCGAAATAAAAAAAAATGGAGATAAAATAGTTTTTAATTGATCTACTTTCAGAAAAAAGAAAAAAAACGGCATGAAAATCAGCTAACAGACATTCTTAAAGATGCTATCAGCTATTTAAATCAGTTTTTAACAAAAGAACAACAAATTATATACACAGCTTGCGATATGGCCAGAGTTAGTAAAAAGTAAGTTCAAGTGGAAAAACTAAGGAAGCAATTTTTTTACTTTAGGCCTAAATAAGTCTCTTCACATAAATCTTTTTTTTTATCCTCTAACTTCAGGAAAGATGTGTTACACTTGCTACATCATTTATCGGAAAAAATATTAGATAAAACTGGTATATTTCACAATAAGAAGAATAATAGCTTACAAACTGGTGTCATTCGAACAAATTGCGTGGATTGCCTTGACCGAACTAATACTGCTCAGTTTGCTGTGTTTAAATGCGCATTAGAAAGACAATTATGCTCTCTAGGGATAATTGAACAGAAGACTCCCGATGCAAACAGTCACGCTGCCGATATACTAGAAGATATGATGGAAGATTTGGGTGATACTTTAGCTATTCAATATGGAGGCTAGTATGATTTATTTATTTATATAAGAAAAAACTATAGTTTAACGTTCACTTCAAAAGTTTATTTACTTCACCATTAAAAGATTTTAAGGTTTATCAGTAATGCATTCATTCCAATCAGGCCAGAATTTCTCTCTCATTCTATCGCAATAACTGTACAGATTTTTAAATTTTTCCTTAGAGACTCGATCGTAATCAGTATCGGGAAATGTATATATGAATTGCGTAACAAATCCAAATATAGTTGCATCCACTTCGCTAGGAGTTTCCCCAAGGAAATACTTTTTATTACCTACGAAAGAAATGATATGAAAGGCTCATTTATTACTAGTAAATAGAAAATGATATATTAAACTGTTACCAAGAAAATGAGAAATTGTACGCAGATCGTCTAAGCCTACTTTTATGACCTTTTCCTTTGAATGTAGGCCAGTACCCTGAGCTTTAGCTCTCTTATTGATCAACCTTCCAATTATCCATATTTGCCACCATTTAATATTCATTTTTTTTAAGTATTCTGATCCAAGATTATATATAGTTCTAGATAAAGCCAAACTCCAAAAGGTACCCTCCTCCAGCATACGCCTTACAGCTCTACCAGCTGCAATATCGGCGCTTGAATAATCATTATTTAGATCTACCTTAAATTTTTCTTTTAAGTAATCAATAGAAAATTGTGAATCTTCCACTTCTTCGCCATTAAACGAGATCCAGGGAAATTTCCCAACTTTAGATCTATTGACAAATGCGTCCATCTCATTTTGATACTTGATATTAGCCATTCGTAGAAAAGTTTCGAGTTTTATTGAAAATGGGGATGCACTTGGCAAATTAGGTGCCCTTCCGATCTGATGTAGAATGACAACATCCTTTGGATATTCTTTCCTCTTTCTTTTAGATCTGAAACAGTCGTTCCTTTAAAACATTTCTTCTTCATTAGGTGTTTCAACGAACCCAGAGTCTATCTACTTTTTAAAACTTCGTTTTTTTAAATATAGACCATTTATAAATAATTATATATAGGATAGCGCCTAAAGTGATAAATCACTTTTAATTTATGTCCTTATCAAATAACTTATTGACTATAGGTCAGTCATAGATGGGAAAACAAGCATTCTTTTATATAGTACAGGAATGCGCAAAAAGATTTATCCTCATTCAAAGGTTTACAGATTCAATGGAGAAAGAGAATCCAGATAAATAGGCACTTAGATAATATATGACTGACCTGATATTCCTGATTATATACGCTAAGCCTAAAGCCGCTATACCACCAAGAAGTACTTGTTGTTTCGTTGCACTATTGAACGAGTCCATAACTTTCTGCATTCTTATCGGTGTAACGTAAAAATTCCTGGTACTGAATATCTCTTTGTAGACCAATTGATTAAAACAACAAGTGATACGTTCGCAATATATAGCAGAACTTTTGGGACATACTAACCTGCACTGATCAGTTAGACCACTATATTAAACAATAAATAACTGCTCATAATTAACAAATATTGCTTTAAACTATATGATTCTTATCAACATCAATTCATAGTAGTACTTCTTGCGCATAGCTACATCTACTACTAAGTATTAACTACTCCAAAGACCCGATTATTAGCACAGGCCAATGATTAAGTGAGTTCGAAATTGAGATCGAACTTTATTTATTTTAATTCCCTAATCCATTTCGACCTAATTTTTTTTAAATAGTATTTTCCTTGTATCTATCTCTTTAGTTTCAGATAGTAATAGAAAATTTTCCATTAAACATTAATCATATAATAAATTCGCTTGTTTAGGCTCACAGCTTGTGCACAGAATTCAAGGGTATAGGAAAGACAAAGCTGGAACAACTGCTGCTTACAGAGATATCATGCAGACTATATCGCGCTACTATAGCAACGCCTTTTCTGACAATGACAAACAGCAAGCTATTAATGTCTTCTTGGGGCTATACAAACCCGAAGCGGGAAAAACGAATGTCTGGGAATTAGGAACCGATTTTTATTTACACAATCAAGAATTATTTACCTTGAATAGAAATTTTATCAAGAGAAAGTATTTATTAAAATTACTATATATGGCAATGACAATTAATTTCTAATGTCTCTTTATAATGACGTTTAAAATAGTTACACAAATTGGTGTTCCCCGGAGATTGGTGATTGTCTGCCTCTACCTTACGATCTAGTCCATAAAAAACCAGCCACAATTTACTCTCTATATCCGGATGATGTCAGAATAGATTGGTTCACTGAACGATATAAAGGAAATAAATACGTAAGCATTGATGATGAATTCCTTTTTCGTCAGCTTTTGAGCAGTAAAGAATTTCGGCCTCAAGACTCATCTCGAAAGAAGTTAACAAAAAACGTATCATCGAAATGCTCAGAAGATGGATCAGAAAAGGAAGAAAGTAGCTCTTCAAATGAGGAAGAAGACTACGATTATGACTTTGATTTATCCTTACCAAAATCTAGAGCTATTTCTAGCTATGAATCAAAAGAAAATACTAAGGTTTTTACAAGTGAAACTTCAAGTATTAAACAATTATAATTACATCTTATTATCCAACAGACTTATTTTAACAATATGAAAGAATCGTACGGTATGGAATTAAACAATCTATCCTCAAATTCAATTGACAATGAACTATATAAAAAGTAATTAAGTTTTCTATAAAAGGTGCTGCTTTGTCTATATTGTTATCTTAATTTTGTTGTTTCTCTTTGTAGCTATTCGGAAATGTACGAATGTGCCACTGGCAGAAATAAGACAAAAAGCTATTTCAGTTTGTGAGTCTATATTATGTTTCAATTTAATTGTTGCTATATTAACTTGTAATCGTATAGAATAAACAGAGGATCGAATGAAGTTTTGGCCCTTAAATTACAAAGCGATCAAACAATAAAAGATTCTAGAGAAGTTTACTCGAAAACAGTGAAATCTGCTACTGTATCCGATGCCTGGGTGTTGTCAAGCCCACCTATATTTTCAAAGATTTGTTATGAAGAGTATTTTTCTCTTGGCCATCAATAGTTTCCTTTTTTAAGTTCTATATTGATTATAATATATTTTTAAAAATTGAAGACAAATCGCATTTGAAAATAGGATTATTTGAATATTTTAAAAATTTAAAAAGAAGGGTATGGAAGCTCTTAGGAGAATAATGAGGCCGATATATTTGGGGCAGCTGATTGTTTTTAGAGATAATGAAAGCGTGAAGAAAAGAGAATTAACTAAACCTACTTCAAAAACAGAGAGTATTTGTAACAGCAGGGAAGTTAATAAGATTTATTATGGTTGTTGTTCTGTAAAATGTGTCGAATGCCTTAGCGAACAGATTGTCAAATCGTTCGGTCATGGAATTACGTGCTGCTGTGAGTCATGCGAGCATTTGCGTAATCGTTTCAGCATCTCCAAGCCGGAATGGTGTTGTTTAGGCTGTTTGTGCAAAATTTGTACACCAGAAAGAGGCTCAAAAGAAACTATTTCCGCAAATTTGTTAATAAATGAAAGTATATCTTCTGTCTGTAATGACTATGAAGGTGACTTTGAGGATGAATAGAAAAAAAAAACAGAATTTATGTACATAATGAACATAGTAAATGTTCACTTAATTTAACATCGTATGACTGTCATAAATATTTCGCCTTTGTTGCTGTACAGTTTGTTTCCATCGTTCCTGTTCGCCTTTTACTCGAGACATTTCCATTTTTACCCGAGATACAATACCCGATCTTCGTTGCATTGGCTGAACGTCGCGCCTGCTATGTGTAACTGATCCATCATCCTATTAAAACAGTATGTTTATGGATAAGTCGGAGTAAAATATAACATAAATAAATAATTCAAGTCAAACTCCAAAGAAAATTAAAACTCAAAAAGAGATTTGAAAGGCATGCGAATAATGCGTTACGGACGCATGGAAAATAGTTACCAAATTCACCTCTTCATCATGATGCTCTAAATAAGAGCGTGGCCTCTTCGACATAAGTGGATCGAGGCATAGCAGGAATAGTAAATATAAAGTTAAAATTCCCATGATGCATATGATTATTATTACCACCACCTGCGATAAAATGGAAAGAAAATTTAGATATATTTGGTTAATTTATAAAATTTATGGCATTTATTCCATTACTTTGATTGTAGTTGTATTTCGTCTTTGCCATTTGCATTCGCAGGTCTTACATACTTCTTTGTTGGGTGGATTAACAACTTTATCGCATTGGCTTTGAAGAGAAAAAAAATATCAATTAAGAGTTATTTTCTCATAATATTAATAATTTTATTTAATTACCAATCACCCGGATCTAGTACGGATACTTTTCGGACAGGGTGTTCTGTAGTATTCTTCGGACATACGCATATACACCTAACATCGTCGTATTGACCCTATTCGTTGAAAAATAATACAGCGCTGAATTTAGGAACCAGACGAAAGTAAAAAATAGCTTTCTATTTTAAGCAATCCACCTTAAAATACGAACCTCTACCGGAGTAATGTGAGACAAAAATATAAATCCTACTATTATTAAAACACTTGTTAGGATATAATGATCAGAAAGCATATTGTAATGAGTATTAAAATATTTTTGTCGAAAATTTCTACAGGAAACGGAAACCGTGATTATTTTTTTTTTAATATTCATAGTTGTTAGCTTTACGCCCCGAAATCATTGTTTTAGCTGTTATTTTAGCATAAAAAATTTATCTTTAATTATCTCCGGATAAGAAAAATTGTAATAGATACAAGCACGAATTGATAGCTGCGTTAAATAATAAATATTTTATTTCAACATTTTGAAGTAGAAAGTCAAATATTAAGGAAAAAAAATAATTTCAAAGAAAGTTCTGTCTAGCAAGTAACCAAATAGAAAAGTGGCAAATATAAAGTTTAGATAAAAAATAGAGTAACAGAAGAAAAAAATTCACATGATTTCTTGAGAAATTAGGTATACATACAGTCGGAAAACTTTAAACTCTGAATAACAAAAGCAAACACTAAAATTCTTCTAAAATAGAACTTGAAAATCAATTAAAAGAGGAAGATTTTTAAGCTAACGCCTTTGATGAATAATCATTTAAGTAATTTATTATAAAAAGTGGTTTTTTAATTTCATAGTTTTCATCTAAGAACGAAAGAAGCTATTAATAGAACTATTGTTTATTGTTATTATTATTGTTATTATTAAAAATAATTGCAACTTAGATATACGCATTTTAAATTTAGCTTATCAATTAACAGTAGACTTTTAATGCGAAAACCGATAACTTTAGTCTAGATTATTTTATGGACGTAACGAATTCCCTTGAATTTATATTTAGTCTGGATAATCTATTTCAGTCCTTATGACCTTTCAGTCAAATAAAATATCAAATATATATAGAACAGTGTTAAATAAAGATTCTCCATCTGTTCTATTCTATCAATCAAACGTTTATTCTTTCGAAATTAGCACAAAGTCATATTCTATAGTTAAAAGTTAATGATTTCAATCTTATACTGAAAGACTAATTTAATATGATCTATATATTATAGATTTATGACTATTCAACAGGTATAAATCTAGTTTAAAATAAAATTGAATATGTATTTATGCAAATAGGTCTATTAGAAACCTAAATGCGTAGTATTATTAAGATTAAAATCTTATCTTTTATTTGAACTTCCCCTCTTTAATCAATTGTTAAAGAAATAACAAGTACAAGTCTAAGTATCTTTTAAGATTGTGATTATAATCATTGTAATCTGTCTACAATTTCGTGGATGAACTCAATCTTTATTTTTAATATCTAATTGTCATAGACAGTAATCGTCATATCTATTTTGGAATTATAGATGATGCTTTATCTATTAAGTTCAATGAATTTCTCTAATCGGGGAAAAAAACATTTTCCCTCTGTAAACAAAGTATTAAAATTATAATTAATCTATATTTAGAATTACACATGTTAACGTTTCGTTTATCCTTCAAAGATCATTTGTCCTTTAGTCATTTTTTTTTTCATGATTAATGACCTTTGTTTGTTTGTTTGATGAATAATAAACTGTTTTTATTTTCTTCTTTAAAAGTGTTTAATCATAAACCAGGAAAATATATTAATTTACTGAAAATGAACGAGAATAGTAACGTTCTTATTGGAAAAGTAGAATTGGTACTCAAATTTAGGTTATACATCCTATTGAATTTTTTGTAACTGTGGTTCTTATTATGTTTTTTCAGTGCCTCGATTATTTCTAGGGAAGCTCTTATACCGCTTTCAACAGCTCCCTCCATCCATCCGTGCCATTCTGACGTATGTTCACCAGCAAAGTGAATTTTTCCGAAAGGTTCTCTTAATTTAATGAGTGTATGATAATTACATTGTTTTCTTAGGCATTGAGTAAATGCTCCTAAAGTATTCTCGTCCTTATGCCATCTGAATATCTTACTATCTATAAATATGAACAGAATTTTAATAAGCCTATATTTTTAGAACGTAGATTAAAGACAATATATATATTTATATATTATCGATAAGAGATATATGTAAATTCTGTACTAGCTTTGATATAATCTGCTTACATTCCAGGCAAACATAGAAGAAAGTTTCTCCAAGTGATACATGATTATTTTATTATCATTTAATCGATCTAAAGCATTAAAATTATCGGTTACACCCTCTATGACGGACGAATATATGGTATTTTTACTAAGAACGTCTGTTATTATCATGGCACCAGTTAACCAATCGGTTTGCACTTCTCCTTATGAAATAGCATTAAATTATGAACTGTCAGTAGTTTAACAACTAATTAAGATCTAATTTTTAGACAAGATGATACCTTCGTCTATTCCTATCCCTTTCCAAAATGATGTTCTAAATTGAGTTAACATTCTTATAGCTGGTACAAAAGGTAGAGAATTGAATAGACGATTTTGTTCATAATTTAATCCTGGTGAGAATTTAATTGATCTTAAAATACCTAACGGAACGGCTAATATCAATCCATCTGCACAATATGTACTATTATCAATAGTTATTGCGCAAACTTTGGTAGTATTTGTGAAAATCTTGAAGACTTTCGAATAAAAATGAATAGCTGTGCATTGGGTCAATTCGCGAAACAGGGCGTTCGGTATTTGATCTAAACCATCTGGGATTGTATGGGGAATTTCAGAACCTGTCATTTATTTAATTATTGTCAATTATATTATTCAAATAAGAAATACAGTTGTATATAGTATAAACTATATAATTTTGAATGTCTAATAGCTATTGAATGGTAAAGAATTTATTACCTAGAGCATAATGAGACATAAACAATTCAACCATACTATAATTTAATAAACTCTCCAGTTCTAGTATGACTATTAGGAATTCTATTGCAGTTTTAGAAAAATTGCAGCACATATTTAAATACGCTTTAACTGTAACATTATCTAATCGTTTAACAGTCTCTATCCACCCAAATTTCTCTCCCATATCTAATATAGATTCGTCAATAATTTGAAAAAATTGACCAACTGTTAAGTTTGCTTCTATTGAATTTAATCGTAGATCGAATGGATTCTTGGAATTTATAAAGTTATTATAGTCTTTTATTTCCCCGTTTAAATGTATAAGATTATTCTTATTGAATCTTATCAAAGGAACTAAAGGTAATTTTAGATGCTTTATAAGTTGTCTAATAAGTCTATGCCTTTAAGAATGGAGTGTTTTACTTTCTCTTTACATGCATGTCTAGTGATAGTACGAATAATTTATTTCTTAAAATAGTAATTTTCCCTAATTTTTTTGGGTAATTTAATTAATTGCACTCCATTAATAAACGAACTTCACTGGAATTTGAATAGGACCGAGTTCCCCGAAAAATGTACCCTCTCTATAGGTTCTTATTCTTCCACCAATTCGATTACTGGCTTCTAAAATCGTTACTGAAACATTTCTATCTTTAAGGATTTTAGCAGCAGTTAATCCTGCAATACCACCTCCAATAACGAGAACTGTATTATCTTTTATATAGGCTTTAAGCCTTTTTTTATCCGGGAAGAGTTCCGTAAGATAATATGACTCATTATAATAAAAATTCGGTATTGATAAATCATTGTATTTCCTTACGTAATCTTTCCATGAATATTTACACATTTGCATTTGACACTTAGTAAAAATAAAGGAGTATATTGTTTGTGTAATAATTAATTTATTCATGTTTTAATAACATAAAAAATTGAATAAATTTAAATATTTAAATAGGTTTTTATAGTAATAATGAATTGTATACGAAAACAATGTAATTTCTCATCAAAAGTCTAATGTTTCTTAAATTACAATTACTTCGAGTTTGGATTCTTTTTATCAATTGTAACAATAATGTTATTTGAATCTTTTTTGGCAAATGAAGAAGGCGACGGCTTAATTTCTGATACAATGCTGGAATTTGGATGCTTTGCACCGTATCTTACGTCGAAGAAAGGTCTTCCTGTATAATAATCAGCGAAAGTGACACCGTCGCGATTATCTAACGTTCCGTCTAGCGCCGGAGCAGGTTTAGGTGGAAAGGATAAATATATATCCTGCTGGCCACCTTCTCCTTTCCCAACAGTTACCATAGTGGGTGGCAATCTTTGCCCTTGGGTTCCGGGTGGATTTTGAAATATAATTTCAGTGTGGCCTTTACATTCTCCCTCTTGATTATCAATTTGATCATCCCTTTCAATGGTATTGGGTGGTCTATAATATTGACCGAATAAAACAAACGCAAATATTAAGTTTAAAAAGAATGTTACGATTATTAAAAGTATAGATATAATAAGTTGAGTGATTCTTTCTATGCCTATATTTTCCACTTTATCAGATTTGTATATCATCGCCATTAATGCATATTCCAAATACAATTCACTACTAACATTATAACCAAATGATAATTGCTTAAATTTCTTTATGGTCGATAATTTTATCCAAGATAACGATACTCTCCTTTTATCAATTTCTCCTATTCTGTTCATATCAACAGTAATTGTTGCTGTTTTGCAGTAGACAAAACTTATTATTGCGAAAATTTTTACAATGGAAACCAATTTCATGCTTTCTCTTCTTTTTTTTAAAAATAAATTATAATCATTTTATTTATTTATTTACTTGATTAATGAAATTAACATTCTCTTGTGTTTTTAATTGTTCAACGCTCGAGGCGTACCCTTTGAATGAACCATTAATTACCCCAAACAAGCATCTTAACTCGAGCGTATATATATAAGAAACGAATATAACTAGTTGAAGCAGTACCCTGCTATCTTTCGAAGTGGTAGGTTCACCCCTACTTCTTATAAGGAAGAGGAAAAATTATTTGACAAAGTACAATGCAAAGTTTAGAGAAAAAGAAGGGAAAACGTACAGCTGCAAATGAACGAGAAAGGATTCGAATGTTAAAGATGAATTCGGCGTTTGAAGAACTAAGAGAAAAGATCCAAGTTGAAGGTAGAAGATTAAGTAAATTTGAAACATTACAGATGGCTAGAAGTTATATTATAGTTTTACAAAATATTTTGAAACAGAATCCAAATTAGCCATTATACTCTAACTTCTTTGAAAAACTATAGTCCAACTGCATTTTGTATTATATGTATTATATAGTTTGTTCTTATTTCAAAGAAGAATATAAATGTGTATAATTTCATTGATACAACATTTATAGACTATGTTTAAATTTAAGCTTACGGAAGCCATGCAATATTTATTTTATATATCATTGATATGTACAGCAAAAGCGCCTTTGATGTTTATATCAATTGAGTATGTTTCATAAATGTTATTTAAATATACAATTTCTTTATCATAAAAACATAATAACTTATTAATTCTAATGGAAAAGGAATGTTAGAATAAATTACACGGAATAAAACTATTCAATAACACTAATAGTAATTTGAATGAAAATTTCAACACGATTTGTTTTAATACTTCCGTTAAAGTTGATAGGAAAGAAAAACACATTATTAAATCTCATAAAAACAAAAAAACAAAGAAACATTGATACAAATAAAGTATACAGTATATAAACTTTCAAATACATTGATATATAGTATATTATGCATAAATTGTAATATTTTCCCAACTCTACATGATTATACATTCCATTTTTTTTCCATTTTTGATATTATTCATTTTTTATCATTATGCAAGAATAATATTCAATAAAATAGCATTTTTGAATATCCAACTCCGTTTTCTATCACAGCAAAAGTAATTGACTAGTTTAATAAAACAGAAAGTAATATTAAAAATGCATATTTTCGTTTTGTATCAAATCATGAAAACCATTCGAAAGAAATTATCAACATAACAGACGAAATCAGAAGAGGGTTAAGTCCTGGGAGATAATTTTTAAACGTTAGACGTGGTCGCCCTGCTCTTTACCCATATTTACTCTGGTTGTGAAAAGAGTCGATGAATTTTCCTGATTAGCTTCAAATAGTGGATGAGGTTTGTTTACAGTTATCTGAAGTAGAAATAAAGAAACATTTTTACTACAAAATTAATAGACTTTTAAAAAATATATGCGTATTTTTTTTTTATTACAAATGTGTGAATTAGCAAATAAATAAAGATTTACAACTGTAAGAGAGACCAACGCCAAGTGAGAAGACAATTTAGGTGATTTAACTTACCAATTTTCATTTTTTTTTTTAATAATTTTTTTTTTGCTTTTTTTTTTTACATTTGTTCAAACTGGAAAGAAAATCGAACAAAAAGCGAAAGAAAATGAATAGGAAAAAGAAAATTGACGCCAAAATAATATCGGTTTTTTATATAGATATATATATACTGTATATATAAAATAAACAAAATATAACCAAAACCAATAAAAAATAAAACCCAAAATTAGTAGAGAATTTAGTAAAAATAAAATAATAATGTTTATTAGAATAAAATATCGACTTAGAAATTTTATTGTAACACTAGTTTAAAGCTGAATTATATGGAATTTTTTTTTAATTCGTATTGCTAGTAACTTATCTAATTTACAATCTTTTAATCATATTTATCGTTTTACCTTTAAGATCATATCCTTGGTTATTATTCGACTAACAAAAGAAAAAAAGGATTTAATAGTAAATTTTAACTTTAAAACTTTTTTAAGTAATAATGAAAAAAAAAGTAGCTTTAAATCATCTGAACGAAATTTTGCTATATTATTGAAATATTTTTCATATTTTTTTAAAGCTGAGAAGCAATAAAGAAAATAATCAGCGACAGCTAGCCAATTTTCGTTCATTATTTACAATTAGAGCATATGAACAAATATATCATATATATATATTTATATATATGCCACTATATCAACGCAGATTTATGTGCTTCCTACTCTCATTTCCATAGAGACCTTTACCAAATTGAAAAAAAACCTATTTATATAAAAGTTTCAAATTCTTAATATTTTAAAAGTTCTCCAATGACTCTTCAACATATTTGATCATACTTCTATTATCGAATTAAATTAATGTCATTATTGAGGACAGGAGAGAATATAGAAATATTAGAGTAAAGATCTTGTTCTTATTATAAATATATATATTAGTATATTGCAATTTTACTTTTTTTCTTAATACTTCTATTTTCTTAATAGAGTAAAAATTATTTCGAAACCATCAAAACCCAATGCGTTTGGAAAATCAATTAAATTAAATAACTGATATTGCTGATCCTTTTTTTTTTATTAGTGATATCCTTCAAATTAAAAGGAATGATAAAACACTCAAAAAGGAATAGCATATAAAAGATATAAAATTTGAAAAAAAAAAGAAACAACAACAAAGATTGCGCTGTTTTTGTTTTTTTTTGGCTAAAATTATATCACCTCATTTTTTTCTTACGTTTTTCTTAATAAATTTAATTTTTTTAAACGTTCGAGTGGTCCTTTAACAGCGGCACCGCCGTTTCATTGTCTTCAGATTCGTATCGAATAATCTATCTCGCGATGTACAATTTTTGCATAAGCCACAATCAAAAAATAAAGATATAAATTGGTTTTTTGTTTTGTTTTGTTATTTTGTTTGTTTTTATTTCTTTCTAGTTTAATACTTACATTAGGTATTGTTTGATCGGTGGGTCTAGCGATATCCAGAGTTGCTGGTCTTGTTATTGTATCAACTGCCGGTAGCTGTGCTACATCAGTTACTGTTATATCTGCATCGTCCAAAATTAAATCTGTATCCGAATCGTAGAATCTTGTTCGATTCTCCTGTTATTAAATATTAAATGAATGATAATGTATACAAATTTCCAAAAGAAGATACTCACAAAATGAGCAATTTGTATTTCGGATGTCAGGAATTTTGCTATCGGAAGGCAACATTTAGGTAAAGTTTCAGTAAGCGGTGGTGTTGCGTGAGTAAGAAACGGCTTTATAACTTTAGCATCTATACGATACCACCCCCTTACTAATTTTGCTTTTTCTTGAAGCCTTGGTGGACTTAATGAAGCTTCAGTGTTTTGTGGAGCTTCACTTGGCGGTGTCTGAAAGAAAACATCAAATAAATAAGATATAAAATAGCTGTGAAAAAGATAAAAGAACATTCATAAATCAAGTATAAAACAACAAAAATATATAATTTAGTTTTAGGGCATCAATTCAGTTATTTAAAGAATAAATATTTATTAATCGATGTAAAAATTGCTTTCCCTAATTCAAATTGACGATTTTACAATATCAATCTAATAACGCCATCTATTAAGTGAATAAAAAGAAACAGAATTTATCTATTTATTAGGATGCACTGTATATACAGTATATATCAATGTGTATTGCATATACACAATCATTTCTACGCTTCAAATTCTTATTGAAGAATTTTATCAGCTAAATATGATTTTATAAAATAAAATATGATTAAAATATACTATCAAAACACATAAGCTACTGTTCACAGCAATCATTAAACTGTTTATCTGCTCTTAAAACATATACAACGATTATACAAAACATGCAAAGACTACAGAAATGTTTTTTTAAATCTCTAAGGAATATAAGTATTATGTGTAAAATTATAAATATATGAATAATAAATATAAATATACTGTATATATAATTGTTGCTATATGAAAGGTATTCGTGAATCATTGTTTTAATAAAACTTAGGTATTGAAAATAAAAATTTTGAATATATTGATATATACAGTATATGTTTAACTAAGTTGTACTGTATTTCTATTTACGAGGGTATTGGAAAAACACATATTTTATGGCAAGTATTTAAAAAAATTAGTAGACAACTAATATCCTAGTCTAACCTGACTTGTAAAAAATTTTCCTTCTTCACGCTCCTCTATTGCCCTGTATCGGTGCTGTAGAGCCCCGTCGCCAGAACAAAGGCGAATTTTTAAATTATAATTTTATAAAAAAAATAACAAAAATTTTCAATCTTATTTTTTTCAACAAAACGAAATAAACGCTAATAATAAAACGCAAATAAGGAACAGAAGATAAAAGAAATTGTGTAATTTTCAATTAAAAAGCCGGTTAATACATACCGATCTTGTGGAATCGAAATTTTGCAATTCAGTATCTTCTTCCATACCAACTCTGTTTAAGAAAGTCATTATATTGCATATATATATACATGTAGGCTAATTTTTACCGTATTTTCAGCCACAGTAGCATCTGTGTTGTTAAACCACCACAAGAAATAACAGTAGCTATTACAATAACCAAAGTTGTAGAAAACATAACTTTTCTAGCATCATCAGAGGTATTTCTAATTGCTAAAGCAAAAGCAATTGCTCCTCTTAGACCTATATAAAAAGTTCATGTAAAAACATTTTGTCATATAACACAAATTTCTTTAAAATACCTGAAAACATCATCATATGTTGAAAGTTATACTTTATTTTATTCGTTCTTCCTAAATTCAACAAAAAAGATAGTGGATAAACATTTAACGCTCTTCCTATTACGATAGCTGCCTGTAAAAAGAATATACATTTTATTTATTAACTTTTAGAAATAAAGAAACAGAGTAATTAATTTACGAACAACAGAGGCGAGAATATATCTCGCATCCCATTTGTGATCTTGAAAAGTAAAGATGGATACGCCAATATATAAGAAGACAAAATTTTCCATAAGAAAATTTAATAAGTCGAATAACTAAAAATGTAAAAATAAATTTAATATAGTTTTTAAAAAATTTATAAAGGTATTTGTTTACCTCTTTTGTTCTACTCTTGGATTCTTTTGATAAATTATTATAAGTATAATGTGCTTGGCATATTCCACAAAATAATACAGCAACTATGCCTGTCATATCTGCGGCTTCAGCCGCTAAGAAGGAACTATACGACATGAGAAAGAATAAAGAGGTTTCAAGTAACGGATATTGACTGATTTTTGTAAATTTCGTCACCTATAAAAAATGAAATAAAAGAATTACTTTTAAAGGTAAAAGTTTTGCTGATAAAATAATCTTACCAAAGCTGTTGCGCATCCTATTAAACTACCAATTGCAAAAGCACCAAGAAATACCTTTAAGAAATCACCCAATGACTTTAAAACAGCCATAAAATCAAATCCTTCTTTTGTACTATTATATTTGTTAATAGTTCTGGAAGAAATCGTTAAAAAAATATCATTTATAGTCGGCGTAAAATAATTGTAAAGGCAAATTTTTTTACCCTGATAGCACAATAGCTACGGCATCGTTCAACACACTTTCACCAAATACCAATGCATAAAGATCGACATCAACGTTTAAGTCATTAAATATAGCCAGGACAGTCACTGATATCGGAGGAATGAGAAGAATATTTTAATATATAATGTGGAAAAGGAAAAAAGATTTAAGCATTTATCATCTAACCTGGATCTGTTGCGGAAATTACAGCTCCAAAAAATAGACAATTATTCAAACTCATATCATTAGGCATAAAAACCCTTGTTAATCCAAACAGTATAGAACTATGAAATACGATTAGTATAATATTCAGGTTATATATATATATATATATTATAATTACCCAACAGCGAAGCAAGAAATAATGGTACCCATAAAAGCAAACGTTGTAATTGCACCAAAATTTTTAAAGAAGTGTTTCTAAATATAGCAAAAGTAAAAATAGTTTCTTTAAGCATGTTGCATATTGTATATTAATGGTAATATTTTATTACCCTCTTCATTGAATAACCAGCATAAAAGATAATTGGAGGTAGCATAACATTGAAAAATACTTCAGGATCGAAAGTTGCCTGTTTATAAATAAGAATATATAACACATTAGTTATATAAAATACTCAGTGTATGTTAGTGATATATATTTAAAATTCAATGAATTTTATAGCATCAACAAGGAATGTTACTCAAATACTGCAAACAAATATAAAATAAGAAAAACACATTCATTTTTTTTAATTATATTTCAATCAATTAGTAATGAGAATAAAAATTGTTATTAGTTAAATAATTCTATTGCATGAAATTCTTCATTAATTAGTTAGCTATAGAATATACATTTATATATATATATATATTTATATGTTCTTTAAGTTAATTAATTATAAAATTAGACGCTTTTTCCTATTTGTTTTCTTGGTATAACGGAAAACAAAGAGAAAGATAGAAAAGTCAAGGGTGCGAGCAAACTCAAAACATTATAAGCCCATTATATTCATATAATAAATATAAAGTATTCAATTATAATGTAATTAAAGAGTACATGTTTTTTGAGTATGTTGAAAGAAAGGATTATAGAAAACAGTAAAATAAATCACATAGCTACCAGTTAATAGAAAGAATAATAAAACTTGGCAAAATATTAAAGAAAAGATTAATAATTGTAATAATTTTAAAAGTATAAACCCTTTTGAAAATCAATTATAGAGCTTTTTGCAATGTGTTTTATATACCTTTTGACATACTGAACAACCCTAAAAATTGAAAAAAAATTTATTAAAAATAATATAATGTTAAAAACGTGCATTTATTAAAAAGAATATTTTTTACTATACGACATTGAAAAGAAGATAAAATAAATAAATAAAAAGACTTTGTAATGTTTTCTATTCTAACTGAAAATGCACTTCTATCAATAATTAATAATTTACCTTTTGTTCGAATCCTCTAGTATGTATTCGATCGAATTTGTATGTAAAAAGCTTCTCATCTCCTCCTTTTGACAACTTTTTAAAAGAAAAAGAAGCATATTTAATAAAATATCTTTTATCAATCATCGATTCAATAAGATTTTACATTAAGTTTGAGATAATCGGGGTGATTTGCTGGTCCGTAGTGGTCACTTTGGTTTTGGTGAATAAACGAAACGTCTGCCCATTTCTTTTCAGTATTTTTTGATGAATAACGAATAATAGCTCCAACAATTAAACCTATTACAGATTATATTATCATTCAACAATTACATAGATATAATATATAAACAAAATTGTTTAAATTATGCAATAATGTAATTTTGTAAAGTTTTTTTCACAAATTTTTTTTTTTGATGACTATTAATCACAAGTTCGCCTATTCGTAATAAATTATAATGCATTATTTTGCTGTGTATCTATAGATTTAGAGCTTACTAACCATAGACGATGGCAAGTCCTGTTTCGTGGATGAATCTAAATCTTCTATGTTTAAATACCCATATAGTTATAACAGTTAATATCAACAGAAAAATAAACATAAGCAAATTCAAACTATCTAGTTTATGGCCAGTTTGAATTCTTTTCGTTTCTTCATTTTCAGCATTCGCGTCTAGGGAAGAATCACATTGGATCGGTATAAAGAAACCTAGTAATAAAATATTTTTATATCCGAACATCGCCATTTTGATTGTTACTCCCACAATAGTAAGACCGCATTCGACTCAAATCACTTATTCGACAGCAGATGGCGGTACTTGTTTGTATAGGATTAAGGATAGTGTTAACGATACAGCGCGAAATGATCGACTACTAGAATATCTTCAGAATTTACAAGATTCGCTATAAACAAAGTTAACATTCTATAAGTTTATTTGAATAAACAACTGAATAAGTTGAATAAAGTAACAAAACATGATAAAGAATATATATCATATATTCGGAATCAAAGCCGTAAAGCAGATGAGATTCGACTGGGATTAGGAGGGTTTGAAGAGTTCTTATCGCTGGGTACAAATTTATGAAACAGCTTGGTAGTGTTGTTCAAAATAAAAATACGTAAACCCATTAGTTACTGTTCTTCAATCCAACCATATGAATAGGTTTTGATCTGCATAAAGTCTTTCTACTTTGAGCCTAGAAGTGGAGTAAAGATAGAAATTACCGAATGGGAAATATCTTAGATTGATAACATGAATCAAATACTTTCTTTTTTCTTTATAATAATAAGATATTGATTCTATTAGGTTACTTTTATTTTCATATAGCAAATATATATACAAAAATGAATGTGCTCCTTAAAATATAAACCAATAATACAAATATATCATAAAACAGACAATCGCACTTACGATATTTCAGGTATTTTAACAGCTTCTCTCAAAGCCACGCTTTAAGCTTTTAGTGTTTTGTTTACATATAAATTTATCAAGTATTTTTTTTCTAAAAATTCTTTAGACTGATGCTTTATTTTCAATACTTTCGATGTCTAACTTTTTAATCAAACAAACCATTTTGGCTATTTCATCAGTATCTTCAAGTAGGGCGCTTTGAATGTTCTTTTTCTGTTTTGGAGATAAGCCTACAGATTTTGGTTTTGTCTGTACTTTGGTCATTTTTGTCGACATTGGGTTTATCTTTAATTTTTCTTTCAGACCATCCATTTTCACACGATACTGTCCTAAACGAATTTGCAGCGTTTGTAAATCATTTTGTAATTTCTGCTCTGCTTTACTTGGAATTTCGACAATTCTCTATGAAAAAAGAAATGATTAGCATTTATTCAAGATAATTCATCTAAAAACAGTTATAATAGCTCTTACCTGTAAGGAAGTAGACATACTTAATATTCTGTCGTTCAATTCTAAATGTTTCTTGTTAACTAAATCGATTTTCTCGCTGATATTTGCGTCAAATTCTTTAATTCTTACAGTGTCTTTAACGAGCTTTTCCATAATTTCTTCCATTTGCCGAAATCTAGATTGAATTTCTTTAACTTTGTCTGCAATTTCCAAAATAGCAAGTTTTTGTTTTTTATAATATTCATTTTCAAATATTTTCAAAGCTTTCGCACCAAGTTCTAACTTTTTCTCTAAGTCTAAATCTTTTTCTGATGATAAAAATAAGGGTACGTTTTCCTTTCTCTTTAAAACCTCTCTTAAATGTTCTTCAAACGTTTTTTCAATTTTCAGCTGATTTTTTGCCTTTTCAGCTACAAAACTTTTTCTACTTTTTTTCTCCAAGAGAGTAACAATAAATAATTGGAAATTTGAATCCAAACAAAATAAATGAACACCAAATATCGGATGCCTAGCGAATGAACAAGAATATAAATATTGTTTCTCCTTCCCGATATTTGTGTTTATTAAAGCTTTTGCAATAGTAGGCTCTTCTGGAAGATTTTGGAAGCTTTCGTCTTTCAAGCTAAAATTCCAAGGAACAGTAAGCTGATAGATTCCATCGTTATGTCGTATAATGTAGGAATTGTTACTTATCGAAACACTAATAATATTTAACGACTGAGATGAATCTATAATTACATCCTTTAAACGAACTGTTTCAATTGCAATCAATTCTTCGTCTTCTTCTGCTTGAAGAACTACACAATGTAACACGTAACCATTGGACATTATCAAAGCAAGAACATCCGGATTAGAGCTTATAAGCTGTATCCCAACTGCATCTTCTTCAAAAACCTAAGATAACATAATGGATTATAGAATTTTCTGTATTTTTAAGAAAAATACTTTTATATACCTCGTCTTCAATTCTGGGAAGAATTATAAGAGGGCCTTTAACAGGGTCTGCTGCCTGTTGTTTCATTGAGGTTTTGATACTGTAGACATCTGCGTTTCCATATATTACATATATAGTTGTAAGATCGTCTGCTCCGGAAGAGAACGTAAAATGAACACCACAGTTGCCCAAGAGCTGAGAGACGTTTGGCGATTTGGGCGATTTAGGAAATTCATTGGATTTCGGGGGTAGATAATAATCCCTTACAAAGACATGCTTATGAACATCGAAGAAACGGATACAATTATCAGTCGTAAGTAGCACCTGCAACATGTATTTATTTTATTTTTAGAATTTATACTGAATTAATAAAGTATATAAATAGTTAAGATGCTGTTGAGAGAAACTATTGACATTAAAAATTATGACCAGAAAAATTGATATACAATATGATATTTACCAAAAGAAAGTCGTAATCAGGGTGCCACTTGCAATCGACAATATCCTCATCTACACCCAAAGGAACCTCAAAAGTCCTACTTGGGGAAGAAGAGTCAAGTTCACCTATTGTCAAATTCTGTTCTCCTATTAGAGCAGCGTATTTTCCAGAATAATCCACCAGTATAGTATCGACTAGATGTTCAGGAGGCTCTTGAAATTTTACTTCTTCTACTTTTTTGGGCTTTTCGGCAACAATTTCCGTAATATCGCTCACTAAAACAGATTTATTATGTTCAAACCATGCATAAATTTTGTCAGAACTTATAAAGAGTAAATTCTGATGTTTATTGCGTCGATCTTGTTTTATAGGGTTCTTCAAGAGATTAACAAATAGTGGATGCTTGTAAACATTCTCTCTCCGTAGACTCCCGCCTGATGCCATTTTACAGACCGGTTACCTAACAGCCACCGGTGATAAATTAGACAGGTTAAAGCTCCTCTTTATATAGAGAGATTATTTTGAGAAACAAACTAGAAGCTTTCACAGATTATAAACCAGTCACATGACGATATCCTTAGCAGACGAAAAGTTTGTTGATTATACTACAATATATTTGGTGATTTTGAATCTTTTCAGAAGTTATGGTTCAGGGACTTGAGGGAGTAAAGAATTCGTTAGGCCACTTGGTGATAGATGAAGATGGTGCTGTTCAACACGTTAGCTCTTACAATTTTGACTTTTAACTATATAATAATCTTTTATCTCTTAGTCGAGTGGTGAGCTTGAAAATGATGAAAATTCAGCCAATATCTTTATGGATATAGTAAAAATCGCATTATCAACGGCAGATAAAACTTTTAAACGTCTTTGCAGTAAGTATTTCCTAATTAGAATATATATAAGTTAAGCTTCTATTAAATTTTTACAGTTGTCTGGTGTGATGTTTCTTATGTAATAACAATTTCTAATTACAAGATCTACGTTGTTAAACGACCTACCCAAGAATATATTGAAAACCCAACAGTTTAAAATAAGGAGCATTTGTGAAGAGTTGTTCTGTGCTTCTAGCTGCTCTTCTAATGTCACTATTACTGTACAAATTTAGCAGTATGGTCTTCAAAAACTATACCATAAGTTAACGTTTATAATGTTGTGTCATGTTAAAAAGAGAATATTAATACAAAATAGGTGTTCAAATTTCCTTTTTAAAAAACGAACTGGTGAATTTATTGACGATCTAGATCATATCGCGAAAGCTCCATAGTACTTAAAAACGATATTTAAAACATCAATCCAGCTTAAGGGGGGTATTTGAAGAAGAAATGAGAATAGCTATTTAATAGCGATTGTGTGAAGTTAATGGACTACGCAAAAATTGGAAGGATATTTGTAATCAGCTAAAAAATATCATAGCATCTTAGAACTACCTATTTCTCCGTACATGAATAGTATACTAAGCCTAAAATGGCCTGTGTTGTCTAAGAATTTTACAAAATAAGAATTTAAGTCGTTTCAGTCTGGAACAATGGATAAAAAGAGACTTAGAGTAATATAAACGTTTACTTATCTGAAAATCGCTCAATGGCCCAGCCCAAAAATATTCTAAAATCAAAATGAAAGTATATATAGCAGTTTTGAAAGTTTATTCGACTATTGTCTTTGAGAATAAAGAATTTCAACCCCAGTTTTACGATATTTTGATGCGAGTTCGAAGAAGAATCGCAAAGGAACTATTAGCCTTTGGTATGTATTTACTAAGCTTTAGATTAGAGAAGTTACGTTGTTGTCCATTGTTAGAAAATAATGCCCGAGAAGACTTAACTGATGCTGTTTTAAAGCATGTATATCAAGAAAACCATAATCATGAACGAAGTAAGCAAAGGATTGTTTTTTCTGTCTCTTAACGTTTTCAATAACTTTTATAGAATCGAGAGCAGTGAGAGTTAAACTAAACGAATCAAAAATTTTGTTCATTATACCTTATAATGCCAATGAAAAATTGAATGAAGATACCACACGTGATACAATATTTTATAGACTTTCCGACATGAGATCGGAAATCGAAAATGAGGATACAGTAGCCTGTTTAAGAGCCATATCAAAGTACGTAAATCAATCTTTTTAACAAATAGAAAAGGTACAAAAGAAACAAGTAATCTTTCAGTCAAGTTAAACTTTTTATGATAATCGATGGAAAGAGCAATAATAGTATCCTATCTTTCATTTAGTACATATAAATACAGTAAAAAATCCTTTTTCTCCATCTATCATTGTGAAGAACGTTGATAAAAAAACCTTTATAAATAATATGTACTTTGTCAGCTTTATTTATCCTAAGTTTTTATGTTTCCTTCCTTAATTGAATTTTTTTAAAATTGTTTTTCACTTTGAGATACGGTAGTAACTTAATCAATTACAAGGGCTTTTTACTATAATATCTTCATCTCGTTTTACAAGTAAAGCTATAGAATGAAACAGTAAAAAAGAGATGTTTTTTTTCGGTTACTTGAGGTTTTATTGCAATAACAAACTGTTCTAGGGAGTTTGTTGCTTTGACTATGCAATGTGTACCATACTTATCTTAGGAGAACAAGTTTCTTATGAGTAAGATAAATAAAGTAGTCATTTTGTTCCATATCTTATCACATATAAATGCTAAATCATAAATTTATCGTATACTTCTAATTATTACCGTACGGAAAAAACATTGCATCTATTCTTTTTTTGGATAATTACATTCTATTTTTTTAGCTGGCTTGGAGAAAAGCATAAAATCGAGGGATATTTGCAACTCTTCTTTACTAAGCTGGGAAAAAGCAAAGTCATTGACTCTTATTATCCCAATACTGACACAGAAGTCTATAAACTAGCAGAAAAAGATAAAAGCGATATTGTTGTTGAAAACTTACTTTTTTCCCAGCGTTCTAATTTTGTTCCAAAACCAAATATGGTGGTTATTAACGAACATTGGCTCAAGGACAGATCAAATGGTCCAAAATCACTACTACTAAGTTCAGCCCCTAGGTAAAATACTTAATTGATTTACAAGAATTTAATAACCCTCTTGATACTTTCACAGAAGCCTTGACTCGGATTGGTTGATCCAATATCCTCTACACAAGTATGCAGCTGAGGGAGATGTCGGCGGTTTAAAAGCATTAATTGCCACTAATGAATATTCTATTATGCAATACGATTCCGAAGGACTTTTACCTATTCATTATGCTTCTTGGTTTGTGTTTACTTAACCTCAGTCAAATTGAGTTTAACAAGTAACAAGTATTTTTCAATCATTATTAGCTACGGACAAATGGCGGCTTTTTCTTATTTATTAAATGATTGCAAGTGCCCTCCAAATGTAACAACTAAAAATGAGTCAACTTTATTGCATTATGCCGCATCAAATGGCCATAGTATGATTATTGAATTGCTACTAAATCATCCAGAAGTCGATGCTGTGAGTATCATTAAGTTAGGTTAAAGCATCAAAATTCTGAACCGAATTTCTCTTATACAGTATAAAATGGATAAACGAGAGAAAACCGCTCTTGATCTTTGCTCCAATTCTCCCCTTCCAACCGCTCAAAAGTGTGCAGAACTTCTTAGGAAAGCTATGAAAAAACCAGCACCTAAAATCCAAATTAACTTAACCGATGGAACATTTAGAATGTTACCAATGACTTCTGGCTCCAATACAACTGTAGAAGACCTAAATAAACAAATGATTCGCGAATTAAATATATCAGAAGAGTGTGGATCTTTATTTACAGTTTGGATTTGTTCACCCAGTTTACGTAAGAATTTAAAAATTTGTTGAAACTACTGTAACAATAACAAAAGAATATATTTAATAGAGTTGCAGTTGAAAAAAGATCATAAACCTATTCAACATTTAAACGACTGGAAGAGAAGAATTGTATCCATATTGACCGACTCGGTAAAAACTTGTACAACAATAATAAAACAAGATTTTAACCACATCATTTGCGTTGATTTTAGAAACCAGTTAACGAAGAACCACAACTCTGGTGGAGAAAGGATGTTGTTAAGTCAATAGAATATGAACGGAAAACCTTAGAAGAGGTTAATATATATATATACATGATCCTAATAATTTCTTTATATGTATTATATACGAAATTGTATTTATTTTATCATTTCCAGCATATGGATAAAACAGTCACTGAACTAATTTTCTCTGAGGCTTATTATAATTATATAAATTCATTTTATCCTTGCTCTGAGCAAGATTCTGTTATACTAGGAGGTTTGTATCTGTATCTAGCAAAGGGTCCATACGAATCAAAGGCTTCTAAGCAATTTTTTCAAAAGTATGCTTCATTGTATCTATCTCGTGATTTTGCTATCTAATTTTCTATTCTTTCAAGTGAAAGAAATCTACAGACGCTTGTTCCGTCTATTAATCTTGTTAAAAAGAATGTCAATTGGGTTGCAAGAATTCAAGAACAATATAAAGTCTATACAAAAAGTATGCATGGGAAAGATAGATCACCAATTATCGTTCAAATGCATTTCCTTACCTTTTGCTGGAATTTAATTGTTTATGGATCGGCTTTTTTCACTGGATTTCTTAACATAAGGGTATGAATATTTTATTAATGTTTTCTATATTTATGGGGTTTTTTTCTTGGTTTAGTCATCAAAATTTCCAGTAAAAGTAACAATTGGTGTCAATGACGTGGGTACACACATTTTACAATTTCAGAACAAGGTAAAGCATAAGTTGTTCAACTACGTATCAGGAGAATATTAAGATTTTTCCATTTCAGACATTACTTCATAGCTTCCTCTATAAAGATATTACATGGAAACATAAAAAAGAAACCCCTTATATCGAAATAACAAAAAAAGAAAAGTTATCATCGCCCTTCACAGTGTTAAGCAAACAAGCGGCCCTTATTCATCACCTAATGAATAAAATGTCTGAATCGAAATAATTTCAATTGATAAAGAAAAGCAATAATTTTTTTGGACTTTGATCTCAAGATGTGTATAGTTGAAAATTCTTCAGAAAATTGTAAATAGGAATGTTTTTATTTCTTAACAATTCATTCATTAAACGCTTTATCTACAATTAAGACTGAAATTATACTTTAAACATAATAGTTTTTGTATCTTTTTTAAATCATGTAGAAGATTTTACTTATTTTCCTTTTTAAAATTGGCTTTCCAATTCTCTATTCTCTCTTTAAGATCGGCTTGAGGTTCTAACATTTTCATTGATAAAGGAAGTCTATTGAAAGGATCTGTTTGATCGCTGTTTAGAAAACAAAATGTAACATTTTCCAAATAGAAAAGAAAAATAGTTTACCTCAGTATATGTCTAGCTATGGTAGTTTTATCGACAATATTGCCACTTGTGGGTAACAGTACGGGATCCGTCATCAACGTACCCATTATTGGATCAAGGAATTCTTCTGGTGCTTCATTTACAATAGATTCGTCGTCGTCGATATTTGTATTTTGTGCTAATATCTTTCTTGTCATTTCCGAAAATTGTTCCGTCTCAGCCGTACATGGTCCTATTCTCTTTAAAGTTGCTTCGGCCTCTTGAAACAGATTGACTGAAAATGACCGCTCATCCTTGATAACAGCTAAACAAAACTCTTCAGATTGACTTAGATTTAGATAGATCCGACAAATGTCGATGAGAATTTCTGATGGCTTGAATTCGTATGCTGATAAATCTTTCGTCTTAAATTGTTTTCTCTTTGACCCAACCAAGTTTAACAAAAAGTAATTAAGCATAGCAGAAATTCGATCTTTCATAATATTGTGAGTAAAGATTCTGGGAGCACATTTAGTTAGAGCTTGAAGAGCGTCGATCGTAGCTGAAGCCATAACATTATGAAATCTAGCTAACCTTCCCGAGGTATTCAATGTTTGTTGCAATTCTCGCTTTTCATCCGGGTTCATGTTAGCCCACTCGGGACTATCTTTTTTCTCTTCTAGGCTTTTTATTTCTTTCATAAATCCTAAAGCTTCATCCAAAAGAAATATAGCATCGTTTACTAGTAGGTTAATGAATCTCAAGAAGAGAGGTGGATCTTGAGCTTCAACAATCCTTAAAGCTACATTGGATAGTTTTACTGCCTCTTGGCGATGCTTTTCAATAGCAAGGGCATATTTAAGAATTTTATACATAGGACGGCGATATGTAAACTTTTGCTCAAATTCCACGCCCATCCCTGTTTCTTCTATGCTGACAAAAACTGCAATAATGCTTTCTATCAATTCGTTGTTCCGTGGATGTTTATCAAAGTCTATTGTCGAATTGAACTCTCTCTGATCCGGATCCAGATTAGGAATAAACGACTCTAGAGCCTCAGCCATATTTGCTCTGCTGTGAGGGTTTCTCAATCTGGATGGGTAAGCCATGAAATCGAAAATAAAAGATAATAGATGATTTGAATTTAGAGGACTATTGATATTGTCAATCTTAAATCTATGTATGGCAATAATTAATTCAACAACGTTTTGAGCCAAAAATTCTGGTATTGTACTTAAAACGACTTCATTATCTTTTAGCTTACAAAGAAAATAAGAAGTAGCAATCTGCAATTGTAAGTTTGATTCTAAGCTTGATGGGTGACACATTGCTGCTTTCACACATAAATATGTAGTCATTTTACTTTCCATAAATTCATATATTTTTTTTCCTCTTTCTGTGTTTTCTCCTCCTTGTGCTCTAATATCATTGAAAGTGCCTTGCATACGGTGCATATCTTGATTAAGAGCTATTAAATTCTCATTAACTGCATAGAATCCAACTCTAAGAATCTGATGTGTTAAAAAGAAACACTCTGTTATGAAATTCATTGGTTCCTTGCCTTCAGGATACTTAAAATCATCAGATTTTGGTTGTAAACATGTTTCATCTTTTAACCCAACACAATTTACATCTTCTCTCCTATTTAAATCTTTCGTAGAAAACAGGCAATAGTCGACATTTATTGAGTCCAATTTAGGTGAACTAGGGTTGGCAAATGGCTGGCATAAACGAAGCATAATCGCACCCAAGTTAAGAAAAAATGCGTGATTTACATACTGCGGTTGGAGCATATTCAATGGCCCTTGTAGTTGCGTCCACGTTTGTTGCCTACCTTTATTAGCGAATATACATTCTCCAATCCATTTTAAAAATTGACGTTTACATGATAGGTTGACTTTCAGTATTTTATAAACAATCGTATACATTCTGTCTTGTAGAGTATCCATAAATCTGTGAATATTTCCTTCAATGCTTTCTTGTTCTTGCCTACTCATTCGACTCGGTTTATCAAAGAAGTGATAATGTTGTCCAGGAAGCAACGCGGTTGGAATACAACCTATACTCAGTAAAGCTCCAAATGCATTTTCAGCATAGGCACTTCCGGGTACATTAGATCCTATTTTTCTAATCATGGAAAATAGATGATCAAGGAAAACTGTTGCCAAATTCGAATCTGAAACAAATAGTTCCAAAAGCTCTAAGTGCTTCATTATATCAGGATGTCCAATTGCATCAATTCTCTTCAAATCTCTGTGACATATATTAAGCATTGGGGAAAATATTTCTGAAATAGATTTTCCTTCATCTGATGGTGCAATATCGGCTGCAATGAGATTAATAAATTCGGAAAACGATCCAATATCTGGCGTTGAAAAAAACTATTAAACAGAAATAGAATATCAAAAATATAACAAACCCTTTTCTCGATATTCTAAAAAGAGATTATAAAGTGTATTAAGATCGACATTGTCAGGGAAAAGTTCAGGTTGCTGCAAGACTAAAACTGAATTTTTCACAATAGCGTTTTGACATTTCTCTTTTAATTCTCCATTAATAATTCTCTGTTTACATCCTCTAAATCTTATAAAACATTGAACCAAATACCTAATTCTTGCTCCTTCTGCTGCCTCATTATGCCCCTTGCCTGTTAGAAATTGTTTTGGATCATTTAGCATTATTCTCTCACAAACGGCTTGTGCCAAACATTCCAAATCTAGCCATGTTTGATTTAGTTGAGAATGGAAATCTGCAAGATAGACTCGAGGAGCTTTAGTCGTGTCTCCCTCATGATTAGATTCCAAAGTAAAAAGGAAAATTTCTTCTAAAATATCATTTATGTCTTGTTTCTCTTTAGCCTGTGTTTTTACATCTGCAATGATGCACACATTTTTCTTTCAGTATGATGAAGTACAGTACAATAACAAAATTTACCTGGTTTGACTGAAGATGAATTATTATCTTGAAACAATAAAGCAAATGGATTCTGACTCATAACGATCTATGTTATGTGTTTAATTTTTATTTGAAACGTGTATTGTAAAACGCAGCAATATTCTGAACTGTCAGTAACTGGTACTCATACGGAAAAATATTCTAAATTTACCGGTTTTCTCAAAACAAACAGAGCATTTTGTTAATCGATTGAATGATCGAGTTTCAGGATCTCTCCTTATCATATACTTTATGACATACTTTCCTAAAAGGGCAGCTTAATTATATCCTGTGCTCTTTGAGGTAGTATTCCACACTACTTTTAGCTGAATATTCATAAAATAATAATTTTAATTATCACACTAATCATTCACAATAGTTATATTTTTTGTTGATTACGCAATTATAGTAAATCAATATGGACAGTTCAGGTATTGGTCTTCACACAACAATCAGTTGCACTAAGTGTTACCTTGTGTATCCCAATCTACAGTAGTCTCGGGAAAGAAAATCATATATATTTAATTTATTACAGATGCAAACGAAAAAGGGAAATTTTTAAATAGAGCGAAAACTGCATTGGATAATTTGTTCCACAACCTAACCGATGCTATCAACAACCGAAAAACGATGTATAAAAAATATAAAGTAAAAGAATGGATAGAAAAAGGTTACAGCGACCGACCGATCAACGATGTTGAACAATCTGCCGAGTAAGTCGTCAACCTTATCTCTTGATAACGTTATATACTAGAGTATATGTTAGATTGTCACTGATAAGAGAGTAATAAAGTCAAAATGATTTCTCTCGACAAAAACAGGGTGGAGAAACAAGCTGTGGACGACCTATTGTTAGGAGATGAAGGTATCTATGTTTGATATATTGGTTAGAATGTTTTTATCATCAATTTGTCCCCTCTGATAGCTCAAAGTATTAGAATGTCTCCGCCATTCTTGCCGGGACAGATAAGGTAAATATCAAAATAGGCTAAACCTTCGTTTGCTAATCCGCTTAGAGGCCTAGCATATTTTAATTTTATCCACCACATTAATAGTCGTTGAAATGTCAAACGATGCAAAACTAAAACCGGTTTCATCAACCGTATTCCGCAGATGGTTGTTGTAATACCACAACACTCCCACTGTATTTACATTTGATATCCTTTTTCAGCATCGAACAAATAATAGATAGTAGAAAGCCGGATCCGGAAGAAATGCTTGAAAATCTAGGATTTGGAAGTTCGGAAGACAATGACGATATTAAAAAACGTCTTCCACCTCGTTTCCACCAAACTGATGTCATCGAATCGCCTACGCCTGTAGAATTGGATAACGATCCAGGTTTGTTTGGTTTTGAGTCATATAAACATTTTTACGAAAAAATAGCGCAGGCTTCTTTACCTCATCGTTTTATTGATCCAAATCATGAGCTGATTAAAGGTTTTATTGAGAGGCGGCTCTCCGAAAACAAAAATTGTCAAAGTGAACAATTAAAAAATTTACAAAGTTTGCCAAGTACAAGTAGTAACTTAACACTAACTCCAGAAGGATGGCGCAGCTACGAAGATGTTTTAGATTTTACAAATATAGCTGGAGCAGAGGCATCAAATATGTCAGTTTCTTCCTACAGTTCAGAATCAACTGCTATACTCGCGCAAAAAATATATAATTTTCGTGAAACTGAATTTGAACATTACGTTTAATTATTTATTAAATAAAACTTTAGATAAAAAGTCTTAGGAAACCCTTAAAAACACATCGCTAAAAATCATTTCCAGATGGGTAACTATCTCAGTGAGTTCTATATTTCAAAAGTGCTGTTTTGGTTTTTTTTTTATTTTTACTAAAATTCAACTGCTAGTGTGACATTTTATCTTGATATCTGCTGACTCTATCAATGATGCACACTTTTTCTCTTTTATGCTGTTATTTATAATACAATATTTTGGCCTGTCTATCATTTAAATGCTAATTTCTCTAACTGTACGAGCGAGGCAAAAACTATAGTAAGTTATTTTTCAATGTCCTTTTCTTTTTTGAAAATGTTAAAATATATTTACTGTATACAAACATACAGTAAGCATTTATTATTTACTTATGTATATATTGAGATACCTTCAACTTTTCCTGTTAAATCCCTCCCCCCCCCCTTTTTTTATAGTTTTCCAATATTGCAGTATATCTTGAAATTTTTATTCATACTAACAAATTATACGAAAAAAACAATTTCGTTTAAATTTAGTATGTATAAATAAAATTTGTCACTATCAAACTATGGAAAAAGGTTACAAAAGGGCCTTTTGAATGTAACAATATTAAAATTTGCTTAGGCCTCTACAACCTTTTCATATTTATCTGCACTAACCATCTTTTTTTTACTTTTATTTTGTAAGGTTTGTTTATTGTTTGGTTGTATATTTTCTTCTTTTGTTTAACTGGTTTCGTAAAGGTACTCGTTGTTGGTAGAAAAATTATAGAATTTATTGTTTTATAATTCATTATTCATACGGTAATTTTCACACCCAACAGAGAATGTTTATCGCTCTCTCGGGTTGGCTATGCAAGGTATAATCAGATCGAGAAAGTTGTCAATGTAAGCATTTTAACAAATAGAGTAAATAAGTTTCCTAAATAAAACAATTATATTTTTTATTCCGCAGAGAAGAGAATACGTCTCTTGTACGAAGTGTTAAAAGGACAAGCAAAAAAGGCAAAACCTTTGAGTCAATATTACACCCACTTAACGCTGAATATTTAGCTAGCGTAGGCTATTACGATAGTACATCGTCTGGCTCCCCTTCACCAACCAATATAATTCCACCATTGTTAAAAAATTATCAGCAACAATCTTTCGACCTAGAGGAAATTGATTCTGTTCATGAGCGTTCAAAGCTGACGAGAGATCCTAGCATGCAATCTGAACAAAGTTCCGGGTTTATTGATAGTCAAGAGTTTTCAAGAGAGCCTTTTGCTAAACCTGAAACTGAAATTATTGAAGCGTGCAATACGCAAGTTTTAGAAAATAAAAAAACCAATAAGATTAGGGTTTCATCATCATTTGAGAAGAAAAAAGATTTCCAAAGCATTATTCATTCAACTATAAAAAGCTACTCCAATCAGTTAGAATCAATTCATCAGAGGTGGAAGAACCTGTGTACCAAAGTTCAGGACGATGTCGATTTGAGTAAAGAATTTAAAGATTTGGATAGTATTAAGGAAAAAATAAGAGAACAAATCAGACTTTGCGAAAGCCTTTTAAGGAAAGATGTCAATGATGAATGTATACCGATTTGTGTTGCTTTACTTAAAGAACAAATATACGAAGCTAGTATTTTAGCTACTTTTGAAGGCTGTACCATAAGCGAAAACAAGGAATGTTTAGACGTGCTTAAGGACTTAACATGTCTGGAGTCAGGACAAACCTCTTCATATACAGTTTGTATTTGAATAATTATTCTACCAAGTGAAATACAGTATAATCGTTTTTATTTAAGCAGAATAATTCAAACGCAACTTTCTTGATGAAAGAGAAACACTCTAAAAACGAATTGGAAATAATGAAACTTGTGCAGCGACTTGAGGATCAGCTACCTTCTTCTGTGCGAGGTCTAGTCATCGACAAATCATGCAGTCAATTGCCAGAATCTGCTTAATTTTTGGTGCTAATAGCTTAAGTCTGCTTTCCCATGTAGCAAATTACTGATTTGCCTTACAATAAATAGTGTAAATAATAGATTTAGTGAAAAGAAATGATATACTTTTTAGTTAGGACGGAACAACATATAGCATGCAAGTGCATCACAGAATAACATTAGGACCCTTTGTCCATTAAATCAAGTAAGTCGTAACTATCCCCGCCTGATGCACTATCGGATATGCTCATTTCACCCATTATCTTATCAAGTTCCTTGGCTCTTCCTCTCTTCGACTGATCAAAGTTAACTACAGTTGAATCGTTGGTGGACATACGAATGGCGGCAGCTTGTCTAAAAACAAAATTAACATTAAATAGTCATCCTACACTCTCAGAGGAGTATTCTTACTCTTCTTCTCTTTCCGTGTCGAAAAAATTCAACTTGAAGGCGCTACTCTTTTTAGTTTGACTCGAAGAACCTATTAATTTCGACAAAAGATCCAATTGTGCTTTAGCTAATGGATTGGGAGCTAAATTTTCAATGTCCGAGGAGGAGAGATTGGTAGTTTTGCTTGAAGTTTGAACTGCAGACTCTAAGTTTGTTGAAGTTTGAGAATACATATTGAGCCCTAGCTTGATGCAACGATCTCCTTTTACATCAATAGAACCAGTCTTTGTTGATTGAATATAGTCAAATTCGGTTTTAAAGTTTGAGGTTCTTGCTACTTTTCCCTTACCATCGAATATTCTAACGGAAAAGGAACAATCAATTATTAAGCAATTTAGTTAAATGCTATTTCTATAACTTTAAAGCTTCTCAAGCTTACTTAATTGTTCCAGGAACAGCTGTTCCAAATGGCAAGGGTCCTCCTGTAGGCAGTAGAAAACGACCGTTTTGATTTTGAGCTTTTTCTTTCAAGAAAATAGATACACGGATGTGCACATCTTGAAAGAAGGTTAGGAGCGTTTGACGGATAAGTAAAAATTGGCCTGCGTTCATATTAGCGTAGTGTGTAGCCAATAAAACGTACATATGCTCTACTTGCGCCTTAACCATCGCATTATCTGCCACCAACTTAACTATAGAATCTACGTGATTCAATGTAACAAGAAGAATGTCAGAAGCTCTCATGCTCAAACTGACTTGATACTTTACAGCCATTGTCATCAGATCGTATAATTTATCCATAGAAGCTGAATTCAACCGCATAATGGACGCGTGAGCTAAACGGTCAAAGACAGTTCTAATAGCTTTTCTGTTGTAAATTTCTTGAGGTTTGAACATCTCCTCAATGAAACGTTTGTTAAACAATGTTCCAACAATATCATATAAAACTGAAAGCAAGATTCATTTTTGAAATTTGTATTTAAATACTAGACTGTAGAAAAATTTATATGTACACGTAGTTACTAGGCAACCGATTAAACAACCCTAAACAGGTGTAAGCAACAAACCTTTTTTAGCTTTATCAGAAGGGATGCTCTGTGCTTTCAGTCGTTGGTCTAAAATATAGATCATCTCACCACCTAAATTAACAAGAAGAAAAGGTAAAGTTTTCAGCGACATCGTACCCCCTTTCTATTAGATTTCAAGGTGAAGGATATTTCAGAAAAAAATGTTGTATAGAGGTCACTACTGTACTTATCACAATCATTTGATAATTGCTCATTTGTATATTGTTAAGTTGTATTCATCAAATTTTAAGTCATAAATTAATAATTTGAAAACAGCTAGTTCAGCAAATTTTTGTCACAACAGGCACCAAGAGTAAAATGGCAAAATTTCGATTATAGAGGCCCTAATGCATAACTCCACGTTTACTTGGTGGACAAAGATGATCTGGAAGAGTAGACGGTAGCTCATGCCCATCTAAAGTTACATTTATTAAATGTTCTGCTAAAGCAAACTCGTCTTCATCCAACATTCCATCTTGATCTATATCTGACAATTTCCAAATTTTTCCTAGAACGCTATTCGGAAGGCGAGACTTGACCATTTCTTGTTTTGCAAGTGCTCCAGTGATCTATAGGAAACATAACATTAATGTAAAGTCTATCAAACGGCTTGTTTACATACTTTGCCATCAACTGGGCCTAGCTGATGGAAAATGTCCATGTATTCAGCCTTTTTATCTTCTACTATCCATCTTCCTGTATCTCGTCCCTTATCGATACCTTCGCCATATCCTGTATCAAAGGGTGATGCTTCTGTGGTATCGAAAGCCCCTCCTCTGACTGCTGGACCTTCCGAAAAGTTTTCTTTTTCTTCTTGTGGTATTCTTTTCATAAGGGCTGCAATGTCCAGGCGTAACATATCGTCCACTGCTTCCAAAAGTTTAGGCTATCAAACAAAACAATAAACAATAAGAATAGTACCATAACATTGTTGTGAAAACCATCATTGAAATTCTATCTACCTTTAAAGTATTGAATTTTGTGAAATCAAGATGCTCAAGACGTTCTTGAAATCTCTTTACGCTTGGAAAATCACCAGGTGATATATTCTGCTCTCGTTGAATCGTGTCAAAAATCTGTGGTAAGTTCTTGATAAGTTCCTTTTTCTTTGAATCTTTTCCAAACATCGACGGCATCTCTTTTTTCAAGTGAGCTATTACGTAAGCATGGACCTGTATATTGATTAATAACAAATTGTGTTTCAGTTAAATGATAGCTCATAAAAAAAAACCATATCCTATTAAATAGGGGCGTTATCAGACGAATAGCGAATGAATAAATTAGTTGGTCATTAATCTAAGAAATTTAAGAAGAGTAAAAGCGATCAGCTCAATCACCAACATTTGGTTTGTATGCTAAACATACTGTTAGGCTTCAGTCTGTAATTTTACTCTGTACAATGAAAAATATATGCCATCGCCAATCGCAAATAATGCGAGCATTCGCACGATAAAAGAGCTTCTTATCTGTTAAACAATAGACACGTACCTTCGCTAATCTGGCTCGTTTTATCAGATCATTGAGCTTACGTAGTGCAGCGTTTCTTGGCAGTGATTGAATATCGTTGAATAAATCCTGCGATTCCAATTCGAAAAGACGGCGATTTGTATCAAAATGTAAAGGCTTAGACCAAAATGATCCAATGTAAACTCTAGCAACTTCCGGTGTGTTTAGAACTTTACCGAGTGACCACATTAATGCTCCATATACTCTCATTAATTGTTGACTATCAATCATATCTGATTTGTTGAGTACAATCCTAATTTTTTCATCGTATCCTTTCATAGCCTCAATCACTCGTCTAAACTCATCAGAGATATCCAACTTATGGGCGTCAAACAAAAGAATTATCCTATCGACACGTTCAGCTAACCACTCTATAACACCACCAAAATCGTAACCACGATCGACCCTTTGCTTTTCTCCACTTAATATCCCAGGAGTATCTACTATTGTAATACTGTCCAGGACTTTATTTCTCATTTGCGAGCATTGTAACCTATTCAGGAAATTATTGCCGTATCTTGACAGTTGCCTAAATTGTTTTTTAGGATCCATTACGAGGGCGTTACCCGGTATAACAGATTCTTGATCACCGTTCATCACAACAATAAATCTGTCGGTTGTCGGCTCTGGTCCGATCCTCATCCCAGGGAAATCTTGTTCGATAAGGTATCTTATGAATGTTGTCTTGCCGGTAGAATATTGTCCAATTAGAAGGATCATTGGTTTGGCGTCGAAATCTGCATCTTCTAGAGCCGGTGAATGAAAGTCATGAAATTTATAAGCCGTTTCAAGCGGTTTTAATTTTGTTTGATAACATTTCTTTAAACCCGCCGTAACGTTCTCAAACACGTCTGCTTCATTTCGACGCTTGTCGTTGTTGCCTATCCAAGAGAACATATCTTTTCTTCCTCGCCCAAAAAACTCAAACACGAATGACAGGAACTACGAAATGCGCATGCGCCTTACGATACAGGTGGCGCCCCGAAATGTTGTCTGCTAAATTCATTTGCTCAGGCGCGGTTTTGAAGAGTCGCGTGGTCTTTGCGTTTTTGGTTACAAGTTGTTCCTAATACGCCCAAACATGGTTGTCAATACGTTTATGATTGAACTTTCTTGCCCCAACTTGAATGTCAATAATCCTGGTAAGTTGAAAAGAGATCAATTTATGATGATGCGAAGTTCGATTTAGTGACATTGTACGTTTTACTGCAGACAGTTCTTCCAAAGTTATAGAAAAAGTATTAAATGAGTATTCTTTGACGAAAAATTCAGTTTCTCTTTTGAACGATGGCTTTGCAATGGTATTCTCTTCAGAGACTAGCTGTTCAGCTTTCGTTCGTGCCTATCCAGATGGACTTTTAACAATAGACATACACGAAAGAGTTGTGTCGGGCGAGAACAATAGGTTTTCTAACGATATTCTATCTCACATTGAGAATAAGATGAAAAGTGAGGGAGCTAGTAGAACATTGAGCTTAACAACACCAGTTAAGAGAGGAACAAAATTTAATTGTTACTTTCCAACAACAGTTGGTTTGCTAATTGAGTATGATTTTGATGAGTTAGTCTTTGAAGAACAAACACCTTTCCAAAACGTTAAAATATATCATTCACCTCAGTTTGGCAATATGCTGATATTGGACGACGATCCTAATTTGGCCGAAAGCGACATAATCTATACAAGAACTATTTGCGGTTCTGGAAGAGAGAACTTTAAAGATAAAAATATTCTTATACTTGGAGGAGGAGATGGTGGTATTCTAAATGAGTTGCTTAAACAGAATCCTGCTTATGTAACTATGGTTGAAATCGATCAGGTCGTTATTGATGCCTCCGTAAAATATTTGAGAGGAATATGCGATAGCGCAATGGATAAATTGGAAGGTGATAACTATAAGGTCATAGTCGAGGACTGCGTACCTTGGCTGGAAAAATTTATAAAAGAAGGAAAGAAATTTGATTACGTAATAAACGATTTAACTGCCATACCAGTTACTCCAGAACCAGTTGGTAAGTATAGAAGCAATCTCCAGGATTTTCTTATACTGATAATAAAACTACATTTTAGGTGAAATGTGGGAATTCATGAGAAAAATATTAAACTTATCGATAAGCGTTTTGTCAGATAACGGCAAATATTTCACCCAAGGAAATGGTTTAAATGCTCAATCAGCACTTAAAATGTATGAAAAGCAATTGAACCTGCTTGAAACACGGGTGGAATATAGTAAGGAAAAGGTATTTGTACCATCCTACCTCGAATGGTAAGAAATCTAATTTTAACAATAAGATAATAAAAAATAATTTCTCTTTTATTTAAAATTTCAGTTGGGTTTTCTATGAAGTTTGGAAAAAGTTATAATCAGTTAATCATTTTTCTTTATTCTTTTTTTAAATTTTTATGTGATAAATAGAAACATTTCATGGATGGAATAAGACGAACAATTTATTTTTTCCCTTTTTTTCCTTTCGCGCTTCCTTTTCCCTTCTTTCCTTTTGGGCTCTTTTTGCCTGAATTCTCTTTTTCCAATTCAGCACTTAAAGCTGCTTCTCTTGCTGCAATCTCTTCTTGTCGGAGTCTTTCTGCTTCTAACAATTTTTGTCTGTAAGCTTCTCTTGGCATATCAACCTGTTCTCGGAGTTTCTCGAGCTCCATCTAAAACGGTGTGCTCAGTTTTAAAAAAAAAATTGGGTTAACCGAAATTAAACGCCTAAAGAAGGGATGAAACGCGTGAGTGTGCTGGGTAAGGAGTAGCGGACATGGATCGAGGGTATGGGCTAACAGGATAATTATTAGCGGAGCTAAATCCTGCATATGAACTACTAGTTAAAGGGCGGTTAGCATTAGACAACGGGCGTCTAAAAGCTCTTAAGCGACGTTCGTAAATTCGTCGCATTTTGTTTACTTCCAACTGCAACAGGCGTAATTGTTAAAAAAAAGATTCAGAAATGATGATTAAAACAAGAAAAGTATAGAATTGATATGAAATAATCTTATACCTGTAAACGAGTATACATATCAATTTGATTGATTTTCTCTTTATTCCTATTAACTCTATCTTCTTTTCTCCTCTTTTCAACGTAGTCTCGATGTTCTCTATAAGAGCTCATTTCTTCTTTGCGTTTTATCATTCGTTTAGCTTCCTCAACTTCATCCAGTAGTTTGGGTGTTTCAGTTGTTCGCCTTTTAAACTGATCGATATCCAGCTCTTTTAATATTTGCGTAGGAGGAGGCGGTGGAGGCGGATCGTTTAATAAGGTATCCTCATCAGACGTTGGTTGTTGGTCACTCTTTTCAGGCTGTTCAATATCAATTAGATTTTCTCCCAAAAACTTTGCTCTGGATTGAACGGCTTTAGCTGCCCTTCCAGGTTCTGCTTCTTCCCAAGCTCTCTTCATTGATTTTATTTGATCAGCTCTCTCCGTGTCTTTACGTACTTGCAGGGTGTCACTGCTTTCACTCACGACCCTCAGAATCCAATGTGGTCTACCGATATCGAATTGCTGCGATGGCGGCCTGGAAAGTTTATCTTTTCCAGCTGCCTTTGCCCCCTTTGACCCTTTTCCTTTTGATTTTCCACCAGATGTGGGTCTATTGCTCACTGTAGGAAATATATAACTCATAGTAAAGGTATCAACTAAACACAAGGGTACCTTCGGGTGGGATTTCTGGTTGGACAGGCTGTTGATCAGGAGGTAGGAAAACTGTACAAGGAATATACAAATCATGCTCATGCTAAATTCACGCTACAAAACTAGGATTGACAAACGCGCGGGTGTTTTTAGCATACATTACCTTTCAATTCATTCTTTTCTTGCTCCTTTAATTGTGTCACAAACGCCCAATTGCGTTCCGTTAGAGGCCAGGAATTATTCAGAACAGTAGCTTCTATAACATATTTGTGAACAGTTTCTTCCTGTCCACATACCGAAGCAGCTAAAGTTGTGGCAGGTGATTGTCCTCTCTTACTCTTTTTGTCAGTTTTTCCTCCACCTCCACCTCCTCTTGCCGATGCCCTAGAGGAGCTCCTTTTACTCGATGTTTCGTCATCTAAAGGTTGCGTTCGGTGAAATAGAACTGCCGGAATAACTGCATGACCTTTTCCTTGAGTACTTGCTACTTCTATGTCATTATCAAAAACAGTTATCTTGATTTGGACGTCACTATTCGACGTTGATAGCTGAACGACCGCAACTTGATCATCAGACACATTTTTAACATTGTACCGCAAAAACAAGCTATTTTTGGGAACATAGTAATCTCGAATTTCATGAACGTCAAAAGCGGCACTTATAGCCTCTGGCTTAGCCGGTGCAGGGAGTGGAGATGCAGATCCTATCAACCGTAGCCTCCATCTACCAGCTGGAATAGGACTATCAGACGTTCTGGCTTCAGCCATGAATGTGTAGCCTTTTCTATTCAAGCGGTAAATATGCGGAGAGACTTTATTAAATACTTTAGGTAATTCTTGGCCAGTGTCATTGTCAACAACTCGAACCATGGCCGCTTGAAATGGTACATATAATTTTGGAACGCACAATACTTCTGGAAGTTCTTCAGAAACATAAAAAATTTCTTTGAAGAGTACGAACCAAGAGTTATGGGCTTTCTCAGGATATGTACCGCTGAAATCTTGATAAGAAATTTTATTCCATTCGTCTTTGTGAAAAGTATATCGTTCCAACATATCTGGATCTTTCCTAAAAACATTCCTAAAGAGTTGTAATCCAAATTCCTCTGTTTTTGGTTCGATAATATTCCAGGATTTTTGTAGCCATTCTGAACATCTCAAATTTAAATCAATGTAAGTGTATTCCCCCTTCTCTTTCATCTTTACAAACATCAAGTTTGGTCTTCTCGCTTTTAAAATACTTCTGACCCAATGACCTTTATAAACTTTTTGAATTCTTGTGGCTGCAACTTGTTCTTCCACAGTAATTTCTTCCTTTTGGTATCTATTAATCCAATATTCAATACGGGGATCCTTTTCCTTTTCCCCGTGTTGAGCTTCTGAAATAATTGTAAAGCAAAAATTGTCAATTTCAGTATATGAAAGCTTCTTTAGAGGCTTATAAAAGAAAACACATAAACCCAATAAACTTTTTTTTTTACAATAATCGAACGACACTTGAGAGAAGATGGAAAGATAAAAAAAAAAGTAAAAATCCCAATCAATAATATAGCTGAATAGATATCGAGGAGAAATAAAAAATAGAAACAACATAAGAAAAATATTCCTTAACATAAGAACGATAGAAAACTATAACTATATTTTTCTTATTAAGACCTACCATTAGCCAAACGATCGGCATGCTGTTCCGCTGCGAGTAGCATTAAGTATTACCATTTTTTTTTTAATTATAATTGTTAATAAATTTAGTTAAAATATACAAAAGGCAATTTGTAAATCGTACAGAATTACTTCTTATTTAAAATTTACCTTCTTTATTTTTTTCAGAGGCACGTTTCTTCATTTTTGAATCTCTAGCAGAACCACGAACGCTACCAGCTGCAGCCGTAGCTATAGAAAAAACAAAAACATAAAAAATGGAATCCAAAGGAATTATAAAGCTGATGTAATAAAAAGTAAAAATAACGAAAATTTAACTATTAAAGAATATAGAAAACTATATTCAAAGCAGTTAGAACTTTTTGTATAAGAGATAATGCACACGGGAACCAAACAAAAAAAAAATACAACAGCAAACCAAACTAATAAAATAATATAAAGAAACGATTATAATAAAAAAAAATCTCCTAATCTCCTGAATGAGAATTTCATGTATGAAAGCAATAAAAAAAATAAACACAAGATAGATAAAAGTAGGATATATTATTGCTTTTTCATCTCTTGTAATTAGTTAGAATACCTGCAGGCGGGGGAGCGACAACTGGTGGTCGCGGTGTGTTGGAAGTTTCAGTGCGCAAACCGACTAAAATACAAACGATAGGTGCAAAGTAAACATGACCAGTTATGAACAACAATTATTAAAAAAAGTGTGCTGATTGGCATTTTTTATTATTTATCTAACCTGGACGAGAGTGACTTAGATCCTGCCCTAAAATATTAGTAGATGTGCAATCCTGAGTTAAAACGCGCCATGCAAAAGCCATTTCCGGAGTTCGAAAGTTAGAGGCATCTTCTTTCAAAAATTTTTGAACAGTTAAAAATAGAGCTTCATTCCAAATTGAAAAATGTCTCTTAATCCTTGCGTTTTTCTCTGCCAAATAGGGACAATGGATGGAAATAAACTCATCCCAAGCTTCTTTTAATTTTTCTGTGTCTGACAAAGATGTAAGACATTTTCCCAATGCTTTTGCTAAAAGTTGAGACGAATTTAAAAATCTAGCGCTTTCTTTTACGAGTTCGTTCATAATCTTATCTTCGTCACCGAAAACGAATGGAGTTGCAGAAAGGAAATGAATATGATAACCAAGAGGAGAGTTTGTATGCAATTTTAAGAGATGACGACCAGGTTGTAAAGTCATCACTGCAGATTTAGAACCTGTTGTCCTAAGGCGTAGTATAGGTTGACCAGTTACAACAGTTTTCCAAGAATATGGTTCAGCGACAAGTAATCCTGGCTGAATTATCTCGTTAAATGTTGCAGATGAATTCTGAAGCGGAGATTCTGAGGTGCTTTCCGAATCCGACTTAGTTTTAGAGGGCAACAAACCAATACTACGCTCAGCTGGCCAACGACATAGAGCATTGAAGGAAACGACAATTTCACTTGTTCTCAAGCTATCTACAACTGTTAAAATTGTTATTATAAGTATTTATGTTCTTGTACAGATTTTCAATCTTACATAAAAACATTGGAGATTTCTCTTCTTGTGGCTGAAAGGATATTGAAAAATTAATATATTTAAAAAAAACTCTTGATATCTATAAAATATACCACGGCTGCTCCCGCTGCTCCTTTCTTATCTCTTGTTGGAGATGGAGTAGATACTTTGGTCAAATCCGAATCTTTTGCCGAAAATTGATATGTTTCCGTTTTATGATAAATAGTTATCATCCTAAAATTAAGCGTTATATTAAACACTGATAAAGATAAATTGACCTATTACATACCTAAAACACCTAGAAAATATCTCATAATCCATCCATAGAGATTGTCTTTTTGTCATTTCAGTTTTGTCTACTTCTGAAGTAGCTACTTCTTGTGATCCTTGCGAAGGTTCTGTGACTTTGGGAATTTCTTCTTTGCCAGAATCTTTTGTAGTTATGCTCCCTGTTGGTGTTGAAGGTCCTTTCTTCTTTGAATTTTTCTGTAAAATTCAATATTTTATAATTTTATTTAAGGGTATCTTTTTATCTACTTACATCCGGTGATGGCGCAGTAACTTTAGTGTTGTTGGAATTTGCAGCAGGTTGTTTCTTTTTACCGTCGTCAGTTCCATTTTTCTATAAGATCTTACATCAGTAATTATAGTTATAAGATTGGAAAGCTTACTAAATCCACTGAAGGTTGAGTTGAGACAGCCGGAGGAACGGGAGGTGTGGCTTCTCTCTGAATTGGTGGCGATGGAGATGGAATTGGTTTGGGCTTGTCTTCTTCCTCAATAGGGTCAGCTGGAGATACCTTTGTGGAATGTCTTTCTAAAGCTGATTTAGGCCTCTTCGTCTTTTGTGGAATTGGCATATGGCTGACTTTATAATCCAGAAATGGAGAAAACAATTCAACACTTTGAATTGGCTTCTCTATCTCTTCCTCTTCTGGTAAATCAGATGGAGTTCCTTTTTTCTTTCGAGGTCGAATAAGCTTCCAGTTGGGCACAATTTCTTGCGGAGGTGGAGGTTCCAGAGGGCAAGATCTATAAAGAAAATTAAGGAAAATTTGAAGCCTTGTCAGCCTAAATATTACCATACCTCGTCTGCTGAAGGAGAACGGAATGAGTATATTGGTGAGAAAAGCCAGTTTGTCGTAGCCTTTCGCTTGCGTCTGCCATCTCAGTAAGAGCTGATACTTTCATTGGAAACTTTGGTGGACCACAATAACTAGCAAGAACTATTAATTCCGGATTTTGAGGAGTTGCATTTTCGTCAAGAACTATACTCTTCTCCTCTGAAAAGAAATTGATAAAAATGAAAATTCGTAATTCGTAATATTCAATTAAGAGCATGCGAAAAAAAATGCAGACTTAAAAGAATCATGCAGAATTTAACATCAGCAAACTTATCTTCGTTTACATTTCTAACTAGCTAGCAAACTAGGATAATAAACAAATACATAGCAAAAATTAACAATCAAGCAACAGCGAATGATTAAAAACTTAATATTTTCGTTGCTTTAATACCCAATAATAATTTTATAATTTTCTATTAAGCGCCATAATACCCTACCTGATGCAGCTCTAGCTGACTGCACTGACATTCGCTTCGCGTCTCGTTTATCTAAACACGCAGTAATTCAAAACAATATGAAAATATGATTATCTATCACAGGTGTCTGCATGCAATAAAGAAAAGGGATGGGGACTATCTTGATATGAAAAAAATAATTGTGCTTAACAAATCAGTCACCTGCTACATCGTCTGTTTCGACGTGTTTATGCTTGGATCGTTTTGCTGTGAAAGGTTTATCTATGCTAATACTTTCTACTATTTTAACAACAGATTTTATTTAAAACCGTCGTTATCTAATGGTTATGGAAGAGTTTTGCTACATGGCTTACGGTAAATTATTAGGATATTAGTTTTATTCCATCTTACAATTACTTACTTGCTTTTTCCTTGTTGTCTTTCTTATCCTTTTTGTCACTTTTATCTTTCTTGGTATCTTTCTGATTTTTAGTATCAACAGCTTTAGCATCTTTTACAATTTCTTCTGACTTTGCTGGTTCCTAAAGAAAAAATTCGACATTAGTTTTCTGAATAAAATCTGTTTTTCAATATTAGACCTCAATATCAGTTGCAATCTGAGATGCGGCTTCCTTTTCTTTTTCGGGATCCGGTAATTTGAATTCAGGCAGTACATTCTTCAACAGATTCCACATTTCACTTCGATAACCACACTGCAATGGAATAGTTTCCGGAACCCATCCAGTTAGACATTCAATAACGTTGAAGTCGCCAAAGTCTAAATAAGGAGATCCGGAGCCAAAGTCTATAGCAGCAATTTTTAGAAGGGCTTTCGTTAATAACATTGGCCAAAGTTCTTGTGGTTGTTTGGTGCATGGTAAAAGTGGTTTATCATTATCGTCGAACGGAATAGAGTCATCGATAATAATTTTTCGCCAACAACCCATCCAATATATTTTGACTGCATACTTTCCGAACGGGTTAAAGGTGGGAGCATTAGGTCCTTTACCCGCAAGTTTTGCCATAAATATATGTTCCCAAGGTCGCCAACGATATGTATAAGTCCCATCGAAAGGTACGTTCTCTTCTGATGTTTGGCCTTTAAGACGGCGTACAAGGAATAAAGATGATATTTGGCTAGAAATGTGTCGTATTAGTTCATTTTCGTGAGCAACTTCGCTACATGAAATCAAATCGAATCCTGTGCAATGTTCAGGGTCAATAACAACAGGAACTTTGTCAAGTATAAATTCTTGAGGTCTTTTCCAGGAAACAGGTTTAAACCCACAAGCAAAAAATTCAACTCTGGCTTCAGGATCATCAAAATAGTGCTGAACAACTGGAGATTTTCCTTTTTCTGCTTTTTTATCTACTCGATGAACAGCATCCCATTTTTCAGTATTTAAATCAGCATCATTCCATTCTGGCCAAATTATTATATTTCTCTTTTCTTTGTTCCCCAGGCTTGTTGCAATTGAGGCAGCCCTTAAAATTTAGATTAAAAATTAAATGATAAAATTAACAAATTAACATTATTTAAAAAGCCGAAAACACGATAAACTATGTTGTTGCAGTCATTTAACAATTCTTTTGACTTACTCTTTCCTAAGTGCTGAATCTGATCTACCACCTCCACTTTTTTTAGGACCTTTAGCAGCCATAAAATTCAAATTATATTCTTTACATTAAAACTACTTGATAAGTAACGATAATTCGATTTGTATACGCTAGCGCCATTTTCTGGTTACCAACGATTGATACGCATGCGCTATAATTAGGCCTAGAGGAGATATATTGCTAATGCGACAGATGGCATGGGTTTACCTATCAACTTTTGGCGAAAAGTTTTCGTCTTGAGATGATGAACGTCTTTCGGGAGAAATAAAACTTTTACCATCGAGAGCACTGAGGCGAACTATTGATGTTCTGAGATCTGGTGATCGATTTCTAATGGAGGGATAGGTTCTAATAGTCCTATATACGAGATCGCCGTCTTGAATAATTTCATCCTTAGGTGACTGTCTAGAAGTTTTAGTATCCTTTAATATAGCACCTATTCGTTTTTTTAGTGCTCCGGCATGGTTAGACCCTCTCCTCGTCGTCATAGTGCTCTCAACTGGCAAATAGCTCGACTAATCACTTTCCAATGGAATTCGACACTTTTATTCGGTCATTTGTCTATTTCTTATCATAACTTTTATTCAAAGAAATCGTATTTGCTCTGACTTTAAGCCTTCTATTTAGCGTCATTCATTACAATAATGCCTACTATTCTAATAAATAAACAGTATAAAGACCGCTGAATTTACCCGTTAGGCGGAGATGGCACGAAAAGAGAAAAATCCGAAGGTGGAGGCGAATTCGTTCTTTCCTCCGCTACTGTTGGTAGTTGAGGCAAACCGTTCGACATAGCTTTCAAGCTCTTTCTGAATTGTATCAGAATTCGAACTACTATCGATTCTTATTGAAATGCTCGATTAATGCGTTGAAAGTTTCCGGCTTGATGCAAATTTGTACTGCTTCATTAAGACGGATAGATTTTTTTTATTGATTTGTTGAAAATATTTAAATTTTGCGCCCTTTCAAAAAAGATTCGATACCCATACAATGCCTTATTCAAGGCCTATAAATATTACCATGCACTCTGAACCATCTATAGGATGTCTTTTACAAGAGAGAAATCATTCTAAATAAGCACGTGGCAATATAGCAATATTTTGCATTTTGTATTGGATTAACATTCCATTTTCAACTGATTTAAATAGTTAATTGTAGTATACTGTTAAACAAAAATTTAATTTAATGGCTGAAAGTGAAGTCAGCACGTTAGCTTTTTTTTCTTTAAAAGTATCCGATTTTCAACTAATTCTCTTTATTTGACTTTTCTTAGAGAATGTGAAATAATGGCTGTGAGAGAGATTTATGAAGAGTTGAAAGTGGAAAAGTATGATTCGTAAGTTAAGCAATTATTTTGTTGCCAAGATAGAGTTTATTTTCAAACTATAGGGCGTGGAAATTAAAAATCTTATTGGAACCAAGGGTGAATCATGATGAGCAAAAAAATGTTTGCGCCCAAGTTGTTATCGATTTGTCAGCAGAGGTTTATTTTATTCTTGAGTTCTTTTATAAAAATTACCAACTGTTATTTTAGTATCCTAATGAAAAACCTCAAGTTTCCTTCGAAACCAGTCGTGGCCTATCAGATGAGAGACTATCATTTATCCTTGAAAATTTACAATCGTTCTTAGAATTAAGAATAGGCCATCCAGTGATATTCGATTTACTGCAGCACCTTATAGACTATTTGGATTCAAACCTACCGTGCACTCCATGTTTACTGTGCTTAGATCATTTCAATGAATCTAATCGTGTATTTAAAACTGAATGCTTTCATTTCTTTCATGCTTCTTGTTTCATTCGATATGTTAAACACCAGGAGCGAGAAAAAAAAACTCAGAACACAAAGCAAAGAAAAAAAGAGAATCCAGAGGTTTGTATATATTGTTGTAAAGACCTATTAAAAAATAATTCCAAACAACTTTTCCAGCTATTGTGTCCAATCTGTCGACTAAAGATATTATATAACGAAGAACTTTCTAATTTGATGGAATCAAATACTTTAAACTCGGAGGAGGATGTAATCTTTAAACCTACCGAAGGATTTATCAATTGGAAGAGGCAACAAGAAAAACTTTGGCCAATATACCTTAAACAAAAAAGGAAGGGAGGTATTATAAATGTTAAAGAAAACAAAACAAAATATTTAATAAAAGCTGTAAGTTTTATTTATATATACTGTATTTACAGTATAAACAAATTATTTTACTTTATAAAAATACTCGTCGTTTAATAGGACACGATTATAACTAAAAAACATGATGAAAATGGCGACAGCAATAACAAAAACACAGTCAAAAATCAGACGAGGCAAAGAAATAAGTCAACTTCAACTAATTTTAAAGATATTGGTAGTAATTGTAATGTATCAAGTGGCATGCAAAGAAGAAAGAGCTTTCCTTTTATTCTCTCTACAATCGTATTAGAGTCTAACTATATTGAACACTTTTTTTCGGCAAACTTTTCTCAGTATGATGAATCTACTATATTATCCGAAACCGAAATATATCGATTGAAACATTCAACTTCCGCTGATAAGACAATGAATACTTCAATCAACTTAATAAACGAGCAGCTGAAGAGAGCTGCAGCAAATAATCGAAAAACTAGTCAAGAAATGATTAAGGATAAAAGACCGAATAAAGGAAAGACTTCTGACTCATACAAGCAGTTTTCCAATTTTAGAGGGAGTGGTAGAAATTTGGGTTCTCGTCGTAAAAACTATTCCCGTTCGCAAAAACCTCACTACAACAAAACACACGACAATGATAAAACTACTAAAACGACAGATGCGCAACCAACTGAAGAATTTAAAGGAAAACAATATGAATTGAACTCTGTAACTGGCCGAGGCAAAAGGCATTTCTATACGAGACATAATCACAACTCAGGACAAGGACGTATAAAAGCCTCTCAGGCATGCTATCCCACTAATAATGGTCGAAATAGTGAGAATGATCATCGCGAAGAAAGCAGGGGCGGGCAACGCGCGCCAAGGTCAACTTATAGGGGACGGGCAAGGGGAATGGGAAGGGCTCGAAATGATAGAAAATTTAATAAAGATGTTACTATGGATAAGGTTAAAAACTAACTAAGGCTTACTATATTGTTTGTAATTTTTTTTCTTGCAAAAGAAATATGTTTCTTTAAACATTGATAACATAACAACAAAACGCTATGCTACGTACGCGATGCATAGCGCCATCTATCTGTTGAAATCCGCAAATTTTATCATGGCGGATTTTGATGCACAAAGGTAAAGACCGCTACCTTTCATCGTAAATTTTAGCCCGATGTACAATCTCGATTGAATATTCGCGTGCATGGTAGAATTCTACTTATCATCTGCTAGTATCGATTATTTTCACTATGTCAAAGAATTCAGTGGACACGGATAATAAGAGCGATAATGACCAACAAATTATGGAAGAATCGCCCAGTAGGAACCTTCGCAAAAAACCTAGGGTAAGATATATACCAAACAGCGCAGATTTTATTTAAACAGCATTAAAAAATATTCTAGAAATCTTTGATGGAACATACACAAAATGATGATTCGGAAAAAGAATCAGATCGGTCAGAATCACCAAGACCGAAACTACCCAAAGTTGTATACGAAGACGAGAGTGAGGAAGATACGAGTGGTATATATCAATCGGTTATGAGTGCGTCTTTTAAAAAAATTTATATATATTTTAGTTGAGCTACCTAAGATTGAAACTTGCGAAGATGCAGCCTTCCAGAGCCGTGTGCCTCCCGATAAAATGACCGCTTTAGAAGCGGAATGCTTTCCTGAGATAGTTGCTGCCGGCACGGAATCACAACAAGTTTTTCTTCATATTCGAAACAAGTTGCTACTTCTCTGGCTGAGCGATTCCAAAAAAGAGCTAACTATAGAACGTGCTCTCTCAGGAATTGATGCTCCGTACAACAGCGATGGACCTCTCATCACTCGTGTTCATTCCTTTCTCGATCGTTATGGTTCTATTAATTTTGGAGTCTATCAACGCTTATCAAGTCCAAAAGAACGTCGAGGAAAAGTAATAATTATAGGTGCTGGCATTTCTGGTTTAATTGCTGCCAGGCAACTGGAATCATTTGGTATTGATACAATTGTGTTAGAGAGTACTGATAGGGTTGGAGGAAGAATAAAGACTTTTAAAAAAAATGATTATGTTGCGGATTTAGGTGCAATGGTAATCACTGGACTAGGTGGAAATCCGATAACGGTTTTAAGTAAACAAATAGATTTAGAATTGCACAAAGTTCGACAAAGGTGTCCTCTCTATGAATCCAACGGAAACACTATTGTAAAGGAGAAAGATGAAATGATTGAAAAGGAGTTCAACAGACTTCTTGAGGCGTCATCGTATATTTCTCATCAAATGGACTTCAATACAGCAAATGGAGAACCTTTATCTCTTGGTAACACACTCGAATATGTTATAAAATTGCAGGAAAAATCAGTTAAAGAAGCGCAATGCTTACAATTAAAGCAAGTGGTCACTGAGCAAGAAAAACTTCGTGAGATATATTCAAGAATGGCTTTACTGATAAAAAAAATTAAAACTGCTTTCCAATGTTACGAAGAAGCAAATGATAAAACAACAGATGGGAAAAAGAATGGAAATTCAGATGACGTTACCGTAAAATTTTTAAAGAGAAAGAACCTACGAGAATTAAATCTGTCTGTCAAAGAATATGAATCTCTTCTTGAGAAGAAGGACACTCTTGAGAAGAAACTCAAAGAACTTGAGGAAAATTTACCGAGTGACATATATTTATCAGTAAGTATTAATGAGTATTTGTGTAATAAATTATAGTTTAATCTTTTACAGTCTCGTGATCGTCAAATTCTTGATTGGCATTTCGCTAACTTAGAGTTCGCCAATGCAACTCCCTTAAATAAATTATCCTTAAAACATTGGGATCAAGATGACGACTATGAATTTATTGGCAATCATTTAATTGCTAAAAATGGCTATTCTTCCGTTGCTGTTGCCCTCGCACAAAGTTTACCAAATATTTTGCTCAACAGTCCAGTTACAAGAATTCAGTATTCCAGGGAAGGGGTTACAGTAACGGCGATGAAAAATAAAGAAGCAGTAGTATTTAAAGGAGATGCTGTTTTATGTACATTGCCTCTAGGGGTGCTTAAAAATGATAACTGTCCAAAATTTGAACCTCCACTGCCAGAATGGAAACTTACAGCCATTCAGCGCTTGGGATTTGGTAATCTTAATAAAGTTGTATTATGCTTCGACAAAATATTTTGGGAGTCTAGTTATCATTTGTTTGGTCATATTGGAACAACTACTGCCTCTCGAGGCGAGTTATTCTTGTTTTGGACTCTTTACAATAGTCCAGTAATTATAGCAATGGTAGCTGGAAACGCGGCAAGAATAATGGAAAGTGTCACGGACGATGTGATTGTTGGTCGAACAATTTCAGTTCTTAAAGCAATATTTGGAAATCCTAATGTACCTCCACCTAAAGAAGCTGTAGTAACTCGCTGGATGGGCGATCCTAACTCTCATGGAGCATATACGTTTGTTGCTACAGGATCTTCCGGAGCAGATTACGATCAATTGGCTGTTCCAGTAAAACCACGGTTATTTTTTGCTGGTGAACATACAATTCGTCAATATCCAGCAACTGTCCATGGAGCATTACTTTCAGGCTTACGTGAAGCAGCGCGTATTAGTGATCTAATTCTAGGAACTCCTTACACACTCCCTCCCAAAGCACCATCGTTAGTTGTACGATAACTTTTTATTTTTAATACTTAAAATTTTGGTCTCTATGTAAAAATATATTTTTTATTGTATACATGTTGTATCGTGCACTAATCTAAAAGTCCAAAATGATTGGACGAGAAGAAAATATATAAAAAGCCTGATAATATTAGTATTACAACTAAATTGATTTTAAGAATAATCTTTGCTGTCTCATTCTGTTGCAAAGATTGTATAGTTTTCAGTCTTTCCTTCGAAGTTGCTATTTCAAACTTTGATGCATTTAATCCACAAAACCATTGCCAGATGGATGTCTTCTTTTTGGTTTCGCTGATTTCAATATCAGTATTGACATCTTCTAGCTCAATTGTCTCATTGTCATCTCTCTCACTAAATCTTGTCCAAAAAGTTGTACACGTTAATTGCTCCAGAGATGGGGGAACTGTCAAAAAGCTAACAATCATCGAAACTATGATTGTTAACCAAAATAGAATAGTAGCAAAATACATATAATGTAAACGAATTAATCTCGGTCGTTCATCTTCATCACCACAACGAGGTTCTTTATAAACAAAGTCTAATATCATTCTAATGACTCCAACAACAAAACCTGAAATTAAACCACAAAATGCTCCCAATTCATTACATCTTTTACTGAGAACCGCTAGAAGGTATACAGCCGCTATTGGTGGAGCTAGATAAGCTGATATTGATTGTATATAAATGTACAATTGCCCTCCTTGCATTGATTCTACTACTGGTATCCAAATAATTCCAATTATTGTGAGAAAAATTATGGCTATCCTACCAACTATCATTAATTCTCTATTGGTAGCTTTTTTTCTGAATGTTGCATAAAAGTCAAGAGTAAATAACGTACTGGCTGAGTTAAATATTGAAGTTAGATCAGACATCAGAGCAGACAGCATAACTGAGAGCATAACTCCCCTCATAAAGTCTGGCATAAGCTCAAGAACTAATTTAGGATAGGCTATATTCGTGCACGAAACTTTACTTCCACAAACTTTCATGCACTGTTCTGATGTTGCACAAGCGACCTCATTGGGAAAGAGAACTCTACTTATCATTCCTGGTAAAACCATTACAAAAAAAGGTAAAAGTTTCATGTAACCAGCGGTTAAAGTTCCTCCCTGAGCGTGCGATAAACTCTTAGCCGCTAAAGTTCTCTGAACCATCATTTGATCTGCGCACCAATACCAAATAGAAGCAGGTGTTTGACCAAATAAAAATCCTGGCCATGGCATGCTTTTGGACATAGGATCACGAAGCATTGTCCATGAATCGTTTGGTGGGATACCACATGTAGTGTTGGGATTCATCAGTGTTGAATTGGGTATTGCACTTTCAAATTGATCATATAATCCTTTGTAACCGCCAACTTTAACAAATGATATGATGCTCAATGTTGTTGCTCCAACCATCATTATGAAAGCCTGTAACGTATCAGTATAAATTACGGCTGCCAAACCTCCCGAAACAGTGCATATTGCCGTAACTGTCAAAATTAGTAGAACTGATACATATAAATTCCAATCAAGTGCTTGTTGAATAAACACAGCTCCAGCGTATAAATTAACGGATATTTTGGTGAATATATAGAGTATAAGTGATAAGCTAGCCAAATAGATGCGTATTCTCTTTCCTCCGAATCTCTTTTTCATATACTCTGGTAAAGTATTTACCCCACTTGCGATGTAGACGGGTAAAAATACCCATCCAAGAAGTTGCAACAATATACAAGCCTTAAATAAGATATGTTGAAAATCGTTTATTCGAAAATTGTTTATTATTAATACAAACATTAAATTCAAAAGCTCCAACTGCTATTCCAGCTGCAGCACCTGATCCTGCAAGACCAATAAAATGTTCACTTCCGATGTTACTTGCAAAAAGTGATGCGCCAACTGGGAGAAAAGTGATAAATCGACCTGCTAAGAAGTATCCGCTTACTGTTCCTCTATTGGTTCTAAACATGGACTGAAAAATACCTTAATGACAATCAATTTTAATTGTGTTTAAAAGCTTACATATAAGCCAACGCCTATTACGGCAAGAAAATAGATAACAACGGCTGCATAGTCGGCGGCAGCTAATTTTGAATTCGACATTTGTAGGATGAAAATCAAATAGAATTGCACGCGAAACCTCCGTTAAATGGCGCCACTTAATATTGGCACCAAATGAATCTAAACTTTAAAAATAGTACGCAAAGACAAGTTAAATATTTTCCAATAATCTTAGGAATTTCAAAATGGTGGAAAAGAAATAGTTCCCATATACAGATTGTATGGTTTTCAACAATTGACTTAAAATCTGTCGTCAAAAGCAATATTAAAAAAAAAAACATAAAGAAAAACTGTTTGTTTAATACTGAATCAATACGTTTCTAAACACATAATATATTGAATTTAGTAACTAATTAAACTTGATCAACAGAACTCAGCAAAACGCAAATGAAATTCAAACAAATGACAAATCAGAGTTGTAGCGTAAAAGCTAATTTGTCATTATAATCAAATAAAAATTATAGTATTATAATAAATTTAACTAATTACAAAACTTTTCTTTTCATTTATAAAAAAATAGCTTTTATAAATAATTCTATATTATTGAATTTCCTCTTCTAACCTATCTATGGTTGGAGAGGAATCCCATAAAAAATAAACATTAATCTTCATTATCATTGTATAAAGTAAAATCAAAACTAGCTATTTTTTATTTGTGGAAAGAATTATAAAACTAGTAAGAGGGAATAGGAAATTGTATCATTTTCATCAATGAACTCATTCAAAAAGAACGGGGAATGTTAAGAATGAAATTTTTATGGAAATCCTGACTAATATATAAAAAAAGACCTATTCAGATATTTTATTCAACATGATTTTATTGTTGCCTCAAAGCTCGATATAATAATGAATTTATAACAAAAAAAAGGGCTAACACGTAGAAATAATAGTTTTGTCAAATTCTATGCAAACTGATCTATTTCTGCCATATATATATATACTATATATATATAATATTTGTAATAAATACTCAGTCTTATCTATTAAAAAGTCCTATTTTCTATTAAAATATTATATATCAGTAAGTATCGCTTTTTTTTTTGGAACATTATATCAACAGCCAATGAAAAGTTTCCAAGTACGAAAGCGAGAGAGAGAGAGAGAGAGAGGAAGAAATAGACAGACATAAACATTTTCTCTCTTTTTCTTTTTTCTTTCTTTTCTCTATCCGTAAAACGTTTAATAAAAAAGAGATATTTATTGGCAAAAGATAAACATTAACATCCATGTAACAATTACTGGTGAAAGCCGTAAAATCATTTAAAATGTTACAAGATTAGTGTCTCATTGGTTTTTTTATTTGTTTATTTATAACTTACTCCCCAAGTTGTTTGTCAAAAGAGTGTTTGGTTCTATTTTCTTCAAGTATTCTATATAGAATAATTGACTAAATCGATTGAAACTCATTCAAAAAAATTTTATGCTTAGTAATATCTCCATATTTAAATGTATTGAACAGATCTTTCTACACTTTTAGAGAGAAATTCCTAGAAGTATGCCATGTCAATTAAATGACTAAGGTATTGAATATTGACTTGGACTAGGTTCGCGGTCATTTTTTGGTATAAAATTCAGGTGAAGCGATTTGCTTCGTACCCACAGATATTTATAGGTCTACGTTGCATGCCAAAAATCTAATAAAAAAGTTGTACAACTTTTTCCTCGACTGTATAAAATCACTGATAAGTTTCAATAAAACAAATATAAACAATTTATTTATGTTGAAAATTATTTTTTAATATTATTTTTTGATCGTAAAGTTATATATTTTAATTTTAATTGAGCGAAAATATGGTATTACAACTAAACACAGCTTACATTGCTAATATATAGGTGGCGTGCTTGCAGCGCGTAGCGTCAGCTGCTGTTGAAAGTAAATATGGGTGAATACAAAGTCGGACTTTTCGGATGCTTTAGCGACATTAAACTATGTATTCTAACATTTTTGTGCCCCTGTGTTACAATAGGTAAGTGTCTTGATTCTTTAGTTTAATTTTCAGGAAAATCTAAACTTTACCAGTTCTCCTTATCGGTCAAAATAATTTTTAGAAAAGTGGGTTGGGCTCTAGGGGGAGGGTTCTAGAGCAACTCGTTAGTCTGTAACAGGGTTAGACTGTATAGCTCGGCGTGGCAGTGCTATTTATATTACACATATATAGGAACACTAGCTTTTCTCTTTATCCGTTTCTTTATTTCCAGGGAAGGTTGCCAACAAACTTGACGAAAAAGATGACTATATTCTAACGTGTCTAACGTCTCTCCTTTTTCCCTACGTTGCTACTCTACGTTGGAGAGTAAGACAGAAACAGGGAATTGAAGGGAGCATGCTGATGGATTATGTCACAAGCAGCTTTTGCCCGTGCTGCGCGTTAATTCAAGATGCGCATGAAATGGAAATTCAAAGTCCAACAAATATTAAAGATTTGGATAGAGCTTAAGATGTGTTTTTGTTTTCTGTACAAGTTTAACTAAAAGGATATATTAGAATTTATAAGCGTTTCATATTATTTTTATGCGTGTTTTAAATATGAAGGACAACAGTTTACCTTTTCATTAAAATTCGACTATCACTTATACATACATTATATAGCAAAAAAAGATTTTGAGAAGTAGGCTGCTATCTATGATTGTACTATGATTAATGTTCACATTAAGTTGACTACTAGACTCCATAATCTTGACAAATTTTCAATAAAGTCTATAGTTTTGTGGTAATTCTGTTTAAGTAAGTGTTTGCTTAATAGTTAACTTTGTCTAAAATACCTTCCTCCTCCCCGCCCCAAAGCTTTTTTTGTGCTTAGAGGTAATCATCTAAAATTCTTGAGATTTCTACCGTCGTGTACTCATTCGTTTATGAAAGAAGTTTTTGTTTGAATAGCAGAATTTTTATCTTAGCTTTGCAACATAAATTTAAAAATAGTTTAATCGGTTTATTAATAGTTTAAATATTTTTATGTTGACTAAATATACCCCTTTTAATATCTATCATACTTGTTATTTTCATTCAAACAATTAGTCATTTTTTCCGTTTCTTTTCAAGAATTTAAGATAGAAATACACAGTTATATCGTATGGTGTGAGGAATAGTTATATATATATATATATACATTAGTATACAGTATTCTTTATTAGATAATGATAAATTTGAATTAATTCTAACTACACACTCTTTTTCTATATGATATATTTAAGTAAATCTATGATAGTCTCATTTCCTTTTTTATTAAACAAGGCTCTAGTTTCTGCTACAAAATAAATAGTAACTTGAACAATATAATTGCTTGAAAATAAGAAAGTATTCAACTTTTATAATCAATTTTTCTAGTCAGTAAGCCAGAACTTTTTATACAATATGACAATAGTATTTAAAGAGTCTTAAGACCTGTTTGTAAGAATAAATATACCACTTCTTCTCTTCTTAAATGAAAGTAGACATCTGCTTCGAGTGAGTGAATTTTAGAGTTGAAGCAGCTCTTTCATGTTTTTTAGACACCATTACACTTGCTCTCTTTTACTTTTCAACTTTTACTTTATGATAATGAAATTCAACGCAAATTTTTTCAATTAATAAAGCTTAAAAAACGACAATAGCTTCACTTCGATTATGCTTAAAAAGTAAAACCGTAAAATGTAAAAAGTATTACTACAGCGAAAAGAATTAACGTTAATTGCTAAATAAATACATTTTAATTAGTTTATATCAAGAAAAGTTTAGCTTTTAACATATATATTGTTTACTAAACAGGCTTTCAACTACGAGTTAAAGAGTAAATAAATTGTTGGCAGGTATAGAAAAAAAGTGAAACTTTTAATATATCATATAGAGTTACTAATAATACAGACTATAGATGGCAGAGTTATAGTAGTACATTCTATTCGAATGACAATTGTTAAACTTTTCATTTCAATGGTGGAAATAGTTTGATTAAATCCATTTCTATCACCCTTTAATAGTTCAAGTTTACACTATTAAATATATGTGTCAATTACCTTCAATGAATTCTATAAAAATAATATATTATACCAAGTTTTTTTTATATATCAAATGTATTTTCACTTGTTAATCTATTATAGATAAAGCTACTTTGCTTTTCCTTTTAACATGTAAATTTTATTTTCTATTCTTTACAGATATAGTCTATGTAATCGTATAAATCAAAGAAGATTGACTTCTTAATAGGTTGCTTTTACTAATATAAAAATATAGAAATATTTTATGCATTGAGTAGATTCTTAGTGACTTAGATATAGTATTTTTGTTGATGAAAAGTGATATAAACAATATTGCTTTAAACAAAGCTTGATATTATACTAAGTAAAATTATAATTAAGTTATATTAATAGTTACAAAACTGAGGAAGAAAACACTATTTCTTTAAATAGTTTGGTTCTTAGAGAGAATAGTTGTCTAGTTCATTGACCTAGACTATATTGATTATTTTCACTAAAGACTGGGTTGAATAGAACATGACTAGGTGTTTTCAGGTTAGTTTACGTATTTTGAGATTTAATCAACAAAACATTGTAAAAGTAGCATTTTTGTCTTGTACGTATTATCTTATGTTATTTGCAACTTAGTTTTAATTTGATTAGTAGTAGAAAGATGCATATATTAATCTAGATTGATGTGCTACCTTACGAAAATAATTATATTACCTCAGCGACATCTATATTTGGTGACGCAAATGGTTACTAGTTCTATATTAATCAATAGATAGGTATTCTAATAGCTCTATTTATCAGAAATGCTATTGACATTCTAGTTCTGCTTTATATCTAAGTACATGAACAGGATTGCTTAATAGTTAGCAGAATGCTACCTGAACTTTCGGATGTAGAATGCAAGTCTGAGAAGTCGTCACACTTGTTGTCCCAAACTTGGGACTCTTATGATATGGAAGCTACTATAACACCCTATACCGGATTTGAGGTTTTAAAATCAACCCTTCCTCCTTGCCAAGTTTGTAGAGCACCAGCTTCAGGGTAAGAGATTCGATCATTTTAAAGAATTATTTTTAAAAGAACACTAACATTACTAGTCTTTTGTCGTTTCACAATAAAGTGCAGTAGGTAGAAGAAAAGTCTAAAGTAGGACAACTAGGCTGCATAACTAAAATACTAGTATGCAATCTAAAATTTAAATTTTTTCTTAATGATTCAATTTTGTAATGTTCATCATATGACAATTCCATTGTAACTGTCATTTCCCTCTAAATCTCTTTCCTTATACTTGTTTATATAGTAGCTGTCATATAAAACCTTCAATCTTTTATCAGTAAACAATCGCTAAATAATTGTTAATACTTGATTATTTTTAGATTTGTTAGTGATTATTAAATAACACCGGCGTTTATTTTTTATGCTATCAGAATTTAAAAATCTAATTAAAGCTCAAAATGCACTTGAGAAACTTTTGACCTACAATTTATTATCGTAACAACAGATACCACTACGGAACAAATACTTGCGAAGCATGCAAGGTTTTTTTTAGGAGAAGCCTGACGAAACATACTGATTATAGATGTAAAAATGGACGAAACCAATGTATGTCGTCAGACGATTATATATTTAATTGCAAATCATGTCGATTTAAAAAATGTGTATCTGAAGGAATGTCCAGAGATAGAATTAAAATTGGAAGATACTCGAGAGAAAGGCGGCGAGAAAACTTTAATAAACTCTCCGAGATTATTTCTAATAAACCCTCAATTCCTCATATGATGAATTTTGCTGACGCAGATATTGTGACTGTGTATTGTAGAGAGTCTTTCTCCAAGTTTACTGATGCTACATGGGGAAAAGAAATTCATAATTTGTATGAACGACTTTATTCCGCAATTCTTGAAACCCAGGGTTCCTCATGGTCAAAGGAGGACTTTATGGATATTGTTGAAGTTACTGGCGTTGAGATTGATGGTAGACGCTCGTTTGCTGAAATTTCTCAGAAGCTACTTAAAAGGAATATACAATTTTTGTACAAATTTGCCAGAGCACTGCCAGGAGGAAAAGAGTTGCCTAATGAAAAGTTCGTAGTTGACTTTTTCAATTATCCCGAATATATAAAGTTTGCTATAGCCATGTCGTATAACTTCTATTGGAGTAATGATGAATTTGTTTTCACTGTGGATGATAAACAATTTCTCATGCACAAGAATGAGTTGGAACATTTCTTAGACAAAGAAGTGCTCAGCTATCAGATGGAGATCTCAGAGCGAAAAAATAAGCTAAATCTTACTGTAGAAGAAACAATGTTTGTATTTGCATTACAAATCATAAAACCATCAGCTCAATATCCAAAAATGGGAGTTGCTAATCAAAGACTGAATTTGGCATTCACAAGGTATCTTCAAACTACATACGGAAATGATTACCATAAAAGATTGAGAGATATCATAAACTTTGTATCGTTCTTTAATGAAAAAATTTACTTTTTAAAAAAATGGACGAAAAAAAATGAAAGGTACTTGAATTACCTGACTGATTGTAAATTGATGAAACTTTTTTGGATTGAAAAGCAGCCAGGATGGGAATATGACATTCTCGATAATTTTCAGGAGATCGACGAACCTCAATGATTAATTTCCATGAAATAAAAATTACCTGCATAAAAAAAACTAATATATAGTAAATAACTATGAGATTAATAAGATATTCTTATTATTGTTTGACAAGATATACTTATTCAAAGATTTAATCTTGGATTAGCAACTAACCAAGTTTCAAAGTTATCATTTTCAATATATTGCATAAGTAATGATGATACTTGAACAAAATTGAACTGTGCATTGTTTTGTGTCTGTAAATAATTCATATGTATACAGTTAGAGAAAATATCTGCATCCTAATCAAAATTTGACTGAACTTGCCGTAAACATTCCGGAAAGTACTTGACAGTATACTTCGATCTGGAATGATCTTTGACAAGTAGTTTATTGTTTTGTTCTAATTTCACTAACATAAATTAGTCATCTTGTATAAAAAGCTACATATGAGTAATATAAATTTTAGAATAGCAGGGGCTAAGATATTATTTCATAAACCAGTTCCTCTTTTTACTATCTGTGATAACAACGAGAATGTGTTGTTATATTGTTGTAAATTTGATGATATGAATACAAGGTAATACTTGTAGATTATTACCATAGTATATTATTATTTTCGTTAAATATATACATATATAAGGAGAGAGATACATAGACCTTTTAATAGTATTTGCTTATATTGTATAAACTACAAGTTTAAACATGTAGCGCCATCTGACGATATGAATAGTATTAACTATGGCTTTCGAAAGCCAAGCTATCTCTCGCAAAGCGCATGTTTTCCCTATTATCGTTACAGTTTGTTTTGAATGGACGAGGACGTTAAGAGAAGACAATATTTACATAAAATTTACGAAAAGCTACAATTTTCATGTCCTACTCTATCAAATCATTATGCGTAAGTTAATAATTTATATATAATACCTGAAATGGATTATTTCAATTGATAATTTGTAGTAGAGAAGGGGAAGTAGCGCGAACGTTTAAAGGTTTGGTACACCTTATGATTTGCATAACCTTTCGTAGAACTTTAATTTTATTAATATTTGTTTTCAGAGAAAAATACTACTCTTCCCCATTGCCATTTATGTAATAACGTGTCGCTACTGTCTTTAAAAACAAGGTTAAGAAGGAAGCGCAAATACAAACCTAAAGAAAGCAAAAATATTAAGAAAACTAGGAAAATTTCATCAAATAAAAAGCCAAAGACAAATATAGTAAGTGTAAAGAGAAAGATGGCCAATAATCTTATGATTCGTTGCAGTCTTTTCTGTATTTACCATTACAACAGAAATATAAAATTATATAGAAAAAAGAATTTTATTTCGCTTTTACACTCTAGATATATAGATGTCTTATCTGTAAAAGGCTTACTCAAAGAAACATCGTAGATACTAGAAAAAAGAATAAATTACGAATCAGAGGTAAATTAATTAATAATAATGACAGTTCTCATTATTTTAATAACATAGAATTTATAAATTATGCAGTCGTTTAACAAAAATAAAAACAATTCTATAGACTAGCTACAATTTTTAATTCCATTTCACAATATGCACCTGTTCGATTGATAGAAAATGTAGATTAAAAATTACTATATGTTGAAGTAGTACTAGTCTATGGGATTCTATTGATTAATAAATAGCATGTAGCAAAAATACTTTCGTTTTTGTTTTTAATAAAGTTTTTAAAATCAGTCTTTTATTTATTTATTTATTTTAGACGCTCAACAACCGACAAATACTAAACAAAAAGCTATTAAAGCTACAGAAAAGTATTTCGTGACAATTGTATCTTTACTTTTAATGTAAGTTCATTATCTTCTTTCAGAAAACGCAAAACTGATTTAAGTCAGCCTCAAACAGCACAATCTCTAAAGAAACTCCTGAAGAAAAAGTCGAAGGAAAGCACTCCTTTATCATTATTTCTCAATTCCATGTAAATTACTAGTTGATTGTTATTTATAGCTAATTTTACATTGTATTATATACGAAAACTTAAATAAACATTATTTTATAAAACATAAATACTTTTTATCCAACTAGACAATGATTAATGAACCAATATATACACGATAATGTCACTAAAAAGCTATTCAATGTGTGAAAAAGTCTGCAGGAATAAAAAAACCGTTAAGCTTCTGCATTATTTAATAACGAAACACAGCTGCATCGATAGCTTTTTTTGCGAATATTCCTTTTTTGAATAATTTCTTAGCTGCCGGGTGAACGGTCCACAAATTGCCCCTGCCACTTCTTTCACCCTTCACAAAGCCTTTACATGTACATAAGCAATGCTTAAGACTTTCTCGAAGTTTCTGGGGAACTTGATAACGTTCTATCACTTCCGGATGCATTTCCACAACTGCATCAAATAATTGTTGTAACGATAAAGCTTCTTCCGTTCGCAGTGCCGCCTCTGCCAACAATTGAATCTGTGTGTAAGAGCGTCCACCACGATTTCTTGCTTTAGGAGGTTTCGAATCTTGTAATCTTGGCTGCTTAAACATTTTCTCCTGCGGCGTCACGCAAAGAGGTACAGAATTTTCCGCGGCCGGGTCGGTTAGGGCATCCATCAAGGCAGGAAATACAAATGATCCATTTTCATCGATTGGTACGTAAAAATCATCGTTGGATTCGTGCGTTTGCCTGACGTATTGCTCCAGTAGAACTTCGCAATCCGGATTAGTTAACGGTGATATATTTCTTCCTAACTCGAGAACTATTTGGTAGGAGGAACTCTTTTCTCGCTCAATCTCATCCATTATATCAGGAAAATCGACTGGTGACTCATATGGTGAGCTAGATGAAAAAGAAAAATAATCAGATGTAAAAGAATTAGGTGTATAAGTATTTAAATCGTTATAATTTATCGGAAATCGAGGTGTTGATGTTACGTCTCCCATGCAATCGGATCGGAAAATTTCGGTGTTCGAATCGTTATCCATTTTAATCTTGTAGAATGTATCTGGTAGAAAAAGCACGAAAAAAAAAACGAATAAAAGCGAAAAAGGCCACTTGTCTCTTTGGTCACACAGAGGAGATATGGATTAGAAGAACATTTTAGACAATATATACACGGGGTCATGAGTAAATGGCCAGCAATGTTTTACCCTCAAAACAATGGAGTAACTTTCTTTTGATTCTATTGAGAAAATCTTGAGTAGGAAAAAAAACAATAGGCGTAAGCCCAGCGTTATCAAGCGACATCTTCAAGCGTCGTCAATCACTTTCGTGTAACGAGTGAGTAGTGTTGCTAAACATTCAGTAAAGCACGTAACACCTTTGATCTTTCCATTTAGCGAGAGGGAAATATATAAAAAGGAATCCAATAACGGACAATTTATAATAATAGTAATTAAGTGTTAATATATTTATTTGAGTAAATGTTAAATATTAGATATGCATAAAAATTTTGGAATCCTTATGTAAATTAATAATAAAAAAAGTACGTATTATAAATGTCTTTGATGATTTTTTTCCTGTCTACAGTTCGGACAGTCAGCTATAGTTGCGTAAAGGTTTTCCGGGTAATCGTTAGATGTCGCCTTTGTACTTGCGTAGATAGCCTGTTGAGCTCGAAGATTCTTTTGTCTCTGCCTGTTTAGGAAGAAGGCGTTGTTTTATAATTTATACTAAGCAATTGCGACAGTTTTATTAAGCTTGTTTCGCGTAGCTGTTTATTGGGAGACTTCGCATAAAACGAACTTGTCGTATGCTTACCATTGTAGACACAATAATCCCGATATGAGAACAATAACGCCAATTATGAGCGCGACGCCTATGATAATTGCAATAGAGACTTCTGTCGAGTGGAATGAAAAGGTCGTTAATTATAAAATTGATCGATATGGGTAGAAAAGAAAAAAAGAGGCTTTACCATACGGTATGCCATTAAAACCTTTCGAAGCGGAAGCTTCACTTTTCGCGCATTCACCCCGATCACCGAACCAAGTCGATCTGATACATTCTATCTTCCATTCCTGATCGGTCGTCTTGCACCGTATGATCAACGTCGATCCGACTCGCGTTACCAATTGGTCGTCATCCACGCGAATCGGCTCGCAATCTTTCACAACTGAAACATGGCACAAATGTGATTTCATTATTTATTGTACGTTTTGTTTCCTTCTGGTGGGAATAAGTTAAAATGCGAACCTTGAAATGAGACTAGAAAATTGACGTCCTTCAAATGTCCCTTTTTAACGGACTCCGTGAACGAAATTTCTATTCTGCTTTTGACTTTCTCCAAAAGAATTGATGAGGAGTCATGTATAGATTTTAGCTCACCAGAATTTAAATCTTTAGTAAAACCCAAAAGATTGTTTTGCGATCGGCCAAAATATATTAATTTCATAGTTATCTCATGTTTATCAGTAGGTGGTTGAATAAGAATTGGATTCGTATCAAAACCGCACCCAGATAAACGGGAGTGATGAGAAGAAATATTGCCGAATCTCTTATCATCGATGACGCAGGCGGCACTTTTGGACGGGAGGACCACTTGCTGACACTCATATTCCACTCTTAAATTATCTTGTAGTTGTAGAGGACTGCATTTCTGATTCCCTTTTGTATTGTTCTTTTTAAATTCAACCATTTGGTCAGTTGGTATTGCAGTGCAGCTACCCCTGCCAGAACATCTGCTAGCTAAAATTGGCATAACGTCGGCCCAACATCCGATACCATCTGAACCTATTGGGCACTTACTATCTTCCATCCGTCCATAGCGAGCTTGCTTCATAATTATTACTGATTGTTCTGAACAATTGAAGATTATCTGGCCATGGCATTTCTCATCGAACATTCCTTTAAAAAGGCGAAAAAGGTAACGAGTTCACAATAAGTAAACGAGAAATAAATAAACATGAAGATGAAAGAAAGAAAAGATAAACTCGAATAAGAATAAAAGCAGATTAGAACAAGACAGAGAGGGAGGGAGAGTTGGGAAAGAAAAAGAATGTTTTTTTCATGCCACGGCTTGCGTGCTGCTGTTGTTTCCGAGAGGCCGGGCCACGACAGGCTCTATATAGTTGTCGTTCGTTATTAAGGCCGTAGTTCTCTCGAGAGAATTTTATTCAATGTTCCCTCGCAAAGCTTCGCAGCTTGTCAGGAAATTAGCTACGTACCCAGCGACTCGAGGCAAATAATTGAAAAATTATAGACTTCAGCGGGAAGAGTACGTTTTATGCTATAGAGATGTACTTAGAACTGCCCCTTCTCCCCACTCTATTGTATATATTAGCTATTTTTTAGTTTTAGTCTTTTTCTCATGTGTTTTATCGGCCTATTTGACTTTATTTGATTGTTTTTTCGTTATTGTCATCATTTTATTTCTACTTAGGGTTATTTGTCTTGTCAAACGATCACGATTTCTTTCCTTTTTATGGATTTAATAGTTAAATTAGCGTGTTCGCATATTTACATTAATTTGCATTCAGCCTACATCCAATGTATAAAAAAAACATGTAAGTCTAACAAACGAGTAACACACGCTGGGGGTAAAATAGATCGTGGGAAAAGAAAACAAGAAACGTACTTACCACCCGATGCGAACGTGAAGTTTACGAAGACGAGTAACACGGTGACTATAAGCATCCTTCCTCTTCTAGAATCGTTTCACATTATAAGCAATCCAAATGAGAAAATAATTTGAAAGCGAAGGTGTCTCTTTTCCACAGTGAAAAGAACAATCTATTGCTGTTGTATATTACAGAAGTATTATTTGGAAAGTAATATTATTGTTGAATATTGAATAGTAGATAGAAGAATATGAAAGATGAGAAGTCTGAGACTGTAGAGTGAAGAAAGCAGTTGATCAATCCTTTGATTTCTGTACGAAAGCTGTGCGAAGAGTGGTTGTTGAGAGTCGTCAGTAGCGCTCTCTTTTCAATTCGAAAACGGATTAGCAGTTAATTCTCTTAACGCCTCTCTCCTCTCGTAATAATCGAATGCGCACGTATGCTGTTACGCGCCCCTGCTGTATAAAAGCATTACAACAACAGGGCCAATGATAAAAGCAATAGCAGATGTTAAATCAATCGAGTGTGTGAAATAATGTTTGTACAACTTTTTCTTGCTTTTTATTCCGGCACCGGTCTCATTGATCACGGAAATGTATATACTTGTTGCTTGATATGTTAATTCATTCTATTCGTCTTTTTAGGGTATACATTGTAGAGTTAATTGTTTGGAAAAAGTATATTTATAAAATACATATTTCACTTTCATTACGCATATTTACCAATATAAACATAAATTGCATATATAAATAAAAGTATATAAATAGAGTATATTGTTTGTATACGATACTTACTTATACGGTTACGCGAGTGTCGCAGCCGTTTTCTCGGCCCGATTTGGAAGAAGTGTCCAATTCATAATAGATCGGTCGGTGGGGACAAACCTCTCGAGGCGCTACCTGTTGGTAGTCTATCCTAGAGTATTCATTATACAGGGGTTCGTTTTGTGAAATTCCTTCTTTTTGCTGCTGTGCAAGTTTACGAGCACCAATCGGTTTTCTTAAAGTAGTTTCCTTGTATATTTCTTTATTTCGACGCCTACATGAATAGGAATGGAAAGTATTTATTATTCGTTCCTTATAATTTACTTAAAAGAGTCTATTTTTCTTTCACTCACCACTGTAGAAAAACGAGTCCGCATACGAGAATAACAACCCCCAAGATTAAAGACGCCGCAATAATGATAGACACTAATACGCCTGCATTTTTTTGAAAAGAAAAACATACACTTATTAGTGTTTCTTTCTGCTAATATTTCATTTTCATTATTTACCGTAGGGTATATCAAAAACTTTCTCTTTAACTTCCGAAACGCAATTTGGGTATTCTCCAATCCAGTCAACTCCTTTACATTCGAAAATAGTTAAGATATCTTTATCCTTGCAGCTGATTGACACTTTTAATTCACCATATTTATACAAGTATTTGGGATCTTCTTGTAATCTTTTGCAGCCGATTGCTACATTTTTTTAATTAAAAAAAAAATTCAATTATTACTGCTGCCCGGAGAGTTTAAGATGAATTATCGAGTACACGCATTAATGCATACCTTATCTTAGAGGAAATAATTAACCTCGACCTAATTTACATTAAAGGAGATAATGAGTTAAATTAACACACTCAATATAAAAGACTAAGAGAAATAGATACAGCTATACTGACTAAAGGAAAAATTAAAAATAGAATGAAACCTTCGTATTGCAAGATAAAGCTTCCAAACTCCCGTTCCAGTTTCATAATGCTGACGTCAATTTCCGGTCTTTCACTAACGTAAACTACTGATCTCCTTTGCATGGTACTTGTATATCGTTGGTTGGTACTTTGGTCGGAGACCGTGAAAAGAACTTTGGAGTTATGTCGATATTTGGTATTGCTCCAGGAACCATTCGTTCTAAAGGCAGTAAAGTCGAGTAAGGTTAATCGAATCCGATGGTGAACTTGGGCAGCTTTGATCTTGTAGCGACAATCGTAAGAGGAGGAAGCAACTAAGTTGCCCTTTTCTGATGATAATGTCATAGTGGAGCGCATATCCCGGCACTGTAAAGCTGCAAATACATCTTAAATAAATATAAGTTTTCTTTTTTGTTTTCTTTGTAGTTGTATAGAATGCATGAATATTCTGTGTAATGGTGCATGATATCCACTTATCCAGTACACGAGCACAAAAGTTTTTTTTTAAATGAATACATTCTTTGCTTAGTATATTTCCTTTTATGAAACCCCTAAGGCACGTGGCACGTTCTTGGCGTAAGGCAATCAAGCTTACACTCATTATAATCGCCTTGGGTCTAATCAATGTACGGCATTCGCCACCGTCGCGTGCCGTTGCTTTCGAACAATGGAATATTACCTTCCACACAGTCGTACTCCACCTTTAAGTAGCTTTGCAGTTCTTCGTTGCAGGCTCGTGTTATTCCATTCATTATTTTCATTTTCGCGTGAGGTACATATGAGGAACAACTTCTTCTGCCAGAACAAAGCCAGTCTATGAACGGAAGAATGTTTGTTCGGCAGCCGAGGTTACCCATAGCATTTGACAGCACGCATTTACTTTCTATAGACATTCTTCCGTAATAAGCCTCATTCGCTTTTATAATTTTGTTTGCCCCGCAATTAGCATTAAATTTCTCTCCGGTACAAATTTCATCTGAGCAAACTGTAAAAAATAAATTTTCACATATTACTTATGCCAAGACTGCAACTTTTTTCTCCGCAGAGAGGAGAGATGAGAAAGCAACCGCTTCTATCTTTAGAAGATATGAAATAAAGCACCATACCTGAGTTTAAATTTACCAAGCTGAAGAAAATTATTCCAAACGAAAATTCATACAGAATGCTAGTCATTGTGTTTATCCATTAGACGCCGCAGTGACGCAACTAAGTGACGGTCTGTAAACGCCAACATAGCCCTATTACCCAGTGTGCCTTGCTTTTAAGTCACGTGACGCGGCACTAGCAGCTGAGCTCTCATTTATGTATTTATCTATATAAGTTATGTAATAAGCGATAAAACGTTCTATATACATTATGCAATGGTATTAGTAGTGGCTTTGTGAATAATTAACGACAATTTTATATGAAATCGTAGTCTTTGTAGGTTACGCTTTTGGTAAGACTAAAAGAGAAAAATTAATGAATTCTGAGCAATTGCACGCAAAGGCAATAGCGAAATATATAGCACTCGATTATTGAATTGGTGGCAAATGGTTAAATAGGGACCGGATCGTTCTTGTTAAATTGATGCCAAACACGGAAGAAGATATGGCGCCAGACTATAAAATTAGGCAGACTTGTGATCTCTTTGGCCTTTACGAGTATTATGTCAATGTGAATGTACTGTGCGTGACGAATTCGTATATAATTTACCATACGTAAACTTTCGTAATAACACTATTAACATAATAATCCAATTTACTAAACGTTGCACGTTCGTGATACAAGCTGCAAACGAAGACGACAAGAAACCCTACAGAATCGTGACGGCGGACGATGGAAAGATTAGATTTTTTTTCTTCTTTCATTCCGTCTCCTTATGAATTAACGCTGGTGGATGGCGAAAAAATAGCTTTATAAACTTTTATATCGTTTACTATATAAACAAATGGTGGAAATGTTATGCCAACAGATAGACAGTTAAAATCGAAAATAGAGGAAATGAGTAATCTTTGAAATTATTTCAATTAGTCAATAATATTTCATTATTTCCTTTCACAATACTTGAAATGTACTCATTATATAGGCCTATATACGTATCTAAGAATATCTACAGATCAATACATGTTGTAAATCAGCCATTTCGAAAGGGAATATTTACTATGTGAAATACTTCTACTAAATCACGTGATAAGCAATATTTCATAATATCACTATAGCTGATTCATTCTCAGACAATATCGGATAGAAACCTGAACAAAATGGCCGAAGAAACAAATGCAAAAAGTGATATTTTAATGCACAAGTTGGAAACTGTTAAAGTCGTTGTCTTTTTGGATAGAGCGGAAGTGACCCGTCAATTATCTACGAAGATCGGAAAAGGAGAAAACGAAATTGTTATTAAAGAACTAAGTGAGTATTTGGATAGTGAGTCTCTTAGAGTTGAAGGAAAAGGTCATGGTTCTATTGTTGATGTAATCGTGAAAACCGATCGAACTTGCTTAGAGAAAGTAGAAGAAGAGAAGAGAAATGAGGCGGATATTAAAAAAGCCGAATTAGAAAACGAATTAAAAGAGCTTACACAAAAAATTGCATACTTGGAAAAATCTGCACAAACCCTTCAAAGTCAAAAGAATGTTCTCGAAAATTTTGGAAAAAACATACCAGAAAAAGATAAAAATTTTAATGAGGAATTCGTAACATCATTTGTCAGCTTTGTAAACTCTTATGGAACATCTATGGAAAAGATTAGTACGGGAATATTGGATACAAACAGAGAAATAGAAGAGTGCAGAGAAAAAGAGAGAAAATTAAGAGAGAAAATATCTAATCTATTTCACAAAGTGACTAAAACAAAGACTCGTCAATTGTCAATATATGTTGATGGTGCAGCGGAAGGGGATATCGAAATTATGATAAGTTACGTTGTAATGAATGCTTCCTGGAAACCGAAGTACGATATACGTGTTAGTTCGATTGATCAAACTCTAAAGGTAAGTCGGATTCACAAATTTTAATCATCCTAATAGAATACCACTCCTTTTTAGATACACTACTATGGCTTGATAAAACAAACAACCGAAGAAGATTGGAACGCTTGTCAAGTTTTTCTTTCATCTGCTACACCCTCTATAGGTGGCAATCTCCCTAAGCTTGGCAATTTTCAACTTAGTCTAAAACCTAAGTATGTTTGTTTTTATTTAATGAGTATTAGATTAATAAGCTATATAGCATGATTATTTATTCTTTTTAATATTATTTTAGGTTCGTGCCTTATGAGGAAAGAACTAGTAAGTTATATACAAATATTTATTGAAGGTGTTATATGTTTGATTATCTTTTCTTTTGCTACTGTAGAAAGTAAGGGTTTACCTCCCCCAGCTAGAATGATGATGACCAGTGTGGCGTTAAAAAAATCTAGATCCAGAGCTTCATATGCTTCACATGACACCAGCGAAATTTTGGAAATGTGTGAAGAGAGTGCAGAAGTAAATGAATATTTAACTAGCACAACGTTTGAAGTTTCGAAGCCTGCTACTATACCATCGGACCAAGTTGAGCACAAGGTCTGCATTGCAGTATTGGATTTGCAAGCTCAATTTCAATATAAGACCGTACCAAGGAAAGCAGCTCATGCCTACCTAATAGCCAAGGTTACAAACAACTCAGACTACGCATTTTTCCCCGGAAAAGGTAATATTTTCTTTGACAACAATTTCGTTGCAAAAACGGATTTCAAAGCGGTCTCACCAAAGGAAGAGTTCAGCTGCGATTTAGGAAGAGATTTATCAGTTCGCATTGATTTCAAACCAGAACAAAAATTCAAAGAAAGAACTGGATGGGTGCACAGATCGACTATGACAACATATTCACAAAATATTGTTGTTAAGAACACAAAGGCATTTCCAATACATATTACAGTTATAGATAGAGTTCCCCAATCTGTGGACGATGAAATAAAAGTCAATCTTATAGAGCCTTGCGGTTTAAAACTTGGACCCCAGGAAAAAGTGGATTATTCTAAGCCTATCAGAATAAATAAGCAAAACAACATTGAATGGGAATTCGATCTAGGTAGTGGAAAAGAGAAAGCCTGCTTACTAAAATATTCTATTGAACATCCTGCCTCGAAACAAATTGATACAATAGAAATATATGATAACGAATAGAACTTAAATAGTACATAAAACTTGGTTTAACAACGTTAACAAGAAATGGATTGTAATCGGTTTTTCTCCAAATCTTTTTTACTTAATTTAGAAATTGCAATTCAAGATTTTAACAAAGTAATATGCATTAGTTTAATTATTTTTATATTAAATGAAAAATATTGGTGTAATCATCTTTAATAAATAATGATTTAGATAGACATAATAATTTTATCCCTCTTTTTATTCGTATCCGTTTGCAGAACTAATATAACCCATAAGTACTATTTAAGAGCAATTTCATTTACTTAGATATTAATGAGATTGATTCGGAAAAATTGTAAGGATAATCGCTACCAGTAGATACATACTACCTATTTTTACTACAACTTGAAAGCCCATTCATATTTATTCCTATAAGAAGAGCCATTAAATGCTAATATGTTGATAGCACCTGCCAGCTGAGCTTTCCACGTGAATAGAATTAGGTTGAAACTGAATCCGACTTTAATCGATGAACAACACGGAAAACGAGCGTCATAAAAAACGATGGTCGAACGTTAGACAAACATGTTTTTTTTCTTTGCGTTTAGCACACAATACTATTAGCCAATACATTGACAAATATAATTGTTACATATAACGCTTTTTCTTAATTAAACGCCATAAGCAGTTATATCAAAATATAAATCGTAGAAAGATGGCTTCATTAGAAATTTTAATAGGAATCCGTCATTCTTAAGGGAATTTCATTTGATACCAGGTTTTCATCAAATTCTTACATTTGATACTAATTTCTCGATATCATTCTCATTATTGATTAAATTCTTTAGTTTGAGGGAAATAAAGTATCGGTATATGTTCGTTTGTATATACTAAGATATATATCGAAACTTTATTAGTCTTTCAATGAAATCAAATAAACAATTCTGAAATATAGGAAAAGCGTCAGTTACTGCTTGAAATTTCTCTCTATTTGGCTTTTGCCATTCCTCGAAAACTAATATCATAACAGTTATATTGCTCGTAATCCAATATATTTGTATTTGAAATTAATTTCCGTATGCACTGAGCGATATTATCTTACTGCATTTGTGTCATTACTTTTTACGCAGATATGTCTGCAGTACTATCCATTTTCCTTCCTATATTGACAAACAATTCGTAGTTTTATCAGAAATAATTAAAAGTACAAAAATTCTATGTAAAAAGTTGGGCACATAACCAGGAAAATCATTATATACATAATTCTAACCAGTATAATGATTAAGTTGTAAAATCAAACTTTATTGCCTTTGAGTGATACTTTATAAAAATAAAACAAGTGGATTTATTTTCTTATTTATTCCATGTCAAAAAAATCTATAATCCTCAATTGGTAAAACATTATAAAAAATCTAAGTGTTATACCAGTTTTCAGGCAGTGTTCAATTGGGAATTGGAAGCTTCCAAATGATAAACTGGTTTTTCGGCTGTTTTACGGGTCTGTTTATCTTTATGATTGCTTTTAGATGACTATCATAAAACGATATAACATACTACAACGCTGATTAAATTATACATGATTTGATACGCTTATATTTTGGAGGATTTCTATCTCTTCAGCACCAACAGATCAAATATGGCTCGTGTGGTAGATATTTGGTATTGTCAAATTTGCTCAAAAGCCAACGACATCGATACTACATGTTGCTATTTCTGTGGTGGTTCCCAGAAATCCCTGGAATGCATCTGGAAGTGTGGCAATTGCGAACTTTTAAACAGTAATGAATTGACATGCGATTCATGTCATGCCATCAAACCAAACGCAAATACAAATAAGTGGGCTTGTTCGAAGTGTACCTTTCACAATGATGTTAAACATCATAAGTGTTTTATATGCGAAACGTCTGCTATTAATAACTATTCACCATCAGGTTCCAAATCCTTGGCAATCAGAAAAATACTGCCTTGCTATGACAAGACAAAGGACCTGACCTGTTCTCAGTGTAATGGAAGAAGTCCTTATTTTGCTACGAACTGTGATATATGTGGAGCTAGCAAAAGTGAATTGTATGTCAAGAAAGAAACAATAAGTATAGGTGTGAACTGGGAAGCAGATTCTCGAAATGTAGAGACTTGTTCTGTATGCACAGCACAGTACAAAGCGAATGTTCTCAAATGCCCTATTTGCTTAACTAGAAAGAATTCCACAAACACGATGGCTGAATTAATATCAGACTCTGACGTTAGCACATCAGTTGAACAACAACGAGAAGAAGACGAACAAGAGTCTAGAGAAATTTTAAATCGAATAATTAAAACATGTCGCAACTTTAGAGACCCTTTCACTGACGCTTCATTCTATCCTGGAGCAAAATCTTTATATATTTCAGGGGTGTATTCAGGACCTCAGAAGGAAGATCCGGCAAAACAATGGCTTAGACCTTCAAGAGTGATGAAAGAATCAGATCAAAGATGGACAGTTTTTCAACCTAATAAAATAGCATCGGCCTCAGATATAATTCAAGGCTATTTAGGGAATTGCTGGTTTCTCAGTGCTTTAGCAGTTGTCACGGAATATAATCAATTAATAAAAAACATCATGATTAGTCAAGAATTTTGTCCCGAGGGAGTTTATCAAGTAAGATTGTTTATCCAGGGCAAGTGGACAACAGTAGTAATTGACGATCTCTTGCCGTGTGACGAAAATGGAAGATTACTGTATAGTCAAGCGAAAGCAAAGCAATTGTGGGTACCTTTAATAGAGAAAGCCACAGCGAAGGCTTTCGGATGCTACGAAGCCCTTGTTAACGGGAGATGCTTGCAAGGTTTGTCAACCTTAACAGGATTTCCTTGCTGGTCAATTAGTTTGCAAAATGAAAGTAAGTCATATTCAATAACAAAGAAACACTCCAGTAATAACCAGATATAAATATCATAGATTCAGGTGGTGTAGAAACCGAGGTTGACAGGGGGTTAGTTTGGGCAACTCTTCTTAGTGCCAAAGATCAAGGGTCAGAATTCTTCTTTTCATCAAATTAATTGAATAAGTCTGATATATTAATTATATCCCAAAATCTAGGTACTTAATGGGAGCTTCTTGCGGAGGTCGTAATATGAATCTGAGAGATGAAGAATATGACACAGTGGGTCTTCGACCTCGACATGCTTACTCTGTTTTAGATGTAGAAGAGGTAAAGACATTCAATGTAAACTCATCAGTTCGATTATTGAAATTGCGTAATCCGTGGGGACGCTTCGAATGGAATGGTGACTGGTCAAGAAATTCCCCACTATGGAATGGAGTTTATGAACATTCAACACTCAATAAAGGTTTTCAACAAGGAGAATTTTGCATATCTCAAGAAGATTTTATGAAGTAAGTGTTTTAGAAATTTTATACAGTATGTTCAATTTTAATTTCGTAGTATTCCATTAATTTAGTGATTGAAAATTTTCCCGTTCTAACATTTGTTGAAATTTTTTCATACAGGTATTTTGACTCTGTCGATATTTGCAAATATATGCCTAATCACAACTCCGAAACTGTCGGTTATAACATTGTAAAAAATACCTGTTCAACAACGGAAATTCATTTATGCACCCTAACTGTTGAAGAATCAACTGATGTTGATCTTACTATTTTCCCATGCGATAGAGCGTAATTGTTTTAGAATATTATTTTTTACGGCTTGTCAGTTTTGTCTTATCGAATGCAATTTATTTTCTTAGGCCAGGGGAGAAAGACTCAAGGGATCTTTGTATTATAATTATTGAGAGAATTTCGGCAAATAAAGTTAAATTTAAATCAGCAGTCAAGTCCTCGAAAAGAAAAATTTCGCCGTTTGTTCATTGTGATGCAAATTTGAAGCCTGGAAGTTATTTTGTGCTGTGCTGCAGTTTTAATCGGTGGAATTCAAATGCCAGAGATTCGCATATAGAGGGAAGGCTTTCCTGTTTTTTTTCGAGACGAGCTAGATTATGTTGCCTAAAAGTACCGAATGCAGAAGGAATTCTAGCTGATGCATTGATTCAAATGATTTTAGAAAAGTATAGGAGCGGCGATTGCAACAGAAAGCAGATTATTAAAAATAGTGTACATGCTTATTACGTTTCAAAAAATTGGTCTGGCATCATCGTAATGGTCGAAAATAAATCGGAGAATAATATTTGTGTGGTATGTGACTCGAAAGAGAGCACTAATGTCACCACTACTAGAAGTGACTTTAAAACACAAGATGTCATTCCTTCAAATCATAGGTAATCGTATACGAATTTTAAGATATACGTATTGTACTAATTCTGTCAATTATATTTTATAAAGGCAAATAATTCAAATACTATCTCAAGTTGAAATATCCAAGAAATTTACAATCCATCATGTTCTTCAAACCTCAAAGGCTGACAAAGAAATCCATGATCCACCTCTAGTTGAATCAGTCTCAGGATTACATTGTCCACGACCAATAACATTTTAATTATTAAAATTTTCTGACATTTTGCAAACGAATATTTATTTTTTATTTTCAATAGCAAATTCCTGAAAATGCAATTTTAAATATATATATATATATATATACTGTATATACATATATTATTTATAGGAATAAATGATTTAAAATACTATTTTCACAACTTTAAATAGTTTTTATGTTGCTTTGTTGTTACTTTGATCACTTTATGTCGGGAATAACTCTCTTGACAGATAGTTTGTCAAATCCGATAATCAAGGATTATTTATAAGCCTACCAGCCTTCTTCGACCAAATAATCAGGAGTCTAAAATTTTACAAACACTATTTAATGCTAAGAATATAATTGTACTTTGTGGACTTACACTGCTAGAAACAAAGAAACAATTCCCATGAATGATTGAAGAATAAAAACGGATCCCTTAAACGATCCAGCTGTTGCGGCAAAAAGCCCATCAAAGGCTAATGTAAATAATAAAAAGCTTATTGATTGTAAGCATCCAATTCCTGCGAAGATTGATCCTGTGTAAAAAAATACAACACCATTAAATCTACAAGTTAATTGTATATGTTTCGTTTATTGGCCCAACCGTAATCTGATCGATCCACCAATTTAGAAGCGAAAGACCTTGTCATTGATACTGGTAGAACGACGAAAGAACTTAGCAAAACAACTAAAACAACTTCGACTATTCGTGTTGTAAATGCATTGAGTAATGTTGAAAGAGAAATACTTAAACAGCCGACTAGAATCAAGCCTGTATCGCCAATTCTATCTCGACATAGTGCCGTTAATGTTATACCACCAGCGTAGGAGGATATAAGCCATCCGAAATTAAATAGGCCTATTTTTATACGACTAAAGCAAAGAGGTCTAGTCCTAAAATATAACGTTATAATGTCTGCTCTCGAAACCACTGGAGCACATAGTAAAACTAGCATAAGGCAAGTAAGTAGTTTTTTTCTGCGACGATGATGCTCTGAGAAAAAGACTTGAAAGCATCTCTTAATATTTTTCCAAATCTTGTGCTTGGCTTCACTCTCTCTTTTTATGGTTTCCGATATGAAAACTAGTGAGTAAATTAAACATAAAACTGAGATAGCAAATAGTAAAAGGAAAGTATACGAATAAGTAAGTCCTTCTATGATATACCCTGACAGTAAATTCATAAGGGCACTTGTAAATCCCATACAGAAATCCATTACGATTATCCTGAACGATCTTTGTTCTGTAGTTGTTCTGTCCGATAGATGAGAAAATGCAGCTGCGATAAACGTAACAGAACCTCCCATACATCCCTCAAATAGAAATGGAATATATAGCCATCTTATATCGGCAGAAAAATGAGTAACCAGAAACATTGATATATAGTGGACAGCAAGCCCGAAAATAGGAAGACACAAGGGCAATTTTCTCCCAATTGAATCGCTATACGAGCTATAAAACAACGTTGCCACAATTGATGGCCCCATCATTGATAAATTCAACCAAAACATCTTCATTGAAGCATTCCTTTGAATAGTTTTATCTAAATCAGTGTCATTTTCCGAGCAAGTGACATTAATTTCAGCCGTAGCATTGAATTCTGTTGCAGTTCTCTCGTAAACATACTGGGAAAGGATTGGCATTCCAGCTGACATGCTCAAGAAGTATAATACAACTGCAATTTCAATTGGAAGTGTACAAATTGGAGCTCTTTGCTGGCGAGCAAATACAATAACCTCTTTCTTCTCCTCATTTTCCGCAGAAACAGTAGGAGAGAGAATGGGCGTAGTTTCAGAAATATCTTCCATTATTGTGCAATCACTCTTAAAAAAACCATAATTCTATAATATTCGTTTGTTTGATAAAGTTTTGGATAATCTTAAAGGTGAAGGCCAATAGAGGTGGCGCTTTAAAACCAGAAAGTATACCCGTATTGTTTTTTTGGCGGGAGGTTTTAAACATTACCTAATACCTTAGTACCTATTTAGTTTAATTATGCCATAGAGGCCTAACATTGTATTATATGATTTTATTTTCTACTGTTAAATGATCTCCAAGCATGTACTCTATTTAAAAATAGATTCCGGTTTAAGCCGACGCATATGAAACCAGAATAATTTGATTACAAGCTGAACATAATCTAATCGATTAAAACAAATAGTATATTAAGAGTGGCAGTAAATTGTGAGCAACTAGTTAGGGGACGAGACACAATTATTGAGTTTAGTCTAATTCAACAGTACGAAATGTTGATTTTTCATTCAAGTTTTATTTACCTTTTCGTAATATTTTTATGATTTTAATCAGTCCTTCATTCCTTTATAGATTTATTCATATGTTCTACAACAGTTGAAAAAAAAGCAGACCTTTGATCTAATCAATTTTTGAAAAAAACTAATGAATAAATTTTGTAGTGGAATCTGTAAACGAAAGCCGACAAAATTAATTTATCAATTTTTGATTAGCACTTTTTAACTATATAAAAAAACTTGGCCTAGTTCTTTATTATATAATTAATATATGAATGTAGTCTTTTGTTGAAAAAATATGTAAATTCTTAAATGAAATCTTAGACGGTAGATGGCGCCATATGTTTCTAGAGAAGAATAAATATAATTTAACAGTCCATCCATTTTCAATTTTATGCCCTTTATTCGTCGACTTATTTAGTTTTATTTTGTTTGTATAGGGGCCTTCTTTCAATTACAAGCCATGCGGAGAGCTATTTCTTAGGGTAACTTTTTGTGAAGCTGCCAGCAGAGCATGTCTAATTGACAAATTACACAGTCTATATGAATAAAATGAAAAATTTAAGATAGATAACTTATCAAGTTAACAATAATAACTATTACAATAGAGTAAAAATTATCTTATAAGACGAAAAATTAGCAATTAGCAATCAATAATTCAGATAAAAAAAACCTTTCAAGGATTCAAAGGTTTTTCATAATTCAATTCTCCAAATAAAATAAGGATAAACATGTGAAACTAAAAAGCAAAAGCATTTCCCAAAATTAGACTGGCCAACTTTTATAGTATAGTCTCACTGCATTGGATGATCAATAGATAGAATTTGACCCTTTTTTCGGAGCTATTCCTCAGGCAGAAATCTAATCCTAGGTTTCTTTTTGTCGGTTAATTATGAATAGTTGATATTGAGTCGATTAATCAATGTCATGCACTGTTATTCAGTACCCTTTTCCCATGTTAAATTTGTAGTTGGTCGCTTTCACGATTACAGTCTCGTTCCACTGACATATTTATACCTAATTTGTTATGTTAGTGCATAGTTATTCAAAAGAATTCTGTCAGAAAATTATAAAACTATGCATATTGTCGGTGCAGAATTCGCTGATAAAAAGATCTTGTCCCTGCTTTTAGACGCGGTTCCTACTACTTAAAGCCATTTACCGCTTTTCGATCGTTGTTACTGATGCAAAGCAAAGAAGTGAAGCTTTAAACCTTAGCCTCTTAATCTTTTTATCCTCCTTGTAATTCATTTTTTATGACTCTCTGTTATCTTTCGGAACATAAAAGTCATTAAAAATAGGAAATATCGATATCTTGTTTAGATCATTTTGAAAATTAGACTTTAAATAATATTAAGTGGGTGATTAGAAGAAGGTAAGCTGTATAAAACTTTAAATAAGATTCTCTCCACTTGAAAGAATCTTAATGAAGGATGTATGGAGGGTTTTAAATCCTCACATTTGTGTTTCTTTTTTTTAACACTTCGTAGAACTAGTAGTCGAATGGGAGGGATTTAGAAACCAATGCCACTCAATTAAAATTGGCTTTTCTTTATTTCCTTTTTAATGGAATCCAATTAACGATTGATAGCAATTTAAAGACTTTTCCTCGATATCTGAAAAATAATCGGAATGTTTAAAGATTTTCGATTAAAAACCTACCTTTCAAGATGAACAAAATCAATTAATAAGATTCTTAATAGTGACCAAAGGTCGAAATTCTGTATTTTCCTGTAATTATAAGAATGACTTCAATTACGGGCTGAAAGATTCTGGTTGCTTAGTAATTGGTAGAAAGACTAAGGACTGATTGATATAAATAGCTTGTCGAAAATGACTTTTCCAACTTAATTAAGTTATGTCCGCAATTTTTAAAAAAAATAATGTTTAAAATTGTTCGTGTTATTTTCTCTTCGAGAACAAAGTTCAAACGGTGATGACCTAAAACTATTCCAGCTCGATCTATAGCCAATTGAAGTTATCAGATATTGATCTTTTCTCACTGGATGGAACCTATCAAAAAGATATTATTAAAAAGATACCTAAAAGTATAGGTCCATAAAAAATAGATATATTATAATTGTATCAGTGTAGGATCAAATAGCTATTTATTTTTGGTCCCGGATGCGCTTATTTAGACCACTCAGGATTGATGTTGGATAATTACCGATTTGACATCGAATTTGCTACAACGATGAATCCTCTGATCGAAAGATTACGGAAAGGTGGGGGAGAATGAAAAGAATGTAGAACAGAAAAACAGACTACGAATAGAAAACATAATATTAACTTCCTGTAGCCGGAAATGCTGTAGGAACCCAAGAATAAGGATGTTACGACCGAAGGCGAATTATGCTTAGGTTCACATAAGAAGAAATCTTACATTATTTACACAAAACAAGTGTATTAGAGCACTCATAGTGTTTTCCACTTTGTTGATTTTACCCGAATCTATGTGATAATATTGATAAAAATTGTTTCTTCTAACAGATAAACGTCAATTTCCGCTAGATTTTCTATTCCTTTTTTTTGGAAAAAATAACAATTTCGATAAAACTTGTTTTTTTGATTGCAAGTGAATGTTTGGAGTTTGTTACATAAAATAAGGCTCGTCAAACTCAACAAACGTCCAAACTGCACCCTTCAATTACATCTCTCAAAAAAATGGTATTAATACATATCAAGCAGTGTAAGCCTAGTCAATAGAGAGAATTTCTTTACATCAATTTGAACATTACTGTACTATATTTTCTTTAGCAATAGAAATGCAAGTCTAAATATAACCAACAAAGGATTAAATTAAATCTTTGTTATATATTACTTTTGTAATAAGGTTATGAATTTGTCAAAAAATATATTTGCAGCAAATAAGTGATACGTAAATAAATTACTAGCAAAGTATTAGTACTAAAGAGATTAAATGAACTAGGAGCTATTCGTCTCACGAGAATAAATGCATCAAAATCCCTTGTGTCAAGATTATGGAGAAGAATTTTCGAATAGGAGAAAAAATCTCTATTCACCCTCCTAACGGTTACTGGGTGGCAGGTGCGAAGCAGTCAATTATTAAGGGAAATACCGGTCGTAATTATATGAAACACGAAGTTTATTATTGTTGATTTCCAACCCTAATCCCAATTTGTAACAGTCGACAGTAATAATGCCTCTTCCTCAAAATGGGCTTGTAATTTACGATCTCTTTAAGAAATTCTCTTTACTGTGGTCCGTGCAAATATCTGAATAATTCCAATTCCACCGTTATTCAATCGCCATTTAAATGATTTTTAGTCTCTTCTTTCATACTGTCAAGTATTGAAAAGCGTGTGTTCTCACCAAGTGCTATCTCCATTCAAAAGAGAGATGACTGAAATTATGAATAAACGTTGCTATGGTAATGGCTATATTATAGCTTTGAAAATGAATTATTCGACATTCGAAACCGATTATCCCTTAACGTATGATTTTATCGATAACGATTAATTTTCTTTACTAAAATCATTTCGATTTTTTAAGGCGATTTCATAAGGAAACATAAAACAACGTCCATGAATTTATTAAGTATTTTTCTTTTCTAATCATATATTTAATTGATTTATAGTTTGGAAGTCTATGGAAAAATGGCTGGACTAGTTGATAAATTTCATATGAATGATCGATAAAATCATTGATACATCATTAGAAGTAGTAACTGCTACATAAAAAAAAATCGCTAGTCTATTGAATATCCTTTCTGGTTTTTCGTACAGAAACAAATTTTATCAACATATTTTCTGGAAACATGTACACTCTTCGACTTTCCTGACAGTTTCTTTCAATAAACTAATACTTTAATCAAATAGGTTCCAATAGGCGACCATAAAGTCTAGAATTATGTACTTGTTCAATACCCTCTTCGTGATGTTGTAAATCTTGATTATCCTCGTCAAGAGACTCTTTTAATGAGTCGACAAGAACCAGCGTCAATGTATCCGTGAAAGCCTTTTCGTGAAACCGTCTAAGGCTCTTATGATCAAACATGGATCTTCTATCGGTATAAACTTGAAAATGTTGACTCAGCAAAACATCACTTATTAGACTGTCAAGAAAATATGAAGCATACTCATTAGGGGCTACAAGTTGGCCCTGCCTTGCGGAAAATGATAGCAGATACGATAACGCTACGTGTTCTAGCAGGCGCTCTCCCCCGTCTCGTCGTAGAGCTTTAACATTCCCCTTTCTTTCCTCTTTGTGTATATCACCCATAGCCGATTCAACAACGCTTTTAATATCCATTCCCTCGTCTAAGATGGATGGCAATACAATTATTGCCATTTCTTCTAGCCAAGTTTCTAAGAGTATTGGCGGTAACAATTCATCCCGTAACATCTCGTTCAAAAAGGCGACAAGTAACTCGTGAGCGTGAGCCAGGTGCAGATGGCTTTCGGCAAATTTATTAACATTTTTCCGAACGATCTGAAGGCACTCAGAATGAACTACTTCATCAATAATATTGTTTGCTATTTCATATGACAACTTCTTATCACTCGGATTTTTCAGTAAGCTTGTTGCCTCATTTCGAATTAGACTTTGCAGTTCTCGTTGAAGAAAACCCTCAACAGTATGATCTAATGTACGTTTATCAACACGGAGAGGAGGCTGTTGAAAAATAGCGAAAACATTTCCTTAATTTTGTCGGTTTTACTTATTTATTTTGAAGATCTTACCACGTAAACGTATTTACCGACCAGGGGATCTTCACCAGAGTAATTTGTTGGCCTTGCAGGAAGTATAGGAGGAGGATAAATTGGGTAAGGAAAGTGTTGTGGATACGGTTGCGGCGAAAAGGACGGGTCATCATCATCTTCTTTTGGACTCTTGATTCTTGCTCTACGGGAGTCTGACATCATTGAATTATTGAAAAATTAACGTCAATAAATATACTTGGCGCGGTGCATTATTTAACTTGACAGCGGAAGTTAAAAGAACTGTTTCCTCTATTCCATTCAATATTTTAAAAACTGCCATCTACAGGGCAGAACATACGATAAAATTAACTAAATTAAACGTTTAAATCTTATTAACTTTACTGCCTTATGGTATCTTCTTCCAGTATATAAAATTACGAATAGTCGATTAATTCGTTTTCGCATCAATTTGACACAAAGGCTACAATTTGAATGTTGGCACTCCCGGCAACTCAACGCTGATTGGCTGCTAATCGTCATATGAATATTAAATACAAGGGTCGGTCAAAACTCAGTTCGGAACGCGCGTTTGATGTGTAAAGAGTGAAATGATCGCTCAACTAGCAGGAAATAGAAGAAAAGAGAAAAGATGATATTAGAAGTTGTTTACTTCCTTTGTGGACTATTACAATTTTCCACTACTTTAAAAGGTTGGAGAAACGATTTTTTTAACAACTCCTCTAATGTCGGTAGGATTACACAAGACAAACTGTACGAGAGATTATCCGCAAGAGAATATATCTCGTTACCGTAATTCGACGCTGGCTAGGAAAGCTTGTAGAGTTTCGCGGGTTCTTCCCCGCAAACGCTTGACATTGAAAGATTACAAACTATCAGAAAGCGGCTATTAGTGTCTGCAGTTAGAGTATGCGATTCATTTTCCTCCTACTAGAGTCTTTGTTTTAAATGAATGAAAAAAGAAAAGACTCAGATTAGAAAATTAAATTATTCATTAAAATTTTTGCAATATTTTTGGTTAAAGCGGAGAATTTATGATTCATTCTATTTTGATATAATGCTCTATTTCAGTCATTGTTGGAGTAATGAGAATGAATAGCGTCGTTATTTAGCAACGTTCATTCATTTAATTCGCAATTTATGCTCCATTCTCATTTTCTTTTCGAAATATTAAGATGGAAAAAGAAAACTATATTTATTCCATCTGCATGTAGAACTGTAGTTACATATATTTATAGTTTATGCGCTATATGACAGAGTTTTATAGGCCTCCAGCGCCAACAGGCAAAATGTAATGACGGCACTGTCGTCCCTCGTGCAAAGCACCGAATCTCTCGACTGACAGTTCTATTCACTAACACCACGGACGTATGCAAATGTAGTTAATGAAGCATGATTGCTCATTGTCGTATACCTGGCAGTTAAAGCTCCGTACGATAAAATGTACATAATGTGATAACAATATCCCTTTTTTGTCTTTGAATTGCGTGATTTATTCCTCCCTTCCATTTTCAATTATCGACCCTTCATTTAATGAAAATGAAAAAGTTCAACCATTCCTCAATTATTCAGCGACTAGGAAATTTCACTGATAATCATATATACAATAAAAAAGGAAGCTAAGAGACATGGGAACGAGGAAAATCGGGAGTAATAAAAAGGTCAATTTTTTGCATTTTTCCTCTGCTATTTCATTTTTGCAGACGGTTTGTATCAAAAGTCCTTGTTGTATATATGAAAACAAACCGATCGTTTTAAATTTCTAACACGTGCATGCATTTGTTCGCACGGCTTTCTTTCATATTGATGTTTATAATGAAAAGAGTAAGATTCTTCCACTCCTTTGTTAAAAGGTGGGGTTATTCTTGGAATATTTAAACGAAATATGAATACTCTTTTTGTCTTTTACATATATGTCCATCGCTTGATATATTTGGATCAAGGTGTAGTTGCTTTTCCATCAATTATTCAACGAGTCCGAACACGTAGGCTTTCGGAAAGGGAGGCGTGTAAAAAATCCTACGTCGAATTGCCAATGAATTTTATTATTCGTCTGTATAGAGAGGTAGATAGGACCGGCTTCGACCGATATAGTTTCAATTAAAATACCGACAGCAATAATGTATTCTTTTGTAAGAGGAAAGGAGTAATTTGTTTTTGGTAAACGTTTCGAGGCCGTTCTTTTCTCCGAGTATAACTCAACCATTTGGTCCTTTTTAGAATACATAATGACGCCTCGCGTGACTGACGAGTTCTGATAAAGACCGTCCAGTATCGATTTATAAATGGCGTAGATCGCCGTCCACGATGAGCTTTATAGTCTCCATAGACAAGAGATAAAATAGTCGATATGGCGCACATTCTTCCACTCAGTCACCTACGCCGTTGATCAGTTTACCGATAATCGATAGAGACGACGATGACGACCCAAGATATTTCAAAACCGCTCATTATATTTCGTATGTTAGACCTATGTATACTATTGGAAAATTTATATAGTCTTTTGTCCGACATCATATGTCTAGTATGCATTATGTGTAAACTAGTAAACGTTTTCATATTCTCATCTTTTCTCTCATCTATTATGTAGACATATAGGGACAAGTCCAATTCGAAACATTGTAATATATTAATAGGCTAATATTTCTTATATTAAAGTAGAAAGCCTGATAGATGAGAAAATGTACACATTTTTTTTACTAAACTAGCCTTTTAAATACCGGTGTGTAAACTGCTTTTAGTAGTGTTTATTCTAGGCACAATGGATCGGACGGAAATTAAAAAGACAAGAAAACGTATAAGCTTATAACTCCTCGTCAATAACTGACCCGGATATGACGTTTGCAATCAACTTTGCTGATTTATTGCAGTTTTTACTTTTTCGATCGATATTTGTTTCATTGATTTTTTTCGCCTTCTCTTTATTTTTAAAATTAATGACAAAAAATATTAAACGCGCAAACTGCTCAGACTCGGGCGTCTGTTTTCAGATGATAAGAGAGCACATCATGTTTAAGTAGATGCCGTAAGTTCGAATGTATACGGATACGGCTTTCATTAGCACTCGCAAATTGATGCGATCAGTCGAGAGACTTGTTAGAGTGTACTTAAATATTTCCAGTGACGCCTGCCCCATATTGAATTACGGTCATTCAAAATCGGATTAAACGTGACGCCTTTTCTGTTCCGTCACTGTATTAGCGAGAGAAAAATGAGGATGTCTTTATTCGAGAGTGAAACGCTTTAAACGCCGATTTGGAGAAAAAAGCGGTGACTGGCATCTAATCACTCTAATGATGCGTGCAAATGTTCGTTTACTCCACTTTTTTACATGTGCGTTCTTTATTGAATGCATTGCTTATTCTGTCGCGTACGCACCCCACAAATATTTCTCATATTACATAATCTCATAAAAAGTAAGCTTCTTACCCGATGACAGTTTCCATCATAAAGTTTGATATTTCCCTCTATTATCCAATCTTACTTTTCCATTTTTTTTTTGTAAAATGTCTATTTAAATATTTCATTTATGATTTTTTATTATTTCAGTAACAATCTATGATAGCTTAACAACGGAAAATTACAACTCGTGGGAGAGAAACAACAAACGGGCGGTAAGTTTTCATACTTCTTTTACTGCAAAGATAGAACTAGCCAACAGTACGCTGCATATTAACGATCAGTAATCGAATTTACAGCCGCCGGTTTGTTTATACGAACATTTTATGTGTTGTTCCGTTGCCCTTTCTTTCGCCCTAACTTCTCCATCCTATAGTTTCAATTAGGCCAAGTTCAGTAAAGAGGACAAAAAGTCGAAAAAGGCCAAAAAGTAACTAACATATATAACTTTGGAAAGTTTAACTCAAGGGGAGACTCTAGAGACGGGGAAGGGGGTAAAAGCGTGATTTTGTTGACAAAGTCTATCGTTTCAGTGCATTTAGTAAGTACGTGCCGTTTGCTGTATATTATTCTTTTCCTCCCGTTTGCTCTAGCCAAATTATTTCCATCGGCCTACCAAGCAGATCGGCAGCTGTCGCAAACTTATGGAAAAAGGCTAATATTTGTGAACGCGTTTAAAAAATTTGGCTGCAGGGAATGACACCTGCGCCGCTTGTCCGATATGCTTCCATTGTGACGAAGTGAGTGCCGCCCATTACCACCATTAGGCCTTAATCGAATTGTTTGATTGATTCTTTCTCGGAGGAGGCCGACAGGTTCGACTTTCTTTGGGATAGAAGTTTTTGTGCAACTTCGTATGGGTTTTAGGTTGAATTTATAAGTAAATCGGGGTTAAATAGCGCCTTTCAACTCTTTTCTTTTGAATGTTATCAGACAGCTGCACAGCCAAGCATCACGTGATGGAAAGCCATCCATCAATTAAGTCAGTATTCCGTATACACAGTACAGTAATATAGTATACGTATATTGCATAGATGAGAACATACAAAAATATATATAAATACATATTTATACGCAATATACAATTTATCATATATAGTATATAGAGTGTATATATATAGTACATTTTATGTGCAACATTATTATATTGTGTCCAAAGTTATCTATAAATACCATATGTGAATGTGTGAACATAATTTGTGTATTTGTTTAAAGTGAAAAACTTAACTGTTATATATATATATATATATATTAATATATATATATATATATACAGTATATACATTTATAAATAGTATAGACAAATATATGCAAGATAGAGAGAAAATAGATAAGGAAACGTGACTATTCTAATATTTAAATTTTAAACTTTTAACAATTTGTAGACGGAAACATTGTTACCGCTACTTTGTTAAATGTTTTTCCAACTTAGTCATCCTATTTGAGCTTTTCTTATTTATTGAATAGTTTAAATTTTTCCTGCCAGGCCGCTTTTCAATCTCTTAAATAATAATAGCTACTATCGTTAAACCAATTACAATTAAGAGTATCAACGTCTCCGGCTATTCTTAGCTATTCAGCAACCATACGTCTTATTGTATATTTTATGATAGATGGTAGCTAAAGCCACTTATAACGCTCTTTCAATCGTCCATTATCCGGTTTGGATTGATTTGAAAAAAATTGCACGATCCTATCGATTTGCTCTTCTAATTTACGCGTTCATTTGCATTTCAGATTGCAAACCGAACACTATCTCATGCAATTTACTTATTACGTAATCTTTGTCTCAAATTACCTACCAGTTATATGACGTCATTACGAGCGTCGATAAGCTTCCCAGCCCCCAGCGTTAATTCTCCATAGTCCATGATCAAAGATTCCGCTCTTTCTATACCATTCTCGCGTATCGGTAACGCTAAATTTACTCTCTTTTTCTTTCTTTTTTCAAAGCACTGTATATACAGAGCTTGTGCAACCTACTTGGGTATTAGGAAACTAGAGTGTAACTCCCAACGAAAACATCCTATAGTGCGAGTATTAATATTGTATACATTTGTACAATCAGAGCGTATTAAGCCCACGGCCGGTCAGAAGCTGCCGGTTGGTTAATTGGTTTACGTTAATTGCTTTAGAGTTGTTTGTTTGTCCGCTTACTGCAATCACTAATGATATATACATGCAGCATGCTTTTTCACTTTTGCCATTTCAGAAATCCTATTTCGTTCTATTACCCTCGTTTTGAAAGCAAATATATCGTCTATAATCTGTTACTAATAGAGTTCCGACAAAGTATATTTCTCTGCCTTTTTATCTTTCCAATAAAATCTCCTCCGTTTTTCAGTTTTTCTTTCTATTCTCTCCAGCTCTCTTTCTCTCTTTCTTTCTCGTTCGCCTTCCTTTTTATCTCTTTCTTTCTTTCATCCTCACTCTATCTTCATACACATTTACACCATCCGACCTTTAAACGGCTTACTCGTTTCCAATAAACCGATGCATACTGACCTTTTATTCACCGTTGTTCACAGTGGGAAGAATCTTCCATATCCGCTCCATTCTTGGCTCCCGGACCGATAAGCAGTATCGGCGTCTGTTCTAAGGGAACACGCTCTACTAGTTCCTGGTTACGCTCTCCATTTATGACAATTGGGGAGGAAGCAACAGAATTAGAAATCGAATTGTCTTTTCTTATGCGAGATTGTGAAGATCTCAATAACAAAGATGACAAAAAGCAATGTAAGCATTCATTTACCTTACTTGCTTTCGAAGCGTCAGATGATATAGCTAACAATTTGACTCCGGGTTGGAGAAAGTCATCATGGGAAGTTATCAAGCAAATTCCTGGGACTAAATTATGGCGAGCACAAGAAACACGTTATGATGACTTTTTAATAAATTATCTAAATGTCGAAACATATAAATTTCGGCCAAAGAAGAAAGGATTTTACATAGCTCTATTGGACGAGGGCTCTTGCACTCATGTTGTTAGAATTCAGTTATCTCACACAATATGTAAAGCTCATACAAGGAAGCTGGCTTACTTTAGAAACACTTCATCTCTATCAAGCGACGAGCCCACCCCGCCCAAAATCACTGGTAGTTGTGTATCGAATACTCAGCCTAGAGGTGCTAGCCCACCAACAATGTATTGTTCCTCGACCGGAAACTGGTACGACATACAGGGCGAATGCGTGTGCAAAGCTGGTTTTACGATCAACGACGCGGGTAACGAATGCAAAAGTAAGTGAATGATTGATGATTGTACGCGGCTAGATGGTTGCGTAATCTTACTTAATCACCTTCTTTCATTGCCCGCCCGCAATCTGTCTGTTCGTGCGCAACCAACCGGGTTAAAAAATAATTAAAGAGTAAGAGCGTCGAATTCAAGACTAGATCATTGATTAGCAAAACATCCATTAGGCGATTTTGTTTGCTGTGCGGCACACGACACCTCCGTTGTTAGCACACTCTGTAGACTGTTAACTGAGCAAATAAGTATCCGTTTTTTTATGATATATTTTCTCTTTCTCTGATTTTCAGAATGCAGTAGTGGAAACTACAAAATTTCAACTGGTAATACGGCTTGCTTGCCCTGCCCAGATTTCTCACAATCCCCCTTAGACGACTCTAGCAGAAAATATTGTTCTTGCGTATTCGGCTATTACAGACACGAAAATGATGACCTCAGTAAGCCGTGTACCAGACCACCATCTAATCCACGTCGGTTACAGAGGGTAGAAGCCGATCAAAGGAAAATTAAGTTGTCTTGGCTGCCGCCCGAAGATAATGGAAAACGCAACGATCTTTATTACAAAATTGATTGTCACAATTGCGAGAAAGATGTAGTTTACGAACCTAGTCGAGATAATCTAAAGGAAACATGGTAAATTATATAATATGATCTTATTTCATGTTTAAACTATTTGAACAAACAGGGCAATTTTAAAAAATCTACAACCAGATCAAAAGTATACAATAGTAGTTTCTGCCCTAAATGGTGTGTCGTTGCAAGCATCTTTATCAGCAGCTGATTCTATTAAATATTCAAAAATTACCGTCCGGACTTTACCGCCATTATTAAATCCTCCAAGCAATGTGGAAGTGAAAGTAAAAGAAAATAAAATTACCATAACATGGAAAGAGCCTGTCGGTAAACATTCTCAGCCCGTTCAGTTCTACGAAATCGAATATAGAGATGACACAACTGACGGGAAGAGGGCAGAAAGGTTAAGGGCTTTCAACTTGAACGCCACCTTTACTGATTTGTTATATGATACTCAATATATATTCCGAGTAAGAGCTGTTGTTGGGGACACTCTAAGCAAATTTAGTCCTCCAGTCTCTGCTCGAACTAGTAAACTTTCAACTGTTGATATTGAGAGAACAAACAACAATCCTGAGAGATTTGGCTCTAATGAACAAATTGGCATAATTATTGGTTCAGCAATAGCTTTTGTTCTTATCGTTATTATCTTGGCTGTAATGATAATTATTTTCTTAAGACGGTAAGAAACAAAATTCTCTTGTCGTATGTTATACTGTAGATATATACATATTAAATTTCGTACAATTATTCCTTTAAAGTTTGACAAGCCTTTGAAAGAAACTTCTCAATGAGCGCGCAAATGTTTTACTTATATTACATTACTAGATAGCACAAAATGGACAAATTCATTGAGAATAAGTTTCAGTTCTTAAAAGAGTAGTCTTACATGCCTTCCGATTATCCATTATTTTATATATTTAGTTAAAACTCTTTTCCTGTATCGATTTACTTTCTTTACTCCCGTCTAACAATCTTCTTTCATTGCAGTAATCAGACAGGATGTGGCGATAAATCGGCCAGTGATTGTGATGCCTTACAATACCATAACGGTAAAATATTATATACTTTTTAAAGCTCGAATAAATCGTTATTGTTTTAAATTACGCAGGAGCAATACCATTTCCCATAACTGACCATTTGACTTTGGGTAAAAAAGAAGGTATAAAAATAGATCTTTTACCTCGCACGCACACTTTTTCTCTGAATAATCCATCACAATAAAAAAAAATGATTTTTGCAGCTGTAGCACCTTATAACGCCCCAAGTAGTGGAAAAACTTATGTCGATCCACATGATTACGAAGATCCAAACGTTGCTGTCAAACAATTTACCAAAGAAATCGACATTTCTTTTATTACTATTGAAGAAGTGGTGGGTGGTGGAGAATTCGGAGATGTGTGTAAGGGAACACTAAGATTTCCCTCATCTGGTATTGTTAAAGAAGTAGCCATTAAAACACTTAAGCCAGATAGTAATGAAAAGGCACGTCTAGATATTCTAACTGAAGCGTCTATTATGGGTCAGTTTAGCGATTCGAATATTATATATTTAGAGGGAGTAGTCACTCAGTCTTCTCCTATAATGATTGTTACTGAGTATATGAGAAATGGTAGTTTAGACAAGTTTCTTCGAAAGAACGATGGGGCTTTCAACATAATGCAATTAATCGGCATGATGCGCGGAGTTGCGAGCGGAATGTGTTATTTAATGGAGATGAGCTATGTGCATAGGGTGGGTGGTTTTCTTTTTTAGTTAATATATTGTATAGTGTAAAATTATATTTCCCCCTCATATTCCTGTAGGATTTAGCTGCGAGAAATATTCTTGTGGACGAAAATTTAGTATGTAAAGTGGCCGATTTCGGACTATCAAGGGAATTGGAAACGGATAGAAGCGATTATACAACCCGGGGCGGCAAAATACCAGTAAGATGGACTGCACCAGAAGCTATAGCTTACCGGAAGTTCACCTCCTCTTCAGATGTATGGTCATTTGGAGTAGTCGTATGGGAAGTACTAACTTATGGAGAGCGACCATATTGGAACTGGTCGAATCAGGATGTAATTAGAGCTATTGAAGATGATTTCCGATTACCTCCCACAATGAACTACTGTCCTAGAATGTTATACGATCTGATAATAAGATGTTGGCTATATGATAGAACTCAAAGGCCCAGATTCAATGAAATTGTTGTAGAATTAGATCACCTTTTGAGAAATCCTTCACTCATGTCAGACGGCATAACAGTTTTCAAAATCGATATAGATCCGAACCGTTACATTCCGCCTATCAGGACTCACTGCTCCGTTTCCGAATGGTTACGTATTCTAAATTTAGAGCGTTACACAGATATATTCTTAAAGAGTGGTTTTTCGGACATGCGACAAGCGAGTCATTTAACTAGGGATCATTTAGAATCTATGGGAATTACGTTAGCAGCCCATCAAAGGAAACTTCTAAGTTCCCTGCAGACAATCAGAGCCCAGCTTTGCCATTCGCTTCCACACGTCTCAACAGATGGAGCTTTTATGGTCTAAAAATTCTGATTTTTCTCATTCTTTCTTTGATGAATCATTCAAAACAGGGTCATTTAAAAGAAAATGCATGTGATGTTTTTAAGCTAATGTGTCTTTTATGAGTGTCGTGAAAGAAAAAAAGCTTGTTAAATATGTTATTTACACAATTTCTAGTCATCTATGCATAATAATATAAGGGTAAACATTTTATATCGGTGCCAATATATAATTCAAGTATACATTAATATATGTATATTTACTAATATATATATATATATATATATATATATATACTATATAAAGTATATATGATTTTGTACTAGTTACAACTGTATTCAGTTGAAAATTTATGTATAATACAATATTAAATAAACATTTAATATCTTTCTATCAAATGATCTAATAGATATGTATATAAATATATTAATATATATCATGTATTCTGATTTCTTCATTTGATTATTCTAAATCTCTAAAGGTACAGCTGCATATCTGTGGTTATCCATCTGAATCGGAGTGATTTATTTGTATATTATCTAGACATTTGAAAGAGAGAAGTGACACTTGGGAATAGCCGAATCCTCCGCGAATAATTTCCATTATTTTTAGGCGATAATGAAAGTTTCTCTAAACTTCAAAGACCCGTAGAGAAAACAACAAAAGATAAATGCTCTGAAAACAAAACTAAAGGTTGAGGTTATATTGTACCAAGATTCTTCTAAGGGACGGAAATTTCTATGTAAAATCTATTAGGTATAGAGTGACAGCCATCTCACCTAATCAAAATATGAAGAGGATAGCTGACTTCATTTACTTTGACTTGTCACATATTTTCCTTGCTATTACTTATCTAAAAGCAAACGAAACTAATATATCTTCCTTTTTTTCGCAATAGAAACATCTAAACAATAAAATATTGATTTTTGTTTAAAATTTTAATAACTTGTTATGAATTATGTTTTATGCACCGTTTTCCAATTATCAAATATGCTTATAATTGATTGTTTAAACGAGAATTAATAATTGTATAACATACAATCACCAAATTTGTAATTAATCGAGTAAAAAACTAATATATAGCTCCCTCTGTTGGAGTTAACAGGAATAAACTGACATACTTCAATAACTGTCTTATGCACAACCTATTTCGTATTTTTATCATTATTAAATATCTCTTGTAAGAACTGTATTAGACAATAATAATCAATTGAATTAAGATCGTATATCACACTTTCGATCGTAAAACCTTTTATGCAAATGACTGCAACTGTCATTAGCATACTATCACTTGTTATTCTCATTGAAGTACACTTTGTGTTTTAATTCAAAACCTGTCTATATTTAATTATAGTAGCTAGATGAGTTTTCTTTAAGTTAGAATTGTCACACTCAAAAACAATTGCAATTAGCAAAATTTAGAGTTGGAAAAATAATTAAAATACTATAATTGCTTGGGAATTCGACAAACAATTAAAGTGTATGATGTAATTAAAAAAGAAACTAGCTAGCTCATTTTCAGTAATATTATCTGCACTTGCCAGAGCAAGTGTTTTCTTGTCTAAAGAATGGTTTTACAAGATATTATCACTAAGTAAGCTTCTTTTTATAAGCTAGATTAATGATCTATTCTGTTCATGACAAAATGCGAATTCGCCGCTCGCTTTGTGTGACGTTACAAATTACCAATTAATTGCAAAGTGAAAAGAAAATTAATTTGTTTAATCTACCGAAAATTATGTAAAATTCTCTAGAGGTACACAGCAGTGTTCATTGAATTCACCGTGAAAGAGTGAAATTCCCTGTTAGAATTATGTAACATTTGAAAGTTCTCTTTGTTGTGAAATCCGTTTGTTCAAATCTTTTCACTTTGCTATCGAATTAGCTTGATTTTGTTCTGAAAACAATAAGCTATTATGAGCTCACGATTAATCAAATACAAAGTGGGCATTTCTTTGAAAAAAAACGCCTTTTCTTTTAATTATCTCTCAGATGTATCAATCTCCCACCTGAACTTCTTTGTTGTTAACGACAATAGAATGATGAAGAGCATGTGTAAGGGTGTAATAATTGCTTTTTGGTAGTGGATCAAACAAATCTGGCGCTGTAATAAGTCTTAGAGCTTTAATAAATACATTGCTTTATTAATTCTATATAGTTTATCCTTAGGAAAACAGTTATTTGATTGAAATTATAATGAATTGCAAATTTCCATATTCTACTGAGAATTCGTGTAGCATTAACAAAAAAATATATCAAGGACTTATTCGGCATTCTCACTCTCTCTGTCATCATGCTCTGAAATGAGAATTTGTTAATGGCAGTCATCAGAATTATGATTTTTTTATTCTAACCTTGAGAGCTTAGACTATGACGCAACATTCGGAGCATGAAGAGAGCCGGTAGGGTGATAGTGTCGCGAGATTCCTCAAGTAACACAGCATTTCTCTTTACTAATTCTTCAGCAACGCTAGGATCAAAGTCATCCTTTTCAGCGGTAGGTGTTATAATTTTTATTGAATAATCTATACCACTTGCGGCCAAAACTTTTAAGATGATTGAAATAATTTTATAACAGTTAGATTAGCAGAACAACTTTATTGAAAATCATAGATACCTGGACCGAAAGGATGAGGTTGAACACAATTGACTACTCTTGAATCTGCTTCAATTATCATAACTAGATTTCCAGAATCTCTTCTCCAGAAAAAGATATGACCGCAGTCACTGCCACTTATAATATGATGTTTTCCCCAAAAATTAGATTGCTTTATCTAAAATGAATGAAATGAAATGTCTATACAATCTGTGTAATGATTTATAGAAAAACTTATAAAAAAATATTTTTACCATTGTCCTTGAATTTCTATGTCCTCTAAAAACTTGCAATAGCTTTGGCTTAAACAACTGTTGGTCTTCATTATCAGTATCGGCACTAGATGATGCTACTGAATTAAAATTGGCTTTGTTGTTACCATTTGAACGTTCTCGAACGGCTGTCCCTCGTCCAGCAGACAAAACATTTTCCGGAGACTGAGGTGCTGGCGGTGGTGAGGGAGAGGGTGGTTCATGATCAGAATCTGATGACATAGAGGATGACGAAGAAGTTGATGCAGAGTTTGTAGGTTCATTTTCTGATACCTGCTCGTCTCCTCTTCGACGACTATACCAACGAGTCAACATATCAGTCATTCGGTTTAACAATACTTCGCTTCGCGTTCTTTCTCTGGTTGGATCTGCCCTTCCCCTCGGCATTGCACGAGGACCTGTATCGGTCCAATCACCTCTTAAACGTATGTTTCGAGGTACGACTTTTTTCAATTTTTCTGTCTGTTTTTGTGGTAAAACAAATTCACCGTCTTCAGATCTTGTCAGGTCTATTAGATAAATATCCTCTCCACAAAAACTAGCAAGCAGATTTTTCCCAGTTTCGTCGAAGGATAAAGAAGTTACACGATGCTGGGGAGAGGAACTAGGAAGCTGAAATTTTGCGTACAGTTTGCCACACATCATTCGACTATCTAACAAGCAGACAGAATTGTCAACGCATCCAATAGCTATCTGATAAGGATAATTTTCGTTAACTGCCATAGCTGTTATTGCTTTGCCCTGTCTGTAGATTATATTCTTTTCGCAACCGTTGCAAGAACATTCAGTTTTTGTTTGAAGATCAAAGCGTCTTACAGTTCCATCTTCACTGCAGGACAAAAAAACATGATTTTCTTCGGGTAGAACAGAGACTTCATAGACAGGCATTGAATGACAATGAAATCCTCTGTTGTATGCTGGTACATCAAACTGACTATAAAAAATAGCCCCATCGGCCGATGAGCTTACCACCTATTAGAATAAAAATAGTAAATTAGAAATGAATAAGTTACAATGTTAAATATAAATAAATCTCGCCTCGTTATCATTAGATGAAGGCAAAAATTTTGCACTAAAAATATTTGCTCTGTGTCCTGTTCTTAAGGATTGCACTATCTTCCCTGAAAAAGGATCAGTAACAATTAAGTGTTGATCATCTGACCCTGACAGGATAAGAGTGCCAGTCTTATTCCAACTAAGGGTATTGACGCATCCTCGATGCACATTTAAAGTACTCTCCAATTTCAATCTACCAACTAAATCTAAAGAAAAAAGCGAAATAAGGTTTTGATCGAAACTAGGATAGAATTTTTTTCGCTTCTGCATTACCGAACAGCGGAACATGAATATTTGATTTCCTTGCTTGAGATTGACGAATGAAGAGTGTTTCTGGCAAACTTATCAGGTTGTCCCGCATTATGTTTGGTCCAAAAACTTAACATAACACTTTTAAAGATTCGTATTATCTAAACGTATACATACTAAATATATATATATATATATATATATACAGTATATATATATTTTTATTGGTAGTATATTTGTGTAGATGGCGCAGTGTATATCAATATAAGGCAATATACGGAAATACCTAAGATTTATTCGGAAAATTCAATAAATATATTTGACTTAAAAAAAGTAAAAATTCTTGAAAATAATAAATAACAAAACAAACATTACAGTTTAGACTTAAGTAAATTAAGCATAATAGTTTTCAGAACTATACTTCAGTCATAAAACGAGTGATAGCTCGAAGGACATATAATAATTCAGATTGTAGACGAGCCTCTGCTATGGTCAATACTATACGAATCTTTTCGGTTTGATCATATTGCTCAAGAAAACGGTCAAACGTCTGTTCCACTTCTTCAGGTTTACAAGCCACTTTTTTTATATAACTTTTCCATGGCATCTCTAATAGGGCATTCATCTCACTATAGTCATAATCATCGTGTCTTATTCCAAATAAACACTGAACGTAATCCCAAACCGATCGACGAAACGCGTCAACATCCGATAGAGCGGCATTAAACTTGTCATCTAAAATTGTTCCTAAGTCAGTAAATAACCTATTGCTTAGGCTAAAGCCCTGATCTTCCCAGGAAAACTCATGAACACGAAAGGCTGATGCCATATTAGGCTTATCTCGTTCAGTAAAGTCCTTTTTCTCATCTTTCATATCTTTAATTTTATCCATTAATCTCACAAAACCTTTACGACGAATGGAAATACCAGCACCTTGAACAAAGGAAGAAAGAGAATGAAAATGAGCCAGTAAGGCAACAGCATGCATGAGTTCAGAAAGTGTCCATTTACTCTGACCCCTCGTCAATTTTTCAATGTGCGTCTTATCGATCAACCAAGGTCGATGAGCCATTAGTTTATTTAGCTCATTTAAATCTCGGAGTTTTTGTGGACAACATTGCATACCAGAAAACCAGTTTATATCACCATCTTGTAAGACGAATTCGAATGAATGCAGTCGAATCAGATAATCACAATAATGTCTTGCACTTGCCTGAAATAAAGTTATTAAATAAATAAGAAATAAGATTCGAAATGGCAAACTCACAATAACAGCTATATAATGTCTATATTTGTAAGGTAATGGTCCATCTTTGCGTAGGAGAAAATCACGACTTTTAATAAAAGCATCGGAATATGAGGAATGCAGGTTATAGAGTGTGTCATCAACGACGTTTGTTAACCGATTATTACGAAGAACCTCTTCAGCGAAAAGGCCTATCTTGTTATTTGAGTCCTGAAAAAAATACAAGCTGTTTCTTAAAACTACTCGCTAACTTATCCGGTTACTAGGTCGCTTAATTGCAAGACAAATATATTATGAAATATCTTATAATTTACCGTCTTAGATAAGCTTTCTAGAACGAGTGACAAAACTTGTTCCTCATTTTCATCCTGCTAAACAATTTATAAGAATGATACAATTTGATTCCTCGACTATAGGAAAAAAAAAATTACTTTGCTAAATAATTCTTGTAAAAATGCTACGAGATGAGAACCGCCGCCATTCGTGTTAGACAAAGAAGCGTCCCCCGGACCGTAGCTAGCAGAGTATTTTTCTTCTTCTTTATTATTATCTTCTTCCCAAGTAACTTTTTTTGGTATAAATATTGTAGAACTGACATTTGAAAACGATCTACAGCGTTTCATCATCGCTTCTCAGCTGATTGTCATCGCCGCCAATGACCTTCACCTTGTGAACTATCCCGGCATACATTATTCCGTCCACGGGGTCAACAAAGGGCACGCTTAATTATCTAGTATTCTCTAAAACTTTTGCCCAAACATTTTGTAAAATAACTTGATAAAACAGAAAATATCTAATATTGTTTTTTCTTAATCAATAAGAGTTCTAATGATCTTTTCTTAGCGGGTTATCGGGAAAGCGCGAGATGCGTGCCACCCCTATGGTAAAAAATTATTCGGTGACCTCATTTCCAGCACTTCAAAGTGGCTTTAGAATTAAATGAGTAACTTTAGGTATATGATATACACAACTACTTTTCTCTCACATAACCCATTTTCTTCTATTTTGAAAACAACATTTGTAGGCCTCTATCATACTGAGTACTTTTCTTTCTTTGTCTATAAGGTGTTTCATAAAATAGGCGCGAAATTCGAGGGAGCAATTTTCGATTTGCCGTTTAGTGATAACCATATTTGTTTTCTGGAAAACTAGCATCATAAGGCAAGTAACAATTCATGAGTCATTCTATATAATATAATCGTGTTGAAAAAACAAATCCATACTTCTGTCATTAAAATAACAATAGTTGTAAAAGATTATACGATACTAAGTTTAGAACTATATTATCGCTCAGAAGAGGGCATGATTTCTAACTGTTTTGGCAAGGGTCATTCAAAATTTGAAATTTTTTACACTATTCAATAAATTATCTACAGTCATTAATGCACATTACAACGCTTCCCAAGAGAGTTCAAGGCAACAAGGCAGACTCTAAATAACTTTTCTGGAAAAATTATTTAATTAATTAACACTAATTCGAATGTTTGAGTTGAGAAAAAACGTACGCTTTCATGAGAATTAATCCGCAGACAAGTATGGAAACACTGAGTATAATGGCAGTAGTGAGGATGACTACAATCCACATGCCTGTGCTCGTAAAATACATAATTAAAAAAACGTATTATAAGAATACCCTCTAACCATATGGTAATGATATATATCCCCAAGTAACGCTTTGCCAAAATTCAGCCTTGTGACCTGCTAAAAAGTAAAATTTTGGAACGAAACTCATTTGAAATATATTTTAATATAATTACTCACTAGCGAGAGGTTTAGTAGAACAATTGTGAATCATTCCCGACCATTCAAAATTATTTCTACAATGAATCTTCCATGATTTTTTATTATTTGAACAACCATAATAAAGGTGATTCTCTTTTCGCTTCTGCCACATGCCTTTAGAAAGTTTTATATTAGGACAGCCCTCTATTCTGTATTCGAGCATATATTTAGAAAGCTGACTAGTTTGAGTGGACGGTTCGATGATTAGCGAATTGCTTGTAGATTCGTAAAAATTTTGCCGACGTTTTAGTTTAGAACAAACGCTTCGTTTTCTTTTGACTTCAGTGATTTGCAAACAGAATGGGCGTTTTTTTTGTGTAAAGTCGAGCAAAGTAAGGTTTATCCTTTGTCCAGGTTTGGCAGTGATAGTCCAAGCTAGATGTTTTCGACAAGACTTATTAAAAATAATTTTGCCACCTCGTGGTGATAATACTCCGCATATTTGCTTAGACGGCGTTGGCAGTATGCAATCATATTTTACGCGTAGAAATCCAAAATTGGAACATCTTAGCGTATATTTTCTCGGTAAAGGAGGAAGCTTAAAGCGGCAGGAATTTCTTAGGGAGCATGCTTCATCTAGTCGACCGATTAAATCCCAAACACAGCTACTAGAGGACAATCTTTTATCCTCTGAATGGCACGGATCGGATTCAAGAGCGCCAAATTCGGCGTGTTGAATTATTATTAAATGGTCCTTTTCACATCTTGGAAGGAATTCTTCCCAGCTACAAACATCTCTTTGTAAAAAACGCCCTGTTGATGAATTTTGCTTTGTTATTTATCATATCTATAGATCGAATATTTGCCGCTGGCTTAGTTTGGATTTCGGATCGTTAATCGATTGTAGGCGGCGAGTCCGATTATATCTTTTCTTTTAATAAATATATTAAAGTGTCGAAACTAGATTTAAAACGAGATAAGGTATATGAAGGAAAACATTGAAGTTCTTTATTCTTCATATCTATACGAGAAAGGCGATGATGCGAAAAGACATACTCTTCTAGTCGTTTACACTCGACTTTATAATCAGTGTAGTGCTATTATTTTAGCTACGTTTCGTCAATTATACTCTCAACTTTGGTTAATGCTTTCAACACAGCTTTGCTAAGTCGTGTAGAGAGGAACGAGCATTAGAATTCCCTGGATATCGATACATCCAATCAAGTCCGATAAAACGCCGCTAGTATACGGCGAATATAGTTAACGTTGTCAGTACGCGCATCTATAAACCGTCAATAGGCCAATTTAGCGGCGTTTTTTCTAGCAATGGACGCCAGTTGTAATCCTCTTCTGTCTCCCTTTCTAGTTTGTCTATATCATTCAATCTATCTATTTGTATGTCTAACTCAACCAATCTATAAATACCCCGTGTTCTTAAATGTACCATTATTTGCTTTTATGTACTTGCGCATATATCTTATATATAGATTCTTTTCTTTGCAATGTATACTAATAAGAGTGTCGTCCGACAGATTTCTCTCTAATTCAACTAGACGCTGCCTCCGAGCTTCGCTTTTGCGCACAAATTGAATGATCTCTGCCGGCTAAACGCGTTCGTTTTCTCTTTCCCTACCATTCATCGCAGTTGTTTGCTACGGATATCGAACGTCCTCCACTTTAAAATCGGTATTTTACTGCTAAACGCTTTCATGTATGCCGCCCCTTCTAGTACCTCCCTCCTTACTAATTATAATCACCTTATTCAATCGTAATTTTTGCTTACAATCAATGATAGTTGTTCTTTACTTACCCTGTGATACGATGGAGAGTACTAGGAAAAACGCGAACGGTCGTTGTCGGACGTCAAACATTTGAGTGAGTTTTACTGGCGTCTAATTGGCTGTATTATCCGTCTAGTGCAGCGTCTATGGCGCTGTATCAAACGTTCGCCGCGTAATAACGTTCTGCGCCAGTGTAGGGAATCGAGCTGGAATATTTTTAGTCTCGCGTGCGCCATTTTACTAAACGTAGTTTTGTCTTGTAGATAATTGCGGAAGTTCATTGACGGAGCACTTGCATGCAGACGGCGAATTATTTAGTCTACCAAGGCGAAAAGTAAGAAAAAGGGAAAACACGAGAAGACTTAAATGCCTGAGAATCTGTTTCATGCCTTTTTAGTGCGTATAAGAGCGTATGAGCGTATAAAACTTTATGTGGTTAATGAAACGAAACTGAATACAAATTCGCTTACAGGCGGGAGGCACAGCCGGCTTATCTGTCGACGTCATTCTTTTTCCAATCGATACAATTAAAACTAGACTTCAGTCGACAGAAGGGTTTCGAAGATCGGGAGCTTTTCGACGAATCTATTCCGGAATTGGCTCTGTTGCCGTGGGCTCAGTACCCGGAGGTGTTTTTCTATATTGACGCCGAAATGCTAAGTAATCAATATATCTTGTTTAGCTGCATTATTTTTTGGAACATACGAGTTTACTAAAAATGTGTCAAAACGTTATGTGGATGGACGCTGCCTACCATTGGTTCATATGGCGGCAGCATCAAGCGGAGAGCTGGTATGGAGTAGAAAAACACGCCAATATTGGCTTTCAATGAAAACTTATTTGTTCTTTGCAGATGGCGTGTCTTGCTAGAGTTCCTACAGAGATAGTGAAGCAACGCTCTCAGGCAACACTTTCTCCTTCTTGGGACGTTTTCCGGAAGGTTATCAAAACGGAAGTATGTTCATATTGACCATATGTGTATCTGCAAAGGTTAACGGTCTGTTTCCGTTCGATTTCAGGGTTTAACGGGTTTCTATAGAGGCTATTGGAGCACAGTCGTGCGAGAGATACCGTTCTCTCTATTACAATTTCCCTTATGGGAATATTTAAAAGTTAGCATACCTTATCTTCTTTTAAAGCTAATTATTTACTTGTTTTTGGTTATTTTTCATAATTTTTTAATGAATTTTTAGAATACTTGGTCCTCAAGAATAAAAAAACCTTTAGAGCCGTGGCAATCGGCTATATGCGGTGCAGTAGCGGGTAAGACAGCCTTTCCGATGCCCTTTCCACACGACCAATATTTTTAACGATCTGTTCCCTAATAGGCAGTATTTCGAGTTACTTAACGACACCTATAGACGTTGCGAAGACTAGGATTATGTTAGCTGATGTAAGTTTAACATAAAAGATACTAACAACTTATAAATTGCAATCACTTTGCTTAGAAAAATGATAGTGTGTCCAGAGGAAACGTTATATACGCTATTCGTTCCGTTTACCACCAAGGGGGAATAAAAGGGTTAGAATACCTAATACCTTATAAACGAAATACATCATTCTGATTCACTATTGCAGATTATACGCTGGAGCTATTCCTCGAACTATATGGATCGCTATAGGTGGCGCTATCTTTTTGGGTGTTTATGACTTCGTTTTACAGCAGCTCAGAGACAAGAAAACTACAAAACAAGCTTAGCCAATGTATTGTTTGTAATTACTTCTACTGTTAAAAGGGTTCTTAATTAGAAATTTAAAAATACAGTTTTTCCTTCAATGGTGACTTTTAGACGATGAAGCAGAGACGATCAAAGAGAACACACAGTTACAGAAATATTAGAACTTTCAAAGACTTTTATAATTATTTCGCTAACTTTCTCCCATTTTAGCTGATCTAAACCACAGCCAATTTTAGGCATCATAATTTTTTTAATTTCATTTTGTTCTGCAAATTTTTTCATAGAAATAAGACTATTTTCTAAAGTTTTATAGGTGGGTTTTTGCCAGAATTTTTCCTTTGTTATTAAGTTGATAATATGCCTTCTACCACGTTTAAGAGTTGCAATGTCACCAACATAGGGTTCTAAAAAAAGAGTATAGTCAATTTATACGCGAGCTGCACTCAAAGTTTCTTACTTTGACTCCTAAGTTCGTCTATGCCTCCAAACTTTTTCTTAAATAGTGCCGCGATACCTTTCCCCAAAGCTAAATCCTCGCTAATACAATGAGCCAGTGAATCTTCATCATCCGCTTGTTGAAATAGGTCACCTTTTAGATATTGAATACTGAATGGTGCCTGGTAGTTTTCAATGAAACGAACATAGGAATTAAACGAAAATTTGACAAAATAGTGAAACCTTGGCAATTTCAGAAGTCGAAAAACTCTCATCTTCCGAGCATTCTGATGAAGAAATTTCATGATCTTTTCCTGAGCTTGTTGCCATTTGTTTTGAGTTATAGAAAAAAATATTTAATGCTTTACTTTCATATATATATCAGATGGCTCTGCAACTACAGATGGCGTTTTAACAGAGTGTAAATCGTAAGTTCAAAATGGCGAACATGAGCGTTGCAGGTAATTTTGCTAAAAAATATAGCTTTTTGGAGGTTGTTTAAAATTAAACTGCGTATATAATGTTTATATAAATATTTATTTATCCAAATATCATATTCTTGAATCTTAACTTGGTGTTTAAATAGATACTAATTCCTAAAAAAGTAAACATGCTTTTGATAAGAGACTCTTCTATTTAAAATCATAGATATTTTAATAATGACCGATTTTTTATGTTTCAGGAAAAAATCCTTTTGAAAACACCTTAAAGTCTGTAGAAATTGATGGTGTACAGTACAATTATTATGACATTTCTAATATAGATGAAAAACGATACGGTACACGTCCCCTATTCTAAATAACCTTGAAAATAATATTTTGTTGTTTGTCAAACAGAGCGCCTTCCCTATTCTATTCGCGTGTTGTTAGAATCAGCTGTTCGAAACTGTGATAATTACCAAGTAAGAAAGCTTAAAGAATATTACGAAATGATATACTTTAAACGCATAAATTCAATAGATTCTAGAAAAAGATGTTGAAAAAATACTTGATTGGGAAAAAAATAAGGGTGGTAGCGCTGAAATTCCTTTTAAACCAGCTCGTGTCATATTACAAGATTTCACGTAAGACAGTTATGAAAGATAATTTAACAGTTTTAATATATCGTTTATTAAATAATTTTTTATTATATTATTAATTTTTAATTAGTGGAGTGCCAGCTGTAGTCGATTTTGCAGCCATGAGAGACGCAGTCAAACGATTAGGTGGAAATCCTCAAAAAATAAACCCTGTTTGTCCTGCTGATCTAGTAATTGATCATTCGGTCCAAGTTGATGTATCTAGAAGGTATGTACAAATATTCCTACACCTCTTACTCTGAAACTGATTTTGCTAAAATAACAAATAATTTTTTTAACAAATTCGTCTTTGGACTTTGATCTAGTCACTTATTGATAGATATAAAATAATTTAGTGATAAGTAATTAAAACAATATCTAATACGAGAAAAAAATATATTCATATTTTGCAAAATGGTAGAACTTTGTATTTAAATTTAGCTTAAGCTTAATAATAATGATTGCTAAAACAATCAAATTGGCTTTTGTTGCGTCCGACACAGAACGTTTTTAAGTTAGACATTTTCACTCGGGCGGCAACTGTTGACCATTGATGTATTCAAGGTCTTAAGGCGAGTAGATAGCAATGCTGGTCGTTCGTTTTGCTTTTTAATACGAACTGCATTAAAGTAAATATTTAACGGTGGCTGCCTTTTGCAGCAATACAATCCCAGGCGTTGGGTCTAAACAGTCATGCTCGGCAAATGTTTCAAAAACAAGTGCTCGTTCTGTGTCTTGCGCACTATGTACTGATGCCAAATTTCCTGCTTTCGAAGTTGAATGCCCGTTCCATCGCTTACGAACAAATAGGTATTGGGAAAAATTATCTATAAAACGAAAATGTGAATCTCAATTACAATTTGCAGTGCTGACGCTCTGGAAAAGAATCAAGAACTGGAGTTTGAACGTAACAAGGAAAGATTTAGGTTTTTGAAATGGGGATCAAAGGCTTTGAAAAATATGCTAATCGTACCACCTGGATCAGGCATTGTGCATCAAGTGAACTTGGAATATCTAGGAAGAGTTGTCTTTAATAATGATAACACTTTATACCCTGATAGCTTGGTTGGAACTGACAGTCACACGACGAGTAATTTTTCTTAAACTATATTGTATATATTTTGCATGCAGCTGTGATATTTTTCAGTGATAAATGGACTTGGTGTCGTTGGCTGGGGTGTCGGTGGTATTGAAGCTGAAGCTGTAATGTTAGGTCAAACTATTTCAATGGTGCTTCCTGATGTTGTTGGATATAAAATTACAGGCGAATTATCCGATTTAGCAACTTCAACCGATCTTGTGCTAACTATTACAAAGCATTTAAGAAAAGTAGGAGTTGTCGGAAAATTTGTTGAATTCTTTGGCCCTGGAGTTTGCAAGTTAAGTATTGCTGATCGTGCAACGATTTCCAATATGTGTCCGGAATATGGAGCAACTATTGGTTACTTTGCAGTAGATGAAGCAACCATAAAGTATTTAGAAAAAACGGGTAGAGACGAAAAAGATATTGATAGAGTTGAAAAGTACTTAAAGGCCGCAAATATGTTTAGAGATTTTTCCAATTCTGCACTTGACCCTGTATACTCAGAAATTGTCGAATTAGATTTAAGTACTGTTGTACCTTGCTGCTCTGGTCCTAAAAGACCCCATGACAGAGTGTCAGTTTCAGAAATGAAAGAAGACTTTAAGAGTTGTCTTAACAATAAAGTTGGTTTTAAAGGTTTTGCTATCTCGCCTGAAAAGCAAAACAACAGTATTGAATTTAAATTTAATGATAAAAAATATTCAATTGGACATGGTTCAGTAGTCATTGCTGCTATAACTAGCTGTACAAACACGAGTAATCCCTCTGTCATGCTTGGTGCAGGATTATTGGCTAAAAATGCTGTTGAAGCTGGCTTGGAAGTAAAACCTTTTATAAAAACAAGTCTATCTCCCGGCTCTGGAGTAGTTACGTATTACTTGAAAAAAAGTGGAGTAGATAAGTATCTTGAAGCTCTTGGCTTTAGCATCGTCGGATACGGCTGCATGACCTGCATAGGAAACAGTGGTCCATTAGATAGCGGAGTAGCGGATGCTATTGAAAGTGGAGACTTAGTAGCTTGTGGTGTATTATCTGGCAACAGAAATTTCGAAGGCCGCATTCATCCTCTCACCAGAGCTAACTATCTAGCTTCCCCTCCTCTTGTTATTGCCTACGCTCTGGCCTCTACCGTATCAATAGATTTTGAAACTGAACCAATAGGTATTGGAAAGGGTGGAAAAGAAGTGTATTTGCGTGATATCTGGCCATCAAGGGAACAAATTCGAAAAGTTGAGACTGAGTTCGTCGTGCCTGCTATGTTCAGGGATGTATATTCTCACGTAACTTCTGGTAATAAGGCATGGAATTCTCTAGATACTCCATGTCATGAGTTATACCCCTGGGATGAGCGTTCAACCTACATTAAGAATCCACCTTTCTTTGAAAATATGACGAAGGAACTTTCTCCAACTCCTTGCATTAATGATGCCTATGTACTTTTGAATTTTGGGGATTCTGTCACAACCGATCATATTTCTCCTGCAGGAAGCATAGCACGTAATTCCCCTGCTGCTCGGTAATACGCTATATTCTCTTTCTTTAATTAGGGTAAACTAATTGAAATATTTCTGTGCAGTTACTTAGCAGACAGAGGTTTGGTTCCACGAGAATTCAATTCGTATGGAAGCAGAAGAGGAAATGATGCTGTTATGGCTCGAGGAACATTTGCAAATATTCGTCTATTGAATAAGTTCATTGGAAAAGCAGGTCCTAAGACAATTCATTTGCCATCGGGTGAAACCGTAAGTTTGCTATAACAGTAAATATTCTTTCATTAGCTAAACTTTATTTTGTAGATGGATATATTTGATGCTGCACAACGATATATGAATGCCAACGATCCTGTGATAATTTTAGCAGGTAAAGAATATGGTACAGGCTCATCTAGAGATTGGGCGGCAAAAGGTCCTTACTTGCTGGGAATAAAAGCAGTTATAGCTGAAAGTTACGAGAGAATTCACCGAAGCAATTTAGTAGGCATGGGTATAATGCCTCTTCAATATTTACCTGGTGAAAATGCTGATAGTTTAGGATTAACGGGAAAAGAGCAATATACCATCGAAATTCCTAGTGATTTACACACTATGCACAAACTCAACGTCAAGGTTAGTGATTAATATTTATACGAAATTTTTTTAATTTCTCTTTACTCCAGATGAACAATGGAAAATCTTTCCAAGTCGTTGCTAGATTCGATACCGACGTTGAATTGGACTACTATAGGCATGGCGGAATCTTAAATTTCATGATTCGAAAAATGTTGGACTAATTGTTAAAGAAATTTCCAAAATTAGCAGATCCATCTTGCTCTTGACTTTCTCTGTTATACAAGACAAACTAATAAACCAAATAATTGATTAATAATGATTTAACTTTGAGTATCTAAACTTTAAAACTATGAACCTTATATAGATTAAAGTTGAATTTTAAGTTAACATTTGGTGCGGACTTATTATACGCAATGTTAAGGCCACTAACATTTTGTTGACTAAAAAAAATTAATGACACAATTTTCGTTCATAAAATAAAAAAAGATATTAAATGAAATAAATATCAGACAGATATGGAACAAATTATCGCGAACGTCCATGTTAACCAATAGCAACTTCCTCCATATTTGCTGCGACATCGCCTGCTCTTCGTTCGTCAGATCGGGCTACGCTCCCGAGAAAGGCAGATAAGAGAGGTTTGCTTGCTTGAACTCTTAGCATTTTTCGTTCATATTAAGCATTAATAAATGTAGACCGAGATGACGCTTAAAAAGAAATGTAAATCGGCCAAATCAAAAAGTTTTAAGGGCGATTTTTCACACGCATATATAGAAGCTAAACCGCCATTTTGTGCCGCACAATATTTTTTTGGCAAATAGACACTAGATGGCAGGGTCTAAACGGTATCGTCCTCTTGCGTCTTGCAGATTTCGCTATGGAAAATAATGCACCCACCACCCCATCTATCGTTGGTGGTCAAAATTCCCTGACATTTGAACCCGAACCCAAATTGACAGAAGAATTGATAAAAGCTGGATGGACGGTTAACTTGAGCCAGCGGTTGAGTAAATGGTACTTTTACAATAAATTCACTCAACAAAGTCTTTGGGAAATGCCTAGTGCACAGGTTAAATTCATATTCACCCTCTTTACAATGTAACAAAACAATATACCTTAGGTACCAAATTCTTTAACTGATCCTCTGGGAATCGGCTCTGGAGCCGGTCAAACAATTGCAAATGACAGGAGACGTCGTAGTTCCGACAATTCGGGGCCTCTACCACCAAAAAGATCATTTTCTTTGAGGTATTAGTTTTAGTAAATACTAAAATATGTTATACAAGTTTAAGTTTTATTAGGCATTCATGGAATTTAGAAGTGGACACGAATGTTTTTATGTGGGATAGACCTCATTTTGAATTAAAACCTCCACATCCTGAGATTGAGCGAATGCGCTCAGACGCAGTAAAAAAACTTCGTATCATCTATGATGACTTATGCCATAGCAAAGAGGGAATAGAAGCCCCAACGGAATCTTTTAATCGTTGGCTGTTAGAAAGGAAACTAGTTGACGAAGGAGATGATCCACTCTTACCCAGCAAATGTGATAATCCAATATCACCATCGTTAAAAAGAGAAGTTATGAATGATATACCTATTGCTTTGGTAAAGCCAAAATATACGAGTGATGTCAAGAGACAATTGTATAGATATGCGGAAGCAGCTAAGCGGATGGTTGATCTAAGGTAAAATTAATCTAAAATTCTGACACATACAAGTAGTTTATGTATCTCTTTTCTATTCAGGCCCAATGCCAGTCCTAATTGTCGTAAATTAATAAAGTGGAAGGTTGATGAAACTTTTACTTACTTAAGAACTCACCAACATGCCTCCTTTGACGATTATTTAGAACGGCTGGGCCATTTAAAACGTTTTTGTCATAAAGAGTTACGGGTAGTTGCTAATGATTCGATCGATAGTATTTGTCGAACTTTATACGAAAAATCTTCCGAGGCAGCCAAAGAAATCCATGAAAAACATATGAGTATTTTAAAAGCAGCCGGAGTAAATCGTAAGCTACACTTCTATTTCATAAAAAATAAATTTAAAAAATTTGCAATATTTTTTAGCACCTTTTACGCCTCCTGTGCCTGAACGAAAGAAGGTGTATTGTTACCCTGCTTTGCTATCGGTACCATGTCCAAGAATGCCCAGCATAATACGAAATGATGAAGAGCAAAGTGTGAAGCTAACCCATAAAGGCGATACGCGTATTATATCTCTGCCTTACTTTGAAAAGCTGGTTAGTTTTATTTTTATATATACTGTATATTCATGAAACTTAGACTATAGTTCAATATCTATAATATCTCCCGCAGGAACGCCTTTATACTGTCAATTGCAAAGATGATGATAAAAAGGAGCACTTTTTAGCTCGAGTTTGGTGCTTACTTCGGAGATACAGTGGTTATTACGGATTAGGTCAAGCAGAGGGAGCAGGGTTACAAGGAGCTTTACCCGTGAAAGTGTTTGAATGTCTACATCGATGTTTCAACGTAACCTTCGAATGCTTTGCATCACCTTTGAATTGCTACTTCAAGCAATTTTGCTCTGCATTTGCTGATACCGATGGATACTTCGGCTCAAGAGGAAATATTTTAGATTTTAAACCTATACATGGATCTTTTGAAGCGAATCCACCATTTAGTGAGGAGTTAATGGTGGCTATGATTGATCATTTTGAAGCTTTATTAGAAGAGAGTAATGAAGCACTATCTTTCATCGTGTTTGTCCCTGAATGGAGAGATCCTCCCACAGAAGCATTGCTAAGGATGGAAAGCAGCAAGTAAGAATACCTAACTGACATGTGGCTATTCGAATTTAACTATTGTCTTTAAATATAGATTTAAGAGAAAACAAATGAGTATACCAGCTATGCAACATGAATATCGCCACGGCTTTCAGCATATTGTTCCAAAGTAGGTGTTTGTTATTAAAAACAAATTTATATCTAATATTGCCTATTTGAAATTGACAGGGATGAAGTTAATAAGAAATCAGCTCACGCAACTTTAATAGTTTTTCTTCAGAATGATCGAGGATACAATACATGGACGCCTACACCTGAAAAAATCAAAGAACTGCAGACTGCGTATATACCGCAAGATTTCTCTGACACTTTCGGACAATCTTGATTCTCATTGTTCTCATTGGAAAAGCCATCTTTCATTATTGATATAGTTTTTAAAGAATTTCGGATGTAAATACATTTCGCGGGATATGTACAGTGTCTTCGTAAGACATTAAGTTTTTACTCTAAATATTCTAATATTTTTGCATGCCCAATTGTAAATATTTAAACTTTCTTTATTATTACCAGTAAAGTAAATAAAAAATAAAATAAAATATGATTCCGTCTATTTGAAAGGTACCACGCTAAATGTTACAAATGTATTAGTTATACGGTATTGATATCTCATGACAACTTTTTCGCTTTATTATACAAAGAATCAACAACTTTACCCATGCTTTGTATAGTATCAAGGGATTTGCAATAAGTATCATCGGTTGGTTTCTCATCAAATACCATTAGCACACCAGCTCCTTGATCGAGGATTCCTGTGAACAGTTTATCAGAATAATTGATAATAAATTTAAATGTCCTGGTTTACCTGTAAAAGTCTTGTCCAGAATCATTTGTGATAATTTCTTTTCAACAACGTCCTGAAAATATAATTAATCTTATCAAAGAGTAATCTTTCATTAAATTCAAGTTAACCTGTGGAAGCTTAATTAAACTTGATATGTGTTGAATTTGCACACGAGAGAAAGGTTCGATTAGACGGCACAAATTTTGCTCTAAAAGTTTGTCATAGAGAGCAGATAAGTGATGTTGAACGATCCTGTCGTCTTCTAATTGTTTTTTATATTTATCTACAGTCTTAACAAAAGATAGAAAAATCCTCATTATGTGTTTTCATGAAATAATGGATTTTCAACCTTTTTAAAATCAGCTAGAGAACGTTTCTTAGCAGCTTCCGCAATACTTTTCATTGCATCGATTTCAGGTCCCTCATACTTTAATCCAAGTTTACCACTAACCATTGCTTGTACTTCCTCAGCTTGCTTTAACATAATCTTTGATAGTAGCATATATTTTAGAGATACGATTGCTCTAGGACTCTCAATAGAATCATATCCTTCAAAGGCCTCGTAAAAATATGAAAAGGCTGTTTTAAAGTCTTTATCGTCAGCTGCGTGTAAAACACCTAATTTAAAAAAAAAATATTATTTATGATTGTTTACTCCAGCTCATAAAATCCAATACCAGATTGTTCATCTAGATCGGCTTGCAGTTTTGGCGGACAGTAAATACCGTTTGCGGTTGTCCTGGCAGAAGTTAAAGCAGCTCGAGATTTTGCAAAGTTACTAAGAGCATGATAGGTTTTTGATTCAGCTAATTGCACTTCAACAAGCATAGCCTTGTCATCCAACTTTTTTAATTCTTTAAGAAGAGAAGTACTTAAATTTATCGCATTTTCATACTCAGTTGAGCGATAGAATAGATCAACCAGACGAGCCTATGAATAATACAAGATTACAGAAAAGACAAGTGTCAAAAGAAAAGTCTCAACCTCTAAAGCTTGCCGAAGAAAAGTTCGTTTTTCCTCCTTTGCCCACTCTATGCATTCTTGACAAAGAGATACTTCTTTACCAGTTGCAGCATCCATATCCAAAAACTTATCAACTAAAGTTCTCACTAACTTAGCAGCTTTAGCCTTACTAACTAATCGTAGGAAAGGTCTTGTTAATTTGATTAATCCAGCTAAATCATCAGCTCGACCAGTTGTAGCAAATATTTCTCCTAGTTCCAAGATTGCTTGCTCTTTATTTTTTACTTCCTCTTCAATTTTCTCATTGATGTCTTTTTTAACTAAATATATACATGAGCGATATTTGGTTATCATTGAAACCGGATATAAATTTTGCTATTTTCAAGAGAATAGCAACAATTTATAAAAGGTAGTTATTTGATATAAAAAGTCAGAAAAATAATAAATAAAATATCACCTATTTTTCCTAAAACCTCAATGGCTTGCGGTTTACTTGTTAATTTTAGCTTCATGGCCTGTTGAACGTCACAAGTCGCCATGACAGAACACGGTTTGATAAAGTTCTTTAGAGTGCGTAAAATATTATTACTCAAAAGACTGGATTTTTTTGTAATACTTGAAATATAGCTTCTTTAACGGGTTTTACGGAAATCTCCTTGTATATGTGAAAACTGTTGCGCATGCGCATTAAAGTTCTTATGCCGACATTTTGGAAGCCTTTACCATTAGTCTTCCGTGTTTCTTCAGTTGTTTACCACTTAACATAGTCGATAAGAGAACTTCTGCAACAAGTCAACATCCACATTTCTCAAATGGTCAGATCCAGGAGTAAAAGTCCCGAGGAAAATCGGCTAAAAAATAAAAAACACAAAAAAAGAAAATCTCGTTCAAGAAGCAGATCACGAGAAAATCGTAGAAGGCGACATAAATCATTTTCTAGGGAGCGAATGATTAGGAGAATAAGACAGAAGAGGTAAATAACAATGATTTACTAATTTATACATTTTTAAATTCATCATCTGATTTAGGAAGAGAAAATATACTACCAGTTCAAGTGCTACAGAAAGTGAGACAGAGGTTGACAGAAAAATTGAAAAAGTGAGAAAAAAGGAAGAATATATGAAGCGTGTAGATACAGAGAAGCAAAGACAAAAGTATTGTCTCTTTTTTTATTTTGCATTTTATTAATTTAATCATGATAGGGTACAAGCCAAGATAGAAGAGCAATTGATTGAAGAGGAGGTTGCTCGAAGGGTAGAATTAATAGTGGCCAAGCGTGTCAAAGAAGAATTAGAAAAAAGAAAAGATGAAATCGAAATAGAAATATTACGACGCGTGGAAGAAGCAAAAAAAATTATGGAACGTGAGATGATGGAGGAAATTCAAAGGCAACGCGAAAAGGAATTACAAGAAAGTAGAAGACGCGAGGTAAAGTTCTCTTCCTTAGTGTCAACACACTGTCTTAAACCCATCGATAGAAGTTTGGCGAAGATTCATAGTTTCTTAAAACTGAGTTGTTTGTTTTCAGGAAATCCTTTTTAGTATTTTTGAGGTAAATTATTTGTAATGAGACAACCATATAGTGTGGCGCATTTCCAGCGGTATTGTTATTCAGCCACATTACATGGACGTCATTTTCTATCTTGTTAATAATACGTGAAATAATTTTTGGCAAATGAATGCTAAAAACAAGAATACATACACGTTCAATTTTTAAAAAAGGTTAAAATTTAGGCGAAATTAGTACGTGTTAAATGTATTGTAAAAGAAATGGCCATCGGATCTCTTCGCGCTCTAGGACCGGACAATTTGACGAAGGAAGGTGAAAGAAGGTTTTATTTTTCTTTTGCCAATTTGTAAGTGTAAGCGTATTTTGTATGTTTAGAATGATTTTTTGTGGGCGGGTGGGTATTTGGGAAATTTGGGTAGGAGTCGTGGATTTCTTTTTAACGTTCTGTTTAAAGAAACATAATTATTACCTATTTCTACAGGAGGAAAAACGGTTAGAAGCGGAAAAATTGCAACGTATTATGGAAGAAAATCAGCGGAAAATTGAGAAACAACAAAGAGAAATGGTAAATAATAATTGTTAAAGAGTAAAATTAATTTTACGAGATAAATTTAAACTTCGATTCTCTGCAGAGAGAACAAATGCTTGAGCAGCAGGAAAGAGAGCGAAAAGAATTAGAAGAACGTCAGCGTCGAGATGAAGAAATGAGAGCTAGACAAAGAGCTGAACAGGAATTAATTCTTAATAGAAAAAATGCAAAGCGAGATAAAATAAAGTTTACATTCAATGCCTCCTAAGAAAACTGTTACAAAATTTTAAAACTGAGTATTTTTTTTATTGTTGGATTATATAGTTGGACAGGTAAGTAAGTTATTGTTAATTTAAAAGAAATACACCAATATTTGTAAGCATTTTATACCTCGCTGTTAAATTACTAGATTAATGAATTAAACTTATTTCCCTTTTTCAATAATAAATACTCATTTATAAAGTTCTGATTCTTTATATTGCTATAACTTTTTAAAAACAGTGAATTCTTTTCAGACATTACTTTTTGTAAAAAATTTATCTAAAGTAATGTTTCGGAATTAACTTTAAGATTGCATTCTTAATAATCATTTATTATCATTTACAGAAAAAGTATTGGCACAGGAAATTAGCTTATAATCTCTTGTGTTTGAGACTGATTGATTGATAGAAATTTGATTTAGTTGTAAGATTGCAGAATCGCTAAATTTTGCATAGTGTAATATAGCTATAAAAAAATTTTAAAAAGAAATTATCTCTTCAGAGCAGGTTTTGGTTTTAAGATTTTTCTTCCTTGAATTGATAAGCTGTGAGAATCAGTTGATGCATTAACTTGACTTATTGATTGCTGTTGAAAGCCTAATTCAAAATGGCCAGTGCTGCAGGATTTGTCTGTTTTCCTATCCAATACGACTGAAATGAACAAATTTTTAAAAAAATAATAAGCTATTTTGATAAAATTAATCACCTTTAAGAGTATCTTCTAAAACATTATCGACCATAATCTTTGTTACTCTAGTGTTTTTTGCCATAGTAGGACTGGAATTAATTTCTAATAACCAAGGCTGCAGATCTTCGGTTAATATAAAATCGGCACCATACAACTCAAATGCTTGTTTACGACTCTCAACTAATTCTTGAGAACACAAGAGGGAGCATTTTATTGCTAATTTCATAGCAGGTACTATCTTTTTCTTCCATTGGTCTTCTTTTGATTCACTACGAAGATAATCGATAAATTCATCTTTGCTCCACATGTGATCATCAGGTAGTTTGGCGTTATTGTTGGAGTATCCCTTCTGAATTATGTTATTCGATAGGTGAATTGATCTGATAAAGGATAAAAAATAATTAAAATCAATTAAATCTCAAGAGTTCTAATTATCACCTGTCAAAATCTGCAAGTGTATAATCCGCAGAGCAAAATCTGATGTAACAGTCATTATAAAACCAATAAGTAAGGGGATTCCAGTCGGTCACTAAGAACCATTGTCGAATGTCGAATTTGCGATTGTGAATTAATAATGGTCTCTCTGAATAAAACGTTCACTCTTGTATTAAGAAAGCAGATAATTCGAAATACAAACCTATATATTTTTGCACAATAGGCATAGCCCCTTCGCCGGCTTCCTCGGAGCTACGCAAAATGACATGAAGCTTATCGAAACAATAAATGCCCCTTCCCCTTGATTTAGCTCCAGGTTTCAAAATCCAAACATTTCTATTCCCGTCCAAGTCGTATTGGGGCAATAAAGGTTGAAGTTTTTTAATGAGTTCTTTACAAATATCAAGCATATTCTCCGTAACATTCGTGACTCTGGCTCCTTCACTGAGATTAGTAAAATATAATAGAAAACCATTTTATTAAAATGAACACTTACTGTATTAATGTGTAAGAGTCCATTAATAGTATATCCCACTCCTCGTCTTGTAGCTTTTTCTAAGAATGAATGAATATTTTAAATAATAAATGAAAGCTATATTTTTTAATATAACCAACATTAGATTTCTTATCCAGATCCTCATGATGCCTTTCAGCAATAAAAAGTTCACATTGAGATATAGCCATTTCAAGGGATTTTAAAGATATAGTTTTCGTAGTGTCTTTCGTGAGATCATTTTTATGATTGTTTACAAAATGTTTAAGTAGGCTAACACAAGCAGTTAACCTAAAGTCGTCTGTTATCGAGGTAGTTATTTAGTATGAAAAAGGCTATTTTAAAAGAGTTAATTGGTTAGAACCTATAAATGAGTCCCTTTCATCTGCTTCGTCCAATTTATAACTTCGAGGAAAAAATTGATTGGGATTGGCATTTTCATACCAAGGTACATTTCTTATATTGACGGATAGACCAACCTACGGCAAATATACCATTAAATATTATGCAATAGAGCTCACTTCAAAAGCTTAAGTACCTTTGTTGTAAAATGTTTTGCTTTACCATAATGATTAACAACTTGTCCAGATTTAATAAGTCGTGTATCAACATCCTGACTTTTAACACTAAAAAGGAACGTTGGTGTACAATTTCGAACACAGTGTGACTGTAAAAAAAAAAAACAAATGAAAAGAGAATTTTCAAAGAATTCTTAATATCAGTTTTATGATTTAATTTATTGGCCTTTCTGAATTTATCGTGCTTTAAATAAAATTATTTGCTTTATATTCAATAGTTAAATATTGTTATTGGGTAGAATACATGCTTTATGTGAATTTATAGCTATTATTGAGTCTTAAAGGTTAGTCTATTACTTAAACGAGCTTGCTAAAAGTGAATATTGTAATTTTGTATTAAGTATATGTTACCATAATGGCGTATATTCCGTTGTCCTCTAGCCAAGGCTTGATCACTTTTCTCTTATCATCTACAAGTATGGATAATTTATTTACAAGTTTACAATAACCATAAACATATCCTACCTCCTTCAGTTACATCCTCGTTTTCTTTGTCGGCTGCAGGTATGTTTGAAAATCTCTCTACCCATCCTCTTCTTCTTAAGGCCAATCTTAAACTATTATAAGGTCCTAAAATTTGAAAAATTTTCTTGTTCTAAAAGAAAATAGGAACTCATTGAATATTTATTTTGTAAAAATTTTCTACCAACTCTAATTGCTTTGTCAGCAGCAACTCTAGCTTTTCTTTCTAATTCCAAATATTCAGATTTCTTCAGTTTGTTTTTGCTAGGATTACAATATTCGGGCATTGTATAGCTTCTTGTTATAGTTTGATTATGTTCTGAAAGAAAAAAACATTTAAAATAACAACCATTACTAAAAAGCTCTTTGATATATTATGAACAGATAACATTAACTATCTACAGAGTAGCATATGTGTTATTTTGAAATGAATTAAATGTTAGGAAGCGTGCTACAGCATTTTTTATCTGTTATACAGTTTAAATTAATTATTAATAAAATAAAATGACTTTTCAGAAATTTTATATTGGAAAAAAATTGAAATAGTAAGTTCTTTTAAAGATATTTTTCATCATGAAAAAAGGCATTGTTTTCAGTTTGTTTAAGACTTTCAGGAAATTTATTATCTTTAAGGTCTAGATAGCTTTTTAAAGTACAAAAATATGTTGAAAATAATTTGAAAGAGCTAATATTAGATATAGAATTTTCTAATTTCAATTTTACCAGTCACGAACCGTTATGGTATCGAGTTGGTTGAGCCGATTGATTATCGGAATGATGTAATATTTGAAAGTAACTTTTCGATCGATTTCTAGGTGATAATAGGTTGTCTTTGTAAGGACTATCTGCAAGGAGTACTTGCTTCAATTCTCACTCGTATTAAAAACTTTTAGACACAATAGAGTTATTAATATTCTTTTCATATTTCCCCGTTCTTTCACCTTTCTATATACTCTGTCGTTTTATCATACATATTCATTTGTCAAAAAAAGTGTCAACGGTTCAGCGAATCTTTCAAATCAATAAACAAGCTAAAATCAGCAAACGCAATTGGTTGACTAAAATAAAGTATTCTAAAAATTCAACGTTGCTTAAATTGATATAAATATATTTTTTCTCTCTCTGTCTCTCACTCTCTCCTAATTTTCAATGAATTTTCTTTTGTTTTTATAAAAAAAAACTGCATAAGATAAATGATTAAGATAAATTAATTTGGGACACTGATTAATAGGCGGTGAACCAAATTATTATTAACGACAAAATTAAAGACAAACAAACACTGAATTTAATTTCTAATATTTTTTTTGTTTTTTGGTTTGATAATCATGACATCAATGTACAAACCAGATTTATCATTTTTCTTCTGTTTCTTCTTTTTTACACTGAGTTCTTAAAATCGTAAATTTATCAATAGTCTAATTGAAGATTTTTTTTATGATGTAAAACGAACTGATGAAAACTACGAAATAGAAAAACATATTATAAATACCTTCGAGGATCCTAGCAAGCTGAACTCCGCTGGCAGGTGATTTTGATGATGTTATTTTAAAGGATCCTTCGCTTCTTCGAAATTGTTCCTTCTGCTGTTTAGAGTAAATATATTTCCATTAAGATTTTAAACAAATTTATTGGCTGAGATTTCTACTTTAATTGAAATATTTTGTATTAGGAACAGCTTTCTTACCGATAATCTTTTGTCATTGGAGCTAAAGTCGACCGAAATTCTTTCTTTAATCTTCTTAGTAGATTTTTTATCTGGGGTAGTATAGATACCCGATGTAATTCTAAATCTATCTTCAAATGTTGATGATGTATATCTTGGATCATAGTTCACTTTCATTAAACAGGCCTTCATCTTTAATAATATTTAAATTTCTTGAATTTGTCGTAAGCTTTTTTAATATCATTAACGATTACTAAGCAATTTACTAATCACTCAATTTTGAAATTAGTAATCTTTACTTCATCTTTTAGTTGCAATGGCTTATTTTTTCAATACCCGGTTTAGTTTCTCTTTCAGTTTACTTGCGTTTCTAGGGCCGCCATCTTATCTTCTTAACTAACACCGCCTATTAAAGACAAGCTTCAGTGCCACCTACTGTATATTATAAAAACTATTGAAATATAATTTCCATTTATTTTGAGAAAAAAATCAAAGAAATCACATGCAAAATAAGAGATAATTGATCCCGTTGAATTTCCTACATGCTTCAACGGAATTTTATTGCATAGTAAAAGCCATAGAGCGACAAGGGAAATTTACAGAATCTGGAATGGCATGAATATTGATAACACAAAATGTTGCTTTTTGTACGTGCGTGTATATGTAAATAGTTTTATATAAATATTTTTAAAATAGTCCGTCAGCAGATACAGTTATTGGTTCTTTAATTCAGCTCCAATCTTGTAACCAACAATTTTCTCCCACTCAATTTTTGTTCTAGTTACAGGCAATTGACGGCGTAGAGCTTTAAAAGTTGTTTCTCCCATTGTTTTATAATTTTCAGAGAGCGCCGTCTGATATTTAGTTTCAGCTTCTACAACTAAATTGCAAAGCGCTTTCGCTGTTTCTTCAGGTGTCTGAAAGTCAAAAAGTAGATTATTTGTAAAATTAAATTGTTAATGATATTACTGTAGCTTTTATTTTATCCTCAAACTCTTTTGTGGTCACCAGCTGGACATTGCCGTCTTCAAAGTAGTGGACCTGAACTTTAAGTTGTCCATGTACAAGACAAATATCATTATCTATTTCCATAGACCACACTGTCCTCCATCTGCCATTCCAATAATTCTTAGGGCTATATCGATGACTCTCCAAGCAAGCAGCCACCTTAATTTTTCCCTCTACAGTACTACCGTAAACTGAGAAACTACCTATTCCGGAATAATGATTATTCCTGATATTTTCATATTCCTTTTCAAGGGCTTGGCGCCATGGTTCAGCATTTCTATCGTAATCATCATATGGCTGAAAGTCTCGAGCTTCGCTCTTCAAGGCATCAAAACTATTTTAAAAAGTAAAATCTATTGTCACTTTTTGCTTAACAAATGCTAAAGTATGCTTTATATTATCTACTTACACAAAACTCTGCTTTGATCTGGGATCATAAAATCTATCACCAATTCTTGCATATTGAGTTATTAAACATTGCTCATCGCAATTTTCTAATTTACATGGTATATACTGATCCATACTGTACACAAATGCCGCCCTAAGGTGAAAAGGTTAAAACTTATGTAAAATGTCTGAATCATAGCCGGATATTACTAACTTCACAATATGATTTTTTACTAGACTATCATTTCCAATCATGTTTCTAATATCTGGAAAAAGTCAACAAGTTTTAGGGTTATAACAGCAAAATTTCACCAAAATATTCACCATTCATCACCTCCATTAATTCTCCTGGAGGAGCCAGAGAGACCAAGTCACCGGCTGCTTTGCCCTGAAATAAATTGTGACACCTATTAAAGACAATCTTAACTGGGAAAAAAGTCTTTTAAAATTAAACAATCATAAAATTTTTGCAGATCATCTATTTCCTGTTAGATATTTTCTTATATAATTTTCGTGTCTTTTACATTTTATTCTAAAGCAAAGTCTATACCAACTGATTTACACATGTAAATTATACTATATATTCATTGATTGAAGTTCAATACAGAGAGCAAATCAGGGAAATTTAACTAACTTTTTCATTTGATGATCCTACCGGGTCCATTTTTATACGCATGCGCAAAACACGCCTCAAAATGTAGACATTAAATCGCGGTTTATAATATCGAATTGAACGATTCAGTTTATTTCTTATAATCGAAAAAGTGTTATTAAATATTCTTTAGTGATCGTAAAAAAATATTATTTTTTCATTATTTAAAAAGCTGCGCAAATCAATTTATTGTTAAAGTTAGCACATGAATTATGACACAAATTTAACTCTGTATATCGTTTATCGACAGGAGATCGAAAAGTGTACACGATTAATCGAAATAAGTTTCGCACTTATTTTAAGTATTTTGAGAGTACAGTTCCCAAATACAAAAAACAATAAACGTTTTATACACTAGGCTTAAAAAGGGGCAAAATTTTTGCATTCCTTATTGGTTTTATACAAAAAGAGAGCATATTTTTTTAAATTAAACTTAAAAAGTAAACAGTCCTTATAATTTGTTTTAAAACATTGTATGTGTGGTATATTATTGATGGGTAACCACAATTCGCCTTTCTAAATTTTAAATGTAAGGCATGTCAGGAATGGGTGACATTAGGGTAATTGTTCGCAGTTCTAGTCCATATTCATTTTCTTAAGTTTAATGCGCATGCGCGTTTCTAATGAAGCTGGACGACAGCCAAAATGTCACAGGATTTTAGTCGGCATGCCCATCGAACTGCTATTTGGTGAGTTAAAACTGTGATCGATATGTTATAGCTTAATTTAGAAGAAATCATCAGCAAAAACTCATCTACTGTGCAATAACAAATGTAAAATGTAATCTTAATGTTCAATAATTCTTCATCGATCAATTGTACATTGCATACTCAGAATATCTGTTTTGAAAGCCAAAAATTAGAGACGCAAAACATGTTAGATTTTATTCTGAAGTTCATTTTTAACTATCAACGATACTAAGAAATAATCATTGTTTACAGCCGACGAACCACCGGCCTTAATCAATCAACACAGTACTCAAATATTCAGGAATCTTTAGAAGGTGCAACCGACGATTCAGGTCTCGATGCAGATTTTGATTTTGACGGAATGAAGAAGAACGTATCATTTCCCGTTGAACAGATAAACGGTTACCTAGTAAATGGTCATAGAAGTTTGGAACGTAAAGACATTCCAATAAGACTTAACAACGGGCGAATCACGTCACCAGCCAATACTGAAGCGTCCGACATGTCCATTGACGCATTATCTCGTGAATTTTTTCCAATCACGCTTGGTGCTGCTTATGACGTTAAACGAGCTATCGAGTCGTCAAAGCTAACTACCTCGTATGCATCCCCTCCCACCAGAAAGCGTCGACCAGGGTCGGCTCAAAGTAGTTCGTCATCCACCTCAAAAGCCTCATCTCTAGATCGAATGCACTTACTTACGGTCGACGCACAATATACAACAGGTTCGAAGCCTTTTTTATTTTTGATTGACGTGTTTGAATATATTTAGTTGACTTTCTAGGCGGCTCTGCAAACATATCCTCGGCGCCTGCTTGACCATCGTTCTGCTTGATTGGCGCTAAAGCCTTCCATTCAAGCAATATATTTAGAGATTACGCGAATGTATTCGGGTCACGCAGCTATTAAACTGTTTTTAAGCATATAGAATGTAAATTTTAGAGCTTTATAGGAGACTTTTAACATCTTTACACTATAAACTAGATAACGCTTATCAATTATCAATTAACAATAAGCTGAATGAGCATTTGTGAATGAATAAGGTTTTTCATAGCTGAACCAAATTTGTCAGCGATTTTTTTGATCTGAATTTGTCGGCTATTTTTCATTGATCTGTGACAACAGCGTGTTGGTGTTATAGGTTCGCTTTTTTGGTTGCAATCAATTGGATTTTTAATTGAATTGCGACTGTCAGAACATATTCGTGTGTAGAGTTTCTAACGTAATTACCTGTATACAATATAAAAGAGAGCCGCCCGAAAAATAAAGATTGCAAATAGTTAGTTGGCTACTAAATAAACTTTTTCTACTACTAAAGCATACAAATCTTTTTGATTGCCGCCAGGTGCAACCGCCGCTCTAATGTCGTCGCCTTACCAAGCGCAATTGGCTGAATTACGAATGCAAAGATTACGAATGGAGGAAGCTCAACTTTTACAAGTAAAAAGACAGGAGGAGTTGGAGAGAATGCGAGGCCCTTTAATTAGATGGTAAAAGAACCATTTTTGAAAGTTTATATATAAATTTTATAACATTCAACAACAGGTACGAATTGAAGACACCTCAATTCCATTACGAGTCTCGTAAAAATCGAGAACTTATCCAAAGTAAAAACGACTGGCAGCAGCTATTAGAACACAGGGCCTCTCTGGAACGCTCATCTTCGACTTCAAGTACTCCGACCTGACTCACCATCTCTTCTACATTAGCCAGCAAGTGCAATTATTCTGGTGCTGGCGAGTGCCTCCATGCAGATAGATTCTAATTTAATAATAATAATAAGGTTTTTATCTGTGATAACTATCGGTCCTGCATATACGCGCACTCTTTGGCGATTTTTCTTGTTTCCTTTTTTGTTTTTATTTTTTTTGTTTACTATAAAACTGTACAAATCGTAACTTTATTCTACAGGAAGGTATTGAATTGTCCAACGTTTGTTATATATTAAAGTTTTTGCTTAGTGAAGTTAATTAGAGTTCCTTATTCGGATGCCAAAACTATTGTTTTCTTAATATCGCTAAATATGTTTTGAAATACAAGTATAACTAGGATATACTTTGTTTTTTTATAATGCATACGTTTTTGGTGATTTGAATGAGACTCAAATTCATGCCAATATCAGGCTGCACCAACTTTATATGAGATTAATATCGATTGTCAATGGCTTATCGATTATCCGAATCACGTTCGTACACTATACACGTCTATATACGACTTGCACCTAAAAGCCTAATATTTTATGAAATACTATTAAATAGTTTCTACAAATAACTTCTATATTATTTGACTTCTCACGCTTTCGTTCAAGTTGGTATTATTATCACGTAATTCACGTCGATACAATATTTCTTATACAAACCACCAATAATTACTTGGTGTTTGACTAAAATTTCTGTTTGTCTGTTGAACAAACCGAAAAGAACGCCCCCTATTATAAATACATAAATTTATATGCAGTATATATATATATGCATATAAATATATGCATATAGGAGCATATACATTATTGTTTACCAAGGTACTGTATTTGCTCCAGTTTTATTACTTAAATTATTAGCCTTTTACCTTAAAAAATATAATGCTTTTTATAAGTATTTACACTTAGTCTTATTTTCTTTGAAAGAATCCATTAACATAGTCCGCCTCTTCTTCATCACATTCTTTCGGTTTTGTGTCTTCATTGATATTAACAATGTCATATATATTCGGATCAGATCCATCTGAGTCAGCCACCGAAACAGCGACCATATCGTTTGGATGTCTTATGTCAATATTCGACAGTTTTGCACTATGTGATGAATTCATTCTTTTCTTTTGACAATATTTATATATTAAAAATCCGACGAAAGGCAAAGTGATGAGTAAAAGGATCAACGTAGTTGATACTATTGTGACAGTTTCACTATATTTTTCTCGGAAGACTGTCGTTATGTCATACGGAGATGCAGTTGTATAATTAAAAGTATTCATTTTTGTTGATGTAAAGAAGAAAGAAAACTGTTTACTATCACATACAAGGATACTCTGTGAAACAACTTAATAACAAATACTTTAATAAGTCATACACCATCAAATTAAGGAAAGGCCTTTTGTCGGAAATATATTAAGTAGTAAGCAAACCTAAGCTACCCACAACGCCATCTGAAAGACTAAACGAAACTATCCTAGCAACCGCGTCTGATTACGCTTAGAAACGGCTGTGCTGTTGAGCGCGCCGAAAACAGTGTTGTTTTACTGAAAATGACCGACATCATGCAAGAATTGGCTAGTATAGCCAGAAGAAACAAATTTTCTGGAACATTGGGAATGTCAGATGAGGGTAAGTACTAAAATTAAAACGAGATCTTCAGACGTTTTAAATAATCTTTGCTATTTACCCATAAGAACTAACTAAAAAATGGATTTCTTTACAGATATCGTTTCTGTATGGGAATATGTGTCAGATTACGTCCAAAAGCAAATGCTTAGCGGAAAAGGAGTAACTATTAATGGATTAGGAACATTTACATTTGTTCAAAAAAAATTAGATGTAGGAAATAATAAGTATCTCCTTATTCGTCGTCCTGTATTCCAAATTCAAGAAAAATTCGCTCAAACCCACGGTCTACAAAGTAACAAATACCATTTGACTGGAACGGTTACTTGTAGTTCACTTAATTTTTCTGCCCTATCCATTGAAAGTCCTTTCAAGAGAGACGTTATTGAATCATGTGTGAGAGAAGTACTTCTTGCTATGCAAAGGTCTTTAGCCTCTGGGAAAAATATTGAGTTTTTATTCTCGTCCCTTGGTCGTCTGCAAATAAGAGATGGTCGAGTCAAAATGAAATTTTTTAAAGAATTCATCAACTCAGTCGATGGTAGTGGCGGAAAATTAATCGACTCAATGAAAAATAGACCTGGGACTTGCGATAGTGTAATTTCTAATAGACCACCGACTAGGCCTATTTCATCGAACACTCTCTGTTTACCAAAGTAAACTCTACAGTTCATAGTTACAATTCTTCTTATTATAGTTTTTTCTTTGCATTTCCTTTCACAGAATCGAAGGTGCCACTTGCTGTGATAATGCAAAACAAACTAAGATGCCAACAATTGACGAAGAAGATGGCCAAGCCAAAGAAGAAGACAAACCAATTGAAGAGGATGAAGGGAAAAATGAAGAAAATTTGGATTCCAAAGAAGAATTTGAATTTGAAAAGGCTAATAAGAAAACATTAGTAAATCCTAGAGAGTCGCTGCATTTAGCTAAAGCTTGCGCCGTTACTTTCGATTCAATATTACCTACAGTTCCAAACACTGCAAGAACAGATTCAAGTGCCAAATCATTGATTTTTAGACGCTCTCTTTCTCCTTTAGCAGAGAGACCCTCTACCAGTATTCATATTCGTTCTCAGAGCGCCGACTGCTTAGCTCCCCCTAAACCTATGCCTGAAGTAATACAATCTGCCCCTCCATCTGCCTGTGGGCATAGAAATGCTGGACAAGAGTTATGTTATTTGTGTCATCAAAGGGAAAGGCGTAATATTCCAGTATTTCTCCGTGAAGAACGAAAGAAGAGGGAAGCAGAAGAAGATCGTTTGCTAGATGAATATCAAAAACTGAAAATTACCGAATCAGTTTTAAAAGAACAAGAACTTGCTTTGGAAAAGAGACACAACGAACAGAAAAATGCAGCATTCAATTTAGGAGTAGCCGAGGCTGTTAAATCTAGAAAGCCTGAGAAGGGATTCTATTCATCGTACATCTTTGAAAAGAGAGCTTTAACACCACCACGCCAAATAGCCCAGGTAAGATATAATGGAGAATTAGCTCAACAAGTGGCCGTTAAAGAAGAAGTGAAAAGGAAAAGAAAAGAAGACGAATCTTTCCTTGAGCGTTTAGAGCAAGTACAATTAGCTGAAGAGTAAGTGGAATATTATATATACTGTATATATAAATATATATATTTATATTATAAATGAATTTTTTACAGTCTGGCAGCTGAAAGACAAGAAGTACAGAAACACAGAGATGAACAAAAAGAAAATTATCGCAGAGCTTTGGATACTCAGCTCCGATATAAACCTCTTCCAATACCCTCTAGAGTGTCTGATTCTGATGAACCAATTTTCGGAAAAGCTGACATGGCTAATGAACGGCTTGCAGAAAGACGTCGTAGAGCAATTGAATATTTTAGAGATCAGCGAGATGTTGTTGAACAACGAAAACGAGATAAACTTCTCCGTAGACTTAGAGAGCAAAAGGACGAAGAAGAAGTCTTGCGCAAAAATAGAATGGATTTGAAAGACGACTTGGCTCAGAGATATTCTAGAGCCGTTGCCAATCGTAAAAAGCTGGAGGAAGAATGGCAAAGAGCCGCCGAAGATAAGAAGCAACGTGACAGCGAAGAAAGGTCTGCTAATTTTGCTTCCCACGGAGAACTAATCCATGAACAATGCGATAAATATGGAAGATGTGGCCAATGTAAGAGAAGATTAAACAACTGCGGAGAGTCGAATGTCTGGAGGGACACCCGTTATGTTCCCGGTGCAAGGATCATGGTATAAGGGAGACAGTATTAATTATGGATTATAAACAATATAATTTATATTTTTAAAATATATCAATTACACTATACACAGTGTATTATTAATGAAATATATGCATATATATACTTATATTTTCACAAAATATTGTTAATTCGTATATATACATGCTTTTAAATTTGAAATATGCCGTGTATAAGAATTAGTATTAAACTGATGTTTGAGATCGTGCAAAACTTGATATCGTGGTTTATGTTGAAAAATTTTAATATGATTATAAATTACAGTTTACTCCCGCTCACAAGCGTTTCTATTTATTGAAACGCCACAAGTGTATAAATGATTTATAGACAAATGACTAAAAGGACGCGGAACGTGAAACCCGCGAGTGCTTTATCACTTTGAATGTTAGATTAAGTTCAGGAATAAGTGCGGATCATGTTAAGAGAACTATCCCTTCTACTTCTTGTGGCTTGTATTGTATCATCTCTGCCTCCGTTTCATGTTCGTCGACGATCGTTTAATGAAATAGACTTGACTCGATTTCGACAACTCAGGCTAATCATTTCTTCATTAAGTTAGTTTGTTTGTATTTTATAATTGAATATATAAATATATGTATTATATCATCATGAAATTTTATAATTATAAAATTTATATTCAATACTTAATTAAACTTATAGATTGTTATGAGAGAGGATACGAATCTTCGCAGCCGTCAGGCAAAATGTTCGCATGTCCGTTAAGGAAGAAAACAGGCAATGGATATGATCTAACAGGTCGCTGTATAAAGGAAAAAGAATTGTGTGATGGTGTAAGCCAATGTCCAGGAGGAGAAGATGAATTAGAAATGTTCTGTTACTCGTAGACTTCCGTGTTCAGTTATTAGTAACGCGTTCCATCAAAAATTATATAGCGTGCAATAAAACTCTTAACGGCTTTTAATTGGCCACTACTGCCTCTTTGTTTTTTGCTTTGGGAGGGGGCGTAGGAGCCTTAATAGGTAACGAGGCTGGTATGTTAGGTTTCGATTGTTCGTAAATTCTTCGAGGTTTTGTTAATACTGGAGCTGCTGTCGAAATAAGCCTGACATTTGGGTTTTTCTTTACTGATCTCGGTGCTTGTTCCAAGTAAGCCTCTTGTGATAAGACCGTAGCTGTTATCGGTAGGTAAAGAACGTGTGTTTCGGTTATTATTTCTAACTCATGCTTTACGGCTGCTACACCTTCGACAGCATTTGATAAAAGCCCAAAGATTTGTATAGTCATTTCCGCTTTCATTCCAGCCGCCACAGGACCAGGTTTATAGAGAATACGAATACCTGTAGTTACAGGAGGTTGTTTTACTTTAAATCTACAAGTGTCATGTCCTGTATTGCGGAGAGTGATTCGTAAATTATAAGTGTTCCCTTCTTTCAAACAACCAAAGTCAGCAGTATCGGGTTGTAGGATAAAACCTCTAAGTTGCAGTAAATTCTCTACGCCAGATGGTGTAGCTCCAGCAATAGGAGCGGTTAGAACTTTTCGTCTAACCGGATCTTCAATTGTGTTGAAGCGATCATTGGCAACGGCATGATACGACTGAGATGAACTAGTTGTCATCATGGTAGCTTTCGTTTCTTCTCGTTCTTGATTTGGAGTCGGAGCTTCCGGTCTTGCTGGCTGCATTTGCGTAACGGCGTGAACAGGGGTAGGAGCCGTAGGCCGTACAGCTGTTGGAGATGTTCTACCTCCTGCGACTCCAGGAGTTGGATTGGTAGGCCTAATAGATGATGGAGTATTTCCTGTTACACCTAGATTAAAAATTATATCTAGATATAGATCATAACTGAAAGTCATAAAAACAACGGAAACAGGTAATTTTAAGAGTGAATCGGTATTGTAAACAGCAGATAGTTAAAAAAAAGATATCAGAAAAGTTGTATGTAATTGAAGACAACAATCTGAAAACTTACTGAGCTTGCCATTTTCGGCACTATCACAGGCAAACAGCAATTCTGTAAAGGATTTTAGTTCTAAACAAGTGCTCATAAAAGCAAAAATGTGTGCGTCAAAATAATTAAGCGGAATTTCTTTAAAGCGTTTTATTATTCTATCAAACCTTGATTTGGCGAGGGCGTTTCTTCTTCGTATCCAGCAGGAGCAGATTTTTCTTCCTCCGGAGGAGCTGCAACTATAGTTCCTAAATATAGCAATTTAAATGGGTAAGTTATTTTAAAATTAAACCTTTTTTTGGCTCAACGCTCTCCGACTCTTCTTCATCTTTGTTGTTTTTTGACTCCTGAAAAGAGGCTATTTGAGATTGTTTAAAAAATTATAATAAATCTTACTAGTGAATCCAAGTACGATTTTCCAAATTGGCTTTGAAAGTAGGGAGGAACATATTTATTTCTAAGTACTTTACGATGCTCCATTTCTTTTTCAAGTTCCTTTTTATCTTGCTCCCAGTCCTCTGCTGTCCTTTTTGGTAAAGGAGGAGGTATAGGGGATGGTACTTTGGGAGCAGTTGATCTTTCATAGACACTGCGGACGTTAGAAGATTCTATTCTGAATGTATTTTGTTGATCTTCTCTCTCCTCGATTAGTGATGTGACGCTTTGACGGTCCTCAATCAAATGAACTGTACCACTATCTTCTAATAAAGTGTCGGCCATAAGTTGTTCACTTTCGCTGCGATATTCTTCAATTCCTACGGTCTGTGTATCCTTAAATCTTGAGACTACAAAATCTGCATACGACTTTATACCATTTGAAAACTCTTCTCGAATTTCAGGAGTCAGAGCTGTGTATTGCAAGACTTGTCGAATTTGTAAAGTATCAGGGCATTTAGGTAATGGAGATAAGCATGGAGCCTCTCTGCTACCGATCTCAAGACCTCGACCTGCATTTGTTCCAAAACCTGGCCCCATCGTTTTCTCTTCCTGAGGCGGAAAAGTTGTTAAATCTCTCAAAGTAAGACCAGGGGGTACAATTGAATTGTCATCATAGGATTTTATCCATCTTTGCGAGACACTCTTTGTGAATGGGATTAAAGTTGATATTGAAGAAATTTTAGGACGATCAGCAACTTGATCAACAATAATAGCGGTAAATGGATCAGCCTCCGCATTTGTTATCCACTCTGCAACTTCCTGATATCGAAGAAGTTCCATACCAGATCTGCCATCGGGATTTATTACAAAAAATCTGGGAGCATGCTCATCATAACATTCTATATTAATTTTCCGTCCTTCACTTTCATCTTTTTCCTCAGGTGCAGTCAGAGATGGTGTTCTGTTTTCCATTGTCATAATAGTATCTTCTTCACTTGATCGAGGAGCAGTTGCAGTTTTTTCAACCAATGTTGCGCTTGACAGACCAGTATTTCTGACTGAAAATCGATTTCCGTTGTTATCGACAGAATAAAGGATCACATCAGCATCGTGACGCATATGATAAATGAGTGGTTGCTGAGGATTAGCCAATTGAAAATCGTTAGGTTTTGGAGAGAAAGAAACACCCCCATTTTGCTCAATTCTCATAAAAGATCCATCAGCATGATGTAACTCATAATTTCCCGCAGGAAAAGCGTTTATAATTGTTCTAGAAGCAGTTTCCACGTGACATTCACCAGATGAAGAGTCAAAAGTTACTGTACAGTAGGCTGGATTTTCAATTTTTATCAACTTAGTAATCTTTCCAGAATTTTTATCCTCATGACTATAAGTTGTGAATCTAGTCCCATCAGGGTGTTCCGATATAATAGTTCCATCAGCATGTTTCACAATAATAGTTTTGTCGTCTCTTGTGATCATAACTTGATTACTTGATGGATCAAAGCATTCACATTTTAGAAGTGGATCAATAGGTATGTTTTCTGTATTCTCGCCCTCTTTAATAGTAATTAGTCGTTCTCCTGTCGGCTGAACAGAATACCATTTTTCTCTAGTAACAGTTTCAGCTACTTCATCCTCAATTTTTGGACTATGTTTTCTTCGCCCAGCACGTTTAGGGGCATCTTTTGGACTTGTACCCCTTTGTGGAGAAGTGTTGCGGCTTCCAACTGCTTTATCGTTGGGCACTATTGTTGTTGAATATTCAGTCATCTTACCATCAGGATATAAAATCTATAAAAGCAAAAATAAACTATCAATTAAAAATAGTTTTTAAATTACTCTTATAAATTACTTTTGTTGCTGTTGGATTATTGGAAAATATTAATAAAGAACCGTCGCTGGAATACATTCTTTTCTCCTCATTTCCAGCTATATCGCTGATTTCTTTGCAGGGTTCAATCTCCTTCGTTTTGAAGGCATATTGTTGTTGTACCACTGTAGACAGTTTAGTTACTTATATATATTATCAGATATTCTATTAAAAATTTTTACCTATGCTATCATCCCTTTTAAGAAATGTTACAACCAATCCTGAAGGTGTAGAAAATTGCAGTTTCAAAAAAGAGCATTCTTCATAATTTTCTGTTTTCACTGATTTTCTTTCACCGTCTAGAACATTAGAAGATGAAGCAGGCGTACCGATTGCTCTCATCGGCGGAGGTTCTGAGTCTTCTTTCTTTTCTTTAGTACCTTTTGCTTTCTTCTTGCTAGCCACTGATTCCTTTCCACCTACAGGGGCTGTTGGTGTAGGTGTTCTAATGTGTGGTGTTACGTAGGGTTCGGGTTTGTATATTTCACCTATTAAAGCAAGTTTTAGTTACTGATAAAGATGAAAAAGATATACGGTAGGAAAAAAAGTGAAATATCTCACTCTCCGATTTGCTAAGTTTTCTAATAATTGTACATTTTAAACTCTCAAAAGTAACCGAAAATTATTACTAACCTCCATCTACTCGTCCAGTTTTACCATATGTGCTAAACGCTAAACAGATTCCATCAGCCAAAGTTGCACTAAAAGATGCATATTCACCAACAATAGGTTTTAAAGGTTTTCGGAGCTCTGCTTCCGTTTGGCTTGAATGTTTCTCAGTAATTTCAGTTTCTGCAGCTAAAACAATTTTAAATTAATTTTTGTTACTAATTTTGTAATAGTGTTTCAACAAACTCTCTTTCTCAGGTTTTTCTGTTTCTGACTTTTCTTTTACATCATCTTCCGAAAAAGGAGTAATAACGACATCCTTTGGATTTATTATATGAACCAAGAGCTGATGCTTATCTTTTATTAAAGCGGTATGAACTGTTTTTGAACCTTCGACAAATTCAGTAATATTGGTTCTAATGAGTGAACCATCAGATGGAAACATGTTGTAAGTTATCCCCGATGCCGCTAACATTTCGTCACCCAAATCATATCCTTCAAACTATCAAAATTTAAATAACTTAAGCTTTTCAACACATTTAAAAAACTTTGTGTTATAACGTACTGAAAAATAGTTATCTGTTGGTACTTGCTCTTGTCCACCAGCTGGCGTTACAACTTCGGTTTCTCTTCGTGATTTACGAGATTTTGCGCTACTTCTTGGACTTTTACTTCTTTTACCCTTTTCTTCTTTTTCGGCCTCCTTCCTTTTTTTAGCAGAATTAGCTCTCTTCTCTTCCAGAGCTTTCTTTTTTTCCTCTTCCTCTGCAAATTCTCGTTCTTTGTCTTTTAAGTACGCTTTGATAGAATTTTGCCTGACAAAAGGTTCAGAATCTTCAGGAGTTGACGATCTTGATGAGTCTAAAGAAAAGAGTTATTCGTTAATTTTTTACTAAGATAGATTTTTTTGTGATTTTCATTCCAAAAAACGTGATAATACAATTGAAGACAAGTAATATCCTCTTACCGCTATCAGAAATAACTAGGGACAGGATTTTATAGGCTTATTAAAAAAGTTGCAAAAATGTTTTTTTTTTTGAATACATACCATCAGCTTTCTTCCTCTTTGGTGATTTTGATCGATCCTTTTTCTTTTTTTTATCATTTTCTGCGTTGGCTTCTCTTGCCTTTGCAGCTTCCTAAAATTATATTATTCACGTTATAATATATTTTTTTTTAATAAGTTTTTGTCTTACTAATTCTTCAAACTCTTTTTGGAATAGAGCACTCTCCTTGGCTGTTTTAGTAGCCTCATATTTTGCTTCTTCTGCCGTGATCCATTCTTCAATTCTCCATGCCACATGTTCTAAATAATTACGGAAATGAACGTCCGTATGTGAATGGGACTCCCATTTATCATAGTTTGCTAGAAGTTTTTTATCATAAGGATTACTCAGCATAACCAAGAGTTTGTTGTCTCGTCTTGAATACAAAGTATCCATATAAGGTAGTGTATATGAGGCTTCTTTAATAACCTGATGTAGAACATTTATATCTAATTGTTCGACAAAAGTCCACTGATCGAGGTTTCTCCGTTGAGCCTCAACAATATCTGATAATCTATCAAGTATTGACGCTTGATCTATGGTTTCGAACTCGTCTCCAGGGTGAGAGACCGTCAGACCAATATCATCTCTTTCAAAGTGCACACTTGAGTCACGAGAGGACGAGGACCGCGGTCTTTTAGAATCTTTCAGTATTCCACCAGTTTCTTTAGGAGATGGTGGCGGAACTACTTCAACAGGTTCTTCAGTAACCCTAACTGCTTTATCGGCGCTGTTTTTACCTGAGATAAGAAAGCAATAATTAAAGTGACATACAAGTAATAGTAAAAATAAAAGAAAGAAAGAAAGGTATACTATTAGAAAATAATAAATGTGTTATCTAAACTGTTAGCAAATACATAAAAGTCGCACCTCTTTTAGATTTTGATCGGCTTTTTCGCTCTTTTTTACTTGACTTTTGAGTGCTAATTTCTGCCGATTCACCCGATGAAGACTTCTCCGATAACCGAGATTCTAAAAACAATCAAAATTATAAAATGGAAATAAATCGCGAATAAATTCTTACCAGGTCTTGTCGTAGGAACTTCTACACTTTCTTGTCTAACAGGCGTAACGGGGAATTTATCCTCTTCCTCTATATTAAAAATACCAAGAATTCCATGATAATATGGATAAGGATCATCCCACGGAATAAGATTTTTTCCATAAAATTTTACAACCTGTCCATTTTCATCAACTTCTGTTGACCTTAGACATTCAAAAACAAATTGCCGTAAAATTATATCTACTTCGTTTTTCGAGATACCAGGTGTCGAACAAAATGTTAAAAGTTCTTGTAATCTAGAAATTCTTTTCAATTTAGCTTTTTCTGGAGGCGATTCCGGAGGAGCAAGGAGAGTATTTGTTGGGAATCTCGTGTTCATGTAGCTTTCTGTTTGTAGAGGATTAAATAGATCAATGTTCGTTTGTAGGTTTCTTAGTCGGGTCTTTGCTTCGTCAGAGTAGTTGATGAGCAGAGGATGACGATTTCCATCCAACTTTTTATCTGGAATCTCGTATTCAGAAGATAAGGCTCTAACTTCATTAGGATCGAGAGCCATGTTTGAAGCCAATCTGTTTAAATGATCAGCCAAAGAGTCACATAGTCCGTCCGCTCTTGGGAGTTTAGTTTCTGCAGAAGGTGGTAATCGATGCTCTGCTGTTGCAGCAACTTGCTCTACCATACAATTTACTATCAAAGGAACTGAAACGCTTTCGTGAGGTATGCAGTCCATTAAATCTTTATAGTAACGCATGTCAACGTCTGAGCTTAAATCATCTACTATAGGGGGAGCACTTGTTGGGGCGGGAGTAGGAGCTGCTGTACCAGGAGAATCATTTGCTAATGCTGCAGAAGAAACCCCAGGAACATGGTATAGTTTGAGATTTTCAATGAAATTTCGCCATTGTCGTTTCCAATCCAATAAATCATAGGTATCACATGCTAGCTTTTCGAAAAGAGAGGAGCTAACCTCAGCCTTTTTATCACTATTTTGAAAATCAATTGGAATGGATGCACTGTTGATATCAAACGGCAAAATTGGCAAGTCGTGCAATTTAGGCGATGCAGAACTCATTTGTAAGACGGGTGTAATATCTCTCCAGAACATATCCAGTTCTCTCGTCAGAGCCTCTAATCTCTTTCTCTCCTCCTCTTCAACTAATAGTTGTTTTTCTGTTTTCTCTTCAACAATTTCATCTTCAGATTTATCGAATCTACTATAATCATCCATTTTAACTTTATAGATCACATCAACGTGAATGCCAATTTCCGAAAGAAAAGAAAACAAGTGAGGATGATTGAATCCATGTATAACAATATAGTGTTTGCTACCATCATCTGGTTCATCATCTGAATGGGAGAATTTAAAAAATTTAATGTCGTCTTAATTTATCTCTTAATTTATCTTCTTTCTGCTTTATCTTACCAATATACTTCGAGTCTAAGTCTTCCTCTCCTCTCTTTTGCAATTTACTTTCATTTTTAGGCGCTGATGGTTCCGGAGTCTTTTTGCCCACTTTCCCTTTCGGTGATTTTCCTCTATCTTTTTTACCTTTCTTTCCATCACCATCGCTCTGACCTGCCCGTCTGCGCTCTCTTTCCTCACGCCACTTAATTAAAGAAAAACTATATGTATTACTTGTTGAGCATAATAAAAATTTATCAAACCTTTCGTTCTACTTCTCTTCTGGCATGATCTTCTTTTTTTATAGCAAGTAATTTCGCCTTAATCAATTTTGCTTGAACTTGCAACGGAACCTCCTCATTATTATCTAAATATTCTTTACAATATTCGTAAACCTCGACAAATTGAGGGGCATCCTTTCCTTTTTTGCCTTTTGAGCTTCCAAATTCAACTGACTGTGAAAAGGAGGTTTGGTTTAATAGAGGTAAAGTTGAAAATGAAAAATCTTAATATATTCTCTTCTAACCTCGTTGTACAATTCACTCTTGGAAAATGTCGAAAACAGTCTTCTGGATTTTGATCTTATAGTGTCCTCGATGCTATTTATTAATGCGTAATCTTCATATCGGTTGCCAACGAGACAGGCTATTGTTGCAATCCATCCATCCTAAAATAAAATTCTATAAAAACTTAATATCTATAAAGTTAATATTACCTCAGTCTCTTCTGAAAATACTGTATTAGCTAGTTTTGTTTCCCAAGCGGCATCACCATCTTGACCTCCTTTTCTCTCTCCACTTTTACCTCTCTTTGGTGGCATGGTTCAAAAATTAGTTTTTATAGAATTAACCGCATTCGAAACATGATTGTTTACAATCATGTAGCCTAGCAACTAGGTAATACCAGTTTTTACTCGATCCCGCCAAAAATTTTGTATAGCGGTTTGACTTTTCTGTTTTTAAGAGGTAAAAACAATTATATATAGAGTATTTTCGTCTTATGTTTTTATTTAAGGTGGCACTTTAAATAATATTTGCGATAATCAAGACATTTGATTGTATACATTAAGTAACACTTGTATTTACATTCATCCAACGTTTCCTCAGTTCTATTTCGCTTTAAACAATACTCCATTTTAGTTTTACGGACACTATAAGGTCGTATTATTATCCATTTATCGCCTTCTTTCATCGCGATGTTGTCGTTTACTGTTAAACGTTCAGCTAAATGTTTTTTTCAACAAAAAAATTGCCTATCATCTTTCAACGTTATTTATGAAAATTATGGTGATCCGAGAAAGGTATTAGTTGGACGTGAAAGAGAAATACAACCATTGAAAGATGGTCAGGTTTTGCTAAAATTCCTTGCCTCCTCAGTCAATCCAGCAGATATTAATCAAATTCAAGGGGTTTATCCGATAAAACCCTCAATGCCAGCAGTAGGTGGGAACGAGGGGGTTGCTACAGTTATTGAAACCAAAAGTCAAAATTTAAAAGTTGGCGATTGGGTAATTCCAGCTTTAGCAGGCTCAGGTACTTGGCGTTCTCATGCTGTCTTCAATGAGAAAGACGCTATTAAAATAGATAATAGCCTACCTTTGGAATCAGCTGCAACTTTATCTGTAAATCCATGTACGGCTTATAGGATGTTGATGGACTTTGAACGCATTGATGAGGGAGATGTAGTTCTACAGAACGGTGCAAATAGTGCTGTCGGTCAGGCGGTTATACAAATAGCGACAGATTTAAGGATCAAGACCGTAAATGTAATTCGAGATCGACCGCGTGTTGAAAATTTAAAAAGATTTCTATTTGATATGGGTGCTGATTATGTGCTAACAGAGGAAGAATGCAAAACGCAATTATCGGACATCTTACGAAAGGAAAGTGCGCCAAAATTAGCCCTCAACTGTGTAGGCGGAATGAGCGCTACTAATTTTCTTAAATATATAAGACCGAAAGGAACTATGGTTACATATGGTTGTATGTCGAAAATACCATTCAAGGCTAGCGCTGCCTCTTTAATTTTTGCTGATATTACCTTCAAAGGATTTTGGATGTCTAGATGGAATGACGAAAATAATCAATCAGCCGAACGATATCGCACATTAGACTATCTCTCTTCTCTTATAAAAAAGAATAAACTTAAGTGTCCACCTGTTTCTAAAGTACCTTTGGAAAAATTTCCGGAAGCTATCGAAAATGCAATGACAGAATTTACGACGCATAAACAACTATTAGTTTAGCTAAATAAAGTTGCTAATTCGAGAAATATACCTGTTTTTTTTAATATGATAAAATTCTTTACCAATTGTTTTATGTAGGAATTTATATTAATTTTATATAACCTCATTTCAGTTATGACTGATAATGATACTTCTCCATGGAAGAGACCAAACGATATTTTAAAAGGGCGGAAAAAAAAGAAAAAGTTACCTGCTGTGAGAAGTTTGTCAGACGGAGATTTTTCAACACAAGGTCCTGCTACTGTAAATAGAAAACCAGGTGTCAAACGAAAAAACCCGTTTCTTTCACAACAAAGTTTATCTAAAAGTCCCAGGATTAACATTAAAAGTGAAAACCCAGATGATAATTCTGTATTTTCGCGACTTCAGAAGCAGCCCAGTTTTAATCAATCTTTTGTAAGCACATCATTAAAACGATAACCTTGATAGCGGCTTAATTTCTTTATCATTTATCAGAACAGCGATGAAGTGCTCGCGGGTGACGATTATGAGAAACTAATTAATGATTTTGAAGTACCGTCTTCAGAAAATCTGAATTCAAGTTCTAAACAAGTACCTGAGGAGAAACAGAACGAACAATCCACAATTTGGTCAACTGTTGATTGGTCTTTGAAGACTAAATTAAGATTCTTATCAAACGAACCGTTTGATTGGTGCCAGCCTCTAAGGACTAGTGAGGAGGCAGATTCTATTTCGGAGTTTGTTGAGTTAAAAAATCTCCTTCACAATGAAGAAAAAACTCCTCACGTTCTAAAACGTAGATTAAAATCTGCGAATATGCTCTGGCAACATCCGGTTTTTCCTTGGTTAAAACTCTTTCCAAGATTAGAAAGTTCATCCCCGTTCGTTATTTGCTTTTAATTTGTACAAATAAACAATGGTTATCTTTTTCTTTTTGTTTTAGTAAATCAAGCGCACGTTTACCAAATCTACTTTCTGACGACGCCCAAAAATTGATTATTGACTCTTGGTTTGTACTAGCTATAATTATTATTTTTTATATATTAAAAATGTCATTACTGTTGAATACAGGAAAAATAGTTTAACGAGTTTATACACTATGTTAAAGGCGGGAAAATGTCCATATTTTTACCTAAATGCTCCTTTTTTTACGGCTCTATTTAAAAGCCCTATGCTACATCCTGAAGAGATAATGACTGTGGCATTAACACCTACGTCGGTTGGATTAAGAAAAGCCCTATCAAGCGAAGGAATTGAATTTTCCATGCCACTAAATGAATCTTCTGAAGAGAAAAAAGAATGTGTGGTAAATGACAATAAAAGTGAAAGCTCTGATGAAGACGAAGATGATAGTGAGGATGAGATAATAAAAGATATGGTTGAAAAAACTCAAGTTGTCGGCTTTACAGCTGATAGCAAATGGAAAGAAAATTTTCGGAAAGTAGATGATCGGCCATCTTCGACTGTCCTAATTAAAGATTCCCAAGTGCACGCCTTTTACAACTTTATTATTAACAGGCGGGCGCTAATTCCTCAAACAGGAATTTACGCCGGTGTCCCTCCGACGCTCTTATCGCCTGTTGTATTTTGTGGTGCAACACTCGTTTCTTGCAAATACCGTCATGGAGTTATGCAACAAGGGAGCAATGGGAAAGAAAACTTCAAGTATTGGATGGACGTTGTTGGTCCCATTCTGCCAAACAATCATTTGGCTTTACATTTAATTCTATTAAAGAGTCAGGCCGCTTTACGAACTAACTGGACTACTTTAGAGAGTACAACAGCATTTAATGATTTCGACAAGTGGACATTTAAAGAAGACAATCCCTTTCGACAGCTATTTCAGTACTTAAACTAAACACTCGACTGATAAAAATAATTTGTCTCCACCTAGTGGAAAGATCTAAGTTTCAAAGCATTTATAGTTAGCCTCCGTGATTCGCCCGAGACGCCGGCAATTAAGCATATTGGCCTTAGGCAAGGTCGACTCTCGTGTATTCGCATCTACAGATGAGAGTATATACACTCGCTTTAAAGGCGGCAAGACCCTAGGCTAGCCCCGTAATAAAGAAGGTGTCACTGCACGCTTCGTAAACAGGCGGTGAAGTAGAGAGCGAGTGAACGGACCACTCGCCAGAACACACTCAATCAGACATTGATCCTCGGGAAATTGTCCGACACGACTCGGTCGCCGGTTTCAAGCAGTTTCTTTTTTCCTTCATCACGCGTCGTTATCGAAGGCTTATCGATTTGTTGGGGGAGGGACTGATATTGGATGGTAAGGGTGGGAACAACATTGTCCATGAATGAGAGAAATGGCAATGTTGGCAGCGGCGGTGGTGGTGGCGGCGGCGGAAAAGAGAGCAGCCGTTTTTGTCGTCTTCCGCACGTCTTTAGAAGTTACGAGCTCGACTCAGTCATGCTCAAAACTCGCGCACATCAAAAGCCGTACTTTTGCTTTTATGTAGAACGGCGTTAATGACGATGGTAAAATTAAAAGGAATGTGCAGTATGCGCTTGGGGCTCGTGTCTTATCATTATCTGAACGTATCGGACTGCGATATATTCGACGTTATAAGACGGTCGTAAATATTTCGCATAGCCGGGAATGTTTGCCACGCTCATCGCCGACACTCGCGCTAATCGTCCGATAATTGGACGAACAGGTGACGGAAGAGGAATGTTGCCTGGAAGAATTTTCTTCTCCAGTGTTTGTGTGATCAGTTAGCCGGCACGTCGAACGCAGCTGGTCGCTGCTTATGTTTGTTTATTTACCGACCTCTAACTCGCGAACTGTATCGTTCGTTAGACGAGAACCAACTGCCCTCTTTGAAGTCTACTAGCCTTATATAAATAGTCGCCTCTATATAAGAGTATATACCACTTTCTCTATTAATTGCCTTATACTACGCCTATTTAACAGACGCTTTGTCTGCTGCTCGCGCCAATATTTGATGTGCATAATGAAGTGGGAGAGCGAATGAAAATGTTGCGCGTTTTCTTTTTATTTAATTATCTATACGTTTGTAGGAAATTCGTATTTATGCTGGGATTAAGTATATAAATAATGCCGGACGCCGTACGCTAATTATATATAGGAATATCGTATTCCGGTCGGAAGAAAAATCGAATTGGCGCGACTTTTTTAAAGCACTCAGCACAGCAACTGTGTAAACGATGATCGTAAACAGAGAAAAAAATGTGCGAAAAATACATATAAATATATATATATATATATTAGTATATATGAATTTATACTAATATATTAATATATATTACCTACAGTTTTTATGTAAGACATACACATTATGTGTAAATGTATGGAAATCTACTTTTTTATTCTAGTGCGTACATAGATAAATAGAAAATCACGGTCATACACAGTACGTCACCAAAGACACTTAGCGCTATATGTTGTTGAGTTTAATTCTTAGATCAACTATATATTTATATACACAATATATAAATATATATATATATATAAATTTATATTTATATCTAAATATATATACTAGAAATATAAAATATATTATATATTTTATATAGGCCTATAACTTGAAGGGCTGACTTCCGGCGCCAAGCAGTCTCAGGCTTGCAGGTGTTCCGTATACCACTTGACTTACTCATTGTTCGATCGGCGGCTTCTTTGAAAACGTTTCGGCGTTATCTCCCACCGACAGCGGTTCAACGCTAAAACTACGCAAACATTCCCTACGCATACAAATCTCTCCAATTTACGAAAAAGCGGCCGACGCCCGAAAGCTAATCCGTGACGTCAGACTTCCTGGTCAGGTGACGAGATGCTTGATTGCTTTAACACTCGGGCAAGCCTTTGAAGTGAGAATGCATTCTTGCTTGAAACTCGAACGTGATGCTTCTAGCTTTTCTAAATAAAACAGCTAGCGATGTCGTCGATATATTCTATCAGTTTTTACCGAATCGCTTAGAATCGGAGACATACAAATTAAAGCACAATTAAATTCTAGATAAAGAGAACTGCATTCCCAAATAAAAAACGAGAATTATGCAGTTAAGTAAAAAAGTAAATATATATATATATATATATATATATATAAAGGATATTGACAAATTGCCCAAAGCAGTTGTTCTTTTCTTTGGGCGCGCGACGTCCTCCGCTCAATTGAACGCATTAGTCGAATTAACAAGATAATCCAGTTTCCATTACGTAAATTATAAAAATCACAAACGTCTTCAATATATATATAAATAAATGCAAGTGTACCGTGCAATACAATTGTTAATGATGACTTAATCAAATTTAGAATAATGCATAGCATACTTACAATTTAACCATGAATGTTTATCTTACTCTTAAGAAATCATCATCTATAAGATTTATATATTCTCATATCCTACATATATTTAAGATAATCAATAAAAATACCGAGCGCCTTATGTATGTAGGTATATAAAACCGGAACGAACGTGATGATGAGAATGGAAAGGCGCTTGAACTGTACTTATTGCTGAGAGCGAAACCTTGCTCGAGTATATAGTAGAAAATATATAAATGACATAAAAATATATTTTAAAGAACTAATAGTTCTCATGATTTGTTTAAAAGTATTTTCAAGTCATTAGTTGAAGAGAATCCTATTTTACTATCGATTTTAGAAATATGTAGTTAACTACCTTATAGAATAGACTGAAAAACAATACTATTAATAATGTGATTCTTTCTATAAAAGAGATAATCTTTATATTTATATACGACTATCATTATGCGCTCATATCACATTTCGTTAACTTAGACCATGTACTAATTTCAATATTTCTCTTCTGATTACGAAATTTATTTGAGAAAGGCTTTGCAAGTTATGCACCTATATATACCACGTATAGAAATAGATCTGTATGGAGGTATTTATAAATTTAAATATCTGTCTATATAGCATAGATATATATTAACTTTAATATAGAAAATACTGTAAAACCAATTGAGGACAGTGTGTCAGTTTGAACGTGACGGACAGTGGCCGCTCTGCACGTTCAGTACACCCTACCAGTTACGTTACAATGTATATACTATAGTAGAACTAGATTATTAAGATGCAAGTAGGTCAGGTGGCGCAGTCTCGCTTTCATCAGCCAATCACGGTCGAATGCGAATTCTTGATTGATCGCAGTCGCTTTCACAAGTATTTATCCGCTTGTTGGATACGGACGATACGAGTGGAGTCGTGTTATTTTATAATATAGATATACATATCAATTGCAAAAAGAAAATAATTGCTAAAAAATATATTACCACCACGACGTCGACGGATCATGCTTGCACGTCTCAACAGCACCAAACGTCTTCTTCCAGGTAATTATTTATTTCCTTTCATACTCTCAAAAGGTTCTATTATAAGTCAAAATTGATAAATAGAAATCACTTTGTAAATGGTGCGAGAAATGTCGTTAATAATATATACACTTTTTCACCGGCAAACGCCAAAGGTTTCACTGATAAAAAGCTTTTAAAGTGTTTGAATTGCGCGTTAGAGTGCCAAATTTATAGCGACTTTAAACACTTCTATGCTTCTAATATTTGTATCGATATGCATAGTTAATATATAAGTCTAAAACAGGTGTGCTCCAGGCGTCTCTCGTTTATATTTCCTTATTTTGTTTTCTCTTGATATGTATAGCATATGTATATAGATTGTATGTCCATACTTATAAAGATAAATAATCTGATATGAACAAGATGACTTAAACTCTAGAATAATTATTATTATATCAAGTAGTATGTTGAATCTGACACATTTTGGGAGTTACATTCCTGATTAATTTATTATACGGCACAAATCTGTTCTTCTTTCAGTCGGGAGATAGATTGTAAAATAAGAGAAAAAACAACTATACAAAGACATGTTGTACGCTATATAGATATATTTTTTCTTACTACATGCTTATAAATTCGCAATCGAATCGCGTCAAACATGGCCGAGTTTGCAGTGAGACGTTTAATGAAAACGAACTATGCGCCGGCACGGTGCAGGTATAAATATATGTTTTAATATCTGAGTGTATATATTATATGTACTTCTAACATACGTACCGAAGATTGTACGTTTTAATTTTTCAAGTTAGAGTATTAGATAATTCCCCGCATAGTTTCCTAATGCTAGTATTCGATAAAACAATTAGTCAAGGTACGTCGCTATCTTAATCAGTGTATGCAGCTGCTCAATTTAGATAGCAGAGTATACGAAAAACAGGTAAATAATTTGCGAAACGAAAAAACACTACTCGCGCGCGCCCTTTAGAGCGGAAAATTATTCTTATCTATGTGTTTTTGATAAGAATTTTGACGTGTTCATTGAAGCGACGCTAACTGCCTCGTTTGTCACGAAAAATATAATAAACCGCTTCACTTACTTGAAACAAACAAACGAAAGAAAAAAAGAAAGAAAGTGAGCGCTCTTTTAAAGAGCATGGTTATAGACACTTGTGTCCAAAACGTTTGACCGCTTTCTTTATAAAAAGAAAACGTGCTCCTGCATATAATTCTTGAAAACGTTCCATATATCTTAAACATATACTTTCGGAGGTGTTCAATATAAACGTTGTGTATATTGCATGTAGGAGAAAACACATGTTCAATCTGCAAAACATTGGAGAGATCATTTTATCTCTCTTTTTGCGGGAGGAGAATACAAGCAATTTACATAAACGGCAATTGGACGCACATGTTGTAACTACTTCTGATTTCTTTTTGCAATAGTGTATATCTATAAATGATTTTAGTACACGTGCGAGCAAATTTTTTTCGCGCTTCGTTGAGTGACGTTCGCTCATTATTGCTGCCATTATTATTCTTGGATTTTTATTGACTGACATTTTTATATATACAGGTGTATATACAATAGGGCGTATACATATATAACAGTGATCTGGTATGTAAATTTTGACCTATTTAGCCAAACCATATATGGAATATATTCGTTTGTGCAAAAACGTTTTACGAATGCATAGCGATGAAAGTTATTCGTTATAAAGAACGACTTAAAGATACGAGTTTTTTTCAGTTTTTATCATTTTCCTTCATGAACATTTCACACTTAATACGTCAAAGGAAAAGTTTGAAAACAAAAAAAAACTAGGTCAGCGTGGAAGCTTTGAAGGTTGTTTGAATAAAGAACAACACGGGCGAATAGTCAACAGAGTATATTGTTCGCCACATTGTCGTAGGCCTCACATTTCGTCTAATGGAATTACAAAGCAGCAAAAACAAGCGAAGCGTGTTTGTCGGTCTAAGTATAAAGTTCTCAAATGAAAAGAAAAGCAAAAGGGTTTATGGTTAGCGATATATCGAGATAATTATTTATGATACTTCCATTGCCCTTCACTTGCATAAACACAGTAGGAGGATATTTAGGTGTTGCTTTAAATCAGTAGTAACACGTTGCAATGCCATCACTTTCTCACGCACTTTTTATATTACGAACCGGTGCAACAGCAGCTTCGAGCCCACACGCGCGCCAACGCAAGCTCTATTTGCCAAAGCTTGCGCAAATAAATGATTGTTGTGGACAGGTGACGTTGGGCAATTCGAACTCTTCCGTATAAGGCGTATTTCGTAAATCACAATACAATCACGATGTTCATGCATACAGGGTGACGTTGGACGGAGCGATGAAAGAAAAGTCAAAAAATGCGGCGAGGTCTCGACGCGAGAAGGAGAATGCTGAATTCCAGGAGTTGGCAAAAATGCTTCCACTTCCGGCGGCAATCACCTCGCAGCTCGATAAAGCTTCTATCATCCGCCTGACGACCTCCTACCTAAAGATGAGAGCTGTGTTTCCCGATGGTAAGTTTTCTTTGACAATAGTTATTGGAACGTATCAATAAAATATGGGAAAAGAAAGAAGAATAAGAGAAGGAAGCAAAAAAGTCTTCCTTTCATAATTAACCTGCACTTAACCTGGGGCGGGGCACGTAACGCTGCTCTACTAATGAGCGCCTGATTAGCTTCGTTCGCCTATGTATACTCTACTAGGGGCTACAGAAACAAAGACACTTTAAAAAAGGAAGCGCGTTTCATGCATATAGCTATAGTTTGTCGCAAGTTGTTTAATGAAGTGGTAGGGGCCGCGCGTGCTGTATGATTATAAAGAGTATAATAAAGATTCGCCGCCCCTCTTCTATTCAGTCGGCCACTTAAATGCGGCACCAGGCCGCACCCAGAGGCGGTTCGAACGCCGCCCACAACCCTTTTTTACAACACTCATCATGGGCGCATTAGCGTTGAAAAGTTCCGAAATACCAGGGTGCCGGACAACGGTTGCATGGTCAATATTTTGATTAGTGCCTGTTTGAGAACCGGTTTTGCAATCGATACATATGTATAAATATAACGGTGTTTAATTATAACGATTAGTATATATATACCTACTTATACATAAGAACTTAACGTATAAAAATATAAATATGCATTTGATTATTAATACATTCAGTATATACTCTATATATTAGTACAAAAATACAATACATAACATTCTATATATATTGTAAGGAATCTGCAATAGGATAATTATTCCTTGAATATGGTAGTCTTCAAAGAAGATTCGTAACCGTTAATTGGCGCCTCACACCTGCTGATCGCACCACGCCCGCACCGTCCCAGAGACGCCGCCTAAATACGCCACTTAAACTCCATGTACGTGCTAAAGAGACGTCGTCTTCGTGCCGTCTCTAAGCGTCTCCTCCGTACCACGCCCTTCGCGCGTGCACAGGCGCGCGCCGTCTCTCCGCCGATTCCTTACCGTTTTTGTCCGCGCACCGCTCTACGTCGCTTTTAGTTTAGAGAATGCCGAACGAGCAATAGCCAAAATCATAAAGATAAGGAGTACATCATAAAACTGTAAATAAATTTTACATATGTTTTAAAATAATGACTGCAACTAGTTGAAAAGATGTAGAACACGGACATCGAGTGTAAATTATAGGAACCCTCCCGTTAACGAGCCGTACGCGCGCTCCTTCCCTAATTGGACACGTCTCCTGCTGAGAAGCATCTCGTCGCAATTTAAGGCAAACAATATCTACATACAGTGTTATACACAGGTTTGGGAGACGCTTGGGGACAAAAACAGACAAACGTAAATCCCAGAGAAAAGGAACTTGGGTCACATCTCTTACAAACGCTTGACGGCTTCATTTTTGTCGTGGCTCCAGATGGGAAAATCATGTATATCTCTGAAACGGCTTCCGTCCATCTCGGCCTCTCTCAAGTTGAATTAACAGGCAATTCCATTTATGAGTACATTCACCCTGCCGATCACGAAGAAATGCAAGCCCTCCTCACAGCCCCTCCTACTGCCGCCTACCACCCTCCGGCTCATCACCATATGACACACGGTACTACTATCTATTTTTTTTACAAAATTTTTCACACTGTAGAGCATATATTAATGACTCTTGAATAGCGATAAAGACGCGCACCTGCGACTTGTATTGCAAGCGATTAAAGCATTGACTTAGTGCCACTTTGTATTGTGACAGATTACGAACTGGAGAGGTCGTTCTTCCTACGAATGAAGTGCGTATTGGCGAAAAGGAACGCAGGCCTGACGTCTGGCGGCTATAAGGTTCGCAAACGGCAAAATGAAAAGCAAATAGTAGGCTATCGATCGTTGGCGCGGCCGACATCAAAGGCGCTACGCTTTAAACGACGTTTATTTGATCACGATTACCGACCATGATTGGTTGCGGGAAATTACGTTCGAATTTCGCTTTCTCTCTTTTTTTCCCTCTTATTTCCTCTTTCATTCTAAAACGGTCTTATTTATTTTTATATAATGTATTATCAATTTGGTAGTATACTGTACAATAGATATACAAATTGGATATATACAACGCGCTAATATACATGTGATGTATACGTGCATCATGTACTATCCTTAGTTCAAAGCATTCTAATATTAGCAGCTCTTATAAATTATAAAGCTACAAAGAAGCTCTTGTATATGTAAAAAGTATATACAGTATACAGTATTACACTTTATAGGTATAAGTCTTACATTTATTTATTTATAACAATATACAATTAACAAATACACACGCATGCTCGTACATAGACGCCGCTATTTAAATGGTAAAATTTACAATGTACACAATTTCACTTGATGGATCGCCTTCAACTATATATACAGGTCATACACTGCTCCGGCTACTTAAAAATCAAGCAGTACCCAGTCGACATGCCGCCTTTTGACAACTGCTTCCATAACGTCGGACTCGTCGCCGTTGGACATTCTCTACCACCATCAGCTATAACGGAAATCAAAATGTACAATAACATGTTCATGTTCCGTGCCCACCTAGATCTCAAACTCATTTTTCTCGACGCCAGAGTGGCCGCTCTAACCGGTTACGAACCTCAAGATCTGATAGAAAAGACTCTTTATCATTATGTGCATGCCTGCGATATTATACATATGCGATATTCGCATCATTGCCTACTCATGAAGGGTCAAGTGACTACTAAGTATTATAGACTGCTATGCAAAAATGGTGGTTGGGTATGGGTTCAGAGCTATGCCACCATAGTTCACAATAGTCGTTCAAGTCGGCCTCATTGTATTGTTAGTGTCAATTATGTCCTTAGCGAAATTGAAGCAAAAGATCTGCAATTGACGCTTGATCAGCAAACGAATAGGGAAACGTCTGATTGCGGAGCACTTTATTCATCTGCTAGTCCACCTAGTTCAGCAGGTAATAATGGAGGAACTGGTAAAACAGGTAGACCCCGTTCAAAATCTAGAAGATCGCCTTATCCCGCACTCACACCTGCTACACCTTCGCTGCATGTAGCAGCGGCTGCAGTTGCTGCCGCATCACAAGACTACGACTGCGAAGCTCGAAATTATCCAATCGCCGATCAGTACTCTGCCTCTACTTCTCCTTATCACGCTGCTGGCCTGATGTATACTGGTCAGGAACTTGCGTATCATGCCTATTCGTCAGCCGCCCATTTATACGATCATCACCATCATCCCCTTTATGCCGCTCGCCCTCCTTATGCGGCTGATTACTCACAGTACTACCCAGATTGCGCTTATCCGGTTCCGTCTTCGTACCAACCACCCCCAGCGTATTCAGCGCCTCGATCTGAGTCTTCTGCATCAGACGTCGATGTCGGTGGAGAAGAAGAACAACAAAGACGTTTACAAGACAAAGAAAGGCAGCAATCAGTTATTATGCGACGGCCTGAAACAACCGATTGGTCATCCGCTCGTTATGAACCTTGTTATACGTCCGTTATTGTCGATACTCACCAATATCAGCAACAACATCAACAGCAACAGCAACAGCAGCATGCTGCTCCACAAACCATAAACGGTTACGTGCATTAATTTAATTATGTGCGTCATGCATGAATATACTGTATGTATACAGTTACACTGTATATTAATTTATGATCATATTATCCTCTAATATGCTGTATTTTGTAAATGCGTATACGCACGCATATATTGCATAAATTTAAGAAATCATTTTACGTTATATATGCGCTTGCGTATAAGAATTACTGTATATATTTTAAAGCAGGCCTATACAGTGTACGCGAACACGCAAACACACAACCAAACAAAAGAGAATCTACATATATATATTTATTTATTTATTTATTTATTATTTTTTTATGTATTTATTTATGTTATCCTTATATCATACACACTTATGCATATATATGTACTAGATAAATACAGTGCATATATATGAGTTGTAAATGTACACATAATATTTATCAAAAAAAATATAACTTATTCTGAAAATTATTTTCATGTGTAAGAATTGAATAACAATTACTGTACAAGACGATGGTGGGCGGGTCGAAAACTACAAACTTATACAAACGAACGACGATGCGTGTGCGCGTTCGATAAAGCGTCTATAGCTACCATCTTGGCAACGTCAATAAAGTATGAACGACAGCATTTTCTTATTTTAAAATTTTTGTCTTTAACTCTTGAAGCAATAAAACTTTTATGATAATAGTATTTTTACATATATATACGTATAGGTCAGCAATAAAAATACTTGAAGTATTTCACTACAACTTGGAAGTGTTCAAATCGTCAAATGCGGCATTGTCGTAGCCATTCTGAGTCGGCATTTCCTTTTCATCTGGCTCGGTAGAATCGGTTTTTGGCGAACAACAATCATTCCACTTGAACAGTAAACGTTCGTCGAGCTCATCTCGCTTACTCCGACCTATACCGGAAATATACAAATAAGATTATATGTATTGTATACACAACAACAACAAATCTTCGCCCCTTCTCACCTTTGCAACGCCACCTTAAAAAAACACGCATTCAACAATTTGTTGACTTTTCGAATCAGAAAAAGAGCGCAGAATTAAAAGTTTGCGCAAAGTTTTAGTGGAACGGTTCAATAGAAGGAGCGCGCTTCATCACAAGAGAACGTTTAAACGGGCCAAACTTTAATTTGTTCTCTTTGTATTGACTGTTTACATTTTAAAATTGCTTTCTTCGTGTGAGTTCTAGCACTATATACACACACCTATATTTATATATACCGTCTATAAATAAAATATACACGCACCCGTTGCGAAGCTTACTCCCAACCCGACAATAACGGCTATCAACGTCGCGAACAAAGCATAATACGAGTAAGAGAGCCGGTAGAATTTTTTCAATCTGAAGAGCAAGAGCAAACTTAAACATTCCTTGTCATAATAAACAAACTTACGGATTCTCTGAACTTGGTATCGATGTTGTCATCTCCCAAGTATTATAGGCTGAAGTCGTTGAGTTTGCTGAATTCAAACACTCTGCTGACATCCTCTTTAATGGAATTGGAAATTTGCTAACAATTTTTCCGATTGCCACCCATGATGAAAAAGCTAAGGAGACTAATAATCCAGCGGCTGCCCCCTGCAAAAAATTCCCTTGACACATTATTAAATTCTCTCTTATACATTCCGGTATTCCTGTCTTATGCAAAGCACCTTTAGACAATCTGTTAACGCTAACGAAATTCACGTAAGATTATTGTCATCAATAATAGCCGCCGCTTCGTTAAACGATTACGTAAGATCACGTTGAGAACCTATTATCAGTAAGCAGTAGCGCGAGCTCACTTACTAGCGAATTAGTCCAAGGGATGAACATGCCTAGAATAAATAGCCCAAATATAGGCCCTCCCACGAAGCCAAAGATGCTGAGGGCTAATTGCAGAACTGTATCTCCCAAAAACTGTACAATAAAGCTCAATCCAATAGTAAGCGCTCCGAACAGGAAAACTGCAAGATGGCGTTTTGGTATAATTAAAATTTAAATAACAGGTGGCGCCTCTACCTATGAGTCTTGCAATAGTCCCTCCTTTTACGGCCGACAGCTCTCTCTTTGTCTTATGTCGAAATATTGGTTTAATAACGTCCTCAACTAAAACCGCTGCTATTGCATTTAAACCTCCAGCAATGGAAGATAAGGCTGCACTGAAAGTCGTCGCCAAAAACAATCTAAAATCATATACATTTACGTTTATAAACAAACTTAATCTCTACGAGATAAATGATAATGATAAGAAACTGTTAATTTATCTTACAATCATTAAAGCTTTCTAAAAAGTCGTTGTCTTTTGTAGGATATTGTTATCGAAGCATATACTGTAACTATTCTTGCTTGTAGCTGTTCAGATATATCATCACATATAGGCCATGTCTCTTTATTTCGTGACGTGACAAATTAAGCAAATAATGCATACTTTTTTAATTACTATTTTTGGAACGACACAGATTGTGTGCACAGTTTAAATATATTGCTGAATTGTTAATCTCGATTGTTTTGAATCATATTAGTTGTCAATTTGCAACAAATACAATAACTTTTCTTTATGCTTATTGGATTAGTAGCCTTTTGTTATTTTTTACTTTCGACTCACCCTGGAAGACCTTTATAACTCCTGAGAATATCCATTGTAAAAAAAGGTACTAGTTGATCTTTTTTGTCAATTTTTCCCGTTATTGTGGGATCACAGGTCATATAGCGACTGTACATGACTAGACCAAGTAACATAACTAATATGAAATATATAGAGGTTGTTGCTAAACAAGCGTACATTGATCTAGAAGAAATAATTAAAATGATAAAGAGAGCAATAAACTTAATAAAGGCTACTTTCTGGCATCCTTAAGTTTTTTAACACTGACAAATTTTTGTATAATAGTTTGGTTTGCACCAAACATAGTCATATTTAAAAAGGTACCACCAACAATTTGTGTCCAAAACGAATGTCTTATCGTTGGATTTGGATTAAATCTATCGTAAAAAAAGCTTAATTATATTATTTATCTTCAAGTAATTCACACTTACTCATAAAAATCCCATCTACCTCCTTGTTTAGCGTTATCAAACACATTAGTAATACCTCCTGCATCACGGATGCCAAATGCGTTTAAGATAATTAATCCAAGTAAAATTATCATCATTTGAATTACATCATTCGCTACAGTTGCTTTCATACCTCCTAAAGCTGTGTATATTGTGCACACTCCGCCAATAATTACTATTGAAAGCTCTATTTTTAATCCTGTAACCTTATTGAGGGCAAGAGATGGTGCGTAAAGGACAACAGCCATGTATAAAATCTGCAAAAGTTGTGAAAGTAGAAGCCCATTCTAAAACTCCTATTTGAGAGAACGTACCACCATAATTAAGAATACTACTGTAGCCATTCGACGAACCACCCTATTAAAACGACGTTCCAAATACTAAATGGGTATTTGTAATGTTACATTAGAGGTTATTTTTTGTACATAGCACAAGGTCAAAAATACCTCATTTGAAGATGTGATTCCTAAACGATGAAAAACTGTTAAAGTTGTATGAGCCGAAATTGGAAATGCTATAAAGTACGATATTATGAACCAAGCATACATTGTTCCATGATGATACACTTCCGAAGGCATTCCAAGTATAAAAATCGCGGACAAAAATGACGCTTGAATAGATAAAGCAACAGGAGCCCAATGTAGACCTCCGCCACCTCGTAAAATGTCATCTGTTGTAACTTCTTTTTTAGATCTTTTAGCAAGGAATGCATAAATAGCTCCAATTCCAACAGTTCCAAATAAAAAGATTCCTAGAACCAAATAATCAACCCAATGAAACTTAACCTCTGTCATGGTGCTCTTTTGAGCAAGTGTACTATTATTTCGATATTATCTTATCAATAATTTCATCTGTGAGATTAAATTATACAATGACGTGCAAGTTCTCAATACCGTATATGATCAAAGAATAAAGCATAGGATGGAGAGAGTTGGCTTCATTAATTGAACTTGTATTGGATAACTGTATAAAGTAGATTGTCCGAAAGATGGCGTAGTCATCCAGTGTATCTTGAGAAATTGTGATTGGCTACTCTGACTTTTAGAAATATTTAAAGATATTAAACTATTAATAGATAAAATTCTTTAATTGGTACTTAATACCATTTAGGCTAAATAATTTGATATAATACATATATAAATTTATATATATATATATATATATATATATAATGAATATATGAAAGATGTCATGTAATGTGAATGTTAACATGACACAGTTTCTTGAACTTTTCCATTGAACCTAATGTTGTCTTTTATTTCATATCATGATGTCTAAACATTCTATATGGATGAGGGTATTTCATACTGTCTTATTATTTAAACACATGCAGTCAATTAATTGTTCAGTGGGATCTAACTAGCAGCTGAGAAGTGGTGATAAGTTGTTTTGCTTGGTGCTCGTAGTAACGTGTTGCGTAGCCACCTATATTGAACGAAAATTCATTTGCATTCGGTCGAACAGCGAACTTTAACTATTTACAATCTAGCTTGAATATTCTACTGCAGTAAAAGAAAGTCATGCAGGTCAGTTGAAAATACTTCAAAAATGAACTTTTCTTAATTATTTAACTTTAGGTTGCTCAACCAATGGTCCCCCAGCAAATGGGCTATGCTAACAACGAATGGATACACGGATTGTGTAGCTGTTTCGATAACATTCCAGGATGTAATAAGATTTTGCTTTTTTTTTTCTTAAAGTAAAATTTTCTTAATTTTTTTAGGTCTAGCCGCTTGTTTCTGCTATCCGATATATCAATGTTATGTAACTTGTCAACTACACGAAGAAGCTTTATGTTTGCTAGCTGGACAGCCAGCCACTTGGACTGCTGTTCGTGCTCATATTCGAGGCAAGTTTAATATCCATGGGAGTATTTGCGGTGATTGCATTATAAATCATCTTTGCCCTTGCTGTGTCCTGTGTCAAGTAAGAAATGAATGGGAATCTCGCCATAAGAGTGTCGGTGTCGTAATGCAACAGCAAGCTCCAATCGTCATGCAAACAACAACAACTACTACTAACCCTTAAATATTGTTAGATATAACGCAATAGAATTTTATTGCCAAGATGAGATTTAATAAAACGTAATGACAATTAAGACATTGTATTTTCGGTTTCAAATGAACTTTACATACTTGAACACTTGTAGCCCAATGAAAGCAAACATTCTTTTATATCCAAGTGAATACAAACATTAGATATTTATTCAATGTTTAGTATATATGTAAATATTAAAGAAATATTTAAAAGTTTGGTGAATTTTTCAACTTGAAAAACACTCTATTAAATAATTAGTTAATTGGTATTAAATAGCCTAAGAAATATTTGCTCAACTGTGGATCTCTTTGTTTAGATTAATTTAAAAGTTTTTTGATACAATAGGCTTTAGAATGGTTTAGAACAACCTAAAAGCTCATGCTCATCGTTTACGTGATTTTGATTCAAGACAATATCGATCCTAGTCTCGTCATAGCTGAGAATCTATTTTTAGACAAACAAACAGGTATAGTTTTTCCAAAGAATTAGTCATGAGCTAGCGTTTCATTGAACTTTTTCAGTCTCCAAAGCGACAAAGTTTATTGATTTTCCGGTTTTTGCTTCAGCCACACGTGTATTAATAATATATTAAATACCTGCTCCAATTTTCATAAGAAAATTTTTAATACACAAATGAAAAGAAATAATAAACAATTCTAGTTTAAAGATATGCTTTGAGAGTTCGTTAAATCTTTAAAAGCAATAAACAATTGATTAATTTGAATCGATTTCTTTTATCGCTTAGCTACATGGTGCTTTTCCAGGTTATTGAACGCCTAAAACATAATTAAAAGAAAAGTTTAATACTTATAGTTTAAGTATATCTGAAGTTTTTGAAAATCAAACGTCAAAAAGTTGTAAACGCCGTTGTCGTGTCAATTAAGAAATAATGTAGGCTTAAGATAATTTTTGTATTTGAAGACTTTTAAGGGGTCGAAACCTGCTAACAGAAATATTTAGAATATATATATATAGACATAGAGAATGGAAGGGACTATTAAAAAAGTAATTGTTAATATTTCTAGAGCAGATATGTAGGCTACAGCATAAAAAAATTATTAAAATTGGTTAAGTATTTCTCATAAAAAATACAGAGCTTGAAATATTTCGATTGTACCTACTGTATTGTCTAAAACCTAATTAATTGAAAAGCATTTGGCCATTCGGCATGTGATTATAAAGCATTACAGTGTTTTAATATTTAACTTTCGTATTAAAACTAAATTTGAATATTTGTAATATTGTTCTTATAAGTATCTTTCAACAAAACCTCTCTTAGAAAAATAACAATGATAAAATGAATACAAGATCGCTGTAATATCGCCCTTAGGCGCAACACTCATAATTCTAAAATCGATTAGTATCGAATAGATAATCGATTCAATGCCTATGTTGGAATATTTTGTCGATTTTATATAAAAACCTTTTTAGAAATACAAACGATCTTGCTTTCTGATAAATCACCAAAAGTATTTTCTGATATCGGTTCAATTCGATTATTTGTATTCCAAATCTATGAAAAACACATGGCTCTGCAGCGAGTTGTGTAAGTTTAGCAAAAATCTTGCTTAAAATACTATTAAACATACTTTCTTTAATAGAAAACCAAAGACCCAGCGATCTAAGAGAGCTTTGGAAAATCGGGCTCCAAAAATACATGAAAATGATAAAAATGCTATGATCATAAAAGGGGGCCAGACATCCCAGGTTATAATCGACGTTCTGAAAGATATAGTAAGTAATATATCTGATAATAATGATGCAGCTACATTTGTTTATTTCCCTCAATCAGTATGCTCTGAAGAAGATGAATTCTGTATTGTACAAAAAGTAAGTCTGAAAAAGTATCGTTCATGTTTATATCTCTTGTATTACAGGAAAAACATAACGAGACCTTTCGAAGACACCTCATCAGTTGTAAGAATATAGACAAAATTCATTATAATACTATAATTCCATTAAAGTGATGAACAACTTAAATAATTTTTCAGGAGTTTTTCTCACAACGATCGGATTCATCATTACTTCTATTTGGCTCACACTCAAAAAAGCGTCCTCATAATCTTGTATTTGGTAGGAATATTTTAATTTGTTAGAAAATTAAAAATTTACAATTAATAAATAGGTCGGTTCTTTGACTACCATATTTTGGATATGGCGGAATTTGGAGTTGAAAAATTCAAGGGCATGAGTGAATTCAAAGTAATAATTACTGCATTTTGTTTTCTGACAATTTCAAAGTTACCATACAAAAATTTCAGAAAGAGAAATGCTGTCTAGGAACAAAGCCTTGCCTTGTCTTTAACGGTTTGGAATTTAGTGAAGATCCTCAACTCTTAAGAATTAAGAATCTATTTATTGGTAAAATAATTTGTGTGACAGATGAGTTATTAAAATTCAACCCTTTTATCAGACTTTTTTAGGGGACCTGTAGTGAAAAACATTACGCTTCAAGGTCTAGAGCATGTACTTAGCTTTTCTTACGTAAATGAGAAAATTTTATTAAGGAGTTACAAAATTATGTTGAAAAAGTCTGGTCAGAAAACTCCTCGTATCGAATTGGATGAAATTGGACCTTCACTTGATCTAAGCATTAGGAGAACCAAGCTCGCTTCTGACGATCTATTTAAAAAGGCTTGCAAAGTGCCTAAAGCTGCAAAGGTTAGATATTTTTCCTATTGAAATAGGTTAACTAGTTATATGTTTAAATTTATATTTAGGAAAGAAAAGTCAAAAATAAATCGCAAGATGTGTTCGGTAACGTTCACGGTCAAATTCACATGACTCCACAGGATATGAGTAAACTTCAAATAAGAAAACGTAAGGCTTTGAAAAATGATGAAGAATCCCCTAAACGCTCAAAGAAATCAATTGTTTGAAAAAAATGTTTACCTTATGTACAATAGTATAATAAAAATAATTTTTACATCCTGCTCATAATATCTTAATAAAATGTATAGTTAACTAGGACAAGAAAATACTGTTCTCACACAATGTCATCTTCGTCTCTTTCATCATACTGCAGCAGCGGCTTTTGTTCATCTATTGTTCTAGTAGACGAAGTCAGAGATGTTCTAAACAACTCTTTTCCAGATTGAACAGACGATGGTAGTTTCAGGGATGGCCAATCCGTCTCACTAGGTTCTTCCCTAATATGAGACATGGCAGTTCGCAGACTTTCCTGTTCTGATATCCCTGATATGAAAGGCTCGCGTTGAACTTTCTTTTTCTGTCGTCTTATGTCATGAAGATAAAGAGCGGACAGATTCATCTCATTTGTCAAAATTTCTATTTGCTCTTCGTTAGGATTCTTTTGAATTGTTCCCAAACTAGCAAAAGAGTTCAAGCTATTGCTCAGAGGACCCTCTATATGATGAGCTCCTCTCACCCTAACTCCATCGTCAGCTAAGTTAGGTTGAGAAATCTGTGAAGAATATTATCTTTAAGCCTTGTTCAAGAAAACGAAAAATATTCTTACTGAGGGTAAACCATCCGAACTTCGCATTGAATTGAACATTGCTTCAGCACCTGGATTCAATCCCAGTTGTGCAACATCCCTCGTCACTTTTAATTAAAATGAGATTAATGAAACTTAGCTTTACAATTATCACTTTTATACTAACTGTGTGCTCTAACTGAGTTCAAAAATTTGCTCTCGTCTTCTGGTGGAACCCATTCTGGATTTGTGTACTGTAAGGAAACAATTTCTCAGCTTCTTGTCATGAAATAAGAGTAACAAACTTTAAAGTGAATTAAAGACAGAGCGGCTTTTCCATTTTCAGCTTGTCGGTAATCATTAGCTTCTGTCGATGTCTCTGAAACCATCCATTCAGGACTTGCGTGTTTTCTTATATCCATTTGGGCAAATGAACAAACATCCCCGACACCAGTCACTTCAACAGTAAAATTCCGAAAGAAATCAACAATATCAAGGGCTTTGTTACGTGAGGAGAAAATGAGCACAAGGGGAGTGGTTATTGGGCTAAATAGCTCGCCTAGTAAATAGCTCTGCAAATGAGATTACAAGAATTTTTTTAAATGGGAAGACTTTGTTTTAATATTACTAACAAACTTATACTGAAATAGCTGCGAAAATTCATCTCGTACAGGAAATTTGTGAGCTTGTCCCTTCCAGTGTTCAGGCATATAGTGTATTTGACTTAAAATACTTCGCATGAGTATCTCCGGACTCCAAACCATATTCTGAAAAGTAAAAGCCTTCTATGTAAAATGTAGTGTAAAATATGAAAATATCTTCACTTCGTCCGGTATACATGCCCTTCCAATAGAGCAAATTATTGTTAGCACTGTCATAGTGCCTATAACATGCTGAACTGCTAGAATATCTTCATCTATCACGGTTAAAACTACGAAAACGATGAGAATACTTCCACAAAAAAACACGGTGTATCTATGAAAAATAGCTATTAATTTCTAAGATTGGATTGTCTTAAGATATTACTTAGCAAAAATTACTGTAATTGGAAGTGTAAAGGAATCCATGTATCGGACTGAATACTTATAGGCTCTATTCAGCCTTGACATAAATTCATGTTCCAGTTCATTAAAGTGTCTTAAGTATAAGCGAGAATAAAGCGACCACATTCTTAATCCCAGTATGCTAGGATCTCTTTTACATAACTGAAACGAATAAATAACGCTGCAAATTGTTACTGTAACATCATCCCTACCTCTGCATATCTAAAGAATGAATAAAGGATAATCCATAGAAAACTTAAAGGCGAAACTAATAAGTTAATTATGCCTATCCAAAATATTCGACTTGATAATCTGAAAACTTTAAATTAGTATATAATTTTCTTTACATGATTCTTACTGTGCAGCCAATTCTTTGCGCTTATGATAATTTCTATAATCTGACTTCAAATGCCAATGATTTTCAAATGGACTCCAAGGACCCCCTAATGATAATGAGTGATTATACATGGAACAAATAAAAGATTCAGTACTTACAAAAGAGAATTATCTCCAAATTATATTTCAAAGTATTACTGAAGAGGACACTATAATGGAAATAACATGAATTAAATTATTAGAGGAACAGTTGGATATTTTTCCTTACCATTCTCCAAGAAAGGGAAGCTTAAATTGTAAATTTATAACTTTTTTATTAATCATAGCCACTTCATAATTTTTGAACCGCAAAATTCTATGATAAATATCTAGCTGAGTCAGGTCATGTTTATGAATGCATAAATGATGTTCGGTTTGTCCTAAAAGCAACTTTGACTGTATTTCATGCCAAGTAAAACTCCCCAGATCTTGCTGTTTTTTTTAGATATTTTTAGAACTGTTTTGTGGAATATATTATTTAAATTTTTTTCTTAACTTACTGATGTAATTTCTAAGACTTGGGAGTAAAAATTACGCATGTCATAGTATTGAAACGAATTGTAAATATTTCTGCATGTTTTCAGTAAAGCCAAAACCACAGCCACAATTAGAACTATTATCATTAGAGGATCGAATCTATTGTTTTTAATTGAATGTTAACGGTTTAATATTTATACTGTATATAGTGTAATGAAACGCACCTTTCAAAACATTGCTCAACACTGAAAACGCCATCACTCAAAGTAACTTTTTCTGTTCCATTTAGCAATTTGGTTTCATGAAAAAGTACATCATACTTGACACATTTCAAAAGGAAAGAAGAAAAGCCAATAATAAACGCGAATTGTCTGTGTATTTCATTCTAAATAAAAGTTTGGTATATTTAAAAAGAGTGACTTACAATAGCTGCATCCAATCTTCAATAACCATTGCCAAAAATCCACCTCTTTGATGATATTGATATACCCGAGTAAAAAATTCATCCAAATTTTGTATATGACTCCATCTAGCTAAAACCCAAACATCAATTTTTAGACTATAAAGATTTAAGATACTTACTGCTTTTCTTTTGGCTTGAGTGTTCAACTATTTTTGGACTAGGTGGTGAATCCTCTTCATTTGTCTTCAAAGTCTGATAACCAGTTAAAATTTCTTCGCTCATCTCAGCTGGTAGTTGATGTAACTATTATTAGCTTTATCGTTTAGATATTAAAAGTTTGTCATTTAAGAATTTATTCAATTAAGTATGATTCTGTAAAGATTAATGTCTGCAGATATTAATCAAAGCATAAAAATAAAATGATTTCTTTGTGTTTAGCAATGTCTTGTTTACTGTTTAGAGTGTACTGCGCATGCGCAATTACGCATAATATCAAACCGGTTTTAAGAAATCTAACCGTTCACACATAATCGTGAGAATCCTTATTTTCGATGTCTTAAATATCTACTATAGTCAATATAATTACTAATCATGTTTAAAATCGAGAATGCTGATACAAAATCAGCTATTATGGATATAATCTTAAAAGCTTGGAGAAGCCGATATGATGAAATACAATGGGGAATTGAAATAAATAAATTTTCTTTCAGACATTACTTAGACGATAGTTTATTAGCAGGTTGTATACATCTACAGATTTCATATAAAAATATCTATGTTTTTAATGCAATACAGAATGTTTATTGGGCGAAGCTTTCGTAGGAGATGCTCCAAATGATTTGATTCTTAGTTACTTGAAGCACTCAATCTCTTCTTGGGTAACTATAGGCTTTATTAATATTTTCATAGTCTTAGTATTCTCTTCTTTGCAGAAAATCAGCTACAAATCTGCCGTTGAAAAAATAACACAAGTCCACATTGAATCAAAACCTCTCTGCGCTAAAGCTATCCTTAATTTAATTCATTCTTTATTGCAATCTTTCTTGTAAGATTTTAATACTAATATTTATCGTAATACCTTGAATAATTTGTGTTTGTCGATTTCCAACAGAAATAAAGGCGAAAATGGATTAGCATCAAGCTCAATGATATTTTCGCTTTTGGATTGGTTGATTTTGCTGGCTACGAAATGTTGTCAACAGTGTTCTGTGAGTTCATTAAGAGAGTATGAAGAAAATGTTTTTCCTATCCATCTCAAATGCTTAAATTTTATTATAAACAATGAATATATACTCGCCCTATTAAAAATCGCCATTGCTGGACATCCCGGTACATATAATCAATATGTGAAACTTTAATCAAGTCTCTAATTCCATTTAATTTCAGATCAACTCAGTAATCTTAATACAAAAGTGATTAACTATGAAAATTATCTAGATCGACTAGATTTAGATGAATCCTTCAAAACTTCTGTCAAGTTCTCTCTCTCAAATTTACTTCAGTAAGAAAAAGCCTATATTTAAAGTTTGCGAACATTATCTATAAACAATGATGATTTTTTAAAACAGCTTTCACGAAAAAAGAGCTTTAACATCTAAATGCCACTTAATAGAGTCAAACAACCAGTCACTAAATTTAAGTATTTCAATGTTATGTGCAATGGAAGCTGTTCATCAACCAAGTCAAACAGATACAGTTGTCAATTGTTTATTGAATTTGGAAAAGCTACACGACTTAAAACGTTGTAAATTATACAAAGAATTTTTGAGAGCCAGCTGGTTAACCTTGCATGACGGCACAGACAATGATGATGAAATAAAAGTAAATGCTCATTTATATCTAAAGGTAACCAATAAATATGTCTTTTTTTGAACTTGCACTAACAATAATACTTTATAGGTGCCATTGGTATTAAAGCAGATGGTTCAACTAGAATCATGTGGTAACTTGAATCTTTTTTCTGCCCTTGAGATGTTGGTCAAGTATGGATCTTTATTTGACAAGGCGGATAAACGGGCTGGGTAATTTCTATATATGATATAATTAATAAATTAAAAGTTTTGTTTATTACAGATGTAATACATTGGGGTTTTTTCTAAGTGAACTACGCGACAAACACAAAATTATCTCAGAAGAACAAGAAAGGAAATTACACTCTCTCAGGTGAATTAAAATAAACTTATAAAAATAAAGTTCTTACTGTTTCAATCGAAACTATCATAGGGAATTACATTCATTATTGCCGGATGTCGAACGTAAAGAACTATGGCACTATTCACCCTCAAATGCTCCTTCATGCTGTTTTATCATCAAAGCCCAAAAACCCCTTGAGAGCATTTTAGATCGAGTGGTAGATATTAAGGTTTTTTAATAATTACATTAACTAATCTATCTAATTCATTTAGGTTAGGTTAGGTCAGGAATACGATGATCAAATTGATAACTCTCCTCCATCGGAAAGTTTATCAACAATATTGAACAATTTGATATCTGGTAAAAGCTTCGGTCTATTAACAACGGCGGCTTCTTTCACCATGACTTTGAAAACTTTGACCTCAACTTTTTTTCGGTTAGTTATCTAATTTCGTTATACGAATAGTTTTAAACGGAAATTTTTTTTTATTAGCTTCACTCAAATGTACATTAGTCGAAGCGAATCTCAATTAGAAGGAAGCTCCATTTTTGATATTTCGTTACTAATGTTGATAGCAATAACATTAAATCATGGCAATGAGGTTTTTTACCTATGAAATTTTTGTGAAAATTTAATGAAATATTAATTTCTTGTAGACTTTATTTGAAGTAAACGAAAGCGATCAGAAAACCGCCCTATTTTCATTTTTAATGACTTGTTTACCTGATAAATTTGGAAAATATATGGTCCCTTGTATGTTTGAGACTGAACAGGATGAAAGTCTTGTTAACTATATTCTTGAAAATATGTTACGATCTAGAAGAGTTCCATTTCGGTATGTTTTCATAAGATATTTTTTTTCTTCAACTGAAGATTTTTAATTTTAGGGAAATCGATTCTAACTTTGACTGGGTGCGAGTGTGTTTTTCTGTTATGAAAGCTTATAGTCTCATTGTAAAATCCCACATAGATAACAATTTTCCTGATGAATATTGTATTTCCGTAAGAGTTCCTTTCACATTTCATTTTCCAACTTGACGACAATTTTTAACTACAGGAAATCGTTTTCAATATTAAAAGCGAAATGTGCTCTATAGCGGCCGTAATGGCCGTATGGCTTTGTAGCTATGCAAATCTGTTAGAACATTCCAAGCGGATAAAAGCAGTAGATCTAGCTGACCATTTTAGCAGGAGTAATACGGAAGATAGGGGCATACTTTTGGAAAAAATTGTTGATGATGTAAGAAACCCCCTGGTATTATTGGCCAATGCGGGAAATCAGCATGTTCCTTTCTACTTTATAGAAGAAGATTTGAACGTTGAAGACTATTTGTTAAAGGTGTTTAGAGACATTCTAAGTGCTGGATTTGTTAAAACGTCAGACATCCACAAATTTCGATATAGTTTAAGCTTAATGAATGTGCAACATTTTTGTAAAATACTGTTAGAAGAGACTCTTAAAGAAGACAGGATAGAAGATCTGACAAAAGGAATATGTATATTACATTTACTTTTTTCATTTGATAGAGAAAAAATGCTAACCACACTTTTAAAGGTAATGATATTAGCAGAAATTTTCATTATATTTAAGATAGATTTTTTGCATTTTTAGCATACGCTACCTAACATGATAAATGGTCTCGGTTTTTCCCCAACTCACATTGAGGACCCAAAAGGTCGTGTTATCTCTCGGCTTTTAACGTTAATGCTTTCCGAGTATTTCCGAGGTACTTAACCTGAATTTGATTCTGAATTTCTTTTTAACGCGTATTGTTTTTAGGCAGAGAGATAATAAACAAAAGGAAATTAGTTGACGATTTTCGATTAAATGATACTGATGAGATACCATCCAAAAGATCAAAACTTTCTCCCTCATCACCCTTTCACAGTAAGAATAAACCTTTTTCTTTGTAAGTGTTTAGGATAAATAATATTATTTCTTTCTCGCATTAGTTAAAATGGAAACGGAAGAGACTGAAGAAGAGGATGTTATAGAAAGAGAATTCTCAGCTTTTTGTGAGTAATAATTTCGAAATCTTACGATTAATTTAATCATTGAATGTCCCCGTTTTAGGTAAAGAATTCTTAATGGCAAATCTGTCATGTCGAGGAAGTATTAATAAACGAATTGGATTTGTTTATGGATTTATTTCAGAAATGATCACTGCGGGTCAGCATACAATAAACCTTCTTAAAAAACACCTACCGGCATCTTTGGTAATTTCCCACATTATAATTTCTTAACAAATAACAGTGGCTTTAATTTGTGAATTCTATTTCAATATTTTCAGTTGGGACGTTTAATACGATTATATCCCGGGAGAATTAGTCTTGAACAAGCTATGTCATTATGCAATTTGGATGAAACAGAAGGACGATTAAATGCAGCTGAAATGATTATAATTCATTCAAATCATATACAAAATGATGTATTCCCAGTATGATGAAAGAGCAGTTGAAATACATATTTTTGCAAGCATTTGTATTATACACTGAGCATTCTGATAGCATAAAGAGTGAACTTACACGGGGAGTCTTTTTAAAAATATCCCGCCTTTCTTGACCTAATTTCTACAAAGAATCACATTTTTAATAAAAGTGATAGGAAAAAAGATTTACACTGATAATCTGAAATTAATAATATTATAGATTACTACTGTTTTTTCTTAATTTCACACGAGATATGTAAATTATCACTAAAAAAAAAATAAAAATACGATAAAAAATACTATAGTGTGTGAACTTTTTGAGTTGTAAAGTTATCATCAAAACAATTATTTTTTAAATTTACTATACGAACTATAAAGGTCGATAAGTAAAAACCAATAGTTAATTATGATTTACTAGTACTCAGCTGACACCCCTACCTTCCCGTTTCATGTGGTGTGGTGTATAAAAAGCAGACCTACTTTTCTTTGAACTTTGAAGCATAGTATTGTAATCTTAAATACTTTTGTCTACATATTATACTTATAGATAAAAGTATACATTTTTGGTCCCCTAAAATTTTTTGCACGCTCAACTCACCTTTGATATTCAAAGACCATTTTAAGAACAAAACAGAACGTAATATATCATTTTATAGATATTTTCGTGCAAAAAGTGAAAGCGGCAATGTCGTAAAAAAAACTTTTACCCTAAATTATTCTACCCTTATTGTGAGCATTGGACAAAAAAAAGTCATCATATATTGCAAATTGTGAATTATAACTTAAGTCAAAATATACGAGGCAGAATTTGTATTTAACCTAGACAGATATTGTAAAAGGCAGTGGGTATATAAAGTTAACGAGAAAGCCTATTAGCTGGTTTTTTATCAAAAAATCGACCATAAAAAATCTACTATGTATGACAAATATGCGTCAACCTCCACAAATGTATATAAACTTTTTGCTCTATTTTTGAGAATTTCAAATAATAATATAAAATTATAAAATGGTTTCAATTTCAATAACATTTAAAAATGCATATTTTTGTAAATGATCTGCTTAGTACACAAATTTAAATGATGAGTCATTTAGAATTGTGAAACATTCTAGGATAGTATTTATCGCGGACTGACTCAGATATTTTGTTTATAAAATCGAAAAGACGCCATAGAGTCAAATATTACGATAACCCTGTTTCTTATAATCAAAGTAAAATATATCTTTATGCAAATGATATCTATTGATACCGATAAGGGAAAACGACAGATGAGTTTAACGAGATACGTGCCCCACTTAGACATGTGCTTGATTTTTTTTTGTAGATTACATGCTACATTATGTTTAAGATTTTATCAATAATCAAACAAATTTTTTGTTTTCAAAAATTTATACAAAGAAGTAAATAAAAAAAATTAAATCCAGACCTGTCGTATTTTTATTCTATTTACTAGATGCAAGATATTCTAAAATCATTGCATTAGAAAATTATAATTATATTGACCAATGATAAATAAAGAATGAGTCATTCTTGGCAATCGCTTGCAATAGCTTTTATTGCACAAATACATGTAATAGGAAAGTGCTTATATATGAGAATTTCTCGATGTCTTTCATACCAATGTTTGATACTCTTTAATTAAGAGCCACATATTGAAGTATTGAGAATAAATATGCCAGGAAATCGAGGACGTGGTAGGGGAGCTGGAGGACGAGGTGGCCGGGGACGAGGCGGCCGGGGACGAGGTGGCCAAGGACAAGGCAGGGGAGCAGCGAACTCAGTCAATCAAGATGGATTTAAATGGAAAATGGAAGAATCGGACAAGGAAAATGTTGATAACACCGATATAAATTTTGAAGAAAATATAAGGGAATATTTTACTGGAGCAATCAGTATTGATCAGCATTACGAAGCTCAAAAGAACTACAGGTCTTTATATTTGGCTGCACTAGAAATTCTAGAGAAATTTAACGTTCAGCTAAGTCAGAATGCTAAGGTTCGTGCGTTAGCTGCAGCATGGTTACGAGGAGACGATGGAATAACCGAAAAATTCTTACTATCCGAAAATAGATGTGGACTGGTAGAGGTTATTAAAGCAATTTCAATTCTTGATGCAAATAGAGAAATTAGGGCAATCAAGAAGAAACTGAAGCGATTAGATATGCAAAAGTCTAAGGTTAAGCCCAAAAAAATGGGGAGGCTAAAGAGTAAAATAGAGAATCTAGAAGGAATCAAAACAAGTAAAGGGTCAGCAACGAGCTCAGTATGTAATAAAGTTAAAAGATGGGTACGCACCCTGTCGGCCGAAAAATTGGAATTTTATGCCCTACACTTTCCCTCCCAGCCTTGGCGCCAGTTGGCTGATATTTGCCATCTAAATCCGAATGATTTCTCTTCTCTCCCCTGGTTTCTACCGTTTTGCTTTGGAAAGCCGGCGCCTGATGATACTTTGCCTTGGGTTTGCGCCAATCTATGTGCAGAAAATGCAAACGATCTACTCAAGGAGTTCGTCATACCGTATAGTCACATAAGAAGGGTAAAGGACGTTAATCTGACAAATGCGTCGAAAGGTAGAATAGCGAAGCATGAATCGCTTGACCAAGTTCTCTGGTACTATGAAGAATTGACATGCCCAGAGGCCGATGCCTTCATCAAAACAAGAATTGAAAATGGAGAAGAAATAAACCTAAATATTGGGAAACTCTTAGATCGTTTATTAGCAATAAAAATGATTCGAGAGGATGTATCAATGACCAACTGTGAGTACGAATGGTGTGAAGAAACAGAGACTCTTTCTAAAAGAAAGCGTGTACCCAATAAAAATAAAGCTACCTTTTTTCCCTTACTTTCATCTATAGTCCAAGAAAAAATGAATGGAATCTCTCTGCCTTTGCAATCTCCCATTCTTGTTGCAGGAGACAAATCAGGTTCAATGGATATTGCAATTCGTACTAGCACTATCATTGCTTCTATTTTGGCTGCTATGTCTTCTGCTAAGTTTGTTCTTTTCGATAACAAAGCTCACGAAGTTGAAAATGTTCCAACAGATATCAAATCAGCATTAGATCTTGCAATTTCTGTTGAGGCAGATTTTTCTACCAGCCCTGCAGCTGCCCTTTACCCATTTTATCAAAGAAACGAGATTGTGAAAACTATAATTCTAATTACTGATGAAGACGAAAATACTAAATTCAAGGGATTCAATTTTATAGATCTATATAAGAAGTATGCAAAGAAAGTATTTCCCGCTAGATTGGTTTTTGTTTCATTTTTACCTCAGCATGCAGAAGGAAAAATGGTTTCTGCTCTAAAAAAAGAAAAAATCAGTGTTCTTCAGTTTGTGTTTAATGATACAAGACCAGATTTATCTAAATTAGATAACCTTTTCGGCTTGTTATCTTTAGAAGGAGCAAATTTTGAAGATATGCTTAAAAAAAGACAAGAAGAACTCAGCAAAGACATTTAATTTGTAATTCTAGACATAAAATCTGATATTTTATCTTCATCTAATTCATTAAACCATATACCATCTTTTTTGAATTCTGAACCCACAATAAAAGCATTTGCACAATTCATTAGAGTTTTAATATTCGCGCTTTTTGCTCCTGAGCCAACGATAACTGGTAGAGAAACGCTATCTCTAACCTCTTGAAAAGAAAATATGATAAGTGACTAGATTTTTTATAAAATTGAAATAATGACCTTGCACCAAATTTTCATCAGGAGATATACCAGTACTTTGCCCAGTAACAATTATTCCATCACTGAGGAACATTTCAGCTGCCTTAGAAACATCACAAGTAGTTATGTCATCGGTGATGGCATGAGAACTTAAAGAAACAATAACTTTATAAGTCATTAGACAACTATTAGAAGCCTACCTGTGTTTTTTTTTAACATCAGTGAAAATCAAAATATTATCCGCATTTAGGTACTTTCTATATCGCAATAGGCTCGCCGCACATGAATCAATATATCCTTCGTCTCCGATATGCCCAAATACATATCCTTCACACCTTATAAAATTTAAATTAGCTGCTACCGCAACTGCTAAGGCCTGTTGATTAGCACCGGAGAGTATTTGAATACCAATTGGAAGGTGTGGAAATTGTTGACGAACTTTGGTTGCAATTGCTGTCATAAATGCAACTGTGTGAGGCTTTTGCTCAATTTCCTTTTCATAGGGAACATCGTGCATGTTTTCTAAAACAATACCGCTTAATCCATGTTTACTATAAATTTTGGCTTCTTCGCAGGCTTTATTGGAAATTTCGTCAAAAGTTAGTGAGTGGCGAGGAGACCCTAATCAATGAGCGATATAGAACTACTGTACTTTTATTGCTTAATTTCTAGGATTTACCTGGTAACGCTCGTACATGTATCATGCCTAGAACAATTCGGTTATATTGACCAAAAATTTTCTTAAATGCTTGCATTTCTATTCTAAAAGGCAATAAGTTTCGAATATACGACTACAAAGCCCAAACGAAAGTACAAATTTTCGAGTAACGCAGTGAATATTTATCACCTTAACCTTCGCAAACTCTCAACCAATAAGCAGTCGAGACGCGATTTGACAGTCCCGCTACTCCCGCCTAGGCACTAGGCAGTCTTTGTGCGACCATAAAAGGGGAAGGAACATTGCTGGACAGCTGTTTTTCAAAGAAGAACAAACTTTAATCAAGAGGACGTCTTACTGTAAAACGGTATGTGATTTATTTTAGATACTGTACTGATAATTCGTAAATCATTCGAGAGCCAAGCAAAACTTAGTCTATCCTGCTGGCCGCTTGATAGGCCAAAAGAACGTTTCGCTTCAATGAACTTGTTCGTAAATATGGAGATTTTAATAATCATTTTAAACTGAAATCCTCAAATATCATTTTAAGTTAAAATTTAATCGGAATCGAGATGATATATACTTTATTTATGGCTTCAACACTTTAGCCTGTTCATACACCTTTGAACTGTGCTGATTCATTTACTTTACTATAATTTAGTAAATTATTAGAGAGATCACTTCGAAAGTGATAAAAACATAAGAGTTAGGGCAAGCTTTTGTCAAACTCTTAGGAAGATTTTTGGCGCGAGAAGTGCGTGGCGCGGCCAGCGGCGGTAGACACTTGGCGGGAGTCGGAACCCACCGTTCCCGCAATAAATTGTATTTTATCGTTGGTACGATTTCTTGCTATTATAGATTTAAAGTCGGAATATTTTTAATTAAATAAATTAGTATAGTAGAAGATCAGTTAAAAAAATTTGAAGATAAAATAGTTATTTCATTCTACCAATCGAATACACTTAACGCGACAATCGTTTTCCCGCGCGAATCGTGAACTCGATATGAGAGGTCGATTGTTGCAGGTGATTTTTTTTACATGGCTTTATCTTGAAAGTTAAGTCTCTGTGGGAATTGTAGTCTGCATCACGGTGGAATCAATAATAAAATCACCTAGAAATTTATATAAAATTTCAAGGACCATTTAGATGAACCTTAAAATTTAAATAGGCCACACTGAAAAGCTAATGGCATATATATATGAACATAATTTGATTTATTATACGTTTTTCCTATCACCTGTAATTTCTTGGCATGTGCATCGTGCAGATGTGAATAAAAAATAAGTTTACTATGGTCTGAACAAAGCTGACAGGTGCAGGAAAAAACGGGTCACACATGGGGTCGTTGCCGAGCTTCTTTCTTTTATAATACAATAAATTTGAATAGGCTTTGTGTTCCTTTAGGTTACGCTCCGTTAATTTCCGTCTCAAAGAGAATGCCTAGAAAGAGGTAAGTCTTAATAGAAAGTGAAATGCTGATTTTGCTAATCCTAAATACCATTTTAGTATAAGGATACAGGCGCGAAAACAGAAAGAGGAACAACTTCATATACCGGACCTAGAAAACGTATCCCAAATACCTAGATCAAAAAAGAGAAAAGCGGACGAATCTGAAGCTCTTCAAGTTAGTTTTGTAAAGCACAATGCGCATAAAGATTATATATATTTCTTGGTATTATTAGGATTTGCAACTGGCGGGCGTAGACGAACCCAGGAAGAAGCAACGTCTGGAGAGAGTGAAAGAGGTAAGAATCCAATTCCAAGCTAGCTTGTCCGTGTCTTGGCCTCTTGTATTGTACTTCCAACCGTACTGAGCCGATAGCGATGTGACAGGTGTAACGATAAAGTGCACGGTAAACGAGGATGAATTCAAGAAAAGTGAGAGTGAAACTTAAATGATACCGAAAAAAGCAAATTAGGTATTCGTAATTACACAGAGTAAGAGTTTTGAAATAACCACTAAGTGAAAGTATAGACTTCTGTAGTAAGTAGAACAAATAATGAAAACGTGTTTACAGCAGTCAACACGATAGATGACAGAAAGCTAAGTAAGGTGTTGATTGCTTTACGACTCGCTACTGACTTGTTTGTTCAAGTTTGATGTAGAGTTTGGTCAGTGTTCATCAGTTTTACTGGGGTATTAACGGATTAGCGGTACTTGTAAACACGAAACAAACAGAAAGCTTTGTAGTTTGCGTGCCGACACAGACGTGTTCGTCCTTTGGAAAGTGAAAGGAAATGCCCCATGCTGTGTGCGTCTACATCTACCAGTGTCAGTTTGCGCATCACTTTTACGATTGCTAATTGATGTCTCGTTGCTCATCCGCCCATGTGCGCCTAATCTGTAGAGCAATCTGATAGCCGTTTGAAATTAGAAAGCGATTTTCTTCTCATCCTAAATATTGCCTGAGTCAGATTAATCTATCAGATACTATAGAGTCGGCAACTTTGGACTCCTAATTTGCAACGACGTTTATGATCTTTTATTATGTAATAAGTCTGAACCGCCTATTTCACTATTTCGTTGTGTTGTTTCCATGTTACATCACATTAGAGTCACCTGCGATGCGACGTGTTACGCTTGAATGCATTTGTACGCGTTAGTCGTCTAAGCTGACGTAAGCGTTAGCATTTTCATGTACTCTGAATTGACATCTCCCAGTGGTCTAGTTTCTTGGTCCCATCGAGATCTAACCACACCCTCTCACTGGTAGGCCTCTTTTCAATCCTCACGCACTTAGTAATATTAGGTCTGACGTCATTCCGTCAAAGGTGACGTCATCTGGCATGAGGCCAGGCGTTCTCGTGCTGTTTTCGAAAGTGGTTTTTACGCCATTATGCTGGGTTTTATAATGATTTCGGCTAGATTAATGTGCTTGTGGCAATTCTGTCAGCGATTAACATTACTTCATTTGCATTTTGAATACTGATTGGCTTTAGGTGTATTTGCTAAAGTAAAATAGCCATTGGGTAGGCCTCACTAATGATGCAATTTTTAAAATGACAGCCTGTGAAGAATGCCGCTTTGTCGCCTCGAACTCCAACGTGTCACCGACCACTCCATTTAAGACCTGATACTCTTCCACAATCTCGTTTGCCGAATATTCGATGGGCTGATAATAAACAATTATGGAAGTCAATGCACGATCGACCCACTTCTCATTACTGCAAAGAATCATTGTTCAGTGATATACAAAAGTACATAACGCCTTCGATGCGTACTATTCTCATAGATTGGATGATGGAAGTTTGTGCCGCCTACAATTTACATCGCGAAACATTTTGCCTTTCAGTTAATTTCACTGACCGATACTTAAGCCGAACAAAAGATGTTCAAAAACAACAACTACAGCTCATTGGAGTAACAGCACTATTTGTTGCATCTAAAATGGAGGAAATATATCCACCAAGATTGAAGGAATTTGCTGATATGACCGATGGGGCCTGCTCCGAAGATACTATAATGGAATTTGAAATTATATTACTGAATACACTCGAATGGAATTTGGTCTCTATGACACCAAATGCATGGTTAAGCGTCTACATGCAAATAATGAATAGCGAATCATGGGAACAAAATGAAACTGAAAGTGCCAGTGAAGTTGATGATAATTTTGTCATGCCCCAATTCCGGCAGGAAACGTTTAAGGATGTATCCACGCTACTAGACCTTTGCTACCTGGACTACGAAAGCTCATTATTTGAGCCAAGTGTCATGGCCGCATCTGCCATCTATTACGAAATCAGTACTGATGTTGCACTGCAAGTGTCAGGTAATTATTTCGAATGTTCGCGCAATAACTCATAATACGTATTGACATTCTTTCACCGATTTGATTTTGTTCTGCTTGACGTCACTGATCGTTTTTTTCCAATTACAGGTTTATCAATGGGAAGTTTGGAAAGTTGTTTGAATTGGATGAAGCCTATATACGATGTTAGAAATAAACATTCTTTAGAGCCCAATCGACCGAAACATGTAAAGTCAGAAGATGCCCATAATATACAAACCCACATTAGCAGTGTACATATACATGTAAGATCATTATCTATTGTATTGAAACACACTAATTAAAGCTTGTTTATAGAACGATATAACAATCCTACGGAAAGCCGAAATGGCGAAAACACCGAAGCTTACCAATGTCGAATCTTCTACTTTCCTCACACCCCCTCCAAGCCATTCTAAACGAGCATTTTCTCAAGGAAGAAAAAGCATTACGTGCTTACGCACGAAAACTATGTAAACTTTGAGTTTAAAAATGTCAATCATATTTATTCAACGATATTTATTAATTGGCGTAAAATACTAACTAGTTCCTTAAATATAGCGAGGTTATCTATGCATAAGTTAGAATTCCAAAAGTTGCAAAAAATTTGTTTTAAACATTCTTATATGGCGTACACATCTCCAATGAGCTGCCAGATTAGCAAGAGTTAATCCCTTGGTGTTCAAATTCGCGCATTTAGTTGAAAACCCTTCAAGACATTTTGTCTTTCATGCAGTCATATTTATGTGTATTTATTGAAGTATGTTGGGTAAGAAGGAAATTGTTGAGTTTTATTGTGTTCGTTTTTATAAATACTGTCCGTGTGCATTTGATTCGTTTTTTAAATAAATAACTTTTTAATAAATAAATTGTGTTTTATTAAGAAAATTTATTAAGTTGTCTTTCAGCCCGAAATTTGCTTACTTTCCTTTTGGTCTCTTTTCCTTTCTCTTGAACAATCGAACTTTCTCTTTCAACAATAGAATGAGTGAAAGCCTGTATACGAATACTAGTTAAAAAGAAATGTAAGTGTACTCTTCTGAACGATTATTGCTCGCCCAATAAAAGAAGATAAGCTGAACAATTTTTGCTCATCGGATGAGGAGGGTGAGAAAGGATTACGTACTTTATTTTCACAGTGACGTTCCGTTTGATCTCTTACGTTAAGCCGACTGTCTTTCATACGTTGCCGACACGCAAACTTTTCGTAGATGTCAGCCGGGGTGTTTACATCGCGTCTATTCGCTTCGGCGACCTGCAATTGCATCACTGCGTTCGTAAATATTGTTTACGTCAGCAAGTGCTTGCGCAACTCTTTGTCTATGGATGCCGCCAAAGGCAAATCTTAAAACTGTATAGAATGTTAAAGTACGCACCTCTCGACGCTGCTGTTCGGTAAGACGAGTATGCTTGAACGTTATCGAGTTATGTCCTATATCGTCACTTTCTTCCTCATCTTTAGATAGGTAACCGCCCTCCCTGCAGATTTAAAGTTAATGGATTTAATTAACAGATCAATTTCTAATATAAACTTTTCTTTATGTTTGTTCAGATAAGCCTCTAATTACGGCTTATCAAAAATACAACATTTTCGCAGCTCCTGTAAGAAAGCATTGCATCATAGTTTGAATGATGAAGATTCTTATCTAGGAAATGAGCAGACTGGCGCCGATCTTCAGATTCTATCTACAAACAACTACTAACTCAAGCAATTCTTCCTTTTCTTGTTCATTTTGTTCCAGTTTGTCCAATAAATCCCAAACGTCTTTATCATCTTCACTTACTTCTTTTTCCTTCCTGCGTTCTTCTCGATAATTCCGTCTTACATTCTCTCTATGTTGCTCTTGTACAAAAGAAGCGCATCCTTAACTATTTCCTCTGGCCCACTTATTGCATAATACTCACCCCTCCATTTCTTTTCTTCCTCCTCATCGTACGCTTCTTTGATTTCAAAAGCACCTTCCGCCTATAAGCAAGAGCCGTAATGAAAACAATTGCATTTCTTCTCAAATTGAATACGAATACCTCTGACAAATTTTCTACTCTCGATTTTAATAGCTGTTTCTGTTTTTCTATGTCTTGGATTTGATTTTCAATTACTAAAAACAATATACGAACTTACAGTTTCAAAATGATGCAATTGTATATAATCAATGAACATTCTAATATAATTAAAGGTCTATTGTTATCAACAATAGCATATAAAGGAGACCATTAAGAAGACTCAGGGCAGATGGTCTTGGTATTGTTAAATAAGTGGTATATTTAGTTCAAAGACAGACCTTTCATTCGCCTTGAAACTATCTGAGACGCATCCTTGGCAGACTTTTCAACAAACCAATTGTCACCCAAAAGGACTAGGATTTCGTTAGTATGAACTAACTTACCAGGCATGAAAGCTTTGTTCCCAAAAGGAACCTATAATGTAAATCATCATTGATTTGTTAGTTCTGAAAATTAAAATCTATAAGCTTACTAAAATATCATATGAATATTTATCGGGCAGAGTCTTCAAAGTATTTTGTAATACTTGATAATCGTCTTTGTATTTACTCCTGTTTTGATTAAGTATTAATTAAAATGTTTGCAAAACGGAAACAGTTTTTACATCTGTCTTATTGATTCTTCAGTCTGACAAAGGGCTCTAAGGTCTTCATCTTTTAACCTATCAAAAGGTTCGGTTTCCAAGTTTTGTGGAATTGACTTATTTTCACTCATCATTTTGGCAAAAAACCACTGAGTTGATAAATAAAGCAACTAAAATTATAATATCGAAAAAATATTGTTTATAATATAATTAGCTATAACAGGATATCTTTGAATACAAATATGGTAGGCAGCCTTGCTTTAAATAGAAACTTTGAAAAAAATATGTTTTTCAGTAGCAATTATTTTCGTATAATTATATTTTTTAATACAATATACTATATTCTCATTTATACATATTAAAATAAAATTTGGAAAATTTTTAGATTCTCTGTACGAGACAAGAAACATGACCGCCTCTAACTGTATCATTTAAATTTTATGAAATGGAAACATCAGAAAATGTCCCTCCTCATCATATCGACCATCAAGAAATTTTAGCTTTGAAGAAGCTATTATGGGGCGCAACAATCAAATCAGAAATATTTCACCGTTGGGATCAAGGTTACTTATGTTTTCTCTCTTTTTCGCAGTATTCTTTATTTTCGTTGACAAATAGGTTTCGAGTTCAGTGAGAATGAACCAATTGCTTTAGTGCAACAACAAGGGGGCCCATGTGCTGTAATAGCATCGACTCAAGCATTTTTGTTGAAAAACATATTATTTTCCGATAATAAACCTGATACAAATTGGAGGGGTCTAGAAGGTTTGCATTCTTACATGACATAAAAATTAATAATTCTTGCCAAATTGTAGATAATGAAAAGTTATACTTCCTGGCAAATTCTATTTGTGATATGCTACATCAGGTATCGACAAATGGACAATACTGCATCGTTCAATTTGATTCCGGAAATGATTCGAACATGAAAATTGGCCATGAAGAATTTCACTCCCGATTAAAATTAATAAAATGCACGTCCTCAAAGGAAGCCAGCAAAGTAATTCAAAATTCCATTGCAGAGTATCTATGCCAGTTCGGTGTCCTTCTCCTTATGTACTCAGTATTACTTACGAAAGGTTCTTTTTCTATATTATTTAATGTATGCATTCTATTTAGAAATTTTTAAACAGGCTTAGGAATTGTTAAGAAGGAAATGGAGGATTCTTCTGAAGTATTGATAGACTCTATTCATGGTCATGGAAGTCAGAGTCTTATCAACTTGTTAATTACTGGCAGTGCTGTAACAAACTTGTGGGATGGAGAGAGAGAAGTTTGCGGTTTAAAATTGCAGGGCATCCCTTCGCGTTCACCTATCGGATTTCTCACACAACTGGAGCATCTTCGTTATACTGAAGTAGGATGGAATTTAAAGAATCCTGCTTATCCAATATGGATATTAGGAAGTGAAACGCATTTAACAGTCCTTTTCTCGCTAGAGGAAACTCTGGTAACTCATGAGACTCAAGCTCAAACCGCTCGACGAACGTTTGCTAGATTTGATACTGAATGTAATGGATTTATCACTATAGACAAGTTTGGAGATTTACTTAAAAGTCTCAACCTGGAATCAGCTCCCGATTATGTAAATATAATGAAAAGCAGAGTGGATGAAGAGGGTCTGGGTATAATTATGCTATCTAAATTTATGGAGGAATTTTTTCCAAATGAGAAGGCAGATAAATCTGTAACAAAATTTACGCTATTTCATGTAAATTGCTTGGCGAGATCATCCACTGAAAATAAAGTTGAATTTATTGAGGGTCAGGCGGAAATTTGTGATCTTCCTGACGTGCAAGTCTTGGGTGACACATCGAATATTCGGACATGCTTGATGACCAAATGGCCCACAATCGAATTAAAATGGAATAATAGTCGTGTACCTTCTTTAAATTAAAAAACTGGTCGTATAAACGAGTTATGCAAATACGTTCAACTCGAGAGTAGAAAGTTTAAATAAAATAAATTTGTCGTTTACATTGCTTCTATTTTTCAACTAGAACTTTTCATTTTCTTTCTTTTTTAAATAGACTGTTTGTAAAAGTTCGTCGAGAAAGTCATCAATCTTTAAAGATGCATCTTGAATTTCGTCGCGAGATTTTGATAGTGCAATGATAGGAAGCTTCCTTAGCGTTCTTCCACTGAGTCCCTGACAACAGTGAGCAATTCTATGAATCATCTGTGCATACTTAGGAGTATCTTTATTACAAGATTCAAACCAATTGAATCTCTTATATTTTATATTAGGCAAGGCCAATATTCGACAACGAATCAGCTCCTCAACTGAAGAACATAATATATTGTAGGCTGATGCAGGACTTGGGTTATCAATAAATATTTTCATATCTGCTCGGTCTGCAAATGCTTCGTCTATACATTTCGTTACATTCGAAGTTGCGAGGACCAAAACATTGCGATGACGACGAAGTTGGTCGAGTTGTGTTAAAAGTGCATTAACCGCTCTAATTGAATCGCCAGGGTCATTTGAAGAGGCTTGCCTCATCATCGCAAGACTTTCTACTTCATCAATTAAAACTATTAACAATGTTTGTGAATCGAGAGCCGCTATTTCGTGCAAACGTGCAAAAGTTTTAGATATCAATTTCCCGCTTTCACTAAACCACTTCGAGAATAAGCTATGGCTATTTATCTCTAAGAGTTCAGCACTAGTGAATCTTTTTTTAAGCCTTATTGATAGCTTATTTGCTAAAGCTTTACAAAGAGATGTTTTCCCTGTTCCTGGAGGTCCATGCAAAAGTAACATTCGATTACACGTAACAACGTTAGAGTCGACTCCCTTATCTGCCAAAACAATGGTTGTAGCTGCCATATCCAGTAACTTTTGCTTGACATCACTGTCAAATATTAAATTATCCCATAAATTGTCAAACTGAACTGATGGTAGTGTATAAAGAGTTGTTCCAACGATACCTTCTTCTATTTCTTCACAGTAAGGATCTTCAGTTTGACAAGAATAGATATAGGTTTTTCTGCTTCCGAAAACATGACCTTCGAAAGAAATTTTCTCAATTTCATCTTTCAAAACTGGACATGAGTCAAAAGAGTCAATAGTATTTCCTACAAATTCTTTTGAGCATTGGTTATCAAGATAGTCGTTAACTAAATCTTCGATGTAGTCTTCTGAAGCGAGACTTTTTAGTTTTTGAAAAACCTCAATATGTAAAATATTTTTATTCTCCATGAATCTATTCTCCATACACACTGAAGAGTGACAGTCACACATGTTGCTATCATTTTTTTCCATTTCTTTAAAGGTAGTCTGAAAGTAAGTCTTCAGGCGGGTCAACGTTTGAAAATTGCTGGTAACGGAAACGGAAATGAAAATATATATCACTTTTGAGGGGTTATTCCTAAATTTGGCTGAATTTGTGTTCACCAGAAAAACTTCAATTTATAAAATTTAGTATTATCATTTTTGTGTCCTTGAGAACAAAACTATAAACACTTGCTTTTTTAATATTAGAGTAATAAATTTTATATATTTTTTAAACATAAAAACTGTTTCAATTTATTAGATAAAAATTATTTACGCTAAGCGCTAACTTTTGAGAATATAGTGTAATTATTTTCATGTTTAGAACACTGTTACTATAAAACATAAAAATTTTTTGAAGCCTCCTATGCTAAATAATATACCGTTACTCATGAAAAATAACAATAGGGGCTTCGGTTCAGCTTTTAGGGGTACCGGATGATGTCATTAGTTTGGTGATTTGAGATAGGCGAAATAAAACTTACTGTTATTTCTGTTAGCTTTGTTGACTCTTTATAACAAACATGCAGCCCGGTACAAGCGGCGGTCCGGAAAATCCAAATGCCGTCTATTTTAATAGTAGGGGGATGTGGATAACGTATATTATTATTGTAGCAATATTACACTATGTTCTGCTCAGCTTACCATTCCTTAGCGTAGCAATGGCATGGACGTTAACACATACACTCCATAATATTGTAAGTACCAAGGACATCAAAAATCGAAAGATGATTATAACTGTTTTTGATCAGATTATGTTGGTCATCCTTCATATCGAAAAAGGAACCCCTTTCGAAACGACTGATCAAGGAAAGTCGAGATACTTTACTGTCTGGGAACAAATGGACTATGGCGAGCAATTTTCAGCTTCAAAGAAATTTTTAACTATAACTCCAGTCGTATTGTAAGTCAAAATTTCATATATTGTGGCAGATCTTTTATTATGTGACGTTTTTCAGATTCATTTTGGCTAGTTTCTATACAAAATACGATAGGACTCATTTTTTTATCAATATCATATCTTTGTTGACGGTATTGGTACCGAAATTGCCTATGTTACATGGTGTTAGAATATTTGGTATTAACAAATACTGATATTCTGATAATAAATGTCGATTTTTGTATCGTACATTAGAAACTTGACGTTTAAATGGCAAACAATTCTGCTGATGGACGTCGAACAAAAAGATTAAGATAGAGAGTTTTTAAGAAGTTTTATGTCATACAATAAAAAACGAAATACAAGCTGAAAAAATTCGATTGAATGTTAAATAATAGTAATATATTAACGTTTGACCGGAGCCGAATATTCATGATCGTTCCTAACAATATTTTTAGCTTCATCAACCGCTGAAACATTATTTCCTGCGTAGGCCAAAAATAAATCCTTTAGAACTCCAAGTTCTTTAGATAATAATTTAATTCTCTCTTCCAATTCTTCATTTTCTTTCTTTAATTCTTCAACACGAAGATTAGTTTCTTTCTGTTTCATTCGACTTTTCATTCGACTCTTTCTTACTGCTATGTTGTTTCGCTCTCTTTTCATTTTGTATTCGTTGCTCTCTTTATCCGGAGAGGCTAATCCAGCTGCCGCTTTCTTCATTGGTGCCATATAAATAGTGATGAAGTTACGATCTTTCTACGAAATAAAAAGTGAAATAACATTATTGCGACATCTCTGCTTTTCAAAATGTTGCGCAATATATATATTTTACGATCAGATCACTGCAATCGACAGACTTTACTCTCTTCACTTCGATATCAAGCCGAAAAAGTTTAAATTAACAATTTTATTGGATTAGATTATACATTAAGGACATTTTTGCTGCCAAAATCAGGTAAAGCATCGCCATATTTTTGACCTACTTAGCATACGCGGGAAACATTCGCCGAAATCGATATAAGAAATTATTTTTTAAAACTTTCATTAATATCAATTGATTCAACAGAAAAAAATGACTTAAGTTACCTCAGAAATAGCTGCAATAAACTACGGAGAAAAGGTTAAAAAGTCTAGAATTCCTAAGCTCAATCTTTCGTCATACGTCTGTTTCGTCATCAATATGGCGGCGTATTAATAAAAACTTTTCTTTAAAGCATATAAGAAAAGACTAATAAGAGGAAACAAAATTAAAATTTTTTTACAAATTAAATAGCGTTTCTTGAATGTAGGCCTATAAATATCCGAATTGCACAATTTTTAGAAAGATTAACAGGGTGGATACCTGTTCCCTCAACACTTGTCCGGGCCCGCCCAGCGGAGAGTTTTTTGGTTAACCAATCAGCAGTTGCAAAAGTGACATCATAAAATAGTTCCAAGTTTGTCTCTGCTTAAAATTAAACAGTAATTAAGATTTGGCACATCTATGAGTGTTGATAGTTCACTTTTAAGATAGACTTTAAGAAATTATAAGTACTCAAGGGAATATATTAAGTATTGTTCTAGATGTTGTCCAACTTTTCAAAACTTGTTGCGTAGAAATCTGGGACTTTTTTCTAGTTTTAAAGGCCATATACGATATTGTAGTTCACACTCGAAGGCACTATCGCTCAGATAACATGGAATATTTTCAGAGTTACGATTCAATGGCGAAGATAGATTCCGATATTGGTCCAACTTCACCAACTCCTATGACCAGTGAAATTGGATTAAATAATATTGAAGCTAGTACGGAAGGAACAGTAAATGTTTCGGAATATTTAACTCCAACCACCAACATTGATGAAATATCATTTGATAATGTATTGATTGATGAAGATATGTGTATTGATTTCAAACAACCGGATAGTCGAATTATTGAAGCTCCTTTAGTAAAAGTTGAAATAGAACCAGCTGATTCAGCTGAAATAGCAAATGAGCCATTAACTAGAAGAGGTAAAGGTAGAGTTCCAAAGAGGAAGAGAGAGGAAAAAGGATCATTTGAATACATGAAGAAACGCCAAAAAAATAATGAATCTGTCAGAAAATGCCGTGAAAAGGCAAAGGAAAGACAGGCAGAAACTGAAAAAACTTTACATATTTTACGAGAGGAAAATTCTAACTTGAAGAGTCAATTGGCAGAACAGAGTCATGAAAATAAAATACTAAAGCAGCTTCTACAAACGTTTATACCAGACAGAGCAAAGGAAGGAGTAGATTTGCTAAAATGTTTGAAGAAATCATAACTACAAACAATTTTAGAGAACGACTGTAGATTTTGTTATTTGTTTTTATTGTATATATTTTTGTTTATTATTGTGCTATAAATCACTATAAGCATATATGAAAGTTTTAATCATATGCTATAAGTTTAATACACATTGTATAAAACGTCCTTCCAGCGTGTATCTGAGTCATCAGTTCATATAGTTGTTTTGTGCGATAACCACCATATAGATTTTTCTTCTCAAATGTAAGCAACGATTTACGTATATAACTAATTAGTTCAACTTTGTTTTCGGTAAACCTTCAATCCGGGTTAAGATTGTTTTTCTAAATTAATGAACCGAAAATAGGAATCTGTAATAATGGGAAAAAAATTAAATACCGTCTAGAATTAATTAAAGATTCTGGTATTCGAAAGAGCTATCTTTCATATCGCTCAAGATTATAATACAATTGTTTATTGACTATTGTATTTAACAAAATATTTGCTATTGAGAACAATTTGAATTGCGCGCCTCTAAAATATACTGACATATCCTACCAAAAGAGGTCGCTTCATGCCGAAATAAATACGGCGGCCATTGAGCCATTGAGTACCAAGCCGATATGATTTACCAGCGAATTGTATCGGCATACTTTCGCGCTCAATAGTGTATATTTATCTTTTAGACCTAATAAAAAGGATAGTAGAAGGAACATAGAATATATTGAAGAATTACGAAATTAAGAATTGAATTTATATCGGCTAAAAGGCCCACTGCTTAATGGGCGTGTTCTCCATGGAGGAGATTGAGGGAGATCCTTTGGATCAACGTACCGTGTTTGAATCTAAGTACGGTGGTCAATCAACGTAAGTATTGTCCTAGATGTTCTCATTTGATTTCTGCCGCTTTTGACCCCTGTATCGTTTTGCTCTAAAGATAACGCCGAATATCGATAAGAGAGATATTTTTATTGCCCGTTAGTAAAATGAGTAATTTAATTTATTTTTAATGACAGTCATGCTATTAATCATTATATCTTTTACGTTTATTTGTATACCCAAACGTGATTCTTAAATTAAATTTGCCTTTAATGTTCTAGATAACAGAGTTAACTATAAGCGGTTGCTAACCCTGTTTTTCCTATAATAAATCCTAATCAATACAATAATTTCTTGAAAAAACGATAGGGTGCGTTGTAAATCCAGACTATTGTTCAAACATTGCTGTTGCTAAAACATAAATTTGTTTTCTTGACCGCTATTAACCCTAAACTAAATTCAACCAGTTCTTTTATTTATGTATTTATCTCTCCAGATATGGAAAAGCTGCCGGACACGTTATAAGCGGGCATTCTAGATCCGCTTCTTGGCCTGCTGCTCGGCCTTCTATAGTGGAAACTGAGAGCAATAAAAATCGGCCTGCATCCCCAGTTGAAGGTCTTAAACGTTTGGTTATTTGGCAAGCATGTGCAGGACTCAAGTGGGCAGTGAGAAAAGTATGTTCCCGGCCTATTCGTCAGGATTCATCCCGGCCATCAGCCTACCTTGTTAATACGGCTTTGTCAGCTTTGCCTTTTCTTCTTTTTCTGACAGTATATGGAAATTTTGTGAAACTTCGTCATTTTCTAGGAATAACTGATGATGACGTTTACGTTTTCACCATTAGCCGAATTGAAGAAGCGATTTTTACTGTTCAACCTCATCGAATTGTATCTAGTTTACACTGTTCTGTATTAGATGTCTTAGCAGCTCTTCCTTATTTATTACATTACGCTTGGCCTGTTCTCTATCCGATATATGCCTTTCTCACGAATCGGCCAGAAAATGCAGGAAGATTTTTACAGTTGCTTGCACTAGTTATGTGGCTACATATGGTCGTTTGGTTATGCATGCCGACAGCTCCTCCATGGTTTGTAGACTCTCTCGGAAATGACGTAGACTTACGAAGCGCAGTTGCTGCAGCTAAACCTAGTGAAGGAGCTGCTTTCGCCCGCGTTGATAAACTCTTTCACGCTCATCTCTTTCATAATATGTATAGTGGTAATCCTTGTATATTTGGATCGTTTCCGTCAGGTCACGTTGCTTGGCCCTTTGCCGTATATTTAACTGGACCTCCAGGAGGCAACTATTTCCTGATATACATTGTATGGATTATCTGGGCAAGCATGTACTCAATTCATCATTATTTATTAGATGGTCTTGTAGCTATTATCATAGTTACATTTAGCTGGAAAGTTTTACAATATCTTAGACCGTCGGCTAATGGTCAACGTGATGGTCAAAGAGCAAACTTCCATTGCCCTCTTCACATCGTCTAATGTTATGAGATTATTCTCCCAACTCATTTTTTAGCAATCTCTTTCCAAAAACTTGCGAAATGATATGACAGCTCAAAATGAGCGAGCTCGACTTGGCGCATCAAATTTTCGTAATTTTTTATGTTCTGACCCACGCCTAGTCTGTGATTTTGTGTTGCATATATAACTCATTTCAGTAACAATTAACGAAATGTTATAGGCAATATCATTTGTACCCATAAAGTATACTCGCGTTTCTATTGTTTCGTTGAGAGTTTAAAATACAGTAATTGTTTTTCACTTGAGATGGCGTCATTGTCTCTAATCGTTAGATGGCTCTGATCCAATCATAGGCTCTTCATAGGAAACAGTTTATGTCAAAAAATTGTTTCTATATAGTATTTATGTTCTTTTACTTCTATGCTTTCAATTGTGTTTGGTAAGTTAACTTTACAATGTTAACAGTTGAATTAAATACTGAATAAAAAATTTTCAACTAATGTTGACCACTTTTATTTATTTTTCATATCGTGTGATGCACTCGTTTATGGCTATAAATAATTTGTTGAGCCACTGTTCATGCATATTTTAGCACACGTAAACATTAATAGCCATGCATGTCATACCTATGAACGATAAAGCCTTGCAACATACTAATGAAAGTGTCTCTTATAAAGGTAACTGACCGGTTTTGCATTTAGCTATTTAGAGAATAATTTTCAGTGGATAAAGGACAAATGGACATAAAATGAGTGGAGTTAAAATTGTAATAATTACACATAAAACTCAGTTTGGTTGAATTTAACAAATTACATTTTCCAAGAAGATCATGGAAAAATTGGATACCACGTAAATGTCATAGAATTTCTAGAGAGCAGTTGAACAGGCAGAGAAAGTCGAAAGAAAGCCTGACTAAAACGAAAGGATACCCAAACAATTAGTTTAGATAGAAAAAAATGTCTCGAGGACTTTTTATGGCATATTCCAGTGCATCTTACAATTATTTACTAGATTTTATTTCTAATTTTAGTTACTACTATAAAATTTTATCAAATATTAAATAATCGAGTATAAAACGTATTGATTATAGTAATTAGTGCGGAAAGCATTAATGTTCAGTGCTTCATACATGTCCATCTGAATATTTGGACATATAATATCAATAATATTATTTCAAAGGGAAGCAAGGAAAATTCGAAATGAAAATCATATGCTTTATCAGACTTCACCAACATTTGAAGTAAGCTACAGTTTATCCAATAAATACTTTTTAGGCTATCGCCTTCAAATGAAACTAACAAGGACATGAACAGTGAGAATAATTGCCTTTACAGATTATGATATTGTTAATATTGACTGTAATTCTTTTTCTGTGTACTGCAAATGCAGAGACGAGGGAAAAAACTCTATTTAGGTGTCAATAGAGATCGTTGTCGATTAATAAAATCTTTACTTCTATCGTTATTTTTGTCATAAAGAACCCTACATCATTGACGTGTATTCAAATTTTTTTAGAATGGGTTCGTTCTTACATTGTCTTTAAAAACTATTTTAAAATGTGTATGGAAATTCTAAATTCTTTTCATCCCCTGTGACAATTGCCTAAATAAGCAAAATTCAAGTACAGTTATTTTTTATGTAATGATCGGACTTTGGCTTACTCATGGAAAGGGACGTGTAAAAATGATGACTGGACAGGGATTCATCACAATTGTCGAAAATTATCCATTCATCAGTCTTCTTTAATAAAAAATCCCTCAGGGCATGTATTGGAACCGTCAGATATAATAGTTGTAATTTTTATGATGTCATCCTTTATTTTCCCTCGTAACTTTTTTCATTATATTAGATTAATTCGAATATTACCAGTTCTAACAGTTTATATAGTTGCTACTTTTGGAACGATAGGCTTTATCTAAGCCTCTAATTACATTTTAGCCTGTACTTTTTCAATAGGAAAGTGAAAATAGATACTTTGAAGCAGATGGACCTACTATCAATAAGAGAGCTAGGTCTCTATCAATCCTATCTAAAGAGCTAGTAATTTGACGCCATCTGTGGGAAACATAGTCTTACGGAAACTCTGTAAAGAAAATGAATACGCCCACATTTACCAAGTTCCGCATACGTAACATACCTCCACTAGTCAGATACCATTGGAGAAAAGTTTGCCAGAGCAACTGAATATATTGAATGACCGACCATTCAATTGTTTCATAATATATACATATTGATTCCGTTTATAAACTATACAACAAAGAGGACTAGAATTTGTAAGATTGACAATTATTTCATTGATGACTAGACACATGAGACTCTATCGAGACAATTATTCGAGGAGAAAGAGCGTCCCAATGTGCTTAATGTGCCCAATGTACCCAAAGTTTCTCTCCTGTTATATGCCATGCTTGCCATAATTGTCGCTCGTCGTAGAGCCTTTAAACTAGTGGGTGATTCTTCTCCGCGTAGCATTGAAATGAGCTCTTCTCGAAAGCGCCTTCCACTGACACAATAGAGAAGAAAGTTTACAGAATGGTTAACGTGAGTTAGAAGGTTTGCTACCGCTTTCACAACTCCATACCAATAACGTTCGTCCCACCATGGGCGCCCTATGAGTACGATTATACTTGGTGTTACGCAAAAGAGAAACAAAAAAGAAGCACTAAGGCACATGAAAGTGGTTTGTAGAACGTTAGCCTTATCACGATCTCGAACACCCATTGCGCCATCTCGGCGTGGTATTCGAATCAGAGCGCTGACAATCATTGTGTTGCAAAAACATATTAATAAAACTGGCAAAGCATTCGCTAGTCCAAACACAATCCAGGGACGTATAAACTTTTCAAAGTATGCGTATGGTTCCGGTTTTCCACAGTGGTTGGTCCAAGTTTCATTCTTCAATCTATCAAGCCCGCGAACAGTTCCTCTAGTCCAGAGAACATGACTGTTTAACCCAATTGATGAACATATAACGACTAAAACGGCAATTTTTGCTCTGCGCTCAGTGCACCAGGACGTTTTTTTTAATGGAAAAACGACTGCCAACCATCTGTCAATGGTAAATGCTAATAATGTCCAAATCGAAGCGTCAATAGATGAATAGAAGATGACTTTTTCTGTTCGACAGCTCCAAGGGTGTAGACCTTTCAGTTTTATTATATGAGCCATCTCCAACCACTCAGGTATTATTCCGGACACTAGCGCTACACTATCGGCAACTGCCAATACAGGTAGGAACACGCTAGTTGAATTACCCGACATTCTCGATCTGAGCATTACTAATAGGGTTAATAAATTTCCACAAATTCCAAAAACTAAAATGGCGGGAGAACAACACACCCACAACATTTCAGATCCACTCATAACTTCCGAGGAGCTTGAGTTTATTGTCATTTTTTCGTAGTTATACTGATCTTTAGATCGATCCTTTTATCTTTGTCTTATCGACATTTAGATAACGGAGTTGCGTTTTTTATTCTGCGGGGTTGGAGATGGTCGAGTTACAGTCAGCTACTATGTTCGTTGCGATGTAGCCTTGGGCTATCCGCTTCTGTTAACAAAGTAGTTGTTCGTTTTCAAATAATTTCTATTGCAAAGATTTACCAATACACAGTACATTATAGATACAAGTCGACCGAGCAATTGCGACATTGAACAAATAAAGCGTTGACACTGTCACATATCAACTGCAAACACTTTTATGACTGCAATATCGCTGCTCGACACCGAAATATGCAACACATTTTAGTTGGTCACTGTTGCGAGACGATAGATCGCTTAATCGACTTTTCCAAATTGATTCGCCTATCATTCTCGAAATTGTTGCCAACTATTTAGGAAATATATACATAAACACGTACCGGTGTATATACAAGACCTGTCGGTGAGTTTATCCGCTTTAGAGGTTTACGCAGCTGAAAACTGCAAACATATGCGATCGCGGCCAAAACGTTCGACCAATCAGAGAGTCGTCAACTCGAACTATACGATTTCCGGTTCAAGCGCGCTGAAACCAAAAGAACAGGTCAAATATATGCAAACTCACGATACTGTCCTTAAAGCTTATAATCCCTCTTCGGAAATACGACGTGAGCAGTCAAGCGGATAAAATAACTTATCAATATTTCGCTTTAAACTTTCTGTTTTATTGAAAAATCGTTAAAGTTGTTGAAACTCTGTTATTTGGCCTTAATGGTCTTTTAATGTAATTTTGGGCATTAGTTTTCTTTTTTAATTCATTTAAATATAACATCTATGACGTGCTAGGCTTAAACTTGCGAAGAAGTAATGTAGCTACAGATGCCGTTACTATTGCATTTCTGTGACGTCAGCGGTAACCGAGTTCAACTGGTATCACCGTGTAACATTTTTTACGTTTTGAATTCCAGAATAATTTGTATAAATTCCCGTAAAACTAGTCTCCATTTAGTAAGAGTAATATTTTCTTAACTCAGTCTCAATCTTTAATACTTCAATTTTCATGCAGCTATCTATTTATAAATTTTGCCAGCAAAATTCTGAAATATCGCTCTCTACGGACGTGTGCTACATCAACGCCATGAAATATTCTAGCATCATCGTATATCTTATTATCTTCAGCTTCATTCCGTCCTTATATTCAACAAATACTGAAGATAATGAATTTGCTGAGTTTGAAGATTTTGATGAAGGTATTTTATCAGAAAAGGTAGTTTATTTTGTGTTTCTGCTCACGTTTTCACAATTTCTAGATGTTGAAGAAACCAGACCAGAATTAAAGCAACAAGATTCTTCACCTCAAACAGAAGGTGATGCACAGTCACCAAAGAGTCAAACAGAGGATGATACAGCTGAGGAGGAAGAAGCTATTGTGGAGGTAACTCTCGATAACTGTTGATATGCTTTTTTATTAAAACTTGCTTGCTATTAGGATGATGATGAATTTGAGCACTTACAAGATAGTGATGAATTTGAAGGGTTAGATCAAAAATCGAATGCGAAAGGAAAGACAGAGCCAGAAACACTTACTATAACTAAAATTCCACATCATCTAAGAACTAATTGGGACTCCTATTACTTAGAAATTTTAATGCTTTCTGGTCTAGCTGTATATTTTCTTAATTTTCTGGCTGGAAAATCTAAAAACCATAGAATTGCTCAATCGTGGCTAAATGCGCACAAAAAATTACTATCTGATAACTTTGCAATTGTTGGTGACGATGGCCAAGGAACGGATATAACCGAACCTGGCAGTAATGAACTCCTTAAGGAATCTGAGAATGTTTATAGCTTATGGTGTACAGGCAGAGTTGGCTGCGAGGGAATGCTTGTCACTTTAAGATTGTTAAAGAGACATGACTTGGTGACTTCTCTAGCAAGAATTTTCAAACCTCAACAAGACCAATTAGTAAGAATTTTTGAGTAACTGATATAGGAACAAGATTAATGATGATTTTTTTCACAGACAATTAGGATAAATATGGATGCAAATGAAATGGATAGTTTTGTTCTCTTGATCGCTAATAAGAAGCTAAGCACGAGATTACAAAAGGATATGAATGACCTTAGTTTATATTCTACAGAAAAAAAAAATCCCGAGAAATACGAAATACCAACTTCCTTTACCCTTATGTCCGAAATAGGCGAAGCAACAGCAGCTGTTCTTGACAGACGGATGGTGGCCGCACTAAATAATCATGAAAAATCTATTAGTTATATCCATATTTCTGATCAGTATTCTGGTCAAAAGCAACAAGACGACACCCAACCCCAAGCTGTTGTTCCGCAAACAAAAAAAGTGCTGATTTTTTGTTTTAATTTAGATTCAGAAACGAAAGATATGAATGAAGTACAGAAATTAATGACAGTTGTATTAAATTGTCTTGACAAAGTGAAACGAATACGATTAAGTAAAGAAGCAAAAATGAAAGCTGATAAAAATCGGGCACGAGTAGAGGAGAAATTTCATAAAGCTGCCCATGCTCAACGTCAAGAAGCAGCCCAAGCTAGGCGTGACGAAAAGCGACGAGCAGAAAAGGAAAGGATCATGAATGAGGGTGATCCAGAAAAGCAAAGAAAGCTAGAGGTATAAACCTTTGAATAAAAGTGATTTAATGCTTAAAAAATTTATTTTACTATTTTAAGGAAAAAGAAAATCGAAAAGAAGCAAGAAAGAGAGTTCCTAAAATGAAAATGATGAAGGTTAAGGCCTAAATCGTTAAAGCGTTAATAAAATGTATTTGTTCTAGGCGATCTAATAGCTTTTTATAATTTTTAGTTCTATATATCGTTCAACTAATTTGTGAAAGTGGTTATATATATACAGTACATATATATATATATATATATATATATACAAATATATATTTATATGTATGGTTGTGTGTTTAAGAGAGATATCTTTACTATTTCATATTTGTACTGCTCTTGACTGTAAAAATAATATGGTAATAAATAATTGACAGAATTGTAAAGAAGGAAAATAACGGTCTAAAGCCTTCTCTAATTCCTGGTATTAAAAATTGGAAATTAAAAGTCAGATGTATTTTTCTTTGATTTTAGGTGGCTAGTAATGGTTTTTAATATTTATAAGATTCAACGCTCATTAGATACTTATCCGCGAAAATTTTCTTATTTATATCACATTTCGAAAAGGGACTAAGCCAGCTAAGGTATCAGGCTACCGGAAATAGTTTTTGCTTTTTGGTAATGAATTAGTCGGATCATATTTTACATGATTTTCCTTGAGTACAAAAATAAAAAAGCTTTTGTTCCAATTACTTACAATAAATAGAACAAACTGCAATAAAACAGGCTAAAAGAATTATTACTAAATACTTATCCTGATGATGGATTAAAGACTTTTTGGATTAATAATTACTTTTAGACTGCGATCCACCGACTCAAAATTTGTTATATAATGAAAAATATTTTCATCGTCAGTGGTTCTTCAATTCTTTGGAGTCTCGCGAAAACTTAGCGCAACAATACATCTATATTAATAAGAGTTATAAGTAGGGCTGCACTATAGATGTCTATAAAAGGCAAATTACGCCTACATAAGTGCGTAGTTTCCCTAACTTGCCAGCAAAAATTAAGCAGAAGGTATTGTATAAGGAGTAGTTTCAGTTGTTCAATCATTCAGCCGTTCAGCAGCAGATCTACTACATCAAATGTGTATCTGATTACATATATATATAAATAAAGCGACTATTTCGTAGAATAAATCACATATACATATATATGATAATACACATGAATTATCTCAGAAATGCATATATATATATATATATATATATATATATATATATATATAAAGATATAGTATATGTGTTTTATTTATTATATTTATTTATATGTATATATTATGTATATGTAATTCAAAAATAGATTTTTTTCTGGAAATTAAAGGAAGCCAGATAATGAACGCTTTGGTGTACTTGTACATGTAAACTTTATATGGATACGTTTTATACATTACACATCACTACTGTCGCCCCGTCTCCAGAACTCCTCGGGGTGTAAAAGTTTCACGTCAAATTTCTGAGCCCATTTAACTTGTCGGCCATCACTGATAGAGCAATCGAAACTATTGTTCCCTAGTCTCATCCACTGCTGACATCCCGGTTTTATTATCATATGTCGCCACGTTAAAAGACTATCGGCCGTTACGTGCTGTCCGTCTTGCAGAGTCAAACCTGGTAAATGATCGGACCGCCGTAAAGTCTTCTTCACACCCATCCAGAGCCACTAGTTCAAAAGAATAAAATACTAGAACAAAATTAAAGAGAATTACCTCTTACATACATGAAAACTTAAGTAAGGTTTCGTGTCATTTTTACTCGTACTGGTGAAACAAGTAATCCATAGCTTGCTACCACCATAAAGGACCAACTGACGTGCGGAATTGGAGAATACAACATGCTTTGTATGTAGCCATTGCTTTTCTCCCTTCTGTTGGGTAGTTTGAATAAGTAAGAGCGGCAAAACGAATACAACCCACTTTACATTCGTCATTGTTCTCACCGCAATGAACAGTAAGATAGGACAAACAATTGCACCGTCACCTGGCGGCTGCTCATGCAATATAAAAAATTTCATAAGCTATAGTTTATACCTTTTGGCAGCTATAGCTTTTCATTAAATTGAAAAAGTTTGTTTGCTAAAAAAACTTTTGGGAAGATTTATGTATATCTTCATTTTAAATATTATAGCTATGTGATAGATAAATCATAAAGTGTTAAAAATGTATATTAGTTTCAAGACAAGGCTCTGAAAACTAATATAATGGTACTTGACAAACTCCAAAGGTATTGTGAAAAATGAAAATGGAAGCATTGTTCTACTCCATAAGTATATCATTCTTTCTCTTTTTCCAAATTACTTGTTAATTAGTGACAGCGCTTCTAAGGTTTTTCCAGAGAGCGAAAAACGGAACAGTTTCCTCTTCACGCCTTATAAATGTTTCTCATTAATCTCGCTTTTCTTGCTCCATCTGCAGATTAGGCAACTTTTGAAAATTCTAATGGAAGCTGTTTTGAAATGGGCATACATATCTCTACACATTTAGCGATACATTAAACCTAAATATAGACGGCGCACACCGGAAAGAACGCAACGAACAGACTCTTAGATCTAAAAAAGCGCCCTCTCGAGTCAATTTGGTGCGAAAAACGCCCTATTCGATTCAATATTTTGCATTCGATGAGCATTCTGTAAAGTGTATAAAAACTATTTAAGTGCTGATGTATCATCAAGTATTCTTTTTGTGTTTCATTGCTCTCTTTCCCATCCGAATCAAAACCGGTAAGAAATTTAATTCTAAAATAGCTGTAAGAAAGTTTTAATTTTCATAAAAGGAAATGTTGTATTATATTTAGCTTAGGAAGAGATAAGATTCGAGGTTACGCATTTAGTATCTTAATATATCCTTTTAACAGGTGACGAAAAACTGTTGGAATACTGTGACAATGAAATAATGCATTTGAAGTGTCTTCAAGCGGATGAAGTTATTCTAATTCAAGAAGGATATCTTGGTCGAATACGCATTGGGAAGTGCATTGAAGAAGCAATGGGATATTTTGGATGTAAACGAAGTGTGTTACGCGAATTACGCCAAATATGTATGTCAAAAAGAGAATGTCAGCTGAAAGTTAACGAAATTCCTCGTTCAGACGAGTGTTTTTCAGAACTTCGTGTTCACTTATATGTTCGTTATTCTTGTAAAAAAATTATTATTAAATCCTGTGAAGCACCCTTGTGCCCGAATCGAGAGCTCAAGGAAAGAGAATCTGCTTATATACTCCATTCTATAGCTTGTCCATGTTCATGGACACTAAACGTGCCAGAGGGTCGAGCGATCTCACTTAGAATATTCGATACATCTGAATCTTGTACTTCAATGAGCATCAGCGAAGAGAGCATTGTCTTCGATACTAATGTCTGTCCATTATCCAACTGGAAACTCGTCTTCACTTCGTTAACCAACCGTCTCTCCTTCGCTCTAACGCGTAAAGGATTCACAAGACCTATCTTAATTCATTTCTCTTCCCGTATGTTACATTTATTTCATTATAATATCGTTTATTCATCTTAATATAATTTAATTTTGTCTTGTAGTTGTATTTTTTTTTCATGTCAGTTACGAGAAGCTCGTGCAGTTTGGCGTCAATAAGCCTACTCTCACTTCCGGCTACGAGTCAGGTAAGACGTTTGAATGGCACAGACAGCACGAGGTTGATAGTGGAAGGCTGCTCTAAGCACGGACAACCAACGAGTATGACGTGCTTAAAAGGCGTCTGGAAACCGTCTACGGCATTGTTGTTCTGTTTAGCCAGAGCAGTTGGAAAGAATTACGGAATGTCAAATAAGGTCGTCTATTTTGGTACTTTTGTAGCAGCTTCCATTGGTGGAATTTTTATTGCTTTTATTTTACCAATAATTTTACTGTTTCTCCTCCACCGGAGAATGTCAGCTAGGAGTCCGGCTTCTACAACGATATATGACAACACTAAAGCCACCTGGTGCATTAAGCCAGTCGACTACATTATGGAAAAAAATTACACAGATTGCTAGTTTTGTATATGAGGGCACCTGAATTAGCCGCATGCAATTCACCATTCCATGAATCATATAATTCAAGTTTATTTCACATTCGGTAATTTGTTGCTTCACCACAATCATCACAATCAAAATAGTTTGTCAATAAACTAAACGACGCAAACGACAATTGTTAAAAATATCTTTAATAAGAGAAAAACAATTTCTATTTCATCAGGTAACCAACGAATCATCTTACTCGGTCTAAATCTTATGACGCTTTGTTGTTTTTTGTTATATCTCAGTATTACTATTGCACCTAAGGATTATTAATAAGGATAGCTTATTAATCTGTGCTAGAAAAGAGAAGTTATCGCGGTTGATTTTCCAATATCTTTTCATCAATCAGTAGCTTGACAGTTATTTTTTGATATAATTGAGAGACTGTAATATTTATTTTAGTTTTTCCTTTGAATGAATATACAAATTATGTTATTTTTATTTCATTATCAAGACGAACTAGATAGATATACATTGCTTTGATATTTGATGTTGATTCAAAAATAGAAGATGTCCAGGTTCTCTCTTTTAATTTTTTCATCATAATTAAATTTATTAGCCTACGTCTCGTCCTCTTTACTTAGAAGCAGGAGATAAATAGAATTAATGTGAATACTTCCTACCCAACTACCAGATTTTTATTGTAAACCTGGTCAAAGTTTATATTTAGCAGGTATGGAAAAGTAATTGTAATTTCCGGAAGTGTAGATGATGTGTCTGCTTCTTAACATTGAAGCTGCATGTTAACGCTTTTACAATTGCTTGTATATATATATATACAATATATATATATATAGTATATTTATATAAAACTGCAGAAAAAGTAAAAATCGGTCCTTTTTTAGAATTCTTCTTTTAAAAAAAATTGAATTTCATCTTCTCGAAATCGAATTTAAAAAAAAAACGAAAATTTATCACAGTTTTCGTCAACGAAATGAGAAAGAATTATAGAGAAGTAGAGGAAAGTTTTACATGTCTATGTTATTAAATTTAAATCTTTGATGCAAGAATATCTTAGACAATCTATTCTTTTTAAAACTATGTACGCTAATCTCTTACAAGCGGATCTTTATTTGTTAGCAAATACTAACATGAGTAATGATAGTTTATTGAAAAATGATTCCTTTTCTCTCATCCACCTGAAATTACAAAACAACATACCTCTACATCTATTAGACCATATAAAATTTTTAATACTATATTTTTAATATCATACTTTTAAAAATCATTTACTTTCACTTACTCATATAGTTATACTTTCATCTAGTGCAATCTCTGTCAGTCTTTCTTGAGAGAACTCGATACTTACTATCAAATTACCTATCTTTTTCCTCTTACAACTCTTGCAGTTTAAAAATAACAGAGACTGAATTTGTCCTCAATCTGTGGTTTATTAAACTATTAGAAGGGCTGGGTTTTTTCTATTGATAAACCTAATGTTGATATCATTTACCTTATTGAAAAATTTTAAAAAGTAAAGAAAAAATACAATTCTACAGTTATGGATGGAGTCATAGTGAAAATATACTATAATTGTATAGTATATAATATGTTTCTCTTATAAACCAAAATTGAACCATTATTTCATCATATGGAATTCGTCCTTCATTGGGAACGATATTTTCTTTTCAATTGAAATAACGTTTGATGCTTTGTTTTTCTAAAAAAACAAAAAAAACAGGTAGCTATTCTATTATTTTTTTAATCACAATTCCTTAATAAACCATAATAATAATCCTGTATTTTTATTTACGTACGAATACTATTCTAGTGCATTTAGACTAATTAGTTTGGGAAAAAATATGAGGCTACTAGTCTGATCCGAAAATAGACGTATAGCTTAGTTCTTAATTATTTATAGCAATATATACCTAAAAATTAACTTGAAATTTCGAGGCAGTAGTATAAAGGAAACTATCCATTTTTAACAATCTTTGGATAAGTTTACATTCTCTATCATATTTCATGATTTTTTGTGCTTGTAATAGGCCTACGATGGAATAGGTGGAAAAAACATTAGTTCTAAAAATAATATATTACAGCAAACATTTTCAACTGGTTTCAAATTTAATTAGAGATAAGATCTTTAATAAAAAAATAAATAAACTTGTTTCTTAATATCGGAATATAAACATGTCATCTGCGTATAGAAATGGAATTTAAAGATATTTGATAGGTTCGTGTGTGTATGGACAGCATACTATGATCATAGTAAAATCGTAATTTTTTCTTATACTGAGAATAGAGCATTTAATTTATACGTTTGCCAAAAGGTAATGACAAGTCTTTTTTAAGGGAAATATTAAACTAAACTACTTTTTGTACTAACAAGGTTTTCCTAAAAGCTATTGAGTTGGTACATATTGAAGCAACGAGTATAAGTATTAACTTAGTTTCGTCAGATGGGTTTTCGATAAGGAAATCAAAAACGAGAATTCCTTATCTTTAATTTAGATATAATGCTATTAATATAGAGCCCGTTCGTAATATGATGGATAACACCTTAGTATTGATACTTTTTCGCAGTAAAAGTTTATTAGAGTCCTTTAAGAAGACCATTAGCTGTGCAAGCGTTCTGCAGCAACGCGTTTTTATTGGAGTTGCTGCCGTTGTTCATATACTAATCAATTTTGTTAGCATTATGTCTTCGTACATACAACAATTTCCCCTCTTTTTTTCTCATTGCTCCCTTGTTTATCTTCATACAATAAACGACAGCAAATCTTAATATAAAAAAGCACGCCATCTTGCGCTTAAGGTAATACGTTAGCATTGTGAAGATTAAGCGTAACACAACAAAATACAGAAGACCATCTGCTGGAAGCAAGTTTTCATTGACAATAAAATAAAAGGAAGATTGAAGATTTAATTTGTCTATAGTTGTCATGATAAAACTTTTATTACTTTTTCATTATACAACTATTCATGTTTTGTGTATTCAATTGCTTTACTTACTTGAATGTATTATTACACTTATTTCTTTTCCGTCATGCAATACATATATAGAATACTGTACATATATTTATATTTATGATTATTCATTTTTTTATTTGTACATATATAGGACTCCTATTAAAATACCGCTTTTAGACAGGTTTGACAGCAAAAATACGTATCAAACTTTTGCAATATGCGTGTACATCCTATAATATTCTTCCCTCTTTTTTCGATTTTAATTTAATTTTGTAATATTCTATCTCTCATAGCTTGCTTTCAATTAGCAGCACGTGCTCGGCAACTTTCAAGTGGTTCGTTTGTTTCTTGTTGTTGTAGTTATCGAATTGTAGTGATGAAATAGTACAAGAATCGCCTTTTACGTTCCTTGAGATCCTACCAGAGGTTCTAAATCGAACGTATACTTTCCGTAATTCACTTTGAACTTCTCCATTTGCGAAACAGAACAAAATTGATACAATTAGCCCTTGGAAACTGTTAAAGAACATTTCGAAAAATAATTTTGCCACTTCAACATGATAGCCGTGAGGTTGTGGGAGGATGTTACAAGCATCTTTTGTTAAACCTATAAAAACTATGTAATGTACACCAAACAGAGGAATGAGCACTAGAGTTGATTTTGCCAGCTTTCTATATTTTTTTACTTCTCCCGAATTAGTTGCTTTTAATTTAGAAAAAAGAACCCGTAGAATGTTTACGAAAAAGCCAAAGTTAACTATTACGAGAGCTACCAATGGGCCTTGCAGTATCCAGAAGTAGGAATCCGTTGGATGTGTATTCCAGCACCTAAAAATAATAAGTTATTATTGTGCAGTATAAAATTAGTAGAATATAATTGCAATAACATGTTATTGACTAGATACAGTACAAAGCACAGGCGTTTTTAAAATTATAATAGATTAAAGGAAGATACTTACAAAACATTTTCCAGATAAAATCTTACGCAAATCCACGGTACGATAGAGAGAAGAGGGGTAAACCAACCGCATAAAACATACCATTTTACAGATTTTGATTCAGAGAATACGAAAAGGAAAAGTAACTTATGTAAATATAGACCTTCGATGAAAATCCAAACATGATTAGATGCCAATGCGTAATTAAAAATGGAAAACAGTAGCCTACACTGCCAATGCTAGTTTTAAAAGCTAATTAGTTAATGCGAAAATAGGAAGCAATAAAAGTGAATACCGTAGAATCGTCTTTGAAGTAAACCTTTTTCTTTTCGTCATATTCGACATCCGACTTTAACCCAACACCTTCAACAAGAAGTTGCTCTTTCAGGAGAGTCATGCAACTTCGCAGAATAAAAGACATGAACAGATTAATGTGTAACCAATTCCGTGAACAACGTAGTTTTCTACAAACAAAACATGATTTATAAAGATTTGTGATAATTTGTTCTGTTAAGAGGATTAATAAATATATATATATATATATATATATATATATATATATAACTGAATATATACTGTACTGTATATACTATTATATATGTATATTTCATATATTCATTCAACATTTATAATTTAAAAATTTCATCAACAATATTCAAGATATCCTACATCATATTTGTAATAAAGCAGCTTTTTTTAGCTTTTTTTTTAACATTATATTCAGATGTTCCTACCTGAATAGAAGCATGATAATGACTGCTAATACCAGCGAAATTAGCGATATTGTATAACCAGAATTAGAGATGACTTGAATAGGAGTTAATATATTCTAAATAAAACTCCAAATTACTATTAGTCAGTATATAATGCTAATATTCACTTACGAAAATCTTCTTTTCGCATAGACCCTTTTCAACTGTGCATAACGAGTAATTTGTCCAGTGTGAAAAATTGAGTGAGGGGTAAATTTTCCATTCACCATTCTCATCGCATGTTTTACTTGCATTCCCATCTACGCGAAATCCATCAATGTATTCAGGACAAGCTAATTCAATCGTCTTATTCGCTTTAACAGACGGCCAGCAAACTATTCCATCCCAGATGGCTTTACAAAATCCTTCCTTCTTCTCAGAGAAGGGGCAATATTTTCGTCTTAATTCAAGAGCCAAGGTTTGGATCTTTTTTGGAACTTTATAGACACCATTTTCTATTTTTACACTTTGCTGTAGAAGTAAAGTTTCGTTAGCAGACAATGTCGACATGTTGTTTAGCTGCTGTCGCTGGCGTTTATATCCTTCCAGGACGCCGGAAGCGCGCCAAGTGCCGATCTGAGCAATTATAAATCTGAGTAAGACTGATAGTGTTTTTCAAATAAATTATCTTTATCAATATGTTTTACTAAATAAATAAAAAATTCGGATTCAAGGAAACTAGGAGAATACTCCGCCTACTTACAATGAAAGCTGTCCGACCTACTTGTCAGATTATAATGGTAATCTCAACTTTGTACACGTCATCTCGTTAGTTTACGGTCCATTGATTTAGCATCGTGTGTTGCCATTACCATTAGAACGCCATTACCGTTATGAAACCTTCGTTATGAAATGAGTTACGTATCATTTCAGCGCTAAAGGCAAAACAAAAAAATTGCGTAATAGTAAATCTACACCGACAATCCACGGCTTTGATATTCGGACAAACTGACTGATAGTTTGGCGCCAATTGCTGCAATCAGGGGCTTAATTACCCCTAATAATCGCTTTAAGATTGTCAAACATTCAACTTGACCTCTGTGTAAAGGTAGAAACTAGGCGGGCCCAATGCCGACTTGCTTCTTGATTTTGATTGAGCAAAGAGAGTTTAAAAACTTTCCTTAATAGTTAAGACCACGTAAAAACTTCGAAACCGACCAACATAGCGAATGTCTATTCTCAAAATAGACACAAACATGAACGGTGCTTTGCAGACTGGAATACGTCAGTATCGTTCCTTTACAGTTCAAAGTCTACTTGGTCTAGAAGAAAACAATCAAGACAATAGCGAATTAAAAGATATAATTAATGATTGCCCGTTGGACTTAACCATTCGATCTCGGTCAGAAGGCGAAAGAAAACAGATATTAAATAATAATCATGTGCAATTTCCAATTAATGAAGAAATAAACGAAAATGTGATACGACAGAATGAAGAGAGATTGATTCGACTCTTGACCGATGCTGGAAATGATAAGCTTACCGTGTCTTACCGACTACAGGTAAATAAATTACAAAGAGAAAATCAGGAAGCGATTGAGACTTTAGCCAAGGAGAATATTGTAATGAAAAACGCGGTAGATGGTCACTATCGTTTGGAAAGGATCTATCTAATAGAAGATATAGAAGGAGAATTATTTTGTAGAAGAAAGCGACGTCAGTTCTTTAGTGAAGAAACGATTAAGCTGATGAAGGCCTGGTATGAGGAGAACGTTAATTATCCCTACCCTACTCACAACGATATGTTGAAAATTGCCATAAGAGCTCGAATCCGTCTTTCACAGGTCAAGAAGTGGTTTGCTAATCGGAGAGTTCGCAACTATAATACACTTCCTTTTAACAGCTCTCTACATCCTAGAAAATTGAAAAAGATACAAGAAATTCGTACACTTAGGGATGAAGGCAGATTAAAATTAAATGCTCCTCGAGGAAAAGGAGGAAAATATTCTCTTCCGAGACAAGCTGTTGAAATCCTTCACGATTGGTACATCAAACACACGACTCATCCATATCCGAATGCCACCGATAAAAAAAAATTAGCCCAAGAAACAGGCTTGGAAGAATCGCAAATTTCTTGTTGGTTTGCTAACCGCCGATGTCGAAGTAGGAATGTGGTCAAGCAACCACAAAGGAGGGAAACAGATGGACTTAGTGGTTAAATCTTACTTTTTAAGACATTTTAGTGCTTTTTTCCATTGCATTTACATATAAATACGATTAGCGGTTAGGCGACACGCGGAAAGAATTGATTGAAATTCGACCTTGAGTCAAGGACACATGGGAAAACCTATACCACTTGAAAATCTCTTTTTATAAACTAATGCAGATGGCGTCTAAATTCTTATCAACTGACTCAAAGGCAGAAAATAAGGTAGATGTCATTGTCGAATGTACGCGTACAGTTTGTTTAGAAGTGCATACCTATTGAAATTGTACATTTCTGTTTTAGTATTTAGAAAGTTTTTCCGGTTAGGTACAAACTATCCTCAGTGTTGAATTGATAGTTTTCAACAGTCCTTATAAATAAAAGACTTTTCAAGTTGAAATAGATGTGTTTCATACAGACATCACCAATACTGTAATAAAAAGATAACTGAAAAAGTATACACTTCAAACAGTTTGCAAAAATTTACTTTACAATCCAAATACCATTGAACAGTTATTCTCTTGTCAAATTATCTTCCAGTTGAATTCATTCACATTAAGAGGCCCACAAGTAGAAAGCAGTATAAGGAATTACCAAGGCAGTTAAAAGAGATGAAAGTAAGTTAACGGCATGATTGTCTAATATTGATAGACCACATATATGCCTAGTCCTCTTAGTCGGAACGGATACAATTTTACCATTGGTCAAGTCTTCTCCTAAAAATATTTTTGAAAATTAAGATGGTGAAACGTGAAATTGCATTTAGTAATGAAAATAGATTTCTTGGCGGATATCCGGTGAAATGAACAGAAGAGTACTAAAATTGAAATTAACAAGCTTCAAAAATAGAAACCTGTAAAAGCATCTAGTAAAATGAAAAAGTTGACTTTTTTCTATATTTCAGTTGATATTAAGTTAGTATAAATATTTTTTGAAAAGAATAAAGTCGAATCATAGTTTCATTCTAAATTCAGAATAATTTTGAATGTAAAAGAAAAAATGAACTGAAAGTAGAACAAAGTTTACAATCATTTCTAAACTCTTTTTGCTTAGCAAGATGAGAAGAGAAACGCTTTTGATATACAACTAATTCGTAAACTCATACCTGAATACTGCAATGTAGCGCCCAGTAAGGAATCTACAAGAGAGCCAAAGAGGCCGGCTATAGTGGACACAATAATTACATAGTATTGTCTAGGTCCACTTCGAAGTACGTTTGAATTGCTGGTCAGTAAAATGGCAATGTAATAGGCCAAACCAACTAGACTACCACCTAATGCACTAGCGATTAATCCAATAACAGACACAGCCCCATTGGTACCTAATAAATTTCTAAAATTAAAATGTTATATAAGATGATATATGATGTCACTTGCCTCTAGGAACTTTTTTAAATGTTGTAATAAGTCGAGGACTATTAGATGACATTACACTTCCTATCTCAGAGGCTAGAGTATCTCCGCAACTATAAAAAGAACATAACAAATTTTTGGATGTCTCCAAAGTACCAACCTACCAGCATGACAAAGAAGACACAACACCAATAGCTAACCAAGAGCTTGTGTATTTATTTTTAAAGTCAATAATTATTTCAGAACACCCCTCTTCAAGTACATAGAATAACGCCAACTGTGTGGCAACAACACCGTTACATACAATTTGAATCCAGGTTCTTTGGCCTCCTTCTTTGAAATCATCTTCAAAAGATTTTTTTATGGAACCTCGAAATTTGGAGGCTTTTGAGCCAAGATAAAAAAATGTAAGGAGTGCAGCCATAAAACAATAATTGCTAATTGTCATTATAAAACCGACTATGAGACTCCCTACAGCTCCAGATGTACCTAAACTTTTCTTTTTCAGACCGTTACGAACGATTATCATAGGTAGAAGGATGGCCAGACATACCCTAAATGGTGACGCAGGTGCAACACCTGAACCCTCATGAAAAACATAAGAATAAACATTAGCGAACCATACAGATAATGTCAAAGGAACGACAATAAATACACAAAAAAATAATATAGCATTCATGTTAAAGTTTTTATGTGCAAACTAGGAATGTTTTACTTTTATTTACCAGTTGAAATAAAGAGGTCGCTTAGTGTTTCCGGCGACAATGGAACCAGCGAAAATGAATACATCAGTCAAAATGCCTGTTCAAAATCCATCTATAATACCGCCTTTGAAGTTAGAAACATCTTCGAACGTTACTAAGCCAGTTGCACAAACTACGGCTTTTAAGCCGCATCAGACAACTGAATTGAATCTGCTTGATAAGAGAAGACTATCTGATCTCGTTCGTCGTGTTGATCCTAATGCCCAGTTAGATGAAGAAGCCGAGGAAGCGCTTCTGCAGATTGCAGATGATTTTATAGAAAATGTTGTCACACATAGTTGCCAGTTGGCCAAACATCGGAAATCCAATTGCTTGGACGTGAAAGATGTTCTTATCTACTTAGAAAGAAGCTATCATATGTTTATTCCAGGATACAGCGGAGACGACATAAAATCAGTTCGCAAAGCTCCAACTGCCGAAGCTCATAGGCAACGAATGGCTCTGATAAAAAAAACTCTTAAAAAATATTAAGCCCTTGTATTTTTCCCATGTAGGACACTTACTACATTTCTGTTTGTTTTCACGTAGTTCACAACAAAAATATAATAACGACTAGCGTCATTTTTACGAGTTGTGTGCAAGCACATTGACATTATCATAAACATTTAAATATATTAAAGGAGAATAATCGCACAAAATATTCCGATTAGATGGTTATTCTGGCATATAATCAGAAGCTCGGGGATTTAATGTTGATGCCGGAATAGCTGATGGCCAGGATGATGTTACTGGTGTTGCAGCTGGAGCTAAAGCCATAACTTCAGCCATCCGAGACTCTAATTTTGATATAAGCCGATTTCTTTGTATAATATCATCTGAAATAGTCAAAGTTGTCAAATAATAAACCTAAACAGAATATACATTGTATCACCATTTAAAGTCTTTATCTCTCTCTGTTTTCCTTCCATTGCTGAATACAAATCCAGTTTTACACGCGTCTCTGAACGCAAAGTATCTTGTAAAATAGAGTTGGTCTGTGTTAAAGAATTAATTTTAGATGCTAAGTCCTCTGATTGAGACTGCTGCTCTTTGTATAGTTGCAACAGTTGAATATCTTGTTCTAGTTGTTTCACGTGTTCTTCTTTGAGCTTCAAGTCTTTTTTTGCAATCTTTAGATCCTGATCTAGTTCCTTCTTCTTTTGCCTACAACTATCGTTATTGCATTCAGACTTCTGTTGAGCTGCTTTAGCCTCTACAGATTGCTTTTGTTTAGAAACTTCAGAAAGTTTTGTTTGGAGGCCATTTATGGTCACTTTGTCTTGTTGTCGAGAGGTTACAAGATGATGGAGTCTTGTTTGTAACGAATCATTATCGTGTCTCAGTTGGTCCGCTTCTGCTTTATATTGCTTTTCGCTGGAGGAAATTTCCAACAACTTACTTCGCAATTCTGCTTCAATGCTACGCAATCGTTGAATGTCGCTACGCAATTGACGATGGTCATTTTCTAATCGACTAATATATTCGTCTTTGTTATCCTTTGAGGGTGGTGACTTTCCTTTACTGGATCCCCTTGAATACGCTGATGAGTTAGATGACGATGGTGTGGTAGCTGACGAACTACTATTAGAATTTAATTTATTGTTAGTCTTAGAAGATTTTAGAGATTTAGCTTCGTTAACAGCATTTTCTTCCTCATAGTCATTTAATGATTTTTTCTTATCCGAGTAATCTCTCTGTTCAATAAAAGTTGCATCAGTAGTTGCTAATGCTTTGCGAGTTTGAGGGGTCGAAGGAGTGACATTCGATATCACTTCCTCTTTATTATTGGTGAGGAGGGCAGCAGCAGCAGCAGCTTTTTGCTTTTCTATTAGGGCTTGTTGTTCAGCGGGAAGAGCTTGTTGTAGGAGTTCGAAAAAGAATTCATTCTCTTTCTGTACATCCTTCTGCTTCCGAAGTCTAAGCTTATAAGAAACGTAACTTTTAAAACCAAAGCCAAGGGTTACCACCGGATACCCAATACAATGAGCTGCGAAGGGTCGACATAAGTCTAGATGAAAAGGAATATGTCGAACATTGACTTCTCGAAGTCGGAAGGATGCTTCGAAATATACAAATATGATCCATAACGAGGCAGTTGATAAGCAAAGTCCGCGGTCTGTGTGCCAAACGTACTGTATCCAAACGTAGGTACTAGCCGCAAAGAAGAGCCACTGAACTGGTATGAAAAGATAGCAAATGACGTCCGAGGTGATGGCGATGCAAACGAAGAGAACGGAGAAAGCCTGATTATATAAATATACTACAAGTAATCTTATAATCCTAAGCATTTTAAAGATTTACCAGCCCCTGATACTTGAACGAATCATGTACACTTCGCAAGAGTAGCCAGAATGGCCAAAGATACTCGAATCGAAATTGAATTATGTAATCGGCCATCAGTACAAATGACCAAACGAGAAGAAATTTTACATAAAGTAAAGTGCTGCAAGTACGAAATTCAGTGGTTCATCCAGCTCATAATTATCATTCATTACCTGCCATATATACCTTCTGTTATTTTACTCTTCTTAAGCGGCCGACGTAGTTTGCCGCATTCGGCATTTCGCCGTTTCATAGTCATGAAAATTGTGCGATCGAAAGTTAGAAAAATCGGTGAGCTGTACGATTAAGTCAAATAAATTTGTAGTTAAAAAGTTTTCCGCTAGAAACTGATCAAGGGTTGTTCACAAGCAGCTTGATCTGTATCTAACCGTTCTAAAGAAAATTCTCAAGCGCATGCGCGAATATTCGATTTCGAAATTTGGTATTCGCGATTTATACCAGTTTCTCTAGATTTGTTATTGTTTGCAATCCAACTTATTGTACCTTTAGTCACTATATTTTACATATATTGAATGTCAAACATAGAAACCTACATTATATTATCTTATATTATATTCATTAACTGTATTGCTCAAGCGATAAATGTTAATTTTTCGTTAGTTATGCTACAGCTTTACTAATTATTAACAATTAGTTTAGGTTTTTCAAATATACATATATAACTAGCAAACCAGATTGAGTCGATTATGCAAATAAGCAAGGTGCATACAAAAGAAAACATAAGCAAAAGCAACAGTCCAGAGCTGGTCAAGTACTACTTTGGAACTTGAATTAGAACGATCCGAAAATTGATAGTCTTTGCTGCCAATAACTTGTTAGTTTCAGCATTGTCAACTAAGGAGAGTTCAGTGAAGGGAGTTTCCACAGCTTCGGGTCCAAATTCGAAATTGCGTAAATCTGTTTTCATAGTTTTCACTGAGCTATGAGGTCCAGGTATAAGAAAGTAGTAAATAGTTAAAGAAGCGGTAAGTTTTGTTTTAATGACAAGTTGAATACATAAGCGGCGATTAATGACTCTTTCTGGGTATTTCTGGTTGTCATTGACATTAGCTTTGACTACCCACTGTTTTTCCAAAGCTGTAAAACGACTTGATTCATAAAATAATTTCGTCAAAAAGTCTTCAGACCTGAAAGGTCTCAGTTGTATATCTGTTAAATTACAAAAACATTCTATCAAGTAATGTAAGAATTATTAAACTACAAACCACAAAACGATACGCTTTCATAGGATAACATTCTCACGATACTGTTGAGTACTTCGATTTGCTGGTCTTTATCTCGTTCAATAAGCTGTAATGCTGGAAGGATATCCTCTCCGGATTTTTTTGGGTGGGGACATTCTGACACGTGCACTTCCAGTTCGTGCCAAGGTCCACACCATGAACAACCAAGCTGAGAGTATTTGCATTCAACTGGTCTGTTAAAATTAGAATTATTAATAAAATGATAGTTAGTAAAATTTTAGAAAATTTAAGCGAATTCAACCGCGAGAAAATAGGCTTTTCATTTGTTAGAGAAAATCGCAACTTACCAATTGGAATAAATTTTTTGTATAGGGCATAACGTACGTCTTACCCCACCCCGCTGCAACAGAAATAAAGTGGCATGAAAATTCAAATTCTTTGCTTCCAATCAATCGATCCTTCTTTCACTCATCTTGATCATTAGATGTTTGTTTGAATATATCTGGTGAGATTTGTTGAATTGCTTTTACCTAGCCTTTCACCTAACTTAGCTAACCTAAACAGGCGCACCCCAGCTGCCCCACCCCGCTTTACTTTTTCTAACTTGAAATACTTACCAAGATAAGGCTAAGTAAGACCAATACAACAGTTCATCACCTTTGTGTTTACTATTATCTTGAAATAGTTGATTTTTTAAGCAATAAAAATATGTATATACTAATATATATTGTTGAACAGTGCAATCTTCGACAAGGCAACCAGCTTTTCCATTCAATGCATTCATCACATTACGCGATACTTAATCTTACGCTTAAGGTTGAAATGCAAGCCAGCAAGGGACGAACCTGTCGGCGCACGTGCTCCGCACGTGATGGTCGAGTTCGGATCTGGAGAATTTCTGACCGCAATGTGGGCAATCGTCGGGTAGTTCTGATATGGCTTTTTCCACAGCCAAATTTCGACAACAGGCTGTTTTGCTGATATCGCATCGACAATTAGGACATGTTGCTCCCTCGTCCTTAAGGCGAGCATCAGCCAAGAGGTGAGTATAGCAGGAAGCACACATAAGGTGTCCGAAAGAACACTATGAAAGAAACTATTATCAATTTTGGTCGGAAATTGGGTCAGCCAACCTGGAAAATTTGCGTTGATGGTAAATCCAAGCAAACAGCGCAACATAAAATCCCATTCAACCTGTCCTCAAGACGTGGCACTTTCCTTTCCTCTCCTACGCATTTAGCTTTTTTTATGACGGGTTCTTCCTCCGTCGTTTTATCGTCAATACTTATTTCTTCCATGCTGGCGTTAGAAATGTTTTGCAATAGTCAGCTGGGATTGTTTTGCTGACGTCATGTCCAACCAATCAACGATCGCCGTTTATTATTTTAATATTAATGATATTAATCAGTACCAAACCGGTTTTTTGTGACCGGTTAAAACAAAAATTCAGTTTTATTCTTAATTTAATATTTATTTTTTAAATTTCAACCATTAATAGGAACTATTAAACGTAATTTATCGCGCACAACAGCAGTCACAAAGTGATCGATATATAAATTACTAAGCATTCTCGGCATTTCCCCTTTTACGCTGTCTTGGTGATGATTTCGGCGATCGACCGGGTGATTTTTCTGTGTTAAATATAGATTTGTTAGGATTTCCTAACCATCAAGTAAAATACATTATACAATGACGGTCAAACTAATCCTCTCTATTTTGCAAGTTTCTAAGGAGGTTGAGAGATTTTTAAAATCTCTTTCCGCTGGTAACTTGCTTTGAACAAGACCGTTTGTCAAGCAAAACTTACTCATATGGGATTGTTTTGGGATCCAATCCATGTCAACATCGGCTTTTTGCGTCCCTGTTTCTACTATGTTACGTTTGGGCTTAAGCAAATGTTTCTTTTTGCCAAAAGAGATGAGCAATTGTTGGATTCCGACAATCATTAAAACGACCATCGCTGCTAAGAAGACGTACAAAAAAAATCTGAAATTGCCTCATATTATAAATCAAAAGGGAGCATATTGATAGTGTTATTACGTTTCGCCATCCAACCCTTCGTCAGGCTCACCCATGGTAATCGTTTCATTGAAGACAGCATCCTGAAAGACTTTTCCGTCCTGAAAAATAAAGAATATTAATAAATTTGTTCCACACATCCAGTAAGAAAAAGCAATGGATAAATGATTATTATTCCTCCATGTTCTTACAAGACTGTCTAAATAGACAACAGCTTGCCTTTACTGAAGGATACGAATAGTATCTTGAGCAGCACTTACCGCATCTTTATAGTTGAGATTAACAGTTAAAGTAAACGGTCTAGAACTGAAAGAATCACTTGGAGTGAAGACGTAGTCGAAAGTCATTTGCTTATTTTGCTCTACAACTGAATCATATTTAACAACGGTGAAATTTTGAAAGTAGTAAGAGTAGTCTTGCGGGTAGTGGAAGGCCGCATCAATTGTATCAACAATGAAATTTTTGTCACCATTGTTGGTTAAGCCAACCAAAACTCGGACTGGCTTTCCAGCCGGTAAATCTGTTGAAGTAGGTGTAACGAATAATATGGAAGATTCGGCGTCAGGAGACGGTTTTAGTTTTTCTTCCTCCTCTTCCTCCTCTTTATCTGTTTGTTCTGCTGCAGTTGCATCCGTCGGCTCATTTTCTGTAGCTGCTGGTTCATCTGATTCTACACTGGCCTCTTCCCCGTCTTCTCCTTCGAGGTTGTCTTCTTCGGCGAAAGCAATCATTTTGCCATTCTCAAATCCTATTATATTGACTGTTATTGGTAAGATGAGAACAGTTAGAAAGAGGAATTTCCAAAATAGCTTGTACATTTTTATTATTCGCAAAGTCTATCCGATTGCTAGTATCTTTGACGATTCCTGCCAACGTCTTCGTTTTATAATGATAACACGTTTCGGTAGCAGGGCCGCACTAACAACGACACGCTGGCGACACGTTTATCCTACTAATATGGTTACGGCTTCCTCTATGAAACCTAGGATATAAGTTATTGAGAATAGTCTACATATGCCAGGCAAAATTTCGACCAATCAGCATTTTACTTACCTTAATATCGAGGCTATTTTGATATAAAAAGTTGTTTCAATTGAAATTCTCAATGCTCTAATGTAGAATTTTCACTTGTTTGGTTTTTTTAAGTTTTAAGTCTCGCAATCATTGATATATTCCCGATATTGAAATAAGTATTGCGCAAAGGAATTGCTAAAAGAAATTTAAATTGTTTCAGGAACTTTATTATAAGTTTCTTCAAAATTAGTTTACATGGACAGATTGATATAACAACAAATCCAGATTTGTTATCTTACTGTCCTCAATCAAGCTTAATTTTTCAGCTTTGTTAAAAACAATTTATGGTTTATAGAACAATTCCAATCGACAAAATTGATCCCTTGTCCATAGGAGAAACTAAGATGAGATTACTGTAAATTTTGACTCTCTTCCTTCCAACTTACCTGCCCAAATCAGTCAGCTAGAAAGAAGCCATTATCAAATAAAGATTATTTAAGTTACATAAACAGTTTAGGCGAAAAAGACCAAGTTGAATTAAGTATATTACAGTATATTTAGTCTCTTTACTGCCTGGATGTGCGAATGCATGATTGGATCGCCCCGTTCAGTAAATGATTTAGAACTATTAAATGTACATAGGTTATGCTAATGTTCATTATTTCTTCATTGATTATACACTCATGCAAAGGAAAAGAAACAATCAAATAAAATCAACAAACCAATACGTAAAAGCGTAGCACTTTGGCGAATTAATAGAAGTAAAACATTCTATGAAATTAAGACGAAAACCATGTAGAATAATTGTATAAAAAATAAGAATCTAGCTAATAACGCACAACATTTCTCATGTCGGTCAATTCTTTCCTGAACACTTACGAACGTGAGAAATATTTCGTCCTCGAGAGAATGGCAAATAAATAGCAGAACACGAAACTGCAGAGATAATTTTGACTAGTATTGTGTGAGACGCCACGACGTTCGTATATCGAATCTCTTATCAGGGTGCTACTTCGGATGCTTTCAGTTTCTTTATTGTATTTTTCAAAGCCTGCCGTTTGTTACAAAACCACACCCTAATAACTTCACGATCGTAGTTCAACTTTTCAGCAAGTTCAGTCATTTCAGCACCTGTGACATTGTTAATTATTGATAATCAAAATTTTTGAAAATTCTATTTTATGGTTTTTCATGCTTTCTCTTTAATCATTTATTGGTACATGGGTAATCAGTAATTCAAATATACCTGACGGATGAGTATTTCGTTCGAAGTGGTCGTTGAGAACTTCGAGCGCCTGTGGCGTAAAACTCGTTCGTCGTTTTCGCTTCTTAGACGGCTCGGAGCCAATAAATTCCGTGAGCGTTTGCATGCCGTTCTTGTAGCGTTCTTCGGCCTCAGTCATCCACCGTTCAAGTACTGGCTTTATTTTCTGAGCACTTTTCGGCGTTATGTCCAGTTTTTCAAAACGGCATATTGCCGATTGACTATAAGCTGGACCTTCCCTGGCACTTAGAGCCTGACCAACTTGTGTTTGAGTTAACCCCATAGACAGGCGCCAAATCTTGAACTTTTTCGCGAAATCCTTTATTTCGTCCAGATTAATGCCATCAATTGTTGTCGATTCCGTAGAGTTTGAAATAGTATTGGGTAATAACTGGTTAACGTTAGGAGGTAAGGCGCTAGAGGCAAGAGCCCCTTGCGAGATTGTTGAAATGACTTGTTGTGTGAGGGCGTTCGTCGAAGACGTGGAAGAGGTGGAAGAAGCTGAAGAAGCATGAGAAGTGCCGTTAGAGGGAGCAGCAACGGCTAGAAGTTGACCATGAGAGTTGGTTATGATTTGCGTCAGTCCGGTAGAAGAAGTTGTCGTTGTTGATGCGCCGTTGGACAGCCCAAGAGCATTTGGAATATTGGCAGCCAATAATTGACCATTTGACGTGGCGAGCAGTTGAATATGTGAACCGGACGAACCTGACGGCAAGGATATAGGTATTGATAGTAACTGTTGGGTTCCGTTTGACGTAGAGACTGGAATGAGAAGATGTTGAACGCCGCCACCACCTCCTCCTGTAACAATCAGTTGAGGAGCAACTTGTGGCTGACCGAGTAAAGTATTCGTATTGGACGACTCGAGTTTTGTTTCTAGGTCGTTAGACGGTACAGATACAAAAAGACCGCTATCGACCAGTGCGTTAACGGCTGATGCATTTCCACTAACGGTCAACGAAGGGGCTGGTGATTGCGAGGCGGTCGATCCAGACAGCATGACGTCCTGTCGAAAAATATTACCAATTTTTATAATATAAAGGAAAAGCGAGAAAGCCACACAACGCAGAAGCATCGCGCCAGAAGCGTCATGCGGCGTCTATCGATCGACGCGCTCTGCAACGCGTCATCTCGTGCATACAGCAGCAATTCGGAAAAGGCAGGAAAAAGGAAAACATTTAAACGCCAGTAGCTTACGCACTTGCTTGATGATGGCAGTTTGGGCGAGTTTTGCTGGATCAGGCTTCGTCTCGCCATTGAGCGGTTCATGAACATCGGGAGGAACATCGGCACCGTCCGGTGGTTCCATCGCCTGCATCTCTTCCGCGCAGCTGATTGGATCCAGTTGTCCGGTCGATGGCCGTATAATCGAACCAGACACGCACACGTCCTGCAAAATCAAAAATATTCGATAAAGTTTATATTCAAGTGGGCTCGCAACTGACGCTAACCATCATTGTGACGTCGCCGTCTCTGCACTAAAGCGTCACAATACAAGATACGCGTCTAGTTTACTCTGCCGACGCTTGGCGGCAGCACCAACCGAGTGCCCCATTCTCAACATAACCAACCCTCATATTTTAATATCTAATTGTAAAGTGTAATGAGAGGAGGAGCATTTACAGTTGCGCCACTCACCTGCTGCTGTTGTTTTTCTAGCGCCGCACTAGAGACAGATATGCACTGCAACATGGGACGGGCGTCGGTGAGCGGTTGACTGACTGCCGCTAGTTGTCGATTCTATAGATTCTTTTAGTAATTTGTAGAAAGACTCAAAGCCGCCTACACCGAAACGACTGCTCGCGCAATGAATTTCTGTTGCAGGAGAACGCTTCCTCTCTCTCTCTCTCTACAACGCCAATCTATACAGCGCAGCATCGTACAGATATCGCCGTTGCCATGGCAACCCATCCCCAAGCGCACTCGTACGAGTCGGCCACGCTTGACGCATAGTGGTTTATTCCACTATCCTAAATTACTTTCACATAGGCGTTTATGCTTCTTTTCGTTTTCCATATTACATCGATCCGTCGACGTCGCGCTCAACAAAGGACGCTACGTAGTATTAGTAATTATTCCTTTTTTGCGAATAAAAAAACTATCGGACCACTCATGAACATAAAGATACTTATTTATGCAATAATTACTAAAAGTTTTCTGGTTTACTATAATTCTTTTTTGCATAAAGCGTCTCTAAATTTCGTTGCCATAGCACTAAGTAACGACAGTACAGTCAGATCGATAGTTTACCGAACTGCACCTAGTTTTGCGTCTCCCTACTATATACAGTGTGCAGTGTGTACTTAACATTCCGTTGTAGGTCTAATTAATTGAAGTGTGTAATAAGATGCGGGCAGAGTAGACGTACACATAATTTTTGTTAAAAATATTTCGCGCCAATATAAATTATGTAGAACATATGCTAATAATCAAAACATTCACTCTAAAAGACGTTTTATACCGTCTATAATATACAAGTTTATGCATAATATAAATACTTTTATATATTTTTTTTATTTAGAACCTTTTCATTTGATATACAAATGAAATGAGACTTTTTAATTGAACAAGAGTCTAAAGCGCGCCGAAATAAATAAGCATTTCCTAGATAAATTATGCCAATGTAAATAGTCACCACATATATCATTTTTGAACTATTATAATTTTTCGTTACGGCGCAAATTCATATTATATAAACTTACCTTTTTACCTTTTTACGCTCTTACCGCGATTCGAAAATTCACTAGAGTTTATTTATATATTTCGCAAAATACGGGTACGGCTAAATTAAGAATTTATGGTATCTCACTAACATGGTTAAAAGATAAAGAAATTCTTAAAGAATAACTAAGAATGTATCTAACTCAAGAAAGTTTACCCAAATATAATTATGTCACTTTGATAGTTCCAATAACTTTAGAGTATTAAGCATTTCATTTACTTAAAATTCACTGTTATGAATTTTAAAAATAAAGGGTAGAAAGGTTATAATTTTGTTTAACTTCCCTAAAGCTATTAACAATCGCCTTTTAACAACGATCTAAGTTAAAAAGAACATTATCAGTGCTGTAAAAATTTAATCATTTAAGAAATTTTGAGCAACAAGCACCGGCTTTTAGCAAAACCCAGAATATTCATACGCGGTGACCAACTTTACAATAAATTATGCTAATTACTACATAATTTGAATATCGTTAGGACGTTCTTTGGCGCCATTTGCCTCAATGATTGTGAGGTGTTTAACTTACAATAATTATCCTTACATACCTTGCCAAATCCCTCACAAAATACTCGTTTAAAATAATACTGTAAAGCAAAGGCTCTCAGATCGGAACTTTTTTCTCAATAATAGTTAAAGGAGCGTCGAATTTTAAGATGTGGTTATTTTCATTGGAATTTTTTCCATGTATATAGATATTTCTTTTTAATTTTATTTCATAATAATAATTTGCTTTCAATCATTAATTAATGAATTATTTACTACTACATGCTCCCTATTTATTTTTAATATTACTCTCTTTGAGTTTCCTGCAGAGTATCTTCACAATTTACTTCAATTAACTTTGATGCTATTACTTAAATAAAAATTAATTGTATTCTTGTTTACATTTCTTAAAACTGATAAAAGAAAGAACTATTTTATTTTGATGTGATCATGTGATATAATAGTTGTAAAATGGCGGCTGTATCTCAGTCAAATCTTGAAATCCAAGAACAACAGTCAAGTGAGTCCAGTATAGGTGAAGTAAGCATAGATGGAGATAGTAGCGACGAAGAGGTAATGATTGCGATTTATCTTTTTTCCATATTTGTTAGCGTTGTTATTTAGGAAGGAGAGCCGAAGTTAAAGTATGCAAGGGTGGAACATGATGTAGTTCGTATCCTCTCAAGAGAAGTTGCTACATGCCTGGCTGTTCACACAAAGGTTTGTGAATATTCTATACTCAATTTATCATGTTATGGAATAAATAATAATCTACAGTTTCTTGCTCTTGGTACTGATTGGGGTATGATACACATTTTAGATCATCAAGGAAACAACATTTGTAAAAAAAACTTGCCTTCAGTTAGTAGTTTTCTTTTTCGATTCTTTTAATAACATAGACGTATTTTAGCATACTGCTCGAGTAAATCAGATAAGTATTGACGATAACGGAGACTACCTTGCCAGTTGCTCTGATGATGGTAGAGTTGTTATCAATGGCTTGTATCATGGAGACTATAACCAAACAACTAGTTATAATCGACCAATAAAAGCAGTTGCAATTGAACCTACATTTTATAAATCTTCAAGCAGTAAAACTTATGTTTGCGGGGATGATGCAGTAAGGCAAGACGGTTCTCAAATTTAATATGACAAATCTCGGATTTTGTTTCAGCTGGCTCTATGTGAAAGAAGAGGGCTACTAAATCGTTATCATAGTACAATATTACATCAAGGAGAAGGGACTATTCGCAATATTCAATGGAAAGGTTCCAGATTTGCTTGGGCAAATGACCACTCTGTTCGAATATTTGACACTGAGTTGCGGTGTAGAATATCAACTATTTGTAAAGATATTAAAGGGTAAAAATTTTAAGCGTAATATTCTGTAATTAAATATTCCAAAGGTTATTTTTTATTGAAGCTTGAGCTCCGATTTGTATCCTTGTCGATTGTTTTGGAAGGACGATAATTCACTATTGGTTGGCTGGGGTCAACGTGTTCGGGTTTGTCAATCATATTCTGTTGTATTCTAAATATCAATCAATATGTTTCTATGTGCATAGTTGGCAAAAGTTAAAGAGGAGAAGGTTGGGGAGAAAATTGTAAGGAGTATGTATTTAGCTATGACAATAGATATTGAATACTATGTTTGTGGCATTTCTATGTTGAATGACAACATTGTTCTTTTAACCTGGTCTAAGCCTGAGTCCGAAGTAAGAATAAAATATCATGAAGCTGATAAGAATTATTAAGCGTATAAGCAATTACAGAATAGAAACGAAAGAGCTCATATGATTGTTGTCGAGCAGCCTTTAAACACTAGTGGAGCTGATGACTATGTAGTTCTATCTGATGAAGCTCTTTCTCTTAGGGGATATGAGGCTTATCGATGCATAGATTATCACCTAGGTTTGATTAACTTTTAAAAAAACTACTTAGTTAGTTTTTCACTTTCACAGAATGTTTACCTGATGAGAATACATATTATATTGTCACACCAAAGGATTTGGTTATAGCCAAAGAAAGAGATATGGATGATCATGTATCCTGGTTGTTACATAATGCTAAGTATGAAGAGGCTGTCATTGTTGCTCAGCAGCATTCCAGGGAACTAAAAAAATATAATGCACAGGTTAAAACCATTATGAACATAGATTGTTTTACTATTAAGAACCATAAATAGGCAGTCGGAGAAGAGAGTATTCAAAAATTAATTGAAGAGGGTGATTTTGAAGAAGCTGCTTCATTATCATACAGAATTTTAGGATCAAATAAGCAACAGTGGTCTAACATATTTTACAAATTTGTTGAACTGCACCAAATTAAAGTGATAGCTCCATTCGTCCAACGATGTGATCCACAACTTTCACCAGATATTTACGAATTAATATTGGATGACTATTTAAAGAATGACATTGAAGTAGGTAATCTACTTAATGAATATTTTTTTATCTCTTCCTCTTAACAGTATTTCAGGAATTTGTTGGAAGAATGGCCTTGTCACATATATGATGTTAAGTCCATCATTAGAATGGTAAATAAAAAACTAGCCGCAGAAAGTGAGAATAGAGTATTGCTCGAGTGTTTAGCCAGATTATATGAATATGACAAAGATTTTATGCGTGGATTTGACATTTACTTATCTTTAAAGCACAATCGGGTGTTTTCTGTAATAGAAAAACATTCTTTGCATTCAGCAATAAAAAATAATTTGGTAGAACTATTTGACCTTAATTCGGAGAAGACCAGTCGTTTACTCCTTGACAGTTCTCATACCATAAGTGTAAGTTGTGGCTCAGATAAAAAACTCCTTTAACTTTTCTAAAAATTGTTAGGTTGATGAAGTTGTGAAGCAGTTGGAAGAAAGACCTAAATATTTGCACATGGTTATTAAATTTGTGAATTTTTGATCTTCCTTATAGAGATTTTATTTACAGTATCTACATCAACTTTTTATAAGGGATAAAGAAATAGGCAAGATTCACCACGATAAGCAAATACAATTATATGCTGACTATGACAGGAAGGAGATGCTGCAATTTTTACGCAACTCGGCTCATTATACATTGAATACTGCTCTTAAGGTGTGTGAAGATAGAGACTTCAACAAGGAAGTTGTGTATTTATTGAGTACGTTAATACTGAATTGTTAAGATATAAACACTAAGTCGAAATATTATGATTAGATCGAATGGGTAATAAAAAAAAAGCTCTTCAAGTATTAATGAATCGAATGAAGAATGTGGAGGAGGCTATAATATTTTGTAAAGAAGAAAACGAGAAATACCTTTGGGAAATGCTCATTTCTAATGCTTGTGATAAAGCTGATTTTATAACTAGTCTACTAAATAATATTGGATCGCATGTCGATCCAATTTTTATAATTCGTCAAATAAAAGGTGGAATGCAGATACCGGGACTCAGAGATTCCCTAGTAAAGCTTCTTCAAGACTATAATCTTCAAATAAATTTAAGGAGAGGATGCAGAAATATTCTAATTACTGACTCCGTCAATCTTTTCCAAAAGTTACATGTACTCAGAAGAAGGTCAATATCTGTCTTAGGTTTGTATAAAAAATTAAATAATTAAATTATAAATTATTCGATTATCTCATAGAATGGAAAACATGCGGAGTGTGTTCTGAGATAATTATCAAGACTGATACGACGCTTTTAAAGGACGTTATTCTATTCAATTGTAGACATGTATTTCACGAAGAGTGTCTGCAAAATCAAAGTCTGGTACGTTATACTAGAAATTCAGTTGATAACAATTTTAAAGTGTAATGATTTTCAGCCATATTGCGTTCTATGTTCATCGGCACAAGATGCTAAAGAAGCAAGGAGATCACTTTTATACTGTTAGAGAAATCGAACTTTATTGGATAACCATTAATAAGCATGCATAATATAATAAAAACCGTCCGAACAACAACCTAATGCATTATATTTTTTAAAGCTACACACTTTTAAAAGTGAAGTTCTTTAGGCAAGAGTAAAACGCGAAAAAAACCAATAGGATATATATAGCATGCACGGAGAAAATTGAGAAGCCTATTTTATATTGTGTGACATTGATGTCCGACTTCGTCCACTTTTCAACACGTCCCAACAACATACTCTCATAATAAAAGACAAATAACAACAACAACAAATGAAAAACGTTAACAAGTAGAAAAGTAGATTTTGGCCCTTAAGGTCCTGAGATGAAGGCTGCCAAAACGTTGCTGTTGCAACTAATCTTGCCTTCCAGGTGCTGTAGCGATTAGAGTTCGAACTTGATACATAGCTTGCTGTTATGGTTTTTGCAATTAGGATTTTAACATGAATATAAACTGTATACAAACCTGTACGGACATAAAGTTACCAAACACATCAACGGGGGTATCTTCACCTCCAGATGTTTCGTCAGGTAATTTGATTATGGCTCCTGTCATTCGTTGAACATCACGAACGTTTTTCCCATTTTTTCCAATCACTCTTCCTACCATACTTCTCGGAACTCTAATGGTAATGCGCAGACGACAAGTTTCGAAACTGGCATACACATCACTATTTACTCTTTCATAAAGTTGATATAATGCCCTACACTGAGCATCCATCAAACCTTTTATTGTTACAATTCTTTCATTTGTAGTATTTTCATCTGCCTTTTGCTCAACAGCAACAAAGGCTCCTGATTGACGAATGATCTGCTTGATGCTTGAGCCACCAGCTCCTATTATTGCTCCTACTGATGTATGGGGTACATGGACTTGACAAGAGTCGCCGAAAGGTAGCGGAGGGAGTTGAAAAGGAACTGGCTGTTGTTGCATGTAAGTGGGAGGAGGCATAAAAGGCATACGATATGGTGTCATAAGACCAGATGGAGGTGGAGGTATATACGGAGCATGAACACCAGGTGACACCGATTCTTTATCATAGCACTCTCTGAGTTTACTAGATATTATATTTTCAGCTTTCTGCATCCTTTCCAATTCTCCATTTATTGTTATCACTCTATCCGGGAACACCGCCGGTACATCTTGCAAATTGCTTACGTATATTTTTGTATCAGTTTCACTTCGAATCTGTTTAATAACTGTTCCTTTTTTTCCAATAATTCGACCACAGTGACGATCTTCCGCAAGCATTTTCAAAGCTACTTCTCCTCTGTTTGCATTTTCACTTTCCTGTTGCATAACGCGCAATATTTCTTTGCAGGCATTCGAACAATTGTCCGGCTGGCCATATATTGAGATGACTTTTTCAAGTAAGCCAGTGTTTTCTTTGCAATGAACGTCGACTCTAGCCCGACTTTGCGTTGTAATATTTTTAATCGTTTGACCTTTACGACCGATAATAGCACCTACAAAATCACTTGGTACCAAAATCCTGAGCGGATATCCTGTTCCTCGTCCTCCAAATCTTCCCGCATGCTGCCCACGTTTTGATTTAGAGCCGGTCACTAATTCGACACTTAAATTTCTTCCTTCGTATTCTTTATTATTAAGATTTTCCAGGGCCCTAGAATATTGAATAAACATGAATTAAAAATTAATTATCACATTTTTATAATTTTGTTTAGTTTGGTAAAACAACTCACTGAATAGCTTCGTCAGAAGATTCAAATGTGATGTAAGCAACTTTTTGTTCAGGATTTGGAGTAATAATATCACAGCGACTAATTTTACCAAAAGAATCTATTAGCTCTTCTATTTTTTCCTTCGTTGTTTCTGGGGGTAGGTGTTTTATAGTCACTTTACTGCTCTTCCTGTCATCGATAAAAGACAATTATTTGTAAAAAATTTCATTATTTTATTAATTCGCGAATAAGATAGTTTAATTATAAATGAAATCGTTTGTTTAGACTTATCATAAAGCGAACAAACAAACACCAGTGAACGTGTAAGCCATGTGACTACCTGTCCTGATTCCTTTCGACTTCTTTTTCGGAACAAGCTAACTCTTCGTCTATATCTCCGTTCTGCATTTTCTATCCTTGATCTTTGACTTTAACCTAATAATCAGGAATTTTGCGAAATAACGCCTACTTAACTACAATTTTATCACTTTTCGCCACCCGGCAACAAACGAAAATATGGCGTCGTCGGAGAGTGTTCAGTGTAGATGACGTTAACCAATCAGCTACCAGCTTAGAATCGACATCGGATCGATTCGATTCCACGTTTTTAGGCGCTAAATAATATTTTCAAATAGCTATCTTTTTAGAACCTATGTTTAGACAATTGATATTGATTCCAGATAAAGGAAAAAATCATACAAAATTTAGTCCCTCTGGTTAGTGTAAAATTATATCAATTCTCTAAGTGTTTTAATCAGTAGTTGTCTAAATATTGATTCAGAGACAGATATTCTTAACAAAGTATAAATTTAATGTATTATTAGCACCAATAAAGCAGCATATATTCTAATGCATATATATGTATATATATATATATATATATATAAAAGAGACTAGTTTTAAGATCTAAAAGTAAAAAGCAAGAAATTAAATCTATAAAATTATAACAAATTAAGAGTTATACATAGGGTTTTCAAACGTTTTTATCGCTGGTTTGTACAGTGGATTATCAGCTGTCTCGTATTGAGCTGAGTCCATATTTTTTTCAAATTGGCTAAATTCCCTACGGTCTTTAATAGTTACAGCAATTCTCCAAGCTAAAATAATAAATATTCCTACAAGAACAATACCAACTATCACACCTATGACAATGAATGTTGTTTTCCTGCTACTTTCAATACATTTTGTTTTGTTCCAAACTTTCAATTTTCCTGTAGAATAATGATAAGAGTAAAATATGCGACACTTGTTAGGCAGTGACCGCACACACAACTGAGTAAAATACTCCTGTCCTCCTACTTTATGGTCAACGACAGTTACATGTTCACAATTCCTTTTACATTCATCAGGAGTAAATTTAGTATAATTACTAAAGGCTTTACAAACAGCACAGTCAAAGGAATCATCACAGTGCTTTTCACACGTTAAACATATCTCACAAGTTGGCCCAAAGTAATCCTTTTCACATATACATTTCCCACATTCGCAAACGCCTTTATCATTACAAATGAGATTGTTTTCAGTTTTACAGGTATTGTTACTCTTAAGACAGCCACAATTATCTCCTTCGTATTCGTCAAGACATGTACAATTTTTGCAAAAACAATAACCGCGCGACTTTCCACCACAAACTTCATTATTGTAAAATTTGCATCCTTCATTATCTTTGCAGCTGCAATCAGGCCCATGATATCCTTCAAAGCATCGACAAGTTCCATCGCACTGACATTTCCCTCTATAATTACAAGTACTATCGTCACATTTGGTCGCATCATGATCTTGTGACTTTTTGTCGCATTGGCAATTTTCACCCGTGAATCCATCATTACAAGTACACTTACCGCATATTTGTGTTCCTTTACCGCTACAAATATTCGCTCCTTGTTTGCTTTCGTTTTCGCAATTACAATCACATACTTCTTTAAGATCAAATTCTTTATTTTGAACCCCAATGGCTAGTTTCATACTTCTCTCATTAGTTTCATTACAACTTTTTAGTTTAACGCTAATGTGGAACTTCACTGTTGTTCCTGCTTGAACTTTTCTACAAATATGTTTATTGGTAACTTTCCCGGGTTCGCATTCTGCTTCAAGTTTAACTTCCAAATTTCCTGAATTATGTTGATCTTTCCAAGAGATCTCCACTTCTCCGCTAATTTCCTTGTAATACTTCTTAATAATTTCCACAACGTTACTCGAGTCATCCAATAATTTTGCTGTTTTGGTACTTCCACCTATTTTTTTTGCAAAGTTATTATATTCCTTAATAATTGTATCCATGGCAAGACTAACACCAGCATCTTGATCATAGTGTTGAGGATCTTTAAAATTACGAACAACAAATAATATTGTAACTTCTTTTTCCAAAGTTTTTGTTCGAATTTGCTCTATTGAGGGATAATCTTGATGATCATAGATCAATTTTTGTGTATTCTTCATAAGACAATGATCTTCATATCTATTGTATAATCCCAATAAGTGTCCATCGCCTTCGAGATGTGAAAAATGATTGGTTGCAATTAGTAAAATTTTTCTAGCGCCCTTTCTCCATTTAATTTCGTCTTCACATAGTAAAGCTTGCATGGCAGCAGAAAATCCACAATTAGGGAAGTCTAGTTGATTCGTTATTGTAACATTAGCGATAGATTCTTGGAAAAGATCAACATTCTTTGTCAACGGTACGATGTTATGGAAAATATGAGGTGGTTCCTCAAAATTTTCTCTTGTCAATACTGTGCTGTAAAAGCAGAAAATATATCTACATTTTCTAAAAATATTAAAAACTTACAAATCCCTATTCATGCGCACTGTTGGTACTAAAGATTTATCACTAAATGTACCAAACCCAATTTTAAAATCGCCTGCCGTTAACTTTTCTAAACTCTGTACAATTTTAGGTGATAAGTCTTTGACCTGTTTGCTGAAGTCTCTCATTCCATTGGCGGCATCTACCAGCATATACAAATCAACTGGATAATTTTCCGGTTGTTTGTACGGAATAGTAAATTTTAATTCCTGGTTCACTCTCAATTCAAGAGTATTTTCTTCAAGTTTACTTCCAGGATATTCGATTGATTTACAAGTTTTTTGTAGTTTTTCGAAAGAATCACATTGTGTATTTTCTACATTGGGGTTATAAAACTCCTTACACCAAGCACAATTTTGATTAATTTGAATGCAATCAGAGCAAGTACCCTTCTCTGGAAGAGAGCTACAAGCATCGGAAATAAAATCTGAAAAAATATTATAATATTAGGTCTCTTCGGTTGAAGATCATAAATAAGTTAACCTGATCCTATGCCTTGTTGTTTTATAAACCTAAATTCTAACAGAAAGATAAATAACCAAATTAGATGCATATTAAATAACTTAGACAAGTTGATCTAAAAATGTCTGCGTAAAGCGGATATCCGGCTACGATAGAGCGCCACTTAGTGTTTAAAATAGGACGTTTTACGCCATCTATTGACGATAATAAAATCTACATCGTTTATTAATAATTGTACCAATAAGCTATTATATAATTTTATAACTCTCAGTAAAAAATATGGTTTGTGTTGAGAATTGCAACTTTTCCCTATTTTCGACTGATTCGACTTCCTCTACCTGAAAAATGATCATTGTTACCACTTCATTAGCGTAAAATTTAGAAATTACCGTTATTTGACAGAAATTTTGTTCAGATGAGAATGAAACATCAACAGGAAACATACTATCTGGAGAAGCCGAAGATGGTAAAGTATATTGTAAATCAGCGTTCGGATTAGAGCGGTTAATAACGGGAATGTTCCATTCAAGCCGCCCACTACGGTTATATGTTGCCAGCCCTTCGCCACATTCTTCAACAGTAGGATTTGAGGGGCATGGTAAGCTAATGGTAATTTCTCGTAATTCAAGATCAGTTCTTTCTAACTCATACTGAACTGAGACATCACATCCACCATTGCCGTTGTCTTCTGGCCACACCACAATAGATAAGGGAAGATATGATTTATCACTTGATGGTAATCTCCACTTTAAAACACCTATATCTTGCTGCAATGGAAAGGGTTTATCGGGATTTTTCAAAGCAATCAAGCTTTCGTTCTGAAATAGTTTCTTGTCAACATTTGGATGAGTTTGTAATTGAACGTCAGTTGATCGTTTGGTGCTCATTCTGATTTTGCACTTCGCCGATTTTTCATCATTAACTTTTAATTGTAGTAATCCTTGTATTTCTAGATTTTGTATACCACCATGTCTATTTATAGTAACGTTCATCTTTTCTTCGCTCCTCAAATGAATTCCTTCCTCATTGATAGATGAAACTGGTGCCTTATGAGCGGATTTAGTAGCAGGAGCAACGACTTCTTGCCCTTCTGATTTTATTTTATTGACAAAAATATCATCGTTCTTAGGTTTCCTAATTACCATTCCCTTACTTGAAGATTCACTGGAAGGAGTTGGTTTATTATAACTTGGTTTAATGGGTTCCGGCTCTATCACTGCAGAGTCAGATGAGTGAGGTGAAAATCGAGCATAGCTGCCAGTCTGTCTTGATCTATTAGATTGATCCTTTCTGAGTTGCTGTAACTCTTTTGCTTTTCTTTTCATATTTTCTTTTGCTTCTTTTTCTTGAGTTTCTCTGACAGCCTTGAAGACTCTCTCTTCATGAGAATCCATCTCAGTATAAGTGCGGATTTGGGCTAAATTCACTGACTCTCTATATCCTAGAGCGACGATCTCGTCAAAAGCAAAAATTAATTGAAAAGCTTGTCGTATTACTTCTTTTTCGTCCAAGGCCCTGCAATATTCTGGAACAACTCTTGCAAAAAGACGGAGGGTTTCTAGATCCTCAAGAATATTAGAAGCTTTTGTGGTTATCAACAGCACATATAACTTTTCTAAAGGTTGATAAACATATCGAACACTTTCTGTTTCCACAAATGTATGTTGAGAACCAGTGTTCATTAATTTTGGAAACGCTGCTAGAAGCCCTTCTATTCTTGATCGAGTCATCTCGACAAATTGCCGTGAAACAACGGCTTTACCAGATTTGTTGCAAACAGCCGATGCTAGAAGAACCTGTCAAATGACTATTTTGCAGTATTCTATTAAGATTTTTAGCTGTCTACTTACCATTTTGTTGAATAATGTCACGTTGCAAAATTATTGACGAAATCCTCAGATCATCATGGCCGCGGCCACGTCGCTAGCTTCTGTTGCAACGTATTAATACGCCATTGCTTAAGTAGCATAAAAATTTTTCTTCTAACCTAAAATTTTATATTTGAATTATTTAGTATCTTCAAAAATACAGAGTTATTTAACCCTTAAATTCTTTATCGATATGAGTTCAAATCGATTCAAAAGTAGTTTCGATTGAAGAAATTCATTTGATAAAATTATGATACGATAAATTCTGAGAAATCGATTTCAACGATACATACGTGAATCACTTTAAAGAATAAGGCGAGTTCGATTGTAGAGAGACAGGAAAATGTCGTATTCCTACTTATTTAAATACATAATAATAGGTGATACAGGTATGTAGTATACAAAAACTCTTGAAATGTTCATTTCAGATTTTCTAATATGACGTCTAATCTCTCACAACCAATATTTTTGTTTTAAAATACGCTTGTAAATATTCAAAATGGCGCAACCAGAAACCTTTGTTGCTGTATATCTGTTCTTAGTTAATCACATAGTTAATAATTTTTGTAGGTGTTGGAAAATCATGTCTATTGCTTCAATTCACCGATAAAAGATTTCAACCTGTTCACGACCTTACCATTGGTGTCGAATTTGGCGCACGTATGATAACGATTGACAGCAAGCAAATTAAATTGCAAATTTGGGACACCGCTGGTCAAGAATCATTCAGGTCAATTACGCGATCCTATTATAGAGGAGCAGCCGGTGCTCTTTTGGTTTATGACATAACAAGACGGGATACGTTCAATCACTTGACTACTTGGCTAGAAGACGCCCGTCAACATTCCAGTTCGAATATGGTTATCATGTTGATAGGTAATAAGAGTGATTTAGAGTCCCGAAGAGATGTCAAAAGAGAAGAAGGAGAGGCTTTTGCTAGGGAACACGGCTTAATCTTTATGGAGACATCAGCGAAAACAGCAGCTAATGTAGAGGAGGCATTTATTAATACTGCAAAGGAGATTCATCAAAAAATACAGGACGGC